CCGAAGACGGCCCATGTACTTGCTGCGAGAGCGGTGACGATCCACGTCGGGGCAGAGCCGACAAGAGTTGCTGTTGCTGCTGCTGAAGCTGGGCGGAAGGCTCCGGCGTCCTGGGACGGGCAAGTTCCGAAGTCTGACGTCTCTCTTCCTCCTCCCCCTGATGCTCATCTTCCTCCTCAACCCTCTCCAACTCGTGCGGGACAACCGTCGCCACACTCCGCGCATCATCATCATCATCGTGATCACCACCCACGTGGTCCTCACCATCCTCCTCAAGCTCAAAGCCACCTCGCTCTCGAGATTCATCATCATCATGCTCGTGCACCTCGCGCTCCATCTCCCGCCGCCTCTCCTCGATGAGCTCGCGCAGAGACTTGACCTCGTGCTTCATCGATTCCTGCTCGGCGAGAACAGATTCGAGGGCACGGATCTTTTCGAGTTGGGCGGTGAGCGTAGATTGGGTGTCGCGGAGCTGCGTTTGGAGATCGGAGATCACCGCTGGAGGCACAGGCGGGGGTGCAGGGGGAGGACTCGTTGTTGGTGCTGGAGGAGGGGGTGGCTGTTCTTGGGCAGCAGGACGGACAGGGGGCAGCACCGACGGATACGAAGGTAGATTTGCGGGCTGTAAAATGCCATTAGATCCATCGATAAACAATAATTAAAAAACTCACCAATCCACCACTAAGCGAATCGTGCACCTCATTCATCGCCCCAGTCAAAGACGACAACTCCGCCCCCGTCTCCCTCGACTTCTGCAGCTCGCCCTGGAGCCGACTAAGGATAACATCAAACGTCAACCCACTCTTTCCAGGCGGGCGCATACCACCACCCATGCCACCCATCCCGCTCATCCCACTCAAACTAGGCTGGCTCAACTGCGGCCTCCTCTGCTGATTCGCAAAATTAAAGCCCGCAGGCGCACCGCCGGCGTTCATCCCACTCGGACCAGGCTGGCCCATCCCCAGCCCGCCCTGCCCGCCGGACTGCTGGTACTGCTGCTGCTGTTGCTGCGCCTGGTGCTGCTCAGCGCGCGCCGCAACCTGCGCATCCTGCTCCGTAAACACACACACCACGCGGGCTGCGACTTTGTGGTGGATGATCGTTTTGTTGTCTTCCCCTACAATGTCGATACCGAATTCCTATATCAATGCGTGTGAGAGGTGTGACTTTTTTTTTAGGTATAGGGGGGGAGGGAAGACGTACGACGATGTCGTCGCTTTTGAGTTCGTAGGGGTCGGATTCGACGGCTTCGCTCGAGAGTCGCTCGCCGTTGATAAATGTTCCGTTACTACTCTTCACATCCTTGATGAATATCTGCAATAAAAAAAAAAAAATTAGCATCGTCCTCAAAGGCCTTTCCCTCCTCCCCTCCCACCACATCCCCCCCTAGCCCTCACTCCACAAAAAGAAACCATAAAAAAACGGATACACACCTTCCCATTCTCCTCCCACACCTCCGCATGCTGCCTACTCAACACCTTTGAATCAAAATACCCATTCCTCTCCCCAGGCGCAGTCTTGGCATTCGTCTGCCGTCCAATCTTCACATGCTGGCCGTGCTGCAGTGCGATGTGCTTGGGGATGAACGAGTCGTTGAGCGGGTAGAGGTAGAGCGCTGGGTAGGGGAGGGGCTGGGGAGGGGCGGCGTTGAACGGCGCTGGTGGCATGGTGCTCGGTCGGTCGTTCGTTCTTTCGTTTGTTGGTTTGGGTGTTGGGGGTATTGGGGAGTGAGTCGCTGGATGGGGATGAGAAGAAGGCGTCGTCGGTGTGTGTGTACGCCTCTTTCTCGCGCTAGTCGTGTTCTAAGCGGGGGGGAAAGTGCTCGCTCGTTTGGTGTGTCTAAATGCTTCGCTGTCCCGTGTGTCGTTACAGTTTTACGTCGAGAGTCGAATTCAACGGGCTGGGCGTCGTTGGTTCAAGGGGCGGGGCGGCGGCGGCGGGGAGGGAAAGGCGGTAGAAGATAGGGACGAAGTGGAGAAGAGGGGAATAGGGACAGCAAACGAACGACGACGACGACGACGATTGTGACGGAGTGTGGGAAACAAAGCCACCAGCGCACACGCCAAACGAGAAACCTTAACCCTAGGCACCAAGGCACGTGCCCCTTGTCAGTTTGTCAAAACAAGCCGCTACAAATCGAGAGGCGGCTTCTGTGTACTCATTGAAGTTATTCAATTGAAGCCGTTCGTTCGTTGGTTGACGGTTGGTCAATCGGGTGGGTATGAATCTGGGTAATGGTATGGTGGCACCGTCGAAATCTACTTGGTTGTGGGTGAACTTTGCAATGAATATTGCACGATGCAGTAGTATGCCTTGTTTCCGCGCCTCGGTTAAATAACCTCTCTCGATCAACACACCCCAGTCCTCTCCTACCTCCTACTCCTATCACTGCTCTCCTCAGTCCCTTCGTGCAGGGTGCACCGTCTACTGATCCCCCCCCCCATTGACCATACCTGCGTTTGTCATGCGAGCGCTTCTCCGGATCCCGATTCCCTGCCCACGCGCTTCCCCACATTGAGCTCAATATAGTATTAGTACTGAGTCCTACATAAAGGCCTACTTAACCACGCGAACAAGTCATGTACGTACGCACAGCCCCGCAGTTTGAACTTTGATAACGACCCAGATCCCGATTTCCCGACTTGGCCGAATTGAGAATACGGATGGCCGCGGTGTCTCCTTTCGGTTTCCTCTCGTTTTCTGCTTAAGGCTTAAGCTCTTATGCAGCGAAAATTCGATATCCTGTTCTAGCAGAATTACATACTCGTTCTCCCGTTCTAGAATCTAACGAATGTTTGTTACATATCATATCAGTTGAGCTTGACTTGAGGTTGAGCTTGACTCGACTTTGTAGACCACGCTAATATTTGGCGCCAATGAAGTTCATGAATCAAGACTTACTACATAGCCTGAGGTCCCACCGACGCCCGAACCCATCTCAACTCCTGAATCAGCCTGCTTAAGGGACTTGAGGTTGGCTGTCAGACCTACACCACGCTTTCCGGGGAATGCTTGATTCGACCCAGTTCTATGCAAGTCACAGCTGTCAGCGACGGCTGAAGGTTTCGGCAACGAGGGCGGGGGGGACCGAGTCTGAGTACTTGATCGTCTGGCGTCCTTAACCTTGCTTATGTGCGGCCATGGAATTCGCCCACTGTTAACTTGGTAAGGAATTCCTGACAGTAGCGTGGCAATCCATCCGCGATAAGATCTCGTCTCAACTGCGAGCATGGACTGCCGCTCCCAGTGCAAAGGGTTAAGCGCTCGAGAAAAAAAAAAAAAAAAAAAAAAACATTCGTCGGTCCATCGAATCGGATTTGTTGAAGCATAAAAGTACAAAGGATCTACGGTTCCCTGCTGTGGACCGCACACCTCCATCGTTGCTTGCCTTTCTTCCTTCTTCCGACTCAGGATGGCCGACTCGAAGGTGATAGAGAAATTGGAAGAGTACACGGTAGCTCTGGCGGCCATGACCTTTGTTGGCGATTTCACCGCATTGCTTCAACTGGGTATCCAAATTCCCGCATTCTAAAACAAACTCGCCGCACTCACGGCCACTCCCCGCAGGAATACAACTCGTGATGTGCACCTTGGGATTATCGGCATTCCTCGTAACTCCCATTGAGCGCAGGAAAGGTCGTCTCCCCTACGTCGTCCTCAGCTTCATCATCTTCGCTCTATCAGCTACCTCTCCCTTCCTCCACGCCCCATCGACATTTAGTTCACTGTACCACTCGCATCCAGGAGCGTCTTATGCGAGATCGCTGGTCCAAGAAGGAAACCAAACATTTACCTTCGCTTCTCAAAGTCTGGTGAACCTATACATCGCCGTAGGAGATGGGATTCTGGTATGTTTTACTTTATCCAATCGGGCGGCGCTATTGAACTTGAATGGTAATCTAGCTCTACCGATGTTATATACTATGGAAGGACAGACCTGCAGTCATGATCGTTCCAATACTAGCCCATCTCGGATTCATAGGTACATTCCGGTTACCCTCTTTCTCTCTCCCTTAGGACCGAATGTTCTCAACTCCCTGGACCAGGGCTCACCATAACCGCTTTCACTCGCCACCTGCAAGGGGTCACCCTCAGCTCCAAGCGCGAGCTTATCCTATCACAGCAAACAGCCATAACCAGCATCGCCCTCTCAACATCTCTAAACGTCATTACCACGTCCCTAATCGCCTACCAAATCATAGTCCAGCAGAGGGCACTCTCGAAAGCACTGCCAGGTCGAAATATCGGTATCTACACCAGAGCAGCCAGAGTAGTCGTCGAATCCGCACTCCCTTTGACGCTTTCCGGATTAGGCTTTGTTATTGTAAGGACCATGGACTGGTTCAGCGGGCCAACAAGCGGCGAACTTCCAGATCTTAACGTGCACGCATTACTGGCCAGCTATATTTTTGGAGGGTTGTACACCAGTTTTGGGGTTAGTATTTGTTCTGTCCTCCCGTAATGCCACATCGGTGTAACGCTGAGTTATTTAACATCACAGGCCCTTGCACCTCAGATGATCATCTTCCGAGTGACAGTCGCTCGTTCGCACCTTCAACAGGAAGACCTCGACTCGTCGATCAATCCTGACAGTGAGCCTTTGGGTGACCTCGAATTCGACCATGGCCCAGGGGAAGATTCAGAGTCTCTCGGCCAGGATTCTCATTCCACCGATCTTGAAGGATTCGTTCCAGCCCAAGGTTTAGACGGAGAGGTCCAACGAGATGCGGACTCGGGAGACGGGGTGTCAACAACCCTGCGAAATCGTGCGAGAGCACTGGATCCCCCTAGTCGAGTCTCTCAAGAAGAGGTGTTCATGGTTTAAGCAGATATACCAAGGACCAATTTCTACTTGTCCGTATCGCCTTACTTGTGCATTCTCGAGTGGGCGGTTCATCGTTCGTTTTTACTTCGTTCAAGTTAATCTTATTCCTATCGATACATTCCCTAACCCTAACGAAGACGATGACGTTGAATCACATCTGTGCCCAGAGTCCCAGACTGGATTCTCAAGACATCTACTGAGATTCCCTAGTCGGCGCCGGACGGTCACTCTGGATTGGCTAGTAAACCCACCGTCCGAGTCCTCAGTCGACGAACAGCGAGCACAGACCCCCTTCGAACTTCGAAGTATATGAAGAAGGACATTTTGAGTCCCTTAGATCTAACTGACAACGGAATCACCCCAGGCCCTCGAACCCCAACTACGTTGCACCCATACCAACCGAGGTACCAACCGAGCTACACCAAATCGAGCTACACCAAACCGAACCACGCCAATCGAGTCTCTTTCGCGAGAGACGAGTACTTGATTACTGCATCCAAGTTTTACGACTGTAGTACTGCAGCCTCCCACGGTCCAGCCGATGTCAGCGACGAAACGACTCTTGCTACTTCAAGTTGAGTACACAGTCTGCCCCTTGTTTCGACACATTCTACTACAGAGGGGTTCTTGTTTTGACGGGGGCGCAAAGTTCGACCTCTACGAGAATACTTGTTACCAAAACTAGCTTTGGGGCGGGCCGCCGTCGAGGACCAGCCGTTCAAAACACATTTTTCTTGGGTAGATATCCCATCTAGTTGTCATGATTATAGCGCGGCAACCGGAAGCAAAGTACACGTCCGGATCCATAGGACTTCTTCAGGGAAGTGGTGACGCTGTGACTTTCTGTTCCCTGACGAAGTATTTCCGCTGTGGTGACGGTCATCATGGTGAGGCATGCTGTGGTCCTCGACCACAGTTACTGTGGTTTAGGCTGACATCCTTTGAACTTTTGTCAATCCAATAGCTCTGTCTTCCGAGTCTTCGTTCAGAGTAGAGTCTCATTTGACGAGGATGTTGCGCTCACGCAGTGGTCTTGGTGTGGGCGATAAGATCCCCACTCCTCGATCAACAAGTCCGGCAAATTCGGCACGGTCAGGCGAGCTCGGATGTTTTAGACCTCTGTTTCACGAAACCATTCATTCGTTCTCGTCATTCGCTCGAGGGGCGCGTGCTGGCAGGCACGACACACCGAATCCAGACTCACAGGCGACACGAAATCGCTCTGAGCCTTTCTTCCAAAGACACCACGTTATCGACATACCGACAAATCAAGGTCAAGAAGGCGGGAGAAGGGGTTATAAATAAGCGCGAGACTGGAAGATAGAAGATCCAGCACCGGAATACTATATCCAAGACGAACGAGCGAAGGCTTTGGAGTGGAAGAGTGATTCCAATCTATAGGGAGAAATTCAAAAGGCCGACGACTCTCAAATCAGGACGAACACGGACAACGAATTCAGTCTCGGAATCAGGACAGCGTAGGAATCAAGTTTGGACACACCCAAGGGAATCTAAAGCGAGATGGCATCTTCGACGAGAGCGGGGATGACGGGGGGACGTAATAATAGTACCTCTATTACGATACCTGGTCAAGTCCAAGCCCAGGGTATGGGTATGGGTGTGGGTCAGGCTCAGGGGAAGGGTGGGGATGAAGGGAGTGGAAGCGGTAAGTTATCCTCCTTACACTCTTCTATCCTGGTTTTCAGGGGAATGAGTTCTGACGATTATCCTCTACACATAATTATTCATTCTGTCTCCCAAACCGACATCGATGTCGACGTGACACCCCAACATGACTGATGTGTATACGCCATGTACGTGTATCCTTCACCTAACCAAATACGAATCCCGAAACGCCAAACCTGGAACCCACCAACCAACCGGGACGCCAAACCTGGGGTCGCTAAACTCTAATTGCCCCTCGGGTGGGAAACTGGGAATAACCTCGTTGATCCCGTGTTTCCCTTGGGCGGTTTTCAATTTTGGGGGGCTGCGTTCAACTTCTTATTACTAAACCACTACGTCGACGAACCACGGACTTGGTATCGTGCCATTACGACGACCCCACTTGTTATCGTTGCTCAACCCACAACGACGACCATCGAACAACTGACGACGACCCACTAACTGTTAACCTAACCCCCGACGAACGTCTAACGAACAACGCTCAACGAACACCCACCCATCCACCCACCGAAACCCACCATGTCAACCCGCCGCCTAACCCGCTCAACCCGCAACGCCGCCTCCTCCTCCAACACCACCTCCACCGGCGCTGCGACGACTACCACAAACCCCGAACCACCAACCCCCCGCCGCCTCTCACGCGCCGCCGCCGCACGGGCTGCTAAAAACATAGATATGCAGATGGAGTCTTCCTCCTCCGAAGAGGAAGAGGACGACGATGAGGATGCCGAGGAAGACGCCGAAGGAGAAGGAGAAGATGGAGAGGGAGAAGGGGAGGAGGATATGGACGTTGACACGCCCTCACCTGTCAAATCCAAGGCCAGGGGCAAGGGCAAAGCTCCCGCAACTACGACTGCGGCTACCAAGGGAGGAGCTAGCAAGACTACCAGTGTCGTGGAAGAGGATGAGGAAGACGAACCGGACGAACAGCCGCGCGTCGCGAGTCAGCAGCAGGGTCGGAGGGCCGCTGCGCGCGCGCGGAACGTGGTGGTTGATAACGACGAGGAGGACGAGGAGGATGCTGAAGACGAGGGAGATGCGGAAGGAGAGAGCGAGATTGATGTCGAAGAGGAGGAGGATCAAATCGAGTCTGTGCGTCCCTCCCATTCCTATTCATTCGTGAATTCAAACTAATACAAGTACAGGACGAACCGACTACAAAACCTAAGCGCTCTACTCGTCGTACGACCACCGCTACGCCCTCCAAATCGCGTAAAGGCAAAGCCAACGCTGCTTCAGGGTCTGCGTCTGCACCAGGCCTCAAGATCGTGTTGAAACTCAACACCAACACCGCAGTCTCCTCCAACAACAGCTCTACTTCCGGTACACCCCTCCCCGACGACCCCGACAACGATAACGACGAGCTAGACGCAGACGGGGAACCCATCGACGTCGAGGAGATCGACGAGCTCGAACCTCCACCTCCGACTGCGAAAGGTCGAAAAGGTGGTGCGAGAACTACCAAAGGAGGGAAGAAAGCGTCGACCGGAGGAGCGCGCGTTGTGCAGAAGAAAGCCGCCACACGTACCCGCAAAGGCGCGATCCAACGCGTCCAATCCACGCACTCCCAATCCCTCTCCCTCTCCGCCTCACACTCGCCCTCCCAATCCTCCCTCGCCTCTTCACCCACCTCGACACCGCACACCTCCGACTCTGAATCCTCAGACGAAGTCATACCCGGCTCCGCATCTGCCAGTGGCGGACGCACGAGGCCATTAACGACTAGACAAGCGGTGTTGGCTAGTATGGTCGATTCGAGCCATGTTTCGTTGAGTGAGAGCACGGGTAGGTCGAGGAAGCAGCCGTTGAGTGAGATGGAGCTTGCGTTGAGACGGGAGGAGACGGCGAGGAAGAGGAAGAATTTGAGTGAGAAGAAGTTGGAGGATGAGAAGGTGCGTCGTTGGTTTCTTCTTGTTTCTCGCATTTATTGCTGTTTCTTGGAGGTCGTCGTTCGAGTTGTCTAATCCCTCTCTCGACCCCTTTCTTGACTCCTTCCCTGTCATTCCGTCCCTAATGACGTGTCCCATTCACACTCTCATTCATATATTCGTATTCGTATCCCTATTCTAACACCATCCCATTTTAAAATTACAGGCAGAAACAATCAACAGACTCCTCAAAAAACAAACTCGTCCACGCGCGCGGAGGGCAGGGTCCGCTTTGGACTCCCCCGTTGGCGGTGCGTCTACGCCTCGTGGAGGTGGGAGGTTTGGATCGAGGTTGAAGAAAGGTGAGGTTTTGGGTTTGGAGTTGTCCATTTTGCGGATTGGATTGGATTGGATTGGCTTCGCCCTGTCTGATCATTCATCCCTTTCTTGTTCTCCTTTTCTCCTTCTTACCTCCCGTTTTCTTGTCTTCCATCTTCCTATCTTTTTTCTTTCTGATTTTCTGGTTTTCCGCTTTTGTTTCGTTCTGTTCGTCTGTCGTGACGACCCCCGATGCCATCGAGGACTAAAAATAGCCCCTGACTATGGGTTCTTGTTTGGACTTGAAGACGACTATGACTATCGGTTTTTGTGGTTTTTGTCGGGGGTTTATCTGTATCTTTGTACCTCGACCTTCCATTCTCTTTTCCTCCTCTTGCTTTCCTTCCCTCTTCCTGATTTTCATTCTCGTTTGGGCCCGTTCTGAGTCATTCTTTTTCCTTTCTTTCTCTCTTCCTCTTCCCGCTGCTTTCCTCCCCCTTCTCCTCTCCTCTTCCTCTTTATACAATCGCTTCCCATGCAAAATACATACTAACTAACCACCCTTATTTTGCAGACGATGGAGATGAGGAAGGTGCGGAAGGCGAGAACGAGGGTGAGGAAGGAGAGGATGAGGAGGGGTACTTTGAGGAGGAGAGGCCGAAACCTACGATGTTTAGGTGGGTTTCGAGGGTTGTTGAAGTGGAGATACCTGATGGCGGGGAGGAAATTGAAGGAGGGGAAGGGAAGAGTGGAACCGCGAAGGAGAAGGTTGGAGACGCGAGGGAGAAGAAGGATGGAGAGGCTGGCAAGAACGATGAATCGACGAAGGATGATGGTGATGCTGTGATGAAGGATGGGGAGGGCGGTGTTGCGCCTACCGCTGGGCCGGATGCGACGACGACGGGTACCACCGCTCCTGCTACGATGACGACCGATAGTACCACTCCTGCGACGACGACCACGACGGACCCCACTTCCACTTCTACGACCGAAGGAGGAAAGAACGAGGGCGAAGGGGACAAGATGGCCGTTGACGAACCTAACCCCGCTCCAAAGAAGAGGGTGGAGAAGAGGATGGTGATTATGTTTGCTGTTCCGGAGTCTGTTTTCCCTCCGCCGGCTGCTACTCCTGCGACTGCGACTGTGACGGAGGCGACTATGGAAGGGAGTAGGGACGGGGAAGGAGGAGGGGGAGGAGGGGATAAGATGGACGTTGATCCGCCTTCTGTGACTGCCGGTGCTCAGCCATCAAGTCAAACCCTTGCATCGATGCAGCCTCCAACAATGACGACTCAACCTCCCTCCTCGACTCAACAGTCCTCGAAAACATCTGCTCCCTCTCCAGCCACCGATCCACTGAAAGTCCCAGGCCGGGGCCCAGGCCCGTGCGCCATACCCGGGTGCGGGCTCATGCGGAAGTATAGGCTTGTGAGGGATTGGACTATCGGGGCGTGTGGGGTTGAGCATTTGAGGGTTTTGGAGGGGCGGGTTGGGTAAGGGAGGGATGGGGTTGGTGGGGAAGGATGGGGTTGGTGGGGAGGGATGGGAGGGGTGGGAGAGGAGGGAAGGGTGGAATGGGTGACGATTCGTATTACTTTTGGTCCTATTTGGTCCGAATTCTGGATGCACGTATCTGATACATATTGCTGTTTGTTTGCTTTTGAGATGGGGAGGAGGAAGCTGGACTCGGTTGGTGTGAGATATGGATGCGTGGCTCGAGAACGTGGAAGTACGAGCCGAGTTGACTCTGCCGTTACGAATTGGGCGGAGTTTTGAGTCGCGAGAGGTGTGGGGTTATGTGGAGGTAGGGCAGGGGCGACTCGCCGCGTCTTCATACAGTAAATTTAAAGGGGCATTTAGCGAAAGGAATATGATGGGATTAAGAGATCGGAAAAAGTTAATGCGAAAGAGTGGGATGGCGGCAGAGGCGTGACCTCTCATTTTCAGCGATAAAACTTTAAATTCTTTCGAAGAAGGTGTACCAGCGGGGCGCAACATAGTTTCCCCTCCCCAACCCCTAACCACCAACCCTCACCGTAACAGCTGCCCGTAGCACAGCTAACTAACCCTGACTCTAACAGCCGCCCTTCAACGGGCGGCGGAGAGACTGGGCAGGATTGCCGTCAGAATTGGACGAAAAGAGTGGGATGACGGCCGGGATCCCACTCGTATTCCCCCATCCCACTCTTTCTCTCGGGCAATCGCACTCTTTTCCACGCAATCTCACTTTGAATCCCATCCTATTCTTGTCGTCATCTCCCACTTAAAGGGTGCCGTAATGGAATATTAATCCCACTCTTTTGTGCAATCCCCCACTAATATTCCCAATCCCACTCCACTACGATAGTAGATACTCGAATTTGATGGACAACTTGTCACTTGCGGGCCCCAGAGCGACGAATTCGAACTTGCGCTTGGCGCAGGGTGGGGAGAGCGAGAGCTCTGAGGTTTGGGCTGAGGTGAAGGTGGGTGCGTTTCTTGGAAGTGTTTTTCGTGCTGGCGCTCGAGTCACGAAGGCATCTCGTCGGTGTCGATGCTCTGAATCATGGAATATCCGAGTAGCAGCGCCCGCAAGGTGTTCAGCCGGGATTGTAAGTGGCTAGAAATACATCGATCACCTCCCTAGGAATGTGGATGTCATGCCAATACGAGGGAGCCGGTATGTACCAACGCATCATGTCAATTGGGAAAATCATCTCGGTGTTTCTGCACGAGGAGGTCTCCAAGCGCTGAAACTACGTTGACTGCGATCATCCCCCATCCGCACCTCTCAAAAACAAGTCCGGTACACAGACTTGTTCCGAATTTGACCATCAATTTCCTATTTCCAGACAACACGTAAAGTGTGGACATCATTGATCGATCAGATTTGCTGAAGTATGGAGGCTTGTGTCCCCTGTTGCTTCTTTGCCGATTTCTATCGCTCAAACCAACGGGCGCACATGCCGTAGAATCATTGGAAGATTGTTCGGACGAACAAAGTTGGACTTTTAAGCGCCTGCGACACAGCACTCATCTCCCGAGGCTGTGGATCTCACGATGCGAGGAGGGTGGTTTGTATCCAGTGTTGTCCCCGCGTATGGACTATGAAAGGACACGCAAGATCGTTTGGGTCAAGAGCAACACTCAACTGACTTACAGCTCGAAATCTGGTGGTAAACGGAACCTAATCGAAGACGATATCGAACCTATTGACTCCCAACATGACCCTTCACCCGCCCTCCCGGCTTCGTCCTCTCCATCCACTTCCGAGCAACCCCCAGCGCACCTGCGAGCCCACCAACGAGCGATAATCGATAACCAACCGCAAGATCCACAAGATCAAGGCGATGACCCTCCATTTCCTCCATTCCGCGAGATCGTCGATGAGATCTTCGACGACATCCGTAATGATGATATCGATTCTGGAGTATTGGCAGAAGGGAGAGGAGGGTTTGGCTGTCGAGCAGGAGTGACCGTCGCTCGCTCGCACATTCAACAAGAAGATCTCGACTCGTCGATCGACCCCGACAGCGAGCCCTTGGGCGACCTCGAATTCGACCACGGCACAGGGGAATCCTCGTCGTTCAGCCAAGACCCTCATTCCTCCGATCTCGAAGGAGGATCTGTTCCAGGCCATGGTTTGAACGGAGAGGTCAAGGGAGATGGGGATCCGACCACCCTGCGAAATCGGGCAAGAGCAGGAGAGTGGGAGGATCCAGATATCATCATCGAAGAACCCCGAACGCAGAACGAAGTGGCAATCCCAGGTCCTAGTCGTCCACGAGGCGATACTGGGACAGCCGCTATGGTTTAAACTGTGATGCTGTCCTAGATGTCCGCAGCCTCTAGGCTCTGATTGGTATTCTTATTTATCGTCTGCTCACGTTCCGGATCCGCTCGTCTATATAGTCCTCCCTATATATACTTCTGACTTGGTCCTGTGATGCATACACGGAGGACCGTCTTTGGTTGCTCTCATGACCTGCGAGTGAGATCATACCCGGCTACGCATTTCTGACTCCTGAGCGAGCACACGTTACGACCTTTAGACGTATATCTCATTATCAGTTCCCCCGGGGAGAGCATCTGAAGATTAGAGACTACACCGGGGTCCCGGTTGACCAGGTTGTTCATCCACGACCTTTACAGGAATGGGTCTACTTGGCAAATCCATTAAGAACCTCACATGGAAGGCGGTTATAATCTCCCACTAGATGGAAGTCATCAGTAAGCGCTCGTCAGATGTTCAGTGTCGAGTAATCAATGTGTGTGGGTAGGATCAAACGTGACGGGCGGTACCTGCGACGACATTGCACTTGAGCGCCGTCAACATCTCATTCCCCTGGGTTGCGATTCGCCTCATATCCAGTACCACCCTACTCAGCGACATCGCCTCACATGCCAGTTGGGTGCATTGGCTAGTGTCCGATCCTGATTGGGGCGTCGCTACACGCAACGAATTCGCCTGTAGCGTCCCAGCTGATGATATCATAACAGGCTGTAAAACATTGGCGTCCCAATTCCGACACTCCTTTTAGTGAAGGGAGGGGTGGGGAGCGGATTGAACGTACGTTCATCATTGCCGATTCTGGATGGAGTGATTCGGCCGATGGATTTACTAGGCCGACTCTTCGCAGGTAAGGGCGGTCATGTAACTCTTCCGTACTCAGTACATCCCATGATTTCCTCCGCCCGGAACTTAAGAATGACGAGCGCTAGTCGCAGGGTTCGGAACCTGGATGGCGGCCTACTGATCCCCTTGGCGAGAAAAGGAGACATTATTCCATCCTTCGTAAACATTTGACATTGGCATGGGAAGGGGAAGATGGCCAAGGGCGAATCTTGCGCAGCGGGCTCGCTGGTCCGCAGTACCAGCTCAGACAGGGCGGTGTCGTCATTTGAACTCACCATTGAGTTCGAGAGTTCCCGAGTTTCGACATGAGAGAACCTTTTCGACTTCTCGCGGCAGTCCCATCGGTTCAAGGTAATTTTCTAACTGCTCGGAGGCGGTTGGGCATGGATCATGAGGCTGATCGCAGTTAGACTCGACATGAAGGATGATGAGATTGAGGGTGCACGTCTGTTCTAAAAGGGTATACAGTCGACCCGAGGGTCATGGGGCTGCCTATAACGTCACTCCTTGAGGGCATTGAAAGCTCTGAATCCATTTATGAATATCGACTGTCAGCTCGACGCAAGAAAAGGGGCTAAGGTCCAATCGGATGTCGCTACGACCCAAAGAGATCGTAGAACCCTCAGCAATGTAGGTAGATTGGAAGGAGGCCTCGCTGTGAGCCAGAATGAATTATCCAACAGGCGAAAAAACCAGGATAACATGCCTTTTTTCGAGAAATTGGCCTCAGGACAAGCTTTTGGGTAGCTTTCGAGCACCGCCAAGGATTCTCATTAGGAGCGAAAAAGTCAATAACGAGCCTAGGCTATCAAAAAGGGCCCGCCTAGGATGTAAGATCCGATGACGACATCCGCAGTTCGACCAAGCCGGGGGAGGATAATGGAGGCCAAGAATCGAGATTACCCCTTTGAAGAGACGCTTGGCGAATACCCTCTTCCAGTCGTTCCTAGCGCGAGAGCTCGAGTTTTCGGCCTAGTATCGCTAATGGGTTTGATCAGGTCGTTGAAGATCTTGTCTGCTGCGCATTTCAGAGAATCTGACATGGACCACGGTCGCAAAATATATTCCGGAATGTGAAGAAATAGCAACAGGGGTAGGGGTGCTCCAGAAATCAAGCCAACAAGAAGGAGAGCATGCGAAACAAGGTCTTGAGGCCAATATTTGAGGGCGAATCTCTCGGCGAAGCAGAAACGAGGCGACCCCGAAATGGTAAGGAGAAACGCACTATGTCAATCAGACCCCGGTTCCAACGTTCGCAAATTCCTGCCTCCTGACTGAGGAAAGAGAATGAATCCAAATCGAGGGGGTGTGGGTCGGAGACGAACGCTGTGATCACGTTGGGTGGAAGACGCCATTGGGTTTGCGAATTGTTCTTGAACAAACAAATCAAGCGACTTGGCCCGTGTTCTGTCGTCCCAAGCCCGTGTCGTGCATTTATACTTCCGCCAGATCCGACGAGGAGCTTGTTTTTCCCCACCCATCTTTCCTCCCTTCCGTCACAACACCCTGCGCGCTCGACCCTCCGTCGATTGATACCTAGACAACGTCCCCTATCCTTGGCCTATATCCCCAAAAGCACTTCTCTAAGTCGAAATGGCTGCCGCTGTCGACCAACGAACGCACTCACCTTCCCCTAGCCGGAATACCTTTGGCGAAAAGCTATCTGCGATCGGCTCTAAGCTGTCTCGAACGTTCAGCAATAACGATACCCTCTACAGCGAGGAGCGTGATTCTGTGGCTGCGCTGAATAGTGAGTACACACCTTCATTCCTCTTCCCTTTTTTCGACGATGTCGGCGCTTTCGAGCAATATCGACGAGGGCGCTGGGTTCCAAAGAATTCGGATGACGATGGTGGTTCGAGTTAAAGAAAGGATGGACGGGTTTCAGGCTAGGACAGCGCTCAGAGATAAGAGAGATAAGGAATTTGGGCTTGGGATTTAGGCACATCCTTATCGCAGCCACCGTCTCAGCTATCTTATCTCTCGCTGTCTTCGTTCTCCTCTATTCACCCATATTTCATCATTTCTATCCTTCTTCGAGACACGTCTGTCTGTGTACAGGTGACGACAGTCCACATATTCGGATGTCCACTTATCTCTCGTTTCTCTTGGGTTCTGTTTTTTTCGGGATCCGCGCTTGGGTTACACTGCCAACCCGTCAGACAGTCAATCTGAACGGCAGAATGGGCCCCCCGACACCAGAGGAAGAACAAAGCTGTTCATCATCATTGGTTCCTGTGACTAGGCCTGGGATCTCATTCGACTCGAATTGGATACGTCCTTGGGGGCCTGAAACCTGTTACTCTATATAAACCGCTGCGGTTCTTCTTGCGCTTTCCGCCCGTTCTCCCCTTTCTCCTTTCTGTCGCTCCACACCGCCGTCTTACCAACTTCCACTCACACACCCCTCTCTTCATCCTTGACTATGGCAGAGGAGCGCTCTCTATCCCGTGGCCGTGACGTTCTGGTGAGCTATTCTCGTCCTTATCTCTGTGATGATAGCGCGGGGCTGACGTTTTATGCCCCGTTCCGCAGCAATCCACCGGGCGAGGTGGCTTTGGAAACATTCGTCAAGCCTCCCTCTCGCGCGATCGCGCACCTGGACCAGACGACTTCTCAGTCACTCGTGGACGCGAGCCTGTCGCTAACCCCACCGGCGGCGTATGCATTTCCATTCTTTGGAGACGGGTCTGTCAACTCAAGATTGTTTTTTGTGTTCACCTTCAGATCTATTCCACTGGCCGTGGTGGTGCCGGAAACCTTCGTTCCCCTTCCCGCGATGTTTCCAAGGGTCCTGACAGGGTCGAGAAGGAGGTTATCGACAGCTATGTCGCTTCCCAACAAGATGCACCCGTATGTCACCTCTTCCCTTTCGCTTCACATCTTCTTGACGGTGATACTCATCCTGTATGTCTCACCCTGTAGGTCTCGATTGGTCGTGGTGGACTAGGCAACATCAATCGTTCACGTTCGCGTGATCCCACCTCTGTTAGGGTATCCACGGGGAGAGGTGGCGCCGGAAATATCCACAACGATGAGGCAGGATATGGCGTGAACGCCACAGACGAGGTTGAGCGAAAGAAACACGACGTTCCCTCGGAGGGATTGTATGTTCTATTTTGTCGTATTAAATCCGTCCACTTATTTTCGATGTTATAGCCATTCGACCGGACGAGGAGGCTTCGCCAACATCACCGAAAGGGATGAGCCAGCGGTCGAGCGCCCTAGCATCTCTGTCGGAGAGTCCAAGTCGACTGGACGCGGCGGTGCAGGAAACATCACCCGCAACTAGCTCCATCGTCCCCTTAACTCTTCCCTTTGATATGCGTCATCTGAATGAGACCTTGTCGCTCTTCATCCTCTTCTCAATCCCCATCACCCCTCGGTTCTTGCTCAGGGATTTCGATTATACCTAACAATTTCTTTCTAATTTCCCCCCCTCTCTCTTCTTTTTCGTCATGGAAAATGACACTGGAATTCAATGTACAGTAACCTCTTGCCCTTCCTGAATGCCTAAGGCTGTACTTATCTATGTTGTACCATTATCAAAAATCTGCTGCGCGTTCCGAAGTTGAGCGACAACGACAGGGGTCTTGCGGACGCGTCGCGTGAGGGCGTGACGCGAACCAATTTCCTCCTTAGGGTGCATCACCAGTGAGTGAGTGAGCGTCGGCTCCAAGTAAATGTGCTCCCTTCGATTTACAAGGAGTATTGTGGCCGATGTTAGGGAGCAATCATAGAAAAAGCAAACCAATCGATATCTGTCCGGATAGATGCTTTGAAAAGATTCAGTCGCTGTGAGACTCGAACTCGCAGCCTTGGCAGCTTGAGTCGACGGCCCGCCATCTGATTTGTTGGCTGGATTTTCTCTGCCATACACAAGCGTGGGACTCGGAGTGGGTTATTTCTTCGACCGACTCTGGACGACCATCGCAAGTATGAGAGGGCTCCCAACACAGGTACGGTGACTTCAATTTTTCAAGGCCCCTTACCTGATGAACGCCTCTTTTAGGTTATCGCATCGGCCAAGGCGGGTAGCATCGACGCACTCGAAAGACTCTACCCCCTATTCTCAGAACAGACATATACCCTCTCGCTGCTCGAGGCTGTCCTGGCCAATCTTGATCGAGGTCGACTACCGGATGACACGTCAAAACCATTACCCCCTAATTCAGAGGTTGGAGAACGCTCCCTAGTAGCATCGGCCTGCTTTCTGGCCTGTCTTGGCTGCTGCCATCGAAGCCGGGCACACAAGTTGAACACAGTGGCAAAGATCCATTCGCAACTAGACGCCATTTTGACTTGGCTTCGTCTTGCTTTATCATATGCCTTGGAATGCGCCGCACCTTTGCGCATGGAATCCATCGTCTTTTGCATCGCACGCACCCTGGTCGGACTCCTTGGGCTCGACGATTCATTGCGCGAACAAGTCTTGGAATCTCGCAGAACAGGCGTCATAGTCTTCACCCTATGGTGCTCCCGTGATAATCGGGGCAAACCATTCTGCGACTTCCAATCCACAGGTCCAGGTCGCTGCCCCATCATCCAACTCGTAGACAAAAGCATCACCCTAGCAGACACTGAACTATCTCGGTGTTTCTGGACCTTGGTATTCTCATCGCCGAAGAGTCGCCGCGCATTCTGCGACGGATTACTTCGCAGATGGGTAGGGTTACCGCTGTCCATGCCAAGCCAGAATACCGGTGTCGTATTGCGGTATACTGCCCACCTCACCAACCTCGCTCTCCTCCTTCCCACCATCCCCGCTATCTACCGACCCCTCCGTAAAACAAAGCTACTATCTCAGTGGGGCAAATCCCTCCTCCTACTCCGACCCAACCTCAGTCCTGCGCAGTTTGTCGATTTATGTTCCGATCTCTTTTCGTTCTCCAATCACACCTATGGAAATCCCTTGACTGGACTCACCGAGCTCATCGAGACAGGGGTTTTCGTGGCTCTTCTACAAGCCGTTTCGGAACTTCCTCCAGGGTCGAGGTCCCCTTCAGCAATAAAGACGCTCGGCCAGTGCGGCGGACTTGCAATGTACCCCTCCACCACAACTGCGTTTAGGTCAGCCTTGCAGCGGTTAACTCCTCAGACCAAGAGTCGCCTTTCCGAGATGGAAGGCGTCGCAGATGCGTGGCGCATGCTGAATTCATCGGTGGACATATGTTTACCGGTGTTTAAAAACAAGGGAGGCCTGGGCCCCTATGACTTCTGCGACAGCGACCAAGTATGTGACTCTCGAACGCCCATGTTACATGGACTAACTGGATTTTAGCACTTCGAATTATTGATACAGAACAAGATTGGCAGAGAGGGATCTTCTGCATTCAAACTGTGCTCAGGCTGCCAGACCGTGCTTTATTGCAGCCAGCAGTGTCAGAAAGAAGACTGGGAATCGCGACACCGTTACGAATGCATGGTCATGCGACATTCTTATCGAGGTACGTGTGCCTAGGTCCATGTACCATGTCGTTTCTGATTATTCTCTAGTCAACGAGGCGCGCGGCGTGAAATATTCTCCTCTCGCGCGAGGCTATCATACCCGAATGGTCACGCTGATACTTCCCACTTTGTCGAGCCTGGGTCCATTCGAACGATTTGCCCAGCACACACCCCGCGACCTCCCTCCAATGACCAAACCAGTGGTTTACTGGGACATGAGAGATGGTTTCCACCGGGGTCCTACCTTGATCAGCGTTGAGGACCTTGTCACTTCGCGACGAACTGATGGGGTTCCAAGCTGTCCCAAGATGGAGGAAAGGCTTTCCGATTTGCTCAATGCGTACGCCATCGACAGCTGCCCGCGGTCCAAGGTCTTAATGATTCGATTTCGGTGGAGCATGAAGTGTCAAATCCTATTTATTCTGCATTTGCAACCCTTTAAACCTCGATCGGATGGCGATACCGACGATGGGTACGATTTCCTCCATGTTTCACGCAGCGCGACCATTATAGAGTGAGTCCAACCTTCCCTGAGCATGCTGATGGTACGAACTGGCACTCACTCTTTTCAGACACGCCCCGGAAAGTGGGTGGATCTGCGTGTAAATCTTCGCCTCTTCGAAGCCTCTAATCAAGTTGAATAGATTGACCACGCGGCGACCTGCGGATGACGAGAGGGATGTATTCACGTAGGGCTCGGGATTTGAATATGCATTTAATTCGATCCATCTCCATTCTCATGCAAGCGTCATCCACTGATTCTCATAAGCGGTCTTTAGCTTCAAAGCGAGCTCGCGCGACCCATCCATTAGTGTGAGCAGCGCACTTTCTTCCAGGTCTTCTCTAATACCCCCAAATCTGACATGGTGATGAAAAGGAGGGGACACCCGTGAGTTGGGGAGAGTCGTATATCCGTATTAACCATCCATTGACCTGCATGGACGTCCTTGTGCATGGATCGAACTTAACGACTGTTTGCGATAAGAGGACGGGGGATTGTCGCCTCTCGAACGCTCTACACACCTCGAGCGGGGTGCAACTCTGAACGGAACGCGACCGTAGGCTGAGGTCAATTCTGTCCTCGTGACGGTGTAAGGCACATTGCCCATCCCTGAAGGATTTAGGGCGGTTGACATCGGAATCTTTTACTCTTGACCTTTTCCAGCTTAATCGAGTTCAGGCAGGCTGAAACCTCGAGCACCCCTTCCTCATCATCCGAACTCCTTTCCAATCCAACCTCCTCCCTCCCCACCCTGACGAGCAACCAAATGACCTCTTCACGCCACCCACCATGGCCAATCCTGACCCTCCCAAGAGGAAAACGCGCCAAAGCCATCCTCATGTACCACCTCTTCTACGCCCTAATCGCCTCCTTCCTCGGAATCCTTTTCACCATGGCTCTCGCCTCCGACTCTCTGCCCAAATACAAGCACACCCTCTACCTCAGCATAATAAGCCTCGTTCCATGCGGCCTCATCCTCAACCAAATCAACATCGCTCCAGACGACGATCCAACACTGCATTTCCCACGCCGTCGAGGACTCGCTTTGACGCTTCTGTCATGTTGTTTCGGGGCGGCGTGGACGGTACTTGGTGTGCGATTCGCAAAAGAGGACCTGTGGGGGATTGCAAGCGATTTGGGTCGTGTCGTGGAGGAGTGGGGATGGTTTATTTCCGTGGTGGTTCTGTTGTATAAGTGCTGTGAGGCGATGGCGATCTTAGGGGTGGGTTGGGCGTTTGGTGTGGTTGGGGTGCTGTTGCAAGCGTTGGAGTACCGCGAGGAGATCCAAGGTATTGGGTTTCGAGGGAGCTCCGTCGGTGCAGCGATCGAATAGGGGTAGGTACAGTATGTACATATCGAACAACCAGTATCCATAATCGATGAGGTCTGGATTAACCCGTATATGTGAGACGGTATTACACCTCTTAATCTAGGCAAACGAACCGGTCTCATCTTATCGAATTGTTCATGGTTGACCACTGGTATCGTATATTTTCCCTGGAACACGACTTTCGCGCAGTCGCTGTTGACATCGGAATCTTTACCTCCACCAATATATAGATCCAGGCTAAAGTCAGGCACCATCGAACCTCCACACACCATCGCCACAGGATGCCCCGCTCCTCAACCCAATCCAAGCTCCTCCCGTCCAAAATCCAAGAACACGCCAAAAAACTCCTCTATATTCACCTCACCCTCAGCCTCCTGTTCTCCTTCCTCGGGCTAATCTTCACGGGCGTCCTTCACCCCGAATCAACACCCCGCGATACCCTCACTCGCTACCTGCACTTCGCAAGCCTCCTGCTCGGAGGCTTCACACTCAGCCGCGTCACCATCATCCCAGAAACCTCGGGTTGCTACCGCGACGACGAGAAACCCATAGTATATTTCCCCCGTGCCCTAGGACTCGCCTTCACGCTCCTCTCATCCGTGTTCGCAGCCGCATGGCTCGCACTCTGCGTCCGCGTCGTTTCAGAAGAACTATTGGAGTTCCCGGAGGAGTGGAATACCTTCGTCAAAGTGATTCATGCCGTTTATATGGGCGGTGAGGCACTGGGTGCGTCGGTGCAGGCGTGGGCATTTGGTGTCATTGCGGTGTTGTTACAGGTGGTGGCGTACAGACCAGTCCGAGAACGTCAAGACAAGTCCGTCCAGAGCGGAGTTGGGAAGGAGGTGTAACAGAGAGGCTCAGATATGGGGGTGGATGAGTTGAGAGCTGGGAGGCGGACTCTGGCCAGCTAAGACGGACTCTTGAACCTGCTTGTTCTCGCTGCCCCAACCCATATTTTCCAGCTCCCGTGCGTGCCTTCTATCAGGAAGCCTCGAGATTGGAAGGTACCTTTAACGATCGCAACATCCTTTGAAGACCGTGTGTCCCAGCCGAACGCCGAGAGAGATTCAGAGGTCCGTTCATAACCCAGTAGCCGTGACTGTGATCTATCATTAGGGATATTCTATCCAGTAATACACGAGAAAGAACTGATACATAACCGATGAATCGATGGGAGAAATAAGACGCACACAGAGTTCAGAAAATGATCCAGAAAACTTCCCATATAATTCTCAACCTCTTTCCGTAGATAATCATCGTTCTCGGATGATCATGAGAGCTTTGGCATGCCGCAGTGAGATGCGTACAGGCGTGCGTTGGATCAAGAACTCACGAAGGGGGTCCAGTAAAGGCCACGACTCACAGAGACTGGAGGAAAAGTAACAAAGTGAAAGCAAAGACTGTGTCGCGCGTTGAGGAGAATCCGAGTAATCAGATGTTCAACCGCAAGACGGTATATCAAATGTGCCAGGCAAGACGGTATATGTAGAGTGTCCAACACAAAAACGGTATCAACTATTCAAGACTAATAAACAAACAAGGTATACATACGATGACACACGGCGATCAAACAATCGATTTTCGCTCCTCCAACATACTTTCACTCTTCATCCCATCGGCTTCACCATCTCCTCCTTTTTCCCATCCACCTCCCCGTCCACCTTCTCCTTCTCACTAACGCCCCCATTCGCCACCAACCCCGTCCCAGGTTTCTCCACCATCGTCAACACCACCTCCTCTCCTCCACCCCCTTCCAATGGCGGCTTCTTCTCCATCAAAATCGCCTGCACAGTATCCAAATTCTCCTTCATCCCATCCACAATAAACTGCACAAAATACGTATGCTCGCCTTCATACGTCTGCATACCCTCCATTCGCGAATTCGTCGAGACGCGCGGTGGATGATGGGCGTTTGGTGATTGATGGTCAAGGTATGCGTAGGTGCAGTGAGATCGTAGGTGTGGTGAGAAGAACAGAGTCAGAATCGTATGCGTAAGGTGGTGAGAGGACAATGGGTCATATGCGGAGGGTATGCGTTAGGGTGGGTGCGTGGGCGGGCGAGAGAAAGATGGCCATCGTATCCACAGGGGACGAAAAGGCAATCCGGGACGAGAGATCGGCGTGGCGGCGAACGACCAACCAGCAACCCAAAAACCCACAACAAAACAAAGCAACCAAAAAAAATAAAAATAAATAATAACAAAAAACAAAAAACAATCAATCAGATCCACATCCTCCTTCCCTCCAAAAAACATTAAGCGCACCTTATTACTAGCAGTATAATAATCAGGCCTCTGAGCCGTCGAAATGGATATCGGCGGGTACCCATATCGTAACAGCGGGAGGGAGGAGAAGAGACGCGAGATCCGACCGTTTCCGTCCTGTTTTAGTTTTAGAAGGGGAGAGAGAGATTTATCAAAAGGAGAGATAGATTTATCAAAAGAAAGAAAGTACGCACATCAAACGGATGACACCTCCCCAAAATCAAATGCATCCAACTCGACGTCGCAAACGGATTTCGCCAGGACTTGATCCATTGCTAAACACCCCGAGTAATATCGAGTTCCCAAAGAAAAATTAAATGTCAGAGTTCCCAAGAAAAAAAAAACAAATGTAAGGGATTTCGGACGTCCCAAGTGGTTCGAACGATAAGAGAATTCAAGCAGTTTGGACGATGAGCCAAGTCGAATAGGTGTCGGACCACGGGAATGTCGAACGACGAGGACAGCGGAGTGCGGTTAGGGCGAATTCAATCCAACGACGGCGAAACCAACAACGACGACGACCAAATCCAACCCAATCCAACACCAACGAGCAAAGTACATATACGTTCCAAAAAACAATCAGGAATCCACCCCCCAAAATACCCAAAAGATAACGAAGCAACGCACCTTGGCCATTCGACAAATATACTCCACCTCCGCGTCCACCTCTTCGAACGGGCAAAACTCGATGCTATAGGCTCCTGATAAAGATCGTCAGCGATGGATACCAAGACTGAGACTGGCTGACGAAACAAAGGCGTAGAGGGGGGAGGTGAGGGGTGAGGGGAATAAGTGGTGCGCGAATACTGAGGTGTTGCGCGAATACTAAGCTGTTGCGCGAATAGGTGTTGCGCGAACAGCTGTTGCAACGAGACCAGCAATGTCACCACTGATCTGACCCCCGCGGTGGGTGCACAGGGCGCGCCCGACACGCAGAGTGACGAAATCCAACGATTCAGATCACAGATCCAAACCTCCCGCCGACCAGTTGACCACAAACCATCCACAGCCCAACCGACCACCCCTTGATATTCACTTCCAAAGCACCCTCCACCGAAGCCACCTCCACTAGGACCTCCTCTCCAAGCCCTTCCCATCCGACCCACCCATCCTACCCAACACACTCCTCACCCTCTCCTCCCAAAGAATACCCCCAAAAAACCACAAACAAGCACTGTAACACATACCTGAAAGCAACACCGTCTTCCTCGTCTCCGTCCTCGTCCTCCCAGGCGGTATATAACTCGACTCTAGATACCCCGCCGTCTGCATCAGCCTCCGATGGACGTCGCAGATGGCTTGTTTGTTGAGGTGCGCCGGTTCGGCGATGAAGGGGGTGAGCATTTCGTAGGCCTGTTTGGGTGGGGTGGGTGGAGGAGGGGGAGGGGGTTAGATAGAGAGGTGAAAGGTGAGGTGTTAGAATTGGATTTTATGTGAGGGGAGTGAGAATGAGAGAGAGAGGGAGAGAGGGAGAGAGAACGATGGGTCGTGAAGGAGGACGAGGGGAAGGGGACGAAAAGGAAGAAAAGGAGAGACGTACAGCAAACGTATCCTCCAGTATAGCCCGTATCTGCGACACATCCTGCACACAACTATGTTCCGTCCACTCGACGACGCCATCCGCGATACCCCGTCTTACAATATCCCGCACCGACTACAATCGAGCAACAGCAAAATCAGACGACGAATAGACACAATGAGTTCCACCACCCAAACCAACAACACGACCAAAAACCAAAACGCACCTCATCAGTCAAACTAAACACACTCTCCACATGATTCGTCTCAATCGCCAGCTTCCTCAAATACGCAGCACGGAACTCGGAGTCGGGCGGGGCGAGATCCTGCCACCGCGTCCTGATCTCGTCGGCTTCGGGGGGCGCAAAGGGGAGTGCCGTCGGGAATCGGTGGGATCGGGTGTCTTTCCATGTTTGGTAGTAGAAGCCTGGTGGGATGGGGTGAGATGAGATGGGTTGGATGGGGATTAGAGATCGGGTGGAGAAGTGGGGAAGAGGGAGGGGGAAGGAGGAGGAGAGGAAGGAGAAATGGAGGGAAGGGAGGGAGGGAGGAGGAGGAATCAAGAGAATCACCAACGTTGACGTGCTTGTTCCAATGCCCTCTGAATCCCCTCTTCCACCATCGCATTCAGCTTCTCGATGTACAGATCCAACCCTGGATCCTCCACGCCCGCCGACAAAAGCAGAGATTGTGCCTAAAAAGAAAAGACCGAACCCGCAATCCGAATCGAGGTTAGATAACCCAATTCTACCGAATCGAAAACACTGAGCGAAAAGCAGGACTGAACAGCTGGAGCGAGAGACCCCATTGCCTCGCGTTAACCACGCACCCCAAGCTCGAAAATGACACCTCTCCATCCTGCATGACATCACAACCAAGAAAAAAACCGTCCTCCCAAAATCGCCCTCCAAGGCCACCCTCCCCATACCACCCTCACCCTCCCAAAAACCAACACCAAAAATAAACCAAAGAACTCACCTCCCTACACAAATTCAACGCAATACACCTCGACCCCATCCGATGCGCCAACAACGCAAGCCTCACAATCAAATACGGCTGCACCTTGGGATCATGGTACGTCTCGATCATGAGCTCATAAAACGAGAATTTGGCTTGGAGGCTCCGCGGTCCTTCGCCGTTGTCGAGGTGTTGGAGGCGTTGGCGGTGCTCGGGGGAGACGTCGAGGGGGATTTCCTGTGGTAGTAAGGTGGGGGTGGGGTGGTAAGTAGGTTGGGGTGCGGTAGCGGTGTTAGGTAGGTGGTGGGGTGGTAAGTAGGTTGGGGTGCGGTAGTGGTGTTAGGTAGGTGGTGGGGTGGTGGGGTGGGGTGGTGTTAGTTAGGGAAGATTTGGTAGCGGAGAGGGCCTGCAGACGTACGAGTAGAGATTGGGATTGGAACGTTGGGTGGTGTTCCTCGGGCGACATTAGAAAGGACGTGGATGAGTATCGTCGGATTCGAATTCAGTGGACGTGTACTTGGACGTGGATCGAGTCGATATGTCCGCGCGTAGAATTCTCTTTGAGTAGACCAGGACTCTCGGATTCAGTCGATTCAGCGGACTCGGATTCGGTCGATCCAGCAGATTCGCGTCCAAATCGATCCAGCAAATTCGGACTCTCCAGTCGATTGAGGGTATTTTGAGGAGCAACGGATTCGGATTGAGCGAACGTGGATTTTTGGATAGGATTCGGATTGAGCGAAACGTGGATTTTGGATAGACTGGATTTGGGTTCTGTCGATGTAAGCTGAACGGTGGAAGTATGATACTAGGATTGGAGAGAGTCGCCAAATTAGCCCAACCCAGGCCCCCACATCCATCGTCATAATTGTTCGAGCCCACGTGCATTTGATCGGACGTCACGCTTGGCACGCTCACGTTCGCGGTCGCGTTTAACTTTCAAGCTTCAGGTGACTGACTCTCTTGACGCGACGCGTGTGTTCTGGCTTGCTCTGTGGGATCTAGCCTCAGTATTCATAGGTTATGTGTATAAGAGAGATGGGATAACGGGGAGGACGTGAATCACAACAATGTGTAGTAGCACAGAGCACAGAACATGATGTCGATCTGTTGAGATAGGGGCTAAACCAAAATACGACCACATAGCACGCTAACAGCCACCGAGCGCCGTTCAGGAACCCTTCATCAAGAGCCACCATCTTCGCTGCGCGTCTCCATGCTGAAGTTGGACAGCTCGTCCCACTGACCTTCTGCAACTTCAGAAAAATCCTTGTTGTATCTATCTTGTATCATACATACCCTCACCGACCACTTCACTCACTCCTCACTCACATTCTTTACATCCCGCTCACTCACATTCCTTACATCCTGACCAACCCACCTTACTACAACAATGTCCCGACGACCCCACCCTCCTTCCCCTTCCTCCCCACCCCTCTTCGTCCTCCTCAGCGCCCTATCCCTCCTCATCCTCCAGCAGGCATGGGGAGCGGAAGCAGCGTTCACGATGCCCGTGTTCTCGGGGAACGACACGGTCGATCTTAACGCTGCTGGGACGTGGTGTTATTATCCCGGTTCCTTCTCCTCCTCTAGCTCCTCTTCGTCCTCCTCTTCCACCACCACCACTATCACCAGTAATACCTCAGATGGAAACCCAAACCCAAACTCAAACGCAAACGCACAGGTAGATGCCGAGCTTCCACCAGACGTCGACTCCACCTGCCCACCCGGCACCCCCAAAGCCGACCTCCTCGCCGTCCTACAGAGGCATTTGAACCAACCACCCGACGACTCGCTTAGTATCGCGTATTATAGTGCCTCGTTGGAGAGGTTGGGTGGGGCTGGGTATCCTTTGGGATGGGCTATTGGTGAGCCTTCCTTCTATTTTTCTGCATTTCCTTGTTATTTTGGTTCTTCTTCCGGATGGCGTGGACTCGGAGTAGTTCTGACTTAACCCTCCTCATTCAAATCCACAGGCTCAAACTCAAATTCAAATTCCGGCTCAGGCTCACCCGACCCCGACTCCCCCACAGACGACCTATCCTCCATCGTAGGCCGCAAAGTTTACTTATGCCTCAGCGGACAGAGGGAGGACGGAACGTATAAGACTATTTGTGAAGTTGCTCGTGGGGATAACCAGTTCGGTTTATTGGATGAACGTGGATTTGAAAGGGAGAGGGAGAGAGAAGGAGAAGGAGGAGAGCAAAAGGCGGTTTGTGCCCTGGCGGTAGGACAGAGGCATGTTTCGGATGGGTGTTATGTCCCTGTTGGGATGAGTGTGGAGGATGACGAGTCGGGTGCGCGTGGGGTTACTGCTGGCAGAGGTATGTCCTATGCTCTGTGATTTATCTTTCTGTTCTATGTTCGATGTTCTACCTTTCTCTTCTATGTTCGATTTATCTCTCTTTCTCTTCTATGTTCGATGTTCTCTCTTTATCTTTTACCTTCACCTTTACCCTCCTGCGTTCGCAGAGGCGGTTTCGACCTCCATTCACCGCGTTCGCGTTCGCGCAGGCTTGCATGCACACGCACACTCCGCACTGACACTGACGCTGACGCTCACATTTCCTTTTTTTATTTTCTCTAGGTTCCTATGTGACGATATTTTCAATGGCAGTCGTGCTATCTGTGGTTGGATGGGTATACGTTCCATGAAGGGTTGTCTTGTCGATGTCGGCCCCTGCTCGTCTGCCTACTGACATGCCTACCGACACATCGACATGCATCTACTTCGCTCCCTTCAACCCTTCAACCAGCTCGCTCCACTATGCACTTTGTTGTCCTCCGCCTTTCTCCTTACACGCGTGGTGTTCTCCGCTCTCCGCCTTCTTTCCCTCTTCTCCCCGTCCGTTTCCCTCCTCTCCCCGCCACTTTCCACACCTACCCAACCCAACCAGCCAACCGGTTGACTGAAGTCTGACACACGTCGCGATCGCGTTCGTACAGCTCCAGCTCCAACGCTCCTTATTCGCTCATTCCGAAAATACCTAAGGACAAGGTAGATTACGCTGTCCGTTGCGTGTTGTTGTTCCATGGAGGATGCTACGTGTTGCGTGTTCCATGCGGCGTGCTACGTGTGCGGTGCTAAATGCCAGTCGATATTCGTTACAACATTTACGATATGTATCATTGGGAACCTATCGGTGTGGTAGCCCGCAGCCCCAGGCCTCTTACAGCATTTCTTATAGCTCCTCGTACGGTATCAGCTTGACAAGCTCTCCGCTATGTAGTAGACTCTCCTCGCCTCCGCTCTATCCTCGTCTACATATCTCCTACTTACTTACGCCATCGGCTTAGATACAAAGACACGTCCCCCCGTCGACAGAACGTCCAACGTATGTAGGAACCAGGGACGGCGACACCACCGTTTGGCAGGGGGGTTTGCACGTTTGAGGCGTGGATTCGTTCACAGGCCTTGTCTTTTATCACCTCCAAGGGTCGTAAACACTCCACAAAACCACCCTTTGTCTCCTGATTTAACCTGATGTCAAGCTGATTGGCGGAATTTATAACCTAATCGGGGCAGATAACGATCAACGATCAACGGAGATGAAAAAGTGTGATGGGACAGCGCGTTACGCGCCCGCCCAGACGAAAGGTTTTTGATTCCGAGCCCGCCGTTTGTCATAAAGCATCTCGGCATGTCATCATTTTTCGTCCTCCGTCTCTCAGGCTTCTGAGCTTTCTCGTTGTTCGTTTTTTCTTGTCATACTTTCCCTTGCGTCCTTATCACCAAGTCTATAGACTTGTCCCGTCACTCTTTTCACCCAAAAAACGCGCCCAACTGCACCTGATATGCAACCATGCATTCAGTTCTACTGTCTTTTCTAAACGCTCTCCCCTTCCTCCTCTCCATCCTCACAACCCTCCCCATCCTTACGACCCCCGCCCAAGCAGCATTCACAGCCCCCATCAGCCGCAACGGCGACTACATCGAGCCCAACGCCGAGGGCACATTCTGCTACTACCCCAAAGCCCTCGATCCCACCTCCATCGACATCGCCTGCCTCGGCGACCCCAAAGGCGATTTCGCCCGCGTCATGGAAGTGCACCTCAACGAAACCACCACGATCAACTACTTCTCCGCCTCCCTCGAGCGTCTCGGAGGCCCGGAGTGGCCCGTCGCCCTCGGCGAAGGCCGCAAGATCTACCTCTGCGTCTCGGGTCGGGCGGGGGACTACACCTACCAAACCATGTGCACGACCGTCGGCCGCGACAATTCGTTGGGCAATGGCGGTCCATCGCCGTATTGCAAGAGGGAGGTGGGCCAGAGGCGGGTAACGGATGGGTGTTATATCCCGAACCAGCCTGTGCCCAGTTTTGTGGCTGCGACGAGTACGAGGAGGCCGGCGATTGTTACTGTTACGAGGGAGGTTGAGGGAGAGGATGGGAGGACTAGTTTGGTTACTAGTTTGAGTCGGAGTGGGGCCTTGCCTGGGGCGTCGCAGAGTTCGCAGACTGTGGAGGACGGTGGGAGTGCGAGTGAGTTATTCGTATTCTTTCTTTTTCGCGTTTGGTTTCCTCTTCCATTCGATTTACCCCTTTCCCATTCTTCCACCGTCCTCGCACCCCTCGTTACTCGTAGCTTCTCGCAAGCCGGGCTTTGAACGTTGAACTTTGAAAGTTTGACTGGCAGATCGGTTTTACTGACTTTTCACCCCTATCCATCCTATCTTTAGGACCAGCGATTTACGGCCTCTTGACATCCTGCATGGCGTTTTTGGTCACGCTCGCTGTTAGACTATGAAAACTATGTATGAATAGAATGGTCTTCTTTCGCGGAATTTGCTGTCGGCGGCGTACCCTGCGCTCTCGACCTATCCGCGCTCTTAACATGCCGGCGCTGTCAACTCGTATACGCTCTCAACCTGTCCGCGCTCTCAATTCATCCCGCTCTCAACCCACCCTCGCTCTCAACCTACCCGAACTACATACATCCTCTCGACACCTTCATTCCATACCTCCATACAGTAACCTCTCATCTCAACAAACTCGCCATACTCATCTCCAAACTCTCCGAACGACACACTTCGACGTATGTCCCCGACAATACCCTCTAATCACACAATCGCATCTGCATCTGCATCTGCATCTGGACTGATTATACACGTCTCTTTTCCTTGCCTCGCGCTCTTCACACCCGCCTTCACCGAGCCAGCGACCGCGCCCGCTCCATGTTCAACGTTCCACGTCCGCTAGCCTGAGTCCCCAAGCACGCTGTGGAAGATCTGGGTATGCACTTGGTCTGGTCAACCCCGCGTTGAGCTGGGGTCTTTTGGTCCTAGAACAGGGTTTGGCTTGACCGGTTTTTGTATGTAGTTCCTGAACGCTGAGCGCGTTTGGGGTATCCGGATGGCGTGTTTCTGCGTCCCTGGTGTACATATCATCACGACGTGTCTCTGCGTCCCTGGTGTACATATCATGACCGCGTGTCTCTGCGTCCTGGTTTGCCTACTATATAGGCCTAACGGCCTCGGCGTCTCTCTGGGCATGGCTCACCATCTCCGCCCCTTCTAATCATCTATCATCTTCTGGACAATGTATGTATACTTATACTCACGGATACTGCGAACCCTTAATTCGTTTTTTGTTTTGTTTCTTTGTTTTTGTAGTTGTTGTTGTTCTTCCAAGATTTTCTTTGAAGATGTTTTTTATAGGTGTTTGGTGCTCGTTGGTGTTGTAACTACGTGGAATGGTTACAGTTTTGAGCTCACCGCCGTCACGGCCTTCTCGAACAACCGACTCGGTATGTACTCATCCCTCTTTCAAGTTGGCGACTCACTCGGCCGTCTAAACGATGTTCAGCATCTGGCATCTTCAGTCATGATCAACCCAACCCACGATAATCGGCATCTTCAGTCAACCCAACCAACGATCTTCAGCATCTTCAGCGAACACATTCGTCGGTCCGCCGTGCAGCTGCACCCAAGGTACGTTCTTCTGGATGCTGTCGGTTACAGTGACGCTCTAGATCTCGTGCGCGGTCTGGCACCACCGCAGCACGGCCCCTCTTAACTGACAACTCATTTTCTCATCCATTTACATACAAGACTATTACTTGGCGCACTGCACTCACTCGGTGTCATCGTTCGATTTACGGTGGCGAAACGCCAGCAGGCGCTGAGGGCCTAGACTTGAACTTGAGCTCGGGTACTGCGCACGAAGGACGGCGTTTTGAGCTCCACAGGAACTGCGCGGCTGATTTCAGGGCGCGGGTGGCTGGATGCTGCGTGTGGGTGGGCGCTGATTGACATCGTCGAGTCCGATTGTCGGCTTTGGGGCGCGAATCCCAGGACATATTGCCTTGGCCTGTGGGCCAGTGTGGCTGCCCAGTCGTGGGCTTCGAAGAGTTCGTTCGTCGTGCCTGGCAGGGGAGGTCCGGCCCTTCAAGCTTCAGCGTCGAATACTTCAGCGTCTGACCACTCAATATGTAAGTACAGAGATCCATGAGTCTCTTTATTGCGGTTTCGCGAGTCCTTACTTCTGAGTCAACTAGTCCGTGCGGTTCGAATTCGTGGCGATATTGTTGGTTGGTCGAGCTCGTTTCCTCGAGGAGGACGAGCTCACCACAGTGGTAGTGATAGATGTTAGTGATTTACACCCTAGATAGTGCCGTTTGGTCATACAATAATACTTAGGGGATGCGTACTTCGATGCGTGATGGACTCTTGAGAGTCACCGATGAGTTTGATTTGGCGTTGTTTATATAGACGCTGGCTGTCGATCCTAAGCGCTTAGGGCCGTCGGGGAGGTCTAAAGCGAGGGAATAGAGAACGCGTGTTTGGTTTTTTTGGTAGTTGAGTATCCGGAGAGCCTGCAGTGGTGGGTATGGAGGAAAACAGGCAGGATTCAGGTTCAAGTTGGGAGGTCGAACAGATCTAATCTTATCTGATGACAATGATTCCACAGACCGCGCCTGACGCCAAATCACCACCATTCATTATGATACAGGGTTAGTTATTAGGTGAGCACAATATAAGCTACAGTTGTTAACAATTCCGGTATACATTAGTCCAATTGATCCATAGAACATATGTCGACAACGTGGATGCCAATTTGAATGGAGAGCAGGCATCACGCTGGTTCCCTCGTCCTCCCTGTTAGCGTCTCATCAGGACCTTCACATTCTACCCTGCTCTCCGTACTACTACCAGAATCCGCCCATCGAAAGGATGGTAGCTCGATACCCGTTGGATGAGAAGCGAGGTCCCTCCCCTGGCCCACATGTGTCCGAATAGCGATAAGTGCAAAGGCGATTCCTGGTTCACACCAAAAACGACGTTAGTACTCAATTGGATTGGTATCGAACGCGAGTAAAACTGCAGCGAGAAACTTACCAACGGTAGGTACGAGTAGTTGCTGTATCATCGCACTCCCCGGGCTCCAAAACGTATGGAACAGAATAAGCAAGAAGACCTGACTCGTATACAGCGCCGCGCTCTCAACGAGGATCCGCACCACAGCTACCAGGGGTATCATCCCCGGCCCAGCAGCAGCTTGCAGCCCCGCATCCACCGACATCCGCCACTGCCAATAAATCTTGTACGAGATCAAGCCCGTGGTGATGACGTTTTGGGCAAAGTAGAGAGGGAAAGTGGCGGTGAGGATGTTATACATGGTGGTGGAGGGCAGGGCGTCGCGGTGGCGGAACCAGTAGATGTTGAGGATGCTGAATGCTAGCGGGATGGTACCCGCGTCAACTTTTGGAATTTGGGAAAGCGGGAAGAAGGTGGTAGGGGGACGTACAGATGCTCCCTAGGAATATCGTAGCTGGTAGGAGGATTACGAGGGGTTTTCGTCCCCAGATTAGGTAGCACCTGTAAATCTTGAGGCCCTCGTCGTCAGTCAGTGGTATTGTAGAGCGACGGAGACATGCGTACAATGAGCATATCTGCGGTACGGTGGATTATAGGAGCTATGATAGTCGTTGCATAGCGTTCCCAGCGGTGCCAGCCTTGAAGCATCTTCACCGTAGTTTCGGGAGTCAGATTCGGGGTGAGGGCGTACGCCATGTTCATCCTGTACGCGTTTATGGCTACGAGGGGGGTTGGAAGGTGAAGGCGGGAACAAGGTGCCGGAAATGAATCGAGCTCACCGTTGTGAAGGACGATCAAAACAAAGATGAGCACGATCCCCCATAGGAATATCCGGGACGAGAATTGATCGGCGGTTTGGCGCTTGAGCATGATGTTAATGGTCGCCGCGAAGAGCGGGAGGTAGACACCTAATATCGAACCATTGAAAGTTGGTTAGTCCCCGGCTTTTTTGAGAACTCGAAGATACGACAAACCAAAAAGAAGCCCCTAAATTCCACAGCGGACGAACAAGATGGAGAATTTTTGTCAACTAGGCTACTCGTCACTCTAGCGAAACTGACGTGGAGAATACCTCAAGCCAGAAGCTTGTCAAATACACGGTGTTGAACTCGCTCCAGTAGGCTTCATCCTGATCTTTGTTCATCCAGAACCCCGGTCTCTCTAAGGTCGGATGCACGGGAGCGGGCCAGTTTCGTTGTCGGAGTGAGAAGTTGGATCGAAGCTTGCAAAGTACAGTGATAGTGCTCGAGGATGTGGGGTCTTGGTGTGGAGTTTTCTCGCCGGCGGCCAAGGAGGGACGTGTCGACGTATGTAAGTGCGTCTCTTTTGTATACGTAGGTGCACCTGGCTTTGAGCTAGTCGGGTTGAAACGTTGAGGGGGTACTTAGCTCGTGCCGCAGTTTGCGATGTATCTATGTATGTACATAAGTTGACAAAACCCGGTACATACAACTCATGATCAAATAGCCTTTCCCTCGCATCGCGGCACATTCTCACCGGTGAATATCTATTGAATTTAAACGAGAAAAAGGCCGGTGGAGACAGGACTGTGCAATGTGCAACCTGGTGAATTGCAATCACCGTGGTCAGCGACCCTCGTGCGAGTGACCTGAATGAGGGGAATAGGCAGCACCTGTGGGAAGTGAATAGGGCGATTCTGACGACTTCTGGCGTTGATTTTCTCGGTCTCCCACATTCTCATTCTCTATGGCGGTTATGTGACATTGATGATGGAAAGTGAGTTTCTATAGCTTCTTACGCTTTATGCCCTATTTTAGTTCCTAGCGGGGACTTTCCCACAGGTAAACCAACTCTAATTAAGCGCTCACATTGATGTAGCTGCATTGGCCTACACGGGATGGTCTTCGGCACTTTCTGGAGGAATTGAATGACATGCATGTGTCACGGGACTAAATGCTCCCACAGGCCAGTGGACTTATGTGCCTCTTGGTCGAAATCTAAATGCGACGCCGCAGAAAGTGCAGAGGTTTTGCGAGAGAAGAACAAAAGTCACTTCTCAATGCTTCAAACAGCACAAAGGCCTCCATCCACGCTCTACCTGTACCTAGGTCCTATCCGCCAACAATGTAAGGCGTTACGTCGGCTTCGGAACAATTTTTTTGCACTGGTACGCCTACTTATCCACAGCAGCCATAAAGGAGGGATTGAATCAGATTCATGCCTCGCTCAAAGGCATTCTATAGGAGGATAGGGCGCTTAATTGGAGGGTCTTGGCCTGACAAGGCATCTCCGAACACCGAAGCGATCTATCAGTGCGATAAGCGCCCAAGTTGCCAAGAGCGCCGTGATTTGTGACAGCTGCGCTGCGGCGGCCGGGAAGATCCGCGCTTTTCGTCAACCAGGAGGCAATTTCGCGTTCTTGCGAATACGAGTCCGCGGGGAGGGAAAAGAGAAATAATCAGGTAAAGGTAGCCGTAATGTGCCAGTTGCTAGGGCACAAGGGGTTGTCAGTCGAATGAACGTTGGCCTGCAGCCAACCAAACTTTCATTGTGATCAGACGCGCTTGCTGTTGTTCCTGCGAGGCTGATAACAATCGCTGTAAAATGTGCACGTTCCAATACCAAAGATGATCGATGAATTAGTGTGTATGTCATGAGGGCGCCCATTGGAGGCAATTCAGAAAACGGGTATAAAGGGAGCCATCGTTATTCGCGTCCCGCTTTGAGTTTCCCTCCCTCCTCAGGCTTTCGCGCCTGCACCTCGTTCTAAGCCAAAATGCGCGGCTTGACGACTTCGGTCGCCCTTTACCTGTTTTCTACTATCTGCCAAGTGGTGGTCGGATACCATAACCCTCTTCTATACCCCCGAGCTCCCTCTTTCGACGAGTATGTGGCACCCCTTATGAACGGCTCTTCGGGAGCGCATTCAGCGTCGACTTTATCCCAATTGCTGGACCCGCTGAGCGCGTTTGGGTTGGAGAAGAGGCAGACGTTTGAGTGCGAAGCTGGGCCTGGTGGTCCGATTTGTTCTGCTACCACGTGTTGTGCGGCTGGGAGACGATGTGTGAGTGTTCATTCAATGTTCATCGTCTGCCATCATTGTTCTGACCCTCCTGATCACAGTGCTATAATGGTGGGGCACCAGTTTCATGCTGTATGACGTCCGAAACGGTATGCTCTCTCGATTCGTACGATGGGCTGCTCTAAAAGTCTACGCTCCCTGATTCGGTAGTGTTACGATGCTGGTAGACGGTGCTGCCCATCTGATGGTGAAACCTGCGTACGTACTCTCGTTCCCTATCGGCATGAAGCCATTCTCATCGCTGCTCTTGCTCGTTTATAGGGAGGAACGACGTGCTGTCAACCCGGGTGATTATTATCTCTTTTCCAACTTTGGAAGTGGAAGAATTTCGACTCACTCTTTGGCGCAGAGCCATTTGTTGCCCGAGTTCGTCCAGCGGATGCTGCATTGGCGGGGCTGTCTGTTGTCGTTCGAGCACTAACCCGTGCTGTCCGGGGGGATCTACTTGCTGTGGGGACACCTGCTGCAGAGAAGGGGAAACTTGCTCAGCGGGCGGGTGTATCAATGAAGGTACGTCGGAAGGGAGGGCCGTCGCGACTGTGTGGATTCTGATCAACCTTGCAGAGTTCATCCGAACGAATCGAGTAGTCCGATTTGCTTACGACGAATTGAGAAATGGAGCTGTAAGCTTTCGCTCTCTTTTGCTTTCATTCGTTCGTTAATAGAAGTCTCACAACCCTTTCATCTCGAAAGCTTCTTCGCAATATGTGTCGCGGTAAGTGGCTACTCTTTCACTTTTCATTAACTCGAAAGGCTGACGGGGATTGGTTATGGTCCTCAGCGACGAGATTCATGAATACTGTCACTCTGGAGTACGCAAAAGCCGAGAACGCGATCCAGAAATCTGAGATCCGTCGGACCGCTTTTATTGGAGGGTGCAGGGACGGATTCTGCGGGGCCGTCACGGAACGAGGCACATGTAACGAGGTGCGTGGCTGGCCCCTAATTTCTAAATGAGTGCATAGCTAACCCATTCATCTCCACATCTTCAGTTCCCTCCAGCAATGACGGACGAAGCTGTCCAAGGCGTCTGGCCGATTTCCCGCCAAGTCATCTCCTGTATTCCTCAGAACCAGAACACATACCAAGGTGCCGTGTTTAACAATATGATTAGGCGCTCGGAGATTGTGCAGGGTCAAGGCTTTGCTTTGGCTATGGATTGTGATGGTGTGAGGACGGCTTTGGATGATGGAATTGGTGCTGATGAAGGGTCGCTGACGGAGACGAGGGAGAATGGTGTATCTGGCGAATGTGGGTGACTCGAAGTTACGAAGGGAGCGAGCTCACTGATAAACATTTCGTTGATATCCAGTGAATGAGTATCCCCCGCTCGAGTTCTTCGATCAGACGACGGGATTGATCGTGGTTGGCTTCGGCGACTTGGGCCCTGGCTCGTAGGTCTTCTCTATTTCCTATCCCTTGAAGCGAAAGATCTCAAAGCTCTCTTAGATACTCAGCCGAGGTGACGATCGACGAAGGCTCCGCTGAAATAGCTTACATCGTTGATAACCTGGGAGACGAACTAGCTGCGTAAGTTCCGTTGCGTCTCGTCCAATGCCTGGCTCCAAAGGTTACTAACTGACGCCAATCTACAGAGTCGCAGATCGTCTCCGAGCAGGAGATACACAGACGCTAACATGGGAAGTCTCTCCCGACGGTGAGCTGATGGGTGTGGGCCTCGTTATCCCCACTCTCGTCAATGGAACAAAGGTCTCTTGGAAGTTCCAGGAGACGGGACCACCCTCCACGACCGGAACTAGAGGCAGGGGTAGCCAGACAACGATTCGGGGTGGGTCGTCGACAGGGTCGCCTGACGATTTCTTTACTGGTGGGGCTTTTCAAATGGTGGTAAATCGTGAGTTTTGGAAGGGTGTGGTGGGGATGGCGGCTTTAGGAGTCGTGTTGGTGTGGATCTAGTTCATCAATTGAACGGAAGCACGACTCGGTCTACTCCCTTTCTGTAAACGATACATATGATTACGATTTCATTGTTAAGTATACCCTCAGGCTACCTAAACGAACCATTTATTATCGACCCAAGTTGGAGTCGACGGGCGCAGAGAGTCTTCCAGAGGTATTGTAATCGCTCACGATCGACCGGGAACCTCATAACCATTTTGAACGAGCGTGACGTGACAAACAGCAAAATTAACCATACCATTGACTAGCGTGACGTGACAACTTGCTACAATTCTGAGGTTTACAGTATCTGTTTTTTCGTGGGTCGTTTCTTCTCAGCGGCGGCGATTCTCGCTGGGAGCCATCCTTGGAGAGATGCGAGAGATCAATCTTGAGTCATACTTCGATCGGTATTATACGATGAGGCACTAGCTTGGCAAACGTCGGGCATCACCAATCAATTCGGGCTGGGCGAGGAGAGGCGGCGGGGTGGCCTCCGTGCACTGAGAGAATATGAGGGGATATATGACCCCGTACCGGCATTTCCAGATGGTAAACCCAAGGTAAGCTTGGGGAGGGTCCTGGGGACGTCGTTCTCATTAGAAAATCCCGGACACTAGCTGGTGGGATATCGCTGTCGCACTGTTTGGTGGCTCAGTAACATTGCTCAGACATATTGCGATTGACCTCAGCAACACGTATGATGTTGACTGGGGGGTCTGGTATACCACTAATTCTCTAATTACCTAGTGATTGCAGGCCTCAAGGGGGACTCGAAGACTCTAGGCGAGCCGACCGCATCAGCGTCGCCGCCGTACAGGCTCCTTTCGGAGGCAGCTGTTCCCAGGATCGTAGAATACCGAACGATACCACATGAAATCCTCTACATGAAAGCACACCGGAAATGACCCAAGAATGTTATGTAATATATTTATGTAAGCCAAAACCCCCACGCCCGTGTACGAGCGCGAGCCCGCCGCTAGGCGGGCGCCAGCGAGTACACCGCGTGGAGGCCGAAGCCCGACCCTAATGTCTATAGGGAGGGAGGGGTCCGGCCCTAGGCCGAAAATACAAAATTCGACCCGCTAGCCGGGATTTTTTTCCCGGGAACCCCTTGTGGTTATCACGAATCTTTGGTGAGACACGCTGATGACTAATCTTTGTGAGACACAGAGGCATCAACCCTCCCCAACTCGAGAACCGCCCTCTTCCGCTCTGCTTCATGGATCCATCCTATAGAGACAAGAGTGAGAGGCGCCAGTCCCTTCCCCTCGTTACGAGTGAAATGTTGATTTGATCCTTGTCTGCAGAGATCATCGAGTTGACCGATGACGAGCTCACTCAGCTTGGGTACCGGGGCGAAAGTGAGTCTCGCTTCTTCTTTACCCGTGACATACGCAGTGCTCATGTCTCGTTAATCGCTACTTACGGCTCATCTTGTAGATGTTCCCCCGGATCTGAAGCATATCGTCGACATGGCGAAGGAACATCCTACGTACATGGGCTGTACGTCTCTCCATTCCTGCTTTTATCATCCCTGTTACTCACCCACGCATTTATTTATTTGTATCTTCATCGCAGTCGTGACCTGCTCCATGGCCGACTTGTTCAAATCCGAGAGGCGATATCGATCCTCTTCTCCTCCCACTCCTCCCGCTCCTCCGATGGAGAAACTCTACTCGGAATTGATCAACGACCCGGACGCTCGCACCGTCCTTCCCCCTGACCTTCTCTCCAAGTACGAGAAGGCCATGTGGTATCATGGCCTTTCCAGCAGTCCTCCCCAGCTCTTATATCGCTCCGATTTGGAGGGAAACCCCTTCCCCATCCCCCCGCCTGGCACCGCCTTTGAGAAAGTCCCGTACAAGATTGCTCATGGCGTGTTTGATACGCCGTTGAATCGTGTATGGGGGTCGGTTGCTCCACAGATCATCGGGTTGTTGAAGGATCGGGGTGTCAAGGTCACGACGCTGAACGTAGCTCGGTTCGAGACTGTCGAGACCATCGAGACCGCCATTGAAGACGGCGAGGGCGGCGAGACCACCGAGGGCGACGAGCGAGGAGAGGGAGGCGCAGAGGGGATTCTTGAAGGCCGTCGTGGTCGTCTCGGCCCTCCCGTTGTCTGGATCGCGGTTAAACCCGACACGACTGACGCTAGAGGCGTGCGCGATGCTACAACCGACATTCTGCGTATTCTCGCTGATGCGCAGGTTACGGATGTTGTGGTTGAGTGGTATGAGGCGGAGATTATGCGCTTGGTCGATCTGCCCCGGGGGGCTCGAGGTTGATGGTCCTGAATCATCCCTTCGACACCTGGCAGGTCCAGGCTTCTCTTCAAGGAGGCGAACACGAGCAGCGGGGACGTTCGTTCTGAAGTTAACTCCGATGTAGGAAAGAACAATGAAAATAGCCATGTTTGTTTGCTTGAACACCGTGGTCCAGCTACGGAAATAAAAATCTGACGGAAGGATGGACGCAGTGAGGCACAGGGGCATCGCGATTGTAAGATGCTGGTGGGATTAAGCGCCCATGAACTTCAGCGTGCGAACACGCTGACACGTACGATCAAACGCGTGCCACTAATTTGACCACGAGGATTCATTGTTCTGTGCCACTCGATGGCTTCAGATAAAAATGGGTTCCTTTCATTCGGCTTCCTTCCTCCTCGCCATAACACTCTGCTCTTGCCACTCAGGACTGAACGATATCCTCGAGACTCGATTACGACCTCATTTGGAACAGCTGAATCGACATGGCATTGGGCGCTATAGGCGGTTCCAAGCCCGGTCGAGGTGGGTGCTCAATGGGTGCTAGCCGTTTTATTCGTTGAAAGATATGGCTGACCTTGCGATAGGCAATACTCCATGGAAGAACCAGGGAAAGACGCGAGAAGGCGCTGAACTAGAGAGTGCCAAAGCAATCGTGAAGGCCCTATCCTCTGAAGTAAATCTTCTTCCTTGGCTCTGCTTTAGCATGGAGCTTACGACGATTCCACAGCGCCAGCCACCCAAACGAACTTTTAGAACGCCTCTTGATCTTCTCAACTACATCGCTCTCATTCGTAGCCCGCTCTACGAATCGAAAAGCGGGGCTACTAGTCCCTCGACGATCCTCAAGGACCCTGAGACCGCCCACCGCCACATCTTCAGTGGCTGGCCACGCGCTCCTCCCCTTCCCAAAAAATCAAAGGACGGAAAACTCTGCGACGAAGACATGAAACGCGTTCTCCGACCCGAGAGTAGCGTCGCCGGAAAGGTGGCAGGCAACGCGCAGCAGATCTGGGGTGAATCGTTGTTCGACTTGTACCAGACGTGGAGGATTCCTGGGGTGGAGAGCTACATTACGTGGACTAGTGGGAGCAAGATGGCGAGGTGGATTGAGAAGTATGGGAGTAAGGAGGATAAGGAGGTCGCTGAAGATGCTTTGGAGTGGGCGAGAGACGTTGAGGGAGACCCGAGGATTTTGTTTCCCAAGGATGTGAGGGAGGCGGCTAGGGAGTGGGAGAAGAAGGTTGAGTGGGGTGAAGGAAATGCTCCGGTATGTCTAGAGGTTATCTTGGACAAGCGTGTCCTAACGGCTACTAGCCTTTCTCGGGGCCACGTCCTCCCAAACTACAGCATCGAATCATGTTGCATCGTCTCCCGAAACGGTTGATTGTACACGATCCCTACGACCTACTCGGCGCGGATGAGACGCATTTTCGTAAACTCCGTGCGGCCAAAGCTACGTGGCCAGGGAGTACAGGTAGCGCTCCCACATTCAACACATCGAACGCTCGTTCGGACCCTCCTCCCTCGACTCCCGCTCCGAGCACAGGCCCCACCACGGAAGTGAAAGATAAGACTTATGTCTACAATCTTCATCTCTCCAAAGCGGGCCGTCGCAAGCGCGACGCAGAGCTCGCCACCCTCTCCCAACAACGGGCACGAATCCGTGAGCTCGTTCAAGCTGTCCGCGATCGACCTCACACCGACGCCGTCAGAGCTCTCCTCAAAGAAGTCCGATGCGGTTTCGTTATACCGCACTTTGATCTTGTAGATCAGGGCGAGAAGATCGATGAGGTGGTGGCGAGGAAGGGAGGGAAGGTCGAGGATGAGAAATGGATTTTTGTGATGTATGGGTTGCCGGTGTGGTTGAAGGATGACGATGCAACGGACTCGGAGAAGGACGAGACGAAGAAGGACGACACCTCGACCTCGACCTCCATAAACGACGACGAAACAGCCCACCTCTACCTTTCACCCTCGCACCCCCTAGGGGTAGGCCACCACTCCATCGTATACGACGCCGAATGGGACCTCCCGCGCTCAACTCTATTCGACGGGTCCATCCTCCCTCCTCCCACGACACTCCCAGACGAAGTCGCCACCGTCCCCATCATCAGCATGGGTACTAGTACCACTAAAGGCGTTGTGTGCGGGCAGATTGGCGGAACGAGAGCGGCGGGTGTGGGTAAGGCCGATGAGCCCGTGGACGAGAGGCATGCGCGGGCGTTTAGAGGGCTGCCGGGGTATGGAGGGACGAGGGGGTACAGCGCGTTTGGGAGGGAGAAGGATGGTTTCAAGGCTGCACATGCACCTGCGTCTGCGTCTGGGAGTGTTGGTGGACGGGAAGAGGAGGTGTATGGAGATGGTGCTGGTGGAGTTGACCATATCTTTGATTGCGATCCTGTTGCGGGTGAGATGGAACCCTGTGTGGATGGGAAGGATGAGTGGGTTGTGTGTAAGGCTTGTGTTGGAGAGCGGGTGCGGGTATGGGAGGAAGAAAAAATTAAGGAGAAAGAGACCGGTTCGGCGTCGAAGGGGATGGGTAAAGAGAGAGCTGAAGAAAAGGGGTACCTCGAACTCATCAACACACCCGCCCGCGAGCCTGTGTACATGCCATTTGATTCTCCTCCTCCAAGTCCTTCAAGCCCTTCAAGCCCATTACCCTCGAACGAAACCAAAACAACAAAATCAGTCTACGTCCTCGACCCTGGCGCCCTACCTACATCCTCCATCCGATACACAGGACCGCTGGAGTTGATCGATACCGGGGTGGAGTGGGTCGATTTGAGGGATCCGGGGGCGTGCGAGCATCTGCGGAGTGTTGGGAGGAGGCGGTGGGGTGGGGACGAGGACGAGGACGGGGAGGGTGGTGGTGGGTGGCGGTTTGTTGCGAGGGTTGGTGAGTCTGGTGGTGAGTCTGGTGGTGAGGACAAGGATGGGGACGTGCATGCCGGCGAGCAAGAGAAGATGGAGGTTGAGTTCGAACACGGCCCAGAGAACAAGGAAGGCAGCTCGAGACACGTCGACGAAGCGGATGAGTCAATGAAGGGTATCCGCCTGTTTGCACCGGGCACGGTCCCGAAGGGAGCGGTGGTGCTTGGGAAGATCTTCGTGAAGGTTGATGAAGTAAGAGGTGGTGGACTGGATGAGGAGGCGAAGATGCAGGCGGAGGCGGGCCTTTCCCGGAAAGGTGAGCGACTTCTTTCGGTATGGTTTACCTCGAATGAAACCCGTCGCGCCACTTCACTGTCTATCTTCATTCTTTTCAATCTGTCTCTGTAACCCTCATTGACCACCGTCACCAGACCCTCGTCCAACGCACGTCCGAACGCGCCTTACTGCCAAGCTCTCACTCGAACACGACGATCATCTAGAGAAGGAGGCGGAGAACTATGAGAGTTTCCCTGGGTCTTTTTTTGAACGGTGCGTATGGCTTTTGTTCCTCCCTTGAAGGACGACAGGTCAGCTGACTTCGCTATGCCAACATTCCTACCCCCCATTCGTGATGTCAATCTTGACCCAACTTGAATCGTGGTAACGCGACCATCGTCCAACAGTTGGAACGGTTTTAACATTCTCAAAGGCATGCACCACCCTGTCCCGGCTGGCGCGATCGTCCCGCAGTACTGGGGCTACTGGGTGGAGGACCGCAAGGACAATGAGAGACATGCAGAAGAGTCCAGTGAAGGGGAGACTCGGAAATACCGAAGTCCGATCATGCTTCTCGAGCATTGTGGACGACAGATTGATATTGATGGGTTGAGTATTGATGATCGGTGCGTTCGTTCTCCGAGTCGTTCTCGTACACCAGACAGAATAATGCTAATTGCCTATTTTTTATTACTGCAGTCGTGAGTGTGCTTCACTGTTTTATCGGATGCACCACCAGGGGTGGCTTCATCACTCGCCGTACCCGAGGAATGTTTTGGTGCAAGAGGATAATCTTGAGGCTGGGACGTACCCGCTCCAGCTCTCGGCGGAGGAGGAGGGGGATGTGAAGACGAGAGTTCTCCTTGAACAGTTTAAGAATGGGACGTTTGACCCGTTCGATCCGTTGGGGAATGGAGCTCCTCCAGGTTAGTATCCCTAGATCAACTAAGTTCTTCCACATGGTCGATACTCCATACCAACATACTAACATGAACCGTAACCGCAGGTTCAGGCCGCCTCGAACTCGTCTCTCTCAGTCAAACGGGTGAGTCGAAGAGTGATGTTGAAGAGAACAACCGAGCCCTCCGTCTGTATCGAAGGTACCTACGTGAATGCCGACTCGCGCGCCCGCGGAGGAGTTTTAGGGTTATTGATTTTGGGAGGAGTGAGGATCTAGGGGAGGGTGGGGGGTTCGAAGGGAGTGGAGGCGGTGGAGGCGGGTATGGGACGGGTGGACCGTTGAGTATGGAGGAGGAGAAGAGGGTTATGGAGTTGTTTAAGGTTGGGCCTGGGTTTGGGTAGTGTTGAAGGTTAATTGACTGTGGACGCAGCACGCTGTACGAGTCGTGCCTGCTTTCTGTTTGTACTCGATAAATGTCTGGAATGTATTAGGTTATCCTGCGACCAGGGAATCTGCGAATTGAGGTGACACGACGACTCGGAGCATGAAAGGAGGAGACAACGTGTTGTAGTATGTATCAATGAAGTAACAACTTACCTTCGTGACTCTTACTTTCCTCCCATCTTATCTACATTCCTGTTTCTTACCCTTATAAACAAACCCATATCTCAGTGACGACTTCACGACTTTGTACATACGCTTGACTTTATCACAATGTTTGTTACTATTTATCCTAGAAGGCCTCGCCTTCATCTTGACTGTGTTTGTTCTTATTTAACTTACACGGTTTCACCTTCGACACCTTGACTTTCCCAGCGCCCTCTGGAAGCGCTCGGAAAGTATGAGAACATCGTAGTGAGTTCTGTATCACTCTAGGTAGAAACCATAACAATATAATAGATCGCCCTTCGACTAAAGGACGACACCTTTTTCTAACTTCAAACTTGACTTGCCCTTGAGTAAGAATACCGTACGGCTTCGCGCTACGGATTTGAGTTTGAGAATAGAAATCGATTACCTCAGCATTTACTTCGCTTCGTGAAACTACGCTCAGTGAGACTCTTGATTACAACTACGACTATTCATTATTGTATCACAACTGTAAGCTGGTAAGGTTCTATTGAATTAAGTTGAGTTGTCTTACTGTCTTCACCCCGAAGACACCAACGTTTCGACACCTCTCAACATTGGTGGACAAATCCGGAACCTTACGTCAGTTTACGGAGATACGTCCCAACGCGTGTTCATCGCGCCCATCACACTCGACCCACCACGATTTCGCGAGTGACCGTTCGATCAGTATTATTCGATCTGCACCGCCACGACTGGGCATGGGAACAGCGGCGGCCACAAGCCCCGCACATCGTCCTCCGGGCTTGCCCTCACCGCTCCTCCCCGTCGCTTACGGTGGGACTAGAGATGGACGATGAGCGGGGGGGAAGACCCCACCCCAACCGCGGATCAAAGGGGTATGTATGGCGGTGTTTGTCTGGGCCATCAGGCACCACTGTAGCCACTCTCCTCCTAAGTAAGGTCTTCGACGTTCGTCGAACAAGGTACGCATAGTCCGTGATGAAGATTGAACTACAGTAGATATGTATTTTGAATATAGCAATATTATCCAACCTCATAGAACTCCCGAATTCACGCAGTGCAGGTCTTGGTTGTAAGTGCCTGCCCTAAAGTGCCGCAGTTAAGCGCCCATTGCGCATGAAAATCACTCATGCTGTTCCATGGCTCTCGTGCTTATGAGGCATGCTACGCCTCAATACCAAGAAAACTGACATTATCATGGGTGGTGTGCCAACTTGAAGTGGCACTTACCAGAGTGGCTCAGGCCAATTGAACAGAATTCCGAGTGGCCAATGGTGGCTAATTAACCATTTCTTCCTCGAGTGCGAGCACTGAGGATGTCCGCTCCTTTAGAACCTCGAAGAGATGACGAGGTAGATATTCAGTCAGAGATATATCAGCTAGCTCAGATGCTTTCTGCACGTCCCAACTCATCCGAACCGATCTTGGCACCAGTCCAAATCCGCCACTCGTTAATTTCTGTCCTCGAATTTCTCCAGCAATCACTACCTCAGTCTACTTTACACCCAGCCATATCAGGCACTATTGCAGAGCCAGACTCTCGTATATCAACTACAGTCCCTCCCTCAATCTCTACTGTCAATCAACAATCAACCAGCTCGATACTTGAATCCACTAATCACCAACCTTCACTCACTCCGGAGCCCTCGGACATTCTGAACAACGTCAAAATTAATCGTAAGACGACCATCGGGGTTGTCTACAAGTTTGACCAGCCGGGAGTCTTGATTGAATACCCAAAGACATCTCCTGAAAGGGTCGGGTACTTACTGCGAATGAATCCCCTCAAGTGGGACAATCCGACCCATAATTTTGCGTACTCTCTCGGATACCCAATGTCGTGGAGATCGACGAAGTCGATTCAGGACAACAACCCCTTGCTCACCGATGGGAATGGGAATCATGTCCGCTTCTATGTCTCGCATACAACCTGTAAGTCATAGTATATCGCATTTCCATTGATTCTTGAACCTCCATCTCACATGTTATTGTTCAACTTTTTTCCTAGGTCAAGGAATCAAGATATGTCCTTATTCCGACAGAGAAAAGCTCTCACAGCCGCACAGAGAGGCTTCTCGCGAGGTAATTTCTTAAATTATCCCGGGTGGACAAATCAATAACCAGACCTTATCGTTAAGCTTTTGAAGGCTCGGTTGGAAGAAACTCGCTCATTTTTGGGTGGCACCAGCACCGTAGACACCAAAGGTCTTCGTTCAGAGCTCATACACCGAACACTTGCCTACTGCCATACACTCCGAACACATGGATGCTTTATGCCCAGTGCCACCCAGTCTGATATCATGAACATAGAATCTGCTTCGATCACAACCGATGATTTCCGCTCCCAAGTTGAAAAGGGGAGGCGTGGTCACCTGCCTCGTCCGACCTGTGGGGGAGACTTGGTGTTTGATCAGGACTCAAAAGGGAACTTCTATGTACGGTATGTACCCAAATAATACTTGAAATCGCATTAACTCTAATAAATTTTAATACAGATGCCAGTTCTATGCCCCTGATCAAGACCGTGATCATTTCGTCGATCACAGTCCTTCGAACGGACTGTATGATCTCGGTTATCTTCGAGCCCTCTTTGACAATGATACAGAGGCTATTGAAGAGATGGAAGACGACTTGTTTATATCTGACATGTCGTTCGCAGGATTTGATCACTGTAACTTCATTCAGAACTGCTCAAGCGTTAGAGTTAACAAAGATTGAATAGAAACACCTACAGGGAGTACCCAGATAATCCAGAGCCATCCCAGTGGACTATGGCTTCGCTGTTCAGACTATGGATAGTGCGGGTGAGGGGACGGTAAACAGGAACATTCTTGAGTTCGTCATCGGGCTTGTGCGTGGGGGCAAAATTCAAGCGAGAAAAGACAGTAGGCATTGTTGTGAGAACGAGAGACTGAGGTGAGAATAGGTGGACGTCGAAGGTGAAGTGGAACGAGAGACGAGAGTGGGCGGAAATGGAAACGAGTGGCTATGGTGAGGAAAGGATTCTGAAGACGACGTGTCCACTCGAGACCATTTAAATCCACTGGACCTTGAGTGCCACTCCGATACTTTTTTCCCTTTCCTTTGTTCTGCTTGCACAATCGGACTCGGACCTTCAGCTCACGAGGCCCATGTCTCTAAGCAATGGTTGTTTTTGAAAAGGTTCTATGTGACCTTTGAACAACCGTTAAGTTCAAACCTCAGAGCCTAGCCCCGGCCCCCAGGGTGTCTTCCCCTCATGGGCGCTTATTTGGAACCCATTGATGCGATATGATATACCGACGTGCTGGTTGTATTCCTACACTGATAATTCTAGACCGAGAGCGAAGCGACGGTGATTTGCATCAGTATAGTCGGTCGCTGCTCTGGTCCTCTGGATCAAAGAGCGGGCTAGGCGTCCTTGTCCTCTCCCGCGCCCAGCCGTGCCTGAATCGAATAATACTGATCGTAGTATGACTCACGATTTCGCCAATCAACCCTTTCACCACCTCGCCTATCACCTCTTTCATCCTCTGAAAGAGAACCCACCATCACCAACTATCAAATCCTGTTCCCTTGTTCCCGGTAATCTAGCGAGCATCCACCCTTTCCTCTCTTCGGCAACTTCCTGGCAAACATCTCCTACACTCAGTACTTCAGCTTCATGTCCGAACCGACCACGGGTAAACGGTCCTCGAAGTCCGGTTCCAAGAAGAGCTCGGGAACCAAGGGTGATTCCGACTCCCAAGCTCCTCCTGGTAGCCCCGCTAAGACGGAACCAAAGTCTACCCCGGCATCACTGTCTGGTTCGAATCAGGACGACGAATTCGATCTTGACCTTAAGCCTATGACGGATCTTAAGACAAACGAGCCAGTCTCCAACCCCAAACCCGACTCGCAGCGAAATGAACCGAGCGGTGATTTGCCAATCATCCCACTCGGATTGGTAGGTCAACCGCTACAGGCGCCTAAAAACTGGGCTGATCATTTGGTTCCAATCTTGTCTCCCTTCATCGGAAGCTACAGTCGTAACGCACCTCAAATCAAAGATGTCATCAGTTCTACCGAGTATGCCTCGCGAATCGAGGACGGCTTAACTTTAGGAGAAGAGTACTACCGGGGAAGTCTACTCCGGGTAAGTCATTCGCGACATCCTACACGATCGGAAATACGTACGAGTTTCAGAGAGGAGTACGACATGCTCAACGACTTTCTGACCAACGTTTTCCAATGCCCTACGGAATCAGGGAATGGATATTGTATCGATCGGAGTAAGTTGGTCCGTTTGAACACCCGTTGGCTTCAACTGAGAAATCTCTTCACCGATGAACTGCTGATGACAGGTTTGAACTGTTCAGCACCTCGTTGGGGACCTTATGGGTCTGCGACGGACATCTGGAGTGCGAACGACTTCGAAGTGCTAGCGATCTGCTATCGACACGAAGTCGAGTCATTCCTTTCTCGGATCCTGGATGCCCGAAAGGAACATGAGACCATCGTATCAAACGCTGGTGACCTCACTCGACTCGGGATTAAGCAGGAGCTTACGGGCGAAATGGGCGAAGGAAGGAAAGAGGGTGCGTCTCTGAAGTCTCCCTTTACCTTCAAACCATCGCGAGAGCTCACTAGCACTCCCAGAGAGGAAGGAGCTACCAGGAACGTCGCTCTCGAAACACCAAAATCGATGCGACAACCGCCTTCGACGACTCCGAAAACCGACGACCCGTTTGGTAAGAAGTCACGTATCACTTACGACACAGACACTGCCGAAGGAAGAACCATTCCTCCTAACTTCAGGACCAGAATGATGAGCGAAGACCCCTTCTTCAGAGGGGCACCAGCTCAGACTTCCAGTTCGCGTAAGTTCCAGGAGCTCTTTGGTTCACCTACTGACGATCGACTTTCGAATACCGGGAGTAAGAACCCGTTTAGGCGAAACGCTTATCGAAACCATTCCGAGGACGAAGACCATCGAAACGAACCTGAACACGAAGGAGAAGGCGACAATCCGCCTCCGTCGATCAATCGTTTCAATGGAAGGAGTGGCGGAGGGCAACCAGGAGATAGCAGCGACAGTAGCAGCAACGACGAAAGACGCCCGAACCGAGACGAACGAAGAGACCCGTTCAGGAGAGCCCGAAGAGAAGGGCGTGAATTCCACAGACGATCGGATGTCGAAGACAGGTTCGTACAATCAACGCGATCGGTTCCAGAGCCGCAGTTTGACACCAAACTCAAGGTAGACATTATCCCATCATGGGATGGGTCTCCAGAGACTCTGGTGCGCTGGATCACCAAGGTAAATCGTCTTTCCGCGAAATCGAAGACGGTTCATCAGCAGCTAGGCAATTTAGTCCCAGGGCGCTTTACAGGGAGCGCCGAAACGTGGTACTTCAGTCTTCCGCTTCGAACCCGCGAAGGGTACGAGCAGAACTGGACGACTCTGCGAAATGGGATTGCTAACTACTACATGAACAGGTCTTTCATCGAAAAGCAGAAACGACGAGCTGATCGAGCTCATTATCGACAAGCGGCTACACCAGGGAGACGCCCAGTGAGTACTTCATCAGGAAGGTCGAGTTATTGGAGTTCTCTTACAACTATTCGGATAGCGAGATGATCACTGAGATCATGAACGGAGCGCCGACCATCTGGACAAGCGTTCTCACCCCTCACCTATTCAATAAGTTGGTTGAATTCCAACACACTCTTCGATTCCACGAAGACCACCTACTGGCTCTGAACGCACGAGTAACGAGGTACGACGAACCCCTACCTTGGAAACGAGACCACGGCTCACGAAATCCTTTCGAATCTTTCAAGAGCGTTCGAACGAACCTTATCGGAGCGAGCAACAAGCTGCCAGCACCACCATTCCCTAAGGACGACAACAACGTCTCAAAGAGGAAGACCCCGGAAAGTTTAGGCGTGCGGCCTTGCAGGCACTGCGGAAGCGCAAAGCACTGGGACAACGAGTGTAAGTACGCACGACGAGCCCAGAAGATCGCACGAACTAACTTAGCTATGGCAGAAGAAGAGGACGAACTCGCTAACCAAGAATACGACGACGCGTATTTTGGATTGGATAGCGAAGATGAAGGGGATCAAACGGGTTTTTAAGGGACCCTCCGGTTGACGAGCTAGAACCGGGGGGTGGATCTCTTCAAGCTCTTGTAGCGACGAAGTCCATGTCCGTAATCACGAACCCATTTTTTAAACCCGACAATCCTTATCACCTTCAAGCGCTTAACCGAAAGGCTCGCGCAGCTATTAACCGAAAGATCAAGCGTAAGCTCTTCAGGGAAGTCTCGTTATCGTCCTTCCTAGCTAGTGGGAAGGTAGACGATAAGGAACGATTAATCGAACTCTTACCAGTTTCTCCTAAGCCTCCAGGGTGTGCATTTCTAGGGTCGAAGGCTACCGAAGTCAAAACACGCTTGGGCTCATTGGACGAATCGGAAGTATCGACTACTATTGACACAGGATCCGATATTACCCTCATATCGAGTGAAACCATCCTCAGAATGAAGAGCAGACCCAAAATACGTACAGGACAGCGAATCAAACTTGTCCAAGTGACTGGTAACGCCGTCATAACCGGGTACGTAACTCTGAAGGTTTACTTCGAAACCGAGGAAGGACCAGTGGTCATAACAGTGGAAGCGTATGTCGTTCGAGGAATGTCAGTCCCTTTCCTCATAGGGAACGACTTCAGCGAGCAATACTCGCTTTCGGTACTTCGATCGAACGGAGCGACGACTCTCATCCTAGGCGATTCGGGAAGGAAGATCTCGGTTACCGATAACCCCGTGTTCGCTCTCAAGGACTGTCAGGGACAAACCTGCAAGGTAACCGTCGATCCTCAAGTCTCGCAGAACAATTCCAAGGCAAGAGCAGCAAAGCGACGAAGGGTTCGATTGAAAGCAGCAGCAGCAGAAGTCCATACTCGCGTAACAGTGGTCATCCCTGCAGGAACCACCAAGCGAGTCCCTATCGTAATCCATAAGCAGTTCACTCTGCAAAGCGTCGAACCGTTCCTGGAGCGGGGAGCCGTCTATCGTGATTCAGGGAAGGAAGATCTTCTCTTTGGATGGACGGACACCTTGATAAACAAGGATAGTCCCAGTGTTCTGCTGTCGAACTTCTCATCCGAGCCAATCGTCGTTGAAGAAGCAACATACCTTGGGAAATTGGAAGACGCTACTCTCTGCCTGGAAAGGGAATGTGATTTATCCGAAAAGGAAAAGAAGCAACGAATTTGTCATTCGCGTCTCATTTCCAGCCTGGTGAATCAGGAACTGGAGGCTCAAGCTTCAAGCCTGCTTAACCAAACTATCTGGAAAGATCCCACTCACAACGAGGATGTCCTTACGGATGAAACACTATCGCGACCAGTCGAAGGAGGACCGAAGACAGCAGAAGTTCCTCCGCTAGACGTTCCATCAAGGGAATTCTTGGAAGTCGTGGACCTAGCGCCCGAGCTAAGCGCTCAAGAGCGCCAACGTCTGATCGAAGTATTGTGGAGAAACAAGGACGCGTTTGCTCTGGACGGTAAACTGGGAAATTACGAGGAAGAAGTGACAGTTCCTATGAAGGAAGGATCAAAACCGGTGTCCCTACCTCCTTTCCCCATGTCTCCAGCTAACCGCGCAGTCATCGACGAACAAATGGATAAATGGATGAAACTTGACGTCATCGAACCATCAAAGAGTCCTTGGGCAGCGCCGGTATTCATCGTTTATCGGAACGCTAAACCGCGCATGGTTATCGACCTAAGAAAGCTCAACGAGAGCGTAGTCCCCGACGAGCATCCTATCCCGAGGCAGGAGGAAATTCTTCAGTCCTTGCAAGGCTGTAAGTACTTGTCTTCGCTCGACGCCTTGGCAGGATTTACTCAACTCAGCATCCATGAAGACGACAGGGAGAAACTCGCGTTTCGAACGCATCGAGGACTGTTCCAGTTCAAACGGATGCCCTTTGGGTATCGGAACGGGCCTGCCGTATTCCAAAGAGTGATGCAGAATGTGCTATCCCCTTATCTTTGGCTGTTCACCCTGGTCTATATTGACGATATCGTTATCTACTCAAAGACGTTCGACGAGCACTTAGCGCATGTTGATCTGGTTTTGAAGGCAATCATGGAGTCGAAACTCACGCTGTCACCGGATAAATGCCACTTCGGGTATGGATCTATCCTACTACTGGGTCAGAAAGTCTCTAGACTCGGACTGTCGACGCATAAGGAGAAGGTTCAGAGCATCTTGGACCTGGAAACACCAAAGAATGTGAAAACCTTGCAAACCTTCTTGGGCATGATGGTTTACTTCTCCTCTTACATCCCGTTTTACTCGTGGATCGCACACCCTTTATTTCAGCTGTTGAAAAAAGGAACAAAGTGGGAATGGAAGGCCGAGCATCAAAACGCGTTCGAGCTCTGCAAGGAAGTACTCACCGAAGCACCCGTGCGCGCTCACGCCATGCCTGGAAGACCCTACCGAGTCTACTCAGATGCTTGTGACTTCGGATTGGCGGCCATCCTTCAACAGGTACAGCCGGTCGAGATAAGAGATTTACGAGGGACAAGGACGTACGACCGATTGAGGAAAGCGTTCGACAAAGGAGAAAAGGTTCCAGTTTTGGCGCAAACCATATCCAAAGACGTCAAGGATGTGCCCGAAGATGTCTGGGCCAGCGACTTCGAGAGCACCACCGTCCATATCGAACGAGTAATCGCCTATTGGTCAAGGGTTCTACAATCGGCAGAAAGGAACTACTCTCCGACGGAGAGAGAAGCTCTAGCACTGAAAGAAGGGCTGGTGAAGTTCCAAGTATATCTGGAGGGAGAAAAGGTACTCGCCATCACAGATCACGCCGCCCTCCAGTGGAGTCGAACCTTCCAAAACGTAAATCGTCGGCTCTTGAGTTGGGGATTGGTGTTTTCGGCCTTCCCAAACATGACGATCGTCCATCGACCAGGAAGGGTGCACTCGAACGTTGATCCAATATCCCGACTTCGCAGGCGCATACCCGATCAATTGAGCCCGAACGTTACAGAGAACAAAGGACTCACGTTGAACGAGTCGGATGGGCCAATGAAAGACATGTATGAAGCGTTATGTCCGAAACTCGAGGAGAAAGTCCTCTCTCTGATGACCCAATGCTTAGAAACAGAAGAGCTCGAGGACGTATCCCAGAGCTCCGAACCCATTCGACTCACTGTTAGCACTTCAAAAGGGGAAGAAATCAACTCCAGACTCGAACGGGCAGCTCGGAATCACTCACTTCTCATTTCCGTGGACCCTACAGAGCTTACACGATGGAAGGAGGCGTACTCAACGGATTCTCATTTCACCAAAATCCTGAATCATCTTCAAGAGAACGACCCAGTCACCAACCAGAGGTATGCTCAAAGTGATGAGGGGCTACTCTACTTCAACGATAATCTCGGAAACAATCGACTGTGCGTCCCAAGCTCGCTTGTCAACGAAATCATGAGCGAAATTCACGATAGAAAGACCGAAGGGGCTCACGGAGGATACTTCAAGACCTACAACCGTGTTGGAAGCACTTACTACTGGCCCGGAATGTCACGAACAATCAAACGATGGGTGGAGACGTGCGATGTTTGTCAGAAGACGAAGCCTAGACGACACGGACCTGTCGGGCACCTCCAATCCATCCCTATCCCTACTCGGCCCTTCGAAACTCTTACTATGGATTTCATTCCAGATCTACCAACAACACCCAACGGCTTCAACAACGTATTTGTAGTCGTCGATAAACTCACCAAATATGGTTTCTTCATCCCAACCACAACAACTCTCGACGACGAAGATAGCGCTCGACTCCTAACCAACGAAGTCCTCCTCAAATACGGTCTACCAAGGCAAATCATTTCCGACAGAGATCCCCGATGGACTAGCGGATTTTGGAAAGAAATATGCCGATTACTGGGCGTTAAACGGGCGCTTACTACTGCCTACCATCCTCAAAGCGACGGACAAACCGAGATCATGAACCAATATCTCGAGATCGCGATCCGAGCTTACATCACGCCAAATCGAACCAACTGGGATGAACTACTCAAACACCTAGCCTTCTCATACAACACCTCCGTTCACACAGCTACAGGGTTCTCCCCTTTCTACTTACTCCATGGATTCCATCCTGCAACCGAAAGCTCGCTTATGCACGCCAAGGAAGGAATTGAAAGACCAGGGGAATCACTCAGCGCCACCGACGAACGAGCTCAGGGATTCGCGGAAGCTTTTGCAGCAGAAAGGCATCGCGCTCAGGAGGCCTTAGCACTCGCTCAACTGTCTCAACAACGGGATTATAACAAGGGAAGACTTGCTAAGGAATTCGAAGTGGGAGATCTGGTAGTGATCAACCGCGACTCGCTCGAGCTCGGAAGAACAGTAAAGGGCAGAGGGAAAAAGTTGGACCCTAAATACGAAGGACCCTTTGAAATCCTGGAAAAGATAAGTGCCGTCGCTTACCGATTACGGATGCCGGTGTCCTATGGAATCCATCCCGTACTTAACATCGCCCACCTGGAGAAGTACGAAAAGTCGCCGACGGAACTAGGGCCAAGAACGAAATTGCGTAAACTCCGAGCAGACTTTGACCAACTGGAAGAAGTCGAAGTGGAAAGAATCGTGGACGAACGAACACGCAAAGTAGGAAGCCGACAAGTCAAAGAGTATAGAGTCCGGTACGCAGGGTTCCCGCCGGATCACGATGAGTGGATGAGAGAACGTGGTCTGAAAAACGCGCCCCAAGTCCTGAGAGATTGGGAAGAAGAGCGACGAAGAATGAAGAACAAGATAGCCGACCAGACAAAGAACGAGAAACGTTTAAAAGGAAGACGAGGAGGAGGAAAGAGAGCATCAGTCCAGCCGTCTTCGACCTGATCTAGCTGCCTTATCAACGCTCAAAGCCCTCTCGCTATAACCCTATCTCCCTCACCCTTCCTTATTCGCATTCCCCAACTCGAATCATCATGCCCGCCATCACTCAATACGACCCCGCTCTTCCCCTTTTCCAACCAATCGGCAGAACCAACAACAACATTACCATTAACCCTATTGCATGCCCTGTCTACCGCAAACTGTCACACGATGATTTCCTTCTCGCCGTCGACGCCAACGGGACAGAAACTGCATGTATTCGACAGGAGACCGCTGTCTCTTTATGGACGACTCTCAAGGACATCGGGCTTGCAATCAACAAGGCCGGAAACCCTGGACGAAACGAAGCGGTTCACCTTCTCAATCAGTACTACGAAATCCCGCACTACAAATTCGACCGACTCGGATTACAGCGCCCGCTCATTCTCGATCTCGTCCGACCCAACCTTCATAACATCTTCAACCCGCTTTACGCTTGGGGACCCAAGGAGTACCTGACCAAGACCTACCAGGCTCTGCAGATCGTCGGGAGGGTAGCCCTTCGTTGGATCGACGACGCCAAGAAGGTCTGCCAAGAACTCGGACCCGATTGCGGATGGGACTGGGAGGAGGGAAACGAGATCGAGGAGGAAGCGCCACCCATGCCCATTCAAGCCCACCCCCTTAATCCCTACAACGACCTCACCACTCGGGACCCACGGGTACGACCCTACCCAGCGCGCCAAGAAATCCGAAACTCGACCAACCGCGATCTGATTCTTCACCCAACCGCCTCCTCAGCTGCCCGTGCTAACATGCAGATCGTCGTGCATCCCAACCGATCCAACGCCGCCCGCGCCAATAACAGTGTCACCATTTATCGACGCGGCAACAGAATGGCAAGAGCCAGCGCTTACTCGACCGACGGATCAGAGTACGTCATTCGCAACGGGAAACAGACCAACACCAACTTCTGAGGTGAATCAATGCTCGGAAAGTGGGGGGGGTATGTTGTAGTATGTATCAATGAAGTAACAACTTACCTTCGTGACTCTTACTTTCCTCCCATCTTATCTACATTCCTGTTTCTTACCCTTATAAACAAACCCATATCTCAGTGACGACTTCACGACTTTGTACATACGCTTGACTTTATCACAATGTTTGTTACTATTTATCCTAGAAGGCCTCGCCTTCATCTTGACTGTGTTTGTTCTTATTTAACTTACACGGTTTCACCTTCGACACCTTGACTTTCCCAGCGCCCTCTGGAAGCGCTCGGAAAGTATGAGAACATCGTAGTGAGTTCTGTATCACTCTAGGTAGAAACCATAACAATATAATAGATCGCCCTTCGACTAAAGGACGACACCTTTTTCTAACTTCAAACTTGACTTGCCCTTGAGTAAGAATACCGTACGGCTTCGCGCTACGGATTTGAGTTTGAGAATAGAAATCGATTACCTCAGCATTTACTTCGCTTCGTGAAACTACGCTCAGTGAGACTCTTGATTACAACTACGACTATTCATTATTGTATCACAACTGTAAGCTGGTAAGGTTCTATTGAATTAAGTTGAGTTGTCTTACTGTCTTCACCCCGAAGACACCAACGTTTCGACACCTCTCAACACAACGATGGGCTAAGTCTTTATGCGTAACATCAGGCGATGCCAGAAATAGTCCGTCATGGAGTGTGAAATCTGTCTACCTATGAATTAGAGGTAATCGCCTTCGTAAACCTTACAGTCCTCCAACAATCGTCCCCACCGACCGCCACTCCATTTACTGATCTCCTTCCACTCCTCGCTCTCCTGTCCTAAGACCTTGGTAACCCACATCAAATGGGCGGCCACAAGGAAGTCGGCGAAGCATGGCGCATCGCCCATGACCCATTTCCTCAAAGTGCCTTCCGAGCCCACCTCCACATCCTCGTCCGAGTCACCGAACCACCTCCCAAAGACCTTCCACACGTCTTTCACTTTCGACCATTCCTCCACCCTCTTCTCACCCTTCGGCACCGCCTCCTCTAGGGTCGTCCCAAACCACGCTTCCCTCGTCGCTCGGAAGTACGGCTTGCTTTCTTCCTTCACCACTTTGATCGTGAGGGGAATTACGAACTGATAGAGGGGCATGACGTCCTTGGTGAACGCATGGACGAAGGCTCGGATGAGACCTTCCGTTCCAGGTGGAATGAGGCGGGGAGCGGAAGGGTACTGCTGTTCGAGATACTCGGCGATGACGAGCGATTCAGAGACGACGCGCTTGGTGGAAGGGTCGTAGATGACGGGTAATGTCCAGATATCCCCGCCGTCTGGCTTTTTGATCGTGGGTTTCGCACCGATTTGGGCACAGAGAGATTGTACTTGGATAAAATCGACCCAGTCGGTGACGAATGGGAGCTTTTTGAAGTTGAGTGCGTATCTGGATGGAATTTTAGTTTCGTTGTTGAAACCGTAAGATGAAAAGAGTACAAACCGAACCTTCCAAGTTGAAGGCGAGAACGCATGTCCTGGTGCCTCCGAGTACAAGTCGAAGAGCGTGATTTTAGTTTGGTCGAGATCTTCTAGTTTCATGGCGCCCAGTCAAGTCAAAAGTGCTCAAGTCGAGTTATGGGGGTGGCTCCATGGTTTTCAGTCGATTTTATATACTCTTCCTGTGATACACATCTCATCGCTCCTCAAGCGCCAACGGCTCCGTGATAGAAGAGTCATTTGCAAAGTAGAGAGTCAGTCCGGGCCCGATAGAACCAGTCGGATCGATAGGCATCGGATGCAGAAAGCCTCCACGTGGCGCAGAGTCAAAACATAGTCTGAGCGGGGATGATACGAGTACTCTATTCTAAGCGCTCGCTGCTGGCGCCGTGGGCGAGCCGAATGGAGTGGCGGTGCTAGTGAGTCGGCCCGTGGAAGCCGTGCTGATCCGAGTACAATGCCCTGGCAGCGCCAGGAATCGCCCGAGGCAGGAAGCCGGTCAGCGACAATCCGAGTGGGTGAACGGCAAAACTACCAACACTGGCTTCGAAAAGTGGGATCACACTTCGCGGAGATCCCTTCACAGGGGAAATATCACTGTCTCAGTGTGCGACAAAAGAATGCAACAAAACGCCGACTCTTTCAAACTTCATTGTTTTCGACCACTCTTCCTCCTTCATATGCCTTCTCCCCGAAGTTCTACCAGAGCCATATCTTCTCATTCGCTCCGTGAGCCAATTGAGGCGCTTGTACTAGCCCGCTGCTGGTACACCAAGCCATTGGAAAACGCATAAACTAAGGGTTGATGTATGGAGGCATCCTATAGATGATTTGGACGGCGTCGATCAGCGACATTCGATCGAGGGCAACACAAAGAGCCAATCCGCTTACCTGCTTCTCGTTTTGCACGCTTCCAGGAAGCTGAAAAGCACCGGTGAGGTAACGTTACCGTCGGCAAAAGGACGATCCACATGCGTTGACAAAGATAACTGCCAGGGGTATTAGTGTGGGCACCCGGAGACTAAAGCTCGGAGAGACATACCTGGTACTGCCTCACGTTAGATTCCTCCCCACGATAATACAACAAAAGCCATCCATGCCTCTTCGCCCTCCGAAGCTCGACCGACTAGAAGCACTGGCGCAAGTCATTTGACTTGATTCACCCTGTCGTTGGAAAGTCCGAGTTCCTTGTCCAAAGCCACCTGCGTCACTCCCAAGAGTAAAGGCAGGAAAACGAGTCTGAAAATTCAATGATTTCGCTTGCTGTCGAACGACGTTAGAGGGAAATGAACATACCAAGCCGGAATGATATGCCGTTGAGCGGCGATATCGGGAGAACCACCCTTTCGAAGGGAACATGGGTGGTTCGTGAACGAAGGAGGGCCTGTGCGCAGAACACACCGTACCATCGAGTACGATATAAATAAGCTCGTGTTGCTTCAACAATTCCCAATTCGAAGGATAACTCACCCTTTCGAGTTCCCCACCTCTCGAGGTCAGTCCAGCGTAGCGCAATCCACTCGAAACAATGCGACTCTTTACCTCCCTCGTAACCCTCCTCACGCTCTACGTCTCCTTGGCGGTTTCCACCCCTCTACTCGCGCCCCGAAAGGCGTGCGACCCCAACGCTCGAGGGCCATTGTTGAGGTTGAGGCAGGAAGCGGCAATCAAAGATTTCGCAGAGATCTTCCTCATCGAGAAGAATCCTCAGAAAGTCTTCGACAAATACATTCCTGGGTGCGTCTAGAGCATATCTCCTCTAGTCTCCGAGGCCTAATAGTGGTTTCTCTTACCAGCGAGTACATCCAACACAACCCCGACGCCCTTTCTGGTCGCCAACCAGCCATCGACTTCCTCAAGGATCTCTGGTCGACGCCTGGTATCCGCTTCGCCAACATTTCGGCGTGGGCTGGTGAAGGATTTGGGATGATGCACTATAGGATGACAGCGCCTGATTTTGACTACGCTGTCATGGATAGGTGGGCCAACTCTACTGAGACTTGTTCCTCGAGTGAAGCGCTGACGGTGATGGTTCTTAGGTTGCGGTTCAAGGGAACGTGCTTCAACGAGCACTGGGACGTCCTGCAAAGGATTTATGGCAACGAGACCAATCCAATTGCATTCTTCTAAGTTAGACCCACGAAATCATCAATACTACTGATTAGACTGTGTCGAATGAACGGAAACCACAATGCTACATAGGATTGTCCCATATCTACTGGGTCAGCGGGGGGGAAAATATCACCATTGTTTACGGTGTACCTGGGGCAGCTGGGGTCCTTGCCTCCCTCAAGGTGAAAGGCCCAGCTGGCCACCAGTGTATATACCCAGCGGAACTAAGCCCTCTCCGACGACGTACCCCAGCTCTGGGTCGACCACAGTGGCGCACCGCCAGGGCTCCCGCGATTGTTTGCCAAGGACCACTGCTTGTTTGCAACCAGTGGATAATCTATTTGACACTGTTATGCACCATCTTCCACCGTTTATTCGGTCCGCGTTTGTTTACCTAGGACCACTGCTTGTTTGTAGCCTGTTAGCCTTCGGCTTCTGCAGACCATATTTAATTGGCATTGTTATGTATCATCCTCTGGCCGCGTCCGGACCGAAGCAAGGGGCTTGCTCCGAACCTAGGCTCAGCGTGCGCCGAACCTCGCGCTAATTAGTTCGTGCGTATCCGCAGTTACAGACACTTGTCCACCCACACCCCCACACACGCGCTTGATCTGTGAAGATATACACTAGATACCCCTCACAATGTATCGACTGTCGACGCACAGGCCCGCCCAAAATGTTTCCGTACAGGCCCCAGAATCTTTCGGGCCTCGGCGCCTCGACCCCAGCCAGGCTATGCCATTCAAAGGTTATTTCTAACGGCCCAACTGGGGTCGACTACTGAATGACCTCAACCCAGCTCTGGTTATCGACCTGAAAACTTGACGCCTGGCCCAGCTGCTGTTCAGTTTGCAGCAAGGTGCGATCAATCCCTCAGTACTTTGACCCCAGCTCGGCTATGCCACACATGGATTACCTCTAATGCCCCAGATAGGGTCCACTTCTGTTCAACGGCATCCCAGCTGTGGCTACCAACCCAAGGACCTTGACGCGTGGCCCAGCTGGGGTTCGTGTCGCACCAAGGAGCGATCAATCTCCCTGGACTTTGACCCCAGCTCGGCTATCTAACGCATCGATTATCTCCGATGTCCCAGCTGGGGTCTACTTCTGTTCAATGGTATCCCAGCTGTGGCTACCAACCCAAGGACCTTGACGCGTGGCCCAGCTGGGGTTCGTGTCGCACCAAGGAGCGATCAATCTCCCTGGACTTTGACCCCAGCTCGGCTATCTAACGCATCGATTACCTCTGATGCCCCAGCTGGGGTCTACTTCTGTTCAACGGCATCCCAGCTGTGGCTACCAACCCGAGGGCCTTGACGCGTGGCCCAGCTGGGGTTCGTGTCGCACCAAGGAGCGATCAATCTCCCTGGACTTTGACCCCAGCTCGGCTATCTAACGCATCGATTATCTCCGATGCCCCAGCTGGGGTCTACTTCTGTTCAACGGCATCCCAGCTGTGGCTACCAACCCGAGGGCCTTGACGCGTGGCCCAGCTGGGGTTCGTGTCGCACCAAGGAGCGATCAATCTCCCTGGACTTCGACCCCAGCTCGGCTATCTAACGCATCGATTATCTCCGATGCCCCAGCTGGGGTCTACTTCTGTTCAACGGCATCCCAGCTGTGGCTACCAACCCGAGGGCCTTGACGCGTGGCCCAGCTGGGGTTCGTGTCGCACCAAGGAGCGATCAATCTCCCTGGACTTCGACCCCAGCTCGGCTATCTAACGCATCGATTACCTCTGATGCCCCAGCTGGGGTCCGTTCCTGCTACACAGAATCCCAGCCGTGGCTACGTAACGTCCAATCACTATATGATAGATCAAATACATCAGCAAATATCACGGCATCCACATCACGCAAATCCTCGACACGGGTTTCCTGCCAACTGGGAAACGACAGCGCACCCAGTAACACACATGTTATGTGATTACATCCCAATTCTAAGCCACATTTGAAATTCGCCTGGTATGACGCTTTCGTCAATATGGTCGGCTGTTGACGACAAGGGTTAAATCTGGTTAAAGGGTCATGCGATAAGGATGGGAAGAATTCCCATGCGTGTTCGGGTGACGCTCCGATGCCAGATGGGGCAGGAGCATGGGGACCCGATCGGATCACACTGGGCGTACGCCTGTATAGCACCCACCCCAGCTGGGATGACCGTCGAGGGGTGTGAGCCAGATGTCCCAGCTGCGACCGTTCCGCCTAAATGACAACCCAGCTGGGACGGCGGCATAAATCCACCGCTCAATTAGCACAGCTGGGACCCGTTTTACAATCCCACCCTAGCTGGGATAGTCCACCAATATGTCAAATCACTTTTCGCAGCTTGGCGACATTTTCCACACGTTGGAACATACTGGTGATTACATATTTGTCGCCCATATAAGACCACGAAGGAAAACGGACATCTGTGATTTTTCCCCCCACTTCCACATCAGCCATGTCATCCGAGACCACTACCCCCCAGGCCCCTCCTTCCCCCAAATTGATAACTTACCTCTACGAGTTCTGGGAGTATGTCAGCTCTATCGAACGCTGGCCCGAAGCGTACCACGCTCATAACAAAAAAGACGTGATGTCTCTCTCGGTAAGCTTCCTTTATTTGGTTTCATTTATCTCACTCACTCACCCGAGCCGTAACAGAGGCGGATTTTTATGCTGTCCACCCAGGAGAAGTATCGAGACCCCAAGTATATTGGGGAATCGATATGGGACTGGTGGCGGATCGCCAGCACCTATATCACCTCCCCAGAAACCTGCCCCCTCGCAAGCATCGCGGTCGCAGCACAAAGCAAGCCTCCCCTCCTTGCTGATCACCCTCGTCCTCCCAACCTCGTTAACTATGTCGAGAACCAGATCCGCAAGGAAGAGGAAGCAAAACGCAAGGCTGCCGCTGCCCAGGTGAAGACTGCTGAAGCCCCGATCGCCCCCCCTCCGGCCAAACCCAAGAAGGCGGCAGCGAAGAAGGCCTCCAAGAAACGCGCTACCTCTGAGGCTGGCGACGACCCCCCTCCAACCAAGAAGCCCAAGGCATCAGTGCCTGGCACCAACAAGGTCTGGGTCTTGCTTTATTGCTATCGATCAATTTACCTACGAATAAGCTAGGCTGGCACCGTGACGACGGCTCTGAACACCGATGTCCAAGTCCCTAAGGAGGAAACGGCGGCCTCTATGGTAAGTCACAATTGATACTGTGTTTGGGTGCCATCACTGAAACTTTCATCGCTCTGATCCAGTCCGGGGCCCATGAGAGTAAGCCCAAAGTCTCTTCACTGGTTGAGCAACTGGGAGGCGGCTTCCGCAGCGTCAACGACCTCCCTACGGGTGATGTGCGTCACGATCTTCTAGCATTTCAGCGTCAACAACGAGACCATATCCCCAAGGTCAATGAAGCACTTGCTAAATACGAGACGATGCTCGACTACTGCACCAGGGAAAGGGAGGAGCGGCTCAAGTCTCAGAACCAGTTTCAAGCCTACGTGCGGCACGCGAACATGACGACAGAAACCCACGAGTCCCACTTCACCTCCATCTTTTCACGCCTCGGCAGATTGGAAGACCGCGACAACGTCTTAACTCGCATGTTTGCTGAGTTAACAGCTATCAAGCAACATCTGAAGGTGAGTTTTCAAGCTATTACATTGACTGCGACTGATACGCTTCCCGCTCCCAGTCTCCTAATCGCACAGATCCGTTCGACGATTCCCTGATTGTGAACGCCTTCGATTCTACATTCCCTGCGATGGGAGCCTCCTTAGCGCTCGCACACCCAGGGCCGTCCCAAGGCCACATCAGCGGTGCATCGCAGGCGTCTCAGTCTTCTACCTCTATCGCCTATAACACCTTCACAAACTCGTCTGGAACTACGCGGCCCCCTCAAGCGTCACAAAACCCCCCTATCCCTGCGCCATCGATCTTTGGTACCTTCTCTGACTCTACTGCAGTTTCGCACCCCTCGACTGGAGTTCCGCCGCCCCCACAAGCCTCCCATTCGACCACCTCCGATCGTGCCCCTTTGGGCCGCGATTCCTTCAGTAACTCCCCTTCCATGTCTCCCATCTTCAACACCTATACCAACCCCCCTAATCCCAACGCATCCAACACCTTCACCAACCCAGACTCCGGTGTTTCAACCACACATCCCTACAGCGTACAAGGGAGTATGGACACCATGTCCGCGACCTCACGTAGCAACGATTCAGTACATCAGCTTCCTCCTTTGCCTGAATTCAAGGATGAATGTAACGATACCCCTGATACTCAATAGGCGTCATTTATTCCGTATTATTTTTAACTAGTTCTAATTTATTGTACTTCAACAAGATCCCTGCTTTCTTTACTGCTGACGTTGATATGTGGGTTTCATATGTGAGACGACCTATCTGTGACTATGAAAGTGACCTGACCCCCGCTGGGGTATCGCCTTTGGGGACCAGGTTTATGGCCCAGCTGTCGTGATCGTGAAATCGAATGGTCCCCAGCTGGGCAATCACCTTTTGGGATATGTGGAGTCGACCCAGCTGTGGTGACCATCAAATTGAACTGACCCCAGATGGGCTTTCACCTTCGTGGATTAGGTCTATGGCCCAGCTGGGGCTCGTGGGTGCCATCAGAAAAGATCGACATATGTACCACCCAGCCGTCTTGAACGGTCGATCAGTACCGAAAAACTATGCTTCATACCAGATACCATATGGCCAAGAGATGTATTCTAATCACGTAGTTACATGCATTACAAAACCAAAAAAAAAGCGACAAAAAGGGTGTAATTGCACATTCTAGCCACAAGACCGACGCACGATAAGGGCCCACTGGACGATTACTTCCCCGATCGTTTCCGAGAAACCACCGGTAACTCGTCATCGCGGCGCCGTTTTGACCTGCGAGTTTGTCTGGGTGAATCGACCTCCTCTTCCACAACATTCAGACCGACTAGCATCCGTGGGCGTCCACGGCTGCGAGTTGTCGAAGGGGGCGGCTGTGGTTGGTTCCGGATAGGCGACAAGTCACCAAAGTGGTCTAGCGATGGAGACGGGGACCGCGGGGGGAGACCATTGGTGCCCAGTGTGGTCAGGTGTGCGCCGGAGGGTGAGGGTGACCGAAGGGGGCGGGTTAACACAGGGGAGAAAGGCGGCTGAGACCCGAACTGGGAGAATTCAGGCGACGGTGACCGTGTCGGGCGATCATCGCCCGAACGATCTGGATGGTGGTCAGGCAATATACCACGGCCGCCAAAGTTAAAACCGTCCGGGATAACCGGGGAAGGGGATCTCGCAGCAGGTACCACGGGAGGAGGTGTGTGAACATCGAACCGGTCACAGAAAAACGGTGAAGGCGAACGGAATCCGGTAGACACCAAAGTTTCGGTGGGAGGCGATGGAGAACGATCTACAAACACTGTCAGATAAAGCTGTAAGAGATTGAACAAAGAGTTACCTGGTCGTAGTAAGAGGTAGTCGATGTGTCCTCCTGGACCTTCATCGTCCGATGTGGTCACCATCCTTTTCTTGGGCTTCTCGGCATCCACGAACATATATCCCGTAAAGTTGTTTGCAGTCGTAGGACCCTCGTAGCACCTCAATGGAATTTGATCGAAGCAGAAGTCATGGTAAATTTCGGGGTCCTGCTGGCGTGCGTAGAGATGGTCGTACACCTTCCTGAGGTTCGTGGCACTCATCTTGCATGGATCGTGGAACACGTCGGCAAGCCTCTTCGGAAGGTACTCGGTGCTGATACACCGAGAGACATGTTCCTTGAGGGCCGTCCAGGGCACACGGGGTCGCACGAAGTCGAGAGGAACAGATTCTGGAAGAGGATCGTCACCTTTGGCGATGACTGTCGCCAAGAGTGTTAGATCGGGCGATGAGAATGGACAGAGCACCCACCGAAATGCCGAGTGAAAAAGCTGCGAAGCTGGTTGGCACGCCACACCGCGGGTTCAATTCCACGAGGCTTGGTTGAGAAAGCGGGGAGGATCGGGGTGCCGTCGGTGTAAAGGTCCATCGGCTCGAGCTGCTTGTACTTGGAAAACACGGCCTTCGTGGCGGGTGCGTTGGGGTCAGCGTCCTCTTGGTTGTCGAAGACGTTTCCAACCCAATTGCACCAGTCGTTCAGGAGACTTTTGACTTGGGAAGAGTACGCCTGACTGAAGGATTCGTCGCAGCCGCCCAGTTCCTTGTTGAGATCGACGTCCGCCCCAATTCGCGTCCCGTCAGGCTTTTCGTAGCCGATAAACATAAACACTCGAGCGTTCATGTCGTTCAGAAGCGCGACGACGAAGTCCAGGCAGCGTGACCTCAGCAGGCGCTCAGCAACCCTGATATCAGGAAGTTAGTTGGCGAAGTATGTTCCACTTGCTACGGGGTACGCACTTTCGTCGCTCAGATAGCGGAGGCCCCTGGGACAGCCACTCCGTGCAGATCGCCTCGTAGTGACACCTCTCCGCAGTCGTGGTCACCTCCCAGAGTTGAGTCGTAGCTGTTTGGTACTTGTCGAAAGGACGTACGATCTTCTTCTGACCTTCGACAGACTCCAATTCTTCCCATTCCACATCGTCTTCGCTAGGGATGTAGTCGAGATCGAAGGAACCAGCAGGGATGATGGTCTCGGGGGATTCCAGCAAAGTACGCAGGTTGGGGGTGGGCTTCTGGTTCACAATCAACTTGGCGAGATACATGATGGTTTGTGAATGGTGGTACTGGAATACAAGGCGAGTGGTCCAGCGAATACCCCAAGGCCTGCGCTGAGGGCCCCTGACAGTGTGAAGATTTCGCTGGATGTACCCCTCGATCGCCTAAAACACGGTGTAAAGAATCAGCATATCGAATCCAGTCTTGACAGTCCATCGCACTCACCGCCTTTAGATCCGAAGCAGCCTGGCGAGACATAGGCTCCCCCTTGATCACCTCTCGTTCTCCCTTAAGAGTACGCAAGCATTGTTCCAAGATGGCCGCCTTGCCAGTCTTCCCTTTGGCGTCACGATAATCCTCGAGCTTTGAACCCAAGTACGCGACCTCCGTTGCTCTGAGATGGACGACCTCGGGATTGGTGGCAAATTGGGCGCTGGACATTTGGAGCAAGACCATCGAGAAAGGTAGGAAAAGTTTGTGATTGGTGGTGGAAGGGAGGGAGAGGAAAGGGGTGTCGCAAAAGAAAAAGGTCGCGGAGCATTTCAACCTGGCGGGGTCAATATACCAAATGTGTACTGTCAGATACCGAGATCGCAGCCCCGATCACGTCAGTGTCCACTTGATGTTTAGTTCAACTCGGCGATCGAAGCGCCCCTGTACTCCAACGACAACCATCATGGCGATTGGGAAAGGTCAGATAGCTGGATCAGGCAGCACCTCCAAAGTTCAGGCTATGCACGGGCGCCTGTTCACTAACAAGCGCTCGAAGAAAATCCAACTTATACCGGCACTTCCGTCGCCCAAGAAGCCGCCGCCATCCCCACCCAAGAGGAAACAAAAGATCTCATTCCAGCCCGCTGCCGTCGAGCAAGGCGAATTTGTACAGATTCAGCGAAATATACAGAGTTCAGCCAACGCGAATCGGTCAAAGGTATCACCTGTTAAGCTTACAACGAAACATGATCTCTCATCGCTAGTCCTGTAGGATTCAAACGACTATATGGCCGAATGGATTCCAAAGGTCCGCGCCTACCTTAGCCATATCGTTGGACGGGAGGCTTCCCCTACCGTCCGTACCTGCTCAAGGTGCTACACGAACGAATCCCCGACATGGTGGCGTTGTAAAGAGTGTCTAGGGACTCCGCTTTTCTGTCACCTCTGCTCTGGCGACGCGCATATGGAAGCACCTTTCCACAGAGTAGAGACCCTAGAGAACGGCTTTTTCCTGTCTTCGTGGCTCTGGCAATGCGGGGTAGTCGTCGATCTGTGCCCTAATAAAAAGTGCAGCGATTCCGTGCATCAATCCGACATGGAGGAATCTGGCGACGAGTTAAATGATCCAGAGCGAGACTGGTTTGACACCGACGATTTCACCTTCGGCGCTCGGCCCCAGGGACGATACCATCGAGGCAACCGTGTCCTTGTTTTTGTCCATACAAACGGAGTACACCACCTACCCGTTCACTTCTGCTTGTGCGACAATGCTCCTGGTGAAGAATTCCAACTTCTCTCCTTCGGTTTCTATCCAGCAACGTCGAGAAACGTCAGAACAGTGTTCACGTTTCCTTTGCTCGACGACTACCTCCTTCAAACTTTGGAGTGCTTCACATCTACCCACCACTTCTTCACCAAACTCCGTCGCATCACCAACGAGCCATTTCCAGCTACAGTCCCTGTACGTACCAAACCCGATTGCTCTGATGCTTCCTTGCCACTTAACCATGTTTCTTCAGGACAGAACTAGGGAGCTGAGACGTGTTGGGCGCCAATGGAGGCGCCTAAAGGAACTCAAGCGGAGTGGGTTTTCTCACGTGGATCGTGCTCCGGGGAAAGGCGAACTCGCACTATTTTGTGCAGCGTGTCCACAGCCGGGTGTTAATCTACCGCCTAACTGGAAGGATGACCCCGAGCAATGGAAATTCACGCGAAGTTTCGTCGCCGATGGTAACTTCACATGTATCCATCGAAGGCTGCGCACTCCGGAGGACTCAGATGTCTCGCTGAAGGATGGAGAGGGATATATCACGGAGAAAACATCTTACGCAAAGCATTTGGCGACGTCTACAGAAACAACGGAGGTAGGCATCGAAGATACTGGATTACCTGTTCGTATAACTGATGTCCCTGTCAAGCCCCCGACGTGTCACGAACATCGGGCAATCGCCGACAAGTCCAGGCTGAGGAAAGGCCTTGACGTGACAGGCATTGGAGCCATCGCCTGCATGCGACATGGAGCGTTTGCTCCAGGCAGTGTCGTCGACTTCCAGAAAGGGGAAAGGTATGGACTTTCGTTGTCACTTACTCCAGAGTAGTCAGAGCTGATCGCCCGAAGGCACATCAACATGGATTACGCCCTCTCGGAGGCGCTGAAGCTTACCGTTTCAGACGAAATATCAAAGGTCCTCTTTGTTTACGATATTAACTGCCAGTACAGCAAACACCTTCTCAAACGCCTGCGAGAAGGGGAGTTTCTCACTCTCCGTGAGGACCTCGTATTTGTTCATGGCATTGGACTATTCCACGTACATGGGCACCAGGAGTCGTGCCATGCGCGTTACTCCTTGACCTTCATCGAAGGGGCTGGGGTGTCGTCAGGCGAGATCCTTGAATCGCTTTGGGCTGTCGTGAACGAGGTGGCCCGAGCAACCTCGACCATGTCGCTCGCACATCGCACAGAGGTTCTGGACGCCATCCTTGGTGATATTAATTGGAAGAAGTTAATCCAACTTGGTGAGAAGCCTGTTGACCGAGTCTTCGTTTATGCTGACCTTATTTCAAGTACCAACAACTTGCAAGAACTGGCTCAACTGTCGGATACAGCTGAGCGATGCTCGCGAGGCGTTTGAACTTCTAAATGAGACCGCAACCCCTGAACAACGAGCGAGGTGGAAGGAGGAGCTGGACGAGGCGCAAAGGAACAGGCTCAATGACGTCTCCAGCATGGACATCCTAAACCCCAAGATTAACAAACGTAGGTCCTTCCTTCTAGGCCGATTATTCTAGGAGCCTTACTTCGCTTGAGCCCCCACTATGGCCAAGGTGCGCACCAACCTAATGGAAAAGGAGAAACAGATGGGCGCCGGAATCGGCGTAACGTCCTGGATTGCCTTTGGTATAAAAATACAACAGGCTCAGTAAGTATTCCTTCAACGCAGTAGATCCCACCTTTGAAAGCCTTCGATAGAATGCGCCTCAAATCTTTTATACGCACCTTGCCCAAGAACAAGACCGACGAGCAAGAACTCGAGATATCGAAGAGGCGAGAGCAGATTTACGCCGATATTAACAGTTTCTATGAGACGGCGTCTTCTCTATTCCCGGAAGGTGACTTGACTAGCCTCAAACTCGATGAGCCTCCCCCGAACCCCATCACCCTCGACGATGACTACGACTCGGACGAGGAAATCGAGGATGACAACCCGTTCTCGCTCGCACAGAACCAGATCGAGGATGTGAAGATACCTTTGCCGTCTTCCGCATCCACAATCGAATCAGTGGGATCCTTTTCCCTGCAGGGCCTCCGTCTTGCTCAGGAGAAGGAGTTGAAATTGCGCATCGCCCAAGCGGACGATGCATTAGAGGCTGTCCGGGTAGAGATTGGCCATAAATCTTACCTCTACCGTTCCAACATTCGCTTGGCAGAAGGCAAGAAACAAAAAACGCGCGGTTATACGGCAGTCAAGTCGGTCAACAGAAGTATTCGAGACCACGTTCGCTCCTACAACCAAGCGCGATGGGCAATGCATCGTCTTGGAGCCGACGACACTCTCAAGCTGCGCTATCGCGCCATCAAGCCGGAGGACACCAGAGCTGTTACTGCAATCTACAAGCCGAACGCTCGAGGTGAACGTAACAAGCCGCTCCCATGGATCTGGAACATGGACGTTGCTGGCGACTCGACCAAATCCGAGTATCTCGAGGAACGTGAGTGTCAATATTCCACGCCTTTATGTCCAAAGCGTAACATGAAGTTCTATATCAGTCTATAGGGTCAACTGGCTACGTGCCCGCTCGCGTCTGGATAGGTGGAGGGAGGAGTATACCCTTCTATCTTCTGAGATGCACTGGATACTCAATTTCTTCGAAGCGAAGCAGAGAGACTGTAGGTCGTGGGCACAAGCTGTTCCTGAATCTCCAGGACATGTCGCCTACGCCAAACGACAGGAGAACATGTGGAGACTAATGTATGTTCAAGCCGAGAAACTTTTCACGAAGACGCGTAATTCGGTAGAATAGTAGAGAACTGTGATTAGAAGGTGTAACCTAATTCGTTGGTACAACTGCGATGCGTGCAAGAGTGAAAGGTCTACACAAGAAACGACGACAGCGAAGTCCTCGGAATTGCTGGATATGAACCACTACACACATGGCAATGAGCTAAGATATCACAAACTTTAGGCAGTACGTGTGTGATAAGTCGTTCATTAAAGGACCCTGCTACCACTACACTATCTAAGTCAGCGGAGCACCATGAATGGGGGAGAATGCTACTCATCGAGACAAAAAGAGTCCCGGGATCAAAGTAGAACTCTCGATGGAGGGTGGGAAAGATGAGACGATTATCGCGACATGTACCAGCGGAGAGAAGGGTCTCGAAGGCATGATGGGGGAGCCTGCCCGACAGGTCCATATCGGCGTGGTAGTTGTTGTAAATTAAGATGTCCGTTGAGGGTGTTGACCAAAACGTCATCACCTCTTCGAACGTCCATCTACTATCGACCGTGACTCGACCCAAATGGAGTTCCTCGTAGGCTGAGAGTGATGCAAAAAGCTGGTGGGGATGAAGGACAGAAATGGCAGCGCCGACGATGGCAATAGTCTCAGTGATGTCGGAGAGAAGCGATACACCCCCAAACGTATTGTCAAGAAAGGCCTTCGAGGGTGAGAGAGTAGCCTGGTAAGGAAGGACGTCAATGATCGCACACACACTCGCAACAGCAGGGGATTGACGCACGGGATTTGAAACGAACAAAGCTGGAAAAAGGTGGGCTATACCATGCGGTAGATCGAGTCCCTCGCCAAAATTCTTGAGGGGATAGCTACCGCGGCCAAAGGGATGGCGTGACAAGGAGGGCGACTCCACGGCTCGCTGAACGGAGGCAAAGAAGGAAGCCTGAAAGGTGGGAGGGGGTAAGATGCACGGAATGTGTGTGATAGTAGGAGAACACTCGCGATTCGCTGTTGGGAGACAGATGAAGGGAGGTGCCATGCGACTAGTTTGCCGGTGGTGTCAACAAAGCAACATGGTTCCAGTTCAATCGCCAGGTGAGATGGTTCATGAGGGTTGGTCGGCTCTGAGGGTCCGAACTCCTTGAGAAGACTGTCCAAGTCGGATTTGAGCTTCAGGTGAGAGATCACTTCGTCGACGGACCAACAAAGATGCCCTGGGTACAGTGCCGTCAAAGAGAGATGGACATCGAGTGAGAGAGGGATTAAAAGATAGACTTACACAGGTTTTTGCTTGCCTCGTAGATTGTCGTGACAAGCTGCCGAAGCTCGGCCTTGATGTCGAGAGCGATGTCATCGAAGGGAGGGACTATGTGTGTTGGATTTAGCTTGCGATGAAAGAGATGTATACAGTACCGAGCATAGAGGTATAGCTTCTGCAACCCGTGAGGAAGATCATACTCGAGGCGTACCATCTTGAGTGTTTCAGATGAGTCGAAGGTGGTGGGTTGTGGAAAAGGGATGGTGGGAATCAAATACGCAACGGCGATTGTTTTGTCGTTGATTTTTTTGGCTGTAAATAAAGGTAAATCAAGCAAAACAGAAGTAGACAAGATGCATCCAGTATGTCCCAGCTGGGGTGTTACAGGGAGGCAAGTGTTGCTACCCCAGCTGGGCCATCGTGCCAGGTCGTTAAGCGCCGAGGCCCAGCTAGGGTATGATATGATCCGGTGTACTTCCAGAGGAACGACGTCAGTCGTCACCGCAAAAGAGCTCGTTTGCGGCTTTGACTGACGTCATACTTGGCGTGGGACGTCATGAGTCAGCAGACTTTTCGATACGCCTGCTGACTAAACCTCGTGATGCCAGGTGGGAGGCAAGCATCGAGAAAAGGGAGTCGGTTCAAAAAACATTGATTGAGAGTAAGAAATACAAAGGAAATGGGCGCCCTAGGCGCGTACGCGATGGGACAGGAACGATGGAGGAAGGCAATAGTTGTGGTGGTGGTTTTATCAAAGTCACAACTATCCATGCAGATATGTAAAACGAAGGATTATAGAGGATCGTAGAGTTCCTCATGCTCCTCTGTGTCGTCAGCATCGTAAATCAGGGAGAGGCGCTCGGCCCTTTCGAGCTCGGCGGACACATCGGCAAGGATTGAGACAGCATCACCTGTGCGCCTACACTTGTAAAGAGCCTCCTCTATAATACGAGAAAGCACCATCCAATTTTGCCGAGAACGAACTGACTCTGCACAGTGCAACATGCTTGAGATCAATGGGATCTATGACAATCGGAAATGACTCACCGCAAACGATCCGAGCATTCTCTTTGCGCGCGCGTATGAGAGTGTTCTGGAGACGGTGGATGGGGGACCTTGCCTCGTGGGGGATTGGTGCAAGGGACTGTCTGACATCATGAAGCTGGTCCCTGGCTGCGGACAGCACTAACAGTGCAGGGTTAGTAAGGAGATATGAGGAAATGAATACTCGACGTACGAACGAACATCCTTCCATCCATTCCGATTCGAGAAGACGATGAGGTGATACCATCGAGAGTGGTTTGTTTGAATCGGGTGTACACGGGGAGGAAGTCGGTGATTTGGCGGCTGGTTAGACCACCTCGGGAACGGAGAGTATCACGAAGGAATTGAGTGCGCAGGCCACAATTGGTGGGATATTGCTGGCCATTCGAAAAGCAGGCCTCGCAAGCCATGAAGTCGTCTAGAGGCGTGCAGCCTTGGGTACAATGAGGGGATCCGCAATTGACGTGTCGGCCGAAGTCAGCGTTCTGTTCTAGCCAGGAAGACCAGAAGTCCATTCGAACTTCGATTTGGAGGGCAATGTTGAGCGCTTCGAGGTCCACGACATTGATGTCTAGACGGTCTGCAGGTATACTTGGAGACGGAGGACTCTGGGGGATAGATTGGGCAAGGAGGTTTCTGGATGACGGTCGACTGGACATGGTTGCAAAAGGTAGAGATGTGGAGCGATTACGGTGCACGGAACTGTGATCCAAAGCTCGATGGACACGATACTTGGGCAGTGACTGAAGCGGAGCTGGGCCTGTCCGTAAAGGTTGGTCAATGCTGACCCAGCCGGGGACCATTCTTTCCAAGTGAGAGGCCGGCTGGGCCGTCAGAATTGGCCTCGAGGTAGATGGCGCAGCTAGGGTTGAGATGCCAGAGCCAGTTAGGACCGCATGACCCAGCTGGGGCACGCGACGACGGAACATTACCCCAGCTGGGCTGTACGGTATACACCCGGTATCATTGACCCAGCTCGGGTCACTCTATCCTTTAAGACTGACGTCAACATACGCGATCCGAACGCCACTGATCCGGGGAGGCATTACCCTTCTGGGTTCACAACGTGTATATTGGGGTTCGGTGGACATCAAGAATAAACATGTGGCTACTGGTCGGCCCTAAGAAAGAAGGTCCAACTTATGGCACCGCCTGAGTGTGGAAAGAGCAGGGATGAGGTTAGGTGAGATAGCGGGCGATAGGTCGCTTCCATCGCCCAGCCCTTCGAGGTCCATCTCCAATTCCAATTCCAAATCCAAATCGACAGCTGCATGCCCCTCGGGATCGAGCTGCTGCATAGCTGTTTTGATGATCCTTGAGAGTGCCCGCCAGCGGGCGCACGACCGCAGCACAGCTAAAAGAGTAAACACGTAAGCTAACGAAAAAGACTCGGACTGCTATACGCTACACACCGGCGGTTGCTTTCAAGTTATCCTTCCTAGCATTCTCCAGAGTGCGCTGGAGCTCGCTCAACTGATTCTTGAACGTCGGAGGTGCACTCCTGCGAATGTCAGCGAGCTGACGGCGGGCGTCTTTGAGACCTTCGCAGTGTCAGAGCTGGACAGACAAAATAAAGCCAGTAAACATGCCTGATTCGACCTTGATATTGAATCCTGAGTCCGAGTGACCCGAGAGGTCACTGAACGGCGACTGATAGCCGAGATACCGTTTGGCAAACCAGGTCACAAATGGTCGAACCTTCTCCTCGGGCAGGATGTCTTTGGTCTCCATGAAGCGGCGCAGATAGAGCAAAGGGAGGTCACATCTCCCCGGCCCGATGGCGTCGTTCTCAAAACATTTGAGGCAGGAGAGAACGTCTCCGAGCAATGTGCAGCCCTCCAGTTGACATTCCGTATTGCTGCATCGAACGATGGCACCGCGTTGGTCCAGGGCCTCCGTCCAAGAACACCACAAGCCGTTGTCGCTGATGACACTAAACGCATATGCGGTAGCTTCGATGCCAAACGGCAGCGGTTTTTCTGGAGCAGCTGGAGGAGAAAGGGTGGTACTAGGGGAAGCGATAGGAGAGGAATCGTCCATGGTGAGGTCCAGTGGAAAGGTAAATTTCTCATTGGATACAAAAAAACACGACATCAGCGGGGTTTGATGGATTTAGAAAGTACAGAAAGGGGTGGTGTGGATGTCGTGAAATGGGAGAGATTTAATTGGTAACCACTTTCACGGCGGGCGGGTGCGAGGGTGAAGGTCTGCTTGGGGTCTTCCAAGGGGATGAATAGAAAGAGCGGTTGAGGGCCGATTTCCTTCATGAATTCCTGGCATTTGCGTACCACCTCTTGCTGGGCAATCCTCCTACAGACGACTCAGTAAGCGCAAAGAAGCAAGAAAGGGGACACTTACCGTCGTTCCGGTACGTCTTGAGGCTTGTCGGTCATGGCGGCAAGTCGGAGAGAGTGTGATTGAGAGAGAGAGAGGTCGAGGTGTGATGACCACTACGAAGTAGATCCCCATGGAGGTAGTGCTAGAAGATTCACGCGGTGAAGGAGCTGGGCAGTTACCCCAGCTCGGCTGATCTAAGTGGAGGTCCTGAAAGATATCCGAGCCAGGGTATTCAATAGCATTATCCGTATATTGACCTGACTTTTAGTTGTTAGGTACATCCTACATCAGCGGTTACGTTGTATGGTGTCGACCGCAGCTGGGTCATTTAGGTAGACAGTCGATTGCGACGCCCCAGCCCTGGTCTTGATTGGAGATGAGAACGCCCGGCTGGGTTAGGATCGTCATGCGTGCTGTAAGTGTCCCAGCCGGAGTCTGCAGAGTTTTGGCAATCAACGAAGCCATGGACCGGGGATGGGGTATCTGCGTAGAAACTCAATCGCGTCGCCCCAGCCCTGGTCTTGATTGGAGATGAGAACGCCCGGCTGGGTTAGGATGCTGTAAGTGTCCCAGCCGGAGTCTGCAGAGTTTTGGCAATCAACGAAGCCATGGGCCGGGGATGGGGTATCTGCGTAGACCCTCAATCGCGTCGCCAAAGCCAGGGTTCATTGTTAGGGGTAATAACATTGGAGGAACCGTCAAGGGGTGTTTTGTGGGCGATGGGAGTGGGATAACGTGGTAGACGATGGATCGCGATGTCCAGGGAGCTCCAGCTGTGACTTTATAATCATGGTCTGTAGGGGTGTCCCAGCTGCCCCTGTATCATGGCCGGTACGCGTGTGACTGAGCCAGAATTTAAGCCGCGCTGGGTCTATCCGAGTATAATCCGGCTCATGTGACAGAGCTGGGCGTCAATGTTTCCACTTTCCCATGGAAGTGTCCTGCCATACTCTGCCACCCCGGCTGGGCCATCAGTACTGGGCGCTCGGTTTCCCCCAGCTACCCAAGCTACACCGTATACATTGGTGATATTTTCACCCCCGCTGAACCATCTACATTGGTGATATTCTACTGACTACCCTGCGGAAACCGCTGGGAGAGCTCGGACTTTGGTTGAGCTGGTTGCTGCGCAAGTGGAATGAGCACTGAAATTGCGAATTGCGATGGTCAAAGCCGTGTGCACAGTCTCTGTCGAGGTAAGGACGGGCCTAAGTACGCAATCTAGTTGGGCGGTGGTTAGGAAAAGTTTGAAATTCCAAAGACCTAAGCGGCGCGGGCGGATTCCGTACTCTGATGCCAAGTCCCTCTTGTGCTAGGCTTGATCATGACCGGAAGCACGTGAACCATTTAAGCGCCCAGGCGTATGTCCTCGTTGCATTTCAAATTGCCATGGATCCAGACACGAGCGGTTGAAGCACAGCGAGATTTATTATAATGCTGCTTTTGGGGAAATATCATAGCGCCCGTCGCGACGGTCCTATTCGCGTCAATGGCAGCACTAGCGGCTTTTCGGCTTTGTGATAACTTTCGTCGACAACGGACACAGCTAAGTATAGCCTGCTTAGATCAAGGTGCTGTAAGCCTACATATGTACCATCATGTACGTTTAGACTGGGACCGACTGAAGACTAACTAGATACATATTGCGATGTGACCGCTGCTGTCAACTAGATCAGAACTTTGCTGCGCTCTTCCATCACGTCTTCGACATAAGCCGGGTAACAACGAACAGCGCCGGGGGCGTTGTAAATATCGCACCCGTTATGGAATACACTTACATACATCAAACTCACGCAGAGACTTCCATCAACCCCCAACATCGCCCCTGCCTTTTCTTCCTGCGAACACCGTTAGACTTCTGCGACAGCAGCTCCCCATCTTCGTCGACCTACGGTCCATAATGTCTGATATTCGCTCAATGCTCGTCTGGATATTTTGGTATCCAGAGCTTCCTTCTGGAAGAGAGAACAACAACGCAATCCGGACTCGACTCCTCATCTCCTTGGTCCTATCCTTCATCGTCATACTCTGCAACATCCCACTCATCCTCGCCCTCCCACACATTACCATCCTCTGTATCTTCACCTTGATATTCGACATCGGTGTCCTCTCCGAGCTCAACAAGGAAACATCCCCCGAAGAAGCTTCATTCCTCTCCAACACACTCTCAAGCGCCTCTGGGCCGTTCAGCTCAGGCATCTTCGGGAACAGGAGGAAAGCGTCGATTGCCGCGTGGGTTCTCTCCATTTTATGGAGCGCCGTTGCGGTCAATGTGGTCTGGTTTGGCGTACAGATGATCCTTCATCCATCAATGGCGCTCTTCCTTATCACGACCATCGTCGGGATTGAAACAATTGCGAACTTGGGACAGGCGATGGCTTTGAGGGGTGCGGGAGTCCTGTTGTGGAGGGCGCAATACCAGCAAGGATACTTGGCCCTTTAAGGGAAGGTCTGCAGAAGGGGCCTGGACCTTGCCGATTTTCAGATTATTTTGCTCTTACTCTTTCCCTTCTGTCCCTTGGGGCCGCTCACGTTATGACTTTCGTGGCTATCCACATGTTATCCTTCACAAGACTAAAAAATTAGCCAAAACCCGTTGGATAAACATCGAGACTACTTACTGATCGCCTAGATCTAACGCTTCGTGCGCATACCAGATGAGCCAGACCTGTATTCATTAGTACCACCAGTAACTAGATTCGGTCCCTCAGAGAAGATGAACGCACAAAAGCTTGTGGTACAGCCCATCATCCCTGAATCGCTGGGAGGAAAGTGGCGACATGAACAACAACGTCGACAGGATCTGTATGGCCCCGATGGCTTGGCGGAGGCTTAATTATCGTGGGCCTGTTTGCGACTCCATCGCAGAATGCGGGCAGACGTTCAAGAACAGCGCAGTTGGCACGTGGATGAGTCGAGCAAGTTCGAGACTTCAAGTTCATATCACCGTTCGCAGGGAATCCTTACGTGGGCACCTGGTTATGTCAAAGTGTCCAGTCTCGGGTAACACGGAGGACAATCACGCTCGAGGGGATGGTGGAAGGCATTGGAAGTCGAACTAACTTGAATGATTGTGATTGGTGGGAAGTATCGGAAACCAGTATGCAAGACAGTACAGTTCCGCTGGATATTCGCTTGATCAACGTTGTAGGCTCTTCCCTATTGATCTATCTAAGAGCTTGTTAGACAAAGTAGAACTCAAAGGAACTACGGCCCCACCTGAACTTACGAAAGAATTGTGATCAGCTGCCAGCCCCTTCGACATAGAAGTAGCGCCCGTGTACGGTGGCCGATAGTGGCCAGGTTGAAATCAGTTTTGTCGCGCGCGACCGACCTCCGATCCACGGGCTGTGGGACCAAAGAAGGGCCACCACCAGCAAATATACCTTACCATACTGGCCGTTTGCGAGCCCTAATAACGCCCTATATATCCGATATATAGCATCCCTTATTCAACTAAATACAAGTTTATGCAGTAAAACCGAGTGCCAGGCTCCTCTGAGATACCTCAAAGACCTCCGAACGAGGTGAAGGGGTATACACCTGCCCTAAAGTGAACCCCAAATGTATTACTATCATGGCACGTCTACTGAGTACCCTCCATACGGTTACAATAGCTATTTATCATGTCTCTAAAAATGTTCCAACCACGAATTCCTTCAAAGGGTGGTGAACCGATGTCAGCGTGCAAATCAGTGCAAAGGTTGATGAAGTCGGCGTCTCCGAACTGAGTTAGGCTAGGGTCATCGTATTCTGCCAGGAGCCGGGCGGTGTCTTCTCGAGGAATATCAAATCAAGAGGCCCTTCTCGCCCCCGTACTCCTCTGGATGGTTATAGAGGTCCTCCCGACGTGCATCGCTTGGGAGAAGGATATTCCTCTGACCGCGAATGCGATGGGAAGCATTCTCGATCATCAGAGCATCCAGTTTGGCTTGAACGATCTGGGCCCAAACCCATCGCGCAACCATCCTGAGTTAATAATCAGTTAGCGGTGAGTGCAAGGCAGTAAAAAGTGAAACGATTGCCTGTACGTACTGGTGAAATTCGTCGTTGGGGTGGAAGCCAGACTCGATCTTGCCATTCAGGTAGAAGTACTCGATGTTCGAGAGCTCCTTCTCCCAGAGCGGTCTCCAGTTACGTTCGCGTGTGATGTTGGTTCTGCTGTCGGATGCCCTAACTGCTGGGACGTTCTCTTCAGGTATATAGGGCTGATATTTAGCTCTGAATAAATCCGGATTGGTCGCGTAAACCGGTGACTGGGAGTCCGAGTAAAACGAGGAAAAGAAGACGTACCGAAGGTCAGTAACTAATGTAATCATGCGACCAAGCTCGCTTCCCTTATCCACGGACAATGTTACAGACATCCCTAGTACCAAACGAAGCTATGTGAGCTGGAGATGGATATGCAGTGTCGGGATATACTCACCTCCTAGACGATGAACAACTCGGAGCCACAGTGCCACCGGTAACTCGGAGTCTCGGGCGTTTATTCCTGCGAACAGACCAAGCTCCATTCGACTGTACTTGTCAATAATGCCCCAGACTGAAATCCCCATCGATTTCGTGATCTTCTCGTGTCCATCTGCACACCACTCCTCGTTTGGACCAGCAGAAGTTATGCCATATGGGTGAGCTTTCTTGACGCGAGGGTTCCTTGCTACGGCGCCCATGGGGTCTTCATGTTGCATGAACTTAGCAGTAAAGTCGCTGTGGATGGGTTAGAAGCACGAAAGAGAAGAGGCATAGAGCAAATAAAAATTCAATACACACCGTGAAACGTGAACGGACTGCAAAGCAAGCTTCTCCTTTACCGCACGAGCTCCCCAGCGTCCCAATGGATCGTGTTGCTTCAGCTCGAGAATTGCTTTGCCTTTCTCAAGGTCGGTGAGGCCGCTGTTCCGCGTTGTTCTGATACCAAGCTGCTTGATGAGCCTTCGAACTGACCTAGCACTGCGGAAATTTAGGGATGGCCAAGGGGTTTTAAAACCCCCGGGGTAGAGGCCAGGGGTAGAGTGGGGGTAGGGGTAAGGGTAGGTGTCCGGCTACCCTTGGCCAAACCCCCACGCCCCAGTCGGGGGTAAGGGTTTTGATAAAAATCAATCAAAAGCCATTTATTTCAATATCTATGTATAGCTTCTACTAAATAACTGCTGTATATGCAATAAAACACATAAAAATATCCATATAGACAACTGTAAGTAATGATTAGTACCAAAATGGGTTAAAACCCTTGGTCAAAACCCCCAGGGTTGGGGGGGTAAGGGTACTACCCCTACCCCTGACTGAGGGGTAAGGGTTTTGGGGGGTGGGGGTAAAGGGTAGGTGTCCGGCTACCCGGGGGTTACCCCTGTCCTTCCCTACGGAAATTCAGTGAATGTGACCACCAACCAGGCATTAAGCACAAAATACCTGACACTCAGCCCAGGCAAATCCTTCAAAAGGCGCTGGGGAATATCCTTCTGACGGACGCCTTGGTCAAAGTACCTTTGCAAGCGCTCGCCGATGTCAGGGCAAATATCGACTAGAGTGGTGTTTAATGCGGATGTGGAGTGGCCATATAATAAAATGAACGTACGTATCTTTCCATTACCGTGCTGGTTTCTCCCCGACGGGTTGGGGGGTTTGACAGACATTGAGGCACACCCCCTTCAAAAGTGCAGATGGCTAACGGGCTTAAGTTAAAGCCAATATTGGCGAGAGTCGAGACGAGTCAGCAAGACTTCTGACTGCAAATCGTAGGCGCGTATCTAGAGCCCGATTAGGAATTGCCGTATCCGCTCGCGTATCTAGAGCCCGATTAGGAATTGCCGACTCCTGAGCCCGAATTTTGATGGCGCTTAGTATCGGCGCAGGGGCTCCAACCTGTTAACACAAACTAAGGCTGGACGTGGGTGCAGGTCGTACACAGGTACCTGTGACCCGACCCGCCAAGAAACCCATGGGTATGTGACCCGTGGGTCCAGGTAACCCGTGGCCAAAATACCCGCAAGGGTGCAGGTATAGCTTTTGGCCTCACAGGTACCTGTGGGTGGGTACCTGCCAGCCTGTTGGTGACCATGTCCACTGTAATAATGCTTCAAAACCGCTCAGAAATGAACCTAATCTGTGTATATCATATTAGAGAATGAATTCACTTATTATTTAAGGTCCATGGCCATGGATAATGGAGGGAATTCACTTCTAACTGACCCATTTAGCAGGTACCTACAGGTTTACCTTTGGGTACCTGTAGGACCTGTGCCCAACAGGTACCCATGGGTAGGACCCGCAGGTAACAGGTACCTGTTCGAAAATACCTGTGAGGGTGCAGGTATGGATTTTGGGGGCATGGGTACCTGTGTCAAGGGTCCGGGTACCCATACAGGTGCACCCGCGTCCAGCCTTAACACAAACGTTTCCAGCACCAAGAGTAGCCAGTTCGAGAGAACCGACTCACAGAACAGGTTTCCGCAGCAAGACCCTGCTCCCAAATCAGCCAACATGGAAACCTTTGTGTAACAGTGTACAGGCTACCGAACATGTCAGGTATTTTGTGCTTAATGCCTGGTTGGTGGTCACATTCACTGAATTTCCGTAGGGAAGGACAGGGGTAACCCCCGGGTAGCCGGACACCTACCCTTACCCCCACCCCCCAAAACCCTTACCCCTCAGTCAGGGGTAGGGGTAGTACCCTTACCCCCCCAACCCTGGGGGTTTTGACCAAGGGTTTTAACCATGTTTGGTACTAATCATTACTTACAGTTGTCTATATGGATATTTTTATGTGTTTTATTGCATATACAGCAGTTATTTAGTAGAAGCTATACATAGATATTGAAATAAATGGCTGATTTGATTGATTTTTATCAAAACCCTTACCCCCGACTGGGAGGTGGGGGTTTGGCCAAGGGTAGCCGGACACCTACCCTTACCCCTACCCCCACTCTACCCCTGGCCTCTACCCCGGGGGTTTTAAAACCCCTTGGCCATCCCTAAATTTCCGCAGTGCTAGGTCAGTTCGAAGGCTCATCAAGCAGCTTGGTATCAGAACAACGCGGAACAGCGGCCTCACCGACCTTGAGAAAGGCAAAGCAATTCTCGAGCTGAAGCAACACGATCCATTGGGACGCTGGGGAGCTCGTGCGGTAAAGGAGAAGCTTGCTTTGCAGTCCGTTCACGTTTCACGGTGTGTATTGAATTTTTATTTGCTCTATGCCTCTTCTCTTTCGTGCTTCTAACCCATCCACAGCGACTTTACTGCTAAGTTCATGCAACATGAAGACCCCATGGGCGCCGTAGCAAGGAACCCTCGCGTCAAGAAAGCTCACCCATATGGCATAACTTCTGCTGGTCCAAACGAGGAGTGGTGTGCAGATGGACACGAGAAGATCACGAAATCGATGGGGATTTCAGTCTGGGGCATTATTGACAAGTACAGTCGAATGGAGCTTGGTCTGTTCGCAGTTCCAAACGCCCGAGACTCCGAGTTACCGGTGGCACTGTGGCTCCGAGTTGTTCATCGTCTAGGAGGTGAGTATATCCCGACACTGCATATCCATCTCCAGCTCACATAGCTTCGTTTGGTACTAGGGATGTCTGTAACATTGTCCGTGGATAAGGGAAGCGAGCTTGGTCGCATGATTACATTAGTTACTGACCTTCGGTACGTCTTCTTTTCCTCGTTTTACTCGGACTCCCAGTCACCGGTTTACGCGACCAATCCGGATTTATTCAGAGCTAAATATCAGCCCTATATACCTGAAGAGAACGTCCCAGCAGTTAGGGCATCCGACAGCAGAACCAACATCACACGCGAACGTAACTGGAGACCGCTCTGGGAGAAGGAGCTCTCGAACATCGAGTACTTCTACCTGAATGGCAAGATCGAGTCTGGCTTCCACCCCAACGACGAATTTCACCAGTACGTACAGGCAATCGTTTCACTTTTTACTGCCTTGCACTCACCGCTAACTGATTATTAACTCAGGATGGTTGCGCGATGGGTTTGGGCCCAGATCGTTCAAGCCAAACTGGATGCTCTGATGATCGAGAATGCTTCCCATCGCATTCGCGGTCAGAGGAATATCCTTCTCCCAAGCGATGCACGTCGGGAGGACCTCTATAACCATCCAGAGGAGTACGGGGGCGAGAAGGGCCTCTTGATTGATATTCCTCGAGAAGACACCGCCCGGCTCCTGGCAGAATACGATGACCCTAGCCTAACTCAGTTCGGAGACGCCGACTTCATCAACCTTTGCACTGATTTGCACGCTGACATCGGTTCACCACCCTTTGAAGGAATTCGTGGTTGGAACATTTTTAGAGACATGATAAATAGCTATTGTAACCGTATGGAGGGTACTCAGTAGACGTGCCATGATAGTAATACATTTGGGGTTCACTTTAGGGCAGGTGTATACCCCTTCACCTCGTTCGGAGGTCTTTGAGGTATCTCAGAGGAGCCTGGCACTCGGTTTTACTGCATAAACTTGTATTTAGTTGAATAAGGGATGCTATATATCGGATATATAGGGCGTTATTAGGGCTCGCAAACGGCCAGTATGGTAAGGTATATTTGCTGGTGGTGGCCCTTCTTTGGTCCCACAGCCCGTGGATCGGAGGTCGGTCGCGCGCGACAAAACTGATTTCAACCTGGCCACTATCGGCCACCGTACCCGTGATCGTTGTCGGGCCTATTGCTTGCAACTCCAACCGCGATCCTGATCTAGGCGCTGCAGAGAACTCGGTCACTGTGACGGCACCCCCCTCTGACCACATCGCCCGAAGCCCCTCACGGGAGTTAAGCCTGAAGAACGATCAAATGGGGTCCCCTTGGTGGGAATCTCAACAACGTACGATGCGAGGACGCTGTTAGAGTAGACTGAGAGTACTCAGCGACGATAGGGCATAAATTAAGGAAATACTCACGTTTTGCGTGACAGGTAAAAATAGCGGCCCAGATAGCTAGCAGAAGATATTTGTGCTCGTGGCCCAGGCTAAGAGAACTATCTGTTGTCACTTACTCGTCCCTTTCTCAACACTAAACTTGAGTCAAATGAGAATGCGTCTTGAACAGGAGCCTTTCCACTTACAGCGATTACGAATGAAAGCGCAGCAATACTCCACCGCCCTTAACCTTCCCGTTCTCTTCCTCAGATGTTGGGAACGTACCTCGTTAACAGACCGGTTCCTTGAAGTCGCGGTGATAATTCAGGACGCTGCACTGGCGAAGCCCTAAAAGTTAAACGTTAAACGCTTACCTATGGTGTAGTGCATGAGATGATCGATTAATCGCATCGACCTGGCGCCGGGAATGAGCTATCGTGAAATGAGAAGACTCGCCCAGCTCACCTCTCCAGTACTTTCCCCCGCTGGAGATGAAGGTAAAACACCATCGAAAAGGCGAGGGTGAGATCGATGGCTGCTCCGGCGCTCAGGATAGCCTTAATCAGCCAACCGAATTCCTCCATGCCTTCAAGGTAGTTCTTCGATTGGAAGCTCTTGACTGTGGACACCGTGGACCCTGCAAGCCGCAGGGTCGTAACTAGCACGGCGAGAGGGCCCATGTAACGCCAGGGGTTGGGGAGCATGCGCCATGCACGCCAAGCGTAAAACGACTTGAAGCTATGCATCAGTAATAAACCATATTGAACAACTGGTAGACGTACGTGTGATATCCAAGTGATAACTGCTGCCAGTATGATCGCAATTTTCAGGAAGGGGGATGGTAAACGTAGGAGCGCCGTCACATCTCCCCAATCCACTATGGTCGCGCGATATACTTCGCCGAGAATACATATTGTATGCGCTAGCTGAAGCACCCTGGAAGATAGCTGTCCCGGCACGTCATTACCCAACAGGTAAAGTTTGAACGCACCATAATAGCCCCACCTAGGCGCCCAAAGCTAGATGAAAATTGGATCGGTTTTGAGGCGTAGAATACATACCATCGCCCTGAGATACAGCCTGTCATCTTGGAATCGCTGAAAATATGCATATGTCTGCAGTGTCACAATGCCGAAGAGGAAGGTTGAAACTTGAGAACCAATTTCGATGGCTCCGAGTGTGCTGTGAAGGCTGAGAAATCCTGCTGGAAGCATGGGGGAGCCCAAGGTGAAGCCTAAGATTTGGTCCAAATGCGCCACTGGAGAGCCAAGGAACGTGACGGAACCTCTCTAAGAAACAGCATCATCCTTTTCACCACGCTGGAATCATAGGATCGTTGCGACGGGCCCGGACGCGGTTACGAAAGCCAAATAATTCCGAGTACCTGGGGTCGACAATCCAGAATGGAAGAGTTGAATAAGGGCTTCTTCATCATAACGTTAAACGGCCCTCTTGCGAGTCGACAAGCCTGCTGGGGCATCGTGGCAGACTTTGCAATAGCCACTGTCCAACGGGACCTTGAACCTGTTGGGCAGGGTCCTCAATTCCTAACGCTGACCAACAGATCGACTGCTCACTCACACCCTTTGAAGGTAGTAATCCACGGGACCGCGGCCGCCACTCGAGCCGAGAAAGCGAATGGAGCGAAGGACGAGTGTTTGGCTCGTCCGGTAGCGGTCACCGGCCACTGATTACTGAACATAGCTCAAGAATTTGTCAAGAATAGGCAAAGATTTTAGACGATAAACGCGTACGAGGAAGAGCCAAACAGTTGAATTCAACGGAATATGATCTATCCAATACACAACCCGATTCTCATCTACGCTTTGGATCTCTGTGCGCGAGCTTCAGCGAAGCGCTTTGAGTAGACTTGGGTAAGATAGGTCTGGACACCAGTTTCAGAAAAGAGAAAGATAATTACACCAAAGCGCGAGCTCACCTGATCGAAGGTTTTCTTGAAGTTATCGCGACTGCTGACATCACTGTAATACTGTCTAAATCGGGCGTACTTGGGGTCGTTCTGGAGAATTTCCCAAACTTTAACGCCGAGACCAGCATCATAAGCGCCAAAGTCATTCTTCAGCGCCACCGACGCTCTCGCGAGGAAAGGAGTGACGGCTGCATCTGCCAAACCGTACTCCCCAATAGCGAAGCCGCCCTCTGTTGGAAGAAGGCTCTGGAGAGCATCGATAGCTGGAAGGATCGCCGACGGGTCATCCCCATTATTAACGGAGGCATACCAGGGTCCTGCGAACTTTGAAGTAAAAGTCTCGACGAAAAATCGAGCCCTGGCGCGTTGGACGGGGTCAGATGGAAGGAGCTTCCCGGAGATATCAGCGATGAATTCGAGGAGAACGTAGGATTCTGCGAGCTTGACGGATTCCGGAGAAGGATTGTCCGGCGAGGTCTTGGGGCCACCGTAGGTAAGAGCGGGAACCTGCGAAGTCGACGCCATGAGTACTCTTAAGAATTAGGGATTGACAATGGCCACTGACCTTGCTTGCAGGGTTGACCTTGGGAGCGTACCATTCGGGTTTATTCGCAAGATCAACCTCGAATCTCTGATATTCGAGTCCTGACTCCTCGAGAGCAAGTTCAGCCTGATCACTATGTGAACCTTGCAGTCAATTTGGAGCATATCTCAGGTAGCTTACTCGGTGTGCCCAAGGACAAATCTATCGAACAGTCTACTGTGAGTCTCACTGTCAAGGGAACATGAGGATAAACAAAACGTCAAACCTTTGCAGTGTAGAGGGTGATCTGCTGCTGGGTCATGGTTAGATGAACGGAATTATGTTGAAAGTGGATGGTGCGGTACGAAGATAAAGGCCCGCGATGTACGCCCCTATTTATGTTACGGGCGATGTCGTGATCGATTGTAATAAGTGCAACGCTTGGCGCAATGCGTCATTCCTTCCTCTTGTGCACCACGATTAGTAAGGCCCGCTTAGCGATCCGAAGTTCCCCATCGTTCGACGCTGAAGTCTGAAAAAGCGTACGTCTTCCCCCTTCGAGCTACTCTATAATCGGCGGGTTTCAGCGAGAGAGTGAAACGGAGAGGTTGTTAAACCAATTCGTCATTGTCAGGTTGTTCGAAACGAGAGCGAGCGCTTGGATCTCGGCCTGATGGGATGGAACATCATATCAGCTTCGAGTCGAAGGGCGTAAGGGGAGATTTTGAAGGTATCGATATTCAAACGCTCGCCGTCATGGTCCATTTCCGCGAGGATCGAGAGGCTGAGCTTGAGAACATCGTGATTGGATGGCTCTTCAGGAGCTAGTACTCGTCGATTGCAATATCCGCCCCTGCAATGCTCACTGCCAAAGCATATCAGTATCTCCATCAGGGTAAACCGTCAGCTTCCCGGAAGAGCAGACAAAGGTACTCAGTGTTATCGAATCACCAGAATTCCCTGGCGTCGTTTTTCTGGGTACACTGTCGTATGCGGACCCTGTTTGGGATGCCCCTTCCACGATGGATGGTTAAAATTGCTGTTGTGCCCACCGATGCCGAGTGAGGTTTCAACGTCGTCGACCTGTGGGGAAGAAGTCACTTGAGCAATCAAGTTCTATGGGATAGAAGTACCGTAAATAAGGGTGGTACTATCAGGATGTCCAAGAGATGCGATGTCCAGATTGATGAGTTTTGAGGGATAACTTGGCCCGTTATCGTACGGTCCATAGGATTAACAGTGTGACAAATGTCTCCCTTTGCTTCATGACTGAAGGACGATGTCCAACCGACCACGGGGGTCCGTGGACAGGTTTTCCACAACGAGGGTATGCAAATGAGAAATAAGCCATTGAAACGGTGCATTATCTAATAAAGGTGGTCGACTTTTGGCACCTTATCGCGAGTGATTTCGTACCTTTACTCCCTCGGGGGCGGCACCTTTGGGTGAAAGATGTTCAACGTGCACCAGACCTGAACGTGGCATGCTGTGCCACAATTTCGATCCCTAGTTGATATAATATCTGTCATTGACCACATGGTTAATAATTCCAGGAGAATCGGATATCGTATATCTCTGATTCGACACACTGCTGAAGCTCATTGTCTGTAAATGGTCATGACGCGACCTGGAGCGAGGTTCCGCTGTGGACTTACGTCGATTAAGCGCCTTTGGCGCCCCAGTCACACTCGGTGTCGGTACCTTTTGTTGTACCTCGTAGATCCTCCCCAGGACTTACAATTGGATAATATGAGTGAGTGGATGAACTTATTGGCAGCATGTCACAGTGTTGACCTGCCATTTACGACTTCATTCGTAGACTCCACATGGGTCAAACGCAATGAACTCTGTCATACCGGTCTCTCATTAGCTTCGATCCCAGCATATTGTATTATCTGCGGACACAGTAGATCAACCTCCGGCTTTAGAAGGAGGCACCACGAGGACTATGTCTACAGCTTTCTGGATGAAGATAGTGGTCAATATGGTATTCAACCCCGTGTTACCGGCACCATCCTCGATTCCGTTCTTGGCATAACATCCGTCGAGAGAAGGGCACTATAGACTCACAGGATATTTATAATCTCCAAGATAGCACTCTGAACCTCTCGATGAATTCACAGAAGGTCCCATGTGCCAGGAGAGGCGACCTTTAGGGTTAAGTCCGAGTCGGGCGCTTATCCAATTCACACTAAGGTTAAGGTCAGGCAAGACGTGCCAGCGCGGCCCACGATGATTTGTCTTTTCCATCATAACATCCACCATCTAATCTTCCCCAAGTCCTCCTAATGGCACACTTCGATTTGGTCCGAGGCTGCTCCGTCGCAAAGCTTCACATATTGGGAAGAAGAAGAAGTTGGAAGAAGGCTCCAAGACCTTCTCGGCGATGGCGTGTTTCAATGGTTAGTTTCCTGTTCTGTGCGGTGATTTCTCAAGTGTGCCTTATGCAAGCGAATAGTCCATGCGTTTTGTTCAGAAAATGGACACTCAGATTGGGTTCCTCTTGGGTGCATACCCATGGACGCGACGGTCCGCATTGAACCATGACCATGAAGGGCGATGGCGGCTTCGTTCCCAGAAATGATTGCGCGATATCTAATGTTCGAGATAACAGGCGAGTGGTGACGCTTGCCATACCAACTTCTTCTGTTCTAACGGGTGTTCTTCTCCACTATCAAGGCCAACGCACACGTTCACTTGACAATATTCATGTGGTGGCGCTTGGATATAGCACCCAGGCCCAACGCACGATTGGTAGTATCCATGTCGAGCTCGTCCTGTTCGACTACACCTGACTCCATCGCAGTGCTTCTCTGCGTCCCAATTGGTAATAAACACCACAGGAACCCCACAAACACCCGTCTCCAATCAGGATATGGCGTTGTGAGCAGCGACGGTACAGACCGGCCCATCGTTTCCCGCGACCCGCGTTAGTTATCCTATGCAACGCACGAGCCTAGACACTTGACGCCCAGTTCTCTTGATGAAGGCCGCAACAGATAGGTTGTCAAACAGTGAAACGCGCGATCTCCTGTTAGATATGCTGTGGGCAGGGTCACGAGCGTACTCTTCGAATGATGATGGGATACCGATTCGAGGAATTCACTTCTTCTGGCCACATGGTACGGGTATGTTTCCAAATTTAACCGCGATTTCACCATTGACTGAACTGTCTACCTCCTACTCTCAGAACTTGACCTCTGGCCCTTGTGCAGCGTGTAACCAGTCCTTCTATGGTATCACCTGAACTTCTGTGCATGCTGCCGCTTCGGTAGTTTTCCTTTGCGGCGGAAGCAGGCTGTAGTTCAAAGGGTATAAATGGTATGTTGTCGCAGGTCTAATTCATTGTGAGCCCGTCTCATATTCCATCCTCTCCTAGGTCCTCTAGCAGCTTCACTATGCGATTCTTCTCCGTCATCGCTGCCGGCTTGGCTCTCTTTGCGGCTACCCCAGCCCTTGCCGGACCCACGACCCTGAAGTCTGTTGAGCGTTACCAGGGCGAGACCAGCGGCAGGTACATCGTCAAGTTCAAGCCCGGTGTATCTCGCAGGAACTACATCAACCGCCTCAAGATCAAGGCCGCTGCCGACTGGGACATCCTCAACGGTGTCGCAGGTAAGCTCTGCGGCGTCCAGAACATCGGTTCTATGGCTGACATCCTTTCTAGCCAGCCTTGACGAGGACACCCTCAACACCCTCCGCGCCTCTGATGACGTTGAATACATTACTGAGGATGGTATCATGACCATCCAGGCCACTCAGTAAACATTCGATTGACATCGACGCGTAACGAGAATCTTACCGATATTTACAGATCCAACGCCCCTTGGGGTTTGGGCCGTCTCAACCAAGCTGGCCGCTTGGCTAACCAGGCCACTGGGTACGTCCCATGATCTCGTTTCGTGATACCTTGCTGAAATACTGGTCTAGCTCCTTGGCCTTCAACTTCACCTACGACGACTCTGCCGGCGCTGGGGTCGATATCTATGTTCTTGGTAAGTGGCGACGATGTTCCCAGTTGCTGCCGTACTCACTATTTCTTGTAGACACTGGTAAGAGTGCCGCCCTGCCAGCACGCACCACTTCGAACTGACCCATCCACCAACAGGTGTTCGCGTGACCCACGTAAGTATCCCTGGTCATGCGAGATCGCTATCGAGATTCAAACTGACACCACTTGCAGAGCCAATTTGGTGGTCGTGCTCGCTGGGGCACCTCCTTCGTCGGCGCATCCACCGATGGACATGGCCACGGCACCCACTGCGCGTAAGCATTCTGTCTCTTAAACGTTTTCGCTCCCCGGCTGACCAGTGGGATTAAAGGGGCACTGCTGCTGGCTCCCAATTCGGTGTTGCCAAGGTTGGTGGTCTTCTCGTCTTCTTCACCTTCGAACTTGATGGCTAATATCCGCTATCCCCTTACTACCTTAAGCGGGCCAACATCATTGCCGTCCAGGTTCTCAACTCCAGCGGGTACGTATTCTCGGTACCCTTTCGGGGAAATCCTTCAATTAACGCGGTTCTCGTTACAGCTCTGGCGCGACCTCCGGAATGTAAGTGTCGATGCCAATTCTCCTCCACAGCATTGGAAAGGTATTCACGACCCGACACCAGTGTCTCCGGTCTCAACTGGGTGTTGACCCAGGCCCGCAACTCTGGCCGTCCCTCCGTCGTCTCCATGTCGCTCGGCGGTAGTGCTTCGACCGCCCTCGACAACGCTGTTGCCCAGCTCACCTCTGCCGGTGTCCACGTCGTCGTTGCTGCCGGAAACTCCAACACCAACGCTGCCAACACCTCGCCCGCCCGTGCACCCTCTGCTATCACCGTCGCCGCCTCCACCATCGCTGACGCCAAGGCCTCGTACTCTAACTACGGCGCCATCGTCGACGTCTGGGCTCCTGGTTCCAACGTCATCTCTGCCTGGATTGGTTCTGACTCTGTAAGTGGTGGTATCGCAGCTTCTGCGATTGGTCAGGAATTAATCTTCTTCTTCTTTCTCCTAGGCTACTAACAGCATCTCTGGTACTTCCATGGCCACTCCCCACGTCGCTGGCTTGGTTGCCTACCTCATTGGTCGTGACGGAAACGTCAGCCCTGCCGCCATGGCCACCAAGATCATCAACTCTTCCGTCAACGGTGCCCTCTCTGGTGTCCGTGAGTCACTCTATCACTCTGTGTTCACCTTCCGCGTGTTGACCTTTCTTTCTTCTAGCCTCGGGCACTGTCAACCGACTCGTCCAAATCCGATGAAGTGGTGAAGTGGTACTACAACTCGCCTCGAACACCGAGAACTCAAATTCGAACTTGGATCCAAAGAAATAAGAGTGTTTTGTATTTATATCAACGACTTGCATGTTGGAAAACTTGGGTGTACTTACGTGGAATCAACATTTGCTTTTCGCCTCAGACGATTGCCTGTCTAATGAGCATGTAGCTTCAATGGGCGATGATAGCCTAGCCTCACCTTTTTCTGCTGCTGAAAGCTCGTGAAACTCACGAGTGACAACTTGAACTCGCCATGCGATCGCGACGAGTACAACGGGATGAGCGGTGTTTGGACGCCCACAATGATTCTGGCTTCGCTCTGAATCGAACCCTCGACCGGTTACGTAAGGACAGTGACATCATCAGCTCCTCCTGGTACCTAACTGCCTCCCACCTCACCAAGAGCTTCGAAGCATCTGACAGAACATGTGACACAAACACAAGAGGACCAGTCGCTGAAGGTAGATGTACGCTGTGCTCTGGTTCAATACCTGACTCACTTCACGGATATAGGAGGAGCTACAGACGTGTTTCTCCTCGCTCAAGCGCTTACAGCTCTGGCATGTATAGTCACTGTCAGTCTCTCGCCTATCGTAGTCTCGGAACGCGCTTTTGGAAAGATATGTGTAAGGCAGATACTTCTTCGCGGCCCAAAAGAATCTCAAAGGCCGCGGAATACGTTGGAACTAGCTGCAGGCCCATTGACAAGCGTCGTGAAGCTGTTAGAATATCGTCTACGACTCGATGGTCGTTAACGTTCCCGATGTTTACATCATCTAATCGGACTGAATTGCATCGTATCACGCGAAATAGAATGAGTTGGAGAGATAGAATACAATAAGGATGCAACTATCCCAATATCGGACTTCAGCTGGAGAATAGATATGTATCGCGGGCTAGGGGAGTCGCAGAGGTAACATAGCTCACATAGCATTGCAGATAAGATTAACAATACCAATCAGGGAGTGTCGACATCTAGGACGGCATCACAGTCTAAACCAAAGCGGCTGTCCCGGTATCGTCTCGTGGACGACTAGGAATTGGGATGGCCAAATCGTCCCGCATTCGTGGTTCTTCGAGGATATCCGGATCCTCCCACTCTCCTGCCCGTGCACGATTTCGCAGGGTGGTCGAACCTCCGTCTCCCACTGCATCTCGCTGGATCTCTCCGTCCAAACCTTGGGCTGGGACAGATCCTTCCTCAAGATCGGTGGAGTGAGGATCCTGGCTGAAAGACGAATCTTGCGCCGGACCATGGTCGAATTCGAGGTCGCCCAATGGCTCTCTGTCTGGGCCGATCGATGAGTCCAGATCTTCTTGTTGAAGGTGCGAGCGAGCGACTGTGACTCGAAAGATGATCATTTGGGGTGAGAGCGCCTGTGTCAATTGAATTGATGTGGTCAGTTAGTATGCACCGATGCCATCCACAAAAAAGGTCGAAAGATACCTACGGCGAAGGTGGTGTATAAGGTGGAGAACAATTGGCTGGTTACTAATGATTGTACTCCAAAGTCGGAGAATCCAGTTGTTGGTCTTAGGGACCACTCCAAGGGGGAGAAAATGACAAAAAGCAATCCAGACAGCGTCAAAGGGAGAGCGGATTCTACGACTACTCGGGCTGCTCGGGTGTAGATACCAATGCTACGACCCGGAAGCGCTTTCGAGAGCGCCTTCTGGGCGACTATAATTCTGTAGGCAACCAAGGACGTGGCAATAATGTTTAGAGATGTTGAGATGGAGATGGCTGCTATTGCCATTCGCCGGCCTATTAGAAGCTGTCTTTCGGAGATGAAGGAGGTCCCTAAGACGTCGCGAGCGAAATTGGCTGCGGAGACCCCTGGTCCAGGGGATGGCAGGGAAACCTTCAGTCATAGGGGAGGCAGAGCGAGGATAGCCTGTACCTATGAAGCCCAGATAGGCTAATGTCAGAAAGACAACAATTATTAGTCTATCCTTCCAGATTATATAACACCGATACAACTATATTACCATCCAGGCTCAGCGGCGAGGATTGGTTTGACAAGGTAACATACCAGAATTCCATCTCCCACGGCGATGTATAGGGACACGAAGCCATTAGACGCCAATGTAGATGCTGCCCTTGTTCCTCCCTTCCGCCTCAACAAAGACAATCCTGGCTGCGAGTGGTACAGCGCCATTAATGTCGACGGGTGGTCGAGGAAGGTAGGGATCGCTGATAGAATAAGGATGATGAAGCTGATGATGACGTAGCGAAGGCGACCCTTCCTGTGCTCGACAGGCGCGGTTAGGAAAGTCGATAGGCCCAAGGTGCACATGACGAGTTGTACTCCTGTGAGAAGCTACAATGAGAACGACGAGTTCCATTGTGAAAGGTGAGAATGTGATACCCAGGTCAAGCAAGGCAATTATGTTGCTAACAAAGTCCATGGCTGCCAGTGCCGCTATGCATTCCTCCAACTTGCTCTGCATCTCGGCCATAGTGTGTGAGCAGAAGGAAGAATAAAAAAAGGAAAGGAGCGATGTAGTGCAGTCCAGCACAGGGAGCTGTCATCTTTTAATCTTTCATACTTCAGCAAATCTGATTCGATAGATGGACGCATGGTTTCTAAACTCTGTCAAGTGTTTTCTGGAAATAGGAGATTGATGGCCAATTTGGGAACAATAAATCCTACCGGGCGAGTCTTTGTACTAGGTGCGATGGGGATGATCTTCGTCAACGTCTTTTCAGCGCTTGGAGGCTTTCTTGTCCCCATATATTGAGATGACTCGCAATTGAGACGGGTTGGTACATGCTGGCTCCCTCGTATTATGATATCCACAGCCCTCGAGAGATGAGGGATGTATTTCTAGTCTCTTACAGTCCCGTCTGAACATCTTTCGCTGATTCTTCTGCGCGGGCGCTGTTTGCAGAGAAAATGCTGTTGAGGAATAAGTAAGAGTGTTATGGAAGGAAAAGAGTTGTCATGCCGAGTACAGGCCATCAGAGCCAAGGCGCGCTTGGCCAGCGCTTAATGCGACGATGTACGGGCAATAGATGGGAATGCATGGCTATCTCGAACAGATACACACTGGGGAAATCTGCGAGGGACATGAGAGGGCTATGGGAGCTTGGAAGCCAAACCCTTCAGATTTTATTGAGATACCGTCCATCTATAATAACACCTTCGAAAGACGAATAACACATCTTTCGCACTAACATCAACGCTCCCATTGGCGCACAAGCACAAACTTGCCGAACCGCCGGCGAGCAGTGGTGTTCCGAGTCGGTGATGGCCGATCAACCCAAACTCGGGAAGTTCATTCGACGCGTCGCGCTCCTCGTCGACGTGTCACCTCTTCTCAGACGCCATCCTCCACCTTCAGGCCTTCTCCACAGCCTGAACAGATTCTGAGAAAGGCTTTCTATCTGGTATGAAGCCTAACCAATAGCCACAGTCGTTGTAAATCTCATTTGTATGACTTAGCCAAGACCGCCAACTTGAACATGGCACCCAATAATCACGCCTCCCCAATCGCCAAGCTCCCACCCAACGTTCTCGGGGACATCTTCCACAAGGCGCACCAGGCGAAATACTCCTTATCCCGACCTGCCCGGCCCTGGCCTGAGGTATCCATATCCCACGTATGCGCTTCCTGGCGCAAGCTGATGGTATCACCCAAACTCGCTGGGCTATGGTCGTCTTTCTGCTACGACATGGACCGGAAAGGGAAAGCCGAGTTGGAGAGGTTCAAAACATACCTCGAGCGCTCTGGCTCTCTTCCTCTTACGCTCATCCTCAGACTGTACCCCACCACTGAATACGACGACTCGCTCACCTGGTCCGTCATCCTGAACGACGGCGTCCTCCCACTCGCTCTCTCGCAGTACCCGCGGTGGAAGAGCGTGACTTTGTATTATAGCGATGACCCGGATGCGGTGGAGTATATGGCGAGCTGGGGGCGGAAGGTGCGCGGGAAGCGGGCGGAACATTTGGAGAGCTTTACGGCTCTCAATGTGAAGCTTTTAGACGACTTCGACGAGGGCGAGGAAGGCGATCCTGACCCGCCCGTGCCGACCATCTTCACTAGTGGAACCCCCAAGCTCAGGTCCCTCGCTATCAACGATATCAGCGGTCGCAACCTCCTCCCTCCACTAACCAACCTCACCGAGCTCTACATCGAGACGCCCGGTGTGGTGGAGAAGCTGTGGGTATGGGACGAGTTTATCGGTGTGATTCAGACGCCTACACTACAGCGCCTCGCGATCTACGGCGAACCAGTCTACGCATCGGAGGACGACATCGACATCGACGACCTGCCTTCTAAAATCCACCTCCCCTCTCTCACGCACCTGCGGTACGACGTCTGTCCAGAACCGTACGCCGAGGGGCACGAGCTCTTCTCCCTGCTCCTTCCCCGGCTCTCCGCTCCCTTGTTGCGTTCTATCACCCTCGGAAATCTGAACCAGGACGTCTCGGCACCTGAGACCCAGCTCGTCGAGGATCCGTTCCCGGCGGTGGAGACCGTCACCCTCCTCCATTGCACATACAATAACCGCACGGATCCATCGTTCTACCACTGGATCGCGGGACTCACTTCCTCTGCTACGACGGTGAAAGTATCGGATTGGGGCCCGATGAGTCAAGGGGGAGGGAGTTTGAGCTTCCTTGCGCAGGCGGATGGAGTGGGTGCTTGGCCGAGGATGGAGAAGCTTGTGCATTTCATCGAGTTCAGGGATAAGATGGATTCTGCAGCCGATACAGTGGTGGAGAAGATTGGGGACGTGATTCGCGCGAGGGAGGGTCTTAAGCTGGTTGAGCTCGCGGAGGCCAACGTTCCTTCTGACAAGCGTCAAAACTTGAAGTTGCATGGGACTCTGGGCGCCAGGTGTACAGTCGAGTTCTATAAGAAGAGGGCGAGGGCGTTTGAAGAGGCAGTGATGTTCAAGTGGGTGAGCTTGCAGACTGAGTATGAGAGGTGGGGGAAGGAGGATGAAGAGGAGTTGGATGGTGAATTGGGAGGTTGGGTGTTGTAGAGTGTCTATCGTTATTCGTGGGATATCTATCGTTGTGGGGTATCTATCCTCGTGGGGCATATGTCGTCGTGGGATGCTGATCGAAGGGAGGTGGGCGTCGTATATTTACCCTTGGATCTACAACTTTATAGCTTACTCTTTGAGCGAGTTGCTCGCTTAACTAATTCTTGGTAAACTTTGGATGTACATATACTATTCGGATATTGAACTGTACATATTGGTGTTCCGGAAGCGATAGATTGTCATTGAGAGAAAGTGAGTACTGGTAGGGCTCAAGGACGAGGAGTCTTCCCTGGAGAGAAATCTGATTTGAAAAGGCTTCGCTGATCGTAGGTGGAGTACACAATGGCCCACTCAGATATTCACGCTGGAGAAAGGTATGGGCGAGTACCATTGACTGCCTGCGAGAGGGTTTCCGAGATAGTAGAGATTGTCGACGAATGGGCAATATATGTGTTGAGTAAATCGGGAATCGAGAATAAGGAATTGAATGAGGAATCAGGAGGGGCGATGTGTAACGGTACTAGGCGGTCCTCGAGCCTCGATCATTCAGCCAGGAGCAGGTACAAGGACGAGAGGATGATGGTGGGATATCAATTTAGACGCGTCAAAGCCGTCCAGGAGCGTGTTAAGTTACAGTACAAGGGTGTGTTATAGAACCTATCGGGACGCAGTGAAATCGCTTCAATTGGTATTTTGCCTACCCCGGAGCTGGGAAGAACTCACAGATTACTTCTTTCGAAGGAGGAGACAGTTTACTCTTTAACAACGCCCTCGGCTCCACTCCTCAGATTCTCCAACAGTTCCTGAAGGCGTTTACGCAGTTTCTTGACGAGCTCGTCATCGTCTCCCGATGGTGGTGGCTACAATTTAAATCAACGAAATCGGAAGTTAGCTTCGTTTCTTCTGAACGGGGATGCGATGGGGAGGCGACGTACTAGTTGGTCTAGGAGGTACTGAATGGGTTGGATTGGTTATTCATGTATGTTGAAGTGGTAGGTAGGAAGGATGGCGCACCTCAGCCTCGTCTATCGTCTACCACGATCAGAGGTCAATCCCGGGGTCCCCGAAAGACTGTAAAATGGGAATGACATACCAAAACGATTGGGCCTCTATCCATACCACGATATGAGTACTAGCCCTCCCAGACATTCGACGCTTTAATACATACCTATTCATGGCTCTATCTTCTATAAACCAGACACAGACTGGAGGAAATGTCTAGTAACACAACGGAAGGAAGGAAGGGATAGATGGATCTCGAGGATGGATGACTCCGATGAGTCGACCGCGAAGGTGTCGTTGCGTCATCTCACGTGTGCCATCAACGATTGTGTAAGCTTTTCACGCGCCTGAAAACGTCGTGCGTGGGACGTGCGTTCCCGACTCCCGACGCTGCGCGCGCTGGTTTGTCTTCTTCTGGATTTCCTCATGGTTCTTCGTTGCTTATGGCTGGTATTCTGACCTAACATTCGGGGGACTGCGTTGGACTGAAATAGATATACTCAAGTTTCAAGCTCATGACGATCGCACATTCCCTCCTCGTTCTGAACGTGCACCCAGTGTATGTTGGCTTCCGACGCAACGTCTTCCAGAAACCATCCTCGAGCTCGACACCAGTTCTGGATGATTTCCTTCGCACCTGCTCTTGACGACCGACCGACTTCGGCAACCCAAATCCAGACGCGGACTCGGACTCGAATTCGACCTCGAACTTCTTGGACAGACAGAAACCAGGCCAGACAGCGATGATCACGACTGTAACACGAAAAGGCGAAGATCACTTGGAGAATCGCGCTTTGACAGGCGGCTAGACGCGACGCGACGTACATACCTAGTTCTTCGACGACTTGGCAGCTCTGGCTTCGTGGATCTGGGGTCCTCTTCAGGAACGCGCGAGGTTAGAAAGGTAGAAACGGGATTCTGGACGGTGCGCGTGCATGTACACGAGGGCGCGGGCGCGGGGAGTTCGACGGGCATGAGGGCATGAGGTGCGTCGGGCCAGGGTTTGCGAGTGGTGGGTCTAGGGCGTGCCTTTGGGAGGAGGCGCCTCGAGGCAGCTTGAGTGAAGCTGCCCGCTGGGCAAAGGGCAAAGTGCATTTTTCTGTCTCTGTCTCTCTGGTCGATGATACTCTCGTGAACGCATCGGGTGCAGTGCACCACCCGGAAATTCAAACAACGCCATCCTCAAACCCAGGCGACTAGCAGTCCGCCGCTCTATGGACCAATCTACAAATCTATCTATGTTACTTACCTACTAGACGTGGACTTTAGTTTTTACCCCTTGCCCTGAACCGCGCCACCGAGTCGTATTCCTCCACCTCCTAAAGTTCGCCTGGTGGTACCTCTAGAATATCCTGCGGTCTCGCGCCTCGTGTCTCTAAAGTTCTCTTCTCTGAAATTTCTGTATCCGTGCACTGCCAACTTCTCACCTCGCACTGCGTGTAAAGAAAGACGACGAACTCAAATTCGAACTCTCGAAAGAATAGGCGAGAGGAATGAGGAAGTTGGAACTAGGCGAGGATTCAGGGCGCCGAGGAAGGAATCCACGGGGTCCTTACGTTGATCCAGTGATTCCCCAATGGTATGTACATGGATCATCGACATCGAGAATAATTAACAGGGGTTCGTACTCGACCACGTTCCATTTTTTCGAAATTAATTTTCCAGCGATGCGATTCGAATTCCTAAAGACGGGATTCAGAGCGGCACGAGACGAAAACGGGGAGGAAGACGAAGAAAGTAGGAAGGAAGAGGAAGGAAGAAACGAGGGAGAGGGAGAGGGAGAATTGATGCCCATCCTCGTTCTAGCGACAGACCTTGGCAGAAGATCGGGTTCATCCAAGACAGGGAAGGTGGTTCCTTATAAAGACCTAACCTGTTAAATTTGGGTTCTTCGAGTATGCCCTTCCTCCTGTTTGGCTTTGGCGTTTGACGCGGACAGACGGTTCTTTCGATTTTCCCCCTTTCCCTTTCCCTTCGCTGTTTGTGACCTTGCTGGATACCTTCCTCTCGCTTTTTTCCTCTCGCTTAGCGCACCCGCCCAACTCCCAGCGTCTAACGTTTAACGGTTAACGGTTAACGGTTAACGGTTTACTTCGACTCGTGGTTTTTGAAGATGGCTCCGAACGTGACGCTGTCGTACGTCCTCTTTTCTCTCTTTTCTACGTCTTATTTTCTGACGTTGATGATGCATTATGGTTAACCTCAACCTCTACCTCAAGCTTCGGTCCAATGCTCATTGGCACCTTCATCAACATGATTCTCTACGGGGTGCGCGTCGACTCGTTCACCTTCCCTCCCATGGCCTAGTCGCTTATGTTTCGTTCGGGTGAAGGTTTTGATTGTCCAGGTGCGTTTGACTTTCCTTCGCAGACCTTAATCTTGAAGCACTTGCTGATGAGAGCCGCTAGACGTATCATTACTACTTGAACTACAAGCAGTGAGTTGTCCGACATGGTTTAGGCGGGACAGGGCGTTCATGGTCTGGTTCTGGTTTTGCTGTGGATAGCGATGCGCGGTGGATTAAAGCTTTGGTGAGTCTCGCCATTGTTCGAGCCATTGGAACATGGCTTGACCTGGTTTTTCGATGGGTATACGTAGGTCTACTACCTCTTCCTCGTCGAATCCCTCAACACCGCGTTCGATATCCAAATGATGTACCAACCGCTTATCCAACATTTCGGTTCGTCCCTCTACCTCTGCCTTCGCACCCGCGCCAGAAAGTTTACTATGTGTCCTCGGATGGTGTCACGGTGTTGTTGGGTGTGCAGGCGAAACGGAGGCTACGAAGTACTTTCCAATGAGTGAGTCCTCAACGTTCAACACTTCTCTTGAGGCGCTCTACAAACGAGCGTGAGCGTGAGCTTGGACTGACGCGTACGCGTCGCGTCGTCCTTCTAGTGTTCGCGGCTGGTACGTCTTCTAGTTCTCCTTACGACACGAAAAGGGTGTTTAGCTGATTCGGATTCGGATTCCCATTCCGATTTGGTGGCGGTGGTACTACTAGAACCTGCTGTCATTGTACGTCTTTCCTTTCCGGCTTCTCGTTTTCATTGGTGTGCCTTCTGGTCTGGTGTTGGTCCACGAGTTTCTTAACCCCGCTTGATTGCCCCAGTTTCATTTTTAATACCTCAGTTTCATTTTTTAAATTATCTTGCTCGAGGAAGGCTTTGAACGTTTGAACGTTTGAAACGATGACCAATGAAACTAAAGATTCGACTCTTTGCAGGTGGCTGTATCGACTCCCATCCAGTTCTTCTTCGCGTGGAGGATATACCTCTTGACCAAATCGAGTGTATTGTCGGGTGTGATTTGTCTTTTTGCGTTGATTTCACTTGGTACGTAATCTCTTAATTTCTCTCCTCTTCCTCTTCCTCGTCGCCCTGGACGCCCAACTGGGAACCTCGCCCAACGGGGATGCTCGCCCAACTGGGATGCTCTCTCAAATGTGACGCCCGACTTCTGACGCTTTACCATCCGTTCGCTAGGAGGAGGAATATGGACCACCGCACTGATCGTCAAAGTCAAAGTCTTCGCTCGGAAAGCTGAGCTGCATTGGTCGGCCCTTGTTTGGTTTCTTGCGGCGTGCATCTCGGATGTGTTGATTACGATGGTTTTGGTTGTTACTTTGGTGCGTCCTTTTTCTCGTTTACTCTGGTTTAGGGGGCATGGATGGTTTCTGATATCTCTTCTCTCCGTTTTCTCTCTTCCCATACGAATACTCGGTGTGTACGTCTGGACATTGCGGTGCATGTATGCAGTCAAAGAGGAAGACTGGCTTTGCGGCTACGGATGATGCTATTCAGCGGATTATCCGGAGTGAGTCCTGTCCCGTCTTCCTTTTCATTCCCTCGGTTAAAAGTGACTGACGCCTGGAATTTGTTTGCAGTTACTGTTCAAACGGGTGCTCTCACGTACGTTCCGTTCCACTGTCCTTGCCTGTTTGTTCCGTTTCACTGTCCTCCATCCGTTCGTGGTCGTTCGTCTGGCTGACCTATTGTCTGGACCGGTTCCTTCCTTCCACAGGGCCTTTTTTGCGATTGGGGACGTCGTCTTTTTCATGAGTGCGTTTCTTTACCTGTTGTGTGTTCTAGGAACTTGGGAGCTGATGGTTTGCCGTGGTGGATTGTAGCCATGGGTGTACGCGCTTCTTTCTTCCCTCTTTGAACCTCTCTCACTCGTCCTTTCTGTCGTACGCGATATAGCATACAGCCTTGTAAGTTCCCACTCTATACATACTTCGACCAAGACTACTCACTTGAGCCGTTTGACTTGTTTCCTTCCTTTCTCCAATTCGATAGAAACTTCCTCTGGGACCTCGCCCTCTCCAAACTCTACGCCAACTGCCTCCTGTCCACACTCAATGCGCGGACGAGTATCAAAGAGGGAGTGGGGAACTCGAATAGTCGTGCGTCGAGGGAGGCGGGGAGGCAGGGTGGGGGAGGGGGGACGTTGAGTGGGGGGAGGCGAGCGGTGAGTGTCATTTTTCTTTTGCGTTTGCGACCTCAGGCTCAACGGCGCGTTTGTTTTTTTATTTTTAGGTCGCAGATCCGTTCGGCCCACCTTCGATGCGCGCGTCGTATGAGTACGACGTGGAGTTGGCTGGTAGTACGACTGGGAGCACAAACTGTCACCACCACCACCACCACCATAACCTTACTCACGCTGAGCTCGGCGGGAATGGATGTGGGGGTGGGAGGCATCATAGAAACAGCGGCAGTCGTTCGTTCGGTATTGGTGAGAAGGCGTCGTTTTCGAGGACGGGGGATGCAGCCGGGTTGGAGTATGGGATTACTGTTACCAAGGTCTGTTTGTTTTCTTTGTTTTCGTTTCTCTGCTTTCGTTGTTGAAGTTATGCGGATTGGGATTTTGCTTTGTGCTGATACCTGGAGGATGTTACACACATAGGTCGTCGAAACGCTTGAAGATCCGTGTCCTATCCCGCCGTTGCCGCGGTACCAGCTGCAGCCGCCGGAGACGCATCCTCATCCTCAACCGCTACCTCAATCGCATCCTCAATTGCATCCACAGCCTCAACAACATCCTCATCCGTATTCGCTTCCCCAGTTGTTCCCGCAGCAAGAACAGACACGGGGACCGAACCAACAGCAACAACAACAGGCGCAGGGAAGACTCGGACAAGATCAGCAACGACAACAGCAACAACAGCAGCAGCAGCTTCACCCGTTCCCGAGCTCGGGCGGTGACCAGGGGTCGCCGATGCAGTTTGGTGTTGCGCAGTAGAGTTGCTTGAACAGTGGAGTTGGGTGGCTTGGACTCGGAGGATGGTTTGGGAGGGAGCGAAGTAGGAGGGAGGAGGGGGAGGGAGGAAGGAGGAGGGGCTGGATCCCCTTCGAACGCTTGAACGTGCACATGTTTGGAGCTCGATTTTTCTTGGAATATTACCAGGTCGGTGTTACGAGGGTCCGTGGTCGAGTCTCACGCGGTCGGATGCACCGTGCTACATACGACTTACGTTGGAGGTGGATGGTGGTACCGGTGGACCCAGGTCGACTGCGATATGTGGATGGTCTTTGTCTTTGTCTTTGTCCTGTCTTGTTTTTTTTTTTTTATTCGTAGAAGTGGCCAAGAAAGGCGAGAAAGCGTTGCTTGTTACTTGTAGAATTTGAAACTTTGTACATAAGGTGTAACTTTTAGGTTTTTTGGTGGTCTTTTCGAATATGTATGAATGAACTTTGCCACGCTCGAAGTTTGAAGTGATGCGGTGCTCGTTAGTAAGAAGCTATAAGGCTAAACTCGATGGCATGGTATTGCTTGCCACTCGGTGGAACGATGCATTTAGTTGTCGATACAAGTACTGATGTGTCGCTATAGCAGGAACTGTACTACAAACAATCTTCGAATAACGTTCGGTGTTAAGACGACAATCCTGATCCCGGGTCCGCTCGAGGGAAGCAGTGCTCTGGCCGTAATAGGTCACTCGTCTCATCATCTCATCGCAAGTGGATACTCTCGGGCCTCGCGGTATGGGTATTGAAGGGAGAGAAGGACTAGAAAGTCCCCATCTCGACTCAACTGTCACAATTTCGAGGTGCGTCTCCAATGGGGATGATGATGCATCGCTCATCGCGAGGCTATCACGTTTCTCTGATTGATGGTTCCACTATGCCTAGTTCTTAACGTTGGATAGCCTCTAAGTTTACACAGTTGGTTGGAGTGGGTTTGGAGGCGTATGATCTTGAGACGTTGGGAAGTGCGTATGTAGTTACAGAGGCTGAGTAGGGGTGTCCAAGCAACACCGTCCAATGGTAACATCCTCGACGCCAGGGTGGTGCCCGTTCTACCCGTAGATGGTAGATGGTGGTAGTAGGGCGTACAGATGAACATACCCGGGTACGGCGTTATGTCGAATTTAGAAGCTGAGCTGAGGAGAAGTATATAAACATCCCTGATCACAGTCCAAGTTCCTCAGCTGGTCTCACTCTTCCGCCCTCGTCCTACCAATCAACTCATCATCGTTCCTCTTAGCATTGATCGCTTCAAATTCTACTCTTGCCTTTCATCGTCACTTTGACTTTCAACATCCAATCACCTTCAAATTTAGAAAACAATGGTTCAAATCTCCACCTCCACTCTGGCTGTTGCCGCCCTCGCCGCTGGCGCCGCTCTCCCCGCCTTGGCTGCGCCGATCGGGGACAGCTCCTTCGTCGAGGAGAACGCTGCGTACGTCTCTCCCATTCTCCATAACTCGCGTTATCTCTAACGCATTGTGTGATCTTATCAGTCGTTCCATGGACATTGAAGGCCTCGAGGCCCGTGGTCTCTTACTCCCAGGAGGTCCACGAAGGCCTATCGGTTGGAAGGGCGTAATGCCGCCACGTTCTCTCGATGGATCGGATAACCTAGAGACACGAGGGCTCCTAATTCCAGGAGGCCCACGAAGGCCTATCGGGTGGAAGGGCGTAATGCCCCCGCGATCGCTCGGCATGGACGACTTGGAAGCCCGTGGGCTTATCATGCCCGGTCAGATTGTTCCTCCCGGGTGGGCTGGCGCCCCCTCCGTTGGCCTATTGAGCAGTGGAACCCGCAAGCGCCCGCGGTCGCTCGACGCTGACGATCTGGAGGTCCGAATGTTGCCACTCCCAGGCCAATCACTCTTCAGACGGCCTCGTGGCGCTAATCCCCTCCTGGTCTACAAGGGTGTGCGCCCGCGATCATTCGAGAATGAAGACCTTGAGGCGCGGCTTATGCCAAACCCGCGCCTACCGAACCTTGGAATGCCTTCGAATCGGTTCATTTACAAAGGCGTTGGGGTGAGACCGAGATCATTTGACATCGACGAGCTTGAGGCTCGGTCGATTGATGAGCTTGATTGAAGTGGTTTTGGGGTTATTTTAAAGGGCGAAGGTTTATTGTAGTTCCGTCCATTTGGAGTGTATGTACAGAGTATGTTATTAGACTCTATGCAGAATTGATTACTACTATCGTCCTGTTAATCTCCTCCGTGAACTAGCCAATATTCCTCACCACCTTGCTACGGTGCATTTCAGTCCATCAGTACATTGCGCCTTTGGCCGCCACCCTTCGAGACACTCCATTCTCCGTTAATCGCGCTCCTGCTAAATATACGCGGGCTAGTGATACACCACTTAGCGTATAGTCCGGTGTACTAAAGAACAAAATGGTGGCGCCACTTAGAGTCCGAGTCGGAGCGTTGTCTGTAGAACGAAGTTCAGGAGGAGTGAGGTCCTGAGAGACACGCATATCGGTCGTAGAGCACTGATTGAAATGTTAAAAGCTATATATAGGAGGGGTTGTAGGGAACGGCTATAAAACACGGGCAGTCTGATACACTGCATATCAACTCTGCAAACGACCTTCCTCACAATTCCAAATGGCCACCACCACCGTCAACAATGCCTCCTCTCAGTCTGTCGCGGAGATGGCTATTGCGACGGCTGTCAGCCTACTAGGCCCTGGCGCCGTCGTTCCAGCCCGCAAGCTTAGCGAACTTGAACGCGGTCTCCCAGTGTATGACACCCTCACACTAGTCCGTAGTCTCCTTCGTTTTGGCCAACACAAGGTGCCAACTCTTACCATTCAAGATTCTTCCATTCTCCCCTCGTACAGAGTTTTGGTGGAAGAAATACGGGGGTCCCTTTGCTTCCTTGCTCGACACATCCGGGTACTCGCATGTCGCACAGGCCAGGTTTCTGTGCTTCGTGTACGCGTCGGTGATAGAGCTCTTGCCACCGCAAGATCCCTCCCTTGTGGACTCTATGATGACTTTTGACGGAAGTCCTGTTGAGCCCAGCTGGGTACTTCCCTCCCCCGAGGAAGTTGCTTCAGGCAAGATCAAGCCTCGACAGCTCCGTTTTGCAATCGAACCGGCGTACGCTGCTGTCTCCTACCCATTCCGGGATATCGCTGACCTTTGCACTGGTGAATAGGCATCCTGTATCCGGTCGACGGCTGAGAGGTTCAGTTGTGTTGGATTACCTAACCTCACCTCGTGGTAGCCTTGGCTTGGTTGTCTCTGGAGAGGATAGCATGAGCTGGAGATTGAAAACTGAGCAGCTCTTGTTCCCAGATTACGAAGGGGACGAAATTACAGACGGGAGTCGATTCTACGTTGGTAAAGCTAGAAGCTATAGTTTGACAGTTCCCCGCTGATTTTCTTCCAGGATTCGATTTCTCGCACAACGGCACGATCACGCTGAAGGCGTACTACCTTCCCGCACCTCCGTCGTCTGAGCCTGCTCCTGCAGAGGGTTTCGATTACGAACCTCTCCGCCATCTCGTTCCTCATCTAGATCCAGCGCTTATGAAACCTTTGGAGCTACTGCTTTCCTATTTGGAGACCCTCGAAGACCGGTACAAACCTCGTATCGCAATCATATCGATGGATTGCGTAAAGAGTAGCGAGAACCGTCTCAAGGTATGTGTCATTCATCACCAACGAAAAGTATGTCTTTCAATGCAAACGGACGTACCGTGTATTCTGTGCTCTTAGATCTACTTCCGCGCCATAGAGGGAAGCTCCTGGTCGGATGCCGTGAGAGCCTTCACCATGGGTGGACGTTTGTAAACACCTGAGATGGCCGAAACTATCGGTCATGCAGAGCGCCTTTGGAATGCTTTATTCCCCCAGGCTAACTCCACTATGGATTGTGACCTACGGGTAGCTGATATACCTCCGGAGTACTATGACGGGGGAGAGGACAGCAACGGAGTGTGCGTGGATAGTTTGAAGCGCCAGCATCCGGTTGGAGGGCTGGCGTACTACTACTCTCTCGTGGCAGGCAAGGATTTTCTGTTCCCTAAGCTTTACCTCCCTGTTGCGTGAGTCCTCAATACTGAGATATGTATTTGATCAAGTCCTTCCTTACTTACGCGCCACTATAGATGCTATTGTCGCGACGACGAATTCATTGCCCAGGCTATCGAGGAGTTTTACAAGGGTTGTAATAAAAATCCAATGTCCCCTCGAGATTTGGGAGTAGGCTCAGAGGGATGGGTAGCCAGAGAGGTTTCCGACGCTTTGTGAGTCTGCATACCATCATTCATCCGATATAACTTTCTGAAGAACATGCCTACCCGAAGTAATCATCGGCCCCTCGCAAAATCGGCGGGTATCCACACCTACTTCGCATTCGCCTACAAGAAGAATGGGTTTGAATTGTCGAGTTACTTCTCCCCTGAGCCTTTCTTGTAATACACAGACTATCTTCCACCTTTTCCCACTTCATATTCCGAGCACGTTGGTTCAATCTCGCCGAAGACAGTCTAAGTCTTTGCTTTGGTCGTGCTCGTTGTGTTTGCTGTTGTTTGATTCAGAAGGTTTCGACGTTTCGTCCACCCCCGTCGCTCGTTGTGATGAACACATGGCAAATTCTATCACCCTCGGTCCCTCGGATACACTAGAATGTTCTGCGCTTAGTACCTATGTCAATCTATCGACGATTGTCAAAATTGTAGTCTTGGTGAATTAATGCCATTGCAACATTCTTACAACCCTTCAAAGTTTCAACTTTCGACTGTGGGCGGTTGTGGGCTGGCTACTTGGGTCCCGGTGTCAGGTTTAGATATGGGCGTCGCAGGTCGAAGATGATGTCGAGACTGCACGAGGTTGAGATTGTGATATGCATCGTTTTGATGGTGGAGATCGAAGGAAGGGATGTTCGACACCGCCCTTGGTGCGTGGCATATGAACTTTACGTCGGTCTCCAGGTTGACACAGCCCAGAACTGGCAACATCGTTGTGAGTCTCGTTTCGTCTGAAGAGTCTGTGCGCATCCCAATCCTCAAGATTCTGAACTTTTTGTGTATCCTGAGTCCAGTCGATGGCAATGCTGCATGCAGTCACTCTCCGAGGAGCTACGGAAGCGGGGCGAGAGAACGGCTCCAATCAAAACACGAGGTTACGAAGGGCGCTTGAATGATCACATCTTCTGTTCTCTTCGCTGGACTATTTTGTTTACGTCGAACCCAGAAAGGCTGTGTACCCTCTACGCCTGTCGTACTGGGAATCTGAGTTCAATCCCCTAGCCTCGAAAGCCAGCCTCTGGAACCCCAGTATGGGACAGTCGAGGTTTCTCTCTCGGAAAAATGTCTACTAGTTAGTCGAAGAGACCATTCGACCCGCAGACTAGGGTCAACTTCTCGATAAGATAACCCCCTCGACTTCGCCTGTGGAGAACCATACGAGATTAACTTCGGTGCGAATCAGTGCCCATGGGCAACTCTATGCACGTACGCACCATATTGCTTCTTCTGAATCGTGCAGTCAAGTGAGACAGAAAAAAAGATGAGTTACCCCAATGCACCCCCTCCAAACCCCCTCCAAACAATAGATCCGGTATGAGACATGCTGGGGCGTCCGGAAGCAGGGTAGATATCATGTCGTTTAGATAAGCGCCCAAGCCAGGATCGCATGGACACTGCGAAAGACAAGTCATAGAAAATCGAACTCCGCGACCTCCAAGCATGGGAACATTAACGAAGTCCTATGTACATAGAAGAATATGGCCTCCGATTGGTCAGGGACACGCTCGAATCCGTTAGCACGATTGGCTAGACGGGTCTCTCGCACATCCTTTCGTCGCTGAAAGTGATGATTGGAGGCACCCCTGACATCTCCATCTTCCGTCGTACCCTTTTTTCAGTACCAAACATTCTTCGTAGAATGAATGACGATTGGCCTCGGTACGTATTGAGTTGACACAGCTGCCTCGCTCTAACAGCATACAACTGTGAGAATAACGCTGTCCTTTGAGCTCACTGTCGGATGAATTACATATTGACATCCGTATCAGACCTTTTCTTTAAGTCACTATGAACAGTGGACAGACTCAGGGATGTATTGGAATCTCGATTCAAATACCCGCTTCATGTGTACCTTTCCGAACGACAACCGTGACGGTAAAGGTTTCAAGTGTCAACAGCCTGCATCAGGAGCGTGGTAATGGATAGTTCACGCAGGGTTACCCGGGTGTGGAATTCGTGTGCAGTCGATGTGTCGAGGAGAGCGGACCCGACGAATCTAGAAAGAGTGAGATGAGAACGGGATGGAGAGTGCCGTTAACGAGAGGGATGATCTCGTAATAACTCTGAAGGATCGAGATGTAAAAGATGATAATGATAACATTGAAGATGTGTATGTACAAAGATACCTGGGAACGTTAGAACTCTCCTAAATCAGACGGGAAATCTTCAAACATCGTTTCAGGTGAATAGGTTGACGTCAAAAATATCGAGAGGTAGCCCGTACCCCTTAGTCAGTGGCAGAATAAACTACGTTTGTAGTAGGAAGACACATACAAATCCGCCAATGTCTGACGCAAGGACAAAGAACATATCAGTCTGATACAGTTAGAGGCGTTTCGCTCTGTTTAGTTGAGACTTCAACGTGCGAGGGCTTAGCTAGGTTATCTCAGTAGTAAACGCGAGTGATAAGTACACGCTTTTCTTTGTCTTGCGCTATTGACACGTTTGGGTGAGGGCAAAGAGCATAATTAGCCATGTAACTTCCGCGATTATTGGTAGGCTCGGTGCCGAGGAATGTGAATTGAATTTAGTACCCTTAGTAGCCACGAACCTTTTAGGTTAACTCTGAGGATCCCGAACGTCAAGGAGTGTAGGGGTTGTGGCAACTCAGCCGTCCAAATCCTCCGAGTGCGGAGGAGTGGCTACTAGTTCGCTTAGCGCCCGGACCTTTTAGACGCCGAGCGATAAGTTTCTCCGCTCGAACGATTGGGTTAGGTTCGTATCATAGACTGAAAAGCAGGCTGATAAGTGAGCGGGCTCCCAGGGACCCCCTGCAGCTTTCAGGCCTTGCAAGAGCCATAGGTCGCCGGTGGCTGACCCTTTTTAGATGGAAGTCGACTCGCCCTCAATACAGCACCTTGCCTCGAGGAAAGCGTTCACCACTTCTTGCATCCCCTCCAGGCCCGGAAAGCCTCGTGCTCCGTGCCGGCCGAATTTCAAGGCACGCAGACCTATTTCGGAGTCGCACCTGCCACGAACGGCGTATTGACGTTTTATTGATTCTGCAAGTAATCAACGTGAGTAAAATCGAAGACTACGAGCTAGTTTCTCTTACGACCAGCGATGGCAGGGAATCTCATTGGGGTGGCAACTAGGCGATGTCTCTTCCCTTCACCCTTCTTCGCGACGCAAAAAAGTACAGTCTCGCGAAGCTTTGAGAGGGTAAAGGGTATTTTCAAAGGAAGGCTTTCGCGCTTAGGGGCATCGTGATCCCCATATTTAATGCCCATACGCCTGGTCTTTCATCCGATCCGAATCATTCTTCCTCTTCGAGCCCATCTTTGTCCTTTGTTCTCTTTTCCATCGAGGTCCCCTCTATCGTCTCCCATTACCCTCCAGTGCCTCTTCTTTGGATCACACCAACCCTTGTCGGCTACTAGGGAATCAAACGAGGCTTTAAAACCGTGATGCCACCACCCACCCCACCCTCGGTTCTCATTTCCTTGGATAAAATGTCTTCCAAGTCCTCTACATCACTCTCTCGCTCATCCTTCGATGTGGATAAGCACTTGCACCTTCACCACTTCACCTCTGAGGAAACTATGAGCGTCAGGAGCGATTGCGGGTCCCCGGTTTCGCTTCGCCTCAAAGCAGCCGAGGCACTCGAGAGGAAGGTTTGGTTCAAGCTTGACAAATGGATCCTTCCGGTTGTCACGATGTTTTATCTGCTTTCATTTTTGGTGCGTCTTTGGCTTGCTTGGATTGGATGGTTAGCGATTTGTGGCGCTGACCTTCTGGTACGCTTAGGACCGGACAAATTTGGGCAATGCGAGAGTAGCGGGGTTGCAGAAGGACTTGAAGATGACCAACGACCAGTACAGTATTGCACTGACCGTGACTTATATCCCTTACATCCTTGCCGAGTTACCATCGAACCTTCTGCTCAAAGTAAGTACCACTCCCGACGCACCGTTCGGTATCCCTAATTAACTCGTACAGGCTGTCGGGCCCAACTTGATGTTGCCGACCATGCTCACTCTCTGGGGAATTGTAACGGCGCTGCAGGGTATGTCTTCTCGATTACTACGCATGCGGACAGCGCTAATGATATGTGACAGGATTGGTGACTAGTTATGGTGGCTTACTCGCTGCTCGCTTCTTCCTCGGACTCTTCGAAGGTAAGATCTCCAATTTTGGACCAGAGTCCAAGGACATTGTTAACGACTTGGCTCAGGTGGCGTCTTTCCGGGCCTTGTGCTTTATCTTTCTTCGTTCTACCCTCGCCAAAAGCTCCAATGGAGGTGAGCTCATTCGCTCAAATCCCCCTAGTCGGACCTCATCCAATACCCACCTATTTTTAGAATCTCCGTCTTCTTCTCAGCCGCCTCGCTCTCTGGAGCCTTCTCCGGGCTTCTCGCCTTTGGAATCATCAACATGCACGGCGTGGGCAACAAACCGGGCTGGGCATGGATTTTTATTCTCGAAGGTCTATTCACGTTTTGCTTCGGAGTCACGAGCTTCGTTCTTCTCCCTCGGTCGCCGGCGCATGCGACCTTCCTGAGGAAGGAGGAGAGGGACTATGTGATGGCTAGGTTGAAGGAGGATGGAGCGGTGGAAAGGGATGATCGGGTTGACAAGTTTAGTTGGAAGGAAGTCAGGAAGGCGTTTGGGTTGCCGCAGGTTTGGTTACTCGCGATCGTTCTGTTCATGGACGGTAAGTGACTTCGTTAACTTCTTGCTCGACGGCGTCTCACAGTTAACAGGGACCGTACTGTATGGATTGGCTTAGTGAGCATTGTCTCATGCCCTGTGCTCCGTTTTCTTCTAACCTTCTTCGAGCTTCACCCCTTCGATTGTCCAAGGACTTGGATTCACGCCTGCGAAGACGCAGCTTATGAGCGTTCCACCATTTGCGGCTGCGTTCTTCGGTGAGTGATACCCGGGCACTCTACTTTCTATTAACCGCTTAGCTGAACTTCTTCCTCAGTAACCATGCTCGGCGCCTTCGTTTCTGATAGGTACCGTTGCCGGGGTCTCGTTTCCATCTTCGCGTTCGTGCTTTGCATCATTGGGTTCTCAATCTATCTGGGTAAGCGATGAGTTCTCTCATTGACTTTGGGTGTTCGACTGACCGCGTGTTCTGCAGTCTCGACGAAGCATCACCTCCAATACGCCTCCCTGTTCTTCTCGATTACCGGGGTCTACCTCTCCGCACCCTCGTTGTCGACTTGGAACGCGAACAATGCCGCTCCACACACGCGTCGCGCCACGGCCATTGCTATTGGCTTCATCATGACCAACTCTGGTGGTATTCTTGCTACCTGGCTCTTGGGTTCGCTATCTGCTCCCCCGAGGTACGATTTGGCCACCAAGCTGCTGTTAGGCTTCTCCATCGCAATGGTCGTCGTCTCAGCGCTCAACTTGGCGTATTTGTGGAATGAGAACAGAAAGAAGAAAGTGATGAGGGAAAGGCTGGGTATCAGGAGCCAGGAGACACCGGGTATGGGAGATCAGTCCGCCTGGTATGTTTATGCCTTGTAGGAGGGCCTTGTCAGGCTCTATTTCTCCCATTCCGCCCTTAAATTTCGTAATTTTCTCATTCTCTTCTTGGTAACACATGCTAGCCACCAGTACCATCGTCCTAAACTGAACCATGTATGTAACCTGTACCTAGTAGAGCCGATTTGTACTATCAATAGCCGCACTCTGCCCATGTAATATACTACCCCGCACTGTATTCAATTAAATTTCTCTCCTCATCAGAATTTCTCTGCGACGGGACTCGAGAGTAACGCGTCCGGCGAAACTAAGGCACAATAAGAAGCAGGGTTGGAAATGACGTCCCTCACCCGGGTTCGAACTCAGGACTATGGGCGGGTTGAGGGCCGTGGGAACTATGATCGTGTCATCCCCGGCGGAGGGTCTGCCAATCTCAATCCCAAGCGTCGACGACGGCCGCTCCAACCTAGGCCTGCAACCAGAATTCTAGGTTTATTGATCTCACTAACACCGATAATACGAAGAGCTTCTTCTATGGGTCCAGGAAACCGCCAGAGCAGCCTGCTCGACGCGCAAGATGTGACAGCAGGGAGTGGGTACGATGATGATAGGTGCGAATTTACCGAGGTTACCACCATTTCAAGCACGGAAGACGAATTCAGAACGCAGATAGATCTCACAGAAGATGTCTGGTGTGATTCCACTACTGTTTAACGTCCAACCCTGGCTCTGCTCAAGCATGAATGGGACCCAATGGGAAAGTTCACATCGGTGTGTAGTGTTTCTTCTGATTCAGAAACTAGCCAGACATTGACACAAGCAGTAGGTTGCTCAAGTGCATCCGCTCTGCGTGAAGTCGACTGGACGTCCCTGCCCAAAGTCGAAAGGGGCGTGCGCTTGTCAGCTGTTTTTTGGGGCGCAAGCAGATTGACAAGTCACTTGGTAACGAGACACTTGGCAAGACGTGCGACGTCGAGATGTCCATTTCGCTCTGGCATTTGCGATGCGTATGTCCGCTGATGCTCATATCAGCCATTCGTCGCAACCCTGAGCGCTTGAGCTCTAAGAACGTCTATTTCGGCGTTCAGACAGCCCGCCGGGTTCGATTGAAGCCTATTGGTAGTGTCTTGCATGAACGGGAGCGCTCTGATCACGAGCGAATTTTGAGCCCTTATTTCACCATGGTCGGCCCATTCATCCTCGTGTTCAATTGTGCTGAACAGCATGTTTTTCATTTCCCGGCTTTTTAACGATTTTGGTCAGAACGATTGTCTCTCTTGATCACGCTACGTGGAACTGATGCTTCTTCATAGGTTCAAGTTTATACATAGTGGTCCTTGGTATAACATGAGGCGAACCCTGTTGGAGCGTCTGTTATCAAGCGACCACGTCGCAATGTACCTTCAGGGTGGCTTTACGGCTACGAAGGGAGCTTGAGCTCAAAACTGCGATCAGTCAAGCAAGTTGTGAGGCGAGTATGGACATGTGGAATGACGGAATGGGTGCTTCTTCCACCCCAAGTGTATAGAGCTTCCACTAAAGGGTCCTGTGACGGAAGTGATCATTCTCAATCCACTCCATCGGCGCTGATAGTGTTTTTCACTCCCAGCTTCTTTTACTCCTTCCCGGTAACGCGCGAGCGTGGCAATAGAGTCGCTCGATGACTCGTGTTTCTTACGTCGCTTCCCCAACGTTCCCCTCTGTCGCGGGATTTTCTCTGCAAGTTGGCGTGGAGCGCTGACAAGGGTACAAAGGTAGGTATGTACTTGGCCATACCACCCAGACGCACAATTCTCTCGCATCGCAGAGACTATAGAACAGTACCCGCATGTCTGATAGAAAAGGAGATAGATTCGGCAAGTGCCACCCACGTTCAACACAATTTTCACGAAAACTTACGTCGTCTGGGCAGAATAGATGGAGGTAAACCTCTGCTAGGAAAGGGTACCCAGGGATCGAGATCAACATCAATGACAATGTTGTGACGATTCACCTTTTCGGCCGGGGTTGATTGTCGAGTAGAAGCAAGGGAAACACGCGGGCCCTATTAATCAATTCACTCTGAACAGGTGGTTAAGATCAGGAACGTCGGCTTATCAAAATTTTGGAATCCGCCCCAACCTCGACTTTTTATGCCAGCCTTGTGGTCGCTCCTAGACCGCTTCTATCATGCTCTGTTGCAGGGCTCTCCATTGAACATATACTCGCCACCCATCCACAGGGTCTTCCATTCTATCCTCCCAATTCAAGGTAAAACCTTGGTTCTCTAGCGCGCAAGTGCGATCAACTGATTCTTTTCCGAAGGAGCTATCCCTTGTCGTCCCTACAAATCCACACCCACACCATGCCCGTTAGGAGAGACGACCTGAAATGTTCCGCCCACAAAAGTAGTTATTTCGGCAAGTCGTGCAAGGCAGCAGTGCGTATTGTTTGTACCAGCTCGTCGGGATGCCGTTGTGGTGCTCATCACACCCACTCATTCACGCTTGGATAGCCGTTAATCTGCCTAGACCATCCGAAGATCGCCAATTGGAGTTGGGTTTCGCTCTACGGGACGAGTCCCAATTCGACGAAAAGGGCACGACGGAAGGATATAAAAGTCTGCGAGTCGCGTCTATCCCGACGGATTCGTGAACCCAGTCATCTTGACAACTGTACGCTCGCGATGTTCACTTCTAAATTCAGCTCTCGTAACTTCTTCTCTATTCTCTCCTCAATCGTAGGCTTCGAAGGCCACTCTGCCAAACCGACTGTCACCGTTGTCGATGATGAACCTCCTGCCAAAACCCCGGTTCCTGTGCGGCCACAGCCTCTGGAGGACATGGTGACCGAGACTGCAGTTAGCTTGCTGGGCCCTACTGCCCTCGTCCAGGCTCGCAAGTCGCCCTCCCTCGAACGCGGCCTTCCTGTCTATGATTCCCTCACACGCGTCAGTCATATTCTCATCGTTACCGCTCCCCTTGATCATTCTGACACTTCTTTTAGATGCTCCCGTTCCCGCCCCACTTCGAGTTTTGGTGGAAAAAGCTCGGAGGCCCTTTCGCGTCTATGCTCGAAACTTCTCGTTATTCCCCTATTGCGCAAGCTAAATTCTTGTGCTTCTTCTATGGCACTGTCATCGAACTTATGCCCCCACATGACACTTCCTGTTCGGATTCTGTCATGACTATCGACGGCAGCCCTGTGGAACTGAGCTGGGTGCTTCCTTCGTCTGAGGAAGTCGCTGGCGGCGGTCGCGCGCCTGGAAAGGCTAAACCCCGACAAGTCCGTTTTGCGATTGAACCAATGTTAGTTTGTTACCTCCGATCCGTTTCTCAGGAGAATAAGCTAACCACCTTATTTGGGCAATAGGCACCCGGCATCAGGTCGTCGTCTCAAGGGCTCGGTCGTTTTGGACTATCTGACATCACCTCGAGGCAGCCTTGGTCTCGTCGTTGCTGGTAAAGACAGCATGACCTGGCGCACCAAGACTGAGGAATTCATGTTCCCCAACTCCGAAGGTGATGAGATTCCAGACGGCAGCCGCTTCTTCGTTGGTAGGTTTATGCGAACGTATCGTCAGCGTCCTCTCGTACTGATCATAACGATTCAGGGTTCGACTTTTTGCCCAACGGAACGATCGCGCTGAAGGCTTACTATCTTCCCGCACCTCCGTCCCCCGATCCTGCTCAGCTTGCACTACAAGGTCCGATGAAACTCTGGGATGTCGATTACGCACCCCTCAGGCGCCTCGTCTTTGATCTCGAGCCTGCACTTATGGAACCTTTGGAACTTCTGCTCTCCTATTTCGAGTCTCTGGAAGATCGCCACAAGCCTCGCATCCAGATCGTCTCCATGGATTGCGTGAAGAGCAGTGAGAATCGTCTCAAGGTACGTTCCTCGCCACATGAACGTGTACATTCTCAATTCAATTGGCTTATCGCGTTTGTATGTGTAGATTTACTGTCGCCCGAAGGAAGGAAGTTCTTGGTCGGATGCCGTGAGGTCATTCACTCTTGGAGGACGCTTGAAAACACCGCAGATGGAGGAAACTGTCAAAGATATGGAACGTCTCTGGAACACCCTCTTCCCTCACGCCAACTCTTCAATCGACTGCGACCTTCGTGTGGCCGACCTTCTCGACGACGAGGTCAGCGGAGAGGCTAGTAACGGAATTCGCCTCGACAAAAAGCAGCACCCAGTCGGTGGGTTGCTGTACTACTATTCACTCTTCGCCGGTAAGGAATCGGTCTATCCCAAGCTTTACCTCCCGGTAACGTGAGTCCTTTTGATCGAAGCGCCTCCTTAGGTTATCCCGTTGCTCACCTGGTCTGATTTGTAGGCACTACTGTCCCGACGATCAATTCATCGCTCGCGCCATCGAGGAGTACTATAACAACTCCAAACGCCGCTCCAACGCTACTTCTGGTGTTGGCTCCGAGGACTGGGTGGCCAAGGAGGTTGCGAATACATTGTGAGTGCACCTACGTTTCGTGAAGTAAGACGTTCCCTTTCTGACCATATGACCTTCTGTAGTAATCATCGCCCCCTCAACGAGTCCACGGGTATCCACACCTATGTCACCTTCGCCCTCAAGAAGAACGGCTCCGAGCTCACCAACTACTTCTCCCCCGAACCTTTCGTCTACTAGATGTCGTCGGTCCGAAAGCTTCCCACTGATTAGACCTTCTTGCTCTCTTCGCTTTGATCCAGTGTTGTTGTTATCTTACCTTACCTCATAACGGGTTGTATGTTGTATTCTAATCGTTGCATAGTCTCCTGTCCGCCTTGATGTCTGTACCTTCATAGAATTTCACATCGTTTCAAATTAGAATGTTGCCTGAACGTTCTACCACGTCTCTACTTTACCTGCGAGGGATAAATATGTTGGACAGTATGGCGAGGTTTACATAGTACCGGATTCTAAGATTGACAACGAAACTCCAGTTCAAGTGTAAGTTGTCCCAGCCTGACGGCGTTCTCTTGGCGTATTCACCTTTATCATCCTAGTTATGATTACAATGGGTCTCCAGCTCAGCGCTCACCAGTGGGCTATCAGCCAAGGTGAAGCCCTCAGGGACCTACTTCTGCCTTGACGCCGGCTCTAGTGAGTGACAGGGGTTTTTCTTAAGCATCAGGGTTCTACCAGGGATTCTCTCCGAGTCAGCTCCCGCCAATGGGGTTGGATTGAAGATTTGGCAGTGCTACGACAACTTCCCAGCGCAGCAATGGTGCCTCACTGAGGATAATAGGATTGTCCTTGCAAGACAAAATCAACGTCATTCAATTGTTACTTTCGTTCAAATTCCGAAATTTTGACTTCATGTACTGAATAAACAGGCCTGTGCGTCGTCCTTCCCAGTATGTTATTACTTTTTGGACGCTTAATGCACCCCTGCTTGGCTTAAACAATCCTCTGTCTCTTTTCCTTCCACATATACTCAGCGAACTGCTTCTTAGATCTCCTTTGCCTAATCTTCAGGTAGCGCCCACCACTCGGGATAGACGCCCAAGCGTATAAGGACCAATTGCAAATTCCATCACTCCCGAGATCGTTCCCTGAAGTAGATGTCAGAGGTTTTTGAGGGGATGAAGGCTAGCTCCCAGGTACACTAAGGTGTAAAGAGGATCTATATAAACGCCTCAGCATCGCATCGCCGCTCGCACTTGGTGACTTGGGACAAGTTACGGCTCCAACGGCATTGTTTGATGCCATCATTGATGAATGGTCGGAGTGCTCGCGGAGCCTGAGCGAGCATGCCTCGTGTTCCTTCCATGCTGTGCTTCGTGCAGGCTTACCATTTTCTCTGACATTCTGTAGACCGTGCTCGAAGGCCTCATCCACAGGAGCCTCAGTATTCCTTACTAGTAAGCCTTCAGAAGTCACTGATAAGGATCTCGGAGTCTAGGTCATCAGTCTCGTTCCCATCCGCGTCAATCCTGTAAAGTTAAGCTCAACCGTGGAGACGCTGCCCCTTATCCCCACTTCTATAAGCCACGGCAAAGGGAAATCGACGCTCGCGGATCCCATCCTACCGTTTCTCCCGACAAAGACACCATGAGGCTCAGCGCTCTCTACCTGGCACTTCATAGCTCGGCGCTCACCCTGGCCGCAAGCCTTTTGGAGACTAGGCAAACGACGCCGCTAACGCAGTACATTGTCGAGAATCAGTGCCCGAGCGCCATCAACCTCTTCATCGCCGGCCAACTGGATAGCTCTATTCCGAGCCAAGGGAATACCACGAAATTCCTTCCAGCGAATGCAGGGTTCTTCTACACCGATGCTAATGGGGGAAATTCGAACGGACTCCGGACCCTGCGAGCTGGGTTTTATGGAGAGGTATGTAAACTCTGGTATACCCCACTCTTCGGGACTACCTACACGTGTCTTTTCAATAGCAATTCTATTACTACATGGTCAAGGATCCAGACTATGTGAACGTCGGGATGAATGTTGCTCCCCAAGGTGTTCCTTCGGTTAGTTCGGTATTCCATGCGCAGGGCCTAGTTCGGATTTGACCGTTCATTTCGATAGCGACAAGGCTATTGTGTCTCCGTCGGATGTTCAGACGTCAATTGCCCAACGGCGTTCTCATCCCCGCCCACCAGATTCCCCCCTTCGGGGAGCACTGCGCCTAACCCGCCGTTTTACCAATGTCCGATTGCCAATACCACTTATCGCATTACGTGTGTGATTTCTCAAGAGCTCGTACCTGCTAAAATCTTACGTCTTGTGCTTCTAGCTTCTGCCCTGGCGGACAATGGCCAGGCCCAGAAACCTGGCGTATTCACCCAGGATTTAATACCGCCAAATGTTTGGACGTCCGTGGGGCGGTATTCTCCAATGGGACTCCAGTTCAAATGTGAGTTTAGTCCCAGTGATGACAAATGTCGAACGTTCTACAACCCTTCCACTAAATCCTCATTTCGTTTACTTTTGGGGTGCCTCGCCCTTTTCATATCAGATACGATTGCAACGGGACCGCTGCCCAAAATTGGATCCTGAACCGAGGCGCGACCAGCATTCGGCTCAATGGGACCAACTTTTGTCTTGACGCCGGCTCGAGTGGGTGTCAATTGATTCCATGATCCTGTGACCAGGAAACTTACGTTGCTGTGTGCGCTCAAGATCCCGCGAATGGAGTCGGCATGAAGATTTGGCAATGCTACGATAACCTCCCAGCTCAGCAGTGGTTCTACAGAGACGATAATCGCATTACCCTGCAGAATCAAGGTCGGTCTTCAATCATTCTTATCTGCGGCGTTGCACCCTGAACATGAGGACATTAGCCTTTTGCCTCGATTTGACCAACGGTGAATTGACCAACTCGAATCAAATACAAACCTGGCAATGCACCGACAATAACGCAAATCAGGTATGGACCCTGTAATCGCTGAAAAGCTACCTTAGGTTCTCGCTTGGAAAGAGCCGGTCGCGCTCGGAATGCCAATTTCGAGCGAGTTCACCACAATTGACACTTCCCGTCTGTTTTACTCCTTCCGAACTCCACGTGGGCGTCGCCTAGACTTTCCATACTATGGACCCAGTTATATCTGACATGTTGCGTCTCCAATTGGACCTATATGGCCCCCCTGATGTACTTACTTCTCCTTTGGACAATTTCCAAATTTCTTGTGGCCCCGTATAAACGTGATCGTAGAAGTGCATCAGAATTGTAGCCCGCTGCGGAGTGTATAACAGCAAGATCCCTGAGAAAAGAGACTGTGAAATGAAGTGTGGGTACTGTGAGGACCTTTCAAGTTACGTACCCCAAGAAATCGGGCTTTTTGGTCCGTAGGATTTGGCGCTCGCTTAGCCGCCCGATTTGGGAAAGGAAGGTCTGTGATCGTGCGCTGCCGTACACAGTTGTCCTTGTGTGGATATCCCACGACACTCCTTTGTTCGAACCTTTCACGCATTCATGTAGTTTTGTCCCAATAGGTGGCAATAGTGCTGAGGTAGTGGGTGCAAGACGATGGAAGGCAGGTCTCGTGATGGACCAGATTCCACAGTAAACAGAACCACGAATGTGGCCACGAGTATCCGTATACACATCGCGAGCACTCTCCAGGCCCCTACAAGCTATTCACGAATCAGCCCCTTTGGAGCGCAACTCCTTCCCAAGGTGCACCGGTCTCCGGATCTACCAAATGTCGTAGAGAAGGTCTAGACGCACTGGGCTCGGGGGGCTCCGACGTTGCATTCGGAAGTAACCACAGCGAAAGCGTCGCTCCAATCTGCTCTGCATTGAGGTAGGATGCACGTCTATCCGACTTGCGCTAACGACGAGGATGAAAAAGAGGGCGGCTCGGCTTGTCGGCAACAATTGATGTCGATCATTGATGATTGATCGTTGCCTCGTTTTGGCCCAGCGACGGGTCTCTCTGTCCAAGACTCCTCTCTCTGAAGGACTGTGTCAGACCGATGCGCTCCAATGCTGTTCTGCATTTCAGTGGACCTGGAAAGAAATTATTTTCCTATAGCCTTCTCACTCAGCAACTGAACTGGGCGATGCATATTGTTTCCACAGCAACTACCGCCCCCACTTCCGTCGATCTCTGCTTCCATATCCGATCGACATCAACCTTGCTCCCAGTCGCTCTAAATGGCTTCACCCTGCTCGCAAAGCGGGTTTTCTTTCTGTCCCGTACTCAAGAAATTCCGTTCAAGGCCATGACTCGAACGTTAACAAATTTCCTCAACGCACGGCCCTCTTCCCCGGGAATGGATAAAAGGCTGAAGATCCCAGTCGCCGAGGCTCATCCCAATCCCAACACATTCACTCTTTCCCTCACATAAATCTCCTTTCTCTCTGTCTCGGTTCGCAGTCATGAAGGCGGCTCTTATTCTCGGTTTGGTTGCCCTTGCGCAGTGCGCTTATGGACACTGTACGCCCTTTGCCTTTGCAAGCCTTCGTCGTTCGTGGCTGGTCTGACATCAATCCCAGACATCTTCAACGTCCTCATCGCTGGTTCGAAGACGTCGACGCAGGCCGTCCGTCAACCCAAGGGCGTCGATCCGTTTGCTGGAGTCGATTCCGCTGACATGACATGTAACGTGAATCCGAGCCCCGCGACCGACACCGTCTCTGTCGCCGCTGGTGAGACGATTGGGTACAAGTTGTCCAACAGCATGTACCACCAGGGCCCCGTCTCCCTTTACCTCGGCAAAGCCCCAGGTTCTGCCGCATCCTGGGACGGTAGTGGTCAGAACTGGTTCAAGGTACGCCGCTCATTGACACCACTTGTTTTGTGTGTTCTGACTCGAGCTCTTCTTCAAGATTGCTGAATGGGGTGTTGATACCCTCAAGCCCGTGTCGTTCAGCAGCTACCAGAAGTCTGAATTCACCGCCACTATTCCACCCAATACCCCGTCTGGAGAAGTACGTCTGACTCTGGTCACCTCCTTCCCCTCGCATTCTCACCTTCTGCTAGTACCTTGTTCGGATTGAGCAAATCGCCCTCCACCTCGGTACAGGTGTCCCCGAAGTCTTCGTCTCCTGCGCTCAGATTAATGTCACCAATGGCGGATCTGGCAATCCTCCCAAGGTTTCGATTCCTGGCCACATCCCACCCTCTGGTACGTGCTCTTCTTCGTCGGCCCCGTGATCCCATCGTGCTTAAGCCTCACTTCCCATAGATCCTGGCGTCACGGCCAACATCTACGAAGGACTTTCTTCCTACACTGTCCCTGGCCCTGCCGTTTGGAGAGGCTGAAGATGTTCACATTTGTGGACCGTCGCTTTGAATGAGTTGTCATGGGTAGAACCCGTGTTCACTCATTTGTACTTATCGCCACTGTATACTAGTCATTCGTTTGTTCTGTAGCATAGTTTATCCTCGTTGCTTTGCAATGTCACGCTGTCGTTACTTGTCAATTTGTCTCTCGTCTTGTGGCAGACTTTCTATTGGCGTCTTGACTCTGGAGACTTCGTTGCCTTGTGAAGCTTCAACCTGGATTCAGCGAATAGGATCTGGTGCTCTTCAGGCTAATGCCGTTCATTCATAGGATATTTCGAGTCTTAAGGAGACGGTATGTCGCACCCGGGAACCGGGAACCTAACCCTCAGTCCGCGAGCTTCTCACATCCCAATGCACAGGTGGGGTCACTATCGCACGCTTCTCGGACAACCGTACAAGCTTTTACTCCACAAGAACGCACGATTCAAGGTGTATAACTTGGATTTTGGGATACTGATACATCTTCGATGAGTGGGTATATAAATTACTACGTCTCTAAGCTACATCACCGACAAGCGCTTACCACCAAGTGGGCTTGAGAGGAGGATCAGCGTTCTTAACGAGGTTGACGACGAAGTCGTTGAACCACTCGCCAGCCTCAGGGGCAGGGACGTGGGCAACAGGGCTCGCGCACATCTCGTCAAAGCGCTCAGCAGTCTCATCGCTGGTTCCATCGGACTCTCCTCCAGGCTTGACCCAAACGATAGCATCGACGTTGGTGTTGTTGAGGATGCGTTGGTCAGCGGTGGGGCGGATACCGAAGCCAGCACCGCGGATGTTGCACCATTGACCCCACTCAGTTCGGATTCCACCCTTGCCGGCGCGGCCCTGGTCGACGATGAAGTTGGCGGGGTAGCCGGCCTCCTCGAGGTGGGGAGCGAGCGAGTTGACGTAATGGTACTCGTCCCAGGAGTTGGACCATTCGGTGTAGTTCTCGCGGGGGTTGGAGATGTACTGGTTGTAGTTGGAGACGTTGATGGCGAGACCCCGGACCTTGGACTTGGGGTTGATTTCCTGGGCACCCTCGAGGACCTCGGCGAAGATCTTGGCAGAGGGAGCGAGGTTGTCGTCCCAGCCCAACCAGCCACCGTGGGCAGCGTCGAGGTAGATGGCAATGTTCTCGCGTTGGAGCTTGGCGATGGCGTAGGAAGTACCGTCACGGTAGGCCTGGGCAGCACCAGCGCACTTGGGAATACCCATGTTGGTCACAAGGTTACCGAGCGAATCGGGCTCGAGGACAACGACGAACTCGAGCTCTCGGGCCTCCCTGGTGGAAAGCTCAGCAGCGACATCTGGAAGCGATACGTGAGACACGAGATCCAAATGACGCGTAGTAAAAGGACGTACCATCAACGAACTTCTTGTACTTGTTGAAGCCGTCGTCGTCAAGCTTGAATTCACCATCGGAAGCCTTGGCAGAGCAGTCACGGTCGGGAAGGTTGTAGACAACGAGCTGGACGAGCTGCTTCTTGCGGGTCCTCCTCTGGGTGGCGAGGGCGTCGCGGATGAGGGGCTTGACAGTGGAGATCTGTTACGACGCGTCAATAAGTACCAGCTTCGTGAACCAAAGGACACCATTCCAACTCACGTCAGCAGACTTGGAGATCCAAGCGAAGGTGGGGATGTCCTTGACGGTGCGGGTCCTAGCAGCGTTCAAGAAGTCACCTCGCCTGTTGAAGTAGCGGATGGTCTCGTCGAGCTTCTTGGCGTAGGTGGGGATGGCGAAGGGACTCTTTCCAACGTAGGGGTTGACATCGCCTGACGGTGGACGGGGGGCAGCCAGCGTCACCGTGGGGGCAACAGCCAAAGCGGCAGCGAGGAGCTGGAGGTACTTCATGATGGCGATGGTGCAGAGGTGACGACGACGAAGGCCAAGGAAAGAGTCAACCGAACGACTTGGGGAACCAAAGGCTGGCTGAGGGAACACTCTCTCCTAACCGCATGGCGTATTTATAGTCCTCTCCCCCGCCCTCTCACTCCCACTCCCCAGATCCTCCCAGCCTTGGCTTTTTCTCGCGGCCAATGCCAAATTTTTGGACGTTGCGCACAACAAGGTAGCGTGTGTTTGCCCATCGGGGAATTCGCGGGAAGTTGGCGGTAGAGAATAGAGCTGAGTGGGATGGATATTTTTCGGGAGATTTAGAATAGCGCTGAGTCGGAAGCTGTTTCGGGGAAATGCGAGCGCGCGAAGGCAATCGACCTCTTGACAAGTCGGTAGGATATTGTCGACGATGTTGGAGGGAGTCGAAGAGGAGTTTCTGGCACTTGCAAGCGAGGTGCATGGCAGATGTTTGGGAGAGTGAGGGTGCTGGTGCATTGGAGCCTGGATACGTCAGCAATGCCGCTTCACTTGGATAGAAAATACAACACATTCCTGCTATTAGGCAACACCCATGAGCAACGCGTCAGGGGGTGAGACCAAGGTACATACTCACGATCGACCAAGTCTCGATTATTCCGGAATCAAGAAGAAGCCAAGCTGTATTTGACCGAAATCACTGAAGATGTGACAGGAAATCCAATCGTCGTAATACCCTTCAATGCGGCATTTCTCGAAGTCGTGGATCCAAAGTAACCTTGGTCCGATTCGCCTGCGCGTTCCAACGAAAGAAAGTTATCCTGTTAGTGGCACGGCTGAGTCGCGTTGAGGTTGACGTTCATGACGGTGGTGGCGTGTGGGGAAGGTTGCACATGGTCCTTCGTCATCCGCGAGTGTGGGGTGGGGATCGACCACGACGACCGTGCGTATCCTGATCCAAGTATGATGCGACGCGCTGAGGCCAAGCGCGGATGCAGAACCAATCTTCGGTGCCTTTTGGGCAATCTGTAATAGAGTGTCGCCGATGTAAACCTAGGTACATAGGCGCTCAAAGGCCTAAGAAGCTGGTCAACCTCGGAAAACGAACGTCTAAACGTCGAACTAATTCACAGCCCGATCAATAAACATAAAGGGGTCTCGATTACCAATTTACTGGAAGAACATCTGGACTCGTCTTGTACTACGCGCCAATGTAAACCAAGAGGTTGGAAGTACCCGCAGCTGCGGGTAGCGGTTAGTCAGAGGGAGGAGTTCCTTACGACGAGACCAGAACAACGTACGAATACCCGTCAACACCCCTTGGTTCGCCCTCGCCTTTAACTTGGCTTCCATAGCGGCCGGAGAAACATTGCCTTCCAGTCCAATCAAATACGCAATCGCACCTGCGACGTGAGCTGCGGCCTAGACGACAACCGAGGACGTTGGTTAGTTAACCATCAAGGAACACGTCGGCAAGTCGAGGAACTCATCCAAGCCGTCGGAAGAAACGGAGAGATAATTTACCATGGATGTTCCAGAGAGTGTTTGATAGGCCTGGCGGGAGAGGATGTCAGCGGGGTTATTCCAGTGATGACCGAATCGGCAGCTTCCATGGTCGGGAAAGGGACCCATAATTATAAAAAGGGGACAATATTAAATCATCTCCATGTCTCGACCAGGGTACAAGAGATTGAGGCTAGATAAAACTGAACTCACCGTATCGCTTGTGTGCCAAGCACTGTAAACTGATTGACCTGGAGCAAAGATGTCAATGCCCGGACCATAGTTGGAAAAGCTGCTTCGAGCATCGGTGATTGCGGTGGCCCCTACGGTGATTACGCTGGGTACGCGTGCCGGGGACGTGTTCTCCGTTCCTGTGTTGGAGCCTCCTGCAGCAGCCTGGAAGATGGATTAGTCAGACCGCACAGACGGTAACGGAAATGGCAATCAAGATAAAAACTCACCACAACGTGTATACCTGCGTTCGTAAGCTAAGTAGCATTGGGGTTAAGGTGATTGTGGTAGGTCCAGACGGAAAGGTGGCATACAGCTGTTACGGCGTTGTCGACGGCAGAGCTGGCGCCTCCACCTAGCGCGATGAGAACGACAGCCGGGCGACCCGAGGTGGTTGCAGCTGTGTAGATCCAGTTGATTCCAGATACGCTGTAGTCCTGAGGTCAGCCAAGAGCGAAAGACCTGAACGGGGGCTGGACTGACACGTTGGAAACTGAGCCAGATCTACAGGGAAACTCAGTGACTGAGCATGAAGCGATAGGAGGAGGACACACCCCGAATCGCTGAGGACCCTGACGGACACGATATTGGCTTTCTGCGGAGGTGCGTCAGCAAGGGCCAGAGGAGAAAACGATTGGATTTAGACCTTGGCGACACCGACATTCCTGCCAGCAGCAGTTCCCCTGTCGTGCAGTTAGAGGAAGCGTCTATTGAATAAGCGGTACACCAACGCGCAGTGGGTACCATGGCCCTGGCCGTCCGTAGGACTGTTTATTGGCTGTCAGACAGAGAAAGGCGGCAGGTGAGAGGTCGTCCACGTACGCATAGCCGCCGAATACAGCTCCGGACCTTGCACGACCTTCGAATTCCACCTAGACCGGCTCAGGATGGTGCTGCAATAGGAGATAACAGACACGCACGTGCGTTAAACGAACGCCTGGGCCTAACGTGAGCTATATTATACAAGCTGGGAGATAGAATGTACCTGTGTCTATACAAAGATAAGCGTTGGATAAGAAAAGCGTGGGATTTGAAGCGTACCCAGAACGTAGATGTCAACCCCTGCACCACCCGAAGAGTCGTAAGTGTAACGGAAATTCAGAGCACTGTCGCCTATCAGGATGCGAAAGTGGCATGGTTGTGGATAACACTTGCGTTGGGTCCCTGCTTAAAAGGGGAGTCCTAGAGCTGAGTCTTGCAGTGCCCCAAGTCGCGTTGTGTCTGGAGGTCGGCAAGGTTACTCTAGAGGTCTCAGACTGGCCCACTAGGACGTACTGCGTCACCGAGGCCAGAGCGTGGACTATGCCATCTTCCTCGATATCGATCACATCTCCTGATTGACGGAGAGTGAATACCTCATCTTCGCTCAGATCGGCTACATCCAGAGTCAATGTACCATCGGCGGGAGACGGGAAAGCAACATACCAGCGAAACCGTTGAGGGCGTCATTCCAAACTTGCACGTTTTGGACGCTGGTCCTCCTCTCCGAGACGGTGTCCAAAAGGCGCTCCGTCGACGCACCGTCTTTCAGCGTGACAATATAGCGCTTAGCGGGTGGTTTCGCATCTGCAAACAAAGGAAGAGTGAGAAGGGCGACGACGAAGCTGTAGAAGCGCATCCTGGGGCTCTGGTTGGGCTAGTCTAAGGACTTCTCTGGTCCTTCATATCCTCTTCGCCTTCACTGACTCCTGTCAACAGAAGCCTTTCCGCGTGCAAGTACCATGCGGTGCGAGATGCCGCAGATGATAACAGGACTCAGAATTGCTCAGGTGAAGTCGTTCTCAATTCAGAAACCGCTTCGCAGTCTTAAGGAAGGTTGTCAATCACCGCTTTACATACGGGCAAAACTAGATGTCACGAACCTGGGGTAATAATTTCGTGGTGTGTTGAGCTTTGCCCGTTGTATCACCATGAGTCCCTGGTTGGAGAAGATGGTAGCTCGACAGACGCTTGACTCAAAGGTTCACGAGACGGAGGCCATGGTTCGGGATTGATGACACAAGTCATGAAGTAGCCGACCCTTTGTGACGTGGGGTATGTATTTGATTGGTTCTACCAGAGCAATCAGCTTTATTGGGCCAGTGCAGCGTTGTATGAATCCGAATTTGTTCCTACAGCGAGACAGCGTCAATCACGCAGCGGACAGTCAAGATCATTAGACTTACCAAAGTCAAGCAATTGGGTCGCCGAGATCTCTCTCCCCGGTAAAGGACTTTCGGTTTGGACCTGGAATAAAATTGGCACGCCGCTGTCTATCTTCAAGACCAACCGCAAGGCGACTCTGACCAACGTCACCCCGCTTCAAACGGAGACCGAAATATCAATCTCACGTGATATGTATGGAGCACTTGCTCACCGGCGCTTAATACGATACGAATGAAGCGCCGGGAGAATGGAATTTGGGCAAAGTCTGAGAAGCATAAGTCAACAAAAATGAGCGAGCTTCGATGTGGACTGTGGAGCTCCCAAGTCGAACCCCCCCTCCCCCCTTTGAATTTCCGCTCCTGTGCTTTCGGAGGCACTATTTTTGGTAGACTAAGACGTCTCCGAGGCGAACACAAATATATGATCATCTGTCATACTTTTGTAGCCAAAGATACACGTTGTAGCTTCATCACAGCGGGGACGTAAATTTTGGTACGGCCAAAATTAGTGATATCAGTTGCACAGCCAAGGTCGAAGCTGCATCCAGAACCATCCATCTGTAGGGAACAAGACGAAAATCACACATAACGAGACGGGCCCTGACGCGTTGGTCCTGTCCTTTCGTCTGTTTCTTCTCTCAGACTTTACATTTAGCCTCACTTTTATACCCACTGTCTTTAATGATTCATGGCATCTTTTTCCCAGGTGGCGACTCCAGTCTTTCCGGTCTCCCTTTCAAGTCCAACATTATTTATGCGTCCTTGACGCTGTCGCAAGAAATTTACCTAACAAGTCGCAGGCGCTACCTTCCGTTGATACCCCAAACGCCTACACCCGACCACACCCGTACATCACTATCAACTTCTCCCTCCTTCAAATCCACCCACAGACGCCCCACTAGCAACTTCACGATCATCACCTTGAGTATCCACATTCCTTTCCAGTTATTTTCACGCAGAGTTGTCATCAACTTATTCAGTGAGATTGTCGACAGTCGCTCTTCTCCCTCATTATACAATCCCGCTGCGTGCAGCAGGGATCGAAGGTCCGATACCCAGATCGAATTCCTATATCACTGTCCAACCTCCATCGTCAAATAGCATTCCATCGCAGAGGGCTGCCGTAGCAGACATGGGCGCTTCAGCGACTATACCCGTCCTTGGAGCGTGTGTCAGTGTTGCTTCCCTTATCGCCATCACAGCTGTCGTTCTATTATGGCGACGACGAAGACAAGATCAAGCAAGGTCCGGGAATGAACGGGATCGAGGCATCCGATACGACTTTAATCCATCTCTTCCTCCAATTCCTCCATCAGCATCATCATCAGAAACAACCAAACACACACCTGTTCCCGAGGCTTCGGCTTCACGAACGCGGCTCATTCAAACGCATGCGCCTCTTCCCGCGTCGAACCTCCGTGTCGTGGATCCATTCGCACTCGATGGTCCCAGTCTCTCTCCAGTAGAACGGGAGTCTACTACCAGCCACCTCAGCCACGAATCTGATATGAAACATTGGCCCCCACTCCCCCGATTATCCACTCTCACTCTCTACCCACCATTCTCTTTAGAAATCCAAAGCCGTGACTCGTTCAGCTCCAACGCGGCTGGCGCAAGTGACTCAGGACATGGACACAGTACTCCTCCCAGTTCATACCGTGGATGCCACAGTGGCAATGGAAGGAGAGTTTTGATGAAGAAACCGAGGTCCAATTCGGTGACGTCTACTGGGAAAATATCTATCATCGAGTCAGCAGTTTCATGCACTACAAGCACGATCGCGCCTCCCCCTATTTGATGGGCACGCAACAACGCGAACGGGTCAATAGGAGCGCGGATTCCACGTTGGGGATGAATGGCCGCGACGCGTGAAAATAACGCCCGCCAAGACCCTCAAAACCACCGCGTCTTTATCAGTGAAGCCGGATTCGGTGAGGGACTCATAGTACTTTCATTCTGTTCAGTCAAGTTAGTATCTTGGTTAGACAATGAACTGTACATACTCACTTTTATCTCATACTACGATCCTTCTATGTAGTAGCTTTGTGGATCGACCGGTGTAAGGTAAAGTTGGGGATTACTGTTTCCGCTCAAAGTTACCGCTTCGTCAAACCCGAAAACGCGTCCGACACGCGGGAGACACGGCGCCCAAAGCGCTCAGGGGCTGCTTGCTGTTAAAATGTGAGCCCAGACTTTCAAATTGATTCGTGATGAAACCCACCCAAAACGGACTTTGAACACACTGCATAAAAATAAAATCCAAACCCTGCACTCAACATTGAGATCGCGTCATCTCCTCCGCAACCGCGAGCTTTGTCGCGCTTCATCCGTCCCTGAATCCACCTCTCTGACTTACGGTCTAGTCCTGCCATCCACCGGGTGCCAAATTCGCACAATGTCCACCTCCTTCGATCCCCCGCCCTCGAGCACCAGCCTCCTCCTTTGGGAAAGCGCCTCCCTCGCTGCCCTCAAAGCGAAGCAACACCGCAAATGGGTCCTCCCAGCCGTATTCATCACAGCCGCCATCATCCTCGTCCTCGCTACGATTTGGATTATGTGGAAGGGTTGGCCTTGTCGCAGGAAGAAACCGTCGAAAGGGAACTCGGAAGCGGAGAAGGGGGGTGTGGGAGGAGGGTGGGGAGACGAGGCGCCTAGGCCGGTGGATATTGAAGCGTTGAGAGATGGTGGGGAAAGGGTCGACGAGAGTCGGAGACGGAGAGAATTGCAGAGGGCTAGGGAGAAGGAGAGGAGAAGGAGCGAGAGGAGGAGTAGGAAGGGGAAGGAGCGCGACGTTCCAGTGGAGAAGGAGTATGAGTTGAGGAGAAAGGACGGCGACGTTTTGGATCAGTCGGAGCCGGAGACAGAGATCGATCCGTTCAAGAGTCGTTCGGACGTGCGAGTTAACGAGGGAGAAGAGGGTAAAGCTGGAGAGCGTGGCGACAGGAATCTGGGGTTTGAGTCAATGAGTAACGGGAGTCGGAGTAGGCGCCCGAGCTTGAGTGCATCTCGATCTTCCAGTCCTGACGGTCGGTCAGGAGGGTCTGCAGCCCATGGAGATACACAGCGCTCGTGAAGTCTCTCTCGGATCCAGCTAATATACCCTCATACACCATGATTAATCGAGTTGATACACATTGGCCATTAAATGCAAGGCGGATTGTGTTCTTCTTGCGATTGACCGCATGAGGCTAAACGCTGAGTGTTCTCAGATATGTGCGAGGAAAGTCAGGCATCTTATATCGGGGCTATAAGCAGGCGCCAGGTTCTTGGAGATCGCCTCTTTCGTGTTCCAAAAATAAGAATCCTCCCATCTCGTTCGTCTACCTGGGATACTTACTACCCTCGCACTTCGAGAATCGAGACGGTGGTCAACAGATCAGTCGTGTGACCCGTTTTTGACTAAATCTATAATGCTTCTGACAGTCCAAACGAAGTCCGACCGTCGACGAAAACACTAGACCCACACACTACTATCCAGCTTGCCCTCTTGCACACTGCTCAGGCTGGATATCAGGAGATCAAAGGACAAACAAAAGGCAACAGATGACGATCATCATGTCAGAATGAAGTCGGTGACTCGGTGTGTACAAGTGTGCGAGCCCGGATACGGGCTCAAAAGAACGGGACTTGAGTGTGTTGCTCTTGAGTCTTCATTCAAGATTTCTGATGTTACAGGACATGTGCTATTGAATGCGATACTATCTAGGGAGCTCAAGGGAGTCACGCGAGAGAGAATACGAAATCCAGAGACTCGCAAAGGAAAGTGGCATCACATCATCGTGGAGCGCACCGCCAAAGCTATTCCCAATGCAGGTTGACCGGAGTTGCAATCGTCTTCACTACGGCCCTCACCAGCTTCACCTTCGTGGTGACAAGTTATGCCGATGGGAACGAATAATCCTAAGTCCATTCCTGGTGCCAACCATCCACAAACGTCAATTCGTTTCCAAGGTTTAAGAAGATCTTAGTCACACGCCCCCTCACTTTCCCCCTCCCTTTCTTCCTTTTCGCCCGCTGGTTAGGGCCTGGCCCCAGGGTCCAGACTTACCCTTATCTTATTCTCCAGCCCCCTTTCCCTTTCAACGCCATCCGACTTCCTGTTTTATTCCCTTTCGACATTGATTCGGCTCTTCGGCTGTTGATTCGCGCTGGAACCCGTCAGACGGCTAGATGTCGACGGCGGGAGAGGAGGAGGAGTCACTGTCTTCGAGGATCGCTACCACTATAACCAGGACCATACCTACCAATATTAGCCAAGCCAACGCATCAATTCAAACTTCTGCATCTGCGATGCCTGAAGCCAATTATCGCAGTAAATGGGTTTTACCCCAGCTCCTCGCCGCGGTGGCTGTCGCCTTGGTCGTTACTGTTGGAGCTGTCGTTGGTTTCATGATATACCGAAGGAGGAGAGAAGCGAAGAAGGCGTTGAACGCTGAGGACGAGGAGTCGGATGGAATGTACTATGGGAGTGAACCTTTATCGGATGTGGGCCATGGTGGTGGAAGCTTGGAGAAGGGGACAGGCTCTGGTCGCGCCCAGAGCTCGACGAAGCCCGGAAAAGCTGCGCCCAATCCCGTCACTACAGCAGCACCTCCAAGCACCGCCCCACCGAAACTACCAGCTCCTCGACTTCCGACTCCATTGTCTCTTCCTAGCGACTTCGGAGGCTCAGTGGACTCTCCCGACTCCATTTATTCGCATTATACGCCAGCGACAGCCGCGGTTTCTGAAAGTCAGTCGAGACAAGAAGTTTGGGCGGCCACGGGTGAAAGTCGGACGAGGATCGTAGTTACGCCCCCTACACCGCGATATGTAAAAGGACAGGCTAGTGCCCGCAGCCAGCGCTCATCGGGCACATAGGGCTATTCCTTCGTGCTATGGCCCTTGATGTATGTAATATATTTTACCGCACTGCTTCTGTTTTTCTCAGTTCTCGTTCGTCGAGCCTTTGGGTACGTTATCAGACTACGTTTTTGCTCTCTATGTTTCTCGGTCAATCGGATTCATAATGCAACCTCATACCCACACGTGACTGGTCTCTCTTCATGGGCGCTTAATAGCGCAGACTCGAATTCTAGGTTCTTTCACTTCCAAATGTCACTTTTATTTCTGCCTTTTGGAAAGCGATTAGTCTCAAGGCGTCTACACATGCAGTGACCCTATCCAGTAACCAGATGGTAGACTTCACAGCGCAGTGGCCGTTGATCCACTGTTCGCGGACCCAGGGCCCTGAATCATTTGATCTGGACTCACCACAGGATTCGTAGGGAGTCTCCGCTCCGTTGCGAGAGGAGTCAACTGATCTCTCGCGATTATAGATATACATAAATAAGAAGGTCCGGAACTGTTACTGAAGTCACGACATCCGCTACCTCGCCATATCTAGGATCAACGATGGTCGAACGTTTGTTTGAATGAACTTCTGGAGAGACCTCATTTTGTCGAGAAGGTTCTTCGGTTGCACCACAGCTCGGTCGTTTTGCTCGTCAGCAAGATATTTACTCCCTCGGATCTATTCAAGCGCCCCTAGGAGGGCGCTCAGGTCGGCCAGCGATTGCAGCAGCCAAAGGAGTGGGCGTATTTGAGCGCCCTTTTCGAAAATGACTGGATAAGGGGCTGCATGATCCTCCGTCAGTTAATTACCTTATTCTTTCTGTTCAGCAAAACGGTTAGTGATTCTCGACAGTTCCGCCTAATCTCGAGGATGGGTCCGAGGAAGATATTGATGGGAGTTCCCGATATGGTATGTTTCTCCGTGATTGCTTTTGTCATCCAACGCCCCTGGGAGATGACGACGATCGTGACCTCGAGAACTACTGATCATGGATTCCGACAGCCGTAACAAATCGCGACCTTCACCTCTGATATCAACCAGAGACCGGAGTACTCTCTTCTCATACCAGTACCCGTCACACACATCTCCACGATGAGCGGAAAATTGGCCAGCAGTAAGGCTACCTTTTCTCCTGATGACGATTACACGAGCGGCGAGCTGATATCGATTAGGCTACGCGTCCTGGGCCGAGCTCCAGAAGATCTACGACCACCAACACTCGAAGCTCGTCCTGAAGGACCTCTTCGCCCAGGATCCTGAGCGATTCAAGAAGTTCTCCAAAGAATACACTTCCTCAACCAACCCTGAAACCACCATCCTCCTCGACTACTCCAAGAACCTCATCACCGAGCCCATTCTCGCCAAACTCCTCGATCTCGCTCGTGAGGCCGGTGTCGAAGAATGGCGCGACAAGATGTTTGCTGGCGAGCACATCAACAACTCTGAAGGCCGCGCAGTGCTCCACGTCGCTCTCCGCGCTTTCGGCGAGATCAACACCACCGAAGAGGGTGTCAGCCAAGTTGGGTCCGTCCTCGCCCACATCAAAGAATTCACCGAGGCTGTCAGGAGTGGTCAGTGGAAGGGGTACACCGGCAAGTCGATCGACACTATCGTCAACATTGGAATCGGTGGCTCGGATTTGGGACCTGTCATGGTCACCGAGGCCCTCAAGCCCTACTCCAAACGCGACCTGAAGGCCAAGTTCGTTTCCAACGTCGACGGAACCCACATCGCTGAAGTCCTGAGGGAATGCAACCCAGAGACTACGCTTTTCATCATCGCCTCCAAGACCTTCACCACCCAAGAGACCATCACGAACGCTGAGACGGCTCGCTCCTGGTTCCTCGACACCGCCAAGGACAAGGCTCACGTCGCCAAACACTTCGTCGCCCTGTCGACCAACACCAAGGCTGTTACTGCTTTCGGTATCTCCGAGCAGAACATGTTCCAGTTCTGGGATTGGGTCGGTGGACGATACAGCTTGTGGAGTGCCATCGGGTTGTCTATTGCCCTCGTTATCGGTTACGAGAACTTCGAAGCTCTGCTCAAGGGTGCCCATGGGATGGACATGCACTTCAGGGAAGCACCTCTCGAGAGAAACCTCCCCGTCCTGCTTGCCGTCATTGGAATCTGGTACAACGATTTCTATGGCTCTCAGACCCACGCGCTCCTTCCTTATGATCAATACCTCAACAAGTTCGCCGACTACTTCCAACAAGTGCGTCCTCTTCCTCCCATCATTTCATTCCATACTCATCTCCCCTCAGGGTGACATGGAATCAAACGGTAAATCCGTCACCAAGAACGGTGAACGGGTGAATTACCAAACTGGGGTGCGTCACTTCTGACCGTTTTCCAACGCCTCTCCCTCAGTAGTGATCCAATTCATAATAGCCTATCATCTGGGGAGCCTCAGGAACGAACGGCCAGCACTCCTTCTACCAACTCGTCCACCAGGGCACCAAGCTCATCCCTGCTGACTTTATCGCCCCCGCTACGACTCACAACCCCATCAATCACTCAAAGCACCACAGAATCCTCCTGTCCAACTTCTTCGCCCAACCTGAAGCTCTGGCATTCGGGAAGACAGAGGAGGAGGTGCGTGCTGAACTCGGAAGTGGTGCGGCGGAGGAGGTCGTGAAGAGTAAGGTGTTTGAGGGGAACAGGCCTACGAATAGCATCATGTTCCCGCTGCTTACCCCCGAGGTCCTTGGTAGGTGTAGTGATTCCATCGTCGACGAAGATGATTCTGATATTCGATTTGTATAGGCGCTCTTATCGCTCTCTACGAACATAAGATTTTCACGCAAGGTGTAATCTGGGGTATCAACTCCTTCGGTACTTCCCTCCCGTTTCATTCCGCAATCTGAAACCACTGACCTGTATACTCTTCAGATCAAATGGGAGTCGAACTCGGCAAGGTTTTGGCGAAGAAAATCCTTGCCCAGCTCGAGAAGCCTGAGGATGTTCAGGGTCACGACTCTTCGGTGCGTATTTTCTCGTGTTTGCTTGGGCGCCTTGTGGCTAACTATTCCTTTTAGACCACTGGCTTGATCCATTACTACCAGAAGTGGCGCAAGGAGTAGGTATTCAACGGACGGGAAGATCGTCGAACAAGAACAAATGTACATTATAGTCTGAATCCTCGAAATACGCAGAAACTATAGACATGGTCTCGGATCATCCTGATTTCCTTACGGCCACGCTAGGCGAAGCTGGGCCGTATCTCATTAACAAATGAAGCAAGGGACCTGACAGGCGCAAGTGAGCCCGAGAGTACCGGTACACAAGCCTGAGCTGCAATCGACACCGCAGTTGCCTTGGCTGTTAACATGGCAGCTGGTGCAGTACGAGTTGCACCTAGACTGTCCTCCGGTGATGCAGAAACCGCTGCCGCTGTTGCACTGGCGCTTCTCCAGGTTTGAGTCTGAACCGGCGGGTCCAAACAGAGCGCTGCGGCGGATGGGGACACCATCGGCGTGCCCATCTCCGGCGGGAGATAAAGCGTCGAAGAGCGAGAGGGCAGCGTAGGAGGCCTTGGCGGAGTCTTCATCGTCCGACTCGGAGACTAGAAGGGGACGTCAGTCAGTGCGAGTCTCTGGGAAGGACGACGCAACTCACGAGTAGTGCAGGCGTTATCTGAGATACATTTACCAGCGATTGTTTCGAAGGTAGAGGAGGCCTTGATACAGTCAATGTCCTCCACGCTGCTCAAATCAAGGCAAGTCAGGGTCAGTTTCTCGTCGCTGTGGATGTGTTCTAAGGTAATGACCGTGCTGACCTTGCGCAACCCACTTCGGAAGCAGCAGAGGTGAAGCAGTCGTTGACGCAGGTGGCGACTGAAGCAGCCCCGACGCCGACTTGGGGCGAGATGAAGGAGATGGAAAGCCTGAGGAGTGAGATGAGGGTGAAGGTGAGTTTGGTCATTGCCACTGGAAGTCTCGAGAGGTCCTGAGCTTGGTGATTTCTGAGATGATAGTGACTCGGGTCACTTATATACCTGTAGCTTGCTCCTCGAATAAACCGTCCGGTGGAGTTCGTCTGATTATTCGGAATGAGAAGGTCTTAGTACCGATAAAGATCTATCCAGACATGGAGTATGGTCGACACGTGCACATGGCATATAAGTTTAATGTACTTGCACGAAGGCTGCCGGTTCGCTTTAGTCTCCTCAGTCAGTGATATTCGCCTCCTGGCAATGCTTCTGTTCCACCTGCGTGTGCAGATACTCTCTGGTCCTTCCAAGTTCGTACGTGGACTTAGTGAAGTGTTTGGGCAAGGGGCCGTGGTAAGCATCTATCGAAGATGGATGTGGGACAACCACCTCTTGGTCGCGGCTCCCTGAATTTGTAGATCAGGCAAGGAGCATAGTAGGCAGTGAGAAACCCTGCAGGCTTCTTACTCCGAATCCGGCTATCCGCCTCCTGTTTAAAGCTAAACGGTAGACACGACCTCAGCTTCTACGCTAAGAGCTCGTAACAATTCAGTTCTGAACTATACCCCAGCTTTCTTGAAGAGGAGCGTAGTCCTTGGCACGAAGCATGTTGCGCTCGTCTTCGTCATATATACTCACATAATGTGTCTCTTAGGCTGGCTTCTCGGGTCGACGCATGTCGTCTGGAATGCTACGCTCCATGAAACTTGGGCGTATTTGGAAAGCCGAAAGAAATAGGGTTCGATGTATACCACCCCTCATGTGCTAATTCCTTCCCCACCTTTTAAGAGTGCTAGCCTGTACCTTGTCCGGAGCATGGCGAAGTGCGAAATCCTGCGACAGCTATGACGCTTCAGGCTCGTGCCAAGCCAACTTGTCAATGGTGCTATGCACTGAAAATGACAGAATACTAAAAGACATTTCATACTTAGAGTTCCTATGTAACATCCTCATCGCAGTCTTTAGGGACAATTCTGCTTACGATTACTGAGGGAACAGAGCGATTCAACTAACAAAGGAAGCAAGGAACCTGACAAGCGCAGGTGAGTCCCAAAAAGCCAGTGCACAGGCCTGAGGTACAGTCCACGCCGCATCTCCCTTGGTTGTCGACATGGCAGCTCTGACAGTAGGCCCTGCACCTCGATTCCCCTCCGCTGACACAGAGCCCTCGACCTGTATTGCATTGGCGCTTGGCCAGGTTCGAAGCGGGGGAGACGGCTCCCGGGCCGAAGAGGGCGCTCCTGCGGACAGGGGTTCCGTTGGCGTACCCGTCTTGGTGCCCGGCCGGAGCAAGTGCGTCGAAGACAGAGAGGGCGGTGAAGGTTGCTCTGGCGCTATCACCACCTTCGTCCGAGTCTGTAACTAGATGCAGAATGTAGATGGGATCACGTCGGAGGATGACTTCAACTCACGCTCGGTGCATCTGTTGTCTGCGATACATTTCGCCGCGATGGATTCAAATGTCGGAGACGCTTTGAGGCACTCAATGTCGTCGATGCTGTTCAATGACGATTCATATCACAAGGGATTGAGAGTGAGTGTCTCCCTGACCTTGCGCATCCCCCTTCCGAAGCAGCTGCGACGAAACAGTCGTTGACGCAGGTAGAGACCGAAGCCGCGCCAACTCCAACTCGGGGAGAAATGAAGGAGATGGAGAGACTGAGGAGCGAGAACAAGACAAAAGATAGCTTGCTCATTGTAGTAATGCTAAAAACTATAGGCGGTAGGTGGCGCGGGGCGATGTTGAAGGTGGTTCGTTCCTACTGGAATCAGTGTTCAATGCCCCTGGCTTTATAGAGACAGAGTAGATGGGGGAGGAATGTGATTTGGTGAGCGAAATGACGCGAAATTCCAAACTAGGTCTACGGCATTCAGAATCAATCTATGTAGAGATAAAGTACACACTGTTCTCCCGAGTAATACACGACTCTATTCACACAGAACAGGGCAAGTTCGGTCATGTTTGGCGTAAACTATGATGTAGACGCGGTTCACTGAATTGGTGGAACTTCTCAGGAAGCGAGAGACCAATGACACTCGCTCAGGGTCGCGGTCAGAAGCAGCGTTAGCTATCTAGGAGTCACTCCCTGAAGCCATCGAATCCAAGCCACTTCACAGGTACCATAGCTTCTGTGAACCATAAGCGGAGAGAGAACGGTCCAATAGGGAGGGTTTCATAACTGATCTGGACATTCGTTTACAGCACCAGTAGTAAAGGCGAGCTGTTGGTGGGATGAAGGCTCCCTTGTTTGTTCACGGTCTATTTTCGGGTCACAGTTCTGATTCTTAGCAGACAATACGATTTTCGAAAACGTCAGTTGGGATATATATAGCCTTCTTTGCCTTCGCGATGGGACACTCTTGGATATCTGTATCGCGTCCTTGAGGCCGCCCTGTTCGATATACATGCGTCAGTGGAGCGCCAATTGAAAATTCGCGATTTCTATCATGGGGCCTTATGTTCTACGTTGGGGACTTACTGCAACAGGCTAAATTATGGTTATAGACTTCGTCTAGACACAGAGAACTCATATCCATGTTGATTCAAACTTGCATAAAAGGTTGCCTTTATTTTTAACAAGGAAGACGAATCATCGGTATAAAGCTGATGCCCATGTCCCGGTGCGGGAGTCACTGGGGTTAGTTACTTCACGCACCCAACCAAGCTCAGCATGCTTTTCAAATCGATTGTAGCTGCGTTTGTTTTCTCAGCATCGACCCTGGCTTCCTCCACCACTGTCCCCGAGTGCATCTATCAATGCTTCACGACGGCTTCTGCGAGCATTGGATGCAATGGGTATGTTCGGTCTAGGATTACCTACTGTTTGTCATGCTGATTCCCTTCACATCATGTTTCCATAGGTTAGACTCTGAATGCGTCAAGTCGTCTTCAGAGTTTAATACGGTGGCTGAGAAATGTATCTCTGAGAAAGGATGCACAGGGCGTGAGTCTCTCTCGGCAAAACGATGAACATTATCTGACTGCCTTAACCGTGTAGTTCCTCAGGCTGAAGGCGGTGAAAACACCGCCGAAGCTCTCAATTCATTCATCGCCTCAATTCGTCCGACAGATGAGGTTGAAGGGAATCACCCTTTAGGTGCTGCGGTCAAGCGCACCCCTCGCAGCTCCAACGGTTCATTTGGTTCTCTCGAGAAGCGCCAATGCAACTCTGGCAGGGGTCTGTGTGTGTCAGGCGGAGCGTCACGCTGTCGGTCGTATTGTCTCTCGTGCCATAGAAGTAACGACGGAAACTGTGTTAAATGTCAAGGAGGGCTGTGCTCAGGGTTTTTGGGTCTGACTTGTGTTTGTCAATTGGATTGTTTCGTCTGCTAAATATGTAATACTTGTCGCGCGCTTTGATTTCGTCAATATGGAATATATAAATGCACTACCCTCGTGTGTTTAGCCACGAGGTCCCAGAAGTACTTTGGCAAGGTAGCCGTAAGCGCGCCGGCGCTTAATCATGAGCACGTGATGGTGCGGCTATCGGTGATGGCGTCGGGGCCCGGCGACCGGCGCGTGAAAATTGTCGGGTTCACTTCGGCCGATTGGCTTTTGTTCAACGTGCTCCTTGCTCTTGGCCTACCACCACTCCTCGTTCTTGCGATCCTTCAGTTGGCTTTACTGCATTCCCGTTTCAAAATCTCCCAAAATCAGGGATACATCGCATTGTACTTCATACTCCTCAGTTGGGTCTCGCCTTGGAAATGAAAGAGGGCTTTGAAGGCGCCATTTTTGACACCACTGGCGGTCTTTTCCCAACACTATACCACACCGGTCGCGACCATGCTCTGCGGAAAAGTACCACACGATTTTACCTTGCGAACTTGCTTCGTATGTCCTCACTTTCCCTCTGTTGAACGCTTGCCAATTGCGTGATGTTGACTCAAGATAACGAATCCAACTGACAAAGTGCGTATTCTCCGATTCGAGTGGCAAACAGCCATGACTCTGATTGGCGGCTGTTATTTCAGCTCTTCTTTTCTGCGGGACCCTATGTTATGAAAACATATGTCGCGTGGATGGATAGGCACTCTTGGTCTCCCTGATCGACGAAGCACATGGTTCTCGTTCAGGTTTATGCCCCCGGCAATGGACTAATTCAACGCGAATACGGGACTGCGAGGGGCTTTGGCTCACGCGACCATGATGGTTGAGTTCGCGCTGTCGGGAACGCATGTCAACGGGGTGACCTCTAAACACTTGGACTAGGGCGACTCAAGTGACCGTCTAATCTTGTGATATAGCTCTCAACCCGCCTTCTTGGCAAGGGCGATTTAAGGGCCACTTCACCTTTATCGACTCTGTCGCCCCACACACTCCCACACGGCCGTTATGCTTATCTTGGTCACTAGGCATCCGCTGACTCCCTATGTCGTATGGAGTTACCACCTTCCTCGGTGCCTTTGTGAGGTCTCTATGCCCCCGACCCGAGCCCGTAGTTATCCCTTTCTGGGCATAACCAGCCCATTGGGGCGAAGGTCAGGATATCAATCTCCTGCAATTGGTTTGCTCCCCATTCAATGACCATATCCCGCGCTTAACCTCAAGTTCCAGTCGAATATTTTCATTAGCTTTCACTTCTGGACTATGTATCGCCGTTCCGTCCGTATCTCATCGTGGAATGCAGGTTGCCTGTTCACCGCATTGAACATCAGCTTCTTCCACGCGTGCCATATGGCTTTCGACTCCAATGTGCACTACCCCAAGGCAAAGGGGCCTTGTGTCAACGCGACCGTCCTCATGTTTCAACTACTTCTCTGGGTATCAGGTGAGATACGCGCATGTTGTTCACCAACGTCGAGTGTTGCGTCTTTGAACTACGTTTTCAGTCGCGGTGACGACCTGTATCTTCCTTTTCGAGGATACAGCGATACGTGAAAACATATAAAAAGGTTCGTGTTCAGTGCAGTCAATTCCCCGAGCTAGTTCCAACTTCTCAATCCCCAGGTCCTTTTCCGAGTTTCTTCTCGTCGCCCCTTCTCTTCACGATGAAGTTCTTCTCTGTCCTCGCTGCCGGCTTGGCCGTCATCATGGCCGTCCCCACCCTCGCGGCCCCTGCCCCTGCCCCCGCTCCCCCCGGTCGCCGATTGAAGTCCATCGAGCGTTTCCAGGGTGCCACGACCGGCAAGTACATCGTCAAGTTCAAGAAGGGTGCCTCCCGACGCAACTACCTCAACAAGTTGAAGCTCAAGGCCTCTGCTGATTGGGACATCCTCAACGGCTTTGCTGGTTCGTTTATTTCCATCCTCTCTCAGATAAGTTCAAGGATTGACTTTGCCTCATAGCCGATTTGGATGAGGCTGCTCTCGAGGAACTCCGTGCCTCCGACGATGTTGAATACGTCGCTGAGGACGGTATCATGCACGCCTTTGTCACCCAGTAAGTTTCTTCCAAGCATTCACTAGATCGGTATTTCTGACGTGATTACTTCAGGACCAACGCTCCTTGGGGTCTCCAGCGTATCACCCAGCCTGGACGTCTCGCGTCCCAGAGCACCAGGTATGGCTACACCCGTACTTCCGTTCACGTTCCCTCGCTTACCGTTGTTGTGTAGCTCTGCCAACTACAACTTCACCTACGATGCCTCCGCTGGTGCTGGCGTTGACATCTACGTCGTCGATACTGGTGTCCAGACCTCCCACTCTGACTTCGGTGGACGTGCTCGCTGGGGCGTCTCGTACGTCAGCGAATCCACTGACGGTAATGGCCACGGTACCCACTGTGCTGGTACCGCTGCTGGTACTCGCTTCGGTGTTGCTAAGAGGGCCAACATCATCGCTGTGCAAGTCCTCAACAGGTCTGGCTCTGGTGCTACTTCCGGAATGTGCGTCTCCCGCTTCTTCTCTTCCACCTGTAATCCTTGAACTGATCGTCGTGCAGTGTCTCTGGTCTCCAATGGGTTTTGAACCAAGCCCGTGCTTCCGGCCGCCCCTCAGTCGTTTCCATGTCACTCGGTGGTGGCGCATCCACTGCTACTGACAACGCCGTTGCTCAACTCACCGCTGCTGGTATCCATGTCGTCGTCGCTGCCGGTAACTCCAACGTCAACGCTGCCAACACCTCCCCCGCTCGTGCTCCCTCTGCCATCACCGTCGCCGCCTCCACCATCGCTGACGCCAAGGCTTCCTACTCCAACTACGGCGCTGTCATCGACGTCTGGGCTCCAGGCTCCAACATCCTCTCTGCCTGGATTGGTTCCAACACTGTCCGTTCTTCTGTTTATCTTTTACGCCTTGGAGCGAGTATTGACTAACAACCGATCGTCGATAGGCCACTAACAACATCTCTGGTACTTCCATGGCTACCCCCCACGTTGCTGGTGTTGTCGCCTATCTCATCGGCCGAGATGGTAACATCAGCCCCGCGGCCATGGCCACCAAGATCAAAAACTTGGCTGTCAAGAACGTCCTCTCTGGTGTTCGTGAGTATCGACGTCCCTCAGTCTCCGTCGTATTCAACCTTGAGCGATTACTAATTGCGATCCCCCCCATACAGCCTCTGGCACCACCAACGCCCTCCTCCAGATCTAAGATCCCTGTACGATTGGAACTGGTATTTTGTACTTGTATTATTTTATTACCTCAGGAATACAGCTGGATGGAAAAATATAATTTTAGTTTCTTTCTTCTCACTTTGACCTCTCCTGATCTTGGGAGGCCACCAGTACGGCAGCGGGTGAGAGCGTGATGTCGAGCGGGCCTGCCATAGGAGCCAAGGCGCGCTTGGCCAGCGCTAAACTGGGGGACCTACTGAACGTCACCCTAGTGTCCCTCCCCTCTAAGCCCCATCCGACGCGTGCAGTGGGTTTCCTGCTGCAGAGGCTGAACGGTGCATAAACCTCGACTGCTTAAATGTTGAAGCTCCCTCGCAGATGGGAAAACCAGCGTAGACCCAGGCACCCACACAGATTGCTCACTGCGGGGAAACCCCAAGCTCACAGGAAGCCTTCTTAGTTGAAGGCTCTCGCAAGCGCGCCAGAGATTATTTGTGCAGGGCATACCATATGTACGTCTAGTGACACGACTTTACAGTTTTACAGGAAACGGGAAGCGGTCATTAGACCATGAAAACTGGGTGGACACAAAATGCAACTAATTATTTGCTTCCGAATGAATTGGCCCCGCCATCATGGAAGAATGAAGAAGCGAGAGCTTCCTGGATAAGCTCGAGGCAGCGGTCCGAGGCTTCACTACCAACCAATAATGGTCCAATCCATTCGTCGAGGTTCGAGCGGTCATGGTAACCAAAATGCTTTTTCGGGCGGTAATTGATCTTGCCTGGGACTTTAACGTTGAAGTCAGGTTGTCGCTCAGGCAATTCAAACTCGGTCAGCGACTTGCATTTCTGCAAATGGCGCGACAGCTCCTGTAGCTGATCCAAATCGTAGAAGGTCGATTGCGGGATACTGTCACAGAAGTTCAGCAGTGCCGTGACGTTGGCGTAGTTCGAATCGGAGTTGTCGACCTCAACAATGTTGCCTTTGGCCCTCTCAAAAAAATCAAGCACCGGTGGTTCTTGATCTCTCTGATTGCGCTTCTCTATCCTTTCTCGCCTCTCCTTCCTTTGCCTTTCTACTCGAAGCGCCTTATGCTTCTGCTCATCGGCCCTTCTATTTTCCCAATTCGCGTTGGCCGCCGCCAGGAGGTCCTTTTTCCCCGGATTCTCGAGAGTCTCGTCATCAACAGTCGACACGCCATCGAAGTAGTCCTCCTGCTCGTTTTCGTCCTTATCCGTCTGGTCGCGAAATTTGAAGTAACGCTGGGCTCGGAACCGACCAATCTGGGCGTCGCGATGTATGACCTTGAAGGTCCACCAGCCGCCCGTGGCGGCTATTATCACGGCTGCGCTCTGCTCGGCGTACTTCGGGGAGGAAAATAGACAGTGGGCCTGTCCGTAAACCTGCTTTCGTGCGTCATCTAACGTCTTTTGGAGGGCGAGAGCATAGGCGAGGATATCGCTGCAGTGACGGGAGACAGGCCGCTTGAGTTCCACGAGGAGGGGGATCATAATCTTGCTGACGGTGCCTTCACGAAGATAGCTGCTGAGATGGGCGGCGGCAACTCCAAATATCGGCATTTTCGAGAGTTGGGAAATGACTCTGGTGAGGAAGGTTGATGGTGATGCCAGTGGATCGTCACGGGATCCAATAGTGGGTGCAAGGATGCAGCAGTCGGTGATGACGCCTCGCGCCTTTGGATCAGGCCTGGTTTCGTTTGGATCAGGGGCGGGATCCTCCAAATTGGGATCGTAGGGCGAGATATAAAGTCGGAACTGCATAGTGGGGAGGAGCCTATCGAAGCGTCCTTGACACAAGCGTATCATAATCAGGTTCCAGATTGGATGCGTAACGTCCTCGGTTGCGCGCGGATTGACCTTGAATGAGAGATAGAGAAGATAGGCGGACAGAAGAGAGAGGCCACTTATCAAGACGGCGTCCATGATGTGAGCGTCAGCCTTGTAGAGCTCCGGTGCAAACATGTCGTATTTATACTCACTCAGGAGTTGGAGAAGCTACAGAAAGGAACCCTTCATAGAGATCGACGGCTAACGATAATCGACAAGCCCCTTGTAGAAAATACATTGATGGTCACTATGACGATGAGGATTGAATGTTGAACCTCGCCCTTTATTCTTTCGACGGAAACAATGCTTGTGGGCACAACCTGAGAGTGATATCAGGTAATACATGGGAACAGCAACAACGGGAGTCAAGAAAATACAATGGGTTTACCGAAATAGACAAACTCAAATTCCTTGTGGCTCACTCGTAGGCTCCATGATCTCTTCTATCTCATTGACAACGACCGGGACCTTCTTGTGCGTGCGGACTATGTATTACTTACAGGTGTCCACGAAGGATAAATCGAGAACAACGGAAAGACGACTCGGGGCTCTCGCCATCACGTGGTCCATGTTCAAACGCGAGAGCGGGCCACACAACATCCTTGACTGCCAACCACCTGGTCCACCATGGATCTCGCCCTGTACAAGGAGTTTCGAGAGGAGTGAGTACTCTAACTGCATTTAACTACTATAATAGCTGAAGATATACGTTGACTGTCCACAGGTGCGATGCAGCATACCCGGAGACCGTCGAACTCGACAGCAACCCTCCGAGGCGGCGGCCGCGTGGATTAGCCATTTACCCACCGGACTATGTCGCTGGGTTCTTCATATCTTCAGAATGCATTTGGAAAACCTTCCGCGTCCACCCTGACAACCTTCTGGGTCGTATCAATAATTGGGCATTGAGAGAGAATAAGTAAGTTGTCCGATACGTGCAGTGGACGCCACCTACCAAACAACTGATTATTACTTGTCCATATTACTTGTCCAATTTTGCAGGGGAGTGTATTTCTCGGTGATTCAGGTCACGTACTACGACTATATTATCTGCTTCGCGCATACCGTCGACGACAGGAGGGATATGGAGGAGTGGCGCGAGAAGAGGGAGGAGTGGTTCGACACCTTTTGCCGGGCACTCGAGTTGAACGAGAAGTCGAGAACGATCTTGAAGAACAATTACAAGTGGCATCGGATGATTCACCTCGACTGGTCGTTCCAGATGTCGCCGGAGGTCTCGCTGCAGCCGTCGACCGTTCGGTCTGAGACCTGATTTTATCTTGTTCTCAATGCTATTCCGAATATTTTGTTAGTACTCGCTCCATGCCACGACCGGATGTCTGCCCATGCAAAGTGAGTTTTGAACGCAGGCCAAGGCCTCAATCGCGACGGCCCGCGCCCAAACGAGTATATAATATATCGTAGTGCCAGTGGAGTGGGATTTTGAAATATTAGTACATAGTAGGATTGCACAAAAGAGTGGGAGGAGACCTACTGAGTCGTGTAATCCACTTCGCTCGCGATACCTCTGGTTTAAATTTGACAATGTACTTGCCAGTTGTATCACCCGAATACCGGTGAACGTTTCTCGAGGAGGTCGGAGATGCGCTGGCGTGTAGAGTTGAGAGGCCGAGTAGTAAAAGCGCGCAGCTGAGAATGGAAGATATTGTTTGCCTCATCGTAGATATTAAGTCGATATTGCAGGAACTCCTTTGGGTGAACGAGGTTCGTGAGTTGCCCCTCATACAGGTCTTATATATGTATCATCAATGTCAGCATTCCCCATGGGCCCGCAGAAGTAATTTGTACCCATGCTGCATTTGATACCCATCTGCGGACGTAATGTATGCTGATCCGCCCTAACGTTTCAACCAAGTCTGTTCCACTGGCGGATGCGGGCAGCGAGGGCCGTCCAATGACATAGAGTGATATGATTAGGATTATGGATTCTGAAAGCGGTAGCGTGAAACACCAGGTTAAAGCCCAGGGGTTCGATGTAACCAGTTCGTGTCAGTAGTCACTCAGCAAGCTTATGCGCCCATCTAAGCGCCCCAGGGCTTTGGCACTGTTTGCCATCAGCGCCTACAAAAAGGCTCAGCCTCGGAATGTCGCGAGTGTCACAATTGTCGCAGGTGTCGCAAGTGCAGGAACCCTTTCCGTGGTCCACCTTCTGAACCGCCATCATCTCGAGCCCTGACCAATTCCTGACTAGTTCCTCGATTCAATCAACCGACCGGGAAGCGACAGAGAGTGAAAGAACTCATCTAATCTGTATGGAATTGACAACTTTGTCCAACCTCGACCTATCCTTCAAGCGACTAACTAAATAGCTTCGGACGACTTGAGGAAATCATCCAGTGAAGACCACGACCACCGTGCCGTGTAATAAGATAGCACAGAACAAAACGCTTAAACCTCTCTCCTGGTCATCATATTCTGAGTGGAGTGGAGAACGGATAAATCGAATACTCTCGCCATATCTTCTTTTCGCCAGTGTTCATACTGACTCTCAGATTCTAATTATATCTGGCCCTACAGGACCGTAGAAGCGCACATCGATGCTCAGATAGGACGTAGAAGCGTAAACATGCTCGGACAGGACGTACGTAGAAGCGCATCCATGCTCGGGTGGACGCCTGTAATGTGAGCTCACAGCTCACTAGCTATTACAGTCTCCTGCCTCGAACTTGGTAGTGTGGCAATTCTAGGGGATAATTCGAAAAGCCGTTCCACTCATGCCGGGGTGCCGGAGGTTCCTTTGAGACTGAAGAAGGACATACTCATGACTTGAAAAATCGAGTGAAGCGACGGGGTTCTGTAGATGTCCTTCTTCAAGAAACAAACTCCACGCTGAGCGTTATCTAAGAATCTAGGATATATAAAGGGCTTCCCTTCCTTACCCTTTAAGTTCCATTTTCACAATGCCTCTGTCAGTCTCTGGTATAACTAATTTCGCAACCATTGCTCTCTCCTTTGCGTTATGGGTTCTCCCAGTAAGAGCGTTACTTCGGTTTCCCTGCTCGCAGCTTGTTATTGAAAGATTCGACCCGTGCGTTCATGCCCACTCCGTGCTATCTACATCGCTGTCCTGACTCGCGCTGTTCTGCAGGCTTGTAACCCCCGGTATCGTTTCGCCTCACCTTCACCAGGTGCGTATTCCGGCCCGGCTTTGCTTCTGCCACTGGCGTGGTTATTAAACCGACTCTATCTACCAGATCGTTGGAGGAGTAAGCCAAACGGTTGTTCGAGTTACACTTACATCGCTGAGTCCTACTTTCAGAATGCGTACGAGGCAAGGATCTTTACATGCCGACTAGCGATTAACTCGATGGCTATAGATTCGACATCTCCATGGATCCATCTCTGGACCTTCCGAAGCTATCGACGTGCACTACGTGTACCTTCACGGAGGATTTGTCCAATTACTGGACAGCAGTCGTTTATTTCAGGCATAAGAACGGAACGTTCGAGAGGGTCCATCAAATCCCTGAAGAGCTCGTTGGGCCAGCGAACGGTGGCATGACGCTGTATTACATCCAGCCACCTGGAGCGAGTAAGGTGACTGCTTTCCCGAAGGTACGAATAAAGTTTTCAGCTTTCAATCTTTATTGTTATACCTTTTCGACGTGATGTTAGACTGAAAAAACGCGCTACTAGGGTTTCCGAATGATAGTTGGCGATCCCCTTCTTCGTTCTTTCAATTCCTCCAGCCCAGAGTCGCGCAATCTGCATTTCCGGTGCTTGAATAAAGGGTTTGGGAATCCTGATGAGGGGAATGGAGGTCCTGTTGCTGAGCCTGGAACTGATACATATGGGTTTCCCGAAAGGAAGTGCGAGGGAGGTGTGAGGTCGGAGATCTTCTTCCCTTCGTGCGTGGTAGTGTCGTATCATTTTTTGGCGTCTCGTGCTGATCGTCTCATGCGACTGAACAAGGTGTTGGGACGGAAAGAATCTTGACATGCCTGACCACAAGGTATAACCGACATCATTATCTTGTTCTCGCCCTGGCCCCTAACTTTGCCAACCAGAGTCATATGCGATATCCAAGCAACGGGAAATGCCCAACGACTCACCCCGTGGTCGTACCACAAATATTCATAGAGATCGTCTGGGACACCAAGAGGTTCAACCACCTCTGGGAGGAGGGTGAGCCCCAGCCGTTCGTATTCAGCCACGGCGATCCGTGAGTCCGTCCTCCTTCCATCCACTACATACAATTCCTGACTTCTAACTCTCACCGACAGAACCGGCTACGGCCAACACGCCGACTACATCTTCGGTTGGGAAGGTGACTCCCTCCAGCGCGCGATGGACACATGCAAGTCCTATGGAGGTCCCTGCCCAACGTTGAAAACGCAGAGCGTGGCGAGTATCAACCGGTGTGTTCAGAAGAATAGGGTCAGAGAGGCCGTTGATGGAGGTAGGCCCTGACGTAGTATTAGTCTCGTACATTGAGGTGATTTACATTCTCTTTTATTTATCTCCCAGCTCTGCCGGCGCTTCCTGGGTGTAACCCTATCCAGCCGGGCCCTCGACCTGCTGTCCCGTATCCGGTCAAAGATTGCAACGCAACCAAAGATTATGCGCCTTTGTAAATGTCTTCAGCTGTAAATATAATATACTGGACCTTGACGCCGCGGAAGGATATGGTTCGTCGTACTCAGATCATACAAGCACCAAGGATGGAATCCAGGATCCATAATGAGCGCCCGAACGGCTTTGGCACTGTTTGCCATCAGCGCCTATGTCCTCTCGCTCACCGTTGGCGGCGGCATTTGGACTCGGTGTCCCTTGTCCGCATTCCAACACCGCAGGGCGACTTGGTGCCCAGGTTTCAGTTGGCGCGCCTGCCTACGAAGGAACTCTTATTTCTCAATCTATACCCAACTTCAACTCTTGGCGGAACGCAATGACGCCAGCCTTATCCAAATGCAGAAACCCTTTCCATGGTCCACCTTCGGAACCGCCATCTCCAGCCTGATCAATTCCTGACTCGTGCCTCAATTCAGCCCACCTGGAAGCGAAAGAACTCATTCAACCAACACTGAGCTGACAGAACCGAAATATGTCCAACCTCAACGTACTGACTATCGGAAAAGGAAGCAAAGGAATCAAAGTCAACGATACCCCTCCCGTGGTACGCCAGTTCATTGTTTCCTTGTCTTTGCTCGGCGCACTGACCGCCTGGATCTAGTCGAAAAAGGCAGCCCGCCAGGCAGCGAAAGCCTCCAAGGCGTCAAGTTCGTCGTCTGCTTCCAAGGCATCAAAGTCGAAATCTTCGTTGTCGAGATCTGCTGCAGACACAAGCAAAGATCCTGAGGTCCTTGCTGTCGAGGATGACAAACCAGTCATCACGGCCTATTCGCAACAGTCCCGCTTCCACCGTGAAACATTCGACGCAAACACGACAGATATCGACGTCAAGGGCGTTAATATCAGTATTGGAAACATGGGTGCGTGGCAAACCCGTATGTTCGAGGCGAGCATTGATTCACAGTCAAACCGTGCAGATATCCTCGTCGACGCACACTTGAGGCTGAAGAAAGGTGTCAAGTATGGAATGGTGGGCCAGAATGGCGTTGGCAAAAGCGGTATGTGGAAGGTGCACCCGATAGGCTGATGAAGTTCTAAACTTCGCCCGTCTAGTCCTTCTCCACACACTCTCTTCAAACCTCCTCATCGGTCTGCCACAGAACGTGTCATTCCTACACATCACCCAGCTGGAGGACGTTGAACGCGAGTCAGACCTCGAGTCCGGTCGAAGGAGTATCTTGCGGGAGGTAATCGAAAGCGACGCTGGGACAGTCGGAGTCCTGAAGGAGGCTCGAGGTGCGTCGCTTGCTTTGGGACTACCGCATCCTATATTCTGAAGCTGGATTTAGTGCTACACAGAGCGCTTGAAGATGCGACGAGAGACTCACCCGAGGCGATACCAAACCTCCAGGAAACCATCTACACTCTCCTGCTATCTCATTCCCTTGCTCGACTCGATTTAGCGCGCAAGATCGCCACCAAGCGTTCAGGCCAACGTGGATACGAAGCCCGACAGAAGCTCCTCGAAGTTGAAGCTGAGCACAAATCATTGGAGGGTTGGAAATCGGCCTCTGGTTGGGACAGTATCACCAGAGACGTCGCCAAGAGGGTCGTCGATGAAATCCGAAATCGCATCGAAAACCTCCTTGCTGGAGGAACTGTTTCAGCATTCGACAACCAAGACGTCGGGCCTTCGCTCATTCCATCGTCAGCAACCACCCCCAATGACCAAGACAAGCTCACGCAGGACGACGTACATGTTTTCCTCTCGACCTTCCCGCCCTCGTCGACGCTGTCGTCTTTGGAGGTGGAGATGGAGGAGAGGGCTCGGAGGGTGCTGCGAGGCGTTGGTTTCAGCGAGGACGAGATCGGACCGTCGTTGCTGTCCGCTGATCGTGGTTTCGAGCCTTCGGCGCCTAGTCCGCATGGCGAAGGGAAGATGTTGAAGCAGCTAAGTGGTGGTTGGAAGACGCGTGTTGTCCTCGCCAAGGCGCTCTACTTGAAGCCCGACGTGCTGTTGTTGGATGAACCGAGTATGTGCCCCTTCGTTCGACTCTACACCGGCGTCGTTACTGACGATTCCCCTCTGAACGCGCCCAGCCAACCATTTGGATCTCCCGGCCATCATGTGGCTGACCCACCACCTCACTGCAGGTTCATCCGAAGATTCTTCAGGTGGGTCCCGCCAAACTGATCTCGGACATAGGTCTCCCTGACTGGTATTGAATCTGCAGATACGACCTACACCCTCACCAACCCCGACCAAACGGTCGTCATCGTCTCGCACGACAGGGACTTTATGGCACGAGTTACGACGGAGACTATCATCTTCAAAGATAAGAAATTGAGTTATTTCAAAGGTGCGCACTCATTTCTTTTCGGGTCTATCATCTCTGATTTAGGGTTTGTGCAGGGAACTACGACGACTGGGAATGGAGTGTAGGAGAAAAGAAGAAACGAATGGAACGGCTGAAAGAGGTAAGTCGCCGAGCTCGTCCGTTGAATCCTGGGTCTAATTGCTGATTCGGATTCGGTATCGTCTATGTAGTTGGACGATAAGCGGCGAAAGCAGATCCAATCTGTCATTCAGAGGAACATTCAGCAGGCGAAGGCGACGGGTGATGACAAGAGACTGGGGATGGTGGCATCTCGAAAGAAGGTGCGTCACCAACACTACATACATACCTTTGTCACTGCTAGGTATCGATCGTATCGTCTGACAACCCCGATCTACGGTACTACGGTACTACGGTACTACGGTATTATGGAATTATGGTATTATGTATAGGCCCTCGACCGACTTGGCATGCAACGCCTCGAAGACGGGAAGCGGCACAAAACCTCGTACCACGGCGACCGAGCCGAGATCGTGGTCGAACAAGGCTTCGTGACGCCGCCCATCGTCCTTCCCGAGCCGTACAAAGTCCCGTTCCACACCAGCGCCATCCTCCAACTGGGTGAAGTCTCCTTTGCTTATCCCGGCACCAAGACCGCGACCAAGACCGAGAGCAAGAAAAACTACGTCCTCCATAACGTTTCGCTGGACATCTCCCCGCATGCGAGGATCGCGCTTCTAGGACCGAACGGGTGCGGCAAGTCGACGCTGATGAATTTGCTTGCGGGGGTGCTGGAGCCGACTGAGGGAGAAGTCAGGAGACATCATCGGGTGAGGGTTGGGTATTTTAGTCAGCATACGATTGAGCAGTTGGATGGGGAGGTGTCGGCGGTTGAGGCGCTGAAACGGATGTATGATCCTCCTTCCGTCTCTGCCTCTGCCTTGGCTTCTACTTCTACTACGAGTACGCCATCTTCGATCGGTCTGGGTCTGGGCCTTGGCCCATCCTCCTATTCATCCTCATCTTTCACCCTCGAAGCGCCCTTGACGCACCAACAAGCCCGCGCCCATTTCTCGTCTATGGGTATCTCCGGTTCTGCCGTTACCCAACCCATCAAAACGCTCTCTGGCGGACAGAGGAACCGCGTCGCGTTGGGTTTGGTGACGTTCCACCAGCCGCACGTCCTGCTGCTCGACGAGATCACGAACCACCTTGATGTGGGGAGTGTGGAGGGCGTTGTGGAGGCGCTGGAGGGGTTTGGGGGTGCGGTGGTGGTTGTGAGCCATGATGTTTGGTTTTTGAGGGAGGTGGTGGAGGGTGGTCAGGGTGGGGGGAGGGGTAGGCGTGGTGATGATGACGACGACGCGGAGGATGTTGATGATGATAGCGAGAGTAAAGGTGTGTTCTATGTGGTCAACCCAAAGTCGAACCCCGGAGCTCTTGTGCGGTGGGACAAGGGTCTTGATGCGTACGTTGAAAGGGAGAGGAGGAGGGCGGAGAAGCTGGCCAAGGAGCAGGAGAAAGAGTTTGCGAGTCGTTAGGGCGACGGGGGTAGGACCTGGATAATCCCTGGTCAACCATCGTCGATACATCCAGCTAACAAATATCAAACCGTTTGCTTTGCGGAATCTAATGGACCCCGGGTACCGACTCTACTCTCATCTGGCAGGTGCAACTCGATCGGAGCCCGAATGTCTGAACGCGATGCTACTACTCTGCGGTTTGCGATGAAACGACTCGGAGGTGCGGTGGTGTCGTAGTTGAAGTGAGTCTCTTCTTGGTCGGCGATTCGACGGAGGCTTGCGCGTGCGTTGAGCCTTGACGCGCGGGTGAGATGGAACTCATTCTTCTGGGTGAAGGATGTTGGAATTTCAAGGACTCACGATGCGAGGATGCTGTTGGAGTAAACTGGGGTCTGTTAGGCGATGATGAAGTGGTCAAAGATATGGAGACCCACGTTTGGCTTGGCATTCGAAGATTGCGAGCCAGACGACTGTACATTCAAGTTGCGTAGGTTAGGATTGGCTTGTCGAGACCTTAATTAAAGGTTGAACGTTGAACTCACAGGAGTCGCTGCTCAAGAACTTGAGGGAATTACGGTGAGTATCGTTCCGACTCGGCTGAGACAACGAATCCGACTCACCAAGACGAGCATGGAGATGGAGGTTATGCTACAGTTTTCCCCTTCGTCAGGCCACAATCATAGCGCATTAGGAATGGCTTGGCTTACCCGGTGACCAACCCCGTTCCCAAGGAGTACTGTACTAGGCGGTCCATCAAGCGCATCGAGCTGAGCATTGAAGAATTGTCAAATCAATAATCGATACCTATCACTCCTTTCCCACAATCGACAATTTTATGACCAAGGAGTGATCATCATGACTTGTGCAACAGACCAGCTACATACCGAGAAATAGACCGTTTACGCTGGAACCACAAAAACGCCACCATCGAAGAGGCGAGCGTAACATCTATCGCGCACAAGACGCTAAAGACGATCTTGACGAGCCATTTCCAGTGCAGGTCGAAGAGGATGACGTCTGCCCCGTTTTGTAGGCTCCCGATCCCGATTGCGAAGGCCCCGCCGGAGAGGAAGAGTGTGGCGGCGATGCAGAGGGGTGCGATGAGTTTCCAGGGGCGCGGGAGCATGCGCCAGATGCGGGCGGCGTGGAAGAGCTGGGAATGGGGAGGGGGGTTAGTAGAGAGTCGGCAGTTGGGAGTTGGGAGTTAGGACGCAGAGAGGGAGAGGGCAAGAGGCTTTAAGAGTCGTACGTACGTGGGTTAGGGAGGTCACCAGTGTGGAGGGGAAGATGGCTCCGACTAAGTAGGGTATCCGACGGAGACTCTCAGGGTCACCGTACTGAATAATAGTTATTTTGAAGATCTCGGCTGCGACGAGGATCATATGTGCGAGCTCTAGGAACCTGTCGATGGGACTCAACGTATGAGTGCGAGCCTTATATACTATAGATTGCAATTGGCGACTTCGAACGGAGCGCACCATAATATGCCAACCTTGTAAAAGGCTACCGGTTAACATTTGCCTGGGATAGGTGGGATAAAGACGAGGCTGAGAGGCAGACGCACCAGCCATTGTAAGTACCACGTATCGTCTGGGAAGCTGTGGTAGTAGTTGAACGACTGTACTGTCTCCACGCCGAAGAGGATCAAGGACACCTGGGAGCCTATCTCGATCGCACCTCCGCTTAGCTTGTAGTCCGACGACATGGCGTCGAAGTACATGTAGCAATGAGAAAGTTGAGCAGCGGGGTAGATCAAAACCTTCCTGTCTTTTATTTATCTAAACGGGTAAATGTGACGTACGAAATATGAACTTGGTAGGTAGAAACCAAAGGGGTCGTGCACAGGCCCAGGGTCCTTTGGGCGCTCAGAACTGAGATGATAGTCGCTGCGTTCATCACTTGAACAGGATTCGAATATCTTTGATATCAGGATCGGTAAGATACTTCCAGGAAGTTTCGGTTGTTTCTCACACCTGCCTGCCTATACCTTCTGAATCGGCCACCACGGTGAGGGACGGTGACATTTTGACTCACCGACAGAGTTAACCGTGGCATTGAGTAATATGCAACGAAAGGATGTTATTCCGCAATGACAGACCCCAACTCCTATTCCTACTAGCAATGTACGACGTCCGTATCCCCTTGTCAATTTGTCAAAATAAATATTGCAGTGCCCGTCGATGACCTCCCATTCAACACTCGCCTTTCCCACCAGCCCTCATTGATCCCGAGTCTTGGTCATCGAACTGGCGATGGACACTCGAATCCATCTGGATCGCGATGACAGGCGGCTGACCCAGGCGCTTTCCGTGCCCAGAGACTCCACCTCCGCTGGAAGCGTATGTCGAGGCCCCATTCGAGGAGAACCCGACGTGAGAGCCTTCTGTCCACATGGTGCGAAGGCCGTGGCGAGAATTGAGTCTGACGGATGGGCATGAAGTATGTTAGCTGCAGCTCCAGTGCTTCGAAGGCTACCGGCACTCACGACGCCATCATACTGTTTGAGTATACTGGAAGAAGCTTTGTGAATAGGATATTTGAAGGATTGAGGGATGGACGTACACCTCGCATGGCAAGTGAAGAATGCCACCCATATCGCTTTAAAGGGATGGATGAGGATGTGGGTGACTTTATCTGTGGGACGAACATCTCTCACATGTGTTCTGTTCGATGTTAAACTGACAACGGCAATGAAGATTAGTCCTGAGAGAGTATATAGGAACTGGACGTACGGCAATGACGAAGGCAATTGATGTCGCGCTGAAGCATAGTTCAGGTTTTATGCCAATCAAGGCAGTATGCATCCCCGCACCTAGTTAGAAGCCCCGTGCCTGAAAGGAGAGAATAAGCATTACGTCTTGGGTTCAGATCGAGCAATACTGACAGACTGTAAGCTGAACCACGCGATCGATTAGGCGAAGGGACCTAAAGAGTGGATGGTTAACACTTGGTCGCCATTGATTCGACGAGAAGTGCGTACCGAGACATGACCTTTCTGCGCTGCTTGTACAGGTAGAAGGTCATCGAGAATGCAAGAGTCATATCCACCAAAGCCTCGCAAACCAACACAGAGATAACCAGCCAGGCGTAGATCTCCGAGTACAGAACGACGTTCCGGGTTTTGAGACCGAGGGCACCTGCTGCCAGCCCACCGACAAAGCGGGCGAAACTGACTACCATGCATCCTGGACCTAGCCACTTCCATGGCTTTGGAAGTAGCCCCCAAACACGAGAAGCGTAGAATCCCTAGAGCCTCCATTACAATCATACCAATTATTTAAGAGGGCGGGTGGACGTACATGTGTGAGGACGGTCACGAATGCCGCCACGAGAATGGCGCCGGATAGGAACGGGAAGTCGAAAAGACTTGTTGGATCGCCATAGAAGATTATTGTGAGCCTGTAAACCTCGCACGACACAAGGATTACATGGGCGAGCTCGAGGAACCTATGGGGGCAGATATTCATTACCGGATGGCGAAAAAAGTCGATTGTAAGGCTCCTACCAAATTACGGACACCTGTGGTTCGAGAGAGATGAGAAGGTATTCCGGCGGAAGACAGTTTATACAGTAGAGGAACGCACCAGTGACTTGGTAATTCGGTTGTCGTTTGGGAAGTTTTGGAAATAAAGGTGACATTGCAAGGAGGCGACGCCGAACAGGAAAACCGAGAATATCGAGCCTATTTGAATGGCACCAATGCTGCCATTCAGGTTCAGGGACTCAGACATTGTGTCAAAGGGGGGACCTCAAGGTATACGGCAGGTAAAGGCCCTGGCCCTCCCCACGGTCCTCTTATACGCGACCTTGGGGGAGGCTTCGTTAAGAAGTTTGATTGAGAATATGATAGAAGTTTACCTGGTATCAATGGTTCTCGTGTGCCGGCTGAGTGTATCCGCTGGACAGGCAGCGGCAAAGGTCGATCCACATTCCACCCTTATCTAATAGACTGTTTGTTCGAGGCCTATCGAACTCCAAAACAGTCAAGACTTCCTAGAGCGGAAACACTGGGAGCGAAAAAGTTTCACGCACTCCCCGGAATCCTGATGAAACTCAAAAGAACCGCGCCGCCAGCGGAGATGAAACTAGGATGGAATATTTAGAATGAACAGGCATCTTAGAAAGAGAAAACTCACAGATGGTTCATCAGATTTCCTTCGGCATGGGGCTCTCCATGCGAGCCACACGATTACTGTAACGGAATGTTGCGCGCAAGGGGTCAGGTCGGGGTTTCCTCTTTTGAGAGCCTACTGCCGCTGTTCCTACCGAGGGTAACCAGTGCTTATAGATTTTCATTCGAGTACGTCATGCTTTAGGGACGACCTGTTCCGGCAAGAAACCCACAGTGAGAGACTACCAATGAAAGGCGTGATCGCGGGGGATAGTTACTTGAGAATTAGTCGCCCATGAAGGCTGTGCTTGCGATTGATCGGGGATTGAAGTGGTTCGCCATGTTCCATGTATAGAGCGGAGAAGTAGGAGATCAGGTTTGTTCACGAAACCGACATTCGTGGGGTGGACGCTTGAGCCAAGGCAACGCAGAAGGATACATCGGGGGCGCTGACAAGTTGCATCGATGTCCAGCTCGATTTAAGAACCCGGGACTGTCGTTCTCTGGGGAAGCCTTAGAGCGACCCATTTATAGGTAGGTCTGTGGTAAGAATCAGCGCCCTTTTCCAAGATATCCAAACGAGATGGTCGGCAATTGAAGGCGTCAGCACCGCGCGGAATTGTGGAACCATGACAATGCAGCCAGAGGGGAAGTTTGATTTCAATTTGGTCCGCTTGCAGCTGTTTGTCCCTGTTTGAACCTAAAGCCACCCCTCCCCTCTGCGGTGGTCGACGATCGTCGACCTAGGACGCTATTGAAGAGGGGCTACAGGATGCTACGACACTCGCTAGAGAAATCCAGGAGTTGAAGTTGAAATTGGACACGCCGCCAAACAGGACGATTTTGAGGCATAATAAGAACGCGTTGAAGGAGAAAGAGGAGGACTTGCCCAAGGCTCTTCACGCCTTCTTGACCAAAGTCGTGATCTCGAGTCCAAGGAGATGGCTTTTTACAGCTATAAAGAAACCTCAGGCAGCTTTTCCGAACACGGCGACTCCATGCTCTTGCGATGCTGCACTCAGGGATGTCTCGGGGTTCGCAGAACCACGTTTCCTACGGCGCGCCCATTTGGTGGGTCATCGAGAAGGTCTTGGCCAAGTATCCTCACGTCGACTTCTACAGAATCCCCATACTGCTACTGAGTGCGAACATCCCATTCAAGCCGTTACTCCTCCTCCCACACTTTCTCGGTCTGCCTTTGATGACTTGTCTGTCTCTGTCCGCTTCCTGCATCGTCGGCTCATATATCAAAATGAATCCATGCAGCACCGCGTGCTACCTGAAGGGAGTTGTACGACCGTAGCTTAACCTTCTCGTCCCTGCTTTTTCAATGTTCTGATTCTGTAGGTCTGCTAGCGTAGAATGAATCTCTGGTATGAACTGTCATCCTGCTATCCCAGCTAGTGCACAAAGAGTTTCATTACTGGGATTTATTGTGGCAAAATGGGATCATCGACTGCTGGTGGTGTACAAGGAACCCCTGTCAGGACTCGAGCCAACTGAACTCCGAGTCGGAGCGAATGGTAGAAGTCGTCGAATGTCAAGGCGACTACTTAGCGGGACATCCGTTGTCTTTTCTCCGCTAATATCAATTCCCATCATATGTAGAATGCCGTGGAACGCGACTCCAGCGCGGAGGCTTTCACCTTGAGCGCCGGCGCTGACCTGATGCGCGCCATTTACCGGATAAGTCAGAGACTCCATGGATCATCCTTTCTCCCATAGCCCACGTACTATGAGCCGTTTGACCAAACCGAGGCCTTTGCGAGTGCACCTACCTTTCACCGTTGCTAGCAACGAGGAATCCTTTACCCCAGCTCTCCATAGGCCAGTTGCAACTTCGCAACCTGATATGGTAACGGGTCGTCCGGGCACAGGAGCCCATCAGATGGTAAAAGAGCACCAGTAGTTTCGCAACCCAACTGAGGAATTGACAAATGTGGTGAGACTCTAGGCGCTAGTATCACAGACATTGAGCTGTGCACACAGTGATCTTTCGAAACCCCGGTCCACGCTAGTCAATTGATACCGGGCGTCGCGTCGTCGCTCCTGATAAGCTGGATTATTAATAGATCTGCGCGCGTAAAATCTCGGAAAGAGTCGCGTCTGTACGCATTGGCCCAAGTCCAAATTGTACGCGAGTTGTTCTACCTCTGTGCTGTGCTTATAGGTATCTTGGAACGGCGAAGACATTGAATCGAACAGTTTCTGACAACTGTGTGTTTGACGTCTCGCTATTCAGATTCCATTGATGCCATGTCTGATGTGGATGCTTCCATTAGCCGCCTTGTGCTCGAGTTTACTCCGAACGGCTTGTTGATACGTTGCCGGGCGTTCAAAGTCCACATCTGTCTACCTTCTGAAACGCGCGAAGTAGAGCATAAATTCTAAGCAAGGGGCTCCGTTGCACCCGCTCACCATCGCCTACCCCTTCGCTCGCCACACCATGTCCTCTGGCGGAGTGAACCTACATATCACCATTGGCGCCATTCAAATAGGATCACTATGTTCTATGTTCTTGTTCGGCATCGCGACTGTTCAAACGCATACCTATTATCAAGGGTTCCCAGATGATAGAAGATACTTCAAAGCGCTGGTGAGTAGCGCTTCACTGAGACTCCATTGGACACCTTTGACGCTTCTTCGGTACTAGGTTGGCATCATGTGGTGCGTCTCTCAGACCATCCGACGTTGGGAGTAACGGTCTCCAATGTACAACCATTATCAGGATCCTGGAGCTGTTCCACACATTTTGCGTGTCTGCTGAAGTCTACAGGACGACGATAGTTCACTACGGCAACCCAGCGAGTCTCATCAATCTCCCGTGGATGGCGATCGCCATCTTCGCGAGCGCGACTGTCACTTTCCTCACCCATGTAAGCGCTCTACCACCCCTCGCTCTCGCCGATGGCTAAGAATAGCCTCAAGACCTTCTTCGCTTCCCGTGTGTGGATAGTCCTTCCCCATCCTTGGAGATTTATCGGGCCTGTGTGCATGTTCTTGACCTTCGTCGCCTACATTCTTTCGCTCGTCTCAGCAGTTGCCGGCGTTATTGAGGCGAATTTGATCGTATACGAGGAGAAGTGGGGGTGGACGGTGTACATCGTTCTCATCAGCGGGGTGGTACTGGACATCGTCCTCTCGAGCTCGATGGTATTTTATCTTTGGCTGCAGCGGGGCAGGGTGCTTGATCGGTGCGCACCAGCTTCGTGTCAAACCATGAATGGTCTCTCACCTCACGACCTGAATCGCCTATAGGTCTATGCGCCTCATTGACCGCGTGGTTCAGTATACAATCTGTGGGTAGTTATGATCTCAAGTGATAATGATATTGCAGCTGACTGTGAATAGGCACAGGAGTTCTCACTAGCGTCACGGCGCTGGGATTTGTGATTTCGGTGAGCAATCCCTTATTCACGAGTGAAGGTGAAGACCTAACGGATCGACTTCCTAGTTTGGCGTCGAAAATGGCTCCTGTAAGTCGCATCTCTTCAGCCTTTGCCTTGAACGGATACGTCAACATCGCCAACCACAGTTATCTGGGTAGCGTTTTTCACCTGCCACGCAAAACGTAAGTTTGATAAGGATCCTGGCATAGTTTGCGTTGTTCTGACAATCTACCAGTGTACTCGAACAGTATCCTTGCAACGTGAGTGAGACTTTGCTAAAAGGATCTGAAGAATACCCGGGCTAATTTCTACGGCATCCCTCCATACCCACAGCCTCAACTCTCGAATGAGCTTCCGCGCCCCTGGAACATCAGTATCAAGTCGCCAGCAATCTAGCTCTCATGCCGCCCACCGCATGGGTGCCATCGAGTCTTACAGAGGCTCGGAACGCCGCCCAGTCAAGGTGAATGTCGAGATGACATCCAGCGTTCATCGCGAAGAGGATGTCAAGCCAGTATCAGTTCCGTAATCTGATTACAAAACGCCGAGGTCTAAGGGCGGCCTCGAAACCTTGCGTTACGATATTCTACGGACCTTTCTTAATCTTTCACTAATTTGCCTTGTAAATACGCTGTCCTGGAGCTTCAATGGGCTGTATCTTAATAGTTTTGTTCAATACAAATTGGAAAATCTGGGAAAGTATGGGTTGCCTCGTCTTCTCGGAAAGTGCGAATGTGCGAGAACCTCTCGGTCACGATCAACTCACAGGGGCCCCACTAGAAGATAGATACTCGATGTTCAGAACATCCGATATCATAAAGAACTCCACCAAATGTCGCCCATTGGTCCGAAAAGGTCTAATGCTTCTCATACCGAGCTTGAGTATTGACAAGTCTTGTTTTGCCTCATACGTCGGTGAGAAAACGAGCTGCCGCCGCGGTATACGGTTGATTATCGCGAGAACAGGGCCCCACCTTCCTGAAGCTGACCTTTATCCTTGGATAAGGGGCGTAAATGATACCGAAAGCTGAAGAAATGGTGTGAGATTGGGCAGCTGGAAACAATGTAAGAAGGGTGTCACTTACGAGACTCTTGACAGGTAAGTATGTTCTGGATCGGTGTCGCCGGAACAGCAATGAGCCTTCCATCACGGCATTCTGAATCGCATATGCGGTGAGATAAGTAACGTGGAAAGGGTCATTAAGGTCCCACAACTCTCTGTCTCGCCGTCGGATAGAGGAAGAGAGGTCTCGAGTCAACAAGGTCATAGTACTAGCCATACCAGCCCGTGCGGCCACTGGTGCTGGAATCGATCTGGGTTGAGGGTGTTCGAGCTGGAGGCCAATACTCCGATATTGGCGCTGGTTGAGTAAGGAGCGCAATCATGCTGCAGGATCCTTCACTTAGCAATCGGGTGATGGTCGCATAGACCCCCGCGGAAAGAAGCATTCCCAACGTTTACGGAAGTGGGCAACTGAAAAGATGGGTTTGATGCATGCAACGACTGAGCCAGGCGTTACTAGCAGTAGTAGAAGGTGACCCTCGTCGAGAGGAAGACCAGAGAGAAACGAACCCAATGACGACTTGAACCACTGGAAAGAGTGATTCATGCCATAGTCTTGTAGAAAGCACAGTTGTCAGTAAGAGTGAGAAACATCATGTTTGAGGAAGCGCCTGAGCAGCGTCTGTCGATAACGTGCAGGGTAAGTGATGTAGCCGACAACCCATTGAGCAAGCGGACAATCGACTAGGAGCGAACGAGTGCCAGTGGAACAACTCGGACTGATGATGATCGTATGATAGTGGCCGTGTGGAGTTGGAAGGTATTTCTGAGACGTCAGGCTGGAGAAACGATATGCCAGAGACAGGTCTCAACTCGGTGACGAAGCTGCGCCTGGCAAAGTTTTCTTGAAGTTTTCCTTTGTGCCTTTGTTGGTGTTTGTCTTTGAAGGAGCCGCCACATAGGGTCAAACAACGTCCTCCACCCCGCTTGTGCGCCCTGCCCACTACTAGTCGTAACTGTGGAAACTCACTCGTGTTTTCTCTATCTTGAAACCTCGGGGCCAAAATCAACTTGGCGTGCTCGATAACTGTCGGGAGAAACGCGTTACTACTAGTCTGGACTCCCAACAGGACATTCACGACAACACTGCCGCCTTTCCATACCTTGGCTGCGGTTTCAAGTCATCTGGCATCGGAATACGCTTATGATTCGTGGTTGATGTTCTAATCGACACAGTGCGCCAGGGTTTCTAACGCCCGAACTCGCCGAAGCTCAGACCACTGCAATGTTCCATCAAACGGATGGAATCACTATTAGATGGCGCATTGGCGCTCCCCGGAAGGCCTTCTGTTCGATAGCACTGTAACACTGGTACTGGAAAGCGGTGCCTCTGATACTACCTAGTATCACATCTACCTTTCCTCTATCGGCAGGATGTTACGCTTGTCCGTTTCGAATGAGACTGATTTCGGGCAACGATGGCCTTTCTTCAAGATGCATCGGACGGTCTTCAGTGGCTTCATTGCGTAGTGTTCGGAATTCTTTGACCCCACGATCGAGCAATGGTTGTATAAAAGCAGGCTGTCGAGCTACCCTGGCTCCTCAGCTGGTCTCATCTATCCAATTCCCAACCACACAGTCTCAACAGCGTTGATCGCCCCCAACCAACGTCTTTTCAACCCAAGCATTAACCATGGTTCGCATTTCCACCACCATCGCTGTCGCCGCCCTCGCCGTTGCTCCGGCATTCGCTGCTCCAGTCTCCAGCGCCCTGATTGCGTACGTTCTTCTTCATTGAATCCACATTTCCTTTTCTCAGACAGCTGAACAGTCGCAATGTCGAGGAAACCATTGAAGCTCGAGATCCTCTTCAGGCAATGATCCCTCGCGATCTCGAAGACCTCGAAATCCGTTCGCCGACCATCCTCAGCCCATTCACCAGCTTCCGCTCTCCTGGAATCATTGCAAATCCCCTTCCTAAAATTCCTAGGCCCTCTTTCGGTTCCATTCTTCATCGCCCTCGCGCGGTGGACGATCTTGAAACCCGTTCGCCTACCATCATCAGCCCGGGCCCATTCTCCCGCCTTCGCTCGCCTGGAATCTTTGGAACACCCTTTCGTAAATTTCCTAGGCCCTCATTCGGTACCATGCGTAACCGCCCTCGTGCGATGGACGACCTCGATATCCGTTCGCCGATAGTCCGAGGGGGGTGCACGATTGGCGGGGGTCTCGGAAGACATCGTTTCAGGCCGAGGGAATTCGAAGCGATCGATATCCGTGAAACCAGGCTTCGAGGAGGAGGACGACTCCAGGGTGGTGCCCGCCGGCTTGGTGCAGGCTTCGCAGATGGCTTCCTCAATTCCGTGAATGCGCGGGAAATTGAACAGCTTGATTGAGGAAGTGGATTACTTGTAGTACTTCATGTCAACATTGTTCTCTAGGCAAACCTATGTATGAACGTATGACAAGTTCGTGCTAAATTCAAGTGGTTTCTAATCGGAGACTATGACCGCGTGATGTATGGATTTTGTCTGGTCGGCTCATTACCGCTGTGCGTAATATGTTCTCGCCTACGAGAAGGGGATGTATTCTACCCCTTTTTAAACAAACTTGAAGGGATACTTGACCAGCTTGGCCGTCAGATAAGGTTGGGGACTTTGGACGGTTTCCGAATTAGGCATGAAGCTTTCTTTGTAAGAATGGTTGAACTTGATAAAGGTTTCTCCTTCCTGACGCCTTGATCTCTCGCACGCTGTTAGCTACCAGCATTTGATAGTATTGTAGACACCACCGTCATATCTCATTCTGATCAATCAAACTAACTCTAACTTCCGACAGATTCGATATGTGGGCCTGAGGTACAAGTCAGATTTACCATCGGGGAAGGCAACATCCCGCATTTCAAAATTATATGCCCTTCTAGTAGGCTGCGGTCGTATTGCCTCACCTTCCCCGCCCATCCTCCCTGGAGGTTCTAAATCGAAACCCATGTTTGCCTGTACATACACGCTGCACTTCGTGCATCTCGGCCTCTGTCATTCCAGCAACCTTGGCGGCTCACTACATTATAAAGACTGTCACCTGTGGCATCTGCTTTCCCATACCTAAGACTACCCAGAAGACATGAGGTATTCCATCGTATTTAGCGGAATCTGGCTGCTCCTCTCGTCTCTCCCTCAGCATGTCTCCTCCAAAACCAGCCATAGACAATGTCGCTGCATCTATGGCTCAGATTGCTGGCCTTCCGATACAGCCTTCAATGAGCTTGCTAACCGTGTCTCGCGACCTCTTTTACGACCTTCCCCTCCGCCCCTACCTTGCTATTCATCGAAGCAGGAAGATGAAGCTGCATGTGAAGAAGTGAAGCAACAGTACACCAACGGCACCTGGCGCTCGTCCCAAGTTGGCGAGATGCAACTTCCAAACTTTGAAGCATATCTCTTCCAAAACGGAACTTTCGATTCATGCCCTCTCAACTACGCCTCTAGCCACGTCTGCGGACAAGGCTCGGTGCCTCCAATCGGCGTGGACGCTCGGACTCCACAAGACATTCAAGCGGCAGTCAAATTCGCCAACAAACATTACCTTCGTCTTGTGGTTAAGAATACTGGTCACGATCTCCTTGGACGTAGTACAGGAAGGGGAGCATTCCTCGTTTGGACCCACCATATGAAGGAGATCAAAGTATCGAATGATTTTGTTCCATTGGGAGCTTGTTCCTCAGAACGATATGAAGGTCTGTTCCAAATCGTCGACAGTTACGTATCGCCTGCATCGAACTGATTTATGGCTTCCTCTACTTAGGGATAACGCTCGGCGCTGGAGTGCAGTGGTCTGAAGCCTACAGGGCTGCACATGAGGCTGGTAGAACCCTTGTAGGCGGCATCTCAGCAGGAGGAAGTGTTGGCGCTGCTGGAGGTTGTGTCAGGGCTCGTGCACTTAGCAGAACTCTGATATACACTCGCGCCTTCCCTAGACTCGGCTTAGACTTCGACACTTCGACTTCACATCCCGACGTCTCGACTTTCGCTTCCAGCCATACTCGAACCCTCGACTTCCCCAACGTCTTCAGCCGCACCGCCACCTAGACTCCGGTCGTGTCAATGTCTACTGATCTAGACTTCACCGGATCAGGCAAGACGCGCGACTCGGCTCCTTCCGTGATCTCGGATCCTCCGGAAGTCTAGTGGACTTTAGGCGCGCGCTTGGTATTTCGAAGCCTTCGACTCTGTATTGTTCTTTGGAAGTATGTTCCCTTTTTAGACGTATTCGTTCTTTGTTGTTGTCCGAAGTTCCCTCGTACGTCATATCTCGACTTTCCTGATTTATCGATGTTATTATCTTTCTTTTCTTCGGCTTATCTTTCCTCATCACATGTTCTTTGCTCAAGACTTGTCTTCGACCTTTCTACTTCATGTCTTTGCTCTAGACTTTCTTATCATGTTGTGATTGGTTCGTAGATAGCTTCTTCGACTCTCTTGTGTTGTTCTTGGATTGATTCGCCTTCATGTCGTTTGTATTTCTCATTCATACATCTTAGTCTCGCCTTCATGTTTCTCCATCGTTTCTCCGCACTTTCTCTTGTCGAAGATTCTCTAGACGTGTCCTCTATAAGTACTGTATGGTTTTGTAGTAGATACCTCATCCGGAATCTCGACGAGGACTCTCCATCCTCCCTTCTCCATCGACTAGGATCTCCATCCTCCCTTCTGCATCGACTAGGACTCAATCCCCTCTCCTCCATCGACTAGGACTTTCCCCTCATCGAATCCTCTGTCCGAATTCCTAAGTCTAACTTAACTCTCTCCACGTCTTCGACCGCTGAGCCTTTAGCTCCAGTCGTCTCTCTACGTCGCGCTCTCGCCGCAAGGCGTCCGTCCGGTCCGTCGGCCTAGCCAGCCATAGGAACCTTGACGAAGGGTACACGTTCTTATAACGTGAGACCAAGGCTAACCTCCGACCCCGAAGTCTCCTCTCCATCTCAGACTTCGCCTCACTCCTCTTCACTCACGCCCATCTCCTGACAGTAGATTCCGGATTCGACTTCGTCTTGTCGTTCCAAGTCTACGTCTATGTCCGATCAAGACCGCTACGACTTTCGTCGCCCTCGCCCTCCTCCTTCAGCGTCCGCACTGGGCCAACCTCGACCCTTATCGCACTCCAGACACGAGTCCCTCACCGATCCCTTCTACATCTCGAATTCGACATCACCTGCCATAGCTGCAACCGCTATTTGGCAACCTCCTACGTCTTTCCTCGGTCAAGCTACCATTCGACGCGGCATGTCTAACGACGCTCGCGAAGAAGAGTTCGTAGCCTCGCATCTAGGCATCCCTGGTGGCCTCGCTACCAGCGCCTTCGGTGGTCTTCGCGCCTCAGACTCTGGGTCTGGCAACCCCAGTGGTGCTGCAGGTCGCGTCTCCAACTCGCGTCGTGGTGATCCGTCTTCCTCTGGCAAAGGAGGCGATGATCCACTCCCTTTCGCCTTTGATCCCTCTGGCTCTCCCCCTCGCACGCCTCCTGGTGATCCGCCTGATCCCAGGGGAGGTGGTGGTGGAGGTCCCCCAGGTGGCGACTCTGGTGGTCCCCCGCCGTCTGGCAGCGGTGGTGGCGACCCTCCTCCTAACCATGGTGGTGGTGGTGGACCTGGTGACCCGTCTGGCGATCCGCCTGGCGGAGACTCCGAGACTCAAGCTCAAGACGACTCCAACGACTTCCAACCCGTCCTTCGTCGCATTCTCGAGCACCTCGTCGAGGGTCAGCAGTCAAATGCTCGTACCCTTGCGAAAGGCTCTCGAGAAACTCGAGTCTCAGTCCTCCAGTACCCCTAGACTTCGTGCTCCCGACCCTTTCGACGGCTCAGATCCCGAACTCCTAGACGCCTTCATCGCCCAGCTTTACAGTTTATCTCGGTCGCTACATGCACACCTTCAAGCACCCGAGAGACGCTGTGGCTACTGCCCTCTCCCTACCTCAAGGGCAAGGCGTACACTTACTTCGCATCTCGAATCAATGTGGCTCGCACTACCGATGCGACGTTGCCTTGGTTTGACAATCTGGACCTCTTCATCGAGGAGCTGACTCTCGTCTTCGGCCCCAAGAACCCCATCGGCGACGCAGAACGCAAAATTCGTGCGTTGACGATGACAGGACGTGCCTACCAGTATACCCTCGACTTCAATGAGCTCGCCGCACGCATCAACTGGAACGAAGCGCCTTTACGTTCTCAGTACTACACTGGCCTCTCCGACCGCATCAAGAACGAGTTGGCTAAACGTCCTCGGCCTGCTACGCTTTTGGAGTTGCAGAATGTCGTCTTCGACATGGACGAACGTTGGCACGAACGTCAAGAGGAGATTCGTCGTGATCAAGCTCTCCTCAAGGCCCTCCAAGCCAAGCTATCTGGCAAGGCTTCGTCTTCACCCTCTCTCTCGTCTGGCTCTTTGGCCACCCCGGCTTCGACTTCATCTAACTCGACCAAGACTTCGCCTCAGTCGGCCGGTAACACTTCGTCTTCGTCGACCTCTTCCTCTGCCAAAGGAAAGTCGAACAAGACTTCATCTTCTTCTTCGTCTACGACTCCCTCGACTTCATCGTCGACACCCTCGACGTCCTCTGCCCCTCCTCGCCCTTACGCCGACAAGCTTGACGCTAGCGGAAAGCTCAAGCCTGAGGAGCGTGCCCGCCGTATCAAGGAAAGCCTTTGTATGGTGTGTGGCAGCACAGAGCACAAGGCGTCAGAGTGCCCCAAGTCTAGACATCGCGCTCGCTTTGCTTCCGCCGGTCAGCCTGCCACTGACACGTCTGCGGGAAAAGCTTGAGCAGTCTGCTGACCTCGCCTCCTCCAGTTGACTGCAGCCTCTCAGCAGGAGTGCCTGAGGTTCGACTTAATGCTGCTGCTCTCTCCGATCCCCATGCTCTCTCGTTTTCGGTCTCCGTTTATTCTTCGACGTCTTCGCCTATCGACCTCGACTCCCTGGTGGATTCGGGTTGTACGGACTGTTTCCTCGACTCAGACTTTGTCAATTCTCATTCGACTTTGCAATTTTACGAAATTCCGCCAGTGCCCCTTAGACTCCTTGATGGATCTGTTCGTACTTGGCTCACTTCTGCAGCGGATATCATCCTCCGCTTTCCGTCTGGTGATGAGTTCTTTCTCAAGTGCTTCATCACAAAGCTGGATGCTCCGTATCCCCTGATTCTTGGACACAACTGGCTCCGCCGATACAATCCGTTGATTGACTGGCGTCGTGGTCAGATACTTTCGTTCGAATCGGCCGATAACCCCTCTTCTTTGAGCTCACTCGTCGCAGCAAACGTCGAGACCTCCGTTTCTTCATCCAGCCTTCCGTCACAGGCGTCTCAGCCTTCCGTGGTCCCTTTTTCGACCAAGTCTTCCGTCTCTCTTCCTTCCCCCATCGACTTCGACTCACTCGACTCCGACCATTTATCACCGCAGGAACCGATTGTTCCTTTACCTCAAGATTCGCCTCAAGACTCGTCGATGTCGATTCCTCCTTCCATTTCCCTTTCTTCTTCTACTTCCAAGTCTTCACCTTCTCCTTCTAAGTCTTCTCCTTCTTTCACTTCTAACCCTGTGCCAATCGCTTTTGTGAACGCTTCAGCCTATCGTCGAGCTGTTCGCATGAGTGGTTCGCAGACCTTCTCACTTTCTATTTCTCCTTCTTCAGACAACGTCTCGCGGGCTTGTGCTGCTTCGACTAGCACTACCGACACTCCAGATCTTTCCAATGTCCCGGAAGAGTATCACGAATTTGCCGACGTCTTCAGCAACGCCAAGGCTTATTCGCTTGCGCCACATCGCCCTTACGACTTGCGCATTGATCTGGACGAGTCTCAGCCCCTTCCTCCGAGTCGGCTTTATTCTCTCTCCCGCAGCCGAAACCCCCTTGCGCTACGCGAGTTCTTGGACGAGAATTTGCGCGCTGGTTTCATTCGCTCTTCGACTTCTCCGCTAGGCGCACCCATTCTCTTCGTCAAGAAGAAGGATGGCTCCCTACGTCTTTGTGTGGATTACCGGGCGCTTAACCGCATCTCCAAGAAGGACCGCTATCCGTTACCCCTCATCTCGGACCTTCTTGCAGCCCCAGCTCGTGCCAAAGTCTATTCCAAGATCGACTTGAAGCATGCCTACCACCTTGTGCGCATTGCGGATGGGGACGAGTGGAAGACTGCTTTTCGAACTCGCTATGGCTCTTTCGAGTGGTTGGTGATGCCTTTTGGTCTCACTAACGCGCCGTCCGCTTTTCAGCGTTTTATGAACGACATCTTCGCCGATATGACCGACGTCTCGGTTATCGTATACCTCGACGACATCCTGGTTTTCTCCGACAATCTCTCTCAGCATCGTGAACACGTCAAAGAGGTGCTTAGACGTCTCCGCAAGCACGGGCTTTATGCTTCGCCTAAGAAGTGTGAGTTCCACGCTGACCGCGTCGAGTACCTTGGGTACATTCTTTCACCCGACGGCCTCACCATGTCGCCTGAGAAAGTCAAAGTCATCCAGGATTGGCCTGAACCTCGTTCAGTGAAAGACGTCCAGTCTTTCCTCGGTTTCGCCAACTTCTATCGTCGTTTCATCCACGGCTACTCCGACATCGTCGTTCCGCTCACGCGCCTTACTCGCAAAGACACGCCTTTTGAGTTTTCTTCCGCCGCTCGCAAGTCTTTCGAGACCCTCAAGTCTGCTTTCATTTCTGCTCCTATTCTTGTTCACTGGCAACCCGATCGACCTCTCATCATCGAGACAGACGCCTCCGACTACGCCTTGGCCGCCATTCTCTCTATTCAGCTCGAGTCTGGAGAGATCCACCCAGTCGCCTTTCACTCCCGCACTTTCCAAGCCGCCGAACTCAACTACGACGTCCATGACAAAGAACTCCTTGCCATCTTCGAGGCGTTCAAAGTCTGGCGTCACTACTTGGAAGGCGCAGGCGACCCGGTCAACGTCGTCACAGACCATAAGAACCTCGAGTACTTCTCGACTACCAAGGTTCTCACTCGCCGTCAGGCGCGGTGGTCTGAATACCTTTCCCAGTTTAACCTCGTCGTCCGTTTCCGTCCTGGCAAATTGGGCACCAAGCCTGATGCGCTAACACGACGATGGGACGTCTACCTTAAACAGGGGGGTAGTGACTTCGCCAGCGTAAATCCGGTCAACCTTCGTCCAATCTTCGCGTCTGAGCAGCTGGCTTCGTCATTGAGGGCTTCGACTATCTACATCCCTGCCCTCCGAGCCTCGCTGGTTGTCGACTCTGCTAGTCTTCATTCTGATATCAAGGCTTCTTATTCTTCGGACCCCCTCGCCTCTTCACAACTTCCCACTCCTTCTGACCCTCGTTGGGAGCTTCCATCCGACGGTCTTCTTAGACTTGATGGGCGTATCTACGTTCCAGATAGTCCCGGCTTACGTCTTCGAGTCTTGCAGCTCAAGCATGATCACCCTCTCGCTGGTCACTTCGGTCGCAACAAAACGATCGAATTGGTTAGACGTGACTATGTTTGGCCTAAACTGCGTTCGTTTGTCGCAGACTACGTCAATTCTTGCACGACTTGTCGCCGTACGAAGACTCCTCGCCACAAGCCTTATGGTCTCTTGAAGCAGCTACCCATTCCCCTCCGTCCTTGGGAATCCATCTCCATGGATCTCGTCGAGCAACTTCCTTCCTCTGGTGGTTTCACAGACATCCTCGTCATCGTTGATCGCCTGTCCAAGCAAGCTATCTTCATCCCCACAGACCAATATCTCACGTCTGCGGAGCTTGCACGCCTTTTCGTCATCCACGTCTTCTCCAAGCACGGCGTCCCTTCGAACGTGACGTCTGATCGTGGTTCAGAGTTCGTCTCCCACTTTTTCCGTGCTTTGGGCGAAGCCTTGGACATGAAGCTTCACTTCACCTCAGGTTATCACCCTGAAGGCGACGGACAGACCGAAACGAGTTAACCAGACCTTGGAGCAGTACCTTCGGGCGTATCTGTTCTTACCAGCAGGATGATTGGCATCGACTCCTTCCCCTCGCCGAATTCGCTTACAACAACGCGCCTTCAGCTACCACTGGTGTCTCGCCTTTCTTCGCAAACAAGGGTTACCATCCAAGTCTTAACATCCACCCTGAACGCGACTTAGCCAGTTCCGCCGCGCAAGAATTTGCAGTCGACCTCGCCTCGTTGCACGAGTACCTTCGGGAATCTATCACCGCCGCACAGAAGTCTTACCAGCTATACGCCGATCGCAAACGTCTAGCACCCCCAGACTTCAAAGTCGGTGATCGCGTCTTCGTCAAAGCTGCCTTCTTCCGAACCACCCGACCTACCAAGAAGTTGTCTGAACGATATCTCGGTCCTTACGAGATTATTGCTCAGGTTGGCACCCACTCCTTCACCCTTCGACTTCCAGACTCCATGCGTTCCGTTCACCCCGTCTTCCACGTCTCGATGCTCGAACCCCATCACGAGTCTCAGATTCCTCTTCGTCACGAGCCTCCTCCACCTCCGGTAGAGGTAGACGGCGAATTGGAGTATGAGATTGCCGAAATCCTAGACTCGAAAGTGGATCGTCGTAGACGCGCCTGCAAGCTTCTCTATGAAGTACGCTGGTTAGGCTACGAGAACACAGACGAAGAACGCTCCTGGCTCCTTGCTACCGAGTTGAGCCATGCCAGGGAGTTAGTCGAAGACTTCCATCGTCGATATCCCGACAAGCCTGGACCCGAGTGGTGACCCGTCCGCCTTCGCCTTGTTATCTCGACTTCTCATTTTTTCCTTCGACTTCATTTTCTTTTCTTTCACATTCCTATGCTTCAATTTCTCTTCGACATCGACTTCACCTTTGGCCTCGAGGGCTCGGCCGTAATCAGGGGGGTAGCTGTCAGGGCTCGTGCACTTAGCAGAACTCTGATATACACTCGCGCCTTCCCTAGACTCGGCTTAGACTTCGACACTTCGACTTCACATCCCGACGTCTCGACTTTCGCTTCCAGCCATACTCGAACCCTCGACTTCCCCAACGTCTTCAGCCGCACCGCCACCTAGACTCCGGTCGTGTCAATGTCTACTGATCTAGACTTCACCGGATCATGGCAAGACGCGCGACTCGGCTCCTTCCGTGATCTCGGATCCTCCGGAAGTCTAGTGGACTTTAGGCGCGCGCTTGGTATTTCGAAGCCTTCGACTCTGTATTGTTCTTTGGAAGTATGTTCCCTTTTTAGACGTATTCGTTCTTTGTTGTTGTCCGAAGTTCCCTCGTACGTCATATCTCGACTTTCCCTGATTTATCGATGTTATTATCTTTCTTTTCTTCCGGCTTATCTTTCCTCATCACATGTTCTTTTGCTCAAGACTTTGTCTTCGACCTTTTTACTTCATGTCTTTGCTCTAGACTTTCTTATCATGTTGTGATTGGTTCGTAGATAGCTTCTTCGACTCTCTTGTGTTGTTCTTGGATCGATTCGCCTTCATGTCGTTTGCATTTCTCATTCATACATCTTAGTCTCGCCTTCATGTTTCTCCATCGTTTCTCCGCACTTCTCTTGTCGAAGATTCTCTAGACGTGTCCTCTATAAGTACTGTATGGTTTTGTAGTAGATACCTCATCCGGAATCTCGACTAGGATCTCCATCCTCCCTTCTGCATCGACTAGGACTCAATCCCCTCTCCTCCATCGACTAGGACTTCCCCCTCATCGAATCCTCTGTCCGAATTCCTAAGTCTAACTTAACTCTCTCCACGTCTTCGACCGCTGAGCCTTTAGCTCCAGTCGTCTCTTTACGTCGCGCTCTCGCCGCAAGGCGTCCGTCCGGTCCGTCGGCCTAGCCAGCCATAGGAACCTTGACGAAGGGTACACGTTCTTATAACGTGAGACCAAGGCTAACCTCCGACCCCGAAGTCTCCTCTCCATCTCAGACTTCGCCTCACTCCTCTTCACTCACGCCCATCTCCTGACAGGTTGGGTATTGGGCGGTGGACACAGCCCTTTAGCTCCCACTTACGGCCTGGGTGAGTTTAATTTGTATCGCTTTCAGGGGGCTGATAGGGCTGACCAGGGGCCATGCAGGCGTTGACAACGTCCTTCAATTCACTCTTGTGACTGCAGACGGAAAGCATGTCACAGCCAATTCCTATACGAACCCATCGCTTTTCTGGGCTCTCCGAGGCGGCGGAGGTGGTACGTTTGGTATCCTGACCTCTGTAACCTACAGGACCCACCCCATAGAGCAAATAGTCCTCGTCGGGTTGGAAATGGACCTCCCTTCGCCAGAAATTGCTCTCGAGCTCCTTACAGAATACGTCCGTCTTCACCCTAGAGTCAGCGATTTAGGCTGGGGAGGCTCCAGTCAGATCGTCCCCAACCACATCAGATTCGACTACATCTCGCCCAAAAAAACCGTCGAAGAGGCCAACGAGACGTTCAATTCGATCTTGGAACTTGCACGAGAGCGCAGTAATGGTACAGCGACGATTACCTTGACTCCGTACAGCTCTTTCTATGACTGGTTCGACGAATGGTTCATGAAGCGTAACTCAGTTGGTGGGGTGGGTGGCATGGCTGAGCTCTCGTCGCGACTGCTCTCGCGGGAGGTCGTTGAACGTGATCCGGCAAAGGTCGCTCGACTGATGCTGAGTGTGCCAAACCCATTTGGCGCTCCGTGGGTGTACGCTTGTTTTCCGTTCTCACTCCAAGTCCACCGATCAATTCATTGTTCACTTCCCTTAGTGCTGCTGCTGGAGGCGCTGTTTCCAAAGTGGACCCCGAAAGCGTTGCATTGAATCCTGCATGGAGACGCGCTGCAGCTCAACTATACCTGGCAGAGCCTTTGGCGGAACTCGATTTAAACGCCATCGAAGTCGTCCGCCAAAGGCTGATCAATGGTACAAGGATCATTGACCCAATAAGCGTCGACTCGGCTGCGTATTTCAACGAGGTAAGTCTATCTCCTTTACATGACTCTAAATGCACCCTCAATCCGCTCGATGTAGGCCATGCTACACAAAGAGGACTTTAAAAAGAGTTTCTTCGGGTCGCATTACGATAGGCTTAAAAAGATCAAGGCAAAGGTCGACCCAGAGAGCCTGTTCCTCGTTCCCCTTGGAGTTGGGTCCGAAGATTGGGACAAGGACCTCGTTTGTCCAAGGAAGAATTCTCAGTAGGCAAGGTTATTCCATATCTCGTAGTGATACTTGGCCGTATTGTTGGAAGATGTATCAGGCCTGTCTTCACATTAATCTCGTTAAGTAGTACGAATATATCGTATGTAGCTTGCGGTCGTGCTTGGGATAGATATAGCGTGAAACAATCAGTCCCGAACTGGCCGATCACCGTTGTCCTGAAATAGGTTATCTTGTATGCAGGGAGCCTGTATTTCGTCTTATTCCCTCTGTTATTTATTTGCCCCTTCCGCAGGGCGCGCGATGCTAAGGGCCGATCCCGATTGCGAGAGTCCTGTCATCCGAGTCCTAGGATCTCCGGTGACCCCGCAGATCGAAAGTGATGAGCAGCCTCACTGCCATCAGAGTTGATAGTCGGCGAGAAAGGAATGCCTTGTAATGGAATAGGATAACCAGGATTGCGAGATTATACAGACGCAGTACCCATACTTCTGTGAATAAAAGGAGCGCTTCTGCAACCAAAAGGGCCGACTACTACCTCGCTCTCCAGGACCAAGACATAATGGCTTCAACCATTCCTCAAGAGGTCTACGATCAATTCTCGGTATATACGGCGATGCTCTACTATGTGAGCAACACAGTCGCGACGTTTGACATCGGTATGTCTCCTGCACTCTCGACGATCTCAGCGAGCTCACTACAGCCTAAGCCATCCAATTTTGCATGTGCTTTTACGGACTGTCTGTCGCGAAGAGCGAACACTAAACCAAACTAAAGACCAGATAAGACTAGTATACGGGCCAATGCATATGCATGGCAGTGACTCGGCTTAAATAAGGCTCCACCGGAAACACTTTTAACGGTTCAGAAAATGTCAGACTTTGCATAGATACATACAATCAATGATTTTTTCTTCCAGCTTTTTGAAGTACTTTGAGATCAAAGTCTGTGGTTATGTCACCTTCATAGTAGCCTTCACCCTTTCTAGCCATACCATCGTGGTACCAAATCCTGTTACATCGATCCACAAAGCGGCAAGTGAAATGATTATCACCCCCGTATAAAAGGCCTTTTAGGTGGTACAATACTGGACGACCGTTCACTTTCACAGTCAAAGTTTCACTAGGAATAATCTTTTTACCTTCCATGACAAAACTTAACAGGACCGGTGCTGAAAAGACTTCTGTAGTCTTGACTATCGTTCTATTTTTACACTTTTTACACATTGCCTTTCTTGGTTCTCTCATAACCTCATTCAACCACCAGTCGAGTGGTAGAGATTTGGGGTCCATGTCTGTTGGAACAACTATGTTCCTTCGGCCTGTCGCCACAGTTACAGTAGAGAACATTGGCTGATCTTTAAGAAGTGATGTATGTTTACAAGTATTGCATATTGTCTTTTCTCTTGCCCTTGGTGTCATCTTCCCTAGAGACACATCTAGTAAATCCTCCATGTCCACATAAGCCTTCCCTTTAGGGAATAATGTTGCTGAATGGTCATATAGTTGATTCCGCACTATATTGCGTGCCTTTTCCAGGCCCTCCTTAGAAGAATCATGATTTATCTCTGAGATAAATCCTCCCATATATGTACTGAGATCCATGATTTCATCTCTCCTGTTTGGTGACGCTTCCTTCCACAGGTTATAAGTGACTGTAAAGAGCGAGTCGTATGAGCAGCTCCAGTTATCCGTATCCCATTCTAACCCAACACATACCTCAGATGGAAGATTCAAAGGATTAGGGGCCAGTGTAGTGACTTGTCGCTTTCGCCTACTGACTTCTTGCCCTGAATTACCAGTTGCCTTTCTCTTACCAAGCTGATTCTTTTCTCTCTCTATCACTTCACGGGTCTTAGCATATGCCAAGTTCCAAGTGCCATCCTTTTCTGGCTCCTGTATAATCTTCTCATTCTTTCTCCATTGTAGGGACTTGTGCCATTTGGATGAATAGTCAATGTTGTTCTCTGATGCCCACTTCTGGAATGCCCTTATTGTTGGATTCCGCAAAGGTCTGACTGCATCTTCAGGTATTAACTTATTGTACCGTAAAAGGGTAATTGTATCTAGCATATCTAACTCACGGAACTCCTGTCGCAAGTATCCATTGATCCCTAGGATCCCCTGCTTCAAGTTTCTTCATTGTCAGTCTTCCGTCTTCCTTGTCTACTGTTGTTTCCTGTACAATCTCTCTTGGGAACCGCGCCGTGCATATACCTTCTTCTGTGAGACACCCTTTTGGAGCACCAGACATCATCAACTTGACTTGAACATCATCTGCATTAGATTTCTTGTCTTTCATTGGTGCTTTCTTTGCACGGCATTTGTGGAAATGTGTTCTTAGAACAATATCATCCACAGTATGGTTGAATTTGTACTTCCATGCTGCGAGCACTGCACATTTCTGACATGCTTCAAAGGAATCATGAGTTTTCTCACACCATTCTGGAGGCTCTTCAGGTAAAGTCAAAGTAGGGTCAACATAGCCCGGAGGAGTTACTTTTGAGGATCTTTCCTTTTCGATTCCATGAAAGCCCTCATCCTCCTCATCAGGATCGTACGGGACCCTTGTCTTGACCTCTTCTATTGACCCAGTAATAAATTCTCCCTGGTGAACACCCTCCATATATTCTATAAGGGCCTTTTGGAATTCTGAGTCTTGATTCATTAACCGATCTCGAACGTCTTGTGGAGATAAAGCACCTGCAATCCAAATCATCATATGTAAGTGAAGAGTCAGCCGACCTTGTTGCTCCACTGTCCCGTAGTAAGCATTTGTCTTGCCATATAAACCATCGTGGTCAGCGCCTACACCTAGCACATGTTTGATAAACAATTCTACAAGAACGTTGAAAAATTTTGCAGCTGCTACAGGATTACTTAGACAAAGCTTTTCCCGTTGTTTGGATGTCAAGATTTCAGGCTTGAACTCCAAATTATCCGATGCGTAGTAAAGACTCAAAGGATGGCGGTTGTCTGCTGGTGCAAAAGTAATGAACCAACTTGGCGCCCCTTTAAAAGCTAGCAGTGACCAAATCTCGTTCCGCATGTACTTTCGATTAGTTAAAGAGCCCTTGACATGCCCACCAACATGATCAAGCATATCGAGCAATTGAAAGCACTCTTTCTCTTCATCTGTTTTGGGCCTGACATGTTCTCCGTTTGCCATTCGATCAGCAATGTCCTTCAAAACCTCTTTGTTAAGCCCTAGAATCTTTTGTGTGATAACTTCAAAATTCTGTCGCTTGGCCATCAGGAAACTCCCTGTAATGCCGCTTTTTAACTGTTCATGATTAAATGCAACTATAGGAAAATAAAGATCTGTTTGGAAACGCTTATCAGCATAGCTAAGAAGATGCTTCTTGTGGTTTTTATGGTGAAGTTTCTTTTTAAGGTGTGTTTGCCCAATTCCACCTTTTCCATAGGGGAAAAGCCATGGGAACATTTGCGGATAAAGCTGTGGGTTGTCATAGATTGTCTCTGGTGTATCTGAGCGACCAATGCCAAGTGCTTTACCTCCATCTTCTAGATGGCGTAAAGCTTTGGCTTTAAGTGCATCAATGGTCATGTTCTCGTATTCAACCCCTGTTAGTCCATGGACAGTAAAAGGGCATGGCCCATCAGAGGTTCCACGCTCTACCTTTACCTCATGTTTACTCATTTCGGAAGGCAAAACATTACCTGCCATATTAACAGGTAATGGCTTGTAATCACAGAATACAGGTACACCACTTTCATCATATGATGCTAAATTTTCCCTATCAATAGTAAGATCTGCATAGTCCTGGTGATTTAACTTTAGCCATTCTAAAGCTAATGCTACCTTGTTGCGTCTTACAAGCATTGGAGTACGTTTAAAGTCCTCAGGTGTTGGGCTTGTAGAACCCATAAAGATGAATGCCAGTACTTCACTTAGCTCTTCGCGGCTTGGAGGAAGCTTGTTGTAAACTTCGACTGTAGGGTTTGCAAACATGATGACATTAGCTATCATTTTCGCTCTGCCAACCTGACCTGTACTAGTAGTAACCCTAACTAGGCAGCGGTTATGCCTTACACGGGCAATCAACATCTGTTCCGCAAATGTAAGATTTTGGAGCTCTTTAGGTATGTCCCCAATCCATAAACCATTTGCCAAAGATAATAGAGGACGCCTACCTTTCTTCAATGCCGTGTAACATGATTGACATACCTTAGTCCATTTTCTATCAAAGATAGGACCTGGTACCTCTTGTATTGGATCAGATTCTTTCTTCCTCTCAAGTCGAGTAACCCCCTTTGCTGTTAGAAGGTCAGCGACCTCCTCAAGATCTAACTCTGTCTCTTTTATTTCCTTAAGAGTGCTTACCTTTGCCAGTGCGCCGCACACGCAGCATCCACTTTCAACGAAAGAATCCGGGTGTATATCCTTACAAAACCCTGAGATAATCTCATGTATCAGTCTCTCTGAAGGAGCTGCAGGTGGAAATATGACCTCCTCTGTGTTGTTATTCCCATCACTAGCCTTCATCGAGTCCTTATCTTTTACTAATTGTTGACTTACTTTTGCTTGCCTTCGGGCTTCTTTCTGTGCTAGTGCCTTTGCTTTTACCTGTTCCCTTAGGCGTGCAGCTTTCTTCAGTATTTCTTCCTCCATGCTCATTGAAGGGCGAACAACTGTGTAATACTCCATACACAAGGAGCAACTGTGGTTGCTTATCTTTGATACAAAAACAGGCTTAGTATCCTTCCTTCCCCTAGTAATACCATGCATTCTCGCATACATCACAAGATCTGCATAGCTAATCAATGGGGCGATAGTTTCCAAAGGTAGTAAGCAAGCCACAAGCTCTGGATTGCATTCCACTAGATTTTTGGCATCATTTATATGTAGATAAGATTCAAAATTGTATCTGGAAGCAGGGTGTATCTCACTTCCAGGCAATACAGGAAACTGAATCAAAGTGGCACCTTCGATACGAGATAAATCTCGTTTTTTAAGAGAACCCCCTCGCTTGCCTGCCTTACCTCCCCCAACCATCACGTTATAGGGCATGTTACTTTTGAGGCGTACCTTGTCAGAAAGACTTGAAATGACATGTTCGCTAATTTTTGTTGTTGAGAATGTAGGGTGTAATCTTTCCAAGGCCAGAAGACGGTGAGATCGTTTGAAATGAGCGGTTTCATTAAGAATTTTAGCCCAAGAAACAAAGAGCTTCACTCTATCAAATTCAGCTTTGGAGTACACTAATCTGGGTGCAATACTTTCTTTCCAGGGAACTGTCAGTGATTCCAACAACCTTAAAAGTTTGAACAGGGGCCTTAAAAGTCCTTTACAATAGCTATAATCCTTTACCTCTGTATTATAGTCACCGTATGTCTCATCTGGACTGCTGTGTGTGTTCGTATAATTCTCAAAGTAACTACCGTTTGAACTTTCAATCTTTTCAGTTTCATAACGACGATCCACCATCAAATTCTTGCCGTCACCCGAACTTCCGATCGACGACAGGATTAACTTTTGATCTCCGCCAGGGCGATCGACGAAAAAGTTGAGTTTGTGGACAACCGAAGGTGGCCAGGACGAATAGTTTAACTTCTGATCAACACGAGGTCGATCGACGAAAGAGTTGACTTTGCGACCAACCGAAGTTGGCCACGACGAAAGGTTTATGCCCGAAGGCGACGATATATAATTCACAGCAAAGAAGGCAATCTGCAGAACATACAATAAGCATTTCTTTTTCTTATCGTGCATGCGTCAAAGCAATGACTTACTTGTGCCACTATTACCGTTGTGAAAAGACACTTCGCTATACTCGCTAGTCGCATTTTCGTTTTCAAGGTGTTGGTTCGCAATCAAGGTCCCGACGGCGCGATCCGGGACTGGAACAAACTGCCACGTGAGACTTACTTTTTGGGGAAAACGTCAAAGTTCCCACCCAGCTCACAGCTTCTCCGAGTACATCGGATGTTTCTCCACCTTCGTTATTGCTGTAGAGTACACATTATAGAGTAACAAGTACAAGATACCAATAGTAAGCGCGACCAAAGTATTAGTAGATGTGAATGCAGAAGAACAGTTTAAAATGAATAAAAAATTCAACACTATATATATCATGGGAAGACGTCAAGAAGTGTTGGCTCGAGAGAAGAGGAATCGTTCAATGAAATCATGGGAAGCGGATTGAAGGGTATTATGAAAATGCCGAATGGGTCCCAAGCCACGTTGAGCCGACTTCCATTCTTGGAAAGCCAGAGGTTGGTCGAACTTTTCAACGCCCCGCTCGATATCTTCTAGTCTCTTTATATACCACTGCTCCCTCCTGCAGCACCAACGGCCATAGTTTTCTCCACAATCTGAGCGTTCGTATGCCCGTGCAAGGGGCCACCACGATTTGATTGCGACCGAACCTGTGTCTGTAATGACCGTCAGCCCCAACCGAGACAGTCGATGATTCTCAGAACTTACCTTCATCGATACAGGTATACGCACCACAAATCAAGTCCAATTCCCGTGCGGTTAGCCCATCATCCACGTACTCCCCCTCACAGTTTTCGAGTCTCGTTGTTAGTAGTCCACTGCACCCCACCGCAGTTTTCTCAACGTCCCCCATGCCAAGTGTTGCGATTGCCAGGCGCCAAATGATCCCGCCTCGTCGTAAAGCTGCACGCATATGAGGTTGAGAAAGAATTCGAGTGCGGGTGTTCACATAGCTATCGTAATCGATCTTCGTAAACTTGTGCTTCAACGGTCTAATGGGCAGAGGGCTATATGACGGCGTTCGATAACGACGAGCTTGTAAGTGGGAACGGGGAAAGAAAAGACGGAATGAGATGCCTTTCTGCACCAAGGTTAACACAATCTCATCCTCCTTGAATTCAGGTGGCAGCCGACAGACAAAAAGGGCGTCCAAGGCATTCAGAACAGCCAACTTCCAAGGCTTTGTCGAGGACGCAAAATTGAACCAGTAGTAACGAGGCACGCAGTCAGATTGACCGCTGTCTACCAGCTCGAGGTTGTCGAAGGACGGTATGGCAGTGATTCGGAGATCCCGAAGCCTAGAGCAGTGTTTGAGAGGGGAGATGACGTCGTCCTTGAGGTCCCACGAACCTGCATGAGGGGTCTTGCGCTTGGAATGGGCCGTCATGAATTGTACCGCTGACTTGTAGTGTGCAGTGGCAAAGTATTCATTGGGCTTTAGCTCGTTGTCTGTGAGTCCAAGTAGCCGGCAGAAGTTCCTCCTCATCTTATCATTGTCCTCTGATGGTACAGGCGTTGATGGTAAGGGTGGGACGAAGCCATAGTGAAGGCCAAAGACGCTATTCACTTCCTCCAATAATGTATTCACTAGCCAGTCTGTACGGGAAACGAGTTGCACCTGTTCTTCGTCGACGATTGTAGTGGCAATTGCTGATGACCCTCGGGCGATCTGAAGAGGTTGATAGGCGGATGGGCAGGTCTCTTCGTGCTCGGACAGACTAGTACCTTCGGATTGCTCTAAGATGGCCCCACCGTCGTTGACGTCGACATCCAAACGCAGATTGTAGGCTTCTGCGATCTTATTCCTGAGTGAAGTTGGGATAGGTAGGCTAAGGTCGTCGGGCGACCACTCCTCCAGGTCGATTTCGTCATCATCCCCGCTGAACAAGTCACAGCAATCCCATTCTCTGCAAAACGAATCAAACTTCTTTTGTTTCGAACTGTACAAAGACAGTGTGTCTCTGGAATACTTAACCCCCGCCGCAACCCGCTCATATGTATCCGGATTACTTTCCGAAGGACACCACTCATACACCCTGACTTTCGACACTGGAGGGTTAGCCGCTCGGGCTTCGCGGGCCTGTCTTTCGGTAGGGGTCTCCTTCTCCATGATTCGGGCATGTGCACGTTGATGTCGAGCGCAATGCGCGGCCCATGCTGCATTGAAGTTAGATAATTTTGAGGCCATTGGGTCGGGAGGTGGCGGTGACGACGACGTTGTTGGTAAATGTGGTAGGAGTATTTGTTTTCGTGTGCCTATTGGTCGCTCCGGGCTCCCAGTCAGTGTCCCTGGAGGGGGCGCGAGGCGTTGATCAGCCGAAGCTATCTCGGAAGAACCCCATCGGTACCAGACGGGCACGCCGTGTTTCACGAACCACTCCACGGTTGGCTGGTACGGCTTAGGGTTGACAATATCGACGATGCAACCAATTCGATTCGGATTGAATGAAAAGTCACATATTGAGGAAAACCAAATGCCATCTATCCATGCCGTATCCACCTCTGATTCCAATTCTACATGCCATTGAGGGACATAGCTGTTCAATGTGAAAGCATCCCTCTTAGAATCCGCGTGTGCTACCAAGTACGAAAGCGCTCCCCACCAGATAGAAAACCAATCCCTCGACGAACCGACTGCACGATCGTAGCTCCTGGGGTTCTTGAAGGTAAGCAGGTATCCGTGGGCCCATGGTAGGAATGGTAGCACCATAGCCGCCGAGAACTTGGATTTCAGCTTCGTAACGGCCCCGAACAGTTCAGACTCTAGTTTCGCCCAACTTTGTGTGAAGTTTTCCGGCATTCGGTAACTGAAGTCCTCTGGCGACCCCAAGATCAAAGGTAGCGGGACCCGTTTTAGTCTGTTGAACGGATACCCAGGGTCGGAGTACTGTATCGGTGCGAACGCCAGCCAACCAAATGCGGGTGTCCATAATCGAGGCTCGCAGATGTCTCCGAATCGCGGATATTTCTGGACGAACTTTGGTGGATTAGTGGTGTTCGAAGCGTCGTTCGTCGAAGGTTTGCGCGGGCGTTCAAGGGGTCTGTGCTTCTCCGGTTGAAAGGGGTTTACGTCCTCCTGAGCGAAAGGGTCTCCCGTGAAATTGAGCGTTCTCGTGCAATTTGGGGAGTAGTATAGGACTCCCCCAACGTCTTGAAGGCGACCGGATTGCGACATCTAACCGCAGTAAGAACACCATCACAAACATATACGAGAATGTGAGTAACGTACCCTTTTTGGCGATCTAACTCTCCTTCAATCTAAACCAGCAATAGCAAATCACCTCTCCCTACTTGAATTTCCCCCCCCCCAGACGCGTTATTACTGAATGAATGCCTTAGCAACGGTCAGTCGAAGCCTCGTAAGTTCGAGCACAACGAGCAAAGCCGTAACAAACACGAAGCTTTCAGAGTAGAAGTACGCAGATAGACTTTTCACCGCCTCGTATTTCGAGCACGATGAGGAGTCGTGGTGGTGGATGAAGAGATATGTGGCGCCCCAGGTTCTGAGGTACCATCACACAGCCGCTAATTGATTCCCGCGCACGAGCCCCATTCAGCCTCGGAAGTATTTTGGCAGGCACCGGTTCCTCCACGCCTAGTCGTCGGGGTATTTATCGCACATCTTACTGGATAATGAAGAAATTCTGTGTGGATACGAAAGGCTTCATCTCACCAACCCCACGCCTCGGAACTCGAGCACGCAGGGTGGTTGTAGACCCAGTTGTGGTGGCAGGAGGATGGATGCCGAAGGCAACGGGGACAGGCAAGCTTGGGAACAAGTCATTGATTATTCCCGCGCGAGTGATGGATTCCCGCGCCAGTGCCTGTTGAGCCTGGACCTTCCCAACTCTTTCGACCACCACCACCCGTCTCCCCCCCCTCCCTTGTAGCGTGCTCGATTTACGAGGCGCTACTCTGGAACATACTACCGAAGAGTTACCTGCTATACTAACCACGCCTCGGAACCCGAGCACGCAGAGTGGTGGTGGTGGTGTAGACCAGTGTAGACCCCTTGGTTGGGCAAAGGGTTGAAGGCAAACGGAGAAGTCAGGCTTGGCACACTGCCACCTGATGGTTCCCGCGCGAGTGATGGTTTCCCGGGCGAGTGCCTGGTGGCGGTGAACCCTTACAGCTTCTTCCACTACCATCACGACCAATCCTTGCAGCGTGCTCGAATTACGAGGCGTTGCTTTGGATGTTCTGTTTTCTTTCGTGCTCGATTTACGAGGCGATTGAATTAACTGTATACCTAGTTCGAAGCTTCAATATACCCCTATGATGGACACAATACCCGACAACGGCAGACAGTATCTGGACCGATTAAACGTTTAGCCGCCCGTCTGCGTGCTCGAATTACGAGGCGTTGCTTGGAAGGTTCTATGTTCTTTCGTGCTCGATTTACGAGGCGGTTGAATCAACTGTTTCTGTGCTCGATTTACGAGGCGGTTGAATCAACTGTAGACCTAGTTCGAAGCTTCAATATACCCCTATGATGGACACAGTACCCGACAACGGCAGACAGTATCTGGAGCGGATGGAATTAAACGTTTAGCCCCCCGTACAGAGACCGAATTTCTTGGATTACAACATAAGCGGAACTGGGGACGCAGCAGTTCCGCCTATCGCGTCATTGCCCAGCGACGCTCGATCGAACTCGGTTTTACCAATGCCCGGCCTCGGTTTAGGACGCTGGCCAAAATTTCCCGAGCAATCGTCTTCTCAATTTTACCACCATGTTCTCCCTACCGAATCGCCCTGACTGTCTTCCTCGGATCGAAAAGGTCAACGCCCATCCCTTGGTGTCTGGGAAGTCCGGACCCGTGTACATCGTCCATGGAACTAGCAATCGGGACAAGTGCAAGACACTTCTGCAATCGTTACGCTCTGTCAAGATTCCCAAGTCATCGAACGAAGCCAGGAAAAACGGTGCGTGAAACACCTGAGTCCTTGAAGTCCTACTCACTTATCCTAGGTTGGCTAATTCTGGACCCCGACGACGATCCAAGAGTCATATGGACAGACGACGACCGTGGGGCTCCGGACTGTATGAAGCTATGGTTTCTTTCCAAGTAAGTATTTTCGACCTGTGTGAATCAGTGACTTACGATCGGCCAGAAAGGATTGTACTCCAGAAGAAGTTCAGGGAGCTGAACAGCTGGTGCAAGAGATTGTTGGCGACGTCGACGAGAACGGATTAACGCAGTATGAGCGGGATCCCCGATGCTCGTCCTCGGGGAAAGGGGGTCGGTGTTATAGCCTTTCCACGACACACCAGGACAACAAGGATATAGAGGCTCCCTTCAAGGGAAGGAAGTGTTTCGGACGGCCCTTAGACGGTCATGATAAGATTACGAAGAAATTGTTGGAGGTGAGTTTTCCGGCCGAGTTCAACGTTTCGGTTCTAAGAGAAGCCTTTCTTTCGTTATCTCAGTTCACTAGCTACCGCAGTATGCAATGCCTCGAAAAGGGGCCGGCGGCGTTCGTCAACAACATAAAATCCAGGTCCGAAATGGTGAACCTGCCCAGGATTGGTCATGAGAGCAATACCGCCTTCCCCGCCTTTCAACTCAACATTGCGACCGCCGAAATGCCCGGTCAAACAAATGGTACGACTACCGCCTCATTATCACTCACCTATGCAAAAGCTAACGTTCGATTAGAAACGGGTGGACTACGCGAATTGGGAACTGCAGGAGAAGTACATGGCGATATCAAGGATTGTGTCGGAGGGATATCAGCGATCACCTGCTACTCCGAGGACAGACAGGACGTCGAAGAAGATGTGTTGTACTTCCTCGAGCTAGGGGTGGGGTTCATCCTTCGCCGCCTCGTCACAGCTTGTTTTTCGGGGATGAACCTTCATCGAGGCTCTGCAGTGCAGTTCAAGCAGAGTGCCGGCAACCACCCTCGCCGACACTTTCGTATCGTTGCCGTCGGCTACCCCCCTATGCACCACTTAGAAGCTTCCAGTTCATCCGCCTTGGCTATGGTCCCTTCCACCAAACGCGAAGGCGGCGGCGAAGAGCATCCCAAAGGGTCCAAGCATGTTACGACGGAGGTTCTCAAGCTTTTTAAAGAGATGAAGCAGTTCAGGTGCGCGCTTTAGTGTTGGTATGGACTCATGATCATTAACATGCGTTAAGGATCCCTGACTTCCCTGCATACCGCCCCGAGGCCCAGGCCACCTACCTGTCGCAATCCCGTGCCATATCCACCGCAATGTCCTACGGTAACCATGCATCCCGAAGCATTGTCACCCTCGTATCCTATCTCATTTCACAAGTCGACCCCTCTTTGCAAATGCGCTTCGACAGAGACCGTCTGCTGAGCTCGTTCAGCTGGGTAGTCCCTAATGAGGAGATGGGCGAGGCCGGTGGTTACGTTAGAGTGTGTGCGGACCCTTGGACAACGGGCCCTGGTTGGACCGGCGATGACGTTCGAATTGGAAAGAAATACGAGGATACGTTCGACGCCATGTCATACGAAGAACTAGTGCTAAAACGGAACACCGATGCTGGGGGAACTGTGCCGTACGGTAACCAGACCGCAGCTGCCGTCGACAGTGCTTGGAATCGCCAGTTGGACGACATGACCCCGACTTTCCCAGTGTGCGTGCTTTCAGGGGAGACGGAAGGCCAAGGTAGAGGCGCAGCGCAACGCCGAAAAGGTGGGTACATTTACACACAAGCCCGTCGATGCAACATCCTCATCGTCTCTTTCACAGGTACAATCAGACGGCTCACCAACTTTATGCGACAAGTGGATGCAGTTGTCGAACAGGACGAGCCTGAAGGACAACAACTCGAAGGTACACCAGAACAAGACGATCGTGTCGCGCTACGATCCTCGACACGAATTCGGGTTGCACCTCACACGCAAGATACCAGTACGTTTTGTTCTCACTACGTGTCGTCGTGAATCTCACATACCTTTTACTACAGTCGTTACGCGTTCACCGTTGACCAAGAGAAAGCGCGAACCATCGCGCGGTAAAGGTGCGGTTACGAACAAATGGCCGCATAGAGAATTCTAACGATTCCCTTTGCAGCTCCGAGGAAGAAGGGCAGGTCGGACGTTGCGTGTAGCAGTGACAGGGACGAAAGGGAAGGAGAAGGTACTGGCGACGAAGACGAAGTGACTCAATTCGAAGGTACGATTTACTTACCCCTGTAACGGCATAGACTGATCCAAACGCGATAGGTCTCCTGTCTACGTTTACTCTGGATAGCCTACAGAGACACCGTGTCGAAGCTATGGACATTGTCGAACACCTCCATTCCACTCCCCCCAACATTTCCAGCAACATGTTCGATGACTTACCTGGAAAGGTCACGGAACTGTGTGGCACAGGCCGAGTCCATGAACTGTGGGGAATGTCAGCTGCCCTCGAGAAGCGACACTCAGCGTCAGTACTAGACCTTGTCGAGGAGCGATCCAACATCATGGCAATCAACATGCTGGCATGGGAGTGGCTGGACGGTTCCTTAGAGAATGGGTTGAAGGTTCGAGGGTCTGCTAACAACACACATTGGACGGCGCAACTCTTTCGAGCGATAGAAAACATTCACCTTACCCCCGACATGCCCAAGACGTTGAAAGCTACAATATGCTTCCCGACCATGGTCGACGCTCCAGATTTCGTCCATCAGCCTTTGTTGCGCCGACGATACTCACCCATGACCCGGGAAAAGCTCAAGGACAAAGCGGCCGACATTGTGAGGACGTGGTTCTCGTACCCCAAGAACGAATACCATCGCGTGGCTGCACAATTCACCCGGAAACTTGTCGACGCTAGTGGGCCTTTCGTTCTGCTTTACCCACCAGTTTGGGATGCATACACCAACCTTCGCAGAGGGATGGCTATTTCTTCTCGAGCCACGGTCGGAGAAGTCGAGCGTTGGGCGAGGGAAGAACTACGACGGGCCTCATTTACTCGAAAAGGGTCTGCAGAGCGCAAGCTACTTCGATTCGTTTGTTCTCTGTACGGACAAGCCAGCCCCCTTCTCGATGAATCTTCTCTGGACGTAGTTCTCTAGTCAAGACGTGCATGTTGAACGCTTTTTGTATTTTATCGTAGTATGGTATACATGTTGAACGTAAAGCAAACTACGTACGAAAGGAAATAACTTCTGGATTTAATAAAACGGACGAAAAGAAATAGGAAAAATGTGGAGTAGAGGAGCGAGAATTAATGGAGAGCAGGTATTTTGGGAATGGAAACGATCGACGACAACGAAAACGTTAAGTCTTCTTTGCCGACCTGGAGCTCCTGGAGGGTTTTTGGGTAGCCGCCGCCGACTTGGGAGTTTTCGTGGACGTTGCTTTGGCGCTGGCTTTCGCCTTCGACGCTTTTGGTGCAGGGAAACCGGCAGCTTGGTCCTTGTCAGCGATCACAATTACCCATTGGATGTACGTGTTCATGAGCCACTTGTTGCTGTTGGTACCCAGGGAGTGGCGAACTGTGTAGCCGGCGATAACGAGAGACAGAATTGGGATCTCCTTGCCTTCTGGCCATTGAGGGAGGGTGCCACTGAGGTCGTCGATGTGATTGTCGATGTCAAAGTCCTCAATTCCAGTGGCGTCGTAGACCGGGACTGTGGCCTCGAATCAGCACAGGGTAATGCAAAAGCAGGAAATAACACGATACCTTTCTCTGTGTACCTGCGAGGGGAAATGCTGCCATATCCAGCGCTGGCGGTGTTGACCATGTTGGCCGTGAGATCGAAGAATGTGTTTGGTTCTATAAAGTATTCAGTCACTGGAGAGAATCAGGAACAGGGAGGATCGTACCCTTCTTTTTGGTGGCCGGAGTGCCAATCTTCGCAGACAACGTCGTCAAATTCAAACCACCCTTGTGCTCAGTAGACTTCATGGACCAGTTGTTCATCGCCATAACAGTGTGGGCCATGATTCGTTGACGCTCGAAGGTGAAAGGGTTAACGAGAAGGTTGAAGCTGACGAACTCCTGCCTTTCTCCGGGCGTGTTCCCATTCCACAGGCGAGGAGAATATAAGTTTGACTCCTGGACGAGCCCAAAGACAACACAGATTGCAGTTCCTCGACCACGAACTATCAGCTCAGTATTCTCCCGCTCGTATGGTCTACTGCCAACAGAACCGACAGCAACCCTAGCCAGGTTCACAGCGTTTTTGTTTCCGGACCAAACGAGATGACGCCATATGACGCTGGGGAAAACAATCAGGGTATGAGTACCGTAGAGGCGAACAAGTACTTACGCGTCTTTGACCTGGGGCAAGGACCTTTGAATGGCCGAGGGAAGAATGTTGGTGGCCTCATTATCGGTACGGGACTCGATGGATCCAGGCCTGAGGCGCAGTCAGTACACGAAGTGTGAAGCTTCGAGCAAACGCACCTCAATAGGGATAGATCGTCAGGATACACACCTTCAGGTGCATTGGGATCCTGCAAGCTGTCGATATCGAGAACGGGATCTCTTGAGCTCAGAACTCTGCATAATCCGAGTGAGATTATATGCCTTTGAAGGAAACAAACTTATGCACCTTGGGAAGAAGGCTCCGGGCTCGTAAATCTCGGTATCACTCCCCTCTTCTTCATCAGAACCATCGGCCGACGCCTCACCACCCTCTTCGTCTCCTTGGTGCTCGATTTCCTCCTCGCCGTCTTCCTCGTCGCTACATTGAAGGTTCTTCAACCTTGTCAAGCCCGCATAACGTTGATGGATACGTACCTGGCCTCCTGAGTCTCTACGTCCGACGTCGCACCTTCATCGTCCACATTCTCTCCAACAAAGTCTTCCACATCATCCTCGAGATCTTCACCGTCCGTGGCTACAGCCTCAGGCTCGGAGTCTTCTTGGGCACAGTCCTCATTTCCGTCGTCTTCGGGCTGGTAATCGTCACCGTCGCTGCACTCGTCCCCTTCGTCTTCGTCAGGTACGACAAAATCGTCCTCGATAACCCTGTACAAGCCGGAAAGGAATCAGTACTCGATACCACATGGACAAGCACAGAGAATGCTTACTCTTGGCGCGCCGCTTTCGCCGGAACCTTCTTTGGGGAACAGGACGTTCGAAGGGTGTTCGCCTTGACAGGACTTTTCTTGATCCTGAAAATCGGTAAGCATTCTGCCGTCGACACTTCAAAACAACACTCACTCGACGAATGGGGAACCTAGCGTAGGCTTAAGGGCAGGAACGGATCCCCTACGAGCCTTTTTAGTACTACCAGAGAAGAATGTCAAAGGTCATCAGACGGTGTGAGATACAACATCTGAAAAGGACGTACGGTGATTCGAGGGACAGACTTTTCAAAGCACTTGACGGAGTCTCGGGAGCAGGGGCAGACCGCTTACGTAGAGAGCGACCGTGGCTAGGAGGAGTGGAAGGGAGAGCAGGGTCATCAGGCCTGGATGTGTGGTTCGATTAGATTCAATCAGGGCAAGTCAATGCTTCACCCACCGCTCTTCACCGTCGGTATCTTCGACCACCTCTTTAGACCTACAATACAGAGAGTAAGTGACTTTAATGACACAATGGAAAGGATGTACGATACTTACTTAACATTTTTCTTGGTGGCAGCCGTGGTCTTCTTAACGCTGGCAGACCTTGAGGAAGACCTGTTAGGAAAGACAAGTTACCGTCAGTCATGGGTCAACAGTTACGTTGAACAACTCACCGCAAAGTCTTTGGCGCCTTCGCTTGGGAAGGGTTGACTGCCTTTTTGTTGCTTGATTTTGTGGGTGGGCCCATGACTGAAATTGGGGAATCAGGCGGGGAGATGCAAGCCTTTTATATTTTTTTTTTTGGTTGTCGTGCGGACCAAAATGGATGTTTAGCCAGATCGATCTCGGTGGTACCCAAATTAGAAAACTGAAAGTCCCGTCTCCTGATATCGAACTGGCTCGCGAAGGCGCAGCGAAACAAACGAATCGAGGGCCATCGACACCACAAATAGATCGAAGGGCACTCACTGCTCAATACCCAAGGCCATCCCTTCGTATCAATGGACGAGTTTTACGACACTGCTAAAGCTGGTGAGGTTTCCACCCGATGCCACCACACGTATTGCTAACTACCAAAAGCCTCTCGACTGGACGTCATTATCCAGGAGCGTCGGAAAATCGTTGCTGGTCAAAGGGGTGTCTTTCAATTGTCAGACTTAAAGGTAACGGCACTCTCCTCCTGGTTATTGGCTCTTTTTTCTGATGGGAAACGGCTAGGCGAACACTCTGGACGTGCTCCAAGTAGGAGCTCGCGGATTTTGCGTTTTATCCAATGCCAGTGAAGAGGGGGGGATGGAACCGACGTACGTTCGCGTGGTGGGGATTGTAACGTCCAAACTGCTTCCCCCACTTTCGAGACCAAGGTGACATTTTGTGCCTCATCCATGACGTCGAACATTGCCAGTCTAACAGTCATTCGTGCAGTAACTTTACCCAAATGAAGAAGTCGCGTCCTCATATGCGGCAAGCTGTCACCTTAGGCGGTTTAGGATCCACAGAGTTCGAGAAACAAATCACAGCTCTCGAAACCGTGTACCTTCAGTTTTATCAGCATCTACCAGAAGGATCGTTGGTCCCAATGGAGGCCACCACTGTCAGCGGCCACTCAGCCCTAGATGTCTCATGCCGTTATTTCACCCATCGGAACGCAGCCAATGGGCAAGGGCAGGAGATCATTTCCCCTTTGGTCGACCCGGATGGCGTGCTCACGTCGCTTTGCGATTCAGAGTTCCTCTACACAGCTGATAACATGGTGGACTATCGGGCGAGAGTCATGCAGGAGAATGGAACAGTGAAGTGAGTGAAAGCTTTCCAAACAGGGAAACGCCACGATTGACGTTCACTGCAGGTTTGAAGACTGTAGCCCAGCTGTATTTAAAGTTGGAGACATTGTCGAGGCTACTGTTGTCTTCGCTTGCATCCCTACAAAGGACAAGCGATTCAAATTGACATTCTTATTGAAGGCACTCATGCAAATCAATACAGAAGAACGCAACGTAAGTGCATTCAAGTTCGCTATGTAGCTCTCTCCATTGACTCCATGGACACGGACCTAGGCGGCTGCCGTGTTGCGAATGCGAAGCCGATATCCGAACTTCGTTCGAACAGCTATCCCCAAAAGGAAACCCACTTACGCCGATGACGAGGAGATCCAGGAAACCCAAGACAGGTTCTGTCGCATGCGCATTGATACCGAGGTGGAAGACGAAGGGAGCGGTTAGAAGCGACTAATCTCCGTGACAGATTCTGTCACATAGTCAGTGATCGACGAGAGGGTGGACGCTAAGAGGAATGGTATCTACTTTGCCGTGTAGACGTTGGGTTGAAGCCATTCACTAATGGAAATTGCGCCGTTTTGTCGACACGTTTGCCTGCCGCACTTTCGACGCGTGGAAGAATTTTCTTTGGGTGCGAACTCTGCATCGGAAGTTTTAAAGTATCCCCAACGGGGCATGAGTGGTTCAGGCAACATATCCACAGGACTTTCGATGCCCACGATATCGCCAACCGACTCGGGAGTCCAAACGACTTACGGCAGACAATGCTACTCTTCCGAGTCTTTCGCGGGTACACGTAAAGGAAGATTAAGAGCCAAAACAATTTAGGGAAATAGAAAGCAATGAAGGGACGACTAGGATAGGGTGGTGGCGATGGCACACGTATGAACAACGTCCACGTAGGCGATCGGTAAACCCGGGTGCAGATAGAAAGGGGAAACAGGACAGGCTTATCTTGATTGTGCAGGACGTTTCACGGGTCGGTCTGGGTCGGTTTAACTTGAAGTCCCGAGATTACGGCACTAATTAATCATGTAATTCACAATAGATAAACGTCGCCTCTCTAACAAGAAGCTAAAGAGGAACAGAGACCAAATGCAAGGCATTTCCTGCGAAGAAGCGATTAAACAGGCTCTCATAGAATGCCGAGTAAGTGCTATGTTGGTTTAAATTGACCAATCTTTATCTCAACTTACTTGTGGCTCTTAGAAGCGGCCGTCAGTGGATGCAATTCTCTTCCCTTGCGATTTGCCGTTCCCGATACTTGTCCCTGTGCCGATCAAAGACCATGTCTTCCATGCGACAGGCCTGGCCGACTTGGAGATTCAGTTGTTCATCGGAGTAGACAAACCAGGCAAGGCCAACGTTCTGAAGTTGGATTTGGACGATTCTTGCATGGGAATCGCGTGTCACTTTACCAATCCGTTTGTAAGTCGATTTCTTCAGCATGGGTCAAGGGCTTTTTTTTTCTGATGGACTGTCAAGCGGCCGGTGAACGCTCTTCTTCAGAAGCTTGTGAAAGGTACACATGTTCGCGGCCACATGCTGGTCGTTGTCGTTGAGAAGGAGACTGGACATGTGGCCCATGCTGAGACAGAACTCAAGAGCAGAATCAACTGCGCGCTGGCAAGGTGAGAAGGCTGGGCGCTCCTCACAAGAATTCATTCTGATTAAGACATGGTTGCAGGGAACTCGGAATTCAAAAGGCAATTATAGGGGCAAAGGACGCAGACAAGGGAATGCCAGATATCGTTTGTTTGGAATCAGAATACATGTAGTACAAGACGTCTAAATATCACAGTCGTGGGGAGGTAGCAGTTCCCTGAGCTGCGCTACAATTTCGGAGGCTGGCCCAGACACGTTGACCACGGCAGCGATTTCTTCGAGCAAGCGCTTCTGACGGGCAGCTGCAATACGCTCGCGATGGACAGCTAAAGGTTACATGAATATCTCGGTTTCCGCGGCGGCTGGGTGCTAGTGGACATACCAAAGAGAAACGGAAAGAGTTCCCACTGGGAGTCCGCGATCTTCGTGTCCATAGCATGGGCGACAGATACGATACGTTCAGCGATCACCTTAAGTTCACCTGCAAATGTGGTATGAGGAAATGACCCAGGCGGTGAGCGTATAACATACCATGTAACTCCAGAGCAAGGGAGCCAAAGGCGTCCCAGTTGCCGTCTGTTTGGGAGAAGTCAGAAAGTTAATGCAGGCAGTTGCAAAGACTAACCGCTCTTCGCCTTGGCCATGGCGGACATTGGATTTCCCAAGTTGAATTTTTTGCCGTAGATGAGTTCCTCGTTGTCCCTGGTGGTAGCCAGGAGCTTGCGACTGTCGAGGGCAAGATCGTAGAGTTCTGAAAGAGGTTGTTGATAACTACGACGAGGCGAAAAGGAAAAATGTGCTCACTCTTCCAAGCGGCGGGCCCGTACTCCGGACGATTGACAGGACTGCGCAGAATGGCCTGGCCTTGGTAGAAACCGTCGTTCACAGCATTTGGAAGTGCGGGATGAAGGAGAGAAGGGAGACGGCGTTCTATGAAATCACGGAGAAAGGAACAGACCGTTTGACGAGTGGCACACCCAATGCAGCCAAACAGGTCAACCTCCGGGCGACATAAGCCTTGACCACAGTCCGGGTCGCATCTATCGGGCGGGTTTGGGTTGTCGCGAGCGTAGTCGTTCCATTCCTTGTTGTTGAAGAGTTGCCGTACGAAAATATTAGCGTCGGGATTGCGCACAAAGTTGGAGAAGCCTTTCATGTCGAATATGGTGGTGTAGGAGTGCGGACAGCGGTAGGTATGAACGATAAGAGAGAAAGTTTTGAATGCGCCCGACAGGACGCATAAGATCCTGGATGCAGACCCGGCTAAAGCCGGTTCTTTGCCAAGCGAAAGGTGGATGCTGCTATTCCACGAGCAATCCGTTTGTTGTTGTTCGTGATAGTCTCCACACGCTTTAGTAAAAATGAGTGAGTCTTCCTGTTCTACTGAGTGGATAAAACATTAATAAAGTTTCAGGTGTCCATACGCACCGCTCATCGTGGTTCGCAGGCGCTTTCGAATTCAGCATGGAGAGGGAAAGGGTACGTGTTACCAGACTCACCGAGAAAAAGAACTGTTAACTCACGTTGAGCGACGGACACAGGTCATTGGAGCCGGGACCATAACCGCGTTTTGTCTTCCGCCAGACACTGCTGAAGTCATCGCAGCACCGGTAACAATCGTGGACGCAGATAAATCAGACACGTTAAGCTCTCTCGACGTTCTCCCCTGGTTGGATGGGGAAAGGGAGAAAATAGTTCTGACCATAGCGTTTCCGGGATACAAAGGGGCACGCCGCAAAGCGTACCTCATCGCTAGCGAAGAAACAGGTGCAGAGTCCACTGTGAACCCGACCCTTCAAGCCATCGCGACGGCCGGATTTTCTAGCTGCGTTTCCATTCGAGGACCTTGCTTAGTCTTGATCGCCAACTCTGTTGGGGACCTGGTGGTAACGAAGCGTTCTGATTTCCCCTTGTTTGTCGAAGGGTTCCGAAGGCGAGTGATCTGCACTTACAGAGTCGCATTCGCTAAGACACTCCCAAAACAGAAAACTCCTGGAGTGTGTCGCGGAGGAGAGAGCTCTGGCTATCAGGCATGCTCTCACTGGCGTACGCTTGTATGTGAAGGGAGACAAGTGTGTTTCCTTGGGTTTCAGATTAACCTCGTCCGCTTTAACGGGTGCCGTTATGCAAGTAATCACCTCTATCAAGGTTAGTATGTCATTATCTCGACCCTCTGAGGAAGCCTCGTTCAATTTTCGCCTTTATTCGCCTATAGCGTTCTGGGTCGGAATGGGTGGCTGGTTTGTACATTCCCTCGAAGGGATATGTGGGTTCCATAGTCCCTATCCCGTTGAAAACCGGTAGGGAGAAATCGGAAGGACTCCATGCCCTCGACTTGCGTCCGTACATTGAGCAACCTGGAGTGCAAGACAACTGGTCGGTGTATCTATTTAAGAGCAAGGCATCCAAGCGAGGCGTTCCTTTCATTGGTGGGGGTGCAGTAGGGTCGTACAACGTAGGGGTAAGTTCTGCAGTGTATTAAAAAAAAAAAATCGCTGACGCTTTCCGTAGCGAGAAAGTAACGAACTCTTTAGCAAGTATCTCGGCGGGGAAACGTCGTATACAGTTGGTATAAACGGGCCTATTATTGTAGTTATGCACGAGGAAAATGGGAGCCTACGAAACGTCGGCCTCAAGGACGTACAAGACGCTTGCGAGTTCGCCTTAAGGTGAGTCTGCAATAGCTTCAGTTAACAACAAAAACTAAACACCGACGACCAGGGCGATGTTTGATAGCACCTCAGACCTTCTATTAAAGGACGTGGACGCAAACGTTAAATTACATTTATAGAATATTGGTTATATTGTTGCGTATTGTACAGGAACGTTATAAAGACGACGATTGAAGTATAGAAGGCATGCCAGTGGCCGTGCAACTAACCCCTGAGCAACGTCTGACTAGGGGGGAAACACGGCTCTCTCTTTCGTCCATCATCACATCACGTCGGATGCTTACTCCCAACGCAAATATCCAGGAAGAGTGTTTCCGGGTGGAGGCTCTTCAGGACCAGGATCGATGGAACTCATGGACCTCCCAGTGGTATACACAATCAAATCAGGAATCCTGCGGAACGTGCAATAATCCAGACGACTGCGTTCCAATAGAGGACGCATTTGGATGCGCAGGGTGTAATGTGAACGGGTACGAGTGCGGTTTCATGGAGGAGTATCTCAAGCAAGTCCGGGAAGATTGGAAGACAGGCAGTCGATGCTGTGTCGGGCCTGTGAAGGAGATTTGGAACGGTGCGGAACGTCGAGTCTTTCAGTATAAGAGATACTGACAGGGATATGGGCAGATCTGCAAGCGCTGGAAGAGTTGAGCGATGAAGCAATTTCAGGCTTAGAGACAGCGGATGGTAAGGTGTTGTGTACTCCTGCGACGGCCAGGACTGACACTCTAAGACAGTTGACAGAAAGGAGTTGACGTCCATATACGGCAAGCTCTCCAAATTGACTAAGAGTCTGAAAACTAACTGGATCCTCGAGCGTGAAGGTGAATCCTCAGAATGTATCATTTATTATGCGAAGTGACTGACTACAAGGCCAAATTAGCTCAAGTAGAACGTACCAAGGAATTAGCAATGAAGCACCATAGCTTGAACGAAATCTCAGGAATACTATGGGAGGCCAGGGTTGGGAGGGAGAAAGAGGAGTGGTCGAAGATTGATGACGCATACCTATACATGGAAAGAATCGAGAGCATAATGACGCAGTTAGAAGACGACAAAATGTAGTCAGTAATTAATTGGCAAGGATAGTGTAGACAAACAGAAAGGATCCGTAGGACAAGAGCGGCGTGAACGACTCCTGCCAACAAAAAGCTTGCTTAAGCGGCGTAGACAAGGAACGGGAAGCAGGGTGTTTGGGCAGAAATCAAGTCGGATGAACGAGCCGAGATGTTGAATCAATCCAGTGGACTGACGAGCATGTTTTTGGATTTCTGGTCAAAAAGACCAGACCCATGTGGATGCTTTGGAACCAAACCGAGTCGGTAGGAGGTAAACCGAGTCGGTCCAAACTGTCGGTCACTTGTCGGAGAATACGATGCGAATACCGCGAGGAACACGTATGGTCAGGGTCATTTGTTGCTGGAACGGCCAGAGAGGTGTCTTCTCATCCACCGGTGCTCGTTCCGAACCAATATGGAAGACTTTGCGTACTCTCTGGGCACAGTTGACAACGGCGAAGTCGACGGCGAGCGACGTCGACACCTCTCTGCCTGGACGCAAGCAGCGGTTCAACGTTCGAGAATATCCTTCCTGGTGCGTACTACAGACAGTATTATCAGTTCTATTACGAGTGACAGGCGATGTAGAGAGGCGATAGCCAGGATGTTGCTGCCATCTTGCTCCCCCCCGACTGCTCAACACCGGCTGTTGTTCGAGTCGCGTTGAAAGACGGCATGGATAGATGGAATAGTGTGGAGGGCCTGGAGACGGATCCGTGGGTGGGAAAAGTCGACGACACTATCAAGATGACCATCCAGCCTGTGTACAGTTTGGCAGACGGACGCTGCTGGATCATACTGTCGGCCGGTGAAGTTGAGGCGGGAACAGCCCGCAACCCGACTCTTACGAGGATGACCTCTGCATGGAGCCGCACCTTTGTGCGTACCAAGGGAGCGTGCCTTGTCGTCACCACGAATGCCATCGGCCACTTACAGGACACAGTCGCTGGAGATTTTCAGCTTTTCGCTGTAGGATATGTGAAGTGAGTGTCTTTAATTCTATACTCGATGTTCGCATGAGATGCAGAAATTGTTTTTCCTCCCAGGCACCTGTTCGACCAAGTTACAAATGCGATGTGTGGCGACGCCGTTTCAAGAGTTCAGACTGTGGTGAGCCTACCGGAGGCTCTGGGGCTGGTTTACGGATTGAGAAGCACTCATCCAGGGATTGGTATTCGTACCCGGAGGGCGTTGAACAAAGCATGGGCGATGGTCGAGGTGAGTATTAATTTAAACAGTATTGCTTCATAAAAGACTGATAAATGTCTCAAGAGAGGATACGATTGGGTGACCGGGCTTCTACTAGTCCACGACAGAAGCTCAGTGGTCATGGTTCCAGTCCCGCTTCGCAGATGCAGTGATCGTATGGCCGGAGTATACGCCACCATTCCCGCTGTGTATCTCCCAGTTGTGGACGAGAGGGCAACCTGGCGAGCAGATTATCTGTCCATCGGTGATGGAAAACATGCTGTAGGGTTATTCACCAATGGAGGTGGACTAAAGGTGAGCATGTGATCGTTTCTGATTTACAGCAGACATACTCATTTCTGGAATAGCAGAACAGCGTGATGAGAGGGATTGTGGGCACGGCAGGAAGATACATTGGGCAGGAAGGAGGGATTCTGGTCGTCATGAAAGATGCCCAGGGGCACTTGGTTGATGTCGGAGATGAAGACGTTGGACCGGTGTTGGCCAAACTGACAAGGTTAGGGCCGTGGTTGAAATTAGAAAAGTGTGAGGAGACTAACGACATCTATTTGTTCCAGGTCGTTTATGAAGAGAATGCGAGATGTAGAGCTGGAGTTTACCGTCGAACAACTCCGATTACATGTGTACGAGTACGAGTGGGGATGGGAGAAGGAATGCTGCGACTTAATTCCTTAAGTCGAGTACAGCGAGCTGTATACTATAGAATTAGTATAGCTGAAATAGAAGGCGATTCGTGATACCTGATTCCGTTAAGAATGAATATATCTTGCGGTTGAGAACGAGTCTCAGAAGTCGAACGAACGTGCAGAGCGTGCGTACATAGGAAATTAAAAATCCTCCTTTTTCTATAATTGCCATAGTATTCTAGCTAATTTACATGATATACCTATCTACGAAAGATGTATATACCTAACTACGAAATAAAGATGTCGAATCGAACAACGGGCCAGGTCAAAGGCAGATTCAATCTCCGACACATCTGCGGAAAGGCCTTTGAACCGAAGTTTTCTTGTTTTTTTTTTTTTCCTTTTTTTTTTCTGATTAGGGTAGCTAGAGTTTTGTACGTTACAGCAGAACAGAAGGTGAAGACGAATATTGCTAAATCTATGAAGTATTCGAAGTAAGTTAAGTGACTGTGAAAGCGGAGAGTGAATAAAACTCCGACGTTCCATATATAGTAAAAGGTTCCCAGTTGACTGATGAAAGGGAACAAAATGCTCGCGCGCGCTCGCGTTAAATTACACTCAGCTTATTTAAGCCGAGTAATGAGCGGAGGCGAGATAAGAGTAGTGGGAGCGATGAGAGACGTTGAGCAATAAGTTGGAGCGACGAGTAGAGCAGTGTATTGACAAAGAGGTCAAGCTGAGGAGTCTACAAGGCCAACTACACAACTTATATACTGTAACTACAAGCTACATAGCCGCCGTGAGTCAGAATGACGAATAACGATGCAATACATGAAAGACAAATAGGGGAAGGTCAACAAGGCTGCGCAAGAACAAGGATGATAACAATAAAGAAGCCACGATAAGTCATAACGAGTCACAAGGCTGTGCAAGAAGAAAGGAACAATAGGAAACAGGGCAAAGGGCAAGGCGAGGCAGTGTTCCATGAGTGAAAGTGTCCATGACGAGAATAAGGGGTAAGGTAGAGGCGAAGATAAGATAAAGGAAAACGATGAGATAAGATAAGGAAAAATAGGGGCCATACCGGCAGTTCACGACATTACCCCCCTTCTAAGACTCATCGTCCTCGATGATCCTAGGCAAACGGCGCCCCTCCTCCCAATCCAGGTCCGTACGCCAGAACGGTTGAGTTGTCGGCTGTTTCTGCCAGGGAATAGAGGCGAAGACGGTGGCAGAGATACGGCGTGGTGCGTTCGGGTGTCGACGGTGGTATTCGGCGATGAGCTCCTGCGCGTTCTTCAAGTTCTCTTCCGGTTCCCAAGAGTCGTGTCCAGCGCCATACCCCTTCCAACTGACCAGGTACATGAGCTTCTGGCCCCTCCCCCTCTTGACGAACTTGCTATCCAGAATGCTGTCGACTTCGTACTCAAGCTCCCCCTCCAGTTCAACAGGTTCAGGCGGGGGTGGCAAGGTGCCATTGATATCATTACCCTTCCAGGGAGAGAGCTTGTCGACGTGGAAGACAGGGTGGATGCGAGAGAGGTCCTTGGGGAGTTCGAGCTTGTAGTCGAGGTCGCCGATGCGCTCGAGAATCTTGTAGGGGCCTAGTTGGAAGTCACCGAGTTTGCGAGTGGGTATCTTGAGCTGAATATCCTTCGCGTCGAGCCAAACGTAGTCGCCCTCCTTGAACTGGTGGGCAGATCGCTTGCCGGTCTCGTAGGCGTCCTTCTGGTGGGTCTTTTCGAGTCGAAGTGCAGCTTCGGCGTCCTTCCGAACGTCTTGCAGGTGCCGAAGGCGGTCGTCGACAGGTCGGAGTCCAGTTCTCTTGCCAACCGGGATGTTAAAGTGAGGAATGTAGCCGTAGAGGACTTCAAATGGCGAGCGGTTGTGAGCGGAGTGAACGCGGGAGTTGATCACAAACTCAGCCATTGGGAGGTGCTCGTCCCAATCGTCCTGTCGGCGATTGACGTAAAGGCGGAGATACTTCTCGACTTCTTGATTGGCGCGTTCAGTCTGACCATTGGCTTGAGGGTGATAGGCCGTGGTGAGGTTGGATTGGATACCGAGTCGACGAAGTAGGGTACGCATGACCTTGGAGGCGAACTGGGGGCCGCGATCACTGATGAACTGCAGGGGAAGGCCGTGAAGACGGAAGACCTCTCGGTAGTAGATGTCGGCGACGCCTTCGGTGGTGATGTCGGACGTACAGGGCAAAGCGTGGAGAGCCTTGCTGTAGTGGTCGGTGAAGACGATGATGGCATCGTGTCCGTGTGCTTCAGGAAGCTGCGTGATGAGATCGACACCAACGGATTCCCAGGGACCTTGGGGAACGTCTAGAGGCTGGGTGGAGGCCTTGGGGTGCTGTACATGCTTCTTTCGTGCGCAGGCGTCACAACCATCCACATACTTCTTGACAAAGGCTCGGATGCCAGGCCACCAGTATTGCCGTTCAACTCGCTCGAGGGTTCCATGGATGCCGGGGTGACCAGAGGTGGGATCGTCGTGGCACTGCTTAAGAACGTCGCGGCGAAGCTCGTCGTCGGGTGGGACGTAGACACGCCCCTTATAGTACACCAGGCCGTTTTCTTCTTCCCATTCAGCAAGACCGTTGACGAGACGACGAGGACCGGATGTGCGAAGTTGGGCAAGTCCTTCCAGAACGTGAGTTTCACGGGTGCTGGCGTCGCGGATACGCTGCTCCAGGGGATTGACGATCATGTGAGCGACGGCGATCTTGGCAAAGTACTCCGGTTTGAGGACGACCTGTTGCTTGTTGTCTTCGGCGTCGGTGATCTGGTGAATGTCGAGGCGTGACAAGGCGTCGGCTTGAGTGTTGGCCTTGCCAGGGCGGTGGGTGAGCAAGAACCTGAAGCGGGAAAGATAAAGGGCCCATCGTGCTTGCCGGCGGCTGAGGTCTTGAGCAGTGCGCCAGTACTCAAGGGTTGGAGTGGTCGGTTACGATCTCGAACGGGTCCGGGAGTCCTTCTAAGAAATGTCGCCAGTCCTTGAGGGGCTTCAATGATGGCTAACATCTCACGGTCGTAAATCTCATAGTTGCGTTCGGCCGGCTGCATGGAGGCGGAGCGGAATGCCACGGGATGCCAAAGTCCATCATTGTGCTTCTGAAGGAGAGCTCCTCCAGTGGCAAAGCCTGAAGCGTCAACCTCAATGCGAGTGGGCAGGCTAGGGTCCCATAGTGTGAGGATCGGTGCCGACGTGAATGCGTTCCGGAGAGTATCAAAGGCCTGTTGCTGGGGCTCATTCCATTGCCAGGGGACGTCCTTCTTGGTCAGATCGTTGAGGGGTCGGGCGATAGTAGCAAAGTCCTTGATGAAACGACGGTAGAAGTTGGCGAAGCCGAGGAAACCCCGTAGAGTGCGGAGGTTGTGAGGAATAGGCCAGTTGCGGACTGCTTCGACCTTGGCAGGGTCCATACGCACTTCGCCTTCTCGGATGACCAGTCCCAGGTACTCGATCTCTTCGCGTTCGAACTCGCATTTCTCGGGCCGAAGGTACAGGTCGTGTTTCTTGAGACGTCGCAGGACCTCATGGACAATCTGACGGTGCTCTTCTAGGGTGACGGTGAAGATGAGGATGTCGTCAAGGTACACCGCGACCTTGCCGGCAGCGATAAGATCAGAAAAGATGGTAGTTCATGAGCGCTTGGAATGTGGCCGGCGAGTTGGTGAGACCGAAGAACATGACGAGAGGTTCGAAGAGGCCTTGATTGGTCGCGAACGCTGCCTTCCACTCGTCTCCCTCCTTGATGCGGATGTTATTGTAACCCCAACGCACGTCGAACTTGGTGAAGAACTTGGCACCACGGAGGCGGTTGATGATGTCGGAGACAAGAGGAAGTGGGTAACGGTTCTTGACGGTGATTTCGTTGAGTCGACGATAGTCCTGAACAAAGCGGAGTTTGCCATCCTTCTTCTTGACGAAGAAGACCGGGGACGAGAGAGGGGACTTGGATGGGCGAATGTAGCCTTTCTTCAGGTTTTCGTCAAGGAAGCGGTTGAGCTCTTCTTGCTCGTTCGGGGACATGGGATAGACCTTGGTGCGCATGGTGGTTGGAGCTCCTGGGATGAGATCGATGGCGTGATCCCAGGGCTTGTGCTCGGGGAGACGATGGGATTCGGACTCAGAGAAAACAGAGGCGTGTTGGCGGTACTGGGAAGGAACCATCTCTTCGAACGTCTTCTGGGGTTTGGCCTTCTGCGCTTCTTCGGCGATTTGCTGAGAGTAGGTGAATCCGGGCTGCACACCAGAGCTCGTCACCGGTGGTCTCAATCAGCCCGGCTCGGACCCATTTCCTACGGGTAACGCGATTGGCGCGGATACGGAGTAAGGGCGGTTCCTCTTCGGGTTCAGGCACGGAGTCTGGGGCCGGATCTGGGACAGGATCGGAGGTATTTGGGGTAGGTGTGATGTCAGGGGTGGGTGTTACGTCAGTGATCTGCTCCAGGATGGCGTCACCAGAGGGGGCTCCATGATAGGGGGTCTGCGCATCTTCATCCGGGATCTCCTCGATGGTGACACTAGCGACCTTGGGTGGGGGAACATGGAGTGTGCCTTTACGCCAGTCGATGTGGGGGTTGATTTTGCGAAGCCAGGGGAGTCCCAGAATGACGTCTTCGCCTCCAAGGTCGGCCACAAGAAAGTCCGTCCACTCGGTGTGTCCATCTACCGTAAGCTCTAGTCGAGCAAAGTGGGTGATGTGACCAGCCTGATTGGGGGTACCGTCAATGTTAAGGAGCTGAATGGGATGTCGGAGGAGATAGGTAGTGATGCGATGCTTGGCCACGAAGGGTTTGTCCAGGAATTTGCCGGTGGCGCCACAATCAATCATTGCCGCGGGGTTTGCCGTACGGTTTCTGCCTCTGAGTTTGATCCGGATGCGAAAATGGGATGAACCAGGGTGTATTTCGCGAACTGGACGCTATATACATGAACGAATGGAGTCATACTCAGAGGTGGCATACGGCGGAAGAAAGGGTGCGCAGCTGTGCGGCTTTAGCCAGCACCCGCTTCAAAAATCCTGTTGGAGTCGCTCGAGTTTAGCCAAGATTTCGAGTTGACGTTGCTGAGCGGCGGCAATGGCGTTGATATCGGCGGGAGGAGATGGAGTGGCGGCAACGGTGGTGGTAGCAATGGGAGTGGACGAGCCTTCGTTGAAGAGGGAGAAAGGTGCCTCCTGGGTGGCAGCAATGCGGCGACGAGGGACTAGACCTTGACCTGGCGTGACACCCATGTACTTGTCTTGGCAGACATTCGACGAGTGGCCCATACGTTGGCAATAATTGCACCGAAGGCTGCCGTGGTTACCGTCCTTCTTGACGTGGGAGGTAGAGCCGCAACCGAAGCAACGTCCTCGCATGGCTCGGAGGAAGTCGTCGCGGGATTTGCCGTTGGGTCCAACACGGGTTGCGTCGATGTCCATGGCAAAGGGGTCACGAGCAGGGGTGGAGCGAGTTGCAGAGGGTGCCGAGAAGGGGGTACTACCGCTGGAGAAGGTGAAATCGTTCTCGTTGACGATGTCACAGTAATCCTGGAGGGTCTTTGGCTTGGAGTCGGCAGGCTTGGTGACGACGATAAGATCTAGCATGATGCGGTCACGGTTGTTGAGCTTGCGACGGAAGCGGGCCATGCCATCCTTCTGAGACAAGCCAGTGCGGGGAAAGACCTCCATGAATTCGGCAGCGAACTGGGATGCGGACTTCTTGCCTTGGGTGAGAGCTTCAAGGGCTGAGCCTCTGCAGCCTTCTCTTGGTCGGCGGGTTGGAAGCGTTTGTTAAAGGCGACGACGAATTCAGACCATTTTCCTCCAAACGGCCACGGCTTCTCTGATAACGGGTGCGGAAGTAGTGAGTTTAGCGAGGGCGGCGTCGAGGGCTAGTGCGGGTGACGGTCCAACGGGGGTTTGCGGGGTGGAGGGGTTTACCGCGGTTTCCTGGGTGTCGGATTCTTCGGACGAGTCGGTGGGTAAAGCGTAACCCTTGGCAGTCTTGGCGGTAGGCGCAGGGGAAGATTCGGCAGAATGAAATGCTTGCGGGGATTCCTCGGGTAGAGGTTGATCAGTGGCAGGCGGTGGGGTTGCTGGTGGTGCGGAAGGCGACGGTGGCGGGTGTGCGGAATAGAGGACTGTGCGGTAATTGTCGGTCGAAGCCTCAAGAATGAGGGCGTCTGCTGGAAGATTCTTTCGCAGGTAATCCGGGTCTTGTTGTCGGAGTGGGTTATAACGGTGCGGACAAGGTTGCTGTTCACAGAGTGCGGGTTTCTTGCCTATATATCCGTCGCGGTAGTGGCTAGTGTTGGGTCGATGGATGACAAAGTGCGGCCTAAACTCGCAGGGCGGAATCTTGACGGTGAGAGGGAACCAGAGTTGCCAGAATGAGACCTGATCGGCAGGTCAGCCAGGGTGCCAGGGGAGCCGGAATGCAGGGACAACGATCGGCGTTGCCGGTGCACAGAGGTAGCTTGACCTAATGTCGCGAAGAGCGAACACTAAACCAAACTAAAGACCAGATAAGATGAGCGGAGGCGAGATAAGAGTAGTGGGAGCGATGAGAGACGTTGAGCAATAAGTTGGAGCGACGAGTAGAGCAGTGTATTGACAAAGAGGTCAAGCTGAGGAGTCTACAAGGCCAACTACACAACTTATATACTGTAACTACAAGCTACATAGCCGCCGTGAGTCAGAATGACGAATAACGATGCAATACATGAAAGACAATAAGGGAAGGTCACAAGGCTGCGCAAGAACAAGGATGAAACAATAAAGAAGCCACGATAAGTCATAACGAGTCACAAGGCTGTGCAAGAAGAAAGGAACAATAGGAAACAGGGCAAAGGGCAAGGCGAGGCAGTGTTCCATGAGTGAAAGTGTCCATGACGAGAATAAGGGGTAAGGTAGAGGCGAAGATAAGATAAAGGAAAACGATGAGATAAGATAAGGAAAAATAGGGGCCATACCGGCAGTTCACGACACTGTCCGTCTTCCTGACAACGCCCTTCGAGGAGAGGAAAGGACGTCTCCTCTACGTGATTCTGAGCTTCACCATCCTGATCCTATCTGCAATACCGACCCTCCTCGACCACCTACGTAACTTTAATCCCTTTTTCGATTCACCGCCCGGATTACCCTACCTTCGAGCGCAGATGAAGAGGGAGAGAGGGCTTTCATCGGTCGTTTCTTACGGCCTATGCTACCTTTACACGGCATTGGGCGATGGCCTTTTGGTAAGTAATCCCAGCTTTCAAAGCGACTTATTCTTATTCCTCCTGATTCGCTCCAGCTCTACAGATGCTATATTATATATAGTAACATCGCATATCTTGTTGTCTTCCCCGCCCTCGTTTACTTAGGTTTTTTGGGTACAGCTCTCGATGCTTGGTACATTGTTCCGTGACTCACTGCTCGATCTTCCTTCGTCCAGGCCTTTCAATAACCCTATTTGCACGTTTCGTGGTGGATACTTGGGCCATCACGGAGGGCGATCGTCTCCAGTCACAGCAGATCACCATTGCACATACTTCCCTCTCCGTCGCTTTGAATGTCGTCGCAACGTCTATGATCGCATATCGCATTATAGCCTCCCAGTATGCACTCTCCAGCGCACTGCCGGGGCGGAAGATGCAATACTACACGACGGCAGCCAGAATAGTCATCGAGTCTGCATTACCTCTCACAATGACAGGCCTATTCTACGCCGTTTTTCAGGCTTTACATTGGGCCAATCAATCATCCACTGGGATTCCCAATTTGCAGTACTACACTGCCGGCAACATTTTCAACACCCTGTACTACACATTTACGGTACGCGGTTTCTGAGCCGTACCCTCTTTTTTTCTTGGTATCTGACGTTTTCACCTTGACAGGCCCTCTCTCCTCAAATGATTATATTCCGTGTCACAGCTGCGCGGTCTCACACATGCTATGAGGATCTTGACACCTCCATCAATCCCGAGAGCGAGCCACTGGGGGAACTTGCCTTTTACAAGGGCCCTGCAGGACGGCTATCCTTGGATTCTGCACAGGATAACGAAGAAGGCTTTGGGGACGAACACGAGAACGGTGACCTAATCGTCGAAGAGTCAAGGCATACATCAGATGAATGCGCTGAGCGTTGGCCGCGCGAAAGGTTTCTGAAGGAGAAGTTGACGGTTTAGCCCTGGACAGCGATACATACATCTCCCGATAGAGGGACCGTTATACATCCTCAAGCATTCGCCAAAGTCCTTCTTGTAACTCTTTTATATCCATAAAAAGATTACTGTATCAAGGTGCATTATCACCTCGTTTTTCACCAAATTGTCCAGTTGCGCAACTTGCGCGAGGCTGACTTCGGACTCGGTCCACAGCTTTAGGGGCCAGAGTTTTTTTCCATTTCGAGAATATTTAAATCTCCGATTCGATTCCGATTTTCTCTTTCTTCCGAACACCATCGACGCCAGCGAATGGGCAATTATGCGAAGGTTCCCTTTGTCGACGAGAGAAAGCATCAATATTGGTGTTGAGCACGATTCCTAAATCGCTTTTTCATGCACGAACATCGAACGGGAGCCTCAAAGAAGGTCAGTACATAGAAACTGGACAACAATGAATTGGGATAACTAGCCTTCTCGCCGGCCAATCTTGATTCTGATCTCGCAATATCAAAGGACAACAGTCATTCTCAGGCGATAGGAATACGAACCGAGACTATTTACTCGCCTCGGTCGCTGGTGAAGCCTGTACGAGCCTATGAAATGGTGTAGTTAATGGACCATTTTGTTTGCGCTGCAGAGCGCGAAAGGTGCGGTAGATTCTGCCTTCAAATCCAGAGGAAAGTCAAATAACCGGTTGAATCTTCGTTACAGTTTCTCCTTATAGAATCACGATATTTCCAACGTGTCGGTTACGCGTAGGCGGTCTTGAGAGGACTCGAAGGGGGGTGATGGTGTAGGAATTGAAGAAAGGGGTATGACGACAAAATGGTGGGCATAGACTCGGCGTTTTAGAGATTGTTCTATTGACCTAAAACCAACAGCAACGCCCTGAACGATCGATAACCTTTTACCTCGCGTCATCCTAGTGCAACAATCACACGGGCGCTTATCACTTTCCAGGGTTCGGCAAGTGGTCCTCGTGGGGCCCAGCACAATGGGAAGGACGAGCTCTTGGAATCTTGCAGGTCGGAATATCAATTCCGAGCAGGAGTCACGAAAGACGCGTTGGTTGCACGGTGGAGATCTCGGAGGGTTACCGAGAGAAGGAACGAGTGTCACGATCTGCTAGGTGGAATTCCAGACTTTCTGGACCCCGCAGTCAGCGCATGGCTACAATTGGGGGTGTCGTCTCTGGCATCTTCGGCTCCGCAGCAAGTGCTGTAGTCGGACGGCTCCACCGTGACGCTGTACTTGTATCGGCCCCCTTCACAGGGTCCACTGCGCCTGGTAAGAATCTCGACTCGATTCTCGCTGTGCATTGAGGCTGTTTTGCTTATAAGTCGATAGATTCGGGCCTCCAGGAACTACCCAGTCCTGAACATGGTGAATCTCGGATATTTGCTCTTCTCATTACTCTTATCGGTCGCAGCTGCTCATTCTCAGCCTGGCAAAGGCAGATGCCGTTGCGTGTATGGCGACGATTGCTGGCCTTCGAGCGATGCTTTCGACGCTCTGGCTGATCGTCTCTCCCAGCCGTTGCTACGTCCCTTACCTCCACCATCGCCTTGCTACTCATGGATCCCAGAAGACGGAGATGCATGCAATGAAGTCAAACAACAGAACTTCAACGCTACGTGGCGCTCGGACCATCCAGGCGCGATGCAGAACGTGAACTTCGAGGCCTATATATTTTCCAACGGAACCATCGACGCCTGCCCACTCAACGGCACCCCGGGTATGGTCTGTGGTCAAGGTTCTGTCCCCCCGATCGGCGTGGACGCTCGAAACCCAGAAGACATTCAAGCTGCCATCGAGTTCGCGAACGAGCATTACCTTCGCATTGTCGTCAAGAACACCGGTCACGATTATCTTGGGCGCAGTGCTGCCAGAGGAGCGTTCCTCATCTGGACTCACCATATGAAAGAGATCGAGTACCACGATGCCTTTGTTCCGTCTGGATCACCGAACAGCACGGAACAGTATCAAGGTCAGCCCCAGCTTTCGCTCCACTGGCACTTGATATTGTGCTGACGTCCTTTCCATAGCGATCACCCTGGGAGCAGGCGTGCAATGGGCCGAAGCTTATCAAGCTGTGAATGAAGCTGGGCGAACCCTGGTTGGTGGAATCTCAATCGGTGGAAGCGTTGGTGCAGCAGGAGGCTGGGTGATGGGTGGCGGACACAGTGCTTTATCACCAACCTACGGACTAGGTCAGTGTTCATCACACTGTGCACTCGCGTGAAAGTTCTAATCTATCGAGATACAGGTGTCGACAACGTCCTTGAATTCGGGGTCGTCACCGCGGAAGGGAGCCACGTCATCGCCAATGCCTACCAGAATCCATCCTTATTCTGGGCTTTGAGAGGCGGAGGCGGAGGGACCTACGGTATTGTTACCTCTGCGACCTACAAGACCCATCCCATTAGCCCAGTGGTCACCGCCTACTTACAGATGAATATCACGTCTCCAGAAATCGCACAGGAAGTCATCACTGAATACGTCCGTCTCCATCCTACCCTAACGGACCAAGGCTGGGGAGGGTACTCTCAAGTCCTGCCCAACCACCTTTTCTTCATCTACCTCTCTCCCAACAAGTCAGTGGACGACGGCAACGCGGCATTCAACACCTTCTTCGAGCTAGCTCGGGAGCGTAGTAACGGTACGGCGCTGGCTGGCGTGGTCCCTTACGACTCATTCTGGAGCTGGTTCTCGTCCTCATTTGAAGAAAATGCGGGTAGCCAGGTTGGAGGCCGCCCCGAGATTTCGTCAAGGCTCCTTTCGAGGGAGGCCGTGGAGAACGATCCCGAGATGGTTGCGCGCCTCATGCTCAGCGTCCCTAATGGGAGTGGCGTCCCCTGGAAGTAAGTCGTCGCCTTGGGGCGATGAGATGGTGTCGGTGCTGATCGGTTCGCTCTAGCATTGTTGCCGGTGGTGCTGTGTCGCAAGTTGACCCTGAAAGCACAGGCTTGAACCCTGCGTGGAGGCAAGCGGTCGCCCAAATCTACGTTGGGGAGGGCTGGGGAGATGGTTACAACCTGGAAGAAATCGAACGCGCTAGGGAAAGGCTCAAGAATGGTACCGACATCTTAGACCCGATCAGCGTAGACTCGGCTGCGTATCTCAATGAGGTCAGTCATCTCTGTTATTGCCGATGTGTGTTCCTGTAACTGACATGCGGCTCCAGGCGATGTTGTGGGAAGAGGATTTCAAGAAGAGCTTCTTTGGGTCCCATTACGATAGGCTCAAGGCGATCAAGGTTGAGTATGACCCCGACAGTTTGTTCTTGGTACCTCTTGGTGTTGGCTCCGAAGATTGGGACAAGGACCTCGTCTGCCAGCTTGACTAGGCTATACCATAGATTCTGCCTGTGCTGTACTCGTACACCTGCCCGCTATGCCAGTTTCATTTGAACGTTATTCCTACCTGCCGGTGACATGTGGTAATATGATAAGCGCCCGTCAATGTCATCTGGTCAAGTGATCATGACCTCAGTGCGAACGCTCCGGCTTCTTTTTCTCAACAGCACTTGGACACACAGAATAGCATCTTTGGGCAAATCGGGACTATGGGCGGTGCACCCTTTGATACCGTTATCAACAGACCGCATCTCCAACAGACGACTGACATCCCTTTGCCCCTTGCCCCCACCAAGCATGAGAGAGTTTCAGACAACGAAGAAGCGTCTCAATATTGTCTTCCTTGGTGGCCGTCGGGTTGGTGAGTCGAGTTTCTGTGTCTGTCGAGCAGGCCTGGATGTACTCACTCCTACCATCCAGGGAAGACATCGTTGTTGTCGCAATGGTCTCAGGTAGGTACCAAAGTTGCTGTTCGAAGGCGCCAGGCGTTTATTTATATCTCTGATCCACTCCGTTTCAGGGAGAATTCCCGAGTGCATATTATCCGACGTTCGAGAACACTGTGGGGAAGGAGGTGACATTTGGGAACCGAATCTACGACTGTAAGGTCACTGATACAGCGGGCCATGTACGTTCAATCATGGCTTCCTGGCGCTTCGCTGACTAGATGCACCACACAGGATCGATATACCCCGCTGTCTCCTACCCATGTTGTTGGTATGCACGTATTTGTGCTGGTTTACTCGTTTGAAGACGCCGGATCGTTGGAATTGGTCTCGGCTCTCTACGAGAAGATCTTGGAATTTTTAGGGTCCACCAGACATGCCCGAGTTATCATGGCTGGGAACAAGGCCGATACATCTCGGTAAGTGCTTTGTATCCTATCGTGTCGTGACCGATACTCAACGCTGAACGCCCACAGACGAGAGATATCCTATCCAGAGGCCCACCAACTCGCACAGAAACTGGGCTGCCCTCATCTAATATTGAGTAGCTACTGGTGGCAAAGTATCGGTGCGTGTACTCGTGGACCCTTCGACTGGTCGTATGCTGATCTCTCACTTTTACACAGATCAACTATTCGAAGAGTGTACTATAGGCGGTGAACGGAGAAACCGCCAGCCTCCAACCCGCACATCAGCAACAGCCAAGCCTCAATCTCGTGGCTTGTGGTTCCCAAGCATCGACTTACTATCTTCCCTGCTTCGCTACGCTTCTCGCGTCACCTGGCCCAGCTCCGCGGCAAACACCACCTCAATACCAGAGCCCACTGACACCTACCATCAGATTCAACGTCACACCAAGCCACACAGCGAGGAGGAATTGCATGGCTCACAGGCCCCCATCCCAATTACGACGCCATTGGATTACGATCGTCCAACGCGTAGTTCAGTCAGGGGCTACTCAATAATGTCAACCTCATCCGGCGAAGCCACCCTCGTATCTACGTTTGGTCCAAAGTCACGCCTATCGGCCTCATCCAGCAAGGGAGTTAGTCCATTCCAGAAACGGCGCTCTTTTAGCCCCATGACTCCGATCAAGCTCAATGTCACCAAGGACGATGTCGTCAAGAGCAAATTTCGGTTCGTTGATGAACTAACGAGGATACAGAGGGTGCGGGGTGTTGACGCGGGACTTGCACAAGACTTTACGAACCTATTTCGCTCGATTATGGAAGATAAAGTGACGCTGAAGACCTTGCTGGAATTTCGGGGACATGATGCTCAGGTGGTTCTGAACGCTCTGCAATGGGTACGTATCATCTCTCTTCTTGGTCGACTAAACTGATTGAGCCTATCCTTAGGTTCTGGATTCGCGGAAAGCTCAGCCGGCGGATAAAGGAATGTTGCTGAAGCTGCTTCTTCGACTGTCGAAGCATTCTGGGTCCTATCCTCCGTGTCTGGCGCTGAAAGGAATTAAGCGCGAAGACGACTATCCGGTTACATCAGGACACTTTGGTGAGGTTTGGAGGGGTCGATACCAGAAGCAGAAAGTTTGCTTGAAGGTGGTCAGGGTGTATCAGCGATCGGATGTTGAGCACTTCCTTCGGGTACGTTGGAGACTGAAGTTCACAATCGCTATTGGAGCCTGGTTTCACATTCGATTTACTGACGGGTGAATTTGGCAGATATTCTCTCGCGAAGCTGTGATCTGGAGTCAACTGAAGCACGACAATGTTCTTCCTTTCTATGGCGTCTATGAACTCGACGAGTCTCGTCGACTTTGCCTGGTCTCTCCTTGGATGGATAACGGAAGTCTTCGGGAGTATGTGCGAAAGAGCTTGTTGTCGGAGGTCCACCATCGCCTTCTGGTATGCTTGATACTTCTTTCTTACGCTATAGCGGGGCGCTGACCTTTCATAGGCAGTCGATGTAACACAGGGCCTGTCCTATCTTCATCAGCAGGGAATGGTCCATGGCGATCTTAAAGGGGTACGCTCTTGTCAATGGGCGCTGGATCTCCATAGGAAGTGCTGACGATACTCTTAAGGATAACATCCTCATTGACAGTTCTGGACGTGCCTGCATAGCGGACTTCGGGCTCTCAAGTCTGGTGGACGGCGAGATGCTTCGTTGGACAACATCCGAGAGTACCGGACTAGGCGTTGGTGGCACATCCCGCTGGCAAGCTCCAGAACTGTTCGATCCCGATAATGAATCGAGTCGGCCCACGTGTTATACGGATGTTTATTCGCTTGGTTGCGTTTTCTACGAGGTAAATAATTGACCTCAACCCATTCAATGAAACCAAATTGACCAAGGAGATGGACAGATCTTCACTGGAAACATCCCATTCCACGAGACAACACGCGAAGCCACAGTGATATCGTACGTCATGGCGGGGAAGAAACCTTCAAGGCCAGTCAACAACTATATCCTGTACAGAATGGAGTACGGCATGCGGGAGATAATATGGTCAACTATCGAGAAGTGCTGGTCGAGGGACGTGTCCACCAGACCATCCCTGGACAGGATCTTGAGTCTCGAGGTCTTCCAGGACGCTGTTCGGAAAGACCTCAGGCCCAATGGCCACTTAAGCTGGTTGTCGACATCTGAGTTCCGCCATGCGATTCGATTTACAGAGAATGACTTCCTTTGAAGGATCGATTGTAATTTAAAGAAGTACGCGTATTATTTTTAATGTAAACTCTGAACTAAATAGTGTAACAACCATTGTAAGTGAGGCGGTCCATTGAAACCAAGCGTGATAGCGTCTCCGACTGTAGCTTCACGCTTCAAGCCACTTGCGGGGTTTTGCCGAGGGGTAGATGAGCGTGGACTCCGTAGAGGGACTGGAGTTGACTATATATTAACAGCGAGACCCAACGACGTAGAGTCAAATCGTAGAACGGAGTCGTTCGTCCACGGACGCCAATACTAGGCCTTGGCCAGCGCCTCTGATAATGAAACTTTGAAGCGGAGATTGAAGGGAGATGACGAAAAGAATAGGATGGGATTGAAGATTAAAAATGAGATTGCATCGAAAAGGGTGTGATTGCCCCAAAAAGAGTGGGATGGGGGAATAAGAGTGGGATCCCGGCTGTCATTCCACTCTTTTCGTCGAGTTGTAACGCCAATCCCGCCCAGTATCCCCGCCGCCCTTCAACGGGCGGCGGTTAAAGTTAGGGTTAGTTAGCTGCGCGTAGCGCAGCTGTTAGGGTGAGGGTTGGTGGTTAGAGTTGGGTTTTTAGGGTTGGGTTTAGGGTTGGGTTTGGTGGTTAGAGGTTGGGGAGGGGAATATCATGTTGCGCGCCTGCTTCGAAATAATATGAAGTTCAATTGCTGAAAATGGAGAGAGGCCACCCCTTTACCACCATCCCACTCTTTCGAAGGTGATCACACTCTTTTTCACGACCTTTACTCCAACCTCCTAATCCCATCATATTCTTTTCGTATATACTCGAGATTGAACTGGCCGTTTCCACGTTTCCCATGATGTTCGTCTTATCTGCCCCCTTCCATGCCGGTGAGTTGTCTTTCTCAGTCTGGCTACCCGACGCTTACCCGCCTTCTGAGCTTTTCAGTGGGAATAAAAGAATTACCAGGTCTCGTCGTCTAAAAACGGAGATTTCAACACCCTAGCTGCTGGCCCATCGACCAATGTCATCCAGCAGCACTGCTACCCACTAGCGACGCTCTTGGGCATCCTGATTGGGCATATTTCATGGGGCGTAATCTCAAATAATCCTCACCCTGGTTTTGGCGTTGCCACCCCCGTGGGGTGCTAGGTAACGTGTGTCATAAGGCGGGCAATCTTGACCTAGCGGCAACATGTAGCCGTTCAGTCTCTCGGCTCATTCTGGATAAGTACCACAGGGTGTCGAAGAGGAACTCAATTAAACCCTAGTGACGGCCATCGATAGTCCTTGCGATGAGCGAAACGATGCAGTTCGGATATAGTCTTTTCTGGGACTCCCCGCAGATTCTCTACTCTGGTAGTTGGTTCAGGTCGTCGGAAGTGCAGGCAATGGAAACGGTAGAGGAAGGGGCTTATGCAGAGGTTGTCTTCTCTGGTGCGTAATCTGCCCTTTAATCACCCATTGGACCATTCGCGGTGACTCAATGTGTGCCTACTAGCGAGAAACTTTACTGTTTTCGGTGCCATTCCGCCTGCATCCCAAGGCCCTTCACCGACAATTTTCGTCTCATTCCTCTCTCCGGATGGAACCTCTTTCGCCTCATTCCAGCAGAACCACTTCGGAAGTGAAAATGATTGGAGCACCAACCAAATCCTGTTCACCATAGACGATGTTCAACGACCAGATGTGTTTGCCGCTCCCAGAACCACAGCGAGGCTCACACACATGGTGGGAGGGAGCCATACAGCCTTGCAACAGCTAGTCTTCGCCGGAAACGACGCTCCAATCATCTTTCCTCCAGGCAGCGGCCCCGCAGTTTCGGCTTCGTCCAATTTCCCCACTACAGTCAGCACGATCTCCATTGTTGAGTCGAGTCCACCGCCGGAACCTTCGAATTCATTCCCCGGATCCGACTCTTCAGACAGTAACCATGTTTATCGCACCTCCCTATCGCCTGGAGTCATTGCTGGGATAGTATGCGGGTCACTGGCCTTCATAGCCCTTCTCTCGACGCTCTTGGCATGGAGGTTTCTTCGTCGAAAGCCATACACCCAGCTGCGATGGGAAGGCAATTCACGGAATATGCGTCAGTGTAAGTTTTCCCCTTTTCGGAAGGAGCGCATCTGATTTCAGCCTTTTCTCGCTGATCCAGTTGACCCATTCGCGAAATCTCCCCCGATGCACATGACTTTGAATGATTCATCGGCTGAGACCGTTGCTCGGTTTCCAATGACCGCGACGGTGCAGTCGAAGGGGAGCCACGATGCTTCCTCTGGTGAAAACCCTTTCCTCGTTCGCAACGTCGGCGTAGCAGGAACCTCCCTCAGCCGCTCCACAAGCGTCAGCAGTCAGCCTTCCATATATTCTCAAAGTTCAGCTTCCTCTATCCTGTTACCGCCTGTCGCTCTTCCCGGAGAACATGGTTACCTTTCTCCGGCGTATGATGACCCACCAGAGATTACCAAGCCCCTTCACAGCAACATCTCTCGTCCGGAGGGTATCAGATTCTGACTCGGTTCCTTGTAAACTTACTATCGAAATTCCTTTACCTTGAAATGGCACAGGCTGAAAAAATCCATCATACTTACCAAGTCTACGTTTGTTCTCTACCTGGCTCACGATGGCCGTGCGGAATGGAGGGAGCGCCATCTTCTCGGTTATTTTTATCCGAAAGTCTGCTTCAAAGTTCCTTGTAAGATCGTCATGGCAAGGGCCGATTTCCAGTCCCATCATGGACCATCATCAACTTGAACTCGGCGGAAGTTGATGCAGACGCAAATCCGCCGCACCAGCGCTCAGCGCTCAATGTTGATGCGGCACACGGTCTCGTCGTGCAGATTTCACCGCTTCACCTTTACCCACCATGTCGCTAGACGTGTTCGAACTCGACCACACACACCAAGATTGGGTCACATTCGAGCCTCTAGACCAATGGACGGTGGAAGAACTTCACGGCCGCTTGCACATGAGGGCAAATAGGTCTGACTCCTCGGTTCGTGTCACATTCGTCGGTAGGTTCTTCCAACGGGTTCATAATTTTTCAATCTTATACGTGCAAATAGGAACCTCTATAGCCCTCTATGGCTCTGTGCGATTCATCGACTCCAACTCTAACGCACCATCCACATCTGCCACCACTGTAGTACCGACAGCAGCAACCGGCACACCGCCAGGGACGAGAACACCCCAGCCAGAGCCTTTACCGACACCCTCAGAGTCCCTCGCGTTCTTACTCGACGGGAGACAAGCAGGGTTCTTCGACTACAGGGAAGTCGGTCCTGATGGTTGGATGTACAGGGACGAGCAAATATTCTCAATAACAGGTCTGCCTCTTCAGCGCACGTCCTTCACAGTCAGACTGGTGGTACCATCCATCGGCCCCCAGCCGACAATGATTTCCAGACAAGGCGAGCTTACGCGATTTAACGTGTATGTGGACCGTTTTGTGATAGAGGGCGAGCGCCCTCAATCTCTTGGTACCACTATTGTCACGGTGCTTCCGAGTGGGGCTACGCATCTGTCGGAATTGGCAGGACGGTCGGGTTCTCCAGGGGCTTTGGTTGGTGCAGTTGTTGGGTCTGTTGTCGCTCTTGTCTTGGTGCTACTTGTGTCCGGGTGGTGGATTTTGAAGAGGCGTCGGAAGAGGCGGAGAACCAATCTCCACTTGGGTGGGAGCAAGGACGCGGGCAGCAGTGGAAGCGAAGGTGAGTTTGATAACATTCAAAGTTTCTCACTTGCCTTAACGACTTACCACTGTGCTCAGTGCAAGTAAATCCGTTCTTCGTCAGGCCTCCAACAGAAAGCGTGGAAACGATGGCACATTCAAAGCACCGGGAACCATTGACGAATGTAGCGCGTTCGAGGAGAAGCACGACCTCACTGGAGCGTGAAAGTACAGGTTCAGCTTTATTCTCCGGGGTGGACGGGACGCGGGAAAAGGGCCCGTTGCCTCAACGCGACATTGACGAATCGGCTCCTCCTCCAGAATATCGAGAGCGCGAGGAAGAGGACGCCGTACCTGCAGTAACTATAGCTCCTACCCCAAATCGTCCGAGCCTGTGACGAGGCCACTCGTAGAAGATACCTCAAAAATAAAATATACCACCGTTAATTCCCAGCCACTGGGTTCTCCTGTCGACGATCGACAGTTGGGCGCCGGGCGCTTAGTCCCAAATGATCGGGCGTCTGTATCTCAAACCAAGTTGTTTACAAGCTGGCATGGTCAGCTACCGAGCCTGGCAATCTTCCAACAATGAATACATGGGCTGGTTAAACTATAACAATGCCTATCTTTGATCCTCCTATCCAAATCGAACTCGACTGACAGTTTCCCAGAACGCCTTGCCTTGAATCTCCGCGATATCCAGCTCAAGTTGCGATGGCATCCGAGAGCCGTCTCCTCCCGCAAACGTTCCTGCTCCCCAAGGCGATCCTAACTCCCGACTCGTAAGCTTCCAGCGACACCACCAAATAAAACTTTAATAAGAGAAGGCCAACGCACCTCCACGGACTTCATCCATCCTACTCATGAGGTCAAACGAATGTGCGTATCCAAGTGGAACGAATATCATCCCGTGATGCATGAGGGTAGACATGGTAGAGATTGCAGTCGTCTCTTGGCCCCCGCCCATGGTTCCAGTCGAGATGAAAACGCCGGCGTACTTGCCAGACAACTTTCCAGCAGTCCATAGCCTCCCGGTCGCATCCCAGAAGACCTGAAACAGCGGTGTGTCAGCCTAAGTTGAAAGTGATGCAGATTTCTAGGAGTGTCAGCGTACCTTCCATTGTGCAGGAAAGTTTCCGTAACGAGTTGGGATCCCGAAGAGCATAGCGTCGAACTGCTGGATGTTCTCCGTCGTGATGATAGGGTAGTTCGGCTTGGGCGGGGCTTTCATCTTCGCCAGAACATCAGGCGACAACGTTTCGGCAACTCTGCGTTCGTCAAGTTTTCAGTCTCTAATACATACCCCCAAATGATCCGGACGAACTGGTATATCTCAGCTGTCCCTCCAGCTTTCATTATCCCAGCTCTTTCGGCCTCGGCGACTGGAACGATATGCGTTTCAAATTAAGCATAAAAGAAAGGTAGTGGTGCTCACGTTTGGCAACATGGCCGTACATCGAGAAGATAATGATGCCAACTTTGGGTGCTCGTTGTGCCATGGTTCTCGTGTCGCACTGGTCAGGTCGAAATCGAAATGACGGAACTGGCTCGCTGCCCGACCTTTGTCCTTTATACATCTTGGCCTCCACCCAAAGCAGACTGCCCCTGTCTGGGTCACTACATCATTCGGTGGTTAATCGAATGTTCTCTCGAGTCTCCTTTTCCCTAGTCCACTGCTGATAAGTCTGAGAAACGTAAGTACCAGCAGGACTGTAGTTACTGACGCAAAGCGCCCTTTGATTGATTAGATTAGCGCCCACTGGACCACGTGAGTTGCCGATGGCGCTTAAACTCCCCACCAATCGATAACAGTGCGAATGCAACATTATACATTAAAGTTCGTGTGGAAGTTCGTACAAGTGTCGAGATATCTAATCAATGCAACAGGTCCGGATAAAAAAAAAGAAAAGAACAACGCTGAAAAAGGCCGAGGTATTATCGTTGGTAAACTATAGAAACATGGTATCTGTGCAATAGTTTGGGCATTTTAGAACTTGACTTTGCTGACGATGTTCCAGAATGCCTTGCCCTGGATCTCAGCGAGCTCGAGCTCGAGAGCAGAGGGCTGGCGAGAGCCATCAGAACCAGCGAAGGTTCCGGCACCCCAAGGAGAGCCTGAAGAGACAGACACGCTTGTCAAGCCCAACGTTCAGTCTAGTAATTAAAAGAGCGACTTACCGCCGTGAACCTCCTCCAAGTTAGTCTGAATGGGGAATGCATGGGAGTATCCGAGGGGGACGTAGATGATGCCGTGGTGGGCGAGGGTGGACATGGAGGCAAGGCAGGTAGACTCCTGTCCTCCGCCCAATCCAGCGGTGGAGACGAAGAGGCCGGCATACTTGCCGGCGAGCTTTCCACCAGCCCAGAGGCCACCAGTGGAGTCCCAGAAGGCCTAGAAGGTCATCATTAGAATGGAACGCAACCTGTGAGCGAAGATATGATGCATACCTTCCATTGGGCGGGGAAGTTGCCGTATCGCGTTGGGATGCCGAACAGGAAAGCATCATAGTTCACGATGTTCTCGACCGTGATAAGGGGGTAGTCAGGCTTGGGGGGAGCGTGCATCTTGTTCAAGATCTCTTGGGACAAAGTCTCAGGGACCCTGGAAACAAACATTAATGTCGTATCGGGGATTGACGATGAGAATGGGATTGACGTACTGGTAGATATCAGCGGTTCCACCAGCCTTCTCGATACCGGCCTTCTCAGCCTCAGCCACTATGAGCAACGATGAGTACGACGCCTCGCTGGGGATGGAAAGGAAGACTGACGCTTGGCGACGTGGCCGTACATGGAGTAGATGATGATGGCGACTTTGGGGGCAGACATGGCGGGCTGTTGTGTAGTGGTAGCGGTGGTGGTTGGTTCTGGTGCAGCTGGGGATGTGGAAGCTGGGGCGGGTGCTGAGGATCCTTTGGTGGACGGTGCTCGCTCCTCTTTTATAGATTTCTCTTTCGCCCCATTTGGAGATGACGATTTCGCCCGTTGACCGTCAGCGTTATCGCTAAAGTTGTTTTTCTGGCTCTTGCTTGGGAAGCACATGATGGGTCTGGCTTGTGGCGATCGGAGATGGGAGGCGAGGTCGTAAGGTCAAAACGTGGTACGCGACGTCTTGAATGAGGTTCTGGGGCTGTGGAAACGGACGGCCGGGTCGCTTTATAGGGGGATGAGGGAAGAAGCTTCTATCTTGGACAACGGTCGTGGGATGAATTTGGCGGAATCAAGAAGGTCGTGTTTGTGACGAACGTCAATGACGAACTCAGCCAGCCGCTTGATCACTAAATATCCGGTCTCTGAATAATCATTCGATCATACGTCCACGCCTGCAACGCAGAATGAAAAGATTCTGGCCAACGTAGACGAAGGCTGCGCGAGAGTGGCAGGTCTATAAGGAGGAGGAATGTGTCAGAGGACTTGTCAGGAGTTCTAGCGGGTAGCCCCATTTGTCAATAACATCGCACCTCGAGGCGGCACGTCCGGAGCAGTGATTTCATCCTCCACGGAGCTGAAATCCGACCCTAACGGAGTCAGGGTTTTCGTCATTTTCAGACATTCCTCAGAAATATCTACGTCCAAATTTAGTGTATTAGTGCAGCTAGAAAGCCTGGCTAACTTGGAGGACGAGATTAGACTGCTTCCTGCACAATCGCCATGCACCCAGCATTGATTCTAGAATAGATTAGCCTAATCTACCCTCGATGCCAAGCCATACTTAATCGCCATCATTACCGTCTTTGGCAAGCGATTCTAGTGGCGAGTGGGAGAGCCAGTACCATATTCTGTCCAAAGGCATGGAGGTTGGTGGAGACTTCGCTCATATAAATTTGTGCCACAGGTCACCGGAGGTGTTATTCATGGATGAAAAGTGACTAATCGCAATCGTATTCAGACGGCATATAGTTGCACCTTCGCTGTGCTTGTAGACCATGACGAAGCATGACGGTCCTTCCACATGCCTCTTGGACTTCAAGATTATTATTAGAGGATCACAAAGCATTATGGTCGAGGGATGACTCGGAATGAACGTTGAACCAACGTTGAACATCGATAATCACACGAGCTGGTAGATCGCCTTTGGGCGTTACAAGGTCCGGCATGGATTTTCATTGCCCACAGGGCACTACAGAGCACTACAGAGCACTACAGACGACGTCAAATAGCTCCTGATTGACTTGTGTCATCGAGGTTAAAGGCCCAAGTGTGTTGTGGGCGAACGTTGCTCGCTTTCTGCCGTTAAAATCAGATTCAGTGTCATAGCCTGGATTTAAGCGCCCAAGCAAAGAGGACGGGCGGCATATCATTACCCCTCGGACGCCAGTCTCAAAGCTCGTTCAAGCTGCGAACACATACAATAATCCTATTCCCTTGCTCTATTCAAATGTAAGTTCAGCATTACTAGTCTGTCGGTCACGACGCGTTGAATAGGGGCCTGGGAATGTATGACGGAAGACTAAACTTCAGTTACCCCATTCAACCTTTCTCTCAAACTTCCTTTTTCTCCTCCAAAGGCATGAAGAAATCATCGCAGGAAGCGCCCGTTCGTTCACGATTTGAGCCACGAAACCCACAGACCGGTGCTTTGGCGGGTGGCGATCCATGGCAGGCGTTGCTTGCGTCCTCAGCAGATTTCCCCGCTGAAGTGGTGAGTCCCCAATTCCCCGTCACGATGTGAGGATTCAAATATCTGAAAGCCCAGTTCGAAATCGCAGTGACCCAGCTCGTTCACCACCCAGAATACAACTCGACTCTTATTCTCAGATCCGAGGTCGTCAAAGAGTATACGGAGGACTTTCCCGGCCACCTTCCTGAAATTCCAGGCCACGCTATCGTGCGATGCATCCACCGAAAGCTGCTGCCTCGAAGGCCTGGTCGAGACGCTGGTTTGGAGCAGTACTGCACCTTTTACAGGCCCACTGAAGAGACAGAGGATGCCCCCGTCGACACCTTGGTTCTCACGCCCATCGTACCCCCAGGCGGAACCCTGCCCTACTACCACCCCACCGTCTCCCACCTTGCGTTCCGCTACGTGCTCATGGAAGATACACCCTTCCTGCAGATTGAACTTGTCCCTATTCCCGGAACGCCCACAGATCCTAACTCGAGATTGTATCGCACGTGCCTTGCGCTCCTCGAGACGCTCCATCGATACGGCTGGGGTGCCCTAGTCAACTACAAGAAACGGGTGCTGCATGATTGCCTCATACCACGCGAAGAGTACCAAGACCTCTACCTCGTCATGCGGGAAAGACACAAGCATCTGATTGACACCTGGCAGGAGGTGACTGATCCCCTCAAGCACGTCTTCGAGGTAAGCTTCCCTTCTGACGATCTTGGATATGCACTGACGATTACCTAGGACATTGGAATCGCTACATTCTTGATCTTGCTGTGGAAGAATACGTACGGTGATGAAGGCTTTGCCGACGAGGCGTCCCTCTCATCTGAGCCATGGAAATCTTGGCCTCGGCCACCAGGTGGATTCGTCGATTTTGGGTATGTCTGCACCTTCCTTGCTGAATTTTCACTCACATCTGTTCCAGATGCGGAAACGGTCTCCTCACCCATATTCTTTCAGAAGAAGGGTATGACGGTGCAGGCATTGACGTACGCGCCAGGACCTCTTGGGAACACTACCCCAAAACCACTCGAAATAACCTCCACGTTCACGCCTTTGACCCTCTCGACCTAGAAGCTTCCTCACAGTTCTTCAAGCCCGGCGCCTTCATCATCGGCAACCACGCAGACGAACTGACGCCATGGGTTCCCATCGTCGCGACGCTGACCTCATCATCCGGCTACCTCTCGATCCCATGCTGCCCCTGGTCGTTCGACTCCAAGTTCCAGCGCTCGACTGCAGAGATGTACCCTCATCCACCCGAGATGGTTGGCCAGCTGAATCTTGGAGGGGACGGGAGCAACTCGAGCGCCTATTCGGTATACAGGATATGGCTGGCGTCGTTGAGTCTCTACTGTGGGTGGGAAGTGGAGTGTGAGATGTTGCGTATCCCCAGTACTCGGAACTGGGGTCTTGTCGGTGCGTAACCTGTCGTTGTGGAGTGACCATCAGCTAATGCCATCGCAGGCCGGAAGCGAGTGGCGGATGTCGGGATAGAGGAAGCGCGACGCCGGGCGAACGATATCATCGAACAAGTCAACGTTCGGGGCGTATTCAAACCTCGAAAACCTGAGGGGAAGGCTGGAGAGCATTAATCATGCCCTCCGAGTTGGAGCCACAAACTCACCTTGTATTCGCTAGGCTTCTGAGAGACGATGAAATGGAATTGTCAGGTCCGTATCTCGCTGGTTCGCCACCGTAACGCGGGGCCTCAGGAGCCGAAGGGACGCGTTCTCTTAAGGGTCTGGGACTTCGATCACTGGCCTCGAGGATCTCTTCACCAAATTTACATTGGTCGAATAACCACTGTTGTTCAAGCCCACTCGTACGGTACGTACAACTTGAACGGTTGTCATCGAGCTCGCACGGCGTTGCTTGGCTACTGTGTGGCAAGTTATCCCAATAAAGGTATGGCTGGCTCTAACTGACTGCGTTGGATTTAGGCCATTGCTTCTTTCAGCTCAAGCTTCCTGTGAGCAAGGATCGCTGCACAGGAATCAGCACCGGTGCTGTCTGCCCTCATCCTCACTGCGCACTGTCTGGTACTAGGAACTGAAGGCGTGGTTCGCCATCCTGATTGGCTCAGTGCTCGACCGCTTCACTCTGGGTGGCGGATCCACTTCCATTCGCCCCAGATTGTCGTCCGCACGTCGATGTCTGCACGCGTATTTGGTCCAGTATGCCTATCATCACGGCCACCGCACCGATAATCACCCGAAGAAGTCGTCCAGTAGCCTCCACTCTCCCATAAAACCTGACGCCTGCCGCGAATTACCCGAATTCTGAGAGCGACGGACGCCCATACCAGCCAACGCTACCACGACAACAGCTTCCTTTTCGCCCCCTCCAAGGTCCTGTGATCCAACACCTGATAGCCCTCCTGTTCTGAACGCGCTTTCCGTCCGCCATTGGACTGCATTTAAATTGACTCTTTTACGTCCGCCTAGTGCTTCTTATGGGTCGATCTTTGCTATTTGCGTTGCTGACGTCCCATCGAGATCTGCCGTGTACCTAATTCCACGCATCGCTCGGCGTTTCTCTACCCCACACGCAGTAATGTGCGGCGAGGGTCACGGCTCCTGCTTTTGGCTATTTAGGTCCCATACACGTAGGCGAGCGTATATATATAAAGGAGTCACCTGGTATAGCAGTGGGTAGTGGTGCCAGAGGTGGATATCCTTGCCCTTAGCCTAACACCTCTTGACGATGCGGTTTATCGCCTTCTTCGCGTCTGCTACCGGCTTTCTAACTTTGGTCTCTGCTCAGAGGCCTCCGAGGCCTTCGCCTGACTGGGTGTGTTCGCTTCTCTGAGTCTCTGAGTATCGTGTTCAGCTAACTCATTCCATTTGAATGCGAATAGCCTTTTGATGTGACAGAAATCAAGGCGCCGGACGGGTCCATTTCGGCCAGCTTCGTTTCGATTGGAGCAACGCTCACCCAACTCTGGGTGAAGGACAGGGATGGAAAGGCGAGGGACGTGGTTCTGGGTTATGATGATCCCGTGAGTGATAGAAACCACGTCTTCGAAGTTCGCCTATAGGCCGTTGCGAACATTGTCTAATCACTTGGCGCGTCGATGTAGAGCCTACTTTGGTCCGACCCTGCCCATCCGGTTTTCGGTGCGATGGTTGGCCGGTGAGTACGATTGACACGGACACTTCCTGATTGAGGTTTGACGACCAAACTATGCAGTTATGCCAATCGAATCGACAATGGTATCTTCAGTTCTGCTTTGAAACAGCACAGTCATGGAGCTGGGCGCTTATGGGACTATTATAGGCACCTTTTCCATCCCCATCTCCAAGAACCCGACGCCTGGAGCTCCAGGGACATACCATATCCCAACCAACGACAAAGGAGGTTAGTTTCTCTCTCCATAAGTGCTATGAGGTTGAGGTAGTACCAACACTGACCCTGCAAAATAGGCGCCGTGGCCCTCCATGGAGGTCTCATCGGCTGGGACAGGCGCAACTTTACGCTCGTCGCAAAGTCGCCTACGAGCGTTACTTATAAGCACGTTGACAATGGAGACGAGGGCTTCCCTGGAACCGTCACTGCCTACGTGACACATACCGTGTCAAGAGGAGGCTCGCTGGAGACGCGTGTTAGGGCGACTGCGACCGAGAAGGTATGTCCATTCGTTCCAGTGGTTGATTAGTCGCCGAGTCTCAAGCGCTTGATACAGACGCCTTTGATGATGACTCAACATACCTATTGGTAAGTCCATCAACATCCTTCTCCATAGCAGCACTGAAAGCCTAAACCGTTGAATGATAGGAACCTTGATGCCTTCCAAAACGGAGTCAACGACACCCTCGACCACGTTCTCCAAATCGACTCGTCGAAAGTCATCGAGTTGAACGAGAACGCCATCCCGACTGGTGAATTCATCGATGTTACAGGGACTGTGTTTGATTTCAGGAAGCCTCAGGCTCATGGAGCGAGATGGGACGACGTTCAAGGACTTTGCGGTGGCGGTAAGGGATATTCCTGACCATAATGATAATCACCAAAGCTGAACGCTACTTTCTCGATGAATAGAATGCACGGGGTACGACCACTGCTGGGTATACGACTCGCGCGACCGGAGAGCTGCGAACCGACCCCGCACCTCGCTTTGGAGTCCCCACTCTGGAATCCGGTGAGTTCAGCTTCGTCTACTTCCTCGCGTGAAGTCCAGGATCTCAACACGACTATACTTACAGCATGGACATCTACACCAACCAGGACGCACTCCAAATCTACTCCGCATACTGGATGAACACTGTCAGGAAGAAGGCTCACGGCGGACCTGAGCTGAGCTATGGACGCTGGTCTGGTATTGCGCTTGAGACGCAGGGTCATGTCGCTGCGATCAATACGCCCGAGTGGGGTGTTGACCATATTTGTGAGTTGCCGTTCCATTGAATTGTAGATGGTAAAGTGGCTGAACTTGGGGTTGTAGATGGGCCAAATCGTCCATATGAGTGGAAGACGACGTATAAGTTCTCTACCGTTCAGTAGTAGAATCAAATGTGTATGTACAGGAAGCTATTTAAACCATGACTACATACGTTTGGACGGAGAGAAATTGAAAATTCGCCTACAGTTTAAAATCCCTCCTCAACCACCTTCGATCCACACGCCTGTCCGATTGGTATGCGAAATGTTTTTGGATTTTGCTGCTTTTTCGAAAATGTTACAGCGATTGTCTACAAGAGTGACTGTCTACAGAGATGACGATACAGACAAGTGAGAGAGTGAGGTGGAGAGGAGAAAAGCGATGCGAAGCCAACTAAATACGAATAGAAAAAAGTGTCCCAAAAACCCAGAAATAACGATACAATTGGTGGCGAAGGTCGAAGGTCGAAGAGTTGCAGGGGCTACAGTTGAAGAAAGCAAATTGAGAGAGAGCAAGAAAACGAAATGGTGTGGTCGAAGGAGGGTGGTAGTGGCTCGAAGCCGGAAAAGCAGTCGATAGCAATGCGAGAGTGGAAGGGATGATCGTTTTGGCTTTTGGATCATCTGGCTGGCGACGCTGAGCGTGGCCATTGGAGGAAATCGAAAGTCGAAATGGTGTGACTGATGATCGATGCGGGTGACGATGATCTATGAGGTGGGCGCGTGTTGCAATGCGAGGAGGTTGGACGGGGAGATGGCAGCGTGTTGCTGCGACTCGGACATGCTCGGTTGTCATAGCTCCGTATTGGGAACAGCTGGGACTTGAGGTGTAACAGCCGTGCAGTTGGGAAAGAAGCTGGGTTGTATGATGGATATCCCAGCGCGCAGGGCGAGATTACGAATCTCATGCGCAGAAGCGGCGGAGGCACTGGGGATCAGCCTAAACGGACGCGTATGTCAGATGCAGGCTACTTTAACTCGAAATGCATAACTGCGTACCTTGGCTTCACGGGCCTCGTTTTGGGGAGCAAGCTGGGCAGGCTCTGGTACTGGTGCAGCGGAGACCAGGGTGGCAACTAGGTGACGTGTCGTCAGTTATGAGCGAAAGCTAGTGTTTGATTTAGACATACCACAGGCGACAACGATGGTGGTGAAGAGAGTGAACTTCATTGTGATTGTGAAGGTTGATAGAGAGTGAATATAATAAAGTGGTGCGTGTGTTCCGAGTACCAGAGGAAAGCTAAGGTGCTGTGGAGAGAAACCATACGCCATACCGCCATGTTTAAATAGCGCCAACGAACTGACGGGTGAAGATTCTCGACTTCACCCAGGGACAAGGCAACCTCCCAATTAGGGAGCTTATTTCTTCCCCGAAGCCATCACTATATGATGGGATACGTCGTATCTAATGCTTCCAAACCACCTCTAACGTGGGTTTTCTGCCATCCGATGGCAAGCAATCGCTGAACTTGGACTGATGGAGGCGCTCATAAACACTTCTCCAAAAAAGGAAATCAAAAACAAGTCGTCCCGATTGGGAGTTGTGTTTAACGGTTCCCTGACGGAAGCAAATTGCATGAGGGCGTATCGTTACCTGCACAGGTCAGTTTGGCATCAGACAGTGCATGAAGTATCCAGGGACGCCTGAGATAACGTTGCTAAAAAGTTACCGATTTGGATGCCCCTTTCTTCAAGGCTGACGGAAGAATTCCCTGGGGTGGCTCCATCTCCTTACGCTTCAGATTGACAAATTACTTCGAAGTTCAATAGGTATCTCACAGTAAGTCAATGTCCGAGTCCGACGATGCTGCGAAGATACCGATACGCGAACGTGGCCCTGTGTGTACCACAAGTTCTCTCCGGATTTAGCAGCCCCAAAGAGGGCGACTACTTTGGTTGATAACCTATGGATTAAGGATGGCCTTCCCGGCTACAGCGAGCGTCTGAAAATTAGAATACTACATACGCATAGTCGGATAGGAAAGGGAGAGTAATAATGGATTGTTGGTCTTCAAGCGCCAAGGAAGGGTGATTAAGCGCCCAGGGCCGGGTTTATCCGAGCGGAGTTGGCCGGCTGCGGCAGGTGGTCCAAATGCCCAGTGCAGCCTGAGTGCAGCCATGAACAGCGCACTCGTCTTGACCCTACAGATCCACTTAAAGCGGCAAGTCGGGTCAGACAATCAATTCAGGAGGTCGCGAAAAGAGGACTTTTCAGAGAAATGTGGGACAGGTGAGTGTCCTTGGGTTTTTTTTATCGAATGAGGGTTCCTGACGAATAGTTTAAGTGGATTGTAGCGAAGTCTCCAGGGAAAAGACCGTGCACTCTCGGGGCCCAGAAAGGTAACCTTCTGCTGCATACAGCAGCAGAACTGTCGGATTGGATCGCAGCCCATCCGGACACGTATAGTGAGCGTATGGTCATCGATTGCAGGATGATGGTCACGGTTAACATCGACTCGCAAGTCCCTCTAGCTTCAAAGCCCTGCCGATGGTATTAAACCGATTTCGGTGAGACTTCGCGCCCAATGAATGTCCAGAACAGCCGTGCGGCTACAGTCGCTGTGGACTGCCGCCTCTACGATCGAATTTTGGATCGGGCGCGCCGTGACGTCAACCTCAAGGCCTGGCATGTTCAGCGTCCTCGTCAGCCAGCCACCAATCCACCTTTTCAATTCTACCTGCGATCCCGCCCAGCCAACTCGCCTACCCACTCTGAGATACCCAACCAGTACACCATGGCCCATGAACTCGACCCCGAACCTTCCTTCAAGTTCGAACCAAGCGAGGACGATGCTGAATTCGAATACCACTACGAGGAGACGACTATCAGCCAAACGGACCCCACGCGCACTCTTCTGTTTCGCGTTCCCAACGAGGATAGTTTTGCAGACGAGCAGTATTTCGACACAATTCAGCGCCATTTGGAACGGCGTGGTCTTGATTTCGACAAGGATCGGCGCCAGAATGCGAACCAGCCAAGCGCTGGGGGGAACGAGCCCGCTCCTTCTCCCTCTCCGGCCGCATCTCTCACTTCAGTTGCGTCGGCCACGGCGGAACCTTCTTCCGGTACTAGTGAAGGCGATGGCTCGTCGAGAGGCTCTGCCACCTCTGGGTCAAGCGCAAGCAGGTCTGCCTCTTCGACTTCGCATATCTCGATTCCTATCACAGCTCCCGCCGGCGCAATCGTCATGACCCAGCCACCACAAACCGTCGGAACTTCCTTCTTCAAGATCTCTCCTTCAGGTTGGTTTTTCCCGTTGTTCTGAAAATCGCCCTGATCGCCTCTTATCAGGACCAAACGGGCCAAACCTGGTCACCTTTGGCTGGAACATGACGAATGTCATCGTCCAGCCTACTTCGTTGACAGTCCAGGCGGCATGCCAAAATGGGTTTACGTACGCTGTGGGCGGTCCAATGGGAAACTCGACTGCTTCAGATCCAGGTGCGGCGTTCCTTTGTCCTCTTTTCGATTAGTTGTGGGTGCTGACTTGTTCTCCCTTGGGCGTAGCTGATCAAGCGGCGTATACTGGAGAGGGTGTCATTCCGGCGTCCCAGTCTCGTGTCATATGGGATGTTATTGGGTATCAGGAGGCTCACCCCGAGACTCCACTCCCGCAAGGTTTGTGCACGCTGAGAATCAACGATGAGCGAGGGTTTGGAGCAGCGCACAAGGTTAGTACCATTTCTCTTTTTCAATACGTCTGGCTGACCGGATTCTAGGCTGGGTACTTGGCCCCCAACGACGGGCTCACGTTCGCCCTTTACACCGGCGAAGCCTATACCCCTCTTGCCAGTGGTACGGAGATAGTCAAAGTTTTCGCTCTCTTCCTTGCTAATAGCACACGCTTTTTATAGGTTGGAGCTGCCCTGCCTGTATTGCCAATGGCAGCGGTCGTCTTGTCCCATATGCGATTCCTGTTCTTCGCCTTGCCGCAGCGATATCCCCCTCCATGATGCCAGAGCTAGAGATCATCTTCGCGGTGCTAGCTACCCTTGTTGTCTTCGCTGGGTCGATGATCTACATCTTAAAACCCGCAAGGCGAAACAGTGCCAGTGCCAGTCCGAGTCCCAGCACCACCCGACAGAGAAGGCAGAAATTCTTCGAAGCGCAGACCGCTCGGAGGCGCGAGTTGGAGGGCACGGGAAACGTGCCCGTTGGTACCCCTCCCAATATGGATACCGCCCTCCCCACGCCTACCCTGACCAACAGGAGTCTCATAATTATCGACCCCGACGACACTGTTGAGGATGCTTTGAAGGTCGGGAGCGTCTACAAGGCCATGTCGAGAGGAATTGAAACCTTCGACGGGGACTATGACGGGGACGAGGATGACAGAGATGCAGAGGAGGTTGAGAATGAACTCCTGATGTTGTGGGACGGTACCAGGGACTCCTTGGGCGGCAGGGTCACCACTGTCGTCCCGTTTGGTGCTTGAATGTTTGACACAGCGCCCTTTCGCCTTAGTAGCAGGAATGGTTTTTGGTATTTTGCTTCCGGTTTGCGCATGACACCTTGACGCCGCATATTTTTCGAGATATCTGTATCACTTATACCAGACACAGGAGAGAAAATGGATTGTTTTATGACTGACTGTCCGACAGACGGTAAGTAGTCGCTCCCTGTTGGAATACTTTGGCAACCTCACCTCTGGCGATGTGGTGAGTGTCGGCCAACCGACACTCGGGAAGACGAAAGCTATAAGTACGTATAAGTAGCTATAGAGACGAAAAGAAGCAAAGAAACACACCTCAGAATCTGTAAAGCAGAGACTGAGGGGGAAAAGGAGGAGCGCGAACTTCGAAGTTGCGTACAGAAAAGAACCGTGAGACAAAAGAAGCAGTCGGAGTGGAAACCAGACAGGGCAGAGGGAGCTCTACACCTGCCGACAGTGGGCAGAGCACCCTATTTGTGCCTCGTTCTCTGCTCATACGCCAGGTAAATTATGACGCGAAGTTATCATGGCCTCGAGGCGAGGCACGTTACGGTTTTGAACCAGGTACAATCACCGTTTGATCGCACTGATGGAAATAGGCGCCCATCGAAGCACGAGACCTCGCGCCTGAAATACAGCCACCGTCATCATGGACGACAGGGTGCTCGTTTGCCCTCACACACTACAAAACCTCTCCCGTACAGCGCTCTTAAGGCCATCGTCCGCGACTAGCACCTGCAGATGAGCTACAACCAAAGCGGCTGGCATAACCCTTACGACGGATACAGTCCCAACGAGCAATTCGGCGCAGCAGGGCACGATGCCAACAGGCCGGATTCTGCCTACCAGCTTGCGCCAGCATACTACGACACCAACGTGCGCCATCTCTCACCTCCCTCCTCGACGCTGCTGGACACAGTGACCAATTCATCCAATTACCAATCCACCCTCACCTCGTACCAAAACGTGTACCCGCGCTACCAGGACATTCTTGTCAACGAGGGGCGAAACCCCACGAACCACGTTTCCATTACACGACAGGCCGTCACTTCGGGCTCCCGTCTGCTTCGCTTGTTCTATCCGAAACCGAAGATAGTGGAGACGTTCTTCATCGATCCTCACCTCAAAGTCCCAGATGGAGTCCTCAAGGCCGTCAAGTCGGGAAGTTTCGGTCGCGGTGAGGGAGATGAACATCATGGACAACTTCAGGGGTCGAATGGGCGAAGACAGAACCGCCAGTCAAAACAACGAAAGAACGTAAAACTCCAGTTGATCGACGGCAAAATGGACGTCAGCATCTGTTTGATATCTGACGACGACCCGCTATCCGCTTCGCGCCTCCGCAAAACGACATCGACGACTTCGGTGAGGACAGCAAACATGAACCCTACATCACGAAATGGCACTCGACAAAACATGGTCCAACGCACGACGCTTCAAACTGAACTTTTCTCATCGCGCCCCGCAAAACTCAAAGCTCATCCATGTATAATCAAAATCGCAAGTCATTTTCCCTTTCCTATACATGCTAATTCGTTTACTAAGTTTATACATACTGGGTATGTAGAATGCCCCTGAACCTCGCCCACCATTCCTCCTACGCGCACGATGTACCTCGGAACCACTAGAAGGCCGCCATGATCAAGACGTCACTGGTACACCAGCGCTCCTCTCCACATCTCCCATAACACTCTACCTCCCACGTTCGTTCCGTGGGCCTCTGACCGTACACATAACCACAGGCAACATCGACCAACACCTCTGGCTTTCACCGGGCATCCGGTCGACTTCCAGAGTAATGCACGAAGATACGCTTCGGAGGGGGTACTTCCTCGGTGACGTACCAGATGTGGACGAGGGTGTCGAAGATATCATGGAGGAAGGGGAAGATGGAGAGGATAGGACTGTGGTGGAAGGACGGTCCCAGGTTCGACCAGTACACCATCGGCGCATGTCGTCGAGGACGACCACGTCAGCGAGCGTGTTGGGAGATGGAGAGGAGTGGTTAGGCGACAAGGTCGAGCTTGATGTTGAGGATGGGATCATCCGGGTATTGTTCGAGGACGAGCGGTTGGAAGGGGTGGGGAAGTGGAGTAGCAAGGGTTGGAGAGTGATTCTGTAGCACTGGCAGTCCGGTAGAGTTACATCGTCGCCGCTCTGGGGTTATATAGAGAACGGAAGCACTCGCTTAGACGATATGTAGAAATGTATCTGAGTACGAACAGAGGTGAGAATTCCGTTCCAAAAAAGCAGTAGTCTCGCAAGAAAGGAAACCCCGGATACAAGCAAGCATAGACAGATGCTGGATGAAAACATGACGCGATGGTTCATACATGTATCCATATCGACTATTAAAGTCATCGTGAACGAAAGAGCCTGGAAAACACCGACGAAGACTGTCTGCGCAGGCCTTCAGCACACTGACATCGATACGTGCAGAAACACGCTCACCTATCACTAGAAACCTTCGAGTCTGATGCTTGGGATTCTGCATCACTCTCATCAGACGCATCCACCAGCGTGTCGTCCGTTTCTTCATCCTCCTCCATCCAGGGAGGAAGAACATCAGGGAGCGGTGGATCACCCTCCTCCCCTTCCTCGCCTCCACGAAGGCCAGTAGCAAGCCCCTTCTCGTCAAGCGACACCAGTCTGAACAGCGGGTAGTACGCCCTCTTCCCATCCTTCCTCGTCCTGGTCTTGAAATTACCAGAGCTCACACTCTTCATCCACCTCGTCTCCGCCCCCGTCTCCACATCCCCAAACAACTTCGTAGCCTCCGGGTTCGTAACCGTCAACCCAATCGCAACACTCGACGTCTTGCCGGAAGACACGTATCGCGCGTACGAGGAACAGCGGTGCACCTCGGAAACGATAACCTTCCCGTGTAAACTCGGCTCATCGAACAGGAAGCGCAGTTTGGCGGCAGGATGGAGGGTGGTGATCGAGTCGTTCTTCATGACGAGCACCGCACCTGCTTTGGACGTAAATCGGAAGGCTGCCTTGGCTTTGCATTCAGCGAATACGGGCGTCTGTCTGCACGGCTATCGTAACTGCGAGGGACGCTGAGGTTTTCCACTCACCCTCCCGCAGCGGCCTCGACGTCAATCTCTCTGGCACTCTTGGAGGTGACCCAAGTCACACCCTCGGGGTCGTCACCCCCGTACTCTTGGGGAAGAGGCAGCCCCACCGCCTCCGCAAAACCGTCTGTATAGACGTTGCCCTCTTTGACGAAAATCCCACGCTGGTTCGCCCGCCTCTTCCTCGTCCACACCGACTTCCAGTGGCGCCTCTTGCCTCCAGAAGTGATGATCCCATAATCCCCTACTTCCATCGGGATTTCAGGGTCCCAGCTCGCATACTTGCGGCTGGCGCGGAAGATGAGGGAGGTGTATAGGCGTTCAGAGTTGCGCATTGCATGGGGAGTGGAGGAAGGTTGGATGGGAAGGTTGGATGGGAAGGTTAGGGACGTTTATAACGGTTGGGACACGAGGTAAGGGTGTGGAAGTCTGCTTCGCGGTCTCGTGCGCCGTAATCCTGCAGCTAAAGTGAACGTGGTCATCGGGAGAAGTGATGAATCGATAGTCCTCCGCTTCTTGGTACTAGTCTTCACGCATTACGTAGTAGAGCGACGAATGTGCATCTGTCTGGCATGGTATTGGCGTCGTCCCGCTGCCGTTCGGGGGGAGGTGTAGCAGTTCGGAATGGCGCGTAGGGAGGGTGAGGAGGGGCAGGTGAATGAGGCTAACAACAGGGCTCAAACACGAGGAGTAGGTGCGAATGACGCGCTTCGATGATGTATGAAAAGCCCTATTGATAACAACTCGGCGCCGAGGTTCCTATCGAACACAGTGTTTGGCAGCCGAAGGTAATCGATGTCAAGGGCCTTAGACTTTGGGTAATGCACGGTCGCCACCGGGAGATTTCCGACAACGAAGTCGACGATTCCGCTAGATTACGCTGCTCACTATGCCGTCGTTCACCGCAGGACCAGATCGGGCGTCAGATGGATTGACTAGAGGGTGCTAGGTGAGCTTCTTGCATTCACATTCAAGCTACCTGTACTAACCGTTTGATTTCCCGGTCCCTGGGGTAGGTAGCGTAAAGTCGAGGCGCCCAGGCGCTATTCTTGCTGCAGCAACACTCGGGGCCTCGAAGCCAACATCTATTGAAGATGGGTGAGGAAAGTCGTCTCGCTTGAATGGTGCTAGCGTGCATTCCGACTGACCACGACGCGCGATAGCCTGATGCAACCACTCTCCTCTCGATGTTTCCTCGGATCGTGCCATCTCCGGGATTCTGCCACCCGCCAGCTCGAGTGTTATTGGGAACGTGAAATCAGCATCTAGTGACTGCATTGATCACGGATGTAAGGAAAGGGCGAGTTCTCCAGGGATGCCACTGAGAGATCGAAGGCCTGGTGTATATTGATTTAATCCAATAGTCGTACAAAGCAAGCACAAAAAAGACGCACTACTATAGCTTGCTGTTCATGCGTTGCAAGCAATGGATCACAGCATGTATACCGTCCATCACCGCATCCTTCTCCGCTGGATCCACGATCGAGACGATAGCCGTCATCTTGTCCGGATGCCACCGCAGCAACGACGTCCGTACGCGCTCCTTCTTCGTGACCGTGCACCCTCGAACAGTCAAAGGCTCCAACAAGAAAGCCTCGACGTTCTGGCGAGTGATATCCTCCAGCTTGACCTCGCTAGCTGGCTTATCCACCGGCCAAGGCATATCCGCAAACGTGACCGGATCGTCTCCAGCCTGGCTCCCAGACTCGGACTCGACTTCACTCGCAATCCCATCCACCTTCCTGCTCTTAGCCACAGCCAACAAATGCCTCCACCGACGCTCATACGCCTCCCACCGCTCCGTCAACCGTTTCTCCTTCTCCCGCAGCTTGAGTTCCTCCCGGATCCGTTGTGTCCGCTCGAGGTCGCGGTTTCCGTGTTCGTCACGGAGAACACCACCGCAGCTGACCCAGTACTCTTCGCCCTTGCGGGCCTCTTCAGCTTCACGCGCCAGACGCGCTTCATGAAGCTTTTTGAGCCGTTCTTGTTCTGCTCGCCACGCAGCTTCAGCAGCCTCGGCTTCTTCGCGTTTGCGCCGTGCTTCAGCCTCTTCCTGGGCTGCACGCTGCGCAGCTTCTTCTTCTCGACGTTTCCTTTCTTCCTCTTCGAGTATCGATAGACTAGGGGTTGTGGTGAATGCCAGGTAGCCCAGGCCAGGCTTTGGAGTCGTATTCAGTGTTGAGGAAAATAGAGACCTTGTCGGCGTCGTAGGGTCTGGTTGTCGCTCTCTCTTTGGAGTTCCAAAGAGAATGGAGTCTCCCTTCGGTCTCCATTCGTCTGTGCCTCTCGACGGTGTCCAGGTCATCGTTATCAGCGGGCAGAGGTGGCGGTCGTCGTTCAACCCCAGACCCAGTGGCCGCGACTGTTGGATTACTGGATTTTCAAACTCCGTTCGGCTCTGGACGGCCCGTTCCAGTTTAGCGCCCGCTCCTCCTCGTTCCCACCTGGCTCTCAAGTTCCACGCTGAGGCGCTGGGAATGCGAGGTGCATATACTATATATGTTGGATCTCAGCGAGTCATAGTTTATCCTTCGCCATATTCCAGCGAAGCATCCTACACGAATGAGGGTATCAGTATTCGAGCTACCGGCCACCACTCTCCTCAAAATCTCAGAGATCCAATACTTAGTGTCAACGGCTTAGGACGAAATGTGAATCAGACCTCTCAGGCATGAAGAACGGGGGCGACGCAGTCTTGTTCAAGTATTCCAGTCGTGGCATATCATAACTCGACATGTGCATATGTACAAAAAGCATAGACGTACAAGTACCCCCAATTTTGAAAGACACCACCACCCGCTTAGAAGGTAGAAGGCCTCTTGGCGACAAAGGTCGAGCGGACCTTGGGCACACGGTGAGGAAGAGGGAACTTGAGGCCGGGCTGCAAGAGCTGCTTGACGTAGGGGCGGCGAACGTCCTCGGCCTTCTTGATCTCAACGACACGGATGATCTGCAGGAACAAAAATTGAGCCTCCGCAGCTTCATAAAGGCCCAAGTGAGACGTACGTGGATGGACCTGAAGCGGGCACGGTGCCTGGCAGACATGTCCTGGTAGAGGGCCTTGACGGCACCAGCACGGGAGAGGTCACGGAACTCCTTGTACATGTTGTGGGTTCCAGATCGCGAATCATATCGCAACCAGATGCCAAAGTTCTTGACCTGGAGGGGTCGCTTCTCGAGGATCTACAAAATCGCAACAACAAATTTTGCGTTGCTCGGTTAGTAAAAGCCCATTCCGCCTGCCTCTTGAGGGCTGCTAGGGACACATTTGTGCACGTACGGGGGTGACGGCGAGAATTTCACCAGAGGCCTTCTTGACCTTCTTCAATTGCCTGTTGAATGCTCGTTATCAGCGCTACAAAAATGCGGTTTTGGGGGATTTACGCACCTCATGAAGTACCAGTAGCGGGACTTGGCGACGACCTCGTTAGGAGCGAAGATTCGCATCCTGTAGATTTTGGGGGTGGGCTCATGCTCGGTAGGCAAGTGGCGGCCAACGACTTGGAATTCCTTGATGCCCATTCTGTGTATCGACCAAAATCGTCAGCGACCGTCATCCATACGCATCCGGGGCCCATCCATCGCGATCCAGCCTGAATTCCAGCGCAAAATCGTGTACAACGGCTCTCCAGAGTCCCCGGCGTACGTCGAGCGTCGAAATGGCGTACTCACGTTGTCGATTCGTCGAGTCTTGTGGTCGGCGGTGCTGCTGGTTTGTTGATGGTGTGGAATTGGGCAAATTTGTGGCTGTTTGGGTTCAAGCTCCGCTTTGATGGCTTGATCGCTGTCGCGCGCGTCGGGGGGCGACCTCGCGCACAGCGGGCGCGCGCGCTTCTCGATAAATGTCCCAAGGCATTCCATTCCCAAATAAATACGATACAATCAACTTCTGGTAATTCTAGCCAATTCATAACGAATCTCATGCGTTGACATGCCTCTGTGCGACAGCGTCTGTCGAGACTTGGGGTCTGCGATGCATGGATGGAAGTCAATGATAATAACCCCCCATCCCCAACATAGACGACTCACCTTCATCATTCATAGAATGCAGGTAACACGAATCTACAACTATAGGTCCTCGACTATCTTGTACCGGCGCCCTTGTCAACGCCGCTCCTTTCAGATTGAGAATGAGGCGCGAAACCATCAAACTCGTAATTCTAGCAGGCTAGACTTTAGTACATAATGATCCCCACGTCAAAAGGTAAGAAGAAACCCACAAAGTACTGAAACTCGCGTTCATAGCTTTCAGATCAGGCTAAGTAACGAAAGAGAAGGGTGTCAGGCTTTTCATGGCCAGCGCTCTAGACTTCTCGTACCGGTGCAAGCTGTAAACGAACATCTCAGTGGGTAATAACTCGTGACGACCAACTGCCGTCAACATACCAAGAACATGAGAACAGTAATGACGTTCGCAATGAAGATAACGGCAAAGTACACCACGCCTGACACCATTCGAAGAACGTCCGTCAATCGCCTCATAAATGGCTTGATTAAACCTGCATGGACGTACCGTCCCGGACGACCAAGGCGAACAGCGACATCGGCTGAGCACCCTGTCTTCGATAAAGGACGAGTGTTCTCCATAGGGTGAGGAAGAATATGATCGAATCTGGTTGTCGTGTGGAAGTATGTATGCCAGACGTCTGACAGTCGACACTTCTCGAAGACGTACCAAAGGCGAGTTCGGCGATCCATGTGAAGACAAATCGTCTAGAAGGGAGCGGATAAGAACGTTCCTATTGAATGAGTTCTGACCACTAACTTATGGTTTCTCCCAACAAGTATACAACCCACGAGTCCTAGACAACATTAAGCGCCCGTCCACTGATCGACAATCCCACTGCTCACCTTCCGGAAGAACCAACCGAGTCCCATCCGTAAACGCCCACTAAAACCGTCAGCAACTTAATCATTTATCGTCACTGAGAAAAACGCAGACACTCACAATCTTGACAGCCAGTTCCGTTACCAGCGCCGCCGAAGCAAAGAGGGTGATCTTGAACCCTCGATTGTATATAGCATGCACGCGAAGGACAAAGATGATGCCAATAACGGTAGCAGTGACAATCTTCAGTGCTTCTGGAAAGAGAATGTAGCGGTCACAGACTTCTTCGCTCCATGGTTGATGGAAGGCTGGTGGAACGAGAACGCGAAATCGAAGTCGAAGTCGAAGGGTTTTAATTAAGAGTCTTCAGCGCTGTTCCGGGGGAGGAGAAGCACAGATCCACGGCTGTACTCACATACGATGATCACGATGTATCCCAGAGGAGTCAAATACCTGTTCTGTCGGTTCACGGCGCTGTCGCGTTAGAGCGAAGACCAACCAGTAGCGACTCTGCGGACTCACCAATGCGAACAGAAGTGTTATCCGGGAGTAGGTTGGCTGTGCCCAAATCCGCTCGACCTCTTGACCAATCGTTATGGCAATGTCGTAGAACAGCATCACTATTAAGCGCCCGTTAACAGTCGGTCTGCCACCATCGGCGGACGATGGTCGAGTACAAAGAGCACCAACCGCAGGAAGCGAGTGAGTACATCTTCGCTGCCATCCTAACGTGAACACTTGAACATTAATAATCGACGGGACAGAGGTCGCTTTACTCACAAATGGCTCGCCGTGCGGACGAGGACTGGATCAAAAGGAGTTTTTATAGTAGACATGGCGCATAGAGCAGGGAACAAGTACGAAGAGCTAGTCCAAACACCTCCCTCCCATTTCACCATTGAAGGCTTATAAGAACCTTACCAGCGCTAACGTACATACAGTATCTGCTGATATGTAAACTACCCCGCCCAGCTCCACACTTCCAGGACATCGAAGTATGTCTGCATAGTTCGTCAACGGAACAAGAAGTTGGGATACAGATTCGGTAGAGAAACACCCATGAAGCCCTTGTGGTTCTTTGATGCATGATGTTTGTCTAATGCAAGTTAGACTTTTACAGTCTATTGGACTGAGCTGAACGGGTAATAGGAGCGCTAACTGCGCAGGCACGCCAACGCTCTGTGGTATCATCAAAGATATGAAAGAGTAGGTATCTGACAGGAGATAGTTATCTAGCACAGGGACAAGCCTTTTTGGTCTTTACAAAAATGCATAGCTTTAGAGCTTCTTCAAGCGCGCATATACAGAAATCTCATCCGAGACTCATTCAATGGTAAGGGCGGAAGCCATAAGCATCCGCAAGGCTCCAGACTTCCAGTTACTCCACGAGACGGTGATTTAATACACTCCCCTCGACACAGTCGGCCCTGAAAAAATGAATTGTATCAGGAGTACACCGTATGCGAGCGTATGCGTCATTACAATATATAAGTACCTGATACACGTCTTAACCTACCCCCTCTCAACTAACGATAACAGCCCTGGCCTATGTACCACCTGACCATCTCTGCGCTCAAGGTATGATAAAAATCGTCTCCGAGTGCCCGTGCTTAGTATACCTACGATGGCCTCACTGACATCTCTGCAGCATATATGAATGGGAAAGGTCAATGGGAATCTCCTACATGGCAGAAAGTTGCTACAAAGCTTAAAGGAGGCCGTGGAGCAACTTAAGGTGAGAGCAGGCATGGACTTTCCACGGTCAGTTTGAAGTCGACCGCCATGTCGCGGAGAACTCGAATGAAGTTGGGGTAACTGATGCGATCACGGCCAATCATGAGGCATATGATCCGTCTGTGACGGAACGCTAAATTAGGTTTAGTCTCGCGAAGGTCGGTGGGCGCAATGTGCGCTCTCGCGGCGTTGTTCGGCCTCAACACAGGCCACACGCTCAACTCGGAGCCGTGGAGCCGTTGGGGCTTGGTACCGATTCCCGAAGGGCCTCCCAAGATGCATTGAACGAGCTGCGACAGCCTGCGGGCCTTCCTTCACATAGGCACACTTCCCTGCAGGCCTCAAGAACTCATGAATGTTCCAAGGTCAGCTGAGAACTGTCATTCATGCAAAAAGCACTGTGCGTGGCATCATACCTGCCGCTTAATAGACTAAATACCCAGAGTGGTCATATATTCTAACAAACTGGGTTATTTGAACGAACCCATGTGAAGTTCGGTAGTTCCGCCGGAAAGTTACGCCAACCCCAAGCCAACCAGGGCCGTGTGTAGCGATCAGAATGTTCGGAGAGGGGACGTACTGTTTGTACTTGGGAACGAGGTTATGTATTATTTAAATGAACGTTCGAGTTGTGGATTCATTCATTTGGTCTTTCTTCCCTTCTGCCCAACAACCATTTCAAGCATCCCAGTGCGCGACTGGGCTCAGCTCGATGCAGCAGATCCTGCGATGTCTGCAGTCAGCTCCCTCTCGGCGGACGAATATGCTAGGACTGCATTTAATCTGTGAGTATCCGTTTTCTCATAACCAGAACTCGCCCATTCAAACGGTGTTGCAGGAGAGTGGCCAAATCGTATTCTTTGGCGTCATGTGGTGAGTCTAAGCTTCATCTCTACCTGGAAGGGGGATCACCTAGCTCCTATCTCAGTTATGCTTTTCTACGACATAATGCTGACGTTTGGGGAGGAGGTTGAGACGATATGGAAGCAACCGAGATGGTCGCATATGACTTTGCTATTCGCTTTGGTGCGTGTTTTTGAGTACACCCTTCCCATGACGGACCCTCAACATACCTGCCCTCCAGAATCGCTACCTTACGCCACTTGGGTATATCGTCATCATCGTCTGTGCGCATTCTCGACCATTTCTAAATGGAAGCCTACGAGCTCACAACCAACTCCAGCATTCCACCAACCATGGTCGACAAGCGTGTGCGATCGATACATCCTCTTCCCTGAAGCCCTGAAGATCGTAACAGCAACCGTGATCGGCAGTACGCACCCAGTCTACCTCTCTCCCCATTACAATAGCCTCATGCACATCCCAACAGTCGTTTTTGTGTTACGAGTACACGCCATATATGGGAGGAACATGGTAGCCACCACCCTGGCATCTATGTTGCTCATCACGGAATTGGCGGTGAAGATCGTACGTGGATGGAAGTGCCTTACTGATCACAAACGCTAATAAAATGACAGTGGGCTTTTACGGACGGCACCAGGTTACAACTCCCGGAAGGTGAGTGCGAGTGACACGGTTCCGATGGAAAGGAACAGCATGAACTGAAAGGCGTCGTTGGTTGTTTCAGGCTTGGTCGGGTGCATTTTGGTTGGGAAACAACATACGTGAGTTCTTGGTTCGCACTTCACGGCATAGGAGTCCGAGCTCAAGGTACCTCATTCAGTCGCTTTGCCTTTACCTGGATCGCCGAGTTGGGTTTTGGTATGGATGGGAATAATCCTCTGCACATTCCTATACTGAACGAAATCCACGACTTATAGACTCCGCAATCTTCCTCATGACATTGTGGGGAACTTTCTCATATTACCGGGTACAGAGAGGAAACCCAGAATCCCTATATGCCCTGGTAGTCAGAGATGGTATGTCCGCGGACCCGATCGTTATTTCCAACGATGTCGATCCACAATGGGTACTTATTTCAAAATGATCATTCGGCAGGGATCGTTTATTTCGCCATCATTTGCGGGGCGAACGTTATTACTGTATCATTCTTCTTGGTAAGAAATCCTTCCTCGTTCCGCAGCGCTGGAATACTGACAGACCTTTCAGGCCGGGGCGGTAAGGATGAAACTCGTTCCCTACGGTGACCGTTACTGAGCACTGATCTTTCCAAACGATTAGCCCGATATCAAGGCCATCAATGCAAGCTTTAGCACGCTGTACGTCCCAACTTGCCCTTCCAAACCAGACATATTGACTAACCTCCTTGGCAGAATAACAAGTTTAATGGTTTCAAGGCTGATCCTGAATTTACGAACCGCGGGCGGACGTACACATGTCTCCCACGTAAGCACAGTCGGGCGTCGGGCACATGCTCCCTCTCGAATCCAGTTCGAAACGGGTTAGTTCTCCTGGTCAATACACTTTTCTCGAGGCTGACGACCATCCTTTCGACTTAGGGACAGTGGGAAAGGATACGATCATCGATTGTGATGAGCTCAGAGATCTCACATTGACTCGGTACGAACTCGCAAGGATAAAAAGCCCTTCAAGATCAAGGGTATTTCGGTCATAGATATTCTTCGCTATGTTCATGTATAATGTATCTGGCTTAATTGTACCAATAGTTGGCGTATGAACTGTAAGATGGCACGGGATTAAGATAGTAGCACTTCATGATAAGCGCTGAATCGACAAGGCGCTTAAAACGATCTGAGTAGGATAAACATTGCTGCAGCTTCTGTCAAGGATCGATTTACATCCCCCGTCCACGGTGATAAGACCTTCTGGAAACACGAGAAGTTGAGAACCACTTTGGTGTGGTTCTCGCCATATACGTTCGACGGAGAATGTTCGGTTGTCCACGTGAAGTTCGACACGAGTCTCTCAATATGAAAGCGGGGAAGCAGCATCCCTGATTGGGAACAGCAAGTGATCTCGAGCTCGGTGAGCAGAGCAAGCCAAGCGGAGAAGCAGCGCTAAGGTGCAGCGAAGGCGCTCTCGCGGTCCGTGCTTCACAGTCTCCCCGGCGACGAAGTGGTCTCTAAGATTCTCCGAGTACTACCCAGACGGGCCGCTCTCGACATAGAAGAACGCTTCTAGCAACGATAAATACTCTCATGAGCATAACATATCATTCACCACTCTCACTCTTCCAATTCCACGGGGTTCTCGACAATGCCAGCCACTGTATCCTTCTTCACCGAAACTCCCTTCTCCTCCAACCCGCTGGAAACGAGGGATGACTTGGCTCGATTCCTGAAAGACCTTTTGGATCCTCTTGCAGCACACACGAGCCCAGGAGGCGCCCGAATCCAGCTTGGATACACTGGAACACACTATGACGACGTCGCTGCCCAGCTCGAAGGGTTCTCTCGCCCGATCTGGGGCCTTGCGGCACTCCTGGCAGGCGGTGGGGACTACGAAGGCACGAGTCGATGGGTCAACGGGTTCGCAAACGGTACAAACCCAGAGAGCCCAGAGTTTTGGGGATGGATGCGAGATAAGGACCAGAGGATGGTGGAGTGCTCCGCGATAGGGTTCACGTTGGCTGTGGCGAAGGAAAAGATCTGGGATCCATTGAGTGATGAAGCGAAGAAGAACTTGGAGGATTGGTTGGCGATTATGAACGGGAAGGAGATGCCGAACACGAACTGGCTTTGGTTCAGGGTGAGTTATCCGTTGGTAGTGGGCCGGGAAAGTAAGGCTGAGCCGAGTGAGGATAGGTCTTCGCGAACTTGGGCCTGTCAAAGGTCGGGTCGTCTAGATTTGACGCTGCGAGGATGAAGGCTGATCTTGACCACCTCGATACTTTCTACATCGGAGATGGGTGGTCTCGAGACGGGCCAGAGGGCATTGTCCAGTTGGACTACTACTCTTCGTCGTTCGCTATCCAGTTCGCCCAGTTGGCGTATTCCAAGTTGATGCAGAAGGAGGACCCCGAGCGTTGCGAGGAGTACCGGAACCGAGCCAAGAAGTTCGCCCAAGATTTCGTCCACTACTGGGACGAGGAAGGTAAGCGTTGTTGTTCTTGCATCTGGGGGCATGTCTCACCACTTGAAGCACAGGTCGACCCATTCCATTCGGCCGAAGCATGGTGTATCGCTTTGCGATGTCATCATTCTGGGGAGCTTTAGCCTTCGCGGACGTCGAGCTGCCAGCACCACTCACCTGGGGGGTTATCAAAGGCCTCCAGCTTCGCAATCTCCGATACTGGGCGAAGCAGCCAGGAGCTTACAACTCTGACGGCACGCTGACGATCGGATACGGTTATCCCAACCTTAACATGACAGAGAACTATAACTCTGCTGGGTCCGTGTACTGGTGCTGCAAGTCGTTCGTCACGCTTGCTCTGCCAGAGAGCCACCCTTTCTGGGCCGCCAAAGAAGAACCGTTCCCCGAGGCGCTGAAGGAGACGACGAAGTTCCTCACTCACCCGCTTCATATCACCACCAACCTTGGAGGACACACGTTCCTCCTGTCGTCTGGTCAGCAGTGCTCATACCCCGTCAAGCAGAGTGCTGCCAAGTACGGGAAGTTGGCGTATTCTTCCGCGTTTGGCTACAGCGTGCCTACCGGGAACCTCACGCTCGAAGAGTTGGGTGGCGACAACACGCTGGCGCTCAGCAATGATAAGGGGGAGACGTGGAAGTGTAGACGAGAGACGAAGGAAGCGAGGATCGAGGAGGGAAGATGGTTGCGATCAATGTGGTACCCTTGGGAAGGTGTACAGGTTGAGACTTGGCTGATTCCACCACAGAAGGAGAATCCTCTCTGGCACCTGCGGGTCCATAGGATCCGAACGAACCAGCCTTTGACTTCCGCGGAGGGAGGTTTCGCCTTGTACGGACAAAACGCTATTGGGAGAGCGTTGGAACCCTCAACGAACGCTGACGAAGGTACTCTGGAAGATGGAGCGGTCACCAGAGCCACATCCAAGGCTGGGGTTTCAGGGCTGGCAGGCCTTGAAGCGAGCTCGACAAGGATCGGAAAGGCTCTTCGCATGGATCCCAACACCAACCTGATCGAGCCGAGGACCGTACTTCCGACTTTAATGGGTCAGCACGAGGCAAGCGACAAGGACCACTGGTTGATCACTGGCGTCTTCGCTGTCCCGAGCAGTGCTTTTCCTCAGCACGAATCGTGGCTGGGTGAGTGGGAGGAGAAAACGAAACTCTCCCAGTCCCTATTCTTATCCTTGATCCAGGATAAATCATAGGCCTATACGTTCGAGTAAATCAACAAACTGATCTTTACATGTATTTTTTACTATGCTCACCACTGGGCTTTCCACCGCGTTGCATTTCTGTATCTTTATCTGGAACTTGGAAGTCGTGTATTCCGCCATCTCGAGACAAATTGATTTCCATAGTCTTTGCGAAGTGCGAAGAATTGTGAATGTGATGATGGTGGTCTGGGTGAAACCCTAAAGCGGCGGAATTTGGTCGGGGTCGGGGGAAAGGGGCGAATTGATCCGGACCAACCAATCCTGCTTTGTCCCTGACAACGACAATGAGCGATGGTTTGAGTCTCAAGACTCCTGAGCATGGAAAGTTTCTTCCTCTTGTTCTCCTACCATGTAATAAAGACCTTATTAACTTTACACTTTAGCAGGGAAAATACAGAAAATCGAGCTGAGCGACGCCTGGCTACGACTCATCGGGTCTATGTCATCGAGGGGCGCGTGAGGCGTAGGGAATCATCGCCCCAAAAATGTTCTGCACCAATTCTGCACCCGTTCGAGTGTCGAGGGCCGAACACATGAAAACCATTTCGCGGACCAACAGCGACGATGAGACTCCCTTTTTGCAGATCGTTGTGCCACAGTTTCTGAGACGAACAGGGTCCCTCGACAAAGAAGCCTTTCGCTGGCCATGAGCGCAGCAGCAGGTCAAACCAGGTCAACTCTTTTAATTAAGAGATTGTCCAGGATGGGTAAATTCGATTTTGCAGGCAGGTACCAGTAGGTACCCCATCAACCGAACAAGATCTCGGCATCCAGATAATTGCCAAAGGATTCCGAGACCGTTGATGAATGGTTCTCTTGTGTCCGCCACCGTAACCAGAGTACAGGCTCCAGCCGTGTCGGTTCCCTCGGGGGAGCGTGCTGGTCCGCTGGAAGTAACAAAGGTAGAGGTTATTTCCAATAGCCATCAGAACGTGGACAGTCAGGCTCACATCGACTTCCTTTTGTCGCAGATTTCCAAAAGAATTTCCTCACAAAAGTACATCCAGCATCAGTGTTGTTGTCAACAATCCTATGACGCGAGGAATGCTGAGTGCGAAACGTGCACGAGGGTGCTAAATGCCTGCCACCCCGGAGTTGTTCATCGCCTTCTCCATCCTCCCTTCGGGCGAGCCTCGATGGCTTGACGTACGATTTCGTTTCTTCTCTGTCCATGTCCACTTTCTCTTCGCCGCATTCTCGTCATTCAAGAAGTCGTACAACGGCTTGATTTCTTCTAAATTTCTTCTGCTGGTCATTTTTCAGGAAACTCGGTTGCAGGACAATCGAAGCATCCAACGGGAATCCTCATCGATCTATCCCTTCGGCACGACACGAAAGGTTCAATTAACTTCACGCACTACCCCGGCACCTCGCGACTCGCTCGACACCATGTTTCAACGTTCACCTTGTGGTACACATGCAAACAAGGTCTCGGCGTTCAGGTCACCCTCTTCGGTAACCAAGGACTCCTCAACAACGCATTGCTCCAAGGAGGTCAGACAAGCAAGTTCAAGACAACGATCCTCCAACCATATCGCCTCGCAACCGGAGGAACCTGATGGCTCTCGAGGACGATTTGATTTCTCTGCCATCGGTCGTCGGGTTTGGCGCGTACGAAAGCAAATTTCGCCCCCGTCGTGAGTTATTAGTCCCCTCCCTTGTCCGCTGTACCTCATAGTGCCCTCCAAGGACAACGACGGGTTCTCAATCATCGAATGTCGCGGCACAAGGGATGGATGTCTCAAGTATAACAAACGGTCAGGGTTCAGGTGGGTTTATCTCGAGACACAGTTGTTACACGGGCTGAGCAAGACATATAGGTGCAGCACCGACGTTTGCTTCGCCGGATTATGCCTCGTTGGGTTCGTGTCTTACCAGCTATATCTACTTGCCTCATGTTCAGACCACACCATAGATTCTCTACCTTCTCCCACTTTTTCGACGCCTGGGTCGTCCTTATCTTCCTGTACGCCCCAATTCATGATTCTCGCGCAAAAGCTTTCATCACCTGACACACCCTCCCAGCTTCCAATCACATCTTCCGGCCCTCGTCTATCTTCTCCACAATTAGCACCTTTATCAGCGACACCATTTCCTCGTCTTCGTCACGGCCATCGGACTGGCCGCCCATGGACGGCGTTCCTAGCGGCTCTTGGTCAAGCACAGACGATACTCCTCTATCTACCCCCGACCAGCTGCCAATACCATCTACAATCACGCTCACCCCGACTCCTAGCCTCACTCTAGAACCGACACTATCCGAATCTACGCCATCATCACTATCGATGTCAGAACCCTATGAGACGAGCGAAGAATCGTCATTTTCTATGCCACCATCTTCGTCTGTGCCTATATACGAACCCACAACTACTCAGGAAGAATCTTCATCGTGGTCGTACTATGCCACACCTTCATCGGAGTATATCCCGGACGAAAGCTCGGCTAGCTCGTCAGCCCCCTCGAGCTCAGTTTCGCGTTCCAGCACGGTCACCGAGGAGCCCACCACTTCGTCGCAGCCTCAATCTACGACCTTTATGCCTACCATGCCTTCATCTTCCAGCTATCAGACCTCTGCCCCCCCTTCCCCCTCCGCGTCGCCATCTTCTAGTTCGTCTAGACGTCCCAATGTAACGTTGTAAGTTAATCTCGATCAAATCCGTTAATCTAGCCTCTGATCCGGCCATGTAGAATGCCAGCTCCTGCTCCCGATATCTCTTCGTTCACGTCCACCAGTTGTAAGCTGCACCTCTACCCACTTCACTAAACTTGGCGTTCTCACCATAATCCACAGTCGAGTCCTCCACTCGCCGCCCTGTTACGACTGTCACTCAATCACGATTCACGACCCTTACGATCACAACAGTCTTCACCAGCACGTACAGCGGCGGGATGGAGACGACGGTTACGACTGTTATTGAGACGGGCATACTGCGCACTGACGTCCCTGCCCCGACTTCTGGGTTCGTTCAATCCCTATCCGCAGCGCTAGTATGTATACTAACCCGTATGACCAGACTTGCCAACAATGTTAGTGCAATTATCGGCCTGACGCTAGGGGCAACATTCGCTATCATTGGTGCAATCATCCTCCTGTTCTTTTGCTGTCGACGATACCGCAGAACGCACAAGCGGGGCGATAGCGCAGAGCATCTGAACCCTCAACGCGAGTGGAGATCGCCCCTCCGCGATGAAGAGGAGGGCGGGAAAGGTTTCTTGTACGGTGCCTCCGCTGTCGCCTCCAGGATTGGGAGGAAGCTGTCCAACCGGAGCATGCCTTCGAATGAGGGCACTTTCGTCGCTGAAGACATGCGAAGGAACGACGAACGCGTCCATGGGAGGCGCAGCGAAAGCACGGAAGGAGTCCATTCAACGTTCCCTCCACCGCTCAACGCATTCAACGCCCCTCCACCACTACCTGGTATGGAGGACATGGGCGAAGGTCCTACCAACGAGGAGCTTGGCTACCTGCCGAGCAACCCCTCCTCCACAGCTCACGACCACACTGACAGTGCAGCCGTAGCAGCGGTATATGACTTGTCAGGTTCGAAGTCGCCGTCGACGACGAGCAAGGCTGGGCACGCAACAAGTTCGGCTTCCCTGTTAACCTCGGCTCACGGTTCTGTCGAAGGTGGTCGCTCTATGAGCACCAGGAAACGCGTGTCCTTGCCAGGCCCTCGCCCTCTTCCCGCCAGTCGGAACACTAAACGACACAGCTCGACACCCCCTGTATCATTCCCAATGCACGGTGAACCTCAAAGCAACGAGATGTCCGAGAAGGGCAGTCTGCGCGGCTTGCTGGGCCGCTTAGGCAAACGACGTGGCTCGGCGGGAAGTTCAATGACCGTCAGGCCCACCCCATCCTCCTCTCAGATTCAGATCCATAATCCCTTCGGATCTTCCGAGTCGTTAGAGGCGGCGAGTCTCGCAGTACCCACTCCCGCTCACACTCTTAGCGGGAGGACGCCCCCGTCGTCGTTCCTATATCCGTCGAACGCGGCCTTCATGCAGCCTGGAAGCTCTTCAACTCCACCTCCGCTCCTCACCTTCCCTCGCGGTGTCACGGGGAACGGTTACGTCCAAGAAAACCAGCCAGTCGTCTCTCCAGCGCCTCCGCTTTGGCCTACCTTCACTCTCCCCCCGCCTCCGTCCCCGACTGACGACAGTGCTAGCGTCGTCAAGGAAGGCCTGTTGCACCCAAGACTGAGCATGGCTCCGTCGGAATCGTTCATTGCGAGTCGGACTAGTTTTGACGACCACGAAGACTACTCAAGACCCATCGGAGGAGTGGTAGGCATCTTCATACATTGGTACTCAACAGCCTTACTGATAAAGAATTCATTTCTAGCTGATCAGAGGCCACCGCCTAAGTGCAAATACGTTGGAGCGCGGCTCGAGCATGTCCTCTTTTGGATCAAAGAACACTGAGCCGAAACCCTAGTGTGCGAGTAGGACGCCTCGTGTCTAGGCGCCACTTTCCTTTGGGTTGTTCGTTTGTCGTTGGCCCCGAACTAGGGTCCCCTCGTTCCTCCGGCTGCCGGGACATTCTTTGCTTTCTTCGCATTGTTTTCTGACATCTTATGTGCTTTAATAAAGGCGTACATGTGTATTCTAGGGTCTCTTGGCCACTCGCTTCAGTACCTACCTCTGACGATGGACTACCTTTCGTTACATTCAATAGAATACAAATTGGCTAGGAATAGTAGTAATGTATTAGCTTAGTCTTCAAGACAGAATAAAACACTTGATAATCGTCATGTTCGCGTTGCCATCTTGTTCGAGGCCTAGGGTTCACTCTTCGGAACCGACTCGATAAGCAAAACCCTCGTACATGCATAGGTCGCGCACGAGCGCGCTGGATGGGCGGATTCAATTCAATTCGAGATCTGGGGTAGTTGAGTGTGCCGCTCATGAAAAGCGCCAGCCCGAGATGCCCTTGAAGTCCGTGGTCCCATTGGGTGGAGGAAGGGACCTGCGAGAGAGAGGCTCCCCAACTTCATGTTCGTTCAAAATGAGCAGGCTGTAAACACTCCCCTACCACAGTCTTCTAGACAAGGTATGTTGGATCTGTTCGTAGTAACCATCCGTCCATGTTCGTTGGAACGTCAAGCCAAGGACTGTCGCCAAACTGTCACTCCCACATTCTCGACACAAAGTCGAAAGTCCTCTGCGGCGGCTCCAACTTGGCAGTGTCCAACGAGAACAAGATCTGATGCAAGGCAGTGGGCGGCTAGGCGTGTGACGCCGCTCTCCCCCATATCGAGCAGGATTTTTAGGTGAATCCTTCTAAATATGACCAGATGGGGTGTCAGGGTCGTCACTCGTCGATGTGCTCAGCGCTGATCAAACCCAAGAATACATTGGCCAGGTCCGGGATGGCCGCTGGCGGTTAGACCATTTCTCAAGGAGTTGGTAAGTATATAAATGGGACCCAGGAACAGGGACACCGCAACCTCCCCTGTTTCCTACCCCTCCCTTCTAAGCGAAACCTCGGGTTCTCTTTCGCCAGAATGTCCTACCAGGTGCGACTTTCTTCCTCGCCCAAGCCGCACCCGCTGTCCATCATTCCCCTCGCTCACGTTCATATGATACGCCTAGCCTCAACCTCAGATGGTCGTCCAGCAAGGCGGCGGCGGAAACAGGAACGTCAAGAACCTTCCCTTGGGCCCAGACGGCCGTGAATGGAGCAACGGGTTGTGCTCCTGCTGCGACGAGCCTGGCACCTGTGAGTACCTCGATAAGCGCCCGCGGTCGCGCCCCCGACAATGTTCGCGCTCATGCGTTTGTGTGTTCAGGTTTGCTTGCGTGGTGCTGCCCATGCATTGTTTACAGCCGCGTAAAGCACCGCTACGAGCACCTCGCCACCAAGGGCGTGCCGGACCCCGAGCACGGTGGAGACGTCTGCACCTCTGATTGCTTGATCCACGCTGCTGTTACGTCGTGTGTCGGTCTGGGATGGCTGTTCCAGGTGGGTACATACATACTATATTTTTACAGCTTCCTGAGGCTGTGAGGCCGTGAGCGTATCTAGGACGTCTCTGACTTCTTTCTTCATTTAGATGATGAACCGCGAAAAGATCCGTTCTCGTTATTCCATCAGGGGAGGCGGTTGCGGCGACTGCCTCACGGCGTGTTGCTGCACGCCCTGCGAGCTTGTCCAGGAGTCCCGGGAACTCGAGTTGGAGGAGCAGAGTTTTGGCCAGACCTACAAGGCTTAAGCGCTTAAGGATCGCACCTTGCTCGCGCCACTTTGTCCTTTTCAGCTAGTTCGATCTTTGTCCAAGTCCTTCCTGTACATACTAAATGTACATCTATGTGTTCCTGTATGTAGATCCTTTTTTGAATTGTATTCTCACTCGACAGATTGATATCCCGGCTGTGCGTGTCGATCCAAAATACCTGTGATGAAGTGGATTAATGACAGATGACAAGAGATTCTGAGCAACGCTTCGCAACGGAATTCACATTCGATGTGGCAGTGCAACTCACCGGCTTCGCTGTCGAGTCGTCTAAAGTATTGACCTATCGCCACGCCACCTCCACTCGCCAGCGCCCAGCAGACATCAATCTCATATAAAAAGACTCGGAACGTCCGTCCTTTGAATCCCCGAGACGCCAAACACTCCACAATTTCGATTCCTCAAATAAGCGCCCATGACGCCGGCGCTCTTGAAAGTTGACAAGCATCTCTCACTCAACCCGCGTCTCTGATCGCAGTCGAGCGTCCGTTGGTCCGTATCCTCTCAACGACGAAGATGATGTTTGGTCTGCAAAGGCAAAGGCTGCTCGGAGTCATTTGACACGTTATATTCGGAAGACTCAAGTTCTTCGAGAAGGAACCATCCACACTCACCCTGAGTATGAGTCCATCCGGCGGTAGCCACCAGGCTCATACTACGTCCTCACTTAACCGCACGCGTTTGACGGTATCGCGTTACTATGCGATCGTGGAGCCGGATGTAGGCTCCCTTTCAGATGCTATGCATACTCTCTTGAGATATAGTTCGTAGACCCGGGATCATTGATATTCAGAACCCTCTCCGACCACATCGCTCACTTGCGCTCATGAATAGAACGAGGAAGGATCGTGGGTCCCACAGGTTAACCCACAATTTATCAGCCCTCCGAGTTCACCGTACCTCAAACCACAAGAGGGTCGATTCTCGACGATCTTGCAAATGCCAACCACTCGTCCGTCCAGAGCGTTCCCTGAATAATACGCAAGGTGAAATTCACTATACCATAAACCGCTCACCTGAAGTTCAGACCCTATCTCACAATATCCTGTAGACGCCTAGTTCTGGGCCACAGGCAGGACCCTGATATGTATATGGGCACCACGGAGTGGTGGGCGCTCTGAATCCTGCCATCGAGGCAAGGCAGTAACACAACGGCACCCATGCGCGCCCAGGGCACGTTGCCCGAGCACACACATATGCACAGACTCCCCACTCGATAATTCCCTGCCCTATAAATACCCTCCTTGTCTGTCTGTGTGTAAACTCCAAGGCCTCTTTCGTCCTTTCTTCCCTCCCCATTCCTTCTGCTTTCTCTCCCACTCCATTCGATCTACAACAATGGCTTACCAGGTCCGTATATACCCTCCTCTCCCCTCTCCTCTCCACCACCTTCCTCCACTCGAGTCTTGCCAGTCCTAACCCTCGACAAACCCACACACAGGCCCAACCCCAAATGGTCGTCCAACAAGGCGGCGCAGGCGGAAACAGGAACGCGCGGAACCTCCCCGTAGGACCCGACGGCCGCGAATGGAGCAACGGCCTCTTCTCCTGCTGTAACAAACCTGGAACTTGTCAGTACCACTCCCTCCCCCCAATTCGTACCCTACCCTACCCCCTACCCCACATCCCTCGTCCTCCCCGAGATCTGAGATGAATAACTGACCTGACCGCCAATATGAATTACTACCACTACCAGGCTTCGTCGCAACCTGCTTCCCCTGCTTCACCTACCAAAACGTACGAAGCCGCTACCGACACCTGAACGAGCGCGGCCAGGCAGATCCAAGCGGCGGCTCCTCCTGCGGCAGCGATTGCTGCATCCACGCTATCCTCCTCGGCCTCGGCCTCAGCTGTTTCCTCCAGGTGCGTTCTCCATCCTCCTTCCCAATCATCGTGCTCAATTCCCCCATCCATCATCGTGCTCAATTCCCCATCCATCATCATACTCAATTCTCCTTCCAATCATAATCAACCCTGACATCGATATATCGTAACAGATGGTCAACAGAAAAGACATCCGCGGGCGCTACAACATCAGAGGAGGCGGTTGCGGCGACTGCTGCACCGCGTACTGGTGTGGACCTTGCGAGTTGGTACAGGAAGCGCAGGAGCTGGAGCTTGAAGAGCAGAGTATGGGCCATGCGTATGCTGGGAAGCACTAGTTAAATCTAGTAGATGCAAGCACTGAATTTGGTGGAATGTATGCACTGAATTTAGGTATACCACATGCACTGACGTTGGCGACTCAGAGAGCGCCCATGGAAAGCTCTATTTTTATCCACGGAGTACTCGTGGACGTACCCGGACGAGGAACACAGCCGTTTCCTTCCTAACCCATATGTACATTCCTTGTGGACGGTCTCTGTACTTTCTATGTATTCTCCTCCTGTAATGATCACGATATTGTTAACCGTTTCGTCCGCCAACCATGGAAAGGAATAACATACTCGAGTACCCACTCGGCCCATGCAATTATACTACTAATTGTGAGAGCCCACACTGACTGCTTGAACCGGAATCGGAGGTCGAGGTCGAGCGCGTCCGAGCGAGCGCCCACACCACGCACACTGTAGTCCTAGATATCATCATGAGGCAATATCAGTGGAATGCCTATCTGGTTCAACCCTTCTGAACCGCACGTAACACGCCCTGCGTGTCGGGGATCAAGGACGCCCAGATCCTGCCAGAATTCCCTCCAATGATCCCCCACCGACACCACATTCAACCCTCCCAAGCAGGATGCAGGAGATAACAGTACGATGCTTTGGTGCCATACCTACGCTCTGGCCGCGCCTCCACCGCAACCTGAACCAACTCAACGTGAACAGCCTGTCCCATCCCAACCCTAGTCGAAATTCCGAATAAACCCAGGTCCCTCGATCTCCTGCCAGTCCCAAACCCAAGTCAGCCAGGCTCCTCTCAAATCAGGAGATCAGGAGGAGGAGGTGGTGAACACGGACACTCAGACTGAGACTGGGCTCACCAAACATCATGCATCCGGGTGAGGCTGGAATGTTTCACAGCTCCACTGTACACGCATTGTGAATCCCATCCATCCATCCAGCGACCAACCGGTACCTCTGGCTCCATTTACCAACCAGTATCTCGAACCCAACCTCCCAAACCACCCCAACCTAGAACCCACCCACCGACTTAGAACCCAACCAACGTAGAACCCACCCATCATCCAATCCCCTCGAACCCACCAACCAATCCCTCGAACCCACCATCCAATCCCCAATCCACACTCCCTACCTCCATCACCCCCTACCTCCATCACCCCCTACCCACCCCCCTCCCACAAAAACCAAAACCAATAATGGTAAACGACCGCAGACTCAAACCAATCATCCTCCTCGAGAACAAAGCCGGGCGTGTGCCCATCGGAGGTGGTGGAATTGGGATTGGTAGTGGAGGTGGTCTGCAGAGACGTCGAATCTCCGATACCACTGGACGAACCAGTGTAAGCGGCGGCAATGGTGGTGGTGGCGGTGGTTGATTCAGCGGCAGGTCACTCGGGCTACGGCGGGAATCAGGGATGTGGACACGTCGGCGGAGGCGGACATATAGGCGGAGGCGGTGGACACATAGGCATCGGCGGCGAACCCTACTACACCAGCAGCACCGACTCTTCCTCCTCCTCATCTTGGCGAAGGAACACCGCATCCCCTCGAAGCAGCACCACGAGTCTCACCTCTGAAGACTCAAGCCACGGGTCCGCCACATCCGCCGTCCTAAGGGACCTCGAAGCCGAATGCAGGCACGATCGCAATCTCCCTCTCCCTTCTGCCAGAGTGCACCGTAGCGCCACCACCGCCTCTTCCACCTCCACATCCAGAAAGCTACCAAACCCGCACTCGACACCCAGCTCTCCTATCCTGATCAACAACGGGGGCCAAACAGCGCTATACTGGGACTTCCATCCCACTTCCGTGGAAGAACCAGAGCATGAAGGGCCAGGGAAAGGGGTGCTAGGCTGGACCGAGGACGACGAAGAGATCTTGGTCTACACCCGTGGTCGTAGCGGAGACGCAGGTGTGAGGCGAGGCCTGCTAACAGTCAACCACCACCACCACGGCAGCTCTGGAAGTCTACACTCCATACACTCCATGCCCTCCCACACCTCGTCGTCGATGTCGTCTCTGGGAGCACGCTACGCAGGTCTCGTCCCAGGAGGCGTCCGAAGACCGCTACACGACAAGTTCATCCTGCACACCGTTCCCGAGATGAGAGGAGCGGAGGGGTACTACGAGGGCGGTCCGAAACAGATGTTCGTGGTGAAGCTGAAGGTGCGTGTGCGACATACCCAGTGGGATCGTCATCCCCACCAACCAACCATTCCGACGACCGACGACTCATATATGCGTCTGCCCAGAACCGATCGAACCAGTCCATGCTCGACCCCGACTCGCGATACCCAGTGTTCAAAAAACGTCCTTCCGAGCAAAGCAGACACCGCCCCGAGCCGATATACGTAGCGAACCAGCCCTACCCAACTCCATCCATGAACCCCAACCTCAACGCCAACAACCAGCCATATTCAATCCACGGCGAGAGGGAATGGAGTACCGATCTTTCAGCCGTGTGCGACGACAACTTTGGTACCTGTAAGTCCATCAGCTTCGTTCTGAAAGGAAGGAAAAAGGTCGACTCACCCCCATACAGTCTGCCTGGCAATGACATTTCCATCCATCGTATACGGCCGGAATAAAGCGCGAGTAGAACACCTCCGAACGTTCAACCGACCACTCGACGCGTCAAAAGTGCCCACGGTCTCCAAAGACGGCCTGACGCACGCTGTACTGGGCTTGATCTGTCTGGCGTGGCCGCTACAGGTGAGTGCAAGAACTAAGATACACGTCCTACCTAGCGCTGAATCCACGTAGATGTCAAACCGCAAATCTATCCGCAACCGCTACGACATCCAAGGAAACGCATGGAAAGACCTAGCAGCCGTCCTCTGCTGCTCGGGGTGCGAACTAGCCCAAGAAAGCCGCGAAATCGACCTCGAAGAACGCGCCTTGCTCGAGCGCGAAGCAATCTCGTACCACCACCACATGTAGATGCAGATGGGTCAATAACAATTAATAATGTAATTTTAAGTACAAACCAGATACATCTATGCAGTGAGTAGGGGTCCGAGATCCTCCTGCTTCTTCTTCTGGAGGATGCGGTTAATGTCATCGACGGCGGCCTTGACCCAGACGTTCTCCCTGTGGTAGGTGTCCTTAACGTTGACGGGCGTCTTGGACTTGAGCTCGCGGAGATGCGGGAGCAGCGCGTCGGCGATCGCGTTGGATTCGGGGGTGTTGTGGCGGAGGCACGCGTCGACGATGATGGAGCACGAGACCAAATCCTGCGATGCTGGCGGGAGGCCGTAGAGGTTGTAGAACGCCGACGCGGTCATGACGTCGTGGATGGGGTGGGTGATGACCAGAGAGTGCAGTAGTTGCCGGGCGGCGACGATATCGAGCGGTACGTTGAATTTGGCAAAATCGCCAAATACTTCCAGTGCCAAATGTTGGGATTTCAACTCTTGACAGCGACCTGTAATTCTATTTTAGCGGGCCCATTTCAAGGACAAACAAAAGAGCATAGACTTACGAACGAAAGCCGCAGCAAACCCAAACTCAAAATCCCTCCCAGACTCCTTCCATTGCGGCAATAGCTCAACAACCTCCTTCAGCTGCTCTTCAGTCGTCGCCAACTGCAAAAGCTGCAACCAATGCGAATTCCGAACAGCTTCCTTCACCTGCGGCTTACGTCCTAGTCGGGGCTTCATATGAGCGACGATTTCAGAGAACTTGGCAGCCCGTTCTTCAGCTGAGAGCTTGCGCCTGACACCCCCGGTGGTCGTCGAAGAAGAAGAAGAAGCGCCGGAGGAGGCCTGGGATCCTGGAATGGCCTCCGACGACTTTTGAAGCGACTCGTCTACGATTTCGAATTCGTCGAATAGGTCATCAGACTCGGCTGCCTTCCTTTTCTTGAAGACTTGTATCTATATTTCAGCTACGCAAATTCTTCTGAAGAGACCGTTCGGAAAGCGAACGTACCCGGTGAACTGGCGTGTAGGAGCCTCTGTTGGGGTATTAGGGGTCGCGTTAGGACCGCTCTTCTGGCATGGCAGACTGCCCGTCTGGCGAATGTGGCGGCGAACATGGTGGGTGCAGGGTGAGGACGACGAGGAACGCGACGACCGAGGAACAGCTGGCCAACGTCCGCGACGGTGACGGTGATGCCAACAAAAAATGGGACGGGCCGTGTCGAGCCGATGGCTTGTAAAACAAATAGGTGCAAAGCGACTATCTTCGAGTCTGCTTTGCCCTTTCGTTTTCCGACTCTGAGGTGTCTGAAGCCTCTTTCTTCTCGGTTACAACACCTCTGTCTGATTCAAGTCACAGAGCTACTCGCAGATCCACCTTAACATCACGACACCTTGTAAACCCACAGATCTACCTTAACATCATTTTTCTTCGTATCTGGATTCAAACTGAGGCAACCATCCGCCATTTCTTCTTCTCGACAGTTATCAGACTGTAAAAGCTACTTGTCCGTCACTAGCACTGTTATATAGTCCATCTACCTCTACCAGGTCACCATGTGAGAACAGCACATCCGTCACATCACGAACGCTCTTCCTCTTTCTCGACACTGGCTTCGCACACCTTCTCTGTCTCAACCTCAACACTGGCCTCGCACGCAGCACTGCACTGATGTGTCCAGGACTCGGAGTACCATCTGAAAGGACGTCAAAAAGTGTGAATGATGTTGGAAGGCTGTCGGCGCCATGACTCCGTCGCTCTAGACTCTTGTCCTGAGACTCTCCTACCGACACTGTACACGGTACTATGTAGCGTCAAGCTCGATTGTCGTGTGACGGTTGCCTCCCGCCGGGGTTCGCGAAAGGGGGATCTGAATTCACCATTCAATGTCATCGTTCGTCAACCTGTATCAACTCGATTCCCTAGCTAATCAACAACGATGGAGACTTACATGCTCAGGAGGCGGTGTCATGTCATACCCCTATCGCACCCCAGCCCATCCAACCCTATCCCTTATCCCTATCCCTATCTCTATCCTACATATCCCTATCCCTATCACCCCCCTCGACAATTCCAAATAGCCAAGCCTCTCTCTCGTCCAATGTCTGGACTCTGGACTCTTGAGGCGCGTTATCGTCTACTCGGTTCCACCTCGACCTCTCCTGGTCTGCCAGCCATCCACCTTAGGCTCAGAGGGACGCTAAGAAACGCTAGAGCTCTACTACTCGGACGAGTCGGAAGAGCGCTGATACCTCGACAACTGAGATAAGTAAAGGTGTCGATAACGACTATCAAAATCAAATCAAACCCTGACACGCGAATTGGTCAAAATGAAAAAAAAAAAAAAACGGGACTTACTTTACTCGAGTATGTATGTAATGTACCAAGTTACCAAGTCCAAAGGGTGCCTGCTAAGAGAACCTGCTCCTGCTAAGAGAACCGTTATCTTCTGGCATGTGTACATACAGTGACAGTATTACATACCGATTCCCAGAGCGTGTTTTCCGCATTCCAAGCGCATCGAAGTCCTTATCTGGGGCTTCCAAGCCACATCCACATCAGGAACCCAGGACTCTGGACTCATCGGGAGAGACCCCATCAGGAGAGACTCATCAGGATTCAGGAGAGAAGGCTACAGTGTCCTCGAAGGAAAAGCTTCCGTTTATTACAATAGGGGCATCAAAACCTATCTTGTCATGAAGAGCCTTCGTCTTGGCGGACTGACGTCAATTTGCGAACGCGATAAACACCATTTTGAATTTGAATTGGGAGGTGGTCGGAGGAGCGGTTGGACAGAAGTGAGGACTCTGTAGAGGAGAACGTACAGAACTTGTACTACTTACCTACACCCTAAAAGACGTGAACACGATAAAAAGTAAAATCCAAACCTTGACTGTAATACCACTCAAATCCATCTACTTAGTATATGTCTGACAGTACTTGGTTCTCAAATGGAAAGGTGGCGTTTAGACTCCAAAAACTACGACCGCGGCACCTGAGAAGATAAGGGCTTCTTCATATTTGCTTGGTGCCTGATCCACAGCCCTGAGAAGGGGACTCCACGGACTCGAGCTATCTTCTCCACCGTCGGAACGGGGTGTTAAAGGACGCCCGGATTGGATTGCGACGGGTCGGTATCATAGACAACGGAACGAAAAGGAAGGGAGACGTAGTTAGTGATACTTTGCAACCTGAATTGCACTGCCTGAAGGACCTGGGTATCCGCACGCGCCCCTCGTGAATAGGCGCCCTGGCTGGAGATAAGAGCTTTTCACGTTTCACACACGCACCAGACCTCGTTGCCCCACAAAGGATACGTCCCAACTACTTGGACGATCATCCAAATTACTGCTCAGAAAGAAAATTCGGAGTATCCGCAATTAATACACAACACAACTTACAGCTCGCGATTTAGTCGCGATTACACTTCCCCCGTGGGCACAGGGATTCTCTGATCGTCGAAGCTCCCATACCGCAGGTATCAGTAGTCAAGGAGCTTTGGCTACTTAGAGATCAATCAAGAAGGAAAGAAGTTTCTACCTGTGCTGGACTACGGGTATCTACAGGATGCTAAACCCTATGTGTCTGGTCGCCGTCGTCCTGCAAACAGGCGCGCTGATGGATCATGTATGCTTCCTCACGCCGTCTAGTTCCGATGCTACGCCCTTGAGAAACTGTGCTCACACGACCTGAGTGCAGTCCACCAGCCCTGTCGACTTCCCCACTTGCCACGTCCAGTCCTTCGATAAGTATGGTCTACGCTCGACTAGGCCTGTCGACACGTCAAAAATCTACAACGTTTACGGATGGTTACATGAACCAACACCGATCACCAGTTATCTCTAGATGCTGTTTTCAGGCATGAAAAACCCTTCCTCGCCCATGGAAGCGCGCATGCCAAGCCTGACATCGGAGCTCTCCGACGACCCGCAACAGTGGCGGCAAGCCGCGGCATCGAGTGAGTCATACTTCGATCGGTATTATACGATGAGGCACTAGCTTGGCAAACGTCGGGCATCACCAATCAATTCGGGCTGGGCGAGGTGAGGCGGCGGGGTGGCCTCCGTGCACCGAGAGAATATGAGGGGATATGCGACCCCGTACCGGGCATTTCTAGATGGTAAACCCAAGGTAAGCTTGGGGAGGGTCCTGGGGACGACATTCTCATTAGCAAACCCCGGACACTAATAGCTGGTGGGATATCGTTGTCGCGCTGTTTGGTAGCTCAGTAGCATTGTTCAGACATATTGCGATTGACCTCAGCAACATGTATGGGAGTGCATTGGGAGCTGGAGTCTCGGGGTACAAGATGATGGATTGATGGGGAACACACCGCCGACGCGCGAGTTGCTCCCGTTGCACTCCACTGAATTCCTGAATCTTCGTAGCATTGAAGTAAAGCACTAACCGAAACTGCAGAAAAGTAAGTCCAAAGGGGACGGCGGGACGCCACTTCCCTAAGAAGATTGGAAGATTGTGTGCTGACACAGCACACCGCCGCTCAAGTCACCATCAGCAAGAGCATCGCGTACAATGTCGATTGGGGGGTCTGGTATACCACTAATTCTCTAATTACCTAGTGATTGCAAGCCTCAAGGGGGACTCGAAGACCCTAGGCGAGCCGACTGCATCAGCGTCGCCGCCGTACAGGCTCCTTTCGGAGGCTGTTCCCAGGATCGTAGAATACCGATCGAACGATACCACGCATCGAGTTGTGTGTCCAAGTATAGCCCGCCAAGACACTCCAAGTTTCCTGAAAAACGGTCGAAATCGGGGAAAGACGAAGGGGAAAAAGGTACAAAGTCCAGAGATACACACCCTTGGCATTGGAGAAGCGATAGCAAATATTGTTAGCTATCTCGTATCGTAACTGACTCTGTGGGGATGGTTCGTTTTGCATTCAGAGATAAGAGTGTCGAGGCAGGACGCGTTCTGATTGGACGATAGGATATTTTATGGATGACATAAGCGAGAAGTCCTATCTTTCCTTCCATCCCACCTACTCCTTGTACAGTGTGTCTAACCTGGACAGATTGCTGGGTTCTGTAATCAAACGAAACGGGTTTTGCGAGATTTGGATCTTGTTCGGTTGGGATGTGGCGGGGCGTATATATAGCTAGGATTTTTGGTCGCTGAATCTCCGTCGTGTTTCAACTTCTCACCCTCGGACGCCTCTCCCGTTTCTAACGGCGTCGACCCTCCTCCCTCCGCAATGGTGAACCTCACATACGACGCCTGTATGTACACTAGCGTTTCCCTTACCTGGTCGACCACTAACCTCTCCTCTTAGCCGGCGAGATCGTCTACTATGACAATGTAACAGGCGAGACCACCGTCTACAACATGGGCGACATGGCCTTCATCATGGTGTGCATGGCCCTCGTCTGGATCATGATTCCCGGAGTCGGCTTCTTCTACTCTGGCCTGTTGAGGAGGAAGAACGCCCTGTCGATGATTTTCACCTCTTTGGCGTCGATCGCCGTTGTCGGTTTCCAAGTACGTACTAGGATCCCATTGGGAACTGTGTAGCGTTGGGGACAATGCTAACCTATTCGTTCAGTGGTTCTTCTGGGGATTTTCGCTTTCCTTTGCCGATGATGCTAGTCCGTTTATTGGTACTCTCAGTACGTGTCCTCTCCGCGACTCTTATCGCCTCGTTGACTTACGGTTATCTAGAACACTTTGGTCTCAAGGGTGTGCTTGATGCCCCTTCAATCGGAAGCGCTCGTATCCCCAGTCTACTGTTCATGCTCTACCAAGGAGCCTTCGCCGCCATTACGTGAGTAATCCACGCCAACACGATACCTCCTGCACAGTCTAACCATCCTACAGTGCTGCACTCGCTGTCGGCGCCATCGCCGAGCGCGGTCGTCTCGGTCCCATCCTCGTCTTCATCTTCATCTGGACAACCATCGTCTACGACCCGATCGCCTGCTGGACCTGGAACGGAAACGGCTGGTCGTTCGTCCTCGGCGGCCTCGATTTTGCGGGTGGAACACCCGTCCACATCAACTCTGGCACCGCCGCCCTCGCCATCTCCGTCTACCTGGGCAAACGACGCGGCTACGGCACCGAGCGCCTTGCCTACAAGCCCCACAACACCACCTACGTCGTCCTCGGGACTGTGTTCCTCTGGTTCGGCTGGTTCGGATTCAACGGTGGTTCGGCGTTGTCTGCGAACCTGCGTGCTGTCCAGGCTTGCATTAGTCACGAACATTGCTGCCGCTGTCGGTGGTATCACTTGGATGCTCTGGGATTACCGCATTGAGAAGAAGTGGAGCGCTGTCGGGTTCTGCTCTGGTGCCATTTCTGGTCTTGTTGCGATTACACCTGCTTCTGGATATGTTGGATCTCGTGCGTCCTTTCATGGTTTCATATATTCGACCTTTACTGAGACGTCTCGTCTTATAGCCGCCGCCGTTCTCTTTGGTGTCATGGGAGGAACCATTTGCAACTTTGCCACTCAGCTCAAGTTCCTCCTCGGCTACGATGATGCTCTCGATGTAGGGGACCTCTGACCTTCTACCAGGAACAGTTTACTCACCAAACCACTTTAGATCTTCGCCACCCACGGTGTTGGTGGAATCGTTGGCAACCTCCTCACTGGTATCTTCGCTCAAGCTAGCGTTGCTGGCTTCGACGGTGCTACCGAGATTCCTGGTGGCTGGCTCGACAAGAACTGGGTCCAATTGGGTTACCAGATCGCCGACTCCGTTGCTGGATTTGGCTACTCCTTCGTCGTTACTGTACGTCCTCTTCTCGTCGCTTTCGTATACGCCTTGCTAACAGACACTGTAGACCCTCATCCTCTGGGTCATGCACTACATCCCCGGCCTCCGTCTCCGCTGCTCCGAGGAAACCGAAATACTCGGTATCGACGACGCCGAGATGGGCGAATTCGCATACGACTACGTCGGTCTCGAGCAAGAGCTCGGCCAGACCCTCAACACCACTCTGCGAACATCGAGTCGCTCAAGCAACGAGAAGGTTGTCCCCGTTGCAGAGTCGCAATAGACGCGCCCTGATGGACTTGTTTGTGCTGTCTAGCATGTGTTCAAGTTTTGGAGGAAACCCCCGCCATCTCAGACTGCATTCGAGCTGCGTGCGGGTCCAGCTGTGCCTTCTCCCGCTTGTGAGGAAAGGTGTTTTGACTCGGCCCTCGTCTCGATGTCGTCTTTTGCTTCGTTGGACACTTGTAATACCCGCTCATTCTCCCATATTTCTTCCAGGATTTGCATGCTTGATGTCTACTACCATTACTTATAGTTTTCCACCTTGTATTAACATAGTATTACTACATATCTCTACCGAGGGAATGTTGCACCTCTCTTGGGCTGCCCTCATGGTTTCACGAGTTTTGCTGTTTACGATAACTGAGCAGTCGCCATTTTATGGGACTAGAGACTGCACGTAATGAAATGCCCTGTTATGACTCTTCACGCTATTCTTTCTTGTCTATCATTGAAATATCCGCATCGTAATCTCCAGGTGGTCGTATGCGTGGAGTCGTAGACCGGGTGTGTAATGCGGGTCAGGACTCACGTTATAAAATTCCGACCTAAATGTCTAATCATCGACATGCTGCACTCATTGCTGTTGTGGTTTGTGTGATGACAATTGCAGCACTGTCACGACCTATTTCGCGCCGAATCTCGAGAACGTAGTAAGAAGTCTACATACCACTGTCCCTAATTCCATTTGCCACCCGTCGGGATTCGAACGCGAGTCATGCAGGACAGTCGCGATCGCGTTGTTTGGTTTTCCCGCCTCTTTCTTCTCGCCGCATTGTCGTCGTCCTAGTAGGGTTCAAGGTAGCGAGCCGTATCTTCGATGTAAGTGCCCTTTTGGAAGTGTGGTTATATGATAACAGTCTGACAATAAACTCAAATGCCTTAGCACACCGGCGAATCATTCTCGTCACTACCCCTGCCGCACGTATTAGGTGCTAGGATTCGCAACTCTGCAACGCGAACACCTGGCTCGCTAGGTTTAAACCGTGACTGGAGTCCCATTTTGCGCCAATCTAATTCCGCACTCACATCTGTCGGATGTGCTGTGAGATGACTGAGTCCGTGAGGACCGCTCGAAATGGAAATTTCGAATGTCAGGCCTCATGTTGATTGTCCTTCGACACACCTTGTCCCTGAACTGCTGCTACGCCGAAACCAACGAACATCGCTATTCATCGACAAACCGACAAACCGCTATGGAACCTACACCTACTAGGAAACGAGACAAGTTCAAAGGATGGTTCAAGTCTTTAACCCCTTCCCGTGGAAGTTCTAGGGCGCCATCGCCCTCTCCCTCCGGTCAGAGGGGTTCCATGGACAACAGAAGCCAAGGAATCATTGGCAGCACTGGCCTCGCTATTGCTATTGCCCAACCAAAAGCATCCACGACTATTGAAAACCCTGCCGCGAATTTCGGTACAGCCCAAGGCGCCGCTGTGGCCAACCCTATTCCACAACTCCAGGAGCCATCGGCAGCGGCGAGCGCTCAAGATCAGCCAACCGACGTCGAGAATCAAGATCATTCGGACAGCGCTGAGAGAGGAATGGAGATCCAGGAGGGGTCTTTGACCGCAAGCACTCAGCAGCCAGAGATCTCCACCATCGGTACCGGCCACGACGTCAAGGAGAAGACGGGTGCCACCAACACGGGGATCCAACAGCCAGTTGGAACCACCGGTACTGCTCCAGGCGACCGACTGGCCGCTGCTGCGGACGATGCCAAGGACGCCGGTCAATCGACCTGGCAAGACTCGACGGCCTTCAAATCGGTCAAGGTCGTCGTTGATGGACTCGTGATCGCATCGGAGGCCTTTTCGCCGTTGAAGGTTCCGGCGTTGCTGCTACAGAAAATCTTGGAGAATGTCGAAGTGCGTGCAATTTATTTTTTTCCGGTTTTCCTTGGGTTCTAATACGCTCCCAGATGCTCAAGGGCAACGCGGATCTCGCCAGGGAGCTGGCTTCCAGGCTCGAGATTGTTCGCCAGATCCTAGCTGGGCGCCCGGAGAGCCTCGAACCTAGGTGTCAACACCCGCTTGCAGAGCCTGGCACTGTAAGTCTCTTTCCGTCCCTCGTCGTGTCCGATAATAACGGGATGCTGTTCTCGTAGCACCATGGAAGGGAAACTCAAGATGTTGGACGAGAAGATTGAGAAGGCCGGTCGAAAACGCAGCCTCCCTGGACGGTTCGCTTTTGCCAAGGATGAAGAAGACGAGTTGATGGACATCGCGAGGGAGATCAACTTGGCTATCGAGGTTGCAGTGGTAGGTGAATTCATGGTTATCGTCGATTCGCTTCGCTGATGCCCCTCCAGCTGGACGTTACCGTGGACAACAACAGACAGATCCTTCGGGTAGTTCGGGATATTGGCTGGGTGGGGGAAAAGGGGTGAGTGTTTGTTGATACGTTGCGCGACGGATTGTGACTAACACTTCTGTCCTAGTGGAAGAAGGTCTGCGGGCCTCGTCTCGGATGATGGAAGGGATTAATCACTTGGTTCTGAATGGTACGCACCTTCCGTGTATTGGTGAGCCACGGTCGCTGATGTCCTCTGGTTAGATAAGCTGGGAAATGTGAAGCGGGCTGGCTTTGGGCAAGATGAGCTTGGTCGACCGGGCTGTACACCAGGCACGCGCGTTGCGTTGCTTGCTGACCTGCTGGGATGGGCTAAAAAGGTTCACTCGCCACACCTTTTCTGGCTGAACGGGGTCGCTGGGACGGGCAAGTCGACCATAGCCGAGAGCTTCAGTGCCCAACTGCATGACCGGAAAATGCTGGGCGCAAGCTTTTTCTGCTCGATCAAGGTCGACGACCGCAAGGACGCCCAGCTCATCATTCCCACTCTTGCGAAAGCTATGGCGAGATCAAACGCACAGTTCCGCGAAGCGCTGGATGCCGTTCTCGAATCGTGCGACGACCCAACGGCGATGAAGCTTGCGGACCAATACCAGAAGCTCATTCTCGAACCGGCTGCGAGCGCATTCAAACACACCTCGACCACCATCGTCGTCGTTATCGATGCCCTCGACGAGTGCGACAAGGATAAAGCGACCGAACTCCTCCTCAGGGCGATCATCGCCCAGAAACCTTCCGTGCCTCTCAAGTTCTTCGTCACCAGTCGCCCGGAAACTGCCATCAGAGAGACGTTCGACACTTCGGCCGTACATGGCCTTGTTCGCCTCCACGACATCGAGCGGGACATTGTCCAGGCCGACATCTTCGCCTTCGTTGTCCACAGTCTGTTCCAGAACAGTGCCATTCGGAAGAAGTACGGCTCGCGTTGGCCCCCGCCCGAGGTTCAGAAGATTGCGGCTCAAGCAGGTCACCTATTCATCGTTGCTGCCACCATGGTCAAGTACATTACGACTCGAACCGGCAACCCTGTTCAGCGACTGGAGAAGTTAGCAAGTGCTGAAAGACCACCCCTCTCCTCCATTGATGAACTCTACAGCCGCGTTCTCGAGGAGGCATTCAGCGAGCTCGATGAGGACGAGGCCCATGTCACGCACCTTTGCCTTTCGCTCCTTGTCACGGCGCTGCGCCCACTTTCGGTGAACGACTATGCCCGTCTTCTACCTATTGCCATCACGCCGGATGGGGTTCGGGTAGCTTTCGTTGCCCTTCACTCTGTGGTTCGGCTGCCAGACGAGAACAACGACGATGGTACTATCTCCATATACCATGCCTCGTTCGTCGATTACTTAACGTCCGCCAAGCAACACGGACTACGGTGGTTTGTCGACACAACTGCTGCACATTCTACCGTCGCGGAGGCATGCACTGAGCTCCTCAGTTCCCAGCTGTGTTTCGGCATCTCGGGCGCAGTAACGTCGTACAAAAGCAACGACGAACAGCCCAAGCGATTGGCGCTTCCGTCCGAGATGGTGTATGCATGCACTGCGTGGGTCGACCATGTTTTGCGTGCGGGTGTCCCTCCATACCTACAAGCGCTGATGAAGACGTTGTTGAAGGACAAGTGGCTGTTCTGGCTGGAGGCTCTGGGTGTGGAGAAGCAAGTTGGGTATGTTCAGTCTCTGTGGAAGGTAGCTGAGGTTTGTCATCATTGCCATTCCACGTTGGCTTCCAATGCTGATACCACTTGACTAGGACCCCTCGGTTACAACAGATGCAGACTTCAAGACCTTGCTGAAGGAGATTGCCAACTTTGCATATGCATATGTGACCCCCGTAAACCACAGCACCCCACACCTCTATCTCTCTGCCATCCCCTTTGCCCTGACATCCCCATCATTTGCGGCTCTATCTATCTCTGGTTTTCCATGCCTTCCGACTATCCATCCCAGCCAGTATCACCAGACTAGCCGGACACTATTGGCCATACCCAGCCAACATGGGAAGGTTGAATCTGTTGCATATTCTCCATATGGCCGGTCTGTTGCTGCAGGCTGTGCAGATGGAGCTGTTGTGGTCTTCAATGCAGATACTGGTGAACCTCTGCTACCACCCATGCAGGGGCACACTAACTTAGTCACATCAGTTGCCTTCTCCCCTGATGGGTCCTGCATTGCCTCTGGATCCTGGGACAACACCATCCGCATCTGGGATGCTCACTCAGGGAAGGCCCTCCTTGAGCCCATGCAGGGGCACACTGACTGGGTCACATCAGTTGCCTTCTCCCCTGATGGGTCCCGCATTGCCTCTGGATCCTGGGACAACACCATCTGCATCTGGGATGCTCACTCAGGAAAGGCCCTCCTTGAGTCCATGCAGGGGCACACTGACTGGGTGACATCAGTTGCCTTCTCCCCTGATGGGTCCTGCATTGCCTTTGGATCCCATGACAACACCATCCGCGTCTGGGATGCTTACTCAGGGAAGGCCCTCCTTGAGCCCATGCAGGGGCACACTGACTGGGTGACATCAGTTGCCTTCTCCCCTGATGGGTCCCGCATTGCCTCTGGATCCCATGACAACACCATCCGCATCTGGGATGCTCACTCAGGGAAGGCCCTCCTTGAGCCTATGCAGTGGCACACCAACCCAGTGACATCAGTTGCCTTCTCCCCTGATGGGTTCCGCATTGCCTCTGGATCACGTGACAACACCATCTGCATCTGGGATGCTCACTCAGGGAAGGCCCTCCTTGAGCCCATGCAGGGGCACACTGACTGGGTCACATCAGTTGCCTTCTCCCCTGATGGGTCCTGCATTGCCACTGGATCCAATGACAAAACTGTTCGGAATTGGACTTTACACCCTTCTCCAAACTCCTCTCTCACAGCCACCCAGATTTTCGCCCACCATTATCCCTTCCTTAGCCTCCGGATGGGCAATGACGGATGGATAAGAAACCAGTCTGGTGATCTCCTCCTATGGGTTTTACCTAAGTATCGCGGCAAGGGGTCATTCCCAGGACTGCACAGGGTCATCGGAAATGCTCCCTACATTGACATTGAGCTTACCAATGCCATTTGGCATGGTGAGCATTGGAAGCAGTGAGCCCAAATTTTTACCTCTCAAAACACCATCCACTAATCAGATTTTTCGCAGGTGTCGTGAATCCATCCCCGATTCTGCTCACAAGCGCTGGCCGTGGCCCGCCACCCACAACTCCCTGCCCCTGTCATAAATTCAATCACGCACCGTACACGTCGCGTGTGATGCCTTGGCCCCTCTCGTCTCCATGCCGTGCCCCCGGTTCGAACGTATATGTGCATTTATAAGTCTCGCTTGTATGCTATCCGTTTTGTGCTCCATCCTGTCCGCTCTTTGTCATCTACTTGTATCTCGTTAGTATACGCCCCCCTGTCTCGACCCCTTGCTCGTTCGACGTTACTCCAACTTGCCTCCATGCCCCGCCGATGTACGAATAACGATCCTATTCATCCACTGCTACCTTGAATCTTATTAACATTTTGGCCGCTACGCGTTTTCATCCCCCTTCCACCAAGCGCCGGCGCAGAGATGAGCGCGGAACGCCTCGCCCAAAGACCCACCCTTGGAACACATAACACCGACGCACACCCATCCAAATGGGAGTGGATCGTCAGCACGCGAATACCACGGACAAATTCACAACGCCGATTGCCGCGTTGGTCACGCCCACTCTCTGCAGTAGGACCTATCCTACGTCATATCCGCACCCCTTCGCACCGCATCGCTACTCCAGAACGAGGTTGCTGGAGGCTCCAACGACCCAGATCCGCCCTACGGACCCCCTGCTGTTCCGCCTGTCGGGGGTGGAGACCCTCCAGGCTCGGATGACGGGCAGCCGCCCGCAGACGCTCCGCAGGGCGGAGGCGGACCACCTCAGGGCCCGGGTCGCCCTCCTCAGCCGAATCGAGGGCCCCCACCCGGCGGTCCACCCGGCGGCCCTGCGGACGATGGAAATGACAGCTCGGATTCATCTGACTCCGATGCGGACGACGAACCGGACGTTCCGCAACTCCTCAGTCGGCTCCTCGCCGGCCTCACGCGGACCAACCGCCGCCTCGCGCGGACCATGGAGGCCGCACTCACAAGGCCGCGCGAGGGCCCCAAGGCACGACCCCCTGAACCCTTCGATGGGGAGGACCCCGACAAACTCGACAACTTCATCACCCAGCTCACCCTCTACTTCGAGGAGGTACCAGGACGGTTTCCGCGACGATGCGGACCGCGTCGCAACAGCCCTCACCTACCTCAAGGGCGACGCCTATGCCTACTTTGGCGACAAGATTGCGGCCGCCCGCGCGCGCGGAGACGCTCGAGTCCCGGATTGGTTCCAGAGCTTCCGCGCATGGAAGGACGAACTGATCCGCGTGTTTGGGCCCAAAGACCCCATCAAGGACGCAACCCGCAAGCTGAAGGCGCTCAAGATGACCGGACGCGCCTACCAGTACAACTTGGCCTTCAATCAGCTTGCGGCGAAAGATCAACTGGAATGAGGAGCCGCTCCGCGACCAGTACTACAATGGACTCCTCGACCGCATCAAGAACGAGCTCTCCAAGCGGGAGAACCCCGCAACCCTTGCGGACCTCCAGGTTGAGGTGTTCAAGATCGACGAGCGCTACCTGGATCGCCAGGAGGAGGTCAAAAAGGAGCAGGCCGCACTCCGCTCCACCAACCGCGGATCCAACCCTGCTCCGCACCCCCGCAACAATCACTCCTCCGGTGGCCCTGGTCCTTCCTCTTCCAGCTCCACTCCGCATCATTCCGCCCCCTCACACTTCCGCAACAACCACTCTCGTCACCCTCATTCCCACAACAACTTCCGCCGTCCGCAAGAACGGCAACCCTCCGCTCCGCACGCTTCTACGTCCGCGCCCTCCGCCTCCTCCGCTAACTCCTCTGGAGGCGGCAACCGCAACAACCGTCAGGGCGGTGGCCAGCAGCGCCCTTGGAACAACAACCTGGACGCTAACGGTCGCCTCCGCCCTGAGGAGCGCGAACGTCGCATGCGGAACAACCTTTGCCTTGTCTGTGCTGCCTCAGGACACCGCGCAGCGGACTGCCCGCGCACCCGCCGTGCCCGCAGGGCCAACGCGTCCGCTCCGCAGATTTCCGACTCCTCTCAGTCGGGAAATCACTGAGCAGCCCTGTGACCTCGCCTTTCCCTCAGGGCTGCGTCTCCGCCGCAGAAAGGCTTGAGGTCCCGACTAAATGCGGCAGCCCTCTCTGATCCCAATGCTCTTTCCATCTTCTTTTCGATTCTCCGCACCCCAACTCATTCCTCCTCTCTGGACTCTGCTGAACTCCGCGCCTTGATTGATTCGGGTTGTACGGACTGTTTTATCGACTCCGCATTTGTATCCAAGCACGATATCGAATTCTATGACATTCCGCCTGTCCCGCTTAAACTCCTCGATGGAACCGTTTCGCGCTGGTTATCGCAAGCTGCGGACATCACGCTCCGCATCTCCTCAGGCGAGGAATTCCATATCAAGTGCTTCATCACAACCCTGGATGCCCTGTATCCGTTGGTTCTAGGACACAACTGGCTTGCCCGTTACAATCCGTTGATTGATTGGCGCAGAGGCCAGATACTCTCGTTCGAATCATCCGATAACTCCTCCGCATTGAGCTCACTCGCCGCCGCAAACGTCGAGACCTCCGCAACTTCCAGCATCCCTCCGCCTCTCTCCGCACCGGAGCCTAGTGCTCCGCCCATTTCCCCTTCTTGCGCGTTCACCAGCAATCCAGTTCCGATTTCCTTTGTCAAATGCAGCCGCTTTCCGCCGCTTTCCGCGATGCGTGGCTCACACTCCTTTTCCCTTTCCCTTTCCCAGAGCGACAATGTGGTGCGGGCATGCGCCGCAGCAGTCGATGCGGAACCTGTCGACCTCTCCTCTGTTCCAGAGGAATACCACGAGTTTGCCGACGTGTTCAGCAATGCCAAGGCCTACACTTTGCCTCTGCATCGATCCTACGACCTCAAGATCGAGCTGGACGCCGCCGCTCCGCTTCCACCGAGTCGTCTCTATTCCCTGTCTCCTGCGGAGACCTCCGCACTCCGCGAGTTCCTCGAAGAGAACTTGCGGGCTGGTTTCATCCGCTCCTCCAACTCTCCCCTAGGCGCTCCCATCCTTTTTGTCAAGAAGAAGGATGGATCGCTCCGCCTTTGCGTCGATTATCGCGGGACTCAACCGCATCTCCAAGAAAGATCGTTATCCGCTTCCGCTGATCTCCGATCTCCTCGACGCACCCGGCCGCGCGAAGGTCTACACCAAGATTGACCTGAAGCACGCCTATCACTTAGTCCGCATTGCGGACGGGGACGAGTGGAAGACCGCATTCCGCACACGCTATGGGTCGTATGAATGGCTGGTGATGCCTTTTGGGCTGACCAATGCGCCCTCCGCATTCCAGCGATTCATGAACGATATCTTTGCGGACATGGTTGATGTCAGTGTCATCGTCTACACGTTTCATCCACAACTACTCCGACATCACTGTTCCGCTTACCCGCCTCACCCGCAAAGACACCCCTTTCGTGTTCGGTGACTCCGCACGTTCCGCATTTGAAACTCTCAACTCAAGTCCGCATTCACTTCCGCACCCATCCTGGTGCACTGGCAACCCGACCGACCTCTGATTGTGGAAACTGACGCCTCTGACTACGCCCTTGCCGCCATCCTGTCCCAACAACTCGACTCTGGCGAAATCCACCCCGTCGCATTCCATTCCCGCACTTTCCAAGCTGCGGAGCTCAACTACGACGTCCACGACAAGGAGCTCCTGGCTATCTTCGAGGCCTTCAAGATTTGGAGGCATTACCTCGAGGGATCTGCGGAGCCTGTGAATGTGATGACGGACCACAAGAACTTGGAATATTTCGCCACTTCCAAGGTCCTCACCCGCAGGCAAGCGCGCTGGTCGGAGTACCTCTCCCAGTTCAACCTTGTCATCCGCTTTCGCCCTGGAAAGCTGGGGACGAAGCCCGATGCCCTCACTAGACGTTGGGACGTCTACCTTAAACAGGGAGGTAGTGACTACGCGTCAGTCAATCCCCACAACTTCAGACCCATCTTCACCAATGAGCAGCTGTCCGCATCGCTCCGCGCAACTTCGATCATGCTCCCCGCACTCCGCGCATCGATTGTAGTTGACGAGGGAGCGCTCCTCAAGGACATCAAGGCTGCTTACTCCACGGACGAAATCGCTTCCAAACACCTCCCCACACCTTCCAACCCTCGCTGGACTCTCTCCGCAGATGGTATACTCCGCCAGGACGGACGCATCTACGTTCCGGACGAACTCCGCACTCCGCCTCCGCGTACTTCAGCTCAAACACGACCATCCGCTTTGCGGGACACTACGGCAAGAACAAGACGATTGAGCTGGTGCGCCGCGACTACGTCTGGCCGGAACTCCGCACTTTTGTTGCGGACTACGTCCGCTCCTGCACAGTCTGCAAGCGCAACAATGTCTCCGCGTCACAAGCCTTATGGTTTGCTGAAGCCCCTGCCTATTCCGCTCCGCCCCTGGGACTCCATTTCGATGGATCTCATCGAACAGCTCCCCGCATCCGGCGGATACACGGATATCTTGGTGGTGGTGGATAGACTGTCCAAACAAGCCATTTTTGTTCCGACAGACTCCCGCCTCACCTCCGCAGAGCTTGCGCGACTGTTTGTGCTCCACGTCTTCTCCAAACATGGTGTTACTGGCCATGTAACCTCCGACCGCGGCTCCGAATTCGTCTCCCACTTCTTCCGCAGTTTGGGGGAAGCCCTGGACATGAAGCTCCACTTCACATCCGGCTACCACCCAGAAGGAGACGGACAGACAGAGCAGGTCAATCAGACACTTGAGCAGTATTTGCGGACCTACTGTAACTACCAGCAGGACAACTGGCATGAACTCCTCCCACATTGCGGAGTTTGCGTACAACAATGCGCCTAGTGCCACAACTGGTGTTTCACCATTCTTCGCCAATAAGGGTTATCATCCGAACATCTCTGTTCACCCTGAACGCGATCTTGCGAGTTCCGCAGCCCGCGACTTTGCGGTCGACTTGCAGGAGCTCCACGAACACCTCCGCACCAGTATCGCCAGCGCGCAGGAGTCCGCACGCCGCTATGCGGACCAGAAGCGCTTACCTCCGCCAGACTTCAAGGTGGGCGACCGAGTTTTCCTTAAGGCCCCAGTTCTTCCCGCACAACCAGACCTACCAAGAAGCTATTCGGAACGATACTTTGGCCCTTACGAGATCATTGCCCAAGTATGGAACGGTTTCCTACACTCTCCGCCTCCCCGACTCTCTCCGCGCTGTTCACCCCGTCTTCCACGTCTCAATGCTCGAACCGCATTACACCTCTCAGATTCCGCAACGCCACAAACCGCCTCCGCCTCCAATCAAGGTGGATGGGGAACTTGAATACGAGATTGCGGAGATCCTCGACTCCAAATTGGATCGTCGCCCGCAAACATTGCAAGCTCCTTTACGAAGTGCGGTGGCGCGGATACGAGAATACGGACGAGGAACGAAGCTGGCTCCTTGCCACAGAGCTTGAACACGCTCAAGAGATCGTTGGAGAGTTCCACAAGAGGTACCCAGACAAGCCTGGTCCTCATTGGTGATTCCCCGCATTCCCCGCATTCCGCAGTTGACTCCGCATTTCTTCTCCACCTTTGTATCCTTTTATTTTCCAAGTTCCGATTTTACTTTTCTCCGCTCTCCGCAAAATTCCGCATCCTGTTTCTTCCGCTTCCTTCTCTTCAATTTGTGATTCCGCATTACTCCTTTCCTCTCTGTGCTTCCTCCGCTCCTCTATGTCTTACCTGTTTGACCTTTTTTCCTGTTCCGCATTCCTCTCTTCTTGATGTTCTCATTTACTCCACTTATTCCACTTGCCTTCATTTTCCTCCGCTTCACTATGCCTTCCCTTACTCCGCACGTTATGCTTCAATTTCTCCCTTGCCTCCGCTTCTCTTTCCTCATTTTCATTTCCTGTCCGCACTTTTCATTTCCACTTCAAGAGGACAAGAAATTATTTTTTTATTTCTCCGCAAACACACCGCAGAGTCACAAGCATACTGATGATGCCGAGTTGCAAAATGCGGACATCAGATTCTGTGCATGGACCGAGTCCTAACACAAGCCTCGAGGGCTCGGCCTTAACAGGGAGGTACTGTTAGGGTCTCGAACATCCACCCACATCCACCCACATCCACCCACAACCCACCAGCCTTTGACCCACACTCCCCGCACAGTCTCACATGATCTCCCGCATGATGCCCGCACATCCCCACACTCGCCATCACCTCTCCGCATCCCACATCCCCATATCTCCGCGACCCTTCCCTCCGCACTCCCGCATGCTCTGCAGTTGATCCGCATGCGGAGTCTACGGGCGCTAGCCACTCCGCTCCGCATAAATGCGGAGCGCCGCCGGGACGACACGGCCCGCAACTGAGGGCCGGCGCGGACCGTGCGGAGAAACCTCGTAACCGCCCTCTAGGCGCCCAGACTCTGCATGTGACCTCTTATACTTCCTTATGACTCCCTTCCTTGCTTTGCTATTGTTCTTTGGAATCGTCTTACTCATCCTCTTCGCATTCCGCGGTATTCCGCATTTCTTATGACTCAGTTTCTTCTCTTGTCCCAGACTTGTCCCAGAGTATATCCAGAGTATCTACAGATATATAAGCTAGCTAGATTTCTGTAGTAGATACTCATCCGGAATCTCGATTCAGACTTATACAGAACTTTCCCTCTGTCCAGTCTTGAGCCTTTCGGCTTGCTAGAGCTTTCCGCATACTCCGCATATCCGCACAGTGCTCCTGATTCCGCTCCGCAAGGCTCTCTTCTCTCTCTACTCGTCTTCCGCCGCAAGGCACGTCTCTCTCTCCCTCTCCTCCCCCCTCCTTTCGGGTTGGACCATATACCACCAGCGTGGGCACAACGCAATACGTTGAGGCCAAGGTCCCTTCGACTCCGCAGACTCCGCAGTTCCGTAGAGTCTAACAGCAATAGGTAACAGTCACCTTAGGGCCAGACTAACTCCAGCAGCATCTTCGGAATATTAAGCCTGCAGGAGTGTGGATGTCGACAATGGAGCTTCCGGTTTCGATGCACCCGGGGGCCGCTTCGAACGTTGGAATTGGTTGACTGTTGCGCCGTCACACTCCTGCGATAATCGATTCTGAGCACGTATCCAATTGGCCACCTGGCTATGGCCATCACCTGCATCAGCTGTCAGACGTAGACGAGGGCGAGGGACGTATAGGCCTACCTAGCGACGTCGAGAAGGGATGGGACCGTGCTTGATGACTTCGCATCGAGGTGGATCTTGGACAGTCTCGGTACCTCGGACCTGTTACGCCGCTGAAATGAACCTAGAAACACGTCAGATGTGTAGTGAAGAGTACATGAGAGTACTTACGTGCTTGCAGCGTCCCGACCTACGACTTAAGTCAACCGTTCCAACCACACGAGTTGCCCGGCGTTGGTCTCATCCATTATTTCGGCTGTCGTATACCGGTGGTGGAAAGGCAAGGCGTATGGACAGCTCCCAATAAGAGACGAGCTGTAGATACGACAGGTCAATTACGATCTGTAAAAGTCCGGTCAAAACGGCGTACCTATCGGGGCGATGGTCAAATCTTTCGTGATGGATGCCACCAGACAGGACAGGCCCAGGCGGCCTCCCAATCCAAGGCTCCTACCACACCCCATCTGACGGCTTGGAGATTCCAACGCTACGTTGTGGTGGGACTCAACGATGGCGGGAGGGTGCTGGCCTAACGGCTTGTGGTCGGCTAACGCACGGCCACGATATTGGTGTTCATGGACTTTTGAGTTGAGGTGGTGATGCTGAGGAGCCGGCTTGAACTTGTGGATTGTTCACAGTAAGACGGACTCGCTGAGGGAGCCATGGGTGATGTTGCACCTAAATCCTAGGTGCGTGCAGATGTAAGATTAAGCCATATGCCCTAGAGATGGAAACATGCTTACCAAGGGGTTCTTCACGGACAAGATCTCTGTATTATCCGCCTACTGTTCGAACTCTCTGAGGCCGATCGACCTCGATACCAGTGCTTCTCCGTATCTGCTTCGCGTTCTTATCGGTGGAAAACAGAATCCCGGTTGGATCCGTTGGATAATCAGGGCGAGGACAACGTGTTCAACCTTCTGGCGATGGCTGGAATGCTGCTGCTAGGTTTGACGGTCAGGATTCGTCGGGTGCTCCAAGACGCGGTGCCGTTGTTTCTATACGAAGGGAGTCGAAGTGCAAGTTGTATTGAGGACACCAAGAATCAGACCAACTGAAGAGAGGGTCGGTCATTTAGCGTCTGACCATGAGCATTGAAAGGACTCACTTGTGCAGGCTACATGGTCGAAAACCCGGAATTCACTGGCATGAGATGAGAGACAGAACTGAAAGACAGTCCCAATGGGGTTTCAGCTGTGAGTTATGAACATGAGTTGTGGACTCTGCGCACCTTAGGACACGATTCACGAGGGCTAAAACGTACCGATTGGCCAGTCAAAGGCTTTATCTCTCTGTCCTACAGACTGGAGTGCAAACTTCGACTTTGGTAATAGCTGGATTTGGGGTGAAATGGAGGGAGTGGGCGTCGAGGGCGCAATCGACAATCCAAAGACCAAACGCAACGGGTTGGGTCCACTTGCCGTTACGCACGAAAAGCTTGAACTCTGCTGATGCAGTTGGGAGGTATGGATTGGACGAGTCGACGGGTGGTGGATTTGGTAGAGGATTGAGCTGCTGTGCGAGTGGTTGAGCGAACATGGCAGTTTATCCTGAGTACCAAGTTTCGGCGTTAGATTACGTTCTATAAAAAATGAGTTGCGGCAGCTCACGACAAGCAGGTCCGGTATCGATAGTCCAGGTGCAGGCGTAGCGCCTTGCCAACACTTAGCAATGCAATGTGAGGTGCTAGCACCTCTCCTAGTCCATCCATCGCAACGACTTGACCTTCGACACCCTCATACGTTGCCCGCTCGTGGTATTTGGAGAGGACGAGAGACTGTATAGTCGAGGTCGGGTGTGCGGTGGAATTTGGGGGAACTAGGTGCGGGAGCCCGGTAGTGGTTGCTAGCTGCGAGAGAGAAAGGGCGGAGAGACGACCAGATGGGAAAGAATGACATCGGATAGCTCGTATCCTATCGAACGTGGACGTTAGATTGGGCCTCGAATTTGAATTGCGAGAGAGCGTACAAGATAACGCAGGGTGCAACGTACCAATAATCCAGGAAGGATCAGCCTTTACCACCGCCCAGACGGTTCGAGCGAAGACGCGGTACCCAAACGAACTCGAAGTAGGCGAACGACGCCTCGGTCGGTTGAATGGTAAAGGTCACACCCAGGTCGTTGGCATCCGGGCTGCTAAGGAAAACTAAAGAGGAATGAACATACGATTCGCATAATTCGAGGAGGAAAGGGAGCTTACCAAGTGGTAATCCGAGTCCATGATACCTCGCCGGACAACCACTATAAGTCCGCCCACCAGGAGAATCTCCTGGGGAACTCCCGCGGGTCCTGCGTCGGCAGGAACTCACCCGCCAGCGCAGGATAAGCCCCGCCGGCGCGGGTTTCGACGACCGGCCCTGCCCTGGCGGTTTTCTTCGACCCTGTGGAAGCGGGAAAGAGGTGGACCCCGCCCTGGCGGTTTCTTCAACCCCGCGTCAGCAGGGGCAAAGTCCACCCCGCCGGGGCGGTTTCTTCAACCCCGCGCTGGCAGGGTCTGAGTCTAACCCGCCCTGGCGGTTTCTTCGACCCCGCGTCAGCAGGGGTAGAGTCCACCCCGCCTGGGCAGGGTCGCGTCGTCGCCCTCGTCACCGACTCACCGTCGTCGTCGCTCTGTCGTCGTTGTCGCAATTCATGTACACATGATGTTTAACACGAAAAGCATGTGTCATTAGTCAAAAAATATACATATTTCAACGAAAAAAGTGTTTTCTACGCAGGCGGGAGAGGTCAATTTGTGTTACTCAGAATCCGTAACGTAGCAAAGTGGGACTTAGATAAATGGCGCGAGTCGAGATCTGCGGTGGACTGTGGGAAGATATTTGATAGTCAGCCTCCAGATCACTTTTATGGCGTCGTCGCTCTTTTATCCTTCTATTTTAATGTCTCCCTCACTGTCCTCTCAAGTTTACCTCAGGTTTCTCCAGCCAGTTGTCAGGTCCTTCGTAGCTGCACTACAATGAGCAGGGGCTCAGTTTTCTCATAGCAGTGAGTCTCAATCTTTTTATCTCCGGGCTGTTGCTGACATTTACGCGTACGGCTTGCCTCCTCCACCATCCTCTGCGCGCTCATCTGCGCCATTGGGACCACCCATACTTGGAACCTCACTAGGCGGGTTCTCCTTTCCTCACTGCCCACGTCATTGACTGATTAAATTCCCAGTTTGTCGACGGTCGTCATGCAGATTTGGAAATTCCCGCTCTTCTCGCTCTCTTATTTTCAGTTACTCTTCAATTCAATGATCGTTCGAAACCGTTTTTTAATACACATTTTGTACTACATACATGAATATAATCCATTTTGTGTGTATCCTGCACCTCCAGTAAAGAAAATTCAGCTGAGCCTGCAAGCCTGCACCCCCGGGGAAAATGTGGTCCTGGGACAGCAGTATTGCTGCCCTGCACCCGCGCTGGCAGGAAATCTCGCAGTAAAACGGCAGATTTCCCCAGGAAATTCTCCCGCGGGTTGTATGGGGCGTGCTCGACGAGGCCTCGGGTTTTCCTGCCCCGGCAGTGAACTCTCCTGCACCTGCAGGGGATTCTCCTGCGGGAGCGGGAGTTCCCTTCCTGCACCTGCGGGAATCCCCCAGGAGGTTTTCCTGGGGGGCGGACTTATAGTGAACCAAACTCCCCATCGAGTTCGGATGGGTCAGACTGAGCCCATATACATCGGTTCTGACTGAATGAAAACGAGAGCTGGGTGAAGCAGTGTGCCAGGAGGTAAGAGCTGCAGTATCGTTTATTGAAGCCATGGTCAGTCGTAGCGTAAGGCTGGACGCGGGTGCACCTGTACGGGTACCCGCACCCTTGACACAGGTACCCATGCCCCCAAAATCCATACCTGCACCCTCACAGGTATTTTCCAACAGGTACCTGTTACCTGCGGGTCCTACCCATGGGTACCTGTTGGGCACAGGTCCTACAGGTACCCAAAGGTAAACCTGTAGGTACCTGCTAAAGGGATCAGTTAGAAGTCAATCACCTCAATGATCCTTGACTGTGGATCTCAATTAATAATAATTAATAAGTGCATTTATTCTCTACTATGATATACAGGGATTAGGTTCAATTCTGAGCAGTTTTGAAGCAGTATTATGCTGGACACTGTCACAAACAGGCTGGCGGGTACCTACCCACAGGTACCTGTGGGGCTAAAAGTGATACCTGCACCCTTGCAGGTATTTCAGCTACAGGTTACCTGGATCCACAGGTCACATACCCATGGGTTTCTTGGCAGGTCGGGTCACAGGTACCTGTGTACAACCTGCACCCGCGTACAGCCTTATCGTAGCGAGAACCAAACGGTTCTCGACACGGTGGTTCCAATGTGATCAATTCTCACGCTGAATTAGGGGTTCAACCTTCACATACAGACGACATGAACTCGATTGGCTCTGGTTCTCCATCTGCGAGTGCTCTTCGAAAGTAGAATCCTCCGGTCGCATCTGGGAGTTAAACGGTGCGGATACCCAGGGCCAGGGTCGACGGGGATCGAGAGGAGACTAGTCGGTGAGTTCCCTTCCGTTGTGTAAAGGTGACCGAAATCTGACACTAACCATGTTCGATCTTCTCAGTAGGCTATTACTCGATGATATCCGTGTTATAAGAGGAATAAGGAATATAGACCACCTACCAGCTCAGAAACACGGAACGCTCCGGTAATAAAGATCTTTTGCACCGAATCAGGTTCTCGAATCCGCACATTGAATCTCGTCTCGAACAAACGACGAAGGAACCATCGAGCTTACGCGACTCTGAATCCCTCCAACCTCCATCTCACAATTCGCTCAAGTACTTGTGTATACCGCGGCAGCCATCCGTCTCTTTCATTTCATACCTCAGACTAGGGGTGCACAGCTGCTGGGGCCGAACCGCTGTGTGGGTGATGAGGGAGTTGTAGTGGTCACTTGATCCTTTCCTATAGGGCAATTCTGACATCTGTGGTGAGTCCATTTCGTTTCTATGGTAGTACGCCTCTCTGACGCTCGACACTTGCAGTGGAATCTCGAAGACCCGGAACGACGTACGCTACTCCGACAGCTCCTCGTCATCCCTCAAGAACCGCAAACATCCGAGTTCGTATTCACGTACCATGCTGATGGGGTGAGTATGGCTTTTGTGTATTCGAAAGCGTCTCTAAACTGTAACAGGTGTCCATAGCTGTCGATGGAATTGGATCATCATGTTGCATTTGCATCCCTCCCGGGCTTCTATTAATCCCTCCAGACACAGTCGACGACTCGCCCTATAGCTACTTCAGCAAATCGATAAACTGTATACTACGACCTCAACACCCCATACCGGCAACTGGCGACCTCGTTGAATACTTCGATTTCGACCGTCCGTTGGGTACGAAGGAGGTCATCGGCAAACACCATCTCGGGCCTTCTTACCGAGAGCACTGTACCTGGGAAGCCCTGTTGCTTGGTGGGTGCTTCTTGCTTCCGTATGGTCGTTGGGCCAGCGTTGCTGACATTGAGGCCGTTTCTCAGCGCGTATCGCTCTTGGAAGTCGCCATCCCTACTCGGCAAACACATTTACGAACGTCCGCAGCTTCCTTCCAGCAGCATGCACTGGTCAATCGAATGGCCCTCCACGTCCGCTTCCTCGATCCAATTCAACTTCAAATTGGACCTGGCTCCTTGCTCGCCTACCCCGCCCAGGCATTCCTACGAATCTCTTCAAGGATGTACCATGCTGTCGAGGACTACCCTACAGCCTAACCTCAGAAAGTGGGAGCAATCACCCAGATCCCGACGATGGTGGGCGTTATGTCATTGACCAACGAGATGCTTGGACTTCGACGGGGGGACTGGAACTTGGGTGGGAATATTGACTAGTGAGTCCCTTCTTTCTTCCATCGGGGCTACTCCGTAGTTGACCATATATATATATATATATATATAGTTCTTTAGACACCACCTCGCCCAGATTGAGTTGTGCAACGAACGGACAATCGCAACTGTATTCTCAATCACCACCCTCCTGAATACGGAGTTCCCGCGTATCCCGCCGCCCGAGCCGTTCATCCATAAGAAGTTAACGATCTTCAGACCTCAGAAGGTACCGCTAACCCCAGCTCGGCGATGCCAGTATGGCTTTTGGAGTGGTGCGCCTTCAGCGATGGATTTGGACTCACTCGCCGAGGACGTGACTTCAGCAGCTCCCCACGTCCATAGCGGAAGGGCCCACCACGCCCGTTTCGTTGCCCTCCTTTTTCGATCGACATTGGTGCTTGCTGTCGATTCCCCTCCTAAGGTGCTCTACAAATCCGTTCCCTTCCTGTATGGACACTCTGTTGGGGGTAGTGCCCAACCGGGAGGAGCGTCACCCCAGCGTTTGAACGAACTACACTACTTCCAGCTACCTCCTCTTTTTACCTGCTTCAACTTACATCCTCAGCAACACGAGCGTCGTTAAGAATGCAAGCTCGCGCTGTCAGCGGTGAGCACCATTTCTTTTTGTGTACTCGAACGCCTTGCTAACGGGCACCGATAGTCACCGATGACCCAACCCCGCGCGAAAACATCCACAAAGGCGAGAGAGAGAAAGGGAGACCAAGTATATCTCCCAGTCGACCGCTTGCTCTACCTACCGCCTGCGATTGTTGTTGGATTTTAGAGAGCGGCAGGCGTGTGGCGAGATAGACATGCACAGGGGAAGGTGAGCGTTGAACGTTGAACGTCGAGCTGGGTTGGATGAGATGGTGGACTTCGCTTGAGCGTGGAGGACGTTGGCTGGCTAAGAGAGAGAGCGCAGGATAGGGTCAACACCGGAGTAGTTGGCCAGGTCCTATGCATTAGGTGTGAGCGTGTGCAAGGCGGTTTTGTAGGTCCTGTCCAGGGAGCTGTCTCTGTCAACAGCCGCATCTTTGCGAGTCGACGCTCGCTCATTCGACCACCACGACGCTTCCTAAATCGCCATGGTGCTCAAACCATGTTCACTGTGTCCACCTCAGAACCCAACGCGAGTGGAAATGTGGCCATTCGAAGAGGCTCCTAGTTGGGCGGGGGGATCATTGTCAATCAGTCGTTCAAACTAAGTATGTAAGTTCGACTCATCTTCGAAGTACGAGCCCCCACTTACCAGGTGGAAAGTCATGGATTCAACATTCGCCTTCTCACCTCGAGCGAGCTTAGACCAGTCACTTCCTGGGGAAATCGCGAATATTCAAGAACTCCATCAAGCGACCCAGATGAGGAGGTAAGGGTGAATTGAAGTTTGATAGTCTTGAGTGACAAACGACAGTGCAAAGAAAGCCCGAGCCTCTGAACACGGTGTTTGATCTATTCTCACGCTGAAATAGGGGCGCGTGTGCAGAGCGGCCACCTTGACCTTCACCGTGACAGACGTTTCGAATGGTGAGCTTTCTTTCCTCCTGCAGTATGTCTGCACTGGCCGCCTTTATCTGACAGCGAAATCTGTCTTTTAAACGGGTTTCCGCCTGATAGTTTGCGTTGAATGAAGCGCGAAGCTCTGTGATATGCCCACATAACGCACCGTTGAACAAGCGCCAATCAACCAGGTCCCTCCCATCTCCACCATCCTCACTCTCGTCTCCAACAATCGAAGAAGAAGTAAATTTGAGTTCAGGCGACTTCGTATCCCTCCACTCCAGCATTCCAACATGCCCATCCCGCGAGACCATCGACTTCCACCTATCGCTGTCGCTTCACATCTCAGGCGACTTCTCACTGCTGCTATGCTTGGAGGGTTTGTGAGCTGGCGTGGACTGAGTGGTGGGGGAGGAAATGCCAAATCCCTTGCCCTGTCGTACCTTGGGGTTGTTCTCGATTGCAACGACTATCGTGGTGAGCCCCTCCATCTTCTGTAATCGAGTACTCGTCTGACACCCGCATGGAATCTTGAAGGCTCGGACTGCCTCCTCGTTACCTACCCAGCAAATTCTCAATAACGCATGGAATTCACGGACAACACGCCCAAGGTGAGCACAGCTTTTGTGCATTCGAAGACCTTGCCATTAATAACAGATGTCCATAATCGCCGATCGAATATCGTCAAGCTATGTCCGCGTTACTTCGTGCGCTCGTATCCCAACTTTGCCACCGACGCCACCCAGGCGTTTGATGACCTTGTTCATTCTGTCGAAGGCGTCTCTATAGCCCACGCTCAGATATTCGGAACCTACGATGTGTCAAGCCCCCGCGCTAGCAAATGGCGATGCTGTTTGGTCCACGGGTTTTCACTCTCCGTGGAGAAACGGTGGAGAGCCGAATGGTCATCGGCGGTGCACATCTTGTTCTTTCGTACACCGAGGTCACTACGCCTGGGAAGCCATATTATTGATCGGTGGGTGCATCTGAAAGTCGAATATTCCGGTCGCATCTGGGAGTTAAACGGTGCGGATACCCAGGGTTGACGGGGATCGAGAGGAGACTAGTCGGTGAGTTCCCTTCCGTTGTGCAAAGGTGACCGAATCTGACACCAACCAACTTCAATCTTTTCAGTAGGCTATTACTCGCTGATATCCGTGTTATAAGAGGAATGAGGAATATCGACCTACCTACCAGCTCAGAAACACAGAACGTTCCGGTGAATAAGATTGCTTGGACCCAAATCAACCGTGTATCCGCACGATATTCATGACTCTCACCTCGAACGAACGAGAATGCATTGAGCCTATGCGGCTTTCGATATCACCACCTCGTATTCCGACAAATTTATTGTGAAATACCGCAACTACTATCTCCCTCTCTTTTATTTCGTATCTCTGACCTGGGGTGTTACAGCTGCTATGATTGGACGTGGGACCCTGTGGAGCATAAACGGTTCACTTGAGCCTTTAGGGAACTTGCAACGACTGTGGTGAGCCCATTCCTCCTATACAAATAGAGTACTTGCTTGACCCAACAGTTGATACAGCGGCCTCATAACTGCGTCTTCGCCATTCACCCAAGACACCGAGTAATGCACCGTCGTTCGAATCCACCCGTCGCAGGCCTGGGGGCGGTGAGCATTATTTTGTATAATCGACGGTCTTGCTAACGGATGCCTACTGCCCCAGTACTGGTCACCGATGGAAGTCAGGTTACAGTATCCTGATGTCGGCGCTCTTCAGCGACATCGTATCCTTCCCCGGCTCATACCAGTCCCTCCGACGGCCTATTCATATCTACGACGATTTCAACACTCAACACTCAACACCATCAGCTGACGATCTCGTTGAGTGCTTGGGTTTCCGCTGCCCGTAATGCACAGCGGAGGTCATCGGCGGGCGCCATTTGGGCCTTCGTGCCTATGTATGGCGCTGTAGCTGGGACATCACCAAAAGGTACCTAACCATTCAATACAGTGAAATATCGAGTGATCCTTCTTGTCGCCCGGGATAATCAGACTACTGATCCAATGGACGGCCCTTCAATGGACGACATTTTACTGAGTGAAATATACTGAAATGAAGCCGACTTGTTTAAAAGGTTCTAAAAGGTTCGCCCCGCGGACCGCCAAGCGAACTAGCGACGTAAAGGCCGGCCAGCCTGGCGGGTCATGACGTCACACCGAGCGAAGCTTGCTGCTCTGAAGCGGGGACTTTGACAGAAAGGAACAAAAATTCTCTGCTTTCATTAAAATGTTACAAAAAGGATCGCATCGAGGTAAGAGGATCATCATACATCCCCCAAACATACCAATGAAGAGCGAAGTTCAGCCATCATTTCGGCACCTTTTACCGAAGCCACCACTCCTTCGAAGGAAACACCTCTCCTTGAAAGGATGCCCGACATCACTTTATCTTAGGTACCTTTTGGTGATGGAAGTCATGTTGTTTGGTGGGTGCGTCATACTTCCGTTTGGGCTCGTGTAGCTGACAGTTGTTCCAGACACGACTCTCCAGCGACCGCTTCTCAGCGCGCATCACTCTAGACCAATACCAGCAACTTCCGTCCAGCAGCATTAGACAGACGAATGGCCCTCCACGTCCGCTTCCTCGATCTGACTCCCACCTCCGAAATAGACCTGGCTCCTCCTTCCCCGCCTACCTCACACAGGCATCCCACCAATCGCCCAAGCGTGCCATATCCCTACTTTCCAGGTAAAAAGAAACAGATTCAATCGCTTGCCTGGCCTTCGAACCTCGAGCCGCGACTCGCGGTCAACTAGACACCTGTGAAAAGAAAACGTACACCGACTCAAAAGCGAGCGCTAGGAGGTCAGAGTGGATCATAGTGACGCTGGATAGGCCCCCACCATGTGCATCGGAAGCGCGTACGGGTCCACGGCCTTTACTGGTCGTGAGGACGGTGTGTTGAGTCTTGACTCTATTGCCGTCCTTGCTTCGAACGCTTATTCTGGGATGTGTATGCTCTATAATCACTCTACGGGTACCATCGGTACATAGAATTTCATTTTGAACCGTCGTACCATTGCTTATCGGTTTCACGAAACACTTGTGCTTCATCGACCGCCGTGACCGATAGGCTGCGAGAAACGATTGCCTTCCAAGCTCAAGACTCCTTCAAATCAAATCGAGAGCAAGGAACCGTCTACGTATCTCACTCAAACTCGTGATCGATTAATTCATCGCGGACTCTGTTGCTGAATTTGGCCATTCCTCTGTCGTCACTGTACTGTACATCCTCCTTTCGTCCGGTTCGAATATACTTGCTAACGTACACCATAGGTCTTCGTCCTCTGGGCTATGTACTATTGACATCCCCAGCCTCCGCCTCCGCTGCACCGAGGAAACTCAAATCCTCGGACGCCGAGATGGGTGAATTCGCTCACGACGAGTACGTTGGTCTGGAGAACGAGCTCGGCCAACTCGTCAACACCACTCTGCGAGCACAGGGTCGCTCAAGCAACGACGAGGAAGGTCGTCCCCGCTGCAGAGTCGCAATAGACGCGCCCTGATGGACTTGGTTATGCTGTTTGACATTTTCGTTAAAAAAGGTTTTGGATGAAGCATCCGAACCGTGTGCGGGTACCACCGCCTTAAGCTTCTCCGCTTGTGAGGAGGGTGTTTTGATTTTCCCCTCTTAATCGCGATCGAAGGCCTGCAGGAGATTGTCAGCCAAGTGTCGGGGAGCTCGCAGAGGCGTACTGTCGAATACATTCGAACCTCAGAGACTGCTGCCACCGTAGGAATTGGGGAAACTTCAGCTTCTAGCGTCGTTGCCGGGCGTAGTGCTCACTGGGACAACACCCTACATATCGCTATTCGGTGCAGTTTGAAGAAAATGAAAAACACAGCTGCAATAGAAGCGCAGCTTAAGGGCCAGACGGGAGCAGGGCTTACAGTGATGGAGTAGGTAAAGGTTGAAGGGAAATCCATAGCTCGGTTTAGTGCCATTCACCCTTGAGGTGGCAGTCGAACGTCAAGAGCCACAGCTCTGACGTTGGCGAGTACGCATGTGAGCCCTGAAGGGCGCAGGTTTAAATTTTGGTAGTCTCCCAACGCTGAACGACGAGCGAAAAGGGGCGAGCCTCCATTTGTTCGTCCAGTAAATTCTATGGGAATTCGGCGTAAGACTTCGCCTGGCGTTACACGGCATTAACCTACATGGTATTTCCCAGCTCCATGCGTCGACGGTCTAAGAAGGTGCTGCAGAAACCGGTGACATGCCAGTACCTTTCCAGGTCCAACGCTCGCTCCCGCGGGCCTTACCGCGTCTTTACCGCCCAAATCGCCATCGTATACTCGAACGGTGTGGTGAATTGATCAGAGGTGAGAAGAGATGCTTATTCGAAAAGCTTCGAAGTTGACCTCCAGGTCACCGGTATACCAGATCGTTGAAACTAAGTAGAATTGGATATTAGATTACGTTTTATTTTATAGAAATGAAGATGGCACTTACCAGTGGAGTTTGCCTCCACGAATTTCGAACCTTCTGAGGCCAATCGAGCCTGGTACCAGTCACTGGTCACTGGTCGAGTTGTCTTCGAGCTCCTGCCCCTGGCGATGGCTGGCGACGAAGCCGAGGCGGATTTTCCTTTTGACGCTCTGGATTGGCGAGAGCGCGGTCAACGTGTTGAGGCTACCTGTGCGGTAGTTGGAATGCACGGCGAGATTTCGCTGGGGATTCCAAGCACTAATTGGCCGTTGCATGTGTATGACAGGGGTCGAATGCGCGTGCTATACCATGGATTGGAAGGGCGACCAGCTGTAGATAGGTCAGGTTACTTGAGATCTGAAAGGGGCCTTGAAAATGACCGACCTGTCGAGGGTGGTAATACCGTGGCTACTTAGAGAGGGACGACGAGATGCAGCGTCTTGAAGGCCATTCGAAGTGGTAGAGTTGTTACGGTGGCTGGGCTTGTAGCTGGACAGGTATGCACAGAGGGACGAAGAGAGATGCGCAATTGAGAGTCGGTCGAAGAAATCAGGTTGGTGAGATGGTTCAATTGGCGGAAGCTCGGTGGAGGGTAGCTGGCTGCGAGGGAGATAGGGAATTGAGAGCTCAGAGGGCGAGATGGGATAAATGTGGGAATGGTTGGCCAGGGGTGTGGTACATGCCCTGCACGATGGGTCCAGGACATCAGCTCTCTGCGAATCCGGCACACTCCTCGACGGCCACATCGCATCCAGCCTCAAGACCTTCATGTTGACTGCTGTCTACATGAGCCGATGTGAGTAGGTCGTTCGAAAAGGCTCGTTTGGGCTGAATCGGCTGATGGTCGGTAACGCCCAGGTCGTCGACGCAGGTTCGTGCAGACTTGGCGGAATTGTATGTCAGTGAGCCATCCTCTAAGTGCGAACAAACGACGGTGCAAAGAGCAGCACTGAACGCGATGTTTGATCGATTCTCACGTTGAGATAGGAGTGCGTTGAGGAACGGCGTGGCGGCTCGTTCTTGACTTCCACAGACAGAAAGAACTCCATTGCCATTCACCATTCTTTCCTCGCCTATGAGTACCCTTTGGAGCATGAATCGCATGAGTTCAGCTGTGAGAGTCAAGAGGGGGTTGGGTGGGCAAGGAATGACCATCGTTGGGAGGATTCGGAGGGCAGCTGAGGTGAGTTCCCTTCTGCTGTGGCCACTGCATCTGATAGCGAGCTTATCCATTCAACGGGTTCTTGATTCGTGGTATGCGTTTAAAATTCGCACCTGTCATCTCAGATGTACATCATGCTGCCTTGAATAAGATTTCGTGAACCCCAATTTGAATCAACCAACGCTCTCTCGTTTCCGCACCGACGCCCTGCAAGACCGTCGACTCCTGTGTCTTTCTTTGGTTTCATATCTCACGCCAGGGCTGGCCGTTTGCATCTCACAGCCATTATCCTTGGGGGGTTGGCGAGCCGGCGTGGACTGAGTGGTGGGGAGGGTTCGGAGGATGAAGAGCTCGCTTGCGCTGTCGTACCGGCCGTTGTTCTCGAACGCGACGACTGTGGTGAGCCCATCCCTCTCCTATGATCGAGTACTCGCCTTGGATCTTGCTCGGTAGGAATGTAGCGAGGTATAGCGAGGATATTTTGTCGCTGGATCTCCGTCGCGTTTCAACTTCTCACCCTCGGACGCCTCTCCCGTTTCTAACGGCGTCGACCCCCTCCCTCCGCAATGGTGAACCTCACATACGACGCCTGTATGTACACCAGCCTATCCCTTACCTGGTCGACCACTAACCTCTCCTCTTAGCCGGCGAGATTGTCTACTATGACAATGTAACAGGCGAGACCACCGTCTACAACATGGGCGACATGGCCTTCATCATGGTGTGCATGGCCCTCGTCTGGATCATGATTCCCGGAGTCGGCTTCTTCTACTCTGGCCTGTTGAGGAGGAAGAACGCCCTGTCGATGATTTTCACCTCTTTGGCGTCGATCGCCGTTGTCGGTTTCCAAGTACGTGCTACTATCATCCCATTGGGAACTTTGTGGGTTTGGGACGATGCTAACTCGTTCGCTCAGTGGTTCTTCTGGGGATTCTCGCTTTCGTTCGCCGATGATGCTAGTCCGTTTATTGGTACTCTCAGTACGTGTCCTCTCTGTGACTCTTATCGCCTCGTTGACTTACGGTTATCTAGAACATTTCGGTCTCAAGGGTGTGCTTGATGCCCCTTCAATCGGAAGCGCTCGTATCCCCAGTCTACTGTTCATGCTCTACCAAGGAGCCTTCGCCGCCATTACGTGAGTAATCCACGCCAACACGATACCTCCTGCACAGTCTAACCATCCTACAGTGCTGCACTCGCTGTCGGCGCCATCGCCGAGCGCGGTCGTCTCGGTCCCATCCTCGTCTTCATCTTCATCTGGACAACCATCGTCTACGACCCGATCGCCTGCTGGACCTGGAACGGAAACGGCTGGTCGTTCGTCCTCGGCGGCCTCGATTTTGCGGGTGGAACACCCGTCCACATCAACTCTGGCACCGCCGCCCTCGCCATCTCCGTCTACCTGGGCAAACGACGCGGCTACGGCACCGAGCGCCTCGCCTACAAGCCCCACAACACCACCTACGTCGTCCTCGGGACTGTGTTCCTCTGGTTCGGCTGGTTCGGATTCAACGGTGGTTCGGCGTTGTCTGCGAACCTGCGTGCTGTCCAGGCTTGCATTGTCACGAACATTGCTGCCGCTGTCGGTGGTATCACTTGGATGCTCTGGGATTACCGCATTGAGAAGAAGTGGAGCGCTGTCGGGTTCTGCTCTGGTGCCATTTCTGGTCTTGTTGCGATTACACCTGCTTCTGGATATGTTGGATCTCGTGCGTCCTTTCATGGTTTGATATATTTCGACCTTTACTGAGACGTCTTGTCTTATAGCCGCTGCCGTCCTCTTTGGTGTCATGGGAGGAACGATTTGCAACTTTGCCACTCAGCTCAAGTTCCTCCTCGGCTACGATGATGCTCTCGATGTAGGGGACCTCTGACCTTCTACCAGGAACAGTTTACTCACCAAACCACTTTAGATCTTCGCCACCCACGGTGTTGGTGGAATCGTTGGCAACCTCCTCACTGGCATCTTCGCTCAAGCTAGCGTTGCTGGCTTCGACGGTGCTACCGAGATTCCTGGTGGCTGGCTCGACAAGAACTGGGTCCAATTGGGCTACCAGATCGCCGACTCCGTCGCTGGATTTGGATACTCCTTCGTCGTCACTGTACGTCCTCCTCTCGTCGCTTCGAGTATATTTCCTAACATAATCTGTAGACCCTCATCCTCTGGGCCATGCACTACATCCCCGGCCTCCGTCTCCGCTGCTCCGAGGAAACCGAAATACTCGGTATCGACGACGCCGAGATGGGCGAATTCGCATACGACTACGTCGGTCTCGAGCAAGAGCTCGGCCAGACCCTCAACACCACTCTGCGAACATCGAGTCGCTCAAGCAACGAGAAGGTTGTCCCCGTTGCAGAGTCGCAATAGACGCGTCCTGATGGACTTATTTGTGCTGTCTAGCATGTGTTCAAGTTTTGGAGGAAACCCCCGCCATCTCAGACGGCATTCGAGCTGCGTGCGGGTCCAGCTGTGCCTTCTCCGCTTGTGAGGAAGGTGTTTTGACTCGGCCCTCGTCTCGATGTCGTCTTTTGCTTCGTTGGACACTTGTAATACCCGCTCATTCTCCTATATTTCTTCCAGGATTTGCATGCTTGATGTCTACTACCATTACTTATAGTTCCACCTTGTATTAACATAGTATTACTACGTATCTCTACCGAGGAATGTTGCACCTCTCTTGGGCTGCCCTCTGGTTTCACGAGTTTTGCTGTTTACGATAACTGAGCAGTCGCCATTTTATGGGACTAGAGACTGCACGTAATGAAATGCCCTGTTATGACTCTTCACGCTATTCTTTCTTGTCTATCATTGAAATATCCGCATCGTAATCTCCAGGTGGTCGTATGCGTGGAGTCGTAGACCGGGTGTGTAATGCGGGTCAGGACTCACGTTATAAAATTCCGACCTAAATGTCTAATCATCGACATGCTGCACTCATTGCTGTTGTGGTTTGTGTGATGACAATTGCAGCACTGTCACGACCTATTTCGCGCCGAATCTCGAGACGTAAGATGCCTACATACCACCGTCGTTGATTCTATTTGCCACCCGTCGGGATTCGAACGCGTGTCATGCAGGACAGTCGCGATCGCGTTGTTTGGTTTTCCCGCCTCTTTCTTCTCGCCGCATTGTCGTCGTCCTAGTAGGGTTCAAGGTAGCGAGCCGTATCTTCGATGTAAGTGCCCTTTTGGAAGTGTGGTTATATGATAACAGTCTGACAATAAACTCAAATGCCTTAGCACACCGGCGAATCATTCTCGTCACTATGTACCCCTGCCACACGTATTAGGTGCTAGGATTCGCAACTCTGCAACGCGAACACCTGGCTCGCTAGGTTTAAACCGTGACTGGAGTCCCATTTTGCGCCAATCTAAATCCGCACTCACATCTGTCGGATGTGCTGTGAGATGACTGAGTCCGTGAGGACCGCTCGAAATGGAAATTTCGAATGTCATGTCAGGCCTCATGCGACACACCTTGTCCCTGAACTGCTGCTACGCCGAAACCAACGAACATCGCTATTCATCGACAAACCGACAAACCGCTATGGAACCTACACCTACTAGGAAACGAGACAAGTTCAAAGGATGGTTCAAGTCTTTAACCCCTTCCCGTGGAAGTTCTAGGGCGCCATCGCCCTCTCCCTCCGGTCAGAGGGGTTCCATGGACAACAGAAGCCAAGGAATCATTGGCAGCACTGGCCTCGCTATTGCTATTGCCCAACCAAAAGCATCCACGACTATTGAAAACCCTGCCGCGAATTTCGGTACAGCCCAAGGCGCCGCTGTGGCCAACCCTATTCCACAACTCCAGGAGCCATCGGCAGCGGCGAGCGCTCAAGATCAGCCAACCGACGTCGAGAATCAAGATCATTCGGACAGCGCTGAGAGAGGAATGGAGATCCAGGAGGGGTCTTTGACCGCAAGCACTCAGCAGCCAGAGATCTCCACCATCGGTACCGGCCACGACGTCAAGGAGAAGACGGGTGCCGCCAACACGGGGATCCAATCAGCCAGTTGGAACCACCGGTACTGCTCCAGGCGACCGACTGGCCGCTGCTGCGGACGATGCCAAGGACGCCGGTCAATCGACCTGGCAAGACTCGACGGCCTTCAAATCGGTCAAGGTCGTCGTTGATGGACTCGTGATCGCATCGGAGGCCTTTTCGCCGTTGAAGGTTCCGGCGTTGCTGCTACAGAAAATCTTGGAGAATGTCGAAGTGCGTGCAATTTATTTTTTTCCGGTTTTCCTTGGGTTCTAATACGCTCCCAGATGCTCAAGGGCAACGCGGATCTCGCCAGGGAGCTGGCTTCCAGGCTCGAGATTGTTCGCCAGATCCTAGCTGGGCGCCCGGAGAGCCTCGAACCTGGTGTCAACACCCGCTTGCAGAGCCTGGCACTGTAAGTCTCTTTCCGTCCCTCGTCGTGTCCGATAATAACGGGATGCTGTTCTCGTAGCACCATGGAAGGGAAACTCAAGATGTTGGACGAGAAGATTGAGAAGGCCGGTCAAAAACGCGGCCTCCCTGGACGGTTCGCTTTTGCCAAGGATGAAGAAGACGAGTTGATGGACATCGCGAGGGAGATCAACTTGGCTATCGAGGTTGCAGTGGTAGGTGAATTCATGGTTATCGTCGATTCGCTTCGCTGATGCCCCTCCAGCTGGACGTTACCGTGGACAACAACAGACAGATCCTTCGGGTGGTTCGGGATATTGGCTGGGTGGGGGAAAAGGGTGAGTGTTTGTTGATACGTTGCGCGACGGATTGTGACTAACACTTCTGTCCTAGTGGAAGAAGGTCTGCGGGCCTCGTCTCGGATGATGGAAGGGATTAATCACTTGGTTCTGAATGGTACGCACCTTCCGTGTATTGGTGAGCCACGGTCGCTGATGTCCTCTGGTTAGATAAGCTGGGAAATGTGAAGCGGGCTGGCTTTGGGCAAGATGAGCTTGGTCGACCGGGCTGTACACCAGGCACGCGCGTTGCGTTGCTTGCTGACCTGCTGGGATGGGCTAAAAAGGTTCACTCGCCACACCTTTTCTGGCTGAACGGGGTCGCTGGGACGGGCAAGTCGACCATAGCCGAGAGCTTCAGTGCCCAACTGCATGACCGGAAAATGCTGGGCGCAAGCTTTTTCTGCTCGATCAAGGTCGACGACCGCAAGGACGCGCAGCTCATCATTCCCACTCTTGCGAAAGCTATGGCGAGGTCGAACGCACAGTTCCGTGAAGCGCTGGATGTTGTTCTCGAATCATGCGACGACCCGACGGCGATGAAGCTTGAGGACCAATACCAGAAGCTCATTCTCGAACCGGCTGCGAGCGCATTCAAACACACCTCGACCACCATCGTCGTCGTTATCGATGCCCTCGACGAGTGCGACAAGGATAAAGCGACCGAACTCCTCCTCAGGGCGATCATCGCCCAGAAACCTTCCGTGCCTCTCAAGTTCTTCGTCACCAGTCGCCCGGAAACTGCCATCAGAGAGACGTTCGACACTTCGGCCGTACATGGCCTTGTTCGCCTCCACGACATCGAGCGGGACATTGTCCAGGCCGACATCTTCGCCTTCGTTGTCCACAGTCTGTTCCAGAACAGTGCCATTCGGAAGAAGTACGGCTCGCGTTGGCCCCCGCCCGAGGTTCAGAAGATTGCGGCTCAAGCAGGTCACCTATTCATCGTTGCTGCCACCATGGTCAAGTACATTACGACTCGAACCGGCAACCCTGTTCAGCGACTGGAGAAATTAGCAAGTGCTGAAAGGCCACCCCTCTCCTCCATCGATGAGCTCTACAGCCGCGTTCTCGAGGAGGCGTTCAGCGAGCTTGACGAGGATGAGGCCCATGTCACGCACCTTTGCCTTTCGCTCCTTGTCACGGCGCTGCGCCCACTTTCGGTGAACGACTATGCCCGTCTTCTACCTATTACCATCACGCCGGATGGGGTTCGGGTAGCTTTCGTTGCCCTTCACTCTGTGGTTCGGCTGCCAGAGGAGAACAACGACGATGGTGCTATCTCCATATACCACGCCTCGTTCGTCGAGTACTTGACTTCCGACAAGCAACGTGGACGTCCGTGGTTCGTCAACACGACCACTGCACATTCCATCGTTGGGCAAGCCTGCATTAACCTCCTAAGTTCCCAGCTGTGTTTTGGCATCTCGGGCGCACTAACGTCGTACAAAAGCAACGACGAACAGCCCAAGCAATTGGCGCTTCCATCCAAACTGGTGTATGCGTGCACTGCGTGGGTCGACCATGTTGGGCGCGGGGGATTTCCTCCGTCACTGCAAGCGTCAATGAAGGCATTGTTGAAGGACAAGTGGCTGTTCTGGCTGGAGGCCCTGGGTGTGGAGAAGCGAGTAGGATATGCTCAGTCTCTATGGAAGGTAGCTGAGGTTCGTCACCATTGCCATTGCACATTGGCTTCCTATGCTGATACCGCTTGACTAGGAGCCCTTGATTGCAGATGCAGACCTCAAGACCTTGCTGAAGCAGATTGCTGACTTTGCATATGCATATACAACTCCGGTTAACCACAGCACCCCACACCTGTACCTCTCCGCCATCCCCTTTGCTCTGGCATCCCGATCATTTGCAGCTCTACCTATCCCTGCTTTTCCATGCCTTCCTGCCATCCATCCCAGCCAGTATTACCAGACTAGCCAAACACTATTGACCATACCCAGCCAGCATGGGAGTGTTATATCTGTTGCATATTCTCCAGATGGGAGGTCTGTTGCTGCAGGCTGTGTGTATGGAGCTGTTGTGGTCTTCAATGCAGATACTGGTGAACCTCTGCTACCACCCATGCAGGGGCACACCAGCTACATCACATCAGTTGCCTTCTCTCCTGATGGGTCCTGCATTGCCTCTGGATTGGATGACAAGACCATCCGCATCTGGGATGCTCACTCAGGGAAGGCCCTCCTTGAGCCCATGCAGGGGCACACCCACAGGATCACATCAGTTGCCTTCTCCCCTGATGGGTCCCGCATTGCCTCTGGATCAGGTGACGAGACCATCCGCATCTGGGATGCTCACTCGGGGAAGGCCCTCCTTGAGCCCATACAGGGGCACACCGACCCAGTAACATCAGTTGCCTTCTCCCCTGATGGGTCCCGCATTGCCTCTGGATCAGGTGACGAGACCATCCGCATCTGGGATGCTCACTCGGGGAAGGCCCTCCTTGAGCCCATGCAGGGGCACACCGACTGGGTCACATCAGTTGCCTTCTCCCCTGATGGGTCCCGCATTGCCTCTGGATCAGGTGACGAGACCATCCGCATCTGGGATGCTCACTCGGGGAAGGCCCTCCTTGAGCCCATGCAGAGGCACACCGACCCAGTAACATCAGTTGCCTTCTCCCCTGATGGGTCCCGCATTGCCTCTGGATCAGGTGACAACACCATCCGCATCTGGGATGCTCACTCGGGGAAGGCCCTCCTTGAGCCCATGCAGGGGCACACCCACCCAGTAAAATCAGTTGCCTTCTCCCCTGATGGGTCCCGCATTGCCTCTGGATCAGGTGACGAGACCATCCGCATCTGGGATGCTCACTCGGGGAAGGCCCTCCTTGAGCCCATGCAGGGGCACACCGACCCAGTAACATCAGTTGCCTTCTCCCCTGATGGGTCCCGCATTGCCTCTGGATCAGATGACAAGACCATCCGCATCTGGGATGCTCACTCAGGGAAGGCCCTCCTTGAGCCCATGCAGGGGCACACCAACTGGGTCACATCAGTTGCCTTCTCCCCTGATGGGTCCCGCATTGCCTCTGGATCAGGTGACGAGACCATCCGCATCTGGGATGCTCACTCAGGGAAGGCCCTCCTTGAGCCCATGCAGGGGCACACCGACTGGGTCACATCAGTTGCCTTCTCCCCTGATGGGTCCCGCATTGCCTCTGGATCAGGTGACAACACCATCCGCATCTGGGATGCTCACTCAGGGAAGGCCCTCCTTGAGCCCCATGCAGGGGCACACCAGCTCAGTCACATCAGTTGCCTTCTCCCCTGATGGGTCCTGCATTGCCACTGGATCCAATGACAAAACCATTCGGAATTGGACTTTACACCCTTCTCCAAACCCCTCTCTCACAGCCACCCAAATTTTCGCCCACCATTATCCCTTCCCTAGCCTCCGGATGGGAGATGATGGATGGATCCGAAACCAGTCTGGTGACCTACTCCTATGGGTTTTACCCAAGTATCGTGACAAGGGACCTTTCCCGGGCCTGCATAGAGTTATTGGTTGTGTTCCTTACATTGACATCGAGCTTACCAATGCTGTTTGGCATGGTAAAAATTGGAAGAAGTGAGTGGAATCTGTTACCTGTGGAAACAACATGCACTAATAGGTGATTTCACAGGTGTCGAGAATCCATTTCCCATTCCGCTCGGAAGCGCTGGCCGTGGCCTGCCACCCACAACTCCGCACCACTATCAGAGGCATAATCATACACCCTACAAGTCGCTTGTGATGCCTCACCCTCCCCCCCTCTTGTCTCCATGCCGCGCCCCCATTTCGAATGTAAATATGTGTCTGTCGCAGGCCTCCTCGCTCGTATACTATCTACCCTTTTGTGCTCCATTCTGTCTGCCCTCTCGTCGTGTACCTGTATCTCGTTACTCCAACTTGTCTCCATGGCCCGCCGATGTACCAATACTTACACCCCTGCGATCCTATCCATCCACCCATGTTGTAACTTGACCTGTTACCCTGAAGCTATTTAATGGTTTGGCTACTACGCGTTTTTATTGCCCTTGCACCAAGGGCCCACTGCGCGACGCAGGTGATCAATAGAACCGGAGACGTGACCGTGGGGGTGAGCGAGGAATGTCTCGTTCAAAGACCTCATCCCATCAACCAGCGCGGCGAGTCGTGGACCGCCCGCACCCCTCGTACACCAGCCCCAGAGTGGAGACGCCTGCAGCAGGAACAGACACCACAGACGACTTCCACAACTCCAAGAATGCTGCGTTTTTCGCGCCGTACAGTGAAATCCGTCCGCGACAATCCAAAATTTTCAAGCAGGTCGGAACCCATCCCATCCACCACGGCCATCCCACCACGGCCATCGGAAGAGTGAGTAGGGGGAAAGCGCACGTAAGCGATATGTTGAGCGTCGCAGGCGGTGCACTCCGAAGTGCGGACAGCGTCCAGTGGAGGTTGAAAGTTGCGGAGGTATCTGCAAGAACCCAGTCAGGTCAGTTGAATCACTGGACATTCGGCGCGACACTCACCTCAGGCTCAGACTTAAAAGCTGCAGGTGGTGTGTACCCTCGACGATGGAGCTTCATGTTTCAATGCACCTGGGGCCCTCTTCGAACGTTAGAAGGTTGACTGTTGTGCTTCTCTACTCCGCTAATCGATTTCGACCACAGAAATGGCATACTAGCTATCTTCACCTGGAATAGGACATCAGCTGTCAGACCTAGGCGAGGGAGAGGGCTGTATGGGCCTACCTGGCGACGTCGAGATGGTTGTATCTGGTGCTCGATGCCTTGGGAGCATCGAGGTCTGTGTTCTCCGCCTGCCATTCGAACTTTCCGAGGAAATGGACCTGTATATCCATGTCCTTCTCCGAGTTTGCTTTGCGTTCTGGTTGATAGTAGGCAGACACTTCGCTGGGTGCGTTGGATGATCAGGGCGAGGACGACGTGTTCAACTTCTGGCGCTGGTTCGAATGCTTCCGGCTAGCTTGCCGGTCGGATTTCGTCGGGTGCTCCAAGGACGCGTCGTTGTCCAATGTTGCGTCTATACGAAGGCAGTCAAAGCGCAAGTTCTACCGAAGACCCGAAGAATCAGACCGACTATAGGGAGGGTCAGGACATAGGCGTCTACACACGAGCATCTGGAAACTCACCTGCGCATGCTACATGGTCGAAATCCCGGAATTCAGTGACATAGATGAGAGACAGGACTTGGGGCATTTGGATTGGAGGTGGTGGGTTTGAAGGTGAGTCTTCTAGCTAGCACAAGGCGCGGTCGGGATGGGCTCGTCGTTCGGCAACCGAACGACGGTGTTGAAATGGAGGTGGTGGGGGTCAAGGGCGCAATCGTCAAGGGCGCAATCGACAATCCAACGCCCAAGCGCGACGGGTGGGGGCGCCTAGAAAGTCTACTTGTTTTATGGGCCAGTTCGCAGGCTCATGGCAGGTTACGAGTCCGTCTCTGAAGACTGAAGTATGGTGGCATAAGCTAAGGGTGCTCGCTGGCGCACACCTTCAGTGCGCTCGCGCTCGCACCAGGGTATTCTTGGACGGTTGGACCAATGGTGCCCAGATCACATATTTTGTTGATTAAAGTTTTCAGTTTAAGTAACATGAAATACCTAAATATATCCTGATATACCCACTAGAATTTAAACTAACAAGTTACAGCTATCCAACCGGGGTCTACTGTCTGCTTATCATGAATATAAATGGCTCGAGCACGAATTGAACCCCCAACCAGGCAAATTCCGGACGCTTTGATGACAAGCGTGATGCCATCAAAAACGGGCCTCGGAGACCGGCCAGTCGTAAATAGAATGAGAACTCCTATTTTTCCCCTATTTTGTACCCTTGGAATGACGTCACAACTAGTGCTGGTAGAAAAAAACGAACTGCACTTAATTCCGTCATAGGGCTAACTGAACCTGGAGTTGAGGACACCCAGTCCTATTTGAAACTACAAACAGTATTAAAAATCAAAGCTTTAATCAAGTCTCCTGCTCGAAAAAGCACCCTAGACTGACACCTGTCAGCGCACCCATCAATGAAATCAAGAGAAGCGCCCAAGATCAATGCTAAAATGAAGTCTCATTAAAGCACAACACAGAAGGCACCACAACGTTAGATGAAAAAAAGAAGTAAAGAAGCCATCAAAACCTGTCCATCAAATCCTCGAAATTAAGGCCTAAATGAAGTCTCGTTTTCGAGCCGCATAGAAACGACTCCTAACGGACTCGTAACCTAGCGATAAGCTCAAAAGGCTTGGATTCTTTTGACTGCACCACAGGATAATGAACGCGAGAGTTTTATCCAAGTCCTAATAGCAAGTTTCGGTGTTAGATTGGAGTCCCGGATTGGAATTCTGCCTACTTACAACCCAGTTTCTCCAGCTCCCGTATGGATAATTCAGGTGCAGGTGTAGCCCCATCCATTGCCGCAACGACTTGCCCTTCGATACTGCCGTCCGTTGTCCCTTTGTGGTACTAGTTAAAAGTGCGCAGACCCCAAGACGGTTCGAGCGAAGACGCGAACTCGAAGTCGCCGCAGAACGGTAAAGATGATACCCAGGTCGTGGAACCGCAGTATCGTTTATTGAAGCCATTGTCAGTCGTAGCAAGCAACGAGCAAGAACCAAACGGCTCGCGGTGGTTCCAATGTGATCAATTCTCACGCTGAAATATTAGGGGCCAGCGCGCCAGGTAGGTAGGTTCATTGAACCAATCTAGTGGCTAAGTATGCGTACCGCGCGCTCGAGATATACAAAGCTGCTCCCTACCTCTAAGAATGGGTTACAGGTATGTACATGTCATGATCATTATATCATATCACTCTCCAGGCGGCCGTATGGCCAGCTCTCTGCCACCTGAGACCTCGTCCTCAATCAACCCGTCTGCGCGGCTACCAGTGGCTACCTGTATTCGATAGTCCCAAGGACTCGACTGTTCAGGAATGGGACCACGCGCCATTTAACGACCACCCTGTTGGAATTTAGGCGTCCTCCCAGCAGTACGCTCGTCGAGCTTTCCGCAAGGGCTCATGTCGAAGACCTTTGGGCGCTCATTCGTTGGGGTCGTGGCGTCGTTCTCTTCCTCTTCGTCCCGCGCATGTTCAGCAGTTGCACTCCGCACGAGCTCAATGCCAGCTCGGAGGAGGTTGTCCATATGGAGCTTCTGAGTTTCGACGGTCGCATTGTGACGCTCAAGGGCGCTTTGAATGAGTCGGAGATCCTCGTCGCTGAGGTCACCAGCATCGAGATTGTCCATCGCGCGGTGGATGCCGGCCTTCACCTCCTCCGCAGCTTGACGGAAGGCCATCGGGGTGTAATATTTGCAAAGTAAATCGCCTCCGCGAGCGCGACGTAAAATGTCCGTCCACTTGATGATAACGACCTTCAAAAGCCGCAGGTCTTCGTGGAAGTAGCGGAAGACATACTGGTCGAGTCCAGCAGGCAACGAGTCCAGAAAGGCCTTTTTTGTTTCAAAGTGGGTCATTTCCCCACCCGTCGACTCGAAAAGCCAGTAGCGCAGGGATGCCGCCTCGTACGATGGGCCATCCATTGTGTGGGGCTGAGGGCGACTTGCTCCCCCCACGCCATCCCGTGTAATGCCCAGGTAAACCAGAATCCACAGGATCGACTCCATGTCGTGTCTGGCGGTGTGTACGATGTCCCTGATATTGAGGTCATGGGCCATAAACGGCACCGTGCCCTGAAAGACAAAGTTCGGTGTCAGCTCAGAGGCTGACATAACCAAAGTAATGGCGTACCGTGACAAACGTATGGATCTGTCGTCTCTCAGTGAAATTGGGAGGGAGGTATGGCTGAAGGACAGAGATAAGCTTTTTCAGAAGCACGGTAGCAGACGCAGAAGTACCTACGTCGTCACCCAAGGACGGGAGTATATGGGATATCTTGATTTCGCCCTCTATGTTCTCGAGCTGGAGGGACAAGGGTCAGGATCCCGGACGTTAATCACGAGCGATTGACATACCTGAAGGCCTCTAGTCATACGGTATGCAAGACCTTGGGCCTGGTTGGCGGAGATCATGGGGTTGTTCCAATCATCCAGTGAGTCCTTCGAGGCATCTGTTTTGGCCAGGTATAGAAGCAACAACGCGAGGTTGTCAGACAGACGAGGAAGCTTATTCCATTCACGAAATCGGTGAAGCTCCGCCATGTGCTCAGCGAATTCGTTCCGGAGGGACGAAACTCGTTTGGGAGTGTAGCCAGGAAGGGTCTTAGCGTGGTCAAAGTCAATGAGCCTCCCCAAGCGCTTTACAACTTCGATGACAATGTTCCCCATGCTGATGTCTCGATGACATACACCCTTTTCATAATAGGCATATTCGTAATCTGTCCCCAACAATGTCAAAAGACGCAAGACACCTCACAATCCATGACATGTTACATACCTTTGAGCACGTCGATGACCACCCCAAGTAGCTCGCAAACGCTACCAAACATCTTGATCGGAAGGCCATTCAGCCGAATGATCATACGATGCTGGACACGAGGCATGTACTTGTCCGCCCCTTTGCCAACTTGAGGTTGCGCCTTGTGGAGCAAATGTTCATCAGGAGGGAGGTCGTGCACTTCTGTCGTTTGTGAATCGTCCAGCGTGGATGCCTTGGATTCGAGTCCACGACGAAGGTGGTCCGCAGTGTGGGAGCCTGGGACATCCTCCCCGCTGCAAGTCGCTGCACGCCCTCCAAAATCGCCCAGCAGCTGGTAGACTTCGAGCTCACTGAGACCACCCATGTGCGGTCGCCACGATTGCTTGATGATAACCAATTCCTGATGGAGCCCGTCAGCTGAAGAAAAAAGTCGTGAACGGGAATGTTGATCTTACCGGCTCAGAAGATTCGAGCTCATCAAGTCGCACCGCCCGCCATACAAGTGTTGCTCGGCCACACATGATTTCAGACCGAGCCACGCTCAGGATCTCGACGGTTTGGTAAGTCACGCCATCGATCGTGATTTGCCAGTGGAGCTTATGTCGTTGCTTGGGGATCCGGTCGAAGGGCAGAGCGTAGCTGAAGGAAGGGGGGCAGCCAGGCACGACCATCTTCATATTTGGATCGAATCCCAGACGCTCCGCGCCCATCGATGCAAAGCTGGCCATAACCTGGATGAAAAGGGCCTGATCCTAGAGTCAATCGGTGAGATCCCAGTTGACAACCGTAATGAACCATTCTGGCGTACATACCCTGTCGATGTTGATAACCCGGTTGGCTCCAAGGAGACCTGAGCGGTCGCAGTACCAGATAGACAGTGAACGGTGGAAGAAGATGAAACCGAAAACGAAACGGCGATCGTGCTGCTCTCGCAGCATCTGCCGAAGGTAGGTTCCCAGCTGCACCGCTGTCTTCCCGATTTCCTCATGTTTCGCCTTGATTTCGGCGACACCGCGGGTTCTGAGCCATGAGACAACCAAGGACTGCGCGGACTTCGTCAACGAGAACGGGTTAGACAGAGGCGCTCGTCAATCCAGATGTAAAAGGACATTTCACCTTGGATTCTCCTTGTGTTTTGGCACGCTTCGATGCCCTGGCATCATCGTTACCACTCGCTTCTTCCCCGCATGCCTCCTGGGTTATTGAGTTGGTCAGACTCTGCCCACAGGAAGAGAAACCTACTACTGACCTTCAGACAATCGGCGAGTTGCTTCTTCGTGTCGATACCAGGGTCAAGAATCAGATTACTCAAATCTGGGCGCAACTTGCTGGCGTTCTCGATATTTGACTGTGGTGGAGACCCATGACGATCCAGCCAAATACTTGGCACGTGGTCCTCGTCCTCTGAACCGCAACGCAGCGCCGCACTCGTTATGGCTTCAAGAATCTCGGTATAGGGCTCGTAGTAGTGGATCTCTGCTCCGCCTGGCTGTTCGGGAAGGCCGGTCCAGCCTGAATCCGAGAGCAAGCGGGAGCGCTTGAGCTCGTCGACAATGTCGGTGAGCTTGTCGCGGTTGACGGGGAAAAGCCGGTTCACGAACTCCTGCAGCTCGCAAACGCGGACGTTGTGTTCAAGGTCTTTCTTGACGTCTTTCTCTACATCATTGGCTACCGTTGCAGCAGTGGACACGGTCATCTGGGGTTTGACATCAGCGTCATGAGCTCGGTGACAACTTTTGGCGCTCGGAAGTCCGCTGATGGCGAACACACATAGCCAAACAGGCGAGCAATTCCACGGGTCTCGATGTCACCCCGACGCTCATCCAAGCTGGGCTACTAAGCTCGTATGCTACGTATGACAGGTTTAGCGCATTTAGACGAAACAAACGTCAACAAACTAGCATTGGATCACGACGCGTTAAATTGCAGGTCAGTATTTGAATCAACTTTTAAGCAGTAAGTACCACAACCTCGACGGTGCTATGTACGTTCACCAAGGTGAAAGGAGCTCAGTTTCAATATTCTCCTTTGTAGCTGACCTCTAACAGCAGGTAAATGAATGTTTAAATCTCAACCCCTGACGATAATACGTAAACGCCACTATCAGATTCAACGCGACGTCACCTGTTGCGGGCAGAACCTGACATCACCCCGAGTTCTGATACCTCGAAACCAACAAATGGCTGTTCATACGCTTCATTTGGAGTCATCTTGCTGGACGAAGGGGGCGCTTACTCCTCAGTGCCATGCGTACACATGCACTATCAGCACAGGTGTAAACAACCTGCCAAGAATTCATCTCAACTCCGGTCTGGGTACCTGTTACGCCTCGTAAGTGCTGATTCCATTAACCGCCCGTCTACCAGTTGCACAAAATATCTCAAACAGCTCAACCCTTCTCGTACCTGCCAGTGAAACTTTGAAGACCCGTATCTGAAGAAGTACGTGCCAAACCGCGAATATATCACACGAAGTCCGCCGACCCCCTGCCCTCCACGGGCCCCCGAGTCTATTGTTCTCCAACTCAATGCTGCCAATCCTGCTAGACCCTGGTTGGAAGATTCCTTCAGGGACCAGAGCTATTGCGACAACGTTCTTTTCCCTCGAAGTCCAGTAATCCCCAAGGTCAGCCGGCTGGCCCTTGTCCCAAAAAGGGAAGACCAGGGTCTTTCTCGGCGCTTAACCACTAAAGACGTCCTCATTAATCACCGGGAGTCACATGCCAACTCCTCTCTGTTCGTTGATTCTACATTCTCCATCCTGCTTTAGGACATCGGTGGCGAGAATATGAGCGGAGGCCAAGCCCGATATACTGTCGTGATTAGACGGTCACACTAACCACTGCACCAAAAAGGCGCCCATGTCCAGCTTAGGTGGACAGGCAGACCGTGGTATATAAGCACCATTCTATGTCATGATTTCGCCTGTTCATGACATTAGCCCCCTTCTATGGCTTACGTCCTCGTAAGACGAGAATGATGCATCCCCTATACCGTGCCTTTCCAGGCAGCGGACAACTGTCATGCCTGCAGGTCTATTGAGGGGCCCAGAATGTGCCCGGGTGATCCATTACATTTGCGCGTATATAGACCATTCGTTGCGTGTGTTGCTCCCTTTTCTCCCCTGGATGCACTTCCACTGCCACTCTCTGTGACGATTCCCTCTTTTATCTTCAACGACCTTCGCGGTCTCCGCCTTCTCTTGACTAGGCCCCTTCGTTATTTTTGGCTGGTTATGAAGCATGGCGCCCGCACTCACCCTCCCAACCATCCTTCAGCACATTGAATACACTCGATATGCCCAATGTGAGTCACCTTGACATTTTCAAATTGAGGAGGGGTTGACATAACGCACGTTACAGTGGCCTCCAGTTCAATCATTATTTATGACCATCGTACGCGCGAAGTCTGAGCTCAGTGTTGGATTGAAGAGCTGACCGGGTAGTACTAGTGGTTACATTTGACAGCGAGGTGAGCGATATCGATTCACCTAGCCGCCCGTGCTTGCTCACTCGCATCCCTACTAGGTCGAATTGATATGGGTATAGTCTCGCTGTAGTCGACCGCCCACTGTCAGTGTACTGATTGACGGATGCAGAAGGCTAACTGGTCGAAAGGAAAGGTGCTCTTCATTCTCGTAAGTATCCTATGATCATCGCCATCTCCCCTTCCGGACTGACCAATCTGTAGAACAGATACTACTCTCTTGCATCCGTTATGTACGTCTCGCACCCTTCACGAGCGCTGGTCCGTACTCATCGTTCCATTATTCCAGTTTCAACAACTACGGTGCGTCTTGGGCGCTGTGGTCTATTAAACACGTAAGACGATGTACCACTGCAAGTGGGGAAGAGTTCGATAATATTAGTACAGATATAAATAAGTACAATGAGGACATACCTGCAAGTGGGGAAGAGTTCGATGGGGGAACTCCCACTTGCAGTCACTACCTATATACGTCTGGGGACAAAGGGATGTCTATATACGGTAGAACAATAAGATGTCCGAATTGGGAACAAGGGATACAAGAGAACAATAGAACTACTTAATATATCCGAGATCAGAGAACAATAGAATGTCCGTATAAGGATACATGAAACGTTCGTACATAATTGGGCATCCTTGTACCCGTAAATGGAATAGGTGTGACATGTGCATTGTATTCCAACACACCCCCTCAATGTAATGTCACTAGATAATTACACAAGTCCCAGTGCGATTCGATGACGTTCAACATCTTCTCGATGGAGTGGTTTTGTTAGAATGTCGGCGACCATGTCTTTCGTTGGGCAGAAATGGATCTCGATCTCCCTGCGCTTGATCTCTTGTCTGATCCAGTGCATCTTGATGTCGATGTGCTTCATTTTGCTGTGATGCTCTGGGTTTCGAAGGACTTTAATTGCTGACTGGTTGTCTACCATCATCGGTGAAGGTTTATCAAAGTGAGAACCCAATTTCCCTCAGCAAGTTCCGTAGCCATATAATTGTCTTCGTCCTGCTGATGATGCAGAGACATATTCCGCTTCAGTTGAAGAGTTTGGCCACAGTTGCTTGCTTCTTGGCAGACCAGCTGATGGCTCCTGTTCCCATCTTGATGACGAATCCACTTGTTGATCGTCTCGTGTCGAGGCATCCTGCATAATCGGCATCACTGAATGTGTGGAAGAGTTCAGAGGCGAGTTGGGGGTTGTTGTCCATGCGATATGTGAGTTTGAGATCCATGGTGCCCTTGAGGTAGCGGAAGACGTGTTTGACGGCTGTCCAATGTGTCATTCCGGGGTTTGAATTGAATTGTGCTAGCTTTGCCACAGCGAAAGCAATGTCAGGTCGAGTGCCAATCGCGAGATACATGAGTGCTCCCACAGCGTTCATGTAAGGAATGTTCCGCATCTCTTCTCGTTCCCCTCTTCTGTCTTGGGACACTGATCTTTGCTTAGGCGGACGCTTGGGTTCATCGGCGTTTTGACCGTGTTAGCCGCATCGAGGCGGAAACGGACGAGCATGTCCTGGATGTACTGCTTCTGTGATAGTTGCAGTGTCCGTTTCTCTCGATCGTAATCAACCTTAATTCCCAGAAGGTAGGATGTTGGTCCAAGGTCTTTCAGTTTGAACACCTTTGCCAAGGCGTCCTTGACCCATTGTATCTTCTTCTGGTCTTTCGAGATGATTGTGATGTCGTCGACGAAGACGGGCAGGGTGACTCGGATGCCGTCTAATTCCCAAATGTAGACACTGGGATCGGACTTCAGTTGCTTGAATCCGAGTCGTTCGAGTTCCTCTGCCAGTTTCTCGTACCAGAGTCGACCACTCTGCTTCAGCCCATACAGTCCCTTCTTGAGGCGGCAAACCCATCGTCCCCCATTTTGGTTGGGGACTTCGAATCCCTCTGGCTGGACCATGTATACTTCGTATTCAATCTTCAATTTCTCCATTGAGGTATGCATTGGAGATATCGATGGATTCGATGAATTCACCGTTCATGGCAGCTTGTGCGAGGATTGCTCTGATGGTGGCAAGGCGGGAGGTTGGAGCGAAGACTTGGTCATAGTCAATTCCTGGTGCTTGGGCAAATCCTTTAGCGACGAGGCGTGCTTTGTACCGGTCAATGGTGCCATCAGACTTTCGCTTGATCAGGAAGACCCAGCGTGATCCAATTGCTTTGCGTCCTTGTGGGAGTTGGACGAGTTCCCAGGTGCCGTTGGCAATGAGGGCATCAATTTCCGCTCGAGCAGCACTGATCCACTTGTCTCTGTCTGGTCGGGCCATCGCTTCCTTCCAGTTGCGTGGCGAGTCCTCTGGTCGTGTGGCCGCTCCGAGTGCTTTTTCCTTCACCTTGTCGAGAACCATTTCGAGTGCCATTTCACATGCTTCAGCCATCGTGAGGTACTCTCCACTCATTCCGTAGACGTGCAGGATGGAGTCGAGGACTGGTGTTGCTTTGAAGAGCTGAGTGGAAGTCGGGTTCGTCCTCCTCATTAATGTCGTCGGCTGTGATAGGTGGTAGATTATCCTCTCTTGCACCCCCTTGATCTACTACCTGATCACCCCCTTGGTCCTGGTTCGGTGGATGACCATTTTCCTCTGCTGTTCGTCTTGGGGCAGGCGCAGTGCCCCTGCGTGAGTGTCCAGCTAAGGTGTAGTAATCCGTGACTCTTGCCGTGGAACGTATCGGACGAGGGTTTTGGGATGGCTGTGGAGGTGGTTTTGGCTTGGTTGCTCTTCCCTGTCCAAAGTTCGGTGCAGGGAGTGGAGCGGGATTCTCTACCAGTGGTTCTGGTGACGATGGTGGGACAGGTGGTTGCGATCGGCCTTGTGGTGTGGGTGAGGCTTCCTCTTCTCGATGATAAGGTGCGTGGCGTGCGACTGGAGGTTTTGCCGTTGGGGTAGAAGGGGTCACTAATTCCTCTCTTCACTTGTGGAGTGTCTGTTCCAGAGTGTTCTTTCTTGACCCGAGGTTTTGGCGTGTATGGAGGAGTGTCGTCATCATCGGAATCAGAGTCTGACTCGTGCGTGGTTGTGCTCGGAGCGTCCCCCGTACTCCTAAAGCCTGCTGGGGGAGCTGGAGGATCAGGTGGTGCTCCCGGACCATGCGGTGCTGTATCCCATTCATCGTCATCATCATATGGCCAGATGTCTCGGATGCCGACTGGTTTGACCGTAACCGTGGTTGACTTTGTGGATAGGCCAGGAAAAAGGGTCTCATCGAAGACGATATCTCGAGAGATGATGAATTTCTTTGATTGTGGGTCAAAGCATTTCCATCCTTTGTATCCTGGTTCAAAACCGACAAAAATGCAACGGGTCGTATGGGAGTCGAGGTTCCGTCTATCCTTTCGCTGGATGTTGACATATGCTCTACATCCGAATGTTCTGATCATGGACAAGTCCGGTTTCCGACCTTCCCATACTTCGTAGGAAGTCGTGTTGGAGACCGATGCTGATGGAGTCATATTGAGGATGTCGACGTAGTAGAGAAGGGCGAGTGACCAGAATGATGATGGGAGATTTGCTTGGCAAAGCATGGCTACCACTCCTTCAGCTGCGGTTCGGTTGAATCGTTCACTGACACCGTTCTGTTGTGGTGTGCTTTTTACGGTGTGTTGGCGAGTGATTCCAAGTTTCTCGCACCACGCATTGAATTCCTTTCCAATGTATTCACCCCCTTTGTCGTCTCGGAGTTCCTTGACCTTTCGTCCGTGTTTCCTCTCAACTTCAGCCACAAATATCTTGAACTTCTCGAAGGCTTCGTCTTTGCTCTTCAAGAGGTACACTCGTTTATAACGTGAGTAGTCATCGATGAATGTAATCCAGTATTTGTGTCCGGCAGTTGTGCGGGTGAGAGGGCCATGGAGGTCACTGTGGATGCGTCCGAGTAGTTCAGGGGAACGGTTGTTGGAGTGAGTTGGGAAGGGATCCCCGATGTTGTTTCCCATCCTGACAGTGCTCGCATACGTTATGGACTTCAGTGTTTGGTTTGACGAGAATGCCTGTAGCCAGCTCCTTGTTGATGAGAGTGTCAAGTCTCCCTTTGCCTATGTGTCCAAGTCGACAGTGCAGGGTGTGCTTATCAACTCGTGCAATGTATGCCTGCTCATTATATGCCAGAGTTGTGCCATTTAATGTGCCAATAGTGCCCTTGATGCTCGCTGTGAATAAGACCTTGTTGTCTCTTGAAAACTCGAGACTGTTTCCCTCAATAACCACTCGCATTCGACTCTTTGTAACAACGGTGAGGATAGAAAAGAGGTTATTTTGCAATGCTGGTACATAAAGGACATTCTGGAATATAACAGACTCGGCGGGTTTGCCATCTACAACCGGGGAGAATACAACACTTCCCTTCCCGACTGCCCACACTACGTGTTTGTTGGCGAGCTCGACGGGAATTCTGCATGGGACCATATTTCGGATCCACCTGCGGTGTGGTGTCATATGAGAGGTAGCTCCTGAGTCTGTGTTCCAAGATTCGTCAGCATTGGTGTTAAGCGAGCGGATACGAGGGGGACATTGCGAGGTGTGCGACTTGGGCCATCTGGGCCTTGACGATAGCGGGAGGTGTTTCGTCATCCTCTTCAGCGATTTGAGCCTTCTGCTGCTGAGCCCTGCAGTCCTTGTCGTTATGGGACTTGTTGGGGCCATGGACCGAGCAGTTGAACTTGGCCTTCGGTTTCTTGGCCGCCTTTCTTAGAGGCCGCGAGGGCAGATGCAGCTGAAGCTTCTGCAAGGGCAGTGTTCTTGTCGAGAGTGTCTGCTCGGCGAAGGTGCTCAAGAATGTCGCTGGCCGTAGTGCTCTTGAGGTGGGCGAGGGTGTGACGAAGAACTTTGTCCTCTTCAGCTATAAGGCCAACGGTCATCATAGCGGCAGCAAAGTCGTTGACGAGGTCAACAGCACTGTATCCCTTGTCGAAGGTGGAACCGGTGACCACAGTCTCCGCTGTCACTGGTGTTGCGCCGGTCGCTTGTGACGTGAAGAAGGAGCCGGATGCTGTGGTTTCCCTTGACGTAATTGGGACCAGAAGGGAGGCGATTGATGAGCTGTTGTCCCAGCGGCGACGCATCGTGCACCATAATCCGCGTACGTCTCGTCTTCCTGCTTTCGGAGTGTCATGAGTTCTTGGATCGCGGAAGTCCTTGATCCAGAGTCCTTGGGCTCGTATGCAGTAAGGAGAGTGGTCCAAATTGTTGGTACGTCTAGGATGTCGACATCACCAAGGAGGGTCTCCGTCTGCGCATGGTCAAGTGTGGAGCGGAGGTAACCGGCCATCTTGGAACGACGCTCCTGATAGTGCTGGCGAGCCTTCATCTGCCCGCTGCCAGTTGGCGCCGTTTCTTCGCCCGTGAGGATATCATAGGCGGCAAACTCGAGAGCTTTGTTGATGCAGACCCGCTTCCATTGTGAAATGGTCGTGGCCGACAGTGGGTTGTCGGTGGTGACGGTGGTGGACGACATAACGGAGTGTGGAGGTAAGGGTATGCGTCAATTGGTTGACTTGGGAGCTCCCAAGTCAGCAACGACGAGGCACGAGGTGGCAAGTGGGCTTAACGAGTCCTGGGAGCTCCCAAGACTGGTTGTAGGCACAGGAAAGGGGAAGACACGAGGCAGGGTTGGTCTCAAGGTCAAGTGGCACACTTGGACGATGAGAGAGCAAAGGGGGAGCCGTAGGCGAGGTGATCGAACAGATCGTCGTGAGTTGTCAGGCGGCGCGAGCAGTAATACTGATAAATCAGTTATGCCCGGGGCTCATAACCTATTAAACACGTAAGACGATGTACCACTGCAAGTGGGGAAGAGTTCGATAATATTAGTACAGATATAAATAAGTACAATGAGGACATACCTGCAAGTGGGGAAGAGTTCGATGGGGGAACTCCCACTTGCAGTCACTACCTATATACGTCTGGGGACAAAGGGATGTCTATATACGGTAGAACAATAAGATGTCCGAATTGGGAACAAGGGATACAAGAGAACAATAGAACTACTTAATATATCCGAGATCAGAGAACAATAGAATGTCCGTATAAGGATACATGAAACGTTCGTACATAATTGGGCATCCTTGTACCCGTAAATGGAATAGGTGTGACATGTGCATTGTATTCCAACATGGTCTTCTCTGTCCGTATTCTCTGACAGTTGATCTCGTATACTAGGATTTTTCAGCCCAACTCTCACACCCTCGGTAAGTGGGCTGGCCGATGAAACCTCTCTTTCGCACTAACCCCGGAATACGACGCCCATAGTTGTAAGTACCTAATACTCCACTTTGAAATGGTTGACACCGCGTTTACGACTTCGCGGGCTTCGATATCACAGTTGTAAGTCCGAGGTAACAAGGCCCATAATTAACGCTGTGAACCTGACTGGGGTATCTTAGGTTCGCACTTTCTTTCAATGGCAAGGATGGACAGGATTAATCGCATGCATGCTGGCTGAAAGTGGGTCATATTCGCTGTGCATATGCGATTGAATGACTGAACTATCATCCAGTCATCCTGCAAATGCGACTCTACGCCATGTATTCCCTGAACAAATCCGTTCTTTCCATCATGGTCATTTCATTTCTGGGTTCCACCGTAACATCGGCCTGGATTATGCATTCGGCGTTAGCGAAGATCAAAGGTAACTTGGCGCTCTGATTCTTCGCATACAGAATCTAACTATCCCTTTCAGCAACAACCTTAACAGCTGTATCTGCCAAATTTTGCGTTCCACTCGGTGTACCTGATAACTTCTACACCTTTTGGATCCCAATGCTCACGTTCGAGTGTCTTCTTTGCATACTCGCTTTGGTTAGAGGCTTCCAAGCTTTCAAATCTGACGGCTCTCTATTCCGCGCGGGGAGACATCTCGTGCGGGTTCTGATCAGAGACTCTGTACTATACTTCCTGGTGTAAGCCAAACCGCAATCTCCCTGAATTATTGACTAACTTGCATGATTAGGATCTGCGCGACCTATGTTACGTGCCTTCTAATGTGGGTGGCAGCCCCCGTAAGTCTCCGAATTTTGGGCCGATAGCGAGAAGGTTAACGCTTCGCAGGTATCACTATTGGAAGTTCCAATCGGGTTCTCCGTCGCCATGTCTTGCGTGTTGGCCAATCGTATCATTCTAAATGTGCGGGAAGCCAATCGCGAACTGGAACTTTCAAAGGTGCCCGGGTCAACTCAGAGGATGGTCATCCTATCGGAGGGGTTCTTCCACCAGGGTGAAGTCAGCTTTGGGAACAGCGGAACCTTGACCAATTTCGAAAGAGATCAGCTTCGGATGATGCGACCTGCGACTCCAGAGCCTATCTTGGATGATTCAGACAGCTATACCAGCTACGTTCCCTTCAGTGTATTATAACTATCATTATTGGAACGCGCTTTGTACATTATATAGTCTCGCTTCAGACCCATTTCACCTATTTTGACGAAGGGGTTTAGGTCATTTGGCGCCCGGTTGACGATCAAGCTGCGGACTTATCCGATTTTTACCATGTGTAAGAGGGCTCGGAAGCAATTGACCTGGAATACACAGAACTTTATATCCCCGTGCGATGTTCACCCCGACCTTGACAGACGTTGGACCGCAACGACATGGCGAGCGAGCACTCGGCGCTCCTGGAGGGCTCTGGAGGCAACAGCACACCAAAATACGGCACGAACGACCGGCCGCCATCGATTTCCAATGGCTCCAGCGAAGCAGGAGGTTCGAATGACATTGAACAGCAAAAGGAGGAGAGTTCGAGGTCGTATTGGGCAGTTGTGAGTTCTCTGTGTGCGCACCAACGATACACACTAACTGCTGCACGTTTGCTAGGTCGCACCTATGGCAGTAGGAATCTTCCTAAGCGCCATGGATGGCACTATCATTGTGTCGTGTAAGGAGTTCTGAAGACTCGCAGTCGCGTTTGGGCTCTAATTACCGCGCCGTTAGCGTACGCATCTATCGGAAGCGAGCTTAACGAGCTCAACAACACTAGTTGGATTGCGACCTCGTACCTATTGACCATCACTAGCGTGCAGTAAGTGAAAGAAGATGTCCCTTTGACGAAACATACTGACGACCTTCATTCAGACCACTCTTCGGTAAACTGAGCGACATTTTTGGAAGGAAAAGCTGCCTTTTGTTTTCCTATGCCGTATTTGCTCTCGGGTGCTTGTTCTGCGGATTGTCACGAAACCTCACAGAGCTGATTGCGAGTCGTGCTCTGGCTGGTGTTGGAGGGGGAGGAATGACGACGTACGGAACCGAGCTCATTCTCGTACGACTAATTATTGACCACGTTACTCTAGTATCGTCAGCATCGTCGTCTCCGACGTGGTACCTCTCAGATACAGAGGCACATGGCAAGGCGTTCTCAACATGGTCTTCGCAGTCGGCAACGCAACGGGCGCTTCCCTCGGAGGTTTCTTCTCCGACACCATTGGCTGGCGCTGGTCCTTCCTTCTCCAAGTACCAGTCGCAATCTTCGCCATCATCTCAGTCAGCCTCTCCCTCCACCTACCTAAAATTGACAGCGGCGACCTTGTGGCCAAGTTCAAACGTATCGACTTTATCGGCGCCGTCACCCTTATCATCACGGTCTTCCTGCTCCTCGTCGGGCTCGACAGGGGCGGAAACATCGGCTGGAGCGATCCATACACCCGCTACGCTCTCACCGGATTCGTCTTCTTTGCCTCCTTCCTCGTCTTTATCGAGTTCGAATGGGCCAGGGAACCCTTTGCACCAAAGAGGATTATCATCAACAGGTCTTTGATTGCGAGTTACCTGGTCAACTTCTTCGGGATTGCATCGGCCTTCACGGTCCTCTTCCATGTCCCGCTCTACCTTCAGGCTGTGCAGAGCAAGACGGCGTCTCAAGCGAGTTTGTCCCTTATCTACAGCGTCGTCGCCGCAATGGCCGGCTCGCTCGGCGGAGGGCTGATCATGCAGTCGACGGGGAAGTACTACTGGCTGACCTTCTGGTCCAACGTCCTCCTCGTTGTGGGCATCGGTGCACTCACACTCTCATCTGGAATCATCGTGTCTTCCGCGTTGTCTATCACTCTGGGTAAGCATCTATTTCTATTTGGCGTTGCGCTCCACGATGCTTACATTTCGTTTTAGGTCTTATGATTTGTAGTCTAGGGAATGGTGAGTTCATGCCGAAACCCTTATCTGAATCCAGAGTCTAGAAATAACCGTGATGCGGGTTTCAAGGAACGAGTATCACCACCAGCTTGATTTCGCTCATCGCCAATGCGGGTCAAGAGGACCAAGCTATCGCAACTGCGGGTGCGTCTAATTCAATTACCCGCCGCACTTCCCATCCTAAAAAAGCATTCCCATTTTCAGTGTCATACCTGTTCCGCTCACTAGGCTCAGTGGTTGGGCTATCTTTGGGAAGCACAATCGTTCAAATCACACTTCGATCCACCCTCCGCGCAAGATTATCGGGCGACAGCGATAGTGACATCGAAGAGGTATACCCCATCATCTCCAAATTCCCACTCGGCACACAAAAAACTAATTCGGTTTCCACTCACAGATCGTTCGAAGAGTCCGGGAATCACTGACCTATCTAGACGAACTAGACGAAGCCACAAGAGCGATTGTGCGCGGGTCATACGAAGTTGCGATCCAAGCGACCTTTGTATTCGCGACTATTGTCGCTGCACTGGCGTTGGTTTCTTCCATGTATATCAAAGAGAAACCGCTCCCTAGCAGGAAATAGACGTGTATCCATTGCGATGACGAAGAAAAAACCTCGGCATTTCGCCTTATCTCTTCGCTCCCCGAGTGTGTGTGCGGGGTGTGTCTCCAAGTTCACACGGAGGCTCCATGGGCCATTCGCCCACCCGGCTTCGTGCATAGTATGTTCGTATTCAGAAGATTCAGGCTAACAAAGTCCAGCCGCTGTTCGGTACAGGTTCCCGAATCTGAGTCACCGGAGTATCGTGATATGTCGATCCCATTCAGACGTTGCACCAGCTGACCACCACCAGTGCCGCCGCCGCCGGCTATCTTCTCATGATCACCTGCACACGCTAATCCGTCTCACCGCTGTTCACCAACACTTCGCTTCTCCTCATCTACAGCTCCGTCTCAAGTCAGGCCATGTCCTCATCCCATTCGCACCCCCTCCTCGAAACCTTCAAATCCACCCACCCCAATTCGAAGCCGTCGTACGGAGTCTGGCTAACACTCCCCGGCACCTTCAACGCGCGCACCATCGCACAAGCAAGCCACGACCTCGGATGGATCCTTATCGATTGCGAGCACGGGCTGGTCCCGCTCGTTCCAGGCGCTGCAGAGACGATCGCTGCTATCAAAGGCACCCGTACCATTACCAATCCCAGCTCAAATGGGAGTCCTGACTCTAGGGTATCTGCACCAAGTACAATTGTGAGGATCCCTGCGACCGGCGCTTCGGATAGCACGAGTTGGCAGATCAAGTATGCGTTGGATGCGGGTGCGGATGGGGTGCTTGTGCCCATGGTGAGCGTCCTGCATGAGTTTGGTTTTGCACCTGGATGAGTCCTGATGGAGGCACGGAATGCAGGTATCAACCGCAGCCAAAGCAAGAGAAGTGGTGCAAGAAGCCAAATTCCCTCCCCAAGGCCGGCGGGGCTTCGGGAGCCCATTCACACATACCCTATGGGGCCTCTCGACACCCGACTACCTCGCCTCCGCCAACCACTCCTCCTTGGTCATAGTCCAGATCGAAACGAAGGAAGCTGTGGACAACGTGGAGGAGATCGCCAACGTCGAGGGCATAGGTGCGTGCCCCGCCTTATGGATTAGGATGACGTGCCCCTAACTTGGACGGCGCTTAACTTAAACATCAACATCTTCGATCACGATCAAAATAGACGCCCTGTTCATTGGTCCTTACGACCTCTCCATCTCGCTTGGGTACCCTCCTCCCTCCCCGGTGTCGGCTAGGTACTAGTGGACAGAGCGAGTGCTCAGAATCTGGATGAACAGAGACTGTGATTGGAGACTGTACCTAGTGGACAGAGCGAGTGCTATAGGTACAGATAAGTAACTGTAGACACAAGTACAAAGATAAAACATACCTCAGAATCTGGATGAACAGAGACTGAGGAAAAAGAAAGGAAAAGGGGCGAAAAAGAGTTTTGTATCGTATGAGCCCGTGAGAGAAAGAAGTGGGCGGAGTGTACAATGAGATAAGGTACATAGACGTAATAGACTATGGATCTGGTCGACACACCCCCTCAAGACGCCTACGCAGAGATAGAACAAGGTACAAGATGAAGAGCATCGCGATGAGTCTCAAAAAGAGTAGAAGCAAGTGGCTTTGTAAAAATATCAGAAATCATTGTCGAAGTAGGAACCCAGTTCAAATCGAAAAGACCAGAACGAACATTGTCGCGAACAAAATGGTAGCGAACGTCGATATGTTTGGAACGGGTGTTGACGCAGAGGGATTGGGACATTGTGATGGTCGATTGGTTATCACCGAAAAGGGGGAAATGGATGGGGTATTCAATACCGATAGCAGAGAGTAGAGGTCGAAGCCACAATCCCTCACGCATGGCATGAGCCAGCGCGTAGTACTCACTCTCTGTGGAGGAAAGAGAGACACATTTTTGCTTCGAGGCGGACCAAGAGATGAGGCAGTGGTTGAGAAAATAGCAGTACCCCGAAACACTCTTCCTGTCCGACGAGTCGGTGGCCCAATCCGCATCCGAATAACCGGCTGTTGGTGGAGAGCCCAAAGGATATGGTTTGTCGGTTTTTGGATCAGAGAATGGGGAATATGCGAGTGTGAGTGAGGATGTTCGACGAAGATATCGAAGAACGCCGCGAGCGATGACAACGAGGGTAGGGGTTGGGGAAGCATTGTACTGTCCGAGTGCCATTGCTGCATAGGACAGGTCCGGACGAGTGCAGACGGCGAGGTAGGTGATGATACCTACTATGCGCTGATACATAGCTCGGCATTCATCGGGGTTAAGATCGGTCGATGAGGTGGGGTCGTCCTTCACTTCGTTCAATGGGCGACTGATAGGGACATGAGGGGAATTGCAGGTCTTCAAGCCGAAATCGTCGAGCACCTCCTCGATATAAGACTCCTGAGATAACCACATCCGACGCTTGGAACGATCACGCAAGATGCGGATACCTAAATAGAGGGAAACATCGTCAAGGTCAACAACATTGATACGTTCCCGAAGCCTTTCAATAAACCAGCGATAAAGAGGGGTGGAGTTCGTCGCGGCTAGACCATCGTCGACATGGACAGGGACAATAATCGTAAGGGGAGACCCGTCAGAAGGCATTGTGAGGTTGGAGTCCGGAGGTGGAGAAGACCATCGTCCAACCCAAACCGCGTGGTCCATATCGAGGCGAACAAGACCGATGGACGTAATAACTGAATTGAGCAGATGATACCACTCATAGGCGGATTGACGGAGGCCATAAAGGGCAACGTGGAGTCGGAGAACATGGGTAGAGTCAGATTCGGGGAAATGAGGGATTTGTTTGATGTACGTGGGTTTCGAGAGTCTGGCGTGCAGGAATGCAGTCTTGATATCAAAAGACTTCACTTCGAAGTCCTTGAAGCAGGCCCAGGCCAAAATCGAGCGAATACTCGAGAGGCGGGCAACCGGTGCGTATGTGTCACCATAATCGCCTGACGAAAAGGTAAGGAATAGCTTTTGGTCGAACGACACAAGCATATTCACCTGGCCCCTGTCGGAAACCTTGGGCAACCAATCTCGCCTTCTCCTTCCCTCGAATAATAGAGCCGTCGGGATTGTGCTTGTAGTCGTAAACCCATCGAACAGGAATAGCCTTTTCACCAGCCGGGAGAGGGACTGCAGTAACGGCCTTGTGATCGACGCGAAGACTGTGAACCTCTCGTTGCATCGCGGCAAACCAAACATCCCAGTCATCCCTTCGCAGGGCCTCGGTAAGGTTTTTAGGGGGACGAGTGTATGTTCTCGGGCGAAAGTAGCGTGCGCGGTCGATAGAGGATGCAAGAAGGGAGCATTGCTCGATATGAAAGCTTTCGAGCGAGGAGAACGACCATTCGCAAAAGGAGGAGTCGAGGAACGACAAGGCCATCAAGCTGTGAATGGCATCGTCGGTCACCAAAGCCGTTTGGGTGGGTAATCGAGGACGAAGAGTTTTGAGTCTCTCCTTCTGCTGGTCGATAGCGTCCTTGGCCCTGACCGAAGGCACAACCTCTGTGGTAGAGACGGACATTGGGGGAAGCATAGACGAGTCGCTGGAGGTGATGGAGTTAGGGGATAGGGGAACCAAACTCTTTGATGAGTGAAGACGCCCTCGAACGTTCTCCATAAAGACGCAGTCCCGAACGAAGTTCTCCTTGCCCTGGGGGGTAACGACCAGCCAACCAATGCGATCTTCTTCATACCCAACAAAGATCGCCTCATAACGAGGCAAATCCCCTTTCCTCCGCTTCTCCTTGTACACATAAGGAAAGCAGAGGCACCCAAATACCCTCAGGTTCGAAACGTCGGGTTTACGGCCAAAGAAGCGCTCGAATGGAGTGATGTTGGGGGGGAGGGTTGAGGTAGGTACCCTGTTGCGAACATATTGGTGTGCGAGAACGGCATCACCCCAGAAGAAGGGGGGAAGACCAGAGTCGGCTAGAAGCGCGTTCATACCATCCTCGTTGGTCTGATTATACCGCTCTATCTTTCCGTTCTGGGGGTGCGCGTAAGCAGCTGTGGGTTGGGAGCGAATACCAATCGACGTGCAAAAATCCCGAAGTGTGTGGATAAACTCCCCAGCACCATCAAATCGAACAGACAGAACCTTCTTGTCAAATTGACGCTCCCACTTCGACATGAAGTCCTTGAAGTGCTTGATAGCTTCCGGACGAGTCGAGACGAGATAAGTGGTTCCGTAGTTAGAGTAGTCGTCGAGGATAGTAAAGAAGTATAACTTCTTCTTCCGTGATGGGGAAAACGGGCCAACGACGTCGAGGTGAAGTAACTCGAGCACGGCAGAGGCACGATGTCGATTATGGGGGTAGGGCTGTTGTTTCGCCTTTGCCACGACACAAGTCGGGCATGGATGGGTAGGAGGGTCACCCTTCCTCTCGTCTAGAACCATACCCTCAACGTATGTTCCCTTCACCATCATGTCTATCGACTCCAAGCTGACATGCGCACAGCGGCGATGCCAGAGATGAACCGTCAAAGGTACGGGACGCTGAGCTGTGAGAGTAGCGCGAAATGCAGCTTCGTGCGCATAAACGTCATCGAGTGGGATAGAGACGAAAGAGAGGTGGGAGTAAAGGGGAGGTGGACTCATGGCAACGAGTGATTCGCTGCTGATCGCATGGGTAGGGAGCAGGAAGTTGAAGTATAGTAGGTATAATCTGTTCCAATGCGAGATGGATACAGATAACCCTGGAAGAGATTGGTGGTTCTGAGGAAAGGTTATCGTCGAGCTCTGGTCAGCTCGGAAGAGACAGTCCAAGCCTTTCTCGTTGAAGGCGCCTACGGAGAGGAGGTGGATAGGGGTGTTTGGATAGTAATAACAATCCGGGAAGCGAAGTACGACAGGTTTACCGGAATGGTATATCTGTATCGCGACATCACCACGGCCCTCGATCGTGAACGAGCCCATGTTGGCCGTCCCAACCTCCCGACGGAAAGACGAATCGAGCGTCCAGAAAAGAGTCCGGTCGTTGAATATGTGTGACGAACAGCCGGAGTCAAGAAGACAGTTGTATTCCTGGGGAAATACTGAACCACGTAGGTCCTGAGTCGGAGCGACGAGGGCAAGGGAGGGGTTGAGTGGTGTAGGGACAGACAAATCATGGCTGAAATCGTGAAGGGCATCGTCGTCGTTAAAACGATCCACTAAAGATGTCACATCCAGATCGTACCAGTCAACAATAGTCATATTTTCGTTAGCCGATGACATCGAGGTTTCTACAGTGGGAGGTACAAACGCGACAGAGGCGATGGAAGTGGTAGAAGGAGGAGTAGGTTTAGTTCCCAGCGTCGAAGAGGATGATGGAAGAGGGGGCGGAGGATCCGGGGGTGAGATAATCGCCACTCTTGCGGACTCCTTTTTATCGTCTCGTTTACTCTTCAGCACTTCCTCCCGTTTACCATACATAGGTCCTCCTTCAGCCCAACATGTCGATACCTCATGACCCGAACGCTTGCAGTGAGAGCAGATAACCTTCGTCTTCGGATTCGCCGATGATACTGAAGACTTCTGTTGGCGACGTGAGGAAGTCGAGCCTGAGGAGGGCTTCTGAAGCTTGTTTGTGTTGTCGATCGCGAGAAGGTTGTCTGTCGCCGACTGGAGAAGGAAAGGAATACGGGCAAGAATACCCTCAGGGGAATCCGTTTCGAGGAAATGCATATGCCGCGCTGCCCATATCTTCCAGTCGATATCGTCGGTAGGGAACCCAAGTAGGAAGTTCTGGGCGAGGACGCGACCATCGGGGTTGTAGCTGGACTGGATAAGGGTGTTGAATTTCGAACGCCAGGTCGAAATATATGAGTCGACAGACAGTTTCTTCTCGCCATTGCAGGTAAGGTTGGTGATTTCGGAGACCAGAACGAGTGCTGACGTGTAATCCACTACCCCATAGATCTTCTGGACCTCCCGAAGAATCTCCCGCGCAGGCATTCGACGGTTCATACTCTTCGTCGGAATCTGTAGACGAATTGTATCCGAGAGTTTCGCCGTGATGAGGTGGGAGGCGATATTGTCCCTCTGCCACCATTGTTGGTAGAAAACCATGACATGGGGAGGGGAGTCCGGCGCGACCGATGGTGGGTACGTTGGGATAGAGATAGGGTCGTATGGCGCCCCTTCAGAAGGCTCAGGAGCAATATGGGAGTAAACGTTCGCTGACAGCGCGGCCGACTCCAAAGCCTCAAACCAGGCACGAAAGTTTTCCCGACCCGTAAGCTTGGGTATAGATTCCGTACTCGGTAATCCCTTGCTCGCTCCCGTGATACTGTTCGCATCATACCCGAATGGTGGGTAATGATAGTAACCCTGGGGCGGTAACGGGTACTGATAATACTGTGGGAACGTGGGTTGGTTCGGTTGGTTAGGTGGTCGCATTTGTTCGGTAGGTGTGGATGGGGCAGGGGAATGTTGGTGTCGTTGGTGTGTGTACTGTGGATGTGGGTCTCGAGTAGGAGTTGAATGCCTCGGAAGAACTCCGTTGGTCATGAACGTGGGATCGAGAATACCAGGATGAACAGCGTTAGTTTGACCAATCATCCCAGATGCAGCGGGTAAAGAAGGCGGAGCACCTAGATTACAATAAGAGGGGTTTCCCCGAATGGCATTCTGCCGAAAAGTGTATGGGGAGGCATTATGATAAGGTAGTTCTCTATCTACATGTAATGGTGAAAGAAGAGGAGTTCTATACGAATTCTCGGCAGAACTTGAAGATAAACCATTCTGTGAAAGAGCATGACCAAAAAGTTGATTCATCGGATAAGACTCTTGTCCAAAATTAGATAAATGGGGCTGAAAAGCGCCCGGAGCACCAAACGTGCGTCTACTACCACCGAAATTGTATGACGGTGGAAGAGTTGGTCCAAAAGAAGGAGTATATGAATTCGGCACATGGCCTTGAACTGGTGGTAACGCGTTATTGAAAGACGAAGGAACCATAGACGGTGGTGCCGTAGAAGGGCGAAATCCCGTAGGAGGTGGCATAGCCACTGGCTGCTCGGGCATCGGCATAGGTGCCGGAAACACCGGGGCCGGAAGAACCCATGAAATGGTGCCATCATAGCCTGAAAAAATGGCCTGATGTTGGTTTTCACCATCGCTACCAAAATTTTCTCCAGGGTTTTGCACTGGGGAATGAGAAGGGGAATGGTGTTGACTCATAGTAGAGATAAAAAGAAAGAATAGACAAGGTTTATGCGTAAGGATAAAAAAGAGAAAGAAATAACGGAAGAACTGCTGCACCCGAGATGATAGGCGCACCTGTATAGCTGCCGTTCAAAATCTTCTCCCGCGACCTTATCCTCCAACGTCTCCGAAAAATCGTTCTAGAAACAGCTCGGGTCCGCTAGAACTAGTGATCTGGCTCGGTGGCAAACTGTTATAGTTAGTCGCCGGGGCTCATAACCTGTCGGCTAGGTACTAGTGGACAGAGCGAGTGCTCAGAATCTGGATGAACAGAGACTGTGATTGGAGACTGTACCTAGTGGACAGAGCGAGTGCTATAGGTACAGATAAGTAACTGTAGACACAAGTACAAAGATAAAACATACCTCAGAATCTGGATGAACAGAGACTGAGGAAAAAGAAAGGAAAAGGGGCGAAAAAGAGTTTTGTATCGTATGAGCCCGTGAGAGAAAGAAGTGGGCGGAGTGTACAATGAGATAAGGTACATAGACGTAATAGACTATGGATCTGGTCGACACCCGGATCCACACCCCGACGTAGAGAAGATTATTCAACACGTTCTACAAGTTGCGCATGGGGCAAAGAAGAAATGGTGCGTATTTCTGGAATTTCGTGGTTCTAGTTCCTGGATGAGTTGCTGATGTCTTTTAAAGCGCGATTTTCTGTACTTCTGGAGAACAAGGTAAACGAAGAGCGGAGGAAGGATTCGAAATGGTGCGTCGTCCATGATACCATCACTGCGTAATCTCAATCCAGGGAACGCTGACATGGAATGCTTTCAGATAAACATTACGACCGACACAGGCTGCATCGCGGAGGGCATTACACGGCACCTAAAGGCTACAACTAACTAGATACCCTTTCAACCAGCCCGATAAAATGTAACTCATCCACCAACCTGAACCTGAGATACGTCGGATTAATCAAAAACGGAACCACCGTCAACAATAATCTATCATCCGATCTCCCATAAGCCTTGGCCCTTCCAAACCTCAAAAAGCCAAAGTGTAAACGCACCGTCTGTCCAGTGACATTCTTCCCGTCCGGTCCAGCGAGGTATGAAACTATCCCAGCAATATCCTCTGGCGACGCCATCCGACCCAACGCAGCTACATTCGACTTGCGCGAGTAAAACTCGTCTTTGGTGCTCACGTTGCGCCCGATATCGGCCACTATGTAACCAAAAAGGAGTTCATTCTTTCATTGGAATGGGGCGATGGGAAGTAGTAAGAGTGAGATACGCACGCATCTCGGTGTCGATGGGCCCAGGAGCATATGCGTTGACTGTGATATTGTGTTTGCCCAGTTCTTGAGCTTTGCGAGTGGATGGACGGATCCGGTCAGCCACATGCACTTTCTTGAAGGAAGGGAACGACGGACCTGCGGCCTGTGTCAACCCCCGAACAGCAAACTTGGTCGACGAGTACACCGATATCTCAGGCCAAGCTGTCATATTGTAATAAACGGTAAGTCAGCTCAGTTGATACTCACTACGCCGTCACGGAGGGATACCAATGGAGGCGTTGACTACTAACCTTGCTTTCCGGTAACTGAACAAGCGCCTATAATCCTACCTCCTCGACCTTGCTTGATCATCTGGAGGGCGGCCATCTTGTAGCAGTTGAACGCTCATCGAGCGTTAATCCCGAATATCCTATTCCAGTCCTCCTCTGTGGCTATGAATCGAGCAGTAAGCGTCGAGCCCAGCGGTAAAGCTGCAACCCCTCTGCAGGGGTCTGAGAACGTACTATCAAGGAACGGTTTGGTAATACAAATCCCCGCATTCGCCACCATCTACGAAAAGAACAAAAAAAAAGTCAACACTATCAATCAAGTGCAAGTAACACTCAGAACGAGTGTTAGGCGCCCGCGGCACCGTGACTCACCACATCAACTCCACCCAAGACAGCAACAGCATCCTCCACCAACCGCTTCACATCCCGCTCCAAACTCACATCCCCAACACACCTCACACTCCTCCTCCCATACGCCCCAAGCTCTTCCTCAACCTTCTTCAACTCACCCTCGCACGCAGCAATGTCGTTAAGCGCCACATCGAACCCGTCTTGGGCGAGACGGAGGGCGATCGCGCGTCCGAGGCCTTTGGCGGCGCCTGTTACGACTGCGACTCGAGGACCAGAAGGGTGTCCGGTGTTGGAAGATGTGGCCATAGTACGGATTCCTTGGTTAAAGGTTTGGAATGAGGTTCTGGCAGAGTAGATGAGACGAGGGAGCATATCAAAAGGATGCGGTACAGTGGGGTTTGTCTTTCTTTAATGGAACCTTAATAAAGAGGAGAACGAGAGGGGCTATGGGGCAGGATTAGTTGTAGCTCGAGCCGGACTGCATGACGCAGAGCATAGTCATAGCAATCGAACCTGGGTAGAAAACCGTCAGCCTCTGTTAAAAGGACGTTGCCGTTCCGCTGTATGTACAGGATTAAATTAGCGCCCGTGGTCTTCGCACAGGTAACATAAAAGTTTTGGATTCACATTTCCAGATTCCTTCTGTCGACTACCCAGGGCAAAAAGAAAAAAAGAAAAAAGGAAAGTAGCCCACCGCGAGGGTCGAACTCGCAGCCTTGGACTGTTGGGTGAGTTCGGCCCCGCTGGAAGCCCCCGAAGGGGGCTTGGAACTGACCTCATAGGACTCGAACCTGATTCTTTTCTTGAACCGACTCACCACCCACCGCGAGGGGAGGACCTTACCACCTAGTCTTAAGAGTCTGACGCTCTATCCGATTGAGCTAGGCGGGCGTTACCTTCGGCTAATTACCGGCTATCTTCACGCACCGTTTCTATACGCCGACAACCACTTGCCAACGTTGCTTCCAGCCTGATTTTTCGAAACACAATCCACATTGTCAAGAAACGACAGACATAAAGTACTTTTCATCGCCAACAAGTCAAAAATGACCGACTACAGGTAGAACCAAGAAGAGAAAAAGGCGCATAACAGAAAACGACAGATGATATTAATACAAAGGGCAAGTAATGTTCCAACAGAAACTAGTACATACAGTAGAATAAAGAGAGATGGCTGGAGTGAAAGGACAGGCTGCGATAAGACAGGGAAATCGAACGTGTATAAGAGAAGGTGGTTGGATCTAGCATCGTGATATGCTGGTAATAGTGAAAAGGGGCCATCTAGTCGGCAACCGTTAGCGAATGACGACTGTGAAACAGGAGGCGACGACGTACAAGGACGAGATAAGATATTCATAAAGCGACTAGTCAAGGGTTCATGCTTTAGGAGCATCGGCAGGTTGTCTTCGCTCAAGGATTTCGACCCATTTCCTGGGGAACCACCCTTCTCGCCCTTCTCTCGTCCTACCCTTCCACCACTCCCCATCGACTTCAAGTCTAGGATCAACCTCCATGCCCGTCCTGGGATCGAGCTTGCCCATAATAGCCACAATCTCGTCCTCCTTGAGTGCAAGTTCGTTCGGATTCGAAGGCGTGAAGGGGTACTTGGCGCGCGCAAAGGTGAGTTGGGAGGGATCAAGAGGGGGTAGCGGTTGTCCAGGGAGGGCTTGCTGACCAGCCTGCTGCTGAGCCAGCGCCCGTTCGTTCAAGATCTTCACAAGCTTGGTGATAGCGTAAGGAATACCGAAGATGGCGAGGAGGAACACAAGCAGTGGCTTCTTGCTCGCTTTTGGTTGAGGTTGCCCAGGAACACCGTTCGGTCCTTGTATCGGCCTGCCGCTCACGAAATCGCTAAACTCGCGTCTGTTGATCCCACCGGCACTACTCCTCCCCGTAATCGTTTCCTTCATCCACCTAATCAACCCAAACAACCCAAGCACACTCCCCAGAGCATTCCTCAACTGCCCAAACTGGTCAATCACACCCACCATCGCAAAGAACGACGAATGCGTCGCCATAAACGTCGACTCGAGCATCTGCGCCACTCCCGAGAACGTCTGCACAATCGAGTGCAGGAGCGCAAAGGTGTGCTGGGTCGTCGATTCGAGGGTTTGGGTGAGCGTTGGGGGGAGGGGCTGGCCGTCTGGACCGATGGGCACACCGTTGGGCCCCATCATCGCGCCTCCCATCCCGAAACCGCCGTACCCGCCACCGTACATCCCGCCATACGATCCTAGCCCGCCGTACGAGCCCATACCACCATATCCGCCCATCCCGCCGTACGAGCCGAGCCCGCCGTATGATCCCAGCCCGCCATAGCCCAGTCCACCATAGGACCCGCCGTACGATCCCAGTCCGCCATATCCTGACGCCCCAAATCGTGAGTACGGTGATGCGCCATATGCACTGGAGTAAGGGCTAGCCAGAGCCGTCGTCGTCGTTGGTGCCGAGAATGCAGCAGGTCGCTCAGGGACACTGGGTGTGGTTGCTGCTGGAGTGGAGGCGTTGGTCGTTGCTGGAGCTGTTTGTGAGACAGGCGTCGCTGCAGGTGCCGTTGCTGCTGTTGGCGCCGATGGTGAGCTCGCCGTCGCTGCTGCGACCGCGCCGTTGCGCTCCCAAGGTTTTGGAGGGGAGACCATTGTTTAGAACGAGTGAAAGATAACGACGACGAGGAAGAGCTGCCAGTCCCCTTGTCCGGGGAACAGAACCACCCCCGTGGGAACAGCCTGAAATCACGCGCCCCGGAACCCGGAAGTAGGTTCTGGCCCGGCACAGCCACCTTACCACCTCTCCTCGTCGTACCTCACCCAAAAACTCCCAAGATTCAGAAATGCTTGCAACATAAATAAATACCATAAATAATAAAACAGTTCCAAGATTGTATGCGGTGGTAGATATGTATGCATGTATGTATGTGCAGAATCAAAACAAACAAACAAAATGAACAAAACATGCTTCCAAAAAAGTGTGCACGAATAAGTTATAATACAACCAACTACCTGTTAGTTTCAAGCAACTGTCGAAAAGATCCTTTTGACGACTTGTTCTTGAGGTCCCTCAACTTGGGTATAGCTTGAGCAACATCCATACTCTCTTCCTCATCCGATTCAGCCTTTTCTCCCTCCCAACCATCCAGGATTGACCGAGTGCGCCGATTCTTGGGTGATTTGGCTCTACGGGAGGTGATAGAGAGCAAAGCAGCGTCTGACTCGTAATTGAGCGAGCTATCGGGGAGGGGAGACCCCGTATGCCCGTTGCCCTCCATCGGCCTCGGTCCACGCACACCGTCAAACGGTATAACAGGCACACTCGCCGTCCTCTTCTTCATCTTCTTCCTCGCCGCATAATCCTCCCTATTCTCATCCTCTATCAACTCCGTATCCTCCCTCCGCAGAGCAGCAAACGGTACCTCAGGTGCTGCCTTTGAAGGAACAGGCTCATGAGCGGCACCCTCTTGCAATCCAGTACCCGGTTTCCTCCTCGACACCCACATAAACGGTGCACCCGAAGACGAAGAATCCTCCACAGGCACACCCGGCGCCGGACTAACCACAGGAATAGCCTGGCTCGCCTTCTCCAGCGACGCACTACTGCTCTTCCACAACCCAGCAGCCCGATTCAACGCAGACATCCCACTCTTCCCACTACTCCCGCTCTGCGTCTCCGCGGTCCCAGGTCTCGAGCCCAACTTTGACGAGGACGACTTGTCCTTGCCTCTTGATTCCTTGGGCGGGATCTCCGGGGTGGAGATGTCGAGTACAGACGACGGGTTGGACGAGGAATTGGACTGGAACGCGTCACCACTACCGCTAGCTGCAGGCGGGACACCCCCTCCCCTACTCTTCATCTTCCTAAACAACACCGACCCCCCTCTATCCTTCTCCTTCTCTTTCTCTTTTTCCCTCTCCTTCTCGTCCCTCCTCTCCCTCCTCTCTCCCTCCCTCTCCTTCTCCCCATCAAAATCAAACGCCCTCGAAACCGCCTCCCTAACTTCACGAATAGTAGACCTCTTCCCAGCCCTCCTCTTCTCCTTCTCCTCATCAGGCAAAACCTGTTCCCTCGAATTCGTCGTAGACACCGACCCTCCCCGCCCACGGTGTGACTGTCCAGCACCAACACCACCTCCCCTCCCCCTCCTTGGATTCAAGTCAAACTCCTCCAACGACGCAGGACCAGGCGTCCGATAACTATGCCGGTACGACCGCGGCTGCTCCTTCCTCCTCCGCACCCGCCTCCTCCCCTGCCCATCCACCAAATCGAGATCATCAGACGACATCGAGCCCTTCCTCCGTCCGCGATACGACGAGTAGGGAGAAGAGGAGCGCGAACTTGACAGCGAGCTCCGCGAGCGGACTGAGATGGGCGAGAGAGACCGCGAAGAAGCCTGCGATCCGCCAGGGGAGGTGGCTCGGGAGTACGAGTCGTGCGTGGAGGTCGACGAGCGAAGGTGGCCTCTCGAATCCGGACGGGCATAGCGTATAGGCGACGGACTTCGCGAGAGCATATCATAAACAGCCCCATCCACAGGCTTATGCTCAACAGCCGCCGAGACACCACCATACTCATACTGATACCCCTCCCCCTCCTCTGCACCATACGCATTCCTCCACCCCTCCCCAGCCTGCCCAAAGCTCCCACCAATCCCCCCACCCCCAATCCGCAGCTCATCATCCGACAAATACCGCTGCCGATGCCGGTGACGCGGGCCCCCAGCAAACACCTCATCCTTATCATTAAACGTACTATTCCCCACCACAATCGGCGAAATAGGCTTATCCGTCGGCGAGTCATACTGCGACACACCAGGGTTCCACGACGCAGTCCACGACGGATCACGTAGTATAACCTCCCTTTCAAGCTCAATATCCACCTCGCTCGCTCCGTCCTCCAAATCCACCTCCTCCCGATTCCGGAAGACGATCTCTTCCTCGATCTGCATGTGGAAGCTGGAGTCGTCGTTGAGGAGCTGGTCTTCGCTCGTCCAGTCGGCGAGGTGCATAGGGTGCGAGTGCACGCCTTCGTTGCCTGATCGGTCGCTAGTCGAGTTGGCGCTCGTAGGTGACATCTCGGATGCGGTTGCTTGCGTGAAGGGATACGTCGCTTTCTTCGCGACAGGAGCTGGGAGAGGCGGGTGTCGGTTGGGAGCTGTGTTCCTGGTGAGCGAAGGTTCATTCGAGAGCAAGTCGACATCAGGCAACACCCTCTGCTTCTCCTTCGTCGTAGTCAGTGGGGTGGGTAGCATCCTAGGACTGGCCACGCCGCCCACATTGCTCGCAGGAACATGCGGTATACTGAGCGATAGAGGAAGCCTGGGACTGGGACTGCTAGGCGTTCCAAACGGACGAGTGGGAGGTCCACCATAAGGAAGCGTAGGCGTCGTGGCTCCCGACAAATTATCCGCCGTTCTCGAACGTGGAGGAGGAAGGGGCCTCGCAGAGGTGGGGGTTGCACTCGAAATCGGCGTCGGCATCTGGAGGTTGAGCGGAACCATTGGGGTCGAAGTAGGCGATGGAAGAGCTCTGAACGCTCGAATAGTACCGGGGTTGATCGGAGCTGCTGTCGAGGATGTAGGAGGCGCCGCTCCTGCATTGGAACCTGGTACAGGTAACGGCCGCATGACCGGCATCCTGGTTATAGGACTCGTCTGCTGGCTATTACTTGCCGAAGGCGAAGCCGATAGCGCCGCAAAGGACGTGTTGAGAGTAACACTCGGCCGTCTCTTCGCGCCACCAGGTGCATTGCTAGATTGAGGCGAAACAGTCCTGCTCGAAGGAGGTGGAATCGAGAATGCTCCGGTGAGACCAAGCCGAGGTGTCGTCGGCGCCGAGCGGACGTTCGATGCAGGATGACTGGTCGAATTCGAATGCTGGTGCTTGATATCCAAAATCGATCCTCTCTCCACACCACCAGGTTGTCCTACAAAACCCACATAAAAATCTACACCGACCCTAACAGCCACAGGTCCGAGATAAAGCACACACCTTGATTCAACAATTCCGCAACAGACGAACTCCGCCCTCTCCCAAGCCTAGTAGTCGAAGCAGTAGGCGCAGCAGGCCTAGGCCCCATCGTCCTCCCCGCTCTCTCCATAACCTCTTCCGCACCTTGCTTAAACACCCGATACCCCACCGCATTCCCAGCCCTCGTCGACGCCGCCGTCTTATCACTACCAAGATACGAATCCGCCGACCGCTCACGCCTCCCAACTGGCAACGTCCGCGGCACACTAGGCGACCGCCCCGTCCCCACCCTCGTCACACTCGGCGACCTCCCCGCGCTGACCATCTTCGCCGGCACACACGGGATTTGGATCTGTTGACTCGACGCACCCGTGGTCGAGGACGCCAGAATCGTGCTGTTCAAGACTAGAGGCATAGGCATCGATTTCACTCCCTGCGTCCCACTCCCACTGATACTCCCATTCCTCGAGTGCGGATTCGAACGACCGCCGCTGGGTGGAGGAGGTGGAGGGATATACTCAACATCACTCCCATGCTTGTTCACACTCCCCGCCCTCCCCCTCCTCTTCTTTTGATCCTGTCGCTTCTGGTGTTCTCGTGCTTGTCTCGACGGTGTCCGTGGAGGCGGTGAAGGCGCAGTCCGCGACGGTGCTCGGGCTGGAGGAAGCGACATCGGCGAAGGCGGAATAGCATGTGTCGCCACTTTCGTATTCGATTTCGCACTCGAAGGCGGTGTGGGGAGGGCACCACGTTCCGAAGGACTGGCCAAACCAGGAAGCGCCCCTCCAGCGGAATTGGGCGCCCGGATGATGGGCGAATCAGCAACCTTCTTGGACGTCCATAATGGTCGTGGGTGTGGGTGGACAGCGGATTCTTTGGGGAGGATGGTGTGGGTGCTCGATGTAGGTGACAGCCCAGGGCTTGTTTGGGGACGTTGATGAGGGCTTGCTCGCTGGGCCGACGTGCTGGGACCTGCAACTCTGGAAGCAGTGCTCGAGGAGGCGATGACTGGTGTTGAAGGCAAAACGGACGAAGTAACGATTGCCCTTGGTGTAGGCTGGTGGATGGAAGGATACGCCAAAGTCGAAGACATACTCGAAGAACCTGCACTCCCTGAACCCGAGATGTTGGATGGCGCCGATGATATAGACGGATTCTTGCTGGTGCTGCCGGTGTTGCTACTGCTAGAGCTCCCGTTCGTATTCTTGCTGGTGCCCGCCAACGAAGAAGGGCCTGCTACAGCGTTCGTTCTACCCGATATCGATACTGATGGCGTACTGTAGAGAGGTGAAAGAAAAGGACAGGACAAGATTATGATTGAGGATTACACACAACAAGGGCCATCAAAAAACGAAAAACGCACCTCGAGCTTCCACCCGGCTCCGTTGACGAATTTAGATTAGGTGCAGGCGGCCGCGGGAGAGGCCGTACACCGTTGCTTGTAGTCGCTGAACCTCCTGCACTCCCCGTTCCTAATCCTCCGCCCACCGCGCTTGACAAGATCGAGGTTTCTTCTGCGGATATCGACGATTCCAGGACCCGCTCGTTATGATGATAGTGCTGGGTCGAGTTGGACGAGAAATCTGGACGGGCCTGGTGTTAGTACAATTCAACTGTCACTTGTGAACTTTGAGTACCAAAGTGGTAACGATTCCGTGCCTCCAATCCCAAGTCTACATCCTCCCCCGGCGCCTGTGTCGGATGATTTGAAGTATGACCAAATCCTTGATGAAAACCCTCGCCCTGAATTTGTGTACCACGCGCTACCTCACTCATTATGCCAGATGCCGAAAGAGATTGTGAAGGCGGATCGACAGCTGAAACACTGCTCTTTTCTGGCGTCGCGAAAGGGGTAGCGTTACGCCCATGACTGTGACTGTGATTAGGGGGTTGGAGGATCTCGTACTGGTTCTGGATGGGATGATGAACAGGCGTCTGTTGTTGTTGTCGTTCGTGCTGGTTCTGCTGTTGTTCCTTCTGTTGGTAGTACTGTTGGTGCCGTTGTTCGAATGGTTGGTTATAGCCCTCGATCGAGGTTCTCGGAAGCGAGCGGTTTCGTGTTGAGGGCGCGGTGTGGGCCTTGGAGGCAGTGGTCGAAGGCAGCGTTGAGGGCCCAGCAATAGCGTTGCTATAGAAAGCTCTCGCTTTTTGGGTAGTAGGTTTGTTGACGCCAGGCTGATCATCCACCTTCCTCACCTCCATCTCCATATTAGTCGCTGGCGTGATGGTGGTGGCAGTAGCCCCAATCCATTGCAGATCTCCCATCCCAACTCCTACTGGATCGCCCCCAACTCTTCCGTCTTCAACAACGTTCGTGTTCGCCAGTGGTGGTACTAGTGGTGGTTCGTAATGTCGCGACCCTTCAACCATCGTTGACGTTTTTGACGTCGATGGCCAACTCGAAGCTGACAGAAATGGTTCCCTCGCTACTGATGCGACTGGATCCGGCTTTGTAGGGGCGGCAGTTGATATTGATAACGATCCTGGCGCTGATGACTGGGTAGAAATGGACAACGGGCTATGAGCTGGCCTCTTCTCGATACCGTTCAAGCCCTGCTCTGGTCCAAACCCACAATGGACGTCGCTGTCACGGACCAACAACTCTGAAACGGGCGAATCAAATCGGTTGGGGACGTGGTGGGTGTCGACAACGTTGCGAGAAGAATCGTGGCTGCCACTGTATCCGAAAATTGTCGTCTCGTTCCCACTGCGCGCTCCAGAAGTATGAAACGCTCGGCCCTTATCGTTCTCCCTCTGATCTCTTGCATCCGTCATACTCACGGAACCAGCGAGGTATACAGAATGTTCAGAGGACTCGCCGGCATCCGGCCGACATACCCCATGCATACGTGCACCATTATCGCCACCTCCAGAATAGCCTCCATCAAAGTCCCGTGCCACGGTTTGTAAAGCCAATGCTGTTGGAAAACGTGAGCCGCCAGGATAAGAGGAAGAAGCGGAAGACAAACCTGGCGTTTCATGATCTCCATCTTTTGATGTTGATGGAAGTGATTCCGGATTTGATGGGAGTGATGGCGAGTGTCTATCAGGGGAAGACGGTGGGTAGTGAACTTGACTAAAAGCCGGAGACATATCGCGGCCTTGCTCTTGACTAAGAGGTTGGGAGAAAGGGCTATTGTTGAGGTCGGTGGAGGTCAATACTTGATAGCGAGAGGATACGTTGTTGGAATCCACAGTAACAGCGCCATCCACCATCTCGACCTCGGCGGGGCGCACATGGGGATGTCGAGGCCGAGGGCCATTCACTGAGTAAGCAACCGCTCCTTGCATATCGGACGACATTATTGCTCCACTGCACAGGTCTGCGGATGCTGAACCCGTCCTTTCCTGCGGCGCCACGGCACCACGACCACCACTAGGTCCTGGCTCACCATGGCTCGTGCGGACGTAGGAGGGCTGGATGTTGGGCACGGGAAAACCTTGGAGCTGAGATACGAGTGGACAGTTGGCAGAAGCTGATGATGAAGCAGGAATAGCGGTTGAAGTGGTGGAATGGAGGAGGGTTGCTTCCGAAGCACACGCTGACGCAGTAGAGTCTGATGGTATTTTCGAAGTGGCCTCCGCATTGAGAAATGATTGAAAGACCGGTGTTGATCCTGGCACTTCGTCAGGTGTTATCCAGCCCGACGAGGATGGGGTGTTGTCTTGTTGTTCAAGCTTCTGATAGTCAACACTTTGAAGGTTCTGATAATGATATGAATCTCATAAGGGTTTCGTTATTATAGAAGAGGCTTACAGCGCTCGGGGTTGAAGAACCCGTTTCACCTTCAACTTCAACTTCCACCTCAATTGAAGCTCGAGTAATCACCACGGCCGGAGGCTGAGATGGGAGGGCGAGTGCAGGTGTACTCGAACCTGGAGCAGTCGCGTATCTTCGACCTTGCTGTTGCGATCGCGGAGCCGCAAAGACTCCGTGTTTCTTGCCTATGTCCAGACGAGGCGGTCCAACGGGCACCGAAGGACCCATCCACTGGAGATGTGGTGGAGGTGTACGCGGTGGTGTCACTGCTGGATTTCGAGGAACTCCCCCTGTCGCTGCTGAGCGAAATATCAGCGTTGGGTTCGAACCTTTATGACGCAACCCTTTGGGCTTTGCACTTGGGCCGCTCCTCTTCTGACCGAGAAAGGAACTCTTCGGTCGAACTGGACTGAGCTCAGACGGTGGAGGTAGGTTTGTTCGCAGGTCGTCCATATCGAGGGTTAGCTTTGGTGCTGTCGCGCCTTGTGCTGGTATTCCTGGTTGGATTGGCTCGTCGTATTCGAGATTGCAGCCATGAGGCGCAGGGAAAGCCGACACTGACGGCGACGACATGCCTCTTGCAAGTAATTCTTGGTGCTTTGCTAGAGTTTGCGGCCTTCCAAGATCATCTCAGCTTCTTGAACTGCGTCGGGCTGCCAGAAACGCGGTTAACACGAGACGAGACGTGCAGAACCGGGAAAGGAACACAATACACACCACTTCGCGGTGTTCCGTCCTCCTAGGTTCTAAGGGAGCAGTTTAGGCTGTATTTCGCGTTGGAATTGACTTGTTACGCACCTGTTGGGCGCCAGCGTACGGTTTCTTGCAGGCTCCTGCCTCTGAAACGAGGCTTCCCGTTCCAGTGGATGGTAATATCAGACCTAGCCCGCTAGCGGCCAATTTTAATCGTTCTGTGAAGCTGTTCTAGTCAGTTCAAAGTCCTAATCAGGCTCTGAAGCACTTACAGTCTTCCAAGCTCGCTGTTCTGAGGCTTGAGGCTTGTCGACGTGCGATATAACCTCGACCGACGTCGACAACGTCCATCACCAGCCATCAACGGCATCATCCCGTTTGCCAGAATATTTTCGATCTCCGATCAACATTGGTTTCCGAGCCGCACCAAAGCGAAGTTGTGCATCGGATCTGTATGCTGTTCCAGTTGGATTCTCAAGGAGAGTCTTGCATTACTGCCTGCACATATACTAAATACCGACTTGCAGCCCTTACAGCTCGACATCCGCGGCATCCGATTTTCCGATGCAGCGGAAAATAGCAAGTCACTTCCCCCTCGGACATTGTCCACTGCGGCAGTGATCAGGTTCCCTCACTCTCCAACCGAAATCGAAGAATTGGTACTTCAAAGGGGCTCGTATGTAGGTGAAAGAAATTCAAAGGCCAGATGTCCGTCTCCGGATCACTCTCTGCCTCTTCAAGTCGTCCATTGTCGAGAAGCTCGACATTCACCCAGCTGCTTGTTCACCCCTGTCGCAGAGTCATGTCCTTGGGCAACGAGGTAGGTGCTTCTTGCGAGCGAGGAAGAGGGCGAGAATGACGCCACGACCCCCACCAATGAGCGGCCAAAGTTTTTCAACATGAGTCCTAGCGGAAAGCTCGACGAGTGTACTGCTGGTAGTACGCCTAACTTCCAACAGATCTAGAGTGATTGAGGACGCGGGCGGCGGAGAGCTGGCCACACGACTACAAATGATATCTTAGTGGACAACCATATACTCTCGAGCACCACCACAGCCGCTAGTGAGTGCTCGGTTATTGATATACGGTGGAACTATCAGTAGGTAGCTGTACTCAGTAAATATGTGCCAAATATCAAGCACGGGAATCCTGGAAGAAATGCGGGGGCATTACATGTCCAAAGCAAAGCCCCTTTGGCCTTGAAGCAGTGAAGGCCTGTACCGGGCCCGGGGCGCCTACCTCCCAAGACGTCCGACGACTGCGAAAAACGACATACGGTGGGCAGGGTGCGGTGAAGTGAGGTGGTAGAGGTGATACTCGAGAATGCGTGGTCGACACACTTGTGATTGCAGTTATACCTATACAACTCAGAGTTTAGAAATGGAGGAGAGTACTCTAAATGTAATCCAAGTACATACATGCCATTGTCGCATAAGTTCCGCGAAGGCTGAGGACGAACGAGGATGACGAACGAGGGATCCATAACTTAACGCACAGCAAGGAGAGGATTAGGACCGCCCCTGTCCTTTCCACTAGGACTCATATCTAGAGCAGGGTGCGGCGGGCACTCGTTAGTAGGGGTCGTGCTGCCATCGTGGTCCTCTTCATCAATCGCACTCCGCACGAGGTCAATTCCTCTGCGGAGGATGCTGTTCATTTTACGCTTTTGGGCCTCGCGGCGATGTTTCCCCTGCTCAGACTGAGCAATGACGACCGGGTGAGCGGCAAACTCGGCCCTCACGTCCATCGCAGCTTGAAGGAAGGCCACGGGAGCATAATGTGCGTAAACCAAGTTCCCGTTCGAAGCTTTGTGGATGATGTCTTTCCATTTGACGATAAGGCTTTTCAAAGGCTTCAGATCGGCGTGGAAATAACGGAAGACGTGATCGTCGAGGATGGCTTCCTGTGACCGAAGGAAGGCCTTCTTGGTGTCAATGTGTGTTGCCTGTGGTCTATTCGATTCAAAAAGGAAGAAGCGACGGACCGCGGCATCGTGCAGCTCTCCTCGTGCTTCCTTGGGCTCAGGACGACTCTTTCCCCCAAGGCCATCGCGCGTGATGCCGATGTACACCAAGACCCATAGCATAGACTCCATGTCGTGCTTAGCAGTGCGGACAGTTTCTCTGCCAATGTCATGTGCCATGAACGGCACCGTGCCCTAAAGAACAGTGTTAGTCTTGAATAGACAAGAATATAGCGATGTGATGAGTCACCGTGCAGAACGTATGCACCGAACGTCTGTTGCCGAAGTTAGGAGGGAGATATGGCTACCAGACAGTAAGCCTTCCCAGCATTGCAGCAGTAGAATGAAAAGATACTTACATCGTCGCCTAAAAGTGGGATCACATCGGATATTTTGATTTCGCCTTTGATCTTGTCGAGCTGGTGGGACCGAGGTCAGAGCACAGGTATTGATTATGAGCGACTGGCGTACCCGAAGCCTTTTAGTCACTTGGTCCGCAGATAGGTTGGTCCGTCTAGCAGTTGCCTTTGGGTCCTCCCAGTCTTCCAGCGACTCATCATCATCAGAGAGATTGATTTTGGCCAGGTATAGGAGCAACAGTGCGAGGTTGTCAGACAGACGAGGAAGCTCATTCCGTTCACGAAACTGGTGAAGCTCCGCCATGTGCTCAGCAAATTCGTTCCGGAGGGACGAAACCGTTCTCGAGATATAATCAGGCAGATTCTTGGCGTGGTCAAAGTCGATGAGCCTCCCCAAGCGCTTTTCACATTCGATGACAATGTTCCCCAAGCTAATGTCTCGATGACACACACCCTTTTCATAGTACGCGTGTTGATAAGCTGTTCACAGCGATGTCAGGACACATCAGGTTCACATTCTAGGGTAAATCACATACCTTTGAGCACGTCGATGATAACGTCGAGTAGTTCAAGCAAATCACCAAACATTTTGAGTGGAAGACCATTCACCGGGTTGACCAGCCGATGCTGGATACGTGGCATGTACCTGTCATCGTCGTCCGGTTTAACGCTGCCCATGTGTAGCAGAATTTTCTCGTCTCTGGGTTCAGGATATGTATCCGGCTGGTGCGCAGCGATAACAAACCGCTCCGACGAGAGTCCACGACGCAGATCTTTTTCAGTGTGAGAGCCTGCGACATCCTCACCCACAACACATTGGGCGGCACCGCTCTTCTCGGGGCAGGGGACTTTGAGGATGTCGTAGATTCCCAGCTCACTCGGGCCCCCCATGTCCGGTCGCCACCCTTGCTTGATGATCACCAGTTCCTGACTCTGGAGCTGGTCAGCTAAAGAAAGATGTCGTGAACGACAATGTCGATCTTACCGGCTTAGGGGACTCAAGCTTATCGAGCTGTACCGCCCGCCATACAAGTGGTGCTCGGCCACACATGATTTCAGACCGAGCCACGCTCAAGATCTCGACGGTTTGGTAAGTCACGCCTTTGATCGTGATTTGCCAGTGGAGCTTATGGCGATGCTTGGGGATCCGGTCGAAGGGCAGAGCGTAGCTGAAGGCAGGGGCACAGCCAGGCACGACCATCTTCATGTTTGGATCAAACCCCAGACGCTCTGCACCCATCAACGCAAAGCTGGACATGACCTGAACGAACAGCTCCAGATTCTAAGAGTGAAGGAAATCAGTGATTGAAACCCACGACAAGCATCGTCACATACGTCGTCGATGTTGATAACTTGTTTAACTCCAAGGAGACCAGAACGGTCGCTGTGCCAGATCGCCAGCGAACGGTGGAAGAAGATGAATCCGAAAACGAATCGACGGTCGTGTTGCTCTCGGAGGATTTGTCGAAGATAGGTACACAATTGGAGCGTCGTCGGCCAGATGTCGTTAAGCCAGTATCGAGTTTTGATTTCAACGACCCCGCGGGTCCTGAGCCAGGAGACGGTCAGCGACTCTGCAGACTTTTGCTATGGGAACGGTCAGTCCTTTATCTCAACAGAGGGCAGGTTCATCTTACCCTTTCGGATTCAGACCGTGGCACTGTTGCTTTGGTGCGCTTCGATGCCGGTTTACTGTCACCCTCGACTGTGGTACAGGTCTCTTCAAGTTCGATTTCGGCTTCATGAACATCCTGTTCGTTCGAGGCGAGTCAGTCAACAAGCACAGCTCGGCAGCTTCAACGACACGCATGCTGACCTTCAGACACTCGACGAATTTTTCGGGCGCATCTCTGTCAGGATGCAGGATAAGATTGTTCAAATCCGGGCGTAGCTTACTGGTGTTCTTGACATTGCACTTTGGTGTGATGTCGTGACGATCCAACCACTTGCCTGGGACGTGGTCAATATCCCTTTCGCCATGCGACAAGGCCGCGGAGTCGATCGCGTCAAGGATTTGGGTATAGGGATGATAGTACTCGCCCTCTGCCCCCCCTGGCTCCTGAGGAAGACCCTTCCAGCCTGACGTCGGCGAATACCACCCAGTATCTTCGAGATCCTGGATGATCTTTTGAACCACGTCAGGCTTCATAGGGAAAAGCCGGTCGACAAACGCCTGTCGCTCGCAGACGCGTATGTTGTGTCGAACGTCGCTCTCTACAGCGTCTCTGACATCCTGTGCCTTCGTTGGAGCAAAGCTGGTTGTCATCTGTGGTTTGATGTTAGTGTCCGATCGAGGACGAGTGTCGCATTGTTGTGTGAAGATTCCTGGCAGCGACATGTTGCGGGTAAGCACCTCAGGCACCTAAAAGTATGCTTAGTAATGGACCCCAAGGGGCCCATAACGGACCAGAAATCAGGGCCCCAAGGACCGAAATGCCGCGTCAATGATGGCCTCTCACGTGTAATCACACGCTCTCAGACTGCGACGCGCGTCCAGGCAGACGCGTGTTCACGCGCAAAACCAGCTGCATCCCTTCCTGTAGATCGTTATATCTTGTAGCCACCATCATCATACAGCACAAAATACCATGGATCGAGGCTCCAAGCCTCCCAAAAAACCTCGTTCCAGTGGCTCCCGCCTCGGAAACACGTATGTATCTCCAATCAAGAAGCGGGTGACGGTCAAGGAGCGACAGAAGGCGACATCGTATGCTGCTGAGGCCCAGAAGAACAGGCTAGCCGCCAAGTTCCAGAGTCTATTGAAGGCCTCTTGCCCTGACAACACCCTGGACGACGGGACGGAGGCAGGCGGGGTGCTTCCAATGCTTCCCGTGAACGTTATTACACCCACTGTCGACCCAGCTCCAGAAACCTCCACCGCGACATCGAATGGTACCGATGGCCCTTCGTCAGAGAAGCAAGCTACAACCCGACGGAAAGGCCCCCAAACCCTACAGACGATACTCAAGAGGGAGAAAGAGAACATTCGGTGGAAGCGCAACCTGCCCCTACTCGCTGAGGCCTACCTGACCTGGTCTAGCGGGAGAAAGCGAGTCGCCAAACCACCCATGGTCGGGAAGGAGGGTGCGATCCATCTCGAACAACAGACCCCCTGCGGAGGACGATGCAAGGGGTTCAAAGACAAACGAATTCTATGCCTCCTATTTGATCGTGAGTTTGTCTTCCCTCGTCTCTGTGCGGTTGCAGCGGACTAAATAACAGGATGCAGGCTACGAATACATTACGTTCACCCATTGCAAATGCAACCCCATATCTAAAGTTTTGGTCTCACACGGGTTTTTCCCATCCGGTCCTGCCCAGCCTCACATCGCCGTCGACATGGACCTATTGGAGTATTTTGAATGTCTGTTTGAAGCCTCTTGTATAGCCGATACCGCCCTGGCCCATTCCCTCAATGATTTCTATCAGAAACGGGGATACATCCTGACCCATCCCAAGAACAAGGTAGGCTCTTTCCGGTAAATTCCCGAGAGCGAAGCTGATTTTACTTCCGAGACCAAAATAATGAACGAACCGTTCAGAAAGAGCCTCGGACGCGCAAGACAGTGGTATAGCTTAATGCACCGTTACATAGACAACCAGGTGGAAGCTGCGCTGGCCGAAGCAGAACGGCAAGTGAGGGATCGGAAGGCGGACACTCATAGCGAAGGCGCCGCCGCCCCATCTGACGTCACCGACACTGCCAGCGCCAACGTCGGTGATGCGCTCCCTGATGTCATCCCGAACCCGGAGCTCACGTGTGTGGTACACGATGACTCAGCCAACACGTCGGAAGCCACGCAAGGCCAGTGCGCAAGGTTTCTTCGCAACTTGTGTCCAGCCTGCTTTGGGGGAAAACACTTTGGGCGAACATTTGAGGAGTGAGTACTTTACAGAAGCCAATATTCCAGGTGCATTATTCATCTCGCATCTCGTAGGGGATGTGATATTCACCTCGCCGCCGACGCCAATTTTTCGCAACGCCACCTTCGCTCGGTTGGCACATGTGCCCCATTCTTCGACCGTCAACATCTGATACCCAAAGATGAGGTCGACGAAATGGGTGCCGCCATTGAATCTGTACGCGCAAGTCGACCCCCGAAACCCCGCCGGCCCAAGGTTCCAGACGAGGCCATCGACAATTGTGAAAGCACCCACAAAGCTGGCAATGGGTCCAACGTCAAAACCAACACGGACCATTTCGACGACACGGGGATCGCTGCTCTTATTTGTCGACATGGTATCCCTGTCTTCATCACCAACGTCGATACGCCTGGAGAACAGCAGAAGTTCGCACTGGCCATGGTGAAGCGGCTTTTTTCACTCCTCCCTCCCAAAGCCACTGTCGTAGTCCTTTATGACGTGGGCTGTGTGGTACACCGGAGTCTTGAATTGGTGAGGGGAAATGTTTTCCTACGACAGCAGCCACACTCACTGTGTATACTCAGTATGATATTCTCCCAGCAGCGATAACCTCACGGCTGCAGTGGGCCACCAGCGCGATGCATGCCTACGCACACCAATGGTCTTGCCAACTCGCATATAACCCGAGGTTCTTGCCAGGTCTCGCACTCTCTGACGGAGAGCAAGTCGAGCGGTACTGGTCGGATGGGCGTAAGCTCATCGTACTTACGCGAACATCCCTGGTGAGCTCCCTCCCCCCTTCTCTACATGTATCGGTTATTAAATGATAAACTCAGGGTGAGAGGCGGCTGTATCTCTTGGAACTCCAGGCCGCGGCGTCAGCGAAGGTGTATCGCATGGAGCTGGGCGCGTGGATGCGACGCCGTTTGAAAACTGGTATCCCAAGTCACGAGGAGGAAGGCCGTCAGGCGCTAGAAGGCTGCAGCCTCTCGATCCCCCAGCTGCGCGAGCAGTGGAAGTTGCAGCAGGAGGCTCAGCTATCGCTTCGAGCACGTAAGCCATACTTCCCCCAGACGGTCCCGCCACTGATCACGTCAGGTTAGATGCCCCGCAACGCCTGAAGAGGGAGCTGGACGCGGTGCTCCGAATCCAATCGCAACTCGATCTCCTCGACGAGTGTATTGAATCCGCGAGGAAGGAATTGGCAACCGGACATGGCACGGCCACTGCGGCCACTCTGGCGACATTTGAGGACATGCAAGGCCGATTCAAACAACGTGCCGACGCGCTGTACGAGTCCTTGAACGTACAAGACCTCTTTCCCGAGTTGAAGGGCCTCAACATCAACTTCGTACGCAAGCTCCTTCTCCTCCGCGACCTCAAGATCAACATACGCAAGCGAGCCGTTGGCAATTTCTTCGAGTGGGAACGTCTCAACCAGGCAGCAGGCGGGCGTCATCAAACGCTAGGCAAGTCTGTTGGCAGTCTCTTTCCTGAACATGAACCTTACCTCCTTCATACAGGCACGAAGATGCATCAACAGATACGAGATACCTTGTCCAAACGGACCCCTGCGCTCACCAGCGCAGTCCGCCTGTTCAACCGATACTGTGCCGAGTTGAAGGCCATGTACAAGAAAGAGTGGAACCTCGCCCTTCCAACACCCCTTTCGGAAGATCTCACAGAGCTCAGGAACGATCCGACACTGATGGAGGATGTGTGGATCACCGTATCCGAGGACGGCATCCCACCGTGGCTGGGAGATGCATCCGTTCGTAGTGGTATCCGCGGCATGCTTCGACTGGATCGAGCGCGGGAGGAACGACAAAGGATAGGACGAGAGGCGGACAATATGTGTCGGTGGTTTGGGCTTGAACTGCAAACGTTGGATGAAGCCATTCTCAATCCAGACAGTACGTTTCATTCATGTCCATTTCCAAAGCTCGCCAGTGACAGTTCTGTAGATTCCTTGTATGTTGATATCTTGCAGGAACGGCGCCTCATGCACATCAGCCTCAAGCATCGATGGTCCACAGCCTTGGTATCTGACGCCCGATACGACTCGCATGTAACTTCGTCGAAACTTGGTCCACCGCAAAATTACATCTTCATGGACCCCATCACCCCCGACGGCACCGCAGATCCACCGGAGCCTGACGTCGCCACCACGTCTCCAGCCAGCGCCGAAGGTGGCGACAGTGACGACGAACCCGAAGCGGACGTGGATCCCGACCCTGCCGACGAAGACACGACGGGCGACCCAGACGTTTTCGCAAGGGCGAGAGACCCCGACGAGGCAGAGGTTACGCTCTTGGAGACGTTATCGGTCAAACCGACGGACGAAGAAGGGCCCACCTTGCAATATCCCAGCGCGCCTCCCGTGCGGCTGATCTGGGCCGACGTGTCGGGCGCGGCGTACGACGTGAACATTCTGAGCGACATCGACCCCCCGCCTGCGTTCCATTCCACGTACGACGGGACCTCTGGACGAGCACTTCACCTCTATGGCCAACCCCGTCCCGCCTACCTATTTTCTCGACGCGAGCTCTCGATGGTCCGCGATCCCAAGATGCTGACTGATGAAGCCCTCAATGGCCTTGCCGCACTCCTTTTCCATAACGTGCTCCCCAACATCGCCTCCGGACACACGTCATCGGCCTGCGCGCTCTTCACGTCCCACGACATACTAATGGGGACGTACCCCTGCTCAACTATCGACCTCTGGCGACGCACCAAGGCGACGAGATTCTGGGAGAAGGCCGTCTGGATTATGCCAGTCAACCGACCCGAGGAGCAGCACTGGGTTTGCGCCGTCGTTTATCCTTTGCAAAGACGAGTCGGCCTTTTTGATAGCCTTGGGAACCGCGCCGGATGGGACGACGACGTGGAGGTGAGTTCGGTGGGTGTCTGCATGATGCAATAATTGACAGATCTGCGCAGAAAATCATCACCTTTACTACCCGCCTAGCGTACGTGGCTGGGACGCATGGCTACGATACTGGCATTTGCGCAGACGGTCAGGAGTGGCTCGCCACGCCTATTACCGTAAGTGACATAGCTCTCATCCCCTCGTCATTCATAACACTTCATCCAGACGAATCCTGTGCAGACGAACGGCGTAGACTGCGGGGTGTGGGTGCTTGCCGTCATAACGTCCCTCCTACGTGGCTACCACATTCCGCAGCTCACCGAAAATCAAATACCCGCTTTCCGCCGAATGTTGTTTCAGCATATGCTACGACTCCCTCTTGTTCCAGAATAGAATGTACATCCCATGAAGACTATTTAATACTACGCGTTCTCCCGTCCCCGCTTCAAGGCTTGATACTTAAGCTTCCCTTGACGAAACATGGCCTGTAGTACATCTAACCCCTCCAGAGCATAGGCGTAGATGTCTTCCAACATGGACACTATGCCATCCACCTTCTCCAAAACGTCGCCAATCGCCCTGTAAGTCTCTGATACGCCTGAAATATCCAGAACCATTGCGCGATGACGAGTGATTTTATCTGTGAGCCTGTTAAAGCGTGCCATGTGTCCTTCAACGATATCTACGGCGTTGCCGGCGACGGCCTCTTCGAAAACCTGCTGGTAGAACGCGGACGGGTCGTCGCCTACGATGCGCAAGGCGCGTTTTTCAATGGCGTTGACCCTGTCTAGAGCGAACTCGACTTTCGCCTGCATGGGATCGCGTGGAACGACAGGCGCCCGGGCGCCTATTCCCGACATCTCGTGAGATGTCGCTCCCTCGCCCTCTGTACCTTGGCGTTTGGCCCTACGTGAAAAGAATGAGTGTATAGAGTAACCCCCAAGAGTGTCGCCCGCACCGATTCGCCTTCTTTCGGTATTTCGCTCGTCGACGAGCATTTATTTCTGCCTTCTTCCTTGGTCACGGTGAGCATCGTGATATTCAGATCCACGAGATATACGCCTACTTTTCGTAGAAACGCTTGTTATTCAGGCGATTAGCCTCCTTACGTTGCTCGCTTGTATAGTACTTCTTGTGGCGGGGCATGCGAAGGACGTTGGAGAGGAGGAATGGGAATGGGTGTAGGATCCTTGGTGTAAAGATAGATAACCTTTAGGACGCAATGGCCGCGTCGTCTGATTTTTTCAAACGTAGGCGGATCGGGGCGCGGAAAACACGCGCAGAAAGCTTGAAATCGGGGGATTCCAGCGATATCGTTTAATAAGAGCTACACCCTGAGTTTCCTACCAAATAACATGAATATGTTTTCCATAGCCCTCCGCTGAGGTCGTTCCGGTGAGCCCGAGTTGAAGCTAAATCTTAGATCGTCAATCTGAACAGTACGTGATCTCAGATGCGTGCACAATCAAGTTCCATGTCACTGAATTGGGAACGCTTCTCGAAGACCTGCCAGCGGACTCTCGAGGATTCGCAGCGGTAACTGGTAACCAGCCCTTCAAAACCATTTCTTGAGCCCTCACTGGCTCGTACATATACTGTACCTGCGCATCAAACGCGTACGGTCAGTTCCAAATTCTCCCCTACCTGCCCCCCCAGCTATGCCCGCCTGTTACCGCTTCACGCGTCCTCAGCTGGTATTTATCGGCGTCTGTTCCGCCTATCTTTGCCAGGCGCGACTAAGGGGTGAGGAAGATGCTTTCCTTGAAAGTTTCTTCCGCATCTACTTCTCCCGGTATCCACTTCAGCGGCAGCACCATCCCACCATAGAGTCTGAGGAGTACGCGCGAGAATTCATTACTGGTGTGCGTGATAACCTCCAAACCTTAACCTACCGAGGAGAACTAACATCCCGTGCAGCGTGTTCGACGACGGCTTCATCGCGGTACAGTGGCGTTTGTAGGGCTTCGCCCCCTGAGTGACTGGAAACAGCTCGAGGGTTTTAGCTATCGACAATGGGGGAAAGAGCTAGTAAGTTCCTTGTCCTAGCCGTAACTTACGTGTTCTGACGCTTTCCTCAAGAACCATCTCTACGCCCAACTCGGTCTCCCGCCCAGCCCCGGTTCAGGGCCAAGACCTCGAAAAGTTCGTGTCAATAAGCATTAGATTTGTAGTAGTATACTTCACATATGCGATTTCTATAGTATTGTTACGACCTACATGTTTCGAGCCCCTTTACCATAATCCACCACGTGTTTGATACATTTACGACGGCACATTTTGAGAATAGGGGCATGTCTGCGCAAGTACAAAACAGCGGCACATGGAGATCTGAGGATCCGATTGAGAACACATTGCATTGGGCGGTGCCAGACTTTACGTTTACACGGGTATTACTGACAGCAATGACAGGTGCTGTGCGCTGTGCAACAAGATCAACTCCCTCGAAAGCACTACTCCACTTGCACAGGCGAGAGGGACCCTGAAGACGGTAGCTGGCCAGTGTCCCACATCTCCCTGCTTGGAAAAGAAGTACAGGAGCTCGATCTTTCTGAGGACGAGCTATACCCCGACGCGGAAGAACAACTCGAAGAATACTTGCAGAAACTCCAAGATCGCTCAGGTGGCGGTCCTTCCGCGGAGCCATCTTCAAAATAGTTACAATCGTTAATTACCGTCGTCGTTAATTACCGTCGTCGTTAATTACCGTCGTCGAAGTCCACGTACAATCAACGCGTTTTGGCAGCCTTATCCGTTTGCCTTCGATAGGGTCATGAGCCCCGGGCTCGGTCATGATCGTTCCTTCGATGTATTGTTAATTACCGCTATCAATGTGCACGCACAATCAACGCGTGAGGACTGCCTGATTCTTTTGCCTTCGAATGGGTCAAGGGACGGTCATGAAGCCCGGCACGGAGAACATCGAAACTTCGATGGTCAGGCGAACACGGTCAATCCTGGAGGGACAGGGGATGCTCCGTCGCCTCTTTCGGCACATCCTTTGAAGGCCATATAATGCATCCTGCCATGTCCAGCCCCCCCAGCAGCCACCCATCGCTATCGTCCTCAACAGCCAACGCAACCAAGTACTCACAGCACTTTAACCGCCATGTCTACTCCCATTGCTCCCACTGACTGTAAGTCCATTGCTCATGTTCATGATTTTGCGGTCGCCGAAATACCTTTCACATCCAGCCGCTCCGGTCAAGGGCACATTCGTCGACGTAGTCGCCCACAACGTCAGCGTCGACTCCGTCAAATCCGACGTCATCCACACCATCTGCGGCGATTGTTCTTCCCTCAACGAGGTCGCCATGCCGAAGGAGTTCTACCACGTCGTCGCGTATGGTTCCGGGATCGGCGTTTTTGCGCACCAGGTTCGCACTCTCCATCCTTTACTCCAGTCTGCATAGTTCTGAGGTTAACTACAGGCCGTCGCCGACGCGTTGGTTCTCGGGGTCCCTCGCGCCAGCCGCGTTGTCTACCACAGCAAGGCCGAGGCATTTGACGCGCTCGAGGCCGCTTTGAGGACCAAGGCCGCCGATGTCGTTCTTCCCAAGGGTCAGGCTGGAAACTGATGCTCGATTTGCCTTACCTACCACATCTTGACCGTCTGTAATATCCCCCCCCCCATTTACGTATCTTGTATTCCGTGACGCTTACCTGTGTGCTCATTGGCTCAATGAAAATCTCGCCCCCTCCTCTTCCCTCCTTCCCTCTGGTCACCAGTTAGTACAAGTGTCGTGAGGCATCTATACGGTAATGTCGCGCTGTGTCGGACTTATTTGTCGACGTCACCTTCCTGGGTGGGCGAGAGGAACGCTGCCGCGCTGACGTCTTGATGGCCGCCGGGACGAATCCCGTGACGTCATGGATGCAAGTCTCCTTGGTCTAGGGCGCCTATTTGCGCGCTCGTCTTGTGTGGGTCCCCACGCGTCATTTGTTTGCAAGGTGTCTCGGACGACTCAAGTCACCGCGGTGGCAGAACGTTCGGCCGAAGTCAACAAACGTAGTTGTGAAGCAAAGATATGGAAGAGAATATGCACCAAAATACAACAAAAGGAACAAAATCAACAAGATCGCGCAGCACTACGGATAGGAAAGGTTGTTGACGCGTCGGGCGTATTCGATGATTTCCCGGCGGGTCTCCTCTGTCATGGATGGCAACACACCGTAACCCGGCATACCCTCCAAGGATCTGTTGTCGTATGCCGCCAGTTCGCTCGTAGTCTCATCCTGATCATCATCCTCGTCCATGGAGCCATCGTCTTCGTCGTCCGAGTCTTCGTCCGCCTCGTCGGTTGCGGTCCCCGGTCCCCCTTCGCTGTCAGAGGACTCCTCCTCATCAGGGACGCCCAATAGCGCGTTTCCAACTGCATGTTCATCCAACCTGTCGCGGATGGCCTCCAACCGGGCGCGCAAAGGAAGCTGAATACGTAGGGATTAACGTTTCGACACCGACGTTGCTAGATGGACACCTCACCATTAATGCGTGCCAGTTCGCCCACGAACAAGCAACCATCATATTCCAGGATACCTCAGGGTCCACCCATTTCGCCGAGGTGTAAGCGTTGTGCAACCAACTGACGATTACCTGAGGAAGCATCAGGAGGGGTCGGCAGACATGGCGTGAACCATACGTACCGCCAGGTCCGAATCTATCTGTGATCTAACGGCCCAGAGAGGCTTCCACGAGATCGTCCAAGTGTTGTAGAAGCGGAGCACGACGTCGACGATGAAGAGTTTGAGCGAGTTGTTTTCGATGGCTTGCTGCACGTAAAAGGCCGCGTCGGACAAGTATCGACGTTGTAGAGCGTTGAGCACAGATTCGTGGATTCCTTGTTGGGGCGGCCAGAGTCTACGGTCGTGAAGTCAGTCTTACAATGTCTGTCGCGCTCGTCATTGAAGGATTGCACCTTGCCCAGCGGCGCTCCACCAGGTCGCGGACCAGGCGGTCGATTTCATCAAGAGGAAACCCGCGGCGTTCAGCCATGTCCCAACCAAGGATCCAGCAGAGGGAAAATGGGAAGGGGATCTTGGAGTTATGAGTTCCACCTACCCATCGCCATATACCAGGGGATGCAGTGATAGGAACGGCCAGCATTCCACACGAGCTGTCGCCTGGATACAGCCTGATTTCTCTGTCCGTTTTCCAGAACCCGGAAGGGAAGACAGGGAAGGCTTCCTCGGTGATAGCGATACCAGCTGAACAAAGGCGTCTACGAACATATCCGTGTCAGCACCCAGGAGATGGCGCTCATCCTAGAGTTGTATTTCCAACATACACAGAAAAAACATACCCCTCGGCATCTCAAAACATTGGAGGGAGGTAGCGACGCTGTTGGGAGTGTACGGCTAGGCTGACGTGGCAACGCGGGACAGCGGGGACGTGCGGAAAGACGCACAACGTCCTTCTTGGTTGGAGGTTCTGTTGAAGTCGGCGCTGCGTCGGTCATTTGGACGGGTGACATGAGGTGTGTTTCTGAAAGATGCACTTTGTCTGCTTTGCATGCTTCTTGGTTTGAGGCGCTTCTTCGTTGGAGGTCGGGCATGTGTCGCTCATTTGCTTTCGGGAGAGATCACGACAGCCATAATGCCGAAGACAAGGCGCAACATTGTACTGTCCAAAAGCGAACGTGGAAATTGGGGTATGGAGGAGGAGAGATGAATGAGAGAACAAGAAAAGCAGGAGTGTAGGGACAGGATGACTGAATCTCGTTCCGAGTCTGAGGGGAGAACGTTTCCGAATTTAGACGGTCTCATAGATTCACACATGCCACCGAAGCCGTTGACACCTGTCCATCACTTGGATTTTCCCGCGCTTTCCCCCGCCCTCACGCACAGTCGGAGGCAAGACTCGTCGGTCTCAGATGGTCGTCTCGCTGGCATTGTGGCTAGCTCTCTCTCTTCCCCTGCCGATCCTACTCCCTACTTTTGGGATGAGGAGTATAGTCAGGAAGGACTATGTTTATGCGTGTGGCCTGGCGTAAGGCGGAAGTGTCCTTTATCGATGCGGGAATCAGACGGGGAAACATGTAGCAATGCGACTCCGTACGTCAACGCCCTCCATCTCAGAATTCGGGGAAGGGTCTGGTGCTCACCAGGCACAGATTTCCAGATCCAGCAAACGTCTTCTTTCAAACGTCTTCCAACGAACGCCTTCTCCCAAGTTTGGCCAAATACCAGACGTGAGCAGGAGGACCCCTTCCTTCCCTTTCCCGTCTTGTCTTCACCACCTCCCTCAGAAGTCGACGACTTGTACTTTTCGGTGAGCTCGCCACGAATCTCTTATTCACATCGATGGCTAACGGTTTCCAGATGCAGGACAAACAGCCTCAACGCACGTCGTCCGCCCCGGAGGATGCTACAGATCACCCTCCCATTCCTCCCCCTCTTACGGGCGCACCGCTGCCGACTATGCCTCCACCTCAAATAACGCCATCGACTAATACCCCCGATGCCCAGCAACAGTTTTGGCTCCAATTTATGCTTCAGTCAGGAGCCCACCCCAGTCTCCAGCTTCCCGCGCATCCGGATGACGACGAGAGAGACGGGAACCATGCTCCTGCCCCGCCCCGCCTTTCCCCTTTTCCAACGTTCCCACCTTATGGCTACGTCCTCACAGCCCACGCCCATTCCAAAGCTCAACCCGCCCCAGTAACTCAGGAACCTGGCTCCCTTGCCCATCCATCCGCTCAGCCTGTTGTACCCACCCCTTCGGCATCGGCTGCGGGTCCGGTGTCCACATCTCCAGGGAAGGCCAAACGTGCGAAGAAAGCTCACCCCCCCGCTGACCCCAACCGATACTCGTTACGTTCCACGCCGAATAGGAAGAAAGCCGAGACGATGGCGGAAGGTGGTGCTGCTGGCGGCCAACCTGCTGCCCCCTCTGCTGCCCCCTCTGGCTCTGCAGTTACCGCTGGCTCCCCCGCTAAAGTCGACTCCGCAGGCGATGTCCACCAGGAAATTCTCAGTCTTCAACGCGATTTCTCGGAGACTGAGCTGAAGAAACTCACGAGCGATGAGATCTCCCCTTCCAACAGTGTCCTTGCCACCCCCAACAACGGCTACGACCTCTCTCTGTCCACACCCATCTCTGCGCAGGGAGATACCAACCCACCCGCTGGAACCCAGCAGTCGCCACTGGAGACGCCGACGCCAGGTTCCACCGCGGCTGCCAAAGCCGTCAATGACATCTTTAGTTCCGCATCCAAGCCTCGCCCGACACACTTTTCCAACCAGCTCCTCACCCTCACCGCTCGCCTCCCAGAGCTTCCCCCTGCACTCTCGTCACCCCCGCTCAACCTCCCACCTTCGCCAGCCTCGTCTTCCGCTGACCAACCCGACGAGGACTCGCTCGACGGTCTGCGTGTGGGGAAGCCGACCAAGGAGGAGACGAAAGTCATCAACGAGGCCGTTGACGAGATCCACAGGTTCGTCTTGCGTACGGCCCAGCAACTTAACCGAGCCCCCGCTGTCATCTACAACGCGTTGGCGTCCCGTTCATCCATAGCCGCAAGAGGCCAACGGCATCCCTGGAACGTCTTCCAGCCCTTTTTTTTCCGCAACAAAGAAGTCGTGAAGAAGTTGTGCCCTGGGGTGGAGGGTGACCAGCGTCAGTGCCCCTTTACAACTTGCGTTACTGTCTCACTGATGTCTCGATCTTCTAGCGAGGGACTACTGGCTCGACTTTCAAAAAAACGTGCCCAACTGGCAGGAAATGCTGGCAACCGAGTCGGCGTTGATGGACCTTTCCGAGACGAAGACGTATCGCCAGAAAAAGAAGGAGTTCGCCAAACGTGCGCAAGATTTGGAGTCTCGCGTATGTGGTCAGCATTTTCGTCGTGGTGGCCGTCTTTAACCGTACCCTCTTTCAGTTCCTTTTGATGAATCAAAGCCTCGGGGCGGAAGGCCTGTTCATCGTCATCGGGTCCAGCGTCAACCAGGACGGAGGCTTGTCCCACATCTATACGACTCCCAACGCCATGGGCTTTTTTGAAGACCGCTTACGCTGCAAGGAGTCGGCTGTTGTGGGTCAGCTGCGGTCGCACGTATTGTGAGTACCTTACGGTGTACCCGAGTATAATCATAGGGCTAATTTCTCTCATGCAGTGATGCTCTTTCGCGTTCATATGCCGCCGACCTCCCCGACCTACCTCCTGTCCTTTCCCAAGCGGACTTGAACGCCGCCAAATCGACAGCATCTACATCTGCCGCGCAGGGCCAAGGACCCCCTGCATCACCCGTCCAGAGCTCGGCCCGCCCGCCCGTGTCCACCGCCTCCAATGCTATGGAAGACGGCGACGAAGACGCGATAGTGACAGCACGCAAAGAACTTGGCGCTGTGCTACTGCCAATGCTGCAGAAGTGCGGCGTGAAAATCTCCGGCACATCCATCCCCTGGGTCAAACTCCCCGAACGCCTCGCCGCCGCTGGCATCGCCATCCACAACATTCCCTTCGGATGCCCGTTCCCTGGGGAAGACAAACTCAATCGCCTTGTCACCAGTGGTTCAGGTGTCCGAGCCATTGGACTTGAGAACATGAAACTGCTGCACTCCTCGCTTTTGGGCCCCGATCCCCCGCGTTTCGTCAAGTCGAATAAATTCAGTGAGTCTACATCTTGCCAAGGGATCCGACAAATGACTGACCGTCCACGCAGAACTCCAATCGAGCAAAACCCCGTTGTTCATCGAGGCACCGCCACCGGCGTCGTCAACCCAGTCCTTCGCACGTCGGCGCTTTTTGAATCACAAGCTCGACAACAAGGGCCCCCCTCGTATCGGATCCGGCTTCCAGACGCCACCCGGTTCCCCCGATTCGTCTCCGTCTCCCCAGCCAAAGCAGGAACCTGATACAGAGGCCTCCCCGCACAGCATCCCCCGTGGGAAGCGTCGTCGCGATGTCGTTTTGTCGGACGACGAACCCTTGGCTTCTCCCCCCCCTCCCCCGGAAAAGCCAAGGAGTAGTCGAAATGCACGGGTGGAGATCATCAAGGCTGGGAAGAGCGCGCCACCAGTACGTTTTGTTGACGACGATGAAGAGGACGAAGACTTCATCTTCTCCGAACCCGATCCCGACAGTCCAGTCCGTCGTCGTCGTCGACCTGCCACGCCTACCCCAAGTCCTGAACCTGAACCTGCGCCTCCCAGCAAGCGTCACCGTGCCCGTTCCGAAGCACCGACCAGCCACTCGCCGCCGAAGCCGACCATTCGTCAACAGTCCGAAGCCCCCTCGAAGTCAAGTGTTTCGCGTGGCAAAGCGAAGGTTGTCCCCGAGAACCGCCCGTCCCCTCCTGCCAAACGTCCATCCCCGGGCTCGGAGGAACAGACCTCCTTCAAGAAACCTCGAAGTAACGCGCATACGAGCTCTGGAATGGCCAAGACGTTTGGAAAACCGGTTCCCTCCCACAACGGACCTATATCTTCTGGCCCCCCCCTCAACCCTCGCGTTAAGAGCATCGACAGTCGGCTGTTCGCTCCTCCCCTCGACGATGCTCGTCTCCAACAGTATCTGAACGATGGGAACCTCAGCAGAATGTTGGCGGATGTTCATGCTTCACGTGGTACGGGCTCCCAACAGCCAATGCAGCCACCACCCTTCCCCCGCCCCAACATGTCCTCGCCGTCCAAGAAGCAAGAACCCACCGTCCCCGCAAGCCGCCCGGAATGGGCACCCCTCCGTACGTTCCCAGCGGCATCCTCCACATCAGCCTCGTCCTCCTTTGCGCCGGCAGCTCCATCGTTCCCACCCGCACCCACGCCGACAGCCTCGTCCTCCTTTGCGCCGGCAGCTCCTTCGTTCCCACCCGCACCCGCGCCGACAACCTCGACCTCCACTGCGCACGCGAGTATGTGGACCACGGGGAACCATCAACACACTCGTCCAGTCCTACGCCTCGTATCTGCAGTTCTGCGCGCAAATGAAGACCGCCCCTATGGATATGGCTGCGTTTGCAGCCCTGGGGTTCCCTCCCGCCGGTCCTTCGCCAGCGTCGTAGACGCATCCTGCCACGCTTCCCTCCTACGCCAGGACGTCTAGCCGAGCCTTTGCCCGTTATCACCTGAAGATCTTGGACGTTTACATTACCACTGCTTGCCGATCGTTTATTATACACTTGCCCTACCTACCCTTTTTGCCCGTTTATGATGTACGAATACACGTATATAAAAATAATGAATTTCTTGCTTCTTGACATATCGAGGAATCGAAGAGAAAGAGATCCAGAGCATTCGGTGTTTATGTCTGTTTGATTGAACATAGGAATAACAATGTGTATGTTTGTGTTTTTCCTGGTAGCTCAGACATGGCGTGATTGTCACGTCAGGTATCTGAACAATGTCATATTGAGAGAGCGCCTTATATCACAACATGAGTCTCGACATACGGCGCGAAGATCCATGCCACCGTACGCGCAACATAACGTGAACTCGCAACAGAACGTGAACTCGGCACGCATGGAATGGCCTGTTCACGCGTTGGTCTGCGTCCTGCAGACGTACATTGCGTAGCCTCCCCACGTCTTCCTCCGCGACGTTTCCCCATTAAGGTTTAAGTGATACACGTCAAATGCCGTCAAAGGTAGTGAGGGGGGTCGGAAATGGTCCGAAATAGGGCCCCAATGGTGCTTCCATCAGCGGCCTGCGCTGCGGGTAAGAAGGAAACACGTACCTTGAACGTGTTTGGAGGTATATAATGTAGGAAAGAAGAGATTATCGATTACTCTGCGATAGGAAATAGGCAAGAAGCAGAATTCTATCGCGTTGTGATGACAGCTGTGCTTGAACAGGTGTGTTTGTGTGTACGGTAACAGCGTAACGATTCCAAGTGACCCTCACATTAATAAACTCCGCTGCCAATCCGCTGCCGCGTTATGCGGTGCGGAGCAAGCCCCTTGCTTCGGTCCGGACGCGGCCGGACAGCTTGCAGTTCTTCGAGATTCTTGTTTTCCTCAGAAGTGACTAGTGACTGGTAGGGGACCGATTAAGAGTTCGAGGTTCGAATGGCAGAGGAGTAGCGAGATTAAATCCTCGAATTCCCATCTGGTAAGTGCATTGAGAGGGATGAGATTTATTTCGCCTAGTCTGAACCAGCTCGTATTTGAAATTCAGGCGAAGGGAACAAGTTTGCATAATGCATTTGCTTGGATGGAACGGTCACATGACTATGTTGATTTTTTGCTCTGAGCCTTCGCCGGTCGCTCGCGTTTGTTCTCCCACCCACCTCCACCCAGCGGTCCCAGTTTCCCTTCCGAGATCAAGCGCGCTGCGCTTCTGGAGACAGCTCCTCCCTGGTTTTACTTTCGCTGGTACGAGCGGGAATTGGATTGTTATTGATCATGTGGTAAGTGTGACAAGACGAGTCTCTAGTAGTAGAGCCACTAATCATTTCTTCCCCATTTCACTGGTACAATCCACAGGTTCGGAAGTTCCTCATTGAGTGACGGAATCAGATGTGGAAGGACAGTCAGAAGGATTGCGCGGGCTCGCTGAAGGAATTGTTGAACGTTGAACGCTGAGCCGGACACTTCCATGGACGACTCCAAAATAGACCGCAGGCCCCACGGCGGCTTTGGCAGCTGGCCACCTCCTTGGACGAGTTTATCTACGGCTGACGGTGAGGTACGTGTTTCGCTCGCTGCTTCATGTATAGACATTCACGGCCCAGCTTGAAACCGACGCCGGGCAACTCGTGTGGTTGGAACGCTTGACGGCGTCTTCTCGTTCAAGTTATTCGCGGTTTGGTACGTACTTCTTCAGATACGGGTCTTCAAAGTTTCGTTGACACGTGCGAGAAGAGTTGAGTTGAACTGTTTGAGACATTTCGTGCAACTGGTAGACGGGCGGTTAATGCAGTCAGCATTTACGAGGACCGGAGTCGAGATGAATTCTTGGTTTCGAGGTATCAGAAACTCGGGGTGATGTACTGAGGTTCTGCGCACAACAGGCGCGACGTCGCGTTGAATCTGACAGTGGCGTTTACGTATTATCGTCAGGGGTTGAGATTAAACGTTAAACATTGGTTTACCTGCTGTTAGAGGTCAGCTACAAAGGAGAATATTGAAACTGAGCTCCTTTCACCTTGGTGAACGTACATAGCACCGTCGAGGTTGGGGTACTGGGCCGAACACCTGTTAGTACGTAGCATACTCACGAGCTAAGTACATAGCCCAGCTTGGATGAACGTTGGAATTGCTCGCCTGTTTGGCTATATGTGTTCACCATCAGCCTCCATCAGCGGACTTTGGCGAGCGCCAAAAGTTGTTCAAACAAAAGGCAGCCCGTCATCGAGGTCATGACGCTATCAAACCCCAGATGACCGTGTCCACTGCTGCAACGGTAGCCAAGGATGTAGAGAAAGCCGTCAAGGAAGACCTTGAACACAACGTCCGCGTTTGCGAGCTTCAGGAGTTCGTGAACCGACTTTTCCCCGTCAACCGCGACAAGCTCGCCAACATTGTCGCCAAGCTCAAGCGGTCCCACTTGCTCTCGGAATCAGGCTGGACCGGCCTTCCCGAACAGCCAGGCGGGGCAGAGATCCACTACTACAAGCCCTATACCGAGATTCTTGAAGCCATAACGAGTGCGGCGCTGCGTTGCGGTTCAGAGGACGAGGACCACGTGCCAAGTATCTGGCTAGATCGCTATGAGTCTCCACCACAGTCTAATGTCGAGAACGCCAGCAAGTTGCGCCCAGATTTGAATAATCTGATTTTTGACCCCAGTATCGACACGAAGAAGCAACTCGCCGATTGTCTGGAGGTCAGTAGTAGGCTTCTCTTCCTTTGGGCAGAGTCTGACGAAAACGTTCAGGAGGCATGTGGGGCAGAAGCGAGTAGCAGCGATGATGCCAGGGCATCGAAGCGTGCCAAAACACAAGGAGAATCCAAGGTGAATCAATCGCCCTTTTACATCTCGATTGACGAGCGCCTCTTTCTAACCCGTTCTCGTTGACGAAGTCTGCGCAGTCCTTGGTTGTCTCATGGCTCAGAACTCGCGGTGTCGCCGAAATCAAGGCGAAATATGAGCAAGTTGGGAAGACAGCGGTTCAGCTGGGAACCTACCTTCGGCAGATGCTGCGAGAGCAGCACGATCGCCGTTTTGTTTTCGGTTTCATCTTCTTCCACCGTTCACTGTCAATCTGGTACTGTGACCGCTCAGGTCTCCTTGGAGCCGACCGGGTTATCAACATCGACAGGGTATGTGCGCCAGAATGGTTCACTGCGGCTGTCAACTGGGATCTCACCGATTTACTCTAGAATCCGGAACTTTTCATCCAGGTTATGGCCAGCTTTGCATCGATGGGCGCGGAGCGTCTGGGATTCGATCCAAATATGAAGATGGTCGTGCCTGGCTGTGCCCCTGCCTTCAGCTATGCTCTGCCCTTCCACCGGATCCCCAAGCAACGACATAGGCTCCACTGGCAAATCAAGATCGATGGCGTGATTTACCAAACCGTCGAGATCTTGAGCGTGGCTCGGTCTGAAATCATGTGTGGCCGAGCAACACTTGTATGGCGGGCGGTGCGACTTGATGAGCTCGAATCTTCTGAGCCGGTAAGATCAACATTCCCGTTCACGACTTTTTTCTTCAGCTGACGGGCTCCATCAGGAATTGGTTATCATCAAGCAATCGTGGCGACTGCACATGCCAGGTGGTCTCAGTGAGCTCGAAGTCTACCAGCTGCTTGGCGATTTTGGAGGGCGTGCGGCGACTTGCAGCGGGGAGGATGTCCCAGGCTCCCACACTGCGGACCACCTTCGTCGTGGACTCGAATCCAAGGCATCCACGCTGGACGATTCACAAACGACAGAAGTGCACGACCTCCCTCCTGATGAACATTTGCTCCACAAGGCGCAACCTCGAGTTGGCAAAGGGGCGGCCAAGTACATGCCTCGTGTCCAGCATCGTATGATCATTCGGCTGAATGGCCTTCCGATCAAGATGTTTGGTGGCGTTTGCGAGCTATTTGGGGTGGTCATCGACGTGCTCAAAGGTATGTAACATGTCATGGATTGTGAGGTGTCTTGCGTCTTGACATTGTTGGGGACAGATTACGAATATGCCTACTATGAAAAGGGTATATGTCATCGAGACATCAGCATGGGGAACATTGTCATCGAATGCGTAAAGCGCTTGGGGAGGCTCATTGACTTTGACCACGCTAAGACCCTTCCTGGCTACACTCCCAAACAAGTTTCGTCCCTCCAGAACGAATTTGCTGAGCACATGGCGGAGCTTCACCGATTTCGTGAATGGAATGAGCTTCCTCGTCTGTCTGACAACCTTGTGTTGTTGCTCCTATACCTGGCCAAAACAGATGCCTCCAAGGTCTCACTGGTTGATTGGAACAACCCCAAGATCGCCGCCAACCAGGTCCAAAGTCTTTCAGACCACGTGACTGCGGGCCTTCAGGTATGTCAATCGCTTGTGATTAACGTCCGGGTTCCTGACCCTTGTCCCTCCAGCTCGAGAACATAGAGGGCGAAATCAAGATATCCCATATACTCCCGTCCTTGGGTGACGATGTAGGTGCTTCTGCGTCTACTATCGGCGTGCTTCTAAAAAAGCTTATCTCTGTCCTCCAGCCATACCTCCCTCCCAATTTCACTGAGAGACGACAGATCCATACGTTTGTCACGGTATGCAATTACTTTGGTTATGTCAGCCTCTGAGCTGACACCGGACTTTCAGGGCACGGTACCGTTCATGGCCCATGACCTCAATATCAGGGACGTCGTACACACCGCCAGACACGACATGGAGTCGATCCTGTGGATTCTGGTTTACCTGGGCATTACACGGGATGGCGTGGGGGGAGCCAGTCGCCCTCAGCCTCAAACAATGGATGGTCTGCTGTATGAGGCGGCATCCCTGCGCTACTGGCTTTTCGAGTCGACGGGCGGGGAAATGACCCACTTTGAAACAAAAAAGGCCTTTCTTGACTCATCGCCTACCGGACTCGACCAGTATGTCTTCCGCTACTTCCACGAAGACCTGCGGCTTTTGAAGGTCGTTATCATCAAGTGGACGGACATTTTACGCCGCGCTCGCGGAGGCGATTTACTCTGCAAATTTTACACCCCAATGGCCTTCCGTCAAGCTGCGGAGGAGGTGAAGGCCGGCATCCACCGCGCGATGGACAATCTCGATGCTGGTGACCTCAGCGACGAGGATCTCCGACTCATTCAAAGCGCCCTTGAGCGTCACAATGCGACCGTCGAAACTCAGAAGCTCCATATGGACAACCTCCTCCGAGCTGGCATTGAGCTCGTGCGGAGCGCAACTGCTGAACATGCGCGGGACGAAGAGGAAGAGAACGACACCACGACCCCAACGAATGAGCGCCCAAAGATCTTCGACATGAGCCCTTGCGGAAAGCTCGACGAGCGTACTGCTGGGAGGACGCCTAACTTCCAACAGGGTGGTCGTTAAATGGCGCGTGGTCCCATTCCTGAACAGCCGGGTCCTTGGAACCCATCGAATACAGGTAGCAACTGCTGGTAGCCGAGCAGACGGGCTGATTGAGGACTCGTGGCAGAGAGCTGGCCATACGGCCGCCTGCGGCCTGGAGAGTAATATGATCATGGCATGTACATACTTGAACCTATTCTTAGACTGTAAATGATACCTCAATGGTCAACCATGTGCCCTCGAACACCAACTAAAGTCGCTGTCGTGGCACGAGTCACGACCCGCGCGCGCTTGTGTGATTTGCTTTCGATCGGGGCGCTCTATAAGTAGCCCGTGGCCCCGTCGAAGATGTTTAACAGAGAGGTATACGCACTGAGATTACCAATAAACGGAATAGCATCATCAGCAAGCGTGCATCAAGTACAAGAGGAATGGACCGGATATAATCGAGATTCGGTCATTTTTGCACAACGGAAGGGAACTCACCGACTAGCCTCATATCGACCTTTTTTTGCCCTGGGGATCCGTACCGTTTCACACCCGGATCCGACCATAGAATTAGTCTGCCAAAGGGCATTCGTAGTTGGAGAACCAGAGCCAATCGAGTCCTTTCAGCGTGAGAATTGATCACATTGGAACGACCGCGTCGAGAGCCGTTTGGTTCTTGCTTGGTTCTTGCTCGTTACTCGTTGCTCAATCGTTGCTTGCCATGTACGACAAACTCAGCTCTCGTTTCCTCAGTCAGAACCGATACATATGGGCTCCGTCGGCCCCGTCCAAATTCAATGGGGCGGACTTGGTGTAAGCTCCCTTTCCTCCTCGAATTGCATGTTCATTCCTCTTTAGTTTTTCTTAGCAGTCTGAATGCCAACGACCTGGGTATGATCTTCGCAATTCAGCGAACGACGTATGACCGATACGTCGTTCACCTACTTCGGGCGCATTTGGGTGGTCGGGTCTTTGCTCGAATCGCCTGGCTGGCGGAAGAGGCCAACCAGAAGGCGAAGCAAACTCGGAGAAGCATTGCTATGGAGGTCGATTGACCTCAGAGTGTTCGAGCGGTAGGCGGAGGACACAGGAATATGTTAAGATCCCTGGAGAGTCCCCTGGTAAGCATGTCTTTATCTTCAGGACATAAGGATGTAATCTTACATCCACACCCACACAGGTACAATGTAATTTCCTCTGCGTCGCTGCGAACAATTTACGAGCCCAGGCAGGCTCCTCAGCATTACCTCCAAGTCCATGATACTACCACGTCGTAGCCGTGCGTTAGCCCACCACATATCGTTAGGCCAACGCCCTCCCGCCGTCATCGGGTGCCACCCAGCGTAGCGTTGGAATCCCCGAGCCGTCAGAGATAGGGTGTGGTCGGAGCCTTGGATCGCCGGCCCGTCTGAACCTGTCTCTTCCGGTGGGATCCCTCGCCAAACCTTTGACCAGTACCCCGATAGGTGTGCCGTTTTGAACGCGGTTGTCTAGATCCTAATTGACCTACCTATCTACAGCTTGGCTCCTGCTGGGAGTTGTTTATAAGCCATGGCTTTCCACTACCGCCATACGACAACCAAAATAATCCATTGAAGATGTTTAGTCGTTGAACCAGGTGGCGATGCGGCAAGCCCGTAAGTAGTTCCATGGACTCTTCACCACAAGAGTAACGTGTCTTCAGGCTCTTCCCCTCGAATTGTACTCTGGGTCGGCTGGCGCGTAGACAACGATGCGGCAAGGTCGTACCAAGAGTGGTTGAAGATCCATCTCCAAGATCCCAAGCCCGGTCCCATTGCTTCTGGACGCCGCTACGCGTCCCTCCACCCTTGTAGGTGATGCTCTATTCCAGGTGACGGCGATAGCCAGGTGGCCAATTACATTTGTGCTCGAAATCAATTATCCATAAAGTCGCACGACGCAGCAGTCAACCTTGTAACTTCCAAAGCGGGCCCGGGTGCGTCGAAACCGGAAGCTCCATCGCACATATGCACTCCCTGCAGCTTTAAGCCGAATCATTCCCTGCTAGAGTTAGTCTGTACATCGCGCTGAATGTCCAGTGACTCGACTAACCTGACTGGGTCCCGCAACTTCCCACTTCAGCTGGACACTGTCCGCACTTCGGATGATCGCGACCTCGGACCAAGTGCACACCCTGCGGCGCTCAACGTCTCGCGTACACGCAGTCTCTCTCTCACTCACCCTTCGGATGGTCGTGGACCGTGGTTGGATGGCCGTGGTGGATGGGATGGGTTCCGACCTGCTTGAAATTTTTGGATTGTCGCGGACGGATCGAATTCACTGTACGGCGTAAAAAACGCAGCATTCTGGCGTTGTGGAAGTCATCCGTGGTGTCTGTCCTTGCTGCAGACGTCTCCACTCTGGGGCTGGTGTACGTTGGCGATCATCTTCGAGGGGTGCGGGTGGTCCACGACTCGCCGCGCTGGTTGATGGGATGAGGTCTTTGAACGAGACATTCCTCGCTCACCCCCACGGTCACGTCCCCGGTTCTATTGATCACCTGCGAGTGGGCTCTTGGTGCAAGGGTGATGAAAACGCGTAGCGGCCAAGCCATTAAATAGCTTCAGAGTAGCAGGTCAAGTTACAACATGGGTGGATGAATAGGATTGCAGGGGTGTAAGTATTGGTACATCGGCGGGGCATGGAGACAAGCTGGAGTAACAAGATACAAGTACACGACGAAAGGGCAGACAGCATGGAGCACAAAAAGTATACGAGCGAGGCCTCCTGCTACAGACACATATTTACGTTCGACATGGGGGCGCGGCATGGAGACAAGAGGGGGGGAGGGTGAGGCATCACCAGCGACTTGTAGGGTGTATGATTACGTCTCTGATAGCGGTGTGGAGTTGTGGGTGGCAGGCCACGGCCAGCGCTTTCGAGCGGAATCGGAAATGGATTCTTGACACCTGCAAAATCACCTATTAGTGCATGTTGTTTCCAGAGGTAACAAATTCCACTCACTTCTTCCAATTTTTACCATGCCAAACAGCATCGGTAAGCTCAATGTCAATGTAAGGAACACAGCCAATAACTCTATGCAGGCCCGGGAAAGGCCCCTTGCCACGATACTTGGGTAAAACCCATAGGAGCAGGTCACCAGACTGGTTTCGGATCCATCCATCATCTCCCATCCGGAGGCTAGGGAAGGGATAATGGTATGCAAAAATCTGGGTAGACGTGAGAGATGGTGTTGGAGAGGGGTGTAATGTCCAAAGCCGAACAGTTTTATCATGGGATCCAGATGCAATGCAGGACCCATTAGGGGAGAAGGCAACTGATGTGACCCCATTCGTGTGGCCCTCCATGGGCTCAAGGAGGCCCTTCCCGGAGTGTGCATCCCAGATGCGGATGGTGCTGTCATCTGATCCAGAGGCAACACATGTCCCATCAGGGGAGAAGGCCACTGATGTGATGGGTTCAGCATGTTTCTGCATGAGCTCAAGGAGGAGGTTCCCTGAGTGAGCATCCCAGATGTTGATGGTTGCATCATAGGATCCAGAGACAATGCGAAACCCATCAGGAGAGAAGGCAACTGATGCGACATAATTTGTGTGCGCCCACATGGGATTGAGGAGGGCCTTCCCTGAGTAAGCATTCCGGATGCGGATAGTCTCATCAAAGGATCCAGAGACAATGCGGGACCCATCAGGGGAGAAGGCAACTGATGTGACACAGCCCTTGTGCCTCTGTATAGGCTCAAGGAGGGGCTTCCCTGAGTGAGCATCCCAGATGCAGATGGTATGGTCCTCTGATCCAGAGGCAATGCGGGTCCCATCAGGGGAGAAGGCAACTGATCTGACCCCATCTGTGTACCCTTTCATGGGCTCAAGGAGTGCCTCCCCTGAGTGAGCACTCCAGATGCGGACAGTATTGTCACGAGATCCAGAGGCAATGCGGGACCCATCAGGGGAGAAGGCAACTGATGTGACCTTTTTGGTGTGCCCTTGGATGGGCTCAAACAGGGCCTTCCCTGAGTAAGCATCCCAGATGCAGATGGTATTATCACTTGATCCAGAGGCAATACCAGATCCATCAGGGGAGAAAGCAACCGATGTGACCCCTTCAGTGTGCCACTGCATAAGCGGAAGGAGGGCCTTCCTGGAGTGAGCATCCCAGATTCGGATGGTCTTGTCATAGGATCCAGAGACAATGTAAGACCCATCAGGAGAGAAAGCAACTGATGAGACAGTTTCAGTATGCCCGTGCATGGGCTCAAAGAGGGCTTCTCCTGACAAAGCATCCCAGATGCGGATGGTGTTGTCACGAGATCCAGAGGCAATACGGGACCCATCTGGGGAGAAAGCAATTGATGTGATCCTTTCGGTGTGCCCCTGCATGGGCTCAAACAAAACCTCCCCTGAGTGAGCATCCCAGATGCGGATGGTGTCATCACCCCATGCAATGGCAATACAGGACCCATCAGGGGAGAAGGCAACTGATGTGACAGTTTCAGCATGTTCCTGCATGGGATCAAGAAGGAGCTTTCCTGAGTAAGCATCCCAGATGCAGATGGTATGGTCCTCTGATCCAGAGGCAATGCGGGTCCCATCAGGGGAGAAGGCAACTGATCTGACCCCATCCGTGTGCCCTTTCATGGGCTCAAGGAGTGCCTCCCCTGAGTGAGCACTCCAGATGCGGACAGTATTGTCACGAGATCCAGAGGCAATGCGGGACCCATCAGGGGAGAAGGCAACTGATGTGACCTTTTTGGTGTGCCCTTGGATGGGCTCAAACAGGGCCTTCCCTGAGTGAGCATCCCAGATGCGGACCGTGTTGCCATGACATCCAGAGGCAATACAGGACCCATCAGGAGAGAAGGCAACTGATGCGACTGGGCTGGTGTGCCCCTGCATGGGTGGTAGCAGATATTCACCAGTATCTGCATTGAAGACTGCAACAACTCCATCTGAACAGCCTACAGCAACAGAACGGCCATCTGGAGAATATGCAACAGAGTAAACCCCCCCATGCTGGCTGTGTATTGTCAGTAATGTCTGACTGGTCTGGTGATACTGGCTGGGATGGATGGTGGGAACACATGGGAAGGCAGGGATAGGCAGAGCCGGAAATGATTGGGATGCACAGGCAAAGGGGATGGCGGAGAGGTAGAGGTGTGGGGTGCTGAGGTTAATGGGAGTGGCATATGCATATGCAAAGTTGGCAATCTGCTTCAGCAAGGCCTTGAGGTCTGCATCTGTAACTGAGGGCTCCTATTCAAGTGATATCAGCATAGGAAGCCGATGTGAAATGGCAATGATGACCAACCTCAGCTACCTCCCATAGAGATTGAGCATACCCTACTCGCTTCTCCACACCCAGGGCCTCCAACCAGAACAGCCACTTCACCTTCAACAGTGTCTTCATCGCTGCTTGCAGTAATGGAGGAACACCCGCGCGCCTGACATGGTCGACCCATGCAGAGGCTGCATATGCCAGTTCGGACGGAAGCGCCAATGGGACCAGCTGTTCGTCGTTGCTCTTGTATGATGTTGCTGCGCCCGAGACGCCAAAACACAGCTGGGAACGGAGGAGCTCAATGCAGGCTTCCCCAACGATGGAATGTGCGGTGGTGGTGTCGACACCCCACAGTCGTCCACGTTGCTTCTCCGAGGTCAAGTAGTCGACGAACGAAGCATGGTAGATGGAGATAACACCGTCATCATTGCCCTTGGAAGGCATCCGAACCACAGAGTGAAGTGCTACAAAAGCTTGACGGACCCCATCCGGTGTGAGCTCACCAGGCAAAAGACGGGCGTAGTCGTTCACCGAAAGTGGTCGCAGGGCAGCAACAAGCAGCATGAGACAGAGGTGGGTAACATCGGCCTCGTCCTCCTCAAGGCCGTTGAATGCCTCGTTGAGAACACGGTCATACAAGTCGTCGATGGAAGAGAGGGGTTGGTAGTCCGTATTTGCCAGCCGTTTGAACCGCTTGAGGGGGTTGCCGACATCAGTGTCGATGTACTTGACCATGGTGGCGGCGGCGATGAACAGGTCTCCAGCTTGGTCCGCAATCTTCTGCACCTCCAGAGGTGGCCAGACAGATTCGTATTCATCCCGAATGACGTCGATCCGGAAAAGGCTATCGGCGACGAAGGCGAAGATGTCAGCTCGCACAATATTCTTCTCAATGTCGTGGAGTCGAACAAGGTCGTGCACGGAGGAGGCGTCGAATGTGCGACGGATAGCAGCCTCGGGACGGCTCGTAACGAAGAACTTGAGAGGGACGGATGGTCGTTGGGAAATGATCGCCTTGAGGAGGAGCTCCGTTGCTTTCTTCTTGCCGCACTCGTCCAAGGCGTCGATGACGACGACGACGGTGGTTCCCGCGCCTTTGAATGCGCTCACAGCTGGCTCGAGGATGAGCTTCTGGTACTGGTCTTCGAGCTTCATCTTGGTCGGGTCGTCGCACGATTTGAGAACGGCATCCAGCGCTTCACGGAACTGCGCATTTGATCTGGCCATAGCCTTGGCGAGCGTGGGGATAATGAGTTGCGCGTCCTTGCGGTCGTCGACCTTGATCGAGCAAAAGAAGCTCGCGCCCAACATCTGGCGCTTGTCGAGCTGAGAGCAGAAGGTCTCTGATATCGTCGACTTGCCCGTCCCAGCGGCCCCATTCAACCAAAACAGGTGCGGCGAATGGACGTTCTTCGCCCAACCCATGAGGTCGGCAAGTAGTGCAACGCGTGTCCCTGGCGTGCAACCTGGTCGACCAAGTTCGTCTTGCCCAAAAGCAGCGCCCTTCACATTCCCTAGCTTGTCTAACAAGGTCCTCACCTCAGAGACCGTGTTGCAATATCAATGAAACGGACATACCATCCAGAACCAAGAGATCGATCCCCTCCATCATCCGAGACGAGCCTTGCAGACCCTCTTCCACTGGATTCGAAGCGTCAGTCACAAATATCCCAGAGGTATCAGGCCACAACTCACCCTTTTCCCCCACCCAACCAATATCCCGAACCACCCGAAGGATCTGCCTATTATTATCCACAGTGACGTCCAACTGGCAGGACATCAACACAGAAACAGATAATGGATGCGATTTTGACCTACCACTGCAACTTCAATGGCCAAATTGATCTCCCTCACAACCTGCACCAGTTCCTCCTGGTCGTCCTTGGCAAAAACAAATCGTCCTACAAGGCTGAGACTTCGCCCGGCCTTTGCAATCTTCTCCTCGAGCGCCTTCGTTTTTCCTTCCAGCGTCCTGTGAGCGAAAAGTCGCGTCAGGCGATACGGGTAAAAAGAAAAGTCGAAACCCACTTACAGCGCGAGGCTCTGCAAGCGAGCGTTGACAGCGGGATCGAGGCTCTCCGGGCGCCCAGCGAAGATTTGGCAAACAATATCCAGCCTGGATGCCAGTTCCTTCGCCAGATCTTCATTGTCCTTGAGTATCTGTGAATTATATCAGCATCTACTTTCCAGGAGAAGAAAGCAAAGAATGACGGCGCACATTAACATTCTCCAAAATCTTCTGCAACACGGAGGCTGCAGCTTGCATGGGCGGAAAGGCTTCCGATACAATTATGAGTCCGTCCACAATTGCCTTGACCGATTTGAAGGCCGTTGAGTCTTGCCAGGTTGACCTATCGTTGTCCTTCGCGTTGTTCCCAGAAGCAACAGGAGCTCCAGAGGGCGGGCCCGAAATCTCTTCGACGGAAGCCGGCGATCCATGGTAATCGTCCCCAGCAGAGGTGGTAGGTGGGTCAACCGTCTGAGTGGTACCTCCGAATGCTTGTTGGATCCTCAGATTCGCGGAATCCCTGTGAACGGATGGCGAGGGCGATGAAGATTTGGAATTTCCAGGTGAGCCCCGGAAAACGTCCTTGAAGAATCCTTTGAATTTGTCTCGTTTTCTAGCGCGCTCCATCGTGGTTTTGTCGATTTTAGTGACGTCCGATGCGTTCGTAGTCGTTTCGTCGAACTTGCAGTGGTTCAACGTTCTGGCCTCAGAGCTCAGAGCCAGTGTGTGATGCGAACAAATCAACACGGGGCCTGTCATTGATTTCCATTTCGAGCAGACGTCGAGTTGTATGGGAAAGGCGTTGAAATGCGCTGGGGAACTCCCGATTTGCTCTGAATGAGGTATTATTGGAGAAGTATTCGCTGTTAGGGAGTTCAAAGCGTGGCAGTCTCTCGATGGGGACCAGGCCAATTGTTGCATGGAGTCCCAGTCTTAGGCCAAGGTGTACGAAGGTGATCGATCCTGGTGGTCGGTTACAAATAAAAAAGAGTCAGCCTTTGCTTATCGTGTGGTACCAAAGGAAATTGCACGAACGGTGACATTTTATTTCTGCTGAACCCTCGCTGAACGGAGGCGACCATGACGGCGGGAAGCAAAAGGCGGGGTTGCCAAACAAAGCAATTGCCTCATCCAAGCGGGAGGTTCCAGTTTCGAATCCCGTTGGTAGCTATGCCATTGTGACAAAGCCTCTGCACTGCGTGCGCGCTGAGAATTATATGTATAGGCGCTGTACAGAACCCTCAAATGAAGATCATAATCGCTGGAACACTAAGACCTTCACAGGACCTACCAGTAGTTGTCTTTGGCGACAGAAGGAATAACATGCAACTTGAAATGCTCGCAGGTCTGCAAATGAGTAGGCCACCCAGATTTGTGGTAGATACTCGAGTATACGAAGATACGAATATGGTGCAACAGTATCGTCTCCGGTTCAGAGGAGTGGTCCAGATAACACTCCACTCTGAGTCACCCTGCTCCCGACGGAGACTCTAGCACCAAACGACCACTACCGTCCACTAGATAGTCCAGTCGATCGTTCCGACTTTCTCAGATTGGACTGTCGAGAAAGCACCGAGAGTCTAGTCGACGCCGGGGAAAACCTCTGGGAAGGGCTACGTATAATTGCTCACAAAAACTTAGATACCATAATGAACAAAAGGAACCCAACGATGGAACGGCCTATCCAGATCACGCAAGACCTTGGTAGCAAGATGGAGTGCAGAAGCGGCATCCGTAATATCCGGAGCAACGGCCGAACCTTCACGGAAAAGATAACCATAGAAAGCGTCGGCGACGATGGGCCCATCTTCATCCTCGATTTCCCTGAACAAAGTTGTCAAACATCAAATCAGTAAACCCGTCATCATGCCAATGCCAAATCGAAAGGACACAGTAGACTTACCACATCGTCGCCACACCACGGAAACCGGCAAACTGCATAGTTGCAGCGAGGGTGAGAGACTCATCAGGTCGTTCTTCGTCTCCCATCGCAGTTTCACAGGCACTCAAGTAGGCGAGCGCAGCCTCCGAGGTCTGACATTCGCGAATGAGGGACGAAATGGTGAGCCGGCCACCACTGAGAAGCAGGCAGCTGTCAAGTGGATTCGAAGGGTCCTGCGATCCGTGGCAGCCAAAATGAACGATAGACGAGGTCTTGATATCTTCTAGAATCGTCTTGGGACTTGTCGGAGCAGATGTCGAATCAATGCGAGTAACCAGATGTCGGATATCTGGTATGCGCGACTGAATCTTCTCGAGCTCTATTCTGGTTGCTGGAAGTTTTGATTCGGGCTCGATGGCGACGAGCATTTTGAAGTCCGGGTTGGGTCGAATCGGGGGTGGAGCGACGAGGTCTTGAGGCGACGAGCAGTAGGACGAAACGACGTAGTCAAATACACAATCGCATTCTTCATTGTGGCTGGTATAGACACCAGCAGCGTGGATTGGGAGGAAAGCGAATGGCCCTGTTGGACACCACCATAGTCGACGCGGAGTATCCGTCTAAGAACCTTGGTGAGGGATGCATCACACATAGGACTATAAGCTGCGCAAATACCTTCTGCACGTCTAGCGCTCTGATAACCGGCTGGGCGATCACAAACCACAAAACCCCAAGTAGTTGTCTGAAGTCGTCTTGAACCGTCCTACGTCTCTGATTCTTTCGTTGGAGAAGCTTCCTCGTTCTGGGGACATCGTCAAGCGATTGTTGAATCTTGCCGTCCAAAACGTGGCCTTGAGCCAGCCGATGGATCGCCATCTTCAAGGTCGCCAGATGCTCGGTGCTTGTGAGAAGAGACAGAGGGAGTAGGGCCCCATCCTGCTTCAGTATAAGCGCATGACATCCGTATTGACTGGCATTCAGGAAGACGATGGGCCCAGCCTTTGCGGCATGCTTAAGAGTCTCGAATGAAGAGGGAAGCAGGAAATCATGAAATCCATCCATACCCCTAATCTGTTCAAGGACGTCCTCCCTCTGTTTCGCGAGGAGATAAGGAGAAGGTTGTCGGACCACGTCCTTGACGCCGTCGGCGCCCCCTCTTTGCATTCGAGTGGTCGCATTTTCGAGCTGATGGGTGATCGAACGAAGCTCGGATGCCAGCAAGGGATGGCAAGCCTTCCTCCAGATCATCCACCCACCCATGACTAGCAAACCGAGTCAAGAGTGCCTTTGCGAGGACGACCTCGAAAGCCGCTTTCGCTTTGCGATTGGGTTCTTCGCTGATGGCATGGCGTAGAGTAGTGATCGCTTTTTCAAGGATGTCAAGCCGCATCTTGTTTGTCACTGCGTCCAACGATTCTTCCACGAGAAACAAAGTGCCGTCTAGACTCCCTACTTCTGGAATAGATCCTTGAGCGATCACTGCGATATCGTTGAGCAAGAGCAAACAACATACCAGTCGGTTCATCTCTCGCGCTGTGCTGGAGGAAATTTAGTTCGTCAAGTCTTGAGTATATTCGTAGATACTCACCTCGGTGTCCATGTTGGTGGCAAGATGGGGCATATGAGCGACATGGGCCATGAGGTTGGAAGACTTCGAAGCTTAGCTCTAAATACAGCCGTTAAGCGCTGGGGAAGCCACCGCACAAGCAACGTGTTTGTGTCCATCGAATCTCCAGTATGGCCGGCCTGTGAAGGTTTTCCCAGAATGCCCGCGATGAACGACATTTGACAGCAGTGATACTGTGACATTCAGTTGGAAGTGGGGCGAGATGTCTTCTCATTTGAAGTAAAGTGCTGAATGTGATCAGAACTGTATTACATAGATCGATTGAGAGGGCGTGTTTAACGGGGCCTTGTGATACCTGTTGAGCATTCGTCGCCCCCGACACTCCCGGGAGCACAACGGCTCGCGAGGCATCGTGACTTTGGACGGGATGTCCAGCAACGAAGGTTGAACGGCGGCAGCACCTAAGTTGCCAGCTATCCCATGACTCACGCCATCCACTGAATCCCATTGACCAGAGTGGGAGGGCGGTGACGCCTTTGAACTTGATGGGACCATCCTTTGAATTTGTCTCGTTTCCTAGTAGTTGAATTTTGCATAGCGGTAGATCGATTTGTTGACGAGTAACGATGTTCGTAGGTTTCGAAATTCGGTGCAGCAGTTCAGTGACAAGGTATGTCGAAGAACAAATCAACAGGAAGCGCACAGGCTGTCATCCGAACTTTCCATTTTGAGCGGTCCTCATTGGATTCACGCCACGGGACAGACGCGAGCTGGTCGCACATAAGAACCGCCTGGATTCGTTCATGGAGGGCGCGGAAGTAGAACTCTGGCTACGCCCGGGACCTTGGTATTCGCACTGCGGGGTTGCGAAGGGTGTCGAGAGAGTCAAACGACCACGGTTCTGAATCTAATTCTGAATCGTCGGTCTATTATACCGCCAGATTCGGACCTTACCCTGGGTTTATAGTCAGAACATCGTGCCCTAGCCCCATCCAAATGGTGAACTTACATCAAAATCAAGGTTATTTATCTTGAATCGTACATAGGGCGATGCGATGATGATGGCGAGAAGAAAAAGGCGGCGGGATTGCCAAACAAAGCAATTGCGAATCGACCTGGCAGTGATCGCCGGCACGCGTTCGAATCTCGACGGTTCACGATTAGTATAATGCACGCCAAGGCGTATGCTGACTTTTGTTCGTTCACCGAGAAAGAAGATAAAACCAAACGTTGGCTCAACAATCTCTCGCAAATTCAAACTTGGGGATGCAACCAGAGGCCGAAAATAAAATGTCACGCTCCTTCCTGCCTTCCAACGTTAACGATCATTTGGATCTCGCTCGACGCGCTTATAACCTCGTCTTGGAACTCGAAAGGTGAATCCAGCAGAGAAGTGATGGTGGGGGATTTGAACGCACTGCAAGCCAGCAAAACGAAACCCAACATAAATTACAATCGAAAGCACAAAAAACGCTAGAACGGAAACAAACTAAACGCAAGGACATCAATCATGAACTGGAGTCCTCCTTGCTACCCTCCTTGGGCACCTCCGGTGACGAATTCGAAGCCTGCGCGTCCTTGTCGCCTTCGACATCAGGTTCAGCTTTTTTCTCAATCGCGTCGGCTTCAGCAGGGGTCTCGGTCCCCGACGACTCGGCGTCTTCCTTCTTCTCTTCCTCCTTGACCGACGAATCCGCAGTCTCAGCTGCAGGCGGCGGTGCCGAATCCTCGCTCGGCGCTGGTGGCTCAACGGGTGCCTCAGCTGGCTCTGATAGTTCGGGTAGGATTAGACCGATGATTTTGTATTAGAAATGACAAGGTTAACTCACCAGGGGAAGCCTCAACCTTCGAAACGGTAGTTTCAGAGGCAGCTTCTGATTCAGAGGGCGCAGGCTCTGATGGCTGTTCTTTAGCCTCAGCTTCATCGAGCAACTCGATAGTATCTTTCGGGACGTCTTCTACAGGCGTTTCGTCGCTTTTGGCGGGCGCTTCGTCCGTTGGTGGGGCTTCACTTTCGACCGCTTTGGACTCCTCCTGCACAGGGACCTCAGGTTCTGCTTCAGTGAGGTCGACAACAGCAGGCTCCTGTGGAGGCTCTTCTGACACTGGGGCGGCCGTCTCAGGTTCCGCATTCTCCGAAGCACGTTGAGCGTCGGTGACATCGCTTTCTCCCAACGCAAGTTCGGCTGGTTCACCCTCTGAGCGAGCGTATTGCTGAGCAAAGCTATTGGCCGCAGCTTCGGAGAAGACCATGGTATCTGTACGACTCCGGCCTGGACGACTGGTGATAGCCTCGGGAATGAGTCCAGGGGGACTCGTTGCATTTCTTGGAACCTCCAAATCATGAGTAGGGGGAGCAGGATGCTGGAGGATGTCTTGCAATTGCTGTTGTTGAGTGTGCTGGCGCTCCGCCTCGGTGTTCGCAGCTCCATTGGGGTGTTGAGGATCGGGGTTGGCAGCTCCGAGTTTGGGCGGGGGCGCGTTCCTCGAGAGCTCGCTTTGGTCGTAGAAGGCCTCAGGGGGGATAGGCAGGAACTCGGGAGGGACGAGGTCGAATTTGGATGTGAGCGCGAGGAAACGGGCGTAGAGGGATGATTCAGCTTCAGCTTGTTCAAAGGCTTCGCGGTGGTGGAAGTAGGCGTGCGCAAAGATACGGCCGAGACGACGGGCGAGAGAAGCAAAGTGTCGTTGTGAGCTTTCTGGTATTTGAATTCTGGGACCCTTTAGCTGGCGGTTCAAGTGTGGATTGTGCTAACTCACCGAGAAGGGAAGGCTCTAGGTGAATTCAAGAGCGCGGTTGCGCTATCGAGAGTGTGCAGGATATAATCCACAGCGCAGCATTGCTAAGGACCTTTTAGTATTTACTTCTAATCCAATAGAATTGTGTCATACCTCCATAGATCCCTCATTGCCGTGTGCAACGCACAGGTAAAGCCATTCCCCGGCTTTCATCTCTGGACATGTCGCGCGCGTGCATTCTTGCTGCAGCGTTGTGATCAGGGGATGCGTCAGGTCCTGTGCCAGACGTCTAAAGTCCTCGTTCAGTCTCCCAAGTCTATGAACAAAGGCCACAAAACGCGCACCTGAGCTGCTCATACACCCAGCACCATTGGTCAACCGACACCCCCTTGTCCCCGTCCGCCGCCTCCTTTTTGTCCGCCTCATTCAAAGACTCTTTGGAGCCCGTAGAGCCAGGGAGAGAAGTGATAGCCTCGACGTCGTGTACATTGAGTCGAATCAGCAGAGAAATGTACTCTTGCAGTTGGAACGCGCTGTCCAGCGAAGACAGTGACGGGAGGTTTTTGACAGGGTAGAAAGTGGAGATTCGTGAGCCCCTTAGGGGACGCTGTATCGTCGCTGTCATGGCGGTAGACGGCTCTTGTCGATGCGCTCGACAGTGAACTCGCTGGGCGACGTTGGTGGTGGTGGTCGTCGTCGACGTCAAACGCCCAAACGAACGTCGGTCTGGGAACCTGATTAGGTAATCGTCGGATCGCCGACTCGGTCGGAGGCCCTTACAACTTGAAGTCGTCCAAGACTCTGAGTTGATTGAGAGCTGGGATGCGGTAAGTTATTAAACTCACCAGGTGTGTTTGGAGAGACTGACTAGGTTGAAGGGCACACCAGGACGCATTCCCACCTCAGGGGTTCGAACCCTCGACCCGTCGTCCCCCAACAGCAAGTTGTTCACACGCCGTGCCGCGCGCCAGGACCGCTTTGCTTTGGTTTTGCTCATCGTTCTCCACAACGACCACGAACTCAAAATGGCCTCATCGTGAGTACTCCAACAAACGACCTACGCCTCCCTTTTGACCGTCCGACAGAGCACAAAAGACATCCTGGGCAGACGACGTTGACGATCTCGGTGCGCAACCCACCTTCATCTCTCCCAGAAGTAAATTTTGATTATTGTTTCGTCCAGGCCCACCCAACGAGGAGTTCGTCGATGAGAACGGCGTTATCACAACGATTGAATACGCAATCAACGATGAAGGCAAGAAAGTCAAGGTACGTCGTCGTCGTCTGTGCTTGTTCAAAGATAAACGATGCTCAATGTTGATTAGATCACCAAGAAAATCAAGCGAACCCTCCAAAAGTCTGTGGTAGACCTTACCGTCGCAGAACGACAAAAGTGGGCCAAATTCGGTCAGGAACGAGGGAATAAGCCTGGTCCTGACAGGGCCACCACCACCGTCGGTGAAAACGTTACACTGAAGATCAGTGCCGGCAACAAGGTGCGTAAACCCACATCTCAAACACATCCCTAATGCTAAACCCTTTTTACTACAGCAATCCGAACAAGAACCCACACAAGAAGACACCGTCAAAGCCAAACTCAAGACAGCAGGCGCCGGAAAGGTCACATGTCGTCTTTGCAAGGGTGACCATTTCACCGCCAAATGTCCCTTCAAGGACAAACTCGGTGCTCTCGAGAACGCAGGACTCGGTGTCGGACCAACAGGCGAAACCGATGATCTCGGACTGGGCGCAGAACCCGCCGGAGCTGCACCAGCTGCAGCATCGACAACAGGCAAATACGTTCCCCCGTCCATGCGTGCTGGGGCCGGCCGCGGTGGCGAACGGATGGGTGGATCCAGGGAAGATCTGCCTACGCTGCGTGTCACGAACATCTCGGAGGATACGGCTGAGAATGATCTGAGAGAGCTATTTGGTGTCTTTGGAAGGGTCGCGAGGGTGTATGTTGGAAGAGATCGCGAAACCGGTGCTGGAAAGGGCTTCGCATTCGTTAGTTTCGAAGATCGGGCAGTTGCACAGAGGGCGATGGAGAAGGTCAACGGACGTGGTTATGATAACCTTATTCTCAGCGTCCAGTGGAGCCGTGAGTGCCCCCTTTTTCTCCCTTACCTTGCTACAGTGTTGACCACCATTTTTAGAGCCTCGAACGGACGGACGATAGTCGATTCGCCACTGTATTGTATATTTACGAATCCATCCGTCTCGCTTTCCGGTTTCTTATCTCCCGAACTCAGTTCGAGACCGTGCCATCCGTCAGGAAATTGGGCAGGTCCTCCTGCACCCTGCCAACGGCTCAAGTATCAGCACACCATTTGTCCACTTATAGTTTAACAGGATCCGAGCGCAAATCTGAAGCATTCAAGCACTGTCAAGTTGACAGTATTACAAGACGCAACCTGACCTCGAGGCTGATTTCAATTAATTTCGGTACGCCCTTGTTGATATTAGACGCTGACGCCAGCACCGCTGGAGATGGGCATTCTGGAGAACTCTGGCCAATAAAAACGGTCTGACTGAAGCGCAGGCATTGAGCCTCCCATAACGATGCAACCTTCAGCCAAACAGCCCTCCTCTATGGCCTACAGTCCCTACAATGGAGACAGGCAATCGGAAAGTACGACAGGCCAACCTCGCACAAGCCGCATCACACCCTCCATCACGTCCTCTCTCCCACCCTACTACGACGCCCGCCAACCCTCCCTCCGAGCACCCAGCACCCTCGTGGACACAGCCACCAGCTACCAATCCTCCATCGCGTCCACGACCCAAGCGGGGAGCATCTACCGCGTGCCCATCCTCCTCAACGACAGAAACATCACGAACCACGTCTCCATCTCGCGCCAAGCCAACCGTTCCCTACTCCGGCTGTTCCACCCCAGACCCAAAAGCATCGAAACCTTCTTTATCGATCCGCATCTCAAAGTCCCGGATGGCATTTTGCAGGCGTTCAAACCTTCTGCGGCGCGGGGAGATAGTAACAATGGCAGCCGCGATCAGCAGGAAGATAACGCAACCCAAGACCGAAGAACTGCTGGTCGGGTACAACATCGCCAACGTGGAGAACGCAAATGGAACGTCAGGCTGCAGTTGATCGACGGGAGGATGGGCGTGACGATTTGTTTGGTGCCAGATGATGACCCCCTTTCCGCGTCGAGGCTGAGGAAAGTGGGTTCGGTGGTGTCGATGCGCACCGCGAGCCGTCACGGATCGCGCTTGGCCTCCGTCCAGCGCACAAAGCTAATGGCAGATCTGATTTCGACGAAGAAAGCAACATTCAAAGCGCACCCTTGTGTCATCCGGATAGTACGTACCCCCTCATCACCATCCGTCTAAATAACCAACCAACTCAATGGTCCCCCTTCATCCTAGAACGCACCAGAACCCCGCCCACCATTCCTCCTCCGCGCGCGGTGCAAAGCCTCACCACCCGACCTCCCTCCCGACGACACGATCCCAAACCCACCCTTCCTCTCCTCCTCCCCAATCACGCTCTACCTCCCCCGCTCGTTCCGCGGGCCACTAACCGTGCACGTCGCCACCGGAAAACTCGACCGGCACCTCTGGCTTTCCCCGGGTATTACTTCTGTCTCGAGGGTGATGGACGAGGACATGCTGCGCAGGGGGTACTTTTTGGGTTATGTACCCGATGTGGAGGAGGAGATTGAGGATATTATTGAAGAGGGGGAGGAACTTCGGGATGGGGATGGTGTTGGGCCTGGAGAGGTTGGGTTCGGGCAAGGACAAGGACAAGGACAAGGCCAGATGAGGCCGGTGCATCACAGACGAGGGTCGTCCCGGAATACATCATCCTCTACCGCGGGTGGTGGGTCAGCAGCTGGGGCTGCGGCGGAGGAGTGTCAATGGCTCGGCGATAAAGTCGAGTTGGACGTGGAAGATGGGATGATCAGGATCCTCTTCGAGGACGAGGCTTTGGAGGGTGTGTCCGCGAGGAGGAGCAGTTGTGGTTGGTTATCTTTACTGTAGGGTGTGGCCGGTAGGCCCGTCCCTTCGCCATTCATTGATCGAACTAAATGCATAATATCGAATTCAAGTATACAAAATACAGTGAAACACTTCTTCATACCGACCCTCCGCCTCTCCTCATAGCATAACAACTACTACTTGGTATAATCACCCGCAAGTGGCCTCCCAGTAATCGTCGACCTCTCATCCGCACACCATCCATCCGCCACCTTCCACGACTTGGTCATCATATTGTTCTGGTGGTCGAGGACGATGAACCCAGGGATGATCTCGTCGAGTAACCCTTCTGCTCTGTGCTCGACGCAGAGAGCGTATACCCCTGGCTCGCTCTTGACGAATGCGATGATGCGGTCCGGGTCAGTGGCTGGCGTTAGCTGTAAACAGAGATGGGGTGGGTGTGAGAAGCAGGGAGATGGGAAAGGTGGTGTGTTGGGTGCTTACGACGATCTTCAAAGCCTTGTCAAATCTCCAGAGGAAACTTCCGCTCTCGCTGTTGATGGTCCATCCCAACCTAGGAGTTCCTATTAGTACCACTTCCCGCCACCTACATCCCCAAGTCAACGCCAAACACTCACCCTCCACTATCCAACTTGGTCTCAACCATCCAATCATCCTTCTTAACCGCCTTCCCCCCAAACTTGGCCGGGAACTTGACTTTATCAGGCAAAATCGACCTCCGCTTGATCGTCGCCACCACCGCATTCGTCCTCAAATCAGTGACATCCGTCACATTCCCGTCCCGATCCACCGTGGAGACCTTGTACCGCGGTTTGCCGTTGACAAAAATCCGGGTGTTCAGTGGTGTCGCTGGTTTCTCCAGGACGAGCTCGAGAGGGGGCTCTTGGTTGACGAGGGTGAGCTGTGAATCCATGATGGGAAGTTGGGAATCTTTGTTTCTGTTCAATCACTTCTCCATCGAGGTTGGTATTTATATAAGTATGCATTTCTTGGAGGTACGGCGGCTTTATAATGTACTAGAGAGTGCTGTGAAATGTCGGCGAGCCTGGAACACTGCATTATTCGTTTCATCTGAGCGCCGTCCGCTTCTCCCACATGGGCGCCAAGTATGGCGTTTCTTGACCAGAGGTTATAGTTTACAGCTTTCAGCAGCCTCTTGCGCAGCACCACGACCCTAGACGAGATTCTTGTCAACTTTGAACTCGACCTTCGAGTTGCTGGGTCGAAGGTCAGCTCCCCGAAGATATCGGAAAGCTCGTCGAGGCGGATCCGAAAAGTGGTCGAAGACGACTTCTCGCCTTTCGGTCATTCGCCAGAATCGAACAGCCCAAGTCAGACCCAGAACATTGAACATTGCTCAAATTAAGCGCCCGATGCCCGCGCTCGCTAGCGACCGCTACAATGAGCCTTGAACTTACCTCCGCTCTTCAAGATAGAGTGGACGTCCTTTCACAACCGCAGCAGGGTGATGCGAGTTAGATCTGCCAAAGTCGCCAACGTCCACAGGTTTAAGAACGCGAAAATATTCCGGACGACAGCTCAACGCTGCGCAGATTCAGCTTCTTACCAGCCCGCGTACGCCGACGGGCGCAACTTGGTCATCGGGATGATCTCCTTTGGTCGACTAAAGTATGTCTCCCTCCAGTAGTGTTCAGAACGGGTTGGATGTGCACAGAAAACCAATAACAGCAAGCACCACTACTCCTCATCGTCAAACACCACCCTCAACCGCCCCTCCTCAACCCTAAGATCCGCCTGATCCCCCATCCATTCTCCACCATGTTGAACCGTAAGAGACTCCACACCGTCCAACTCGCCAATGAAGCACGCCAAACTCAACGGCGCCTCATCTCTGAACGTTATAAGACCCTCTACGGCCTTGGAGAGCCACACACGCCTGCTGATATCCCCCGATCCAATGCGCAGAGTGAGGAGGCCCCGGAAGGAGCGGGGAAGGCGGACGGTTAAAGGTTGGCGGGATGGTGCGCATGCTGCGAAGGGACTTGGGTTGATCCTTATTTGTGGTTGGGTTGTTGCAGAGGGGAGTTGGGATCGAGATTGGCAACAAGCTTTGAGAATGAACGGGGGTCGGGGACGAGGGGCGACCTAGCATTCATGGATCCGTAACGTTAATTAACGTCGTTTGGGGTCTGCGAGACTTGACTTACAATGCGGACAATCCCCGTCTCGGCTGGTAACCACCCATTCACAGTGGAGATGAGCTCTACATCAAGCGTCGTCCGCCCGCTCGTATTCGACAGTTGAAAAGCAGGGCTGGTAATCATCTTCCTTCCTGAAACCGGGTGGGGCCCTGTTGCAGGCATCCCTCCTTCACCAAACGTATAAGCAGGTTGAGAACCTTTTGACAACGTCGCGCCCATCCCAGAACCACGGGTACCTCTGGCAGAAGAGAGCGGGTCATCATCCGCAACGAGATAAATTGTAACGTCGATTCGGCCGTCCACGACCCGCAGACTGGCATTACTCCTCGTAGTTGGTGTAGGCAATGTCCCGGACCTTGTAGATGATTGAGTAGTACCAAGTCGAGCTTGGAGGATACTATCTGGGACTTTGAGGTGGGGGTCAATATGGAAGGTCTCCACGATCTGAGGCGCGCCTTCGAGCAGACTCCCTAGAAAACCGGTTGCAGAGGCTGCACGGTTGATGGAGACATAGTTGGTGGATTTGGGCTGAGTGCTCTTCTCGGTAACTGTAACGGTGGAGGAGGTGCATTGGGTCGCCAGAGAGGTCGTCGTCGATATCGATGATCTGCGCTCGTCATACCACTCAGGACGGTGGTCGTCGGCGCTGTGCTCTCGACGAGCGTCGTCTTGAACGTGGCGGGAATCCATTTAAAAGTTTGGAGTAGCTAGGGAGAGTCAACGTCTGGGTATCGATGTAGACGTTGGCTATCCCCGCAGTTGAAAGGTTGAAAGAGAAAACGAGGCGAACCTCGTTTTATACTTTCTTTATGTAACCTCCAAGGTCACGTTCCCACCAAGTTCAGCGCCTAATTGTCCACGATTACCAACAAGGACGAGATATGCCGCTTTCCTCTCGAGTTCTGGACGCTCATAGTACTCAGTCTCCAGCTAGGAAGTGATTACATACATATTAAAGGAGTAAAGAGACACAAACGGCTAATTTACTGACTATTTGAAAGATCAAATCGCTGGTTCAGCCCCGCCCTCCTGCATCGCGGTAGCCACCTGCTCTGCGCCACCATTCGCTGCGGGAGCCGACTCCTCGACTGGCTTCTGTGGCTCAGCATCTACAGCATGAGCAGCTCCCTTCTTCGTCCGTGCCGACGTACGTGTAGGGGCTGTCGAAGTCGTCTTGGCTCTTCCTCGTCCCCGCCCGCGTTTCGCAGGGGTCGCCTTTGTCGTGGTCTCGCCTTCTCCTGGGGCAGGTGCGTCAGTTTCTGCGTCACCGTCAGTAGCATCGAGTTTCGGCTTCTTCGCGTCTTTTCCTGCTTCCTTTTCGGCCTCGCCTTGCTCGCCAGTCGTCGTGGCATCTGTCGAGGCAGCAGCGAGAGGTCGAGTCTCTTCTCCCGGTGGCTTTTCCGTTGAGTGGGCGACGACGTCTCCTTCCCTCTCGCGCTTCTCGCCTACTTCGGCTTCCTTCCCGACTGTTGGAGGAGCCTGTCCTTCTCCCTCTCCCGCTGCCGGCCCCTTCTCCTTCACCTCGCCAGCATCCTTCTCCCCCTCGGTGTCTTTCATCGCCACATCCCCTACCCTCTCCTTCGCCTCACCCCCTCCCTCCTTCGTCCCGCCCCCTCCTTTACCGGCACCCGCCGTCCCCGCCGACTGTTCCCCACCTGGAATCTTCTCCAGCTCACTCGCCCTCTTCACTACATCATTCCCCTCCCTCTCCACATGCACAGCGGGGTTCTCCGGGTCCGAGTTCTTGTGCACCGTCTTGCCCGCCGTTTCGATTTCGAGTTTCCCGCCGGCGTCGGTTTTGACTTCAGATACTGTCCCTGTGGGGTGCCCGCGCCCGTAGTTCCAGGTGACGTCGTCGCCTGGTTGGATGTTTTTCTCTGCCATTTTAGAGTATGGGGGTTGCGCTACCAATACGCTAAGGGGTTGGTTTGAATGGCAGGTGGAAATTGGTGAGCGAGAAGGCGTACCTGGAGAATATTCAGGTTTTGTAGGGTCTCGCGTTCGACGTAGATTAGATTGTGAACGATAAACGGCGGGGGCGAGTAGGTTTTCAAGCACTCAATTGGCTCTGAGAGAGGAGAAAACACGAAAAAGGAGAAAATTCTCAACTGAACCTCCTGAAACTAAAAAGACACAGAGGAAGTACGGAGTTCCACCAAGGGCGTGACAAAGTTTCTCAGGATTCGGTCGGGGAGAAACAGTCTCGAGGTGAGACATCATGGAGGATCCCATGAGTTATAAATAGAATTCGAACCTTTGGTGGTGACACCGAGTCTTCTCCCAACCCGACGACGACGTTGAAGTTGACGTTACCCGTTACATTCATTACATACAGACTCTAACTGGGGAAACGATGACAGTCGTCATCGTGTACGTACCCGCGTTTTCGATCGATCGCGTCGGGGACTCGGAAGTGACGCGACGCGCCGGAGGAATGGACGGATTGGGAAGGAGGGATTCTGTTTTGAGTGCAAGTGGAAGCGAATGGTTTTTAACGCGGGTACGGCTACGGCTAAGTACAGTCAGGTCAGGGCGTATATAGGCGATCCAGTGTGAAGACTGTGTTGTACAGACAGTCAGACAGTTAGCTGGTATCCTTAGGTCATGACTTGAACTCCTGGTGCTTACCTCGCTATAGGTTCAAGTCCTTCAGATGCAAACGGGGATACAATTAACTGTTACGTCGTCCCCTTCGACTTCGGGCTGGGGTTTGACGTCGACTGTGGATGGGTAGACCATAGACACAATCAGAAATCTAAACAGAGGTCACAATTGAGATGACTCTGATGAACGTACTGGGACTGGCAGAGACGCTGACGAGCAGTCCAAAGGCGAGAAGGATATAACCGAACAAGGTCGATTTGAACTGCATATTATTCAAATTGCGAGTGGATGTTTAGTGGGAAGGAGGTGTGTTAAAGAGAGGAACAAACACAACCCATCTCACCCACCCACCCACCCTTCCTTTTAACCAATTCCCAAACCTAAAAAGCAGTGCCGTACCCACCCTTCCACTATTCCTTCTACCCCACCTCGGAGAACAAGAGAACTTCTTGGGCGCCTCGTCCAGGTCCCTAATATATCTCACAGTGCACTTCGAATATGAGTCTTGGGATTTGGAGAGGGCTGAGAAGCGGGATAGGCATCGCTCCCGGGTCGAATTCTATGCTTCTTGCGCGCTAGAAATTAGGGAATTGGTGACTTGGTAGGTGCTGGTGTGTCGGCTCTCGTAGAACGTATGATATGTTCGAAGAAGAAAGTTTTTTTCTGGAGTTTACACCTCACCTCGACGGATTGAGAACCTACTATTGGCTCGGGAGAAGCAAGATAACCATCATCCCCGCGTCGATGCAGAGGGTTTACGAAATAAAATATTCCGAAGTTTTTGTGGTTCGACTACAGTAGGAGGTCTCCGATCGTAACTACTAATACTAATAAGTAGCCTATGTACATACTCCAACTACAGCAGATCATGACATATATTTTACTCGGGGATGCGTTTCAAGAGGACGGATCACTCGGAGCCGATACTCAGAACGTTAACGAGTACTTACATACTCGTATCTGGGGTAAGCGCTTAATCTCCTTTGAGCGTTAAGAGGCAGCAGTGGGGCGGACAAGATTCGGTGATTGGTCGTTCGGGGTTGGAGGAACCTACCTCGTGGAAAATGGAAGACGTCGTGCAAGGAGATTAAGATTAAGAGTGAGGTTACTAGGGTTGGTGCTTGACGGGGTATATATGTTGCGTGCACCTACCTCGTCGCCGTTCGCTACACCCATCCTTCTATTGATCCATTCCTTGCCTCGCTCACTACTATATTCCTCACTTACCCCAGATATTGACCCAGATAGAGACCCTTGGGCCTTGGGAGAGCAGCTTGAAGTACCCATTTGTCCACACCGAGGACCCTATGCAAGCGTACGTAGATTGCAAGTATACATGTATTATAATGAACTCGTAAAGTGCAAACGTTGGATGGGATCCTGCTCTGAGTTCGTTCGGTTCTACTCTATAAATGGTTCAGCGGGAGATCTGGTTCTGAATGTAGCCCCGAGCTCGACCCTCGAGGCACGTACCGCCAGACCAGGCACGTTCTTCCCTCGATTCTTCATTTCCGTTCTTGGTATTCTCTGTCAGGGCAACGTGGACTCGAGGTCTATAGTACACGCATAAATAACACCTTGGTCTACCTTGGTTCATTCATGGAACGGTATGTACATATAAATTCATAAGGCTTAGCGCTTATGTGCCACCGAGGGAGCTCGAGAATAGAACTTGGGCATCAAGCAAGAAGGGCCTTTATATGTTTACGCACCCTCTTTCAAGCCCTTCTGTCACCCTAGAAGTTAGAACGGCGTCGCTACCTGAATCCCTCCGACGAGTGTATTCTGCCGAGGCGAACGGATGTTTCGTTAGAGTGACCTACTGCATATGGTACTTTCTGTGACGAGAGCTACAGATATGCCACTGTGACGGCAGCTATGTATGTACTGCTGTGATGGGATGGGGTTCAGAGGAACGAGTGTGTGGATCATTTCACTATACTATTCCATCCGAAAGGAAAGGAAGCGAATGCTCTCATATGCTCTCGTCAGTTTCTATACAAGTACATTACTTATTCCGTTCTTGGAAGATACGTAGACGGGCGAAGATAACCAAGCACTACATCGGACCGCAACCCTAACGGTCTTGGGATTTAGCAGGTATGTATGATAATGAAAGAACGTACCCCGTTTCTCAGCGAACCCACCCTCGTTTTTATTCCTTCCATTGGGCGATCCCTTACATGGGTCTTCGTATGTAATATCCATATCCACGGCACATTGACAAGCATTCCTGTGCATAACGTTCCAGAATGATTCGAACCCTCCAGCGAAGACGGTCCTCCATAAACAGTAACGAGGCGGTACAGGAATAACTTCGAGCTTTATGACGGCACCGCGGACCCTTCCAAGCCTGTTGAGCCAGTGCTGAGAGGCTTGAGAGGCTCCAAGGCGGTGATGATCCAGGCTGATGGACCATATTGGCAGATCAGGAAGCCCTTCCGAGTCCGTGCATCACTGCATGAGCATGAGATTCATGAGATCACTGTGACTCTCCAGGGCTAAGGCTGCGTGAGATCAGGTGGTGTATGTCCGAATCCGTCTCTTTGCGTCACTGATCAAGATAAAAAACTGATTTGATAATAATTATTGATTATCTTTTCCGATGATGATGATGTGATAATCAAGCTTTTAAACGGGCTCCACACCACCACCCGCCCAATCTTTCCTTCCTCTTTTTTCTTCACGACCAACCACCAACCTTCCACACACACCCACACACTCGTAAAAATGGCCAACGTTTTCGTGAGTGTTTTTCGTCCTTTGTGGTTTTGGCTGGCGATGGCGACGATGGGGAGGAGGGGCGTTTCGAGGTGATCAGTGGGAGATGGATGGATGGATGGATGGGTTGGGTGGTGGGACGTGGGCGGCGTGCGGTGATCAGGGAGATTTAGGCCTGCTATCGATGCGATATGGGATCGATTACGCCGCTGCACACCCCTCGCTATCCAGGATCTAGCTTTCCCTCCTCAAGCCCCGTCGATGCCTCTCGGGCCCTCGATTAAACCAACAAGTTATTCGTGATTCACACCCAACACGTATTGACTCCGTCTATCCCCTCTGTAGTTCGATATCACCATCAACGACCAGCCCGCTGGCCGCATCGTCTTCAAGCTCTTTGACGACGTTGTCCCCAAGACTGCGCGCAACTTCCGTGAGCTTGCGACTGGCCAGCACGGATTTGGCTATGAGGGCTCCTCGTTCCACCGTATTATCCCCAACTTTATGTTGCAGGGTGGTGATTTCACCAGGGGCAACGGCACGGGTGGCAAGTCCATCTACGGCGAGAAGTTTGCTGGTGAGTACCTCGATTCAGTTTATTTCGGGCTAGTCTGGCCTGGGGATGGAAAGGGGGGTTTTTGGGGTGCTTGGGCTATTTGGGGGGTTATGGTTTACGACGGATATCTGACGTGATGCCTACTACTTTCGATAGATGAGAACTTCCAGCTCAAGCACAGCAAGCCTGGTCTCCTCTCGATGGCCAACGCCGGCAAGAACACCAACGGCTCGCAGTTCTTCATCACCACCGTTGTGACCTCGTGGCTCGACGGCGCCCACGTCGTTTTCGGCGAGGTCGTTGAGGGTATGGACCTCGTGAAGAAGATTGAGGCTCTCGGCACTGCCTCTGGCAACCCCAAGGCCAAGATCACCATCAAGAAGAGCGGTACCGTCTAAATGGTTTTCGTCTGAATTCGATGACGATATCTAGGTATGTTGCTGTCTTTTTTTGTTATGGGTGTATGTGAATGGTGTCTGATGAAAGGGTTTGCTTTTGTGTAGGCGAGAGGAAATGGCAGAAGTTATATTTGACACTTTTGAACTGTTATCTACGTTGTTTATTTTATGTAGTCCAGGAGAAAGTGGCAATTGTATCAATACCAATGATTGAGGATGGAGCGAAGATGGTTTTGAGAGATGATATTGTGAATCTGGTAGCCACGATGCTTGCCTTTGGGGTGAAGAGCTGTGCGTGTCGTCGTGATTCATTCATGTGCCCACACTTGTCCCAGTCCATTCCAAAGCGGCGACTGTGACGATAAGCTGCATATCGGTGCGAGGGGAGGTATCACAATCTATGGTATGACCTGATCACGTATCGCACGTCAGAATGACTAGATAACCTCTCATCGCCCGCGCGATCTCCTCGAGATAGACGCCCTACTTGATGCCGACAACCAGGCCGCTGCCGACGTGGGAACACCTGACAAATTAGTCCACGCCCCTGTCCTTAGTGCGTCACGTCTTCCCTCCCAGCTAAGGCGTATACTCGAGTACCCCTTAATGGTCTTCCTACCACTGTCTACCATTTTCCTATAAACCGGGGCCTTGGAGCCCGCACTACTACACGCTAGCGACGATGCTGTTCAGCAAGTTCTTCAGCCACCCACCGGTTAAAGACGACTCGGACGAATCGGCGTCCTTGTTGGTTAAATCTGGTGGGTCGGGGGAGCGGGTGGTGCCAGTGGTTGAGGCATCGAGTTCGAGCTCGCGATGGGAGGAGGAGGGTGTGCCGGCGTCCGGGACTTTGGAGGATGATGAGGGTGATAGTAGTGGGAGGAGAGAACAGTCTGGGGAACGGTTTGATGATGTTCCGGATTCCAAACGGAGGCTTGGTGCGTTATGAGTATCTCTTTGTGGACCTAGGCAATATTAATGGGATTATAGGACTGTTTAGCGCCGCTTTACTCATCTTCAACCGTGTTATTGGGACTGGGTGCGTTTGGACGTTCTCAGTACGACCTGTCCTTGAGACTGATAATGGACGGTTGGGTTACAATGCAGGATCTTCGCCACGCCGAGTAACATTCTGCGTTCGTCTGGGAGTGTGGGGATGGCGTTGGCGATGTGGCTTATTGGTGCTATGATTGCTGCGTGTGGGTCTGCTGTGTACACTGAGCTGGGAACGGTGAGTACATACCCCGTTCTGAGTTTTGTGCGGAGCTTGCCAGCTGCTGGAGAACGGTGAGCTTGAGCTTGAGCGTCTATGTATGGATCCGTGGCTCTCCTTTTGTTGTCGTTTCTGCGGCTGCTGCACCGAGATGCCTGTTCAGTTCTGTCGTGTTGTCTTTAGAGTGACTGACGCGCAGATTGCAGGGCCTTCCCCGGAGTGGAGGAGAGAAGAACTATTTCGAGTTTATCTATCGCCGGCCAAAGTACATTGCGACGTGTATCTTTAGCATTTACTCTGTCCTATCGGTAAGTCGTTCCTCTTGCATCTGGGACGTCCCGTTTTACCCACTACCGATTGCTAGAACACTGGAACCGCGAATAGCGTCGTTTTCAGCGAATGTGCGTTTCATTTGGTTCTCCGTCCGGGATCGTTCTTACCCCATCACCTTTTAGACCTCCTCAACGCCCTTTCGATACCCGCAACCTACTTCAACACCCGCTTCATCGCATGGCTATGCCTCACCTTTATCGTCCTAATGCACGGAACACGTCTCGCTCCCTGGGGACTGCGTCTCCAGAACACCCTCGGTGCAGGAAAGTTTCTCGTCCTCGCCGCTATCGCCTTCTCGGGTCTTTTGTGTCTTGCGGATGTGCCGGGTTTTAGGGTGAGAGAAGGCTACGAGATGCCGGATAATTTTTCGTCTTGGGACAAGTTTTGGGAGGGGTCGAAGGGGAAGGGGTCGAATGCGTTTGTGTCGGGGTTGTATAATGTTATTTGGTGAGTGTTTCCTCGCTGGTGTGGTGGTGGTGGTGGTAGATGGGCTGACGCCGTATTTTTGGAAGGTCCTTTATTGGGTATTCGAACGCCAATTATGCGCTATCTGAGATCAAGGACCCCGTTCGAACTATCAAGCGAGCTGCGCCGTTGGCGATGTGTGCTGTTACGGCTGTCTATATCTTCATCAATGTCGCGTACTTTGCGGCGGTTTCCAAGAGTGATATTTTGGGAAGCAAGAGGATTGTCGCGTAAGGCTTTTGCTGCGAATGTCCTTGGGGGGTCTTAGAGCTGATAGTTTTGGGAAACAGAGCGCTGTTCTTTAGGAATTTGTTTGGGCCTGCTACTGAGCGTGTTTTGAGTGGCTTCATTGCCCTCTCCACCCTTGGGAATTTGCTCGCGGGACAGTTCTCGCAGGGTCGAGGTGAGCTAGCCCTCTACTTTACTTATTACCTTATGGTATCATGCTGATCAAGGGTAACTTTAGTTGTGCAAGAACTCGGCCGTGAGGGTATAATACCGTTCTCGTCCAAGATTGCTAGCAGCAAGCCTTTCAATGCACCTCTGGTTGCGATGTTGGTTCAGTACTCGCTCTCGTGCACGTTCCTCTTCCTCGTTCCTTCTGGTGATGCGTATTTGTTTATGCTTAGCTGTGAGTTCTCCGCACCTCTCAACGTCATCTTCGTGTTCCCGTACTCACACCCCCCTCTACCCTCCTTTCCTCTACCCTGCTCTACTATGCTCCTAGTCTCATCATACAGCCTCAACATCATCAACACACTCGTCGCCGTGGGCCTCTTCTTGTTGTACACAAGACCGTTTAAAGGGCTACATTGGGATCCGCCTTTTAAAGCCAACAAAGCGGTTGTAGGGATGTATTTGGCGTCGAATTTGTTTTTGTTGGGTGCGCCGTGGATCCCGCCTCTGCCTGGGTCGCGGCCGTATAGGAATTTGCCTTACTGGGTGCGTGTTCTAGTTACTGCTTATTGTTTTTCGTTTGGGTCTTCTCTTTGCACCTTCCTTGTCATACCCCTCCTTGTCGTGCTCTTAAATTTTGAAGCACCCGCATCTGTATTCATCTCCTACCCTTTCTCCTACCATCTCTTCGCTTTCTTCTTTCTTCGTACTTACATCCTGATCTAATCCCCCTTTTCCCTTCCCTTCCCTTCCTCTACAGTCCCACGCAGCAGGATCATTCGCCATCTCACTGGTCGGTATCGCGTATTGGTACATCTGGAGTCGGTGGTTACCGAGCAAGAAGGGGTATAAGTTGGAGAGGACGGTTGTGAGGATGGAGGATGGGGTTTCGAGGGTTGTGTTTAGGAAGGTATACGTGGCGCCGGTGGTGGAGGGTGGGGACGGGGAGGGGAGAGTGGCTGGGGAGGAGGTTGCGGAAAGGGATGGGGAGAGGGAGAGGGTTGGTGGGTATGAGAGGGTACCGGGTGAAGTTGAGGATGAGGGTGGGGTGGGTAGACGTGGATTGCGGGACGAGGGTCGATGATGATACCTGCCTGATTGATGATCCGTAGTGGGACTCGGGGGTTATCCAGCTCTGCTACCTCGGAAGGGTTTAGGATTGTATTTTTAGGTGAGTTCAGTACTGCTTTTTACGATGCCGAACTGGTGATTGACTTCATGTTGCTTTGTAGATGGTTATGGTTTTGGAAGTTATGCTTTCTCAGTCGTACGGTACACTAGTATACTATAACTTGGTTAATCTCTTCGTCTTTCAAGTTTCGGGGACGCATGTACAACAGAGTTCACGATGTTCGGAGGTAGTAACAAGTCCTCGGTCGGCGGTGCCTTGATTACCACTGACGAGGAACGGTCAAGTATTGCCGAAATTCAAGGGCATTGTCGGAAGTTTGAAACTGAAGAGAGAGTAAGGGGAGGACAGGGGGGTCTGCTTGGTCTGGAATTCGAGCTGGGGGTCCTTGGTCAACTCGAGTCATCTTTTGTCATTATTCATGATGCTTGAAGGCTTTCGGGTGGCCTCCCGTTGGACTTTGGAATGACGAGAAGGCGGAGGGAGGATGGTATGAATGACCCGATACTTGCTTAGTTGGGGTGGCCGGGAATGGTCGAGCCGGGGGCGGCGATGAATGACCAGAGAATTAAGATGGAGATGAATGACCAGGGGATTATATGGGATGGCTGTCGACACTGGACTCTGGAAGCTGGATGCAATTCCGTCTTAAAAACGTGGCGATGATGATGAATGTCTCAAGGTTCCAATGCGGAGCCAGTGGTTTCCGTGGTACTTTCGTGGTTAACGTTGTTACGGTGGGCTAGGACACACAGATGGCGTTTTCCCCTCCCTCCCTGCGGAATGTCCCAACGTTACTTCATCCTCCATGAAGTATGTAGTCGAAGGGAACTGGAACAGTAGGTTTGCCCTGGGAAGGAACGCATCCGGCGGCCGTCCACGAGAATTAATCGAGGAACTCCTCCTAATCGCCCTCCCAAGGCCCCTCAAGCGCCCTTGATTCCTTCTGTTTTAGGAAGAAACACCTGTTTCGCGCAGAAATCCTGTTCAGCGGGCTTTTTTCGTGACACTGATTGTCATCATGTGTCAGGAGCATTACTCCTGGGACCTGGATAGCTTTTTGGTAGGGAATCAAAGGAATCAAGGTCCAAGAGGCTGTAACCAGCTGTAACCCCGTGGTCGAGGCTTCAGCCTTCAGCCTCCGTCCGCCGTTGGCAGTGGCACGGGCCCACGGAGGTTTATGCAGCAAGCTTTTTTTGAATTTCTCTTTAGTACACAACTCCCATCATCGTCGTCTATCCTCTCGTCCGTTCGCCGCCTTTGGGTTGGCGATTCACCCCCGTTGGATCAGGCCTTGTTGCTCATGAACCGGGCTTGGAGGTGGCTTGGAACTGGAGGATTGAATATTGAATAGTGGGTGTGATGTCAGAGCCACTCCCGTTTGAACATGACCCCGTCTCGACTGCACGCGATATGTGAGTACAAGTAGAGGGTCCTCTTCTAGTCTTAGGCGGCGAGTTGAATTTGCTGACTTTTTGAATGATACAGTCTACTCCACAACTTGATGCACTTCCTCGCCATTAGTATGTCGCGGTTTTTGCTTCATGGACTAGGTTATTTGTCTAAACGGCGGTCGGACTGGGCTTGGGTGTTAAGCTTGCCTTTATTATGACCATTTCATTACGCTGGGTGCGTCTCTCTTTCGCGCTGTGCAACTAAACGGGGTTCTAATGAGGATTTTTGTGTGTGTCCGGCAGGCCCTGAGATTGAGCTGTTGTGGTCGCGTCGGAAAAGCCCCAGCTCTTACTGGTTCTTCCTCAATCGTTATTTTGCGTTCTTTGGGAATTTGTGTGTGTCTATCCTGGGGTTCATTGACTTGGATAAAGAGGTGCGTCTTGGGGGTAGCTCAGATCTCTTGTTTCTTCTAACTCAATTTTTGCTTCAGAGGTATTTATGCTCGTCTTCGGGTCTGTAGATCTCAGCGAAACTAAAATTCGTCGGACATTCCCAGCTGCAAAAAGTACAGCCTGTTCCGCCAGATATTGCTCATCGTGAACCAGATCCTCGTCTGTGGTGGGTGATATTTGTCTATCTCTGGACCCAGCCGTCTCAAGGTCCCGGTAGTGCTGCTCACGCTTCGGATATACGCCCTCTACCAACGTTCAAAACCTATTCTCGCCTACATGTTGACGAGTGGAGCCATCCTAGCCGGAATAGCATGTGTACGTCCTGCCGAGCTCTCCTTCACCTCCATCCTATCCCATCCCCTTCCACGCTCCTCATCCCCTCTGGCTTCTACTCACTTACTCTGATCTATAACGTGGTTTTGTTCAGTTTGTGATGTTCGGCCAGAAGAACGCCCCTGCTGAATTCGGATCCGGGTGTCACATCGGCTTGTCGAGAGTCACGTAAGTTGGTGGATTTTTCATGGGGGTTTTCCATGTATCAGCGGTGGAGAGACGAACGTTCCTTGCTGACGAGGGTTTCACATTCCATGTCCATCCATCATTATCAACGACTCGGGATACTTGGTGTTTTGTCGAATCTAGGGCCATCCGTGAGTATCAATTATTCGACATTTCTTCTTCTTGCCTTCGTTCTCCTGTCATCTCTTTCCTTTTGCGCGGTGGATACGAAGTTCCGACTTCTTTTCCCCACTCCACTGGGGGACGGTGATTAATGAATGATTCTTCCAAACTCTCTTGCGACCGCTTGGATTTTGACCAGACTATCTAACCCTTGTATTTTTGACAGGCCTAGCTGGCGCATGGGAAGCGCTATTCGCGTACGATTCGATTATCTTTACCCTAACGCTTTGGAAGACCATAAAGGAGAGAAGGGAGCGGAGAGTGACAGGTGTAAACATCGCTCTTGTTGATATATTGCTGCGAGATGGTGCGTCCTCCTTTCTTTGACGTATGCATCTGGCTGAAACTCGTTTCTAGGCGCGATGTATTATGCGTAAGTGCGCCGGTCGCATATCATCGAGTCTCCCCCTGAAGCTTAGCACACACGCTCTGATCACAGAATCATGGCCCTTTGCAACTTGGCCAACATCATGACTTTCTATGTATGTGATTGATTTACTTGGTTATCATCTTGTGTTCACTCCTGACGATCCCGGCCGTTTCTAGTTTGGCGGTGTAAGATACATACCAGTCCCGGGTACCTGGACTTTACTCTGACAACGATCGCATATTCTAGCCTTTCTTCCGAGGAAGCCTTTCGACCTTTGCTAGCAGGTGAGTCCTGCGTTCCTCATCTGTCTATTCACCCGCCCGTTGATACCTTCCGCTCCGCTGTAGCATATCGGTAACCATGATGTCTCGGCTTATGCTCAACCTCCATCGGACGGCGGAAGAGGGTATCCACACGACGCAGGTTACCAACACTCATTTCGATTATGGGACGAAGTATTGGGAAACGCAGAGCCCGGTGGAATTGGATACCATATGGACGCTTTCGGGTCCTTCCCTTCCTACTGTGACATTCCAGGACCCTCCAGGTTCTGCCGCTGCCGATTCTGCAACACTCGCGGGTTCGGTCGCGTCTCCCAGACCTCACTCCCGTCCACCATGACAAAAGAAGCGGTTGTCGCGGGTGTTCATCCGTGATATAGGTATCAGGTATAGAAGTGGAGGACATGTAGTAAATCCCCTCTCGAACAATTCCCTCTCACCATCGCATTTCCTACTCAACTTATGTATAATATCATGCACCAAACTTTGTACAGTAGTTATCTTTATTCCAGGAAGCAATTTATGATCACAACTTGGCAGTTGAAGAGGGAGTACCAGTTTGCTTTAGACGCAGCGCTTCGCGTGCGGCACCCGCTTCCTCAGGCGTGAGGATCACAAAGTTTCTCTTCAGATAGACATGCGGCTTCGACGGGTCTGGGAAGCCGCGCGCTTTGCTGAGTTCCGGATCGTTGATGATCTCCGTTTTCTAAAACGTAGTTGAGTGAGTCGATCAGGGGATTGGGCAATAGGGATATACCATGATCAGAGAAGACTTGACCCCGAACACGACGTCGCTGGTAACATAAGGGTCGCCTTCGAAGTATAATGCTGTTGTCAGGTTCTCAAATCCGGGAGCCTGTATAGAGAGTTAGGACATGGCGTAGTCTCCAGGTATGTGTGGACCTACGTCGATTCGGACATGCAAGTGGGCTGGGCGAACGGTATGTCGTCCCAACGCCCTGACCATGTCGGCGACTGGTCCATCATCTGGAATGCTATATGGCACGGGCCTAGTCAAAGACAGTCTTGAGTATCTGTGAGGCGCGGAATCGAAGGGGTGGACCCACACAACAGCCCTGTAGGAGAAAGACCCATCGTCCTTGGACCGGAAACGGCCACGGCAGTCCGGTTCCTCTCGATTCTCATACTAGCGAAAGAGCAGAATGGGTAATTAGATATAGTGGGATCAATTGAGGTCGCCTTACTTGAACGTCGTAGTGCCCGAAACCATCCGTTTCCCAAGTCTCGATTACCGCTCCTGGCACGGGGTTTCCTTTCGTATCGAGGACACGTCCTTCGACGTACATGTAGTGTCCTTTGCCTTCTGTGGCGATAGACTCTCCTTCTTCAACTAGGGGTCTCGCTGAATTAGATCTGATTCGGACTGGGGCGAGAAGGATGATTCGTACGGTTTTTGGCATCAGCAGTCAGGAAAGGACCGAGGACCGTTCCTTCCGTTGCACCAGGCGGCTTGGCATTGTTGATAGCATCGACCAATGTGGAGACTCCCAACGTGTCGGAAAGCAGGATGAACTCTATCGAGCAAGAGAGTGAGCTGAGGAAAACGAGCTCTGAGGATGAAAGGCCACCTTGCCGGATGTCCGAACACATCTTCCCGGTTTTTGTCAAGAATTCTATCGCCGTCCTGCGCCTCTTCAGTGCCAAATACCACTGGTTAGAGAGGAATAAGCCTCACTCCCACTCCTTCGTAGTCAAAGAGGTTTCCCGAACGAAGTCATGTATATGGGTGATCTGCAGGACAGGTGTGTTTCTGGGTTCGAGGCATCCCACAGGAAAGTGATACTCACCAGTCGTTCGAAGATAAACTTCGTACGCTCGTCGGGACCTGCGGCAGGAATTCGAACTCTTGTACACTCATAAGAAGGAGTGGGAGCTCACAGTTCGAGTTGGCTATGTGTACATTCTCCGTGATGTTCTCCGAGTTCATGTCGATAATAGGAGGCAACTTTGCGGGATCGAGCCCATTTCGGGCTGCAGCTTCGCGCGCCAGCGCTCCAGGGTCCATTTCCGATGCTGTAGCAATGGTTTTGCAATGAAGAGGAAGAAAGGGAATCCAAGAAAGATGATATCTCGCTGAGCAAGGGGAAGTCTGGGGGTATAAATAGTAGGAGCGTCGGGCCGTTTCACCAGTGCCTTCGGATTCTCCGCATGAGTAATACACTGGACAAACGAAGCCTTCTTTCTCCCGAAACGGAATTGCGCGTGATCCGGGCTTGAGTGGAGCCACAAGAGCAGCGCGTTTAGCGATGAACACAGACGCTAGGCTGACTATGCTTCAGTCCGGACATCTTGTTCCCGTTACTGTATCACAGCTCGCTAAGGGTTGCGATGGATCCAGGGTGCGGTCCTAGCCGCTTTTCCAGGAGCGACAAGAACGCTTATGTCCTATGGCGCACGTTTATCTATCTAGAAGGCAACCTATCCCAGGTGCCTTTTTGGGGCTCATCATGAAGAGTTCCAAAGCGAAAAGTCACCTCCTAATGGCTTAAAAGAGAAGTTTACCTTCCTTATTGGGGGCGTTGATCGGATTAAAAGCCCCTATCATGGACCAGCGTCATCGCGCATTCCCTTTAGCTCTCGCAAGTGGCATTCAACCATTTTCATCCAGAACTTCCTATACCCATCGATAAACTTCTCTCTCGACTGGAACAATGTTTAGCGACATGGTGTGCGGCGAACGTCATTGTTCGGGTACAGTAGGGAGTCCAAAGTGCAAATGACTGCGATCAAATGGGAAACGTGTTCAAGGGGCTGCATGCAGGGGTCTCGGAGGATCGGTGAGTCACGGATCCTGCCTCAGCAAGTTCCACTGACTTCCGCATTCCTCTTGCCTTCTTCGACAATAGGACCTCCAATATCCGTAACAGACCTTTCAAAATTGCCATGTCGAAAGGAAAAAGCCGACGTACAAAGAATGACGTGGCGAACCCAGCAAAGGCAGGTCTCCTTCCTTCGGACTGTACTCTGATAAATCGAGTAATAGACCTTTGTATAGCATCCAGGCTCTGACGCGACACTAAAGCAAGTAGACTGTTGGGATATGGTCAAGTATGGACAAGACCTGAAGCTTCCGTGGCGGGACTACATCGGCGTCACTCTCAAGTTAGCTGGATCAATGCATCAGCTCATGGTTGCTGTAGAGGCTACGCAACTAGCTCTGAGTGGATCGACTCCATGCTTTGTCAAGAATCTGGAGCAGTTCTGTGCTGAGGCTGCGTTCGACTGCTGGATATTCGAAACACTGAAGGACAAGTACCGTGCAAACGGGCGGCCCGAAGTGAGTGACACGATGGACGAGGTACTGGAAGTTATGGTGCAAAAGTGTACGTATTTTGGCTTTGTGGTACCTGTTCTTTGGGCCCCGGGTGACTAAGGTGTTGGTTCAGCCGAAAGTATGCGTCGGTTGAACACGCTCTGCCTGCAAGTTGCGACATCCCTCCAGGGGGCCTCTTCTGGTATATCGGGTCACGCGAGCCACGACAGAAAGAATCACGTCTGATTGCCCCTTCATCACCTCCCATTCGCTCTCCCGAAAAGAAGAGATAAGAATCCTTGTACCAGCCTCCAAGTCTCCCACAGACATCTAGCGAAGAAGCCATCCAGTATGGTTCGAAGGGTTACGACGTGCTACCACTGCCCAGCGGTCGCGGGAGAAAGATTAACAGATTTGGACGCCAAGCTGCATCTGATACTATTAATCAACGACTCCTAAAACAATGGAAGCTCAGAATCGTCCTGCTTGGACAGTTGTATTTGCAAGAAGTGTATTTAGTGTATCGGGATCGACTGTGTCGGCCCTCCAGTGGTCAACGGCTGGAACAATCGTGCAAATTTCGGGAAATCTATGCCTGTTCGAGTAGTGACAGCAGCCGACCGTTCAGTATTTAAACGAATACAACTGAGGAGAGAAAGTCCACAGCGCGATTGATTTGCCTCTCTTTCCAACTTCAATCACCGAACCCGACTATGAAGAGCATCGCGCGCATCTCCACTTTGATGCTGCTCATCACTGCAGTACTGTCTCTTCCCGTCCAACGTAAGATGCCTTGCGTTTACTTTCGCCTATTTCTAATAGTCAACTGTTGTGTAGAGAGGAAAAGACAAGCCTCATGCCCGATAAATCGTCACGGGCAAGAGGATTACGCTGTTTGCATCTGAAATATCCCGGTCAAGCCTGTGTAGTGCAAACTGTATTCCCCCCACTGTCTATTCAATTAAGCTGTGCCCCAATATTGTATGCATGGCGATCGCGAATGCACGACCTTGACCCACATCGGTTATGTCAGTGGAGATAGTAAGACATCCACCATGAGAGCTGGCGACAACCCATCCATCGCATTTACATTAGGCCCGAACCTGCTGACAATCAGCTCTTGAGCTCGCTTGAACCCGATTTCTCCAGCAACGTCCTTTCACGATAGCCAACCACGATTCACAGAGTTCGAGACCCCACTCCGAGTCGGAAATCCTGGACAAACACCTCCAGCCCATCCACACGGGGGAAACAGTCTCAAATCGAACTCGGGGAGGGAAAGAATTTGGAGAGGTGGATATGGTTGTCCCAACAGAAAAGAAGGCTTCGGAAGTTGGGGTGGAGAACCCTGTTGTCTTTCCGAACCAGCATGGTGCGTTCCACTTGACAAGGCTGCGGGGCCCGCTCATATCTTTCGGGCAATTGGAAAGGCCGGGCTGTAGAACGTAATCCTGACATCCTGTCTCATGGGAAGGATCCTTCAAATCCCTCATGAAGGCGAATCTTTCTCCGTTTCTTCCCAGTAACCCATTCAAGGGGGCATGGTCATCACAGCCATGAGCCCTGTTCCAGAACGGAACTTGAGATCGAAATATACGCGTCTCTAGAATATATATTCACAGACTTTGGCCTCTGTATTAAATATTAGTCCTCCACCGCTTCATCAGGCTCGGTCAGTCTCCTTCGAATCATATCGGCAATGACTGGCCCATATACCGGGATTGATTCTAAAAGAGGGTGTTCGTGCGATTAGCATCCTGACTAGATCTGGTATGGGGTCAACTGGAACGATACGTACCTCCATGAAACCCATCGGTGAAGTGTATGCCCTGAAAGGAGGGTTAGTACCAGATGGTAGCACGGCACAAGCAAAGGCGTACATTATGGGTCTTCCCTTTGGGATACGTCAACAACGTATCGTTATGGACTGCGTAGTGCTTATGCCCCATGTTTCGTGCGAGCATTTCGTAGTCAAATACGTATGCTGGGAGGAAGATCAGACATATAGCATACTGATGCGATAGCTAAGTTCACGAACATGGCGGATCCATGATTTCAAAAATTGCGGAACGGAGGGACGGAGGCATGATTAACTGGTGCTATAAAGAGACCAATGTACTTCCTTTCCCCCATCAAAAGCGAGAACCAACTCACTGTCAGGCCGTTCCCATGCACTCCAACAAGAATCTGTGAATTGTAAAGGCTTGAGCCACGATGGAGATGCCAGGACACAGAGGGAAGAGAGGGGTGCCGGAGTGGGGCTCACTGTTGTCTTTGCAATGATCGCAACCTGCTCACGGATGCTAAGTTTCTCCATCTGTGGAATAAGCACTGTGCAGAGCCCCTGTCGCTCCAATTCTTTCAACGACTCCACAAGTAATTCGTGGTCTTCCGCAACGAGCCGGCGACCCCCGCCTTGTCGGGAGATGTAGGTTACGACAGGAAGGTTGTATCGCCCAGAAGCTGTATCCGAGACTCCCGTATCATCGTCGAATGCTATGGGGGATGAAGGAGGCGGCGGTGACGGCTTTAAAGAAGTAGCAAGGATTCTCCCTCTGGAGTCCACGGCAGGCACGTATCCAATCGTGTTCCTCACTAACGATTGACGGAGCGGCTCCCAGAACAGGTCTGGCGCGGTTAGACTCATCGTCCCTCCGACCATCTTGAACCAACGATTCGACAAAGGACTAAAGGCGGTACACACCAACGAGTTAGACCCATGATAATGAACATGCAAATAGATAGAGGAGCTCACTGTTTGTGAGCCGCGTCTCGATTTATGATCATGCTCCTCTCGAATACCACTGTCGTGCCCAGTTTGATGAGGTCGTTCCAATAGTCTGCCTTTTCGATCGAAGCTTGTGGAAACGCTGGTCGCATAGTGGGACCTATGATGCCTGCTCTGTCTCGCCATTCGGTCCCAGAGACAGCCTACATGTTTAACGGACATCGCACTTCAGTGAGCTAATTGCGCAAGGTATTCGATTCAGACTTACCGGCAGCACGAATCGCGCAGGCCAAGGGAGCGGAAAGTCGACCGGATCGGAAGTGGACCATTTCTTGCCGAGGGCCAGCGTCGAGTAGACTCTCCACATTCCAAGAATGATTTCTCCCCACCAGTGATAGAAATGCTAAGACGCCGTTAGCCCTGAACGTTGGACAGTCGTCCTACAGGGATATTCCACGTACGGGCATGAATTGAGGGGAATCGTACAGAAACACTGTAAAGTCTGGGACGAGAGCTGCAACTTCCCCAAGGACTTCAGGTGCGTCTTCTGGAGACAGGAACTGCATTTCCTATCGGAGATGGTTCAAGCTTTGGTGAGAACGCAAGCAAGACCAAGGTACACTTACCTCGTCTGTTGCATCTGACACATCCGGCTCAAGGGGCAGAGCTACCGGTTTGCCTATCAGGTCAGTGCGCGGCGGGAAGGCTGAGTCGTTGGTTGCAACATAGAACGTCCCGTTCCTCAAATATAGTCGGTCAATCACAGAGAAACCGTTCACAAACGCATATTGTCTCTCATCTCCACCAGCAAAACCCCGATGGCGCTCAGTTAATCCTCGCACTGTTTCACGGTGTTGCACGATTAATCAGATCGCTTGATTTATACTTGTGGTTAATTACAAATGTACTACTACCAAACGAGAGTCGATAATTAATCGAAGATCGTGATTAAACACAGTGAGTAACGCGATGAGAAGGGGAAAGGCAAGAGTCAATGTTTAAACAATGGTCATGATCAATCAAATTGAGTTAGGGAGAAGAGAAGGGGGGGGGGGGGGTCAAAAAATTACCGAAGGCCATGATTAATCCCAATGAGTGATTAATCGAAGGAGGCGGAGAGATGGGTGACAGAGACGAGGGGAAGAGTGAGAGTTGCCGATTAAACGAAGCCGTGGTTAATCAAGATAGGAGAGCGAGATGGGTGGCAAGAGTGAGCGGTGACGTCGTTCATGTTGATCAATCGTGCATGAGAGGGTGACGGACAGTGGAGGATTGATCAACGCCGCAAGTGGATGGAGGGAGAGAGCAGTTAAACACACGTAAAGCAGCGGAAAAGACAACGGAATGATTAATCACCGAGAATTGAATAGACAGGCGTGAACACTTACGATGAGGAGAGAAGTAAAGGATGATTAATTGAGGGACAGCCTACGTTGCGAGCAGTGGGTGGTTAATGGACGAACATGGGAACGAGCGGGCCAGGAACACCTACACCCTGCATGAAAACGACCTACGATCGCGAAATCAGCGATTAAAGCAACATCAACGCAAAGGAGTCGAGACTCACCGAATCCGTTTAAGAGACAACCTCATTTTCGGCGGCGCTTGCTGCTATTCGAGCGGGTTGCCTCCGAAGGTGCGCTCCTGCATTGAGGGGATCAGAAAAATCACGGGCGCAGTACAACCGAAATTTGTACAGACCTTTTCTTGCCAAAGGGTACAGGAGAGCCACCAGGAATCATCCAGCTTGGGCTAAGCGAAGAGGCGTAAGTGATTATTCAACCAATGCATCCAATTAAATGAGTACTCACTTTCGAACAGGGGATCGTTGGCCACCAGCAATGAGCTGGGGACCGTGCACAGCCTGCGTACGGACCCGAGTAGACCGTGAAGTGCTGCTGCTCTCGACGTTGGTGATGGGAGCCATCACCTCGCGGTCAGCCTTCGAGAGCTTTGAGGTCGCTTTAGACTTCTTTGATGGACGAGTGTCGTTTGCGAGATTCTTATCTGAGGTGGAACCCTGCACCAAGACGTGGGTCTCAACTGAAGGGTCCACCGGCAACTTAGCATCTCCAGGTGCAGCGTTAGATGCATTAGCAATGTTGGCGTCGTTGGTGGAGCTGATTGGCGTCGCGGATAAAGCATCTTCAGGCTGGGAAATCAGGTTGTCGACCGGCGACGACAAGACAGTGACTGCAGGAGGACGACCGGAGGACTCCTTTTCGCCAGTTGGAGTAGGACGAGTCTCCTGTAGAATAGATCTGTTTTGAATGAAAAGTGCAACACTGTAAAGAACTGATAACATACCTGAGCACCAGCTGCATCACCCAAAGCTTCGTCGTCTTTCTCCACATCCTTCTCCACTTCGTCCGCAACTGCCTTCAAACGAGCCTGGATCTCGTCTTTAGTCCTGAATGCAAATGGGGTCCCGCAATCTTGAAGGCCACGAAGATAATCATAAAGCGAAAGAACAAACGGAAGGGGGCATGGTGCTGTCACACCACCAATGACCACACCAGGTGGGAGAGAAAAGCGAGATGTGTCGTAGAAGATAGAAGGTGACGAGCCGAGTTGGGTCCAAGGGATACTTGGCATATCGTTGTCGGTAGGATAGGTTTCATCTAGGGTTCCAACATGATGGTCAGGCTTGATTGAAGTGGAAAAACAAAAGGAGAGATAACGCACGCCAGATTGTTTTCAAGAATGATGTAAGCAGATTGGCCACCTGCCCGGGCAAGGCTTGACTGAGATCGAGGGTTGGAAGAATTAAACAACCATTCGAATCGCGCTCAAAGTCGTACACAGAAGGGGTTGAATGAGCTGTTATATCTCACCGCGTCAGTAGACATTCAGAAATGAAATACTTTGAGGTGATCACTCACTTGGCAAGACTTTATCAAAGTGGCGAGAAGCAGCCTTGAGAATCTCGTCGTGGTTCTCAAAGCGATGGTTGATCTCTTCCTTCTTGAGGGAATCGTGGCCACCGTACAAGCTGGACAGAGTAGATCAGATGTAGCCTTCATTTGTGAATCAGAGTTACTCACATTCCATGTTGGATACCGTCGTTTTCTGTGCGAAATCCATAGACAATAGCAAACCCAACTGTCCCCACAATCCCACGGCTGACATTGTGCTGAATAGATTCACGGAAGAACTTGGGCCATAAGGCTTGGTTACTGATGAGGTTATTAAGGATCGATGGATGTTAAATAAAAGTGGATGAAATACCTGACTACGTCCATTGCCATTTCGTTCTTCTTCTTCTCCCAATAGGACTGGTCCGCATTGGCCCACGCAGCCTTCCGAGCTCTCATCGAGATTGTGCAGGTAGGTGTCCCTTTGGGGTGAGCTGCCTTCTGGGCGTTGTACTCCTTCTGATATGCGTCCGGATCGGAAAGCAAGAAGAAATCCCGAGTTGAGAGATCATGTTTGAGGATGAGAACAGCCTGGATCGCTTCCTCAAGGGCACGATCCACGTTGAGCCGCCTTCGAGGAGAGGAGCTGATGGGCTGAGCTTCTGCATTCCGAGGCCTGTATGAGGCGTTCTTCCAGTTACGGAAGAATGTACGGATGTCCTGTGGAGTCAAATTGTTAACTGATGTGTCGTAAATGAGATCAAAGTTATCCGCAACACATACCCCTTCCATCTCCGATGGTTCATGGCCTTGAAGGTGTTCAGGAGCAAAGTCTTTGTGGCGCATGATGTCAGAGGCGGTGGTCTTGATCCAGGCGGTAGTGGCCGAATGTCGAGGTATGACAGTAGGGTTGTTGGCATCGAGCCATTCACGAAACTCGGGTAGGAGATTGAGGATGAATTGACGCTGAGTCGAAGAGAATTTGGGGAGTTGGGGAGGGGCCATGGTGACGAGCGGATTGGGGAGCAATGAGCAAAGCAAACAAAAGTCTCTATGCACGTGCGAGGAAAGGGAAAGTAGAAGCGAAGGCTACAGGCTCAATCTTAAGTATTGCCAATCACGTGGACGGGCGCCTAGTAAGTGACGAGGGGAATTAAACAAAGAATTAAACAACAGGCGCGTTGAGGAGCTAGAGAAACGCGTCGCATAGCGCGTAGCAGTCAAAAGAACGTGACCTTCGTGTCTCTTTGCTACCTAGTCCGACATTCAGCTCCCAATATCATGTGGACCCTACTCCGCATGGCCAGGTACCCTCCCTTGGTCTAGATTGGTTCTTCAAGCATCGGATGCATCGCATGACCGACTGGAATGGTAAGCTAGAGTCTCCAATAGGGTCTGTGAAGCAGACCGAGACCAAAGACAATCGATTGCCATTGGCCACCCTTTGCTCCAAGCCGATCATAGGGTTATTGGAAATAGATAAGGTATGTCCAAAAACAGCCGCAATGCTATCACAACATCAGCACCCGGGGGGTTGAATGGCGACCGTCAGATCATGTGCTCTTGATACTCCGAGTGCCCTGATCTCTCCAGTTCCCTTGTTCGAGCTTGGCTCTCGTACTTCCGGGAACTAGATCCTGCCCGACCGCCCTAAAGTAATAAGCGCCCACCACTACTCGCACCGGTTACACTGGAAAGCACACCTACTTGACTGAATTATGAAGAAAGACCATCATCTCCTGATATCAGAATCTGGATTGGAGGGCGTAATGGAGGTGCATTGAGTCATTAATAAAGTTTATTTGGCCCTGGCAAGTCACTTGAAGACAAAAGATATGCATGGCTTAACTAGATTGCAGCGGGCGCTTCGGACTTTAGGGCAGGCTCATTTTCCACGACCCTGCCAGTGAGAGATACATCATTTCGCTGCTTTGCTAAACCCAGGAGAGGTCCTCGCTGTATTTATATATATCTTGCAGTCTATAATTTGCTGTAAAATTGAATCCCCGGAGCGTAAAAACAAAGGTAGTAGAGTACCCAGAGAGTCCAACTATATGGCAGCCAATGAGCGCCCTTGCGAGATCGGACGCGGATGCCGCGTTGGCGGAGAATATTCCCACGTGCCTCAAACTCGCCCGTACTTCCAAAGTACGGGCGAGTTTGAGGCACGTGGGAAAGTGTTTGAAATTCCGCGGCAGGGACATTCTGGTACAAACTGGGATTTTCGGGGGAAACCAAGATCTCACAAGGTCCATCTGTGGTTTATGGAAACGCGTCCATAAAACACGAAACATCACCTTAATCCCCAGAAACGGCCGCTACTATTGAGACAGACTCTCCGGTAATCCTAAGATAGGTTTTCACTGTGCATTGTCCTTCGAACTGAAAGGATCGAGGCAGTCAATGATGTCATATGGGCAGCCCTATGACGTCGCTACCAAATCGTGATGCGCTCCCGAAACGCGTCCCAGGGAGTCGATCACGTGATGGTTCGGATGGTCGCGCGAGAGAGATCAGAACTTGAAAGTAGGTTCGATCTGCGCGCTCCCGCTTTCTCCACTACTCCCCATTGCTCGCTGCATTCAAGCATACGGTATTTGGTTTAAGACCTCACACCAGAGGGCCCATAATATCTCTTGAATGGAGCTGCACATAGGACCACCACGTCACTGCCGGCCCAAGACTAGACCGTACCCGTAACCTGAGTCAAATTTCAAATTAATCGCGGTTGTTGGCACGTCCATTCTTATCACTGCAATCTGTGCCTAGGCAGCTCACATGAAATCTTCATCGAATATCCTAGAGCCTCCAGATGGAGATGAGATTTTCAGCAACCGGCGGGCTCTCGACATAGCGGTGTGAGGGAGGTCCTTGGCGAAGGGACCTCCCGCACAGCTCTGTTTCTTTACATTTTCGCAACATCGTCCATGTCACTACGTTCAAAAGCTGCTCGATTCAAGGACGCCGATCGACGCGTTCAGCGTTCGAACACTGCCCAACCGTCCAACAATCTCGCCCCGTCTGCTTCTCGTACGCTGGAAGAGATCTCCGTCTCCACACATGGCGAAACGAGGTCAACGGCTTCTCTTCCACCTCTTCTCGAGAAGGTCGCACCACGGACGTCCCAACCCTCTCATCCTAGCGCTACACCGTCCAACATCGAAGTCAAAGAACCTTCCATCACCACGAAGGAAGAACCTGCCCGCTCACAGGTGACCCAGTTAGTTTCCGCGTTCAGAACTGCCAACGCTGATATACGTCGGCATTCACAGACCACTGCACTTATCAACGAGTTTGAAGCTGCCCTTCCGAAGCTCATGGCGCTGGTTTTTGAAGCCACTGTGAAGACCGACGGCCTCGAGGAAGAGTGCAAGTGCGGACATGGGCGTCGCACCATTACTTGCCGCGACTGCACTCTTTATCCACTCACCTGTGTGCAGTGCTTTGCGACTGCGCATAAGCACCATCCTCTCCACTGGGCTGAGGTCTGGAACCCTGAAGCTCGCTGTTTTGAGCGCAAAGACATTTCCGACGTCCTCCCCCTCAAATCCACGACCCCTTTCACCGTCGACCTTGGCCACAGTGGTACCGACTGCAGCTCTCATTCCTTGCCTATTCCCATGACCCTTGTGGACGTCAACGGTATCCACAAGGCCAACGTGCGGTTCTGTACCTGCCACGGCATCCACGAGCGCGTCTCGCAGCTTGTCAAGTCCGGCTTCTTCCCCGCAACGCTTACACAACCACGCACGGCGTTCTCGTTCTCAGTTCTCCGCCAGTTCCATCTTATCCAACTTGAGGGGAAAATGTCAGCATACGACTTCTGCTCGACCCTCCGCCGCCTCTCTGACAATGTCTTTACGGATGAAATCCCAGTATGTGTGCCGCCGGACATGCAGTACTTCTCTTACTAATGAATACTCAGGACGTTTACCCGCAATTCATCGTCGTCATGCAGATATGGCGGGTCCTGGCTGCAACGAGACGGCTTGGACAGGCGCATAACATCGACACACTGCTGCTACATCGACGGGCTAACAATCTGGTTGTCCATTGCCCAGTATGCCCTGAACCGACTCTCAACATTGATGCAGGATCTGTGGCACTACCTACGGCCTTTCGGTGAGTCTTCGCTGTCCTCGTCTCGAAGTCAAGACTCTGATCGCACACGCTAGTCATCTGAACCAGCTCCAGCTGACCGCTGACGGGAATCATCATGCAAATCAGTACATGAAAAACACGGACCCTCTGAGCTGTTCACTGTTCAAAGGACGTGCTTACTTTCCAGATGAAGATCCGTATCAGGCGTACCTGAATAGCCTTGGCCCTAACGAGACCGAGGTGCGCTGTATCTTTGAGCCACTGACTGCAGTTGATCCTCACTATTCCTTGTTATACAGAAATCGACTTGTAGCCACCTCAACGCTGCTGAAAAGCAGGATCGAAAGAAGTTCAAGCGGATGAGAGTGACTGGTGTCGTCAAGATCGATTGCTCACACCTGTTTGTGAAGGCTATGGTGGATCTACAGCTCGGGGAAAGGTGTGTATGCTAGCTGTATACCATAACAGCCTGTACTAAGCGCTTTGCTTTCAGGTTTGCTAACACCGATTATGCCCTCCTTCGAGCCCTTCAATTTTACAAGACACCTCACTCCCCGTCACCATCCCCACCCAAGGCTCTACTAGGACCGTCTGGCGCCCTGGTGCCGTCACAGAAAGAGCCACCACAACCTCCGCCTGCAACATGGAAGTCGCCATACTCCGACATTGTCCTTTCGTACGACATCGCTTGCGGATATGCTCGGAATTTATCTGAGCGTGCTACTCGCAACTTCGCGCCCTCTCTTGAGGCTTACGTTGCGGGGATTCGAACAATCATCCCAGCCGTTCACGTCCAGAACCACCAGGACAGTTGTATGTACACCTACGGTCATGCTTACACCTCGAACATCGGCCACTTTCACGGCGAGACAGCGGAGCAATATTGGGCGGAACTCAACCAACTGGGCCCGCAGGTTCGGCAGATGAACAACGGTCATCGCCAGGATGTTATCAACGATGCGAATGGGGATTGGAACTGGAAGAAGCTTCGTCAAATGCGTCCGTATTACAACTTGAGACCTGTAATAGATAATGTCTCTAATTATTTATTTTCTTTCCTCAGACTCTACTCTCGATGATGAGATCTTGAATGCCCGCAACATGTACTATCAACATCGCATGAGCTTCTATTCCCTTACTGTTCTCCATCTTGCCCGTGTATTGGAATGGGATAAACTTGATCGAGATGCTCGAAAGCAAGTCGGGAAGGATATTGAATGTGTCTATAGTCATTCTAAGCGGAAAAGTGAGCCATGTCTGGACCTTGCATGATGCTACGGACTCGTACTTATACGGTTGTCCCAGTACCATCTCAACAGTCAATCTTCGATGCGTTGCTCGCCAAGCGTTCTTATTCACTCGATCTGCCACCTTCGCTATCCGGATCGACAACACTAAAGGATATTTCACTGTTTGTGAATGAAGGTATATCTATCCAAATATCCCAGTAAGCTCTCGCAGGTCCCATCACATCCGCTTCCTGATTCCTTTGCTGATTCTGTGTTTGACCTTACTAGACACGACTTGAAGATGAAGATCTTCATGAACGAGAAGCACCCGATGGCCTCGCTTGAAAAGGAAATCCAAGCTGATTCAAAGAAGCTGCAGAAGAGAGTTGACAAGTGGCGATCCGAGCAGAAACTCTACACACCATTGGTATTAGATGACGTCAAATCCCAGGTATCGAGGAACACCCCTATCTCGAGTGAAATTCTCTACCTCCCTTCCGACTATGATTCGAAGAGGCGGCACGACCTTGGGCTTGATTTTCTGATCCAGATTGAGTCCGAACTTCGAGAAGGCCTCGCATTCGACACGATCATGTCCATCCAACAATACGTGAAGACACTTGATGCTTTGTGGCTTCACAAGCGATCAGACTGCCGTGGACAGGACCAGCACACGCGAGCAGCTGCCCAGATCGAGCGTGTTACTGCACGACGTCAAGCCTTGATTGACCAGTACAACACGAACAGGTCAGCGATGATCTCTCTGGGACTATCGACTCACGCGCGTAGCTTCCCACCTTTACGTGTCGAAGATACGGAACGGCCAGCAACCAAGCTTAAGCGTTCAATTGGAGACTCAAGAAAGGTCAAGAACATCCTGGGAACGGGTATTCATACGTCGTCGAACCCTACAAGTGAGTTGAAGTTATGTATCGACATCCCCAGCCCTAATCCTTGGTATACAGGACCAAAAGGGAACAAGGCTATCAGCTCGTCCCAAGGGACGACTGAGCTATCCCATGTGGACTCCGGGCTTTTGAAGACAATGAGCGTGAACGATGGATGGATTTGGCGGCTGGGTACAATCGGAAAGCTTACAGATGAGCAGATTCGTGAATGGGAAGAAGAGGGTGAGTAACAGACCTTCTCTCTTCGTCCTTCCTGTCCTATTCTTACCTTCATCTCGTCTGAAGGGGATAAAGTGGCTTGGTTTCGTGCTGAGGCAGAAATGGAACGATGGAGAGAACAGTGGGAAATCAAATTGGTCGAGTGTGTCCGTTGCATCCGCTCGTTCCGAAAGATGTCAGAGACTTGGAAAAAGCTTTCGTTGTCCGCTGGAATGGCCCTTTCGCAATCTATCTTTGCTAACAAGCAGGCGCATATGTTCAAGAGGCTTGCGGACAAAGTTGAAGCCGTTTTTACGCGCGTTCAAAAGAATGAACCCACGGAATATAGAGAAGGCGAACCATTCCTCGACTACATCAAGAGGCATCGCTCTATCGAACTTTCTAACTTCCACGATAGCTACAGGTGAGCGCTTTCCTCAATCCATTCCTTCGACCATTCTAAGTATCCCTCTCCGTACTAGACCCAGACTTCTTAGGTTCTGCCAATCGTGTTGATTCTTTCATTTAATCAAGACTCCTCCCTCTTTCATTCACTCCTTCAACTTGTATAGCAAGTTTGATTAATGGTTATCATCATCGTTATACACTAGACTACTTTGCTGCAGTTGCCCTTTTTCACGTCGTTTAATCAGTCTCTATTCACTTTGATTTATTCACGAACCTTGGATCGTCGATTAAACAGGGCTGAATGATTAATCAATTCCATGTCTCCCCCGCTCAGATGACCGTCTAGTACAGCTAAAGTAGTGCTTAGAGTGATTAATCGTTGTCATTAAACAGTTACTTGATTAATCATTAGGCGCCGTAGAGCGGAACTTTGATCAATCAAGCGCCATCAGGTTACAGCCACCAGGCAGGGTCACGGAAGGAATGGTTGTCAGTTCCCTGGTAGACACGAGCGCACTGCGCCCATCATGCCTCCCTCTGCAGTTGGAAGACGGTGCTTTGCCGACAGTCTCGTCTTCAAAGGTCTTCCAGTGCGCCGGTTTTGCACTATCGTACGCCTTGGCGAAGCGGTCGCGCCCACTGTAAAGCAGTACCGAGAGGAAGAAGAGGATGCCCAGTAGTATGAGAATAAAAGAGAGTCGCTGCCAGTGGTCCCGTCGTAGCCCCATGGTCGCTACCAGCTCGTTCGTCGATGCCCAGCAAATTTGGGCGGGGAAGCACGAACTCAAAAGCTACCAGTAGTCAGATGTCCAAAGAAGCTGGGAACTTGAAGCCAGAACTGTATGACTGACAGATAGATCACACGGAGGAAATCCACGGGTTTCGGACAGCTTCTGCGTTATCAAACATTCTGTCAGGCTGATAGTTCAGTGCGCTTATAACGGATCGGTGGACCTGCAATCGGGCACAGAAGGGCCTCTTCATTCGGAATCATTTGACCTCGTCCCAACTCAGAAAACATCAGCAGCATCGCGCTTTCCACTTCCCAACCTCCGAGACAGATGGCAGGGGTGAGGGCAACCGCTCACAGCTTCGCGCGGAGCTGGAGTGCAAGTTGCCGAGCGCTTGCTTGTGGGGATGCCTTATGGTGTTCGTGAAACGCCGATCAATCCAGCGGCGTCGATGAAAGGCACACTGATGCCCCTTAGGCTGTGGTCACTGCAGCCCTGAACCCAATGAAGATAAGCAGAACGTACTGCTAAACACATATACCAACGAGATTAATCCGTAACCCTTCCCTTTAAGTTAGTCCTCCACCGCATCATCGGGCTCGGTCAGCCTCCTTCGAATCATATCAGCGACAGCTGGCCCGTATACTGGGATAGAGACTAGTGGAAGGTAGGGTCGTGGTAAGTACCTTACGCCATAAGCCAAGACCAGCTCCAGCAGTGTTCAACGTACCTCCATGAAACCCCTTTGTAAAATGTACTTTCTGAACGGTATAGTCAGTCGTAGGTCGCGATCGGCGCGCGAAAGAGACTTACATTATGAGTCTTCCCTCTCGGATAAGTCAAAAATGTATCATTATGGACTGCATAGTGTTTGTGGCCCATGTTTCTTGCGAGCATCTCATAATCGAAGGTGTACGCTAGAAGGGACCTCGGAATATTAGCATAGTAAATGTGATGGACAGAAGTCACTTACAAGGAGGATCCATGATCTCGAAGGTCGCGGAACGGAGCGACGGAGGCATGATTAATTGATGCTTTGAAGAGACTAGTCAATTTCCATTTCCACATACAGGAGCAAGCCAACTCACCGTTAGGCCATTTCCATGCACTCCGACCAGAATCTGTTGACAAGACATTCAGGTTACAGTCAGGGAATGCGGAACAGAGGGGGCAGGAACTGACCGTTGTCTTCGCGATGATCGCAATCTGCTCACGGATGCTAAGCTTTTCCATCTGCGGAATGAGCACGGTGCAGACCCCTTGTTTCTCTAGGTCCTTAAGCGACTTGACGAGCAATTCGTGGTCTTCAGCAACAAGTCGGCGACCGGAGCCTTGACGGGAGATGTAGGTCACAACAGGAAGATCGTATCTCCCATCTGGGCTTTCCATATCGTCCTCCAGTGCTGTGATTGATTCGGAAGGCGACGAAAGCGTGTGCTTGAGGGAAGAAGCCAGAATCCGACCTTTCGAGTCGACGACGGGCACGTATCCGATGGTATTTCGAACTAGGGAGTGGCGGAGTGGTTCCCAGAAGAACTCCGGACCTGTTAGACCCATCGTCCCTCCGACCATCTTGAACCAACGTCCGGACAAGGGACTAATTGCGATACACAAAAAAAAGTTAAAGTCACAGGCATCCAAAGTCACAGACAGAGAACATACTGTTTGTGAGCCTTGTCTCGGTTTATGATCATACTCCTCTCGAATACGACTGTCGTATCCAATTTGATGAGGTCGTTCCAATAATCGGCTTTTTCGATTGAAGCTTGCGGGAAGGCCGCCCGCATAGTGGGGCCAATGATACCTGCTCTGTCTCGCCACTCGGCTCCGGAGACGGCCTAGAAGTTCGAAGAACCATAATTCTCGGTCAGTATAACGACTAATGGCGAAGCATGCGTACTTACCGGCATCACGAACCGCGTAGGCCAGGGGAGGGGAAAGCCGACAGGATCCAAACTGGACGGCTTGTGGTCAAGTGCCAGCGTCGAGTAGACCCTCCACATTCCGAGGATGATTTCACCCCACCAGTGATAGAAATGCTAGAAGACCATTAGAAACAGCCCAAGAACAACACATAAACTCGTATGGTTGACCTACATGCATGAATTGTGGGGAGTCGTACAGGAATACCGTGACGTCTGGGATGAGGGTTGCGACGTCTCCAAGGACCCCAGGCGCCTCTTCCGGTGACAGGAATTGCATTTCCTATCGAAAAGCATTTAGTTTGATGAGAGGCAAATGAGAATAACATCACCCTACCTTGTCTGTCGCCTCTGAATCCACTCCATTGGACAATGCAACTGGTTTGCCTATCAATGCTTTGCGCGGGGGGAAGGTCGGGTCATTGGTCACGATATAGAATGTGCCATTCCTCAGATACAGCCGGTCGATCATGGAGAAGCCGTCCACAAACGCGCGTTGTTGCCCACCAGGTATAGTCACGGATGGAATCGTCGTTGGGTCCCTGGTCGACACGAGGACGCTGCGTCCAATGCCACTTGCTCTACTGCTGGATACCCGCGACCTATCGACCGTCCCATCGCCAGATATTTTCAAATGGGATGGCGGGTTGGCATTGCTCCTGCAGAGGGTCAGCTGGGGGTGCCATTGTTTTGCCCTAACGTATGCCGACGCAACGTGATCTCCTCCGTTGTAGAGCAGCACCGAGAGGAAGAAGAGGATCCCCAGTAGGATAAGGATGAATGTGAGTCTCTGGTCGCGTCGTAACCCCATAGTGGCCCCTCGAGCTGGTTGTTGGTCGACTCGAGTCGAAAGCTGGGGGAATGGCCGGGTATATAGGGAAGCCCAAGACCTGCTAGACGCTTGCCAGGAAGCAGCCCATGTATTGGTTGGCTCTTGCCTGGGTTCATTCTTGTGTGCCTGAATGCCTCAATTAGTCAGGCATCGGAAATGCATAAGCAACCGTGGCAGGTGCATCGTGCAAAGGACATGCAGGTCAGCCTTTTGACGTTCCCCTGATTGAATTCGAAACAGCCCGTAAGTCAGCCAGGTTGCCTACGTAGCACAAAGTAGTTAGGTAGTGACATACCGTGAAAACCGGAGACATCAGGGTCCCTACAAAATCTGAGGAATTCCGGCTGAAACGCAATGTTCGTTATGAACAGATTGGGATCCGGAGTAGTAGGGGGCGACGATGTTCCTTTCCATTGGATAGGTTCAATCCGACAGACATTGGCGTCGCCGAACTGAGGCCGGTTTTAAAAGAAATAATGCAGTACCCGACACCAATGTGTTGGGACGAATCTCCTCAGCCAAGGCGAACGACGTGAGTGCCAGGAATCAAAGGCAGCACGACGGCAATCCGAAAGCAAACTTGATCCGAGCTTCCATATTAAGACTCCGAATATATTCTTCGGCGCTTATTCACTCCTAGCAGCCCAGGCCCCAAAGCCCCCAAACCCGGGGCATCAGACGTCATATATGATTCCCTGTGGAGTCCAGCACACGCAGAGACCTACCCAGGGCTCATATATCTTGGAACCTAAGCCCTCATCACGCGCACAGACATTACACGCTTGCATCTTGCCCAAGAAATCTACCACGATGTCACCTTCTAACCAAGTTGTCGACAAAGAAGGAATGCCCATCCATGTGGGAGATGAAGTGTCGTGCCGCGCTCGTGGAGGGAAGCATGTGGGAAAGGTTGAGAAAATCGTGTACACCAAAGAAGAGGCAGAGGAAGAGGGAGTAAAGAACCCTCCAAAGGTCATTTATACCGACCAACACGGTGAGTTCCGCCATAGCTGACTGCTTTATCTCAAGAAACATAGCTGAGCAATGTTCAGGACACCGTGTAAACCACAATCCTGGCACCCTCGTTCATGGAGATCCCTTCTAACTCGATGGAACAAACAAGCGTCACAGAGCGAGGAATGACTTATTGAATTTATTTCGGTTCTTTGAAGAGATATCGTACAGATTGTATTTGTATCTTGTTCAAATCCATTTCGCAAAGCATAACGAGCTCGCTTCTCTGGCCTGCAACCCCCTCAGACTGGTGCCTGGGTTTGTCATTTGCTTGGATCTATTTACAGCACGCGGTCCTTGACAAACAAGGAGGCGCGTCGGCGGATTCCCAATTTGATCTTAATTACCGCCATCAGGGACGACAGCGACGACAACAACGACGACGACGGCGGGTAGTGCGACGATGTCTGCAGCGACGGCGCTACAGAGTTTCTCATTAACGAACAACATTCTTGAGATCTCACCTCAAGATGAAATCTACAAATTCGATGCCGCAGAGAACCAAAGGATAAACAGGGAGGCACCATGGTCCAAGGAGTACGTCGTCTCGGATGTCGATCTCAAAGCGAAATGGGCGCTGATAGGCAGAATTGTAGCCCTACATACTTCAAGTCCTGTAAGATTTCCGCTGTGGCCCTGATTAAGATGGTATGTAGTCCTTTATAGTTTGGTGAATACAACTGAGCATGCCTCCAGGTTATCCATGCCAGGTCGGGTGTGCCACACGAGATTATGGGCTTGATGCAGGGCAAAGTCGTCGGAACGTCCATTGTGATCATGGACTCGTTCGCACTGCCAGTACAGGGCACAGAAACCCGTGTCAACGCAGCCGCAGAAGCCAACGAGTACATGGTGGAATACATCCAGGGAAGCGAGAAGGTACGTCCACAGTCGGCTATCATACATTCTCAGATCGATTCTCAATAACGATCTCAAAAGGCTGGACGACTCGAGAACGCCATTGGCTGGTACCACTCACATCCAGGCTACGGATGCTGGCTATCAGGAATCGACGTCAACACCCAAATGAACAACCAGAAATTCCAAGATCCATTCATCGCGGTTGTCGTATGTCTTGTACTTGTATCCGCAAGCTTCTTTTCATTTTAACCAAGATCCATAGATTGATCCCAATCGCACCATCTCGGCTGGAAAGGTGGATATTGGCGCCTTCCGCACCTACCCAGAGAACTACACGCCCCCCAACGCTTCTTCGTCCGAATACCAGTCCATTCCGCTGAGCAAGATCGAAGATTTCGGTGTACACGCGAACCAATACTACCAAGTTGACGTGGAGATCTTCAAATCGAGTCTGGACAACGAACTTCTTGCCTTGCTGTGGAACAAGTACTGGGTAAACACTCTGAGTCAGAGTCCATTGATCTCGGTATGTTGTCGCTTCTCTTGTTCTTTCCCCGCTTACACTTGCGCCTAGAATCGAGCGTACGCCGTGTCCCAGCTCTCCGATCTGCACCAGAAACTCTCCAAAGCAACGTCCTCCGTCCCCAGCACGCGCCCGATCATTCCCTCCCTCAAATCCAAAGACGGCGAAGGCAAGCAAAAGGAGAAGGAGGAGAAGAAGAAAGACGAGAACCAGTTGGCGAAGAGTGTCATGGATAGGTGAGTGCGCCCTCCGTTGCAGTCATGTTCCTCCCCCCTTTTTGTCCCGCTGGAGGGTTACGTTACCTGCAACCACTCCTCCCTCCTCCTTTTTGGAGCAATTTGCGTTTTCCTGGTAGCAACTCCGCGTCTCTATTGTTGGTTTCTATCCCTTTGATCCTGTGTTGGCTAGGGACGGTGAACTTGGAGGCGGCCTCCGACCACCAGGTCGTGGGTTGTGTGATTACTCGGTCTCTTCTTCCGCTCGGCCGTAGCCCCTTCGTTGGCCGCCTTTCCAGATCCTCGAATCTGCCTCATTGCTACCCCTCGATTCCCTGGGTCCATTCGAGATCCTCCTCCTCTTCGTTTCCTTTTGAACCTTTCTTTGGTACTGAAGCTGATCCGATTTACCCCAACAGCACAAAGATAGCCGTCGAAGCCCAACACGGGCTCATCGCCCAAGTGATCAAGGACGTCATCTTCTCCATGCGACCCAAGAACGACGCAGCTCAATCCTCACAAGCGGCCTCTGCGCAGGTTGCGGATGTCACTGATATGGCCATCGGCTAGTCGCAGACTGAAGCGTCGGAACATGCATTCATTCCTTCATTTGCATCTGTGCATCCACCCCCTACGCCATTTTCGCTTCGAATTCCGCTCCAGAGTGCAGTACCCCCGCTCGTCCATCGCATCGTTTTTGCAAGGTTTCTTGAACTTCGTGTTACTCATTCCAATATGTACTATTAGTCAAATCTACGCATCGAGTCAAGATCTGGTACATTCATCCACAGAAGCGATCTCTGTCCCTCTATCAGCATGGAGGTACGGCGAACTGACGATGCCGCTGAAGCTTGTCATCCCCTCACTAGGCGCGCAAGTATAAGTACCTTATTTCCGACGGGGGTACAGTGCGCAGATTCCGTCAACAGCAACTTGAGGGGCTGAGAAGCATAGCATTATGATTGAGTACTACTAGGGCTATAGACTTGCAGATGGGAACAGGAAAGCGGAACAATAAGTAACGAATAAAACAAACGCAGGGTGGCTAAGAGAACTTGGAAGACGTCGTTGCCACTGTCCACCAACAGCGAGTAGTTAAACGGAATAAAGCGAATACTGGTAGGTAAATTACGTATGTCCGAGGGCGAATAATAACTCAACACCTGGAGAGTAAAATACAGCGAAGAGATTATCGAGAGAGAAGGGTGGAATTATGGTACACATTAAAACGATCGCAATAAAATGAAGTGGCCGAACAGATCGAGAAAGTAATACTACGAGACACCAGCGCGTAATACAGGCGCCGACAAGGATACCAATTTGCAAATTCGAAGGGGAATGCGGCAAGCGAATAGAATAAAGCTTACTGGCATACCAAGGTAGACTCGCGTGGCGGACAGGCGCCTAAAAGTACACGCCGGCCTCCTTCAAAGCAACCTCTACCACCCTCATACCCTGCAGCACCTTCTCTTCCTCGAGCCTTCGCCCAACTACCTGCACGCCCAACGGAAGCCCGTGCATCTTCTCCGCGTCGTAGACCGAGTACACGCCCTTGACAACACTGTTCATGGATTGGTACTCGGGCGTTGAAGTGAAGTTGGGTGCGAGGCCGTCAATGTCCTTGTCGACGTGAGTGACGGGTAGCACGCCAGCGGAATAGTCGAGCTGTACTGTGGATGTCAAAAGGATGTAGGGATCAGGACGGACAAGTACTTGCCAGGTTGAAGAGGAAGGTGACGCCGACGCTCATAAGCGACACCTTGACTCCGCCACCGTGAGGGAAAGCAGGCAGTGGATGGGGCACGGTGATCAAGAAATCCAAGCCCTCATCTATCCACTTCTTGTGCCACTGCGCCCGGTACTCGTCCCGGGAAACAATGGCAGCTCGATCCTCCAAGACAGTCAAGGGGTGCATGGACTTGTAGACCTCCGCCGCAAATGGATCCGACGACTTTAGAAAGTAGGCAAATATTTTCTTGACGATGCGAGGAAGATTGAACAAGTTCAGAATAGCCTGTGCGGGTCCGGTAACCCTTTCGCCTGGTTGGAGAGGAGCTTCCACTTGTTGAGCTAGAGAAAGAGAGATCGTCGGTCCCGGTCAGGACTTTCCATCGGCAAAACGTGAATAGTGAGGATGCTAACCTCCGTCTGCAAATAGTAATCGGTATCCAGTTTGAAGGCCAGAGACTAAATCTGGCGGAGTGCTAGAAGGGAAGAAACAGACAGGGATGTTATCAAATGATTAGCGCCTTTCACATCTAAATTGAACTTCCCATCAGAACACGTACAAATCAACGACTTCGTGCCCTTGCTTGCGAAGTGCGTTCGCAACGGTGGCTAGAGCTCGACGGCATGCCGGAGTAGGTGGGACTGTACCTGCAGCGAGAAAGATAAGGGTTCCGTATGCCAAAGAGAGACGATCACAGCGGTTCACATACCGTCATCCCACATGACGCCCCACTTGAGCTTCCGCCCTTCTTGTTGCAAATCGATAGGTCTCCAAGGGAGTGGTATGCACTAGAATAGAAGAGGGTGGAGCTGTTAGAGACGAAGAGAACCTCGAAAAGACGAACGTCCACCCACAGTGTGATCATACTGCCAAGGCTCGCAGTGTATAACCCTCTTCCAAAACTCTTCGAGGTCGTCCAAATTTGAAGCCAGAGGTGCGGTAATGAGTTGAATACCCTCCAAGCCAGCAAGCGACGACCGACTGCCCCACGTGGGGAACCTCCCTGCACTCCCCTTCAAACTCCAAACCCCGCAAAAATGTGCAGGAATCCGAACCGAACCACCAATATCACTCCCGATTTCAATCTTGCTTCCCCCACATGCGACGAGGGCTGCCCCTCCGCCTGAAGAACCTCCTACTGTAATGGCCGTGTTATGCGGATTCAGAGTTCGGCCATAGACATCAGATACGGTTTCTATGTGGAAAAGACCAGTCGGGACGGTCGTCTTGGCATGGATGAGAGCGCCTGCGTCTTGCAAGAGTCGGACTAGCGGCGCGGAGGTCGTCGCTGGTCGTCCGACGTAGCGCGAGTAGCCGATGGTCGAGTCGCGGCCTTCGATGTCGACAGTGTCTGGACGAAAGCATTGTGAGCTTCTTTCGTAACGTCAACAACGACATGCGGGCTTGTACCTTTGATACTGACCGGCACCCCGAGAAGCAGTCGGTCTCGAGGCACCTCGTTGACCGTGCTGCTGCTGCTGTTGACATCGGCCGAGTCTACACCGGGGCCCCAACTTGAGAGAGCTGGTGTCGACGACGCCTCTTGGAACATGATGTCGGAGAGGCAGTTGGTTGCTTTCTGTGCTGCTAGCGCCTTCTTGCCATAGGCCATCATGACCTCTGACGGCGACAGCGTGCCTGCACGACATCGAGAAACGAGTTGGGACAGTGAAAGAGCGTGTACTTTTTCTTCTTCAAAGGAGAGTGGGGTTGAATATACTGGGGGCAGAGAGTCAATGAGTGATTGGCGCTCCTTCTGCTTCCACGCGCTACGAAATGGTTAGCTGGTTGTTTAGAAGACCGGGGTAATGAAATCAACACGAGCTCACCATGCACGCTGATGAGCAGACGGTGAAAGCGAGAAGAGCATGTTTGTAGAGTGTAAGGTTGGCATTTCCAAGACTGTTGGTGACTCTCGGCCTTTTAGCTTGCAGGGTATGCCGAGGAGTTCCGCGATGACAAGACAAAGCAGAGGTACGACAAGTGCGGAAGCTGGGAAGGAGTCCGAACGTTAAAATCGACAAGGGTTCGTTATTTGAGAGACGAGTGACAGTCCGTTCCATCCAAAAACCGTATCCTTAAGAATCCACGAAGGACCTCCTGTGCGGCACTTTCCGATACCCAGGTGTTCCAATTAGGGTGCTTCGATTACCTGGAACGAACGGGACTAAGAGAACAAAGGGGATATCCGTGGGATGAAGTGCCATGGCATCTGTGATGACAAAAGTCAGTTTATTAGCGAAAGCAAACGAGGCAAATTGCTGATCTCTTACCCCGGCGTGGGCGCTTGCTTTATTTCGCAATGGACATCGCCGAACGTCGACCTAACCGCGGATCTCACTGCAATCTGCATTTTGCTGACGTCGATAGAGGTCAAGATGGCATAGAAATAAGTATGGTCGTTAAGCCCAGATAGAAGAAACAGGTACCATGAGAAGCATGGCCACCCCAATGATCTGCGGCGCCAAAGCGACGGCTGCCAAAGTTTATTATAGGATACACCAAGGGGCCTCGCTGGAGATATCCGCAGGACAATCCTCGTGGGGCAATGTTGTAGGATATCACACCCGCCTGTATACTTGTTTCAAATAATCTCAACTTGGGACAGCCCGAGCCCGGAGAGGTGACGCAAGACGTTGGGGTGGCGGTCGTCCGTGGCACCTTGAATGAACTCAAGTCAAAAGTCTCCTCGTCACTTTAGCAAATGTGTTACATACCATTCAAAGATTCTATCGGGCGCGCGTCGTTACGCAAGCTAGACGCCCCAGTTGATGACTGTGAAAAACTGAGCGAGTATGTAAACTGCTCAAGGAGACTCTGTGATGCAGTATCGATAGCCCTTGGCGCGGTCCGCGCCCCTAGTAGTCCAGAGGCGACGGAACTCCCGCGTTGGATGATATCCGACAGTAAACCCAGAAACGTCTCTGTGCGAAATGGAAGGAGTCATAAACCTTCCATCGTGCGCTAGAACGGCAGGCGCACAGCATGCTGGGCACAGATTTCACGAAATCAAACTCAGTCCTGTATTGCCGGACCTGCGTGGTATGGCGTCACAGAACTCCTGAGTTGCAGATTCTCTTCCTTTCCTAAAAGCACATCAAGTACACCGGTTATGTTGCTTCCTCGCAATTGCAGTTGAAAAATAAGACGTACTGTATCAAAGTTGCGAGCCTCGAGGCCAGACAAAGGCCCTAATCTGCTTCTTGGAAGCAGGAATCTGATTATGCAGGTTCTACCCCGCTTCGGGTGATTGAGAGCACCCAATCTCAGTGATTTCATTGGCGATACTTGTCCTCTGGCTGGGTGTAGGCAATGAACAAACTCAAAGAACTGTTCGCTTCACATGGTTCAAGGCGTCTATCAGAGTCGTAGCACTGGGCTCTTCTGTAAATGCCTTTGGTTGAGTTAAACATCGTCTAGGAACTATAGCATATCGCTCACGTATGTATCCCTTAGTCCATTCTTATCCTTCTTCGCCTTCTTCCGAGCCCAAACGCTACTAGGCGCCACGCCCAGAATCGAGCTTCTCGTCGTCATACCTTGAATCCCGCGAAAGCGACAGTTTATGCTCGTCCCTATGCGTTCCTAATTCAAGAAGATTGAGAAGATCAAAGGCGTTGCTGCCAACGGAGTGCGTTCGATGCCGTGGAACGAGACCAAAAGGAGTGATTGGCACTGACCGACGGAGGGGTTTCGAGCGGAGGATGTCGGGCTGGGAAACGGCCGTCGTGTGCCGAGGCTGCCGCAAAGCCGACTCGGAGCGCCCAGGTTCGGAAAGCTTGGATGAAGGACGCTGCGGCTTAGATGCTTACCCTTCGGTTCCTCGGTTCATTGGAGTGGGTATAGGGTAGGATATACAGCCTGACGGCCCTATACCGCCCTGCTCGCTTGATCATATGGTTGCGGCGGTCCCTTGAGTCGGATCACTCTAACCCTCGACGCTCGTATACATCGCACAAGCCTTCAGAATTGGTTCATTATTGATCATAACCTATCCGACTGAGTAGAGAATTGGCAGGCGTGTCTTATTATGTCGTCCAATATACTGAGACCATCCCCTGACACTCCCCGAATTCAATTCACTTCTCGCAAGCAATCTCGACGTCACCGTCACCGGCAGCGGATCGTCTCCAGCATTTCCTCTGGCGAGCAACGAGAGCATCTACATAACACGTTAGTATATCAGATATGCCCTCTAAAATAATAATGTATATTGGTTTCATACCAGTATCCTCAGCGGGGAGGGCGACGGCCATGGTGATGGCAGCGAAAAGAATAGCGAATCGGACGCGGAATTGCATGATGATTTCAAGTCTCTCGGCAGTGCAACTCCCCTTGCTATGTACGTCGCCTCCGGCTATGTCTTTTATATCTCTCTGGACAGCCCGTTTGGCCTATCTCCCAAGAAGCACTGACGACCACACTTTACATTGAGTAGACAACTTAGCTGAGGCAAGTTGTGATCTTCGAGTAAAATCGTGTATAACGTAGAAGTCCCATACTCTTATTGATACATGCAGATATTCAGTTACCAGTGGCCGTTATGCCCTCCCCGCGGTTATGCGCCCATGTGCATACCGTCACAACGCGGGCGTCCATAACAACCCAGCGTCCTGATTTCCATGGTCGATGTGGAAGTGCGATATGTTTTCGCAGCCCTTGTAGATTTAAGAACCCTTTTGTTTGCGAGTCTTCTGGATCTAGAAAACCTCTACTGAGATGTAAGCCTCCCTCTCCCTCAACATCCAAAACAAACCCAACGTACCTGGAAGTTGCCCCCAAAAGTTCCATGCGCTCATCCATCAAGTTTAAATACAAATCGCCAACGACTCGTCCTTCCCCACCCCTTTCAACGCTTGAGCGCAGGCAGCCATACGATCAACAGTTTCGTTGTCTAACAAAAGATAATCAGCCACCAACCATAGACATGTACACGAACTCCAGTTTGAACTTTGGATAGGAGTGACTCACCATCTGTGTCTGGAACTGGTAGAGCCGAGGTAGAGATCGCAACCAGGCATAGGAGGGAGAGAATCTGGAACAGCTTCATGTTCAAGCCGACTTAATCAGCTGATGGATGCCAAATGGTAATTATTGATTTAGCGCCCGTCGGGTATCGATGCACAGGGCGGTCTCTCGTTCAGAGAGGAATTCGTCGGCGCAAAGACTCAGAGAGTGGGGGACAAAGCGACATAACAACGACCTCCACCAATCGATATATAAGTACCCCTACAAACTATTCTTTCGGCAATTATTTAACGCTCCTACACCCAAGACTCAATCTACACGCTTCTCAACTTCTTTCTCCTCTCAACCACCCGTCTTAGCTCCCAACACGGTCGCTGTGACTTCTTCGTTTCTCTTATCGTGCTCTCATGGTAAGTACTACTTAAGTGGAAAGGCTCGGTACATACGACGCTTCCATAAGTATAATGCTCAGCCACCTGCCAGAGCCTGGGCGAAGAGCCGTTGCATATCGTACCTCGGCATCGGAAAATTAGTGTGGCGACATGAGGAGTCGTGAGAGGGCTTTGGAACATGTAGACATAAAGAAGCGCTGGGTACCTTATGGAAGCGGAATGTTGAATTACTTGTATCGTATCCGTGACCTACAAAAACATGTATACGCAGATTCTTCCAGAAGAAAACCGGGCAGTGAGAAGGTGGTGGCGGCCGGTGCCGTGATATGATTTGGACAAGTACTAGTGGACTCCATTGATCGTCCTTGGGCGGGCGAATGCTGAGCGCTGAGAACACTGGCACGCGACCATACGCACCAACACTTCACAGGCTAGATCATACGACCCTGTACAGGCGCTACGAAAATGGCAGGCCAATGGTGTCACCACATAGTACCAAATTCAACTATCCAGGTCCTTAACGGCTCGGAACCCGGGATCACTTCAGAGTGCAGGGCATTAAATAATATTAGTGTAAGATCCAAGTAGGCTCAGGACTCAGTAACCACCGAGACGGAGTTAGCTCCAACCTGTTCACGATCAACATTGGCTAGCGGCTGTCCAACGGCTTCGAGGTACATAGATCAATTTGCCTGGAGAAACAAAACCCCGAAGCCCCCGAATCCATCCATCTCCATCTACTTATCGCGTTCGAAAACTAACTTGGTGCTCATCCCCGAACAGAGAGGAAAGGTAAAAAAAAACATCGCATACAGTTTCTCAGATGGCGGCTGTAGAGAGAAACGTTTCAGCGTTTGAACCCGTCGTATAGGCTTATCTATCCTCCCGACACACACAGAGAATTCGGAATCGTCGCACACGACGTATCACATTGAATCCAAAACGGAAGATGGAATCATGACATTTCAAAGTCCTACATATTCCTAGTACTAGTCCTAGTTCGAGTTCGAACTGCTCTGAATGAATGGAGGCGACAAGGCGGAATGGAGATAACATATCCGCTTCTCGAAACAACACTGATATCATTGTACGTTCCTTAACCTGATAACACAAATCCACACATCAGCCAGATCCAAGAGATGGAAGTTGAAACAAACTTCAAATTGAGCGCGTTGAAACTTGACGAGATACGCACATTGTATTGACATTGGACTCGAAACATCCAAGGGCGAGGTGAGGGGGTATATCAGATGCATACTTCGCCCATACACCTGCCATAATCATCGGGGCCATCGACGTCCCTGGACGACAGATCGACGTTAAGGTCTAGGAGGAAAAAAGGAATGCGGACACGGAAGATCAGTAAACCCGGGACTAAATGTGCAGGAAAAGAATGACGAGGAAAGGGAAAGTGAAACATACGAGGACTGGGCGCAGCCAGTACGAGTGCAGCTGCACTTAACAAGAGTAACACGACGAGCTGGGTGAAGGACTTCATAGTGGACGATAAGGCAAAGCAAGTAACTGGAGAACCCTTTTTAAATGCTGGTAAGATTAAAGTTGCCCAGCGAAGAATACCAATTCGGTTTCTCCTGGATGGTGGAGCTGGGGAAGATGCATCCCAGTTCGGCACACCAAGTGAGATGAACTTCTACACTGATAGAAGCTAGTTCAGACTTCCCGCCGTAATTGAGTTGAGTGTTCCTTGTGTTTTACACAAAAGGCGGGTTAGAACAAGATAACGATCGTAGCCTACGTCTTCTGTTCGGTTGAGGCTGAATACAGGCGCTGCGTGGTGCAGGGATGAAAGGAAATGATCTTATTGGGAAGAAATGCAATACAAATCCTGTGATATCAAGGAGGAAACTCGTTAGAATCGAAGCCATGATTTGAATTCAGGTTACGAACTGAGATGAACTATCCTGCCTCAGGCGTGCTCAGCGGGTAAGAGACCCTTCGAAGCAACATTCTCCTCCATAATCCTGTAAACAGTACCCCAATCCTTGCACGTATGCGTAGCACCCACACGGTCCACCGTAAAATTCCTCTCCACAAAATCCCCCTTCTCTAGCGTCAGATCCGCAGAGCACAGCGCCCTCTGCCTGAGATAATTCAAGCAATGAGCATTATGCCCTTTACTCGCAAAGAGCTTGTAGAGGCCCTCGAATTTAGGGTCGAACGCCCAGTTGAAGAAGCGCAGACAGTGGACTTGGTGGAACATGGAGACGAGGAAGAGGCGGTTGTTGGGTCCGAGGTTGATGAATCCGCCGCCTTTGGGCGACAGGGCCTCCCATTGGGCGTCGGTGCCCTCCCCTGCGAGGCCGTAGCGAACGCTTTCTTCCACCGTCAGCAGGACGTTGTCGAGTTCGCCGAATGGAAGGGGGAGGGTTTCCGGGTAGTCATGGCCTATATAGGCTGTTTGGAAGTCAGCGACTGCCCCTGAGAAATCGTTAATGAGACTCACAGTATGGGATATCCCTTTCGATACCGCGATAATTCCAGATGAGGGCCACCAGAAAGTTGATTGCGCAGCTCGCTATCGTCAGATAGTAAGTCAGGCGACGAGGGTATTGACCCATCTAAGGCGGCCTCCTTGTGTAGTAGAGTTCAGCCAATGGTTTTCCGTAGTCGATGGTCCCCGGTGAACAGCTGAGAGAGCTAATCATCGAAGTTTCCGATTTGAGATGGGCTGGGAAGATAATTGGGAGTGATTGGGAGCTCGGAAAATAGGGTTTCATTTGGCGCAAATATGCCTCGCGGTGTCATTTGACCAGGTCGGACCAAGAAAAGCTTCTGAGCGAAAACCGAGTTCATGTTCTGAGGACAAGGAGCGTGGGCCCACGGATGCCGCGAAGCCGAGTCCATCAGAACATGCCAAAGCATCGAGCTCATCGTGATGGACAGTGACGACGATCTTTCCGACACCGTCTACATCGTTCGCAGCGACCTCCACGACCAATGGACGACCTCCTCGACCCCAGTGCTCTTTCAACCTCTCCACGCGATGTCTACCACAACCTGGCGTCTCCGCGGATTTTGCTCGGATTCGAAGCACGTTAGACTTTTGGTCCCAGCCCGGGTTCTGACCTGGGAATACCATGGAATATCTCGATTCCACTCTGGATAATGATGCTCAGAAGACATAGAAATGGCCACTGTATTGTTTCTCAACCGAGCCAGTCAAGGTGAAATGGCCCGCTACACCAGTGTCCCGAGTTCTCTACAAGATCCCGAGTACGATGAGAAGGACGTCGAGGAGAGGGTCCTGGATGATATGGTCGACGAGGACCTCACGAAATGTAAGTGGCTAGAAAACTGTAAGATTCATAACACTGACGATAATGTCCAGATGATAGACTGCTCTTGCGACTGACCTGCCTCTGTGCAGTTCTGTCCGCCTTGTTTGCTCTAGCGACTCTTCTCGGACGCTCTCCACCATCTAGGTCGAATACGGCTGTGAAACGACCGAATCCATACCCAGGCCTCGATGCTATATCCTACGGAGACGAATACGAGCCTTTCAAGCCAATCACTTCGCTATCCCAGCTACTGCTTCAGATCCAAACTAACGACCCTTCACGAAAACTACATGAAGACGCCTCCAGACAGCGCGACTCAGTCAGGGGAACGTTGTATCCAGATGACCGACACTTTATTGCCTCACGGGAGGTAAAACCCTTCCCCGTCACTCACCTTCTACGCCACTGACGAAACCTAACATAGATGTCGACTGTCGTCCAATTCAAGAACCTCGACTACGGCATGGAGCGCTGTGTCCTACACGCCGTGCTCCCCAACAAGACTGCATCCTTGGACCCGGCCATCCAGCTGAAGCCATCCAGCATCATCGACGTCTGGCGGCTCGACCAAGACACCGAGATCTCTCCGCAGAGCCCTGAAACATGGGCACTCGCGCCGCGGCGGCGGGCACTCTTGGAACGATTCGAATTCCCATCGGAGAACGGCGAATGGAGGTCCAAGGAGTTCCACTGCCCGTCGCTGACGTTTACGATCTTGGAGTTTGCTTGTGCGTCTGTTTCTCCGGACTGTCATGTCGAGTTCTGGCAGGACCGGATGTCGGCGAATGGTAAGCTCTTTCTCTCGTCCGACGTCTCGAGCACGTCATGGCTGATGCTATTTGCAGGCGTATACCTTGAGCAGCACGACTCGTTCGCCAAACCAAAGCCCTCAAATTCTGTTTAACCTATGTATAGTACAACCACATGAATCAAGATTTATCCCTCGAACGATCCTCCAACCTCCTCTGATACCGTCGATAATTCTCCTCCGCAGCCTCATAAACCGCACTCCAATCCCTACAAGTACTATGCGTGATATCCGAAACCACAATCCCCCTCCTCAAATGCCGCCCATGCTCCAACCTCAAATCCGCGCGGCACAACACCATCTGCCTCAGGTAGTTCATACAATGGTGAACCAGTTCGTCTGGCTTCTGTTTACGCCCTCCGTCTTCGAATTTTATGAGACCTTTGCGGATGATGTTGAGACAGCGGATTTGGTGGAACATGGAGATGCTGTATGGTTCGAGGGTATCTGCCTCGTCGGAGGAGGAGGAAGAGGAGGAGGAGCCGAGGTAGAGGATCCCACCGCCCGAGGGTAGGGTAGCCTCCCATTCTCGATCGCTGAGGGATGTGTTATACGCAAAATGCACACTGTTCTCCATCGTGATTTGCGCTTGGGCGAGGGGCGGTATGTCCCATTCTCGTGGGTAGTCTGAACCTTTGTAGGCTTGCGCACGGAACTCTTGAATTATCTTCTGCCGGATAGTTTAAGTGGGAACGAGCAACTCACTGTATTTTCTGGGTTTTGGACTCGGAGGGGGTTCCGAGGGTGTGGGCTGGAAGACCCCGATTTCGATGAGGGTGACGAGGAGGAGGCAGGTACTGGCCAGGAATAAGACGATGGCGCTAACGTCCAGGACGCCGAGCCCTGCGAAATGTTAATCGTCGGTGAGCCAGTCCTCCTTCATTCCATTTCCACCCCTCTGGACTGTAACCCTAAAAGATATTCAGACATACCTAAATTCTTCATACCCCCCACTCCGACGGTGAGTAACTGTAGTACTGTATGTTTCGTCGACGAGATAGAAGTACTTGTACTTAGTACTTAGTAGTAGGAGAAAGCCAAGACAGACACGGTTTCTAGATCTCGAGTGCTAAAGCCAATTATCCCACTGGCACCTACCCCACGTGCACTCGGATGGATATAGTACCCTTCGCCTTCTCCCCGAAGCTAGAAGTCAGAATTGGTCAGAACAACGATTTCAGGCAGAAATCGACACCTTTAAAAAACTCAAGGTTATTCTGCTTTGTATTCACAATCATAACCCTGACGAGAAACGTTAAACTCAAATCTTTTTGCCTCCCAAAATCGTCAAATTTGGAAAGTTCCTTCAAATGGAAAGTCTGTATGTAGCGGTGAATGGACGGAGGAAGGGAGCGAGGGCTGAGATCAAACCTGTACAGAGAAGATCTGGATGCGTATGTGCTTACTAGTATGCGTGACAATGGAAACCCGCTTATCATCTCTCCTGGTACTTATCATCTCTTCTGTTCGTGCGCGCTCCCCGCTTCTGAATCTGTGCGATCCTTGTCATCGCGAGAGCGCGAGGATTGGTTCCGGTAAGCCCTCTTTTCCATTGGAGATTAGTACTTAGTAATAGTATAAAACTTGAAGTTTACAAGTTCTACATACAGGCCTGCCCGTTTGCTCCCGTATGTACTTAGTAGATAGCAGTAATACTTTATCTGGTGCGGACTCGGAGTTTGACCGTCCCTTCATCTGAGTTCTGAACCGTGCTTCGATCTTGTCATGGGTTCCCTCCTTCACTTCTTCGAATTCTTCGAATTCTTTTCCACGCATAGCTGATCTTTACCAGCTTCTTCCTGGATCCGTATGTGGTATTGGGAAACACGGAAACACTTTTCTGCTATTGGTGCGCAAACTGTAAGTTTTCACTGTTCTCAGGAGGAATAGGAATGAAGATTTCAATCAGGATTTGTAGGACTCGGAGTGCTCGGTTGGAGATCTAGTCGTCAAGTCGGGGACTCGTTCCCCGGTCTGGAGACTGGAAACCAGACACCCATGGGCCATGTCACTGCGGCTCCGCAATTCGGTTGCACAATGGAGCATATGCCATGCAGACCATGCTCTACTGTGAGGACCTGCGTAAGGAAGTTCAAGGTACTGGTCATCCAGTAAGTACACAACAACGCCTTATTTGAATCACTTCCAGATGCAGAACTTGATACTTATCATGTATTCGAGTCGAGTCGCGATGGCGTCAAGAGGATCAGTCAGTCAGTCACACCGTTACCAGTCCCATCTCGACGTCGAAAAGTTTTGAATCCGGGGAATCTAAAGATTCGTTGAATGGGTACGCATGTACAACGGACGACCATCCTATCAGAATCAAGCTAGCTCACTGACCCTTATCACACACCACAGCTTCAACGTTCTCCCTCCGAACAGACTTCCAATTGCAGTTCTATTGATACCCATTTCCATCCGTCTCAAACTAGCCTCTTAAACGCCCACCATCCCCATCTTTTGCCAAGCAACGTTAACCTTGAAGGGAGTGGGAACCCTGACAGCCTTTGAATGACGACGTCCTGCTTCCCTCCGCGATTATGCTATGGCTTGTTTGATCTCGTGCGTTTATCTGCCTCCTGAAGATCCCCCCTTGGAGTCGGAAGAAGTTTTTGCTTGGGCGGGTGTATAAAGTTGTCGTCTGGTGAAGTTTGGGTTTCCCCGGACCTTTTGTTCCCTGTCCTGTCCTTCCCCTTGCTGCTAACGCTCTCGAGCGTCCCTTCCTCCACTTCTTCTTCGATTGCGATACCACACCGGTGATCTAAATCATCCTTTGCATACCCCGCTCCGAGACGCTCCTGCTCTCCACTAATCTTGGAATATGCTCAAACCAGAATGGAGAACAGATGAGCCAGCCTGGCTGGTGGAATTCGAACGGCTCGTCCATGCAGCCGTGAACATTGGTGCCATCGCATTCGGTGAGTCAAGTCTTCCTTCCTTCTTCCAAGCTTATCCGTAGACCCAATCTAATCTTGGACTATGCTTGTACAGGAATACATGCGGCGATCTTCGCCATTTGCACGTACCACTTCACTAAGGCGAAGAGGTTCCCTGTCCTTCAGCAACTTTACATCACAATCTTGTTTTTGTTGGCGGGTGTGACGATTGGGTGTAATATTGGGCACAACCAGTTGACGTGGATTGATTATCGAAGTTACCCTGGAGGTGCGTCTCATCGGACGAGGCCATGAACTCGAGTCGTGTTCCGTGATCGTGGTTAACTTGGTGCACACCAGGCCCTGGCGCCTTCATCCAGGAACAACAAGGGCACTTCGTCAACACTATTGGAAACTCGGCAGGACTGACGTTGGCGTTCATGGTAGATTCATTGTTGGTGCGTAGGCGCCCACATGAATACGTTACCCGTGCACTCATTACCGCATAACTTCACACAGATTTATCGCGCCTTCGTCGTCTGGAACAGCAACTTTTACGTCATTATCCTCCCCTCCCTCCTGCTCATCGCTTCCACAGGTGCGATCTACTCTCCCTTTCCTATACCAAGCCCTGACGCTGACGATACGAAACAGTAATGGCAATCCTCCAAACCATCGCTGCCTCCCTCCCCGAATCGGCGCTCTGGAACGAGCGAGCGGTCCAATTCGGACTCCCCTACTTTGCGCTCTCGATGACGATCAACATGCTCGTCACGGTCATCATCATCTCGCGGCTGCTCCTCGCCAGGAGGCAGATCCGGCAGGTCATGGGCTCGCAGCACGGGAAGGAGTACACGGGTGTGGCGGCGATGCTGGTGGAGAGCGCTGTCCCGCCCGCGTTGGTCAGTATCGTGCTCATTGCACTCTATGCGGAGGGTATCCTCGCCCAGGTGCTGTTCTATCCTTTGTTGCCCCAGGTGCAGGTAAGTGTTCGGGATCACATCGAACAATGAGTGATCATTGCGATGGTGTTTTTTAATTAAAGGTTGACTGACGCGTGTTTTGATTTTCATTTCCCCCTATTTATAGGCTATTGCACCGCAACTCATTTTCATCCGGGTTATGCGTGGACGGGCGTGGAATAAGAATACGGCTAACCAGGTGTCGACGGGTGTGAGGTTTGGAACGGCGACGGGGACGGGGATGTCGTCTGGTCCTTCCGCTACCCTCAACTCGTCGAAGCGCGGTCTTGGAGGCTGGAAAGACTCCGATGAGAAGGCGTCGTCGTCGATTAATGCTAATAGGTCGGCGTCGGATGTTAACGTCTGATGCATCAACTCGACTTGAAAGGAACTTGGTACGCGCTGGGCGCTGGGTTTGGAGGCTGTCACTGGGCCGGCCGAACGCGATGTGTATAGTATACAGTGAATACAGTCTGGGTAATGTCCGTTGTGTATGTACTATCTAGGTTAATTTATTGCAGATATGTATCGGACGTGAAAGGCATGGAATGAAACCCGATTGAAGGAGGTCTAAGAGGGGAAAGAAAGGCCAATGGTATGTGTACACGGAAGGGTCTAGTAAGAGATCGTAACCTGAGCCATCACACACTTGAGGTGATCATCTGTAATGTTCTTTGGCGTTTTGGAACTTCGAGGGATTGGAGATCCGAGAGCCTGATCAAAGGGGGTGGAGAAAGGCACGTTAGAACATTACAGAACGAATGGGAGTCCAAGGAAGGAGGGCCACGTTAATCGCTTAACAAGCGTTTAGAGGCGCGCCGAAGAGTGGAGGTGTACTCACAATCACATCTCCGGATTTTAATTCTACCTCCTGGGTTAGGCGCGTGCCATTCAAGAAGGTTCCAAAGGGTGTGTCGAGGTCGCGGATGTATACCTGCCGTACGAAATGAGGTGATCAGTCGACTGGGTGCCGTGGATGGCCCCTTTGGCCAAGACCACAAAGACCTAAACCCTGCGCTCACCTTCTTGCCGTCTGAGCGTAGCTGGGCGTGTCGTTCGCTCAGGGATAGTGGGAGGATGTCTACCGTGGTGTCATCCTTTGGCTGGAGAGATTTGAACCAGCCATTGGAAGGCAGAGGTCGTCTGGATTCGGTGTCGTTTAGAGAGAGGCTAGAGCTGGCGGCGCCGAGGGTTATTGGTTTGGACTCGATGATCAAGAGCTGCTTGGCGGAGAAGGGAAAGGTTCCGGCATGGGGTGAGAGAGTAACGGTGGCTCCAAAGGACATGGTGACGAAGAACTGGGATGGGAGACTGGGGTATAGCTGGTGGGATGTGGGATGCAAGTTGGTGTGGTCTACAACGCCATTTCGCCCTGCTCTTATAGATCTCTGGTGAAACACACAACGGGAAGAGAGGCATGGGATATTAGTTTTTGAGATCCACAATGTCAAAGCGGAAAAGGGTCCCTTCACCCAGAATCGGGGTTCTTTCTCGTCATTCGTTTGCACCCTTGGGATCATCGGACTGGGAAATGCTCAAAATGTCGTTCAGGCTCCAGCACCCCCAATTTTCAGGACCAAATTGCGCTAGAAAGGGTGGTACTTGAGGCAGGGTGTGGGTGTAGTGCTTGTACGTTCATTAATATTTCTGTTACCTGGAATGAAGGATACCCACCTCGCCCATAGTACTCACTGTCATTGCGTGTCATAGTTGCAGAGTGTATTGGCATGGTGGAATAAATCTTTCTGGCATCATCGACCAGCCGATAATTATGAGCATCGGCAATGGACCTTGTAAATGGCCACATGCTCTGCTGGCCCACTCTTGTACGATTAGGGCAGACGGCGTAGCTGCGATCAGAAGCTTTGTGAAGAACAGTCTAAAGACATACCGCATGTGGGTCCGCGCCTGATGTCCGTCAAAGAATAGGGGCAAACCCGCACTTTCGGTCCGGGCACCTGTGGTGAAAGGAAGAATAGGCTTCGCGATGATTTAAGAATTTAGGGAGCACAAGACCTCGAATAATTTTCTTTTGATTCTTCATTGAGGCGGATACAAATAAGCTTGACGGGTGCAGAGTGATCCTTCACCTCATCCCACCTTCGCAACTAGGGCAGTGTAGCTACACGAAGAGGTTTCTGGCCTTTTCGGTATATCATCGGCGGTAACTCACTGGCAGCAGGCGATCTCTATGTTTGTGTGCGGGTACCCTGAGAGGCAAAGTGAAAGCACTGTGGCGTCTTTTGCACTTCCTATTGGGTCCAAAGGATTTGCCTCAATAATTCTGTGGGTACGAGCTCAGAGACCTTATTGGAGCTACTTATATCACGGTTTCTCTCCATCTCCGATGAAGCAACAGTTGATTCCAACATTTGAGGGGATATGAAAGGGCAAAAGCCACCGACGGGCGCTCGTGTTGCTTGGGCGTATTTGGCCTCGCGTCACGTTCCGAGTCCGATCACGTGGGACCGATTTTTCTGTGCCGTCACGAAACTCTGGCGCTGGCGACGTCGGAATTGTCTTGCTCAACGCTGCCGCCAATGTCGACGACAGCCTCCAGACGGTGTCTACAAACGTGTCTCAGGTCCTTACAGAGGACAGAGCTGGGCTCCAGGAGGATTGCGAACAGGCGGTTTCCAGGTGTGTATGGTTTCTCGACGCTATATGTGTTTTGACGAGTGCGTTGTCTGACGAGGGTTTCGCTAGGTGTCCGAGGGTATGCACAGGCAGCGTTGAAGCAGAAGGAGGACGTCGTGTCAGAGACACCCGCACCACCTAGTGCAGCGACGACGAGAGCGACGTGGGGAGCAACACCGACGTTCTGGGAAGCGCCTGCGACCGGAGCCAGCAGATGGAAGGACGACTGGGACCCCCAAGCTCTTCAGGACCACCTGAACAACCTCTTCGCACCCCTCAAATTCCCCCAAGAAGTTGCTCAACGTGTCCTGACCCATGGCAGTCATGGTGCAGCGCGTGTGCACGGTCATAACGCTGGCTACCAGTTTATGGGTGAGTCGTAACTCAACGGTCGTATGCTCAAGTCTTGACAATGCTTTCCAGGTCGCCGAGTGATAGAATCGTATCTCTTCATGTTCTTGAACGCTTCGAAGGCATTGAAGCCCAAACACGACCTTGAAGCACTTGCGTCACACGCTTTGAACCCAGGATTGTTGGGAGAGACTGTAGGGACGAAGTGGGGGTATGGACAGGTCGTGCAGTGGCTGCCAGCTGTGTCTAGGAAGGAGTTGGAGAATGCCCAGGACATTGAGAAGGCCTGGAAACGAATTGGCTTCTACAAGATCCAAGGTGACGCCGTCGTCGCGACTTTGGGTGCCGTCTACCAGCAATATGTGCGTTTTCGTTTAGCACTGTCGCCATCTCTGGTGCACTTACGTTGGTTACAGGGTGCCTCCATCGCACACAAGCTCTTCCACACGAGGATACTGCCCGAACTCTTCGTCCCAGGAGGCCTGCCCCCAGAGTTCCAAAAAGAGGCGCTCGCCCTTGCCTCCCAGTTGGGAGGCACCACTCGCCCCTTGACTAAATCATTCTACCAGTCACAATCACCGTCTGAGCAATAAAATTATCGTTGCCTAGTGTGAGCAACACGTCGTCGATCATAGACTTGGGACGCTGACCTGTTTACCTGTAGTAATTATTAATATCTACACGCTTTCTATTGGATTTTTTGCTGTCGTTTGAACATTCGGGTTCGGCTTTGAATGGGATAGCCCTGACGGGGTTGCATCTCGAAAGAGGCTTGCAGACAGGAATCTCAACCCGACAGCGCGGAAGAGCAACTTCATCTTCTATAGATTGCACGACCATGAAAGCGCTGAACAGCAACTTTTCTGATCCGCTGCTCGAAATGTCCTCGGGCCTTTGGTCACTGTCCTCGCTGTTTGGGCTCCAGCCGCAGGGTTTGATCCAGAGTGGAGTGCATTAGATGACCTCCGCGTGCCAGCTAACATCTCCAGGGTCCAATGGCGCCTACTGCGCGCTTTCATTGGGCAAGTCGGGTCCACCTGGTCCTGCATGCAAAACCACGTTTTCCCTCTATATCCGACCACCGCCTATTCCTCGACCTCAGGACAGTTTCAACTATCCTCAAGGTTCGATCTTGCTGAGTGTGGTGAAGAACATTCATTCCATCACCATTGTAGCTCACCCCAGGTTCTCCCGTCAAACCCTGTTATCCGACGGCCGAGCATGCTTGCTATGCCTCCATGATCGCAAGGAATGTACTTCACTCTTCAGAGGTCCGAAATTCTATGCCAGCAAACGACTGACTCACCTTGTCTTCAGGTTGTTCGCTGCACCCCAAATGCAAGGTTTTCAGACGCGGCGCGTTCCGCAATCTGTGTGGGGTGGGTGGGGATACTAGGCCGGTTCGCCGTACGCCAGGCAGTCATTCCTCTTGCTGCTCTTCATGCTTGCTTATCGTTCACCGTGGTCTATTTTCCCCCATGACTTCTTTCCAGGCACAGGTCCCCGTCTGGCTCCATCGATGGTAGAACTCGGGCTCTGTGAGAACCTTGGAAAGGAATGTTCACCTTTGTCCCCGAACCTGCCCGTGAGCATGCACGGTTCTGTCACCATCCAAGTATAATCCCTGTCCTTTCTTACCATCTGGGTTGCCCATTTCTTCCACCACCATCTCCTTTTCTTGCCGGATGCGCCACGGTTGTCAATGACGATGTCACCGCCCAAGCCTGGTTTTGTTCCCGAAATCGTATGTTCAAAGGCGACTCGGAGGTCACGTACATGCGACGATGTCATTCCTACTTATCGACCTTGTTTTTCTTGACGTGCATTGTCTTCAAGAATCAAGATGTTCTGCTGGACTCCTTCCGTGTCGTTGTCGGTCTGATAGTTGATTATTCAGTGCTTCCCCAACAGAAGGCTTTCTTTCCACTTGCGTTTCGATCTTTTCGAGGTGGTTGGTTGGTTGGTTGGTTGTTCTTTGGGGAGGGGGTGCTTGTTGCTTATGTGTACAGCTTACAACCGTCAAATTTCCAAGCGTCGAGTTTGAGAACATAGGGGAACGGCCACCCTTCTACGAAGAACGATATCAAATCTTTTTTTGTATTTCAAGAAAAGACATCTGGAGTACGGAAATGCGGGGAGAGAGGGAGGAGGATGGGAGTGTTCTAGTTATACAGAGTGGCTGGCAGAGCTGCTAATGGCTACATACAGCGGATGGTGGATAGATAGCGGGGAAAACCAGATGGACGGACAGGTGCGAGAATCAGATCGAGGGAGAAGAGGAAACAACTAGGGATACAGCTGGGGTAGTATGTATGTTAGCGATAACGATGTGGGAGGAGAGCAATAAATAGCGAGAGGCTTGGAAACGAAATGTAGTGTCCCTCTGGGCAACCGATAAATGAGTCGAGTCGAAGAAAGAAAGAAAAGATGAGCCCGTGGCAGAAGTCCCAACTCCCAAATGCCGATTAGAACTTGGAGGGTCCAGTGAGGTAGTGGTATCTTATATTCCGGTGGACGGTCGAGTGGGAGTGGAGGCTCGGTGTGCAGGCGTAACGAAGCGGCGAAAGTGAAAAGGATGGGAAGGGAAAGGAAGGGTAAAGTTGAAGGAGTGGATGAGCGGATTTGAGTCCTTCGCTCGAGTGGGATCTGGATATAATACAGAGTGCGAATGATTGATGGTTTTTTTGTGGTATGTTGTTACTCGTTGAGGACGGTTGGTTGAGAAAGTTGAGCCTCGAGGCCGCGGGTAGGTGTAGACGTGTCGGTTTTGACAAGCTAGGTACCCTTCGGAGAAAATGTGACAGCGTCATGTACATGTCAGGATTCTAGGGACCTGAATTTTCGAACGTTTACCAGGGAAGTCGCATCGCTTGAGATGTCTGATGATTCGAGATGAGTATTACGATAGGAACAAGCGATATAACTTCAACAGAAAGCAGGGCCAGAAGTATGTTGCGTAATTCTATTTTTATTCTCTAGGTGAACCTGTAGATACCTGTGTAATCGTAGAAGGATCAGAGAGAAGTGCTTACTGACTGGTATCCATTTTTCGTACCATTGACGATCAGAAAGGAAGATGATAGGGTGTTGCGAAGAATCCAATTCCGAGATGTTCACCGGTGGGGTATGATGGCGGGTCGATCAGGGAAGGCACAATCGAAGAGTCTCGAATGCGCCCACAACATGAGGCATTGTCGATACGCGGTTTAATAAAGGAATGGCCTAGCAAGGTCAGTCCTTTGAGCGGACAAGACTGGACTCCGAAGTATTCGAGCTACGACGCTGTCTACAATTTTTCTGGGAGATACTGTATTGAGAACGACTACAGCTGTGCCTAAATTTACACCAGAAGATATCCTGTAGGCATGTAATTAGAAGTCAAACAACGGGTCGTAAACTACTAGATCGACACCGATTGCTCTTGTTCCTCTAGAGACAGCTTCTGATGTCGCTGGCACCATCTCAGAAATTTCTCAGATACAGAGCGTAAGTCAGGCGAAGGACTCGTGCATCTATACCTGTGCAACATCGTGGTAACCACCCAGTACAGGCTGCTCGATATGATGGAAACGCGGTATGCCTCGTGTTCGACACAACAAATTCAGATGGGGCGATGATCAACTAAGCAAAGGGTACAAGGAGTCCAATTCTGTGAGTTTTGAAGATTGGTACGTATTCTTGTTTTTCAAGTCCAGGGTGCAGCAACCCTACGCGAGCAGCGTCGAAAGTTCCACCACTCATCCACACACACACACACACGCAGTTCGGAACGGCACACCCCAGGACAAGACGATAACGAAACATTGAACAAGTACCTCCATGGGTCCTTCGACGTCGGTAATGAAGCCTTGTTTTCTGTGTGTTCCTGGACAAGGTAATGTGGGTCCAAGTTTACTCGTCCAACTAAGCGCCCGTTATGTAACGAATTGATGGGAGACTCGTATCTATGATGCTGTGCCCGAAGGTTAGCGACTGTAGAGGAAGTCAGTGACGGTAACAAGACAGAGTGTTGGTTGCCTTATCGCTGCATAGGATAACAGTCGGTCATCGATACTAGGAGATTCAAGGGGTGACCAAATGTTGGTTGTTGTGACTTGAGAGGTGAGCTTGACAACCTTGAACCGTGTTTATCTATTCGAAGGTCGATAGGGTATTCTGAATAGTCCAACAGCGCTGCCTCAGGTCATTGGAGACTCTCATAGAGAAGCGGAAGCTAGGACAGGGTAGAAGGAAAACGTTGGAGCAACTTGGTGCGGGTCCGGCGCCAATGACTATGCCGCGTTGCCGAATCATGACAGGCGCGGTTATCAGCGATGCACTGCGATGCAGTGATGCTTCCGAGGATCGGTGGCAATAGGCAGGACTCGGCTTGGCGCTCGAGGGGAATGTCACAGCTGCAACCTTGTCCTTTTGAATCACACTACTACCTCGCCGCCGTCCTCGACGACGACGACCACAACGACAGCGACGAACCAGATTATTTGACAAGGGTGTCATTGCTAGACGACGGGCCATTTATTGCTCAGAGCCAGAGAAAGCGCCACAGGGTTGCACCACTATAGCTCGGTTCGAAGCACGAGCGTCGGACGTGATCATCTCGAGGGCATCCAGGGCAACGGTATGCCTCCAATATCCATCGCGAATCGTCTAAAACGCTGACCGGACTACTTCAAGTCTTCGCTAACCGTTCGCACTAAATTGCAGAAGACTTCTTTGGCGCCAGGTTGGTGGAGCGGCACCTAAAGGTTACGACAACCCACTGCCCAAAGTGTGTTTCTCAGACGTCGAGCTGCCTCACCGCAAGGCGACATCGCACGCTTATTGGTCTGCAAACGTATAGCCTGGACCTGGTCATCTCGAAGGTATGTAATTTACTCCAGGCAGGCTATTCTCGGGTGATAGACGACCCGGTGTCGCACAACCCTGCAAATACCTTAAACCATGCAGAAGCTGATTGGTCTTTAGGCTATAGTCCAGACTCGAGTAAATTGTGACCTTTTTCACTAGAAGGAATACCCGTCTTTGGACGCGGAACGATCTTTATTACTTGCATCCCACCACGAGCGACAAATCTGCACACCGAGATGGAGAACAACGAGAGCAATTCTGGGAATGTCCCTGCAGGTATGTTTTGGACCCTGAACATGCTGTATCGTTGACTGCAACCGTTGTAGGCGAACAGCCATCTGAACAACCATCGTCCATGTCCCAACAACCCCCGCGAACACATGGCCATTCCCTTCCCTCAGCGACAGAAACGACGCTAGTGGGGTCCCAGGCCATACCTGCTGCATCAGACCAACAAACTGAGGATACGAACGCGAATTCCCTCACCCCTCCATCGTCATCTCAAACGCCCCAGCCCACCACCCTGGTTCCTCCTCCACCAATTCCAATGTCAACACCATCCCCATCGACACCTGAAGCAGGGGCGACACCGTCGAGTTTAGAGGACTCCAGCTCTTCACAACCCCCACCGCCAGTTCCTCTACCCCAAACTTCCAACGAAGCTATCCCACAAACGCCGCAAGTTTATCTTACCTTCCTGCTTATCTCGGGTCATCGGCGGACAATGTCGTTTGATCCTTCGATCGCTGTTGGGAGGGTGAAGGAGTTGGTGTGGAATGGATGGCCGGGTGATTGGCCTTCGGAGGAGCGACCGCCTGCGCCTTCTTATTTGAGGATATTGTACCTCGGAAAGATGTTGCAGGATGATGAGACTTTGAGTGGTGGGTTTTTTCGTTTCGTAGAAAGTTAGCTTTTGTTGATGGATCTGTGGTTGTTGAAGGCTTGAAACTCCCTACACATACGCCGGCTTCGTCGTCGGGTCAAGAGGATAAAGCTGTTGGGACGATCATGCATATCTCTATTCGACCGTTTGGACCGGGTAGTGAAGTGGATGGAACTATGAAAAAGAAGCCGAAGAGGAGGGGGACGAGGGATAGTGAGTCCTATGCTTTCCCTTGCGAGGATGGTAGCTTATTTCCTTCCTAGCTGTGGACTCGCAGGATGGAGAGGTTATGGAAGGCAGAGCGGGGTGTTGCGGGTGTATTATTTGTTGAGGAGGAGCTAGATTGGCAGACGTGTCTCACAATAGCGTGAGGCCATGATTCTCGAGGATCGGGATACCCCATGGTTGTTCGCCATATGACCTTTTCTGTTTTGTTCAAACGAAACCTTTACGTTTGTCTTCGCATCCACGCGCTTCGTTTCAACCTGTCATGAACCCACTGTACGTACACCGACACCCGTTGCAATTTACCTCGCTCCTTCAGTAGTCCCTTCCCTATTCCATTCCGGGGCTGCTGTCGCCGTCCACGCATAGGTATCACGCTGCTTTCAGCGTTCACTTTGACCAGTTTTGGCCGACGGCGAAAGCGATTGGGGATGCGTTTTGGCCATCGCTACGATACTCTGGATTTTCGTAATGCAACTGCATTCTGCCCCGCAAATTTGACGAAGACGCCGAAGAAGCCTTTTGCAATTCATGTCTGTAACAGTATTTGCTGAGAATACGAATATAGCTTCCACGCCGTTGTACACCACCGTTATGGAATGATGTATGAATGAGCTCCCCGGGGTGATGTCTGATGGCATCTCCCGAATGTCGCTCAAGCTCTGCGGGATGTCTGGGGATGTCAAATCAGCAGATTGGGCGACATCGTTGACACTGAATGTCAACCAGACATCCAGGCTGAGGTCATTGGGACATCCCGGTCAAGGTCACAGCGGGATGGATGCATTGGCCAGGGAAAGCGCGATATTTTTCATTTTTCATTGGTTGCTCTGGGACCTTAGCTTTGAACGTTTGGTACAGTGACAATTTAATTGTATTCTCGCAAGATAGTTATGTACAGAAGACAGGATGCTAAGTACGTTGAATGCCTACACATTAAACGAAAAGCCGAGGTACCAGTGCCAGCGCATCCACTCCACCCTGAATCACCAGACGATGCGAAAGCTCATGGGAGAAGTCTGCAATTATTTCTTAGTCAAATACTGGAGAGACCGGTGGACGACTTACAGTTATTGCCAGACAGCTCAGCGGACCCAGACTACAGATACTCGAGTACTTCAGGCCATCCCCAGTTCCAACGGATCTCGTCCTGCATGAATGAAGAGCATGTTAGACGTGAGCAGCCAGAACACCAGTTTTATAAACTTACCGCCAGAGGGGGAAGGAGGCTGGGCTTAGAAGGCCATTTCGTCGCTGGCACCGCGCTGAGGATGGTGAGGGAGCGAACGGACTGGCGACGCGCCGCCGCGACCTGAATATGAACCATCGATCACGTGGGCGAGTCCGCTGGCGGCTTTCTCGCGGCTCAGCCTTGCATCCAGTCGCGTCTCCCAAGTCCGACTTCATGTTGTGCAGCGCATGAATCTCGGGCACGCTGGCCCTAATTTCCTTGCTAATTATGAAGCAGACAAAGTACAGTATTGTAAAGTTAAATAAAATTCACCCAATCTTTTAACCGTTCGAACCCAGGTCAGTTTATGATTCTGAGTAGGGAGGGGTCTCGGGGATCTTGCCTATGAGCTCAGCGAGAGCTTCACCACAGGTCGACCAAGATCATCCAAATTGTCGGCGCGAGATCAAGTTCCGGACATCTCACGGAGACTGTGACAAGGTCAATTGACGTTTGGCCGTGAGGTCAACCGACATCAAACCCTGATGTCGCCAACGGCTCTCGCCAAAATGGTGGTGTACGGTTGGGATTCGAACGCGGGTCGTCCGGATGATAGGCGAGTTTGACATTCCCGCCCTTTTTCTTCTCGCCATCATCATCGTCGTATGGTTCAAGACAGGAACATACCTTCAATGTAAGACCTTTGGACTTTTGATAACGATATTTAAAGCTGACTGGGAAGTTAGCATTTTATTTGAACGTTGGAGCTTTACTTCCATTGGCAGGCTGATTGGCCTCCCCCTGCCTGCCCAGGCCAGCAGCGCGAGATACGAGGACCATGCTGGGTTCAGACGGCAGCACTAGAGTCCTGGCTCACGCCCTGGATGAGCTCGTCTACGCGTTTTCTTATACGCGACGACTCATGTCCTTCATGACATGACAGGCCTGAACTACTACATCGAAATCAACGAACATCACTACTCATCGACAAACAGCCGATAAACCGCTGTGCATGGAAGCTACACATACCAGGAAACGAGACAGATTCAATGGATGGGTCAGGTCGAAGAAGCTACAGTGTGTCCGTTGGAGGATAAAGAACGTACCTGACTGGTTCGGCCACAGCCAGCACCAGACGCTGCGTATCCAGCCCCGTAGAGTCGGGCGTACATCGCCGTTCGGTGCAGGTTACTCGATAGGGCAGGCGTGGGCCCGAGCGATGGGTGAGGAGGGCCGGGGGGGGGCATGTGCAGACGACTGCAGGGATACCACAAACTGGCTATATGTGGCGACGATGTCCGAGCGAGCAGAAGTCAAGGATCCAGAGGTCAGTTTCAGTTCTCTGACGCTTACCTCTGAGTAGCTGACATCAGTAATAGCGGTCGACTGCAATCCGATAGCCTACGGAACACCAATGCCGCTTTACGGTGTCGTTTACCAGCGCCATTGAGACCTCATGTGTCGACTGGCCAGCCCCCATCCTCAGCATAGCAAGGCAGCAGTAAACAGCGAAGATCCTATCAGAGCAGGGGAAACGCCTGTTGGGCACACGCTGAACGAGGGACCGACACCACCTGCACGTGAGCTATTCTTGGTGAGTGACCCGTGGCCATTCTGTGTTCCGCTGTTAACCTTCTGTTTTCTTTCTAGACATCGTTAGGGATTCTGGAAGCTTGTCGGCACCAGTCACTAGTCAACGTTGACGCCGCCCCTCGGTGTACTCCTCATCATGGCATAATGGGCGCACAGGATCATCCATATGGACACCTAGTTTCTCGATCTTTGACGCCAGGATCTGCATTTCTTTCTCGATGCACTCAGCCCTACCCAGGATTTCACGCTCCCCGCGGGCACGCTGGCTACCCTCTATCACGCCTTCCCTTCCCGTTCAGCCATATTGGACTCCTGCAAGGGTATTGCTACACGTCCTTCATTCAGTGCAACATAGCATTTTACACCGATATCTCATCGGCACGCTGTGGCGTGCCGACGTTGCTTTACAATGTCTGTGCATCCCGCTCATGATGCTGGAATTCCTCCAGTATTCGCAAACCGATGCCGTGACGAAATGTACTCGGGGAACAATGATCTTCTGCGCTGAAAAAAACTAGTATGTGTATGCCTGTCGTACTCATAACAAAAATGGAGTGGGTGACTGATGATGTTGTTACAGGCTACAGCGCTTAACAGCAAGTTTTGTTGGGGGTGACTCAGATTACCTTTTTTGACTACTTCCAATGGGATTACCGCTACTGTTAGAAGAGGGTATGTGGAACGTGTATTTATGTTTCTTCCCTTTCTTCCTGGCTATCACTTCGCTCATTTCGCCACCCGCGCTAACAAAAGTCCTGCACAGTTGATTTGGTTTCTATATCATGCCTAGTCGAGCTTCAGGATCGACGATGTACCAGGAGGACTCGCCCCGCTCGGCCGCTGGACGGAGTGGCCACGCCCGGGCCCGTCTCCTCGCCACCCCACCTTCACCCCCGCCCATCCTACCCATCCATGAGTTCCCCGAGGTACCGACGTTCATACGGGAATGGTGCGACGTGTACCTCGGGGCTGTCCTAGGACAGACCATGCTCAAGCGTACGCCCGCTGTGGCAGACATTCATTCCCGCATGAGGAATTTGTATGTTTCGAGGGTGGAGTGGCGGAGGTGTTTAGCTGGGTGCCACTCGTCGTTGGATGAGGATGGAGTTGGGGTTGGTGGTGTCGGTGTATGTGAGGGACTAGCTGATGGTGGTACTGCGGGTGGATGGGAGAGGGAGCATTGGCATCATTATCTTGTGGTGGAGGTTTCGCTGAAGGGCGAGGAAGAGCAAGGGAGGAAGGGTGCTGGTGCTGGTGTGGCTAGGTGCACGACGAGTCAGGTTCAAGGACATCTTCGTATCGAGGGTACCTGTCGACCTCATCTTGTTTTCGATCATAACGACCCGCTGGGTAGAGTATCCCCAACTCAATCTCCACCTTCGCCTTCTGCCACCTCAACAGACTCGTTCAGAATCACCAGCAACTACGACAGCAACGAGAATTTTCTCGACTTTTCGTCGTTCAACATCGAGGATGAAGATGTAGAGTCGACGCCTGTACCTGCTCGGAGGCGCTTCTCTGGTAGCGACGACGGCCATGGCGAGGGGGTTAACTCGAAACCTAAGGCGCAGGGAGACACGAGTCCGCTCTTCATTAGTCCTTTTGCGTCAAGGACTAACAGTTCAACGTCGACTGTCGCCACTGAGAGGACCTCGTCGTCTCCCTCTTCCAACTCGCCTTCTCGATCCAACTCCCACACCAAATCACGGTCCAACTCCAACTCCAATTCCGATTCCAATCGCAACTCCAGCACACATTCGAGCTCGTCGAGTTTTGGGTCGCTGATGGGCAAGAGGGGTAGTAGTGGTGGTGGTGAAGGGGGACCAAGTTCTGCAATGGCGGATAGACTGGTCGTTTCGACCATCGAACATGGTCGTCCTTTGTATGGGCTCCCTGGGTCGTTGGAGGACCAGCACGTTCGAACTTTGTTCCACGACCACGATGACAGGGTGGGCGAGGCCGGGGCCAGCGATGATAGGCCCGCGCTCACGCTGCGCGACTGGGCGTTGTTAGTCGATGTGGTGGAGAGTTCGGTTCAAGTTGGGGAGTTGGGGTTGGTGCACCAGCCTCCTTCGTTATCTGGCGATGACGGTAACGGGTTAAATGGGGGAAGCGAGGAGGGTGTTCAAGTTGGACTGGACGAACGAGCTTGTTGCTGTAGGGTGTTCAGACGCCTCCTTGCTGTTGTGCCGTCGGTCTCGAGTTTGGAACCTGCTCAGCGTGGAGGTATCGGAGATGCAGTCTCAGACCCGTCATGTCCTGAGGAGCATATGCAGGGCCGGGAGAAGATTCAGGAAGGTATTCGGGCGAGGTTTGAACAGAGGAAGCGGAAGTTCGATCGGGAGGTATGTTTAAAACCTACTGTCTGGGGGGACAAAGATGCTGATTTGAGGCTTGGGTTTTTACTAGTTGCGCCTTATTTCTGGACATAAGTCGATTAATCGGAGGGTGTAGATACGTGGTGCTAGTATGCTGCAGGACGGCGTGGTGACCCAAGGCTGATGTGGAGCTACAGTATCTGCTACCTACGCGTAATGGACGATTTGAATACCATATGGACAGTCTACCTGAAACTGCAGCCTCCGCCTCTGATTGGGCCCGCCCGCTGTGGCCGCCTTTTGCTCTCGCCGCCATCATGGGCTTTCGTACTACGTATACTTGGGTTCAAAGAAAGAAAATTTCGTTACAAGTTGCCTTCTGTTGCTACGCAATAAACAATTGACTGGCAGTGCATGCTCAGAATGCGGCTGGTCTTTACTAGAGCCTCGAATCCATCTCGGGCGCCTAACGAAAGAACCGTTCTTCGCGATCCTCCCCGGGCCACCGGTGCACGGATTGACAGCCACCCCGATTTCGCGGGTGTTTCCCTCCTAGATTCAATAGTCAAACTCATTACCCGACTGTAGCCTCTACCCTTGTTCGCATCATCGTTTGTGTAACGAATTTCATGCATGAAGACGGGATAGCATTTTTTTTATACAGCAGCTACCGTACACCAATCTAATCTACAGAAAAGCGGAAAATGATGTACCACCTCTGGTAAGGAATACCATTCCACATCGATTTCTCGACAGACGAAGGCACTCCAGCTGAGGAGGAAACGTTGATCTTGATCAAGCGGTAGACTCTTGCGAGCAGAAGACAATTTGTAACATCATCGCAAGGGGACAATAAGCGAGATCGTGAAATGAGTGAGGAATCAACGAAAACTGCGCTTCGAATTTTTATAGAGCATTTTTTGCTTGGCTTTGTTTGTTAAAGATTGGTGTGTTTGATTCAGAGGCTGAAGCCGGGAGGCCCGACCCCAGCCGCGACTTGAGCCTCGACAACGTTTCTCCGCAACTTCGACCACGACTTTGACGAAACTTTGACCACGGGCAGCGGTACCGACGGTCGCCCCGCTGTACTGAATTCGGCGGGTGTCTGTGGGTATCTTCTACTGGCCATAAGGCAACTAGACGCTGGAACCGATGTACACAGAGGCTTTCTGCGAGCAGCGGCGGCGTGCTCGATTGATTGCGTCTCATCTGGGGAACCGGAAGCAACGAGCCGGACACAAGGGAGACCCGAACATCCCGACCACTTGCGTATGCGTTCTTGGTTCTTGGGGAATTATGAAGCGTTATCTATGTTCCTTGTCGGACACCCTGCCTGACATGCGCCTCCAGTCGATCCACTGCTTATTCGGGCGGCCAGAATCCATCTGTTTTGAAAGTTGTCTAACTCTGGAAGTTGTCTGGAAGGACATCACGCCTGGTGCAAACCTGGCGCAAACAATCCCTCAATGCGCTCTTGTCGGGGATTACCCGTGTAGGGATGTGGACCTACACTATGGAGTCGTAGTGGCAACCATTCAAGTCAAACTGTATTGGACTGGACAGGGTCTTTATTGGCACTGGCAACATCGATCCGAGCTTCTGGGATTTCGCGGTTTCTCCAAGTATCGAACTCGAGGCTGGTTAACGAGACTACTGGCAGATGTCGATGTCGCTCCGTTCTTCTAATCGCTTCCCATTTGTTTCCGTCGGGAAATGAAAAGGACAATGCAGGTTATGTTCCACCCACAGATGGAATTCCCTTCGAAAAATCGGAATAACGCCCCAATCGTCAACCGAGCCACGTTTACCAGGGAACATCGGTGCTTCCCCTGTCGCGCAGTATCCCTCTTAGCGCCGGTACATATCGCAGCCGACTCTCCATACTAACTGGAAGCTCATACTCAGAGGTCGTCATATCTTCAACAAAGCACCGAGCCGCGTGGGTGACCTGTCATCCACCCGATTAAAATCATAACTGATCTGTTTGACTACCAAAGTCTATTTATAGGCCCCACTCTAATTTTACTCGGATTTCTCTCGAAGGAAGCATTCTAACGTCATGTATCGTCCGGAACTGCGAAGCAGCTCGACTGGGACTACTCACGATTGGAAGGCGTTTCAGTGTGGCCGAAGGTATCGAACAAATCAACAGACGTGCATTTCGCAAATGGGTATCCTGTGTACCCCAAGCACGCGTTATTCTCGCTTCATCTCCATCTCCGCTGCAGGGTTTAATTCAAATCTCAAGCCCATGCCACGCTCTGCGCATCGCCATTTACTCCAACCATGTCTACTGTCACTGGCTAGCGTTCGGCTTCAGCGGATCTACGATGGGACTCAAAGCTTGAACCGAATACCGCGACGAATGTATCAGTATGTAATGTCATCTGCGTCGTTTCGCTTTTAATCTTGAATCGTTCACCCATAGCTCTTGATAGCACTCTTTGTCCCCCACATCCCTGGGCAGTTGAACGCCCATTCTTATCGGCTTCTGGCTCATCCGCAGTCCTTTCCTGGGGTACCGGTCGCTGTCTCTCTAGTAACCATGTCTGCTCCCGGGCCATACGACAAGAAATCTCAAGACTCCTCTCAGGAGGTTCTCGAGAAGCCAGTGGCCACCACCACCATCCAGTCTGCGGAATCCCTTGAGGCGGCGGGCCCCACTTTCGACGACAAGCGCACCCGGCGACTACTCCGCAAACTGGACATCAACATTGTACCGTTCTTGTCGCTACTTTATCTGTGAGTCCGCATAACCATCGCTGCTGTGGTCAGTGGACCGACGCAACCATCCAGCCTCTCATTCCTTGACCGTACCAACATCGGAAATGCGCGACTCGATACTTTGGAGAAAGACCTGGGAATGCAAGGGTTGGATTACAACGTACGCCACTCTTTACTTCTACTTTTCAGACGCGTCGGAATAACCTGCTGCTGTCTTCAGATCGCTCTTGCCGTCTTTTTTCCATTCTACGTCGCTGCGGAGATCCCAAGTAACATTATGATGAAGCGAACTAGCCCATCCCTCTGGCTTGCTATTATTATGTTCGGCTGGGGATTATGTGAGTCCCAATCCAACCTTTTTTATTCACTCGACTCCGCTAGTCCCATTGCGCATTTCATCTCCATGGACAACGCGACTAATCACTGATATTGGTGTCATGCTCCTTGTTTGCAGGCATGACTCTGATGGGAATTGTGAAATCTTTCCCCGGCTTGCTGATCGCTCGTATGGCTCTGGGACTGTGCGAGGGTGGGCTGTTTCCCGGAGTAACGTGGTACATCACTCTTTGGTACCGCCGCCATGAGTGCGGCCTGAGGATGGCCATCTTCTTCTCCGCTGCCACCCTTGCCGGTGCTTTCGGCGGACTCTTGGCCAGAGGCATCACGGAGATGAGAGGAGTCGGAGGTTTGGCTGGTTGGGCATGGATCTTTATCCTGGAAGGGTTGGTGACAATTGTCGTAGCCTTCATTGCCAAGTTTGTCATTCACGACAATCCCGAGACGTATGTGGCTCTACCTGTCTGTCGTTGTGGGTGATAACCGTGCTGATCGGCGTCACCTGATTGGGGATATGCAGTGCGAGATTTTTGACGGCGGAAGAGAGGACTGAAGTCAAGACGAGGCTCAAGCAAGATAGGACGTCTTTGGCGGATGAGTACAACAGCAAGTACCTCTGGGATGCCCTCAAGGACTGGAAGATCTACGTTCACATGCTTATCACCATCGGTACGCCCTAAACGAATGATCCGCCTGTTATCCTCAAAGCTCATTTCTGTTTAGGCATCTACACCCCACTCTACTCTATCTCCCTCTTCCTCCCCACCATTGTCAAAGCCATGGGCTACACCAACGAGAAATCGCAACTCATGAGCGTGCCACCCTACGTCGCCGGCTGCATTGCGACCATCCTCGGCGGTCTCTTCGCCGATCGCGCTAAACAACGAGGCCTGTTCATGATGGGATTCTGCGTCATTGCTATCATTGGCTTTGTGATGTTGATCTCGAGTCACAGCCCTGCTGCCCAATATGTTGGGACGTTCTTCACAGTTTGTGGGTGAGTGTGATCAATGTTAGTCTGAATTTTGTCAGATGCTGATTGAGCGACCGGATACGATAGCATCTATCCCAATGTGCCATTGGGAGTTGCGTGGAACGGCAACAACATCGGTGGTGCGACCAAGCGAGCAGTTGGTATCGCCATGCATGTCGGTTAGTACAGTTTACCACCTTAATCTCTGCGGGCTTCCTTATTATCGTTATTAAGGTTTCGGAAACCTCGGGGGTGTAATTGCAGCGTTCACCTACCGCTCCACCGAAGCACCACGATACTTTGCTGGACACGGTCTCCTCATCGCCACCACTACCATGAGCCTCGTTCTTTCATTCTTCATGCACGTCTACCTCCGAAGAGAGAATAACAGGCGAGATGAAGAACTGAGGCAGGAGATGGATGCTGCAGGGGGCAAGATCGTTTCACGCGACGAGTGGTACACACAGGAGATGCGCGAAAAAGAGCGAGAGAGGGGCGACTATGCTTCTGTAAGTGTTTCTCCACCTATAGTCGATTCCTTCTAATGGTTTCTTCTCCCAGTTCTTCCGCTATACGATTTGAAAAATCGAATCTCACGTTCGTTTACATACTTTCCTATCCTCTCTCGGACACTAAGTAATGCAGTGTGTCGTATAAGCATTGTACATTTCTTTTCCGGTCGTATTTATACTCCGTGTACGGGGGTGTTAATATCCTAAATTACAGCACATGTATATTCCCTATTCTCCAGCATCGCGATGCACAAGGCATCCCAATTGCACCATGTACTAACCCTCTTCGTTTGCCTGACGCCGTCGTTTGGTCTTTTGCGGACTGGTGTACTCTACTCCTCGCTTCCTCAACCCTTTCTTTCCCTTGGTACCCTGAGGCGATGACTTCGAATGATTGGTCGCCTTTTCGGAACTGAGGTCGCGCGCTTTGTCTTCTTTCGGGTCGCTGACATCCCGTAGCCTCTTCGTTACTGCGGTATGTGGTGATGGCGAGGTCTCTTCGGTCGGTCGCGTTCGTGACAGCGCATCTCGGGTCAGGACTGGTCCCGACGGAGCCAGGGATCGTGTACCCGCAGGGGGAATGTGGGGGGATAATTTGGGCATGGGCCTCGCGCGGTTAAAATCGGTAGGAGTGGGTATCCGTGGCGCAGGAGAACGAATGGCGACCCTGTCCTGACCCGACGTCTGCCTCCGTGAATCTTGAATGTCGACAATGGCTTGCTGGAGGTAACCCAGGAAACGCTTATAGTAGCGTTCCACCTGGTCTCTCTCGTGTAGGTCTTTAAAGGTCTTGTCGGGTCGTCCTGCTTTACTGGCCAAGGAAGGGAACTTGATCACGTTGATCTCCCAGAACATTTCCCGGAGGTCGTGGATCAAGTCCCAACAGCGCCTGGTCGGGAGGTCCCAGTATTTCGACGACGTGAGGCGGTGCTGCTGTTCGAATGTCCTCTTGTCTTCCCGCAGAAACGCCAACTTAGCCAAGTAGGCTTTATCGGGGTGCTGGATGTCTTCCCAATCCATGAGTTGCATCATCTCGTCCGTAACGTTCGCCCCCGTCTCCACTATGAGATCGTTCCTTTTGTCAATCCTCTGCACCACCCGCTTGTTGTTCGAGTCGAGCGCGTAAATGACTTCGTATCCCTTCCCGTCCAATCTGAGGAAGAGACAACATAGGATGTAGAAAATCGCTTCGAGGTCGTCGGTGTAGCCCTGTGGTAGCCCCAAGTTGCCAGCGAGGTTGTTGAGCGATCGGAATGGGAAGGTTCCCTGGATGCGGGTTTAGCTCAGGATAAAACACTGGCAATGAGGGGAAATGACGTACCCGTGGTTCGGTCGACTTCCGACAGTAAGCGCCAGGTTCAAGGTTTACAGCGTAGTCCAGATCAATGAGTAGCCCGCCTTCTATCAATCCAAACAGGATGTTGTTGACGCTAATATCACTATGCAAGACGCCTCTATCCAGGAGAAGATCTCGGTGGCCTGGAGTTATCGCGCCGAGTGAGCGAGCCTGTTTCGACAAAAAAACGCATACGTACCCTCAACAACAGCTATCAGCGTACCCAACGTCCTTTCCGGTGGGAAGCGATGGAAATACCGCATCGTCTCCTTGCCCTTCACCATGATGATACGATATTTGACCATACACGCTGTGGTCGAACGTTTGCGCCAATCCGAAGTCTTGCATACGACCTCTTCACAGTCAACCATTTGGACCACACCTCGAATTCCTTGAGCCTTCTTCAAAATCTCGTACTCGGGTGTGTCCCGATTGACGTCACGCACCAGCCGCCAGGCCTCCTTGACAATGAGTGGCGAGCCGACATGGTCGACGACGTCCCAGATGACTGTTCCTCGTCCAGCAAGGGTGGGATCGATGAATTTCGGGCAGGGACCAATGTGGAGGGAGCGGGGTTGGCCCTTCGCGTTGACGGTGTGGATATACCCTTGTTGGGTGTGTTGGCTGATCAAGTCGTCCAGTGTCCAGGTAATGCTAGGGTCGAATCCGAGTGTAGCGGCGTCGAAAGAAACCAGTCGAATAACGACGGACACAAACTCTGCAGCCTGGGCGTGGATATCGATCAGGTCTGTGTATTCGTGGCCCATCCTGTCGAACAGGTAAAGCCGTGCGTGTTCCTCATTCATGTGGAGCACTAATGCGAAGTTGCGATTGGGTTGGCGCTTGAACATTTGCCTGTATGGTGGGGTTCTATTAGCACCAAAGTATAATGACAGTCTCGAATGCTTACTGTGCATAAGACTGGAGGCTCTCGATATGCCTCGTTACATTTTTGATATTTTCAGAAACAGCAATCGCCACCAGTTCCGGCGTTCCAGGTCTGAGGAATGTATCGTATTCGATGTCACCGACGATGTAAATGTCAGGGTATTTGCGTGTCTTGTTGTAGTCGTCAGGTGTTGGTACGCATACATTTCTGGAGTGACCCTCCTCGTCTTGGCTCCAAGACTCGACAATCAATTCGGTCAACGCCAGCGCGAAGGAAAGAGCGGATGGGTCTTTGGGGTCTAAGAGGTGGCCTATTTCCCATCTGTTCTCCGCGTCGTTGAAGAAGTGGCATTTCTTGAGCCACTCTTCCACGTTCTCCAAATGGCCATGGTGGGAGGGGAAGGGGATGTTGGTGGATGGCTTGGTTGGGGAAGGTGGGCAACTGAAGTCTTTGGGAGGAGGATCTTGTGCATCGTAGCCTGGTGTTTTGAACATCCGTTCTTTGTTCGCGCCAGTTGGGGAGGACGCTACATCAGTGGCCCCGGTCTCGTGGTCCCTAATGAGGTCTGGTGTTTTCTCCTTCGGAGACATGATATCAACTAGCAACCTCGATGATGCGTGAGTCGACAGAGTGCACGAAACGGAAAGCGGTTTACTGTTCCTTCGTTGGAGGAACCAACTGGTGGTGGAATGGAGTAGAGGAGTCAGGCCACAATGACGCCTGTTATACCCAGCGAGTAGAGTGCGCATAACAACGTGACTTTTGCAGCTGTTCACGGGGTGTGGCAGGAGAAAGAGTGCTCTTTGTCTTAACATTGCGCGTAATGCCACCATAGTGAGCGCGAAGGAAACGACGGGCGTCTCTTCCTTGAAGAGAGAGAGCCCTTACGTTCCCGTTGCCTCTGCGAGGAGTGGCACCAAATAAAGGCACGCATTCTATGTCAATTGTGGTATCAGCAAGGTCGCAGAGAGATAAGGCAAAACTTGTACGCACACATATGAAGAAGAGGGATTTTCTGAGCAAGTGAGTGGAAGAGATTCAGGTTCATGTCCTTTGGGCTTTGCGCAGGTGTAAGCCAGAAAAATGTGGATTTCGTCAGAGAGACGAGAAGGAGAAATCGGGACAAACACAGCTGGCGCTTGACGGATGGATGAATTCCTTTCCCACGATTGCTTTCGGGACGGATAGTTTGTTTTCCCATCGATTTTCAAGGCCGTGTGGCGAAATGGCATCGCGTCTGACTACGAAACGCGAATCAGGAGATTGTAGGTTCGACCCCTACCTCGGTCATATTTTTTCTCCCTTTTCATCAAACCGTTTTTTTCCATCACGGTCAAGTTGGGCTAGTGATGGATACTTTGAGCGCATTTTCTCTCCGACCAAAATCCATGATTGCCGTAATGATCTGGCGGCTCCATTTCACGATTTGGCCCAGGTGTCGGCCATTGTTTTGTCGTTCCCTAATTGTTTCTCAAGGACCAAATCTGAGATTGAAAGGCCCAGCAAACTACCCCATCTCATCGGCGACAGGGATGTATCGGAAAGTTTCCCCTACCGGTTTTCAAGTTATTGGGTCGACTTTGGCGGATTTCGAGTTCTGCTGTCTCGGTCAACTAGGTTGTCTCCCATGATTGAACTTCCAAACTGACTTCAAACAACAAATGCTGAAAACCAAGGACCGCGTTTTCTTCGTGAAGTTACGCTCGGGCCTGCGCGACGACCAAGAGGGCTATACTCGATGGCTTGAATCTGCGAGCGATGGACGGTCGCGGCTGGACCCTGACACGCTGGGCGCTCTGTCCGTTTCACCAAGTCAAAGCGTTCTCCGATCCGCTGGAAGTTCATGAACTCTACGCCTGAACCGACTCGCTTTGACCTCTGACTCTAGATTATAAAACTGGGCGACGGAGCTCTGGCAAGGAACTCACGATAACGATAATTACCAACGCAATCATGACTTCACAAGACCGCAAACCCACTTTCAACGAAACAATGGGCACCACGGGGGTTAGTCTTCGTCGCTCCAACGCTCAACGCATCAAGAGACCATCCCCTCAGTCCCCAGGCCCGCCTCCATCTATTCATGCCGTCCAAGTTTCGGTTCCGGAGCTGTCTAAGGCACCTTCTACCAGGTCCGTGTCTGCTTCAGTCCACTATGCATCCTCTCCTCAACAAGGGAAGACCTCTATCCAATACTCTAGTGGGCCTCAACACGTTCAGATTGCTAAGGCTCCATCGGTGAGGTCAATGGCTGCATCGATACACGATGACCAGCCAGTTCCTCCCCTGCCCTCATCTCCGCGCCAGCCTCAAGGAAAGGCGTCTATCCAGTACTCCACTGGTCCGCAACACGCTAAATTTTCCAGGGCTCCATCTGTGAGGTCTATGGTTGCGTCGGTTTATGAAGATCCATCAGTACCTCCTCTGCCTTCACGTCCCTCTCCACAGCAAGGAAAGACGTCTATTCAGCATTCCAGTGGGCCGCAACACGTCCAATTTTCCAGGGCACCATCTGTGAGGTCGATGGCTGCGGAGTCGGTGTATGATGGCCAACCAGTCCCTCCTCTGCCATCATGTTCGTCTTCCACTACCACAATCCCACCGGCCTCCTCGGCACCGTCCCCCAATCGCCCGTCCATTATTCCTGTTTCTACTCCGACCCTCCCGGTCTATGTGTACCGAGACACGACCGGCATGGCTTACGCCCCTTGCTACGTTGTTCCCGACAATCCGAACGCTCCCAAATTCCCAACTATAGCAGTTCAAGGACCCACTAACATATCGAACGGAACTCCCCAATATCATGGCCCTTCACGGTCTTAAGCAGCGTCATCCAAGTTTTCGAGGTGTCCTTTAGATTGCACCTTTATTGGAATAACGAAACCATGATTATGCGCAACCTTTTGTAGTTCACATCTCGCTCTTTGAGCTGTATTCCTTCAAAATAGACGTTCATACAAATGATTGAAGTAGCAAAGGCCTGTGTGAGGGGACTGATTCATTGCGACCGTGCCAACTCCATCAGAAACCGGGTCGACTTACAGTGTAAGTCGAGGTTTGGGACAATGGGCCAGTTCTCAGCCAATTACTTAGCCCAAGCTTCAGGTTATACACTGTGCAAACAGATGTTGACGTCCAGGAGAAATTAGAGAGATGCCTGAGTATGTCCGGTGTTCCGAGTATGGTCTGATTTTCAATCATAGCACTGGAGATGGCATGCTCACAGGTGTATACGCTTTGACCCTAGTAACGTACATACGTGTTGCGTCAAAGCGATACAAAATCACCGTCAACCTCTACGCTTTGACGTCCTTTGGCGGTTGCCTATATTTCCGCTTTGACACAGGTGATAAATAGGTATAAAAGCGAGCTTAGAAAGTTGAGAAAATCCCCAAGTCGAGCAACCATGTCTTCCAACACTCGCTCTACCAAGAACTCTCCGAGGTCGGTCACATCTTCAGATGCCATTGAGCAGTTATTAACCCCTAGTTCCTCGATGGATTCTATCAGGGCTACCGTTGGTACTGCAGGTGTTGAAGTCCCTAATCCCGAAGGCCGCCAATCGAACACACCTTCCGGCGTACTGGCTGCGCCAACTATCCACCCGATGGGTGTTTCGCCCCGCGCGGACTATGGCGATAGAAACAGGCCTTTGCCTCCTCTTCCCATTTCATCTTCCGCTGCAATTACGTCCAGCCCAGCAAAGGCTGCTGACACTAAGAAGGATACTACCTCTATGACCGGGTCCTCAGGAAAGGTATCACCGGATGCTGCCAACGGTCGAAGCAAGGCAGGAGCGAGCGACAAAGGTCAGAGAAGTGCGAACGCAACTCAGTCTTTTTCCTCCACCCAAGACCTTGGTAAGAACCAGATTAAGTTCCCCACCATGGACGAATCTCAAAGGCCTGCTGTGGCCCCGATGCAGCGGCTTCCGGTGCGCCGTGTCCTTCGACGGCCTGAACCTTGAATAGTTGAGATGCCTGTTTCTAAGGGAATATCTTATACAGGCGACCCTGGGAGCGTATCCTCAAGTCCATCCTGTAAAAAGGTCGCCAAATGTGTTCTTAGATTAGAAGATTCGTTATACGTGCCTCCTCTTTGTGTACGGATACCACGACCCCGAGTTCCGAGGATGGGTGGGTACGGTTGGCGGGACGTGCGAGGATGAATTTCACGTGCGGGTGATGCCATCAGAGTCCCGATTACCTCCCAGCTCTCGACACAAACCACCTCCCTAACTAACCGTTTGCTACTCCTAAGGGCCAAAAATGATTGAGTGTAATCTCGATACATATACCACATCCAATATATTGAATAAAAACGAATAGCTGGTAATCTGGGGGGGAGGTATGAGAGACGTAAGTGTAAGGAGCCTCAATGAGCCTGCCCTAAAGTGACCCACGGGCGCCTAAGTCCGAAAGCTTAAAGGCCTGGCTTGCTTTCAAGAGGGACTGAGGCCCGATCATTACTGGCATTCTGTGAGGTCATTAGACGCACCTGAAAGAGCTTGAAGACTGCATGTAATGATGTCATAACAATGAAAATTGGAATAAACATTGCTTGCAGGGTGATTGAGATTAAGGCGGTTGACCAAGGGGGACATGCGTCCGAAAACCTCCCAGGCAGAGAATAAGGTAATGTGAGGACTGCCAATCTCTTCATAATCAGACTGAGCAACTGCTCCAAATTCCTCGGTATACCATGCGAGCCAGTGCTCGCCGAGTCGCGGCTACCCACCTCTTGAGTGAGGTGATCACGAAGCTCTGCAATAGCCTCGCTCGAAACCCGAATTAGACAATTATCGAGCCCACCGAACTCCTCCAGATTGTAAAAGACATATTCATAAACATGATCTGAGGGCATCACCTTCTCGGTTTGCCTCCTGGCCTTGTGTTCATTCCACAATGTCCGGAAGTCATCAAGTTCCTTCTGGATCACGGATATGAAAACCCAATAAAAGAGCAGGCTAAATGGACGATAAGCGATTGAATCATTAAGCGCCAGGGGTAGGAAGAATGGTATCGTGGAATACATACTGATGAAAATCACACGGACCTCAAACCGAGGCTTCCTCTTGCAGTTTCTCACCTAAAACTGGGCTCAAACCCGACATAGGGCTTCGTTATGTCTACAGGTGAGAGAAAGAGTCGCCCTGTGCTTCAGCCCGAGGTAAATAAGGCCAGGGTGCAGCAACGGACTGTGGATAGTAGTCAGCTCCAATGAAAGAAGGAAGGGAAGTGCGACAAACGTCACTCGAAATTAAGCCACAGGATGGTCATCAGGGAACAAACAGCCTTTTGTCATCCATGATCAACCTAAAGGCACTGAAAGATTATATGTATGTTAATTTAAATCATACAGGAGATCGACCATGGCACCTGGAGCACGGGAGAACCAACAGCGGATTCCATTTACCCGCGTAGCATGCGCCGTTGGCAGTTCCATTCGTGTTCCAATTGAACGGTAGTCCATCATGTGGCTTTCAAAGAAGCCACATGTATGGCTGTGCAGAAGGGTGAAAACTTGTAAGTGTACCATCATCATCTATAGAACGAAGGAGGCTCGGTCAGTTGGCGTGAAGATTTTGAGGTAAAATGGCATTCACATCGGTGAGAAAGAGTGATAGATCATAGAAATTATTGTTGATTATAAGGGAAAGTAAGAAATATCCGAAAACACCAAAATTGTCCATTCGGTATTCACCTTCAACCCATCCGTCAAGTTTCAACTAGGATTCAGCGACTATACCCGGTAAGGAGGGATCAGGCTGCGGTAGCCATTGGATGGCCAATTGGGTTACACGGCGAACCAGAAGAGCTGGTACTCCCTCGCCTGATTGACATCATTCGTTGAGATACAACGGTCATGGTAGCCATCGTCGTCAAGATGGAATCGTGCTCGGTAGAAGATCTGCCACACGGGCGCTTCCAAAACTTATATCCCTCCCACAGGTCCTGAAAGCATAAGCATTGAGAATCGGGTAATCAGAATTGGAGAGTGACAGACATTTACCATCTGAGTTCCGAAAATGACTGCGGTGGACACAGGAACTGCGAGTAGATGAAATGTTAGGCGGCGGGTGGAGGTAGATGATTAAGGAATGGATAGTACTTGTGGCGATCATCACATCGAAGATGACGACTCTTTCTTTCGTGGAGGCAAATATCATTCCAATGCTGTTGGACGTGATCGGTCAGTGTCTCCGTCGTCAGATGGACATGTCTTACACAGCAGCGGTCATTGCAACGGCGGTAAAGATGAAAACTCGGACAGCCATGGCGAGCGACTGTCTAAAAATGTCCTTGATCGCGCGGTGCCGATAGAGCAAATAACTAATAACCACTGCAGTTCCTCAGCAATTTTCCGACTCCTGATGCGTCAGTCCGAAGCGAGCTCGTACCTTCCAAAGCGACAATAGCAATAGAAGATACTGCGGCAGCAATTGCAGTCAGACGAGGTCTGAGAGTCTTAGATCAGCGTAAGACCGTAGTGAGAGAGCTCGGAAAGCCTACACGGGAGATCGAATCACAATACAGAAGGTGCCATTGTGTGAGATTGAGACGAGTTGAGGATTTTGCTCAATTAACTAGGTTGTGAATCAGAAACTGAAAGCGGGAAGGGAACGAAGACCGTACCACGACAACCCCGATCACAATTGCTGTCCACATCACCCAAGGAACGACAATCGACTAGCATTCAATCAGGATTAGTAGTTGCAGCGGGCGCACTGGCAGCGAAAGGTGCCTTACGGAAAACGAGATGATTGGAAATGATCGCTTCACAGGTGAGTGGCTCAACACAGCGAGGATGTTTAGCAGCAGCTTATAGGACACGATCAACTCTGAGAAGTGAAATGAACAATGAGCGTGCATACCTGCAACACCAGTGCGATAGACGAGCCACCAGCGCTGACGGAAAAGAGTCGTTAGTCGCATAACGTGGATGTCAGGGTGTCACCCACAGAAATGGCGCCGCATAAACCATTGCAGCTTGAGCTTTGCAGATCGTTTGGCTTGACAGCGTAAATTGCTGTCCCGCAAACGACAGCAGCGAGTACGAGAGGGAGAACATAACCCAGGAGAGGCAAAAGTTGTACCAGACTGGGTGTCTCCTGACAGATGGAAATACAAGGGCAGAGAAAATCATAAAAGCGAAAGAAAAACATCCAATCATCTGGAGTATTATGAAAACGCGAACCAGCGCGACATTGCTCTCTGGGAACATTGAAAGAATTGTCAGTAAAGAGAATTGCGACCGAAGCGAAGACATACCTGCAACCATCGTAGGCATACAGAAGGATAATGCTATAGTTGGGCAGAGAGCGAGAGTAGAAGGGAGTCACCGCTACGGACTGCCCTTCAATTCAGAAAGATAGCCATCGCGAAGCCATTACCGGTTTCCTTCGATAAGCCGCATGCACAAACGCGGCCACTATTGCTTCGATGTCCGTCAGAGTTCTGTTCGACTGATATCATATCACAGCCCAGTGTTCCTCCAGAAATACTCTTCCCGCAGAAATCGCAACGTCCGCAGTGCACTCTCCTGCATTATGTGTCAAAACAAGGTACTTGACTTTTAGTAGGTGTCGGGAAGGGATATACTTACCTTAATTAATGGGACCAAAAAGCTCGGGGGAGACTCGTTGACAGACATCAAATTTGGACGTGACCGCGATCAAATATCACGCGGTCAAGGTGCCGACGCGGCCACAGTCCAGAGATCAGAGCGCGGCCTCGTGTTTTGCCATTCTAGGCGTTTAACCAGCGTGGATTGTTTGTCGCTCGACCATGCAATGGGACCAAGACGCGTCTTTCTTCTTTAACCTGAACTAACATGTCAGGTGGAGACTGTGCCACACCTTTCGTCGACCAGGGTCGTGTCCAGCGGCCTTCAATGTTTGCTATGACATCGCCAATGATCCCTTCTGGGATTTCTCGACTTCACCAATGGGTCATTGACTCCTTTTCGTCGCTCATTCAACGAAAAGGAAGACGATTCGATGACAATGGTGAAGTTGAATTCACTAGACCTTACAACAAATTCCATCTCGATGCTACCGGTCCTTCTCTCGCTGTGCTCATCGATCCACTCTACGATGCCTCGACAAACCACTGGAAAGGCTTTCCAGTCACGAGTCCCAGTCTACCATCCAACCTCAGTGCTACTGCTCATCTTCTTAAATCTCTAATCGAGCAACTCTCCCAATGCTCGGATGTTCAGCCTAACCAGCGACAGCTTTTCGATTGCTCTGTTCTCCGTGGTGACGACCACGAAGTTCCTAGTCTCTGCGTAACCAATTTGGACGAATTCTCATTCCATGGGGAGAGCGACATGGAGTATCCTGGATATCATAACATCCTTCTATCTATTGGGATCACTACTGACACGGACATGTCCAATGTCGAGCAACAGGTGGCAGAGGCTTCTCGCTATGCTGCGTAAGTGCAATGCCTTTATATCTCTTAATGCCACACTGGTATTAACAACTTTTCTGTAGTCGCACTCTTATCGGTCAGGCCAATCGTAGCTGCGCTCGCGTTCTGATGATGAGCGAAACGATGTGCCGCGTTTTCCACTTCACTCGTACTCCGGGGGTTCGATACTCGATCGCGTTCAATTTCCACTCTGATCCCGTCGTGTTTACGCGTCTCTTCCTGGGTCTAATCTCGAACAGGCCTCAAAACATTGGATTCTACGAGGATACCATCCGCCCTTGTCCAGCTGATAGTCCCGAAGCCGTGATCAAAATTGTTCCCGACGAAGATGAGGAACCCTACCTGTTCACAGTCTCGCGCGATATACCGATCGTTGACTCCTTTGGCTACTGGACTGTCTGGAACGTCTTCTCCTGCGATGCCGATGACAACGAGAATGCTCCCTTCCTCCTCAAAGTGGCATACGCACCTGACCAGTGGGACCTGACCGAGATTGAGGTTCTCAGGGTTGCGGAAGCGAAGGACCTACCTGGCGTTGCACGAATGGTCGCTTACCAAGAAGAGAGTGATCGATACGACTTTGAGACTAAGACCCATACCTGGTGCAAGCTCACCCCTGCAGAAAGGCGATACGTTCAGCACTGCATCGTCCTTGAAGCTCACGGTCTATCTATCGACCATTTCGAGACCTCAGAACAAGCATTCGAGGCCTTCATTGATTGCATGACTGGTATGTCCTCCTTCGTCCTGCCTCCTTGGACAGTAAGCAGTAGTACTGACCTCGGTTTAGGTCACGGTTCATTCGCAAACCTGGGAGTTCTACACCGAAACATCACAGTGAAGAACATCATTCTAGGAAAGCCGAATGCCAAAAAGGGATGGCGCGGCGTACTTTTCAACTTTGACTCAGCGGCCTTTGTCGACCCCAGCACTTTCGAACCGAAACCAGCTTTCCCTCCCATCGACGATCTCCTGGAAACCCCTTTCTCTCAAGCATTCCAGAGCGTCGAGACGCTCAGATCACATTCTACTCGCGCGGACAACAAGGGTAAATCCAAGGGGAGGAAATCGGTCAAGACCCGCTCAGACAGAAGTGAAGCCATGAATCACGACTACTTGGACGAGCTGCAGTCGTTCTTCTACGTTCTGCTATGGCTATGCACAACCTACCGTGCTTGCAGCAAATCGACCACGACAACGCCGATCGCCAAGACCGATCCTTTCCCCAAGGAACTCGCTGCATGCTTCGAGGTAAATGGGTCCCCAGAGTCCATCGAAAAGGCTATCGAGGCAAAACTAGCACTCATGATGGACGATCTGCTCTGGTCTGACCTCACCAAACAAGCCAGCGATGCACAGGAGGGTTCGCTAATCTGCCCTATCCTCTGGGGTAAACCAACTGTCTGGCTTCTGACCAAGTTTCGTTCCCACCTGCAGCATGGGCTCAAGGCGAAGGAAGAGGTACGGGGTGGAAGGATGACCATGGCGGAATTTAAGGAAAGGTTCTATGGTGGGAAGAATATGTTGGAGCAGTATACCGAGATTGTGTGGATGCTGGAGGATGCTGTCAATGGGATTGACAATGATACCGAAGACTTTGAGGGTTATGCGTCGGTGCGGGATGAGAGTGAGGTTGAGGATAGCGATGAGATTGGAAGTGAGGTTAAGGCCGAGAAAGCTGTTGAGGGTGAGGATGATAGCGACCGAGAGGCTGAGGAGGAAGTAGAGCAATTGCTTCTTGCGGCGCGTGACCCGTCGGTTGAGGCACAAGGTCAACAAAACACCGGAAACACCACTCAGGCAACTGAACAGGATGACGCTGGTGCTCCTCCCGAGGCACAGCAGACCGAGGTTATTGCGGAACCTGCAGCGGTTAAGGTGAAGGTATCCAAGGCAGGCAGAGGAAAGAACGTTGCCAGCAGATCCGCGCACCCGACCGATGGTGCTCCTATCCCGCCTGTTCGTCGATCCACTCGAAATACCAAGCGTCGAAGGGAGGAATCCACTGTCGCAGCTACGAGCAGCTCCACTCCCACCACCGATTCCGATGCGAACGACAAGCCCGTCACCAGCGAAAAGGTCATTGAAACCGATGTAAAGCCTGCTCTTCGCCGCTCTTCACGAATCAAAAAGGGTCAAACTGTTGAGCCTACCGCTGCTCCAGCTCCTATCCCCTCTACCGACGATGTCGTGGAAGTGGTTTCCGCGGTGGTGCTTACAATCAAAGTGCCGGCCCGTGGAGGTCAGAAGAGGAGGCGCGATGAAGAGGATCAGAATGACGGAATGATTGAAGGAAAGGACAAGAAGGGTCGTGCTGTGAAGGGTAGGAAGGCGAAGAGAGCTCGGAAGGATAAGGAGGAAACTGGCGAGAAAGAGAATACGAGCACTAATGTGAAGGCACAGGGTGCCACCCTGTGCCTTCACATTAGTTTAGACCGGAATATGCCTCAATAGGGAATTGGGTTTTTCCTGATGTGGACAGAAGGACAAAGATGTGGAGCAACTTACCATCCGACTAAAGGTTACTAAGAAGAGGCCCTCGAAGAAATCCAGGGGCGCCAAGAAATGAGGATTTGTGCAAGACGAGAGTCTGAAAGATTGGGCTTACTAGGGATGTTCACACAGTAACTAGGATTACTTCTACAGTGTAACGACGTTTCTAGCATTACCACCCAATTCAACATCATTAATATCTAGACGAGTATCGGGATGCTTTATTCTCGTGTCTATCTACATGCCTATTTAATCAAACGACGGTCAGCGACGCGATGCAGCCATGCCATGCTGGCCCCTGACCCGCGCCGCAGGCGCTTAGCTTGGCGCTCCAAAGCCGGAACCTGCCTCACTTATTGTCCTTCGAACAAACGGCCAAGGTAGTCTTTGGACCGCACAACGGCTAATTAACACAACGGAGCGAACCGTAATGAGGCAAAAGACCTTGGTGCAGATAAAAAGATTTGGTTCTGCAACATCACGTATAAAAAGCACTGGCGTTATGCGGACAACATCGTTTCTACGTTTTCGTTCCTTTCCCACTCTACATTCTCTCCCCACTACTTACACACTATGCCTGGCGCATCTACTAAGCCCACATCCTTTTTAACCAGATTCTCTGCTGGACAGGAAGGTGGCATGAAGGTTAGTTGTGGCTCTATGCCTACACCACACGGAAGCTGAAGGGGAGAATTCATTCGTTTTAATCATAGATTGACCCCATCAAAGCCAACGAACTTGCAGCAGAGCTCTCGCTGTCTCCACTTACTGACATCGGAAGTGCCTCCCCTACCCGACTGGTGTTCAGCCCCATCCAGCCTACCATTCCAATCCCTCCAACCCCCAACCCATTCGCTTCCGATCCCCCGCCTGCAGATGCCGCCCCGCGCCCTGCGGTTCGACGATCCACGCGCAACAGGTCCACCCGAAATGAAGGCAAGGGAAAGGGTAACAGGGAAGAGTCGAACACTTCTGATGCCGAGAACGACGCCGACACCCTCCCTCATGCCAAACCCGTGCATTTCTCTATTTTCGACATGCCCCTCATCCAGCCAACTAGATTGAGGAGTGGGAAGAAGAGAGAGAGAGAAGAGGATAACGAAGGCATGTCCAGCTCAAGGACCAACAAGAAGAGGAACGTCAGGCAGAAGAGGGGGACTACTCAACACACCAATGCCGAAGCGTCTGGGTCTGGCTCTCAACTGGCCACCGACGTTGACACCTCCAATTCGGGTGGCGCTCAGGAGGAGTATATCGGCGCCGGTACGACGAACAATAGCGAAAGCCAAACCTTCAGCCCCGCTTTTGTCGAAGCTGCACCATCAATGAGTTCATCGAGTGCTCGGACCACCCAACCATCGCCATCAACCAGCGCTACGGTTTCTCTACCTCTGCCAAACCAGCCTTCTGCGGAAATTCAGAATCGAATCAATGACAGGCTTGCATGGCGGGGTCCTCCTCGTCTAAAGCTTCCGCGCGCACAGACACCTACCGGGGAAGCAATCGCGTCGCAAGTTGACCTTCCTAGCCTCGAGGAGCTTGAAGTAGAAGATCCAATTCCTTTTGCACCTCCTCGCTATCGGCGCAAGTTGGAGCTCTACCGAAAGCGTTGCTAGTCTAACCCTTGTTGGTGACATGGACCTACAGGTTTTAATCTTGGACCACGATCATTTAGTGTATATCTCGAATAATGTGTAGAATAGACTACCCTTTAATGGAACGTTCACCTCCCGACTGAGACTTCCTTGAAGTGCTTGAGGAACCGGCCCCAGACAGCTTCTCCCTTCTCGCCTTTTGCAATGGGCCAAAGCACCCTCCCGGCCCCATCCTCCCATCCAATCGGACACTGCCCTTCCACAGTGGTAGTGTCCCTCCCAAGCATCTCCATAAACATCGGGTCCGCGCTCATATACCCAGGATCCACCGAGTTGATCGCCACCTTGTACTTTTGCCACGCAGTTGAGGCTTCCGTTTCGGTGAGCATGTTCAACGCGGCCTTGGACATATTGGTATGGACGTGTAGTCCATTCTTGGCGGTGGACTTCGGGTTCTTCTCGAAGAGACCTTCGCGGGAGGAGACGTTGATGATGTAGCCGGATGGGATGCTGGATTTAGACGACGTTGAGGTGGAGGTGGACGACTTGGAACGACCCATAAGAGGGAGTAGCTCGCGTAAGAGAATGAAAGGGACGAAGGTGTTGACGCTGTGTGCAGAGATGACGTCTTCGTATGGGATTTCGGACATGGTTTGGGTCCAGGAAGATTTGATCGTAGGTACGGCGAGGGCTGAATCACCGTTAGAGACCAATTCAGAGCCCACCATTGCCTCCTCAGATCCTTCGATCAATCGCGAACTCGAATTCGAGGCCATCAAATAGCCCTGGTATCCGCCTCTGACTCTCGCCTGGTACGTCGCCCCCGTCACTAAACCAGCTCCATCCTGCCGACTTTCGAATTCTCCCTCCCTTCGAATGCTCTCCGCCTCCTTCTCTACCGAGTCTGTCAATGTCTGTGCAGCGTTGTTGATTAAAATGTTCAACGCTGGCGAATCTGACCCGTCCTTCCACTCATGGCAGCATCTCTTCACCGTCCCAACCAGCGCAAAAACGTCCTTGGCAGATCTGAAATCCGCTCCAACGATCTTCAGCCTGCCTTTCCACAACTCTGCATCTGCCTCTGCCAGGTATCTTTGCTCGGCGTCGAATGGGTATCTCGACGAAACGATCACTTTGGCTCCGCACCGTAGGAGACGTAGAGCGGTATGGTAGCCCAGGTTAATGCGCCCACCAGTCACCAAAGCGGTCTTTCCGTCAAGAGCCAGATTCGGAGGAAGGGATAGTGCCGACGAGGAGATGTTGAACTCTCCGCAAGGGTTGCAAAGAGATGGATACAATCGGTGGGTATGTCTGACCTTGTAGCGGCAAATGTAGCAGAGCTTGTGTTTGAGCGGCTTAACATCTGCGTGCCGAAACTGCTCGCCATGACGCAAATGTGCATGGATGGTCTGGACAACCTTGTCCAGCGGCGTGCAGGGGCTTTTAATGGCGGAGACATGGGGAAGCTGGAGGTATCGCAGGACCTTTAGGGCAGCCGTGAATTCCTCGTCCGTCGGGACCATGTGGTCTGGGACGCTCTCCCTCGGACGCTCCATGTTGGCGAGGTAAGCCTTGATCGAAGAGACCAGGTCGGTGTACAGCATTCGTGCGATAGGAAGTGGTATTCGATCATCTTCTGCTAGTGCCAGTGCAATTTGGTCGGCCTGTCGCTTTTGAGGAAGAGAGTATGCCAGCAGGGAGGGTACGCCGCCATCGATGCGACATGCTTCTTTATCCCGCCTCAATTGGGCAGCAATTTGCTGAGGAGAAGCTTGGGATACGAATTCGTGGCATGCCTGGAGGTCAGTCAACGTAGAGTGAGACATGATGCGACAGAGTCAAGGGCTGAACGTCGAAGAGCGCAACCCTGATCTCGTGCGTAAACTGGCCATGATAGACTGGATCCCCTTTATGGCAATTCCCCCTATTCCCTTTCTCTATTTAGTATCCTCCCCTGTCTCTTCATCCTTTCTGCCTATTCCTTTCTTCACCACGGACTCTCGTATTTACAACTGTTATATATTAAGGTCTTTAGCTTTACCGTAGTCGTACATATACGCGGACTTGTTATTTACGATACTCTAGTCAATCTCACATAGTGTCGAGCCTTCTTGCCTCTGTGTGACCCTCCGACTCTGTCTCGTGTGCCGAGCCGCCTCGTCTGTCACCTTCACAGCCACCGCCGACTTCTCTCGTCACACAATTATTGATCCCGCTGTCCAGCAGAATCTAGTCGGCTGCGGGCGTTCACGTTGATTAGGCTGGGCGATAAGTATGTAGATATGTACACCTCTTCTTAGCCCACACTAACCTATCGTTATCTTTCTCAAAGAGTTGATTTACTTACATGATTTACCTGAGGTCAACTTGTACAACCCAGCGTTCGTTTGATGGTTTTGTAAAGGCCGATAGCTGGGGTCCTTTTGCCATTCGGTATGAACCATGCTTCGGGCTATTTCCATGCTTCAAAACCTCTAAATGGGCATCGTAAACCCGTGTCATGGATAAGGACAACTTTCCTCCCAAGGGGAAGACTGTTATAAGGCGCCCGTCCCATGACCAATACTCTAAATTCCCACGACGCTCCCCATGCTGTTTGGACAGTGTTGTTTGGACATTAAATCAAAGCAGGTTGTTCACGACCGCCCACCATCCCCCAAAGGATCTGGAAGCAGCACGTTCTCCTCCAAATGTCTACCTCCCCTTCTTCCAATGAACGGGGTCTCCCTTTGAAGGAGATTTACTACCACAGGTTTCCAGCGTTGAGGAAGTTGACCTCGGAAGGGATTCCTCATGCTCTATGGGGTTGGGATGCGTTCAATGTCATCGTGAAGTCGGATTTTAGGACTCCCGCTGGGTCAGCCCAGCAGATTCTTGTACCAGAAGATCAACTCTTGGACGCCGGGGCAGCCCTCATAGCAGACACCGACTCCCAATATGTCCACGGCGATATCGATGGCACTCATAAACACGATGGATCGCTCTGGCTCGTGCAACGAGACAACGCCGATGCCTCTGAAAAACATCAGCACCTTCCCCGTCAGATCAGGCTGTCACCTGAATCCAACTACGCCATCAATACTCGAGACCGGGAGCGCCTGGTCACCTTTGCCCCTATCCCACCCTCGGGCTGCACCGAGCCCACCCCAATCCTCATCCCTGTCTACATCAAGTTCATCGAAGGAATCATTCACAACCTCATGAGCCCACCAGCTGAGATGAATCCGTACGAAGCATTCGAGCTCCCATTGCTCGTGCAGATGCTCCTCCACCTTCGAGTGCCACAGTACAATGTCACAGATACCCATCCCGCGCGCAGCTTGTACCCGGAGGAGAGGCAGATTCTCAGGGAATTGACCTCTCCGCAAGCTCATTGGTGGCTGCACCACTTGTTCTGGGAACGTTCTCCGGTCAAGTGGGAGCACATTGAAGCTTACAAGCGTCAGGCCGCAGAGTCGCAGCACCGTGCTGAGAAGAACACGGGGAAAGCCAAGAAAGGCCCAAAGCCTCCTCCGCCTTCAGGGTACGTGAACTATCCTCTTTGTTTACTATCTTTGGTTAACTTTTTATACTCTATCTTAAGGAAACGTTCTCTCTCCACCTGGGCCGTGTCTCCAAGGCTGGTTCCTCAGCCCACGCAGGCTTATCGACATCACACGTTTGTTCCTAATCTTGCACAGAGTCCTACAAGATCCCTGCTGGGAGTAACAAGACTTCTTTCGCGTGTATTTTAGCCAACAACCGGTCATTTTTCCGTGTTTCTTGGAGATTGCCTCGTCCTTGAAGTGAATATATATAAGAGGCCACTGGATCATGAAGAAGCTTTCTCTCTCGAGACTCGTATGTTGTACATTTAGCAGCCAACCTTCTTGCAGTGTATATTTACGATGGATTTGGTCGTCTCAATGGCACACAACTATTCGTATCAATCTCGTAATTTCATTGTAAGTTCGTATCAACTATTCGTGAAGGCAAAGAAATCGTCACCTCGTTACTGCTTATCGTTTTCTAAGATTTTGTTCGTAATTTCGTAAACCAGATACTTAAAAACTACCCCTCCTCACCCTCTTCATCAGCCTCCCAAGGAACCCAGGGCTCTTCTTCGCCGGCGGAATCGGCGGAACCGGGACTGGAGGCATATTTAGAATCGCAGTCCCATCTTCAGTGTCGCGCGACCAGCGAGAAACAAGTTGAGGTCGGCGAGGCGGGGTGACAGGTTCCTGTTGTCTCAAGGCAACACGCCGGGGAAGCTGAGCCGAGCTTGCCGCACCTGATTTCAAGGTTCCTCGAGCACTGTGGCCTGTGGTGGAGAACTCGATTTGGTTGGTCGGCGTTCTTGTCTGCTGGGTTTGGTTCTGCGCGTGTGATTGGGTGCGAACGCGCGATTTGCCTCTGAGACTGGAGTTTGGAGAGGGAGAGGGAGTGGGGGTGGGGGTGGGGGTGGGAGAATACATCGTCATTGCGGCGAAGACCGGGAAGGCGGGAGTCGATGCTGAAGCCCTAGAAGAGCTATAGATGCCTCGCCGAGAGCTAGACGAACCCACGTTCGCCTTACCTTTTCCAGTGATACTTTTTCCAGTATCCTTTCTCGACCTAGACACTTTCGCAGTAGACGATGACGATGAATAAGCCGCAGGGAGAGCAGGGACGGGCGGAACAGCCGATCCAGACCCATTCTGATTCTCAAAGTCCATCCCAATCGATGCAGCCATAGATTTAATCGAGGGCGCTTTCCCAGTCTTCACAATCACCGGTACCTTCTGCGGCTTGAGTGGTACAGAGCTGCTCGGACCTGCCACAAAGTGCCTGTCAGCCTTCATAGACTTGATCGACGGAGCCTTGTGCAACCTGGGCACGGGAGCGGGTACAGCACCGAAGGACGGGTTTTGAGACGGTTTTCGGACACGGGTATAGGCGGGTTGTGGGACGATGTCGCCTCTAGTGCCGACTGTAGCTCTGATAGAATCCAGCGAGGTGCAAGAGGACCTGAGCGAGGAAGAGGGGTGTTCAGGGGAGGAGGACCTCTGCGTCCGACGTCCTCGAGAGTCCATTTGAGCCTTCAGATGGTCAGCCAGACGGAAGAATGTCGGCGGAAGAGCATCCTTGTTACCAGAATCCGCTTGGGCATGGCCAAGAGGACTTCCAGTCACAGACGACGGGACCGAATTGGGTGGACGAGATTCCTTAGCGGCAGTCTGAGCACCCATGTGCGCAGCAAGACGGGGTTGGGTGTTGCTATTAGCCTCGTTTGTAGATCGAGAGTTGGGAGACATCTTGTTCTTCGGTCATTCCCCTCCGCCATGGTATTTATAGTCCTGTCATTCGTCGTGTCTATGCGCGAAGGGAGTCAAAGCGCACTTGAAAGAGTAAGAACCTTTGAGTGGCTTAGTAGGATAGCGCTTTGACTGGCGAACGGAGATAGCGGTTTGTGTGGTTAGACCGTATGCCTTTTGGTGCGAGGAAGTCATGTTGCCGAATTTCTGACTAAGGTTCGAGCAGAGGGTGTCGATAGGCGCCAGATCAGTTCACCAATGTCAGAAGGCCAACGCGGTTGCAGATTTTCTTCCCCTTTCCGTGCTCCATATAGTCACTTTTGACCATGACATTGAATGGTCCAAGGCCTTCGTGGGGCCAGCACTTGGGCGAAAAAACAACAGGGAAAGTCGACAAGTCCAAGGGGATAGGCACAATCGAGAACGAGCACAGGACCACGGATGCAGATACGAGAGGCCCTAAGAGCGAAGCCAACCAACAATTAGCGCACTGGCAGAGACAAAAAGCGAAGGAAGCAAGACGAAAACCCCTCCACATCTGCGAATGAGCACTCGGAACAGCCCGGCCATCACACCTTCCTCTCATTTTCAATCGGAGATCCAACGCACCCCAAAAAATTCTTTTCCCTTCCTTTCTCTCCTTTCTTCATTCGTCGATGCAGCAACACAAGTGCTGCACTCTATTCTCGTTTTTTTCTTAACGGGAAGGTTGGAGTAACGGAGCGACGATAGAGTAATTAATGGTCTCTTGTTTTACAGGGGCCATTGGTCTCCTTCGCTGTCATTCCGGCTCATGTTCAAAGATTTGCTACTGATTTTGGGACTGGAACGGGCAGGAGAATATTTCGTTTTCTTTCGTAGTTTATGGGTGGATTGCATAGGAGTACTTATCGCTGCTGAGATAACTTGAATATATCCCTCGTTCTGGTTTCATCCACGTTGAACTCCACAGCTTCTTGCGAGGGAGCCTCACTTCCGAGTCGCGGTCGTTTAAAGTAGGCGTTCGATCTCCAGATCCACCGTCCCATGTTTCAGAACTGGCTTTACGGCATCAAGCACAATGTATATAACACTGCAGTATACAGTACAGCGCAAAGTTCCTTATAATCATTAGTCCCACTTGAGCTACCATCGCACCTCACCAATCCCATACTATACAGGCTAGGCCATGCGCTCTGCATCAGAGGACCCCGGATTCCAACCAGCGTCCGACCCCACGAGAACCGCCATACTCACCAATATCTCGTACCACACCCACCGCCTCTCCTCACTACAGTCCCTCGAGCTCGAACTCAACTACACCCCCTCCTCCTCTTCCTTCTCACAATACACCCCCCTCCTGTCCCACCTCTCCTCCCAAATCACCCAATCCGAAAAAAACCTCCATACCCTCAAGGTCAAAACTCAGAAAGCCTACTGGGACCACGTCCGCTCTCAGAATTCTACTTCGATGAAAGTCGGTGCTTTGTTCAAGGGTCGGAAGGGGGAGTATGAGTATGAGGAGCGGAAGAGGAGGGATGAAGTGTGAGTATTACTACTTGGGCACTATTTCAAGTTGCTTTCAAGTTACAGTTTCCAATTACTAGTACGCCCTTCGAGATTTGGTTACTATGCAATTCAATTCAGGGGTGTACATTGATATATGTATTGACGTCCATGGCGTTATTAGAGTGTACCTGGAAGCTTCAAGATCTAGAGCAGAAAAAGCCGAGAACGAACGGTTAGAGGAGCTCAAGAGGGTGCGGGAGGAGACATTGGCGCAGGTGAGGTCTAACAAGCCGAAATTCTCATTATTGTCTGATTTATAAAAGAATTCACCGACATCCCATTCCCAACGATAGAAACAACAACTGGAACACAAAGCAGAAGAATACAAACGAATCAAAAACGAACTATCCTCTCTCTACGCAACGATATTCGACGGACCTACACCCCGTAAGTCCATCCACACATCCAATGCTCCAGCCCACGCCAACCAACCCCCTAACCCATCCCACTTACTACATACTTCCAATTAACTTGGACCCACCAGCCTTCCCCGAAGAAGACACCTTCGAACACACCCTCCTCACCACCCACCTCCACACCGAATCTGCTCAGAAAGACCTCAACAGGCACACGCACACATCCACCCTCCTCCAATCCGCCCTCCTCGCCCTCACCATCAGTATCTCCCTAATGAAAGACGTCTTACGAACGTCCTCTGGTACTATAGGCTTCCTCCATACTTCAGATGGTCACTCCGTGCAAGAGGCTGCGAAACGCTTTGTGGAGGCGCAGGGGTACGCGGAGAAGGCGAGGGAGAGGTGTAGGGAGGTGCAGCGTTTGAAGGGTATTTGCGTTGGGGATATGTGAGTGGTTTTAACTTTAGGGGTGTAGCTGGAGCTGGGGTTTGGGGTAACTGACGTGTCGGTGGTAGGCCATTCCTCGCATTCGCGAAGAGCGACCGTCTCCGTTCGGATATGTACATCTACGAAAAGTTAGCGACGATAGCCAGGCAGCTGGAAGACGCGAACGACCAGGTGCGCAATATTAGCTTCCTAAACGCCATAGCATGTGTTCATGCTTATTGGAGCGTAGATTCAAAGAGCACACGCTGAATCGGAAAGGAGGAAAGTAGAGGCTGCTCGAGTGTTGGCTGAGGTTACGAGCCGCAGAGATACGCTGGAACTGGAGCTGTTCGAGTTGCGGAAGAGTATTGTTGAAAAGGTGATTAGGGAGGATACCGAACCTCCGCCATACGAACCGTTTGAGAATGGAAGGGATGGTTGAATTGCTGTACTTTACATGAAAGAAGTGCGGTTGTAGATGGATCACCGCTGACGCGCTCAAGGGTCTGGCTGTTTTCGTTTTACTCCTGCCAAAGGTTCCACATCCTATAGACGTCAGATTGAGAGAAAGATGTATGCAGATAGAGTACTTACTGTCGGACGTGCTGTAGCAGGCTGCGCTCTACTTCCGTAGAACCGGCCGCCGGGTACGAGGTAGTCGCGCATAGCGATTCCTAAATGAGGATCCCGAGCTTCGATACTGGCGAGCAGGGTCAAGATCCCTGGGTCGATTCCTAGTGCGCCGGCGAGTGTGTCCTAGACAAGTGGTGAACACGACAATAGCGAAAGTAAGAGTGGAGTAACACGTACATCGTCATCGTCATCCTCGAAGGCAGCCAGCTCGTCCTCGTCGAGTTCATCTTCCTCCTCTTCGTCTACCGAGCCTTCAGCGTCTGCATCGGTTTCTGAGTCTTCCTCGGAACCCTGTTGATCAGCCTCGTCCTCTTCCTTATCCTCGAATTCGGGGATGTGAACCTCCTTTCCAACGTCTTCGTCATCGGCCTCCTCGTCGGGTTGGAGGATCTTGACAGACCCAATAGGTTCATCCTGCGTATCCTCAAACGCGATATACCTCTGGAAAACAGCCCGCCCGTCTTCGTCGCGTATGCTCTTTTTGACGTGAATCACCCTCGGTAGCTTGTTGTTCTTGGGGTCATCTGGGTCGAGAATCCTAACCGCGCTCACGGGCACCGTCGGAGCGTGTTTGTACGCCAGGTACCGCTCGAATTGGGGTTGATCGTTTGGGAGGAGGGAGTTTACTTGCACTTGGACGAGGACTGACATCGTTAGCGGGTGGGTTCAAGGTTGGAGGATGGGAGGTGAGACGAGTGAGGGGGATTGAGATATACGCTGTGATCGAGACATGTTGCAGACAGGTGAGACATTGTTAGGGGTTTCTAGAGATCGATGGGGGGCTATTCGCTGTTTTCGTTCCGGGTTGAGAGACTGGTGGTGTCGGACGGCATCCCTGGCTGCTGGAGATAATGCAGCGTGGGCTTCAACGAGATCCATTCGCGCACCATTCGATCCTCGAAGTCACCGATGCATGGTGAAAGACGCGTTGAGTGCTTTAGAAGCGGAATTGAAGTCTGTGATTGAACTTGAAGAGAAATAACCAGCTCGTCGAAGGGCAAGCTGAGAAGGACGAAGCGTAGAATCGACGGGCCCAATCGCGAGCGGGACTTCAAACGAGTTCTCACGACCCTTCTTTTGGTAACCGCGCTCACCGACAACCCTCCCAGTCCCGCCGTCGTCCGCATCCTGGATCCCGCCCTTTCCGGTTCCGAGGGTTTTCGAACGAGATGGACTTTTCATTAAAAAGCTGACTCGAATCACTGCTACGTTGAACGTTCATATCTCAGGCCAGGGCTTTGAACCACATTTCGTGTTGAACGAGTTTTTTTCTCTCAATAATAGCTCTTCGAGAAAACTTGAACGTATTTACGGGCAGCACCAGCCAATGGGGAGCCTTCAGAGTCAGAGTCAGATAAGCGCTGACCCCTATCCCAAGACTTCAATTACCGGTCGGAAGCCAACCGGCGGCTATCAAAGCAGTCATTCATATCCTTCACCGCACCCGATCTTGGCTTGTGTCGACCCCGTCGGCAACGTTCATTCCACCCTTGCCCCATCGTACTCACCCCACCCCATCCTTTCTACATATGTCTTTCTATGCACCGCATCGTACCATCCCAACGAATTCCCCTTGCCCAACGAGAAAATTTCCGACTCAGTGTTCCTGAAACCTTGATGTTTGGCCGATCAACGACAGGACCCCCAAATATACCCCTCAAGGCCGGATGAGATTCTGGGCTGGCCGTCCGGAACCAGATGGTCAAATTTTGGATTTTTTGTCCGGGAAATTCACCATCCTCGAGCCCTAAAATCGCTCTTTTCTGGCCGGATCAGGGAATATTTTCCCACACGGGCGCTTTTTTTCGGGGTCGGGGGCCAGAAAATGGCATTTTCGTTGGACTTTTGTCCGGATTTTATCTGGCCTTCCGCGATATTTTGGCCTCTTCCTGTCCGGATTTCGCATCCGGCCTGTGGCCAAAACCCAGTTTTTCTGTCCGGATTCTCTTCCGACCTTAAGCGCGATATTTGGGGGTCCTTCAACGACCGACGAGATGGTGATGATGATGGTTCCATTCTAGAGCAAGTGAGATCCCCATCCAAACTTACCCGCGTTGAGTCCCCATTGCCCCAAAGGATTGAGGATGTTCTGGTCCAACGACTTTGGGTTGTGTTCTGTGATGAGCATCACGGATTGATTAGATTCGATGCGGCAGAGATGGGTGAACCGGGTTCTAGATATGCGTCGCGATGAGGAGGGCATCATATGTATCATCTCCTGGACCCTGAGCAATGTCGTGTAGGGGCAGCATGGCACAGCGAGGCGTGTGTGCGCTCACAGCTCATCTCTTGACTCCTACGTGCACACGACCAGAATTCCGAAAGGATTGAGCGAGCGCGACATAATATGACCACGGGCAGTATGACGGTTCTCCAATTGGCTCGGGATTCTCAGTTCTATTGTAAGTCCTCAGTAGCCCTATTGCGCTCGTTTGTTGTGGAAGGGTTAGCTGACACATGCACTACGTATCCCGGTAGACTCCGCACCTGCGAGCGATACCGCGCCGCCTTCGACGCAGGTGAACACCGAAGAGTACGATTCTGAATGGGAAGAATTCGTCCAAGGTAACATGCCTCCCATTATAGCCCCACCAACACTCAATGTACTTACACTCACCTCCAGGCCCCTCACAATCCCTCGCCGACCTCGAAACCGCCTCCCAACTCCTCTACAACCCCCTCACCAAAGACTGCTACTTCTCCACCTCCCCCGTCTCCACACCCAGCACTTCACCGCCCCCCTCCGGACGGAGCACGCCCTCCGACTGGCTCTGCAGCTGCGACTCCTGCCGGTGGCACGCCAACCTCCCGCTCCTCACGCCGCTGCAGAAGGCGGAGCGGGAGAGGATGCAGAAGGCGTTGGATGAGGAGCGGGTGAGGCGGTGGAAGGAGAGGAGGGAGAGGAATGTGGGGAGGGCGCGGGGGAAGGTGGGGTTGCAGGTTGAGAGGGCGAGGAGGGTGGTTGCATTGGCGTTGGACCTTGGGGAGGAGGAGAGGAGGCGGTGGGAGGAGGATGAGGGTGCGTGTGAGAGGAGGAGGGAGGTTGTGGAGAGGAGGGCGAGGAGTTATTTTGAGTTGGAGTATTATTATCGGTATGAGTAGGGGTTGGGTGGTTCGTCTGTCTTTTGGTTTTAGTCTGGGTTTTGTCTCGTTCGTCGTCGTTATTTATATCCTATCTCACCTTTAATCCTCCTGGCTATGACATCAACGTTTTTGGGCGCTTCGTGCCGTTACCTCATTTGGTCTCAAACTAACCCGATTCGACCTTTAATCTCACTCAACTACACCTTCTCTCATCACCCCATATCGCCTTTTCGAGTGCCCAACTTCCGTACCAAACTCCAACTCCCCAACTCCATTCTACTTGTTACCCACGGAATCACAACACCATCGATAGAAATGTTGACTGCCAATCACAAATTAACACATACCGAAAATCGACGTTCCAGCCTCCAGGATCCTGGCTACCGTGACCAAGCTCTATTCACAAAGGTCTCCCGGGCCATCAACTGACAAAGGTTTCCATCAAGTTCACCGCAAGTCAAAAACGAGGCTAAAGCATGTATCGCAGCGAAATCTAATCCCGTGGTCGTGCCAAAACGTAACGATTCAGGAATAGTCGTTGTCGATAATCGATAAACGTTGTGGAGGGGTCAGAAGGACATCCTTGCCGAGATGGAGGGTTCATATCGATTTCTTGGGATGGGGTGTATGATGAAGGTCCACGATGGGATGAGGTGAAGGAATTGATTCTCTGAGCCTCGTTTGGTGTGACAGATGAGATGGCTAGAGGTAGTTGTTTTTGCCACTCGTGTTCGGGACGGTGCCGGGTAGGGCGGTCATTGGTTACGTCCGAGGAAGCAGAGTATCGTTGGTCAGAAAAGTGTCGGTCTAGCAGTACGTGGTCAAGATCGGTGGGATGGAGTAGACGATGGACGGCACACGAGTGACGACGGCTGATAATCATGCGATGAAGAAACAGTCTATTCCGTGCGTCAGCGAATAAGCTTGGCCAGTGTGATAACAACCCAGGCCTCATTGCGCCAGATGATGGGGACTCGACGTGTGGGTGCGATCACGACAATGTGCAAGGGTGAAGAAAAAGAAGTTGTTTATGGTATGACATACGTACGTCTCCAGGGACCGACACGTTTAAACTGATAATCGATGTCGATGAAGGGTGGGACGGGTCCTGTGACCTCCTCCGGTATTTCATAACATTGAACGAAGCCCCTCGAGGCAGGACGACATCCTTCTGCGGAAGCAAACGCGCGATCTTGGCGCGTGGATTGGGGTGAATGGTAGAACCGCGCAAAAAAGGGGCTTTTGGACCGTGGTATAGAGTTTTTAGCCTCCTTTTGGGCCAAAAGGCTATCATTCGGACCGGAATGGGTTTTTCGGAATGAAAGCTGAAAACACAGGAAAATGCGGTCCCAGGCCGCACACCTTGGCGACGGACTCGGAGTGGAGTGACATACTCTGTCTGTCGGTGAATTGATATGTTTTCGACGCCGGGTACGGGTTTGGTAGCATCGTGGAAGACAAGCATCTCTTGCCCGAGCTCAGAATAAGGCTTTTACAGCTAGAGGTAAACCGTCGTGGTCGGATAGCGATCAGGTTATCGGATGTGGTGCTATACTGTGATTGGATTCCGGAGTTTCTCACTGATCTCGTATGAGTATTCGGAGATAGAGAATCATTACAGGAGTAGATTGACAAACGCTTTTTTCCATTCAAGGGACCCGTTCGCCATCGTTGTAGCTACCTGGAGTACTCATCTTTGAAATAATGGAAGCAGGGCGTAAAGCGATGACGATTCTGCTGTTGTACTCAAGTGAAAGAAGGGCAGAAAAGCTCAGACTCGGACACCACTTGATTAAGCGCTTGGCGGAATCGGACCAATCGGCGCATGGCCAATTAGTCGCCCGCCCGGGACATTTTTGGGACGAGGTGGATTGAGACGGGCTGAAACCCATGTTCGCGCCATTGTACCGATATTGAACGCCGATTCGCGTTTTGAACGGTGCACGGAGATGTATGTGGCCTGTTTTTCTGACTGGAAACGCAGAAAACCTGATATTTGTGGTGCGACAGGGCCTGGGGTGTGCAATCTTTGGGGCTTACATAACGGCGAGCAATAAATCAGACCATGGAGATTGCAATTGGACCAGGGTCCAGCTTGGTTCTTGTTTATATAGCCCCAACACAAATCATTTCTCTTTTCTCCCTGATCCCCCATCTTCCACCTCGTCCTCGTCGTCCAGAATGTCCTCCAAAGGTGCGTTCCCCGTCGTCGTCGTCGTGCAGCGCTCGGACCGTCGTGCTCATCGCCGTCCCCGATGCCAGCCATCCGCGAGTACGATGCCAAGCTGCTGTTGGCCTACTGGCTTGAGCGGGCACCCCCCGTCGCTCCTCATGCGCAGGTCAAGACCAAGTTTGCGTATCCCGCCCCCAAGGTCGCCCAAGTCTCATGGGATCCCGAGACCAACTCGATCACCCCTGACTCGAAGCTGCCCAGCTGGGTGTTCACCACCAAGCTCGTCGCTAAGCCAGATCAACTGATCAAGCGTCGCGGAAAGGCTGGTCTCTTGACACTGAACAAGACCTGGGACGAGGCAAAAGCCTGGATCTCTGAGCGAGCGGGCAAGCCACAACAGGTTAGTCTTCATTGTCGTTTTCCTTCCTTTCCTCGACGCCGCACACGACGACGATGGGTGGCGTGTCTGCGACTGGCCTCAGGAAAACGTGGATCTCGCTTAATCGCGATGATCTTTTGCGTTATCTTGCTTGATCTTTTCTTCTTTCTCCTCGACGCGAGGATGCCATAAGGGCGAGACGCGTCGCCCTTAATTGATCCACGTGATCGACCTTCTGAACGCCACTGACTGTGCATCCTCTGCAGGTGGAATCTGTCACTGGAACCCTCAACAACTTCATCGTCGAGCCCTTCTTGCCTCACCCCTCCAACACCGAATACTATGTCTGCATCACCTCCCAACGAGAAGGCGACTCGATCCTCTTCACACACGAAGGCGGTGTCGACATTGGCGACGTCGACGCCAAAGCGCTCGTCCTGAACATCCCCGTCACCGACCCCTTCCCCACACGCGAAACCATCGCCGACACCCTCCTCACGCACGTCCCCGCCGAGAAGAAGGACACCCTCGTCGACTTCCTCATCCGCCTCTACAGCGTCTACGTCGACCTCCACTTTGCCTACCTCGAAATCAACCCCCTTGTCGTCCTCGATGGCGAGAACGGTGCGCCTCCGCAAATCCACTACCTCGATATGGCTGCCAAGCTTGATCAGACCGCTGAGAGCATCTGTGGACCCAAGTGGGCCATCGCTCGTGACTTGAGTGTCTACGAGGCCAACGAGAGCGAGAGCTCCAAGGCTACCGCCTCCAAGGGTGGCAAGATCAACACCGATCGTGGTCCTCCCATGGTGAGCTCTACTTTTTACCACCCCATCTCGACTTTCCTGACGCCTTTCTAGGTCTGGCCTGCTCCCTTCGGTCGTGACTTGACCAAGGAGGAAGCCTACATCCAGAAACTCGATGCTTCCACCGGTGCCTCCCTCAAGCTCACCGTCTTGAACCCCGAGGGTCGTATCTGGACCATGGTTGCTGGTGGTGGTGCTTCCGTCGTTTACTCTGACGCTATCGCCGCCCATGGCTACGCCCATGAACTCGCCAACTACGGTGAATACTCTGGTGCTCCCTCGGAAGGCCAGACCTACGAATACGCCAAGACCATCAGTAAGTCGCTTCAGGGTTCTGTTCTTCTCTCTTTCTAACGCAATTCTGCAGTCGACCTCATCACCCGCGGCACTCCTCACCCCGATGGCAAGATCCTCATCATTGGTGGTGGTATTGCCAACTTCACCAACGTCGCTGCCACCTTCAAGGGCATCATCCGTGCTTTGAAGGAGTACAAGGCCGGCCTCATCAACCACCAAGTCAAGATCTTCGTCCGACGTGGTGGCCCCAACTACCAGGAGGGTCTCAAGGCCATGCGCTTGCTCGGTGAGAGCTTGGGCGTTCCCATCCGTGTCTTCGGTCCCGACACCCACGTCACCGAGATCGTCCCTCTTGCCCTCGGCATCGACATCTCCAAAACCCGATCCAACGCACCCCCCGGCGGCTTGAAGAGCGTCCAGCCCGGCACTCCCCCTGCTCAGGTCGCACCCGTCCCTGAGTCCGGTGAGGCCGTTGGCTCCATTCGTCCAGATGGTGGCCGTACCCAAATCGCTGACCACATCGTCCACTTCGAGACCAAGCCCACCGAGAGCGGCCGACCTTGGTTCCGCCCCTTCGACGCCAACACCCGCTCCTTCGTCTACGGTCTCCAGCCCCGTGCCATCCAGGGCATGTTGGACTTTGACTACTCCTGCGGACGTCAAGCGCCCTCCGTCGCTGCCATGATTTACCCCTTCGGTGGCCACCACATCCAGAAGTTCTACTGGGGTACCAAGGAGACTCTCCTCCCTGTCTACACCAGCTTGAAGGAGGCTGTCGCCAAGCACCCCGATGTTGATGTCCTCGTCAACTTTGCTTCCTCACGATCCGTCTACCCCAGCACTCTCGAGTCCTTGGAGTTCCCTCAGATCAAGGCCATCGCTCTCATCGCTGAGGGTGTCCCTGAGCGACATGCTCGTGAGATCCTCTGGAAGGCCAAGGAGAAGGGTGTCCTCATCATCGGTCCCGCTACTGTTGGTGGTATCAAGCCTGGCTGCTTCAGGATTGGTAACTCTGGAGGGTAAGTTATTTCCGTGTATCGCTTTCGAGTGTATGGCTAACGTTTGCGTTCCAGTATGATGGATAACATCATCGCCTCCAAGCTCTACCGCCCTGGCTCTGTCGGCTACGTCTCCAAGTCCGGAGGCATGTCCAACGAACTCAACAACATCCTCTCGCTCGTCACTGACGGTACCTACGAGGGTATTGCCATTGGTGGTGATCGCTACCCCGGCTCCACCTTCATCGACCACCTCCTCCGCTACGAGGCCGACCCCAACTGCAAGATGCTCGTCCTCCTTGGTGAGGTCGGTGGTATCGAGGAGTACCGTGTCATCGAGGCTGTCAAGTCTGGAAAGATCAAGAAGCCCATCGTCGCCTGGGCTATCGGTACTTGCGCCAAGATGTTCACCACCGAGGTTCAGTTCGGCCACGCCGGTTCCATGGCCAACAGCGACATGGAGACTGCCGATGCGAAGAACAAGGCCATGAGGGACGCCGGCTTTGTCGTTCCCGAGACTTTCGAGGAGTTGCCTCACGTCTTGAAGGAGACCTACGAGAACCTCGTCCGCCAGGGTGTCATTGTCCCCAAGCAGGAAGTCGATCCCCCCGTCATTCCTATGGACTACAAGTGGGCCCAGGAGTTGGGTCTTATCCGAAAGCCCGCTGCGTTCATCTCGACGATCTCCGACGAGCGTGGACAGGAGTTGTTGTATGCTGGTATGCGTATCTCTGATGTCTTCAAGGAGGACATTGGTCTCGGTGGTGTCGTCAGTTTACTCTGGTTCAAGCGACGTGAGCTTTCTCCTTCGATTCAATTGTGTGTTCGGTTGGCTGATCGTGCTTGATAGGACTCCCTCCTTGGGCTACCAAGTTCATCGAGATGGTTCTCATGCTTACCGCTGACCACGGTCCCGCCGTGTCTGGTGCCATGAACACTATCGTCGCCACCCGTGCCGGCAAGGACCTCATCTCCTCCTTGGCCTCTGGTCTCTTGACCATTGGTAGCCGATTCGGTGGTGCCCTCGACGAGGCTGCTGCTATGTTCTCCAACGCCCGGGATACCGGCTTGACTCCTCGAGAGTTCGTCGACCAGTCCAGGAAGGCTAACAAGCTCAGTAAGTTGCTTCTGCTGGTTGTAATGTGAAAGCGTGCTGAGATGATGTTCGATAGTCTCTGGTATCGGCCACAAGATCAAGAGCGTCAACAACCCCGATCTCCGTGTCGAGCTCGTCAAGGAGTACGTCCGCAAGCACTTCCCCAGCCACAGCCTCCTCGACTACGCCCTCGCCGTCGAGAAGGTGACGACCGCCAAGAAGGATACCCTCATCCTCAACGTCGATGGTTGCATTGCTGTCTGCTTCGTCGACTTGCTCCGGGATAGTGGTGCTTTCACTCCTGAGGAGGCTGAGGAGTACATCAAGATTGGTACTCTCAACGGCTTGTTCGTGCTCGGCAGGAGTATCGGTTTCATTGGACACCACCTTGACCAGAAGAGGCTGAGGGCTCCTCTGTACCGCCACCCTGCTGATGATATCTTCATCAACATGGCGGATGTTGGCCAGCCTCGTGTGTTGGGCAAGATGCAGTAGAGGATTGTCGTTTGTGAAAAGTAATGATTTTCTTTTTGCGGACTATTTTGTGTACCCTTTTTTCGTCGTTCTCAGTTCCTCACTTGCACATAGGCCTAATTCTGACATACATCCCTCTCATCCTCATCCTCGCACGTTTCGTCCATTTTCATCGGCACATACATACATACTTACTACGCCTCTCGCATTTTCCCCATTTTCGCGCATAGAATCATTGGAAGTTCAAATTGAATTGTAACATTTCGTCTTTTATCTTTTCGCCCCTTCGATTTTCTCTCCGTTTTAATAGTTGGAAGTTTGTATATGTAGTTTTCAATTGAGATTTTTCGAAGGGTTCAAGTATGTCGTTGGCTTTGTTCAGTGAGTCAGCGAGTGCGTTGAGATGTGTGAAGTGGCGTATGTACTTCTTCAGGTTGGGTCCTTTCACTCCCATGTTTCCTTGCTGAATTTGTCGATTGCTTTCTTCACTCTCTGGACTATTCCAGTTGCTTCTCAATTGAGTTTCTCTTTTCATTGGGTGGTAGGCAGAATGGCCCATCGACAAAATTGCACCCGTTTGCCAAGCGGGCGGTGGCGGGGGGCGCTCCTGAGTCCTGAAACGACGATCGCATTGCCAGATTGGGAAAGTACGGCGGTTTTTGGCGGGTCCTGGATGGCTGAGGGCTCCCCTGTGCGACAGTCCAGTTGGGCCTGAACAAACGATATACAGTGAGAACGAGACCGTTCATCCGTGGAGAAGTCCCTTGAAAGAGACACGATAGAATCTGAGAAGCTTGAACCGTATATTCGTCGCAGACCACACGGTTTAGTCAGTTTATCTGAATTAATCACGGCCGATAAATAGAACACTGCAAGCTCGAGGACGTGGAGGGTCTAGAGGCAGACGGGAAGCAACGGAGCACATCCAAGTCTGGAAATCCGTTTATTGCCTGCCCAAAAATAGACCGGCGGCGTCAGTGGGACAAACGCCTCGTGGATCAAAAAGTCGTGAGTTGTGGAGCGAATTCGCACAAAACATCTCCCAGTTTGTTAATTCCATCAGTGTGTTGCGAAGGATTCGAAGCGTAGCTCGGTGCGGTTGTGAGGTGTTGCTTTGACTGAATTGAGATATTGATTTCCGTTTTGGGAGACGTCTTTGTCGTTGGACGGTTTGGGCTGGGAGCGATTGGGTAAGACGGGCGGGTTTTTCGGTGCGGTGGGATTTGGGTTTTGGAGTTGGGAGTGAGGTGGGATATAATTGGGTTAGTTCAGGTTTTGTTGGGGGTTTTATAGCTTGGCCTGGTGGGAGGTGGAAGAGCCCCAGCTTCCCTCACTCGATCCTCTACGCCAAGATTAAGAAGGGATTTTTTAATTCTCTTGACGTTCTCTTTGAAAATGAAGACGATTAAGACGATGTCGGTGGTCTTGGCAATTGGTATGTTTCGTTTTTCTTCTCGTAGTAGTGTGTCCCCAGTTACTTAACCGTACCTACAGTTAGCACATTTGTGTGCGCTGCTCCCGTGCCAGAGCCTGTTGGAAATGCAAATCTGATTCGTGAAGCCCAGGTACGCCATTTCATTGTGTCCGGTTCTGTAATCATGCTGAGATCTTGCGCCTTTCCAGCCTGATCCGATACCAAACCCAGGCCCTCAGTGTCCTCGGCAGGCTTGCGCGTAACTGCTCGTGCCGCCCAAAATCCTGATATCTGGTTACGACTACCGCTCCTTCATCTCTCATTTTGGTCTCTTCCTTCACGGTCATTTACATCGCATTCGCAATTATTATGGACACTCACTCGCATCTCATCATGGCTACGTATTTATCCGCATGTCACTTCGCTTTTTCTGATTGCATCCACATTCACTTTCGATTGCTGTCACGTATTTACTACCCCTGGTTTTGTATCTCCGCCCTGTAGAATGCATATCTTTCATCGGTAGACTTTGATGGGCGCCTCGACGTCCAATGTATGGCAAGACAGAAAGTACTTGCGGGTGAGGGAGGATCGAGAGGTGAAGCCGGAATTCCGGATCAGACCATATCGCAACTCCGCATTGAAAGCGTTCGTGCGGAGATTGGGAGTGTCCATTGGAATTTGGCGGTAACTTTGAGCTCGCTTCTGCTTCCACCACGACCTCGACGACCTGAAGGCTACTTGGCATGTTCGACGTCGCCCTACTGCGTGTGCCATGTTCTAAGGCGAATATCGTTGCCTCAACGCACCGACCGTTCTTTTGGGCTCCAGACGACAGCAGCTTGATTTCCGTTGGACCTGTTAAATTCTGGACGACCGTGTGTAGCTCAACATCTCGAATATCTTAGCGAATATGGTCATGCCAACATAATTCGAAAATTTCTGGTCGACCTTGGACTGTCAACGTCAATGGGACATGCTATTAGTCTATAACATATCCACCGATGGACAAGGGGACATCCTCTCGACGAAACCTCGCTACGTTATCGTTATCATCATCCTGACCGAGTCTCTGTCGCCGTACTCCCTCTTCTGCCCACTGATCTCGTTGATGCTGGGATATCTTCTGTCATCACGTACGGTTCCAAGCTGTGCTTCCGCTGGGCACACCGGATGGCTCGAAGGTTCTAATTTCCTTTTTGGTCGAGGTGTTTATTGAAGCCCGAGTTCCCTCTGCGACTTCGTGGATTCGAGGAAGCTGGTATGCCGTGAACATCTACTGCTTTTCAAGGCCTTACGGGCGCAGGAAAAAGAGGTAGCCTGAATTGGCAGTCTCCTTGTTCAGGGCGAAGATCAGTGTTTGTGGGTTGAGTATTACCGGGTATTTAAGATGTCGAGTATCAGCCTGCTAGAATCAGTACTGCAGCGTCGTCTCATACAGTCAAACCCCTGCACTTCACACTCGAACACTCCCTCAACATGAAGTTCTCGGCTGTCGTTACTTTCGTCGTCGCCTGTGGTGAGTTTCTCCTACCTATGTGTACGGGCTACTCTCTAATATCTTTCCAGCTGCTACACTCATCTCAGCTGCTCCTGCACCAGGCCCCGCTGCTGTAGAGGCTCGGGAGGCATCGGTGAGATATACCGCCGTTGAGATCTGAGGGAAGAAGTTTCTTATGCCTTTTTCAGCCCGACCCGCAATGTCTCCGCCGCTTCTGCGCTTAAACATCCATTCCGTCGCCCCCAACTCGCTATACCTCGGACGCTCTGTATTTCTAGAATTTGTTATTCGATCCCCGCGTCGTGCCGTTCGACCTTCATTGCGCGCGGGGATGCACATGTTTTAATATGGTTTCCATTCTCTTCTATCGCATCTTCAACGCTACACATTCTCATACTCTCAGAGAGTCGGGCGCAGCTTTGTACCGTGTAGCATACAAACACCGATAGAAACCAATTGCTTTACAACTACTTCAGTTTGGGAAACGACATTCCATTGGTTTGGAAAGACGTTCATTAGGATTCAATCCTGTGTCCCAGCTACTGCCGAGACCGGTACCGTCCCAACAGCGCCAGAGCCGGGCGAAGATTCCAATGAATGCCAAATTTCTGAAGGAAAAGACTTTGTGGTGAGTATCGGTCCACTATAAGTCCGCCCCCCAGGAAAACCTCCTGGGGGATTCCCGCAGGTGCAGGAAGGGAACTCCCGCTCCCGCAGGAGAATCCCCTGCAGGTGCAGGAGAGTTCACTGCCGGGGCAGGAAAACCCGAGGCCTCGTCGAGCACGCCCCATACAACCCGCGGGAGAAATTCCTGGGGAAATCTGCCGTTTTACTGCGAGATTTCCTGCCAGCGCGGGTGCAGGGCAGCAATACTGCTGTCCCAGGACCACATTTTCCCCGGGGGTGCAGGCTTGCAGGCTCAGCTGAATTTTCTTTACTGGAGGTGCAGGATACACACAAAATGGATTATATTCATGTATGTAGTACAAAATATGTATTAAAAAACGGTTTCGAACGATCATTGAATTGAAGAGTAACTGAATAAGAGAGCGAGAAGAGCGGGAATTTCCAAATCTGCATGACGACCGTCGACAAACTGGGAATTTAATCAGTCAATGACGTGGGTAGTGAGGAAAAGAGAACCCGCCTAGTGAGGTTCCAAGTATGGGTGGTCCCAATGGCGCAGATGAGCGCGCAGAGGATGGTGGAGGAGGCAAGCCGTACGCGTAAATGTCAGCAACAGCCCGGAGATAAAAAGATTGAGACTCACTGCTATGAGAAAACTGAGCCCCCTGCTCATTGTAGTGCAGCTACGAAGGACCTGACAACTAAAAGGCTGGAGAAACCTGAGGTAAACTTGAGAGGACAGTGAGGGAGACATTAAAATAGAAGGATAAAAGAGCGACGACGCCATAAAAGTGATCTGGAGGCTGACTATCAAATATCTTCCCACAGTCCACCGCAGATCTCGACTCGCGCCATTTATCTAAGTCCCCTTTGCACGTTACGGTTCTGAGTAACACAAATTGACCTCTCCCGCCTGCGTAGAAAACACTTTTTTCGTTGAAATATGTATATTTTTTGACTAATGACACATGCTTTTCGTGTTAAACATCATGTGTACATGAATTGCGACAACGACGACAGAGCGACGACGACGGTGAGTCGGTGACGAGGGCGACGACGCGACCCTGCCCAGGCGGGGTGGACTCTACCCCTGCTGACGCGGGGTCGAAGAAACCGCCAGGGCGGGTTAGACTCAGACCCTGCTGGCGCGGGGTTGAAGAAACCGCCCCGGCGGGGTGGACTTTGCCCCTGCTGACGCGGGGTTGAAGAAACCGCCAGGGCAGGGTCCACCTCTTTCCCGCTTCCGCAGGGTCGAAGAAAACCGCCAGGGCAGGGCCGGTCGTCGAAACCCGCGCCGGCGGGTGAGTTCCTGCCGACGCAGGACCCGCGGGAGTTCCCCAGGAGATTCTCCTGGTGGGCGGACTTATAGTGGTCGAGAAGTCCAGCGAGCGCTTGGTCTTTGTTTCGGAGGTGCCAGCCCCTCTGGAGCCTCAACCAAAGCCAGGGAAGCAGGCCGAGGCTTCAAATAGACGTGTGCTGAGGCCTAGGATGGCAAAGGCAGGAACCAATGGACGGCGCGATCGTAAGTAGACGCGTCGTCGTCGCTTTCCGCCACTGATCACAGTTTCTCAGATTTATCCTATGATAGACCCTCCCCTACACCTTCTATACAAGCAATTTATCTTTTCGTTTGCCCTCCTGGCTCTTGGACTCCACCCCTATCTCAGCAACTAGACAGTCTGTGAGAGTCGGAGACGGCACCGCGGCATTCGCAGCGCTCGGCGTTTTCCGATATCCGTTTGCTGGACGCGACGGCGCGTCGCGTCTTCGCTCATTTCGACTTTTTACGAGACTACAGACTATGGTCTAGGGAGATACTTAAAAAGACCAAAGAATGGCCAATAACTCGTCAAATGACGCGGAAGAGCGACGCCAAAGCTCGATGATGCCGGTGGACGACCTGGAAGATGACCTCGAGGTGCAGGACATAATCGAGGATTCAGACGAGCTTTCAGAGGGAGAAGATCTTGCGGTGCGTCTCTATGGTCAATTTCAAGTCCAAATCAATGACTTTAGACCTTTTTGCCTGTAGGACGACATTGAAAATGCTTTGGGCAACGATTTCGACTTCGAAGGGAGTTTCTACTACGCGAAAACTCACCCAGGAGCACCCAACCCATGCCTTCACGTCCAAGGAATCGGCTCTGTTGGCTTACCTCTCAGCGAAGTCGAAGCAAAGAGACTCATATCCCAAGCCGCCCAGGCGCCATTTGGAAAAGGAGACCAGACCGTTGTCGACACTTCGGTTCGAAACACCTGGGAGATCGAACCGGAACTCGTCTCGTTTGAAAATCCCGAATGGACGGGTTGGCTGGAATCAACGGTTCTCAAAACCGTTTGGAATAGCTTAGGTGTTGCGCCGTACACCAGTAAACCGCGATGCGAGCTTTACAAGCTCCTGGTTTACGAGCGGGGCTCTCAGTGAGTGTTGTTTCATACGAGTCTCGAACTCCAAGCTGACCCCATTATGACAGCTTCAAACCTCACCAAGAGTGAGCTTTTTTACCTTTTCAAATTTCTGGCTGCACTAACGCGAGGCGCAGCACACAAAAGGCTGGCGGAATGTTTGCCACTGTCATCGTCGTTCTTCCCTCCGCCTTCGAAGGTGGCCAAATCCGGGTTTCACATTCGGGCTCCTCCCATACCATCGACATCGCGTCGACCTCTGCAACAGAGACCTCTGTGCTTGCATGGTATACCGACGTCATCCATGAAGTCCTCCCCATCACTTCTGGCTACCGCCTGGCGCTTTCCTACAATCTCATCCACACCTCTCGAGAGATGCCTCGACCTTCGCTCCCCGACATGGGCGACGCGATCTCCCAACTGCGCCGCGTCTTCCAAAAGTGGAGCCAAGGCAAGTATCCCACACTCAGCACCCCGTATCTATCGTACGTGCTCAACCACGAGTACAACGAAATCAGCCTCTCAACCGGTGCCGCGGCCCTCCAAGGCGTCGACGCGCACAAAGTTGGCCACCTCATCCCGATTGCTGAAGAACTGGGCTTTGTTCTTGCATTTGGGAAGCTCGACTACCATGTCTCGGGGACGCCGGCGTATTCGTATGGTGGTCGGCGGGGAAGGTGGTCACGGTACGACGACTACGAGGATGACTCGGGGGATGAAGATGCACCCATGGAGGACATCATCGATAGCTACTATACTCTGAAAGGTTTAGTGGATATCAATGGGAACACGCTCGTTCGTGGTTCACCAGGCCAAGGTCTCCGCTTCGACTCCGGCTCCCTCATTCCCGAGGACCCATTCGACGGAGAAAGTCCTGACAGGAAAGACTACGAAGGCTATATGGGCAACGTGCGTCATTTTCTTCCTCCATTTCTACTCTCATCTAAAGCACTACTTCCAGTGGGGGCCAACGATCGATCATTGTGCGCATTGCTTCTCGATATTTGGGTGATAATTGATAATAAGGTTGACCATCTTTGCCAGGGTATTTTCGTACTGTTCTGATATTGTATCGTCGGAAAGACGAGATCAAGGTCATGTTCACGCTTGGAGGTGGGACTTCATGGGCCTTGGAAAGGCTCAAAACCTCGAGGGATCCTCCGTCAGAGGAAGACAAGCTCGTCGTCCAAGAGCTCGTACGCACTTTGTCCACTGTTCCGTCCATTTCACACCAAGCGGCAGTCATCGCTCTATTCGAGTATGCGGTGAAGTGGAAAGATGCTGACCTCTGGAGCAAGGTCATCGTCAGAGCTGGTACTGTGCGTGGGACCAATTCCAGCATCATGGTGGAGAAGGTGCTGGCTGGACTTGGTGTCTTCCCCTTTGATTCGGTGAAATCTGGGTGGGTCATTACGTGATGCAGCCATGACTATGATCCAACTGTCTCTTGTAGAATCGAGGCGGAGCTCAAGGTTGCAAGCTCCCTCCCCGACCGGTTGGATATACTCGACAAAGTCACTCAGCGAGTTCACGACGACCAACCCGCCAAAGAATGGATCCAAAAGAAGCGATCAGCATGTATCGAAGCTTATGATTCTGCGTCGGTCGCGGATGTACCTGTTCTCATCCAGATTGCACAGTCGAATGGGCTGAGCGTGTTGGACGAAAGGTCAGTCGCGGCGCCCCAGATTTTGACTTGTACTGACGTTGACCTCGCGCTCAGTATCATGCCCAAACTCTTGAAGAAAACCAAAACGTACCATTTTTGGATATCCCTTGCGAAGTCTTTGCACGAAAATAAGCAGAAATTGACAACGTCCACATCGACGACCGCTCCTTCTCCCCCAACCTCTGTCAACCTCCTCATCGCGAAATGTCTGAAAGCCGCCGGGTCCCAGTGGCACGAGGCTCCAACCAAGTTTTATTCATATTCGTGGTGCTACAACCCCTACCCAGAAGAAGAAGCCGGAAAAGCGAAGATCGAACGCGTCATTGAAGTCATTCAACTTTGCTTGAAGACCGGCATCATGGGGCCCTGCAACGCACTCCTCGTCGAGGTTCTCCGCGACAACAAGGATGTCCCCATGAAGTTCAAAACGCTCTACACACCGCTACTCTCTGAGCTGAAGAAGCTCCTTCGAAAGGAGAAGAAGCCTCTTTCGCACCCACCCTTTGGCGATGTCGTTCGGGGTCTTGTTCTACTCTACGTGCGGCAGGTCCTTGGTTCGAAACCTAGCGAGGCTTCTATGGCTTCGATTCGAAAGGTTGGATGCGGGTGTGTCTACTGCAATAACTTGGACGTTTTCATCGTCGGGCCTGCCACCAAGATCGAGTACCGCGAAGCCCAAATTCGGCGAACTCACATCGAAAAGCGGATCGCCTCAATCCCGGATTTGGTCACGTTTACCACCGTCAAGTATGGCTCTCCCCACACCTTGGTCATTACGAAGCGGGAGGCGGCGGCTCAGGCTACGCAGTGGAAGTCCAAGCTGAGGGAAGCAAAGTCGTTCGTTGCGGAACTGGGCCATGGGGAGGATATGGAGGCGTTGATGGGTCCGCAGGGGTATTTGGAGGTTCAGCGAGCCCTTGGGTTGGCACCTGAGACTGCTGCTCCTACGCAGCAAGCACCTGCACAGCAGGCTGAGCCGTCGACCAGCAGACGCACGGTGCGACCTGGGATGCTGAAGGCGTGTGGTATCACGCTGGCTGGCATGAAGAGACCGCACGACGCGCGGTAGACTCGCGTTCACACTTTTCTTGTTCTTTTCATTCAGTCTGACTACAGTAGGCAGGCGGTATAATTCTTGTACATTTTACTTTTTGTTTTTTGTGTAATGGTTATTTATTCCTAGTGTACATATATCACACTTTTTCGTAACATCTCTGACCCTAACATTACAAGCCCCTGAACGCGCCAAACCCTTGTCTCTCCATCGACGGGCTCGGGACAATCGGGATTCCGTTGAATGAGAACGAAGCCAAAAGGCTTATCTCTTCTGCTGCCCAAGCGCCATTTGGTAAAGGTAGAGAGACCGTGGTTGACACGACAGTTCGGAATACTTGGGAAATCGAGGGCGCCAACGTTGATTTCCTAAATCCGAGATGGAAGGGATGGCTGGAGAACCTGGTGTTCACCACTGTGTGGGCGCGTCTTGGTGTTGCGGCCTTTACAACGCTGCCTCGTTGTGAGCTGTATAAGGAGGCTGGCTCTCAGTGAGTGCATAGCTAATTCGCCTTCAGGACTACCCCTGACCTGTCGATTTATTCTAGCTTTAAGCCACATCAGGAGTATGTCCAAGTTGCGTTTTCCTTCAAGTGGGATGCTAAAACCGTCTTCTGTAATTCGCAGTACGGCCAAGGCAGAAGGGATGTTTGCCACTGTGGTCGTCGTGCTTCCCTCGAAGTTCGAAGGTGGCCAGATTCGTCTGTCGCATGCGTGAAAGTTTCAAACCATCGATCTGGCGGCCTCTTAGCCTTGTCCTACAACCTCATGCAGACCTCCCCGAATTTACCCCGCCCGCCCATCCAAAGTGACGATGCTGTTGCGAATCTCCGCAGAGTCTTCATGAAATGGAACGAAGACATGTACCCGGACTCACCTTCGTTCCTCGCCTACCTCTTGAACCACCACTACAGTTCAGTCAATCTCGCAAAGGGCGCAAAGGGCCTCAAAGGTTCCGACGCGCATCTCGTTTCACGATTGGTTCCCATGTCGGAGGAGCTTGGATTTAGCCTGGGGTTGGCAAAGCTCCGGTGCAAGGTGACTGGGACTGCTGACTGCGAGTCGGGGGATATGTATTATAACAAGCGGGCTAGGAGGGGCTACCATGATGACTATGGGGATTATTACGGGCGGGGAAGGCAACCGCGAATGGAGGAGGTCATGGATAAGGTGTATCAACTGACCAACGCCGTGACTCTCGAAGGGAAGGATGCAATGGGAGGGCAGCGTACTATCACGGTTGATGAAGACGACTTGATACCTCGGGAACCATTTGAGGATATGTCACCAGATAAGGAGGAGTATGAAGGGTATATGGGAAATGTAAGTCTTTTCGTCTTTGCTTGGATGTCTTTGAAAGCTTAGTACCTCCTGCTAGTATCCTGGCGACGTCATGCACTGTAAGTATTCCATTATTGGACTTTGAAATCTTGACTGATGGCCGATGAAAGGGTATTATCGAACTGTCCTTGTAATCCGTTGGTGATTCTCAGTGAAGTTCGGCGTGCAAATGCAAACCTCCGAGACTCGAGTGTTCCCTTCCCTTCATATTTGCAACTGAGCCGACCAGCGGCAAAGGTGCTGGCTTTGAATATTGTGATGCCGTGATGGGGGTGTACACAGTGACGCAATCGGGCAACCGCGTGCACACCACATGGATCTCTTCCTCGTACCCTCAACCGTCCTGTATCGCATAAAATAGAAACTCAGCCTGCTCAGGCGTCATTCTCACAGAAATAGGGAACACGGCGACATGCAAGAGGTTAGATCTAATCTGTGCTCAGAAGCCATCCGCTGACCATCGCTGAAGGCGATCTCTGACCATCGCCCAGTGGCGGCAGAAGAAGAGGAGGACAAAGATACGGGTTTACCCGCGGAAATTCTCTTTCAGATCATAGATAAGATGGATTGCAAATCGAGTCTATATCAGGCTTCATTGGTGTCGCAGGCATGGTCCAAAGAAGTCCAGCCAATCCTCTTCAGGCGGGTTGAAATCGATTTCAAGCCGCTGTCTACCTGGGACTTCAACGGTGGCGCACGAACCTGTCCTACTCCATCTGCAGCGTGTTCTCGGATCACGTGTCTACTCGCCTTGATTCAGTCCAATCCGAAACTTGGGGGTTACATTCGAGAACTAACTCTCAAAGGAGATACCAAGGGGTGCACCTATGTTCTTAACGAATGCGCGGGCAAGCTATCCGCTCTTGCATCTAGCCTGACCCACCTAGGTACACTCAGGATAAATTGGTGGGATTTCGCAACGTTGTCCCACTCTGAAGATTGGTGGATGACTGCGCTGACGGACGAGACTCGCACAACAATCGGTCGACTCTGCTCTCTCCCATCCTTGACGGAAATCCGAATCTATCCCTCACTCGCCGTTCCCGACGATATTTGGGCCGTAAATCCCTCCCTCAAGGTACTCCAGATCGAAGGGCGGGAAGCCTTCCGTCCTGAAGGCGATGCTAGGACAGGCAAGTATCCCTCATTGAAGACCCTCTCGCTCAATCGGATCGACAGGGCAGACTACCTGCCCAATTTCTTCCGCCGCCACTCCCCCCTACTACTCTCCCTTAACGACCTTGAGATTTCAGGCAACGCATCATTCCATCCTCAAGTTACCGATATCCTGCAGAGCCTACGGGGTACCCTCACCCGCTTCTCCGGCAGGTCTTCACTCTACTCATGGAGTGCCTCCACCGACCCAAACGCCCCACTCAATGGCATCGAATTCTCTGGCATGAGGTCCCTTCGCTCAGTCTCGTTGGACTGGCGATCGGTCGACCTCACGGACAAAGCTCCCCCCGCTCTTTTACAAACCCTTTCGACCATCCCATGGGACCAAATCGAAGAAGTCCACATTGCGTATGCTCCATTCTCCCCTGGAAACGCTGCTAGGGAGGCCCCGACGTATGACCCCAGGCCTAATACCCGCGAAATCGACGCTCTCCTCGCCCGTTATACCCCTCCTTTGCCTGGTACTCCCAGTAGCTCATCGTCCCAGCCGGGAAAGTTGCGGAATATATCCCTGCAGGTCGTATTCCGCGATATCCCTTCCACGACGAGGTACCAGAATTTTACTGCACAAGAACTCGCCCCACAACTCTTTGAACAGGCGGCATCTTTGAAGGCATGTGGCGACCCAATCAAGCTGGAAGTCCGGTATGGGAAAGATCGTTAGACGCAGCTCGGTATGACTCTTTCTTGGACTTTCTTGGACTCTTTTTATGTACGTTCAACTCGATCCTATAATTCCCTCTGTCGTTCAGGCTCGGGGGTTTCCACACAGAATATATTGTACAAATCCCGTCTCCTTTGCTCCCTTACGCGCTTTCACGCCCTATGCATTGTATTCATGAAGGCTCTATTAGCACTATCTCAACATATCCGAACCATCTAGCTGTGGTGGGCCATGTCCCGTGATCAAAACCCTCTCCACGATCTGGGTTCGTAGATCGAGGAGCTCCTTTGTCCGTCTTTCCAAAGTTGCGGATGTCTCCGTGATTATCTTCGATAGTTCGCCTCTTCTCCTCCCCGAGGCTTTGCGGTGCTCGGCGAGCTTCAGAGAGCGTTAGCGGGCTGCGTCGTCCAACTCGATGAATGTCACGACCACTAACCTTGGTCTTGATTTCCCCAACACGGCTCACGGTTTCCCTGGCTTTATCGTGGAACGACCAGTCCGAGGTGAGGTTGGCAAAGTCGAAATCGAGTCCTGCCGTCATGTATCTGTGAAGATGTGGGAGTCAGGTGCCGGTATCGTGGCATGGGGAGGTAAACACACTCGTTTGGGGTGGTGAAATCTAGAGGCTGGACATTCGGGCTGATGTTCGACGCATGGTTCACCATGTTTTGGGCTTCCCACAAGTGCTTGGCTGCCTCTTCCAGGGCTTTGCGTTTTAGGTGTCCTTCGGGACTCCTAAGCAAATGGAATTAACGAGGTCGACGATGTTGGGTCCAATCGGACAGACATAAACTTACATTATGCTCAGCAGACCAGTCCTCGCCATGTCTAAATGGTTGTCGGTGAGGACCATTTAGTCAGTATGGGAAAAAGTAAGATGTTGATCCTTACCATGTCTAGAGTGTTCTACCGCTTCCTCGGCACTCGAGACGGATGAAGAAATGGACGAGTAAGCGGTATTTAACAGCTTGGTTAGCACCGTCTCGCCTTTTAGGGTGTCCGTTGTCTCTCCCAAACGTCTTTTAACCTCGTAAACTTCGCGTTCAATGAAATCTTCTTCGGGATATTCTACACGCCCTTCAATTAATACTTGGTGAAATTTGTTGGATTGATATAACGTACCTGGCGTGGGCCCAGTGAATAGCTCGTGCATTAATGCCTCCAGCTCTTTCTGCGTGTCTACTCGCTTCTGGAGTTGTTGTTCCAACTCCAGTTTCTAGTACCAGGCAAGCCTTCGTCAGATGATCGCAGCACATTGTACCGAGTCTTACTAAATATACGCACCAGAGATAGAGCTTCGGTATGAAGTTGGCGAAGGTTCACGCCGCGGTCGTGGTGTATGCGTACTCCTCTCAGTTCCTCCAAGAACTTGCTACAGGCAATCATCGCCCTCAGGCTTTAGCACGACACCTTCCTTCAAGTAGTAGCTAAAAACACAGCGTACCTCTCCTCCTCCAGAACCCTCCCCTCCTCTTTCTTCTTCCTTCTCAGTAACCTATTCACCCTTCCCTTGGATTTTAATACACGCTCCTTGGCCTTCGTCCACTCGATCTCGGCGATATAAGCTCGAATGGACGCTTCCTCTTCGTTCCGTATGGATAGGTCGAGCCCGCGGCTTAGTTCGGCGACGTAGGCGATTTGGTCGTCCAGTCGGGCACGTACGTCTTCTCGGGCGGATAGGGTATCGACTAGATTGGTGTAGTAGGATCGACTGGAGAGGATCTTAGTGGTGAGATCCGCGTCGGGTTCGAGGTGTGCCGCATGGGAATTTGGTTGGCGGGAGTAGGGTTGGGACTCTGCGTTTGTTCTTGGCGGAATTGACTCTGGATTCATGGTTCTGGCTTCAAATGATTGTAGTTTGAAGGATCTAACAATAACACAGTCGAAAGGGTATATATCTGGCTACGCTGAACGATTCGGGCTTGGTGGGCTACTTTGCGTACCGCCGCCGTCATCACGATCGTTTGTTGATGGCAACGCGTAGCGCGGAAGTCAACAGCGCTGGCTGTGCTAGAAGCACAACTTAATAGAGCGAAGGAGCAAAGTCTCCCAGGTGGTATGTATTGGCTACCATACCGACTTGCATCAGGCTGTCCATGTCAAAACTCAGCTCTCACCGACTGCCCCCTAACGACCCTCCTTGCTGCCCACCGCACCGAAGAAGTTCTGTTGCCAGACGCTCACCAATGACGGGCGCTTATTCCGAAAATCCAAATTTGTCAGTCTTTGAAAAATATTTGGAAGAGACTCGAGAGTAAACAGTGACTTGGGTACAGTGAATCACTTGAGACAGTGAGAAAAGCGGGTAGACTCATGGCCTACGGGGCAACAAGTGCTCGGGCATCGGTCACGCTGTTGGCATTCGAAGGTTCGGATTCACTGACTCGTTCAAGTTGAAATTACCGTGTTCGATTTCGAAAAATGGCTTATAGCTGGCAGGACAGACGTCTCCACAAGGAAACCCTTCCTTTCTCCCATTTCCTTCGTCTCTGCAGCACTCACTCTGTCCAGTGCCTTTTGATTGGGAGAGCAATGGCTTTTAACGGTTCTAACCCTCGCGCAAAGAGACAGCGTACCACGGGACAGAGCTCCACCTCCTCAAATGACATAAGGGTGAGAAGAGCCCTTCAAGTTTTCCCGTTACCATTGTACTAAACGACTACAGGTCGACCTTGAATCAGCATTTGTGAAAGACACACTCAAGACGAAGAAATCAAAAGCCACGCTTGAAGCAATCCTCCGCGACTGGTCTGAAGGAAAATACCCCAAAGAAAGTTTCTCATCCCCTCCCCTCGTCGCTCATATCTTGGACTGCAGCTGGCTCCACCTCGAATTGTTCGATCCCACCAACCCGACTGCCTTGCTCGCCAAGAAGGACGCGGACAAACTCAAAGCCTTGATTCCCATTGCCGCGAAACTGGGGTTCACCATCGCCTTCGCAGGATTGAAGTATACAGTCTCTGGTGAAAGTTATGGGTGCATGCACCCCAGGTGTGGGAGTGGTGGTGGCGGCTGGATGTGCGCCTTTGATAGGAACTCGTTCGATGAGGACCATGAGCCAGTTCTTAGTATCGACGATTCGCGCACGACTGCTTGCGAGTTGTGGGGTATCGTCGACTTGGAGGGCAGGAGCTTGATGAAGAAGGTGAAGCTTCGGAAGGGATCGTCGAGTGGACACGCTTTTGCCAGCGGAGGCGAATCGGAGGACGAGGATGAAGACGCGGAGGAGGATGAAGATGAGGAGGACGAAGACGACGGTTCAGACTCAGACGACGAGGGGACTGGGCTTAAGATCCCTATTGAAGAAAAGGCGTTTATCGTTCGCAACCCCTTTGAGGACGACGAGCCGGACGAGAAAGACGAAGGGTACATCGAGGACCATGTAAGGGATGTTTCCCCTCTCTATGCTGGCGACCTGGTTAACTCACGTTGATGATGGACTCCTTCATAGAGCGCGACTCGCGATATTTGTCACGGTGGGTTGATATGGTACTCGGATTCTTCCTTCAGTAAGCTGACACACATCTGTTGTCTAGTATACGAACGTACACTGCTCCTCCTGTTCCACGAGAAAGACGAGATAGAAGTGCTCTACTACTTCCGGGACGGCACCAACTGGACCATCCCTCAGCTCGAGGCATCCTCCAAGTCTCCCTCCGACGAAGAAAGGGCTCTCGCAGCCACGACGCTCGCCGCACTGAAAGATTTCCGCTTTGGCGACGACCATCCCATTGGATCACGAATCTGGTCACCTCGGAACTTCCAAGATAGGCAGGACTATTACGAGGCAAGGGACGTCCTCCTCAAGTCTGCAGTGAAGTGGAAGGATGTCGACCTCTGGACCAAAGTTGTTGCTAAATGCCATGGGTGGCGCGATCCCATCGAAGACGAGGCAATCATCGAAGGTTTTAATACCTTCCAGTTCCAAACAATCAGATCCAGGTGCGCTGACACGCTTTCCCGCATTTTTAAGTCTTCCTCACGACATGTTCCAGTTTGGATGTACTGGTCCGAAGTAGCAAAAATCCTAACAAGGTCATTCAAGCGCTTAACAGGCACGCCGCTCAGAAGACGGACACAGCTGTTCACCAATGGATCTCGGTCTGCTTGGCCCAACAAGGTTCGCAGTCCTATGCGTATGGCCATGTTGGAGGAGCGAAGCGAAAGAGGATGTAGCAGCTTCATCATGTGCATACTGCCAGTGATCTACCGACCTTAGCACTCATGTAAATAATCGAGTCCTTGATCTTGTATTTATTCGGCACCTTGCCCTAGCATGCATATATGTCTCTCCTTTCGCTCTTTTCCTAGTAAAAAGAGAGGATCGACTGTTTTTGAAAAATCGTTCCGGTCCATGATCGAACGCACGGCTTCGTGAGCGGGCTCGGTGGGCCGTTCGCGTTAAGCGCAGGCCCGATTCTGAATCAGGATTCTCGAGACATCCCGTCGATAGAACGGACTGTAAGTAAGGCTGATAGATAAGAGAGACGTGAATGGGACCCTCCCCAGATCCCGGTCCTTATTACCGAGCCTAGATTTACTGCTTTGATGATTTTCATGCATCCCAACGAATCTGCAGCGGGCCGGGTTCGAACCAGTAGCATTGTCCCGACGAAATCCTTCCTGAGCAAAGAAATTTCTGCGCTTCGCAGCTGTCACATTGTCCTCTCGGAAGTCGGAACCACGGTGCTCGGAGCAACACGTAGGGGGTGGTCTGTGGTGTAATGTTAAACCAGGGACCTTGAAGCGCCATGGGACGAAAGAGGGGGAGGGGTCGTAGCACTGAGTCGTGTCTATGGAAGTTTTGTTGACAAGCCCAGACTGGCGACGCCCTCCCCTCGTCATCTGAGACAGACGTTAACCCCATGGGTGTGATAGGCAACCAAGGGAGTTATGAAGCCATGAGGACGGTGAAAGGAGGAAAAGCAAGGTTTGCGGGATCCCAAGAGTCCGAGCTGAGGAGAATGAAGCGTCCGTTGATAGGCTCGTACAAAAAACAACAGTATACACACAAACAAGAAGAGATTAGGAAAACAGCACCGTCAATAGCAGATCAATGGTATACATTTCAAGGAAAGAGATCGTCTGTCAGTAAGTATCGTATCAGATCCTAGAAACCGGGCCCAGGGCTTAGAGCAGGGAGAAGAGGGCACCGGCGACAGCGGCGGCACCGGCAGCGAGACCGACAACGGAGCGGGCAGCAGCACCGTCCTCGTCCTTGTCACCAGCACCTCCGGTGGGGGAGGCACCGGCGGAGCCAGAGCTGCGGGTCTTGGCGTCGGCCTCTGCTTGCTGGGAGGGGTAGAGAGAACCGAGGGGCTTAATCTCGAAAGGCTCGGAGGAGGCGTAAATCTGAGAGACCAAAAGTCAGTCGATTCCGGGCAAATGAAGTGATAAGTCGCCTACGTCGGTGTTGTTGATGATGTTGGCGAGGTGAATTCGGTAGCCAGTGCCGGGGGCTTGGTTAGCCTGATCCTGGGTGATGACGATGGAGCAGTCGTAGTTCTTCTGGATGGCGATGATGGGCAGGGGAATGGTGAGGCCCTCGAGTCCCTAGAGAGGCGTTAGACACGGGTCGTTGTTTCAGTTGGCAAAATCTGCTCACGTCGTCGTTACCGATCCTATAAGAATGTCAGTCAAGTTCGACAGGAAAAATCGTATGAATCACGTACAAAACAGTGAAATCTTCGACGGTGCTGGACTGGCAGTCCCACTCGAGAACGTTTTGGGAGCGGGCGACTGCAAACAGTGAGCATTTGAGGGCTGCGGAACCCGACTTGGACACTCACCCCACCATTCGTCGGCACTGGGTCTAATAACCGTGAGCTGAGCAGAAGCAACAGCGGCGGAAGCGAGCAGAGAAGCAACGATAGCGGTGAACTTCATTGTCTGGTAACGACCGTCAGCGCTGCTCGTCTCGTCGCGGTCGTCGTCGTCGCGGTTACGACGGTACTCACTGTGTAGAAAAGGGGGTAAAACTGAGGTCCAAAGGTGGTAGTTGGAGAAAGAAGATGTGCACGAGGCAAAGGTTTTTAAGGAACGTGGGGGACGCTAAGCAGCGGGGCAGGGATGCGAGCAAGGACGACGTTGAGCTGGAAAGAAACTCAGGAGGTGGGAATTCTCCTCCTCGAAGATTGTTGTTGCCCACCGGCAAAACCCGGCTTCGACGACAATCAGGGACTCCTGCCTTTTACGGCAGGCCTTGTGTTCCGGGTTGGGGTTGCCGACCATGGCTTTCTTCCTTGTTTCTTCCTTGAACGCCGACTCTCGACATAGACTCTCGCTGGTATTGGGCTTTAAATAATCAACTCTTTCTGCTCTCATGTGCGCCTCTCACCTACCTTACCATCTACCCAAATCACCAGCTAGACTCCCTGACCGGCTCTGGACCGAAAACAAATGATTAATTTGTCTTAGGAAAAAGATGTGGCAACCTCGAAAACAGTCTTGGCTTCATTCTTTCCGACATCCTTCCTCCGAGCCTGCACGAGGCAGCATGCAACTCATGCCGAGCGTCGTACTCAAACGTCAGCCCAAGTCAACCCTCGTCATCCCAACAAAAGGGCTTCAATGGACCCTGGTGAACATGCTTGACTTTGAGATCCTGGCAACAATCCGGCCAATCGAGCACGATATTTCTGGGCGTGTACAGCGCGAGACAGCGCGTACCCTCATCTTCCCTTCCTCCAGGTGCAATGTTCAGACATTAACGCCCGAGACTTTGTTCAAACCCTCTGAGGCCCGACGACGACGGCATCAACCAGTGCACTCCAGGCTGTGAAAGGTACCGAGTAACCAGTCGACGGATCACGATGAAGGTTGGAGTTTGAAGCTCACCTCAGCGCACCTTGATCCCTCCCCATATCACTCTCTCCCATCCCGTCTCTCATTAAGAACCCTTCGCATCTGGAATGCAAGCATCGGTCTCTTACCCTGATTCTGTCCCTGTGGAACCTACAATCCGAGATCTCGTCCTCGCGAACGCCCAGCAGCACGCGACCCTACTTGCATCATTGTCCAGTCTCTCGTCCTCCCCCGCCTCACTCGCTAGCCACGAATCATATATCGAAGAGCTCACAGAACAGTTGGCCCGGGTGACGAAACAGATCAGGCAATTCGAAGTTAAAACATGGGCTGCACAACGAGAGTATGACAGCATCAAAGACGATTTGGGGCGTACGAAGAGGTTTATGGCGGGGCTGGTTGGGATGAAGGACAAGGTGGACGAAAGGCTCCTGATCGAGGAACGGTGAGTAGACGGATCGGATCAGTTTTCGGTGTGTATTTAATGGATCCTTGGCACAGGAAATACCAACGAGCGCTCGAGGAAGAAAAATCCGCAAAAGAAAGAAAACGGGCGATTGAGCGACTGATTGCTGCAGCCACGATAGAGGTACTCACTCGAAGCCTTTTCCGTCTGTCCATTGTCAAAATTCATGTTTCTCAGAAAGAAGAACTCGAAGCAAATGTCAGGGAATATCGCACACGACGGGCCCGGTTGGGCTCCCTCTACTCGACCATCTTCGACGGCCCCACCCCAGGTGCGCCAACCTCTTCCATTGCCTTACGGGAATTCCTCAACGGAATATCTCCGGGATAGATTATCCAGAAGAGGATCGCCTCGAATATGATTTTCTGGAGTCGCAAAAGCGGTACGACGAGGCCAGCCACCAACTTAGCATTGAACTCGAAGTTGCCGAGCATCTGGAGATGGCATCTGCGTCCATGAAAGCGTCCCTCTCCGAATTGAAGACTCTAGTCTCCCGGTGGACGGCAGGTAAGCATTTGTGCCTTCATGCGCCTTATACTGTACTAATTGAACCATCTCCTAGACGTCGCGACTAGATCTAAGACGTGAGTTGGTTGGAAAAGTTGACTCCGTTTCACGATTCATCGTCTTTGTATAGACTCACGGATAACCTTAAGCGCAAAGGCCTAGGCGATGCGATACGCCATTACACCGAAGCACGCGCCCTCGTAGACAAAGCCGTTGCAGTCTCTCCGAATGTTATACAACCTCTGAACCCACCTCTCATCGGCGGCCAGTACGTTCCAGGCTTCTTTTCATCGAATTTTACTTAGCTCAGTGACTTTGGGATTGCCGCCCGCAGAACGATCGAAGCGGAACCAGACATCCCTGCCGCAGTCTTCAAAGACTCGTCATTTCTGCTACCAACATTCCGGGACTTTGAGGCTTCAAATACCAAGGTAAGTTCTCTGATCCGCTATTAATTGCATTGACCTGCAGTCTGACATGGATATCGATGGGTGATGGCGTACACAGCTGAGATCTCAACTCGACTCAGCTTCTCGACGGAGGAACAACCTCGTTGGAATCATGAACGAGGTCTCGCCTCAACTCGAGCAACGAAGGGAGGCGTTGTTTGACCTTCGCCAGTCGATCTTCGTGAGCTTTCTTCCCGCGGGCGTGGATGATGGTGCAAGTCCACCGGATTATCATTCTGTAATCCAATCTTGAGACGAGAAAATGGCTTTACTTTTGTTGATTTTACTCAAATGTGTTTCAGGACAGCCAAGGCCAAGTTCAAAATGCTGTGAAATGTGATGAGAACGGCCTCGGACGACGTTCGAAGGGTGCCATCCCGTCCGCCGGATGGAAGCTATGTAGGCCATGAGTCGCTCTTTGATCCGGACCGACACCGGGTTCGCCTCAGGCTGTATCCCGGCCGACTAGAAAATTCGTAGCTTGAAAAGGATCGAGACCACGAAGCAGTCGGAACCTGCAGCCAGGTCCGTCGAGTTACTGGACAAAGCAGGGTCGAGCATGGCTTTATGCCTCTCCTCGATAGATGACTCCATTGGATTCTCCCGAATGTGCGTACCGCTTGTTCTCGCCTTTCCAAACCTGTTCACGCCGCACTCTGTCACTCAGCCGTCGCATGTAGGTCCTCTAATTCCGTAGCTCATTTCCCCCTTGATTTGCGGGATGCATTCCACGAATGGGGGGAAAGGGCAAACGCGCAGGCCAAGCGACTTGTCCAAGTATCAAGCCACGGATCTTACAAGGTGCGTTTGGTGATGATCTGTGCACATCTGGATAAGAGTGTGAAGGTGTCCGCATCTCTCACACAAACATTCTGACTCGAGTTACTTAATTTCCGAGTTAATGTCCGATGTACATGTAAATGAGTGCCAACGCGTCACGCGTCACAGGGGCCCCAATTTGAGTCTGCAATGGGTATTTAGTGCCCTGGTTCCATCGATCAAACCCCCAACGATCCCTGCGGTCTGCTTTGACGCTCTGATTTTTGTTTCACCTCATGCGCACCATCTATTCGTCTACCTTCGCACCCAGTTTCAAAGACCAGGCCGGGAAACCCGACTTGGGAGTACGTCCTGACACTCTCCTCCCTCTCGCCGATCTTTGCTGACCTCCGTCTACCAGGAGGAGCTATCCGATGCACTCGAATCCGACTTCGACTTTATGGGCAAGCATTACTTTGCACGTGCCTACCCCGACTACGAAATGTTCGAATACAAGTATGGCGAATGGAACTACGGGTGGGAAGTCACTATCGATTTCGGTCCAGGGACCGATGTCGATGGATCTACCAAGTCCTATGTTCTAGATTTCCCTCTTTATGAGTACAAGGTTTTATGCGCCCTGGAGCGCGCGTTTCGGTCGCACTTTGGTAGGGGAGACAAGAAGGTCGTCGATACGAAGGTTAGGGATACATGGGAGATCGACGGCTCCAAGGTCAAGCTGAACGATCGGTTTCTCGAGTGGATCGAGTACAAGGTGTTGACGGATGTGTGGAAGGGCCTGGGAGTTGCGACGCCATCGACGAAGCCGCGATGCGAACTCTACAAGTTGCTTATCTATAAACCAGGCGGACAGTGAGTGTATTCGCCTCGTCATACATCAAACAGTCAAGTCCAATTGACGCCTTCGATTCACAGCTTCCATGCTCACCAAGAGTACGTCCACCCTTTTCGCGTAGTCTGACATATGTCGCTGATTCGTTTTCAGCACCCAGAAGGCCGAGGGTATGTTCGCGACTGTCATCGTCCTGCTCCCCTCGAAGTACGAAGGGGGTGAAGTGATAATCACGCATTCCGGGAAGACCGATATCATCGACTTCCCACACGACTCGCAAAAGGGCATGGCCATCATGGCCTGGTACACCGACGTCCTCCACGAAATCAAACCCATCACCTCAGGCTATCGCGTCGCACTCTCGTTCAACCTCATCCACACCTCCCCCAACGTCCCCACCCCCACTTTGAAGGTCCCCACACAGCTCACAGAAGACGACAAGACCGCAAAACTGCAGGCCGTACTCGAGAAATGGGCGAGAGATGGGTTTCCCAAGAAGGAGATATTCCATGCGGGAAAGGGCTATCACCGCTCCGCCGCAAACCCGCCGCCATTCTTTGCGTACATCCTTCAGCACACGTACAGCCAGCGCGATCTTGCCGGTGGGATGTCGTGTCTCAAAGGCCAGGACGCGCACAAGATCGCACTTCTCCTCTCCCTCGCCAATGAGCTCGGCTTCAAACTCGCCTTTGCAAACCTCGACATCAAGGTCAGGGGTCTTGCGGATGATTACGAGAGATACCAGGTATACTGGGGGAAAATCCGGCAGGAGAAAGAGAGGGAGAGAAAACGCAGACGCGAGGCTGGCGAGGAGGTGAACAGTGACAAAGAGGTGCCGGAAGATGACGAAGACGGTGAAGAAAAGCGCTGGCACGGCCCTGTCTCCTTCTATTCTCTGCTGGAAACCGACTACATTCTCTCCAATGTTGTCGATCAAGATGGTAAGACCTTTTTCGTGGAAGATGGTAAGGAGGATGAGGGAGAAGAAGGAGAAGTGAGGTCGAAGACTCTTAAACTGGGCGATTACCATGTCATCCCGAGGGAGTCCGTTAAGGATGAGGAACCTACTGAGGAGTATTACAACCCAGGATACATGGGAAACGTGAGTCTCTAAAGTCGCCGATTTGTTAATAAACTAACCAAACCTATGGATTTAGGACCCCGGAGACTTGACCCACTGTAAGTTGTCGTCCATACACTCGCTTTAGTCCCGACTTAAAACCTTTTACAGGGTATCACCGTGCCGTTGTCATCATCTACCTTCAGCGCGACGAAGAAGCCGTTAAGACCGAGTTAAGGGGAGAGCGTAGATGAACTGGCCACCTCTAAGTTGATGGTCATAGACCTAGTTCTTTGTGTGAAATACCTCGCGCATGAATGGTTTCGGCCTTCCTTAGCTTCGTTTACCCCCTCTTTGCTATGCCCAATGACAGCCGGCGTTCGCTCGAATCGAATATCGTTACGTTATTCAAGAATACATCGTAAATATTTTTCGAGATACATTATAGTCGACTCAGGGTGTAGGTTGATTGGGATGTGACCTTGGAATCACCTCGATTGTGAACTCTTCAAATTTGCTGATGTCTGGTAGGAAAGAGTTGCTTTCGCTCTGTTGGATCTTCCTCTCTTTCCCGCTTCGCTTCACCAGCTTGATATCAAACCGTCGAAGCGATGTGGCGACAAAGTCGGGCATCTGATATAAGGCGAAGTTCATCCCCTTACACTAATACTCCAGAGTGAGCAAGGTCGTCGTTGAGGAGAGGTATAGAGCTCACCATATGCGACCCATCTCCGAAGCTCTTGGGCTTTGGCAGTGAGGGATTGTCGAGGAAACGTCGAGGTTTGAATTCGAATGGCTGCTCGTACACTCTCGAGTCGTGGTTGAGCACTTTGGGGATCACCCAGGAATCTTTGGGAATGAAATAGCGAGTTCCGTCCAAGTTCACGTTCAGGTCTGTGTTGGCATGACGAAGCTGCTGCAGGGTGTATGGCCATCTCAGGGCCTCCCACATCACAGAGTCCAGAAGGGGCATCTCCGTCACACCTGAACTGCACCTCACCTCCCGCACTACTTCGTCATACACCTCGCCATCAAGCAGGATCTGCGCGAGCATCCAGTAGAGATGGAACCAAATGTTGGCATTCCCTCCCCATAGGAAAGTCATGATCCCGGAAGCGGCCTCGTATATGGATAGCCCTGACCCTTTCATTGCGACGAGTCCTGCGAGCATGATTTCGCCGATCTGCTCCTTGTTTTCCTCTCCATCTGAGTCCCACCATGGGCGGATGTAGTCAATAATGGAGTTGAGGATCACCAGGCGGTTTCTACCCGCTTTTGACCAGGGTAGGCGAGACCAACGCGATGAGAGGTACGAGAGCTGCGGAATGGTTTCTTTGAAGCGGTCATAGGTGTCGATAGGGAACGTTGGACCAAACATGACCATGCAGCTTGCACGATAGAGGGTGCGCCGAACAAAGTCGGAAAGCAACATGGTCCGAGGCTCGGTGATGGCGTTCAGTTCGTTCTCAAGAGCTTTGTGGAATTGCTCTCTGAGACCCGAAGTCTTCATCCCCTGGAGGGAAAAGCCTTTGACCGTGATTGGAGTGAGTTCGTTGAACATGACGTCGACAATGCGATCGACCTCAGCAAGGCCTGAGGCCGCCTGGGCGGCCATGACAGTGGGAAGATGGTGGGACAGCTCCTTCGATTGTCGTTCCAGTTGGCGTAGGGTGTACGGATGCATCAAGACGACCATGTTCGTCCCAAATAGGGTGAATTTATACAATGGCCCGTGGCGTTCACTGAAGAAAGGGTCCCAGACCGTCTGGTGAGCGATTACCAACGTTTAATGAAGTACAATGGTTCTCACCGCATCTCTTCCATGAAGAGGGTAGGGTTTTTGTTAAAGCGCAGGGCGTTGTCTATGCCTAGCCACGGGAACCATGTTGGGATGGTCGGTATGGTGTCAGGACGCTGAGCGCACTTTCGGAAGTAGGAAGACAGTCCCAAGGTTACCCCCAGCGCAACGACAATGGGTAGAATCGTATATTGGGTGTCCCAGCTAGACATTACGAGGATGGAAGTGGACGAAAGTCGAGATAAGACGGTTAACACAGCCTCAGAACTTCAGGGTTCAAATTGCCCCAGTCCGATACACACGCTCAGTGCTCGGGCTTGGAGGTCTAACGGCGCGACTCATGAATTCTATCGTAAAGGGCTCCCTGAGCACGGCTTCTATTTCTCAATGGTTGGTAATGCTTCCCACTTAGAGCGGACTTGGGACGTACCTTAGAAACTGCCAAAGACTCCATTGTATGATTAGATCAGTCATAAACCACAGAGTACCAGCGCCCAGAATCATGGAAGTTCACTCGGAGTACTTCAAGCTATCCAACTATGCCACGGATGAGAATCTGGAACATCCAGAATTTGGGCGCCCATCGGCGAACTCAGCTATGGAAGGCTTCCATTGTCCATCAAGGGGGATATCTGTTTCTCCTATAGCCCTTCTGATATTATCATCAGGCAGATATGCATTCCTTTCCTTCGACACGCACACACGCGCGCGCGCACACACATATACTGGCGGAGAGTCCCATGGTGCGCATTCAGAACATTCATTTGTACATGTGTAATTATCTGATACCTTGGCGTACATGTACGACAGATTATGCCTATGAACTAGTAGGCATATGTGAATCGAGTTCCCGTGGTTCCAGTGAAACCCGTGCTTGAGGCGTCAATCGTAGTTGATGCTTCTCCACCAGACTTCTCGCCAGGTCCTCGGCGGGCTTCAAGGCTGCTGAGGATGAAGTGCTCGGTTGCGGCCCCATTGTCTCCTGCGATTCGGAGGTTTAGGACCATGTGAGCACCCTAATAGACATCCTCGTTAACAGTTGGCTCGAAGAGAGAGGCAATGATACTCACCGCGAAGGAATAAACAGCGTAAATCCATCTGGTAAGTGAGAAGAGATGTGATTCCAGTGCTGCACGTATGACAAAAGATTTGGACTCACGGAACAGCACATAGACTGTACATCCCATTGTGGGCAAAACTCAGAGCAGTGGCAATTGAGATCATGGCTGGTGGGATGATATAGTATAAGTATGCCTTCGATACTTTGTAAAGGATATAATATTACTCGTCGTCCTAACACTTTGCTTAGCAAGAACCTTTAGACGAGGAATAAGCGGTACTCACAGAAAATAGAAGTAAGTGCCATCTCGGAAGAACACTGAGAGTGCCGGGGAAGCATGTTTCCATTCAAGGGTGCTCAACTCCCAACGTCCCGAGGGACCCCTAAGTGAGTGCCAGAACTTGTTCATCGTCGCACAGAAGAACAAGACTGGCCCCAAGATAATGAGAGTTGCTCAACGGTCTGAGAGAGTTGACTTACGAGAGCCGATTAAACAAGGGACCCTGTCGATACATTCACAGTTATCATGGTGGGTGAAAATGTACTGAAATTATGCGTACCAACAGAAGAGCGTCGCGGTAGCGTCACCACCAAAGGTAGCGCACCCCTTCCATTGGGGAAGCTGCGGAATGAATGCACTTGCTGACGTTCCCTTCCCGGTCAGGTAAGTACCATACATCTCGAGCTGATGGGATAATGAGTCGGGATTGAACTGGAGTTTGCAGGAAGAATAAGGGAGAAGCGTACAGAGAACTCGACTGTAAAGGTAGACGGTCAGGTCTTTGTAGGTTGTAAGCTGGAATCTGGTATTGGCTACTCACCGGCACAAGTGGCACAGAAGAACATCAGCACTGTCGATAATTATAAGACGGACAGTGCACTTGTTCAGGCGAAAATTACAGGCACGATCAAGGAGCAGTCGAAACCTACCTTTAAGACTTCTATGGTACAAGGCATATGTTCGGAAGATAAAAATGACGTTGACGATTGTGATATACACCATAGATCCACCGCTGAAATTATGACGAAGACATCTGGTCATTAGTTTCTTATATAGGACGAGGAAATGACGGATCTGGACGGCTCACAAAACGACAAACCAGTAATATTGCCTACAGCTACCAATGTAAAGTCAGTCTTTCCTGGAAGAGTCTCCAACACCACTGGACTCTCACAACTAAATGCAAGTTGAGCTGTAGCTTTCCGGAGACAGCAATTCCCACTCACTTGAACTGTTTGTCGCTGCCTGTCGACTAAGATTTCCGCAGGAAACATGTCGTCAAAAACAATTCGGTTTACAAGGCAGACCGTTCCCTTACATCCCCAGGTAATACTTTAAATGTCACTGCAGTAAGCCTCGAGTATATACGAGGACGTTGTGATAACATTACTCACACCAAGAATAGCAAGGTATAGTATCTTGCGATGATATACAGGACCTTGATAGGCGTCCACTTCTTCCTGTGGGGCGTCACTTGGTCGTCGCCAAAGGTGAGTGAGGACTCAGGAATGTTCTTACTGCCATATGTGTTTGACCTGCAATCCGATATATCAATTAGGGTCTTGTATTCACCTAGAAACGTCCACGAACCTCTTCTGGAAAGTGCGAAATAATATCGCAAACCACAAATGTCACCGCCCCCGCTGTTAAACACATCAATTCCTCCCCAAAAACGTATATATCTCAATCGCCCAGTCACGACTCACCTCTGGAGTAATCTGAGTCCACCATTGCGGAGAACGCATGTTGGAGAAGGAGGAAAGGGTTGGAGTCAGACATGGTGAGTGAGGCTATGTTCCTAGAGCAGTAAGATGGTTATGTGTCTCTTTTATGTCGGATGATGTTACATGAATCCCTGAAACAACTTTCAATTCAGCGCCCAGATATCAGTGGAAAACCCAAAAGGGCGACACTTTAAGATGACTGTGATCCAACCAAACCGAGTACATACTACCTCATGCATACTGTCAGAGGGCGGCTCAAAGATCCTTCGAGGTTCACCTATCCAGGCTCGCACCGGCCATCCAGTGGCTAGATATCCGTCGACTGTAGGAGAGCTATTGTTCTAGAAAGCCAGTTCCGATGAAATCTCGCTACAATGCGCGATTGGAGTAAAGTCGGACATTTGTAGTGTACCTTTTAAGCTTACAAACACGGAGTATTTATCGCTTTCATCGGGCTTGTGATCAGAGCGCTGTAGTATGGGTTCTCGTAGAGCGATGATGGTTTTACGGCGAGCTGGCACGGCGGGTAACACGGCTATCCTTTTTAGGAAGGCTTGGGCGTCTATTAGCTTAGGTAACGTGAACAGACCTTTTGGCCGCGAAGTACTTAAGGAGAGATAGATAAGGTAGGAGTCAGTAGTTGACGCCTGTTACAGGGGCAGAGGCGGCCTGCGTGGAATAACAGTCATGTTTAGGTAAACGATTCTCAAGCTCTTGGATGAAGCTCTAATGTAAAATCCTCGAACTTGCTGATGTCGGGGAGGATGGCGTTGGCCTCGCTTTGCGGAATGGTTCTGTCACCCCTGCTCCGCTTTAACAGTTTAATATCAAATTTGCGAAAGGACGTGACGATATGATCTTCCATCTCATGCAGAGCGAAGTGCATTCCCTTGCACTGAGAAAATGGTCTGAGCATCAGCTTGTTCCGGAGAAACCAATGAGGGACTTACAGTATGGACGCCATCCCCAAAGCCTTTTGGCTTGGGTAAGGAGGGGTTGTTGTAGAATCTGTCCACCTTGAACTCAAAGGGGTCTTCATAGACTCTTGAATCGTGATTGAACGATTTGCTGAGGATCCAGGTGCCCTTTGGGATCCAGTAATATATCCCTTCCAAACACACGTTGAGATCCTCGCTGGCACGGCGCACCTGTTGTGGAAGATACGGCCACCTCATCGCCTCCCATATGGCAGATTGGATTAAGGACCTCCTGCCCAGGTTCCCCGAATCTCTGGCCTCAATTTCGACTGCCGTAAGGGTTTCATTGTCCGCGAGGATGTGAACGAACGTCCAATAGAGATGAAACCACAGGTTGTTGTGGAATCCCCATAGGTAGCAAAGGATGGCGCTGGCTGATTCTTGGAGGGACAGCCCACACTCCCTCATTGCTGTGAGACTTTCCACCATGAAGTCACTGATCTGCCGTTCGTTGGACATTCCGCTCGATTCCCACCATGGACGGACGTATTCCGCGATGGCCTCGATGACCCTACGCCGGGCTCCACCTGCTTTAGACCAAGGCATGCGAGAAGCCCACGTCGAGAGGAAGTCAAGTTGACCCCCTGTGGACTTGAAGTCGGCATAGGTCTGAATGGGAAACGAGGGGCCGAATACAACGACGCAACTTGCGCGATAAATGGTTTCACGAATGAATTCGCATAACGGTATTTGCGTGTTAATGTTGGGCGCTTGAACCAGTCGATCCATTTCCTTCCCGAGTGCCTCGTGAAACCGTGACCGTAGTCCAGTGACCTTCATTCGTCCCGACGAGAACTCCTTTTCTACAATCCGCGATAGTGTGGTCATTATTGCATTGGTGATGCGATTGGGGTTGGGGAGTTCGGAGGAGGCCTTAGCCACGACTTCAATGGGAAGATGTTCCGAAAGCGCTCGGGACTGGCGCTCGAGGGCACGCAGATTATACGGATGTTGTAGCACTATTATCCTAGACGCAAGGACTGTGAACTGGAATAATGGCCCATGTTGTTTTCTGACATCGTCGCATAAGTTTCTGGCGGTAAGACTCAATAAGGCTCCTTAAAGGTGTCTTACCTCATTTCCTCCAGGAAGGATGTGGGGTTAAAGAACAGGCGTAAGGCGTTATCGATACCGATCCACGGAAACCACGTCGGCAGCGTTGGAATATTGTCGGTTTTGTTGCGTCTATTGGTACGACAGTAAAAGAGTGAAGCCCCCACCACAGCGATCACGGCAGCTAAGCTCGCTGGGCTCACGGGTAGAAGTTCGTCCCAGGTGGCCATCAGAAAGGATGTGTTGAAAATATTGAGACGGACACAAAATGCCAGGCTTTATACCATATCACAGCCATACTTACACATTTTGGAGAGTGACCTGAGCTGTGTGAGCTTACTCAGAGCAGTCCAGATCGATTGAAGGTCGGTAGCACCCCGTTTCAGTCACGGAGCGCCCAAACAAGCCCTACGATACAAGAAGCACCGTGAATCTTGGATAAGTTGCGTCTTCAACTAATATCGATCAAGTTCTAAAACATCTACACTCATGACGGAATAAAACAGCTCAGTTAGGCGCGGCATTTCCTTCAATCCGGCGCATCATATGGAAGGAAGCTATTACTGCCCTGTCTGCTACTCCCGAACATCATAAGCATGTCAAAATGCACTGCGTGGCCACAGCCAGTTGGCAGTGGATCAGAAAGCACTGTTGTACACCTCCTGGACCATCCGAGAAATGAACCAGAGCGTGAAGAAGTCAGTAATGCCCAATGAAGTGGAATGCACACGCTACTGTGATTCCATTGTGGAATTGCGGTAACGTCAGAAGTTGGAGCCTGGTCCGATGGGAAGGTCTGGAGGCTTCTGCGACGCCTTCCGGGAGTCTCCTTGCAGTATCCTCTCGATTATGCCTTTGCGCAAGTCCAAGAGCTCTCTCTCTCGCATCTCGAGAAGCGCCGAAAACATCCTGAACTCTTCCGATAGCTTGTCTCTCCTCTCCGTAGCAAGCGCACGTTCATCCTTCAACTGGGCACAGGATCCGTCAGTAAACCCGAACGAGCCTCTGGGGATGTAAACGTTAATGCCATTTTCGTACCTTTGCCTTCACTTCGTTCACGTATATCGAAGCTTTCTTGATCCTGTTGTGAAACGCATCACTTGTGTGGGCGCCTAGGAAGAACTTTGGAGACGTGAAGCAGTATCTAAGAACAGTGAGTTATGTGAGCCTCATCGCTCAACTTCAGGGGAGGGAAACGCACCCATCGGTAGTGTCAGTCGCGTGGACTGGTCTGATGGCCGGGAAAAGCGCCATGGCTTGTGTCACAAACCTCTCCGCCTCCGCAAGTTGCTTCACGGCCTGGTCCGCAGATTTGCGCTTCTTACTAGCCGCTCCCCTGCATCAACGCTCAATCAGAAGCGAGATGAGGGGTTGATAACTTTGAGGACATACCAATTAGAACCGGTCGTCGCGACATCTGCTTGAGCACGGCAGTGAGCGAGGTTGGGAAGGGCGGGTTCAAACTGTACGCACCCATCCTGGAGAAACCGATGGAGTCGTCGATGGAGGAGAGGCACAAGGCCATGCTCGACCATGCATTGTCCATCAGCTCGACGGCCTTGGAGGCTGGCTGTAGTTTCTTTGTGGTCTCCGCCAGTGTTTGCCGCAGCTCTCTGACCTCGTTCTCCAAATGATCCTCTTCAGGATATGCTATAAAGCAATAAGCTTCGAATGGTCGAAAGAGTGCAATCAAAACATGCCTGGCGTCGGTCCAAGGAATACTTGATCAAGGAACAGTTCCAAATCCTTTTGAACATGGCCTCGTTTTCTGAGTTTGTCTTCAAGATCTGTTTGCTGAAACGGGGTCGAAATTCCTTAGTCCGTTCGGAAGCGCGGAGTGATACTCACAGCTGCCTGCCCTTCTCTCTGGAACCGCTCAACGTTCTCGTTGTACTCTCTCTCCGAAGCCTCTGTCTGAAACGCCTCTAAGTATTTTCTAATCTCGGGAAATATCAGCACGGGTTTGGACGTGAAAGATACCAGCATACATACCTTTCTTGCTCTTGTACCTTTGCCTCCCATTTATCCCCCTTTCCCAACATTTTCGCCATGAATCTATCCATCCCGGAATGTTCCTTGAGCATCCTGAATTCGAGTTGAGCGTATCGCGTTGCCGTCGCGGCATTCTTCAATCTCTTCTCTGATGCTGATAATCGCCGTTGGATATCTGCCAAGTACTCCTTTTGTCCCTCCAGTTCATTATGGACATTCTCGAGTGATTCGAGGGTGGTCGTTAGTTCAATGTAGTAAGAGGCGTGAGGGAGGACGCGGCTGGCAAGATCTGTTGATGGTACAGGAGATGCATCGTAATCAGATGACCAGTTAGGTGCAGGGTACTGAGAACCCGAGGGTGGAGTGAGGCCAGGCAAAGTCGAATAGTCCATGGTCAGTCGCTAGATCAGACGGTTAGTCGAAAGAGGAGCTTCGGAAGGATTACGTCGTGGGCGCTCTCTCTCTGGGAACGAAATTCGTGATCAGCCGATAGAACCTGCATCGAAACCTTGCACAGCAATTGCGCAAGGCCCTGTCTCACCGGAGGGTGGTACATAGAGTGGCCGTGAATCCCGCGCCCCTACTATAGCCGAGGCACCCGGCAGTTTAAGCTTGTGTGAAGGCATGGTGTTCAACGTTCAGGACCCGCGCGTAGCTGACATGTAGGGAATCGAAATTATACACTCTGACCGCCCGTGCAACATCGAAACTTCCGGTAACTAAGAGACGGGCCTGGTCAGTCGCTCTCGTATTATATCTGCAACCAGGGGTGCATGAACAGGTATCGAGGCTGAGGATTGTGAGCAGGGCGCCTAAATTTATAGGCACTGGCACTCACATCCCTGGAAATCATCGTCGTTGACCTTCCACTCGATGTGATGGTAAGAGCCTTTCGGATATGTAAGGGAAGTGTCATTCCATATCGCGTAATGCTAGTTATCGAGACGGCGACAAATACGATTCAGCGAAAGGTCATACGGGGGAGCATTTGAACTGTACCTTGTGACCCATGTTCCGTGCTAACATTTCATAGTCGAATAGGAAGCCTTCGGGATAGAATATTTCTATCACGGTGGATCTCGGAGAAGGGGACATCCAAAGTTGATGCTACATAAATTGAAATTTCAATCCGGGCGATATGAAACGAGCTTTGCTTACCGTCAAGCCATTGCCATGCACGCCGAGTATAATCTTCCATCGACGATTAGCATGGCAGCAGGGAAAACAAGAAGAACTACTCACCGTGCTTCGTGCAGCGAGCTTAACTTGCTCAGATAAGGTCAGTTCCTCCATCCGAGGAACCTGTAATTCGCAGATCCCATCCTCTTCCAACTGTTCCAACACCACAAGCAAAGCTCCGTGAGCATTCGCTTCAAGCCTTCGTCCCCCTCCTTGTCTTGATATGTAGGTTACGACCGGTTTATCTGAGGCCATCCCCGTCGGAGAAAGAACCAACCCGTCATTGTCGATCACCGGAAGATCCCCGAGTAAGTTCATGACAATCCGCTTTCGAACAGGCTCGAAAAAGTTTTCGGGAGCTTCCACGTCCATTGTTGAAGAAATCATCTTGAACCACTGGGCATTATTAGGGCTGTATCGGGGGTCAGAATGTACAAGCACGTGGATATTGAAGATGAAACCCACTGGCTGGAGGACGCCACTCGGTTGGCTATGACAGCGCGCTGAAACACAACAGGAACCTGAAGATCTATCAAGTCTTGCCAATAGTCTGCTTGCTCGATGGCAGCGTTTGGGAAGGCGGCTCGCATGAGTGGTGCATCGAGGCCAGGCGGGTCTCGCCAATTCCCATTCGACATAAACTAGAACAACCACAAGTTAGCTTTTGAGGCCACATGCGGCTAGGAAAAGGATGTACCGGCATAATAAATCGCTGGGGAAGCGGCAGAAGCTCGACTGGTCCTTCCCTCGGTGACAATGCCGAGTAGACCCTCCATGATCCCAGAACGACTTCCCCCCACCAATGGTAAAAGTGCTGGAAGCCGAGGACGTTAGGCGATCTTCTCCATTGCCTGAAGATCACGACATACATTGATAAAGCTATCCAAGTCGTAAAACAGCATCGAGGGTCCGCTCAAGACAACGGGGCGTTGCAAGAACAGAGATTCGGCCTTTCCTGGAGATACGAATTGTAGTTCCTGTGGTGTGGATTAAGCGCAGTTATCTCGGGCCAGCAGAAGGTACCCCACCTTGTCGGTTGGCTGGTTGTCAGTGTTGGGATCCCCGGGAAAGACAGGTCGCGATAGGATGCGGTCTCGAGGCAAAAACAAATCGGGGTTGGATGTGACAACGTAGAGAGTTCCGTTCAACAAGTAAAGATTGTCGAATACGTTGAATCCATTTGTCCCGGGTACAGGCTGTGTCGTTTCAAGAACTCCATTCGAAGGGTATTGCCCGTCCTTCACCATCGGCCGAGCGCTGTTGGCTGACCCAGTTGCCGAGTCGAAGCACGTCTTGATCCCCCATATTCCGTCGCCAGCATACGTGAGGTGGGGTCCAAGGCGATGTATGGTGTCTTGGAGGTAAACAGAGGTTGTGAAAGTCGAGGCCAGAAGATAGAAGAACGCAACAGTGCAGGGCAGGGAAACCAAAATCGCTTTGTGTCGCCTCGAGAGCATCGGAGACTCGGAGAAGCAGGTCAAGAGTCCGAAGACGATTAAGTTAGCGAGGGCGAAATGGCGCGTCAACTAGTTGGGGAGAGGAAGCACGCAATGGACGTAAAAAAGCGGTTTTAAAACTGATCTCTGCCATGCCCCCAGTTGTCGATGTTTGACCGCCACCCTTGTTCGAGCCTCGTGGCGACGGACCAAAGCAAGTCTGCCTCCGTGCACCGGGCACCCCAGGCACTGTCAGCCGCAATCCTGACGTCACGAATAGTATCGCAGAACTACCGCAAAAGAATCTTGCCTCTTTCTCGAATACCGTACCCACAGTGGTCGACACCAAATTTCTTAGAATAGGGACGAAAATGGGGGCAAATGGATCCTGACCAGTGGTGCAGGTGAAGGTCCAAGCTGCGAGGCTGACGTCCTTCCGGTGGAGTCCACAATCTTCTGAGTCTTTGTCTAAGCTCGTACCCGTTCATTCACCCTGAGGAACTTCTATACATCAATATTCACTGGCAAGGGCGACGTCGTCGACTTACCTGCACTCTCAATCTCCAGCCCCCAGGAAGTTCTTTTCCCCATTGCATGAACGTTATCGACACGTTGGTCAAGCGAAGCTTATGAATTTATCACTTTCAGGCTCTTGGTGGTCCATCTTGAATTCTGGGTACATCGGGGCGAAGTGGTCGTTCACTGGCAAACAGCGAATGAGTTGCGAATGAGTTCCACAACTGAGAACCTTGTTTGGCAATGTCCTTGAGAACAAACAGTCGCCTGGGCGTCTAACTGGGGATCTGATCGTGTTCATGTTGGGTTCCAGGGGGGTCTCCAAGTTCAACCGTGTCATTAATGTCATAATAATGTGGCTTAAGTAATTAGTTACAATATGGAATACAATTAAATCGCCGTTGGAACTGGGGGTGCATCATCGAGGTCAGGAGGCTCACCCTGGTGCATACTCAATCCATCCATGGTCGCATTCACTACATCGTACTCGGGGGGAGGGAATGACGGAACCACAGGAGGCCTCCACTCCGGGTCTAACACCCTCTCTACAATCTCCTTCCTCAGCTCGAGTAATTCATTACTCTTCTTCCCCAACTCGTTCGATAACTCTTTGAACTTCTCGTACGTCGCATCCTGCCTCTGAGCTGCGAGAAGTCTTTGCTCCTTCACCTGGCAGTGCAATGTCGTCAGTTCTCCCTCCCTTCGGTAGACCGGGAATAAGAGGGACGTACGTGAATATTCGCCAGCTCCACCTTTACTGCATAATCCTTGATTCGTTCGTGCAACTCTTCGTCCGACCTATAGTCGTTCAAGATGACATTGACCGCGTCTGGCGGGATACCGCTGAACATCACTCATCAGCTTCAGTACAGAAATTGTGGAAGATGCTGACACCTGCTTGGTATTCAAAGGCTTGACTCTTGAGGAGATTTCGACAGCCTTGTCCACCTCCTTCTTCGCCTCCTTGACATACCTCTGGCATTGTGCCAAACCTCTCTGCTTCGGCCAAATGCTGGAGCTGCAGTCATAGTACTGGTAAGAAAACGCGTCTTGACGGGCCAGGGCCTATGGCTTACATGTAAAAGGAATTCTTCATAGCTTTGGCTACATCTGGAGCAACAGGCACGTTGTCAGCCCATCTGCATTTTAGCACACGAATGCCGTTACTCACCGATTCTCGAGGCACCCACCGCATCCTCTACGGAGGCAACGGCGCAGATCATAGCCTCGGATGCTTTCTCAAGAAGCGCGACCACTTTGTTATCGCTATCCAACTGTTCCTTCGTCTTTTCAAGTTGCCTCTCCAAATCTCGAACCTCGCTCTCTAGTGCGTCTTCCTCAGGGTACTCTAGCAAATGGCGTGGATGGTGTGGATGAGCAACATCGATATCAGATGGCAGAGAAGCACATACTACGTACCGGGATTAGACCCCGAGAATACCTCGTTGTAGAACCGCCTCAGGTCTCGTTGCAGGGTGTGATGGCGTTCAATCTTCTCTTGGAGGTCTTGCCGCTGTCGTCACCAAAAAATCATGAGCAATTCTTTCTCAAGAATAGAATGCCATTGAAGCCCGCACCGCTACAAGGGCCTCCTTATGGAGCATCAACACATTCGTCCTATCCTCCCTTCGAATCGTCTCCTCTTGCAAGGCTTCCATGTAGCCCCTAAACGATTTGAAGGCATCAATCAGCACACATCCCGTCTTAGCGAAAACGTGAGATGCCAACGTACCTCTCCGCCTCCCTCAACTTCTCCTCCCATTTCCCTCTCTGCCCAAAAACACTCCTCACAAACATCCCGGTCGCGTTCTCCGTCCTCTCCGTGACCTGCCCAAACCTCCACTCCGCCGCTTTCCTCTTCGATATCGCCTCCGCAAGGCGTACCTCCGAAATCTTTACGCGCTTCTCCATCTCCTCCAGATAAGCTGTCTGTTCTTCAAGATGTGACGAAGCATGCGAGAGGGAGGCGATGGTGGTTTTCAGGTCGTTGTAGTAGGGGCCGCTGGCACGGATGAGGCCCGTGGTGTCAGAGAATGAGCTCGGACCCGGGGTTGGGCTGATTCCTGGGACGTTGGGCTGTCCGCCGAGTCCTGGTTCCATAGTCATGTTCGATAGGGGTGCCGAAGTGAAATCATCCTCGTCTCTTATATGCAGATTGACAGCACTTCGTCTGGTTACCCGGGCGTCCACAGAGCAGTGATTGTCGCTGCATAGCAAACCACTTAAGGCAATACCGCGGTAACAAAAGTGGCAAGCTCCAGGCAGATGGTGTGAAGAAAAGGTCAAAAAATGTGAGTCAAGGCGAGGTGAAACCGCAGTTGGTCGTACAGCTTTCAAGATCGTCGCGCCTCGATGGTCAAGGTCCTACGCAAACCAATTGCAAGTTCCACTGCCACCTTCGTCTGTTGCCGTACAAAGTCCATGACGAGGCGGTGCCCCTCGATGCCCTTCAAGCCCGAAGATCCCAAAACGAAAATCCGTGATTGATATGTGCAATTTCGACCAACCAAAAGCGAGAAATATGATACACGTACAATAAGCAATCCGAGTGCAACGGCGCGCGTTTAGGCTCCGTTCCTTTTGGTTCTCGAGCAACCGATATGCAACGCCGAGCATGGCGACTCGACAAAGCAGTAATGTCCAGCGACGACTCAGCATGAGCCTCGCAAAGGGCGCACCCACAGTAAAGCGTGCAAGGGAACAATGGACATCATATGTCCATCTCGACATCCCCTCCAGCACCCTCGCCATCGCTTTCCCAGTTCCACGTCCCGAATAGCTCTTCCTCGGGCACACCTTCAAGTCCAGCGAGTAGGTCGTCGGGGTTATAAGGCGTTTTCGGCTGCTGGTGGCTTTGGGCCTGCTGTTGCTGGTACGCCTCCTCCTCCATCACCCTCGCGTATTCCTCTGCGTATGCTTCGAGTTCCTGGTCTTCCCATTCTGATAAGTCGGGAATTTCGTCTTCCGGGAAGTCTTCTTCAGTGTGGGTTGTAGAAGAGCTGGGCGGGATGGCCGTGGAGGACGAAGAGGTAGTAGGTTGCGAATTGGGCTGAGTTGAAATGGGAGCTAGCGTAGGTAATAGTTAGTCTTTGAAGAATAGACAGAGTTGGGGAAACGTGCCTTTCAGTTCCTCCTCCCACCGAGCAACGTCTTCCATGTCAGGATCAAACGAGCTGCCAACCTCGTTTTGGTACGAAACGCGGTACGAGTGTTGGATTTTTCGGTTCACGTTTTGCATTATTCTCTTGAAGAGCTAGATACGAGTTAAGCAACTGTTTCTGCGGCTCACAACTGAGACCTACCTCGTCATTCATGATTTCTTCGTCGTCGCTCTCCGAGTCATCCTCCCTGTCACCCTCCATCCCAATATCGCCATCTGCACTCATCCTTCTCTTGCTCCTCCGATTCTTGGACTTCGTCTGGACACCCTCGACATCAAAGAAACCTTCCCCCTTCCGCTTAGCCTTGACAGCCTTCTCCCTCGCCTTCGCCGCCCTCTCGAAACACCTCTGTTTGAACCTCTCCCTCAAGAACGCTCGTTGAGGATCCTCGGGCGTCGCTCCAGAAGCAAACAAAGCGGCGATAGGTGGCCCAGAAAACGTCCTCGACGCCGGAGAGCTAGCCGCCAAGCCACTTGTCCTCCTGCCACCTTGACTTCCCAACCCTATGGACTTGTATTGCGCACGCCGGCGCTGGAAAAGGGGCGACTCGTTCTCGTCGCGTGTGCCGCTAGACCCGATGTTGAACATGGATACGCGGTTAAGTGGAGATGAGGGTTCGTGTCCACCGGAACGCAGGTCGTCATCGTCGTCGTCGTCCATGTCGTCCACGTCTGCAAAGTCGCTTGGGAGTCGGGCTAGCGGGCTGGAATTGGCTGGTCTGTAATTCCTGTATCGAAACGACGCTTTCGCAGCCTCATTGCTACATGATGGTGAGCTCGTCGTCGCCACCGGCGCAGGAGAACTGGCTTGGTCTCCCCAGGAAAATGGAATTGCGTTTCCGTTGTGTGGTGTCCCAAACCCTGTCTGGGGCGTGGAGAACGCGAAGGAGCTCGGCGTAGACGATGGCGTCGACGTCTGGAAGGACATTCTACTCGTTGTGGTCGATGTCTTGGGCGCCGTCGCGGTCGTCGTTGTGGTCGTTGTGGTCTTGGATCAAGAGTTTCCACTGGACCGTTGGCAAATCTTGGTCACGTCATGTGGCCGACGCGCTGTTTAATGACGCGTGATTTCCCAGGCATGTGACGCGCCGCGTTCGAGGCGCCAAGCAAACCCCTATTCATGATCATCGACAGAAGGACTCTTTGTCGACTCCTGTTCCGTGTACGCAAAATTAGTACAGCCGCCCATAGACCATGGAAGCTGTCCATGGCCACTTGTACTTGCGTAAAGGTGCACTGCGGCTGCCACCGCTATCACCTGACCAGTAGTCCCTTGTTCGTTCCTCGACCACTCTTCTCGAGACGTGTTCTCCAAGTGGTGAGAGGTGGTGAGTACCATCCTGGAAGCTGTTTCTCCTTCGCATGTACTTCACATTTAGACTTTCACCCGCTTCCAGAGCTTCCGTATATCCGTTAAGTATTCATTTCACCGTACACCCCGCGCGAACGAGGATTGGATGAGCAGCCAGACAATTGCACCCGGGCAACTGATGATGAAGCTTGAGTCCTGTGCCAGTCTGGGAGCAATCTCCTGCCATTCCAAGTAGTATTCCAAGGCTTATAATTGGATGCGCACTGTTGGCTTACTTCGGTGTCCCAATCCATCCTCCCCGACACCAAACTGGGCACCCCACATGACCATTACCGGGTGTTATTCCCATCCGCTCGCGACGCTCTCTCCTCCCGGACACTTCTTGAGCAACATTGGCAGCGATGCTCGCGGCCGCCTCTACCACTGGCAAAATGGTTTAAAAGGGATCCAAGTTGCGAAAAGTAATCTTCAGCCTACTCGGTCATCCCAACTTGAGATCAGCTACTCAGGTTATCACCCATCTCACCCACCTCCACGATGAAGTTCACCACTCTCGCCACCCTCGCCCTCGGCGCCGTCTCCGCTCTCGCTGCCCCAGTCACAGAGCTCGAGTCCCGCCAGCTCTTCTGCAGGGACGTGTACGTCTTCTTCGCTCGTGGAACCGGTGAAGTCGGCACCTTGGGTACCGTCGTTGGTCCTGGCCTCAGTGCAGCGGTCAAGCTCGCTGTTCGGGACTCTGTCGAGTTCGAGGGCATTGACTACCCCGCCCTCGTCTCCGGCTACCTCGCTGGTGGCGACCGTGGTGGTGCCCGCACCATGGCAAACAAGGTCTCCCAAACCGCGTCCCGCTGCCCCAACGCCAAGATCTTCATCTCCGGCTACTCGTAAGTTCCGACGTTCCGTGACTAAAGCTCAGCGTTCCATGGTGTTGACTCGCCTGTAGACAAGGTGCCCAGGTCACCCACCTCGCTGCTCGCCAGCTCTCCGCTGCAGACCAGGCGAGAGTCACTGGTGTCGTCACTTTCGGTGACCCATACAGGGATGATGCTCTCCCCGGTGGCCTCCAAAGCCGCAGGAAGACCTACTGCAACGTCGGTGACCTCATCTGTGCCGGCCTTCCTACCCTCCTTGCTCCCCACTTTACCTATGGATCGGTGAGTGCTACCTGCCACAATAGCTGACTCTCCTCGCTGACCTGCATTGAAACAGGACACCCCCGACGCTGCTCGATGGATCGCCGCTCGCGTTTAGAGACCAATGGTGTGGTTATCAAGTGCCTACTACCCTCCCTTTTGAAATTAAGTAACAATGTACAATTACGAACTGTGTATACATCTCCAAAGTCCTGAATTCTGAGTGTGTTTGTGTCTGACGTTTCATTCAATGGACGAGAACTCCAGGGCCGTCGAGCTGATGGACAACGCATGGTCGAGCACGGGCTTGTGCCTCTTCTCCATCGATGACTCCACTGGTTTCTCCAGGATGAGTACCTACAGGTTTGACCCCACCTTTCACAACTCCACTTACTACCTCGCTCAGATGTCGCGACGACGGGTTCCACATAGTACTAGTAGTATGCCCTCTAGGCTATCCGACTTGCCCGGCTCTGATAAGTTCTGATCCGCAAACGTGTGTACGTATATCCGAATTGACAATTATTCGATTCATGACATGCACTGAGCTCCGAGGGTCTTAGTCGTTGCACCCACACAAATATAATGGCGGAAAGAGTGATCAAGAGTAAGGTAGCTGTTCGTAAATCAGAGGCTTGATTTACGAACAGCTACCAGGGTGTAAGATTACAATTAAGCGCCCGCACAACTATAGATACGAGCTATGGGGGTGCTGCCAAGGGGTAGGTAGGAAGTAAAGTAAGAAAAAAAAAAGGATGGTGATAAATATCTCGAAGAACTCCAAATGAGATCGAAGAACGTCACGACGACGACTCGCAGAACCTTTGGGCGCTTAATTTCTACGCCTCATCAGGCTGCTTTCTCTTCACTCCCCGCGCCACTTTGACTGGCGATTTTGCAGAGGTGATCACTTTATCAAACGCTTTCTCGCCCTTCAGCGCCTCCTCCACCCTCCCATACTCCTGCTGACCCATCAGCATCTTCACATCCTCCATGCTCCCCACGTCCTCCAAAAACTCCCTCGCCTCCTTGACCTTCGCCTCCCACTTCGCCATCTCTACCACAGCCGGACCCTTCTTCACCTTCAAGACATGCGGAGACCGGCCCTTGAGCGTCTCGTACGATACCAAGTCTGGCGCAGTCTTCAACCTCGACTCGATGTGCGTTTGAATTTTCTGAACACTCTGGAACTGTGTACTGGAATTCCCAGAGGCGACAAAGTCGTCGAGCTGCGTGCACTCATTGCACTTCCCACACCCAATCTTCCTGAGGTTGACGTTCGCCGATGCAGGTTTGGAGCCTAGGATGGAACCTAGATAGAGTCGAATGAGATGGCGGATGACGTTGCCGAAAGGAGGGGTGGAGAGGTCGATGTTGTGTTTCTTGAGCGTGTCTTTGAGCCCTTTGAGGAGTGGTTGGTAAGTATTTTTGAACTTGTACGGGAGTTCGGTTTGGGCGTCCGCGTCTGTTTCCTTGAGTAGTTCGGCTAGAACGACTTTGGACGGTTCGTCGTTGGAGGTTTTGACAGCCAGATCGATGATGCGGATGACACGCTGTACCTTCTGCGATCCCCCGCTGTGGAGGTAAGAGTAGGAGTAGTAGTCGGTGGAAGGCTTAGGCATATGCTTCCACTGCGGCGTAGCCTCTTGGAGGCATTTCGCGACGAGGGTATCGACGGTGATAACGGAGTTCGAGGCGGAGGAAAGTTCGCCCTTCGACACGTCAGAAGCAGCGTTAGGTTCACCAGACATTTTCGTGTCGGTTTGAGTCCTCAGGGCCGTGCCTTCTTACTTCAGGTCCTATTATTGGCGCCAAATAGCTATGAAAATACGGTGTTGCAGAGTTGGATGGTAGATTGTGGTGAAGAAAAGGAGATGCGCCAAAATGGACGTCGCGTCGACGCGTTTAAACGATTTGATGGATGCCGTAAGCATCCACCTATTTAAATGCCCGTCGTCGTTCTCTTGTCTCGAGTTCTGACCTGGGACCATGGTAGCTTATAGCTCGTAGAGCACGTACAATGGAGAGCCTCAATGCCCATACCATCAGGTCACCATAAGTTGTTGAATCGCGTGCCGATCATGTCGTCAGCCAAGCCTCGAGTTTCAAAAGGACAAAGTTCACACTCTTGGCCTGTATGTAAAGTCAAACTCGCCCACAACCACCGCTGCCTCCAACAATGACCCAAGTTCCCCGCGTCCCACCAGAGCTTATATCTCAAATTGTTAAATCAGCCAAAGCGACTTTTGATCCCAAAGAGTTGGCACGGTTCCTCAGTAACGGTGCCTTGGTGTCGCGAGTTTGGTACGACGAAACTCGCCCTTTGGCTTTCAGTGTCGTAGTGTTCGATTTTGGACGACCCGACTGGAACACGCCGCTGGGATTGGACGAAACCGCAAAGATCAGAGGCCTCCTTCACCTCATACAAATCAACCCCAAACTCGCCCTATACGTTCAGCACCTCGAGCTATCCTCCCCCCTCAGGGCAACCAGCGCATTGGACCAGCTCAAGGCGTGTGGACCCGCCTTATTAGATCTGTGCCTTAAATTGAAGGACGTTACCGTATTCAAAATAAAGTGGAGCGGCGATGGTGGAGACACGCGTCTGGGACGACAATCTTGGTGGTTTCAAGTAGGCGAAGAAATTCAGTCAGCCGTTCAGCATGTGTGCTCCCTTCGCTCCCTCCACTCGCTCTCAACCGAGAATATCTCGGTTCCCCTCTCAGCCTGGATCTACCACCCATCACTCAAGGTTGTTTCTACCACATGCCATTACATACTCGAAGGCAAACGAAGCTTACCGATTCAAGATGGCCATCCAGAGAAGTACGCTTCCCTGACGTGCCTGGATTTGTCTGATATTGAAGAGTATTCTGGGAATGACGGTGTACTGACCATACTCACGAGGGATCACATTGGGCTGTTCAGGTCGCTTGTCGACCTCACGCTCTCCATTTCCATGAACAACAACCATGGGATTAGGAGAGTTCTCGAAGTGTGCCGGGAAACCCTCACCTCGTTAACCTATCGCCCAATTCCAATCCTCCAGCCTGGTCCTACTCGACTCAACATTGAGTACCACGCCATCGACTTCAGTGCAATGGCTGCCTTGCGTCGCGTCGTTCTCGCCTTCCAACCACCATACGAAACCACGGTGGAAAGCTGCTTCCCTGTACTAATGGCGACGCTTACATCACTTCCATGGCGCCAACTCGAAGTGTTCGAGCTCACACTCTCGCCGTTCGGGTTTCGATCTGACTTATTACCCAATCTTCAAACGCCAACGTTCGACCCTAGGATTTATACCCGCCCGATCGACGCGCTGGCAGTGAAGTCACCTACTCTGAAGAAGTTTCGGTTGGATGTGTATTTGGATGACGAGTACCAAGGGTCGTACCGACAGTTGGTGATAGAGGAACTTGTTCCACAGGTCTACAGGGAGGCCAAACGGAGGGGAATAGTTCATCACGCCTATTATGGACCTGTACCTTGAAACGCAACATTTCGTTAGAGCTGGGATTAATTGGGTGATAGTGTTTATTGAGGTACTGGAGTACAGACTTGGCGACCTGTAAAGAATAGCTGAAAGGCAGACGTAGTATTCGATTCAAACAAACGCAGGCTGTCACTCATTGGGAATAGCAAAGAACATAAGAGGTAAACGAAGCAAAAGAAGATTCGTGCGCGTGCCACTACGAGGCACTCTACACAAGGAACTAGGTCTATGACGTCCATGAACTTATCGGAGGTGGCCAGTTTAACTACGCTCTCCCCTTAACTCAGTCTTAACTGCCTCCTCGTCTCGCTGAAGGTAGATGATGACAACGGCACGGCGATACCCTGTCAAAGGTTATAAGTCAGGACTACAGAGAGTGCATGGACGACAACTTACAGTGGGTCAAGTCTCCGGGTTCCTAGGACCATCAGTTAGCGGTTAGCGGATATGCAACGCGGAACAAATCAGCGGACTCGAAGACCCACATTGCCCATATATCCTCGTTCGTAATTCTCCTCAGTAGGGTTCGCATCCCTGACAGACTCCCTTGGGATGACAAGGTAGTCACCCGGGTCAAGCGAAACTGGTTCAATTTTTCGCCGTTTCGTCTTCCTCTTCCCTTCTTCCGCTTCTCCCTCATTCTCCTTTCCATCCTCCGCCAAGAACGACTTGCCGTCTTGATCGACGACATTGGAGACAGTGTAGTTGGTCTCCCATATAGAACAGAACGATACCGCGCCGTACCAATGCTCTTCTCGATAGTCGTCTTCGTCATCTTCCGACTCCTCGTCGCTGTTCACCTCCTCACCAGCTGCGCGTCTGCGTTCTCTTTCTTTCTCTCTCTCCCTTTGTCGCTCCTGGTAGACTTTGGACCAGTATTCCTGGTACCTATCGTAGTCATCCGCGCAGCCCTTGACCTCGATCTCGAGGTTTGCAAAGGCGAGTTTGAAGCCGAGTTCATTGGCGAGGGCGAGGAGAAGTCCGATCTTGTGCGCATCCTGGCCTTTGAGACACGACATCCCATCAGAGAGATCGCGCTCGCTGTATTCGTGCTGGAGGATGTACGCAAAGAATGGCGGCGGGTTTATGACATCGTAATAACCCCTTCCGGCGTGGAATGCCTCCTTCTTTGGGAAACCATTCCTTGCCCATTTCTCGAGTACGGCCCGCAGCTTTGCGGTCTTGTCGTCTTCTGTGAGCTGTGTGGGGACCTTCAAAGTGGGAGTGGGGACGTTGGGGGAGGTGTGGATGATGTTGAATGAGAGTGCGACACGGTAACCTGAAGTGACGGGTTTGATTTCATGGAGGACGTCGGTATACCAGGCCATGATGGCCATGCCACGATTGGAGATGTAGTTGAGGTCGATGATATCGGTCTTTCCGGAATGCGTGATTTTTACTTCACCGCCCTCATACTCGGAAGGGAGCAGGACGATAACAGTCGCAAACATACCCTCGGCCTTCTGGGTGCTGCGCACGAGTCAGTGCCACATGTCAGACTGCGCAATAAGGGCGGACGTACTCTTGGTGAGCATGGAAGCTGTGGACCGAAAGGTATGTCAATCAGACTTCAATGTATGAAGTATGCTTAGGTGAATACACTCACTGTCCGCCTGGTTTATAGATAAGCAACTTGTAGAATTCGCATCGCGGCTTCGTCGATGGCGTCGCAACTCCCAGGCCCTTCCACACATCCGTCAAGACCTTGTACTCGACCCACTCGGCAAACGGATCGTTCAACTTGACCTTGGAGCCGTCAATCTCCCATGTGTCCCTAACCTTTGTATCGACAACCTTCTGGTCTCCCATACCAAAGGGCGACCGGGACGCGTGCTCCAGGACTTCGTCAACCTTGTAGTCATCAAGAGGAAAATCAAAATAGCAGGATGCACGTTTATTGGCATCAGTCCCCAAATCAATGTTGACCTTCCACCTGCGCGTCCATTCGCCGCTGTTGTATTCGGCCATTTCGTAGTCGGGGTAGGCACGTGCAAAGTAATGCTTGCCCATGAAGTCGAAGTCGGATTCAAGTGCGTCGGATAGCTCCTCCTGGTAGACGATAGAAGTGAGTAAAGATCGACGACAGCAGTGAGGCTGTCAAGACGTACTCCCAGGTCGGGTTTCGGGACCTCAGCGCCTTTGACTTGGGGCACCGGGCTCGCATCGTCGCTGGGTTGGGGAGTAGACATATTGAAATGAAGGAGACAGAAAGGTGTTGCAAGACAGACAGGGAACAGGATCGATGGGTATCTGAACGACTGACCGACGCGACTGGGGCTCTAAATACCCTGTTGAAGTTTCTTTGCGCCCACTGTGACGCGTGACGCGTTACACTCATTTACGAGCCGAAATTAACTCGAGTCATAATTTACGCGTCTGTGGGCGCCGCGTGCCCTCGGATCCAGGGATTCTGTGTCCGCCGAAGCTTCTGCTGGAAGGCCATGCCGCCATTCAAGGATGGCAAGGGTGTAGGTGAGCGCCTCTACGTTCTCCTTGAGTCACCTCCTTTACGCGAAGCCCAGCTCCAGCATCGTACTTCAGGAAGATCACTGCCGTGAGGTTACCACCGTGAAATTGAAGGCGGCTCCAACGTGGCGCCCCGCCTGGGACGTGATTTTGATGCGTACATGCGCCCCTGCCAGTTGCATCTGGTGCGACTGGCATGGTGCTTTGAGTCATTCGGCTGCGTGGCCTAGATCATCAGGACCCCCGGCTAACCACGGGATCGACAGAGGTAGGCGAGTACGCGTTCAAGTTAGTTTCGTCGACTTCAAGTTGCATGGACGGTTCCACCCTCGTGCGGCGCGTTCAAAGTTTGTTTACCGGGTTTGGGGAGGACCGAGGTTTGCAGTCGTCCATTGGACGAACCGGATGTTGGTTTTATCGCGTGGTGGGCCGCCCATTTTTCTCTGGAATGAAGACGGAGATGGCAACTGGGGTCAGATTCGAGGTGGCTGTTGGAAAACGAACTTCTGGGGAAGGTGCTATGTGGCCCGCTGGCAGGGACCAGTTGTTGCTACGGACTGTGCCAAGTTCTTAGCTTCAACGAGACCAGCCCACCCATTGGACATCTAATCCACGGCGCTTATTGGCGCCTTCCATTAGGGGAAGGAGAATCGAAAGTCGGGGCAGAAACCAAGTTGAAGAACGAAACCCAACAGCTCCCAACAGCAGATGCGAACAGGCGAGTTGGTTCAGAGCCCGGCAACGCAGGGCAACAGGGGGCAACGCCAATCGGTGCATGCCCAGGTCTCTGCCTGCTCTTTCCCCATGGGACACCCGCCCGAGACCCTACCGCATTCGGGAGTAAATCCCTTGTCGATCACTACTCATCGCTCGCCCGCCGCGGCGTGAATTTAAATAAGAGTCCATAGTGAAATAATGTTTTACATCCTAATGTTACAGTGGAGAGAAGTTATAAAGACCTATCTCGACTAACGATGTTACTCGACGACTTCAAGCTGGTCAAGGGCTTATCCTTTCTCCACCAGCACCATACGTCCAGCAGGTCCTGCGGCAGATCAAGGTAAGCAAGTAAACATCACGACGACTGGTTTAGCGTACCTTTTGCGATCCGAAGATAATAATGGCTGACATGGGAACTTCAAACGTATTGTCAGAAATTAAAACAAAGTGGAGGGACGATAGTCTGACCTAGAGAAGTGACCACATCCAGGGCATGTGGTGTTTCCTCGGATATTGCAAAGAAGACAATTCCAAGGCTACAGGGATGATCGGAATTGAGAGTGGAAATCAGCACCCAAGCTCATCTCCAAGGTCAGAAGAGATACGAACACAATTGCAAGGACCCCAACAACTGAGAACGCCATAACTCGCCTCACGCTGCCTCGTAGCAGGTTCCAATTTCCTCGGAGGTGATAGAGTGTTATTGCTGCAAGCCGGGCCAACTTGTATCAACGATATGCCTCTGATAGGAAGGAAGGGGATTAATAACGCACAGTTGAGGACTACCGTGGGTATCATGAGTACAGCGACGAGGATAGATGTTATCCGTGCTCTGTAAGTGCGAAGAAGAGGATCAACCAACAGTCCTGTGAAAATCGCGTGAACAAACTCACGGAACCCTCATTATGAACGAGCAATAAAAGTCTCGAGCGCCCAGCTGGACTGTTGTTGGATTCAATAGCCCGATCTATGTAGTACTGATCGTTAGAGAGATGGCGAGGGGAGGGAAGAACAATGGTATTGCGCGAACGCGAGCACCAAAATTGGGCGGAAACACTCACCACAATGAATGAAGTCAGCATTCCAACATAGAGGATGTACGGGGCTCCGAGAAACTATGTGAATATATCAATAAGTGCACAGATGCGGAGAAATAAAGGAATGCGGGGATTGATACGCACGAAAAGCAGAAGATTCTCTTGCCTCTTTGTCGGCATCGTTTCCTTCACCCAGTTCTTGATGTTGAAGAATACCTGTTCGTCGCGTTGAGCGAACAGTTGGGCGTCGAAGTAAGAGATAGGGTAAGAATAGAACGTACCTGCGCAACGAGCGCGAACGTTGTTGCCGAGGTGCTATACGGTCGCCATCAGCGTCGCCAACCAAAACACGAATGCGCAGAAAGCACTCACAAAGGCAATGCGGAGTACTGCATGGCCGCCTGTGCCAGACACACTCCAAAGCCCGGTCCCAGAAGCAAACCCGTCTCACTCCTTTGACCTTCGCCCTTGAAGCCATACCCGGTAAACACCAACAAGGCGAACGACCCCGAATAGATAACGAAGGACGAGATGAAACTGAACCAGACGGGTTGGCGGGGAACGCGAGACGAGCAGAAGATGGCAGTCGTGAGCATTACAAGACCACCGAGGACTGTGAAGAGGTGGAAGATAAGGAAAGGAGTGAGGAGGCCGACATTCGGGGTGGCGGAGGGAGTGGAAGAGGGAGACCACGGAGCGAGGGTCGGAGACGGTGGTGGCATGATGAAGTCTGGGACTGAGGGTTGGGTTCAGGATTTGTCGAGGATAGCGTCAAGGATAGGTCAATTGAGAGGGAGGGTAGTTCTGCGATTCAGAATCGGTCGGCATTGGGAGATGTGCAGATAACTCACCTTGATTCTTTCGTTACTACTTACTGGCCCGGCCTTGATTTAGACGATCCCTTGATCGTTCGAAAAGAGTGAAGCAGTTAACGCGACCAGGGCTGTACTAGCACATCAGGGCAGGGTATGCACCTGCAGCAAGAAGCAGGGAAGATTGACACAAGGTGCGACCCTGCTCAAATATAGGTCGGCGGTGTGGTGGTCAAGATAAAGGTGAGTATCACAGCGGTCGCCGGGAATCAACTAGGTTTCTGTGGCGTTCTTCGAGCCCAAGTCAGTGTGGAATCTACGCATTTGTTCCCTAATCAGAAGGCCCAGAGATTCACCGATCTGAACCATCCTCGTCACGATCAAAGAGGATCAAATGAGCGAATAGGAAAACCGTCGCTGAGAGTCGCTGATCCGGTTACCAGAATTGGATATTTCAAGAGCAAGAAGGAGAAGACAGTCCGTTGCGATGTACCGTGTGATTCTCGTTGGTGAGAGTACGACAGCGAGACTGAGCGAGAGAGTGGGAATTTCTCGATGCGAGCCATTGCAACTAAGGCCAGTAAAATGTCCGTAGATCCCACGATCCCAGTGGATTAGTACCGCGAGGTTGGAGGAGCGTGATTCTGGCCACCAAGGTACTTAGCAGTGAAGACAGGGGCGGGAAAGATGAGGGAACGAGCGGAACCGCGACGCCCAAGCGTGCTGGGCGCTTTGCGCGAGGACGTGGGAATTGGTCGGGTTATCCCGATCGTGTCAGGTTAGGGTTACATGTACCTTTCGCTCTTGAAGTTGAACGTTGAACACCTTGTTTAATTAGAGCATCAACACCCTAGATGCCCGTCTTTCCTTCACAAATAACAAACCCGACCCTTGCCACCCTTTCACGTTCGCGTGTGCCGTTCTCGAAGAACCATGGCTTGAATTGCCCACCACGATGGTAGTTCGCTCTTCTTGGCTTCTAAAAGCTCGATATGTGTTGCCAGAATTCCTCTCTGCGGCCCCCTCCAGGACACTGTTCCCAACATTTACCCCAGGAAAGTCCGGGGGAATCGTGCGCTTGCACGCTGAGCAGCGTTGAGCCTACCCTTCCAGAAACGGTACCTATACCTCGCCCTTACTGGTCTACTCTTCTCCACGCATGCTCGTCTACCTAGGCTGTCAGTAAAGCTGCTCATGCGAACCCGATCATAAGCCTCCGTGGGATCTTTGGTACCGGCGCCCGTAGCACATTATTTCCTTTTTGGTTATGCGCACACCCGCCCTCTGCAACTTGGTCTTGATGATACCGAGGATATCGCTGCCACGTGGGGCGGTGCGCGGTGCTCGGTGTACCCAGTGAGCTCCATGGCCGAGCTCCCCATTTCAAGAGTCTTCGAGGTCGAATTTGCAAAGCCATGAGTTCCTGGTCCCTCGACCCGCCGAAACATTTACGCTCATGGCTGCTCGTGGAGTACGCGAGCTCGCGTGCATTCATAGCGGCATGTCTTGAGAGGTCTTCTACATTGACAAGTCGTCACTGGTGCTTCCTCATCAAAAGCCAAGTCTTGAGCAGCGATATCTGGTGCTAAGGCCAGCCTGCAAGATAAGGTGGGAGTCGACCACAGTCTGCTCGATCCACTCGAACTAATCTGTCCAAGTGCGACTGTAATACTCCAGAGTTAATACACGAGACCTATTATCATATGCGCATGGCCATTCGAATACATACCAGTTACCGGCACCCTGTGAGTCTGTGACCTATAGCTAGAGACCTTGTGAGGTCCATGACGAAAAGTGACATTCAAGTGTGACATGGGAAATGTCCCCTACAGTATTGTGTTTCAACGTGGAAGCCGTCGTTCCTGGTGGAACGTTCAGATCCTCGTCTATCTTTCGTTGCGCAACGTGCGACACTTCCCTTTATATCTTGCCTCCATGCAATCCTGTCTATAACTTCTGTACCCGTTCAAAGCCATGCGGGACGTGCTGTCTTCGTTGAAGTCAGTGATAGCATAGCCTGCTTCTCAATTTCTGAAGTTTAGTTAAGAACCTTCTTTTGGCAGAACAGGCTCTTTGGGATATGCGAACGGCTGCCCCTGCGAAGGTGGTACTCTGACTCCGAGTCGGGGGGAATGGTCCAATGGGCACGCTGCGGCACAGAGTTCGGCCAGAGTCGTATCTTACCAGCAGGCTACGTCGGCATACATTCTCACATCGGCATGCCGCTTTGAGAGCACCCATTTCAGGTCCTAAATATCTCTCTGCGGAACTCGTGTATAGAACCTTCGCGACGACATACATGGCGCTCGACTACCCAATCGACGCCCACACCATCGATAAAGCCAACACAAATCACGACTCATCGTTAATCATGGGGATACCCACACGAGCAGTGGGAGAGAACCCACCCACTCGTCGTCCTCCATCTCTAACGCAGAAGGTCGGTTGTCCGGGTTAATACGTAGGCACTTCTTCAAGAGCTTCACTGTTCCTGGGACTTCATGTAGGGGTAGGACGTCCGCAAGGAGTTGTTCAAGTCTGGGTCTGGTGCCTCCCGAGGATGTCTTTGGGACAACTTGTCCTTTGAGGGAAGGGTCGTCGCATTAACCACTCGGGATATCGTCCTCCTCGAGGATATGGCGTATTTCGGTGAAGCGTTCCAGAGGTGTACCAGTGGAGGTGAAGAGATCACGACCTGTCAAGAGCTTGAATATCTGCAAGGTAAGCGTCGGTGAGCTGGGCGACACTGCCTAGAAATGAATTGAAGGAGCACCATCACTCCTAGCATCCAAATATCGGTTTGGGACGAGCAGGTTGCATTGGATAAGAGTGTCTCTGGTGCAGACGCGTAGTCATGTTGCGGGTGTGGTTTGAGGCCGGAACCAACCTGAGCTGGTGTTCAGAAACCGAAGAGTGCTGAGGGAGAGGAGGGTCAATGGCGGGCTAGATCGGAGAGAATGAGAGTTACATACCATATTCGAAACCGCGGAAAACGAATTGCCAGGTTTTCATCACGGTTGGAAGGTCGTCCGTCGATTTAGGGTCGGGATTCTCGACTTGCATTAATGGCTGGGCTTTTATCTTCGCAACTCCGTCGATAGTACTCCCTTCTGGCAGAGAGAGGTGTGGCTTGAGGTATTTAACGTCGGCCCAGGTCCAGAACACAGCGTTCTCTGCCGAGAGGGCTAGAATAAAAGGCTTTAGTTGGATTGCTCGTTTAATGGGGACGTGACTCTCACACCCGTGCATCCCATCCGCGAACCCATGAACTTCGCTCAGCTTCTCCACTAGTTCATTGAAGACGAATTGGACGGTACGAATAGGCAGCCGGCCCATCGGGTCTCCATTTCTGACGTCCTCGAGCGATAACCCGCAATAGGGTTCCACAAGGTAACACAGATGACGTCCGCGGGTGCTCTCCTCCCACCACGTACTGAAATGGCAGGGATGCTTGGAATAGCCGCTGCTGTAAGCCATCACGTCCCTCAACTCAACTAACCTTTTCTCTTCTGCCAGTCCTCGTTCTTCCCGAGAAGCGGCGGCAGTGTAGATTTTGAGCGCTGAGTAGGTACTGGATTCGATGTGTTTCACGAGCCATGTTGAGGAACGAGGGCCAGAGCCTAGTTTCCTGATTACTGTGATTTTGGGATTGCCACGAAGAACGGTGTTGAGCTGGGCAGGGAAGTATCTGAGGCTGTCGACTTCGGAGCTGGGGCCTGGGCTGAGTGGTCGTCCAGAGTCCTTGGAGCTATGTCTGGGCATTGAGAGGCCATTGCCACGTCTTTGCGTGGTATCTCCATGTTCTTGAAGCCTTGAGCTTGCTGTCAGGTTGCGGCGATTCAACGAGGACCTGGATGGGACATGACGGGTGCTTGGAAGCACTGCGAAACGAGAGGGCAAAAAAGATAGACGCAGGTATCGAGGAAGTGTCTGGATGGCCATTGTTGGAAGCACCCTAGCTAGATGCATGGAAGTTAACACACAAACTGGAGTTGTCCAGGTTGTGTAGGTTGACAGTGGGCGCTATTCTGATCGAGTGACGCCGAAGACAACGGCGCTGTATTGATTCTCGAGGAGCTGCCCAGGGAAGGACTTTCTCATTTCCAAGTTTGCTTTCATACCCCTAGAAGTGCAGGGCCGTTGCATCGAGGAGTTCGAGGATTAGCCAAAAGGTTCTTCGAAGAGGCAAATCAGTCACGATTTACAAACCAGTCGAATCCGGCCCGGTGCTCGGATTCAGGTTAGGGTTGGTTCTTTCCTTTGTCCGACTGATCACAACATTGGCCTCTTTCCTTTCATTCAACTAAACGGCCTTTCCATGAACAACTGGGAGACGCCAAAACTCAACGCATGTCTAAACAACTGACATTGGCTCACTTACCCGACCTAGGGGTTATGTGCCAAGATCGCTGAATTAAAACCATATCGACCTTTCTTCTTTCTTCAGAACGACCCAACCAGCACCTTGAAATAACTCGGTTCCTCCGTGTTCTTCAGCTGCTACCTCTTCTACATATGCCACAGCCTCCAACTTCCTCCCCTTTGGCCGGTCCTGGCGTCTGCGTGCGTACCAGTCGATTTCAACACTGGGAGGGGGATTCAACTCGTCCTCCTTCCAGGTAATCGTCCCGGAGAATTCCTTCTCTCCTTCCAGGGCTAGGGAAACTTGCTGGTACTCCCTCTCGCCAAACAAGCACTCTAGCTGCTTTGAAGTCCCAACGAACTCCAGGAACGCCATCATCGCGGAACACCGTACTATCGGAAGGGTGTTCACTCACCTGTCCATTTGTGACATACTTTGACCTTCTCCACAGATCATCGTCGCTTCCAGCTCAAGCTCAAGCTATGAGTCACAAGGAGGAAATGCGAGGCCATCTCCCATCGATGTGCACATCCCCTCCTCCGACACCTAGATACCTGGTATAATATGTGGTTCAGAGTTCCGCGCCTTGGTTGCTGTATTGCAGGTAGCACTGTGTCTTCCACCCGAGGGCCTGACCTAACGAGCGCTTGTATGTCCTTGTCCTGTAGAGCTAGGCCGACTCCACCAAATCCCTCGACGAAGAGGCAAGGATTGGGAAAGGGAAAGCTGGTGTATGCATCTGAGTGAAAGAAGTTTGCGTCGGACGGGAATTGCACACGGAGGATCTCGTCGAGTTCTTCATCCTAAAGGAAATTGAAGTGCGGCCAATTGAGCGCACAGCCTTCAGATGTTAGAAGAACAGAACACACCTCTGGACTAGTAGATGGCGCGCTGGCCTCTTGCAAAATGTCCGGGACAGGCGGTTACGTGGTTCCAGATTGTACAGAAGAGCGTTTACGCGATTTGGAAAGGTTCGAAGCTGTAATAGAATATTCGTCGAGGGCGTCCCATTAGTGTCGGCTCGCTGGTGAGGGTGGAATCTGCTTGTCTGGGTGTTCTTAGAGAGAGAGAGACTGAGAAGAGCTGACCTCAAAAGGTGAAATGAACCGCAGCGGGATTGTAAGTAGCTTCACCGTCGTCATGGCCGTGTCCGACGTGGTGGTTTGGCGACAAGCGCTAAATGACATTGTCGATGGCACAGATCTGGACCCACTGACTTTACACTTTGATCGGAGGGGGGTGTGAACGAATTTGGGTTGAATTAGGATCCCAGAGGGTCCATGAACTCTGATGAATGCCAAATGCTGGATGTTTAAAGTTGGGGTGGGCGTTATGGTTCCTTATATACATCACATTCCGTATTTTCAACTTGAAACTGTTGAGCCCAGGGATAACGGCATGATCGGCACTGGGGCCGTTGATGCCATCAGCTGTTTAAACACGTCGACGCGGTTCAATTTGCGCGTCTCTTCATCTTTGCTTGCGACCTCAGCCCTCGGTCCTCAAAGTGCAAATTGGTCGAAGGCGGTTCACTTTCCTTCAACCTTCTATAAATTGCGCGTCAAGCTCGTCTCAGGGATCACACCCAACAATGGCGAGTAACCCGGGCATTAGTCCTGACGTGTCGAAGGATCTAGTGGTAAGTCTAAGTCTTGGGGTATCTGCTTCATGTGAAGCGATAACTGATGGATTGGAGTCCAGAACGACCTCGATAAAGCCCTAGGAGGCGATTTTTCCTTCAAGGGCAAGTTCTACTACGCGTCGCAACAGCCAACTGCGCCCAACCCCTGCCTCGCCATTGAAGGACTCGGAATAATTGGTCTCCCACTCAACGAACGCGAAGCCAAGGCGATTATCGCGTCTTCCAAGCAGGCGCCGTTTGGAAAAGGAAAAAAGACACTCGTTGACAAGACCATTCGCAATACATGGGAGATTGAATCCGATAAAGTCACCTTTTCCAACCCCAAGTGGACGACGTGGCTCGAGGCAACAGTTTTCAAGACTGTGTGGGACTCTCTGGGCGTCGCCCCATATACGACACGACCTCGCTGTGAACTCTACAAGCTTCTCGTTTACGAAAAAGGATCCCAGTGAGTTCATCTTATTCACCCCTGAGCGAGATGGTACTGACCCGCGAACAGTTTTAAGGCCCATCAGGAGTACGTATGATACAAGTAAACTCTCTTGCCTTGCGGGAACTGACTTTGTGTTTCAGTACCCAAAAAGCTGATGGCATGTTCGCCACTGTCATCGTCGTCCTTCCATCCGCCTTTGAAGGTGGAGAAGTAATCCTTTCACACTCTGGGGCAACTGAAACCGTTGACATCACGGCCAACTCAGCGATGGAAACGTCCATTTTGGCGTGGTACACCGACGTGATGCACGAGGTTAGGCCCATTACATCTGGGTACCGACTGGCATTGTCCTACAACCTCATTCATACCTCTCCCAACGTCCCGCGACCTGTGTTGCCCGACATGAGTGACGCAGCTAAACGACTTCAGGCTGTTCTCCGCGGCTGGAAGGAGGAAAAGTACCCCCAAAGTGCCATGCCTTCCCCACCCTTCTTCGCTTATGTTCTCAGCCATCAATACAGCGGACTCAACCTCTCCTCTGGAACTCAGGGCCTCAAGGGTGCGGACGCGCACAAGGCGGCCCACCTGCTTCCGATTGCCAAAGAACTGGGCTTTAGCGTTGCGTTCGCCGCCTTGGAATACACTGTTACTGGGACCAGTTCAAGCGGAGGCGGTGGATGCGGCTACGGTTACCGGAAGCGAAGGCGCTATGGATACTGGGGCATGGATGATGAAGACGAGGACGATGGTGAGATGGACGAAGTCATTGACGCCTCTTACACGCTCTCCAAGGTCACCGACAGTGAAGGAAATCAGTTCCCTGGAGTGTACACCCTGGACGAGGGAGCTCTCATTCCAAAGGACCCCTTCAGGGATGCGACGCCTGACGATAAAGAAAGCGAGGGATACATGGGAAATGTACGTCTATCTGTTAAGCTTGTGTCCGATAGAATCTAACCCTATTCCTTTTCCTAGTATGGTGGGGAGGTGAATCACTGTAGGTCTCTTCCCTCCCCGCATGCTGCACTCGCTGACGGTCTCTGCAGGGTACCGGCGAACTGTTATGATTCTCTTCGAGTCCAAGAATGAGATGCAAGTTATGTCGAAGCTCAGCGGTGGACTACTTTGGGGTGTTTCCAAACTCCAATCGACTACTGCACGCCCGTCCAGTGAGGAAAAGGCATATGCGGCCTTCCTCCTCCAATCCATGGTCACCCAGCCGGAGAGGACCTACTACGGTTCTTCCAAGCCCAGTGAAGACTCCGTGCGTGTCAAGGTCGCGCTGTTGGAATGTGCCGTGAAGTGGAAGGATGCGTCTCTTTGGTCCCAGGTCGTCGCCAAGTGGGACTACTCGTTCGAAGCCATTGGGCTTGATTCTGTCCTTGCGGCCTTCGGGAAGTTTACGTTCGACTCTATCAAGCAATGGTCAGTTGATTCTTACTATCCTACCTCCTGTACTCATCACCGTTGCCAGTTTGGATGAGATGGTCAAGCGAGCATCGAAGTTGGATGACCGTTTGAAGATCGTCAACAGTATAGCTCAGAAGGCTGGAAAGAAGCCCAAAGTTGCCGTAAAGAAGTGGATCGACGAGCAGTCATCCTCAAGCATTGCGAGTTACAACACCGGCGATGTCACTGATATACCGATTCTGATTTCAGTCGCCAAGTCCAGAGGCCTGCAGACACTGAACGACACGTACGTTGATAAATTCTTAGCGAGTTCAGCTTCCTGACTTTGTCGTTCTGCAGGGTGGTACTCAATATTTCCGGGAAACCGAAGATGTTCGACTTCTGGATGGGTTTTGCGGATGCTTTGCACGAGGCGCGGGGAGAGATCTCTGCAGAGCCAGCCTCCATTGACGCCCTCATCAAGAAATGTCTTGAAGAGGGAGCACCGCAGTGGACCCAGGCAGAGCCCAAGGGAATTAACGGACAGCCTTACGAGAATCGACAAGCGGGAGCACAAGTCCATCGAGCCATCAAGGTGGTCGAAATTGGACTGAAGACGAAGATCACCCAACCGGGCATCGCCATTCTCAACGAAATTCTCAAAGGTGCTGTCCCATCTGACAAAACTCCGGATCAGTTCACCTGGGTCTATGCCCCTCTCATCATTGGCCTAAAGGAGACGCTGAAGAAGTTTAACATGGACTTTTCGACACCTCCCTTCTCCGACCTCGTTCGCTACCTCGTCCGTTTCTACCTTAGCGCCGTTCTCGGCGGGAAACCTGCAACTGGCGTGATCAATCTTCGCAAAGTCGGATGCGGGTGTCAACAATGTCAGCAAATCGACCAATTCATCATGGATTCCTCTTCGGCGAGGTCCAACATCCAGTTCAAAGCGCACCTAAGTGTCCGTTCTCATCTCGAGTCACGCATTGCTCGTGCACCTGATCTCTTCACTTACCAAACGATCCGATACGGTTCCCCGCATACCCTTTCAATCGACAAGTCTCCGGCGATCGTGGCGTTGGCCAAGTGGGAGGCGAAGGTGAAAGCTGCGAAGGTGTTTTTGGCGGGAGTGGGGAACGAGGAAATGTTGAAGACGCTTTTGGGCCCGCAGGATTGGCAGAATGCAGTCGGAGCGTTGAGTGGGGTGAGAGCGTTTTCTGGGTTTGTACCCGTTCGTGGTGGTGCGGGTGCGGGTACGAGTGGAAGCGTTTCGGGGGCCCCGGCAACCTTGGTTGGACAGGGCGCGGCTGGCGTGAAGCGCAAGCAACCTGGAGGAACGTGAAACCTGTTTTAGTTGTCTTCTTGACCTGCGATACATAGTCTTGTTTTGATTGTACATTCATTCCGCTCTAGAGCCGCTACTTTAGTGTTAGCACTGCGTTTAATTGTTGGGTACATGAAATTTCTTGTAGATATTTTGGTCCTGTAAATTGTATCTAACATAGGTGTTCCTCCCCATCTCGCTTCTGTGTTCCTCACACTCTCAGTAAGTGGCCTTGGCTGTCGAAGGAACTCGTCACTGTCCACAAGAGCGCAGCTCAGTACCCGTCAAGCTTCATGCAAACCACAGCGAATCGCGACGGGGAAAGATAGGGTTACTTGCTCCTGGTGCCGATAGCGTTTTAAAATGGCTGGGCTGGTGATAGCGCACGGAGAGCACACACGCAAGTGAGATCTCACTCGCAGCAGCGACGCTTGGATCAGGATATAGGGCCGCGAGCCACATAGCATTAGTAACTGTCACCCCACCTCCACACGGTTTTTCAGCGATGGAGATTTCATATTGTATTGCCAGGCCCGTGGTTATGTTATTTGGTCAAAGTCGTATCAATGATCAAATGCGTCGGGGGCGGGTCTTGGAGTGTATCTTGGCACCAACACTGTCCATCAGCCGATCGTCATGAATGCCCATTGTTCCCTCGAAGTCATCACTTACGAGGCTTTGGCCCCGCTCCTTTGTCGCGTTTCCTGCCAATCCCCGTTGTCTGCCGCAAAAATGCGCGTCGAACGGGTGCATTGTGACTCGATCCCGCCAAAGCTCATTAACGCGCCACTGACGCATGGGAATTTGGAGAGAGGATAATGATCGTCCTCAGAGTATGAATACCCTTGGGAGACCCTGGCCCTCTCCTTCAACTTGAACAACCATCGAACGCATCACCCGACTCTACTTCTTCTATATACCTTCAGCAATGCCCACGCTCTCTGTGCACAACAGCGACTACGAACCGGTGGACCAACTTGGAAACGAGCCCGGCGTTAACCTCGATGAGCTCAAGCGGTCGAGAGCCAGTCTTGGGGTACGTTTTCAATATTGTTTATTCTTATACGTCTAGTAGCTCATATTCCAACCGGAACCATAGGACGACTTGTGCTCCGCCCTCGATGCCGACTTCGACTGGATGGGCAAGCACTACTTTGCACGTTCTTATGCTCGTGCCGAGAGTGAGCTCGATTCTGTCTCCATGAAGATCGAAGGAAAGGATGGTGGCGGCTTCGACCTCTGGACCCCACTCGAACCTTGGCACGTCGAAGAGTTTATCGAAAACGCATCTCAGGCCCCGTTTGGCCATGGAGGTGAGAAGCTTGTCGATACAAGTGTTCGCGATACCTGGGAAATCGAGGGCTCGAGGGTGAAGCTCAAAGGAGGATCTGCAGCAGTGGATTAAGGAAATTGTTTTGCGCGATGTTTGGAAGGGCTTGGGAGTGGCTCCGTTCGAAACTGAGCCTCGATTGGATCTCTACAAGTTACTTCTCTATAAGGAGGGCGGACAGTGAGTAATAATGTTTTCGTTCGCCTCCACTCGACTCTAACTGTTTTTCTTACGCCTGTCTCAGCTTCCGCGCCCATCAAGAGTAAGTCGATCTAAACTAACTACACTGCCTATGGAAACTGACTCTAGTTCGTAGCTAGGGAAGGACAGGGGGTAACCCCCGGGTAGCCGGACACCTACCCTTACCCCCACCCCCCAAAACCCCTACCCCTGACTGAGGGGTAGGGGTAGTACCCTTACCCCCCAACCCTGAGGGTTTTGACCAAGGGTTTTAAGTATTTTGGCACTAACCTTTAGTTATAGTAGTCTATATGGATATTTTATATGTGCTATATCGCACATACAGCAGTTATTTAGTAGATACAATGCATAGATGTTGAAATAAATAGGTTTTGTTTGGTTTTTATCAAAACCCTTACCCCCGACCAGGGGTGGGGGTTTGGCCAAGGGTAGCCGGAGACCTACCCTTACCCCTACCCCCGCTCTACCCCTGGCCTCTACCCTGGGGGTTTTAAAACCCCTTGACCATCCCTATTCGTAGCACCGAGAAGGCAGAGGGCATGTTTGCCACTGTGATTGTCCTTCTCCCTCACCAGTACTCCGGGGGCGAAGTCCATATCACACACAACATGTCCACGGAAGTCATCGACTTCTCCGCCCAATCCAAGCGGAACATCTCCATCCTGGCATGGTATACCGACGTCTTGCACGAGGTCAAACCAGTGACATCAGGACACCGTGTCGCTCTCTCCTTCAATCTCATCCACACCACACCCAGTATTCCTCGTCCCCAGTTCAAGTCTGCCTCACCCATTCCCCTAGATGAGTGGCTCGCCAAACTCCGAAGCGTTCTCGAGCGATGGGTGAAGCACGGATGTCCGATTAAGAAGGTCTCGAGGCGCCTTCCCCCGAGCCAGTACACTATTCGCAAGCAATACCTCACGAAGCTTACGCCCCAGTTTTATGCATATGTCCTCAAGCACCGCTACAGCCTTCGAGACCTCAACAAAGGTCGCGCTTGCCTCAAGGGCGAAGATGCCCACAAGTTTTCTCTCCTCTCACTCCTTGCGAAGGAACTTGGTTTTAAACTCGCCCTCGCGCGTTTGGAGATTGGGATCTCAGGCGTTGCGGATGACCTGGAGCGCTACGAGGAGATGGTCGAGTCGAAGAGATGGGAGCGGAGGTGGGCTTGGGAGGAGAAGATGAAGAAGGAGATGAAGGAACGGAAGAAGCGCGGCGAAAAGGTTGAGAAGATAGACCCAGATGACTTCGACTCTGCGGACGAAGAGGACGAGAGGAACTGGAAGAGCGAGCCCTTCAACTTGATCAACACTTACGAGACAAAGTACAACCTTAGGAAAGTCGTCAAAGATAGTGGGAAACCGTTCATCAAGAAATCGAGCAGCGAGGTGAAGATTCCATTGGATGGAGAGAACTTCAACATCATCCCTAAAGACCCCGTTTATCTGGGCGAAGACCCGGACCAAAGGCAATACAGGCCCTCTGGGTATCTTGGGAACGTGAGTTTTAGACTGTCCTTTCCTCTCGCACTTTTGACTGACAGACGATCGATACGTATAAACAGGACCCTGGTGATCTGACTTTCTGTAAGTCCCTTCAATCCGTTGTTTTAATCTCGTAATCATACCTTCCTTGACAGGGTACAATAATGCGGTGGTCATCATTTACCACGAGCGCGATGAAGAGAAATTGGTCCCGTATTTCAAAGGCGATGATTGGGACCACGACTTGGAGTATCCGCACTAACTAGATCCGAGTTCGGTTTGAGACTGCTAATGTATTCTTGTCAATTCTTCTTTGGCACTTATAATTACATCATGCACATAATATGTACAATTAGTAGACTAATTAATGATACAACGTCCAAGGTTACATGAACGGGAGAGTTACGTAGAACAATAAGGATAACGTGGATGCAAACCTCAAATTCAACGTTTCAGTTTGGGATTCCGCGATGGTCTCGCTTGACGCCCGTCGTGAGTGACGAGGTCGGGACACCAAAAGGGACTCCGTCATCCAAGGTGTTCACAACACTTTGGTACACCTCTGACTCGTCTGCGAACAACCTCTTCAATTCCTCTCGGCTGCTAATCCCATCAACGAACGCCTTCGCCATCCCGACTCTCCCGTCCCACTGCTCAAACTTGACCACCTCCGGCGTCTTGGTCACTCCAAACTTTCCATTTCCAAGGCCGGTGTCGTAGGTTCCGGGGCCTTTTGGCTCCGGGTACTTGTCTGGGGGAAAACCTGTACCGCCAAGCCGCGAATCGATTCGCCCCACGTGACCTTCAATCACGTGTCCTTCTTTTTCGCTCCGCAACTTCCTTCGTCCTTCTGAATCTTTGCTCGTCGTACGTCCATGGTATTTTCTTCTCCCATCAACATCAACCCTTTACAATACATGTCGCCCTGCTCTTACCTCTACATCCCATGCTAAATCCAGCACCAACTCCCTGGATCAACGAGCCGAGATCTGCACCGCCCATCGTTCTGATCCCATCCTAATCGCTGCACTACCTGACACTAACAGTCGACTTGAGTTCTGCTCCGCTCGCCTCACTCTCCACACCATCCACTGGCCTTGCGAGGCCGTCGACGACGTTGACCTTCCTGTTACTGCGAATACGTCGTATCACGTATATCATCACCCGTTATCCAATTTACATGTTTTTGCCGTTCCATTGAAATCTACATCCCTACATATCGTACTGCTCCGTTCCTAATCGCACCCACCCTCCTGTCCACACAACAACCCTGAAACAACGTCCGTTTTTCCCTCTCCATGAAAATTCCGACTCCATCATCCGTAACAATTCTGTGTCCTCTTTGCATGAATACACCAAAAAAGGTACCACCCCTACCCCTCCATCGAATAAATCGCGTTCCGTTTGGCTGCAGTTGACGTCTTCCCCACAGACGTGCACCCTTTCCCCAAAACGCGAGTCTGCGACACTAGTATCTGCCTGAAAAATCCCAAAAATGCGGTAATTACCGCGTTTTAGAATTTCCAGTTACCGTGGTAAGTAAACCGTCCGGTAATACCGAGTAAAATCGATTTTCCGGTAATTACCGGACGAAATCTTTTCGCTCGGTATTACCGGGTGATTTTTTCGTCAGGTATTACCGAGGCATTCTTTTATGCTTCGGTAATGCCAGGGCAATAGATTTCTCATCGATCGGACTGCGAAATTATTGATCTAATTGATCTGGTATCAAAAAACCTCATTTTTAATGCTACACTTTCACTCATATTTTATTATGGCCTCTCGGGGCGACATTTGATAAGAATAGCCTGCACCCGGGGTGCCGGTTAAGTTTAGGGTTAATTTAGGTTAGGTTTAGGTTGGGGTTAGGTTAGGTTGGGGTTAGGTTAGGTTGGGGTTCGGTTAGGGTTAGGGATCAGGGTATATTTATTAATTCTACGTTGGGGTTAGGTTAGGTTAGGTTAGGTTAGGTTAGGTTAGGTTGGGGTTAGGTTGGGGTTAGTGTTTGTTAATGTTTGGTTTAGAGGGCGAAATCATCCGGTAATTACTGAGCGAAAAAAACCGTCCGGTAATTACTGAGCAAAAAAATCGTCCGGTAATACCGAGCGAAAAGATTTCGTCCGGTAATTACCGGAAAATCGATTTTACTCGGTATTACCGGACGGTTTACTTACCACGGTAACTGGAAATTCTAAAACGCGGTAATTACCGCGTTTTTTGGGATTTTTCAACTGGATACCACCCTCTGCGAATGCTCGGTACCCGCGCTCCCGGTACTTCGACATCCACCTTTCATCTCGACTTCCCGGTTGCCCTTCGATGTTAACCCATCCTACTCGCCTACTCGTCATGTCCTTGTACAACGAGACAACCCCAATGTAGGAAATCACATTCATTACGAACGTAGAATGGAACGACACGATTGCCGGAAGCGCCGACCTATTTTCTGCTCAATGCTTTGCCATTTGCCTCGACATTGGTTTGATTGCGTACCTGTTATCCGTGATGATGACGTTGATGACTCTCCCCGTACCACCGTTCAAGAAATACCAGATGTCCACTACGAACGGCAAGTTCGTGTACTTCCCTCGCCGACGCGCACCGATCAACCCTAATTCGTCGCCTCGAAGGTACTGCCACCCTGTCGACTCTTCCATCATACGGAACATAGCGCCTGCCCCTCTGATTGGTATGTAGAAGTCGATGTCTCCCGGTTCGAACCTCCCCGGCTGAATGACCCACAGAACGGCTGATCCTGATATGTAGCCTTCACTCTGGAATAGTAGCTGCAGAACCACCGTCGGGTTGAGAGAATATCTACTAGGGATGGTCAAGGGGTTTTAAAACCCCCAGGGTAGAGGCCAGGGGTAGAGCAGGGGTAGGGGTAAGGGTAGGTCTCCGGCTACCCTTGACCAAACCCCTACCCCCAGCCGGGGGTAAGGGTTTTGATAAAAATCGACCAAAACCTATTTATTTCAAAATCTATGTATAATTTCTACTAAATAACTGCTTTATGGGTAATAAAACACATCAAAATATCTATATGGACTGCCGTAACTAATGGTTAGTGCCAAAATGCTAAAAACCCTTGGTCAAAACCCCCAGGGTTGGGGGGTAAGGGTACTACCCCTACCCCTCAGTCAGGGGTAGGGGTTTTGGGGGGTGGGGGTAAGGGTAGGTGTCTGGCTACCCGGGGGTTACCCCTGTCCTTCCCTAATATCTACCCATCAGGTCTGTCACTCGCCGTTCCAACTCCCGCGTAACCGCCGGCCTAAAACTTGCGTGACGGATAGCGATATCGTTGAGCCACAGTAAACATTGCGAAGATATCCACTCGTCCTTCCACGCCCTCAATACTCCTGGCCACCGCAGTCCCGCTAGGTGTTCCATCGTTAACAAGCTGCCTATTCCTTTACGAAAAAAGAAGAGAAAAAGAAACTTACCGACGACGAAAGCACCAACGCATGAAACCGTGTTGCCCATCCTATCGTTCAATTGAAGACTATGACCGCCGAATATAGCTTTCCCTCCTTCACTTGTCTGTCTCTTCGCCCCCTTATCCATCTTCCTTTCAATCCAACGCGATGTCACGCTCCGTGGAACGACAAGTAATACCTCCGATATGCTTGCGACTGATTCCGCGCACCTTAAAGGCTGTGCGCCGCGCAAGTTGTGTCGGGTCCTATCCCGATGCCCTTCTACCACGCGTCCCATTGGATTCTTTTCCTAGGTCTTCTCTCGTAATACTCTAAATTCATGCCTCAACTTTTTTATAGGTTCCGTTGCCCTGATTCGACCTTTACCGACTTTCGTCCCATACCCTTCTGGTTTGGTTCCCCAACCCTCCTGTTTCCTTCGTTCCCTACTAACCACCTAACTGATGCCCGTCAAGTCTCGCGACGAAGACCGTCGTTTCTTCGCGTCCAAATGCATCCCTATTTTCATTTCTGCAGAGATGGGACTTAGACCCTGGAGACGATTTGTTCGGGAGATGGGAGACGACTTCCCTTTTCCCTGCGCTTCTTGTATCAATACAGGAGAGCCTTGCGAAGTGTCCCCAGACCTCGTGGGCTGTTTGTCATGTCTCCGTCGTGGAACTCGCTGCACCGCCCATGACGATTGCATCCAGCACGCCCTTATGCGCCACTTCCCTGCTAGCTGGAGAAACCATCTCTTTTCGACTTTTTACGATTACCATGGCTATCATGCATACGCTCGTGGTCGTATGCACTCGAACTTAGGCGGTCTCAACGCCGTCTTTAACGGTGTGTGTTTCTCAGCTGCCCACTCTCTGTTCCCTCAACTCATACCCAACCAAGCTACTTCTGTTATTGCTACCCGAGTCGCTGCATTGACTCGTCGACAATCGCTTCCTCGCCTTACAGCTGCTCTCGATCAGCTGCGAGAAGCTACTTTCGTTCTCGCTATAGGTACGCGTATTCACATTCAGGGATTTCCGTTAAACATTTTCCATTTAGGCCGTTCGGTAATGCAGCAGCAACATATCGCGCGACATATTTTACTACACGATATCGCTTCCATCTTGAAATCCATTCGCCATGGTTGCCTTCCTTCCCAGCGAGGTCTTGCCCTTATCGAATCCATTTTTAAAGACCGAGGATCCGATGTATGGTCGGCTACTCGTTTTCCTTATGGCCCGTGCCCCGAACTTCGCGCTTTACTCCCTACCCATCCCGACTTGGACTAGTGTTCCCCGTTGTCTGTAAAATGTCTTCCTTCCAAATTTCAAACCATGTTTTTCTCTGTATCAAATCCGCACATTCCATCCCCATACTTCGTTCCTTTCGGCTAAATTACTTCTGGGTAAGGTAATCACGTCTCTGATGCGCTTCCCGCAGTCCAACTTCTGAAAAATCGCGCCGTGGACTCCTGCTTCCGCTGTGGCCCGCTTCTGATGGGGTACCTTCGTGTCTCGCCTACAAACCACAGTCTCTTTGGACCTAACATCCCCTTTTGGCCGTACAACTTGGTTATAAAGATTCTCGATGTATTTCTTTTCTCAACTACACCATGGCGAGCGGTTCGATGCTGCCAATCGTTCAACACAATCCCGCTCTTCTTATCGACCCTCTCGAAGCCTTCAAGTGTTTCTACATGTCTCCTCATCTTCGACACCTCTTCCTCCTCTTATTGGAGAAGAAAAACTGGGGGGAGTTCCTCCTTGCGCATAGACCTCTCTCTCGTTGCGATGCTCTTGCCTGCAAGCAACACGGGTCCGATTGCTCTGTCGGTGACCGCCACTTGGGTTGCCGGACTTGTATTCGTAACAACACCCTTTGCTCCCATGTCACCGACTGCCTCCTCAGCACTCTGCTGCAGGACGCCATTCCGGTCGCTCAAGCCAACGAGTTGATCTCAACCTTTCGCAGACATTACCAGAGTTCTCTTGTCGCTCCGCCCTTTTCTCATGGCGGGATCGGTGGTCTGATCGACAGTGCGTCTCTTAATTCCATGCCTTACCTTATTTCCTACTGACATTTCCGTTTAGACTTACATGAGCTTCAAGTCTACCTTCCTACCGTGCCAAAAGAACACCGTCCGTCCCCTAACCTCATGGTTAAATTACGCAAGAGTCTCTTCGACATTGTCATTTGTGAGTTTCGTCGGCGCGTCGTTTCCCTTCCTAATTCCCTTCCAGCCAGGGATGTCATGTCTCGTGAAGTCCAGAGCCTTGTCGCAATGCTTCACGACATCGCTACTATTGTCAAGATCTGCAACTTTACAGGCACCATTACACCTGAGTCGGCAATTGCGCACATCACGACACTTTTCCTTCAACATCCCGGATTCAGCGAACCTTGGATGGAATCCCCGTAAACATTCGGCCTGCCAGCTGACTGTGTCATTACCGAGTGTGACCGACTTGCTCCTTTGCCCCCTTCGGGTCTTTCGGCTTTCGCTGCAAACAACTCAGATGTTTCCGCTTCCACTTAAACCGTTAAAAGGGAATGGTCCCGTTGGACCAAGTCTCCTTTTTTCCTTCTTACCAACAAATTGTCGCTTGCCTTATGTTTCCCGCGTGTTTTATTGTTGGCTGCCGCTCTTGTTTACATCGCGGCAATCATGGTCTTCTCTGTTTGTATTGAATTTCTTTTACTGCAGTATAGAAACCTTGGCAATGCGCGGCCTTCCCTGGATTGTGCCTGTTTACCCTGAATCAAGTGCCCCCAACCCACTTCGTAGTTGCCCAAATGTCGCGACAAGCCCTAATCCGTCCAATTCCACCGCAGTCATCGCGTGGTCCATCCGCCGTTGTTTCCCAGGTGTACTGGCCCAAAGTGTGGGTGAAGCTCCGTCAATATTGGCTTATGGGGATCGATTTTTCTTTCAAGGTTCCATATTCGGGTTTCCCGCCATTCGCCCGCACCATCTCTTACTTATGCCTACAGTGCCTAGAGAGATGTATTCACCGACTTAACCCCGCATACGTGGTCAAATGCTCTTTTCCATTTTCGTTACTCCCTCCGTAGCCGTTCAGATCTAAAAGTCGAGATCCCCCGGGGCTTCTGTTGGTTGGCTACCTTGTCCACCCTTTGCAGTTGTATTGACGCCTTATTCCACGACACACCCGATGACATCCAGCATGACTCCCTTGCCATCCTTCCCCTCAGACTCTTATCCGTCTACCACGCTACAATTAATTGCGACGTCCACATTTAACCCACATCCTGGTTATACTGGGCTGTTCTGCCGCGCTGTGCTCGTGGGCCATGATCTTGGTATCCACCAAACTCCCACTCATGATAATGTTTTCGACCCTGATCGCCTGAAACTCTGGATCGTTGCCGTTGGCCTACCTGTACAACCTATGCGCAATTGAGAATACCATGCGCCGAATGAACGGCGAAGGACACGCTCGCCGCTAATGCCCCTGGTAGCTCTCATTCATACCGACCGTATTTCGCTATCAAACCTGTGGACTGGTCGCATGTAGTTCGTCTTTGCACATTGATAAACGTCTTTTGCCTTCTCATCCGGTCAACCTTCGCCACTATCCTTGTTTCCGTGCTCCGCCGATCCATTCTCGCACACCTTGAATTTGTTCACTGTGGGCCCCTATGCCGTAAGTTGACAACCATGAGTAGCGCGCTCAGAAAACCGGCGATTTACTTTTCATTTGTGGTACAGAGATTCTATTTCGCTGTGAGAGCCTTTGCAGTAGAATCTTATTCCACCCAGGAACGAGGAGGAACTGGAACGCATAGCGTCTTGAAAGAGGCGCCTTTACTGACCGAGGTACAGTTCTATCGATATATACTATGTGTCCATGGCCTCCATGTCCCCCATGGTCTTCCTTACTTTCACATCGGACCTCCCGCAATCGAGGAAGAGGCTACGGCGTTTCACATTCCTTCCCCTGTTCGCCGCCGCGTCGCTGGATGGAACATCCAAAGCCCTAAGCCTTTCCGACTCCTGGTGTTTGGCATGTCAGTTCTTTCGGGCATGGAACATCATATGAGCTGACCTCTCGGTTTTCTGACGACAGCAACGTCAACGCTCGCATCACAAGGAGGAGCCTATACTGCTGATTTTTGATGGGGACGCAGACCAGGGAAAGCGTTACCTCGACTATGTCTCCTTCCTTGAACTGGCCAGGGTTGAATACTGAATATCTAATTGAGGGTTAGTCTCGCTTGGTGTAAATCCATTCTCCAATAAATGTACCTACTCAACTATGCCGTTCTTGTCGACCGTTCGCATGCAGTACTCGACGTGGTTGTCAGGTCCTTGAATGAAAGCCGCCCCACGAAGATCCTCAAGGATATGGTTTGGGTCTACGAAGTCGTTGAAGGGAATGTGCTTCTCGTGAGGTATAAGTTCACGGTCGGTAAAGTACCGCGCGTGGAAATCCAAAGCTGCATCACCCTCGTACATCTTCTCTTCTGCTCCAGTGATACAATCGCTAGCAACCTTGAGATGCTGCCGCAATTTGTCGACCATTTGCTTCACCGCGTGACAGCCCATGGCGAAGGAATCGCTGCCGAACCCGGTCAATTTGACGAATTGACGAAGATTGCGAAGGTGGGCAGGGGACAGTAGCCTCCTGGACAATAGTTAGTGGCAACGACTTTGACAAGGAATCGTACAAAACAAACGGCTTATGAAGGACTGGTGGAAGGACTTTGGAACAGATTACACCGACAACCCGAAAATACGCCTCTTGCTCCTGGTCTTCCACTTTGGTAATCCTGAATGATTTTGGATTGTCGAACTCCGTTACACAGTACCCGTCCGTCTAACGCCGCGTAAGTGACACAATACCCATCACCTGCCGTAGAGTTACCTGAACATTGCCTAGTAGTGGAGGTATATTGTCGTCGTCCTGGCTGGCCCTCGCAAAGCAGGCCTCTATGACCCCTCCTGAACCATGAGAGAAGCGTCATTTCACTGTAAGAAACACAATGGAAACGACTTACTTGCAGTCTCTGAGCAGTAGTGATTGTTCATACTTGTGGTTCGAGTAGATATGTAGGGGGACGGCTTTAACTATGCGCGACAAGACCCCTATTAGACCTCGGAAGAAAAGTAGTGATGACGGATACGCCTGCTCGAGTTAATTTGGAACCCAATACATCCAGATTCCTGCTCAAAAGCATACGGAGGCTTCATTATCGGAGGTTTTCCCCTCAATGATACCCCCCAACATGCACGCGTAGGGATGCCCGTGTTCCTTGAGCTTTCGGCGCCTGCTACCGCACTTTCCTCAAATCGGACTGGGACTACACCGGCGCTAATGGTCATGCTGGCCCCACGATACCATGAGCTGGACCGGTTTAATCAAGTTGCCCAGTTTTCTCGGGAGCCTTTAGCAATTTTTCTTCGGACGTTGTCACGCTTCGCAATTGGTTTTCTTTTTTTGTTGCAGGAATGGGGCAGGAGGAACGTCGGGATGCGGTACCAATGTCTTGCTGCAAAAAAAATGCTCGGACCTTTTGCCGCGACCTCGTTCAAACCAATTTGAATAGTAAAGTTTTTCACAATCTTTTTGATCGATTCAATTTCTTCCCCCGGACCTTTTTGCAGCCACATCTTTCAATCAAAGGTGGCAATGTATCCAGACCGCAAATCGGTTGGGGATTCCCATCATTCATGATGTCATACCTGGTCCCTGTAAGCATAGGAATGATTGGCGCCCATGGTCTAGCACAGTTGCTCGTGATGCATTGGGCTGCTGGAAGCACCACAGGACGTGACCCTCCACGCGTCAATGACAACAGTAGGTCAACACCCAACTTCAATTAACCATCAATAACGCGATGTTCTCCAGATTACATTTACTTCCCGCGGCCAGTAGTGCCATGTCCATGATCTGTTAAGTCGAGGACAAGATTCATTCCGTATCTTGTTAATGTTTGGCACGGACATGGATGCAGTACAAAAAAGGTCTCATTACGCGGGGACTTTCCATTCGCTTCGTACCCTCAATCCCGACAGAAAACTGCCGTTGTTACAGACGACCGGGTACTTCGTTGCCGCTATGATGCCTTGCTAACAATGCTCAAACAGCGACTACACGCATTCTACCCTTTACCTTAATCTGATCAAAATGGGATAGCCTCCGCTATATAAAGGGTTCCTCTGAGAACCCTATGGTGAATGCCAGAAATCCGTCTATTACCATCCGTAGTGACAATGTCTCTTCCTGCTCGCACCCCTTCCCCCGTTAATCGAAACGCTGAATTTTCTGCCCTGCCACCTGTCACCGTCACGGCGTAAGTCCAGTCTTCATTACAACACCGAACAAGCTAACGTCGTGGCCGTAGTCCCAACGTCGGCACTAATTGGCAGACAAATGGAAACGGCTTCGCCTTTGGGTTGGTTCTAGGGATACTTTGAAGTTATTGCCTCATCTGACTCGGTTCCAACAGCAGTATCGAACCACGCCATTCATTGGATGGAAATATGTATAATAGCTGGAATAGGTGATCGTCTGTTCTTCCATATGCGCTGTGTTTTTTTTTACTGACTCGACTGCCTCACGCAACAAGTGGCGTTCTTCGTCCCTACGGTCACGCAATCCCTGGCAGTCAAGCGCCCGCGGGGTTCTCCGATCATGTGCAACCGGGAAGGCTTCATGGTGGTCCTCCTGGCCTGTATCGTGCAGGGATGCCTATGCAAGCTGGCCTTACCCTCGCTTATTACGGAGGAAGCGCCATAGATGCGGGCAACTCAGGCGTTGCTCAACAGCGCAGCAGTGTTCTTTCCCAGGAGCATCATACCGTCGCATCAAAAGGACCTGTCGAGAACTCCAATAACGACACTGATACTCGCCCAGCTCAGGAACAATCTCAACATCAAAAGACCGTGGGCAACCCTGACCAGAAGAAACGAGGGTAAGCTCCATGTATGCGAATTTTTCTGGAAACGTCTTTGACCCTCTGTTGATTCAGCAAAAGTCGTGTCAAGGTGGAACCTACAGGAGAGGTCATCGACATAACGTCCAGCGAATGCGAAGACGATGGCGCGTAAGTACCCTTTGCTATCTTGAACTGAATACCCTTGTAATCCATATCCTGCACCAGTCGCTATCTTCCCGGAGATTCCACATATCGAGGCAGAGCCTCGGCATCTCGGATCAAAACACGAGATGATGGCGGACCTCGAACTCGCAAAAGGTTCTTTCCAACTGTCCTCGACTCATTCCATCCATCTAATTCTATGGATTAAGGGTCGCCAAGGAACGAGACAGCGCAGACGGGCCTAACAACGCCGTCGTGAATGAGTGCGTTTTTCACGTCTACTGTCTACACGAACCCACGATGGACGCTGTTTCAGGGCCTCCAATAACGATGCATCTAGAGAACAGTACGTTGTCTTGAGTTTGTCCTACATGTTCGCACTCAACCATACCTCAGGGACGGAGCTTCTGTGACACGTTCAGCGGCTAAGGCTTCTAACAGGTACGCATGCTTGTCAATGGTTTTGCAACTCTTATAACGGGCTGGCAGGAAAAGGGGGAAACGTGTTAAATCATCGCCCGTTGTCCTTTCCTCTGAATCATCAGATAGCGATGCGGGTGCCGGGATGTCAGGGCCACCTTTCACTCAGAAGCGACCAGATAGTTCGTTGCAACCGTCTCCTCTGAAGAAGAGTCCTTCGTCCACCAAGCGCTCGAGGTCTGCTGGTCCTGTCGGTGCTACTGGAAATGGGGAAGATGACCCGTAGGCATCGTTTGGTTACTTCTTCTTTGCACGCGTAAGAGCTTATCGTTTAACAGACCCAGGAAGAGGACACAGACCGAAAACAACTCGGATATGGAGGTGGGGGGGATGAGCGAGCCGGAGTGGGCTTCTTGTGAGTCTATTTCTCTGCATCCCCTATTTGGTTGACGACGCTGACCACTGTTCCCTGGGATGAAGTCCTTGGGGGCATTGTCAGAAGGCAAAAGCAAGCCGGGATGTCAACAAAGGACATTAAGAGAAGACTGAACGGATTCGTTTCTTCCACAAAGAGGTGGCGTTCCACTTTTCTCGACATTGAAGCCGTGGAAGACAATGATAGTGCTTCTGACAGCTCCATGGAAGTCGACAAGTACGATACCGACGACTCTTTTATGTGAGACCTGTCGTTTCTTGGTCTGCGCAGATGCCTAACTAGGCCTTCCAGCGACGATTCCGAGGTTGTCGCCTCAACCTCAACTTCGCGCAAGCCTCGCGGTCGGGGTAAAGATCAGAAACGGCGTTCGCACATCGTCCACAAGGCTGATATCCCTGATACAATGTACGTCTTCGCCTTTCAACTTCGACATTCACTCAACAGTCACACCATACAATAGCGGTGCTGAAGGGACAATTCAAAGAGACGACAACACCTTTAACCCTTCAGAGGATGTAGAGTTGCCAACGCCGGGATTGGAGTACGCACCGTCAACATGTATACTTTCCCTGCTCTGACTTTATCCCCAGGCTGGAAGATTTCGCTCGCCAGCATCGCGAGTTTGTCGCCCAACAAATCGAAGACGACCGTTACATGGCAGAAGCCATCGACCGAAACCATGCCATGATGAGCGCTCGTAGTCCGGCCCCAACTACCGCTAATTCGAGAACGACTATTGCACGCGATGATGCTGAGTCAGAGTCCAGTGGTGACGAGTGAGTTCACATCACAGTTTCTTCAATGCCTTTTCTGATCCCAAGTAAGGTATGGCGTCAAATACTTTCGAGCCCAGCTACAGTACGTTCTTTCATTGGAACTCCCAGGATGTCGCTGACTGGTAATGCAGAGAGGCCATTCGTCGTAGCCGGGCAGCCCACGAACGGAGACTGGAAGCGCAAGGAGTTTGGCCTCCAACCATGGCGGCTGTACCATCTGTACAAGAATTGTTGCGGATGTATCCCTCACCGTCCACGCCCGGGCCAAGGGGTCCACCTTCTTCGTCTCCCTCCTCTTCGACACCTTCCGCAGCAGTTGCATCTCCAGCAACCCATCAAACTCCTTTGCGCACTCCTGTACAGACAGCCCCTCCCGCAACACCGCCAAAAATGGCCCCTCCTCGAACGCCCGGATCTGTATCTGACACCCCGAGGTGCCGGCGGGATTTGGTTTTACCTGAGCATTGCGAGGTCACAGATCCCAACCTTCAAGATCCTATGCTGAAAGGAGACTACGAAAGCTTGCCGAAGCTGAAGTACGTCCCAGAAACGTCGTTTTTTACCATGCTAATGATGTCTGACCAGGGCTGGTCTTTTCGTGCCGTGGAGCAATATAGCGGGCCCTGGACAGGCGAGATTCAGCGCATGGGCTGAACACTGTCCCAATATGGACTTAAGGTGAGTTATTCGGCGCCGTGTTCAACGCTAAACGTTCTGCTGATCCTAAACCAGCCTTGCTCTACGAGCGATTCGATTCACGTCATCCTGTCAGGGCTCGTGCACTTAGCAGAACTCTGATATACACTCGCGCCTTCCCTAGACTCGGCTTAGACTTCGACACTTCGACTTCACCTTTGGCCTCGAGGGCTCGGCCGTAACAGGGGGGTACTGTCAGGGCTCGTGCACTTAGCAGAACTCTGATAGTTCATTCCGTCCGTCCCATATCCGTTTATCCGTCTATCCGTCTTCCGTTCGACAGTAGGCGACCAATACCTGACATGATCAGCTCTATATATAGTGCCAGCAACCTATCACCTTAACCGGTGATAGCGGCCTTTTTGGCTCAGTTGGTTTATCGCGAGTTGCTGGCGCGGTTTCTAACAGTATCACCGGTTACCATTAGGTCGCAGGTTCAAACCCTGGCAGGTGCAATACTTTCCGGCTTGGGAAACCGGTTTGTTTGTGCTTGTTAGGGCCCGGGGGCCTCGGCTGACAGGACGTGTTCGAGTTCTGGGGGCTATTATGTATATCTGATCGCGGGTTCTGGGGGTAAGACGTGGCTAGGCCTGGGAAACCTAGTAAGAAGTCGTCATCACGTCACCTCGAGGGCTCGGTGCTTAACAGGGGGGTACTGTCAGGGGCCTGTCATTCCGTCCGTCCCATATCCGTTTATCCGTCTATCCGTCTTCCGTTCGACAGTAGGCGACCAATACCTGACATGATCAGCTCTATATATAGTGCCAGCAACCTATCACCTTAACCGGTGATAGCGGCCTTTTTGGCTCAGTTGGTTTATCGCGAGTTGCTGGCGCGGTTTCTAACACATCCTCCATGTTCATCAATCCTTCTCGAGCTTGTCCAACCCTGATCGAGCTGCGAGAAATTTCCAGCGGGACAGTTTCGCATAGTCGTCGTCACCACGCATACATAGGGCGATCCCCGGCAATTTTCGTTTCTTCCCTGTTCTCAGAACTTTCCAAACTACGGGAGCCAACTCAACATGGCTTACCTCAGAACATGATACAAGGGAAGTTCCATACACAGGAGTGGGATCGCTTCGTCGGGTTCATGTGTATGGTATTTCGGAAGTCAGAGCTCAACGCCAATCTGGCTCGGGACTCGATGCACTTCGTCACTCGTGCATTGCCCAACGAAAACTCATCCGGTAAATTTCGCCTTATCCATTTTTATGCATGCTAACCATGTACGCGTTAGGTACATCCAAAGGTGGCATGTTCAGCAATGCTCGTAGCCCGTCAACCAAACGAGTTGGTTCCTCCAAGGTTGTGGCGGATAATTTTGCATTGGACACAAACAACAACGGTACGTCGTGGTTAGGCTACTTCTTGCTTTGGCTTCTAATCCAGTCTCAGTCCCAATCTACGACGCACGTAACCAGCAAAATTTCGACTTGGAAAGCGACCTTTCCAATCTCGGCGCAGCACTACCAGCCTGGAACCAGGAGGTACCACGCGGGTCGTTCGTGGTCGTCGGCTACACGGCGGCGGTCTACTTATCTAACATGGGGAAGTGGACGCTCAGTTTGAATATCCAGTGGGTTATCATAATAGGATGCCCAGATGAGGGGGAGAACAGCAGCGAGGAGTAGAAGAGTTCGGCCGAGTTCCTTTTTTGTATCGTTGAAATAACGAGTTTGTTTGTGAATTTCATACATTGGTTTCCTGCTTTCAGTCTGTAATGTTGGAAGGGGCGTAGCGCTCCCTTGATTTGTGACAATGAAAACACGATCTGACGCCAACACAACTTCATAGTTGCTAGAAGAACGCAACAGAAGTATCCAGTGAAGCGCCTCCGGCGGTACTGTCCCATGATGATGTTTGATTACATCATCTATCGGCAATCACCGAAGTAGAAGTTGCAGTTGACCGACAAGTCTCGCGGCTTGAGCTTGATCAATCACCACAGACCTACCTTTTCCCGCCTTTTTGCTCTTAATCCCAATGACGCAAGCCACGACTACGCATTCCGTTGACGCGACGGCGATACATGATACTGGACTTGCTTCTACCGTTGGTAGCGATATGAAGACCTGTGACGAAACTGAAGAGGCGTTGCTGTTGCAATTGTTCGGTGCTGGACCAAAAACATGGACGTACGAAGAGGTACGTCCTTACATCCTACCGCAATATACCGACGTTGGATTTGAAGTCTGCCCAAAGTACACCTTTGTATCGTACGTAGATCGTTCTCTTATAGATGATCAGTTGGAGAGTAACGCTGCACGCGTCCCTTGTCGCATTCCTTTGAAGATGTTGGTCAGTGCTTTACTTGTGAGCGAGATGAGATCGGTATGTGGACACCACAACATCCCTGCTATTCGTCTTGATACTAAACAATCGTTGAAGTTCAAACTTGAGAGCCATGTCTGCGGAAACGATTGCCCGGATTTCGTGTCCATCCTGGAGGGCATCACGGCGCCAGCTGAGGATACTACAGACGGGAACAAATTGGTTATGCGCAACTTTACCCTGAAGGAGCTGATTCCCTATTTGAACCCAGACCAACATCCTTCAGTGTCTGACAATACTCGTTGCATTTTAGTGGGGTTCCAAGACGACACGAACGTAGATCGCGGCGAGCTAGTATGTATCGATGTGCCCTACAAAGTCCTCTATTCACGACTAACCAAACGAGGATTGCTCGAGGTTTCCAAACGTCACAATTTGACTTTCCCAATGTATTGGGGAAGAATGAAGGCCTTAGAGCAGTTGCTGGGCCATGTCTGTCACGACGGTTGCCGTCCGTCACGGCCTGTGTTCCGGGTTGAAGCGCCAAACCCCAGAAGGAGAAAGCATCAACAACTAGAGCCAGACGATGACTTGCCTTTCAAATGGATGCCCTTCGAGTATGAACCGGGCGTTGAGTATCCACCGGGCCCCACGACTATCAAGGACATTGCTCGGTGCGTGGGCGCGCATACTGAAGCACTAAAACCCGAATTCATTGAAGAGTTTCCATGTGCTGTCTGTGGTCAACTGCATAAACGATTTGAATTGCGTCCTTTTCACAAGGAACAGTACTCAATGGATCTATTATCCGATAATTCTGGAACAAGACGCGAGCGACGGCATGCTTCTGAACCAATTCAACCATTGGAAGGACCTGTACTACTCCCGGACGCCAACCATATCTGCTCGGGTTGCTCGACTTCTTTGGCGAAGAAGCGTATCCCTAAATTCGCTTTGGCGAATGGATTTTGGGTGGGCCAGGTACCTCCTGAACTTCAAGACTTGACGTTGGGGGAAAAGGCGTTGGTCTCTCGTGTTCGAAGGAATCGATCACTCGTGCGGGTATCAAAGGGCCACTACAAAATGGTCGCCAACGTTATTTCATGGCCTAATCCTGTCGTCAAAGTATACTCGGCTTTACCACCGCCTCGGGAGGATCTGGACGACGTTCTAGCCATCATATTCACGGGAACGGAGCCGCCAACGGAAGAGGATTCCAAGCGTTCCCCATTACTGGTAAGGAGAAGGAAGGTGCTTGCCGCCTTGGAATGGCTCAAGCTGAACCACACGGAATACGAAGAAATTTTGATCGACAACAACGCCTTGGAAGGGTACGAAGAAGAAGGGATCCCGGTAGTCGTATATCATAGGCCTGTCGCTGCTGAGGTTGGCAATCAGCCTGGTTTGGCGAAGCCTGTTTATGAAGAAGAGGAAAGAGGTACGGAATACGGCCCGTGTCCCTATTCTGTCCATGGACTAACGACAACGAAATTCAGTGATTTGACTCCGACGAAAAGGAAAGACATTGCAATTCAATGGCTTACCGATGGAGGCGGAGCTCTTGGTGTTGGTCGTGGAAGCAGCCCGCTGTCGCTGTATGATAACCCTTCGTTATACACTCAGATGTTTCCCTGGTTGTTTCCCTATGGATTGGGTGGTGTTGGAGGAGAAGGTACGTTTCGACGGGTGTCCGAGGCCAAGCATTTCAAGTGGCTGCTTCGTTACGCAGACAGGAGATTCCAAATGGACAGTCATTTCGTCATAACAGCATTCAATCATCAACAAATCAAACGGACCAGCTCCGCGACTTTCCTCATGGTGAAGAGAGGGAACTTTGAATCGGTGGCACAGTCGATCCTGGATATCAATCCAGCTGTTTTGAGCAGTATCTCGGAACGCATGAGGGAAGGACAACGGGTCGTCCCAGTTACGGATGCTGAAAAGCGATGCTTCAAGTTGCTGGAACAAATCGAACAGGTTGGGGGACACGTCGACGGTTCCCTTGCCAGACGAAAGTACATGCGCAAGGAGCTATGGTCACTCGTGGCTTTCCAAGGAGCACCAAACTGGTACATAACGATATCACCAGCTGATAACAGACACCCCCTCGCGATTTACTGGGCGGGGGACCCGGAACCATATAAACCGGACATCAAAAGTTCAACGTTGCGTGAAACACTGATAGCTACGAACGCGGTAGCAAGTGCAAACTTTTTCCACTATCTTGTTGAACTGTTTCTAACCCACATCATAGGCTGGGGGAAGGAAGAGAGGGGGGTTTTCGGCGTACCAGCCGCCTACTTCGGGTCTGTTGAACAACAAGGTCGAATGACTTTACACCTCCACTTAGTCCTCTGGATAGCCGGTTCTTTCACGCCCAAAGAGATTCGAGAGAAGTTGTCAGCAGGTAATAAAGAGTTCGAACGAAAGCTTCTAGAGTACTTGGAGAGCTGCAGAGTCGGAGAGTTCATGACAGGGTCGAAATCAGAAGTCGGTTCTAGGATCCCCAGGAATTCCCTTCCCAAGAAGAAAGGTATCCACACTATATACCAGGAAGAAGACAAAGTAGTTCCAAATGTTGTTATAGATGGATATCAAGACCCCACTCTTTCAATGCCCTCTCCCCCTCCGGCCATAACCTGTGACGAGCCAATCGAAGAGTGCATGTGCGTGAATTGTATCGAAGTTAGCGACTGGTATGAGCAATTCAAGAGTATTGTCGATGACGTCGTGTTCAGAACGAATGTCCACGAGTGCTTTGCTATGAAAGGGGTATCTATACCTGGCCTAAAGCAGCATCCCACTGGCAAAGGATGCACTGGACGCAGCGGGAAGTGCTCAGCCCGATTTCCTCGCGAAGTATTCGCTGAGTCCAATGTGGATCCTAAGGACGGACATATCAATCTGAAACATCTAGAGTCATCCATAAACTCCGTCACTCCCGCTATCGTGTACACCAATGGCTGCAATACTGATTCAACTTGTCTTCAGTCAGGAACAGCTGTAAAGGCAGTGGTTGGGTATGTATGTGATTACCTCACGAAGGGGTCGTTAAAATCACATCAGATATTCAGCACCATGTACGACGCCTTCACAAGGTACGGAGAGACCTTACGTGAGGAGGATAGGAAGGCTGTGGATGGGGCGCGAAGAATGATTCTGAAGGTTGTCAATTCCCTGGGGGCAAAGATGGAAATAGGTGCGCCCATGGCTGCAATGTACCTTCAAGACAATCCTGACCGTTACTGTAGCCACGTTTTCGTAACATTCTACTGGAAGAATTTTGTGAACTTCGTACTTCGAGAGTGGGAACGGCTGCTAGGATCGACGGAATTGCGGAGTGCGGAAGACACCAAGTGGTACTCGGAGAGCGTCGAGGTCGGGGAGGAACTTAACGATGAGGAGGGACTCGATGTGCTCAGCGACGACGAAGGAGACGACGACAACGTTCGATTGGCCCGTAACGGGAGGTACTTCGTAAGTCGCTCCAAAGTGGAGGATTACCAGCTACGACCGCTTCAGTTTGAGGAGGTTTGCCTGTACGAATGGGTGCAATGTGCCGTGAGGGACGGGTCTGATAATGCACACTCTAACCTCCGCTTCTTCCGGTACCTTCCCGGGCACCCTATGGCAGACAGTCATAAAATTGCATGCGATCCAAGTAGGAGATCCTACGTTGTTCCTAACTTTCTCGGTCCTCCCCTACCGAGGCCTGATGAAGGTGACCAAGAGGAATACTATTGCACAATGCTGACTCTATTCAAGCCTTGGAGAACAGGGATTGAGTTACGACGAGCGGATCAAAGTTGGGCGGAAAGTTTCCATGCTCACCCCTTCACCAAAAGACAGAAAGACATTATAAAATATATGAATGTTCGTTATGAGTGCTATGACGCTAGAGACGATTTCCAGACGCAGAGAATGACAGAACAAAGCCGTCAAGAAACGGAGGAAGACGAACTTGGTCTTTGTGATGACGACGACATGGATATGGATCCACAACATGGAGAGGATGATGAATCTTACTGGAGAGATAAAATGATCATGAATACGTGGGCTGTGGGTCAGGAAAACTTTGTCAAGGAAGCCGAAGAGGTACTCGTTCAGGCGGGATGGGGTTTGGGTATCAAATTAAATGACGCTGACTACGACGTCATAAAGAAGTCAACAGACTCCAGGGCGATCACATGCAATCCCGGAATGACATCCTCCTACTGGAGTGACGTTGTAAAGAAGGAGAAGGCGAGAGTGTGGAAAGAGAGGTTCGTGAGGCTTAACGGACAATCTGGACCCGACGAAGACGGTGATGGAGATTTCAGCGTTGGTGTTAGCGATGGGGTTCGCGTCTTATACGGCGATTACTTGTCGAAGACATACGTGCCGCGCAATAGACGCTGGGCGGATGTAATGAGCGAGTTGGAACTGAAGTACACCCTTAACGTCGAACAGCGGCGCAGCTTCAGAATTATCGCAAATCACGCGTGTACTATATCACCTGAGCCTTTGTTGAAGTTCTTAGGCGGAATGGCAGGCGCAGGGAAAACTCAGGTTCTGCGAGCGCTTATCGAATTCTTCGCAGAGAGAGAAGAACCGTATAGGCTGGTTTTATTGGGGCCTACAGGAACATCATCCGCACTGATTGGAGGGACTACCTATCATTCTTTCCTTTCTATTTTCTCGGGAAAATGGGGTTCAGGGAGGGCTGAACTCCAGTCTGTTGAAGAGGTTAGGGAAAGTGTCGCGAAGAGCGAACACTAAACCAAACCAAAGACCAGTGATGCGGAGCAGAGAAGAGCGGCGAGTGAGATAAGAGCGATGAGCGACAAATGCAGATGAGGGCTGAAGCGATGTATTGACGAGGAGGTCAAGCTGAGGAAATACAGAGGAATCTACCTAGCTTATATACCTATTCTACAGTCTACATAGCCGCAATGAGTCAGGATGACGAGCAAATGGTGAAATGCAAAAGAACAATAAGAAGTCATGAGGCTGCGCGAAGGCTGCGCGAAGAATGAAGAAGACAAGTGGCGGAGTAACGAGGCAGTGCAAGAATGAAGAGAACAATAAGATGTAGGGCAAAGGGCATAACGAGGCAGTGTTCCATGGGAGAAAGTGTCCGTGTCGAGAATAAAGGCAAGAATAAGAATAAAGAGGAAGTGATAAGGGCGATGAAAGCGATAAGATAAGATAGGGAAAAATAGGGGCTCGTACCCGCTGTTCACGACAGAAAGGTTAATAGGTGTGAGCTACATCTTCATAGACGAGATATCGATGTTGTCTTGTTTGGATGTTTGTAAAATTAGTGCTCGCCTTTGTGACGCGATGAACGAGCACGAAAAACCTTTTGGCGGACTTAGCATGATTTTTGCCGGAGATTTCGCGCAGTTGCCCCCTACAAACGGGCATGCTTTGTACAGTGGAGACGTGTCCTTTGTACAGTCGCCTCGATCTAAGCCTGAGCAGCAGGAAGAGACGATTGGGAAAACTATTTGGCTGCAATTCACATGCGTGGTAATGTTGAAGAGAAATATGCGACAGGACGGAGAGTCGGACCTAGACAAGTGTTTCCGTACCGCATTAGAGAATCTCAGGTATAAAGCGTGTACACAGGATGATATCGAATTCTTGCGCTCTCGAATTCCTGCTAATAATCCTGACATCAGCATAGAGGATCCTAAGTTCCGCTTTGTATCGATTATAACGTCTAGAAATGTTCAGAAGGATTCCTTTAATTATCGCAACGCTGTTAAATTTGCCAGCGAGAATGGGAGATCGCTGTCACATTTCTACAGCATTGATACCAAAAGTGGTGTAGGCAGCGGCAGACTGAGGGATGAAAGGGCACGTCCTGGCTTGCATCCGCGTGAACAGAGAATTCTATGGTCTCAAAGACCTTCAACCAGCGAGCAAGTTGCTGGGTGTCTGTCTCTTTGTGTGGGAATGCCGGTGATGATTAGAAATAACGAGGCTACCGATCTTTGCATAACTCGAGGACAGGAGGGGGTGGTAGTAGGGTGGAACTCGCGAGAAATTCCTGGATATCCTGGTTACAAGACTCTGGACACGCTATTCGTAAAATTAGTTCGCGCACCAAAAGAAATCCAAATTCCCAACCTGCCTCCAAATGTTGTCCCATTGACCAAGATCTCTCATCCCGTCGTGGCTAAATTGCCGAATGGGGAAGAGAGGAAGATCTCTAGAAAACAAGTCCCGGTGCTTCCTAATTTCTCGATGACGGATTATGCTTCCCAAGGTAAGACGCGGGAGGTCAATGTAATTGACTTAGCGCGATGCAGAAGCCATCAAGCGATGTATACGTGTCTATCGAGAGGAAAGAAGGCAGAAGATACTCTGATTGTGCGGGATTTCCCAACCGACATGATGACTGGTGGCATTTCAGGTTGGCTCCGTCAAGAGTTTCGGGAACTGAATTACCTTGATAAAATTACAGAGTTACGATTCGAGGGGAAGCTGCCAGAGGACATAATACAGCAAACCAGATGGGCGACCATCGACAGATATAAGCAATGGAGAACCACGCAAGATGAGAGCTCGTGGCATCCAGTGTTGAGACCTGAGCCAACAGCAGACGAATGGCGAAGGCCTAAACGCGACCCAAGACTGAAGGGAAAATTGCATCAGTCAAAGTCAAACAAGCGAAAGGCTGAGACCATTGTTGCGGTGAACAGGAAGCGCCCTAGGTTAGAATTATCTGCACAAAGTAGTAATCTGGGCACCGCTTCGCAACAGATCCGAGATCTCAGTGGGAAACTAATAGGACCTGTATGGGACAATAACGATCATAGTTGTGCATTCGACGCTTGGATGTTCATTCTGTACAGCTTATGGCAGGTTGAGAAGTTGCGCTGGGTGCAAGAGCTTTCGGCGCTTAGTACATCCATGACATTGTTGACGACTGAGTTCCATGGACTGCAAAGCTCTGGTGTCACTACTGGTGCCACAGGTGTATCGGGTGTGAGAGACCGATGGAGGGAATCCATGAGACAGGAAAATCCGGATGAGGATGCTTTTCCGAGAGGTGCGGTCGGTGCTGATATATGCACCTTATCAAGACAGTTATGGGGATGGGCCCGAACCATAGGGTCGACTACAGGGAAATGCAGCGACTGTCAATACAGCGAGAGTGTTCGCGGCCACCGCAATATTGCACCATTCACCGTGTTGGACGATGGCGAGGCTAGGAGTGTACAAGAAGAGCTCGATAAGAGGGGGGAACCGTATGGAAGATGTCCGGTTTGTGATGGGGATCTGTTTTGGGTACACAGTGTAAGTGATTTCTTCTGTGTTCAAACGGTTTGTACGTCGGGAACCTACATTCGGGTTGAGCCCGTTGTTAGAACAACCGACGGGGAATTATTCGTGGTGTTCGGGGCAATCTATCACCGGGGGAATCACTTCTTTTCCAAAGTGATGATGAACGATGGCAATGTGTATTTCCACGACGGGATCAGAGGGGAGAACAGCGTGCTTATAGGCAACTTCGCGGGAGCGAACGATGGTGATGTGTGGGCTAGACACGAAGAAGGTACGGTGTCTATGGTGGTTTATCGTCGAGTTCTTCCGGGGGCAGTTCACGCGTAAACATACATTGATGCCGAAGGCGCCCTGGCGTTGCTTTTCGCATAAGAAGGAAAACCTAATTTCAATGATCCTCCAATATTGCAAGTGCGAGTGTTCGTATCGATGTCAGTGAGTAGAACCAAAGAAGATGGGAACAGTGAGTACTTTACTAGAGATGGTGTTGACATACTGAAGTGTTAATTAGTCGCAGAAGACGTTCCCGAGAGGCAACCCTCAATGGAAATCAAGACTGAAGATGACGGTGTGGATCATCGTTTGGGTGGGTGTTCCCTATCACTCGACACGATGTCCAGGGGCTCACTTGAAGTATAGAATTGCTGTCCAGTCTAAGTAAACCATTCACCCTTGTTAAGAACTTGACGATTTTGTCTGACGAGCCATGAAGGGAAAAGCTCTAAACGTTCGTGGCCTTGGTTGCTAGATGTGTTTGGTATTGACCGGGATACAGGGCTGGAGCAACGAAGGGAAATAAGTTTGCTGAGAAAGAAATTGAATCGCAGCCGTCTGGGTATGTACACGCTTGCATTGTGTTCCGGTATTAATGCGGCGATCCCAAGAAAACCTAGAGCTGCGCCACAGTGAGTCACCAAAATTGTTGCACGGCCTAGCGCCTGACGAGACATAGGGAATAAGCACATTCGTGGGCGACTGCGCGAAGTCACTGAGAGTTTGGTAGAGGTCACGAAGGTCACCGTCAGTGTGCATCGCTCTCTAGAAAACGCATTGGACTCTATCGAGAAGATCAAGGAACGGATGCAAGAGGAGTTAAGTGATATTAACGTGTGGCGGGAGGATGATCCGGACTGCCAGACAGATGAAGAGTGTTCGATGGACGAGGAGTAGAGTTTGTAGTACTGGCTTCATCAATTGCATGTTAGAGTTAACGGATAAAGCGACCGGTCAGGGCAACTATGTAGATCAGGCGGCCTTTTTTTTAAAAAAGTAACGGTTGATGTAAAGGGTCCGTGGGTCATTTAGTGGCCCCACCACGGCGCCTTTCAGACACCAATGTTCATTAGTACAAATGGATGTTGCGTACAGAATTATCGCAGGACCTCAACGGCTGATAAGGTATTATGCTTTGCGAACCTGTTCCGAGGAATGAAGAAGAAGCCATGCGTCGGAACGAGCACGTTAAGGCTCGCGCGATGGTAGGCGAAGGAAACCCTGTCGACAAGCATGACTGACGATGTCCACAGGAGCTCGGTAGAGGCATCGTCAAATGCCTTTTGTACCCAGTTCAGGGGAATCAGTCTGTACTGGTGGATGTGGCTTTGGAGGAAGGCTCGGGGCCCAAACCAAGGCTGATCGACCTTATGGTCCCGAGCTACATGCACAAAAATGGGGAAAGCAACGAACAAGTGGTGGTACTAGATCGGTCGACTATCCGACTGGAACGCCTAACACGCGAGAGTATATTGGTGTTCAAATACGCCTACACAGTGTTCTACAGTAGACGGGTGAGTCCTGAAAGACTGGGTTAATAGAGCAAGCAACTAACATGAATGGAAAGGACGAACACTGGGGATATCGGTCTCCTAACGAGACCCTTAATAGATTGGCAGGACGTGATTTGAAATGTTGGGGCAACGTACTGGTGTGCAAATCAGGGCGGCAAAGCGATACACTCGACGACATGACGGAGAGCGAGCGTGGCCTAATAGATCGCGTGTTAACAGAGGAGATTTGGTCGCACCGACTGGACCAATCGGGATGGCAACCAAATCGGTAGATTTGTTTTTGGATCGGAGAAGTTCTTAGACCGGAGATACGTACATTCGGGAACTTTGTGCACAAGGGCGCAATGCAGCCGAGCTGGAAAGATGTCAATGAGTGTCGGGCGATTAATTTTATGAAAAAATCTTAACGAGCACCACCCATCTACCACATCGTCATCACCAGCGAACGACCAGCGACAATGAGCAACATCAACGACAACACAACCGGACACCCCCAAACATCGAACAGCGACGCGGGGTATAGTGACTGGGGAGCAGGGTGGGGTACGCCTGGGGATTGGAACGAAGAAAGCGTGAGCAAGGACAGCGGACAGGGGGGAAGGGCTCCAGACAGTGATACGCGCGAGGATGTTGTTGGAGGCTGGGAGAATGTCGGAGGCTGGCCGCAGGTGAGGGGATGGGACAGTCGAGAACAGTCTCCCTGTGGAGACGAGTCGGGCGATCGAAGCACATGCGTTAAAACGGAACTGACTGCGAGGGATACGGTATTGTCGGAGACATATCTGGTGTGGTTAATCTTGGAGAACTTGGACTGGTTTTCTGTGGTGCGATCGGCAGCGATATCCAGGGCCTTTCGGGAGGCAGCGCAAATGGTCGCTCGAGGGCGATTACAGGTGTCTTGGTCTCCGCTAATCGGGTTGTTTGGGATATCGTTTGAAACACTGCTATCCGCCCTAGAAAAGACGGAAGGAGGAGTGGTAGGAAGCGCTGCATGGAAAACTATGGCCATAGGGACGCCTTGGCAGGGAGAGGCAGCGTTAACAAATCGATTGACCGTGGTGGTGCCGAAGGGTAGGCTGGACGATTTCGTTAAGAGTCTGAATTTGGCCCCGTCGTATGAATGGAACTCCGTGGTAATCGAGGGGATGTCGAAGGCTTGCGTCAGTAAAGTAATAGAGATATCAGTAGATGCGAACTTACCGGTAGGTGTTTTCGTATCCCCATCAGACGTTGCGCTGAATTCACTCGCAGGTCGAAACCAAGCAGGCCATGCGGCAGGAAAGGGCGGCGCGGCTGAAAGAGCGAAGGCGAATGAAGAGTACTGGCGAGGATGATGTACCGGACGTGGATGTGGATATGACGGTGAGGGGATTTCCATGCGACACGAGAAGGGCCGTGTTAACCGTGGTTTAGGTCAGGCATCTGCGGCTTGTTGAAAGCACTGGGCACGTGTTGCAAGGGATTAGCGGCAGCGCTTCCACCGGGGACCTACAGGTCATTACCTCTCGTCGCATATACCTCCTGTTCCCCACTTTGGTTCGTAACAACCTGGCGATTACAGGGAGAAGGTGGTTCGATTGGGACAAACCGGTCTGCCAGTCGCCACGGATCGAGTGGCACAACTACCGCTGGAGATTCCCGTGCGGTAAGGAATGCCCTGAGAAGGTGAGGAGGGGCAGGGGAAATGAGGGTACGGCGGTTTTCTATTGGAACAGAGTAAAGGAGCGCCAGTGTCTGGTCGAGGGCCAGGATTTCGTGTGGGTGTGGGGGAAGGGATGGAGAAAGCGCGGGCAACGGGTAGGGTGGGGCCAAGATGCTACAGAGATGGATTCCGAGACAGAGTCAAACTGTGAAGGCCCAACGAGGGATCCAGATACGAACACAGACATCTACATCTCGAAAGCGCATGAACTGATGTCTGCAGGCAGTTTGTTTGAAAGGGGCCGGTACAAATGGAGGTTGAAGAGTGAAGGAGGGTGTCATAACCGTAGATGTGCCAACTTCACGAGCGTATGGGGCATGAGTGATGAAGAATAAACAGCTTCGCTTCGCGTATCACACAGACTCTTTGAACTCAGGCATACAGCAATGAAAAGCGCCCAAGGAAGGTTAGAACGCGCGACCAGTCAGGCGTAATAATGGCAGACGGTATTTCGGGTTTATCGGCAGCGGCCGGGAAATTCCGCAAAACTGTACAGGCCGGGATCAATGGGCCGAGGGTCGGCTTCTGGACGCGGCCACTAGAGAGCTGCTCTGGGTGGAGATGAGCGCACATGGCAAACTCGTTGGTTGCATCGGTAGCAGTTCGGTGGCAACCAAGGGTGTAGGGTGAAGGTGTAAGGAAAGATCGGGAGCAGTCACCGACAGGGGTCGACTTTGTCGGTGGCTGATGGGGGTAGGGATGTGGCATTTATTGCGCGCAGGGATGGCGTGCAGTGATCAGTGAGTTGCCAGTGATACCGATAACATAGCTCAACATGCACAAGCGAGTGGGACGCCATGGTCGAAAAAGGGCCTCGACGAGGGTTTCCGACCCTAAGCAGGTGGACGACTACAGGAGTTTTCGTTTCAGTGCATCGCCCTTGGTATTGCGTGCGCGGGAGGAGGCGGAGCGTTACATAAAAGTAAGCATTTTGGAGCTCTTGTATTCATTCTAATTAACGGGCGTCAAAGGAACATAAGGTCGACTCATGGGACTTCATAATGTACCCCGCCGACTCGAAGTCCCCCGCGATTGCCAAGCTTCCCGTGAGGGCAGGGGATGACATCGCCCGAGGCGTCGGGTCTTTGGCCGTGGATGTGTTCGACGATGACGTTCCACCCTGGGCGTTCATTATTATGCGCCCATATGTCGTGGATTTGCCTTTCAAGACGGCAAAGGGCGCAGACGAAGCTATTGTGATGTACTACTCAGAAATTGACGACGAGAAGCGAGAACAGGTGAGTTGGCAGTCACAATGGGTATCAGACGGAAAACTGACGCCCATATAGCGTTCGGTGAATCCGTCGTTCGCGGCCATGATGGGGGAAAGCGATGCGGCTATGCTCCTCCTTCGGGGAACCGTGGCAGTGGTTTTGGTGAAGCGGGGTCGACCTATTAACGCTGTCGAAGAGGAAATCGCGAAAGTGACACAGTATGTGTGCAGGTGAGTTACCACAGTAGCCAAGTTGGCAAACATCTGGCTTATAAAATGACAGCGATCTAATGCATATGGTTGCGGATTGGAAGACCGATTTGTGCTTGCATGCGCTCGACGTCGCAACGACGGCCTTATAAAATAGAAATTGTATCGCATGAAGTTTCTAATGAAATTGTCTTTCTTCTATAAGGGTTGGAATTGAAGAACATCGTGAAGGCCTTAGGACGAATTGCGTCAAGGTCCGAAGAGAGAAATGACAGCCAGGAATGGATGCAGACGGGGATGCAGGCCGTTAAAGGAGAGGACATCATCCTCGACTCCCTGGGCTCGCAAGATCAACCCCACCATGACTGGGCGTAACGGCACCCTCCAAGTTCCCTCTAAGGTCTCTAGCGTCACTATTGAGGAGGTTCCAGACGAGGACGCACACCCTCCTAGTCGGGGAGTTCCCTCCAATGGTGCCATTCTCGAACAGATAGATACCCCGGTTGATTCTCCCCCTGTGCCCACCACTCCTGACCCCAACCCCACTCCCGAACCGGAACCGGAACAAGCCGAACCACCCCTCTGCCGTATCCGTGCCAACCGAACCACCCGCAGGAAATGGCTACGAGCAGGGCTGATCGAGGAAACTGGTGACGAGCTCTGGTGTGCTGCTGGCTTCACTTATTCCCAGCAGATCGCTGAAGAATCTCAGAAGGCCAAACCCCAGAAAACCTTCGAGGAGATGGTTCCCCCACAGTATCGCCGACATGCCTCCGTCTTCTCCGAGTCCGAGTCGCACCGCCTACCCGAACACAAACCCTGGGATCACGCCATCGATCTGATCCCTGGAGCTCCGGCCACCATGCGCACCAAGGTCTACCCCATGTCCCAGAACGAACAGGAAGAGCTGAACCGATTCCTCGACGAGAACCTCAAGAAGGGATACATCCGACCATCCAAGTCTCCCCTCTCTTCCCCGGTCTTCTTCGTCAAGAAGAAGGATGGCAAGCTCCGCTTCGTTCAGGACTACCGCAAGCTCAACGAGATCACCGTCAAGAACCGCTACCCCCTTCCCCTGGTCTCCGACATCGTCAACAGACTCCGTGGTGCCAAGTACTTCACGAAATTCGACGTTCGCTGGGGTTACAACAATATCCGGATCAAGGAAGGAGACGAGTGGAAGGCCGCGTTCGCCACCAACCAGGGGTCTCTTCGAACCACTCGTTATGATTCTTCGGCCTCACCAACTCTCCGGCGACATTCCAGGCTCTCATGAACTCTATCTTCTCCGACCTCATCGCTGGAGGGAAGGTTGCAGTGTATCTCGATGACATCCTCATCTTTACGGCCACACTCGACGAGCACCGGCAAGTTGTACACGAAGTCCTGCATCGCCTCAAGAAGCACGATCTGTATCTCCGGCCAGAGAAGTGCGAGTTCGAACGTCAGGAGATCGAATACCTCGGGCTGATCATCCGCGAGGGCGAAGTCAGCATGGACCCCGCCAAGGTCGAAGCTGTCCGCAACTGGCCAGTCCCCCGTAACCTCCGCGCCGTTCGTGGTTTCCTCGGGTTCGCCAACTTCTACCGCCGTTTCATCAAGGACTTCGCCACCATCGCCCGACCGCTCAACGACCTCACCAAGAAGAACATCCCCTGGCAATGGAACGAACCTCAGCAGCAGGCTTTCGACACCCTCCGCAACACCTTCACGTCTGCCCCCATCCTGGCGCTCTGGGACCCTGACCGCCCCACTCGCATTGAAGTCGACGCCTCCGGCTTTGCCACTGGAGGAGCCCTTCTCCAGAAGCAGGATGACGGCCTCTGGCACCCCGTTGCATTCCGATCCGCCTCCATGCAGCCCGCCGAACGGAACTACGAGATCTACGACCGGGAGATGCTGGCCATTATCGAGGCTCTCAAGGACTGGCGCCACTTCCTGGAAGGACTCCCTGAACCCTTCGAGATCGTCACTGACCATTCCAACCTCGAATACTGGCGCACCGCACAAAACCTCAGCCGTCGACAGGCTCGTTGGGCTCTCTACCTCTCCCGCTTCCGGTTCTCGCTCACCCACCGCCCTGGCAAGACAAACACCCAAGCCGACGCCCTCTCTCGCCTCGACGTCCACCAGGTCTCCGATGCCGAGGACAACAAACAACAGGTGGTACTCAAACCCGAGCTGTTTGCCAAGCTCGCCGCCTCGAGCATGGTCGCCAATCCCTTGGAGGACCGTATCCGACAGGCCAGCGCCCGAGAATCCCAGGTCCTGGATGGACTCGCCCAGCTCCGCAAGACAGGTCCCCGTCGTCTCACCTCTGGTCTCGCCGAATGGGAGGAGGATAACGGCCTTGTTTACTACAAGGGTCGAGTCTATGTTCCCCCAGACGACGAACTCCGACGCGACGTTCTCAAACAGTGCCACGACGATCCTACCTCTGGACATCCCGGCGTACATGGAACCCTCGAACGAGTTGAACGACAATACTGGTGGCCGACCGTGCGAGCCTTTGTCAAGAAGTACGTGGAAGGTTGCGACATCTGTGCCCGGAAGAAACACGCCCAACACCCCCGCGCCTCGACTCAGCCCTTGGAGGTACCCGATGGCCCTTGGGAGACCGTTGGAGTCGACCTTATCACCCAGCTTCCTGATGCCAATGGACATGATGCCATCATCGTCTTCGTCGACCACTACAGCAAGCTTCTCCATGCCCTCCCCTGCACCTCGGACATCACCACCGAAGGAGTCGCCGACATCTACTACCGAGAAGTCTTCCGCCTCCACGGCCTTCCACTCCGGTTCATCAGCGACCGCGGCCCCCAGTTCGCCTCCAAAGTCATGCGCACCCTTCTCAGACGTCTCGGCATCGAATCCAACCTGACCACCGCCTATCATCCTCAGGCTAACGGACAAACAGAACGGGCCAACCAAGAAGTCGAGAAGTACCTCCGCCTGTACGTCAGTCGCCGACAAGATGACTGGGATAAGCACCTTCCCATGGGCCGAATTTGTGATCAACTCCCGAGTCCACTCCGCGCACAACCGATCCCCCTTCGAAATCCTCTACGGTTACATCCCTCACTTCAACATTCCCGTCGGTAAACGCACTGATCTTTCGCCCTGTCGACGAGCGCATCCAACTAACTCGCAAGAGGTACGCAAGGACGCCGAAGCCGCCTTACGTCTCGAGAAAAGCACAACAGAAGGACTTGTACGAATCCGGCAAACGAACAGCCCATCAGTTCAAGGTTGGTGACCATGTTTGGCTCAACGCTAAGGACATCCAGATCAAAGTCCCTACTCGGAAGCTTGGCGACCTCCAACTCGGCCCCTACAAGATCACCGAACGCATCGGCGACCTCGATTACCGCCTTGAGCTCCCCCCTTCCCTCTCCCGCATTCACCCAGTGTTCCACGTCGACAAGCTCTCCCCCTGGAAAGGCAATGATGTCAACGGCATTCTGCCACCTCCGCCTGAGCCTGTTGAACTGGAGGGAGAGCTTGAGTACGAGGTTCACGACATCTTGGACAGCCGCTGGAAGGGCCGAGGGAAGAACCGTAAGCTGGAATACCTGGTCAGTTGGAAGGGCTACGGGTCGACGGAGGATACTTGGGAACCGGAGGAGAACTTGGAACACGCCCCCGATGTCATCAAAGACTTCCACCAGCGTCACCCTTCTGCACCACGTCGCATTGCAGCCACTGTCTTCGCCTCCCTCCCCTGGCAACCCCTTGAGAACTTCACCGACACACCGCCTACCGACTTCGACTGGGAGCTGGGACGCCGCCTACCAGGGATCATCGAGGACGATGAGGCTTAGAAGGGGGGTAATGTCGTGAACAGCGGGTACGAGCCCCTATTTTTCCCTATCTTATCTTATCGCTTTCATCGCCCTTATCACTTCCTCTTTATTCTTATTCTTGCCTTTATTCTCGACACGGACACTTTCTCCCATGGAACACTGCCTCGTTATGCCCTTTGCCCTACATCTTATTGTTCTCTTCATTCTTGCACTGCCTCGTTACTCCGCCACTGTCTTCTTCATTCTTCGCGCAGCCTTCGCGCAGCCTCATGACTTCTTATTGTTCTTTTGCATTTCACCATTTGCTCGTCATCCTGACTCATTGCGGCTATGTAGACTGTAGAATAGGTATATAAGCTAGGTAGATTCCTCTGTATTTCCTCAGCTTGACCTCTTCGTCAATACACCGCTTCAGCATTCATCAGCATTCGTCGCTCATCGCTCTTATCTTGCTCGCCGTTCTTATCTGCTCCGCATCACTGGTCTTTGGTTTGGTTTAGTGTTCGCTCTTCGCGACAATCTTGTTCATCATTCCGTCACCGACGCCGGCACCGTCACTCATTTATTCCCTCATTATCATCACCACCCATCATTCGTCCTTGTAGCACGGCTCGGACGTCTTACGACCATCACCGCCGCGTTAGGCGCGCATTCCGCCAGTGGATCAAGCCGGGATCCTATTTTGGGCCATAGGCCGGGTTACGTGCGCTCATGGGAGGCACGACTATTTTTGACGTCGCGTGGATGGGTGTAGGCTGGTACGCTGCCCGTCACGGACATATTCGGACATGGGGTGGACTTGGTAGAGCCGGGAGAGCTCCCCGTCACCTACGATTCGATTTTTTGGCTATGGTTGTGGTCACGGACCAACCAAGAGGCTCGGAAGCGCTAACGGACCCGTGTTTGTGCTGTAGGACATTAACAGCATGTATTAACTTCGTCACGGACTGCCTTAGTTAGTAAAGAAGCACTTAGGTAGATTTAGGTAGATATTTTCGACTCACCCCGACTGCCGATCTGAGGGGGAGTGTTGGGAATCAGCTCGGCACACGGTAATTGTGCCGGGCGCTTATTCATCGGACGGATTTAGGAGACTAGATATCTTCTTATTTCCTCGATATTTCTACATCTATATATCCGTAGACTACTCGATTGTGTATAAATAGTTCGTAGTTACTTACTCAATCGATATGGGCATTCGCCCTCTCTCCAGTTTCTCAACAGTTTATCCGATGGCGGCCCATGAAGGGCGACTGCTCTCTGCGAAAGGGGAAGGGAAATGCAAGCTTTAGTAGCCCCAACCGCCGTACACTAGGAACAACCCACCTCATATTCGTAATCGTCCATATCTAGCCAGTCATCGTCATCAAGCCCATCTTGCATCGAGTCCGGGTTTGAGTCGGCAAAAGCGGTCTGCGGCACTAAGGCCGTGCTATCAAGGTCCTTGATCTTCTTCACAAATGCTTCGCCCGTTCGAGCGACGATATTATCAACAACACACGTCGTGCTGACTTCCTCGAGACCCTCCTCCCTCAATTCTTCGCCATCTCCCTCAAACGTGCACGTCAGTTTGCCTATCCCTACGAAGATGTCGTGTTTGTCTGCAATTTGGCAAATGAGGTCTACCCTGGCCTTCTCAGTGCCCTCAAGGGCTGTGAATCCCCCTCCACGGTAAAGCTTTGGAAGCACGTAGGCAATGAGAGGGATAGGGGGGAAGTCGATGGCTTCGTACTCCTTGTTCTTCCATTTCATGCACACTTCGTCCAAGCGAATGGAAAAACCATCAGTGTCTGAAGGAGATGCGATAGGAAGAGCTAAAATTTCTTCCAAATCACGCTAAAGGGCTGCATTAGCTTATCCTTTATGCAGAAAGCGGGATGAGCATACCAGAACCCGACCTGGTTTGATAAGGAGGTCGGTGTCGGACCCTTCGGTACTAGCAGCCGTGTCGACCATGAAGTGCCAGAGAGGTGGGGGACGTGATTTTTTGACGGCTGGGTAGAGATATGTCAGATTTTTGGGGTTGTTATTAGTAGGCTCGATGCAGACCTTGCAAGGCAGACGCCGCGCCAGGACGCGTATGGCGCAATCCAATTTGAAGCGGCTGCAGACTGCAGTCGCCATGGATTTAAGCGAACTTTGTTCTAAAGGCGACGGCCTTCAATCCAAATAAATAGCTTTGCCGCTTCGAGAGCTCAAAACCAAAACTTTGAAGTTTTGAACTAGAGAAGGTCACACCTTCATTATAAAACATTAACCATGCGTTTACAAATTACAGACTAAGTATATCATCTGGGACACAATTTCTTGGTAGACCATAGCTCGAACTTTCACCTCAACGCCGACCACTCAATTTACTCATCTCTTCAATCCACCTCCTCGCCACATTCTTACATTCAATGGACTGTGCGAACAGCCTGACAGCCTCCATCCTGTTCTTCGTGTTCACCGTCTTCAAGATCCTGGAGAGCCTACGGTCACAAACAAACCCCCCCTCAGTAAAGCCAGCCCATGGAAACGAACGAGACCAGACTCCGACTCACCGCTCTTTGAACACCCTCCATTCAAACACCTCCGTCGCCTCTTTTACCCTCTCACTCCCAATCGTGATAAATGCCCACGCCAGGCGCTCAGCCGTAGCATCCCACAGCTTCAGGTCCCTCCACCTCGCAGCGTAGTCCATGACCTGCAGGACGACATCGGTGGAGTTGTGAGTAGTGGTGGGATTGGAAACTCCGTCAGCGGGAGTCACCCCCCAGGGATAATTGTCGTTGACGTTCGCCTGGACAAGTCGGAAGGGGAAAGAGCTCCACGGTCGGAGGTCACTGCGTACGCTCAAGTCTCTGTCGACAGCTTCGAGGATGGCATATGCCACTTTCCGATCCTTGTCTGTCGGTGGGTTACAAGACGACGTCTTGAGGTACTCCAGAGACCCTATGATCCCACCCTCGAACTCGAATTGGATACGAGCCTTCCGTGAGAGGGGGAAAAGTATCAGGACGGGCGCGGTGTGACCTTTCGACGGGAGTGGAAGTTAGATAAGGTGAAGAGAAGAGAATGAGACCAGTGAGACGTACGCTCTTCCGCTGTGCCAGGGGAGCCCTGCATTATCAAAGTCAGAGCCTGATCTCGAGTCGCATGATAGCTAGACTGAACAACCTACGTTTTTTCCGGGCCTATAAACTACTTCACCAGGCTCCTCCTCGACCAGTTTCTCCAACCCGTACTGGGGGACGTAACACGATACAATGCTCACAATGTCTTCATACCGACTATTTCGATGGCCAAACATCCTCCGTCCGCCTTTGTCACAGATGCTACCCACCATGAGCTTATCATTTAACAAGTCGCCCAATTCCCACTCCTCGGCATCCTCTGGGCTATCACAGGTTCCTACCTCCCCTGCGGGCTGCGGGTCCCTTTGCCAGGCCTCCATGAGAATGTGAGACGTCACCCTAGAAAACCCAACACCAAATCCACGACGCTCGGCTATACACAGAAGGTGCAAAGCCTTATGCAAGTCAGCGCCTTCCAGGGCATCAAGACCTTCAACTCCATCCACAAACGACCTCCCATCCAACACGTAGATCAACAGATCTCTGTCTTTGAAAAAGTCATACTTCCCCTCTTTCCACTTTCTCAGTACCCGATCGACCTTGTACATCTCCTCGTCCATGTCAGGCGGCACCATCGCATAATACACCCACGCAGAGTAGGAGAGGTTTGTCAGGCGGAGGCTGTAGAAGAGGATGAGGTGGTAGCCCGATGCGAGGGTGCGTTTCTCAACCTGGACGGGGCCCCTATAGAACGCGAAGAGGTGCGTGGTCGTCGACGGAGAATGGCACCTTGAGAAGGAAGTGGTGGACGACGACAGGGAGTAAGAGATCGAGAAGTCGCCACCGGTGGGAGGGGAAGATGAGGGGAGGACAATGCCAAAAGTCGCAACAACGCCTCCTGTACCTCTAGACCTATATCATCGGCTGTGAAGGAAAATCCAAGAGAGAGAACGACAAGCACTCACTCTTCGAAAGCCGGAATACTGGAGCCAGGCCCGTACAGACCAGCCATACGAAGCTCTGCTTCCGCACTCAGGTTCGCCTCCCCTTCACTCGATCCATTCACGCCCAACTCCTCCAGCAGCGTTGGAACCACCCGAGCCTGAATCCACTTCTCATACTTGGGATTCCCAATCCCAACACTCGCAGCCTTGAATACCTGGCCACAACGTCCTTCGAAAGGACTGTACTGGCGAATCGATGAATCCTGTGACTTGAGAAAGGTTGAGAGGGTTTGGGCATCGTGATCGGTGAGCGGGAGTGAAAGTGATTCGTTGTCACTGAATCTTTGGATGGATAGGAGGGGGTCGGGAGCGTTGGAGTAAGACGTTGAGAACTGGTACTGGCCAAACCAGGTCATCCCACTTGACATGGCCTCTTCGAAGTCGTTCTGTGGCGGGAACGTTCAATGGCAATCAAGAGAGAAAGCGAGACAGGAACACACGCAAAGGTCTACACCATCCGACAGCTCAGAAGATGCGTCGGACTCGAGTTCGGTGTCCTCATCTTGTTCTATCTCAGAATCCTATGCAGGGATCAGCCCAAAGCACACTGGGATTTAAGCTGTTGGACTTACATCAAACGGTTGAAGGACATCGGAAACTGAACCCAGCGCTTCTGGGCCACGACCGTCGCTGGAGAGAACTGGTAAGTGAATGGGGGGAGTTCGAACCTGTTTGTGTGGTGGAAACAAATCCATGGGCCCGAGGTAGGCAAACGGGTCATCCTCCACGGTGATATCTGGACTACCCTCCCTCTCGCCATTGTCAGGCTAGTAACAAATTAGTAAAAGGCGCTTGATAGATACGAGTAGTGCAACTCACAATCACTGTGGTCACCACCCTAGGCCGCGGTGTCATCGATTTCTTTGTCCCAGAATCTGTATCCTCTTCATCCACGACTTCGGTCTCAGGAAAGGAGACAGGTTCATAGTCGGACAAGTCGAAAGCGTCGGAGAGGGTATTGAAACCATTTCCACAAGACACCATGTTTGATGGGGTCGATGGGAACTCGTAATTGGGCCGGCCACCAGGTAGAGGTATATATGCGAAACGACATGGATACGCAATATTAAATAGACCTTTGAGATTTGACTTCTTGACGAGTTGGTGAAAGCACCTTTGTTTCGGTGCAAGGCTGGTATTACAAAGGATGCAGATTGCCAAGGACCTGCCAGTGAAAGGCAACCCCATGGCGGTCAGTTCGTTTGGTTGCCTTCACGAGATTAAACAACGACAAGCATCTGAACAGTGGCAGCGGTGGGATATCATGCAACATGGCGAGCAGCACAAAGGAGGGAAGGTGGAACCCTGAAAGCCTGGACGGGGGCGCCGAGAAAGACACGGATTCGAGATAGGGTCCTTGAAATTTCAGCCCGCCGTCGTTCCCGCTTTGAACGCTGAACCAGGCATTGGGCTTGGTCGATGAGAGGCAGGAGCAAACTGGACTCGCGACACGACCGTGGCGGCCGGGGGTAAGTCCGGCACGTTGGATCCTCTCAGGTTAGGGTTAAAAGGCCCCTGAGTGCTCGAGGCCCAGCTCCCAATGTATCACTTACCTGGATTGGTGCGTCAATTGTAGCGTTCTTCGACACCTTTGCCCATGACGCTACCCCCCATCTCCCAGATCGACACGCCAATAGTTAACTAAGTCTCGGTATTATTTAAGCATAGGTCAATAACGACATCCTAGGATACAAGTCCTGGACCTTCCACACCCGCCTGCCCTCGCTTCCCACCCATCAATTCCACTATCATCCACACCGCACACTCGACATCATCGTCCACCTTTCTAGAAGTCGCAAAATAGCTCTCTAACGCCTCTCGATAGGCTTTCAATATCCATTGTTTACGTGCTTCTTCGCGACGGACACGGCTTGAGTTGGAATGAGAAGGATAGGCAGTGTTGGAGGAGGAGGAGGAGGAGGTGAAGGACATGTCGGAGAGGGAGATGAACGAAGAATCACTGAGTAGAGATGTATCAGAGAGCGAAGGCGAACTTTGCGAAGTGAATGAAGCATCAGAGGATAACGAAGGTGAACTGGAGTTCGAATGTGGCGATTTCGGTTTCGGTTTCGAGCGGGAACAACTGTTAAAGGGGAGGTACCCTGAAACTAGGTCGATAACAGCCTTCCGATCGATGAGTTTAGGTGTTGCTTTCAGGATGTTCTTCACACTAAATGGCACTTAGCATCAGCCAACTTCATATTAAAAGCAAAAGGGTGGATGTACCTTTGCCGAAGAGGCATGTACCCGAAAGCCTCCAGCGCACGGACGAGTCTATCCTCTCCAATAGTTGCGTACATCCATCCTGTCTTCGGTATTACCCCATTCCAAAGCGATTCATCGCTCCATTCGATTGCCTTGTCCAACAAAGTTAATGCAATGTCCACCTGCGAGAATTCCGGGGAACTGGTGGTCAACAGGGAGCCACTGCTGTCGATGGGGCTGGGAGTAAAGTTCCGAGTGTCGTTTAGAGCCCGCAGGACGTACGCGGCGACCTCTTTGGATTCGTGCCGAGAGCACAGTTGGGAAGAGTCGAGGAGGCGGATGTGAGATGCGATCCCACCGGCGAGCTGGAATTTCACGTATGCTTCGTCTTCCTTGCGGTAGACGATGAGTGCAGAACTGTGATACCCTGGTACGAGCGTGAGTGGCTGTCAACAAAAAAAGAAAGCAGAACATACAGTGCTCAAGAGTCCCATCCGACTCCCGATACCTCGATTCAACAGGGTACCGATTCCGAAACAAACTCAAGAAGGCAAAGTTGTCCTCCTCAACGCCCTTCCCTCCCTCCAAAATTATTCTCTCTTCCCCATCGAGACTCCATATCGTTCCCAGTGCATATGTCTCCTCTTCGACATCCTCGCATTCAACCAACTTCCAATACTCCTGTTCCTCCTCTCCCAGCGCGTTCATCTCGACACGATCGTACTCCGTAAGGTGATAGGACCCCTTCCTATGGTGGACCGCGTTTGCGAGGGCGACGACGAATCCGAGTTCACGAGCAATAGGTAGCAGTAGATTGAGTTCCTTTTTATCTATACCCCCAAGAGCCCGCGAGCCATCCTTGGAGAGTCGTTCAGAAGTGTAGAAATCGTCGAGGAGGTAAGCAACGAGTGGAGTCGAGGGTATCGATTCGAGTGGGTACTGGTTCGTTTTCCAGTTTGTTAGCACGTCGCGGAGGACGACAGGGCCTTGAGAGAAGGCGTCCTCGAGGTCACGCTAAGCTCGTGTCAATCAGCTCCAGTCCATAAGCACAAGATAAGACGACGTACGGATAGAAGAACCCCACTGGACGAAAAAACTGAATTTGAATCGCTATCTTCAAGCATCCAATGCCTCATTGTGGGGCTTCTTAGGGCACAAAGACATGTCGATGGCCCTTTATACCACTATTCCCGTCCATCTCTGGAACGTTGCCACTCCCGCTGTACTGGTTTCCGGGTCGTACTAGGAGAAGTGTCGGACATGCTATGTTGTTCCAGGGATACAATTGAGGACAGGAGGATTTATCCGAGAGTATAACTTAGAATTTTTGCTTCTTCCTGGTATACGGCGAGTTGAAAGCAAGAGGCAAGCGCAGCGTTGGCAGTTGGAAGGGCTGCACCCCTAACCCCAACTTCGGTTTACACGGTCCGCGGGACTCCGGTGCCGCGTTTTGTCGATGAACCGGCGCCTAACCCAGGTACTGCGCGCTCTCCACGATGAGCTGACGAAGGCCCAGATAAGGTCATCCTATCTGTATAATCACTGGTAGGCGAGCTATCTTTGTCTAACCCTGAGGTATCCTAATTGGATATTTATGCCTTCTAGGTCAAGGGGCACAATGAACCTCGAAACCTCGTAGAAGTGAGCCCCGGCGCTAATAAACTGACCCACTCCAGCGTGCAAGTAATGCCAGAATACTTGTGTCTCCTGTCGATACACCTAGTGGTCCGAGCGATAGTCGTCGAAACAGACTTTTCCTATCCCGGCCCGGAGCGTCATAACGAGCGAGGCCCTTGGGCAGGCATTGTTCCTCTGCAACACTGTTGTAGTCCAGGTTTATGCATAATTTGGGTAGGTTTCCAATGAAACTCAATCATTCCCAACAATTCTCGTTGCGGGCGAGAACTGGGAGTTTTATAGGACTTCAGCGCTCTACAGCTAAGTAGACCTCCGCGAAGGGGAAGTCGGGCGAGACGCCCACGGCGCCTCTCTCTCTCTCCCTCGGGAGCAGTACTTCACCCCCACGTCAGACGGATTGGGCTCAACGTACCACGCGGGCGCAGGGAAGGCGCCGATGTATGTACGCCTTCTGTGCCCCAATTGAAAGCGCCCAAGATGGAGGCAAATAGCTGATGTACAACCAGACGCACTGGGCGTCGGCGCGGCTTGGCAAGCGTTCTTAAGTTTATGATTGATACATATCCTCTTCGTGTGATGGTTGTGGGCGAAATAACCGAGGAGGGCGGTCGGCGCTGCGTAGGGTAGGGCGGAAGCCAAGTAGGACAGAGTGCCTCAAGTTGAGCTTAGGACGACGTAGATCGGTTTGTGAGGGTTGGATCTTTACCGGTTGGGGCAAGAAACTCGCATGGGAGCCCAACATGGAACTTGCCACAATCAAGAAGCAGCCTAATAGGGTCGATTCAGGGCGATCTGAAGCTCAAACTTGAAAGGTTTGCGATGAAACAAGATGTCCACTACGTACATCTTCCCCGATGGTGCGAAGATGGGGAAGAATGGAGTGTCACGGTGTTTCTCAAATTCCTTTAGGGATCTTACCCAAGTACTTGTTACGGAAGGCTAACAGGAACCGTGTATGCCCCCGAGGGTAAAACAGTATAAAAGCTGTTGAGAAACTGTATGGTGGAGATCTAAGCACCGACTCAAACGTCCTTCCGCCTGCTACTAGTCCTGAACTACTGCCTGGCAAGTACCAGCTACCCCTCCCTCGCCGCCTTCGACTCCCGCCGTTAGTCCACTATGCAATTCAGAACCATGCTCACATTCGCGGTAGCGGCGTTCTGTACGTCTCCCCCGTGCGGCTCGAAATCCCATCGAATTTTACTGGCATACGTGTTATAGCCGCTATGACATCGATCTCTGCCGCACCTATCCCTATTGATACCGCGAAAGAGCTTCAAGCTCGTGAAGCCGAGGTATGTATTTCCATCGATTTCTTCAATTCTTCGTCCGCTCATACCCTCTTTGCAGGCTCAGACTTGTCGTATCATGAGGGCATGTTTTTAGGTTTCATTTGCAGCATTAACCGGGTTTCAGGTGTGAAGGCGGGACTCGGAGCATGCTGCATGGCTGGTACCAATATGTATGTAGTAAGCTCCCAAGGCGACGACGACGATTCTCTATGTACGAGGGTCTAATAAATGGTTGAGCGAGGTCTATATGAACATACACTTCACATGGCCTTCTAATAACCTCTGTCGTGTCCCCCACCTACGCTGCGAACCCTGATGCAAAGGTTGGGGCTTGCAAGGTTGGCCCTAGTTTACTGGACTGGAGCCCTAAACACGACGACTTGCCAGTGAGTGTACCAGTGAATGTAGGCGGTCCGACTCTACCGAACCCGTTGAGCACTCGAGCAATGTTCGTTATTCTGACCACCCTGCTTGAAAACTCACATTTCTTTCTTCAGACTATCATCATCCGATTTTGGATCTCTCCAAAGACCGAGACAGGACCTGGTCCGAATGAAAGGTGACATCGAATGGGCATGCGAAGAGGACAAGGACAACCAACGTCTTGGGCGCCATACAAGTAACGAGACCCTGAGGCTGTAATGAGAGGCTACGAAAAAGGCCAAATCATGTTTGTCATGGGTGCAAGGAGTCCGCCATACCGCTTGAAGTCAGCTCTGGCATGGGTGATGACCTGGCTTCGAATCAATTGCTCGAGGAGTTTGAGATATAGAATATTTCAAGGGCTATGGAGGTACTCACTAGTGATCTCCGCTAGTAAAAGGTCAGAGCTGCTTTCGGCGTGGTTGAGCGCCAACGCTCATGAAAAAATTTCAGTCCGTCAGCGATTGCGTTGCGTGAAGGGAAACTGTGCGATCGCTTGAAGGTTTCGGAGTCCATAGCTCAACTTTTACCAGATGGCACCGATCCTCAAGCACAAATTGCTGGCGAGTAGCCTCAAGGTCTGGAGAATCACAATGGCAGCCTGTACTCGTCTTGTTTCATCACTCCAAGGTGTGCAGCTTGCCAAAGTCTTCGCTTCTTCATTTCAAATCGTTTCCTGAGGCTTGCTATGTCATACGTATATCGTTCAGGATTGCCTTGAGGGTGCGAACCGCCGCGTTTGGACCATCTCCAAACTCGCCCAACCCATATACAGCCAGACGCCTTCCGCATTAGGAAAGTGTTGGGCGCTCGACGGGAACCGGGCAACTCACCGGCTCACTGGCAAGCGCTCATCGTCTTTACGGACCGGTAAGCACATTTCGTGGCTTAAAAATGTTTTTTTTCTGCTCCAGAACTTGCCACGATGTGGAATACTGGCGAAAACAATGGTACGAAGAGCGGGTTTCCACTCACCCTTCATCAGGTGCTACGACGATGTCGTAGTTCAGCCACTACCACCCAGTAAAAGAGAGTACTATGACACGTCCGCGCATCTGTGGCCAAAGCGCATGTACTTAGTATAGCAACGGGTGGCCATTATATGAAGGTTGCTTCACGATTCCTGGGCTGGCCGCTGATGACAGGCAACCTGCCGCATTGTTTCTTGCCATCTCTTCTACATTCAGTCCTGACGCTTTGATAGAGGTCAAGCAGCCACTTTGAAGTAGCCGACCAACGCTTTGACTTCGATGGAAGGGATGGAAGGCTTATAAACGGGTGACCTAATCGATTTGCAGTTCACCATCCCCGCTTCACGAATCCCTCTTGCCTTTCGAAAACGATACGCAACCACGCAGAAATAGTCAAAAAGATACCTTCGGCGTACATAGCAGATTACAGAAAAATTCTCCAAGAGCAACTCAATTTCCGGAACCGATTGGTTACCTAGTGTTTAGCCCTGTTTGTGATGTCTTCCCTCCAGACCAGTCGCCCGTTCGAGCAACGAGTCGACGAACTTTCTTACTTTCTGCTGCATTTTAGCATTTGGAGCATCCTACAGTGAGTACATCAACTTCATCATGAACCAATTCCAATACACTGATCTTCGCCATTGAACCTACTTAGTTACCGGTGGTATCGGTTTCGCGGGCACGGTCGTACTTTGCTCGAGCTGGCTCTAAGCGATACGGACTACGGATATTTGAAAGTAAAACTGAGCCAAGATCTTAAAGCTGAACTTAGGATGATGGCGAACTCGACGGACTGGCGCATCGTCGAGATTTTCCAGAATAGGGCATTTGTAGACGAGCAACTTCTACGGATCAAGCGACTGCGACTGGACAGACGAATGGGTGATATCGAGGAGGTCGTGATCTGGTGCGTGCCATATCCTTCTAATCCAACACCGCGAGCCAACCATGGGCTAACTTGGACCTGGAAAATTGTTAGTTCCCTGCCACACAAAGGTGGAAGGCAAGGCGATAGAAATCCAGACGTCGACATGCACATTACTGCTGAGCTTCTCTCTGGCACAGGGAGAAAGAAGCTGCTCGTCTTCGATGCCAACAACGAGAACGGCACTTGGTCGCTGGAGAACCAAAAGAAGAACAAGGAGTATCGAACAACTTATGACCAATATAAGGCCTTCAGCTACAAGGACCCCCAATCTGGAGAAATCTACTACTTGAAGAAGACAGTGAGTCATCCCCATTAATCTCGAGTGGCGAAGAACAAGAACTGACCTCTTTGTCTTGTCACAGACCAAACATCACCTCTACACACCCACTCCTCCTTGTATACTCTACCCTACCGAGTAGAGGGGAAGGGAGAGGGAGAGTGTGGTGCTGTACGGGGTGTCCTTATGACGGCGAGTCTGTGGTACGTACATAGGGCGCGTCAGAGTGTGACGAGTCGTTGGGCTCGGCACACGGAATTCTCACAGTGGACACTGGGCTTGAGTGGTGTAAGCTTCGTGTTGGAAGGAGAACTACCTACGTACAGAGGAGAACTACTCTATATATACCTAGGTAGTAAGTTACATAAGCTAATGGGAACATACGGGGAATCATAGGGGAAAGGAATGAGGCATGGGGAAGGAGTGACATAGATAAGATAACGAACGAGATCAGTAAGTGATAAGACGGATAAGGAAGCCAAGGGAAACAAATCCCTACATACGCCCTCCCAGAGTATCGAAGAGACTCTGGAAAAGTTAAGTACTAGTAGAAGCGGTATCAGCTGGAGTGTCTACAGTATCGGTAGTCTCTGCGGTAATGACCAAGTCCTTGTTAATATGATCAACTAACTTCTGGTGGAACTTATCGAGCATTTCGCGTTCGCGAGCCTGGCGAGCCGCGAGACCGGCGTCTTCGGTAGCCGAGTCGTCGGGTTCTCCTTCGGCGTCCAAATCGGTATCTTCAGCCATAGGGGAACCTGGAGGAGAGGCTGCGAAGTCGGTGGGCGCGGTACCGGCGGGCCAAGGGGGAGTGACGGTTCCAGAGCCGGCGTTGGGACTGGCTGGCTCGTAGTTGACGGAGTCTTCGGACGCGACGATAACGGAGACGTCATCGTCATCCATGGGTGTGTCGTCATCCCACGAAGGGGACTGTTGTCGCGCTTCAACGCCTTGGTTCGGGTCCTCCGCTTGATCGGGGTCAGAGGCGGTCGAAGGGTCGGCGGACGAGCCGTCGGAGCTGGGGGGAGAGCTACGGCGTTCGAGAAGGATATGGTTGGATTCAAAATTCACGCGCGAGCACCGAGGGTCACAGCCACAGCCACCGACGCGGGGTTCGACAATGCACCGAAAAGAAAGAAAAATCCTAATCAATTCATGGCAGCTAGTCTAAGCATAAGTAGCATGTAGAACTCAAATAGACTCTTGTCAGGTATCTAACCACGAGTAGACTTTGAATCCACCACTCGATTTTGCGAGTATTCTGTGGTCCCAACACAAATGAGCCGGCCCTAAAGTAATAAGCGCCTACCGTACTATGAGCACTCAGCCCAATGAGACATTCTGATAACAGCGGTTGGGCCAAAATCAAGCTCGTGCGTCATAAAATGTCGTCTATGCGATTGCAGGAACGCACTTAATGACACACATACTTAAGGGAAGGAGCTGGGCCTTTAGGCCGAGGGGGGGTAGTGAATTCGGTGTGTATGTCTACTAGTGAGCAATGCTACCGCAGGCGTACTGGTCGTATCGGGATTCGAAGGTTGACAGAACTTGAAATACATATTGTGAGGGGCGCAATTAAGCGCGAGAAAGGTGAGTATTAACCATATCTCTGAAGATACCCCAACCCTGGGATGCCACGAGAGAGGGACTGCCGATTGCGCGGTAGAGATCTCCAAAGATATTTTCTAAATCATCAGGGACAAACTTGAATAGATGTGGCTGGTCGTATTCGGCAAGAAGACGGTCAATATCCTGCTGGGGAATGGGGATAAGCTGGTCTCTACCACCGAAGCGCTCAGGGTGCTTGAACATATCAATACGACGAGCATCGGTTGGCATCAAGGATTTCTTCTGACCGCGAATCCGATGCTTCTGATTTTCGCTCATAACCTTGTCGAGGAGGGTCTGGACAATACACGCCCAAAGCCAGCGGGAAAGAGAGCTAATTGACGATGTAAATGAATCCAGCACTGGAATGAATGAACAGTAAAGAGGACTCACGCGTGGAAATCGTTATTCGGATGAAACCCAGCTGCTTCCTGGCCAGCTCTGTAGAAGTAAAGGACGTTGGCCAGGTCCTTTTCCCAAAGAGGTCGCCAGTTACGCTCTCGGGTAATGTTATCTGGAGACTTCAGAGCGTTGTGCGATGCCACGACGCTCTCCGGGATATATGGCTGGTAGGTAGCGCTATAAGATAATCAGAAGCTGTCGAATTATGCTTTGAGACAAAATCGTACCGAAGGGTCCCAATCACTGAGATGACCTTGCGCAGTTCAGTGCCTTTGTCACTTGTAGACGTAATCGGCATTCCTGGAGAATAACAATGCATTCAGTTGAGAAACCGGGCGATAGCCAAGATAGACATTACCTCCGTATTTCTTGACAGTTCTGAGGTAGACAGCAAGTGGCAGCTCGTCATCCCGAGCATTAGGAACAGCAACAAGTATCAGCTCCATGCGGCTATACTTGTCGATGATTCCATAGACCCCGATGCCCATAGAAAGGAGGATCTTCTCATGTCCATCCATGCCCCATTCTTCATTCGGACCAGAGCAATACAATCCATGACTATGCGCCTTGCGAGTTTGAGGATGACGGTTAGCTGTGGCAGTTACGTCCTGGGCCCTTCGAAAGCGCATGATAAAATCTCTAGAAATGAACGACGACAATCCCAGACGTCAGTAGCCTAAAAGAGCAGGAATACTATATCTCACACACCGTTCTACGTGAACACCTTGCAGAGCCAATTTCTCCTTCACGGTTCGGCAACCCCAACGTCCCAGGGGGTCTTCTTTCATCGTCTGGAGAATAGCTGCACCTTTCTCAACGTATGAAACACCACTCCTTCGCGAGGTCTTGATATCGAAGCGCTGCATAATCTTCTTAATGGTTGGTAGTCTGAACAGGGAGTAATCAGGTGTTTCTCTGTGGGATACAGCCAAGAAGGAGAAATAACACACTTACTTGACGATAGCCCCGAGGTCGCTCTCAATCTCTTGCGGAATATCTTTGACCCGAACACCCTCGTTGATATAGACCTGGAGGCGCTGTGGAAGGTCAGGGATATCTTCCACTGCAAAAATATCAGCACAGTAGTCGATAGCAAGCAGCAGCTAGCAAAGAGATGGAGAGCTTAACATACACACCGGGCGCTCGCGCCATTGATTTCGACCTCCTGAATTGTTGGACTGCTTGAAGGTATTGGACGTACGAGCCATCGGATGTGGGATGTTGGTATTCTACAGACCCAAATCGAAGCACCTTATAAGCTAAAACACATAAGTTCATCGTTATTGGTTGCATCTGTATCTTAGCACAAATACATGCCTTTGACCCCTAAATCAGGTCCCTGGTTGGCAGTCGTGGAACTTGCGCTAGAATAACGTCCAGCCACGGGACATGACGTGGTACAAGTGTATTCTGGCGCAACGAGATACGCCCTGGAACTTATCCTATTGGCTGTTTGTGCCCCAAAACTTTGCAGAAGATCTCAGACTACACTAATGACGCAGACCAAGAACGTTTATCGCATGCAAATTTAGGTCAAAACATTTACTTCTCGCTTCGTGCGCTTCATGGCCCAAGTGGAGGCTGTCAGCAGCCGAGACTTCTGGCGTTTGAACAGGATAGTTCGACTTCGGTATTCTTGATGCGACTTGGGTATCCTCCCGGTATTCTTGGTGCGACTTCGGTCTTCTTTCGGTAATCTTCACTATCTCGCTAATGGGACATGAGGCAGAATTATGTTCTCATGTTCATGAAGACCCTTTAACTTTGCATTTTTGAAACGGTCTATCTCGGTAAAATGAGACTTTCCCCCAGAGAATTTAGATCCTTCCAGCTTTTCCATTGCTCCAAACATCTGCACGAGGGCGTTGTATATTTACCGATGTTCAAAGCCATTCCACGAGCTCACCAATTGATCCGTCCTTCCCAATTTGTCCTGGCCTATACTGCATTAGGGAATTAAAGAACACAACAAGTTGCCGGGGGTCGGCGGAGCTTTACATGGATTAAAGCTTTAAAAGCCAACTAGGTAAGGCGTGAGTGAGGCGTCCCAACTCATTTCACGCACCTCAGAACACCTCATTACCCAATGGCTCGCTGCTCTGGCTGCTCCCAACGCTTTGACCTCCTTGTTGAGGGTACTCGCTGTGGTCGTTGCACCAAGCGCGCTCCACGGCCTAACGTTGAGGAGTGGGGGATGTGCAACAAATGCGGGGAGGTCTTTGAGTTCATGGACCAAAATGTATGTTTTGATTGCTCGAAGTATACCGCAGGTAAGATGGATCTACCCCTTTCCCCCTTTTTGCACACTAGTGCTCATATTTCTTGCTCCAGGTAATGGGGTACAACAGGCGAGTCGCGAAGCTATTGCGAATCCGGTCAACGTCAGAACACATACAAATTCTGGCGGTGGAACTAGTGCCCAATTCCAGGGCGCTGGAAACCAGCAGGTGCGACATTGTTTCACTTATAGCATTGCGAAAGACTAACATTTTGAACTGCAGCTGCAAGAAGAAGCTCTCAGAATCATGTCCAGCATGAGTCATTCGTACACAGATGCTCATGCTCGGACCCTCGGGGACTAGATTTCAAGGTCGTATCGCTCCATCAAAGCTCAAGTTAAAGACAGCTGCCGAACTTGGTATACCCAGGCCTGTAAAAAGGCTGAACCTTAAGGTATATTCTTTCATTAGCTTGACTTCTTTTTCGGTTTACCAGCTTCGCCTTAGATTGTGAAGCTCTTCGATTTCAGACAGGGGAAGTATCTTCCCGGTGCTCCTTTCCATGCCGATAATACAGAGTACCCGGACGACACACCTATGGCGACTGTTCTTGAAGATATCCGAACAAAGGTGGATAATGCGTACAAGAAGGACCGAGATTATCGGGTCTATGATATGTGAGTGCTCAATTGGCCAAAGCCAGATGTTGTATATGTCTATTAACACGATGATTCACGCTTAGAAACGAGTTCACAATGCTATGGGCTTCTGCAAGGGTCGCAGTAGACCCATCCCTCTGCACAGGGACGCTTCGTGACCTATGGCGTGCCTGCTCTGCAAACTCGCTCCTTGTCTCACCTGCCGACGTTAAAAAGAGCCTCATCGAATGGGCTGTTGCTGTGAACTATGATGAGGCTCGCAATGATACTGACGATGATGACACTGTTCCCAAGTTCAAGGGTAAAACAAAGGCGAGTCTATTCCGAATTTCATACACCAATCCCAACAGATCCTTAGAGTTTTGATCCACATTGCTTTAGACCACCCGTTCTAAGCGTGCTAATAGTGTCGGCGCCGCCGCACTTCAAGCTAACACGTCCAAGGGCGCTTCAGCCAAACGAATGCGTAAGTTATTTTCAATATGATTTTATCCCTGCCCCAAGTTGATCCTCTTCACTTAGGGACAATCATACCTTCCGGAAGGAACGCCTATGTCACGAGGCTGGGTGTTGCTCAGTCTACGGGCATTGTACACATCGTTTTGAAAGGATACTGGACCTGGGTTGAAGACAGTGCTGTCTGGGTAGAGGAACAGGAACCCTTCAAAGTCGTGGTTGATAAGGAGTCCTTCGCCTCGGGAGTGACGAAGAAGGCCGTCAAGGTTTGTCCTCATCTCAGTCTACATTGCATGCAGAGCTAACAAGACATTACATGCGAGATTAGATGTACATTGACAAGAAAAAGTACGCTGCAAAGTACTTTTATGACATCGACGGCAGTGGTGCTGTCTCGCATAAGGATAACCTTGTGCATCTGAAAGATGAACTTCTCCGTGGCCACATCCTTGAGGTGGCAGCAGAGAAATTTGTGAAGTCCGCGCGCCATGCAAAGATATCGACGTATGGTAAGTCCTTTCTATACACCACACCTGACGGTAGTGGCTAATTCTCATTCTCTACAGATATCCGGGGCCCGGCCGAGAGCTTCATTCTCACTGTTGTCGAAGGGCCCTCGAAAGGACGTGCTTGGCTCGTTGACCCACTCTTTGAGAACGCTGTTATGCGCAAGTTCTCAGGCACAGACCTGGCAGGTGCTAACAGCGATTTGGCTGGGAGGACCTGTGACGCCTTTGCCCATTTCTCCCTTGATGACTCTGACGGTTCAGTCGTCTTTGTCGATATCCAAGGTTAGTCATAATTCTCTGCTTTCATCTACAATCCGCCCGGCTTTGTGCTCACCAAGAGCTTCTCTAGGCATTGACTCTTCAACGCTTCCCATTACCTCGGGGATACCACTTAATGTCGCGCATTCTGTCACACTTTTCGATGTGATGATCCATAGGTAAGTCTTCAGAGCCAAGTCCAGATGATCTCAATTAACACAATTCACAGCTCGGACGGAGTATATGGTCTGGGAGATCAAGGATGGACTGGTATTAGGGATTTCGTTACCCAGCACAAGTGTAACACAATCTGCGCAAAGCTCGGGCTACGCGATGTTCGAGAACTATGGGATGAGTATCACGCTGACGAGCACCCTGCCCTCGAACACAAGACATAAAAGCCCAACGCCGATACCACATACGACCTGGATGATGTAGACCGGCTTGAGATGGAGAATGACCCGGATGCAGACTTAGACCAAGATGGAGTCGGTGACGACAGGACTACGGCGGGAGATAATTGATTTGTGATTGGTTTTTAGAACAGGCCAGTCCCCTTCCTGTCATTTGATCAATGTTGTACATAGTCAAATGATACCCACTACTCATATAAGCTTGGAGTTGACACGATCGCTGTTATCAGAATGTCTCATTGGGCTGAGCGCTCATAGTACGGTAGGCGCTTATTACTTTAGGGCCGGCTCATTTGTGTTGGGACCACAGAATACTCGCAAAATCGAGTGGTGGATTCAAAGTCTACTCGTGGTTAGATACCTGACAAGAGTCTATTTGAGTTCTACATACTACTTATGCTTAGACTAGCTGCCATGAATTGATTAGGATTTTTCTTTCTTTTCAGTGCATTGTCGAACCCCGCGTCGGTGGCTGTGGCTGTGACCCTCGGTGCTCGCGCGTGAATTTTGAATCCAACCATATCCTTCTCGAACACCGTAGAGAGCCTCCAGTGGGTAACTCCGAGAGGAGTCGTCGTTCTCGGTGACGCGAGGGTCACTGGTAGTGGTGGAGCGAACCGCCGGGGGGACCACGGGTAAATTGCTGTACGCGTTGGCTGATCGGGGGGAAGTGTAGGCGCTGGACTCATCAGTCCGATAGGCGGGAAGCGTATAGTCGCTCGAGGCTCCCGAGTCGAGCTGCTCCCTTCGACGCCAGATGTGCCTGAAGGTGCCGTTCCTTCCCAGGGAAGGACCACCTCGGGCACCGCCACGGAAGATGGGTCGGCCACGGCCACCACGGTTACTGGGGCCGTCATCGTAAGGGCGGTTATTGCGGGCGCGGTTTGTGGGCGTCTTCCACTTAGCGAGTGCGTCGACCTTTTCAGGGTCCATGCGGATACCGTCTCGATCGACCACCCGTCCGAGGACCTTCATTTCCTCAGGCAGTATGTTGATCTTTCGTTCACTGAGGTAGAACGACTCCTTCTTGAGTAAGTCAATTACCATTTTAAAATGGCGGACATGCTCTTCTAATGTATCCGAGAAGATTATTATGTCGTCGAGGTACACCTCGACAAATTTGCCAATGTGCTCCGAGAACAAGTCCGTCATGATCGTTTGGAAGGTGGAGACTGCATTGCAGTCTCCTTGCTGCATCACTTGGCTTAGCACTGCGCCTTCGGGCGTCATCATCGCTGAGTTAGGTACGTCACTTTCTTCGATCCTGATTTGTTCGTACGCGTCTTGACCGTCGATAATAGTTCTATACTTCGCCCTTGAGATGCGACGAAGAATGCCGTCCATGTCCGGTAGAGGACAGTTCATCTTTTTCGTGTTCGCGTTACGTTCACGAAGGTCCACGACGGTTCGGAGCCGAGGTGGGTCACCATTCTTTCCAGGCTTGGTAATGAATAACATGGGTACGGTATTATAGCTGGTAGTCGGCACCCAGCGCCCGGTCTTGATGTACGCGACGCGTTTTGCGTCCCACTGCGCCTTCAGCGCTTCCGGGCAGCGCGATCGCCGACGAGGGTAAGATTTATCAGCGTCTATGAGTGGGATACGATGATTGATCTTCCTCAGGGGTGGCAGGGGTGTTTCGGCTGCGCTCTTGCATATCGGTCTTGCGTACTCGAGCAATTCTGCTCGAATCCTCTCGAAATCGGTGAGTTCTGGGCTAAGGTGACTCACAGCAAGTTTTCTGACCGACTCGCCCTCCATAGGTAGCGATTCGTTCGTCCCTACGACGACTCTGAAGGGGTTAAAGCCGATCAAGACCTGGTGCTGGAATAGAAAAGGGGTACCCAGAATAAGATCGTAGTTGGAGAGATTGATTATGTCGAATCGTCTCTCCTCGTCGATTTCCTGGTACTTGAAACGACATAAGGTATCGTAATTCACCTTAGTTCTTGAGCCTGAGACTGCTAATTGGACGTTTACAGGGCATTCTAGCTCCCGGCGCTTAACTTTAAGCTGCTCGGCGAGTGTTGTCGACATAAAGTCACCGAGGGAACCGGTGTCGATGAGTGCTCGGACGGGTTTGCCGTTAACGAGCGCTTGTACGACTACTGGTTTTGGTACGCTCCGTCCGAGTTCCTTGCGGTGAGAGGAGTTCCTTTGAATGGCAGGGTAAGTACCAGCCTCCACCTGTTTACCAAACAGTTCAATGACGTGTTCGTACCCGTCTGAGTAGTCCAAACGAATTCGATGGTTCCAAAGGACCTCTTCTTCCGCCTCCCGAAGCCTATTGATTGCGTCGGCCTCCTCTTCGTCCGGCGTCCGGTCTAGTAAGGATAGTATACCTTCCTCCAGAGGGTTTATGGCGAAGAAGTTGAAGAATCGTTGTTGGGCATCAAATAGGCGACTCACATACTGTTTAACGATTCGGTTTGAAGGTGAGCGAACGTCTTTTAATGGAATAAACGTTTTGAAGCCTAATTCTTTATCAAACACCCAATAACCGCCGTCCTCGACGTCCCAGATCCCATCCTCAAACTCGAAACGGAAACGACGCTCGCCCCTCAGGACCGGCTGATAATCCGGGTCCCAGACGTGGTCAAACGGGTAGGGTCCGTTTCTTTCAAGTACGTCGATGAGGTACTGACCTACTACGTCCCCGAGCGCCTGTCTAGGCGCTTCAAACTCATCCAGGTTCGTGCCATTAAGTCTATTCGAATACCAGTTGGCCAAGTTGAACTCAGGGTCCCGAAGTACGTCCCAATCAATTAAGTCTTCGCAATCTCTTAGTTGATCCATTATTGCGTACGACTTGCCTTTGTTCGTGCGGTATACATAGAATCGACCACCGTCGTAAGTCTCCCAGCTGGCGGGATCCCCGGGATAGGGGGCTCCTGCCTTAAGGAGCACCTCGGCCTTTCTCAGGAGAGGATCCCCCATTGGGACCAGTGCTTGACGCTCGGTGTGCTCATCTTCCCAACCAGGCACGCGGGTTTTCCAAGGTAAGTCAATCAATTCATCGTCATCTAAACATTCGAGCACCCTATCTAATTCTTCCGCTCCCTTCGCCAGATCCGTACGTTCCGAACGACGATTTTCATTCGTCGTCGGAGAGATAGTCGAGCTGGGGAGGGTTTCGTCGGTGAGTACCGCTGAATTCAGATGAAGGGATAAGTTACTCACCTCGTCATCGCCTTCGCTGCCCGAAGTAGTTCCGTCGTCCTCATGCGCCATATCGAGTTCGATCTCAATGTTGGAATTTGAAATTCCAGGCGGACCACGTGAAGACGAGGCCACGGCGTTGCGCTTGGGGCAACGGCTGGCCATATGACCGGTTTCTTCACAGTGGAAGCACCGGTTTTCTTTCCTCAATTTGGCCTTCTTTTCTTCGGTAAGCACCTTTCGTTTTTCCTTTCGTTCGCCGTCGCGTTTGAACTTGGTCTGGTTTGAATTAAAACCAGGAGTCGCGTTGGTCTTCTTTGACTTGCGGTCTTCGCGACGATCGCGAGATTGATCTTGGCGCTGGCGCTTATCTCGGCGCTCGCCCCTGTCTCGACGGTTCCCATCGGCATCCCGTCGGCGCTTTCCCCCATCTTGGCCATTTTGGTGAGTGTGGTATTGCCTGACTGAACGCGCGAGCTCCACATACTCACATTCCTTAATCAGCTTGCGCATCGAGATAGTGTCGGGATCGAGGCGGCGCGTGAACACAGCTTCGCGGAATTCGGGTCTAAGGGCGCGGAAGAAGCGCTGGACCATCTCACCCTTGTGGGTAAGTCCAACCGTATCGCACAACTCCCTGAATCGTCCGTAAAACTCACGAGTGGTTTGGCCGCCCTGTTTGATCGCGTCCAAGCGGTCGCGTTGTTCCTGTTTCCAGGTAGCCGGGAAGACCCAGTTGTAGAGCCTTCGGAAAAATTCAGACAAGGTCATACGCTCCTCACGGTAAGCGATTTCACGGTGGTACCAATCCCAGGCGCGGCCTTTGAGGTATTGGGCCACGTACCCGACTCGGCGATTGGAGGGGAGGCGTCGGCCTAGGTCCTCAACTCGATTGGTAGCCAACGTCATGTAGCGTTGGAAATGCGGTACGTTTTGTTGCCCCTTGTAATCCGGTGGGGTCACTGACTTAACGTTTCGGGCTTTACGTCGGCGGCGTCCGCCATCCTCATCATCACTTTCGCTCGTGGAGTCGTCGTTCGAGGAGCTAGATTCAGAGTCGTCGCCCGAAGCTTCACGATCGCCGTCAGACTCCTCACTGGAACTGTCCGAGCTGTCAGACGAATCCGAAGGTTCGTCGTCGTCGTCGTTATTTCGAGACCTATTCTTACGGTTTCGGCTTCTGCCTCGTCTCTTCTTATCTTTCTTACTCTTCTTACCTTTCTTCTTACTCTTATTAACCGACTTCTTCTTTGCCTTCTTAGACTCTTCCCTTTCAAGCTTATCTAGCTTCTTGAAGGTAGCACCTAAGGTGCTCTTGGGGTCAATCTTGCCCGCAGGGTTAAGATTGTCGTCGGAACTGTCATCAGAGTCACTAGGACCGTCGTCATCGGAGCCCCTGTCGACGTTTTTGGTAACTTTGTCGATTAGATCTCCCATGCTAGTGGAGAGAGGTGTGGCCGCCTTCTTCTTTCGGGAGCGGCTCTTCTCACGACTTTTTTCACGACGTTCTTTGTTCTTTCTCTTCTTGGACTCCGAAACATCCTTCTTACCTTTATCCTTAGAGCTAGTTTCCTTTGTATTAGGATTAGTGATTTGTTCATTATCATCTTCAGTTTCATATGGGTGAACTATACCAGCTGCCCTTTCAGCTTCCAAAACATTGCCAATAGCTTGGTCCAATAAGACTTTCTGGACTTCAGGATCCAGTTCACGTTCGTCAGCCGTAGTTCTGACGACGTCACCCCAATTGCGTACGTCTACGCCTTTGCCCTTGTCCTTAGAAGGGCCGGGGGAAGGGTCACGAGAGCGGGCGCCTAAATTATTCACACGCTCGCGCCGCTTCTCGATCTGGTCGCGCTGAGCTCGACTTAATCCGGATTGAGCGATCTCAATCGCACGGATCTGCTCAGAGGTGAGTGGGGGCCTAGAGCCTCCCTTTCGAACCGGGGTTTCTGGGATATCCGCGGAGTCGCTCGAGCCCTCAGACTCGGCGCCCGCATCGTTCGTATTGCCGCCGGTATCTACACTAACTACACCCGCGTTGTTCGCGGTTTCGGCCTCTCCAGCAGCGGCTCGGCCGCTGGAGGCAGCGTTGGAAACACCCTCAGGTAAATTTTCCAACGACTGGGTCCCGCCACCGCTCGCGGTTGGGACCCCCGAAGCCACGCTAGCAAAAGGTGAGTCTTCAACAGGATTGTCGCCGTACGTACCTGGCAGCGACCTCGGGACTGGGCCAGTAGCCCCGAGCGCCGTACCCGAGCGAAGTCGAGCACGGTAGGTGGTGTTGGTGGTGGTGGTGGTCCGAGACATCTTGAGGGTGTCGGGGACCGGTTTTGGTGGTTGTTTATCGCGTCTTCGAGTCGGGTGGCGTCGGTTGATCAGACCGTTGCTTCCAGGATTCGAGTTGGCGTCGAGAAGAGAGAGAGAGAGTAGAGAGTAGAGAAGAGAGCTTGTTCACTCAAAAATATGTGACGAGTCGTTGGGCTCGGCACACGGAATTCTCACAGTGGACACTGGGCTTGAGTGGTGTAAGCTTCGTGTTGGAAGGAGAACTACCTACGTACAGAGGAGAACTACTCTATATATACCTAGGTAGTAAGTTACATAAGCTAATGGGAACATACGGGGAATCATAGGGGAAAGGAATGAGGCATGGGGAAGGAGTGACATAGATAAGATAACGAACGAGATCAGTAAGTGATAAGACGGATAAGGAAGCCAAGGGAAACAAATCCCTACACAGAGTCACTGGCGAAGGGGGCTTCCTTGGGCATATTCCAAACTGCTTTATTCCTTATGACAATTTCCTTATAAAGGGCCGCGTCCCGCGACTGTTGACCTTGCTTTAGCGGCTTTTCCCGGCCTACGGCACCGCTCCGTACCCACCCGGCGGACTGCACCCATTGACGTCATGACATGCGAAACACCCTCAGCTCTTCACTAATAAAGGGCCTTCCCTTGTTTTTTGGCAACAGTCCTTTTCCGTCATCATGTCTTTTCAAACCCTGCCCAATGAACTCGTTCACCTCATTTTGAGCCTCATCAACAGTTACAAAGACCTTCAATCTGTCGCACTCTCCTCACGGTTTTTGCTTCCTTTTGCACATGCTCTTCTTTTTCAGGACGTAACCTTTCGACTCCGTTCCCCTGACACCCTCCCTGAACTTGAACAACGAATGCAGGACTTTCTACATCATTGCCGAGCGCATCCCCATCTTTCTCGCTTTGTCCGGTCTTTGCATTTCATTTCCCACCACGGCAACGGAGCGTGGATCACCCACCGTCGCATGGGGCGCATTCTGAAGAAGATCGGGAAATCCAACAAATTGTGCACGCTTTCAATCGAAAGCCGGTGCTGGACCCCAATCCACGGGGCTATTTTGGAGGAGTCCGTTTTCTGGTTTGTAGGCAATCACCTGGAAAACCTTCGCCTGGTGAACATAACCAACATTGCACCCACTTCTTTTTTCGACATGCCCTCCCTTTCCACCCTCACCATTTACGGCTGCTTCTTCGACCCGTCCCTCAACTCTGCTCCACAAAGTAGGCTCCCTCGCACCCAGTATGCCTCCCCTTCTACCCTGGCCTACGCGAGAAGAGCCCCGTGCATTCCTGACTACTTGGGTCCTCGGTGTGAAATCATCTTTGGGTATCTTCAGCTGTATCACGTACGACATGGATCGTTCAACACCGAGATGCCCGATGACATGGTTATGCTGTTCACCACGATGCACCGTGCAAGACACACGATGACTTCTTTAGACGTTGATGTTTCCGGGTTATCCAACACTCGTACGTCTCTTCTCGTTCTTACCTCTCCCTTGTTAGGTCTTAATCCTCCCAAACAGTTTACCACTTCCATCGGCCCATCCCCTCTGATTTTTCTCCGCTTTCATCTTTGCAATCTTTGCATCTTCACCTCACGTACGGCAGTGGATGGGGAGTCCGCGACCGACCCCTGTTGGGTATAATTTTTTTTTTAACCCACCTTCCAACACTCTCTTTATCCAATGTAACTCTTCATTTTCTGTACACCTCTTATTTTCACCACGACCTCATCCGTTTCCTACTCGACTCCGGATGGTCCTCCCTCGACCTCTCCCTATCCCGGCGTTTGTCATCCAATCCCACCACTTCGTATTCGTTTACATTTCAAGGATGGCATCTGCCTCCCAATCTGTTGAGGACTTCAACCGATGATGCTCAAATCACTGCCCGCTTTCGTAGCGATCCGCGTTTCTCCTCTCTCGGCGACATCGTTTCTGGTCCATTAACAGCCGATCACCTTCGTGTTCTCCTCCCTAAAACCTTTGCCATCCGTACCGTTTCTGTAGAATGGGTGTAACGCTCTGTGTAAATTTGTCAATATAGTAGTTTCTGCGGAGCCTGACTGTATTTCGGTGACAACGAATTCTGATCTGTCATGGATACGTCATTATTCACCCCCATCACTAAACGCGCTATTCGTCTCTTCGACTATATCTCTCCTCCGACTTTAATTCTGCTCTCCAGAGGCTATGTTTTCCACCTTTTATTCTGTTTTGAAATGTCTAACTCATACCGGTAGGAAAGGAGCTGTCTTGTACCACAATCAGACCGCCCATCCGTCCTGATTCCAATACCACTATGCCACCTCTAAACGACGCTCAAATGTACCACGCCATTGAGTGCGTTCGAAAGTCATTGGCTGTATGTCTCCATAATCATCCACTCAGCCCTTACGTCGTTAACAATGCACAAAGACCTCTCAGGACCCCTTCGTCAACGCCTTCCTCGTCAGGGCCCACCCCCCGCAGCTGCACGCAGAAGACAGTGTCCACGTTGTACCTGTACCCCTCTCGAAGGACAATCCCTACCGACGCGGTCTGTGGGGGCTTAATGTTCGGGACTATATTGAAGAAGGCAACATGGTAGACATTCACAAAGTCGGTCCCTTCGGGAAAGAATCGTCCCATGCGTATGCCTTTTTGATTTGCTCAGACTACGAAACAGTACGTCACCTGCCATCTCTCTCTTGAACTTATTGTCTTAATACGTTTGTCCCCAAGCTCGATGTCAACATGAACTTTAATCTCTTCTCTGTCGATGAGCCCGGCCCGCAGCTCAAAGGCGACATTTTGATCATTTTATCTGACGAAGATGGCAATTTGATTGACGCCGAAGATAAGGCCCCACAGTCGCCCATCAAGGAGGTCGTCAGGTAGGGTTTTCGTACCTTTTGAAAGGGTCTTTGCATTGAAGACCATCCTCAGCCGCTTCAACCTCAACACGCAGTAATATAAGAGCGTCCCATCCTTGTAACATTCCACTGTCAATGGCAATACACGCCCAAGCCTTTCATTCGTCACCGTCGTACGGCTTGTGCCATACCTCAGGATGCCCCCTATTTCTACGACTTGTACATCGGGTCGGCGGCGGTCCAGGAAGCATGCTGCGGGATCGAAGTCCCATTCAAAGACTACGTCGGCTCCAACGCCCCTTCGATCACTGACAATTTTTTGTGGTCAATTTTAATCCGGCCCAACGTGGTGTATACAATAACAAACCAGCACGAATCTCATCCACCCATCACCTCAAGCCATAGTCGTTGTCGGTTCGGGCATGCTCACAAACATCAGCGTTTGTAAAGACTTTTGTGAGCAACCCTTTTATTACAATAACTGTCAATCTGACCGCGCTTCTGCATCCATTCAGACGCCGCGTGGCAGGAGCTGCCTCCAGAGGTTCAAGATCAAATACTGGAGTATTTGACCTTCCGCGAACTTGAAGCCATCTCCCGTACACCAGCTTTCCGCGATGATTCACTCGAAGAACCACCGACCATCGTTGCATCGAACGTGTTGGCTGCTCGATCCCGCAAGGTGGTAGTCGCCCGAGCGAAGGCCTATCTTCAAGATTTTTCTCTTCCTTTCGGGCCCACCATGGAAGCTATGCGACAGTTTTCAACGCTCTGGTCAGGGTCCGCCGTACTCGCGGTAGGCCAACCTGTCTCATGGCAGGTGGGAGACTTGGACTTCTACTCTCCTAAGCCCTACGCCCCTCTCTTCATCGAATTTTTACAAGATAACGGCTATCATTACCCCACCTCTCCGTCCGAACGAGAAATTTCTCCAGACAACACCGAGGAGCCTACGCTTGGAGCCCCTCAAGGCCACCATTCTCGACCTTCACATATACATTACCTCCAGCGTGCTTCCGGAGTCCCTGCGGGTAGCGTCGTCTCCATCGTCGAAGAAGGAGACACCCATCACCATGACTTCGCCGGTCCCTATATTCACAATCAAGGCATCGACGCGGTTTATAGCCTTTACAACCGTGAGGGAAAAAAGGTCAACGTCATCCAGTCCTCCACTAGCACTGCTTGGACCCCCATACTCTTCTTCCACTCGACTCTGGTCATGAACACGATCAACCACAATGGCCTCATTTCTCTATACGGCGAGATGACATTCCGCGCTCAAGGTAAAGTCCTCACTAACCAAAGTCCATGCTCTCATGCTAACAACGCTATGTAGCAGGGCTACAGAATTACGGCGGGCAACTCGATCCCTACATGGAGATGGCCTTGGACAAGTATCGCTCCCGAGGTTTCGACATCTACGCTGCGTGTGGTGACTTCGGCTGCCCCTGCACCACCAACGTTCATGGTGGATACGGTGCTTTGTGCCAATCTGCCCATCGCTTCCTCGGTGACAAGGACACTCTCCTCATGACCTTCGACGGCACGCGTATGGATTTGCCCGATACCACTAAGTGGAGGTTGGGCGGTAATTATGAAGTCATCGACGGGCTTTACATTGAGCAATTCCCCAGGGTCGAGATACAAGAACACGTCGTCCGCATGTACAGTAGAGGTTTTTCGCCCCGTTTCGCCTACGCAATGTGCCCTGTTCATTAGCCGTTGACAGGCGGTATGCCGTCTTCAAATCTCGAATGCCAATTCATATTCCCTCCTTATCGGCTTGTCCATCATCTGTTGATCTTTCAATGCACGCCTTGTTTCCCAATCCAGCGCCTTTCTGAGCGCCGTGCCCAGCCTCGCCTGTATGAGAAGTGTCCGCCTCCTAATCGTAATTCTTTTATTATTTTCCTGACCGGCCGCTGCATACCTTCCCCTGTCATCCGCCACGCTATAAAGCGAACCGCTCAACCCATTCGCACCGACAATTTCTTCTGCCTCCATCTGCTACTTATGACGCCCGATCGTACTCGCTTTCTCCTTTCACCCGCGACCAAGGTCGCCATGGAAGCCGAACAAGACCTCGACGCGTGGAGACGTTACATCCCCCAATTGGAAGAAAGTCATCCAGTGGGCGTCTGCAAATCCGATTATTGCCATGATAACCACCATGAGTGTATTCCTTCGCCCCACACGATGGCTTGTCAGCCTTGTATCAGCACCGGCCATCAGTGTTCCTTCCGAGAGGACTTTATCGCCCATCGGGTCGCAGAAGCTATGCCCTGGACCGCCAAACAAGTTGCCGAGTTCGTTGACGAGTATGACTACCACCGCGTCGTTCAGTATCCTTACATGAAAGCATACGGCCGCCATAGCAATGTCGTTCCACGTCAGTAACACTTGCTGCTTTTCCTCCAACCGATCCTGATTGCCCCTCTTCCGTCGCAGCCTTTTCAAACGTGGTCTATGCTGCGTACCACGCTGAGCGCAGGGCCGAAGAAGTCAAGGCAGACGTCGCCGCATTGAAGAAAGAAGTCGAAGATCATCAGTGGAAGCAGTTCCAGACATTCCAAAGTACGCGCATCGACACGACTCTCGTTCTGTATCTGATATCAAGGGACAGAAATGGGTTATCAAAATCACCGCATCAGCCATCTGTCCTCCATCCTTCGTCGAGTTCGCTCCGTTATCCGTGACGCCTACGGGGAAGTTAGAGTAGATGCCCCGGCCGAAGATGGAATGCCTCATCCTCCTCTCCATCAAATCAGTGAATTAATATTCAACTCATTGGATGAGACCCTGATGGACTCTCCAGAAGATGCATACGTTAACCGTACTCTTTCCCAAGAGCCTTGAAGTTAGCCGTGTAGTTTGTTTACCTAGTCTGTAATCGCTTTTTAAAAAGCTATTGTCCCTTTCTATTAAACGAAGAAGATCATCATGTCATTGCCCATTAAAAATCGTAAGCCAAGTAGCGAACGATGGCTGCAATGTGAAGCCAACTAAATACTGCCAAAGTCTACCCGACTGCAATGAGTGGACGTTGACGGAAGGAACGCCCGCAGTTCTTTGTCTGAAAACCGGCCAAAGTCAATGTCTCCTCCGTAACTCGCCTGATGGGATAAATCCCTTGCCAAACGACGGCATTCGAAAACTTCACCCATACCCCAACGCGCTGACTTGGTAGCCTCCCACCCTCCGAATTCGCATCGTATCTTCAGGGAAGGATGGCCTGTGAGAAGATCGTGCAGTAGATCGTCCAGTTGAGACCACTCTTCGGATTCCGCCAACATCTCCAAGTAGTCGGATCTTCTTCGACCTGAATAAAGCAGTCGAAGAGTTAACGACTTCAAACCAGGGACCGCGAGATGTTTCATCAGGAAGTTAACACCCGACCAAACCCACTGCTCGCTGTAACGAGGCAATGTATATCGCGTCACGAGCACTATGTCCTCCAGAGCCGGCAAGGTACCACATTGCGAGAATTGAACGGCGCCCCCTAGATTATGGACTGACACTAGGTTCAGTTTCTTGTAGGCGGGACGGTTTATACGAAGAATCTCCTGCGCGGCCAAGTCCCGTCACGTCTACCTCCAAGCAACGAAGCGTTCCGCCACCTTCCTTAAGAATGGAGTTTAACATCATCCATTCTTCCTCGTCCCCGGTGTGGATGGAGACTTTTTCCACTCGGTCAAACGACACCCATTTCCGAACGACGCGACATGCCGTGGCCATCCCTTCTTCCTTCAGCTCTGGTCGAAGATCGAAGTTGAAGCATACAGGGTATACACGGTTTCGTGTTGCCATCGATTGAGTGGTACGCCCAGGCAGCGTAGGAGGACTCCCCGGGAAGGAAACTCCCAGAATGCTGACGTTTCGCGCCATACGGATTCGGGTGAAGATGTTTGTAGATGCCTTCGCTACATTCACCAGGGTGAATTTCTCCAAAGTCGAGGGAAGTTGTCGCAAGGTCGTCCGATGCAACTGCGAACCATCCAATTTTTCTGGCCCTTTGCCGCCAACTGTTATCGCAACCAATGTGGCTTTCTGCGCCATCGTTCCCAGCAAAGCCACAGCTGATGGTGTCGTCATCCATTTGCTGTCGTTGAGGTCCGACCACAGCGCTAATGTCTTCATCGACCCGCACAAATGGGAATCCGCCCGAAAAAGATCCATAAGGAAGCGGATCTTATGCTGCACATCTGTACGTAGATGACCACCTCCTTCTCTCTGTCGTATAACGATGTCGGTGAACAGCAGAGGTTGGCACACTGCGGCGAGATAATGGCAAGTCGATGCCAATGCCGCTGTATGGGACACATCGTTCGCATCCCAAACGTTCTCCACCACCATGTCTACTAACTCCCTTGCCATGGTTTGAAGCGTCGTCCGATGGAACTTGTGATGGACAGGGGACATTGTGGCGAATAGTACGGGGTCGTGTTAAGATGCCAGATAGTCAGTACGTCTGAGGAGAACCAAAGATAAACACTTGAACAGAGACATAAAGTGATCGCAGGAGGATGGAGCAAAATTCGTACGGATTTGGAATACATTGGCACCATTGTGGCCCCTAATAACAGCGGTATTAGTCGACAACTACAGCAACGCACGAATCAATGAGAGCGCAAGCACAGATGAAGACTCCATAGACAATCGTAGACTATCTTGATCGCCAACGCCGGTGGCCATCAAAAAAGGAGTTCCCACCATCACACGTCCTCTGTTGAGAGAGAAGGGATCATCATTGGACAGGACACTACCGACGACATCGTCCTCCTTTCACAAAACGGTTTTAACTACTCTTCTGGAACGATCATCTATGAAAACCGCGTCTATTACCTAACAACGCAACAAAGCAGCCCCCAACGACCCTTCAAGCACCAGTCGCCGTATTCTGCCTAGTCCTGCGAGCCGGGGGTTCGGTGTCCTCCCCGTCTTCAACCGGCCGCTTACCTTTTCCCTTCCCCTTCCCCTTGTCGACCAGTGGCTCAACAGGCCCCGTAGGGACTCGCGGAACCAACGCATCTCCTCCCTTTCCTGCAACGTTGGCATTGACATCCGTAGCTGAAGTTGGCGTCTCAACACCTGCCGTAGTGGACGATGAAGCCCCGTTTTGATCTCGAGAGTGGGTGGTATGGAAGAGGGAACCGGCGTTCGAGTTGTTGATACTTTGGACCGGTAAAGCGGGAAGCAAGGAGGACGTATCGGTGGGTTGTTTAGCCGCGGCACATGGTCCACCACTAATACCTGACCTAGAATCCCTGGTAGACGAAGTGGCGTTCGAGATTGAACACGAAATGACCGACTGCTCTGCATTCCCTGCGGCGACGCCATCCGCAGCACCTCTCTTCGTCTGACCACCGTACAAGCTTCTGGCCTGGGCATCGAGTTGGGAAGGAGGACGCCAGGTGGAAGGAGTTTGTGGAGTAGGGAGATACCCGTTCGCAATCCAAGGAGATGCCTGAGGGCGGAGAGGAGTTGTCACCTGCGCGCACGTCTTGACAATCTGGGTGCCGTCGGGAGTCCGGGCTACGTCATTTGGAGGAACACTATTCGCCTCAGGGTCCACCGAGGAAGGTGAAGCTTCTTGGCTCGCACTTGCCCGGCCATCGTTCGACACTTGGGACGACGGAGTCGCAGCAACTGCAGCAGGAAGTTTGGTAGACATCACCGAAACGCCATCGTGTCGAGGAACAGTAACTCTGTTGCCTCCCAGAGCCGTCTGTGCCAATGCCACTTCACCCGGTGTCGAACCGTTGCCGCCTTCAGTCGCTGTGGAACTCGGCTGGACGTGGGACGCGGAGGCATATAAGGGATGGCCCTGCGCACCTGCCATGGACACCAATGTTGGGTACACTTGGGCCTCGTTAACGCCTGTCGCCGGCGAGTAGTACATGCCAGGGTTCAAGGACGGCGCCGGGTGATGTTGGAAGGCTGTGGCGGTGGGGTAGTATTGGAGCATGGCCGTTTGGTTGACCGTCAACGGATGAGCAAGCTGAGAGCCTGGCTGGAGTGGGAGGGCAAGGGGAGGTTGAACACGATGACCCCCCGATTGAAGTACGTGACCGGTTATGGCTGGCATGAATTGACCGTTTACCATCCCATGAACAGGCTCAAGAACCGGTCCTCCTCCTGGATTCGCTCTGAAAGGGTTAACCTCCCTTGATCCTTCCTCAAGCACTCGCACTTGCAACAAGCCACCTACGAAGCCATCAGCCTTTGAACCCGATGTTCTCTCGACTTACTTACCAGTGAATACATCGTGTAATGCGACGTCGTTCACCACGCAGTGGCGAAGAGTGAAAGTAGCTTCAACGAGTGCGCCCGCCAAGGCCCACTTGACACGCTCAGGGGCAAGGAGTACGTCGGAGTAATCGTAGGCCATCAAGGGTTTGACTTCCACGTGGGGAGCGTTGGCGAGGAGCTCGTTGCGATACTGTGGGTCCATAGGCCAGTTTACAGTCAAATCGTATACATGTGCTAAAACCTTCGTCAGGGTGGTGTGGACGTCGAGCGCGAAAGGCCTTACGGTTCAACGGTTCCTCTCTTTCTGCGAACATATCTTGACTTAAGCGCAGACCCATTTGACCGTTGTCTTGCACCAACAGATATCTTCGAAATGTCACGCGTAAGTACACAGCACGATCCAAGTAATGTTAAGCTTACCGTTGATCGTTAGACTGAGCAATCGCGGCCTGAAGCTGTGTTAAAAAAGCGATGGCCTGTTGGAAGTGGGCGTGGAACGGGTTGGATTGATCGGGTACGACCAGGGTGAATCCGAACTTGGCCTTCTTGAGAGGATGCTTCCCGTTGTACGTCCCGTTAGGATCGACGTTGAGGCGGTTTCTCGAAACTTTCCCAATAACGGTCATTACGACTTTTTCGTTGGTGCCCGAGATGCTGTACCAGTTGAAGTTTCCGACTTGAGTCCAAGCGCTTCCGCCCAACAATGCCCCTGTAGGTAAGTAATCCGGTCTCGTCAGGTAGTCCTCCACTGAAACTCGGCACCTGAAAATTTTACAGCTCAGAAGAGTGGAAACATTGTGTGACTCGCAAGACATACGGTTTAGAAGATGGTTGTACACGCCCATAGTTGTTGGTTTGATTTGTACCTTGAGTACTGGGGTTGGTCGAACCCACTGCCGACGCAGGAGGGGGCGGAGGTACCGAACTGAAAGTCAACCTATCAGTCGAGTGCCGTGCGGTGAACGGAGGTTCCCTTACTTTGCCAATGGCACTGCTTGAGCGGCGTTGTTTTGGGCCGCTATGGCCGTGGCGTACGTAGCGACAGGTCTATCATTACCGACAACCCTAGCTGGTGAGTCGTTAAGTCATATAGCACTACATGCGCGACTTACCCTTTTTGATAGACATTCCCCGCTCCCACCGACGTCGCCAACCCTGGGCTACCGTTTACCGGACGAACATTCAACCCGTACCTGTGGAAGGATAAGCGCCAACGTTCGAAACGAAAAGAACCAGCACCGTACCCAGCAGTATTCGCCGAAGTGCCTAGGGTAGCTCTGGCCATGCGTATGTGGTGAGTGCCATCGATGATGACCATATGAGTTAATCCTTACCCAGTTACTATTGTACCAGGTTGAATGATGCGTTGAGCAGAAGGAACGACTGCGGATGCCGTTGTGTTCCCATTCAAAGGTGCAGTCGCTCTTTATGTGGACCAAAGCGTGGTCAGCCACCAATTTCGACAACCGTCGGTAATCACTCACGGATACACTTGACCCGCAGATGCGATGGGCACGGCACCATTGCCCAAGCCTACCGATTGAATGTAGGACATCGGTTGCCTGTAGCACCCTTGTAGGTCATTCGTGCCGTGTAAAAGGAAACACCACTCACGCATTGACAGAAACCCCAATCTGTTGCCCAGACGCGGCTTGAGAGGTGTGGTTAACCTGAGGATAAGGCGCCAGGAAAGCGTGCGAGTAAGGAACTGCCGCGTTTTGAATCTGGTCAGGTCCGCCGTTGGGAGGCGGATGAGGAAGGCCAGGGGGAAAAATGGGTTGGTTTTCAGGGAAGGACATTTTTGGTGGACCGGAGGGGAAGCGAAGCAGAGTTGACGGAAGGAACAAGCTTTTGGAAAGCACAAGTCTCCCTCCAAAGGCCAACGTCCTCCTTAAAAGCCAGCAAGAGCCTCTACTTTTTTCCGACCAAAACTATTTTCGTTTGGACCGACTCACATGGCACCTCCCCCGATCGCGACTCCTCGATCGATCATGTTTCCGCCCTTCAACGTCGGCCGCGTCACTGGCGGAGACCCTACACACGGTCCAGGAATCCGTTAATACAGAAAAAGCGTCTTCACCATTTCTAGCTCTTGGAATCCTCCTCGCCCGCTGGTTCCCCTGTGGTAGCCATGGACCAAGACCGTACCGGGGATGTTCCGCAGGTAAGTTGAATCGCATTTCCGGTGTAAAACCCAGCGACTCATCACCGCCCAGGACCCAGATCTTCACGCCGCCATCCTGGAAATATGTGCAAGTTGTTACAAAAAAGACTTGGTTGATCTTCTACGCACAAGATGGGCCGTCTCCCGTCGGGAGGTTACGAAAATGCAAGACATAGTGCAGTTGATGACGCTCGCCAGTGTGGAAGATCGTGTGTGGTTCATTTCGGCCAGCCAACATCTGCCAAGGAAGCAGAGGCGTCGGGTTGGACCCCCGAGCGTTGTCGCCAACTTGGAAGTGAGTAACACGATCTGAACGCGAACCTCTCTGACCTCCTGACTCTAGGGAGCATCGACCCCAAGGCTGGCCGACGGAAGTGACCCAGAGCATGTTTTCGAACATTTCTCCCAAAGCGAGCTGCAGACGCTCGTCAGCCGATTCATGCCCACTGGTCACCACATCAGGTGGTCCCGAAGTCGCCTTATCTCAGCCGTGTGTAAGGTACCACAAAACCTGCAACGCCTAATTTTGAGAGCGGCTGCACGGCTGCGTCCTCAACGCCAGTCTATGGATTCCCGATCCGACACGCCGCCAATTGAAGTACCGCATGCGAACCTTCACTCCTCAGTGAGTGACCTAATCCCGTTGTTGTTACTTTGAATGATTCCATTAATAACACTTCAGGAACATGTCTCGTGGACGGATACGGCGTATCTAAAACCACCTTCGGTTGAAGTCATTAAATCCTGCACCAAAGCGTTTATCGAGAGGACCAACAACGACGCATTGGCCATGACCGCATGTACCGTTTGCGCACGAGAAGTGTTTCTCAACGAATCCCAAGCCGTTAAGGTGGAAGATATACCGCACCGACAAAGGCTGAAACCAGCGACACCCCATGAAGCCCATCAGCTCACCGACGGCATACTACTTCATCCACGAACGTACGACTTAACCGATGAAGTACGGATTTGCTTCGAATGCTTGCGGTGCTTGGAGAAAGATCGAACCCCGAAATTGTCCCTCGCAAACAACATGTGGATCGGAGATGTACCTCGCGAGTTGAAAGGCTTGACTCTTCCCGAGCGAATTCTCATAGGCTTGTACGTCCCAGTGGCCCACGTCGTCAAGTTATATCCGAAGAAAGTCGGCTCTTCGCAGTGGAACAGGGACATGCTCTACGACGGGCTCAGGGGGAATGTCTCCTCCTTTCCCTTGGACCAGCGTCTCGTTGCAGATATGCTTACGGGTGTGAAGCCTGCACCTCTCGAACTCCTTTCAGCTACGATTGGAATAATGTTCGTCGGTCCCAAGAATGTACCTGTCGGTTGGTTGCACGGCCGCCTACCCACCAACTTCGTCGTCAGGCGCCATAAAGTGGCTAAGGCACTGGAATGGCTCATCCGCAACAATCCCTTGTACGGCGGCGTTCAGGTATCCCAGGAACGACTGGCGGCGTTACCGGAAAACGCAATCCCCGATCAGCTGTACGCTATTACACGTATTTCGGACGATACGGAAGGCTTGCACTCTGAAGGCATGAACTATGTACCTCAACACGACGACGATCCAGGGGGCGATGCACCAGAAGGTGAGTGACATAATCGTAGTTGAGATATTGTCTGACCATATTCTTCGACACGTAGGAGCAGCGGGAGACGAAGCGATGGACGAAGACCCCATCATGGGAGTTGACGAATGGGAGGACGACGTTGAACTGCAAGGTAAATTCTATCGCTGTCGAAATGCAGCTAGTGTTGATAACAATAATCTCCAGAACGGCCGCCTGAAATCATCCCGATTACACCTCTGGGTGTTGTGGACGCCAACGGAGAGAACATACCAGAGCGAGAACTCTTGGCTCATGCGCTCGCTAATTCCGTACGGCATCCGGGAGGGAAGGACAACTACTTTGTGAAATACGGCACGGCATTCGTCAACGAATACGCACGGAAGGATCCAGCTACGGGCCAACGATTTGACGGGGGACCAGAGAATCCCAGTCACCTGTTGGGAGCATTCCCAACACTATTTCCCTATGGACGAGGGGGATTTGAAACCAACCGGCCTCAAGACGTATCGTACGAACAACACAGCGCCTGGGCCCTTCAATATTCGGACAAGCGTTTCCGCAAGGACAGTCACTTTGTCTTTCAGATATTCGGAGTTCGGCAAAAGCGACAAGTGTGTCGGTCAGCGACGCTGCAAATTGATCATGGCGGGCTACAGCGGCACTCGCATCTGCTGGCACTGCTAAAACCGGCGGATTTGTTGAAAGCTAGTCAAGAGGAAACAGCACGTCGACCTCCGTCAAACCCCGCAGTACGCGCTCTGCGACAACACCTTACGGCCATACGAAGGAGGGTTGCAGGGACGGACGAGTCGCGTTACGTCGTGCGGTCCGAAGTGTGGGGAACAAGTCTACTGTTCAACCAACCATCCATATGGATGACTATCAACCCGTCAGATACGCAGTGTCCCATTGCGCAAGTGTTTACTGGAGAAGACATCGACATGGACGCGTTCGCTAGGACAGCAGGACCGGACTCCAAGCGACGAGCGACGAACATTGCGGGCGACCCCTACGCATCAGCCAAATACTTCCATTTCATAGTTCAAGCCGTTCTGGAAACGTTACTCGGTATAGAAGTCAGCAAGTCTCATCCTCCACGCCGTAAGGAAGGCATCTTCGGTATCGTGCAAGCATATGTTGGCACAGTAGAATCGCAAGGGCGAGGTACACTACACCTCCACATTCTGATTTGGCTGAAGGACGCCCCCACGCCAAGCCGACTTCGAGACCTCCTCCAAAGCGAAGACTTCCGGCAACGAGTTAGGGACTACGTGGATGCATGTATAAACGCCGACATCTCCGGGAAGACCAGCGCCGAGGTCGACGCCATGCCCGTCGACAGGGAACTGAGCTACTCCCGACCGGTTGATACCAACCTTCCTCACGATGAATGGGCGGAGACAAGACAAGAGAAGGTCAGCCAGCTGGCGCGCGCTCTTCAGTTTCACAAATGCGGACCTACGCGTTGTTTGAAGAAAATTCGAGGAGTGTTTCAATGTAAACGGCGGGCCCCATGGGTTAGGTCAGAGGAGACGTGGGTGTCCACCACCGGCGAATACGGTCCCAAGCGCATCGCCGGTTTCTTAAACAGTTGGAACGACACCCTTATGGACACCCTCCGGTGCAACCACGACCTGAAACTGTTGCTCGCCATCGCCGCCATCGCCAAAATAGTGTGGTACATAACCAACTACGCCACCAAGAAGCAACAGCGTTCTACTAACATGATGGCAGTTCTCGCGGATCGCCTGGCCTTCCACAACGAACAAGAAAAACACCGACTCGACGCCGCTAACCGCAACAAGCGTCTGCTGGAGCGTTGTTCAAATGCTCTAACAAGAGACCGCGAATTTAGCGCCCCCGAAGTCGTGTCTTACATCATGGGTTGGGGAGACCGGTACGAGTCCCACACTTATGTTCCCATCTTTTGGGAGCCGGCGGAACGCCTCTTGAAGGCAGCGTTCGCGTCTGCCGCCAATCCGACCGGTGAAGAGGAATCAGTACGTTTACCGCATTACACGACATATCGACATTGCCATGCTGACCACAGCTGACAGGACCCTGCCAGCAACCGAACACCTTTATCTTTTTCTACGGGGAAGGTTGAGTTGCAAGATCAGCTTAACGACTATCGCTATCGTGGAGAAGCGCTGGAGCACTACAGCCTTTTTGACTTCATTCTTGGTACTTACGAAGAATCGATTCCGGCTTCACGAGCTCGACAAGCCGCAGATGATCTTCAACCAGACGACGGTTCGGATGACGACAGCGACCCGCCCCACGACATCGACCTCCCAGAAGAGACGACAGGTGCGAGACCAGGCCGGCCATGCAATACGAGAGTTCCATATTTGCCAGATGCTAAGAAGCCCAAGAAGTGGAGAGTCGTCAGATCCCGCGGGCACGAGACTCTCCCTCGATTCGTCGGTCGATGGCCACCTCCAAACGACGAACCAGCCAAACGACCTCTATACACGGCCTCGATGTTGTTGTTGTTCCGACCGTGGCGCGATGTGGACGGCCTCGTTGGTGGTTACGACAGCCTGGAAGAAGCATTCCAATCATTCCTGGCATCTTGCAGTGAACGCGACAGAACCGTCATGGAAAACATCCAATTCTATCACAAATCAGCTCGGGACGCTCGTCAAGATGCGCTGCAAGCATTAGGGGATCAGTCTCATTTTGCAGAGGGATGGGGCGAAGGGGACGCGCCACGTTCACAACAGGAACGGGAGCGAGAGCAAGCAGCATTGCAGGAGTTGTTCGAGGAGGTGACGGAAGACCACATTGTAGCAGCGGAGAGGTCCCATCTCCCGGAACGAGAGGTACGGTACGCCGAGAACGCGATCAAGATTGCCCGCAACGCCGGCATCTTACCCAGCAGCGACGAACCACGGGTCAACCTGCCTCGTCTTGAGGATGCGCCAGATCGTGCGTCCGACGTTCAAGTGGAGCTTCTTTCGGCATGGAAGACTATGTTGGAAACTGCTACAAGGGATGGGAACTCGGGGGATGTCGTTGAGCCAAACCCAGTATCAAATTCGGACGGATGGATTGGGGCCCATGCACCGACACCAAGGACGACGTCGATCCAAGGACAAGTAGGAGGGACTGAGAGGGGACATCTCCTGGCATTGTTGAACGAAGAGCAACGCCGTGCCCACGACATAATCATCAACCACCTCGTCAACCATTTGAATGGTAAGTCTGTTATTTAAACTCGGGTACACGACCGAGTCACTAACAAACTTGAAATTACTTCAGGAGTTCCACAGCCCCAACTACTGATGCAGATTCAAGGGGAAGGGGGCACGGGGAAATCGCTGCTGATTGGAGCCATCACCGAGTCATTCGAACGACATCAAGCAACCAGTCTTTTGGCGAAGGCAGCTACGACGGGTATCGCATCGATTCCGATTCAAGGACAGACTCTGCACTCCTGGGCGTCGTTACCGATTGGTATCCCCGAAGGAGAGCGTTGGATCGTCAAAACCAACCCTGCGCAGGAAGAGGAAAGGAACCAGCGGGTTGGAACCAAGTCCTATTTGATTGTGGATGAAGTGTCCATGATGACGAAGGCTCAGCTTCAAGCACTCAACCGTGTCGCCACTTATGCGAGAGGGAAGATGGACAACGGAGACCACACGCAACCTTTTGGCGGCATGAATGTCATTCTTTGCGGAGACTTTCACCAGTTCCCGCCGGTCAGTAACACATCGGGCGCTTTGTATTGCGATCGACCCAGCACAGATAAAGAAGAAGCGAAGCTCGGACGGCAGCTCTTCAAGATGTTCACAACTGTTGTAATCTTACACCGGCAAAATCGCAGCGGCGACCAGAGGTGGAACGAATTGCTCAGCAGGCTACGTGAAGGGTTATGCAGTGACGAGGACATTGACGTTCTACGGGGGCTGCTTGTGGATTCGGAGCCATATGAGCAACGTGTGTGGCATCAACACGAGTGGTCGGAACCGGTTCTGGTAACCCCTCGTAATCCTGTACGAGAGGCGTGGAACGCCGAGGCACTGAATCGCCATGCTCGGGATACGAACCGCATCGTTTTCATCGCGCCGTCTGACGACTACGACCCGGCGACAGGAATGCAAGCTACGCCAGCGGTGCAATTGGCCATTGCCAGCCACAAGCCTACGAAGGGGAGGACGACAGATCAAAAGAAGTTGATCTTGGAGCGCAAACTAGAATTGGTGGAAGGTATGAAGGCGATGGTGCTACTGAATATCGCCACGGAGGCCGATGTCGCGAATGGGACGCGGGGTGTCATTGAAAGGATCATCTTGGATCCTCGAGAGCCCGCGCTGGAAGTTGGGGTAGATGGACGATGTTTGTTAAAATACGTCCCCGTTTGTCTGTGGTTCAAGCCCCTGCAGCGGTGCCGACTCGTTTTCCCCGGCGTTCCTGAGGGGCTTATACCGCTGACCCCAGCACAACATCGAATACCAGGCACCACGGGTAGCGGATACAAGTTTTCAATTATCCGTCGGCAGTACGCCCTTACGGCAGCGTACGCGTTTACCGATTACAAGTCTCAAGCGCAGACCATCGAGAAGGTCATAGTCGATTTGGAGAAACCGCCGACGGGACACCTGTCACCCTTCAACGTTTACGTTGCGTTGTCGCGAAGTCGAGGGCGGCAACACATTCGTATGCTGCGTGGGTTTGACGAGTCCCTTGTAACGGTGCATCCTTCGGAGGATTTACGGATCGAGATGCAACGTCTTCGTGCCCTGGACCAATACACTGCGCAATGGTGGGCGAGCCGGTCGAACGAGTAGTATAGTAGATGTTTTGAATTTCGAGAGTACACAATACACGTTCATTACATGAATAAGGAAAACATATTAATCAATGTCGTGCATGGGGTCGATGAAGAGCCATGGGAGACGAGGGGGTGTTGCGTCGGCATTGTATAAGAGAGCTTTGAGTTTGTTCCAATCATCCGGTGAAGGCGACATTGAACTGGCGTCGACATCGCGTACGATTTTGGAAACCATCGTTAATGTGCGTTTCAAAGATTGGCGGTCTCGAGCATATCGCATGATGACTAGGCAAAGACATTGTTAAAATACGAGACAGAGCGAAAGAGGTGAAGGATTTACGGAATGCCGTGTCGAAATCATTGGTCAGAGACTGATAAAGGCATTCCCGAGGGGACCTGAAACTTCGAAAAGGAGATGGATGGCCCATAGTGGTCAATAACTCCATGTGCACTGCAGGCAAGTCGGCGTTAGTACGTGGGGACAGTATATGACGGTGGTGTGTGTTACGAACTCCCCTATTTCCTCCATCTTACTTCCTTTGTTTCCTTCTCCACGCTCTATTTTCCCGAACCTTCCGGACTTCCGTTCCCTCCGTACTTCCGTTCCTTCCGTAGTCCCGTAATCTTTGCTTCTTCGATTCTCTCGCATCTCCGAACCCTTCGTACATCCGTTCCTCTCGTATTCCGTACTCATCGACACTCCTTACTTGCCGCTTTCACACCTTCTTTCACTCTCTTCTGAACCTCTTGGTAGCTCGCCAGTTCTACTATAAATACTGTCTCTCTGTAGTAGATATTCCTCAGCCTGTTATCAAGAACCTTTCCCTCAGAACTTCTATCGCTCTCAGCTCGATCCTCTCTGTCTGCGATAGCGACAGGCCTCTTGAACTTGATTCCAGAACCAGAACTTCGATCCAGAACTCCAGAACTCCAGAACTCCAGAACGACTGTTGGCAACGATAAGTCCTTGTTGCCCGAAGTCGTAACAGAATAACAGGCTCCTCTATCGCCGCCTTCTTCGAAAGCGCGGCCCCCTCTCTTCAACCACGGATTCAGACGACGATCTCCGAACTCCTTCGACCCCTCCCTACGGCTGCTACAACCAGCCACACGCATTCTACTCCGACAAGAAGTTCGACGTCCACCTAAACCCAGTCGGCAAGTGGATTCATTGCACCCGACAACCCTGCCCACATCGTCTATCCAAACAACCCGAAGAGTTCCCCAGTTGGGGAGTCCCCTGTGACACCGTGGAACAAACCGAATTCGATCCCGACATCGTAGAAGAATCCCTCCAGAAAGCTCTCGAATCTCGAACCGAACGAAGGAACAAACAGAAAGAAGAAAGAAGACTTCAAAAGAAGCATCAGAAAGCTACGAAGTCACCAAGGTCGAGGGGCCCTACTGAAATCGAACGAACCCTATCGGACCAACTGAAGAATCTGAACATCGACCAACCGACTCCATCGAAGAACCAAGAAGACCCTGAAACCGACTCTAATACTGACATGGCTGGAAACAATAACAGCAACACCACCAAGAACGACTCGAAGAGCGACAACGGCAAAGTCATCCCCAAGAGGTTCAACGGAAACCGCTACCACTACCAGGCATTCCGCGATGCCGTCGATCTCTTCTTCATCACAGACGACAAACACGACACCGACCAGAAGAAGATCGCCTTCGTCCCACAATATTACATAGACCTCTACATATGGTAGATATGCCACCTGACCTGTTCAAATACATTGACCGGCTATGTCCAGCCAACCAGCTGACCACCCCCCCTGGCATAAGTGGCCAATGTCAGCTGACACCACCATGTAGTGTAACCACGATATGTCAGCTGGCCTGTCAGCTGGCCTGTAGTTTCAGCCGGAAGGGCCAGAGCCATCTGGTTTGACCCCCATAGCCCATCCATTATCCACTAGAGTCGGCTGACCACCCAAATTCCGCATAACTGTATTAGGCCAGCTGACGCCTCTTTTGGCGGATTGAAAGCCTGCCAACATGACAACCCAGCTCACCTAGGTTACTAAATGGTATCTCGCATTGACCCCTTAGGTGAGCTCATGCCCTGGCTTCGGGTCCCCCAAGTCGGCTGACCTATCCATCCCATAGTGCTGCGCCCGCAACAGCCGACCCAAAACCTCGCATGCCGCTCGAAGGCTAAACGTTCCTCTGCCCAACCGGATCCCAGAATCTGTTCAATAGTACGGTTTTGCACGTGCCGCTTTAGCTACAATACTACCTCCTCCGCCGATCGAGCGAGGTCAACCACCCTGCGCATTGACCGTATAGATGGGCGGACACCCCCTACCTTCAAGCGCCTTGGCGCGCCGACCTAACGTCCCTACGAAAAAGGGTGTTCCTGGGTAAGCGTAGGCACAATTTTGTTCGGTGCCTTATACCAGCTGACCCACCCTGGACGAGTTTGACGTCCGTAAGAGCAATACGTCTGCCGACGACCTCCACCTGATCGCCCTACCACAGCGGACTTAATACCCTTTTGGCCAATTCTCCCCCTGTTGTTGGCGGTCACTTACCGCCTTAAATACAGCGGTTACCAACCGCCTTAAATACAGCGGTTACCAACCGCCTTAAATACAGCGGTTACCAACCGCCTTACATACGGCGGTTACCTACGCCTTACATACCAGTCCAATATCGGCTATTTTGCATCGGCGGCTAAACCACCATCCGCCTTACCGCCGACCGGCATATTGACTAGCACAGCCTCTCCGACTCGGTGATGTATTAATCTTCCGTTTTCCCTCTTTCCACCTTCATACACCTACTCTCTGTGGCCACCTTTGCTCACGCACAGGGAAAATGTCTTCCAAACGCTCGAAACACAGAAACCAGAAATCTACAAACAACGAAAGGCCAAACCGTCACCCCTCAACTGCAGTCCCTCCATCGAAGACACCCTCTTCGAACCCTCCATCTCGATGGCGATACGTCGAGTTGCCTGAAACGCCGCCACCAAAACCATCGCTTGCGCGCACCAGAATTAGGAAAAACAGGAGACCCAGTTTGGACAGTGAGTGTTTGCACCTTACGCTGGGCATGACGATACTTTATTCACTGACCGAGCCATTTCTATAGAAGTTGACGACCCTGACACAGACTCCTCAACGGAGTACCTTCCATTTCCAAAGAGGCGCAAGGGTAAGTCCTGTCAGACATACCTTTCCCATGCGAGCGTACAACTCACATACATCCCAGGCACCCCTGTTACCGATGATGGCCTTAGTCCCTAACACTGCATATCTCTATACTAGATCGTAATTAGCCACAAATGCAATAACGAGTAACATTTCCCATTCTTCAACACCTCTGTTCGGCTCGTCCGAGATCGTAAAAAGCGCCGGCGGTTACTTACATACCAGCGGCTACCGCCGCTAACCGACTTACATCCTTTCGCATTCTTCAACACTGTCCGGCTCGTCCGAGATTGTAATAAGCCCCGGCGGTTACATGCCAGCGGCTACCGCCGCTAACCGACTTACATGCATAAGAGCGGGCCGTAACTCTTAACACCCACCTGGCCAAAGCCTTAAAGACATATACTTAAAAGATACAGAATCCCTAGCTCCCCACTGTCTCATACCAATCTCCCATGTGCGAGTGTCTCCAAATCCGCATCGACAAACTCGAGGCGCGGTGCAAGCAGATATCAAGTAAGTATCTAAGTATGTCTTGTTGCGGAGTTCACTGATCCCTCCCTCAGCCCTTCGCCGAATAATCAGAGAAAAGACTGGGGTCCAGGATGGTGGCATAATCGTCCGTGATCCTGCTACGAGCTACGACGATGATGGAGCGCGATTAATACAGGTTCAGTTGAAGGCGGAGCTTGACGCTGCTCTTGCGTTGGCGAATGAAATACCTGAACGTGCGGCTTTGCATTTCAGTATGTTCCAATGAACCATTTATTTTCGGTCAGTTCTTGGGCAGGTTTTGACGCAAGCCATAGACGCGAAGGACAAGGAAACCATGCATCTTTCAGATCTCGACGGCCTCAACCTTTCCGAACTCATTCAATTCCCAGCAAAGTGCGTTCCAGATCTTCAGAACACCAATCAGTACCACAAGAAGTTTCTAATGTACACTCAGGTCTAATGAAGGCGTGGGCAGGAGTCGAAAAACTCCTCCTAGAGTCGTATCTCAGGAGGTCCACCAGAGATCGTACCCCACTGTACAGGAAGATAGAAACCCCTCATATTCGCCTCCTTCGCCAACTCATCAAGGACTTTGCAGCCGAGGCCCTACATGGAGGCTGGAAGCTCATCGGACAGGTTGAAGCGCTCCTCGTCGAAGTATCCTCAGCGGAACTGTTTGAATTCCCGTCATCTTAGTCCATACGAGGGGAGTTAATGCGCAGTCATGTAATCTCAATCTATCCGTTCTCTACGTGATATAACAAACGCCGATCAATTTTCCCTTCCCGCCGTATATCTATCTACCCTCTGATGACCATGTTTCCTAGCGGTGGACGCCGTACGAAGAAAGAATTATAGACCTAAGTTCCAGCGCCCCCAGGTATGTAGCCCGTGCCTTTTCCTCAACTTCCAATTCGAACATCGCCATTTTCCCGTCCTCTTCCTCCTCCACCCGCTTTCGGTCTTTCTCAGCCATATTACGTCGCGGGTCTTCCACCGCGATAAGTGCTTCATACTTTCTCATTTTACACAAGTCGACCTGGCTTTCCTGCTCGGACCAGGCCATAATGACCTCTATCCATTGCCGGCGGCCTTCGTTAGACACGGATTATCGCCTCATGGATGACCCATCTACACACCTTGAATCTCGGAAAACACCGTATCCAATTTACGGTGCCGATTGGGCAAGGTATCGTTCCCGATGACCGCCAGACCTTCTAGGAGAGTCAGCATTGTTACCGCCGCTTTGATTATGCCGGCTATATACCTCGGATTCCCAAAAATACTGAATTCCCATCAGACGGATCCTGCTTAACCATCGGTGACCCTTCCACTTCCGAACAATCCATCTGAATACGCACTAAGACAGCATCTGACGTGCACTCACCCCGCGATACCTCGGCGGCGCAACTCGCCAACAACTTCGTATTTTCTTCCAAATTTCCCAACGCTCTTGACATAAACTGCTTGCTCTCCTCCAAGGGATCGTAAGGGTCTGAATCTGCAATCCAATAACCCTGCGATCTAAGAGCCTCTCGCCGCTCCTCCCTTGTTTGCGACTCTAGCTTCCATATCAACTCCTCGTTGGCTTTTTTGAAATAGTGAGATTAGGGCAGCATCGTACGCGAAGGCGGAAAAATGTACCTTTAACCGAGTCGAAGTAAGTCTTGGCGAGAGAGAGCCAACGACGACAGCACAACGAACTGCAAGTAATTGTTTGCACCGCGATAAGTGCTTCATACTTTCTCATTTTACACAAGTCGACCTGGCTTTCCTGCTCGGACCAGGCCATAATGACCTCTATCCATTGCCGGCGGCCTTCGTTAGACACGGATTATCGCCTCATGGATGACCCATCTACACACCTTGAATCTCGGAAAACACCGTATCCAATTTACGGTGCCGATTGGGCAAGGTATCGTTCCCGATGACCGCCAGACCTTCTAGGAGAGTCAGCATTGTTACCGCCGCTTTGATTATGCCGGCTATATACCTCGGATTCCCAAAAATACTGAATTCCCATCAGACGGATCCTGCTTAACCATCGGTGACCCTTCCACTTCCGAACAATCCATCTGAATACGCACTAAGACAGCATCTGACGTGCACTCACCCCGCGATACCTCGGCGGCGCAACTCGCCAACAACTTCGTATTTTCTTCCAAATTTCCCAACGCTCTTGACATAAACTGCTTGCTCTCCTCCAAGGGATCGTAAGGGTCTGAATCTGCAATCCAATAACCCTGCGATCTAAGAGCCTCTCGCCGCTCCTCCCTTGTTTGCGACTCTAGCTTCCATATCAACTCCTCGTTGGCTTTTTTGAAATAGTGAGATTAGGGCAGCATCGTACGCGAAGGCGGAAAAATGTACCTTTAACCGAGTCGAAGTAAGTCTTGGCGAGAGAGAGCCAACGACGACAGCACAACGAACTGCAAGTAATTGTTTGCTCTAGGTTGCGATGGACAGAGATAGTGCGGCAAACAAAGGGTTCAGCCATCATGCGCGCTCGATGAATTCAGGGACCCACGCCTTCACACTTTATATATAACCCGGTGCCAATATACCCCAGTGATATATTTAGTCGGTGACAGCAACGATTACATATCCTTAAGCACACGTTTGGCCATCTCCTCCCAATTGCCGACGAGAGTAAGCTGCTGATGTAGGGTCTTGCAGGCCGCAGAGAGGGATATAACCTTTTGCCTGACCTCCTTCAGTTCAGGACTGAGAATCTCCTCTGCGTTATCTCCTAACTCGCACTCCAGTTCGGTCTGCAACCCTGCCAAGGCCTCGGTAAGATCCTCTGACCATCTGACTGTTTCTCCAGACCCTATTTTCGCTACGGCCAACGATTCCCCCAGAAGTGCAAAGAGCCTCTTGAATATCACCCCGTTGGCCTCGGCGTCTGCGGACTTGACCCGCCGTTTCTTGGATCGTAGTCTAGTTCCTTCTTCGTCACTGGTCCCGTCTATGTATCATCAATGGCCGTCCGTGAACTTGGATGCGCAGCCTACCTCCATCAGCGCTTCGTTTCGACAAGCGCTCCGTTTGGTTGACATTCAATGATTGCGCAGAATGGTGGGTATTCGTAGATGCTGAAGGATCTGGAGGGCCAAAACCTCAGTATATGTCAGACAAAAAGAGACAAAGCGGAACACACGCATTTCCAATGAACCAGAGGGGAACGACAAACAAGGGAAGGATGAGAGGCCTGTTGGGATAGGTTCTCTCTATATGATCAGATTTCCAGGTCGGGGTTTGAAACCAGGGCGCCTTCCCCAGCGGTTATAGTCGATGTTAAACGCCGCCGCTTATGAGTATTGTCGATAAGAACGGTCGCTTTCAGATACCGCCGGTAGTACGTACAGCCACATCGTGTCGTTTGTGATCGAGCGGTCGCTTACCCGGTGTCCCTCACCGTTCAATGAATTCTCATCACAATTGTTCAGGTCGGCGGTGCCTTGACCGGATATCGCTGACATATGACATGCACGATATTGCCGCCGCTCAATGTTAAGGATACTTTACACGGTCCCAAGCATCGCCCTAGTCACACCTAAGCTTAATCGAGAACTAAGCCGAATCGTCGTCCGCAGTTCTTCGATAGTTTGGCGCAGATGCCACACCGTTGCTGCCGATATTAATTCCCGTCGAGTACTACCAGGAAAGGTGACAGATTCCACCTGTTCCATGGCGGCAAAGTTCGCTATCACTTTATCCACCAGGTCCCACATCTCCAGATGCGCTATGAAGTCGATTGTTAGTTCTTATGGTTCTCAGCAACCAGACATTGAATCTCTACCGTGTAACAGAGGCTCGACAAGCCCTTTCCAATATATCCACTCCTCGTAGGTCAGGTCAATGCAATTGGCTGCCGCTCTGTCCATCATAACACGAGATCTCAGACTATCTATATACCCAGTCTCAGTCCCGTTTCCTTGAGCAAAGGTTGTCTGACTCTTACCTTTTCGAGGATGCACCAGTCGTCGTTGACGATGAAAACTTGACGAGGATTCTGAAGAGCACGTTCTATGTATGTATTGCGTTAGGTCCTTGTTACATAATCCAGTCCAACACCCAGTCGAACATCCAGATTGGCGGCTTGAGCGACCTGATCCTCCTGTCCAGAATGGATTCGACTCGCCCCCCCCTTTCTCCTGGCACTCGGTTAATCCATCGACTCGCCAGATATATCCTACGTCTCCTCCGTGAACAACTCTTCCCAGGTCACCCGCCCACGCCTTGGCCTAAAGACATCCCCATCCGCCTCCAGGTCGAGTGTCACCAGATCGTTGCCGTTGTCGTCAAAGCATTCCTGAATGCAGGTAAGTAATCAGTTGGCCCCTTATCGGTCTAACCAAGTTCTCACATGAAGTATAACAGAGCATTTGGCGTGGGCGCTCCATGATTACAAGGTACAGAAAGGAAAACTCACAGCCGCGGAATTACTGGCTCGCTTTCCACCTGCATCGCGACAAAAGGGCGACGGAACTCCCTATATCAAGGACGAACCTTTCATTGTGGTCGATTCAGTCGGTCGCATTCTTTTATGGTACCTCCCCAACATCGTTTCAAGCGCACGACAGGTAGGTTCTTCCATTGTGGCCCTGTTCGACAGTCTTCTGACGGGGAGCAAGGCCGTCATCTTAGAAGCGATATCTTGGCTGTCATTCGACGCGCCCGAAACCCCCCTTCTGACGAAACCTTGCGAATTCCGAAGACATGAAGGGACCTTCACACCTTCCGGCCCTCTTGTAAGAAGCGGGGTGGCAACATTTGCTTCCTGTTGGCCTGTGCCGATGAAATCTAGAGACCAGGTTAGTTCTGCGCTGCGTCGTTGTTGCCAATTTTAACCGTCGAATAGAAAGATCCCTCGTCGTCTCTGAGGCCCTCCACCACCTTCAGCGATCCTCGTAACGGTGGCCTAGAGTTCCTCGAAGAAGGTTTCCGAAAGCATGGCCATCCTGGGTGCTATCTTGGCCGCCGTGTCACCCCGCCCAGTTCGAAGCTGGGCTTGACGTTCTTGCGCATCTGAATGCAGGGAGCATCGTAACCCAGGAGCCTGCCTTGCTTCGACAGGTTCTTGAACTTTGGTCAACTCCATTCACGGCCTTTTCGGTTGTCAACAACCGTGATACATGGCTTCATCTCGACCCCAAATCACCACCCCGGGCGTACGACTTGCTTTACACAGGAGGACGTTACAGCGACGCTAGGTTCGAGGTACCATCCCTGGGCCTGAGATGTCGGTACAACCCTGGAACGGTCGTCGCCTTACTCGCCGCTCTGTTCGAACACGGCATATCCCCGGTTGTAGGGGACCGCGTAGGCATTTCCCAGTTCTTTCGTCAGGTCATGATAGAGCAGGTTCCCTGCTCCCGCCTACCCACCACCATGTACTTCGCGGATTTTCTCAACCTTTTCAGTAGTGATTATTACTTCAAGGACTAATCTAATATGGCACCGTTATTCCATTGCCCGCCACTCTGAATTCCACCGCCCGTCAATCTTATCGGTCACCCTAAGAGCCTCGGTCACCCATTCCTCCGTACTCGTCCATTCGTTGAGGGTGCCCTCCATAAACTCCAGCCTTTTACTCAACAGGTAGCGTGCATCGTCGAGATCCGCAGCGGACGAAGGAATTTCGGCGGGCGGGGGATACGAGCCCGAATCGTCGTCGTCCCTTTCGAAGTCGCTTGAAGCGAGCATCTTCCCCCACTCCACGTCGGAGTCCAGTTGGTACGGCGGTCTTCCGAACGCCTCGTAAACGGTGCCGTCAAACAAACGCTCTAGGCTCCAATCGCCGGTTTCCATTATGTTTATAAGGCGAGCTAGGACCGGGTTACACGGCTGAACCGGGTTTCTGCTCTCGCTGTGGAGGAGCAAGCACTTCATGTACGTCGTCCAAAGTCTTACCTGCGTTTGTAGTAAGCCCCGAGTGCTTTAATAACAATAGCCCAGACAACAGAAACACAATAATTACCGCTTCGTAGTCCACCACTTTGAACATGGCTGCTTTCCGGGCTGGAGTTAAATCAAGCCCTTTCGCACGAGCGGCGGCGGCAATGATACGATTTGCCGTTCTTTGGTGAACACAAAAGGTGTGATAAGTGTCACCACCCAGAGAAGGCTTCTCAAGGCACGTCGACAAAAATGCGCGCAATAGAGAATCTGAAAGGCAATTAATATTACTGATAATCTCGTGTAGCTTTACTTTCAAAGGGGCAAAACACATTTACTTTTCTCGATTTGACCCAAATGATCCTGTTCCTGCTCGTATTCCTCCAACGTTCTCTTCACCCGTTGAATGGCGTTGCGATTCTCCTCCAAATCCTGCTCGATCAGGTCGAGGGACGACTTAACAAGCGACCTGGCTTCTCTCAGCGCTGAGATCCCCAGTTCACGAAGGACCAGACGGGTAGACGGCGTTCCGGGGAGATGGGGAGGTAGATATGCGCTCTGCTGCCGCCACATTTGGATGAGACCGTTGAGGTTCGGGAACACCCTCTCGGCGCCTGGTTGCCACCATGCCTCTCTGTAGAGACTCAACTTGGCATCTCGGAGCCCTTCCCCTCCCTCCACAGCTACCTCGAGCATCCACATATCCAGTTCACCCTCCACATCCCCAAAGCAAACGGGGAAAATCTTGCGAAAAGCTGGCGGCGGAGTAATGGAGTGAGGATTCCTGACGGCGGCGGCGGTGTAGATCATCATTCCATTGATCTGGTGCACAGCGGTGAGCTCGGTCCTTCGAGAAAGCGTTAATCTGTACCAATTCCCCGCGTAGACACTCCCTAAAGGCCCGTCGCTCTTCTTCCGGCATCAGGTCACGTAACACCAGATAGCTTCCACCGGCGGCCCTGAGCCGGCTTGAGGTGTAATCCAGTAGGTCCTGTAATCCGATTTGGCTGATATCGCGCAAAGCTTTAATGCTGACTGCGAATTCGGTCATTGAGGGAGGCACACGTCAAAAAGTATGGGGAAGTCGACAAAGCGAATGAGCCCCTGGGTCCAAGATTTAATGCCCTTTTCACGACACAGATTCGCCCGTTTGATATCACGCCGGCGCACACGGGTGCGCAAGATGACGTCACCAACTAAATATATTATCCGATCGCGGCTGCGTTGGTCGTCAGTTGCTCCGCCGTTTCCTGAGCGCTTTTGAAGGACCTCCTGGCCTCGCAAGCCAGAAGCCTCCACATTTCAGCTTGACGGTAAGCGTAGGCGCGATGTCCAGGTCTGTTACCGCTCATGTCTGCCCAGCCCAAACAAATCTTTTCCTTCCGATCGAAGAAGTTGAGCATCCAACCCATCTCACAACGTATGAGAGTGTTCTCCTCCTTCCATCTGTCTAAACGAGCCTTGGCTCTTATCCAGTTAACTCTGTATACTATCGAGTGGGTTAGAGTTTGCCAATCACCACGAGTATCGTTTTTTTGGACGTACACTCGCTGAGGTACGTGGAGTTTTCCGAATCCCCCTTGACATCCACGCTCCAAATCCACGATAAAGATAATTTCGATTGACCGGGTGCGTTGGGTTGATAGACCGCCGTAATTGCCTTAGTATCCTCTTTACGAATCGCCTTAAAGCGGTCCAGTATCGATGGTTTGGCGCGCAGTCTCGTTAAAGCCCATCTGGCGTGGTTGTAAAGGCGCAGATGATGTCGCATGTTGGAGTCGGCGGCCTTTATGGACTGATAGCCGCGGGTTTTTTGTTTCTTCCCTTGCGCTAAACGGATGTCGGATCGATAGAGGAAAGACTTGTGTCCTATTTCCGTTCTGATGCCCTCCAGAGCATCGTTCGCCTGGGCGATTCGTAAATGGATCTCTTTCTTTCTGGCCCTTTTCATAGCCGGCGGGAGGGACGGCGAATGAGGATGGTAAAGGTACCTCCACGTCCCTCAACGTCACAGTCTTCAGAGTTGACGAACGGGTTATCTTCCTCTGCTGATGCTCCTCTAACGTCGTCGATATCTGAATCGTCTGGGTCCTCGTTGTCGATTTCAGGCGCGGCATCAGGAGGTCTTTCGTACGCTCCAAATTCGACCGACGGGAACAGGCCAACGGCAGTGGAAACGAACGCATCGAGGTCGGCTTGGAGGCGCTCTCGTTTCTCCGCAAGTTCGACGAGCTGGAGATCCGTCCTAAGTTCGTCTCGGGGAAGGCCCTTGACGAACGATTTAAGTAGTAGTCTGGATTGTCATTTCCAGCTTAGCGGTACCCGATAACTCGATCGATCGTACTTACTGGGATTCCTGTATCTTCAGCCCCCGAGTCAGCCATGACGTTACGCCGACATCCTGGTGACCCTCCTGCTCACTGACCATCAGTTCGTGTTGAACCTGGGATCTTGACGGGGCTGGATGATAAAGTTTTAATGTTTGTAAACCATGAATGTTCGATAAGGTCCCTACGCTTGTCGATGGTCACATTCAGGATGTCCATAGCACCGACGTCAGTCAACCGCCCTTCCAGAGCTTTATCGAGTTGCCCCTTCCAGGAGGTGCGCTGTGCGGTACTGGCAGTTGCGTCAAGTAACTCGAAGGCCTCGGTGGCCTTCATCAGTTCCTTCTCGCTTTTGACATAGTGCCCGCCCAGCTGAAGTACTACCGGGTTGATCGTTGTTACGTTAGCCACTGGGCGGCGGTACCCGCAATAAGAGCAAGGTGGTAGACATACCTAGGTTGATCATCTTCTTAAAATTGCTATCCGCAATCAAGGCGTCTAGGACTTCAGTTCGGTGTGCCAGCGTCATTGTTTGAGTCGGTTTCGCCGCCTCGTTCAGCACTGACCAGAGTGATTCCAAAATCTCCCCAGCCGTCCAACCTGAGCCCTCGATAAATAGCGGGGAGTGCCTCGCAAAACACCTCTCTTGATGTCCGAAAACGTGGAACTTTCCTATGCCGAAAACCAGTTCCAATGAGTCCCAATGCGTAAGGTACCTCCCTTCCTTGAGGCGCTTCGCCAGATGAAGGTGATATTGGCAAGCGATGTCGTAGAGGAGATTTAACCGCTTCGCCTTTGATGCGCCGGTCGATATAATTGCACCGCACAAGCCATAATCCATGTTCATTTGTCTGGTGGCCGATATCCGTGAGCGGAATTCTGAGACAGAAAGAAGACATGTACCGTTCTCCCTTTTGAAAGTCGACTACACTACCAGGAGCGAATGCCCCGTGACGAGAGCACGCAAATGCACCGACGCCAGTGACGTCGCAGCCCTTGTGAGTTTTAGACCGATCCTCCACTGCTCGATGTTCGTGACAAGTTGGAGCCTGAAAGCAACAGGCATCAGCAACATGTATGACAACTCGGGATGTACAATGTGACCTCTTTCTTTTCGTTCGTAGACTTGATGTGCTTTGCATACCGGGTACGTTCCACTAGGTATCCTTCTCCGCGCTTCAACCATACATCTTCGTCTCCCTTTTGCTTCCGATGAACAAGACTGAAATTGCCGTCGGCGACGAGCGTAACATAGTACTTCCACTGTTCGGGATCGTCCCTCCAATCCGCTGGCAAGTTGACATCCGGTTGTGGGCAGGCGGCACAATAAAGTGCCATTTCTCCCTCCTCTGGCGCTCTCCCCAGGTGACTGAACCCGTGTCGCTTCAACTCCTTGAGACGCCGCCACTCGCGACTGCACCGAAGGAGCTCCCTGTACCGATCCTGTTGGACGCAGGTACCATGTAGGTTAGACCCTATCCACGCCATGAGAAGACGGATAACTCACGGGAACCTTTTTTGGAAACGCCTGTGTTCGTGAGCCGTCGCAACTTGGAGTAATAATGAAATGCTGAGGTGTTACATTCAAGGTTCTGGAGTAGATAGTCGTCCAGAAGTTGAAACGTGAACGCGCTACGGGCTTCCTTGTATGATGTGGGATAAAGGTCAAATCGTAAAAGCTGTATATCGTTGTCGGCGGCGTCGTGGCAGGAGCAGAAGCGAACAGGGAGGTGGTGGATACCGGTAAGATGAACCACCACAATGACACTGATGTCGTCCTCCCAGACACGCTTGTCAGGTTTGGCACCGTAAGTACAGTCGTCAGGTTCGGGTAGAGCATCGGGGGCATCGGAGAGGGTTGCCCTGTCCTGGTCACACCGACCGGATGGACACAGACTGAGAATAAGACCGGTACGCCAGAGCCAAGACGGTGTGAAGTGGGTCTTGTTCCACACTTCGACCCGATGGAATGGGTTCCGTCGGTGACTGTCCTTACAGCACTCGGTACACAAAAGTGGTCGCCCAAAGCAAATGTTTGCACCTCCACAGAACTCGGGAACTAGGGTCAAGGCAAAGGGAGCACTCCGGTTTCTGTAGAGACATTGCGCCCTCTACGATCTCCCCGAGGTAGGTGTTCTGTTTGGTCTCCTTCCATTCGCGCAGGTATTCGTTCGAAGACTGTGAACCGGTCAGCCCCCCGACGTTATCAGAGCAGTATCGAATTCAAAAGAAACTTACATTGGCTTTTCCGATCACGTCTCTATCCGATACTTCAAAAGGAATGAAGACATCGCCAGAGTTGCCCCAATCCATCTCGTTCCCAGGACCCGCCCTTGCGCTAGCTGCGGCCGAAGCCAAAAGTTCCTCGACGCGGCTACGTTGTCCTCCTGACTTTGAACCACTCTGAGAAAGCGCCCTCTTATTTTTAGGGGTAGTGAAGGTGGTCGGCACCAGCTGGATTTTGGCCGAGTTTCGTCTTGTTTTAACCAGCTTGGCCTTGTAGGCGTAAACCTTTTCAGGCGGCTCGCACTCATAACGGCGGACGTTGCCTCGACGATTCATGCCTACACGGAGTGTGAGCAAAACAAACGTGTCAGTGGGCAGAAGGAAGTGGGGTGTCTGCGGCGATAAGGTTATAAATAGAGATGACGTCATCACTCCATATGTCACGGACCCAATCCCGGAGAGGATGGAATTGATAGAAAGCAACACAGGTTTAAGTGCATGTCACGGAATCGAAGCATGCACAGATGGCGCCGATCATTCCAGGAATAGCACAGGGAAAACATACGGCATCAGTGAACCACAAACGTCGGACCCAGAGCTCACGGAGGCACGATAACGAAGAGTGAAGCAGGATGTATTTCAGCACAAGATGACGATAAAAGAACATGAGCGTTGGCGGACTAGACGAGCAAGAAGGTGGAGGTAGAGAAATGTATACGAGTAAGAAAGTCATCGTCAGTTGCCGGGTGCTCCTGGGGCGGGAATGAGAGGAGGGGCTTCATAACGGAGGTAGGGCGGCGGCTTGGAGTGAGGATCGCCAACATCTGTCGGGAACTCTCGGTGGACAGCGATTCGTTCTCCCAACCGTAAGAACATTCCTCCAGGTACCCATCAGATCTGTACCCCGAAGGCAGGCGAGTGGGTATGTTGACGAGCGTGCGCCTGGCGTAGCCTTGGAGGAAGAGATCTTCCGGGATGCGACCGTTGGTTGAGACCCCATCCAACTCACCCCGAAGCGCGACGTGCATAGCGGAGACCAGCGAGTGAATGGTGTCCTTGATACGAAGCCACTCGGCGGTGACGGTGTTGACGCGGGTCAGCGCCGAACGCCAGTGCCCCAAGAGGTTGGCCATATCGACTGGGTGCGAGCGTACTATTGCGAAAAGTCAGGCTACCGTCGAGCGATCGAAAGATACTGTAGGTGCTCACCGATTTCTCCTGTGACTGCGGAAGGGTCGATCCATGAGCAGGGTTATCGGTGGACGTTCGACCTGAAACACATACCTGGATCCTTGTCCCACAACACATCGGATTCGACATGGAATTTTTTGGTGAGCCCGTAAAACGCGAAGCGAAGGGAGTCGTGGCGGGTGGGAAGGGTAAGGAGCGTTCGTGTCAAGGTGCGAACCACTTGGATTCGAGCTTCTCGCGTGGTTGGGGTGGGGATGGGTACCAGAAGGATACCACCGTGATCCCAGCCTGCTGGAGGCGGTGGTGGTCCCCATTGCTCGAGCGTGCCGGTGGAGGTCGCGGTAGAGGGACCGATCGCGGGATCCACTTCGCCGGTGCTATCGCTATCGTCGTTCGCGTCGTCGGACTCGCTGGAAGGCGGTTCTTGTGGAGGAGAGGCGGCAGTGTTACTCGACGAGCCGGTGGGCGTGTTCCTATAGACGGCGAGGCGAGGTCGGGCAACTGGTGCTGCGCGAGGGTTGTTTGGAGAGGTCGCCGACGCAACCATGACGTATCTGGGCCCTGTTAGGACGAGCTGGCGATGAGGACATGGCGATGTTGATGAAGGGGAATGAGCCCAAACTCGTATCTGGGTTTTGGGTCAGGCGCCGGCCGAAATAAATCTGATGGGATCAGACGCGGCTATTGGGCATGGCGATGCCGAAATAAATCTGATGGGATCAGACGCGGCTATTGGGCATGAAGGGCAACGAGTCGAACTCGTTGAAACACCCTTGCTTCCCGAGGGACGTTTTAATGCCAGTTATGGACTAAAAAATATACGTACCAGAGCCGCAAAGCTATCCTTTGCACGTAGTCGAAAACCGCTTGCCCGTGGGACCCCTGGTTAAAAAGTCAGACGATGGGGTGCTCTGTGTTCTTTCGCGCTAGTGCAACTTAACCTCGACTTCTACCTCCAAGATGGCTCGACCCAGAAAATACCATACCAAGGCGGAGAGAAAAGAGGCAAACCGCAGAAAGAATCGCGACTATTATTCGAGGTATATCATTGCCCTCGAACACATGCATAAAGCGCTCACGATGCTCTAGGAAGAAGACCGAAATCAATAAGCGCCGACGAGACAAGCACGCATTAGTAGCTGCTCGGTGGGGCACACCTTAGCTCTCGGGGGATTGATTTACATATTAACTCTGTTCTGACCCATAGGATTGCCCAGGAAGGAACTCAAGCCCTGGCTAGCACTTGGTGCCCGGAAATCTAGGGCAGTTGTCGCAGAGTATGACTTTGGAATTGGGGCGACTCAAAGAAAATACTGATTTCCGGTTTCGCAGGAATACGACGGATGATGCGACAAAGAGAGCAGTGGAGGCTGCAAAAGTAATATTTCCGGACTTTTAAGAGGGTTGTCGGAGGAGACAGAGCTACCTATCCTTTGAACGTCTGCCGCCAGCTATTCAAGGACTTTGAGAACGATGTCTCGCTAGCTGAATTGAAGAACACTGCGAATTATCACAGTGTTCGGCTGGCTAGATTCCGGGACCAGGTTGATGTCCACTACGACAAAATTCTCAACAGTGCAGGCATTGGTCCCGAATTCAAGGTGGTCGAAGGCATGAAAAATGAGATTGACGCAGCTGTAAAGCTCGTGGAGGATATCGAGGGTTACTTGCTAGACGGAATGGAGGCGCTCGTGAACGCCTTCAAGAACAAAGAATTGGCGTTTCAGTAGTCTGTACGGCAAACATCGTGTTGATCTTCACTAAAGACCAATTGCAAGTTGAATTCATCATCGTTTAGAGCGATGGATAGTCGACATTGTCCCAAATTGACGGCGTACTGTAGCCAGGCTCCGAAACGGAGTTGTACCCTGCACAGAATTTCTGCCAAGATTACTGGAACACATATAAATGAGAGGAGGTAAGCGAGGGCCACGAAGAAGACCGCTCAGCACAACTAAGCCCTACTAAGCCCCAGAAATGCCTTCCTCCAGCATCAGTGCTTCTTCGAAAGGAGCAGAGACCGACGACAGCGCCACAGATTTTGGTGTCGTGGCCGGATATACGTTCACCGAATCGCAGTTGGCCTATATGCGAGAGCACGTAGAGGCCTATATCGGCACCGCTGCCAAGAAAAGGCGCCGATTCCTCAAGAGGATCGCTAACCATTTGCGTCAGGCGATCGAGGATCGAAATAAAGAGCCCATTTCACGGGCGGAGGAGAGTAAGCTTCTACAGGTAGGTTCCAGTTACAGCTTGATGTTACCGCGTTACATCGCTCAATTATTTTAAGGGTATTGCGGCATGGTTCAAGGCACAGACCAAAACTTCCAGGAATGCGAAGGATCAGTACTCCACGCTTTGGCACCCTCGACTGGTGTATATGAGAAGCAAACGCAGGAAAACGAAGGCCCTAGCTAGGCGTATGCTAAAAGGCGATTGGGACGTGGACCGGTTTCTAGACGAGTACGACTCTGACGCCGACATTGGAGCGTATGGATCCGATGCCGACGATGTACCGAAAGTGAAGGGACCAAAGGGATCTGCAGGCGACTGGTTCTTTAACTATTACCAGGATGCTGCGCGAGAGCTATACGCCAAGCTATCCGACAGCCAACTTGCTCGTTACGAGGCCCTCGCGGCCAAGTGGAATGATAGTGGTCCCCCACCGGAAATTCAAGCCGAGTAAGTGCTTTTCTCTTCCGCCGGTGCACCGCCGATCCAACTCCAGTCCAGGAATGCCGACAAGAAGGCGAGCAAACGGGCATACGATTGGGCCAAGGACATGAACAAGGACTTTAATGTCATCTCGGTTTCGTTTGTAGGATGGCGTCGAGCCAACGGGAAGCCCATCGCCATCTTGTCAGAGTACAACAGACATTTTGGACGCAAAGAAGACTTTTCGCAACGAAATGCGGGCGACGTCACCGCCCTATTCAAGGAGTTCCGCAATTATGTCTACGAGCAGTTTGACGAAACCTTGGACTCATCGGACGACGTCGGACTTCCTGCAGACACCAAAGGTAGTAGGAAGCCACTAATACCCATGGACCGCAACTCCTATGACGAGCCTATCCTCCCCAACCCAAATACTCGACCTCGCCACGTCGTGGAGCATGACTGGTACACCGACATCTTGAGATCGTTCTTCATTTATCATTACCGTGAGTACACTGCAATTCACTTGGTTCTACGGCTGACATCCATTTTGAAAGAGCTAGCAGCTAATCTGGACTCACCAGACGACTTTCGGTTCCCCTGGACCAAGCTGGAAGCCGACCGTCGCGCGTTTATCTCGAGAGACATGATGCCGGATGATATCGTCGAACTTCTGAAGGAACCGTCGGGAATGCGGCTTGGACCGAAAAAGGCGGTGTTCAATTACCTCTACGACCGCCAGGCTGAGGCTCGAGTCGATGAAGAGGCCGCTGACGCACTCCTCTTTGAGCTCCAAGGTTACTTGGACAAGGACGGCAATGTGGTTCCTCGAAAGCCACGAAAGGTAAAACACTTCGACAGAGGCGATGATTGGACAGAGTACCCGGACTTTGGTAAAGGAGGAGACACCGTGGATCGGGATGGTGCGGGGGAAACCAATGCTGGTGGTGCGAAGAGTGCGACACGCAAGAGAGGTACCGCAAAGAAGGGGGGGCGCGATAAGGGAAAAGGATCAGAGGACAAGAGCAAGGTTGATGCGACAGGAAAGTCGAGTACAAAGGTTGGAAAGGGTTCTAAAGGCAAGGACGTCAGAGTAGGGGCAAGACAGGAGGGCTCGAAGGTCAAGGGGAAGGGGAAGGGGAAGGGGAAGGGGAAGGGGAAGGGGAAGGGGAAGGGGAAGGGGAGGTCTTTGCTATCTGACGAGGATGAAGCCATGTCATCAGATTGCAGCTCCACTGCGTCCGAAGAACCCGATTTGACGGACACAGACGACAGCGGCTCAGACGAAATCGACTCAGACATTCCCAACCTGGTCGACGCAAACCGCGATGACATCGGGTATTTGGCCGAGAAATTGCCAGGGGAAAATTCTGGCGAGAAGTTCTTTTTCGAGTGCAGCGACAGCGACGACGACTCAGATGACTCAGACGACTGCCAGAGTGAAGTCAGCTCCAGCCCCCCAGGGTCAAGTGGTGGTGGCCAGGACAAAGAATCGGCTTCGACCTCGGTGGGTTCAACGGCAAACGGTCGCCGAAGAGCTCTAAGCCCCAAGAACGGACGGGGGAAATCGAGTAATTCGGGGAACTCCAAAGGCGATGAACCCGCCGTCTCCAGTTTCAAGGGCGTCCGCAACCGCCGGCAGAAGGAGACGGCCAACCAGGGTGGGGAATCGACCAAATCCAAGGGAGGCGGTGACCAAGAGGACAGCACCGATGACGACGAACCGGGCGTATCCAGTTTCAAGGGCGTCCGCACCCGCCGGCAGAAGGAGATGGCTAACCAGGGTGCGGAATCGGCCGATTCTGAGGATGAGGGTGACGAAGAGGACAGCACCGATGACGACGAACCCGCCGTATCCAGTTTCAAGGGCGTCCGAACCCGCCGGCAGAAAGAGATGGCCAACCAGGGGATTTCGTTGTCGCCGAAGTCAGTTTCCCAAATCGGTCGGTTGAAAAGAAAAACCGGTGACCGTAGTGGGAAAGAACACCCGAATAAGCGGCATCGTTCGACCACACAAAAATCCGAAGGTGATGCGAATCGAGGTTCTAATACCGCCGGCGTGCCTGGAGAGCCGGGTACACCGGTCAAACGAAGCCAACGTCTCGCGGCTCGAACTCCCCAGACAAACGGTCAGAGGATCGCCGATACTCCGGTCAAAGCAAGGCGTAGGATCGCCGATACTCCTGTCAAAGCAAGGCGTAGGAAGTAATTACAAGAAGTAGCATACTATACTGTCGCTCCCCACCTGTTCGTTTTGATTGTGATGGGCCATGATTTTGTCTCTATTTTCCTCCTCGTTCGTTTGCGTGAAAATGTCGGCATGTTATGAGGTGAAAGGAGCGACGGAAACGGAGAAAAGGATCATGTGGTGAACGAACAGTGATATGAGTAGAGAGGTATTAGAATTATGTGTACAAGTGACGGTTTCAAATGAGTAACGAACGAGAATAGTAATGAGAATATACATATGAACTAAGGACTTTACTTTTTGAGAGTGCTGCGAACCTTTGAGCACGGATACGGTTGGGAGCTGGCCGTGTCGGCGGACGGTTCTACGGATCGACGAGACATGCCTCTCGTATACGGTCCCACTCTTCCTCCTCCAATAATTGCGCCCGGATCAACGTCCAATCGAACTTCTGAATTTTTCCCAGTAGGTCCTCGATCTCCGCCTTGGTGGTTGTGGGTGGATCGCTCGGAGTGAGATGGCTGTTCAGCGGCGGCACTGGATCCTTCTTCAATCTTGGAGACGTCGTCAGATGGCTGTTCGGCGATGGGGGTTGATCGTCCTTGGCTCTCGGAGACGTCGTCAGATGGGACTGCGGCGGCGGGGGTGGGTCCGTCTTGGTTCTTGAAGATGTCTTCGCGCAATGGCTTCGAATCTTCGGAGGCAGGTCTGGATGGTGTGGGGGAGTTGGCAGTGGAAGTCGTATGCCCTCCAGTGGGGGAAGGGGACTGCCTTGGAGAGGAGGGGTTGTCGTTGGGGGGCGAGAAGGGTACACCGGGGTGAATGGCTGTGCTGCCGGCGGCGTTTGGAAAGGAGACATCTGGGTTGAGGCTGGCACTCGGCTCCGCGAGACTACCGGTAGTTGATGCCGGCTTATCGACGACGTGGTGTCGAAAGGACGGATCGGGGGAACCGCTGTCTGGAACAGTTCGGTTGGGAGCATGAAGGATGTCGGGGTGACTGGGAGTGGACGTGTTGGAGGTGTTGGAACGCTGCGCGAGACTACCGGTAGCTGATGCCGGCTTATCGACGACTTGGGGTCGAAAGGACGGATCGGGGGGACCGCTGGGTGGTTTGTCGTCGTCTCTAACAGCACGGTTGGCAGCGAGAAGGGGGTCGGGGTGACTAGTCGTGTTGGAGGTGTTGGAACGATCGCTTTGACGAGAGGATTGGGGCCGTGTTTTACTTCCCTGAATTCCCCACTCCTCTGGGCGATCGCATACGTTGTGGCCGTTGGTATAGAAAGCGCCGGAGAGCTGATCACTTGATATCCCGAGTTGAGCAGCATTTTGTCGAAATGCCCTGGCGTTGAGGTTGGGGCTTTGAAGATGGGGTGGGAGGTCGATGAGATTAGCTTGAACCTGTGAGAGCATTGGAATAAGAGCATCGAGGTGGGTACCAGTCCTGGGACTAGCTGGGTGCGAGTCAACACCAGACGACAAGGAAATGGCGTCCACATGCCGCCTAGGAATAGCGGCTGACACAGAGGGGTTGCCAAGATCGACGTGCTTGGGATTAACGTGGGTCAGCGGGGCCGAGGGGTCGACGCCATGAGCGCAGCGAGGCGGCATGACAGCGGCATGGAGGGCGTTCAGCATCAGGTTGAGGCCAGTACGATACTGGCTAATGATCGTTGACTGGTCCCTGACACGCGAGTTCGCATCGTCGAGCTCCTGGCGATAGGAAGCCAACGTTTTGGTAGCCTCTGCCAGGCCCGACTCCAACTGGGCGATTCGGCGTTCGTGATTCACCAGCTTGGTAGCGTCGTCGCAATGGGCCTCCACGAATCTCTCGAGCGCTCCCAAGGTAGCCTGGTTTTCGACCGTTGAAGATTCAACTTGGAAAACGCGATTTCCAAGGACATTGAGATCGTGGAGAGCAGAGTCGGTCAGCAATTCGGTGGGAGAGGCGGGTCGGACTCGGCGAGTTGCTTGTTGTTTCGATCCAGAAGATGTGGCGGCGTCGACATCGCCTTCTGTTGGACCGACTGGTGTACTGGCAGGTGGAGGTCGATCAGCGACAGCGGTGGACTGGCCTGTGACGTCACGGCTCGGGATAGTGGCCTGGGAGATGCTTGGGGGCAACCCTTTCGGTTTTGCGGGGATATCGGCCTTGGCTACCACGGCCGTTTTTAGTTACCGTCGACAATCAAGGGTTTCAAAACGCACCTGGCTGAGGCGAAAGCCGGCGGCTATCGTGGTCAGTACCGCTGATCTTCGGAATGTCTTGATTTTTGCGCGACTCGTTTAAGGGATTCACAGCGGGAGTAACATCTACATATGCGGCAAACAGGTAATAAGTTAACGGTGAAAGTGGTGGAATAAAAATATACAGACCTTCAGCTCGGGGTGTTGCGTCGACCTGCGGCGCGGCTTGTTCTTGCTTGAGAGCGGCCTCTGTGTCGGCCACACGTGTCCGATGCGTTCCAGATAGTGGACACCGACCTCTCTTCAACAAGTCCTTGCACCGGTAACATCCGATATTGGGGCGCCGGATCCAACAAGGTTGATCGCTTTCGACACAGGGGGCGCAAGGCTCGGGCGCGTCGTAAAATCCATCCGGCATCTCGCGCCTGGGCGCATTCTTTCGTCGGCGGCGGCGCTTAGGGGCGGTGGCTTCGGGTTGGACGGTTGAGTCCGCTTCACTGTCTTCTTCGATTGTGGAAAGAGGCCTCTTCTTGTCGGATTTCGACACGCTATCTGTATCCCCCACTTTTCTCCTCTTGACTTTCGCGTCTGATTTACCGGGCGGCTCGACGGGGGCGGACGGTTTGGCGGAAACGTCCTCTGCGGGATGGGCCTTACGCTTGCTTGGTCGGGAATGCGGCGCCGTATCTGTAGACGGGCCAGGCTTATCTGTAGTTCCATGAGCGATTTAGCTGTGCTGCAACGAGTGGGACTTCGACTCACCATCCTTTCTCTCCTGCTCCTTGGCATTCTTGGCCTGTTGCGACGGTCCCTTGACCGGCGGTTCCTTTTGGGATTGAATGCTGTTGTAGCGTTTTAAGATGTCGTCAATATCCACGTCGGGCGGGGTCGACTTGATGTAAGGCTTCTGATGAAACATGGTGACTTCGAGAAGGCTAGGTTCTCGGAGGACAGCGTCCCCGGCGTTGAGAAAGCGAAACCATGCCTTGACGGACTTTCCCAATCGCGACGTATCGTAATGGGTTCCTATACTGTGGCGAACGAACCTCTGTGGTGGGTATACATGTTGTAAGCCCTTCGTAGCCTGTGGGGCAGAAAATGGAGCGGCTCACAGACAAAAAAGCCAAAAGTTCTTTGTACTTCAGGTGGGATTCGCCTGGGCCCCATGTCGCGGCTTGTTTTAGGAGGAATTGGAGCGCCTCAAGCGCTTCGATGGGGGATATTTCAGGAGTGACCGGTTTTGGGGTGGACATGGGGGGCATTTCGACTCGGCGGCTGGTGGATGGAGGTGAGTATTTAGATAAAACACAAGTCTTGGCGGGAGTTCGGAACACCAAGGGCCGATCTGTCGATTGATCCGTAGCGACAAGTTTCCGAAGGAGTCGGTTATCAGTATTTAGGCGGGCCTGCTGCAGCTCGTTTACATCCTGACCTTGTCAGCTTCAACCCATGGATTTCGACGCGCAAACAGGACCCTTCCGTTTTGAGTGCGAATCGGATACGTCGGATTCCGAGGATGGCAGCATCGCCGAGATGAAAGGTGGAAACACGGCGGCCGGTGACGGTACGTGCACCAGACTACCGCCAATGTAAAATGACGAGTGTGTACGATTTCAGTGAGGGGACCCGCCGATATCGAGATGAGAGACGATCCTAGTCTGCGAGGTGAGCGACAATGAAACATCTTTCGTTGATTAAGATTGACTCTGGCTAACAGGCCTCGACGACGACCGTGAGGGTGGAGAGGGGACGGTCGATATCGCTGAAAGCCCGGGTAAGCGAGTATTTACGATATGATTGACTAATCTGATACATCTACATTCGACAGCACTTGGGGGGAAATCTGACGAGGATATAGGAGATAGACCGACCGGTATTCCAAATGCTGTCGATGTAGTCTGCACCGCCGCAACTCACCTTGAATTAAAGTAGACGTCCCGCCTCCAGGAGATGATGGGGTCGTTCAGCGATTCTTTGTAGAGCTCCCGAGTGACTCTGAAGACGATTCGGCGGGCGGAGGACATACAAAGCAAGGTGTGTGTGATTTATGGACCGGCGGCTCATCGAAATCGCCCGCTGACCGATGGCAGGTGTGGCGACCGCTGACGACGGCACTGAGAAGTCATCTCATATCGACCTGACCAGCCCGTCCAACGACACGTCCGTATGCGATTCGCCGCCTACCGGACCAAGCTTTGCGATCAGCCAACCGATCGTCTCCAATCGGTATCTGCGCGAACACATCGAATCGTTGCGGTGGATGAAAGAAGAACTTCGCAAGCGGAATAACCTTCTGGTACGGCTACGGGAATTGATGAAGCGAGACCTTGAGGAAATAGAAAGAGCGATTAGGCTTAGGGACGAGGAAGAGATATTGGACGAGTAGAAATTGTACTAGTGCGCGAGTGGAATAGAACTTTGGGAAGACCATGGGTCTAGCCCGCTGGAACAGCGGTAACTGCCGGCGTGTATGTGGCTCTGGCTCCCTATTTAAAGGAGGTCGGTTTGGGGGGTTTCATGATCGACTTGACATCCCACAAATTCCACATCCCGACTTTCATTCATTGCAATGACAGCTCAAGGTTTGACAGACGGTCAGTTGCGCACATGCAGGGAACTGCGTAGGGGCAAGTCGGTTCTATTTGGCTCTCTTATCAAAACTTACCTATTGCGACCAGAGCATAAGACGACAGCTATAGACTTGCGTTTCTCGATATACGATGTGGAGGAACTCATTCGGAGGCTGACCGATTTGGAGTCACGCGTCGAAGATGAAAGTGATGCCGAGTTTGTAAAAACCGAAATATACCCCTACGCGAAGAAGCTTGCCGACATGCTGGTGGATTTAGAGTCCGCTAATAAACGATGCAGGAAACTTATGAGGGATCTGGAGAGGGGGAGACAGGGGAATGGGCATTAATCAAAGGAGGAATGAAGATTGTCGCGTATAGCCAGACTACGAACCAAATCAATCAACGCCGTGAAGAACTAAATCTTTATTTGAAGTTATTTGGATTATCTGCAAAAAATTGTGATCTCTTTTAAAGAGGAACTTGATCGCGGGAGACCTATCTGAGCTATCTGAATAGCGCTCCCTCCCTTCCCCTTCCTATTTCCCTTCGTAAGACATACCACGAGCTTTCAAGGTGGGCGTGTTCGTACAGTAACTCCCTTCGGGCCGTAGCTGAATACATAGAAGAGATTATGGCTAGGCGATCCCGAACCAACTCAGACGGCGCGACCAGCGATACAACCACCGGGAACCATGGCAAGATACGAGTGGTGGTGAAGACGGAATTTGAACTGGGGGGAGCTGGGGATAATTCAGGTCAAGAGAAAGAGATCGCGGGACATATCTTCGACGTTTTGGTGACTGGTGAGTGAACTTCAGTCCCTCCGAAGGTATCCCATGGCTGAAAGAACATCGGAAGACCACAAAGTCCTTCAGCGGGAGATCGAGAAGGTTCTGAACGCCATGACTAGTGTCTCCCAGAGATGGAATATTTTGGAGGACAAACTTGAGGAGGTTCTTGGGGACAAATACGACGAGACGCTCGTGAATTACCCCCGTGAGCTGGACTCGGCATTGCAGGAATTGCACACTGTCCTCGAAACCATGCAAGGAAAGGCAGATTCGAACGGTAAATGGATCAAACTCAGTCGATCAAGACTACTTGGGAGGATGGACAGCAATGAGGGCGATGAGTATGAGGGAAATTAGAGGAATTGTAATTACAGTCCAAAAATGCATAATTAGTGACCGAGGGGCGGTACTTTTAACTTCAACGTCAACCGTAAAGCGCGTAAATATCCGCCGGTGACCACTCTGGAGTACGATTGTAGTGACGGTCTTTTTGATCTGGCGGTTATGGGCGAAATAGGGGATAGGGCGTACGAGAGAGGAATGTGTATGGTATGATTACTGCGATCGCTAATAATGCTCGCCGTTTTCCACTAATTCTCTGAGTGATTCGAACTCTTGAACGAGCCTCCTCCCTGCGTGTGTGGCGTCAGCCGCTAGATCCCTAATGGCAGCGGCAAGTATTTGTGCGGGCAGGCTTTGGGTACCGCCCGATGAACCAGAGGTCTTGGCCTCTTTCCAAACTGCTAGGAGACCTGTAAAAGCGATAAGAAACGAGTTGAAAGTACATATTCACGGCTTTATGCGTACTATACTGGAATTGAATGAGCTCGGGGATAGTGAGGCCTTCGAGATCGGAGACAAGCATGGGATAACTGTCCACCGGATCTATGGCTTGGTTAGTGGCCTGTAGTGCGGCAGTTTTGAATGGTACGCACCGAAATGATGGGAGGCGCGCTCGAGAATACCTTTGGCCAAAGCTACGGCTGCCGCGATTTCACCTTTCAATAGGTCGTGGCCTGTCGCACTGTTTATCTGGCTCCGAAGTTCTGGGAGAGGCGTGATAAGTTCGTGCCATATTTACCTAGGAGGTTCCTCACCAGATATTAAAGTGTACCGCTGTTCTAACATTTGGACTCGAACGAAAATGCAACGACACATGATAAATGTTGCCAGGCGTACGTGGATTAGTGGAAAGAGTCGACCTTAAATTGGATTAGACGTAACTTCTCACGCTGAGTCAGCGAAGAGTCGAAGAAAGGATAATCCTTACACCACCAACGACACGGTAAGCGGAACCGGGTATTGCGGCCGGGGTGGGTGGTGGAGCTGGTCAGCCGACATATTGCTCTCACGCATATCATCTTCGTCCTGGGCAAGTCGGCTGGCAAAGGCACTGCAATAGTCCATCGCCGGTGAAACTGAGGCGGTGGCCTGGCATATTCATTCGGGGGAAGTAGGTAAAGGGGTACTATGTCGGCTGAGGAACGGCGATCCGGTAGAGATAGTCGGCGGACCCACTCCGCCTACGAAGGTAGGCTTCGTCCAGCGTAAGTCGGCTGGGACAGGCACCGCACAAGAATCGAATGGCTAACTATGCCTACATAGGAACTCCCTGGGGATGGCACCGCAGAATGGTCAAATCGCCGGTGAAACTGAGGCGGTGGTCTGGCATAATTATCTTACAGAGGTAAACCGTGCGGGTTATATCGGTGAAGCCGAGTATGTAAAGACGGTAATTGACCGTCAAGACGGGGGAGGTAGGTAAAGGGGTACTATGTCGGCTGAGGAACGGCGATCCGGTAGAGATAGTCAGCGGACCCACTCCGCCTACGAAGGTAGGCTTCGTCCAGCGTAAGTCGGCTGGGATTGGCGCTTGAGGGCAGCATGTAGGCTGATCCATATTGGCAACGAATACGGTGCTTGACCTTAAAAGGTCGGCGGAAAATATGAGCTCCCTCGTTCGTGGGGAGGTTAGGTCGGCTCGCCAAAGCGCTTGAGGGCAGGGGACTCGGCTGATCTATGCTGGCAATGAATGTGGTGGTTGACCTGGATCGGTGGGCGGAGTAGGCTATAAGCTACCAGAGCGACATCTGTAATTACTAATACTAGGCTATGGTAAACACATTCAACCATACGGTTACCCTACCGACGGTTTAGCCGTCGAGCGGCATGCGAGGTTTTGGGTCGGCTGTTGCGGGCGCAGCACTATGGGATGGATAGGTCAGCCGACTTGGGGGACCCGAAGCCAGGGCATGAGCTCACCTAAGGGGTCAATGCGAGATACCATTTAGTAACCTAGGTGAGCTGGGTTGTCATGTTGGCAGGCTTTCAATCCGCCAAAAGAGGCGTCAGCTGGCCTAATACAGTTATGCGGAATTTGGGTGGTCAGCCGACTCTAGTGGATAATGGATGGGCTATGGGGGTCAAACCAGATGGCTCTGGCCCTTCCGGCTGAAACTACAGGCCAGCTGACATATCGTGGTTACACTACATGGTGGTGTCAGCTGACATTGGCCACTTATGCCAGGGGGGGTGGTCAGCTGGTTGGCTGGACATAGCCGGTCAATGTATTTGAACAGGTCAGGTGGCATATCTACCATATGTAGAATCTACTGAGTGCCCTGTTCGTCCTTGCCCTACTCGACGAAGGAGAAGCTCGCATTTGGCGAACCAACTACCTCAGACAATGCCGCAAGAACGGAAAACTTGATCTCGGAAATTTCGATGAACTGCTCAAGAAACTCGATGATACTTTCAAACAACCTGAAGAGGAAGACGAAGCCCTCTTTGCTCTTAACAACATGAAGCAACGACCCAATGAACGCGCTGAACAAACGATCACTCGATTCAGAGAACAAGCCTCCCTCGCTGGTCTCGATCTCACCAAGAACGATCGCATCGCTATCGACTACCTCAAAGACGTCCTAGACCCTGGTCTCGTCGACAAAGTCTCCCTTGACGTTAGAGAACCCGATACATTCGAAGAATGGGTTAAACTCGCCATCAAATATGACCGAGTCTATCGACGCAACAAACTTCTCAAGTCGCTCGGCAAACGAGGAAATACCCCCAACTTCCGCAAGACCCTCAGCGCCTTCGCCAGATCCACCAGAAACAACTCCGAACGCGATCCCGATGCCATGGACATTGATGCTATTTCCACCGATGAACGAACTCGAATGATGAAGACCGGCAGCTGTTTCTACTGCCGTGAACAAGGCCACATCGCCAAGGAATGTCCCAAGAAACGCAAAGATCGAAACTCATCCACCTCGAACGACACCAAGAAGAAGACCCCTCGAGAAGCCGCCAAATACATCCGAAGACTCCTCGCTCAATACTCCCCAGAAGAAGAAGCCGAAATCCTCGAAGCCGCTGGAGACACCCTCGATGAAGACAAAGACGATGACCAGGAGGATTTTTGAATCGGGGAGCGGTTCAGTCAACGTACGCCTCCCCTCAGCTTGATATCTACTCTGTACTAGTCACCGAGATCAATGACCACACTATGCGCGCTCCTATTACTCTCATTGGTGAAAAGACAGGAAAAACCGTTGACACTAAAGTTCTTATTGACAGCGCAGCAGGAGGAACCTTTATCAGCACAAGATTCGCAAAACGACGGAACATTCCCCTTCGCCCACTACCTCGACCACTCAAAGTCAACAACGTTGACGGAACTCCAAACAAGGAGGGAGCAATCACTCATTTTGTCGACTCATTGGCTCGATTACACGGTCGAATGTTCCGGATTCGATGGTATGCAACAGAGATCGCCCACCAGGATCTAATCCTGGGCCTCCCATGGCTCCGCCGTGCAAACCCCATCATCGACTGGAAGAAAGGAACACTCGACTGGCAAGACAAGATCGACCCCAATAAAATCGAAAATCACCTCCCTCGAACAAACCTTTTCCACCCCAAACACAACCACCGTCGCCGTAATGTGCCTTCTCGAAGACGAAACCGATGAAGAGGGCGAAACTCCTGTCGTTTGGATCAACGCAAAGACCACTACCGCTCAGCTGTTAGCTGCACAAAAACAAGAAAAGAAAGAAAAGAAGACTATCGACGACATCCTTCCAGAACCATACAAGAAGTACCGACACCTATTCGAAGACCACCCAGAAACAGCCCTTCCCCCTCACAGAAAATGGGATCACAAGATCGACCTCAAACCCGGATTCGTTCCCAAAGTATTCAAGACTTATCAACTTACTCCAAGATCGCCAAACCACTCAACGACCTCACACGAAAGAACAACAAGTTCGAATGGACAAGTGCTACCGAAGAAGCCTTCCAAGAACTCAAGAAGCGATTCACATCTTACCCCGTTCTCCGCATGCCCGACTTCACCAAACCTTTCCAAGTTGAGGCCGACGCCTCGAAATACGCTTCTGGCGCTGTCCTCACGCAAATGGATGACGACGGAATCCGACACCCGGTCTGTTTCATGTCCAAAACCTTCAACGACGCCGAACGAAACTACACCATCTTCGATCGCGAATTACTGGCCATCATCCGAGCCCTTACCGAGTGGAGACACTACCTCCAAGGGTCCCCCTTCCCACTAACCATCTTCTCCGATCACAAAAACCTTATCTATTGGCAAGACCCGCGGAAGATTACTCCCCCGACAAGCTCGCTGGCGCGTATTCCTCGAAGAATTCTCCCCTTATGAAATACGGAACACCCCTGGAAAACAAATGATCCAATCTGATAACCTTTCTCGACGACCCGACCTCTGCCAAGAAGATGAAGAACCCGAACTCGTCACCATGTTACCTAAAGAAGTCTTCGTCAACCTCATCAACCTCATCGACCTCGACATCCAGGAAAGAATCCTATCCTCCGATCAAAACGACGACAGTGCAAATCAAGCTTTACAAACCCTCCTTGAAGAAGCTCCCTCGGACCTCCGACAAGATCTCTCCGATTGGACTTTAGAAACGAAAGATGGCCGACGAATGCTCTTCTATCAAGGGAAAGCTTACGTTCCCAACGACTCCGACCTTCGACGAGAAATCGTCAGAAAACACCATGATTCCCCCACTATTGGACACCCTGGCGAACTCGGCACTTTCAACGCAGTCAAAGAACACTACTGGTGGCCCGGAATGCGACGATTCATCAAATCGTATGTCGAAGGATGCACCGAATGCCAATAGTACAAGATCAATCGTCATCCTACTAAACCCACCTTGGAACCTATCGCCACCCCAACTTCTTCCCGACCATTCTCCCAAATTTCGATGGACTTTATCACCGATCTCCCATCATCAAAAGGATATGACTCCATCCTGGTTGTGGTGGACCACGGCCTTACGAAGGGGGTAGTCCTTGAACCTTGCCACAAGACTATTACCGCCGAAGAAACCGCCCAACTTTTCCTTAATCGAGTCTTTTCCCGATTCGGATTACCAGACAAATTCATCTCCGATCGCGGACCCCAATTCGCAGCTCGAGTCTTCCGCGACCTCTGCAAGCTTCTCAAGATCGACTCAGCCCTTTCCACCGCCTTTCACCCGCAAACTGACGGGGGAACCGAACGAGTCAACCAAGAAATCGAAGCATACCTATCCATTTACTGCACCATGAACCCCGAAACTTGGGCCGATCACCTCCCAATCCTCGAATTCACCCACAATTCTCGACCCCACGCTGACCGAGCCCTATCACCATTCGAACTCATCATGGGGGATCAAACCACAAGCTCTTCCTGAAGCGTTCGATAGAACGGACTATCCTTCAAACGAAGAGCGCATTAAATCCCTCGACAAGACTCGAACAGAAGCCCTTGCCGCCCATGAACTCGCCCGATCTCGTATGATTGAACGATCCCGACGACAATGGAAACCGTTCAGAAAGGGACAAAAGGTCTGGCTCGAAGCGAAAAACCTCAAACTCCCTTACCAATCAAAGAAGATCGCTCCCAAACGACTGGGCCCATTCGAAATCACTGATGAAGTCGGTTCCCGAGCGTATCGCCTTGCCCTACCAACCCAATGGCGCATCCACAACGTTTTCCATGCCAGTCTTCTTTCACCCTTCAAAGAAACCGACGAACACGGAACTGCCTTCTCCGAACCCCCACCGGACATTTATCAATGACGAAGAAGAACTGGGAAGTAGAAGCGATCATCGCGCATCGCCGACGAGGACGGTGGTTACCAATATCTCACCCACTTCAAAGGCTACCCATCAAGCGAAGATTGCTGGTTACCAGAGCGAAACTTCGAAAATGCACAGGAAACACTCAACGCCTACAAACAACGACATAACCTATAAAACCTTTACCCAGACTCCCCATCCGACAGCATGTACAACCACACCAACTATTACAAACGCTTCCAAGTCTACATCGGCCGACCAGAAACTGTCCAAGAAGCTTCCGACCGCTACGATAAAGAACTCAAACACTCCCGCGAACACTACTACTTCTGTCGCGCGTCCTTCTGCATCTACCACTTTCGCTATTAATCCCCTCTTCATCCCTTCCATGACGGAACGTCCCTCTAACAATTCGCTCCTCCCTCCATCTATCCGCAAATACCTTGAAGAATCAGAAGAACAAATCCAAGCCATCAAGACCGTCAACGATATCAAGGAAGTCGTCGGTGCCGACGCCGCCCTCCTCCTTGTGTGGAGAACGTACCCCTGCCATCTGTCGCCTATACGCCACCCTTGTCCAGGAACACGAACGCATCATCAAAGAGAAGTTTCACCTTATCGGACATTACCAAGCCCTCGACGCATCAGTCACCAAATTCTTCGAAGCCACCCAGAAGGTCCTAGACGGACTCAACGCTCAAGACCAGATCCTCGAACAATCTCGCCAACGGGTTGAAGCAGAGCTCCTTCGCGACCTCGACGAACTCAAGAATGCCATTGGACAAGCCCAACTCATTTCTGCTTTCGATCGTCGACGAGTCCATCTCGCTTCCCCCGTACCTTCTTCCTCTGGCAATCACGGATCAGTTTCCACCATGGCTCCCGGACCGGTCGCCAGAAGCAACGTTCCTTCTGAGCCCGACGGCTTGGTTCGACCTCTGTCGAAGAAAGAACTACGCAAGAGGGATGGTCATAGGTGCAACGAATGTGGCGAAACCCGGACACTGGCAATGCTCGACCCATTACTCCCTACAGATAGCAACCCTATGCGGCAAGAATGCTCCCGGACACAACTCTGGTTCCAAGTGGTGTCCCGATTACCGACCAACACCTCGCAACATTTCACCCGATCAGTATGACGCACTCTTGGACGACCGAGACTATGACGACTACTTATGGGGAGACGAAGGAGAACACAACCTGAACACCTGATGCGGAGCATCAGGCATACGAAGGGGGTACTGTTACGAACTCCCCTATTTCCTCCATCTTACTTCCTTTGTTTCCTTCTCCACGCTCTATTTTCCCGAACCTTCCGGACTTCCGTTCCCTCCGTACTTCCGTTCCTTCCGTAGTCCCGTAATCTTTGCTTCTTCGATTCTCTCGCATCTCCGAACCCTTCGTACATCCGTTCCTCTCGTATTCCGTACTCATCGACACTCCTTACTTGCCGCTTTCACACCTTCTTTCACTCTCTTCTGAACCTCTTGGTAGCTCGCCAGTTCTACTATAAATACTGTCTCTCTGTAGTAGATATTCCTCAGCCTGTTATCGAGAACCTTTCCCTCAGAACTTCTATCGCTCTCAGCTCGATCCTCTCTGTCTGCGATAGCGACAGGCCTCTTGAACTTGATTCCAGAACCAGAACTTCGATCCAGAACTCCAGAACTCCAGAACTCCAGAACGACTGTTGGCAACGATAAGTCCTTGTTGCCCGAAGTCGTAACAGTGTGTACATTCCATGCCTTTCCAATTGGGAAAGAGTTCACGTCGTCTCAATGCCAGCTGAAATTCTCTGGTTTTCCGGTAGCGCATATAAGAGTGATGGGCATCCTCTATTCGAGGACGGTCAGACCCAAGAGCGAACATGGCGTGTTCCACGAGGATTTGATCCAGGTGTGTACACCGGGTGAAAGCCAAAACGCAGGTGGTGCATCCTTGAAGGGGTTAAATGGACATCAGAAGGCGCTTCAGACTGCGTACCTTTGAGGAAAGGATACAATTTGCAGGTGACGTGCTTTTCGACGCATAAGTCGCAGGGGATGTGTGATATGTGGGTGCTGTAGGTGTTATCGGCCACGAACCATTCCCAGTAGTCAGGGCGAGTTTCAGCCTCGACAAAGGCGGACCATTCCTGGAAGAATGGCGGAGCGACGAAGTCGCGTGCGTTGAGAAGAGATGACATGGTGGTCAGAGTTTAGGGGGGGAAAGTCATATATGTAGGGGTCAGACGTATGCCTAGGATGGAGCGGGGAGCGGTAAGGTGGAGATGACGATCAGAAACGGCGATTTATTGGCAACATTTACCAGACATGTCGGTAATGTAAAATTAATCGATCTGCTGGGGATCTACCAGATGTGGACACGGACTGAACACAGAAAGGCAGTCGAAAGGAGTATTAGAAACGTATCGTAAGAAGTAGTTAGGAGGGATTGGGAAAGAGTCAAAAGAGGGGCACGCGACATCGCGATCGAACCCATAATATTCACAGCCTTCGTAGAGAATCGCTAGGGGGTTGGGTGGATAGCGTTGTGCAGACAGAGAAGGGTGGGGGCACATGAGAACGTCAATGTTGGGAAGACCACCGGTGAGGCGAAGAGGTGGGGGTCCAAAGTAGGAGAGCAACTGAGAGGGCCGGTAAGAGAGAATACCGAAACGGTAATTGTATAGAGACGCACGAAAGTGATGGATTTTAGCGGAAACTCGGGGTCCGGAGATGGGGATGAACGTCGGTTTACATGTACGAGAAGACGCCATTGGGAGGAGTGATAACACTGAATATTGGAGAAGGGTCAGGCAGTGTGGAAAGGAAGCAGGGATAGGCTCACAGATGAGGATTCGGCGGGGCGTAAGACGAACTGGCATCTGAGGGCAAAGAAAACGCGTTCACAGATGTCCTATAAAGAATGTGAGGGGAAGGAACATCACAAAGAAAAGACTACGTTCTTACGATGCGAAGCAAGGGATGCAGAAGGGCAGCTGCGGGAGACAGAGGATCATGAGGATCGATGAGGAGGGTGTGCCTAGGGCAAGGGGACATGATGTCTTTTGGTGTAGGCGGTTGGAGGGAAGAGGAAGCAGAGCGTCATTAAATAGGTAAAGAAAAGGACCCCAGAAATTTTGGGACGGAGGGGAGTCATACTGGAGAGGCACGGCGGGAATTTATGGAAGAAGTGGAGTCATTTCGGAAAGGATCGAGGGCATTGGGGCGAACGGCTGCAGCAGCGGGAGGGGAGGGAAAGGAGGGGAAATAGAATTAGCGCCCATTGCGGCAAAAGTCATCAAGCAGAAGTGGAGCCAGGCCATTGGGTCGGAGACCCGAAATAGTGGGAGAGCAAAGTGAGGAATGCAGAAGGAACCAAAAGAGCGGGAAACATGAGGAACGTCGCGTGAGCCGAGAAGCCGACGTTGTTTGTCAAGCTTTGGAACTGCGTTGATAGGCAGGTAAATCTTACATAATGTGAGGGACTACAGACCTAGCTAAAGCAAGGTCAACTTTATGCTCTCTTCAATTCAACAACCTAACCTTTCAGCCCATAATGCTGCGTTTGAACTTCTCCGAGATCTGAGCCTCTATCAGTGTCGGTCCCAGCTTATACCAATCGGTATTGTCAAGACACTACATATTAGTGTAGAGGCTAATGTAGAAGAGAACATGATAGTAGATAGTAGAGAGCGGATGACGACCAGCCCATTCAACGACGCACACCCCGGGTTTGCTCCTCAACCCACCGCCTCGCCGAACTCCTGCTGGGAATGAACTCGACGACCTCCCTCACAACCTTTGCCCTCTCCTTCACCTTGACTGATTTCATAACCTTTCCCAAGCTACATCACAGAACGAAATCAGACACATGTATTGTGGAACCGATCCCGGAGGACGTACCTAGCCTTGAACTCCTTCCACTCGAACGCCTCCAAGGCCTCTCTAAGCCTCTCCATCCCAAGCATCGAATAATCAAACTTCATTCGCTCGGCGGCACTCAGCCACAACTCCAGATCCTCCCACTTCGTCGCCGCGTCCAGAACTTCAAGATAAATTGCCTTGGGTGCCAGAGAGTCTTCGGCCAGTGAGGGTGGCGATTGGAAGCGGAATGGGATGCGTAACTTGGGTTTATCGGGGTCGATCGCGGTCAGGATATCGTATGCGGTGGTAACGTCTTCATCGGTGGGCGGGTTCCAGGACGTCTTTTTGAGGCGTTGAAGAGCGGCGGCAGGCCCACCCTCAAGCTCCAAGTTGATCCTTGGTTCTTCGTATTTGGGGTAGATGACCAGAACGCGGCGTGTCCACCCTAATACGGGGCTGATTGTCAGTAATAGGCTGAATGAAATGATGGAAAGGGACATACATTGTTCGAGTTCACCAGGCTACCGGCGAAAAGCGCGTCAGCATCGTTACTCGTAACGGGCAAAACACTTACATCGTCCACATAATCCATCTTGCATCCCTTCTCGTATTCGGTTTCGTCCGCCGGCTCGTCGTGAGCTATATCCCTCATAGTATCCTCCCCCTGAACAATCGCTTTCTCATCATCAAAGTCGAAGACATCGTCACCGTTGGGAAGCCCAGGCAGACGTTCCCCGTCTTTATCATAAACCCCCTGAAGGAGGTATCTCCGCTCCCAAACCTCTCCCATCGAGATATCCTCCACGTCCGGTTCCTGCTCCTCATAGTCAGATCCGCAATCGCACTCGTATTCATATTGACATGCCCGACACCCATGGGATGCATGGGGCATGATACCATCGTCGACAGCTTCTCCACGGACGCAGTAGTCCAACTGGGAGAATCCTACCACAAAGTCATGTCGTTCGGCCATGTCGAGTAGAGCTTTGGCGACAACCCTGTCGCCCCCTTTGAGTCCTTTGAGTCCCTCGCCGGCCGACTTGTCAATGAACACGTAGATGAGGACGTCGCTCTCGACGGTAGTGTATTTCCCGGCCTTCCATTTGCGAAGGACCTTATCGAGGTGTTCGCTGGCTTCTTCCGTGCCGTAGGACATGGCGTCGTCGAACCACTCCTGAGAAGATACCCCTGTGACGATTGGCCGGGGAAATGGGTAGAAAGGACAACTCACGATCAGGTCTCCCCCTTCTGACAGCTCAGACGAGCTATCAGAGTCGATGTCGCTTTCATTGGTGACGGAATCGCTTTCATTGTTATCTCCGTCCTGCTCATTCGCCACAGCCTCGACTTCCACCTCGGATTCGTCCTACACAGCATCACCAGCTGAGCCACACTGCCACAAAAAAACGAGGATACACTTCTGCTCACCTGTTCTTCCTCGTCGTCCTCCTCGTCATCCCCGTTCTCTTCTTCGTCCTCATTATCCTCTTCGTCCTCCTCCCTACTCTCACTCTCACTCTCGCTCTCACCCTCCTCATCTCCTTCATCAATTTCGACGTACTTTCCACTCCGATCCAGCCTCACTTCAGGTCCCAGATTGGCGAACGGATCCTCATCCATTGACCAGCGAGAGGGGCTGATGGAGACAGATCTCCTCCGCACGATAGTCCGAGTGGGGGGAGGGACCCTTGTAGATGTAGTCAAGCGAGAGGGGTGGGCTCTGACATTCATATATCGATTCGACATCTTGAGCGGTGGCAGCGGCTGGGAATGGGAATGGGTGGAATGTGGGGAGGGAGAACTTCAAGCTTCAGGGTCGACTTGGCAGGCCTTTATACGCGCCATTCTCGTCGTTCTCGTTGGGGCCCCATTGGGTTATGACTCTCATCCTCGGGACCTCAATGCCAGAGCCAAAGGGCTTTTGGGTCGGTGTCGTCAAGCATAGCCGGTGGGGTCACAAAGGGGCGGGCGGACAGCCGGAGTGGCCGTAGCTCGTCATACAGCCTGGAATCGTCCAGAGATACTAGACGGTATTAGCGGAATGACAGAGGTGCACCTTCGTCGCGCAGAAGGCCCGTTGAGAACAGGGAACAAGTTGGAGAAGAAGAGATTCGCGGGCAAAGCGAACCCGAACCCGACGCGTCGAGATTCGGGCGTTGCCGGTACGGCGCCCCTATCTATCTTGGCTCGATACCAACGTATGCGTCCAGGGCCCAACTGCTACAGAACGTGCATGGACCATTCTATCTCCTCTCACCGCTAGCTTACAACGAGAAAGACGATGTTCTAGTGATTCATAGATGATGTACGTTCCATCACGACGCTGTATTCACCCTCTGCTTTCCCGTCCGACTCGGAGAGACCTTGCCTTGGAGAACCCATGGATTTGCATAATGTTCATACGTACGTGGACCTGAGAATCACCCTTCCTAATAATCAATGACTCGTGTGTGAATTTTGAATGTCTTTTCACCGTTCTAAGTGTGTGCGATGGCCTCCGTTCTTCGTCTTCGGACTGAGCTCGAGGACTTGTCGGGAGTAGCGTAGTCTTTTCAGTTACTTGCCCCCAGGTGCCTTGCTACTGAAAAACGTTGACAGACACGGACTTACGGGAACCGCCATCGCTTGATATATCAGCTCGACCGCTGCAGTTTCGGACAGATCTGATTCAGAAATGGTTTCTGCAGTCAAGCAAACACAGGATAGTGACCCAGTCACCAGAGGCCCCGTTATGCGATTGAGACATCAGTCTATTTGATCTAACTCAGTGCGATACTCGACGCGTAATATTTTGGATACCTCCGTAATAACATTTGGAATTCGTGGCGTGTCGTGTTAGGACCGACTTCCTCCAGGTCGGGTTCAGGCCGATTCTAGTCGAAAGGACCGCGTTTTGCATGCACTAAGTAGCCTTTTACCTGTCAGAGAAGAACCAAGGCAAGCTCTGGCAAAGGATGCGCTCAGTGAGTTGGCCATAGCAGCGACCTCGCTGTCAACGTTCTCGAACGTCAAATTCGTGGTGTACCGTGTACGTGGCGACTAACATGCCTAAAAAACCACATTGATTCGCTCCTCCCTATCTCTAAAATGTCAACGTGACAAGACAATGTCGCTCAGGATCGTAGAGGGCGCTAACAGTGCGTTTGGACCCTCTCGTCAAGCTCCGGCAACCCATATACGGCCAGGTGCCTTCCATATTAGGAAGGCGCTAGGCGCTCGACGGGAACCGGGCAACTCACCGGCTCACTGGCAGGCGCCCATCGCCTCTACGGCCCGGTAAGCATGTTTTATGACTTTTAGCTGTCCATTGCTACGACGAGAAGTGATATTGTTTGGAAAAATGCAGCAATGCGACCTCACAAAGGCCATGGTTCCACCAACCCCCTTTCTCCCTCCCTTTTCATCCCTTTGAATGCTAAGGTAACGTCGGTGCAAGTTGATAGCTGCTAGGTAGTCTACAGGAGTAGAGAGGAGCACCTCTCTCTTAGACCGAGGGAGAAGAAACTCCAATAAGGTAACTATGCTGCCGGTTGTCTGACCGTTTCTCTGTATTTTCTTGGCCGAAAACTTGGCGATTTGGGTGACACTATAGCGATTGTCTTGAAGCTCTACCTCGACCTACTGGTGCTTTGACTGGCTTTAAATCCATGCATATACGCTTTGACCATCTAAAGGTATAAAATACTACGGGACTGCAGTTGGACTGGTCTACTAACAAAGCCCACTTTCCTTCTTCACCCCTCCAAAACCTTGCCTAGTGCTGAGCACGAGAATCAGTAATGACACATTCATTTTCCACCATGCCATTCGCTACTCCAGAGACAGTAGAACAGGAACAGGGCTGGACCGTGGCCACCAAAGAAAACTGCCGCAGTCACCGCCCCCAACAACAGCAACAACAACCTCGGGCTAGCCTTCCATTCCGGGCACAAGGTCACTCCAGTGGACAAAACACGTCCAACTATGGTTCTGGTTCCCAAATGTGAGTGATTCTCTTGATCCTTGTCCGGCTGTACAGAGTGGCTCATCAGTCCCATCTGCACCTAGTAAACGAAGGAACGAGTGGAGAATCGAGTTCAAGACATCGACTGCCCAGACCGGGATACCAGCCGTCCACGACAAAACCTATCCGGGCGTAACAATTAAATCATCTGACAACGTAATAGCTCATGTCGACACACAGGTTCAGAACTATCCCCATCTTATAAACAAAATCAACCAGTACAGGCAGCATATCGACAACGAGATGCTAAGGATGAAGAACGAGGGAAAGGATCAGCGGTTGCAGGACATCTCGCTTGTCATCATCCAGTACGCCCATCCTTTTAAAACTCATCTTCACGTCCTTTGTGCTGATACATTTGTAACCCTCAGTGAATATCCGCACAAAGGTGGTCGACCCGATGACCCATTTCCAGACGAGGAATGGCACGTCACTGTCGAGCTTCTGCGTCGCTCGGACAGGAATCCTAATCTCTGGATGAAGAAGCTACTCATCTTTTCCACAGAATCCGTGGACCACGAACTCTCGTTTAAAACCCAAAGGGACAAGGGAGAGTATGCCACGACGTATAAATGGGGAACGAAGATTCGGGAAGAACTAAAGATAACTGTGAGCCATTTCCATCTATCTCTTCCGGGCGCAAATTCAAAGAGTAAGGGACTGACCTCTTCTACCCAGACCAGGCATCACCTCCATATAAACGAGCCTACTGACATACCCGAGGAGATATGGAAGAGATGAAAGAAGGAGAGTAGAGGGTATGTTGCGTGAGTCTGCGATTCGTTTGGGGTGAGCAGTGGTAGAGTCAAAGGCAGCTCCCCTCATCAGTGACCATGCCAGAGTCACTGGCGCTGGGAGCTTCCTTCGACGCGTTCAACATTCAATCCCATTCCTTAGTACTTAAAAGCACTTCTTTACTTTATGTCCCTTTAATCCAACAACTAATTTTCCAGCCAATAACGTGAGATTGACTCGGAGCTTCCAATGAAAGTCACGTACAAGTCAGAACGCCAAAAAAGAAAAAGCAGTTAACAACAACAATACTCCAATGGTAAATGGTATACACTACTAGAACTAAAGTAATTCTGAACAAAACAACAATGCGATACAGAGAGAGGAGAGAAAGACAGAAAAAATAAATGCGAAATAAGATTAACTTTGAGGATGCAAAACGTATATGAGATGGGAAGTCAATGAGATCAGATGAAGGACGTTGGCAGTGAAATGGAATCAGGGGGGTACTGTTATGTGAATCGGACTTGAACGAATGGGTTGGGGATGCTCGAATGAAGGTGTTACGGAGGCGGGGATTGAATGGAAGGGTACGATGACGTGGGGCCAGAGAATCTGGAGAATGAATGAAGGACACGATGGGTGAGATGAAAGGTACAGTACTACGTGGATGGAATGGAAAAAGGGTAACAGTAACACACTACACGGCACGAAATGATGAATATGACGACAGAAATAGACGAACCACAGAGAAGACACGTTGGAAAAATGAAAAGTACGGCAAAGCCTTGAGGTATGAGGTAACAAACACGAGGTATAAGCAAGGCGAGAACCAGGGCTGAAAGTGAACCTGAGGGTACATGCGGCATGAGGATAGAAGAACTGACAGGAAAACGATAAGGATAAGGGATAGATAGCAGATAGAAGCTAGTGCTTAGAAGTTGGACGATAGTGGCAGTCGACCGACTGGCCGAACGAACGGTGAATCGGACGAAGAGGCGAACGAAGCTACAGGAACGGCACACGAACAAAACCCTCTCGTAAGACTGGGCTAACACATGGACGACCCACCAAACGAGAGAGTACTTTTTGACCACGTACCCGAGGTGGACATGCATCCTCCAACCTCTGGGAACAGTGGCACAACGAAGAGGATAAGTGAGCGGGAAAGGTTCTCCGCAAGGAGAGAACCAAATGACAGGGGAAAGGGGGAAGATCGATAACACGAGGCACTTCCGTGAACCGTGAGTGACCAAGGTAAGAATTGGGACGTGAAGGGCCAGGGATGCTAAATGTCCCTTCGAAAGAGGCGCAAAACCAGCCGAAAAGTTCAGTCACAGCCCAGAAGCAGCTAGACTGGACCTATCTTTGGCTTCAACTGAATCGGTGGGAACGAAGCATGCTCAAAGCGGACGGAGGTTCGAGAAGCGAGGCCAAGTCGAGCAAGGAAGCAGTGCCGTTGGTTCACCGAAACTGGCTATAGATGCCAGTGGGATGACCGACTGAAAAGAGGTGTCGGAGGAATGCTGAAGCGGAAACGAACGCCTGGAGGCTTGGGGCGATGAGAACGGAAGCCCCGAAGGGGGGGGGGGTGGGTGGTGGAAAAAAAGAGTGACGGAAGTCGACTTTGGAACGAACGGATCGAGAGCAAGCGAAGGAGGACATTGGGTGGCGAAAGCGAAGGGAGGGACAGTGAACGGCGAAAACGACGGAAAGGAAGAGAAGGGACGGGATGGAGGGAAGGAGGGTCGAGGAAAAAGATAGATGGCTACATGGACAAATGGGGTATAACGATGGTGGCGGTATCTCGAGTCTGGGGTATACGTATGCAGTACTTCGCGGAGGTCGAATAGTCGTGCGAGAGGAGCGGAAGCGGGATGTAGTTGGTGGCTGATAGGTCGACAATCCAAGGAAAACCTCTGAACTAAATATACGGATGATGCACAATCGGCGACCTACAGCCCAACGCCAATCAATGAATCAACCATCCACCCACTGCAAAAAACAAAACAATACACACCTATCAGGCGGCTCCGTACACCTCACATTCTCAATCCGACTCGCAAGCCACCGAACCACATCAACCCCCAAACTCGGACACTCCAACAACTCCAACCTCTTCAACCTTCCAGGTACAACACCACCCACACTAACACCCGTCGCACTACCCGCCCCTCCTCCTCCGAGAGGAGGATTCCTAGCCTCAACCAGGCCAACCAACTTGGCCACACCCTCCCCATGCGAATGGCAGTTCTTCATCGACAAGTTCTCCAAGTTCGGACATGCCCAGGTCGTAAGTGGGTTATGGTCGTCATCGGGTGGTCCCAACGCGGATAGTAGCGATTCGAAAGGCGTACCACCCACTTCCAACGTCCTGAGGTGCGTCAATTCCGAAAGAATGTTCCACGAAATCACGATCCCGCCAGGACCATAGTAGAATGGTGCAACACTCGACGAGGTGCCGTACGCGATGGACAACCGCTGCAGAGGCGGCGAACACGATCTTGTTAGGAGCGTCGAGAGCGAATCTTCAATCGGGTCCCGCGACTCGATGTCGATCGTGAGGGAAGTGAGCGCGGGAAGGACGAGCGTATCCACTAGTTGCGTGAGGAGGTAGTGCCCGCCCACACTAAACTCCGTCAGCTCCGGCAGGGTGAGCGGGGACATGGCTAATATCGGCGGCAGAACACCCTGGAAATGGATAGATAGCGTCTTCAGTGCCGGGCTTGCCATGAGGATCCCTTGAATCCGGTCCAAGGGAAGGTGCGACGTGGGAGTCGCGCGCAGTGTCAGATGTTCGAGATTCCTAAGCATGGGCGAGGACCACTTGAATGGTGTGTGCTGTAACGTTACCGACCGTAGTTTGGGTAACACCACCGGAGTCCCATCTCCACAGTTCGGTAGCCAAGGCCACTCGACGTAGAACCCAGCCTCTGCACTCGACACTTCAAACTCTTTCAGCAGCGGTGCATCCCCTAAAGCGCACGCCAGGTATACGAGCCACGGCGAAAAAAGAAAAGAAGCAGGGCAGACCCCACGACGATCAGATTACACGACATGAGAAAAAAACAAACAAACAGGCACGACTCACCATTAATAGACTTGAGTGCACCCATGGACGTGAACTGCCTGTCAAACCTGAAAATGAACCGTTCCCATCGATGCATCTGCTCTCCAAGGTAAAAGAACGCGATGTGGCCCCAGTGCATGCTGATCTTGGAAGCAGAAGCCGGCGTGCGGTCGGTCGTTTGCTGCACGTTCCAGGGGTCATGTGGGCTTGAGGATTGAGGGATCACAGTCGGCGTCGTCCCTGGTGCACCGGCACTGACGTTGGCGGCGGTGGTGGTGGTGGTGCCGCCACCATTTGCGGGCGCGGCAGGCGGTGGTGGCGTAGGTTGAGGGGCGACGTAAGCCGCTGGCGTGATAGCATTAGGTGGCGGGCTTGCCCACTGCACGCTCGAACTCGAAGGACCCGTCAGACTATTAATCGACCCTCTTCTCGAAGACGCAGCATCGTGGTTGTGAAGTGCAGGTGGTGCCACTCTGAGGAAAATCTCGATATCCAAAGGGACAACATCGCCCGACCTCTCGAGCCATAGTCGAATGGTATCAGCAGAAGCCGAAGGCGTCGTAATAAGGCGAATCTAGCAAGTTGCAAGAATCAGTAAAAGAGGCCGGGATGAGACGGACCGGCAGCACTAAAGATAACCACCAGCCAGGGTCCCACCAAAACGAGAAAGAGAGAAGTAGAGAAAACGCGAAGACAGCGTGTGCACTCACCTTGGACCAGAGAAGCGGCATGCGCAAGGCAAGCCTCCGCCACGACGTGCACACCGCCGCCAATATCCACGCACAACACGGATGTTCCTCAAAACACCACATAAATATCTCCCTCACCAGCTCCTGCGGCAACCGCCTCAACGGACTCAGGTACGCCAGCGTCGCCATCTCCTCCTCCACCAATCTCGCCCGCTCCTCCTCCAATTGGTTGATCGCACACCGCGACTCGCGCACTATCTCAGCCAGCGCTTTTTCTGCAGCGTCAATTTCGCCGGACAGGGCTTGTATGGAAGCGCGTTTGGCTTCGAGCGCCCGGCGCGCGCTGGCTAGCGTCTCCCTGGTCGGTGGGTCTGGAAACATCGTGGTGGTGGGCTTCACGGTCAAAGTCCGTCGGGACGGTGAGGACGAGGACGGGGTTGGCGACGGGGATGGTGAGTTTGGGTGGTGGGCCATGGTTGGCCCTGCGGACAGGGGGGATTAAAAGGGGGGAAACCTGTGGAAGTTCTCTCGAGAGGCACGTCCCCAACCCAAATCCACCCCTTCTCATAAGAGACAGACGGGGACCTCTTTAAAACTCCGCAATCACCGAGCAGCAGTCCCAATCCAGAAAAATACCAGCCAAGGCTTCCAACCCTTCCGGGGAAGAGAATCGATAATCCACCGCGGGTCGGTCCAGGTCGTCGTCGTCTTCCTCGTCGTCGTTCGTTCGTCGTCGTCGCTGGGGTGGCGTCGTGGTGGTGGTCCGATAGGAAGAAAAGGTAAAGAAGAAAGATCCGCGTCCGGTTGCGAAACGCAACGGGGGATTGTGGGCGTAAAATGCAGGTAGACAGACAACCCCGAAATGAAAGAAGGGTCCCAGTGTGAGCTTTTCAATGACAATGACAGCTACGAGGGAATGAATGATGATTCCCTATACACGGATCGTTGTCATAGCTTCGCGCGATAGCCCTTATCCCATACACCTGGGACCTACAAGGCAGGGGCTTCCGAGGTATAACAAGACAAAAAAAGCACCTGTCCAAACAAGCAAAAAAAGCAACCGACTTGATTAGAATGCAAAAGACTCATGATGAAAACTCGAACTGGGTCTTTTACTTGTCAAATGGTTCTTCTGAATCCTTCAGGGTAATTTGTGAAAGGTAATCCAAAAACGCCGAATTACAACTTCCAAAGGGTACCATTGCACCCTCGACGAACTTCCATGCCGAAGAGGTCGCGGTCGCATTCAAAGAAGAGAAAAAACGGGGTAAAAGCACGTAGTCAACAACGTTCCCGCGATACTGCCGAATCAAACAACATATCTAATCTCCGCAAACTCATCCCAAATGCCCATTCCCACTCACAAACCTATCGATGAACCAAACGTTCGTCGTCTCGGGTCACCGGTCATGAGCGCAACCTGGGCAGTCAGAACTCGAAATTCGATTCAGAAAGGCTTAGACGTGACACCCCCCGTATCCACGGCTTTCTCGGTCGCAAGACCACCACAAGTTCTCAGCAAGGCCGAAAGAGACCTGGTGGACCTGGCTGGGCATAGTCCTCGTGAACCACAATCTACCCTCTGCAATACAGATATCTGATCATGATCGCACAGGAGACAGAACATCTGAAGGACTACGCTAGCGCTTCTCCTAAACGCAATAACACCATCCGATGACCTCCTGTAATTCTAGAGGGCAGTCCCCAACAGACCCTCTAGCCCCTCGCAAAAAAACAAAATAGAATCTCGGAATATATCCCTATATCCCCGGTATGGCGTTACTATGCCGTACTCGCGAAAAGAACCCAGAAGTCACTGTTCCAACTGGCAAAGAAGCTAGATCCCAGAAGCCCTCAGCGAACACGCGGGAACCACGAGCTAGAAGGTACGCGGCTTCTGCGACATTGACGTCCACCTACTTACCATTTGGCATCAGCCCACGGTGGCCACTTCAAAATAACTCGCAACCGCTTGCTCGCCGATCCAACGTTATCGGCTCCAGATGACATACAAACCACACGTCCAACACGAGGTGAGGCTACTCTGAATCAATGTATTAGAAAACATTAGAGTACTAGTCTATCCCGACGTGAAGAAAGAAATATGTTAGGTCGTAAAACGGGCAGGCGCTGGCAGGAAAGATAGAAAGAAATCGGAGGTTACATGGCAATCTCATCCACTTCCGCTTCACTCGCACCACTTCATCCTGCCCCACGTCAATCAAAAATAAAAAAGCCATTAACCATTTTTGAATTACACGCCAGCCACGCCTAAGCCTAAGGCCTAAACCTTTACACTCTTCGTCTCCCAAATTCCGCAGACCGCCACCAAACAGGCTCTCTTCCGCTGCACCAAGATCAACGTCAAAGCCTCCAACAACATAGAACGACAGACACCATACAGCGCCTCCATTGTGCCTCCACATAACGAAAACCAATACCGTACAACATAACCTCCACATCATCGAACGATAAAAACCATACAGACTAGCGTCTAACAAAATCCCACAACGCCACCCGACCCCCGTCCGCCGACTCCTCCGAGATCGTAATAACGGGCCAAACGGAAACAACAGAGGGAATGGGTTAAAATGAAGTGGAAAATGTCAAGGAAATGTGGAAATGAAAATGAGAAACATGACTGGAATGACAGGAAGATATGCGCCGTGCTAAACCATAATGAGGAAATGGAGCGTGAACCCTCTGCGCCTCATCCCCAATAAGTAGCTTGTATAACCCACACCGGGAATTCGAAAAGGGGGAAAGACGAGGCGAGGAGCGGTGATTGCAGAGGTGAGATACGCCTGGTCGTCGACGAGAAGAGATACATCATCATGATAGCATCGTCCTACTTCTTCCCAGCTTCGATAGCATCACCATTCTTGCACGCAATAATCTTGATCCTCGGCGCATTCACAATCTCGTTCGACTCCATCTTGAACGACGCATTCTTCACAATGAACGTCCACACGTCGTCGCAGAGTCGGTACGTGTGTAGGTGGCCCTAAATGAAATGAAACGAATTAGAAACACATCCAGGTAGGAAGCGCCGATAGAATTGTATTGAGGAACATGTCACGTACCTTCAAAGTGGTCTTGGTCTTGACCTGTTTGACCATAGTATCCGCCAAAGACTTGTCAAACTGTAAGGAACGCAAGGGCAAAATGTTCAGCAGCTGAATTGGTGGGATAGAGAACCGAGGGAGGGAAGGTAGTGGAAGATCCGGCTCAAACTGCCGCCCATACAAGCAACCAACCTCCCCACCCAGAAACGACGGACACACGACCTCGGAGAGAGTACAGGCCCGCCGTCCACATCTCCAAACTTAATCCTCCATCCGTATCCCACCCGCCCCTAAAACGACCAAAAAGAACACCACCACACCCAGCTGCCCCCGCCTCTCCCCACCTCGCTTCTCAAACCCAACCCAAACCCCCAAACAAAAAGCAAAACAAGCACAAAAACGCGACACCCACCTGCTGCAACACCTTCATAGCCAACTGAGGCGTAATAGCCCCACTCGTAATCAACTCGTCCAACGAATCGGTGAGGGCCATTCCGATCCTGTTGCAGGCAAGCAAAGGCGAGGCGAGTAACGGCAGTTGAGGGCGAGTAACGGCGAGTAACGTCGAGCAACGGCGAGTGGCGGCGGGGAGGTTGAGGACCGACCGACCGGTGGGTTAGAGTCGAGAACAAACATGCACAGGAGGCATGGAAAGACGGGAGAGCGGAGGCAGGAAGAGAAACGAAACCACCACCATCCGTATCCCGTATTCCGTACCAAATCGTAATTAGGCGAAGGCGTCCAGTTCAAATTGTGTCGTCGTGTTGCACAATCCATTCATAGTACCCGCCGGCCGCAGTGTATTAACCAAAACCCCAGACGAACGAATTCACATCCATCCCAATGCAAGCAACCATTCAACCCAATAACCACCCAACCAATAAGCAGAAGAAAAAAGACAAAACCCTCGTTAGCACCCCCAATAACGAATAACAACAAAAAAACCACGCACGAAGAACCACGATAAAACTCATAATACGCAGTCGCCATTATACCCCAAGTTCCTGCTAAACCCTCGTATACTTGATGTATGTCCCGAAAGTAGACTTCTCAAACACCGTCAAACTGCACTCCGTAGACGTATCTCGCACAAGTCTCGAATGCAGAACCGTGTAATAACAGTAATAAGCCGTGTGTCTTGCTCGACTTGTAAATGGACCTGTCTTTGATTGCCCCTCGAGCTTCGACTTTTTGGGTCAACTAGCGAAAACCGTAACAGGCGTCTCCCAGACTTCAACCAGGGGACGTCCGTGGAAAGGTGGTGGAGGTGGTGGTGGTGGTGGTGGGTGGCAGAAAAGCAAAGAGCTCCTCGTTGTACCGGGCGTCCATGGAGCACTGCTCAGCAAATCGCACGTGATGCGATGATCGGACTCGCCATACGAGTCACGCTGGGTAATAGGGGCTCATTAAGACCCGCCTCCTCATCCTTCTCCTTACCAAGCCTCCCTGGTGGCCCCTGACATCGACAATGACGAAGAATAGATTCGTAGAATGTTTATAGACCAAAAGGGTTCGAGAGACGGGAAGGGAATAGGAGAGGAGAGGAGGGGGCACTAATAAAAGACGACCCCGAAACACTACTCTTCCAAGAAAAGCGCTCATGTTGAATTAGAACATATATTCTGTGACACTGGAAAGTACATACGACAACTCGGAACCATATACTGATGTTTGTATGTATGTAAGAGGTAAAAACATTTGCTCGTAAGAGAGAAGGAAAGAAGGAACATGACTTGTGTATAAAAGAAACTCGTTATAAAGTAATAGAACCGCTTGTTCAATGGAATAGGATCGTTATAGTTATCAAAGACGAGGCCGATGTGAGAAGAATCTCGAGACTTGGAAGACGACTACAGTAAAACTCGAAGCTTCAAACGCGATTATAGGAGAGTATGAAAAGAGAGATCAAGGTGAAGAAGTCATTGAACGACACTGGAAATGATGGTGAGGATAGCTAAGGCAAAGAACAGACCACGAGTACACGCTCGAATTAGAAGAGAGGGCATCCAACGAAAGGCGAAGAAGAGAGAGGCTGGACGACGAGACATGACGAGAGAACCGTCGACAGACAAAGAAAGGGGGGTAGCCGACGAAAGATGTTTGACAACGAAAGACGAATCATTTAAAAACATTAACTCCATCCGACAATAAAAGGATAGCTCGGGAATGGATGAGGGGCATAACGCGATACTGATATCTGGAAAACGAATCTGGGATATGAAGATGTGTCCGATGAGAGTAGAACAAAATCGAGGCATCAAGGCAGACGAACGTCAAGTGACAAAGGATGAACGTAAAGGGCGAATAAAAGCGAGAGGCAGATTAACGTGGAAGAGAATATGATAAACGGCGTTATAGAACCACTCAACGCTCACTCGACACCTGCTGCCCATGTACCATCCTCACTCCACTCTGCTTCACGCCATGTCCAACACCAACCTTCGCATCCCCGCCACCACCACCCACCTTCCCATTCCCAACACCCCCAGCATCAAGGTTCCCAAACCCGTCAGACTGGCTATTAAACGACCCAAAGAACGGCGTGGCAGGACTCAATGTCGAAGGCGTATGTCCTTGGGACGAATAAGTCAACGCAGGGGAGATCATCGAAGGCGAATGCGAAGAGGAGGCCGGAGAGTTGCTCATATTGTCGTCCTGTCGCTGGGAATTGCTTTGGTTCCGGAATGCCGAAAGCCGGTTCTTGTCCGCATTTCCATTGTTGGTCGACCCCATCGAAGCTTGCCCGTTCGTACCCTGACCGTCACCCTGGCTTTGCATAGTCGGAGCAGAGGCATGCTGAGGTGTACGCAGTGCAGTCGTGCTCGAAACGCTCATACTGTTCCTCGAGAAATGGCGCTGGGCATGAGCCTGGCCATTCGACGACTGGGGGATGGGATGCGTGTTGATCGACGGCGGAGCAGACGAAAGCGAAGACTGATGCTGAGGAAGAGTGCTTGATCGCATATGGGCTTGGTGAGATTGCTCGGTGTCGACAGAATGCTGGTACTGGCTCAAATCGCGAGACATCCGGTTGTGTTGCAAGGTGGAACCACCATTACCTCGACCAAAGGCAGAGGCCGCCTGGGCATGGAAGGCGTTCTCGTCACTCATCCCAGCCAACCCTGGGGCCGAGTAGCCGTTGAAACCCATCCCGACAGAAGCGTCACCTTCCCGACTCGACTGACGACCGAGGTTCAAAGGTGAAGGTCGCTTGCGCTGCTGCTGAAGGAATTGATCGCTGCCAGACAGGCTGTTCAACCTTTGCCTCTCGACGTGGGTGCGCATGATGTACTCTTCAGCGGGAGTATAACCCGTATGAGTCGACGCGACGCCACTACCAGTGTAGCTGGCCTGGTGCGGAAGGTTGCCATAACCCGACTGCTGGAGGTACTCTTGCTGTAGCTGCTGCTCGAGTTGCTGTCGATATACTTCGCGCTGGTCGACGCTGACACTGAGACTACCGGGCGCGTTGAGGGAAGCCAAGAGTGCCTTCATCGCTGGGTCAACAGCGCTACCCTGGGCTTGCTGAATCTGGTCATTGAGGGATCGACCAGGGGCAAGGGAGTAGTCGACTTGGAAAGGGTTAACGTCGGAGGGACCGAGAGATTGATAAGGTCGCTGAGACTGGGACCCAATCGATCCAATGGGGCCAGACGCGAAGGCAGAGGCATACTCGACATCCGGCGCACCATTGCCCAAGCGAACGTTGCGAGAGGACGATAAGGATGCGCTACCCAATGCCAGACCTTGGCTGGGAAGCCCAGAGAGCGAGTAGTCACGGGAGGAACCGATGACTTCATGTCCGGATACACTCGACGAGGAGGATGAAAGAGGGTCGTTGCCGGGCCAATCGAGCCCCCGCTGTCCGATGACGGGATAGGGAGAGACCTGGGATGTGGCGCTGGAAGGAGGTGGAGGTAGGGAAGAGGTGGGCGACTTGGTCGACCGAAGGTCTTGTCCGCGAAGGTTGAGCAAGGCGGCTTGGGCGATGGTGAGTCGAGCAGGAGAAGAGTCACCGACAGGAGCTCCTTCCTTGATGGCTCGTTCTTGACGCTGAAGGAAACAGATCAGCACATCGTCATTAACCGACGAGAGAGGACACTTACTCTCAGTTCACGTTGCTCAGCAGTGTCTGCGAACCTAACACTGATTCGACTACCAGTATCGTTCCAACCTCGAACCATCCTTCCATGAAGTCTTTCGATGATCTCTTCGGCTCCGGCACGAGTGTCCAACCTAGAAACGAGTCAAGAATCGTCAACAACAACGAACGACGAAGGTCAACATACCGAACGAAAGCAATGATCCTCGGCGGGTTACTGAGGCGAGTTTGGAAAAAGCGACTGCTGACAATACGGTGAGGAGCGACGAGTGCTCCGAGGGTCTGTAGAAGTCATAAGCAACTACATCGCTCAATGGCAGAAAACGACCGCATACAGGTTCATCAATGCTCAGAGGCAAGCCTTCCATATACAGGTTCGTGCTCAACGGATCAGCGAGCGCCTCCATCCTCGCTTTAAAGCTGGCGTCTTCATCCTCGCTCCCATCCCATCCCCGATTGCTCGAAGAGGAATCCGAAGGCGTAGCCTGCTTGACCTGGGCATAAACTGTTCCAGGAATCTTGTGCACTTGCTGTTAAGAATCAAACGCGATCAGGGCATAAGTCGACAATCAAATAGATAACCGGACTTACTTTGGAGAATGTAGGGTGCAGGTTTCTATAACGTCTCAAAGAGGCAATGCACCTTTCGGCAGCTTCAATCGTCTCAAACCTGCCGCGTTCCAAAGTCCGTCAGTCGACCGAGTCACAAATGGGAATAAGAAGAATGAATGCTTACAAAACGAAACCGTAGCCACTCTCACTGTCTCTAACATGCCTCGTAAAAGTTCGTACGCTCTTGACCTCTCCGAACGGCGCAGCAAGAGCATAGAGTTGGTCTTCAGGGAAGTGAGGGGGTAGACCGTTGATATACACATTCGGAGTCTTGTTGGGACATGCCCCGTGGTCTGCAGGTCCAACCATGCCACTCGGGACCGGCTGACCTTGACTCGACGCAAAGGAATCATCCCGAGCCAGAGGCGAAGTCACAGAAGTCGGTGGGGTCGTCGAACTCGGGAACGACACGACAGAGTTGGAGACAGTGATGGTGCCATACTGCTGATGGTTTGGGGTGAGAGTAACATTCGTTCCAGCACCGGGCATTCCAAGATGATGGTGCTGCTGAGGAATGGTTTGCTGCGGAGGACCAGGCAGGTGCTGGCTCGGAGGCGCCTGGAAATGCTGTTGACTCGACTGATTATCGGTAGCATCAAAGGGGCGATCTCCCCTATTAGAAGCAAAGCCGTCGTCGTAAGCTTTACCATCCCTCCCTGCTGACAACTGATTGGGGCTAGAGGAAGCTTCCTTCTTGATGACGCGTCGCTCGGCATCCAGACTCGCATCCAAGTCATCCTTGGACATGCTACGCTCACTAATGGCAGCGAGAGCTGGAGCAAACGTCGGAAGCTGAGGAAGAGGCTGCGACTGAGTATAGCTCGACGATGGTTGCATGGAGAAGTTGGGAGTTCCGGGAATGGAGCTGGACCTGCTGTGTACACTTCGTTTCGCGGATGACGGAGAGTTGGTGTCAGAGACAGTGTGATAGGTGTGGTAGCCGAGGCCGAATGGTCAGAGGCAGGTCTGGAGCTGGGGAACGAGGCCATATGCGGAGGAGCAGTCGAAGGCGGGTTACCAGCACTTGGACTACCAGGTAGACCAGGAAGAGGTGAGGTCGGTGGAGGAGTGGCGAGAGGAGTCGCATGAGAGCCTGCACCCCCAGGCATCAGCATGCTCAGTGGCCTCATGCGCTGCTTCTCTTGCGAGCTCTTCCCAACCTGACTCTCATGCGATGGAGGTCGCGATGGGGCCTGTCCAGAGCCCAAGTCTAACTGCTCCATAGAAGTGGGAAGCGAAAGAGTTGGATCGTCGTCGAATTCGGGCAAAGGAACGGTCGTCATACGTGTAGCCGGCGGAACTCGTGGAGAATCAAGGTCGGTTACAGGAGATAGTAAATCCCGAGGGGTTGACGTGCGGGGTGCGGATAGATTGAGCTTGGTACTATGAACAAGGTTTGGTTAACGAAATGAGTGGCGCAGAGAGGGTCAGGGAGGGCTCACCTATTGCCTGAGGCGGGTTCCGATGCAGTGATAGACACAGTAGGAGTGGATGGACCTGTGCTTGTGATGCGCTGTGCAGTGCCCTTGGCTTCGATCGTGGTAGAATGACCTGCGGGCTGACTCGGGGTGGGAAGAGGCGTGGAGATTAGCGCTGACTGAGGTGAACTGTGGACGTGATTCGAAACGCGAGGACCAGCGGGTAGGAGTGGCGACTCGTCAACGGGAGGTTCGTCTAAAGGATAGAATGATTTAGGTCAATATTAAGCTCTTGAAAGAACGTCAAGATAGGAAGATAGTCGAGTAGGCAAGTAGACGTCGTTGTGGATGTGGTATGTGGGGGAATAGGGCAGGTAAGGAGGGAATGGAGGACGCTGCCCACGATTGTATAGGAAATTGAACGGCGCCGATGCATGTACGTGTGCATATGTATGGACTACCTTGAAGTCCTAAATATGCATGAATACGTCCGTAGTATGCATCCTCGAGCTATGCATACCCCGAAGCGTAACAGAAGACATGGAAGCGAGCAAGGCGGGAAACCAGTAAACCGCCTAGGACTCGCATGCATCCGGTGGCTAGTTCTAGTGGAATTGACAAGGCAAAGGTGCCCCGCCATTTACGGCATGAACACCTCGACCGCAACCACCACGAATCTGTTGTCCAGACAGAGCACCATGCATGATGCACTGCGCGCCTCTAACGACAGCCAAAAGATAAGATAAACCAAGGACTCACCATTGTGTCCGACGGTGGAATCGTCAAATCCCAAATCATTGAGATAAATCTCCACAGCCTCGCTCAACCCCGAATTCGAAGAATCGCCCGACAAGTTGGCTGGATCTGGCGGTGCCCTATCCCTGTCAGCCTGCTGCCCACGACCACCACCAGTACGCGCCTCTTTCGCAAAAGGCGGGGTAGCAGGAGCAGCGGGGGTAGAAAGGGCGGTTTCGCTGGCGTGATGAGAATTGCTGCTAAAGGCGGTTGCGTCGTCTCGCCCAGCACCGTCAACTGCGGCACCCATCGTCTTGTCTTCAACGGGCGAGGCGGCGTCGATAGCAACAGCAGTAGCGGCAGAACGGTGACCGGACGGCGGGGTGCTCATTCGACTGGGGGACTTGGTAGCTGGGTTTGTGCGGTGGGGTAGGTAGTACTAGTCTGCTTTGGCTGGCTGCTACTTCTATCGGGCCAACTAAACCGAACCCGATTTCCCTCAGCCAATAACCGTAAATGGCGGGTACGTAGGGAATTTGATGAACGGCGATGGCGGTGTCAAGAGTCGAGAATGGGTGGCTTGACGTCGCGAGCGACGGCGAGGACCTGGTGAAAGGACGACGACGACGATGGCGAGAGTAACGGAGGGCGGGTGGTTGAGGTGGTCGTGGTTCAGAAACAAGCTGCAACTGACACAGAAAGGGTGCGGAAAACAAAGGATCCAAAATTATGTTCGGACCACCCAAAAAAAAGTCACGAGTCAGTCAGCCCCTCCTCCAAGGGTATTCAAAAACGACGCTACAATGGACGTACAGGTTGGAAAGGACCTGAAAGCCAGAAGCACGCCTAACAGGTAATAGTTCATCAGCGCACTGGAGCTTATCGTGTGGGGTTCTGTATATAGCCAGTAGCCAGCCTTACCTTGATTGCCTGTACCTCCCCGCTGCACACTTCCGTTGGCTTTGTCCAACTCCCAGCGTCAACCACAAGGCGCGCGCGGCGACCCAAAAATCCGAGACACCAAAGGCCCCAGCACCAAAACAACACAATAACGACAGCCCTGTCTCAACTAGACAAGCTGGCCAGAGCTCCTCTCGACGCCGTCAACGACAGCGAAAAACGAAAGACGAACGACGGCGTGATGAAGAAAGAGAACAGAAAAAAGAAGCAGCGAAGACGAAGTAGAATTGAAGGGCGGGGGAAAGGAAAAAGGGAAAGGAAGAATTTCAATTAGATCCTTCAAAACTCTGGCTTGGGATACTAAGCGCAGAACACAACACAAACAGCACCGCTTGTGCGTCGTTCCACGTTTTTTCTACATTCCCATATCCAGCTCCGATCGCTCCAGCGTCAAAATTCTTCCAGGCTCCCCTGCTGTCGCCCGCCCTGCCCTCCGTGTCATCAACTGACCAGGTACCACAGACCCGTACACTTGGAGGAAGATCGTCGGTCGTCCCTTCGTTGATTGGCAGCCCAAAATTTGCGCTCCCCCCAGCGTTCGGAACCGTAGACACGGCCACAAAAAACGGGAGGAGGGACGCGGAGAGCGTCACCCAAATCAGGCAAGCCACCCAAGGCTGAGAGAAGAAAGAAGGTTGTTTTCGTTGAACTGTGGCTGAAGATACCCAAACGGGTACTCTCCCTCCCTTTGCCAGCCCAGTCAGAGAAAAAGAAACAGTTCATTTGCGATACACGTCAAACACTGCAAGTCAGACGTTTAAACACTTGCTCGTTTGGGAAGTTGGAACCGTGTCGCGGAAGGTTGGTGGGTTTCCGAGGAACTGGCTCGAGAGATCCGAGGAGAAGAAACGAGAACGGGACACGGTTGGTGGTGGACTGAGAAGTCCTCAGTTGAGGTCACCTTGCGTTTCTTAACCTTCAATTAGGAGAACGAACGAGAGAAAAAGCCAGCCTAGCCTGACATCTATTCAATCTTTCCTCGTCGACAGAATGAGTTTACACAACTCAAATTATACTGACTGGACGTACTGTATTAATTCCACCATGATACACAACCATAAGGTCTACTTCTTCACGTCCAACGAGAAGCACAGATCGTCAATTTCAGCCTTCGAAGTTGAAAGAAATGACAGCGTTGGTGGCGGACGATACCGGTCGATGATGGACACACATCGATCCTGCCGCGTTACGGCATCACATTTCAGCTCCGCCTGAACGCATTAGGGGCATCTTCTCGAAGCTCCTCCCACGACGATGAGAGACAGCCACTGCTCGTGGGTATAAAAGAAACCACGAGATAGAAGCACTCTAGCGTACCGCGCATGTCCACTAACTTTGACCTCCGGAATGGAAGTCTGAAGAACTCCCCCATCTAGCCTACTCGTACAAGCGCCCGTCGCGTCCGTCATACGTCATCCCTCGAAGACATTATATCCCCAGGCTTGCACCAGACTCCCAACGAACCCCAATCATACAAAGGGACAAGCGAAAATCACCCTACGGAACCAAGCTAACCATGATAAAATTGATTTATAATGCGATGCTAAAAGAGCTACAAGGCGTACGTATACGCCGAAAAAAACACTAGAGCAATAAAATGAGTAGTAGAGATAGTAGTGGTAGATGAAAAAACTTGAGATTGAGACTTGATTTGATTTGATATGGACTTCTTAGTTTCCTTGCTCCCGCCAGTTGGACTGTATCCTCAGATCTGCCTCCTCCGTCCACCTCCACCCCCACCTCCTCTCCACAAACCACTCCACCCAACCACCGCCAAAAGACACTCGTCAAAAGCAACAAAAAATACTCGTAAAAATGTATATGTATGTGTGCCTATATGGCCAACGCAAGCAAAAACGCTACGTAGATAACCTTCGCGTGAAAAATATAAGGCGAGGCTAATCTACCCGGCGAACGAGAGGGGAAAAAAGAAACCCAGTGTCACAGCGAATGTTGAACGTGTAGCCGACATGAGACAAAAACCAGGGACAAGTTTAAATGATTCAACAACCAAGAAATAATAACCGACGATGATGCGAAGACAACGACGGAAGATGACGATGCCAATGCCGAAAGACGATGGACGAAGAAGACTGAAGAGGAAAGAATGGACGAAAGGTAACCCCCAACCAAAATACGTGAAGTGAACGTTAACAATCATGAACAGTTGAATGCCAATGCGAAAAACGAGAGTTGAAACAATGCAAGCAATGATGATGAGGATAAATAAAATAACAGTTCGTCAACCAACCAGAACTTAGAACAGCGCCAATGAAAGCGTTCATTCGGTCGTTCGTTCGTCCGTTCCTTCCTTCTATCTTTCGCATATGAGATGGAAGGCAAAGAGGTAGAAGTCAGGCCGGGTCTCGATCCCGAACCAGAACAGGGCCGAGTCGTTCATCCACACGCCCCCCTTCCTATCGCTCAAACCTCGGGGTCAGCACCGAGTGAACCGTCTGGGCACCATGAGCACCAGCAGTCATCGGCGACTGCACCTCACTCTCATCATCCCCATCCCCACCCTCATCGCCGTCACCCTTCCACCTCTTCGGCCCCTTCTCCTTCTCACACAACCAAGCCTCCAACCTCAACCCCAACTCCCCGCCCCGCCCTCCACAAATATCCCCCGTCTGGTTCAGCATCTTCTCCCTCTGCTGCTCCTGCAATAATGGCGGCAACTTGCCCATACCCCCTCCATTCACACCATTCTTCACAGCGTTCTTGACGTCGGTGAGCTTGGGCGAAAGCATCAACTCCTTCGAAGAGCTGGTCGTACTCCGATTCCGCGCTGCCGGCGAGCGAGACGAACTCGCTTTCGACGATTTCGAAGACCCAGACAAGCGTCCACTCGAACTTCGCCCGTTGAGTTCCTGGTGCTCTTCGCCGTGCGGAGAAGCGATCATAGCTTTTAGATCCTCCATATCGTACTCGTTGGCTCCGGGCTTGAACCACTCGGATTCGAACTCTTCAGGTCCAAGGATACTATCCACCAACCCCTCTTCCCATCCATCCCACTCCGCACATCGATGGGCCATGCGAAGCCGGGCTCCAGCCGCCTCGTAATACAGCCATTCCCGACACAAGTGCGCAGGGTCGACTGTCCGCCCGTTCTGTGGTAGCGAAACTCGGAATGTAGGGTCGGAGGGAAGCTCGGCGACAGCTTCCCGGAACAACTTGGACACAAACGCGCTGGACTGGATGCAAGCTGGAACATGGGCGCAGGCCCAGAGTGGTCGCGTCGTCGTCGATTCCCAGTCAATGATGCATGTCTACAACGTGGCAACGAAAAAGAACCAAAAGAGTGATTAGATTGGTTAACCATCGCATATGAATAGGGGTCGGTTACTTACGATCTTGGTGTTGTCTTCAGGGTCGACGAAGACATTCTCGAGGGAAAGGTCGTGGCAGTCCAATCCAAACTCTTCACGGTGGCCGTCCTTCTCGACTTGATCGACTAGCCTCTCCATGACGCTCTTCCACCGCCCCATCTCTTTCCGGACAGCCTCCTCTCGCTGGTTCATATGTGCAACCAAGAAAGTGGTACGCTGCATCCTCCGGAAATCAGAGTAGATGCTACTGCCCGGCCATTCCGAATCCTCGTCGGCATCCTCGTAATCACTGTACTCGTCCGAATCATCACTCTCGTCTCCGGGGACAGCCCGCATCTTGTGATGCCTCGAGGAACGAATCTCGTCAGGATCGAGATGCAGCCGGTGCGGCGCTGATCGACCCTCATTCTCTCGAATAACACCCTTGATTTCTCGATCGACACACGACTCGAGGTAGGACTTGAGCGTTGGCCATGGCCCACGATTCATTTCCGTTGGGTGAACGAGCTCTCCCCTGTTAGAACCAAAGAAGGGCCACGAGATGATTGGTCCCACATGAAATTGGTGGGAGAGGGTGTGAACCGATTGGGTGGAGGGGGACTTGGTCATCATGCCCAGAGTAGGCGAAAACGGGAAGCCGGAATAGTGCTGTTGGGTCTCTTTGGGAGTCGGGGTTCCGGAGGCTACATTTGCTCGAGGGTCGGGTCCAAAGTATAAGGAGCCGATATCAGAGAAGCGGTGGGCGAAGAGGGGAAGCACGATCCTGGCCAGGTTCTTGACAAGCTTGACGAGATCGTTGTAGGCGAGGCCATGGTAAACGCGTGATAGAGGAATGCCCGGTGCCTTCACAGCACGTGACTGAGCCAAAGAAGGTACGCGGTAGGGACAATTGGCGTACCTTGGACATGAGGATAAATTCGCCCCCTAACCGGTTATATGGGTTCGAGTCGTAGTGGTAGACCTTGGGGACGGGGACGTTGGTCTTTTGGCGCAGATAGCTTATCGTTGCCACCTCAGACTCGACCTTGAGGCGGGGCATGAATCGCCTGGCGACCCTGGCGACGAGTTCTTCGTGGTTCACTAGGATGATGAGGTAGGCCTGTAACGGTGTCAGCTGGCAGAAAATCAGGAAAAAGTCGACGTGTCAACCTTGTGGAAAGTTCCTGGGCGCGGTATGAGCTTAAAAGATCAAAGGTAAAGGCAAAGCGACGCACCAGCACTCAAGAATTTGATTCTCCCAACCTCGACACCCATCTTCTCCCTGACCACATCCTTGAGCAGCCTCCGGTCAACCTCAAATGGGGTTTCACGGGGGAACAAGGTGGCATCTCTCTCCTTTTCTCGTTTCCTGTCTTCATGTTCGATATCCCAATCCCACTCCAAGGGTTCTCTGGCAGGTGGTGCTGGTGGTACCGTTGCTGGTGACGGATTTTTTGCAGGTTGTGGGTTGTCCTGAGTTTTTGAAGCGTCGACGAGGTTGAATAGGTGTTTTTGACCACTCTTCTTCATCACAGGGTGGTCGTTGTCAGTGGAGGCCGGGGTCGCTGTCGTCGTGTCCAGATGACCGTTCTTATCAACGCTCGTTTCGGACGATTCTCCTTTCAGACTTGATGAAACTGCAACGGAGTTCGATCCGGAACTGGAGGAACCAAGACTGCTTAGCCTGGCCAACGCGGCACTGCAGAAAATGTCAGGACTGTGTGGTTCCGAGCAAGACAAAAAGATTTCTGGACGATGAAGGATGAAGAGAAATAATACGCACTTGTAATCAAAATTGACGCGCAGGGAATTGTTTCCAGTGATGGCTTGTTTGTAGATGTTTGCGAGACCGTGCTCAACCGCATTCGAGCAAGGATCGATGTGAAGCATGTCGAGAACACCCATGCACCATACGAAAGAAGAGTTGTAGACTTTTTGCTGGTGTTCGTTGCGGGGAAGGGAAGGAAGAGAAACCGGAACTCGAAAAAATCAGACTTCCTTATATATTGCCCCGGCTCAGATGCAATCGGCATCCCGGTGACGATATCTCTTTCCCTTAGCGGAAGTATACGATCGAGCCGTGTACACCACAGGGCACACAAGTCCCATTTGCACTGCAGTTTGGGGCTAATGCCTCTAGTTCCTTCCATTGCCAATGACTAACCTCCAACTAATCATTATTGCCCCTCGACCCCTCTTCAAATTTGTCCACTCGGGAGGGACTTGGATTATTCTTGTTGCGGCGGATGCGCATCACAAGGTCTCGAATGTACACCTTTCTAACGGAAAGGGTATTTTTCGTCATGGCAATGTCTCACCGATGTCTCCTCATCGTTCCTTTCTCCACTTGGTGCCACACCTGGACCTCGCTGTCCTGTGACCCTTGGCCAAAGCACTCCGAGGAATCGCACCGTTTTTCAATGCACTATGCCTGCCCAAATACCTGGCATACCATGGAAAAGGGAGTAACAAAGCTTCTCAAGCCGCACTGGCCGCGATAGGGTGCGATAGGCCAATGAGAGGACTTCGTTCGACGTTTAAAACCCACTCTGACGCGGTTCCTGTCCTGGCCTCGTTGGCCGTGTCTTTCTTCTCATGTTAATAGACCGGAAGTTGTAATCGGACCCTCCGAAGAGTTCTCCCGACTTTCAAGGATGGTTGATTCTGTTCGTAACGGACATACCAACGTTCATCGTGACGACACCCACGGTCTTCAGCATGCTCAGTATCCAAAGATCTGGCAATCCCTCATCTATCTGTGCTCTAGTTCTCCTTTGCCACTGGTTATCCATAACCGAAAGATGCTTATCTCTCCTAGCTCCACGCGAATAGGTCAACTATTTTTAGTCTTTTGCCAGCCTCCCTTCAAAGTAGCTTCGACACGTTTGATTACGCTCAAGAGGGAACTTACCAGCGTCTAATACGAGTCTCCACTATCTGCAGGTGAGATTTCCCCTCTTATCTCTTGGCACCCATTCAATCTCAGTTCTCTATACAACTCTATGGCTACTCTGTCAAGAACCTCACGAGCACCACCCTGTTCTGGCGAACGTGTTCCGAGATATCTCACTAAATCTCCCTTAAGGGTTACGTTCTGACGCTCTTTCGAATCTTTCCAACGCAATCTCCTCTTACTATTGAGTACGTATACTCCGAGAAGTGAATCAGCACTTGGCATGGAACCTTCTGCTCCATGTAGCCCGTCAACTCTCAAGGCTTCGTATAAATTCAATGATTAGTTCCGTCTTCCTCGACGGTGCCACTATGACTATGATCCTCCACCGCCCCTAGGAGTGAACTCCAATTGCATTCATAATTCGAAGAGTCCACTGAGTCACTGGGCCGACTACTGACGACATGATACATACACCGTCGGAAAAGCAGCGGAACCTTCCAGAATCCACATTCTCAAATCTGTTCGGGAATCTCCACACAAACCGACCCTTGGAAATCCATGTCCTGATGTACGCTGATCCCCATATACGGGCGTCGACCAACAACAAAACCACCCTCCGAACATCTGGGGTGCCCTTACAACTCTCTCATACAACCTAATGGATCAATCACAGCTAGCAGAGAAATAGTCCATGGTGGTGACCCCGTGAGCACCCAACCAACGTGTAGAAGACACAAAAGGGGTCAAGCGCCTACTCTTCACACTGCAAGTCCGGGGGGACAGAGCTTCGACAAGCTCCGAATCCGACCCAAAGCGCGCGGTACAAATGCCTAAAGAAGCAATCCGGAACACTTGACCCGACATCCCGACGTCATACGCGATGTCCCGATGTCGTGATGCTGACCTGCGATGGTGATGGGGGCTTGTCAACGGATTGATCCAGCAACGGAGCAGACGGCGGACACGGGCCCTGATTTTCCCTTGAACAGCCACCCCCGCATGTGCCCCACCCATGCTTTGCCTAGCCCCGCCTCGACGTGTCGAATCTCCCCTAAAAGCCTCGAAAGAAGGACCTCGAAGGTCCCGTGAACTGCGAAATGTGGTGAGAGGATTGCGTTGGGGTTTGCAGCTCTTGGTTCGGACGTTTCGGACGTCGCTCTCGAGGGAAACATCGCAGCCAATGCCAGAATTGTGGGGACGAGTCTGGGATGCCTCACAGACATTGTCAGGCACTTTTTCCGCTTTGAGCTTGTGCCCCGGCACCGCTGCAAGTAGGAGAGAAGTTTGAAATAAGATGGAAGTGGAAGAAGACGGACACGGTGGCAGGACGGTAACACCAAAAGCAATTATTATAGCATACAATAAAGTAGAGAAGCCAAAACGACCGTAATGTCCATGTAGGAAGATTACCCGAAGTATAGAAACACAGCAGAAATCGTCCATAAAGTAAGTGTCCTTGAAGAGAAGTTGAAACGCACTCCTGTCAGATGTCTCTGAAAGGTGTCCACAACGGAAGGCAAGCATGTACACATCGATCAATGAGTTTGTCCAAGGGCAGACGGTTTCTGGCCTCTTGTTCCTGGTTGAGAATCAATCTGGCATGCAAGTAGAGGGCGAGCTGCATCCAAAATGCAGGTTCCGCCTGGCCAAGGTGCCTGGGTATAACACTTGATGATGTAAATACACCTGACATTGAGAAGGGTGACAGAGAGAACTCACATGTCAAGCATGATCTTCGAACCATTGTCGAAGTTGTGCATCGCTTCCACCAGCGCGGCAGCGTCGCCAGGATCGCCGGCGTTATATGTCCTCATCGCGTGCGAGTAAAGGGCGTCGCAGAGGCGCTTTGCAAGGCTGTGTTGGAACAGTGATGAGACAGCCTTGATCAGGTCAAGTCGTGTCGTGAAGCAGTAGTTGTTGTCGATCAGCACAAATAACCTGAAGGAACGGGACGAACACGAAAGTGTAAGAAAGGCAACAAGGCGGGCGGAAGTTAAAGATACACTTACGTCTCCCGCATCACATCGAGTCCAAATTCCATCAGCGCTTTCTTGATTCCTTCGAGCTCGATAGCAGGGATGAAATAATCAACAAGAGCAGCAGATTTCTCCCAGATTGGAAAATCATGCCAACGAATCGCCTTGCTCATCAGTGTCAGCGCAGTAGCTCTGGGGTAAAGCGGAAAGGGGCGGGAAAGTGAAAGAACGGGGTCTTGGAAGGCCCGTAGAACGTTCAAGGCAATGTCTTTGGCGTGATCGGTGGAGGAGTATGAAAGAATTCGGTTGAAGGTATCTGACTTGTACCAGCTCAACGGGATTCCGCCGTTGAGGTGAAACTTGATGAATGACTCGTCTCGGCCGTCGAAAAGGAGGAGTGCGGTGGTAGTAATCTCTGTCCAAAAGAATTAATGGGATGACATAGCGGCGAGTAGAATTCACTTACTGATGGTGCGACTGACATCCTAGACCAAAAGTCAACAGTGATATGCGTCTCGACAAGGGATTACTTACCGCGGCTAGTGGGGGAAAGTCATGCGTTTCATAGGGTTCTACAGATGGGATAATAGCGAGTTCCGAAACCAAAGGGTTGGGGTTCGACTGGTAAAGTCCAGGGCCAAACAATTCTTGTCCGTCCAGTCCGACCATTCCTGATAGGTAGTAGCTGTCTGTGTAGTGACCGGAGGCAGCGCAGGCGTCACACGCTTTGGAGGCTTCGCAGTCGCATGTCTCTGGACCCATGCCACGGTTGAGCGTGAGCGTAGCAAAGCCGATCTTGAAACCCAATTCTTCCACTATGGGCTGCAAGCAAGCAACTTTGGGAGTATCGGGTCCTTTCAGGACCTTCATGCCCCATTGCGCAAGTGCCTTTGGGTCGTACAGTGTATGTGGTCCTAGGTTGTGAACCACCAGGGGTGGAGACGGGACGCCGAGCATGTACTGCTGCGTCGACCATCGACGTAGAATCTCACGGAAGTCGTCCTCGACGTCGGCCGAGTCTATCAGCGCTGAGCGGGTAACCTCGGGAGAGGGATGGATAAGGTCGTAGGAAAGGATGAGTTGGTATCCAGAGGTGATCGGTTCCATGATTTGCTGAGTGTCGATGAAGCAGCCAATGACGCGGGTATGTACTGGGCCCTTCGCTTGTTCAGGTTCGAATTCTCCGAGCGTTGCCTTCATATCGCCCCACTTGAACGTCAGCTCTCCTCCTTCGCAGTGGGAAGAGTAGAGTGCAACGGCCACCGAGGCGACTGCGTCATCCGGGATGTTGGACCTTTGGTGATGGATATTCAATCGACATGGTTTAGTCTCGCGCTCGAGCAACGTACCGCTCGTTCGAGAGATATCTGCCAGGCTGTATTCAGTGAAATCCAATTTAGCGTATTCATGCCAAGCGTACCTTGAGCCCTGGGGATAGAACACGACACTGTGAAGCCGCAGATGCGGTTCCTCCTCTTCCGTATCCGGGATATGCAAAGTGTCACATACAGGTTCCAAAACCGTGTCGCGGAGCCAAAGCAGCAAGTCGTTGCTGATAGAAACCGCTTTCGGGTCGAGACGTCGTCCACCACCTGCACAGGGCGTGTACGGGGCTGATTTGATCATATCCGCTTCGGCTTCGTCCAAAGGATATTTGAGGGTTCCGACGCCTTCGATCGTCAAACAGGGGTCTGGAGCATCGATGAACGTCTCTGTGTAGTGGTACACGCTTCCATATCCATAGTTGGATTGCAAAATTGGCTCGAGATCGTCCTTGGATGATGAGCTTGGGGTCAGCGCGGCCAAGGAGAAAAATCGACTGGTGGTACGTACTACGAGGGACGTCATCTCGATATGTGGTAGAGTAGCCATGGGCCTGGGGATATTGTCAGGTATACAAGGGTCTGCAATTGTCGTTCTGTCGCTAAAGTTAAGTTAGAGCTCGAGGTCGCCGCCAAAAATGTCTTGTGGAAAGTGAATCCCGCCCAAATCCTCCGCCCTATTTATCAGGAAAACGGCGATCGACAGTTGAAAGAGATAGCGGCCTTTGGAACTGTACCCTGACTGTGGCATTCCGTTGCATAGACGACGGCTGTTCTGCTGTCCCTTTGTCGCCCTTCAAACATACAAGAGCCAGTGGCTGGTCGGGTTGATTGCGGTTTATCCGCAGTAGGCCTGGAGACGCAGAATCGATACACAGTGGCGTTGGCATTTATGAGTCGTTGTCTGAGCTGTAAAGGGCGTTCATTGTGGTCCAAAGCAACAGCCGTTTGCTCAACAGCGTGGTTTGTGGTTCATGCGAGAGAGCCGCGACGGGACACCGTGGCGACTCGGAGAGAATCGAAACTCCGATTCAATTAGGGCGCCTAACGTTAGCATGGCAGCTGCTGCGCCCTCAAGAACTTCAAATAGAGCTGTCCTTGGTTGCAAGCCCCGAACGCGTCAAAGTGAGGCTTGTATAATGACTCTGAATAACCGAAATTTATCTTGATAAATTTGAGCAAATGATTTTCTGGCAACACCGTAGTACTACATCACTCGATTGAAACTTGGCCACATACTCGGCCGTAGAAACAGTGGAAGAGCATTAGGGATGTGATGTAGAATATATAGTCTTTCAATGACAGTTCTTTCTGGGACACTGAGGACTTGGAGCGGCCTAACCTATCGGTCAGTGGCCACGGAATTGCTTTATAAAATGCGAGATCGTACCTCTGGGCTACGAGCGGCGACATCTAGGATTTCGATAGGAGACGCCAGGGCAATGGCGGTAGCTGCGGAGTATGCTAGGTCAATGGCCTGCAGAGATGCCAGACGCAAGACTGAACATACCAGAGATAAGGATAATGAGGGTGGAAAGGAACTTCATTTTGACAACGAGTTTGATCGAAGCTTCGATGAGGGCGGCTGAGGAGTGCTGAGAGGCCTTGTTAGACTGAGGTTAGTAGAAGGTTAGGAAGCCCTTAAATACATTTTCTGGAGTAGGCGTGAGCCCCTGGCCTTGAGTCTCACTGCCCTCATATCATGCTGCAGTACACGGTTAACGGAAGGGATGAGCTCACCTTTCGTGCCACCGTTTCGGTTTCGAACTGCAGTTATACACATTAACCAAACTTTTTAATTCAGTATCTCGAAATAATGGCAACCAGCGTCTATTCCTGTGGTCGCATGTGCCCATAGCGAAACTGGAGACTGCATAACTGTCCGAAATTGTACATTATTTCGGTGCGCGACCCTCGCCTGTAGGCCCTAGTACTTACATACTGTAGAAGCCGCTAGATATCTATGCTCTGTTTATGGGCAATCTGGGCGGCGGCCAGGCGCATTGGTAGTAGCCCTCGCCAACGTAAGCCCTTTGTTGCTTCCAAAAGCAGAAATTGTGTGGTCATTTCTGGCCTCCTCCGGACAGCGGACCTCTGGACCGTGGTATTCCAATGGTGTATAGATAAAAAGGTTAGGGCGGACAAGTCTCTGCAGATATGTATTCTGAAAGTGCTCTAAGCCCGGACAATGTCAGCGTGCACAGAACGGTGGTCGATTACTTTCTGTCCAAAACCACCAAATTTCCCTAGTCAGAGCGTGTCGTACTGTGGGCGGGAGTCCCGTATCGCTGATGATGTCCATGATGCAACATACAGCCTGCAGACAAAGGAGCGTCCAAAAGGGTGCACCGACATTCCTGTGAGGGCCAGGCGCCTTACGTTAGGAGTGTGGTGGCGAACACTCGTAATGTGAAAGAGCGACAAAACCGGGTGATAGTTCAAATCAACATGTACACCGAGTGCAACGGTGTCTACGAATCTCGTATCGAGTAAACTCTTGAAGTCTTGGGTTTGCAGGTGGCGACTGAAATACGCGTTGATCTCCGTATATGATGCGGGAGTATTAGCTCTAAAAACGGACAAAACCCAACAGTCCCGCTGCTTGAATTTATGAACGGCCTCGCTACGTGTGTACAGGCGAAGACGGAAAGACCAGCGAGAAGCTTGCAGCCGGGATGGAACTCCCCTCCAATAAGCGCCAAGCACACACGCGCAGATCGCGGATCAACCCCGTACTAGGGGACAGGGGCTCGAAGTTGTTCAAACACTAGAAATACACACAATCTTTAGATTCAGTTGCAAATACAACTACTAAGACAGAGAGCAAAGGGATATCTCCACGAATTCGCTTAAATGCAGAAATGCGGCGGGAGAATACAGTAAGGCTTGGCCTCTGGAGCAGCCTGAGCGATCATAGGTCCATGGGCGATTAATATTAGAGAGTGTGTATAGCAGACTCACTTACCACAGGCTCGCGTCCTTGGAGCTCAGAATTGGCGGGGACAGGAATAGCCGAGACTCCAGCGACAGCGTCTAAAGGACGATGAGCTACACAGGAACCATGCGTTTGGTAGATGGCTAGAAAGCTTACAGACAACCGCCAAAGCAAGGGTGAACAAGGAGTTGAACTGAATTGTGTGCTTCGATATCAAGAGTTTGTGGGTAGTAGAGTGAAGAGAGGATGCTGTTGGATGGACTACTAGCTCTGCATTTCTAGCATGTATTTCTGGCCCTTTTTATATGTTTTTCTTTTGGCGCTGTAGTGGGCGACGCTGAAGGCAACCTCGGACAAGGTTTCCTTGGACCCCGAGTTTCCCTCGTCGGGGGGAAGGAGGCCCTGAAACTGTAGTAAAGACGAAGGTCATGAGGTCCAATGGCGCCGATATCTCCCACCGCGCTGAGGACAAGTTTGATCGAGCGCTCGTGAAGTTCCCAAGTCCAGAGGTAAGGGTGAGCAGAAACCATACCTCTCGACGTGCCCTCCCATTCCTACTGCAGAACTTTGAGCTTCCCATGAAAGGTCCACATTCAATGCTCTCCGGTTGAACGCTATGTAAAGATCACTTCGACTTCATCCAGCAATGTCGTCTCCCAGACTCCAGCACTTTCGAAATATATCTGTGGGCGACAAGCCCGAGCTCCCATTCAAATATTGGGGGTATCAGATGACCGCCTTCACCCGCGCACGACATTGCTATGGAGAGACCGCGGCTCACTTGGAAAGAAACGACATATATTTGAGGCACAAACGTACGGACATGTGGTCCAAAGTCCAGGGCAGAGCAACCACATCAGCGGCCATAATTGTCATCCAATACAACCTTTGCCCGTATCTCCCCTTCTTCTAAGCGAATCCAAGTATCGATGGGCGAACGCGGATTGGCATCGCGGAATACAAAATTTCGAACGCCGTGTCCCCACCCATCTTTACTATACCCTCCATACCTAATGGCAGTTGATCAGCCTTCGATCGTCTCAATTGAATTTAAAGAGTGTTCAATTCTCACCCTGAATGCTTGTCGAAGCAGAATATCACGTCTTTCTCTGGTTCGCGTGCGCACCATTCATTACCATGGTCTACGATAGACGTTAGTTAGTCCCGTCCGCTCATGCATGGAAGTGGCTTACCGTGTCCTGAGACGATTGCCCTCAGGTTCGGGATCTTGGTCAGGGCATTCCAGAACGGCTCATCTTGAGGGTTTTGAACCGATCCGTCGCCCAAATGGTCAGCTGAAGCTCTCATTCAGTGCCAACTTGCCTCTCGAGAAATCAAAAATACACTCGCCATTCTGTCCTGGATTCTTCTTGCTGTCCAAGCCCGATTGCAAGGCTTTGATGGCGTATGGGGGAATATGCATGAACGCGAGAGCGCTGCGAATGTGTTTTGACGGACCCCAGATTGTTTCCATCAACGTGAGCTGGTTCTTTAACCAGGGTACAACGGAGTTGTCGACCCAGTCTGGGATTGGGACCACCGATGATGAGGAGTTTCCAGGAGAAGCAAGCGTTCTGCCTCCTGGCTGGGGCATGAGTTATGGAGTGAGACGTATATCTTGTGGAAATACCTCGAGAGTCGAAGAACCAGAGGATTAGCGACGGCGACCAATCTATCTAACGTCAGGTAGGGATTGGGACACACGCACTAGCCGGTACGCACCATACTTGGAGCGGTAAACCTGCAGCCACTGTATTCAAAGAGAGTTTTTTCGTCATTTTGTCAACGACCTACCGGAACCCAATAGTTCCCTTCACCTTGCAGTCCTCCAACGCCCTTTGGAGCAAGCCTCGTGTAGCTGAGCGGAGCTCGCTTCTGCTCTCGTAGGATCTCTTCGATGTGTGTGATGTTCACGTCATTGTCATGGTTCTATACTTCATGTCAGTGGTATAGAAGAGGGGAGAAAGATGGCAGCAGGACCCCGTGAGTGGAAGAGAATGGCACTTTGGCGTGGTTCAGCGGTTTAACAATGCGATCAATGAGTCGAGTGGAGTTTTCCCTGTGAGTGTCTGCTAGGTGTGAGAGAGAAGTCTGGAATCGGTAAGAGCGTCGCGTACTCTCTCCAGTCAGGAGGTCGCCGTTCAGTACCCTAGGTCGACGTCGAGATCAGAGGACAGCCTGCGAGGCCTACCAAAACGCAGCTTACACATAGTCTGGTTTCTCGTCTCGCAGCACCCTCTTCATCAATCTGGTGCTATTCGAATCTTGAACCTCTCCCCAGGGGCCTTCTGGATTTTCTCCAAAGTGAAGGTCGGAGAACACGGTTAGTTTGAAAGTTCCATCCTCTTTGAATGTGATGCGAGGTTTCCCGAGTGCTGTGTAAGGATCTAGCTGCGCTTGCACGCCGCTAGTGACGGGCGATTCTATTCCAACGGAGAGATTAGGATCGTTGGATGGTATGTTGAGACAGCGTGACTCACGCAACGCCGGGAATGCGGTAATGAAGCTTGGTAGCAGCACAAGGAGGGCTCCGATTATCACCATGGCTGGCGCTCGTCGTCACGATTTCTCCCGACGTCGTAGGACCTTGGTGGTCAGATTAAGAGAACAGAGCACCTCCTGAATGCTATTTCTAGTCATGGTTGTGAGAATTCAAGCTCTCGAGCCAAACGTTCGTCACCGTGGAACCTAACCATTGCCAGGAGGTCGCGGAAGATAAGATAAGATGGTGGCTGTGTCATGATGTCGGAACCTGAACGTCACCAAGTTCAAATCCTGCTGACGCCCGGATATTTCTCTTCTCTGACTTGGTCTTCATCTTTCCCGGTTCTTGACGCCGCCGTTCTCCAAACGACCGCGACTCGATTACCGAGTCCTAGGGCTGAATCTTATATATGAGCAATGTCGGGCAGCAGTTGGCGTCAGGTATGTTGTTCAACCAGGTCTAGTCGACGTCATTGACTTTCTAATACCGTTCGCTAGGTGCTCTGTCTGGTTTGGCAACGACAGTATGCCTACAGCCATGTACGAATGAGATATAATTGGGACACTGAACTGGACTAACAATTGTCATAGTCGACTTGTTGAAAACGCGCATGCAGCAGGGAGGAGAGCAGGCCTTGAATTTGAAGCGCTCGAGGTGAGTGTTGACCGTCCTGGAAGACCTATGGAATATGCTCAAGGTATAGCGACCAGCCATAATCCTTCCCTTATTCTCGTTGTTGCTCGCAACGTCATTCGAACCGAAGGCTGGAAGGGACTCTGGGGAGGCACAACACCGTCATTAATTAGGTTTGTCCACCAAAGAATTTACAGGGCTTTTCTGAACTCGCCTTTGCAGAAACGTACCTGGTGTAGCGTTATACATGACGGGTGTAACCCAGCTGCGAGCCTTCCTGGCCACATCACCTTACTTTGCCATCGTACGCAAGCCGTCCGCGAAGAATTCCGGTTCAGTTCTCCCAACCCTCACCCACCAAGGCAACCTTCTAGCTGGGGCTTTTACGCGTGTGGCGGTCGGCTTCGTCCTCAACCCATTCTCTGTTCTCAAGGCCCGGTACGAGGTGCGCCTACCATCTTCTGAACGCGCTTTTATGACTAAATGACGCGCTTGTGACGTAGAGCAACCTGTATCACTACACTAGCCTCAACCAGGCTCTCACGTCGCTGGTGAAAGCTGGGCCTTCCGAACTATTCAAAGGGTTCTGGGCATCGTCTCTTCGAGATGCTCCATACGCAGGACTTTTCATTCTCTCATATGAGAAAATCAAACAGGAAATGTGTATGTGAACTTGCCTCGGCTAGCCTTCATCCGCCTGTTCACGATGGGTTCTTTAGCACGTCTGTTCCCGGCATCGGCCACGCTCCGCAGTCCCCTCATTCACAGTCTCTCTGCCGCTTCTGCCGGAGCCATTGCCACGATGGCAACGCATCCCTTCGACGTTATCAAGACTCGCGTCCAGGTACGCAGTCGTGAAGACCAATACCAATCCTTCTTTGGCACCGTACGGGCCGTTGTGCGAGAGCGCGGTCTAAAGGGTCTCTTCGACGGTGCCTCTCTGAGGATGTCGAGAAAGGTGTTGAGCAGTGCTATTGGATGGGCGGTGTACGAGGGTATTCTGATCATATGGACAGAGTCACGAGCAGCATCTTTGAAAAGTACTAAAACTTCTAATCTGTTATGATTGTAGAGTATATTGACCTGTATTATTGCTTAATGAACAAACCACAGCTTTATAGAAATATGGAATATGGCGTACAGGAGCTTTCATCTGGGTATTAATCAGTGAGTCGTCGACGGATTACCCTTGCACTGGAATGTGATGCTGACCAGTCTCAGATGCAGTTGCTATGAACCAGGGTCTGGTATGTACGGCCCATTGCAAAGAAGACAAGGGACCCCCTGCTTAACAAATGCGATCAAGACGTTGGTGCGGTTGGCTGGTCCTCAGCCGCCTGCCGTCAATGATCCTGTTTCTCCGTTGAACACGGTGAGATGGCCGAGCGGTCTAAGGCGCCAGACTAAGGATCAGCCTGCATTGCAGGCACGGTATCTGGTCCGAAAGGGCGTGGGTTCGAATCCCACTCTCATCAGATTTTTTGTTTCTCTTTTTTTGTCGCCGTTGATTCCATCTGAACGGCGGAGAGGAACCATCAGGCGAGGGTCCCGAAGAAGATGGAGGAAGGACTAGTTCGATCCTCGTCCGTGCCATATTTATAGGAAATTAATGGCAACGAGACAACACCCCATATGAGATTATAAGTGAGTCGGCGGTAAATTGAAGAGAGAGAAGCCAGCTCTGATGAAACTTAAGCGCCCGTCAAATGCGCGGCGCTCAGTCACGCGTACGACGTGAGAAGGGCATCCAACACTGACAAGCCACTGGCATGCACGTACCTGACGTCTTGTGTCTTGACGGTGACGCGGTTTGCGTCCGGCAGGCACAACTCGGAGCACCAAGATACCTCGAAGACTAGAACTGTGCTCTTTAGTTCAACCGCATCTCATTTGAACTGGCGCATGCCCGTCCCATGTGAGGCAAGTTTGATTTTGTACATACTCCGGGGTGTGCCCCTGTTTTTTGTAAATGATACAACCTATGCTCCGCCTTCGCATATTCCTTTTCACTTCTCCTATCACCTAGAACGTTATAAGCCTCGCCTCAGTCTTTCTTTTCTTCCATCTTCAGCCCACTCTCATCAACCACAATCGCTCCTGATTCTTCCACCACGACCGCGGCCGGGGTTTCGTCTTTCACAGCTGGAGTAGCCGAACCCGAGTCCTTTTGGCCCATCTGAGCTTGTCTCTCCTTCCCTGCGGTCGTGATATCCTTCCCAAACAACCGCAGGCTGAGGGCACTGTAAAGTAGAAGACGCCAGTGAGTAAATTTGAAGCCAGATGATGGAGGAAATTGGGAGGTGAAAGGCACCTTTTGGCCTTTTTATCAATCATCAACGTCAACGAGACGTTAGACTTCCAGATGGGTAGGACGAGATCATGAGTGAGACTGGTGATCTCAGTTGTGCCCTTTGGGAATCGCACGATATGGCTTCCGGATGCTACAAGGAGGGCATCGTCATCATTCGTTTTCCTCGAGAACGGGGATTATGAAGGGACGCACGTCTATCTTCGACCATCTTCCTAAACGGTTGCGGTAGCCGCTCGCACAGGGGGTAATAACTCTCCACTAGAATCTTCAAACTCTCGTGGTCCCCATCCATGATCGTCTTCTCGTCCACAAAGGGGAGAACGACTGGCAATCCTTCGCCTAGCACGCGGAATTGAGCCTCGGTTGCTGTGAAGAGAGGTTGACGAGATATATCAGCCGTCACATGGAAAGGACAAGTAGTGACAGAAGACCCACCTTTCCCGCCCTCCTGCTTCGCAAAGATCTTCGTCCCAGCCGCAGTAAGCCTCAACCGCTCATACGAGTTGTTCTGGATGATGCTCTTCACGATGTCGTTCGAGATGTACAAGACGCGAGCAGCTTCGCCTTCAGGGTTCCGGACGAGGACATTGGAAACGGGGAAGGTGGATGGGTTGATGTGCAAGCGGGAGCTAGACATTCGACACCGATTAGCGCATTCCGCTTGATAGCCGGGGTGGTGGAGCGGACTTACAGACAAGAGAGCAGAACAGGATCGGTGGGAGAGACGTAGGTGTACGGTTGTTCCCTGAACGCCCCGGACCCAGAGGCAGCAGCAGATGCGGATTTGCTTCTCTCCTTTTCCGCGGCTCCTTGACCTTCTTCCGCTTGCGGTGTCGTCGCTTCGGATTCTTGGTCCGCCATTGGGCTATCCGATTCATCCTTCTTGAGCTCCGTTTGCATAGCGTCTTCGTCATCCAAACGGGCTTTCTTGGTTTCAGGCGCGGCCACCTCCTGAACACCTTCCGAGGCTGCGCGTTTACGGTCTCTGAGAGATGGAAATGCGGTTAGGGAGACGCTGAGATAGAGAGGCTGGCACGTACGAGGTAGGAACAGCGAGTTTGGGTTTCCTTCTCAGCACGGCGACGAAGAATCCACCCGAGTCCTGCAGGTGGGGATAGATACGCATGCTATACGCGGGTAAGCCGTTCTGTAACCATACAAGCAGAATAACAACGCACCAGTACGGCAAATTCAGCTTCTCTACTCCGTCCGGCGGCCAATGACTCCTACTTAACTTGGCTTTCATTGCCTCATCCACCTTTGACGAGGCTATGAACTCTTCGTACGATTCGAACGTAGTCTCACATTCGCGATCCGTCGTTGGCCTCCACTCTGTCATACCAGGCCGGCGGATAAGTTGGGGGAAACGATCGGAGACGTCCATCAATTCAAAGTCGGGGTTCTGGATGAGGGCGTCTGCGACGACAGCTTCGTTCTCCACGGGATTCAGAGAACACGTCGAGTAGACTATTTTGGAGGAGGGTTCGTAGTTCAACAGTCGCATAGCGCGGAGGAGGATGCGGACCTGGAGACTGTGCAAACCGTTGGCGTCGCCCGGGGACCACGTCTTCCAGATCCCAATGTTCTTTCGCATGGTACCGTCTCCGCTGCAAGGGACGTCGCAGAGGATTCGGTCGAACATGAGAGTTCGCATACCACGAGGGGTGGGTATTTTGATAGAGGGGTAGTTGGAGGCGTCGAGGTTGGTGACCATCAGGGCTGGACTTGGTAGACGTGCAGATTGGTGGATGAGCAGATGAGTCCGCTTGTTATCGCTGTCGTTGGCGACGAGGAGTCCAGAGGGGATGGAGCTGGAGGTCACGGTGTCCTGGGCGTGCAAGGCTTCGAGGATCTGAGCAGTCTTGGAGCCCGGGGCAGCGCACATGTCCATGACTTTGTGGTGCGGCTCTACGTCGAGGAAGAGAGGTGGAATCATGCTGACCCCTTCCTGACGCGAAATGTTGCCTACTTCTGTCTCGAAAACGAGGAAGGAATGGAATTTTTTGAATTCGGGCTGTTTGCGGAGGACCTTTTTTGGGACGTTGAATTGCCAGGCCAGTCCATCCGGGTACCAGGGAATCTGGACAGGTGGTGGGATCTTTTGGCCTTCAAACTCGGCATTGCTCAAGCTTGGAACATGGACGTCTTCGATAGTCTTGTTGAGCACAGCAGCCGTCCTATAAAAGTGTTATTATGAGTTTTCCTGGTAGAGATTTGTTGCGCACTGTCTGCTCCCAGCAACACGAAATGTCGTCGGCAAAGGACGCCTCATAGCCTCCAAAAATTCCTCCCATTCCTCCTCTGGCAATATCTTTTGGGCCTTGTAGTATGCGAAAAACCGTTCGTTCTTGAAGCTGGCTTTATCCAAAAGATCGTTGTTCCTTCCATCGTCGACTGGGGCGTCCCGTCGCTTTCCTTTCCCTTTTCCTCTAGGCTGAAAACTGAATTGAAGGTATAAGAGAAGAAGAGAGCGCTGGACATACTCTGTGTCTGGTCATCGTGGTTGCAGTTGAAGCTGCTAAACTTTTCGATGCGGATATCTCGGCGCCTATCCAAACAGAGGCAAATTTGGCGATTGCGCCCACTTGCCTAATGGGGAGTTCTCTTGCCATAATCGGCACCCCGCCGTTTGGCAGCGAACATCCAGCACCCACTGACTGTCTGACAGGTCAAAGCCTTGTGATTCGCTTCAAGTGGACTTCAGAGAAGCTACAGAGCCGGTATCAACAAGCGGCGTCAATACTACTATGTCATGGAGGGTATAGAGCGAAACCGACATCTGTCTCCGTCCGTTCACACCAACGTCACGTCTACACCGGACGCAAGGTGGAGAGCTGGGGTATATCGAGTATAATTTGTTGCTTGCCACCGGTCAATGGGCCTTTAAAGTGACCAACATGGAAGGGCACCTCTCAGCTTCAGCACCCGTTGACGATGTATATCTACGACCTCGATGATCCACTGGCAAGGGAAGCCCTCGCCGACCTAGAGTGAGTGTCCGAGATTCACTAGTACCTCAACGGACTCAAAGATAATATAGCAACGTGTCTACTGCGGCATGTGTGCGCATTCTCCACCTCCGGCCCTACGTCGACAGCACAGAGCACCGTCAAAAGCAGAAGAAGCAGCAGCAACGATCTTGGACGGATTTTCGGTCTCGATTGCGGGCAAGTCATGATCGAACATCAGGGAGGAAAAGCAGCAGCAAACGGCGGACCAATGCATTACTGGGCAATCTCCGCAACCTCAAGAACCTGGAATACTTTGACCTGCATTGTCATCTCGACGACGATGTGGACGCCTTCCGACGTACTATCCCTCCAATCCGGGCTTCATGGGCCAGCTATATAGGCTCACTGCGTCGAATGACGTTGAAGATTCCGCTTGAATGCTACAACGCCCTTCTCTCTTCATCCACTCTATTTCCCCGACTCACCGAGCTATCACTCCACATCTTCGCTTCAGATTACTCCACCAACCCTGTCGACCCCATGTGTACAGATCTCGCTCCCTTCATCAATCGTCATGTCCACTCCCTGGAGTCGCTGACAGTGATTACACCCGAGACCGGCACCGCAGACCTCTCACCTATGTTCTTCAACCTCCGCTTCTTCCCCCGCCTCACCAAACTCCACCTCATATTCTGCGCACTCAGCCTAGAGTACATCAATCTCACCGGGATCCACGAATTCTTCTCGGCGCATTGTAACCAACTACAAGACCTCCTCCTGCATTTCAATAGGATGGTCGGTTTGAAACCACAGACCTTCCTCTCGGAGACGTTCTTCCAGCTCCCCGTCTTCCGGGTACCACTGCCCGTTCTCGAATCACTGGATGTGGGGTTTACAGGCTTCCGTGATTCGTCGGGACAAGGGACGATCACATACGTGCATCAGTTCCGGGGTAATTTGAAGAGGGTGTTGTTGAACCATACGCAGTTGTCTATTGGGAATGTTACGAGGTTGACGGACGGGTTCTGGAACCTGCGGTACCTCGAGATATTCGTGTACCACCTCAATCCCGCCCTACTTGACCTACTATCCTCCAGACTGACACAACTGGTGGACCTCCGTGTAACGTGTATATGCTTCTCGGGCTCGCAAGGGCCGTTCCTTTGCGCAGACGTAAGTCTTCTTCATCAGTGTCCCATGTCACCCATTGCACATACTAACCCTCTCGCTTCCACAGGACCCGGCTCGTGCGCACAAATGGTGCGCCGAAATGTCCCAACGACTCTATTCAGGCTGGTCCCTCCGGCACATCCGTCTCGACATCCTCTCGGACACCGCCAAGAATCTGGCACTATGTAAACGGGCATTGGCCAGCGCTTTGCCTGATGTCGAGACAATTGATGGCGTTGGGAGAAGCGAGGTGCTGGGACTACATGCAGAGGGCGGTATGGCGTTGTCGCATCATGTGAATCGGTGGATCTTTTCGATTTATGAGGCTGAACAAGAGTAATTTCAAATTGGAGGGGGGGGGGGGAGGGGCAAGTTGATCGATGTATACCTGTGTAATCTGCTAAGAATAAGGGATTTCGTGTTTCTTTCATAACAATACATGGTCGAGTCCTGGGCAGGATGCCTGCCTCGGGGAAAGCTTCTTGATGGGTTCCAAAAGCGGTATGCGAGCGCCCAATTCTGGAAGGCAGTCTTGGCCTCAGACAGTTTGGATCCTTGCTGACACCTGAAACCGAAGACAAGGCAAGTCGGAGCGATGAATATGATGTAAGTATCTATATTCTATATGACAGGAAGGTGTTTACACCGTTGCCTGACTTCGCTCTCAAGGCGGAACCTCAGGACCCTGCACGAAGCCGGTCTGAGATTCACCAGACAAGAGGCGCGGCGCGTTTGCGGTGACGTCACGCGTTCGATCCCGAGTCAAGGTTTGAAATTGATAATCCTACACAAAGACATGGTCCTCACTCATGACTCGGAGCACAATACCAGACATCTTGAACAACGACCCCGGCACCTTCCCTTCGTGTCCTCCACGTCCCAGACGCCCACATCCAACCCAGTTCCGAACTGTTACTACTCCTCGGTTCAAAGCCCATCCAATAGTCTTTTACAACCGCAAAGCTAAAGCCCGGTCCTCAAAATGGCCGCCTCTTCAGGAGCAGATGTGCTTCTCTACATTGTCGCAATGTGTGTCCTCTGAATCAACTAGCGTTCTTGACATTCTCTCTGACTCTTGGTGCTCCAGTTTCCTCCCGCCATTCGCGGTATTTTTAAGTGAGTCCCTGTGCCTCATGTTGAAGCAAAGTATGCCTTACAACGGTCGTTAACAACCTACAGAAACGGGATGCTCAGGCGGTGAGTATACGCCGTCCTCCTCCACGTTGTCAACCAAGGATTGATCACACACTGTTCGCTTTAGACCTCTTGATTAACATCTTGCTTTGGATTCTGGGATGGATACCGGGAATCATCCATGCCTGGTGCGCCACTCTCTTTCATTCACACACGCACTTGACTGACGCTCGAAATCCAAGGTATGTCATTGCGAAGAGACCAGAAGCGAAATATGTCATGCAGCAGTAGATCCAATAATCTTCCTCCTGTCCCGCTCTTCATGTAGATTTCATTGCCTGTACTTATCCTTATCGTTCCGATCCATTTTCTCAACTAACTTCTGTCAATGTCACATGTAACTGTCATAAAATTTCATTATGTCGAATCCAAGTAAGCTACAGAACTACATACAGCAAGGACGGAGATGACATGCTTCTCGCTTCTCATTCTATGTATGTACCGCTCCTGTTGGTACTGCAAGGATCATCACAGAATGAGACCAGCAGCCAACCCTACGGCTCCGAGAACAACGCCGACCGCACCACCGACCATACCAAGCCCATTCAGCTTACCAGCAGCACCCGACGGCAATTTCGCCTTCGGAGCATTGGTCTTGTTATCATTCGTCTCAATATACGCATTGGCATTCGGCATATTCAAGCAAGTGACCACAGGCTCAATGGTGAGCTTGGGCTGATGCGCCAGCCCGTCGGGTAGGATGTAGCCAGTGGCCACGTCGACGCCTTGTTGCCACAGGTCGTGCTGGAGGACGATGAATCCGTGGTTGAGCGACGACTCGGTTTGGAGGATGGTCTGCCAGTTGTGGAGGACCTTTTGGACTGAAGTTCCGCTGTTGATGTTGAAATCTGCGGTGGGGTGAAGGTCATGGTTTAGCCCTTGGAAGAGGAATACTAGCACTGGTTAGGGTCTTACCTTCAGTGTTGAAGACGACACTGTCAGCCGTACGCGTCCACATCACTGGAACGAGACCCATAGCCAAAGAAAGGGCTCGAACGCGATCGCTGTGGTAACATGGTCAGACACTCAAGCCTTCGGGGTAATGAACGAAGAGCCACTCACTCGATATCACCATAAGGCGGCCGCCACATATTAGGCGTAACACCAATCGCATCCCGAATGATCTTTTTGGACCACCCAAGCTCAGCAATAATCTCCTCATCCGACAAAGTCGTCATCTCCTTATGACTCCATCCATGGATCGCAATCTGGTGTCCACCATCATACTGCGCTTGCAGGATATCAGGTGTATAGAGCACACGCGAACCGACGACAAAGAAAGTCGCCTTGAGCTTTTGTTCGTCGAGGTATTGGAGCAGTTCCGCTGTGTGGTGGCCGGGCCCATCGTCGAAGGTGAGGCCCCAGTGGTCCTTGTCGACGCAGTCGGTGATGTCGTCGGGTCCGGTGCACCCACCGCAGGTCCACCAGCACCGGTTGGCAGCGTCTGCTTTGAACGCGGCGTTGGCCACAGCCTCGCAGCCACCTAAGTAACATCCAGCCGTCAGTATAGTCCGCGCGTGGTAATTGGTAGGAGGAAGAAAGCGTACCGGGGTTAGTACGTTCCAAAGAGGGGATGGCGATACCCGAGTTCTTCACCTCTTCAATCCACTGCTTCACCTCGGGCGAGTCCACAGGAGGGATCGCGTTCTCGGGTGGGTAATTTGAGATATCCCACTTGGAGACTATAAATAAGGTGGTCAGCTCGACATGACCACCCGAACGCCAGTAGCAAAGACGCACTATCAGGAAGCTTCGGTGCCCCCGACACAACAGTGGGCGTCGATCCGGGAACGGCAGTCGAAGGCAGAGGCTGAGTCGCACGGCTGACGACGGTGACCTGAATCCCCGTGAGTGGGACAGCGGTGGGATTGGTGGCTCGGAGACTGAAGGAGAAGCTTTCTTCAGCTGGAATGGACAGCATGAATGGTTCAGTTCGAGTTGTAAATCGAGGGAGCTACTGGGGCTCACCATCAGGGACGTTTTGACGGGCAGCAAGAGCTTCGTGTCGGCGAGCCGCATCCTGGTCGACGTGCGCCTCAGCAAGGGCGGCTAGGGAGAGGACAGCAGCAGCACCCAGGGTCTTCATCGCGCACCGAATCTGAAATGGGGGAAACAAGGAGGAGAATGGAAGAAGTGACAAACGAACATTGTGTGTGTCCTTAAATCTGGGATATCTAAGCAATATCACTTCGTTTACGGGACTCTTCCAGGCATGTGTTGACAGAGTCCACGCCGTCTGGCGAACGGCGACATTAGCTCGGAGAAAACATGCCAAGCGTAAGCCAAGGCAGCGCCCGAGTCGAAGACTTCTGATTACCCTCCGCTAAAATGTCCGCCTTGTGGATTTATTTCCTAACTAGATGAAGAAATAGATGAAATAAGGAACGCGACTTTGTACTTTGAATAAAGGAACCACCGGGCTTCACGGGCAGCGTTTGAACGTGAAGGAGTTAAGCTGTTGACAACGACGCGACTGTCCCGACTTCAATCCGTTCCGTCAGTGAGTCATGGTCTGGCCGGGTAGCAGAAAAGCGGCGATCCAGCGCCGTAGCGCACAAAGTTGAGATGCAGGGTTGCCAGTCCCAAGGAAATTAGGAGCCCACGGTGCCAGGGCTCGACCTCAACCACATTGTCGACAATCGCCGCACCTATCAGCACCGTTAGCACGGCTTGACGGGGGTGCATGTGCAGGTCGGGGCATACGCGAGGTATGCTCAAAATCTGGTGGGAAATAACGGATCAACAACATTGAATACGATGGGTAACGGTTCCTAACACACCTTTGAAACCAAGATGCAGCTTCGGACAATGCGCAGCCCAATTCGTCCGTTTCGGCTCCTCATTGCTTTTCCTATTGCCTTCCACACTGGATTGCGTCTCACGATTAGACGCCCGTAGTTCCAGTTTGATCGCAGGCGGTTAATGAAACTTTTCTTTTCGTTTTCGTCGGGGCCTAGAATTTCTGATGGAGGCGGTAAACCCAACAGCCGTCGTTTGTCCTCTGAAGATACTGCAGGATGCACAGTCGCATCCTGCGTCTCCTCGATGGTAGCCTCTGTGGACGGTCGCTTGCGGTTGACGGGTACAAGGGCGTCTGGGCTGTTGGAACCGCTACGTCGTCTGGGTACTTCGCTCAACGGGTCGAGCTTCGCCTAGGTCAGATGAGAACTGAATTGAATGATACAGGTTACGATACCTTTCCTTCACGAACGGCCGTTACCACACGATCACAAGATGGGCGACCAGCAGGTGATTTGTCGAGCAAACGTTCCAGGAGAACCAAAAACGCCTTGGGCAGCCGACGTGCTTCGAAACTGGTCACGAGCCCAGAGGTCGCCTTGAATCTGGCGAAGGGTGAGAAGAAAGCGGAAAGTAAGTGGCACCTAGCATACCCAGGGTAAGATAGAACTTCCGCTTCCAACCTCTTCATCTTCTCGTTTTCCTGCCCTTGGCCCAGACTAGTGGGCTCACCGTTGGCATCGCCTTCTGATGCATATCTAGAGGCCATCCATAAGTGAGGTAGTGGTATGCGCACAAGGAGGTACCCACCGATAGGGCAACTTGAAGAAAAGCATCTTGTGCAGTATCATACCCAAGCTCCACATATCCGACTTGGAGTCGATCTGCTGCAATAGGCCTGTTTCTGGGGAGGGTAGGGACTCGGGAGAAGCGTATTCTAGACTATGGAATCATCCAAGGTCAGATCCGCAAACCTACTTTGAAAGTGGCTACTTACGTTCCCGTATTTCCAGACCGAGGGATCCGACCAGAGCTGATCATGTCGCGAGAGGTGCCAAAGTCTGACAACATGGCTCGAGGGCTAGTGAACCAAGGGATATTAGCCATGGAGTATGGTTTGGTGCTATGAAACCTACATCATCTTGCCGTCGTCCCAGGTTAACAGAACGTTTCCAGGTTTGAGATCCAGGTGGAGGATGGATTTCGAATGCTATCACTCAAGTTTAGCAGTCTACCCGAACGCCAACGGGAGTGGACCCACCAGAAATCCCAGCCCCTCGACAACATCTTGGAACAGACTCTTCACCTCGTCCGCACTGAGCAAGTGAACTGGAGCCCATTGTTTATTCCGCCGGTTTCGCCTATCTTCCGAAGCACCGTATCCTTCGCGTACCAGGCGTTCCCTTTCCTCGGGTGACGCCTTTTGGAAGGCCCTGAAAGCTCTTATTCGGGCCGACCGACTGTGAATGACCTCTGGTTCTGTGGACGTCGATGGCGAAATTTGAGGAGTACTCTCGTCAAGGTTGAGCGGCGAAGGGTTGTGGTCGAAATCGAAGCGGCTCGAAGCGTTGTGGTTTGGGACCGGGTGGATATGTGGATGGGAGGGCTTCTTTCCCTGTCGGATGTCAATGAAGTCGTCGAGACTATCCTGGGTTAGTGGATGGGGCAGTTGAGATGGAACAAGTCTTACCTTCCCCCTTCGGCCCATTGCATGAGGACGCTGGAAATTACCAATGAGACGAAGGAGAAAGCACATTGACTTTGCTACATACTGGAGCGTTGGTATCCGTGGTCCAAACGAAGAGAACTGGCATGTCTCTAGCCACGAGTGGCTGAGAGATAGTTAAGTCGAAGCTTCGGTGACAAGAAATAACAATACTGACTGGTATGTGACGATATTTGGATGGTGTAACCGTTCAAGTAACCTCACCTGTTAAAGGAAAGGGTTAAACACTAGCTTAGTCCAGGCAATTGGGACAAACTTCACGGAGGATCTTGAGTAGGTAGGAATGCGATTCCCCTACTGCAATCTTCTTTACAGCGAAATGCCCAAGCGGGTTCCCGTCGAGCATATGCTACGGGGCTCGTTAGCAATGGTTTAGACACCCCTCAAGTGTGGTTTACCTGGCACAGGTATACAGATCCATTAGCACCCATCCCAAGCTTATATTCCTCCTGGAAGAAACGCTTAAAGTAGCCTTCTGCCATTTGTTCAGCCTGGAACGTGGTCGAGCGGCTGGCTGGATCTTCCGAGGTAAGTCCAATAGGTGGGCTCGAGGGCCTAGAGGTCGTCTCATTCGATACGGCCAGCAGCTGAAAGTAGTTTGGCACCCTAGAGTGGTATGCAGGGTCATCGTCGTGCAATGAATCCAAGACCTCAGCCTCATCATCGACGTCGTTCGGTTGGGCGTGGAACCCCGGTGGAAGATCCTGCTTGCAGTAAGGACATGGTCGTGGTCTCCTTGTCGCTATCAGTGACGACGACGAGGCCGCAAGGTTCGCAGGGCGGCTGATCGTGAGGGCATGTGAGTGGGGGTTGTACAGAACGACCTGGTTCGAAGCATGAAGAATTGGTTGCCATTCAGACTCTGAAGTCGTCGATACCAGTGCCACGGTTGTGCGAGTCGGTGAAGAAGGGTTGCTCATCGTTGACCGCGACGTTGAGCTGGCTGGAAGTGGTATGAGCTCATCGTGCACGAAAGGGGGTCTTAATGATCGTCACACATTTCAAACTCCGCCGACGCGGTCATCACGGTGCGCTGTTGGGCTTTGGACCGCGAACATGACTTTGTTTTCTTTCCTCCACATCGACGACAGCGCTGACGATGAAGTATGAACTTCCCGAATTCTCTATGACCGACATAAACCTGAATTGCAGACAGCGACCACCGCCTTAACCGCGATCATCACCGCAGCTGTTCACGACCCCAACCCTGCCATCCCGCTTTCTGAAATCTACCACCAGGTCGCCCAGAACAACGGTGCTGCGTATCTTGTAAGGAATCGAGTACTCTGTTTACTGCTTGTCCTGACAATGTGGCGGAAAGGATGCCTTGCATGTTCTTCCTGGACTACTACAAAGCAGTGATCCAACTGCCCGCGACATTATCAGCATCCTTGGGGAATGCGGACCAGCCAAAGAGGTAGCAATCGCGGCCCAGGAGGCTTTGGAACGTCTACGGCCTCGACTGGACGGAGATGACGAAGACCCTCCAGTACAGACACTGCTTGAGCTCATTGGCCTGTACACGAACGGTGAGCAAACCGGTTTTCCTGTCCTGCACACCCTAACCGAGAGTTTTTCAGTGATTCCACGGATAAAACTACGAAAGAAGTCGGCCCTCGATACGGTGAAACCTTACATTGGAGAGATACAGGAAGTCATCCAGCTTGCATCTCATCTACTTTCCACCGAACAGTCTAGAGAACTTTTACTATCCACATCACTGTTTGTCGAACGTGTGTATGGCTGGATCGAGAGCAGGGACACGTCTACATCTGACGCAAAGGTATTGTGCTTCTGTCCCCGAGATATACCGACCTGACTGGCACTCCAGGTAGCCTTGAAGAAGCTACTCTTTTGCTCCCTGTCGGCCTCAGCTCCAAGATTGGACGCAGCACTTGCACAGCGGACATTCGAAGAGCTCTACCCGCGTCTTGTTGTGCGAGCGCCTCAGGCGCCAGTCGAGAAGGCTGATGAAAGTATAGCTGCAGCTTGGGTGAGTGCACTTTCCAAATGTCCGAGTCGCGCTTACCATAGATTCCAGAGTGCCTTGAGACTTCTTGGCCAAGCCCAATCGGATGTGGCGAAAGATCCATCCCAGCCATCGATCGTGCTATTGGCGCATCTGAATCTCGCTGAATTGGTTCAGATAGACCTCTCCTCGATACGCCCAGTTTTCATCGCCTCGATCCAGTCAAACTTAATCATCGACCACACACTGGCCCTACTGCTCAAGATCCTACACCAACGAAAAGGCGAACTTTCCCCGGAAATCCTTATTCCATTGACCACAGTTCTTCCGACACTTGCCAGTGGACACCCGGATGCACAGACACGACACCAAGTTTTCCGAATTCTGGGGCTCCTCCTTTCACGATCTCCCCCACCCTTGCGTCTCCAGATTCTGCAGGACCTCACCTCCAACTCGGAGTTTCCCCAGATGCGGGTTGCAGCAGTGGGTTTGGTGAAGGAAGCTGTCCTCGAAGCTCTGTCATCGGAACATCCTCGAAACAACATCTTTGCTTCCTCGGCCTTCTTACGCACGTTTGGACCCATACTGTTCCAGCCCCGTCCAGCCGATGTATTCGATTCTTCGCTTTCGGTCAAGGAATTCGACGAGACCCAGGAACCCAAACGGTTGGTTGAGTGTTTGTCGTTGTATTATATTCTTCTTGTGAGGGATGAACAGAACTTGGTGGGTCGATACTGTCGCTTTTGAATCGAGGAGATCTAATGCATGTCTTATTCAGACTGGAATTCGGGATAAAGATGTCACGCGTAGTATCGAGCACAACCTCCTCAACCCTCTACGGAAACAACTGGATGCATGGTCAGCACAGCCTGGAGTATCTGAAGGTGAGTTTAATTCATGGAGTTCTCCGTATTCATGATTGCTGACTTTCTGGGACAGGCCATATTCATGATCTCATGCCGGTGGTGTCTCTTCAGATGAGTCTAGACAGGGTAGACTCTGCCAAGAAGCAACTGTTCGAGTAAAATATCTAATCAATATGCAGCCTAGGGCATCTGAAGGTTTTCTCTGTTCACCTGCCGTTCAAATTCACGATGACTGACCATCTGGGACAGGGCGACCTCACGATTGCAGCGTCTTCGAATGAGCCGAAACAGGGTAGACGCTGCCAATTCCAGTACTCTGTGTAATCAATAGCATCGTCCCTTGTGTTCACAACATCGATTTCAAAAGTCTTCGTTACACCGGCGTAAGTGCCCAATTGAATTCCGTGATGATTTTGAACTATGTTTTCACAGTCTCCTCACAAGACTCTTGCATCCCCTGATACTTGCTTCTACTGGATGCTCGGCATCGCCAACGTAGCACAATGGTAGTGCGTTGCTTTCCTACCTAAAAAGGAAATAGGTCACGTGAGGCAAAGGTTGTGGGTTCGATCCCCATCGTTGGTTCTCTTTTTCTTCTTTGTGATATGTTCACCCCTCCTCGTCTTTTTGCACTAAGTCGAAAACCTTTTCTACAGTGCTGTGACATGTTCTCCCCCCCCCCCCCTCGTCTTTTTGCACTAAGTCGAAAACCTTTTCTAAAGTGCGGTGAGGAGCGAAAAACAAAAAGGTAAACATACTTGTGAATTTGTACTAATCCCTGACGCTTTCAGTTCGAGTTTCCGAGCCCTTGTTTTCTGTTTCTTCCTATCTGGAGCCCTCACCATGGTCTTCCACAGCCTTTTCGCTGCCGACACTCGATCTCTCCGTCAGGAGATAGTACATGGTATGCGGCGCGGCCTGGCGTGCCCTTTAAGCTGTGCCCTGTCAAGCCGCCCTACAGAGCCGAGATCGCCGTCAGTGACAGGGACGGTCTTATCAAGTCGCTCGAGGAGGCCGCATGCCTTTCATCCCTAGTCCACTATGGTCGACGTTGGGCACAACGAAATAGAGCAAGAAACAGCTCCCCAAGTCCGGCGTTCTCTCAGCGGTCGATTCCAGCTCCTTGACCCGAACGCCCTCCACCGGATTTGGAGGTCCTGGATTCGAGGGGACAAGCCTACCATGCACGAGGAGGCAGTCATACCCGTCCAACCACCTTCAAGGTATTCCACAGAGCCGGAACCAACTCGTCGAGAGATTGAGAGACTCTTGGATATAGCAGAGGTGAACCCCGATGCGCCCAAGAAGGTCCGTCATCTCAAGATTATGTTACGAGCTCACGAGTTGTCGACGTCGGTTTTCAACGAGAACGCGGCGCGTCTCTTGGTTCTTGTTCAGAAAATGACGCGGGTGTCGAGGTTTACTTTTGAACTTCCGGAGATTCCTGAGACTGCAGGTCTTGGGGCCTCGTGGTGGAGGGAGACGATGACCGGGAAGGGTCGGGAGGTGTTCGTGCACTTGTTATCACTTCCTTCATTGCGGCATCTCGATATCGAGGGGATAGAGATCCCATCCACTTGGTACTCCCGTCATCCCAAGCTCGAGACTCTTAGAGTCTGGGATTCCTTCTGCCTCGACCCATCGGAGTCGAACCTCGAGCGCCCGTCATGGCCGCGTCTACGGGCGCTTACCATCGGACGCAAACAATGCCAAAGTATCGCCAACCTCCTCGACCTCACCCTCCGCACGGCACCCCACTTTCTCAATTCCCTCCATGCCCTACACATCCAATGCTCCAACGCCGATATTCCCAGTTTAAACCAAGTCCTACGGCTCAATTGCAAGAACCTAACCGAGTTCTTCTGTTGCGTGGGTTTCAATGATAGAATGACGCAAGGACAGGTTCTCGATCTCCGCTATTCGACGAAATGCAGGACCATGGCTTTTCAGTTTAACGCGCCACAGGAGAGCTACGCGTCTGCCTACCCGCTTATCTGGTCGACACTTCAAACCATCCCAGCAGGGACGGTGGAAGACCTCCACCTCCTCTTCCGATGTTCGTGCCCTCTGACGGAGAGCCACGATCCCTGGGACCCATACCCCTATTGGAAGGACCTCGACGACTTCTTAGCCCCGCGTATGCTGGGAGAGGATGGGAGCAGGCTTAGGACCTTGAGTGTGAAGATGTGCTATGTGCGGAGTTGTACGGATTGTGTGGATGGGTATACGTTGTTCCCGGTTGCGACGTTGGCGCCGAGACTTGAGGGTCTTCGGTCAGCGATGATGCCTATGGAGAGGATTAGGTTGGAGTACACAGGTGAGAAGCCGTAGTGTTTAGGAGTTTGGGACTTTGGACTGCACGGACGGACAATAATTTCTTCACATCGATATTTTTTCTCGTCGGTTACTTACATCGCGGAGTTGCGAATATGTATAGTCTCTTAGAACTCTCGATAATGGACTGTCGTTACAAGTTCCAAGTTAAGAACCCTTCCTTCTCCACTAGGATTAATTCAACTCGGACCCACAGGAAGTTGTGCGGACTTTTAAGTTTGAGAACTTCAATGAAATGTGATTCTCCCAGCGTCGTGTGTAGAGAGGCTCTATAATTAACGATATGATTCTCCGAGACCCAGTTCGATTTGTAGGCGCTAGGGTAGAGGGTATGAGGGAAGAGAGTTGGCATTGCGAAGCCCGTGGACGATTGAATCGGGGTAGCGTAGGGGAAATGTGTGGTAGTAAGTCCGCTCAATACGATTGGCTTTACCACAGTGGATGAACGGTGAACACAGACTGCGATTTCAGCGCTCGAAACAAAGTATCGTTGTTTGGAACACCAGAGGGAAGCGGGGACGCGCACCCCATCATGAACTGTACAGCACATGGTGATCCGAATCGAGATGACCTCCATCGATCCGAGAGCCCTTTCAATTTCTTCCCACCATATCGACCCTCTGCTGGGGGATGCCTTTCACGCATTTTCTCCTATCAAATTCTGTCTCGTTCTCTCACCGATTCAACGCGTCGTTTTCCAGTGATAAGTTAGATGAATTAACAAGAAACTAATGTACACGATAGAGGGGCATATTCGAGAAAACAAGAAAGAAACGTAAAGTTTTTGTCATCTTGAAAAAGTTACTCGACTGATCTTCTTCTAGGTGGCTTTCCTTCTGACCACCATCGATTCCTATCCAAATTCGCATCACCACATCAGGGCAGACAACCCCGCAAACAGCAGACCAAGCTTGATAACGGCCTTGGTCTGAGGGCGCAACTCGAGGTCGATGTTTCGCAGCCTAGGGACCCATCGCTGTTCCTCGACGGCTTCCTCTTCCGTGGGCTGCTCTTCGTTGGCCTCGGCCGTGGGGGTCGTTGTCGCCTTGGGCGGGATCGGGACGGGGTCGCATCGCTGGCGGATCGTCCTCATTCGCGCCTCTTTCTCGGCATCGTCGGACGGGGTCGTTTCGATGGCCCTCTTCAATGGGTTGCGAGCCTTGGTTTTGACGGTGGTCGGATTCGCCTTGCCCGACTTCGCTTCACGTTCAGCGCGGTAGCCCTCGAGCTGTTGGGACTTGTGGTAAGCCTTATGTTTACGCACAGAAAACAACAAACTACTTGCCCTTGCGTGAAGCCCTCTGTCTGGGTCCCATGTGATTTTCCTGGCGGCCGCAGGAAGCTTCTCGTTGCGGGAATGCCAGTCGGTGGTCTCCCTTTGTAGAGTCTCCCGCACCCACTTGCACTCCCTCGCTGTGGGCAGAGGAGGGATTCGAGGGGATCTGAACGACCCCCAAGTGCGAGAAGCAGACCGGGAGGGTACTACTTGCCTCCCAACCCTCTCGCGCGTCCCGATGGTGCTGGCCTCCGACGCCCTGCTCTCCGCTTCCTGGAACCTGAGCCGGGATTGTTCGGCTTCCTCGAGTAGCTCCCAGATTGGTGGTGCCCGGGGAACAGTAGCTGTGAAGGTGGGGGTTGGTAGCTGGAAGGGTTGGTATGTTGGCTGGAGACTGGGAGCCGAGATCGGGAAGCTGAAATTGAAATCTACAGCCGCCGAGGGTTGAACAGTAGGCATGAGCGCGGGGGGAGCGTTCACTGGGTGGGCTTGAGGGACGGATGGCGCGAAAGGCGGCGGTGCCTGGTTTCCGGACAGCGGGGAGTTGTAGTTTCCGGCAATGCTGGCGGCGATGGGGGCTTGCGTCGAAATATCGTCATCCTGTTTGACGACAGCGTTCGGGAACGCTGATGCAACCGAGAAGTCGGCAGAGGACGACTTGGAGGCAAGCTTGGGGAATGGGATGGTGGATGGTTGGTATCCCCGCCTTTGCTCGCCTGGGACCTTCACGGCCAATCCGACCAGTGGATCAGCCATCTCGACCGTGTTGGTCCTGCGGATGCCATTCCTGGCTGTATTGGTTGTGACAAAGGTTTGAGGTGACACGGGTTCGGGCGATGCCACACCCATCTCGACCTCGATACATGGTTGGACGATGCTGGGGACTTGGGGCTCTGGTGAAAGCATCGTAACCGATTTGGCTCGCGCAAAAATCCTGGGAGGAGTGGTTGGAGGGGCAGTCAACGCCATGGCCCCTCGCGGAGGCGAGAGCATATTAACCTCGACGGATGGGTGTACTGTGACGGAATCCTCGCGCACGGGCGAAAGCATCGTGATGGACTTGGTTCGCGACAGCATCCTGGGGGGTGTGGCCAAAGGGATGGAATGGGGAATGAATGGGGGAGGCGAGGTTGCACCAATATCCATGCCGAGTTCTTGCGTCGTGGTGGGTTGATGGACGAACGATTCATGGATAGGCGGAAGCATCGTGACCGTTTTCGTCCTGGTGAACTTTCGAGGTGGTGTCGTGAACGCGTCGCGTTTGGCCTTCTGGGCCTCGAGAGCGGCTTTCAGCGCACGACTGGCCGCCGTGTCTTCTTCGCCATCCGAATCAACGTCCACTACCACCTGTTTGCCTTTTCCCCTTCAACAAAGTCAGCAACATGTCGAGCGAGGAAGAGAAACTGGATTACTTACTTGGATCCGGCAATCTCGATCCCTGATGGCACTGGCACCTCCGCCTTCTTCACTGTAACGTCCTGCATCGTCTCCTCGTACGATGCCAGCCCTTCATCCTCGCTTTCAGTTTCAGTGTCTTCATCGTCCTCGTTCTCCTTCATCGCGACTTCCGAACCATTTGTTGGGCGCTGCTTCCTCTGTCGAGTGGGCTGTGGCAGGATGATCTGCGCCGGCGGTTGTGGCATGGCCGGCTTGGGCTTCAAGTTCAATCCTTTCAAGAAACGGTCCAAGCTGGCCCTGCGTTGCTGCGCAGCCGGCGTCTCTGGTTCTTTGGCCTTCGCGCTCAACTCGCGAGACACATCTCGGAGGAGTTGGTCGGCATCGTCGAGAAGGCTTTTCATCGAGGTTGGGACTGAGTCGGTGTCCTTCGATCGTGGTTGGATGGGCGTCTGTGGGATGGTGTCCTTGGTGTCCGATTTCGACGAGTTGGTCGAGTCGTCGCTCTTCCTTCGTCGCAGGAATTGGCGTCTGATCATGGTGGGTCTGATAGGCGAGGAGTCGGGCTCGTGAGTTTCGTTGCGGATAGGGCTCGAGGACATCGTCGTGGTTGAGTCGATGGACGGTGAGTTTAAGGGTTTTTGGTTTTAGATGACTGATAGTCGATGGAAGGTGGATAGATGGTGTAGTGGATGGATGGAAAGTGTGTTGGTGTTGGTAGTTTGACTGGAGCAAGAGTTCACTGGTAGGAGATGGTAGTGGTTGAAGGTCAAGCTGTGGACGAGCGGTGGTTGAACATAAAGAGTTGAATTGGTGCCGAGTCACGTTGTTGAATCCCTTTGTCTGTGTTCTCGAGTGGCATTGATGTCATAGGAGGTGAGTTTCCCACACTCTTGTTTGCCACTCGTGCTCTGCAGGAATGCCACTGGCGTGCTTTGAACGTGATATTTGACCTCTTTGAAAGCTCTCCAATGCGTCGGGCTATGTTTTGGTATTATTACTCTGACGAGGGGAGCTGGAAAGTCAGTTCATGTTTTTGGTGGCTCGACGCGTCGCGAGTCGCGTCCATTAAGGAAGGACGTGTTCCAAATTTGGATTCATATGGGTTAGGGTTAGGTATCGCAGTTGGACGGTGCGAGTTTGGTTCCTACTGCCTGTGGTGCCTTGGTCCAGAGCATTGTTTCAATCCCTTTCTCTCCCGTGAGGGACTTGGTCTGGACAAGGGATCTGAGGTGGCTGCTTGAGGACCCAAAAGTTGCCAGTACGTAACGAGCACCTTGCATCGATGCGTACTAACCATAGGTTTTTCTCGGATACTTGGACGGAGTCATTGCATTTCTGCAGGTAGCCTTTCTCTAGGTGAACGACGAGCTAGCTGGAGAGATACGAGGCCTATTTCTGGGCCAGAAGGCCTAGATGGATTGACATGCTCGTGTCGCCGCACGATGAGCTATTTGAGCATCCGACACCGTCTTCTTGTTTCTCGGAAGGACACTTTCCTTGCATAGACATATTACTTCTCGGTTACCTATGTTGCGGAGTATGTATGTTTCTCTTTAACACTCCCAATGGAACCATTCCGCAGCCCGCCACAGATTCCTTTGCCATTCTTGACTCGGACTACTTAGTAGGAATAAGTATTTCGCGTCGGACTCGAGAGAAGTTGTGCGGAGTTTGACACGAGGGAATGGCTTGGATGAAAGCTCTAACGATATGCTAACTGGGGCTCTACAGTTAAATGTATTTTTGTGACCGCCGTGTGTAAAGTGGCTCTATAAGTAACCATGTGAACCTCGGGCACCCAGTTCGACTTCAGACGCTCGGGTACTTAGAATGTAAGCCTAGGGAAGGGAGAACAGTATGCCTGACTCCCCGTTCGAAGAATGAAGGATCGAATTGAGGCGATGTATAGAGCAAGAGGCTCAGTGATAGGCTATTTTCTACCGCAGTGGATGGACGTCGCGGCTGTCGAGCGCTTAGTATGAGCCTTGTCGAATGGGTTGTCAGCCGCTGCGAGTGTGATGAGCGTTTAAAACTGCTTTCATTTTCTGCATTAAATCACTCCGCCACTCTAGGATGTAGGAAGTTTCAGAAATTTGAGTACATCCCGCTGCAGAGGAAAGGGTCAATTATGCATTCCTGAACGGAGAGAGGGCGTCACTAGCCTCTCTACTTGGTATTACGGCGTGCTGGATTCCAGCTGCATCCAGCTTCTCTAGTCCCGTGAGATATCCAGAACGCTGCCCATAATGGGGGGATGTTTGAGCTCGGACCGGATCTCTCTGTGTCCATGTCGGGGTCAAAGAAGAACTTCTGGTCTAAGAAGGCCGGTTTACATGTTTCGGTTCTCAGAGTTGACTTTAAATTGTCAAGAGTGACATTATATCCACACTGAGGCTCGAGCCGGTGCTCTTGCGAGACTGCAGTCTGCAGTTGCTAGTAAATGAATACACCGTGGCTCGTCTGAACAAAACTGTGATGTACTTCTGTCCACTTTCAAAATTTATATATAGCTTTGAGAAGACATTAGTTGACAGGATCCAAACCAAGGGCCGGACAGGAATACAGACTCGGTACGGGCCATTCACTCTCTTCACGTATGATAGTATACGCCACTGTCTCGAGGCAATCTCGAATAGTGTCCACTGCGTCCAACGAGAAACTGTCGATGAGTTGTGACGCATCGTGAGAGAACCCGCTCGTTTCACTCGGTCAAGTCGCAGCCGCCTGGTTGTGCCTAATTGTACCTATCCAAAGATGTTCTGCAAAGACGTGGCACCGTGAATGGGCTGAGCGATGTGGCACCCAGATTGAACGCAGCTGTTTCAAAGAAGGCATACTGTCAATGCACTAGAAAATAGATTCGGGCGTGGCCCTTGCGAATGGAGCCCCTTCACCGACAGTTTCGGGAATGCAAGTACTGACCATCTCTTCATCGTTCCCTTCGATTGCAAGCGGACTGGCCTCGAGGCTCGCATCGACGTCGAAGCTATCGGATCCGAGGGCTTGCACACCAGATACTACGAGTCCAGGCTTTCGAATGGCTTGGTATGGTAATAATAACGTTTCCGAAACTGAGGGACGCTGCCTCGAGGCTCGATGGTGGTACGTACAGACACAGATTGGGTGCAATCGCGCTCGGCGGCTGGGAAGAGGAGTTACGAGAACTTCTGATCAGGCCTTGACGTACTTACATACTTACTCGAGGTCGGGGTGGTGGTCGTAATGGTGCTAAAAATAAAAATAATTTTCCAAATTTAAATGAGGGTATGGGTGAGTCCTTCACGGGAGTGAGCTGCACTTGCGAGTACAAATGCTGTATTAGTTTACATCTACTGTAGGAGAAACTGACCTCCAGACTAGCCTCGCAACCTCTGATCATCCCGCCAATGTGAATGATAAACGACTTAATTTCCGGGGAACTCGCAAATGATCTGGCGGTGCGAGAGCACTCGCAGGCGTTCAGACTCGCCGGATGCCCCTTGCGGGTAGTCGGAAATCCGTCATGGAATCTCGTTTTCTTCCACATACGACGAGTACCAGCCCTGTACCGGCGCTTTCTACCTGACTTTGCAGTGTGCTTCAACTCGATCAACTGCTTCATTAAGTGGCAACTTTACTTTTAATAACTTAGTGATTAAGGCTCACCTCTTCACATTCACGAAGCCGTCTAATAGATCTACTGAATCATCTGAATGTGATTCTCCCCTTTGTCCCTTTGTCCCTTTGTCGCCGTCTTTGACATTGCCGCTTCGAGCGTAGGACACCCGAATACGCCCATGTACCTTCCCGATTGCTCCAGCCACCCGAGCACAAGCGAGCGCCCATGAAACTGGGGTCGCAACAAGGTCATGATCCTCCAAATTCCGGAAGTTGGATGCCTTGTTCTCGCCTTTTCGTCACCCAAGTTCTATGAAATCTCGTCATCGCCACTGCACTAGACTCGTGATGTTGTGATTGTATCACCCAAACTGTCCCTGCTGTATATTACTCGACATCGACCCTGAACACGAGGCTTCGAGGACTTGCTCATTGGAGAATCGGGAGTTTTGGAGGCTGGCCCGCTAGGCCCACTTTGAACTGAAGGGGAAATTACTAGCGCCGTTTCTTGAGAGAAGCGAAAAATCCTTGGGAAATATGAATTTTGGGGGGTTGAGTAGAGCCGTAGACGGTGATAATTTGTGGCAAGTGGTGAGACGAGGAACGTCTGAAAAGAATAGGGCGGGATGTAAATGGCTCATCGGGGTGGGACCGATGCCATGACACCCCATAGTGCGCCAGCGGCTGGCGCAGCGCGAGAGCGCGCAGCCTGAGCGAACGTTCACACGGATATCCGTGCCGGTGGGAAACGCCCACATAGACGCCCACAAACCTTTGCTTGCCTCGAGGCAGCTTTCTTCCCAATTCTTCATCGATGCGATATCATTATCGATAACTGGGGAACTGTGAAACTCATGAACTACTGAGGTACTTGGCACTTGCACCCGAAAGCCGGTTTCAATTTCATAGGACTGCTCGGAACTTCATCTGGAAGGACCATTCATCTTACACGAAATTTACGCCGCATGGACCTAAAGGTAATATATAGATTTATTTCACGGCGTTTCACTAATTAGTGGCTTTCGCCGTCTGCTCAGAAATTGCCCCGATCTTCGCCATTTTGAGAGCTTTGTGCCGCTTTTCAGGATTCAAGCGGAGCCATTGAAGTTGAGACGGGTCGGCGGGTTGCTCGCCACCTTCGATAAATGTAACTGTTAGAGTTAATCACAGCAATGGAATGGACGCGCATTCAGGAACGTCCATGGATAAGTATTTTAAGACTTGAAGGTACGTATCAATGTTTGACTGTCCTCTCTTGTTACACCTATAGAGATGAACTTTCTTGAGCATGCCATATTCTGCCCACGAAGCGTCACTGACAGGAAGACGATGCTGACGACTTTCCCTTGTCTAATCTGTTTGTGGCGGTGGAAGCTTGAGCTTGAGCTACATACCCCACCATATGTTGCAAAGTCTATATGAACATTCTTTTCGTTGTCACGCTCAAATTTTTGGTTTTGTGTGGAAGTGGCTCTCGCAAATTTTGCCACATCGTTTTGGACGCGATCGGCTTTCTTCCATGTGTAATCTGGGGAACAATTTTTCATCGGTATTCCTTTTTGCCACACCTCACTCGGAGTCCCCATTCCCATTTTTCGGTTCTCCCAAAGTCGTAACGGCCGCAGCCAGAGAGTGCTATCTCGAAAACAGGGTGATGACGTCATTGCTATATATCTCCCGCTCGACCGTTGGCTGTCTTCGTTTCTCGAAGACTCGAGCGCTTGCATCATAGGGGTGTTAACTGCAAATTGCTGTGATACTGTAAGCTCGAGGCGCAGAAGATGCAGGTTCTACATAGAACGTCTGGGAGATGAGAGGATGGGTGCATCAGTGGTAGAGTGGGATAAATAATGTATTTATGTCGTCATCTCTCTATAGCGCACTCTCAGAGGAAACTGAGATACGGCTTTCTGGTAGGAACATGGAAGAGTCCTGGCTCCCTGGAAAGATCGAAGAAAGCGAGAAGACGAGAAGAACATAAGTCGATTCTTAGAGCCTTGCATCGAGAGTTTGGTGTGTGATCAGTCAGTCTATCTATGGTGGTTATCTGCAGCTGTTGCCTTGGGTTGGGTCGCATAAATTGGCCGTGGAGCGGGTGTCTGTCCCCGGAACCCCTGTTTTACGCGGAACGGGAAAACATAGACGATAAGATTGCGAGTGAGCCTTGTAATTGGGGCTTTACGAGCCGTCACACAAGCTCGGTGGGGCACCTACAGTACTAGGCGTCATGTAACCTATGGATGTGGAGTCGTTCCATGCAAGTATTGGCACTAATCGACAGGAAGTATCACTCATTCTTCCTACATAAGTACTCGCATCGCGTAAGTATGATTAGAACTTGGTTTGGTCGAGAATCTTGTTAGATGGATGGATAGACAGACAGATAGATAGACATGACTTCATGAATGGGTCGACGGATGGATTGGAACGACTTGAATGTCTTATCGGGATCCGTGTGGTATTAGGGTTGCTTCCTACTAGTGTGGTACAGTATCAGTTCAACCGAGACAAGACGGGTGGAAGGGAAGCATTAAGCTTTCGAATCGGCGGTGAGAATCGCGGATTGCTGTTCAAGAAGGGGGGCTGTGAGGACCCTGCTATTTTTAGGTCCACATTCGACGTCCGATTGAAGGGTCTATCTGGACCAAGGGAAAAAGCGAAACGCTCGCACAACAGTCGCACAAACTTCGACTGCAGTAAGTTCGTGCTCCACAGACAGACTACAAATCCCACCGAGTGGGTTACTAACCATGGACGATCGTACCCTACACCACCGACTTGCCTTTTTTCAATCTAATTAGTGGTGAACCACAGCCAGGGGTTTATATACATTGTTCTACATTGACACATCGAAGCCAATGGGAGTGGGAGATCTCCAACTTGGAGTTGATGCTCGAGCGAAGGAGGTGCACTTGGGAAACGTGCTTCCACGTATTGTGCGAAAGTAGGGTCTTGAAGATTGAAGACTGCCTAGAGTGAAAATCAGGGACCGGTACAATGGTGCCTTCATTTAAGACTATGCCTTCCATGGAGTGTGTACTAGTACTTACTTGCTGAGGTTTAAATCGCAGACAATAAGAAAGAATCCGGCGGAGATTTTTGAGTTTAGTTGTTGGAATATGGCAGCTTGGAGCGAGTAAGGGTTGGGGTTGCGCACTGATAGGTGCTGTATAGGGAGAATGGTGGACGTTCGCAGTTTGTGTTGCTCGATTTGCAGATGGATTAGCAAGAAAGCGTCATGATAGGCTGGTTCAAAGGGCGTTCTGTAGGCTCGCTTGCCTGATTCATCAATGATAAGGAGGCCAAAGAAAGCGGAGAGGACTCGGAGTGCTGCACGGTATGATGTTGAGGATCGGCGTGCCAGGACATTCGTCCTATCCAGAATGACACCTTCGTTAGCAGACGGAGCTCCAGTGTTACCTAGGGGAATGACGACGAATAAGCTCGTCTCGCCTGGATCGTTTGACATTGGCATTGGCATTGATAAGGAGTCGTTTCTGATAGAGTGTGATGTTTTCAAGTTAGTAAAGCGCTTGGACTGAGCGTTACTGGTGCGTAACATGCTGTCATTAGATGTGCGTTACTGATAAGCGCCCATGTAGTGGAAGGGGTGAATGAAGGGTGAAATGGTGATTCGCGGAGGTCTACCGGAGAGTGACGATCTGTGTCGGGAAGGAAGTCATAAGGTCATGAAAGAGGTAGGGAAGGGAACGAAGACATGGTATCAGTCTGGGGTGGGCAGACAGCAGGGAAAGGTCGACATCCGAGTGAAAGCGGGATCGTATCCAGACTTCCAAATGAGAATACAAGAAGGCAAGGAGAAAAGGATAACAGCTCGGCGAGTTCCAGCGGAAAGCGGGTGGACTAGTCGAGCCAGAGCTAAAACATTCGGAACCAGGAAGAAAAGACACGTTCTGGACAATCCAAGACCGAGGAAATTTCAGGGGAAAGACCAGGTTTGAAAGTGAGCGCTAGTGAGTGTAAGTGGCAGGTAGCGAAGAGAACCAGAAGATGTCGGTGGCCGTGGAGCAAAGTCGATCTTGTGTCTGTTACCTGAATGTCATTACTTACGAAACCCCGCTCAACGCTCGATGGAGAGAAAGAAGAAGGGTTGAGATGAAGCGCTGTCTGCGGGCTTCATCCGCGAGTCTGGTAACAGGCGCTCAGACCCAACGCAGAGCACGAGCATGATAAGCGAGAACCGTCATGGAGGGCGTTGGAACGCACAGGCGGCGTCGCGAAGTGAGCTGCGCAGACGGGTACGTCGGGTGAGGGTCGGGCCGACGTTCGGTGCCCCCGATCAGAGGATGTGGGGTGGCGGCAAGTTCTGACGGCAGCAAACGGCATGGCGAAGGAAGGCTCTCCGCTCGAATCGAAAGGACCACGTTATTTCACGAGGAGAAGGTCGAAATTCTGGTCGAAAAAAGGGAGAAGAGCGCCAAAAATGTCCAAGGTGTGACAACGGTGTGACGGTCGAATCTAGATGTGGGAAACCAAAACAAGGGCAGCACTGCTTAGTAAGCGATCGTAGATCGGACTGCCCCGCTTTGGGCAATCGGGATCGCCAGAAAGGGGCAAAGAAAATTGCCACCGACCGCTACGACTCCCAAGAGCGAATGGGAAAAACCAGAGCGAAGCTGGGAATTTCGACTCTGAGCTTCGACCACCACCACCGCCAAATTTCTCGTCGTCGCCGTTCGCAACGACGAGCTCCAACAAAACCGCACAGTCCGACGGGATCAAAACCGTTGCAGACGCGGCGCCCCCTTCTCCCCGTTCCAGTCCTCGGACTCAAGCTCCAGGGCATTCAAGCTACAGCCTTAGACAGGCATTCATACGACGACGAGCGACGACAGACAACGACAAGACAGACGCGCCCCGCATACACACTACCGCTAGGACACGACTAGTCGACAGCTCTGACGCGAAACGACACGAAACGTACGTACACGTATCCCAGGTCTTGTGGGCCCATCGGCTGACTTTGTCCAGCAGCAACAGGCAACACTGAACTCGACAAAGACGACCCGTAAAGGCGTTTAAGCCGTCCCCCATGAGCTCGCACAGAGTTGGCGCCGAGGAGCGTCCTCGGTCATGCGACTCGTCCATCATCGAAATTCCACCACCACCGACGTCGACGCCCCCATTACCACCAGGGGTTTCGCCACAGTCGAACGCAGCGCCCGCATCGTCGCCAGCGTCAAAACTGGCGCCAGCAACGATATGCGCAGACCAAAACGCGTCGTCGACTCCACGGATTCAGATCCCCGCTCAATCCCCCTCGTCATCACCCAGTTCGGCGCCTCTTCTTGATACTGTCATTCCCAGCCTCAGCCTCAGCTTGGACCTTGATCACAATACCGTATCACTTGCACCATCAGCGGAGGAAGCAGAGCTGCCGTCAACTTCTCATTCCTCAGAGTCACCTGAAGATGAGGGAGAGCGGTGTCGTCTCGGTCGTGAGACCAGGGCTGATGTGCCTGACGGTGCAGGACGACGAGAGAAAGAGCAGAGCTCAGACCCTCTAGACGTCCCCGGGTCAACCCTTTCCGGACCTCATCCTCCCCCACCATCAGCAGCAGCGTTGGCACCAAGCGCGGCAACAAATCGCTCCAGCCTGAACTCCCTCGGTAGCACAGGCACACACGAAAGCAATCCTCGTCCCATCTCCGCCACAACGATAACCTCCTCTTCTTCCGCTTCTTCGGATTCCTTGGTTTCTTTACCACCGTCATCGTCGCCGTGTTCATGCTGCGTCGACGCCGGAGGAAACAAGATCAAGAAGTCTTGTACATGCTCATACAAGTCGAGACTTCAGCGATGGGTGTCAGAGCAGTGTCATTTTGTTCAGGTTGACGGCGACGAAGATTCCGAACCCGACTCGCCCGTGTTGGGGGTGGAAGACGTCGTGAATCCCAACGGCCTGGTGAAGACTGCCCCCAACACTCCTCCCTCGACAATGAGCCGACCAAGGCCCAAGAACAAGTGGTACTGGCACTCTTCCTTCAATTCGAACTCCAGGGACAGTTATGGACAGGAGCAAGAAGATCGATGGGGTGATGGAGGGGTTCGTGCGGACTCACCGGTGCTAGGCTTCGAGTTTGAGCACAACAAGAGTACCAAGGACGAGAAGAGGAAGAGTCAGAGGGGAAGTGGATTAAGAAACAGCTTTGATGCGTTGTCACACCCACAGGTTCGTACTTATAATGGCCTCCTAGTTGGAAACGTGTTATTGATAATCTCATTGGTAGGCACCACCCCGGGTACAATCGTCGAATCCAGAGCAACCTATGTCTCCTTCGCAACCATTATCCCGAAAACCTTCCTTGTCAAGATCTCCATCTCAAAGCATCTCGGCTGCCACTCTTCCTTCTTCACCTAACCGATCCCCATATACATCCCCATATCCTTCACGGAGACCCTCGCTGGCCATTCGTCAACCGTCACTCGGTCAGTTGCCTGAAAGCGAAGATGACGAGTCTGGCAAGTCAAGTGGCCGCCGCCATTTCTCCCACTGTGCATGGATCTACTTCGGGATCGACCACAGGTTCACTACCTGCTTCCCAAGTGACATCACCCACCACTACCATCTCCATGTTCAGTGGAAGCTCGGGAAGCGGGAGCGGGGATAGCACCGTTCTGGGACATGCAGCCCCTGTGCCTCTGGGCAGAGGTCGATCCCAAAGCGCTAGCATTGTCGGGGCTACAGCAGCGTCTCAACACCAACAGCAGTTCTATTCTCCACAGAAACCCGGTCATGGACATAGTCAGAGCGTGTCTTTTGTCAATGGGAGAGGGTATCAAGATTTACAGCTGCGGTACCAGAGCGCGTTGGCAGCTCCGGAGCCGGAAAATGGTCTAGCTCCCCCTTTTGAGCTTCAATCCTCGAACGTCACAAACGGTAGGCTTTACGTTCTACTTGATACGATCTTTAGGTACTAACATATGGTTCTAGCCCGTACATCTAACTCCTCTCAATCCTTCAGCCCAACGGCCCTAGGCAGTCCAATGACACCTTCAATCTCGCGCAACAATTCTCATACCCTCATCGCTCCTCCACCTTCGTCAAGTTCGAGTGTATTCCCTACATCACGCACCCCGCGCACGCCTCCCGGAAACTCTCAAACGCCTCGTACACCCCCGACACTCAGTTCGCACCCCTCGATGGCGTCGTTGAGACATGCCGTGTACATCGACTCTGAAGAAGTGAGGGAACGGCTGGATGCGTTGATCCGAAAGGAGTCACGGGAGGTCCTCAACCCTGGTATACAACCCAGCGTTGGACAGTCCATGGACGCTTTGAACCAAGGGTTGAGCGCTCCTCCGCCCGTCCGCTATGGACGATCGAGAAGTCAAAGCTTGGTGTCGGTAGCGGAGAGTGTGGACGAGTACGAAGGAGAGTGGAGGAGTCGAAATGACATTGGAGAGGCCATGTTGAGGGGATCTATGTATAGTGGGAATAGCAGAGGGGACGATGAAGACGACGAGGACAAGCGGACGACGCTTTACGCTGCTGGGCTTGAGTATGCTGCTCATGCCATGGGTCTGGATAAGATTGATCCTGTTGCCTCTGCGGCCGCGTCGAGGAGTGGTAGCGGTGTGGGGTTGAACGAGGCTGGTGCTAGGCCTGAAGGAGAGCAGGCGGACTACAGGGACTACCTATCTGGAAGGTTTTACGAGGATGCTGAAGGGGAGAATGAAGGTGATAGGACGTTCACTGGTGTGGATGAGAAGGGGAAGAGCGGTGAAGGACGGTGGGACGCCGATGACCTCGACGAATATCGCGACCTGTTCTACAAGCCTTCGCCCCGGAAGTCTCAATCTCGTACTCAATTTGTTGAGCAGGAGCAACAGCAGCCTCAACGTCCGCCGCTCAGCCACTCGCTTTCGGTTCCTCACATGAGTCAAGCTCAGCAACCGTCTGTCGGTGGCCATTCGCATAGCCAAAGTGTCTCCGTCGCCATGCTCGCTTCCAATGGCCCCGCTACTGCTTCGACGAGCCCCGGCTCTTCTCCATCAGCAGCAGCCAAGTCCAAGGCGTTCTACCAAACTGAGGACGGTAGTGGCAGCAGAGTCTACCTGGGTCCTGGGTCACCAGCCTCCAAGCATCGATCCAACGCATCTGTTTCGTCCAATGGTACAGGCACCAACAGTTCTCGCTCGAGCCGTTCATACGCATACCTCCCCGCTGGTTCAGCCACCCACTCCAGAGCGAGCTCCATCCAGGCACGGTTGATGCAAGGTCACAAGAGTCAACCTAGTCTCTCGTCTGCTGGAAGTCGCTCCAGGACCGGGTCCGTTTCGGCTTCTGGTAGCGTGCCTCGACCTGCGCCGTTGGATCTTGGTCCTGCGATGGAGCTGGGCGTGGAGCCTGTGGCCTCGCTTGTCATCGAAGCTGTGAGCGCGAGTGTGAGGGATAGTGTAGCGATTGGGCCCCCACCAAAGCGTCCTGCCCCTGCTCCGCCACTGCTGATCGAAGCAACTGGTGTGGATCGTGGTGCCGCTGTCGAGGGCGTGGAGCTTGAAGGGTGCGCGGAGTTCGGATACTTGAGCGACCAGGAGAAGGGTGGTGAAGGGGAGGCAACCTTGAAGGGTAAAGTGCAGGTGATGAGTAGCCGGTGGAGTCTCGCATCGTCGTCCCAGGAGAGTCTGGAGCTGGCGAAGAAGGAGAAGGAGCGGGAGTTGAGGGATAGGGAGAAGAAGGCCAAAAGTGCCCCTTCATCACCTGGCCAGACCAAGGACAAGAGGAAGAGTTTGTTCGGCAGTGGTGATGCAGGGTCGCCGGATCAACCTCAGGTCGGGAAACGGAGTCGGTTGGCGAGCTTCATTGCACGTTTTGCTGGTGGAAAGGACAAGGACAAGGAACGGGAACAACTCAATGTTGATGGAGAAGTCAACCAGGTTCAGGGAACTTGGGAACCTGTTCCTCCTGTTCCCCCGGCCCCGCTTAACCCACCTCCTCTGCCGCCTCATCTCAAGTCGAAGCTGTCCCTGGCCTCCTTGCGGGGTGATGACCACTACCCAGGCGCGATTCCTCCGACACCCGGTTCCATGATTTCCGATTGGGATGTTCCGCCCCCGACGCCCGCCCCGACGTCTTCAGCCCGGAGCTCTAGGGTTTATGGATCCATCGGTGCACATTCCTCTTCGTCTCCCATCCTGAACCGTGCCCGCTCTCACTCGCATCTCAGCGTCTTGAGCGGCGCAAGTGCGGGCACATTCGGACCTGGCGTCCACGGTCACGGTCAACATGCTTCCCCTCCACCAAGTCCCTCGTACTTCCAGTCGAGCTTCGGGGCCGCTTCTGCGTTGTCACTCTCCAACGATCAGCTATCGCCGCCACCCACACCTGGCTTTTGGGCTGCTGGTGCTGGTTTCCCAAGAAGTGTAACCTCTAGTCCACGAGGCAGCTTCGTCTATCCCAGCGTCCATGTCCACAATCTGCCTCTGCACGCTCAGGCTCAACTCGAAGCTCAGCAATCGCAGCTCGCGCCGTCGACAACGCCTACTCTCCGTCCATCATCGAACGACAGCGCTGTCGCTCCTCCACTCGAGAGCTACGGGAGCCCCAAGAGTCAAAACACGCACCTGAGCAGCGGTCCAGCCACCTTGGAATACTCCACTTCGGTATCGAGTCACGGTTATCCTGCCACTCCCGGATCGATCGTCGAGTTCCCGCAAGTTGGTGCCCCGTTGCCCCAGGACAAGTTGGACGCCAAGGTTTCCCTTGATGCGAATCGCGTTGTTGAGGGAGAGGGCGACGATGAGAGCTTGCTTGAGGAGGCAAAGGACATCTTAGACGTTCATTCGTATGGCTACGACTCTGCCAGCAGCGCGAGAATGAGCCGTCAGTCGGAGTACGACGACGATTCGTTCGATGTGTTGGATGCCTACGGTCGAGGGCCCGGATCTGTTTCGTCGCATGCCCGCTCGCAGTCGCAACAGTCCCAGCAGCTGCAGCTCCGGTCCCACTCTAGGTCATCTTCCGTTTTGAGCAAGGGATCTAGTCGCCAGAGCATTGGAAGCGGCCGGCAGCTGCAGCAAACATTGTCGGGTGCCCGATCCCCATCGCGCTCGACCCCGGATGTTTCAAGGAAATCCAACTCGAGCGACGATCCTCCCCCTCCTGTTCCTCCCAAGGATGGCCTCTACGACGCGCTAACCGGTATCGCTACCCAAAGGCAGAAGATGGGATTGACTCACTCTAGCCATTCGAGTCGTGATGGCTCTTTCAGCGGCTCGGCCTCCCCCGCTTCTCCTCCTCCCCGTCCAAGCCAACAGCATTCGCACAGCTCCCCTCATGTCCGTTTTCCTGCCCTCCAGCAACAAAGTGGCGCTGTCAGCACTGTGTCGGGAAGTTCGCATTCCGGCTCCGGAAGGTCAACTCCTTCGAGCAAGGGTATGGGAGGCCTGATGACGAGGTTGCGGTTGAAGTCGAGTCCCAGCTTGGGCTCTCTGAGGCCTGTCGCCGACTCGCGACCGAGTCTCCATCAGATGCACAGTTATGCCCCCCTTGACTCGCCCCCGGTTCCTCCGCCTCCGATGAGTAGGGTTGGAAGCCCACCACTGGGTTCCTCTTTCCTCCCCGGCGATTTCACCATCAAACACAAGTCCAGCACCAAGAACTTTGGCAGTACCTTCTCTCGCATGATTGGTCGAGGACGTGACAAGGACAAGAAGGGGTATAAGGAGGAAGAAGAGTCGGATCTGGATTTGGACGAGGAGTTGAAGCATTTGGACGCTTCGATGGCGTTTGGGGCGGGTGGCATGATTGGTGTTGGCCCGGGCTCCTCGAAGACGGTCAGGACGCGGGGCAAGTACGGCCAGGGCGACGATGGCTACAACCTCGATTCGTCACTTGCATTTGTTGGAGGTGTCGGCGGTATGATTGCTTCCGGTGGGACCATCAAGGGTAGAGCTCGAAAAGAACCTGTCAGTGATGATTTGGATGAGGAGTTGAAGAACGTTGACCCTTCGCTATTGGTCGGAGGGGCCGGCGGCATGATCGCGGTTGGAAAGTGAGCGACAGGCGTAAGTCTTCTATGAAGCCATCTACGGCGGAATCCTAACTCATCTATTCCTCAGCTGTCCTCAAGAATGAAATACCGACTTTTGGGAATTTGGAACCTACTCATTTCTTTTGGCATTGTGGCTGATTTCTTCGTGCATATAGTTATTTTTCTTTTATCGTCGCTCAACCTTGCTGTCTATTTTTCGCTGGTCTTTTGCTTTCCCTTCGTATCTATTCTCCCCTTTCCTCTTGCATTTCGTCGTGCTGCATATTATCATTAGATCTTTTCCTTGCTCCCTTTCTCTCTTCTTCCATTCGCATATATTCGTCTGTCTGTCTTCATTTGCACTCGTCGTTTGCTATCGCTTTCCCGTTCCCACATCACATCAAACCACGTACATTCAACATTTTCACCGCATCGCAACAACTGCATATTCGCTAATTGTTATCCTTCTTTTATTCTGTTTATTCGCCTTCGTAGTACTTGTACGCTACTTCCTTTTACTACTTCTCTCCATAGGGGATAGGCGCCGATGGCACGGGGACGTCCACATCTAATCAGGATTTTCGAGGACCACGACAGGGGTTCGCACTATTGATCCAAAAAGCTAATATACGCCTGGGATGCGAGGTGTGTAGCACGACATTACGCGGTCGCATATGCGCTGACATCGCCTAAAGCATCTTCATCTCGCTTCTCATGACCGTTTACCACTCGACAACAAGCATTTCATCTGTACACTCCACTCAACATGCTCCGGCAGCAACCACACACTCATTTCTCTCTCTTTCACTCGGCATCATCATGATCTCATCTGTATCATTATTCACCAACCGGAGTCACTCATTGTTTTCTCATCCTCCTTCCAACGGCATTTCACGACCATCACGCTCCTTCGCATTAAATCTCTCCATTTCAAATTCGCTGTATCGATACCAAACACGGAACACAACGCCACCACGCTCATTAAATCTCTTTCCTCGTTCACCACACCCACACTCTTTTACTTGCACTGCATTGATCCTAGCCGACTCAAGCGCCAGTCGCACTCCCTGTTGTCACTATATCCTCCCCATCCCTGTCCTCGTCGTCCCTTATCCCGGCTCTTGACAGCCCCTCCCTTAAAACCCCTAAAAATGTCGGTCTCCGTATCCCCCCGCCACCATCAGACCTGCGCTTCCACGGTCGGGCCCCTCACGGGCGAAATGGGAAGTTTGAAAGGAAGTTGGACCCAGTTTTCGAAAGGAAAAGTAGCGGTTTCAATTAGTAGGTTGCGCACATACGCGAACTTAGACTCGAATTCCAGTTGAAGTTTTTCACACGTTGTATTTTTAGTTACATTGAATTTAGACGCCCTAGACTTCGTTCTCTTGATTATCAACCATTGTCCATGTCAGAAGTCGACGATACCTTCGTCGTTCTCGTCGACCCTTGTCATACCACAGTCTAAACTGATCCCCGGACCGCCCTTTCTGAACCATCTGTAGAGTCGAGGGGTAAGTTCTTTGACGTCATAAGGTGCCATGTCCCTTGCACAGGAATCGCAGGTGTGCTGGAATCTCAGCCTAATATCTCGTAGAATGCCCATCTGGAACGATGCTGGTTCCCAATTACTCCACTGGATGGTGTAAGGAGCGATTTTGGAATCCAAGTCGTTAAAGTAGGGTCTAGGATCCCAAGGCCGTCCTTCCTCGTGGTCACCCTCTTCGTCCTCTGAATCCTCCGGGGGACTCAAACACGGGCAGTCGAATACGAGTTCCATATTCTCCAGCTGCCTCCAAGGCAGAGTGGCCACGGTGGCTGACACAATGGGGTAGTAATACGCCACTCCTGCGTCTGAAGAATCGTATGTCAGACTCAACGAACGAAGTCTGGACAAGAAGCTAAAATCGAGACTGTCTCGGTCAGGTTCGGCGATGGAACTGAAGTTGAGGACGGCGCTGAGGACGATGGTGCAGCGGAGGTGGAGGAGGGTTTTACGGACGAGCTGTAGGAGTATCCGGACTTCGAAAAAGTCGCGGGTGAGGGACGTTATGTCGAGCGTGGTTAGACTCCGGAAGATGGAGAGGTGGTGCTCGAAGAGGTAGGTTAGGGTGTTGGGCGGGGGTTCTGTCATGGTCATGCCCACCCATGTCGGCGGGTCGAGTGCCGTCACACCAACCTTGAGGGTGTGGATGGTGGGGTAGGTTATGGCACTGCCTGTTCCTGTGCTATTCTCCGGCGGGACGTCGAGGAAACACCTCCCGCGTAGGGAAAGTGAGCGAAGGTTGGTGTTTCGAATGTAGAGCGAGAAGGGTATCTCGCCTGCGTCGATATCGACGTGACGGAGGGTCGAGCGGGAGCAGATGTAGCGGAATATAGGCTGGGCGAGGGTGGCTCTCCACCAAGCGCCGGCTTCACCTCCAGTCCACGGGTACCCTCCATCCTCGTCCAGCCGTCTGAGCGTAAACCTGGTGATATAACGCAACTTCCGAACAAAGAGGAGGAGATCAGCCGCGCTTTCATTCAATGCTGCGGACGCTGTGGGATCAGGATGGATCGTCAAGTTGAGATTGGAAACGAGTTTGGTAATCTTTGGGCTGCTTTCCACCATTTTGAGGAGATTTTGGATCCGCCGGCGGATGTGGTTGGGATTGTCGCCATGATGGGCCCGGGTTTTCGATGCAGTGGTATTGTTGGAACCTGGGCGGTCTGGCTCGAATGTGATTGATGCATCGGCGAAGATGAATGGTCTCGTTGCGAGATACCAGTTTCGCGAGAGGAGGGAGCAAGTCTTTAAGTCTGTTGTTGACTTGCGGTAATAGATTGGTGTTAGGATTCGAGCGATAAGCTCGAGTGGTAAGGAAGGAGGGGCTTGCGCTGCTGGTCGTTGCTGGGGCTGCTTCAATGGCATGAGGACTGTCGAGAGTAAAAGGTGGAGTAATGTTCATAGTAAGATGCTGTAAAGCGGCTGCCGTTCAAACCGCCGCACGCATGCCTACATTGCCCGAAATGAGAGGGCTTCCAACGTTCATCAAAAAGATTTCGAATGTGTCGAATGTAGGCAGCATTTTTGGGGTGTACACACAATCAATGCACAGCCTAGGTTTGGTGGACATAGAAGAAGAAGATTGGAGGCTGCGCTGAGGTGCTTGACATTCTTGACACAAGGAAGTGAAGGAGGGAGAGAAGGAAGATCGTGACCCAAGCGAGGACTTGGCTTGGCACATTCAAGTTGAACCTCCGCTGATGTGCGAAATTAAGCGCCGCTGCTTAATTTCGATTCATGTTGTAGGGAAAAAATATGTCCAGGTGGTGGAGTGGTCACCTTGACAATCGGACCCCTTCTACACCAGGTAGGAACACGTAAATGTCGTTTTCGACCATTTACTTTGGTGGGCACATTTTAATCTGGGCGCAGCTCGGACGACTCGGACTCTCGCCCCAATAGGCGCCCATGACACAAATCCAGTAAAACGATCACCACGTTTCGAAATTCCCAAAAGATCGTGTGGAAAATGCACACAGATTCCTCGAGTCCTACGAAACAGCCATCTCAAGACTACACACATATCACTGCTTATGCATCTCCGTTTGTACAGGTGTTTATCGAGCTTCCGTTAGAAAGCAAGCTTCGACGCTCGTTGCTCAGGCTGACTCTTACGCCAGGTGCACTTGTGCCGTCAGTGTTTATCGGTGCTGAGAGATCCTCTCGTATAGAAGTCTTCAATTGGATGTCCCTTTGTTCAGTACTGAAAGAGGGAGTGTCGCTTACTGTGCGTCGAGCGATATTTAAACGATGGAGACTTGGAGGAAGATATTCTCCAGAGCAGAACGACCAGTTCTATCTACCCCAGCTCCACGCTTCGTTCAGACTTTCACCCCAAACTACCATGAAATTCACGATCTCTTTCGTCGTTGCCGCCCTTGGTATGTCCATCTCGAATCCCAGAGTTTTCACACTAGTGTTGACAAATATTTTAGTTGCTGCCCTCGCGTCTGCCACCCCTGTTCCCCTTGAAGCTCGCGAGCCTGCTGTAGGTCTCTGTCTCTTTTATAATAGTAGTAACTCACCGTGGCCCAATTCCTTTCAGCCTGCAGCCAACCCCGACCCTCAATGCGTCCGCAGGATCTGTCCTTAGGTCTCCTTCGCCTTAGAAGTAGTGACTGGACGTAAAAATCATATGGTGCTTCTGTATGTTGCTAGTGATCCCTAGAATCTGTTCTCTAATCATTTTATGTCGATCCCGCCGACTGTTGAAGGGCGAATGAAACGCCGGTCTCCTTTCTTGATATTCGCTCCGCCGAAAGTTGCAATCCCGGTGCAGGTTAATCTTCGCCATCTTGCCTAAACCTAACGAAGGACAACGACCATTTTCTTTTTCCAACACCATTGCCTATGCACAGACAGCCAAAATTATTCAATCTCCAAGTTTGACCAGATGAAAGATTTCTTGAACGACGAGTCAATCAGCATCACACGCGCCCGCCCATGTCTATCAGCCAGCAGTGAACTCTTTCTTGTACTTTCCCGGAGATAATGCACCTCCCACTGTCTCGGAGGAGATGGGCACTGTTTTGATCACTGTTGTGCCACTAACTTTTGGACTTGACTTGGTCTCGGTGGCTGGGAGGGCGGTGGTCGGTGAGTGGTATAAAATGTACGCTCTTAGTTACCCTATCTCCTGTACCAGACCACTCCACTCCTTTCCATCAACCCTCTTGACTGAGAGAGTAGTCCAGACGTCCTTCATTGCTATCACACTATACAGTGACAATGAAGTCTGCCACGCTTACTGCCTTCGTCTTTGCGCTACGTACGTCGTTTCTCTCTCTCTGTACCAGAGCCCGACTTGAAGCTTACATCGATATCGGGAATTTCGACGTGTAGTTGCCACCTGTCTCTACAACACCTGTACTTACGCCTAACGGATCTTTACAGGCTCGAGAGTTCGAGTCGTCCGTGCGTATATTTCTTATCTCTCGAGGCATTAACTAAAGCCCTGACACGCTTATTTTTTGCATTAGAGCGCTGGGGCTGAAGCTGCCCATAACGTGGCTAGAGGCGGGTGTAGATTTGGTTGTTTCTAGAGTGTTACAGGCTGTTACAGTTTCGGGACGTCGGATACCCTGTTGGAATGCTGTTTTGTCGTTGCTTGACCCCTCTGGCTACCCTCAGACTGTGACGCTCGTGCTTTCTTGAATCCGAGTCGACGACGACGTTGTGTGCTGTACTTCCTATCCCTGTACTGTTTCACTGCCATGCCAAGTAAGCGTCCTGCTCGTGACTGCAACGGGCCATCGTAGTCACTGTAGGAATTGTACCTTCAAATACATATCCCAATGCCTTTGTTACTCGCGCACTCTGCGCGAGTCAGCTTTGCTGCTGTGCCAGTTCCTTTGGAGCCTTCCAGTCAGAATTCGGAACGAGCATGAAGGGGGGTCGCGTAAAGCTCACCAGCTGGCCTGTCAAGAACAGGTCCAGGGAGGGCGCAGACGGTGGTGATTGCAGCCAAAGCGGTGATAACTTGAAGTATGCCTTTCAGGTTCATTATGGGGAGTGGGTGTAGTATGTGCATTCACAATTCAGCGCCGCCTGGGATGGAGTTTAAGTATAACTTTGGAGTGGTTTGGCCATGTGTGAACAACGGTCGAAGAATTCGGCCGTGTTCAGTCAGAGTGCTTCTTCTTTGAGCCCCGTTATAGGACTATGCTTACTTTATGATAGTCTTCCATTCTTCTGCCTCTAAGCTGACGCTAGATCCTGTGGTTCTCAGAACTCCGCACGAGATTCGTACATATAATGTATTGAATGTTTAACTTCTATCTGGTGCATATGGGACGTTTCTACCGCTCTGTAGCCGTGAAGTTAGCCTTATCAGCTCTTTTCTGAGACCTATCCGACGATTGGGGCCCTAGAATCGAGACAGTGCAGCCCTGTGGGAACAATTCCTTGTGTCCCTGTCTTTCCCTTGGGTGACATGCCCCTGAGGCCTGAGTCGCGTTTCGTCGGTTCATCGGATGAAATTGCGTACCTTCAGACCTCGCATTCTAGGTCGGGCGGAATAAGCACGCGGCGCTTACTTTCCGTGAGCATTTATCATTCGTATGACAATCAGGAAGTGCGACGGCGAGTCGAAGCTGTACGATGACGAAGACGTCGAGTTTGACTCGGCACGAATCGTCGACCGTCCATAGGCCTCGAGCGCCTTCTCGAAAGACAGCATGGCCCTCAGGAACAGACAAGGTTGGCCCTCCCACTGGGAGCTCTACTACTGGCACTGTGACTGACATATGTAAGAATGATACCCTCGTCGAGAATACGCAGACTCTCACCTAGATTATGGCTTTCTACGCTCGAAACCATGTCCCGCTGCGCACGCGCCAAGGACGACATACGGCGGGCCAAGGGGACGCTGCGTAACTGCGGGCACAGCCACTATCTCATGATCGGTGCCGTCAGAGGGATATAAGACATCATTGCCTTTCTTTCAGCAACTAATACAACCCCAGCGACCATGGAAGCCCTCAAACTACAAAGAAAGTATCCAGAAGTAACCCGCGATGAGATGTTTGACCTCATCAACAGGTTCAAGTGCGTACTTCTTTTTGGATATCGGTATTGGACAGTGAATCTAACCGGTTTGCAGCGCATTGGATACGGACACTCCAGGAAGAGTAGACCAAGCGACAATTCTCAAGTCTTTACAGTCGAGTGGAGAATCCTATGATGTTGCGCGAGAGACCTTGAAGCGTGTCCATCTTGACTCTAGTGGAAAGGTCGAATTGGAGGAATGGGTCGAGGTACGTCGTTCTCCGCAGTCTCTGAAGGTTTCGGTGACTAACTGTCGACTTGTAGCTCAACGTTAAGCTAAAGACTGAAAGGAAGAATGTTGGTATCATCAAGAAAGCCGGAAAGGTCATGGTCCAGGGCTCCACCGCCAATGTCAGCCATACCATCAACGAGGACGAGAAAGCCGAATTCACAAACCACATCAACACAGTAAGTAGCGCGTAAACTACAGTTTATAGCTATCTAACAGCGCAAGTAGATTATCGAGCACGACCCCGATGTGTCCTCGCGATACCCAATCCCCACAGACACCATGCAGATCTTCGAGGAAGTCAAAGACGGTCTGATCCTCTGTAAACTCATCAACGACTCTGTTCCCGACACCATCGATACCCGTGTACTCAACAGACCCACCGCTAAGAAACCCCTCAACGCCTTCCAAATCACCGAGAACAACAACATCGTTATCACCTCTGCAAAGGGTATCGGTTGTTCCGTGGTCAATATCGGAGCGGCGGATATCGCGGAAGGTCGCGAGCATCTCATTCTCGGTCTGATCTGGCAAATCATTCGAAGAGGTTTGCTCGCCCATGTCGACCTCAAGCATCACCCTGAGCTGTACCGCCTGTGCGAGGAGGACGAGACGGTTGAGGATCTGTTGAAGTTGACCCCTGACCAGATCTTGCTCAGGTGGTTCAATTACCACCTGAAAGCCGCCGGCCATAAGCGAAGGTACGTCATTGGAGAATATCGGCGCTTCACTAGGACAAGGTACTAATTAAAGCGCGCAGGGTGAACAACTTTAGTCGAGATGTTTCCGATGGCGAGAACTACACCGTCTTGCTTAACCAGCTCAAGCCCGACCAGTGCTCTCTCGCGCCTCTCCAGACCCAGGATGTCCGCACTCGTGCTGAGCAAGTTCTGCAGAACGCGGAGAAGATTGGATGCCGCAAGTACCTTACCCCATCGTCCCTCGTTTCCGGCAATCCTCGTCTCAACCTTGCCTTCGTTGCCAACCTCTTCAACACTCACCCCGGTCTCGAGCCCCTCAACGAAGAAGAGAAGAAGGATTACGGTGCGGTTGAGGACTTTGATGCTGAAGGCGAGCGTGAAGCTCGTGTGTTCACCCTCTGGCTGAACTCTCTCGGCGTCGAACCCGCCGTGTACAACCTGTTCGAGAATCTCAAGGATGGCCTCATCATTCTCCAAGCCTTCGACAAGGTCCTCCCTGGCAGCGTTGTCTGGAGACGCGTTTCGAAGCCCAAGGGTGGTGCCAGTGTTACTTCTCCAGTTGTTGCGACGTCAGGTGAAGGCGACGAGGAAGAGCCCGATTACAACATCACGCCCAACTCGAGCCAGCTCTCGAGATTCAAGTGCGTGGAGAACACCAACTATGCTGTCGACCTCGGCAAGCAGAGCGGTATGCACCTCGTTGGCATTCAGGGAGCGGATATCGTCGATGGCCGTAAGACGCTTGTGTTGGGTCTCGTGTGGCAGTTGATGCGGTATGTCTTTTGCGTTCTCTGTTGCAATCGCCTTGCTGACCTGATTGTTGGATTCAGATTGAACATCGTCAAGACCCTTTCATCCCTCTCCAAGACTAGCGGCGGACGACCGATCAGCGATACCGAGATGGTCAAGTGGGCCAACACCACTGCCCAGCGCGGCAACCCTGGCGTCCGCCCCATCCGTTCATTCAAAGACCCGGCACTCACCACTGCCTTGTTCATCCTGGATCTTTTGGACGCCATCCGACCAGGCATTGTCGATCCCAGCTTGGTCATCCCTGTGGACGAGAACGGACCTTACGAAGACCGTAGGCAGAACGGTAAGCCCCTCCCCGCTTGTGCTGTGTTGTCACAGCAATATGGAAGTTGCTGATCACGTATTCTTAAAAACTTTTGTATAGCCAAACTTGCGATCTCCATTGCTAGGAAGATGGGCGCCCTGATCTTCATTGTGCCGGAAGACATCGTTGACATTCGTCCCCGACTTGTATGTGGTTTTTTGACTTGCTGTGACACTGCTTGAACCAAACGGCTAACCAAATGTTCTTTCTTTGTAGATCCTGACGTTTATCGGAAGTTTGATGAGCATCGCCCAGGAGTCGTCATAGTCGTTCTCCGTGGAAAGACAGGAAGGATGTCTGCCAGAAGTGCTTTCAATAATGGTGTAGGATGTACCAGTGAGAAATTAGGGTGCTTTAGTTTTTGCTTCTTTCCAAGGACTCTTTCTAGCCTATTGTTATTATACATAGGATCTTCGATAGTGGAATCATTCAAAAAGAATGTAACTGGCTCATGCGCCCTCGAGTAACCTGAGAATACAGGACGCACTTCGGGCGAACAATGGGGAAGTATTTGCAAATTGGATAGGCTTGGAAAGCTTCCTTGGACGAGAAATAACGTTCCACGACGTCAACGGCGTACGGTATATTGATGGCTTCTGAGGAATCTAATTGTGGGATACGACATGGAATGACTGGCGAGACAAAAGGGATGACCCGGTCTAACGCCAGGGCGCAGAACACAAAAGTGAGCGAAGACAATAAGGCGGTACCTGCCCAACTCCGTAATAGGGGCGTGGGAAACGAAGAATGGCCGCATCCGGAAACTCTCGTACCCTGTTCTTCCGCGTCCACCGCCATGTTCAGGATGAGTTTTGGTGAGTCTTGCTTGATTTTATAGCCTCAAAGCTATTCGGAAAGCTCACTAGTGCACAGGTAACAGAGATACTTCAGCTTTTGAGAAGAGGAAGAACATCACAGGGCACAGGAGAGGAGGAAATCTTGGCCAAGTTCTGATCCCGTTAGGGCCGTCCGGGCAATGTTTATTGTCTTAATTGTTGAGCGGGGACTAGGTCATCAATTCCCCAGTCGACACGGGAAACGGAGGGGATGCCTGGGAGTCGATTCCAGAGTCCTGATAATAAGAGCTCAGACCTGTGTTCTGAATCCTCGAACTTCCATCCCCCACTACCCCTCCCCCTCTCAAAGCCTTCCTTCCCTCAGGGCTTCCCGGGTTCCCTAGGTTCCACCCCCTACCCCTCCTCTTTTCCTTTACGACTCGGTCCATTCTCTTTCAAACGAAGCCCCCCACCAACTGCGTCTTATTTGTCAACTCATCTTTGACCTTTACTCGTTTGATACGATGGAGGAATCACCAAGGGGTTACACGACCGGCAGCCTCTACAGCGGCGATGGCACGACTACCCAGCCGCACACACCGCACCTCGGGCTCACCGAAGCTGAGCTCTACAAGCGGAGCATCCCTGACGTCCCCGAGGATGTGGACTATTACATGGAGCACTTGAATGACCCCAATTTCGATTTGAAGGCTAATAGGCCTGGGTCTATTTCGAGTACTAGTTATTCGATGGAGACGAAGAAGAAGTATCCGGGATGGGATCAGTCGGATACTGAGTCCCAGTTTGATAGGTACTCGAGTACGAGGGCGGAGTCGAGGCATTCGGCTGTTATTGAGTTTGATGAGTGAGTGCTACTTGGTTTTTGTGGCTTTTGGTGTGTGCTGACGAGATGGTGTAGGGAGTCGCCTTATCCTGAAGTTCGTGCTTCAGTCTCGAGTGTCGATGATCCTTTGATGCCTGTGAACACATTCCGAATGTAAGTGAACCTGTGTTATCCATGTTTTCCGTTGTCTCAAGGTTAATATCTTTGCAGGTGGTTCCTTGGGTTGTTCTTCGTGTTTGTTATCACGTTCTTCAACCAGATTTTCGCCATGCGATGTACGTATCCACCTTCCTGGAGATAGCTTCACACCAACCTTCTCCTCCAGACCCATCCGTCTACGTCACCGGCATCGTCGTACAGCTCATCGCGCTCCCCTGCGGAAAAGGCCTCGAGCGAATCCTCCCCAAGACCGTCTTCAACTTCTTCGGCTACAAATGGAGTCTCAACCCGGGCCCCTTCTCAATCAAAGAGCACGTCTGCATCACCGTCATGGCCAACGCCGTCTCCTGGGGCATCTACATCACCGAAGTCTCCCTCTCCCAGCGCGTCTTCTACGGCGTCGAGGTCCCCTACTCGTTCCAGATCCTCATCGCGCTCGGCTCGCATATCTTTGGGTTCTCCCTCGCTGGCTTCCTCCGCCGCTTCGTCGTCTACCCATCCAGCATGATCTGGCCCGGCGCCCTCGTCAACTCGGCTCTCTTCAACACCCTCCACAAGAACTACGGTGTGCGGGATAAGGGCCATATGTCGCGCGAGAGGTTCTTCCTCATCGCGACTGCTGCCAGTTTTGTGTGGTATTGGGTCCCCGGGTACCTGTTCACTGGTCTCTCGATGTTCAGCTGGATTTGCTGGATTGTGCCGGAGAATGTCACTGTTAATGCCTTGTTTGGTGTCAACACTGGGTTGGGCATGAGTGTTCTCACTTTTGATTGGTCCATGATCGCCTTTGTGGGCAGTCCGTTGGTCACTCCTGTATGTCTTCTCGCTTTGGGCTTTTCAAGTTTTGTTGTTGATGCCTTGTATAGTGGTGGTCTGAGATGAATACCGCCGTCGCTTTCATCGTCGTGTTCTGGATCATCTGCCCTATCATCTACTGTGAGTGCAGCCTTTTCATCCTTTGGTTCATGTCTCCTGACATCAACATTCCAGTCACGAACACCTGGGAAACCAGTTTCTTCCCCATCTCCGACTACTACTCGTTCGACAACACTGGTGGCCTCTACGATGCCACGGCTATCCTCACCGACGGTGTTTTCGACCAAGCCAAGTACTCAGCCTACTCCCCGGTCTTCATGTCTTCCTCCCTCGCTTTGGCTTATGGCGTCGCATTCGCCGCTTTCCCGGCCATCTTCGTCCACACCTTCTGTGAGTATTCAAAATCCACCCATCCCCGGGCGTATCTGACTCCCTTTTAGTGTGGTTCCGCAAGGACATCCTCCGCCGCTTCCGCAGCAGCCTCAAGGACGAACGAGATGTGCACTCACGCCTCATGCAATACTACCCCGAAGTTCCCGGTTGGTGGTACGCTGTTGTCGGAGTCATCTCCTTCGTCTTCATGGTCATCGCCCTCGAGGTCAACCCGGCCAGCCAGCTGCCCATCTGGGGTCTCTTCCTCGCCTGCGGTATCGGCATGATCCTCGCCCTCCCGCTCGCCATGCTCCAAGCCATCACCAACCAGTCGATTCCTACTCAGGTCATGGCTGAGCTCATCATCGGCTACATCCTCCCCGGCCGCCCCATGGCCAACATGGTGTTCAAGGGTATCATGTTCAGCACCGGCCAGCAAGCCGTCCAGTTCGCTGGCGACCTCAAGCTCGGCCACTACATGAAGATCCCTCCTCGCCTCATGTTCACCCTCCAAATGGTCGCTGCTACCATCAGCTGCTTCCTCGTCACCGGCATGCAGACCTGGATGTTGACGCACATCCCTGATGTGTGCACGCCCCAGCAGAAGGACGGGTTCAGGTGTCCCGGTTCGGTTACTTTCTTCACCGCTTTCGGTATCTGGGGAGGTGTTGGACCCGCAAGCTCTTCAGCCCCGGCGCGATGTACTCGGGCCTGTTGTGGTTCTTCCTCATCGGCTTCGTGCTCCCCATCCCGTGCTACTTCCTCGCCCGCCGCTACCCGCTGTCGTTCTGGAGGTACATCAACATCCCCGTCGCCTTTGCCGGCTTGGGTGCGATGCCCCCTGCCTCTGGCATCAACTACATCTCATGGGCTCTGGTTGGGTTCATCTTCAACTATGTCATTCGCAAGTACCACTTCCGTTGGTGGATGCGCTATAACTACATCCTCTCGGCTGCGCTCGATGCTGGTGTGGCGTTTGCGATGATCGTGATCTTCTTCACGCTCTCTATGCCCAAGGGCGGTATTGAGTTGAATTGGTGGGGCATGAGTGAGTAGTTTCTCCCGTTTATTATTGATGGAACTCGACCTAACCATAGTTCTTCTTCTCTACAGTGTGTGGCAGAATACTGCTGATGCCTTTGGTGCCTCCTTGAAGGTTATCGGAGAGGGAGAGATCATCGGTCCCTCTTCGTGGTCATAAACCACTTATCCATCCCCTGCTTACGACTCTGGACGAACGAACAATCCCTGCATCTATCATTATATCATAACGCAAAGCAAGCATTCCACTCACTCCAACCATGATGCATATGACCCCCCAATGTAGAAAATACCTAGCTAATACGCTGCTGTCGTGTGCTTGATGCATACGCTACGACCCTTCCTTCGTTGCATTTGTACATACGACCATACAAACTGTCTTTGGTCCTCTCTTTTTGTTTACCTTTCTTTTTGTGATACCCCCAACCACCACCCACTTGCATCAGTGTACGAACTTCAACGCATTCGTTTCTTACCAAGACATTCTCATGGTCGATATCATTTTGTTTGTTTCGTGTACCATATCGCATATACCATTGACAATTCATTTCGTGCTCCGAAAACATGTTTTCTGCGAGCAGCCATGAGGATTCTGAGGGCCCTCCGTGAGAGGCGGGGTTAATTACCGCCCATCCCTCCCGGAGGGCGAAGCACACTTGACCCTGCGCTCTGTTTGAATTCAATTAAAATGGCATCCGGGGCGAGCGGTGCGACTGAGCTACTAAAGCAATCAGGCTTATAGAAAGGAATGGCAACTGCCGTTCGCAGCCTGTCCATTAGCGCCCGCCGGTCAACTAGGACGATTGCGTAAGGCATCATACCCTGCATGCGAGTCCAAAAATACAACGCGATCGGCGGGAGTTAGCCTCGCCACAGTGCCAAATCCGAGTCGTTTGGTACGGTGCAGTGCTTCCATCTCGTTTTTCGAGCTCCAGTGCAATTCGAGTGCAATTCGTCTCCAGGGATGATCGATGATTGGTGCATCGCTTGACGGCTATTAATAGGCGCTCGTTGATTGCCCCGGCGGTCCGAGGTCGACCCCTGCTTTCGCCTACTCAAGTATTGCAAGATGAAACGATCAGATAACGACCTCGAGGCGTCTATGACTCATCTACCACTTATCCCTCTCCTGGGCGCTCGTATCGGTCCTGAAAAGTGACAGACACGAGGCGGAAACAGCACTTGTCACTGGCGTTGGGCCCACAAATGAGTCGTGTGACGCCACAATCCGATTGCCTCTTGGCTGCTTTGGGAAACACTCTGGGCGCCTGCAGGATTTCCAGCACAGTCCATTGCTATTGAAAGGCGCTATCTGTTGACTTGCAGATTGGTACGAGGGGGAGCTAATATCACTGCAAGTCGATATGAAACTCAGATGGCCCATCAAACTTCATAGATTCCGAGCCTGCACACTGACAATCAGCACCGCCCGTGGAGACTGACCAAGCCGTTATGCCCACAATCTTCAGGCTCAAGCCATCGAAGATGTACGTCCTTTTCCTCGGGTTTTGAACCCTTTTTCCTATGCATTCTCACCAATGTCGCTTTCGATTGCGCCCCGCGTTCCAAGCCATTTGGGGATCACACGCATTTCTCTCTCTGCAGAGTCGGGCAAACACCCGTCCGAGCGGCGATAATTGACCCTGATGGTCGTTTCCAAAACAACCTTTTCGGAGTTCTGGAAAGAAGATGTTCAGAAGGCCGTAAACAAGGCTTATTTATAGCACAGTGCCGGCAGGGTATTGTTTTACCTTCAGCAATCTACATAAAAGGGACGCCTGCCAGCAAACGCGTGCCCCATTTCTCCCCTCATCGCGCTTCCCGTTCCTTTGTCTCCTTTTCCCTTGTCACACCCGTGCTGGTCAATCGGATTCCCAGTCTTTGGCGCCTAGGACGTTCAAGAATCAAGTTGGCAGAATGGTTGCGAGCAACCCTTTATTCACTGGACGATGGACCATCAAACGGTTTCAAGCCACAGTCATTAATGACATTTGGCCAGAGGTCCTTTTCTTCACAGCGGTCGCGACCAGTAAGTCATGTATCAGCCTCATGTTATCTCGTATTGACATGATGCTTGTTTAGTGGTCACGACCGTAACCTATTTGACCAAAGACCCGAACATCAAACTGGGTATCGCACCCAGTCTCTTGACTGTTCTCGGTACAGTCCTCGGTTTGGTTATCTCTTTCAGAACGTCTTCAGCATATGAGAGGTGAGCGCTCAATGTCGCGGAGAGGTCGGACGAGCAGTACTCACGTCGAACATCTTTCCAGATATCAAGATGGACGAAGGATGTGGACCAATATCAACACCGCCTGCAGGAATTTGGGACAGATGGTGCGTCCTTCAGAAAAGCGACTGTCCGACCTGTGCTCAACGTCTTGCAGATCTGGATCCACGTTCCTTCTACCCGCCCTGGAAAGGATGGTCAGCCCGGCTCCACAGAGCTTGAAATTATGATTGAGAAGAAGTCTATGATCAACTTGGTGTGTTCGGGTAACCATATCTGATGGACTGCGTGCTCATGTTATAAAAATAGGTTCAAGCCTTCCCCGTGGCAGTAAAGGTGAGAGACCCTAAAGTTTATTCAGACCAACGAGAAGCTGACCCTATTCAATCAGCACTTCTTGCGCGGAGAACAAGGAGTGTACTACGAGGACTTGTATCCCCTCATTTCCTTCTTACCCCGTTACGCCAACGGCCAACCACACCACGATGACCGACTTCCTTTGTGGCACCACGAAGAATCACCCAGAGAACATGCAGCTGAGCAACGTGCAGGCCGACATGATCGTGATGCCACGGTTGTTGGCGAGAAAGAGAACAACGGAAGCCGTTCGTCTTCTCGGAGTGGAAAACAAAAGAAGCGAAAGGATAACTTCGACCCTGAGGCTGCCCTTCCCGACGTTGAAAGTGATATCCCATTGAAGCCAGCGCGTAATCCGCCCAAAACCACTATCTTCGACTTCATTCCTCTTTTGCGACTTCTGCGCTGGGGTATTCGCCGCATTCTCCGCAAGGCTCAGCCAGGTGAACAACGCAGGAGGAAGAAGCAGCACGTCAACGTTGAGAGCAATGTCCCGCTCGAAATCTCCCTGTTCCTGTCCAAGTACGTCCTTTCTTCATACGACGCGAAAGATGGTGTGCTAATTTAACCTTCGTTTCAGTTATAGCGCCTGTGAGTAGTCTCAAAGGTGTCGTCGGAATGCTGTATCCATTATTGACATTTCGCTTTCAGTCTTGATGCGGAGTGGACTTGTCCAGCCTGCCATTGCGACTGCAATCACGAATAACCTCGGTGTCCTTCAGGATACATTGTCCCACTTGGAGCGTATCTGCAATACGCCGTTGCCCTTCGCTTACCAGGCCCATCTCCGAATGTCGCTCTGGCTCTATCTCCTCTTCCTTCCGGTGCGTATTCTGATATCAGACGCTCCTATGATCGTGAAGCTGACTCCCTCAATTCAGTTCCAAATCGTGGACAACATGCAGTGGATCACCATCCCTGGAACTGCTTTCGCGTCGTTCTTGCTCCTTGGTTTCTTGGAAATCGGACAGGAGATGTAAGTCTCTTGCTACTGGACATCCGAGACGTTTTCTGACCTTCAAATTCTACCACCCAGCGAAAACCCGTTCAACTACGACTTGAACGATCTTGGTATGTCCCCTTGCCTTCTGGTGCTCGATGTATATGTTCTGACCTCGGTCTCAGATCTCGACTACTTCTGCCTCGACATCCAACGTCAGCTCCATGAGATCACCGCCCACACTAACCCTCTTCCCACCGACTTTATCTACTCTCCTCTGTGAGTACTAAACGAGACCTCCACTGGCAATATACTGATGCTCTGGTACAACAGCAACCAGCCCTTCGCTCCTGCTGATAAGCGCAGCGCGCCAGATCTGGTGGCACTTGGGCCGAACTATATCGCGCCAGAGGGCGACGCTCGACCCGGCATGGAGAGCGTCCGTCGAACCTTGGTCCGAAGCTGGAAGAACGTCGACATCCTCACTCGCAAATCGTACTAGATCCCCGGGTCTTTGTACTTCCTCTGTTGTCTATTTCTATTTCAAGTTCACTTTCTTGGCACCGGTTTTCTTGGGTTAAACGCACTTCAGTTTTTGATTGGTACCATTCTCAATTCTAGGGTTCAGGTTTTGGGTTTGTTTCGTCGGGGTTAGTGTTGAGTCGCTAACGTGCGGGCTGAGGGTTGTCGTGTTGCTTTCCCCCCTTCTTTTATTCCTCCTTCTAGACTCGTAAACGTGTTGAACTTATTCGTAATGAGTTCCTTGACTTCATCCTTCCCATCATTTTCACCAACTATAGCTATCATTGCCGAAAAGTTCGTTACATCCTCTTATTGCTCGTTGTGAAAGCACGGCTATTACACTCGTTTTAATCAATATCGGTCGTGTACGTCGCTGTGCACAAAAAGAAACCTTTAGAACCCTGTTGGAATGCCGATATGTGGTGCCACAGACAAAGGAACGGTAAAGCCTTTCAGTGGGTCACTTACGGCGGCGAGTGGCTCGAATCGGCACGGGTGTTGTCTTGTTGGCGAAATCTGCCAAAAGGGTGAGTGGAAATAAAGGTCGAAGCCATCGCTTAGTCGATTAAAGGTGGCTACGGAGCAACGATAACAAAGGGCGCCAGGATGTGGAAACCGCTGAAACCCTGTAATTGCCCGCATTTTCACAAACGGGCCTGTGAACGTATAAAGGTCGAAGACAAGGCCAGGGACGCGTCCCTCAGTTTAATATGCCTCGAACTTCCACCAAGCCACCTCCACCTCCACCAACTGTCCAGACTAGGAGCCAAACACGCAAGCAGCAGCAACTTCAGGTCGGACACAACGCTGTCGTCTCCCCTTCTGCCACTGGGAAAGGCACCCATGTCCGATGGAAATATACTGCGAGTGGCCGCACGCCGTCGCCTGTTCCATCCGAGGTCACTCCCCCACGCAAGCAGCGTCCTGTCAAGCTCTCGTCGCGTTCGTCAACAGGCTCGCTCGACGATTCCCTCTTTGAGGGGCCCCTCACGCCGCTATCCTCCTCTTCATTCTCCTCTGTCGAGTACCGACGCTCCGAATCCCCGGTCGAGGATGTCCCAATCACTCCCGAGACGAGCCCAGAGAAGAAGCCCTTCCCACCCGTCGCTTTGTACACCCCACCATCGACCCCACCTCGTTCCAAAACCAAACCTCTTGTGCGGAGTCCCCTTCAGAGGTGGACAATCGAAGGGACATCCCGACGGCTCGTGTTCATCCCAGACGACGAGTACCTGTCAGAAGAAGCTATCGTTAGACGGTTGGCCGAAGATAAGCAAGCCCAGCAAGAGATCTTCGAACGAGAGCTTCAGCGTTTGATGCAGCACAAGAAGCGGGTTGACAACGCGTTGAAGTGGGCAGAACAGTCAGCAGAGGAGGCGGAGAGCGGAGAGGGATACACAACGGATGGTTCAGAGGAGAGTTCTGCTGTTACTGAGTCGATCTCGGGCAGCAGTAAGCCAAGTTCGCGGAGAGGAGGAGCAGGTGGTCTCGTTCGAGGAGATACAGAGATCATTGAAAGCCAGCCGACTATCCGGGAACTTAGTCCACTGACCCAGTATCCCAGCGAATGGCTTGTAGAGCAGAGCAATCCACTTCGACGCCGACCAACCGATTTGATCAGTGAAACCTCAGGAAGTCCCTGACGGGCGACAAACGCAGTTCCCTGATAATTATTATTAACACGCATTCTCCCTTTCCATTCCTTGCACATATGTTGACTTGCCTCTTCTTCACGACCAGCCCCGATTTTCCATTTCCCCCTCGCTTTGTCCTGCTCCCGCTCTCGTACATGCTTTCATGCTTTGAATCTTGCTTTCAAAACTTGCTTTGATGTTGCCAGAACGATATTCACGAATTCCTAACGTATAAATCACATTGTTCTCTGTTTTGATTACTGTATTCATTCGAGTTTTTCCGGTCGATGTCCAGTTTGGCCGAGGTACGAGTCGAACAGATGAGAGAGAAGGCGTTTCAATGAAAATTCCTACTCACTGAAATTCACGAGGCCCAGCACGTGCCGGAATTCTCACCCCTAACTTAACGCGACTTCCGACTCCTCGTCCCTGCACCGGTATTGGCGAGGAAATAGGGTAAACAGCCTTGCAGCTTTTGGGACCGTAGCGGTGTACAACAACAGTTTCCTAAATACTAATTACATCGTCGGTCTCGTCGCAGTCGTTACATATCGTGCAAGGGACATTCATATCACAATTCGTAAGTTGATTCCAAATCCAACAGAGTCGTTTGTGCGGATCCGTTCCGTGGTTTAAAGACGCAACCAAATGGCACAGGATGTCTGCATAGAGCTCATTTAGCTAAGCCAGAAAAGAGACGTAGATGATAGTAACTCACGAGACGACTCCGGGTAGGACTTCCATCTGTGGGCTGACTGGCTCTCCATTGTCGTCCAGAGGCTTCTGGATGTCGAACAAGGAAAGAATGGTGCCAGCAGCAATAAAGAGGACGGCCTCAGCTATGTGAGATCCAGGGCACTCCCTGAGAGCTCATTTGTAAGCCTGCATTTCACTTCCATTGGGCCTGGATGCTCACCTTCTGCCATACCCAAATGCCATCCGATTGGGATTGAGAACGTCGGGATCCAGCCTTCCGTTCTTAATGAACCTCTCGGGGTTATAATTCATGGCATTGGGATAGTAGTTCTCGTCATGAAGCATGGCCCTGAGCACACAGTAAGACAGAATAATCCAGCGCAAAGGACGAATCTACTGACCATGAGTTTGGAATGACGGTGGTACCCTTTGGGATAAAGTAACCGTCGAAAATATCGTCAGCGATGGACCTGTGGAAGAGCGCTATGGAATGGACAGGAGGTTTTAACGGCTATGACCTTTGACTGACAGCTAATGTCAAAGGCTTACCGGTGGGATTTGTGGGGTCCATTCTAATAGAGTCGTGAGTTGGTGGGCATCGGGGCGAGAGTAATGCGAAAAGATCGGTCCAGCTGCAGTCGATCGACTCACCTCATTGTCTCCATGATTGTCGCCTTTACCCAGGGAAGACAGTCTTCGTCTGTAAAATCAGGAAGGCGACCTTGGAGGACTTCATCCAACTCTTGCTGGACTCGGCGTTGAATCTCAGGATATGCTACCATGTTGCGAAGCCAGAAGCTCAGTGTTGAAACAGTCGTGTCCGAGCCAGCTACACTCCCGGTGAATATCAATCCTTTCGAAATTGCGAGTTATTCTTACCTGCAAACACGATGGCTGCAGTATCCATGATTGCATCTCTCAGTGTGGAGTCGTCGACCTTGCCTACTCTCGCCATCTCTTCCAAAGCGAGCGACGTGAAGGATGTGGTTGCAGTGGAATCCGCCTACATTCTGTGTCAAGGTTTGATGACGGGTGCCAGCAACCAACTGGACTCACAATTCTTGCTTGGCATTCAGAGAAAGGCTTCTCGCGGAAGGCGCGAGCCTTCACCTGGTGTTTGAGGGCTTCCCGCTTGAACCCAAACCCAGGAAGCCATGCAGGGAGGTGTCGCAGGAAGGGGAAGATGTTCACGAGGTGAACGCCAGCCAATCCAGCGGTAAACAATGGTCGAAGGTTCTCTTCTGCAGACTTGACATAGGGGTCGTTATTGGGATGGATCTTTAATCCATACGCCAATGATAGAGCGATGCCTCCGACGGTACTGAATGTCATGATGAGCTCTTGCCAACGTCCCAAAGAAAGTTAGACTCACTGTCGCAGAACATTGAGGCCGTCTGTAGGCCTCTTCTCAAATTGGATCATCGAGCGCCTAACCTGGTCCAGAATCTTGGGCTGATACACATTTGTCCTCGAGGGCCGTAAATGCTGCTGAAATAAGCGCCGTCGTTCCCGCCACTGTTCACCATAGGACAAACGCGAAAGCATGTATCCATATCCCATCCTAGAAGTAAAAATGACCACAACGGATTCCCGTACGTCAGAACACTGCATGTAAGCCTACGGATTGCGCGAAATACCAACATATCAAACAGGTGGGCGTCTGGGCTGGGCGTAACGTCAGATGCGGGGATTCGTGGGTGCAAGGTACGAGAAACTACGTTACCGATCTGAGTAAATACCAGAACGCTTGTCGAGAATCTCCACGGCCTTCTCAAGGGAGTTGATGATAAGGAAGCTGCCTCCAGCGACCTCAGTATAGACAATGCCAGAGTCTGCCAGATTGTGTATGAGATAGCGGTCAACGAGGAGATAGCACACGACATACCGTATTCTCTTCCCCACTCCATGAACTTTAGCCAGACATTGGTTGAAGGCATTCCACCTATGTTCCCAAGGATGGGCCATCCTCGAGGGCCAGGGGGAGTAGGATATCCTTTAGTCCTCCGTCTCCAGCTCCATTGCTTTAGAACGACAACCAATGCGACCGTAGCTACCAGAACACCAAAGTCTGGAACAGGGAGACCCAAATCCATCTTGATACCAGGAGCTAAGGCGTGGGCTGAAGTTGGGAACCGAAACCCCGCAGTCGTCGAGAGCTTCCGACATTATAAAGGCCTCACTGTGTGTGGGGAGATTGAGGCCTGGAGGGTTGACTAAACCCAAGTGGCTCAGCAAGGTCTTGGGATGTACAACGGAGGGTACCCACAAACCCTGAGATGACGAGTTGCAACGACGATGAGATGTCAGATGAGCAATCCTATTAAAGTTCAGCAAATCTAACTGAATGCCCTATCCGCCAGTCTGTACCTTATGGCGTCCATGAATGTACATAATCGTTTGCCTGGAGGGGTAAAGAACCCGCTTTCCAGCCCACAATACTCCACGCACCCATGCTCCAGGTATCGGTGAATGTGCTGGGTATTGATTCCCGTGAAGCTAACGAAGCCACGGTGTGGTGAACAATTGGTTCAAGGAGGGCGCGAAGCGGAACTCGCATCTTCGCGAGAGCAAACTAATCCGAAAGGGTTTAGGAGAAAAGGTGCCTGTCCCTTGAAATAGAAGGAAACTCTCTTGGCACCTTTTAATTCATTGACATGAGAATCCGATATCAACATAGGGAAGAGCCGCTTTGGATTGCAGTTGATCCACAAAGGTCACTTTGCCGGCCTCGATGTAAGAACTGAATTCCATGGTGCCTATCTAGTATCGTTTTTCCGAAGGCAAAGAAAACATGGGAGCACATAACCCGGATGACTTCACCCAGATTAACTGGAACTCTACTGGTAGTTTCGAAAAGGGAATTGGATGTGCGCCTCTGCTATGTGCGATGGAATTAGGCGGCCACGTTTCTGGCTACTTCTGGACGAGCTTCTGGAGTGCGATGATGATCGCACAGTCCGGGTACATTGACCTACCTGGACCATTCGAAGTTAGAGCACAGCGCACTTCGGTATTCCTTTGGTGACAGCCGTAATTAGTGGAGCAGGATACATAATGAATTGTGATCCTAGAACGCCGACCGGTCCAGGACCAGTGTAACGACTGAATTAGCGCCCGTCGAGTCAACATGCGTATGTGTGTACAGTGTACACATAGTATTTCCTCCTATTCATTTGCCAGCGGCACTTGCTACCGGTGGTTAGTACCAGGATGGAAGTGGTCGGCTACCCTCGATCGAGCGCAGGCACCAGGTGCTCAACGCTAGAACAAGGGAGTACCTGGATTCGTCTCCCCGACTCGGGCTGATACAAAGTCAGTTAAACCTGAGTATACCTGAAGGTGAACGGCCTAGGCCTCAAGTCTGCGTAAAGGCTGAAAGTACTGTAGCGGTCGAGAACAATGCCAATATCTAAAGAGACTTACTGAAGTACTGAAGTTCCCGATACATACTTAACAGTCATAGCTTCCCCCTGCGAGTTGTCCTTCGATGAACATTCCGACAACGGGCGCTTGGCAACTTCGGCAGATGGGAACACGGCGCGCTGGGCCACAAACGGGGCCGAACCGCCTTGCAGCCGGTCGCTCGCACCAAGTTGGTGCGAGCGAGTTCCTGGGTCCTCATCACTGCAAGTAACCGAGTCGAAACCGAAAACGCCTCATGATGGTTGTCGATGGCAACGAGGGTCTTTCATGAGCGAATGCTCCTGGGGTTCACCTTTCCTTCAGAAGTGAAAGTGCATCGTCTTCAAACGACGATTCTTGCTCTGTTCCGGGTTGGTCTACCATAACGCAATCTATTAGTTCTCGAGCTTCCAAGAGCAATACATAGACAATACAGATCGAAACATGTCAGGCGCCTGCCGAACTAAGTTAGTAATAAGATAGAGATGAAGGCGGTCTACGCATCCTCCTAGCGGCTGTTTTCGACTCCAACCGAGTGGCAATTGAAACGCATACGGACTACTACGCGGATAATGCTCATAGCAGTGGCAATTCGACCTGCGAATTGAACGGGATGTGTACAGAAAATAGATCCGACATAATGGGAGGAGGCATGAGGAGGCAGGGTCGGGTTTAGTTCGAATGATGATGGTCAACGGCGCGTCGCTGAAGGGCATGGTGGCTCCGTTTGACCATTCTTCGCGAACCGACAGGGCCGGTTCGCCCTTGGTTGGACGAAACGCTAGCGCCAGACCCTTCGGGATGACGAGAGCAGATACCCGCCTTGACGCAGTCCCTCCATGCAGTATACATGAGAACGACAAACGCCTGGCCTTCCGGGCTTCCAGTGGTCAAGGGGTTGGGGTCTCGCCAGCCAAGTGGGTTAACTGCGGGGGTGACGACGCCGGTTTCTGTAACATGAGGGTTTCCATTCCTGTCCCGACCAGAAAGGGTCGCTCGAATTCCATCCGCCCACTCAATATAGCGCCGGCCAAATGTTTGTGGGTCAATGACAGCCATGCGGTAGGCAGTGCCAGCGAGGAGCGAGCTTCCCGAAATCTCGCCGAAGCCATTGGGGGACGACTGGTCGTCCATATAGTTGCGGATGAGGCCATCGTCGTGGGGAGCGTTGATTGCACCGTCAAGGATCTCCTTGATATAGGTGGTCAACTGGTCAATGGATCCCTGCCTCCAAGCTTTACCTTGAGAGACGGGCGCTTTCATAACTGTGGCGAGCACACGGGCCATGCCTGCAGCTGTCCAAGCATTCCCCGTCGCCCATAAGCGGGGGTCCTCAGCCTCAGGGCCGATAATGTGCCTCCAGAGACCGCTCCATGGCTCGGAACTGTTGGCCTGCAGTACCTCGCGATAAAGGCGACATTGCCTGACGGTTTCGCGGAGGAGGTCTTCATTGTTGTTGTCCGCAGCGTAGTATGCCAGGAATGGGGGGACCATATACATGAAATCAGCCCTAAAGGAGAGGACATTATCATTCAACATGCCATGACGGGATGGAGTGAAGGGAACTTGGCGTACCATAGAACGGGCAGTGCTGCCCGATGGGAGATTGCACCATTGGCAAAACGTGGGACATCCTCAAGGAGACCCGCCGCTGTGCGGTGGGCAGCCTCAGCAAACCTCTCCTCTGTCTTTCCTAGCATGACGGCAGCCACGCCCATGCTTGCAGGATCTCCTGCTGCTCCGTTTCCAGCATCCAAGGCGTCGAAGCGCTGGTCTCCCCATCGGATCTTGTCCGCGACATATGTTAGGGATCGCGAAGCGTTACGAGGGAGGACAGGGACAGGGAATGGGCGATCGCCAAATACGGAGTGTTGGGGTTCGTAAAGTTCAAGGAGCGCCTGGGTGGTCACGCCGTATTCCCATGAGTGAGAAGGTAGGGAAACGGCCAGGGAAGTAACGTTCTCGATGTTGAAACCTGGGTTGAATGGGAATGGGTTGAATCCAGTGATGGATGCGCCTAGAAGGTTGAGCACGGGGAGGAGCGCTGTCCGCAGATTGGCGACGGGCGCGGTCATTGTGAAGTCAAAAGGATGGACGGTGAAAGATCGTGAGCGTTTACGGTGAGGGGGTGAGTAACGACAGCGATGGAGGAAGGATATTCGGGCACGGTTCAACAAACCGCTCTTTATGAATTCCAACCGCCAAACAATCGTTGGAGTGGAGACGACACAAGGCACGTAGAGGCACGTTGGCCAGCCACTTGAGTTCGGGCGACACCAACAAGGAGGTGTTTCAAATGAGAGCCAAGCCTGATGATATGACACGGTGTGTCATATCAGCGTCTCCAGATCACCTAGATTTGGATTTATGTGGTCGACGATGAGGTTACGGCCCCTCTTCTGACAGTAAATGAGATGGATATAGCGTCGAGTTCAATAGAGAATTAGAATGTCATGTTCTAAAGTGAAAGGCGAAGCTGAAGATGCGTGGTCGATAAGAAGAAAGCAAACTCGAGACCGCTGGTGCCGCAGATTCAGATCGCGACTACTTCCACCGAAGGGCTTGGCACCCTAGTATGAGGGTGCCATCGCCGAAGATAACGGTATGAAAGGCCATCCTCTCCGTCGAAGAGATGTTGGAGAACAAAGCGTTCAAACTTGGGGTTTGAGTGCAGGTCGCGAAGAGAGTTGAGTCGGGGAAGTCCTTTCTGGCAATGAAGCTGATGATTACCTAAAACTAAGGGCTAGTTTCACTGCCAGTGCCCGCGACACCCGACTCTCTCCAACCGTCAACGCTCATCGCAAATTGTCACAAATTCCGATTCATTCAAAGTGGTCTAGGAACCCTGTCGCAAGCTCTCATAACATATCTGTATAAAACCACGATTGAATTGTTTCAAAATCTTCCGCATCAACGATGGCATTTGCCTGCGAAAACGCAATCCCTCCAAGCTGCGTACATCAAAACAACGAAAGCTTGCCCTTCAGGACTCCCGGTGGTCATCGGGACAGGGTCACGCCAGTTCAGAGGGTTAACAGCAGGAGTGACGACACCGTCTGCCTTGACGTGAGGCTTCCCTCTCGCATCATTCCTCCCCAACACCTTGCGGATGCCATCGGCCCACTGGACGTACTTGTCTCCAAACGTCTTGGGGCGCAAAATGGCCATCCTGTACACCACAGCCGCCAGCAACGAGCTCCCAGAAATCTCTCCGAACCCGCGGGGACTCGAAACATCATTGAGGTAGTTCCGCAAGAGACCACCGTCCATCGGTGAGTTCATTGCGCCTTCAACCATCTCCCGGATCCACCAGTTGAGTTCGGTTGCGACGGAGTCGCGCCAGGCGGGTCGCATGGGGGTTTTGAGGACAGTGGCGAGGACTCGGGTCATACCAGCTGCTGCCCAGGCGTTGCTGGTGGACCAGAGGCCCCAGTCGGCACTTTGGGGACCAATGATGTGATGCCAGGTGCCCTGGTAGGGTGCAGTGGTGTTGGCCCGAAGGGTTTGTCGATAGTACCGGCACTGGTTAACTGCTTCCAAGAGGAGTGTCTCGTTATTGGTATGAGCACCATAGTAGGCGAGGAATGGAGGGACCATGTAGACGAAGTCGCCCCTAGGGGAATGTGAGTAATGGGAAGGGAAATACGACAGCTGATCTACATACCAAATTTCAACGATGTCCCTGCGATGGGATATCGCTCCGTTCCATTGGCGAGGGGCTTTGTTCACGAGGTAGTTAATCGTTTCCGCTGCCTTATCAAGGTAGACAGGTTCCGTCATACCCAGAAGGACAGCCGACACGCCCAAGCTCGAAGGATCTGCTGATGCGCCGCCACCTGGCGCCAATGCGTCGGAATCCTTGCCAAACTTGATGTTCCTCGCAGCGTACGAGAGCGACTTGACGGTCGACTTTGAGAGCTTTGGTGTGGGCATCGAGGCGTTGCCGAAAATCGAGAACTCGGGATCGAACAACTCAAGTAGAGCTTGAGCAGTGACGCCATGTTCCCATGAGTGGCCGGGGAGTTTCTGAGCGAGAGAGACGACCTTCTCGATGTCGAAGCCAGGCGAAAATGGGATCGCTTTTTCCGTTGAGCAGGCGATGGAAGTGCGAGACGCGTGCAGGAGCACGGACAGCGAGAGCACAGTAGTCAAAAGAGGTGGCATCGTAGGTGGGGTTTCGAGAGACGCGTTGAGATTTCTGGTTCAACAAACCGCGGTATAAGAACGGAACCGAGCACTGGGCATGGCAATAAAGGTCTGTTTCGTTTTGGTGTCCTCGAGTAGATTCGCTGCAGCGTAGAACGGCAAACAAACAAAAGAGAGACAGCTCCACGAGTTCTGGCCGAGGGGGACAAGACTGCCTGAAACTGGTGGATGGGTTCAACAAGTTGAACGTTGAACGTTCAACATTGAAGACGGCTCCGACAGAAACTTCGCCCTCCATGTATCTGGTATATCCCTTTCTCTTCGGGAAGAATCGACGATGCTGTTTCAGATTCTGTTTGTCGCTAGCCCAGAAAGACGTCGAACAAGTGGTTCACCAGGATCACTGGTGGTTCCCTTGTTGAGCAGCGACATTTACCTTTGTACGACCAGCCTCCGATCATCAATAAGTATGCAGCCACAGCCCTTGGTGATATGGTTGCGCTTTGGTCGAAGTGGGAGAACGAAGAGACTGCAGGAGAGCAGAGAGACCGTAACAGATTGGTAACAGACCACACAAATTTGGAGCCGTCGGGTAGAGCTCGGAAAACGCCGAACGACCATCAAGTCGTGCCGAACCCTGCCGAACTAGACGCCGTTCGTCATGAAGGGCATACCACCGTACTGAAACGACCGCCATGGTCAAGTCCTCAGTCCAACGAAGTCGAATTTGTCCTGAATCTGCTATACAAGACAAATAGAATGGTAAAAAGACCTTATTTCACCACCAAAAGTCAACCAATGGTGCGTTATCTCCTATTTCTGGAATACATACCGTTGACAGCGTTAGGAATCTTTTGAATACAGAGAAACTGAACGGAGAGTCCGCGATAGGAGAGTCACAAGAGCCCAAGTGGTGGCTCTTCTTACGAAACGATATACAGGCACCCGCTGAAGATGCCACCGCTTTGAGACCGCACCACCACCACCTGATGCGGGTACTAGTACGATCCATACTCAGATGGGGTGATAGTGACGAGAAGACGTCTTGCGTTAAAGATTGGGCTGTTGGCACCTGTTGCTTGCTCACGCCGCAAGCAGGCTTTGCTCCCCCGAGTCCGGTCTGATGGCTAGTAGCACTCCCTACCTCTGGGCCAGCTGCACCCTTCTCGTAGCCCACATCCTCTGGCGGAAGCTCCTCTGGCACAGGCGTTCAAAAGGGTACAAGCTACCACCTAGTCCTCGGCGGGGATACCCTCTCCTGGGTCATGCTTTGGATGTCCCAAGAAGCAATGAACATGTCGTTTTCAGGGAGTGGTCGAAGGAACTCGGTACGTAGGTCCACGATGTGGACTGGATTATTTATGCAGCTAAACGCGGCCTCTGGCGGGAAGGAAGGGACATCTTCTACCTCGACGCTGCTGGAACGCCCATAGTGGTGGTGAACACCATCGAGCTAGCAACCGAGATGCTAGAAAAGCGATCTCGGATTTACTCAAGCAGGTCAGTACAATACCGCCCATCCTCCGCTATCGTTTCTCAAGATATTCACTCAGACCAGGCTCCATAATGATGAACGACCTGTACGTGCTGCACCAGTCATCAGGATGCCTACCGCCATGGCTTAACGCTCACACTACGCCACCTCCGCTGCAGGATGGGCTGGGGATGGGTCATCTCCAACCTTCCATACGGGGAGAAATGGAAAGAACGACGCAAGCTGTTCCAGCGGCATTTCTCTCCCGCCAACAAAGCCTCCCACCAATTCTGCGAGCAAGAGCACATTTCAAAACTGTTGGTCAAACTCCTCGACTCGCCCGATGGATTTATGGGCCATACCCGACAGTGCGTATCCCCCGCAACGACCACTCCATCCATTTCTCGTTTCTCATTCTATGGATTTTTCATTTTAGCATGGTCGGGGGGATCGCATACTCGATCGCCTACGGGTTGTCAGTCCAACCCAATAACGACCCATACATCCAGCTCGCAGAAGCAGCAATCAAAAGCGCGGTTGAAGCAGCCGTTCCAGGTGCTTTCCTCGTCGATTTCGTACCAGCGCTGCGATACGTCCCTGAATGGGTGCCTGGGGCCGGCTTCAAGAAGAAAGCGCGTGAATGGAAGAGGTTGAATAACAAGATGAGGAACAAGCCTTTTGAAGAGGCCGAAGCTCAGATCGTAAGTCGAGTCGGATTAGGTTATGTACTACACGGTTCCCCTGGGCGCTGAACACGTTATTTTCACCGACTAGAACGAGGGAATCGCTCGACCCTCTTTCATTCGAAAGGCTCTAGAGGACTTGGATACATCGGGAAACGTCGCCCACCAGCGAGAGGTCATTCAAGACACAGCTGGGATGGTTTTCGCCGGTTTGTTCTACATTCCCTTCAAACGACCTTTACCAACTTGTATGCTGATGTTCACACCACTCTTCCAGCGGCTGCGGATACGACCACCTCAGCTCTCTGCACCTTCTTCCTCGCAATGATGTGCTACCCCAAAGTCCAGAAACGTGCCCAAGAAGAGCTGGATCGCGTTCTCGGGATAGGGACTTTACCCCAATCCGAAGACGAGAACAGACTTCCGTACATCAACGCGATCGTGAAAGAAGTCCTTCGGTGCGTCCGTCCTTAGCCTTCTCAATGAAACCTCAGCTAATGCTTAAGCTTAAAGTACAGCTCAATAGCTTGATTTTTGAGTATCATGAGGCTGAAGTACCCGAATCGAATGGCGCAGGTGTCCCTCACTTGTCCTCAGAAGACGACATTTTCAACGACTATTTCATCCCACAGGGTACCATCATCATCGCAAATACATGGTATGTTACGCTCTGTTACTTCTAACAATGGACAAAGTACCAATCCACCCCCTTAGGGCAATGCTCCACAACGAGCACGAATACCCCAACCCCGAAGAGTTCATCCCAGAACGGTTCCTAGGTTCTAACCCAGCTCGAGACCCATCATCCATCGCATTCGGATTCGGACGAAGGTGCGTCTTATATTCCTCAACACCTACTATCCCCACCTTTGAATCGTAATTAAACCCGCCCTGGTACTCGGATAGACAATGCCCAGGAGCGCATATAGGCCAATCCACACTCTGGTTAACGGCTGCTTCCGTTCTCAGTCTATTCGATATATCGAAGCCTGTTGGCCCAGACGGAGCAGTAGCTGAGACGACTGTGGAATATGATGGCGGTGTTATCGTGTATGTACCTATTTCTTGTGATCCTGTCAGAGGGATTCTTGCTAACTCCCGATGCCTTCAGACATCCAAAACCTTTCGAATGCAATATCACTCCGAGATCTTTGGTTGCTGTAAAAACGATTCGATCACTCTGTACATGATGTCCGACTATCCCTTCATTAAGTTTAATAATAACTAAAAACGATAAAGTATAGACTCTATTTCCCCGAGCTCACATCTAAAGGAAAAACGGCAAAAAGTATATCCGACCTGCCTGGTTCGAACAGGCGACCCCCAGATGACTTGCTTAGGTAACCCATTACAGTCTGATGCTCTTCCAACTGAGCTAAGGTCGGCGTTATCTTCCTTTGATTACCGGTGCACAAGAGGCCGCCGCCCCAGTGAAGGTCCAAAAGTTCGTGACTCCGACGGGAAGAGCGGATTACTGCAAGTCGAGAGAGATGAATAGACATGAGACGTTGCAAGGTAATGTACATGGTATTTGCTACAATGCATACAGGGAGTCGCGACGATGGTGTCAACTGCAAGGGTCTGAAGATGGATGCAAGAAAAACATAATGTGCAGCCCTGAACGACAGGGATAATCGATAACCAGTCACAAGAATCATAACCCGAACCACCTAGAAAAAAGCCCTCCCGAGCTCGAACCCGAACTACCACCACACCGATTCCCATCATTACTTCCCTTCTTCGAGACTTTCTTCTTGCCTTTACTACTACCACTACGGCAGTGACTTCCACCCCACGACGCGTGCCCATGGCCATAATACCGCGGCTCCATGGTATAGCCATACGACACTCCAAACCCGTTCATCGTAAAAGTGTTGGTAGCCGTCTTTAAGGTGTCCATGAAACCAGGCCCGTCCCACTTGGCTTCGTCGTCGAAGCTGATTAGGATGTTGGCGTTGGTGGTGGAGAGTGTTACTTGGTCGCCTGTCCACTCGTCGTTCTGTTCTCCCCCTTCATCGGAGGAATATTTGAGGGTTGAGACGTCCGATATGGTGGTGGACGCGTCGTCGTCGACGTCCATGCCGGCGGCACTGGTGCTGGTACCGGTGTCATCATCATCTCCCACCACTTCTTGGATCCTCGATCCCGCGGGCTCGCCGTACTCCCCGATAAAAGCCGTCGTGGTCTTCCTGTCTTCGCGCAGGTGGAACAGACTGCGGTCTCCAGCTCCGGAATTGTTCTGGATGGCGTAGGAGAATCGGGTGGAGGCGTTACAGGTTGTGGCGGTTACGGTACCGCGGAAGGAACGAGGGATTTTGAGCTCGATGCGCCCGTTTATGGATTTGATGTTCAGTTTGACTGGGAGGCGGGGTGTGGAGGCGGTGGAGGAGGGGTGGTCGTGCTGTCGTGGGGAGTCGTGAAGTTAGGTTAGGACTCGTCAAAGGCTGATTTGGACGCACCAAGTTGAAAGCGACGCTCGCGTTGCATGTGCTCACGTTCAAGATCGCAAACTTGGGATTACCAGGTCGTCGAGCGACGGCAGGGTTCGCACCCGCCAAGTACACATCAGCTTGTATCTTGCCATTCCAACTCTCCAGATTGAAATGTCGTCGTTCAGTTTCGCCTATCAGTTTGGACGGTTAGCGTCACGAGAACGATGACCCATGGTGAGGAGCAATAATTATTGATAACGCCTTACCTGACTTGAGATTGGGCAGCATTGGTAGAGGAATCTTGAGCAAGGGGTCGATAGTCCATTCTCCGCTCAGCGACGTGTTTTTCCGTGAAATGTGGAGGTAGTTGGTAGCCTTGGGGTATGAGTGTGTCGCGGGCCCAGGTGGAGTCGTAGTTGTTGCATTGGGACCGGGTCTTGTGGCCTGTGGCGGCGCAGGGTAGGGGGTATACGATGGAGGTGGTTCATCCTGCGGTAGACGTCAGTTCAAGCTTGAGCAATGCATAGGAAGGAGGGTGGGCTTTGTACGTACGATGGGCGGAGGATCGAGGATATCACTTGCGTTTGTTGGACTTGTCGAAGATACAGTCGACTCGCTATCACTCGATGCCTGCTGAGAATCAGAAGAGCCTTTGCGAAACTCTTCCAACCCGTCCTTCGAGTCGTGGTCGGGGTTAATGATCATCTTCGCGCGTATTGCTAGAGTTCTACAGGAAACTCAGCTGGGATTCCCTGGTATGAGGGGTTGGTAGAGTAAAAGAGAAAGCCTCTGAGGAGATCCCGCAGCAACAGCCTGCGCTTTAAAACAAACTGGGCGACTGCGGAGCAGGCACGATGCAACAGGGTGGAAAGATCGCCGAGACTTCTGTTCCATTTGAACGTGGGTCCCAGTCACCTGAAGCTTGAAGTATAATTAACTTGCGGGTGACTGGATCGAGGCTTTTTGTTTCATTCCACAGCGAGACTGTGGGTTAACGACGCCGTTGTCCTTCGACTCTGTAGTCAGGCGCAGGGAGAAGGTATGTATTCGCAAGGATCTTGGCCGAATTGATAGTCATATTGCTGCGTCATGGATCCATTGAGCCTGTGCCCAGAGGACTCCAGCGGTTGAGGAGCACAGCCTGGGTTTTCCGATGTCGTATGCGTTGAATGGGCTGCGGGATAACGGAAGTCTGGATACCCAATAAACGAGTTTTCGTCAGGAAACAGAGACCAGAAAGCATGCAAATGCTTTTATTTTAGGCGACGCTGCGGTGGACGTGTCGAATAAGCTTCGCGGGCGAGGGAACGAGACTTGAAGAGAACCTCGGCAAACACTTTGCCGAGGAACCATGAGGTCGGCAATGTCCGAACTGCTGGTGGCTGAGAATTCCGCTCATCGAGCCGGACAAGGACTGCCCTTCCTCCACCTGCTACCCCCCAGTGTCTCGTTGTGCTCATCCTCTATTTCCTCTTCCCCCACTCACCAGATGAAGATTCTCCAGAAGCGCTATGGAGCTCGTCTAGATCTCGTCAATGTTTTCTAGAGGAGCAGGTTTATTGGGGTCAATCCCGAGGTCTACAGAGGAGCTGTAGCTTCATGGCGATGGGGAGGGAACACTGTGTAGGGGATGATGCCTTTTAGCAGATATGCTGTCGACAATCACCAGATATCCCTCTCTGTTCAGTTCTCCCAACGAGAGCACTGCTGGTGGAACCGTTTCTGAGCTTTCGGTTGGATGGAGTACACGACCACACCGCCACTTTCTCCTCTGGATTATCCTTGAGATTCTCTGGATTCGTTAAATACATTCCTCTTCGTCTATTGTCTCGCACATCCGGAGTGTCGAGTATTTACAAGGTGTGTGTTTTTCCAGTTGCCTCGTTTCAACTTGCTGACTTTTTTCTTATCCAGTTGTATTCCAATTATTGTTGAATCAGAATACATCGACCTCCCCTGAAATCCATACGCCATGCCACCTTTAAATTCTGGTCGTCCTTGACTGTTCTCGTTAGAGGGCCTCAGTTGTCGAAGGTTGCTGGACGACCCCGAGTCCATCCATCGGTCCTTCGGTCCCCCCATGGTTTTGATCGGCATCCACAGCGCCCCATCCACCTGTCTAGGGCCACCGCACTCCTCGTTTTCAAGACGATCCTACTGCTTCTCAAAATTGACGACGTGGGCAGGGTTGAGGGTTTTGATCCACTCATTTGAATTCGCCAGGTCCATCCAACAGACAGTACGTGTCTTACTTTGGCTATTCCTGATAGGCTTGCTCAGGTTTATCCTTCCAGAACACAGCTCATGTACTGCACCGGTCATTGGCCCCTGGTCGTCCAGAAATATCGGGTTCACATCCAGATCTGGTAAGTGACGATTCGGAGTAGGTGCCGGGGACCCTACGTCACTTTTCAATCATCCCGTCTTGAATCTCTTCCGGGTTCAAGACTGAACACGATGTAGCATAGCTTCCCCAGCGCTACAGTTACTATCCGTTCCTATCCAGAGCCTGAGCGCCTATGAGCGATCCACAGGCTTGGCAACAGTGGCGGTCCATGAGAGCCTCGGCCGTGTCACGCGTCGCTTACGTAGACTTCGACTCCTGATTCGACCTTTGCCCGGCGGTCCGATCACATTTCGGCCAAAATCCGAACGCTTTGACCCACTGCGGACGACAATTCGAACGACGACGAACTCGATTTTTGGGGCCACTCGTTATTGTTTTTTTCTGCAACCTTACAATCGCTGGCCCTCTGTAACTCGACATGGCCCGGACGCACCTCTCGGGGTCATCGACCCTCAGAAATCGCAACCGGATCACCAACAAAACTCGCTTGAGGATCATCAAGGGCAACGTTGACGCTGAGGACCTTTTCATCCCCGACGAAGACGAAGAGAAAGCCCGTCTCACCAACCTCGTCGCTGGAGTCGACGTCGAGGACGCCAATGTGAGCCTCAATTTTCATGCCACGTCAGCCATCGATGGTGGCAGTGCGTTCCGCGGAATCGCTTACTAATATAATACACTTGCAGGAGCATCACTTGCAGCAAGTCTTGTCCGCCTCGCATCGGACTCAGGTCGAGAAGAAGGCCGAGGAGAAGGCCGCTTTCATCCCGACCCCGGACTCGACTGGTGTCGTTCCAAATGCAGACGAGTTTTATCCCCCTAACCGATGGAGAGACCCGGCCACTTATGTGGCCACTTCGACCACCGTTGATGAGGCTGTCAGGGATGGGATTGCAGGAGGATTCACATATTATATGGACGAACGCGACAAGGAATGGCTAGACAGGAACAACGAAGAGGCTAGAGGTGAAGGTACCAGTGCCCAAGGCGCTGTCTCCTCACCGACTAGCACACGCACATCTGCTCGAAGCGCCAAAGCAAAGGGCAAAGAGCCAGACCTCAACCAACCAACAACAATCTCTGAAGACGAGTTTGAACTCGTAATGGGTCTGTTCGAAAAGATTACACATGACAAGACCGAGTTTCTTCACGTCGTAGGTATATATTCCATATTCTATTGCTCTGTGCTCAATGTTTCTCTGCAGGGTCTGGCCAATAACCACATGGCTTTCCCATCATTCGCGGAATACCAGCCTATATTCGCCTCGCCACTCACGCCTGATATGTTTGCCTCGTACACGATCCCCTCCTGGATACCCCAACCCTCCCATCTTCTCCGCCTAGCAAGAATCATCTACCCATACTGGAAAGAACGACGACTCGAGCGCGAAGGCCACCGCATCATACCCACTCTCAACTTTGACGAAACAGATACTCTCAACGAGTCCTACATCTGTTTCAGACGTCGCGAGATCAAGGCAGTCCGCAAGACGCGTCAAGCACAGGCGTCGTACTCTGATAAACTCTCCCGACTGCAGGCAGAGTTTGCTTTCCCGTTGGAGCTTGCCAAACTTGTCCTACAGCGAGAGCTGAAGAAGAAGGAGAGTGCGATGCAGGGGCAGGAGGTGTGGCAGAAGAGGTTGGCGTTGGTGGATCTGAAACGCAAGTTTCCTTCGTTTTCGGAAGCAGACGAGGAGCTTCTCGTGGACAAGGAGCGACCAAGGAAGCCCGACGTTGTGTACGTTCGCTCTCTGATATACTTGATCATGGACTTATTCTCTTCACAGCCGTCTGCCACCGCGGCCGCCTCGACCAAGCGAGATTTTCACTCCAATCCCCCAAGTCGTCATCAAGCCACGCGAACGAATCGCGCAGGTCAGACAACAAACCGAATCCATCCTCGCAAAGCAGAAGGAAGCAGACAGAAGTTGGGAAGATGTCATCGACAACCCCTACCAAGCCCCTGCTGTCCCTTACGCATCCCGCCTCTTCCAATACCTCCCGCCCTCCGGCGCGCCTTCCCACCCCTCCAGCAGTTCCGACAAGACCTCCGACAGCGACGACGAACGTCCTGCGAAGGCGCCACGCGTTGCTCGCGCGGTTCGGCTTCGCTACGGCCGTGGTGGTCGTCTGCTTATGGATCGCCGGGACGCTGCGCCTCGGCGTCCTATCCCGAAGGCTGCCCGTTCGTCACTGTTTGGTGGTGGTGATGATGACGATATGGAGGTGGACGAGCAGGATCCTGAGGAGGTTGAGCGCTTGAAGAGGCTTGAAGCTCAGTGGAGGTATGATGCTGATGATGGTCCTGCTTGTGGACCTGAAGGACCGGAAGAGCAGGATCGTATTCTTGTGGATGATTATGATCCTACGTAAGTATTTTCGCTGTGGGAAAGTGTGTTGTACAGTCTTAACGATTTCTTTGCAGGTACTTGCGACATGCCATGACACTGTTCACTGAAGCCGATCACGCCCACCTATCAGTCGACCCGACAATCCATCTTCCCAACGCCAACGGCCAGCAATCCTCGGTCATCCCGTACAGATTAGGTATGCCACCCATGGTACGCCGAGATGCTCAAGGCAACTTGCGGCCTGTCCATCCTATGACTGGGGCGTTCCTTCCTGGCATTGTGCCACAACACCCGGGCCTCCGCGCACCCAACGCGATGCACCACCAGATCCGAAAAATGCCGCCGCCCAACGTGCTCCCGCAGATGCGCATCTCGTCGAATGGAGGCATGCGCCCGCCTAGTGTGCCGCCGTCTGGTGCTCAGTCTATGCCGGCTCAACCACCGACGACGACGCCATTCCCGCAGAACCCGGCGGCGAACGGTGTTAATGGCGCTACACGACCGGGGATTGCGATGCCCCATGTCAACTTGGCCAAGCCACCTGAACAGATTGTGAACGGTCAAGCTGCTGCTGCTACTGCTTCTGGTTCGCAATCGAGGGAGGCGACTCCTCAGCAAGACGGGGCTGCTAATGGCAACGGTGTTGCTGTCCCTCCACGGCCCAAGTCACAGAACCAAACGCCCGTTGCGCTCAGTGTGCCCGCTAATGGGTTCCACCTCACCCCGTTGAACCCACTCAACAACGCCACACCGTACGCTCATGCCCTTCAGAGATCAGCTCCTCTCCTCCAGAAGACGCCGCAAGAGATCAAGGCTGCGCTGGCGAATGGGACCTTGAATTTGTCGCCGCAGGATATTGCTGCGTTGCAGGCTCAGGCTCAAGCACAAGCGCAGGCGCAGCTTCAAGCACAAGTACAAGCACAGGCGCAGGCTTCCAACAACCAAGCCAATTCCAATGGTATTCCCAACGGCAATCCTGCTACGAATCCCAGTAATGGAGCGGCTGTTCAACAGCTTTCGGCAGCTGAGATCAAGGCTAGGCAGATGCAGTGGGCTGCGTTGGGTGTTGGAGCGCAGAGGGCTGCTGTTGGTGTTAATGGTGTAGTGGCGGCTGGTGGGAATGCTCAGGGAGGAGGTCCAGGGGGAGTGAGTGCTAATACCAATGGGGAGGCTGGTGCTGGTGGTGCTGGCGGTGGTCAGACGGCGATTTGGCATCGGATTGGGAAGCCACCGACGTATGATCCTCGGTCGCTTGCTATTTGCTAGGTGAGGTGATTGATGATACCATCCGGATTTCGAGTCATTTGGACTTGAATCTTTGCTTTCGATACATGTTACACGTTACAATCCCAGCTCCTATCACACACATGACATCGTACAGCGTTATATGTTAGCGTAGATTAGTTTTAGTATGGACTTTTTTTTTCTACATGTTTCCTTTCTTCTCTCTCATTTTTTACGTTGTACATTTTCTTTTTTCGTCACGCCGTGGGCTACATAGTTGCCTTGACCCATTTTTCTTTACATCTTTTCAAGGTCGCAGAGCCGTGTATTTTTTGGGGACAAGTAGTATGACCCCTTTGTATGTACAAATATAAACCCCGCGGTAACACGTACGGTTTTCTCGTACGGTATAATCCTCGTGCTACTCTTGAGTCTTTCGAAAACTTGAACTTTGAAACCTGCTTGAAGCTTGAATTGAACTTGCAAACCAGGCAAAAAGATTGGCAGCAAAATTGATCGGAGTTTCCCGCGCCGAGTTCCCTTCTGTCGACGACACCACCGACGACGCTAGTGACGAGTAGACCGGTCCCCTCGATGAGCACCCGTCGTCCTCAGCACTCACGACTCGGAGGTGAAACAGGATAGTATAGAAGAAGAAACTTGGACATGCTACCACTGCTTCGTGCTACCCGAAAAGGCCACGAGCACCTCTATCGACGATGGATTCATTCGACCAGTTCGTTGGGCAATTCTTCTTCTTCGACGCCTCACTCGACGAGGACGACAACCCGGAAGACGACGACGGCCGACCCAGTCATCGACGATTCCATCATGAGTAAAAGTCAAAACCCAACACTTCAAAGAAGACGAAGTATCGGTAGAGGTGGTCAGAATCTTAGTGAACGCTACAAGAGGCTTGAAAGATCGCGGAGGGGGAAGAAGGCGAGGACGAGGGAGGTGGTCGAGTTAGAGAGTTCGGCGTTGGGTGTTCAGGCTGCGCCTTTGACGGCGACTACGGCTACGACTACGACTCCTTCCGAGAGTCCAGGGACGGCTGGTGCACCGGGTGTGGTGGGGTCTACTTCGAGTGCGGCTTCGACTTCCACTGTGACTGCGACTTCGACTTCGACTGGTAGTGCTACCTCGAAACCGGGCGTGGAGACTTTCAAGGGGTTGGTGATTCCCCGTAAACCCGAGCCTCCGGCGGATGATGGTGCGTCGAACCAGTGTTGTATGGAAGTGATATACTGATTTGGTTTGTATAGAATGCTGCATGTCAGGCTGCGCTATTTGCGTGTACGACCTCTACGACGAGAGTCTCGAAGCCTACGAAGAATCCATCGACAAAATCCGGGCGAGGCTCACGGATATGGGGGTCGCTATGGAGGAATGGCCTGCGTCCATACGCCCGGGAGCGTCGTCGTCGTCTTCGCAAGCATCGGATTCGCCTCAGGCTGCACGAGGAGCGGTTTATAGCGCGTTTGAAGAGCTGGAGCGGAATTTGAAGGCGAAGCAGGCAGCGGCGGCGGAGAGTGCTGCTAGTGCTGAAGCGAAATCCGATTATCCGTCGTCACCATCGCCACTGCCGCCGCAGCCTCAGCCAGCATCAACGCAACCAAAAGTGACATCTGCAACAAGTTAGTGCACCTCGTCATCCGACTGTTCAATGCAACGTCCTATGCTATCGCCTATGATGGCATTCATTATCCATTACTTATATGTTAACAAATGCATTTCGGAAGCAGGTACAGACACTGTTCTATTGGACACTGCTAGTCCGACTCCGCGTGTCCGTCGACGTTCGCGGCCGCCAGAGTCTATGGTGCGGCTCACGGACCCTACGGAGGAATTTAATCTTCGGAATGTAGTGGAGGGCTTGCGCTGGGTGGTTTTTGGGAACCGGTAGGCAATATGCGTTCATACCCTTGGTGGACTCTTTAGACTCGTAGGTGCTACGCTCTACCTTAGTGCCGTCGATTAATTTATAGATATACTATAGATTTTCGGGCCTATCTAGTGTTATTTGGAGCGAGAATATCACGTGCGTATCGTTTTATCATGGAATTCACTGGTGTGGTGACTGGAACCTGGAAGTGGACGAATTGCACTTTAGGCGCCCACGAATTGATCCGATCAAGATTGGCGCTGGTTTGTGAAGCGAAGCCCCTCCAGGGCTCAACGTTACTGAAGGTGCCCTAATTGAAATGAATACCGTGTGCAGAGTTAGAAATCTGTTTAAATGCGATAACTACTCATCCATCTATGTTGTAAATCGCCATTTCAAGTTCATTCTCGCTAATTCATCTAATGCAAACTACCTCCCCCTCACCGCCCCGTCACCCTCTTTTCGATCAGTCTAAGTGGGACGTACAGCAATCCAGTAGCGGCCATCGCAACCTCAAACCCAATATCGCCAGTTATCTTTGCAATGGGACCCGTGAACCACGTTTGATCCATGCACGGGACAACCACTGCGAATGACCCTATCGAGGCAGCCGCAGCGGCAATCCCCAAGGGTAGCTTTCGCGGGTCGTTCCAGGCAGCAACCTCGTAGTTCCTGGAGTCCTGCCTTCTGAAATAAATGTGCTCGAGGAATATAACAGCGATGAACGCTGCGGCCCAGTAGCCCGTGAGACCGAGGAGGTTGGTGAGAGTATCGTAGAACTTGGATGCACCGGGGATGGCGATTGCTATCATACTAGCCCATCCACCAGTAACAAATCAGTCCATGCATCCAGACAAGAGAGGCTGAGAAAACTCACATGGCGGTCGAAACAACGGCATAAACGTATCTTGGTATAGCTGCGAATCGAGGGATACACGCTTGCCAGATAACGGTGATCGAATACGACGTTGCCGCGATGTTTGGAGTGATTGACAAGGCGAGAAGGACGGAGAGGAATTTGCCGAATCCACCGAGGGGTTGGAGAACGGCGCCCAGTAGAGCACCGACGTCTGCTCCGCCGTATCGTTGTTGCCATTCGGGAATGGTTGTTGCTGCAATGGCTGTCGCTGCGCCTAGGCATTGAATTGGGATCTTTGGAAACATCAGCATCGGGTTGTCGTTCAAACAGGTGTTTAGGGACTCACGAGGGATAGTACGAGTCCACTGTAAACGTACAGGAAGACCCTCCATGCTGAGACGTTAGGTCGATAGTAAACGGATGCATCAGTTGCGAGAGGACAGTATGTGATGGTGAATCCTGCTAAACTTGATGCGTATCCGATGATAGCTGAAGCAGTCAACGGTGTAGTAGCGGGAGGAGGGTTTGGGAAATGTTTCCCTCCAAACCCGGCAGCGATAATAAAGGTAGTGAGGAATGGTATCCATCCGATTAGGGATAGCCTGTCCGTTTAGCTTTAGCTCACATCATAGTGATAGTGTACGAAAGCAAGCCTCACCAATTCAGGACCTTAACTCCACAGAACGAGACTAGTAGCGAGACAATGCAGACAACGACGATACCAATGCTAAAAGACGGCCAACGAGTTAGTCCCAAGTGTATCTTGTAATGCCAGTCGATGCTCCACTCACGCCCAACTCAGTCCATCCGTGATGCTAGCCAGTGCCTGCCCCCCAACGATCGCGGCCATAATGGAGAACCCGATCATTGTGACGAGGTTCAAGAAAGCCAGGGGCATAGTACCGTAGTACCCGAAAGAATACCTTGCCAGGACCATGGTTCGCATTCCGAGCTTGGGTCCCCAGGTGACCCTGCAATTATGAGTAAAAAGCCTGTCAGGATGTCCCACAGCGACCGGGGAGGCAGAAACTCACTCGTAAGACCCTGGGATGCAGAAGAGCGCGTTGAAAAATATGATGGCGAGGCAGGAATCCCCGAGTCCAAGGCCAAAGATGACGGGGCCTAGCGTTCCAGCAGAGAACCTGCACAATGGGATAAGCCGTGAGGTCTGCTAGCAGTAAAGCTAACGCACGTCAAGATATTGATGTTCCATGTAAAAAAGAGGAAGAAGAGCTTGTAGAATTGGGTGTCCGTTTGCTCTTCTGGTGGAACAGGTACGATGCCTGGGAGCCTGTGAGCAACGCGCACCGCGGGATCTGGGTTGATAAAGCCTACCTCGGCCTTCGACGCCAGCCTTGAGCAACCTGCGGGTCCATCGGTTCTGGCGGTTGCTTCGAGTGGAGATGGTACTTTCGTCGACCTCGCGGACAGTGACGATCGTTGGCGTATCTCCCCGCTCCTTGTCTCCCTGCTTGTCGTAGACATGACACCCAGAGTCCGGCTTTGAAACGAGAGGCACTGACATGGTTTTCAGACGTGCATTCTTAACACGAATCGGTGTCGCCTTAAATGGCGTCACAAAAATGACGCCTAGTGTGGCCCTTAGACTCGGAGGACCTTACCCGCGAGTGGGAGGTATCTGAACTAGTCCCACCTCGTGCTGTGGTGTCACGAAGCGGTCGGAAAAGAAAGGGGCGCGATGAATTTTAGGAGCTGAGAATGGACATTGGCTTCAGCTTCAGCGCGAAAAAGTGTGTTTCGTACTCACCATTTTGTGGGGCACAGTCGGCGGTCCAATTGTACATTCCATTCTTCAAGCATATCCGCTGTTGTGAGGTTGGGCGTCAATGCGAGTATGGGAAGGATTATTTTTTTTTTGAATCGAACGCCGGAATGTCGGGCCTCTTTCGCAGTCGAAGGTCGGCGATGCTGGCTTCCGTTGCCCTGCATCTCCAATGACGGAAACATTCCGTGCTGTTCCACCCGGAAACTGCAGGTCCGGAAAGGTATGTGGCTGCGAGCTGGAAGAAGCACAGGACGGATGCCTGTGGTACCACAGCACCATGTGACACTCCGAACCACATTTCCTCGACGTTTGAAGTGTCTTTGGAAGCCTGGTTCTCGCGCTAGCTGTATATCGGTTGATATCCCGCACCGCCCAGAGGGTAGGCACTGTAAGGTGAGAGCTGTGATTAGGGACCTTGTTATCGTCGCTTCCTTGCCTCAAGAGGCAGGATTAGGTTCGCATTAGCGCACCTGAGATTGAACTCAAACAGTCTCGAGAAGCACCAGGGAAATCAAGTCATCGCCCACAGATCTTCTCACTGCAGCGTATCACTGTCGAAGACGTAGAGCTTGAATACTTTGCACGGAGTTTACAGTTAAGCCACGGTCGCGGTGATGGAGCGAGCTTCGCAAACTGAGGTCTTCGCATCAGTCCGACATCCCGACATCTTATCTTATCTAAAAAGGATCATGGGCGGGGACTACGAACTTTGGTCACTGTGATGCTTGGCTCTCTTGCACAAACCGCCATTGGCCCATCGCCAGACTCGCGATCTGCCACTTGGATGTATCCATTGCGGCCAATGACTTCTTCGACGCCTCATACGACGCTCAATGACTCTAAAGGTCAAGGAACTTGATCATCGTCACCTACGCAACTAGATCTCTCATGCCAGCAATGTCAACAAAGTGTAGACAGTTGCTCTGTACAGGCTGCTTCATGGCCTGTATCCTCTGCGGATGCGATTCTTATCCTCGCATCGAGTGTCACCCACCTCGTGCTTCAGCCTATACGAATGACAGTTCTCTCTGCGTCTTCTTACTCGGGCGCTGCTATCGAGACAGCCACAGGTTTCTGTGGACTGTATAAAAAGTTGGGATGGTGAACCGGAAACAGCATCGTCCTTCGTTTCCTTCTTTGGCTTCAATCTTTCGTTCGCTTTCGTTCCCTTCGTTCTTTCTTTCAACGTCTTTTGAGCCTGGTCGCTTACCTATCTTTACCAATCTTCACCGAGTTCCTGTGGACACACCCTCTTTAAATTTGCGCTGTAAGTTCTCTCATTGTTAGTTCTCCTGCAGTGGATGGACTCAGAGATGTCCTTGGCTCCCTCTCACCAGACCTTTTGAAATAACTTCACAATGATGTCCAAGATCTTCACTCTCTTTACCGCCCTTTCCGTCGTCCTCTCCGCGACCCAGGCTGCTCCTACCACCCACGAGCAACCCGGTACGTTCAACTCAATATCTTTGCACAACCACAAAGCTCAGGTATCCTGCGTCTCTCAGAACCCGCTCACGTCCCCGCTCCCGCTCATGAGCCCGTTCATGAACCTGTTCATGAACCAGTCCACAAGGCCCCTGTTCACCTCCCTGTTCACGAGGCGCCCGAGATCGGTAAGCATCTCACCCAAGGGATCGAACCATCTTACTGACACTTTGGCGTGCACTCAGTGGTCCCAAAGCACCTCACTTTCGATCGATGGGGCGGCTTTGACTCTCTGAAGGGCTTCGATAACTTCTATGGTCTCGACAACTTCGATGGCCACAGGTTTTCTCAAGTCATCGTCAAGCCCAAGCACGAGTTGGTCTGCCGTGTCCAAAACGTTCACGTCGTCCAACAGCGCTTGCTCGTTCTCCAAGAGCTCGCCAAAAGGTACATCCCAATTCCTATCTCTTCATGACCAACTTTAGCTAAACCACCTTCTTCCAACCTCAAGGATTATCACCGAAAGGGTCTGCGAAGTCGAGGCCCAAACCATCCTCTTCGAGCAGTTCCACGGCGGCTTGCGCAGCTTCGAGCGCGACCTGCTCCGCCTCCCCGGCGCGCACCAAGTCGGCTACGACGAGAAGATCGTCAGCCACTTCCCCAAGTTCTTCAACAAGGACGGTTCGCTCAACGATGACGACTGGGGCTTCACTGGACACGAGCTCGGTCGCAACACTGTCATCGTTCGCGGCCACAACTGGGACGACAGCCGCTCGTTCAAGACTGTCAGGGATGCTTGGCATGCCGCACGAAATGCATGGGGAAGGTTCTGGTAAATTTAAAGGGTTGGCGCTCGTTTACTACCACCCTTTGGTGGATCTGGGACACTTCGCATATTTATAGACCTTCCTTGTTGTGTTCGACTCGGTCTTGTTGGTTGATAGATACCTTAGTACTTTACACTCATACCATGGGTTTTAGTGCCCTGTATTTTCTTCGCTTGTTGAATTCGAGACGAGGACTTTTAATGCATATTCATGACTCGGGATGTGCCCAAGTCGAGATACATTATCGAAGGGGATGATCAAGTCGAACAAACCCCTTCACAAGTTCCTGAAATTGAAAATCGGGACCATCTTGCAGAAATTTTATGTACGTACTTGAGACCAAGGAGCTCATCCTTAGCCTTTTGCTTGAATACCGACTGGCGACCTCTAGGACGAACTTGTACGGCTGTTACTCAAGCTCGCCCCTATCGTATGCCAATGGGGGAGTGATCGGATCACTGCTGAGATCAATGCTCGGATTGCGCTTCGGGTTTCGTCTGGACGGTCTCTGGGTCTGGGTCACCGAGGGCGACCGCCTCACAGGTCGGCGGCAAATGCGTCCTGGTGCCATCCAGGCCCACCAGTCAGCGCGATTCATGAACACAGGAATTCGACAGTCATCCGAAAGCTATATTTTTAATTCCCAGCGATGGCTTGCTCGCCCACGCCAAAAACCCGATATCGCTAGGTACGCTACAACCTCCCCTGTATCCTCCTCTCAATCATTCTAAACGGCACATAAAAGATCACCGTAATAACAAACGCAACCTCAAACCCAATATCACCCGTCTTCTCCGCAATGGGTCCCGTAAACCACACCTGGTGCATGCACGGTACAATCAAGGCGACCGACATGAGGCACGCAGCAATAGCCGCAATGCCCGATGGTAGCTTGCTGGGTGTGTCCCAGGACTCGGCGTCGTAGTTGCGCGGATCGTTCTTTCGGAAGTAGTGGTGCTCGACGAGGAGGACGGCGATGAAGGCGGATGCCCAGTACCCGATTAGACCGAGGAAGTTGACGAGGGTGTCGTAGAATCGGTGTGCTCCTGGAATAGCCAGGGCGACGACACTAGTGACGCAAAGTCAGCCTCGGTTGGATAACCAAGCTAAGAATAAACACTCACATCCCAGTTGTGATAATCGCGAAGACGTATCTTGGTACGACAACGAGCCAAGGGGCGAATGCCTGGAGGGTGATGGAGGCAGAGTAGGCGGTCGCGCAGATGTTGCCTGCTACGGAGAGGGCAAGTAGGACAGTCAAGAACTTGCCGAATCCTCCTACGGGACTAAGCATCGCGTGAAGCAGCCCGCCCACATCTCCTCCTTCATAAGCTTGTTGCCATTCTGGTACGGATGTGGAAGCTGCGACTGCGACGGCAGCACCGAGAGATTGGAGGGTAACCTACAGAACGAGTCAGCTTCACAAGTACTGGTTAAGAACAGAAGAAGTAAAGAACTTACAATCGGAACCAGCAGTCCAATGTAGGAGTAGATGAAGATCCTCCATCCAGACACATCATGGCGATAGTAAACCGCAAAGTCGGTAGCAACTCCGGTAAAGGTGATGGCGAAGCCAGCGAGCGTCGAAGCAAAGCTCAGGACAGAGGACACAGTCGCAGGCTCCGCAGCCGGCGGACTCGACAAATGCTTCCCTCCAATACCCAGCGCAATAATGAAAGTGATAACGACGGGTATCCATGCGATACGCTCGTACCAGTTGAGAACGTTGTATCCACCAAACGAGACTAGTAGCGAAATCAACGAAATCACGACAATCCCCACACTGTGATAAGCGTCAGCCACACTGATAACACCATCGTCAAAACAGGAAACTCACGTCCAACTCAAGCCGTTTGTGATGCTAGCAAGCGCCTGTCCTCCCAAAATCGCGTTCAGAACCGAGAAACCGAGCATAGTGATGAGGTTGAAGACGGATAGGGGGATAACGCCATAATAGCCGAAGGAGTATCGGGAAATGACCATGGTTCGCATTCCCAGTTTCGGCCCCCATGTGCAACTGTAAAAACACGTTGTTAGATCGTAAGGAGGATAGCGATGGTTTACAGGTATTACGCACACATAGGCGGGGAAAATGCAGAAAAACATACTGAAAAACAGGATGATTAGGCATGTGTCTCTCAGACTCAGGCCGAAGACGACAGGTCCGAGTGTTCCAGCCGAGAAACTGATATGCAAGGGGGATTCAGAGATCAGCACTCCAATCTACCACTGAAAACGCACGTCAAGATGTTGATGTTCCAAGAAAACCAGATAAAGAACACTTTGAAGAACTGGGTATCGGTGCGTCTTTCTTCTGGTACAGGCTGAATTCCTATCGAACCCAACACAATCAGTTAACATTAAGAAATATCCAGGGAGGGAAGAGACGCACCTCGATCTTCAACTCCAAACTTCAATAGCCTCTTCGTCCACTTATCCGAGTAAACGGCAGAGGGCACAGACTCTACCGTCGGCGAGGGACTCTTCTCCCTCACCACTTTCTCCTCCTGACCCTCCAAACCCTTCTCGAGTTGCGACATGACGACGACAAAGAATACAACCCAATCGACGACCGTTGACGAACGATTTCGAAGATGGAAGTTGCGCTCCAAGGGACGAAAAACTGGGAGAACCCTCTTTCGAACTTTGAGTCAAAAAGCCCGTACACCACAACGGGACTTTAAAGCGTTTGTGAAAGGTATGAGAACAACTTCTTTCCCCAAATACATGGCGTGATGCTGTGGGCTCGCTCGAGTCATGTCAAAAAGAGGTAATGGGACTAGGGTTCAAAAAAGAAAAGGGTTTCGGACAACGGTGCACAATTCAATTGGACGAAATTCAAAAAATCGTTGCCCTCGGTCGAGGTACAACCCGGAACTTGACCGGAACAGTCTAAAACCACCGACGATCAATCAATAACTGCCTAAATTCATTGCCAAGCCAATCTCGAATGAGTTTCGAAGGGTTTGACTGGAGGGCGACAGTTTAAAAGCTATGCTTGGGACGTCCTGAAGACGTAACTTGAAAGTGAGTACCATAAAGGTACTCAGCCCATGGAGCTGGTCTTTCCCAGCTCTTGTCAAGAACGCCTCTCTTCGACTCCGACATCCAGGGCTTCTTGGAGGTTCTTTCCGGTCGCGGGTTCTTGGGTGAACCTTGGAACTGATCTGGCAGACGACGATCTAACTGTATAACTCAGACTGTATAGCAAATAACAGGTATGTACACGAAAGCAGGACAAGCAACATGACTCTATGATACAATTAAAAGGAAACAAATGTACAGCACCACTCCTGATCCTAATACTCTCCATCTAGAACGAAGCAACAAGACTCTGCAACCAAGGATTCCCCTCAATTTGGGGCTGGAACTTAGCAAGGTTCTCTCTGAGCGCTTTCAATTGAGCTTCAGTATCATCTTCATCTACATCCATATCGACGTCACCATCGGCCGAAGCCGTCTGTCCAGTCCAAGCTTCAAAGAAAGACTTCATTGTCTCGATACCCGAATCAATGACTTCAGGTGGGAACTCTTGCTGGCCCTTATCTATCGGGTCGGAGCTTGTGAGGAAGCGAAAGCTCCAAGGGGCGAGGCACACAGAAAATCTCACCTTCTGTCGCTTTGAACTCTTCCAATTCCTCCGCATTCTTCCTCGCAAGCTATGTACAGCACGCGTAACAAACTCGTATATCAGCTCCATATGGATATGTGGAAAGCAAACTAACGGACCTTCACAACGTCTTCCGGGAAGTTGGCCAGCTCTGCGACGTGAATACCAAAGCTCTGATCCGAAACTCCGGGCTCGACGCGGTACAACAGGACGATATTGTCCTTGCTAGCGCTTTCCCCACCAGCGTCCTTGTTGACATGCGCAACGACATGGAAGTTCTTCACGTGAGGTATTTGCTGGTCCAGATTGGTTAGTTCGTGGAAGTGAGTCGCGAATAAGCAGAAAGCATGGATTTCGGAGGCGATATGTCTATGCAAGGGATTGTCAGATCAGAAGTCAAGGGTTCGAGTCAGGAACAGGATTGCATACTCTGAAATCGCCCACGCGAGTCCGAAGCCATCATAAGTTGACGTTCCACGGCCGAGCTCGTCGATAATGATCAGGGAATTCTTGGTCGCAGACTAGGTATAGGACAATCAGTCAATCACGATCAAATTAGGTTTGAGTCACGAACATACCCTCAAAATAGTCGCAGTCTCCAACATCTCGGCCATAAAAGTCGACACGCCCTTCAGCTGGCTGTCTCCAGCACCCACACGACACAGGATCGAGTCGAAGACAGGAAGTTCGGCTTCAGAGCAAGGCACGAAGGACCCGACCTGTGCCATGAGCGCAATGACGCCGACCTATAATTCAACAGGGTCAAAATAATGGACACAGTGAAGGAAAGCCATTAGGCTCACCTGGCGAATATAGGTAGATTTTCCACCCATGTTCGGCCCAGCTATAAAACCGTCAGTGGAACACCTAGACGGTATGAAGCATGCAGCGTACTGATAATCTGGAATTCGCTTTTATCTGAAAGGGACGTTAGGAGCGGTCAACTCAAGAGACAAGATGGACATACTCTTGATCATCTCGACGTTATTGGGAATGAAGTTGATCCCCTCTTGAACCTCGAGACAAGGATGCCTCGCCTCCTCTAGAATCAAACTGCCCGAATCTACGAACGAGGTCAATAGAATCGAGTCGGGCGATCCGCAGGAGGAAGATCAGACCTTTTTGCACGACCTTTGGTTTGACATAAGGTGTCGGGGCGTTCACAGCGACCTCAGCGAAACTAGCGACGAGTACAGTCGTCAGCGAGATTCTACAACCACAGCGAGCAGACAGCTGCTCACCTCAAAATCACATCCAAATGCGCCAAGATATCGTTTAGATTCTCAAACACAGGCCCATAAGTTGCTAACACCCGTCATAAGTTTCCTGTCCAACGGAATCCACTCAGCCCATTACTCACCAGCAATCTGAACCACCTGCTTAACAACGCCAGTCTGAGTCTTCGAATACAAAGCCGAGAGCTCCTTGAATTGCACAGCCAGCTCCTTGAGTTTTCTGGTCGCGAAATGGACACCACTCTTCGTCGTTGCATATTCAATGTACTTGTCCATATCGACCTTCTTGGCGTCCTGTCGAAAGACTACTGTGTCAGCGAAAAGGAACGATCAGCGGAAAGGGTGTCAACCACTAACAGCCTTGGTCAACCTGAAGCAATACCCATAAGTCGCATTGTTCTCCAAATGCAACTTTTTGTCCAACTCCATGTCCGTGGCATTTCCAACCTTTCGATGTTCAGCGTCCAAACCATCACGGACATCTTTCAACTGTTCGGCCAATTCTTGAAGTTTCGCATCGTAGTCTGGTTTGATGACATAGTTGTGGTTGTCAAGCTCGTCCAGGTCGATGGTCTCCTCGACCATCTCGCCGTATTTGGCCAGACTTCCAGCCGCTTCCTGGAAAACCAGAGGGGTCAGAAAATGCCTCACATTTGGAGCGTAATGACGGTACCTTGTATGTCGTAGCAAAGACTTCTTTTACCAGCTCGAGCTTGGCTTCATCTTCAGCCTGAACAGACTCCAGGGTCTCAACCATCCCAGGAAGCTGGAAGAGACATGTCAGGTGCGAGACGCTTTCAACATAGACTTTTGCCGCTTACCTTGAGAACGACCTGATACACGCGGACGACATCCTCAAGCGTCGCCACTCCTTTCTGGAACCGCTTGTAGATTCTGTTCAGGTCAGGCATGAATTTGAGGTATTCATCTCGCAACGTCCTCCGACTGTTGGTGTCGTCTACGAAAATCTCAACCAAATTTTGACGCTTATCTGTACAGCCGTCAGTACCAGCGAGCACGGCGCAGGGACAGGGTACGTACGGATTTCATGAAGGTTAACTAGAGGTTGCTTGAGCCATGTACCAAGCAACCTGCCACCCTGTGCAGTCTTGCACCTATTCAAGATGCCGAATATCGTCGTGGTTTTGCTCGAACCCTTTGTTGCCTCCTTTAGTTATCCTCCAATTGCGAAACAAGACATAGACGTACAAGCTTTCCAGGACCTTCGACAAGGTTAAGAGCGCGAAGAGCACTAGCATCGAGACGCATAAACTGGGAAAGGTCGTGCGTGCGGATAGAGTACGCTCCGTGGTTGCTTTGATCTCCCAGCAGTGCCAAATAGTTGATTAGCGCAGAAAGCGCGCCAGGGGCATTAGGCAGGCTAAGTTGCGCTACCCAAAGATCTAGATTAGACAATTGCAGTATACAGGTAGTAACGGAAAACGCACGAATAACAGCAGCGATGTCAGCTGAAGAGCTTGATTGCATGGCCGATGGTTTGAGGAGAAGTGGGAGATCGCTGCTGAGATTTTTGACATTGAACTCGCCTGGACTTTGCAGTCAGTGGGCTTCCTTCCATGGACTACGAAGCCACGTACTTGGTTTGCGTTCGGTGATAATGACATTGCAGCGATCCAACACCGCTTTTAATTTGTTGAGGTCGATGTCGCGGTCGGTCGTCCCGCTTGCCGTTCCAGTTGGGATAATAGCCTCCTTCACAGACAGTTGAATCACCAGCGACTGCAGAAACGAGAGAATCAATGACCTGACTCCAGTCTGAATGGAATGGGGGCTCGTACCTCCAAGTTTGAGAATAGATCATTGTCCGTAAAGTCTGCCACGCCCAATTCCCGACCACTCGTGTCTGCAAACGCGACACCTACAGCCCTCAGTCGCGCCCTGTCCATTGGTGCGGTCGCTAACTTGACAGCCATGACAATCGGGGCAGAAATAACATCTGAATTCGAGAACAAGAGGTCTTCGACGGCTTGCAGGTTTCCCGGCGAGGCCTATGTGCATATTGAGAACCTCGCTTAGAAGTAAAAAACGAGATACACACCTCCTTGTCCAATTTAAACGTCGTCCCTTTCTTCCCAGAGCCAGTTTCAGGCGCATATATCTCCACCCTCAGCTGTTTCGACGTCAACGCATCCCTCAACAGCGCATGCGCCTGACTCGTCTTCAGCGTCACACTTGGCAGTCCCAACTTGCCCCCCGCCCCAAGGTACTTGATAACCGAATTGGTATGAAAGACGTTCTGCGCGACATACAGCGCATCAGGGCCGTACGCCGCATACCAATCCTCCCTGGAGAACAGCCGCAGTGTCCCAGTGTCGGGAGATTTCTTGGGTAGGTTGTGGAAGTAGGTGATGAACCGCGGGTCGGTGTTGTCTTTGTCGTTGTGGTCGTCTTTTTCTTTGCCGTACATGGTGGCCATGGTTGTCGGCGTCGTCGTCGTGGTTGGTCGGCCTTGGCGTTGGTGCTGGCGACGAGGGTGAGGGCGAAAGAAGCTTAAACGCGTCGCGTCACGTCACCACACGGGGACGGTCCGTGCGGGTTGATGGGCTGATGGCAGTGGGCTTCGTTCGTCCTGGGCGCTTGCAGTGGATCATGAGGCACGGATCCCAGCTCTACCCATTTCGGCGCTTAGAGGTCCGCGCCAGATGGCATGATTTCACTCTTAGCTCTGTCTCCTGAACTCTCCTGAACAAGTGATCAGAGTTCTCCCCCGAGATGTCCAATCTGTGCGTACCCATTCATATTTACCATTTCTACTACGCTCTGGCATCGAGCGCTTAGGCATGGGGTTATTCTCAAGCTTTGCCACATGGCTACTATGATTCGAGTGGTTTCTGCCCACAAACTCTCACTATTAAACCCTCGTTAAGCTTCCCAGTGATCCCGTGAGTGATTCAGCAATGACGAGCGACGATCATCACGAGTCCGAGCAGACCTCGCTGCTTCTGGCGAAGTTAACTCCGTTTTGTTACCCCCGGTTAGCGGAGGGTTGCGTAGAAGATCCTTGAAGTGCACCCCTCGGAGCCGGATCTCGTAGGTGATAGTGAGCAATTGTAAGTCAAGATGGAGAAGGACTGGATGCTGGGGGATCTTGTCACTCATGGCATCCGGGTCATGCAAGTCTGAGTCGTAAACACCTGGAAGATACACTACCGATGGAGAATAACAACCTGAAGGCCTTACAGAATGGAATAAGGACTCGATTGATGTTATTGAGGAATATTAGGACTCTCTAATCTTGTAGCGTCCGAATCGCATTTTCCGCAATTTCCTGCAACCATAGGGGAAGGTTCATCGAACAGAGTTGAAAGCCTCGGATTGTGAGCTAAGCAAGCTTGTTGAAGGCAGTGAAGCTCTAGTACCCCTCGTAGTTTCCGGAAGTTCAACGAGTCTACTAACTCTTGTTCTCCTATCCTGCGGTTAATTCACGAACCAATCACATCGTATCAACTATGAAGCTCACTACCTATACTCGGGCCCCTCGCTGGGTATGTCTTACTATCCAGGGTTTCTCCATGCGTCACTGACAGACTCGTTTCAGTGCAGCAGGTTGATGTGCATGAGATGGGTGGGTTCTGCATGTTCAGTACGGACAGTGACTTGTGATTAAGCAATTCGACTGTTTATTACTCCCATGTAACCATCGAAGAATTTCAACTGCTTCCAATGTTGGTTTGCACCAATTGCTATGCACAAACACGCCGAACACAGGGTAAAACCCGGCCAAACCAACTATACAGTTCTCATGCTTCGATTTTCCACGATGCACACAACCTCCAAGCCGGCGTCCAATCCCTTTTCACCCTTTGAACCCTTTAACAACCCTTCCTGCCGCACCCGACCCCTCCCCCCTTCCTCCCCTCGCTATCTCCGATTCGCCAACGGTTGTGAGGGTAATTTGCCGTTGTCCAATCATACGGACCTCACTAACCAAAGTCTAGCCACCTACCAGGAAGCTATAGATCACCAAAAACATCGATATCACGCCCCTAAGCGGGCTAGTGGGCCTCCATGTTCCCTTCCTTCCTCCTCGGCACAACTCCTTCCCGATACGCAGCATGCCTGTGCATTGTTGTCAACTGAGCCATCAAGAAGCCGGTCCTGGTGGAATGAATCTCGATCTGATAACATGAACTTCATTTTGAAATTATTACGCTCATTGTTCTTTTCATGTTCAGGTACTTTTCGACGGATTGTGCATTGTTTCGAGGTAGGGTTCAGGGTAAGACCCTGTAGGCGGCTAACTAGAGATCTGTCGTTAAGCGCCAGATGACATCAATAATCCCACCGGTCATTAACGGTGGGAAGAACTTCGGACGGCATCAGGGTGGCCATCAAACATGAACTTCCGCGCCTCATGCACTTTTGAAGAAAATTTCGAGTTCTTCCAGTTCGTGGTACGTTTCGACGCGGAAAGGACGGGGGCATGGCATAAAGGAAGAGGTGTCCTTTGTTTCGCGGAAAGAATGGGAAGAAACTTACTAATTGGACTCATAGACCCCTTTCGAGTCATCGTATTGGTTGGTCCTTGGTGTTCCAGACTCCCAAAATAGACGGATTACGTCATTTGTTTGACTCCGAAGGATCAAGCAATCCCGTGAAATCATCTTGCTGGTTTCCTTGTTTGCCCAATCTGTCCAATTAGGCAGTTACCTCGGGGTTTCGAGGGTTTACCAGAGCCGTGCTACCTCAAGGGTTGATCAGACCCAACTACAAATTGGCATGGCCTCTGCAGTCAATTTTCATTCCAACCCTGCTTCTTCCATCCTGCCACTTCCGTCCACCACTACTTTATTTTTGGACGAACCCAAAAGGCCTGACCGCTGAACACCACTCGACATCTGACAGTCTTCTCAAAGCGCCATCATCATGGAGCCAACACCTACGTCAAGCCTCAAAAAACGTGCGGAGGGAGAGTTCGTAGTCCCGAACTACGGTTCCTCCAGCTCTCTGGATTCCATGTCGTCTTCCCAAAGTGAGTCGCCAGTCGCTCTCCCACCTCGAATCTGCTATATTCATGCCTTAGCAGCCCGACCTCGCAGAGAACTTGGCCGAGTGGCCTCAGTTCGTCGCTATTTGGCCGCGGAAGTCGACGGTTCGCAGGTTAACCCACCCCTATCCGCCTACGCCTTCATGACCGGTTACATGTAAGTACCTGTGCTTCTTTTTTGCCTCCTACATTTCGGGCGCTTACAGTACCTTTCTCTCTAGCGATGCCATTTCGTTCTCTACAATCTTCGTTTGGGTGGGCTTCCAGACAGGGAACTTCACTCAGGTGAGTACTTGCTTGTAGATCCACCGGGAATTTGTCTGACGACCCCTTTCTTTCCGATAAGCTCGCACTCTCTTTTGCCCGCACCATCGAAGCCTACCTATGGGGCCCCCCAGAATCCGCAGTCTTCTTCGTCCAGCATCCTCCAGTCGCCACACGCCTGATGCCTCCAGCAGAACAACTGGCCGCCTGCTCAATATTTTCCTTTGTTCTGGGCACATTCCTGTTTGGACGGATAGGAGATCGAATTGGCACCCACAAACGCGGATGGCTGGTGTTTGGGACGCTGTTCCAGGCGCTACTCACATTGGCAAGCGCGATCACATTCAGACTTTTGGAACAGGAGCCCTCAATTCCGCCGACCATCGCCTCTCTGAATCCCCTCACGACTGTCAGCCTAAAGTATTTCTTTGGGATCGCATGTCTCAGTATGAGTCTGGGGGTTCAGGGTATCATGGCGAGGAGATTGGCAACCGCATTCAGCACGACAAGTAAGCTTTGGATTCCCTTCCAATCCACATCCAGTTACTTACGCTCTACTCTCAACAGTTGTCCTTACCGCCATCTTCGTCGAACTGACTGCTAATCCCGCCCTCTTCCAATTCAGCCGATCGTCACCAGCGCGAGACCAGCAGTGGTTGGCTGCCATCTTCCTCTTCATTGGCGCCTCGGTTGCTCGGTTGATTCTGGGTCAGGTTGGCGTTGCTTCGACGCTAGCAGTTGCTGTCCTCTTCAGGGTCGCCATCGCCTTTTCTTGGCTATTTATCCCCGCAAGACACATCCACCTGCCGTGAACGTTTAGTTCGGTTTTATTCGCTTTACAGCGCGTTCTCGGCTCTTAGATGTCAAGTGCGTGTCGCTCTTTTCTCGCACCTGAACCCTGTTCACCCGCTATTATGTGGGACCACATTTACACACCAGCGACGTACATTATTTCTTTTCTATTCGCATAGACCATACTTACAGGTAGACTTTTTTATGGAATAGAACGTTGCGCCCCTTTTACCTCTCTACCTTTCTCCTGAGTTGCTTGTGACTTCTTCCTTGTCAACGATTAGGAAATCTCTAGTCCAGTTCGCGCAATTGGCAGCTTCCGGTTAGAAGCAATTATCGTTGTCAACCGGCAATGAGTCGAAATTGCCTCCGGGGCAATAGCAAGCCAAGGTCATCAACCATCTGCCAAGGCGTATGGTGATTTGTTTCCTCCCGATTTCACAGGTCCATTTAAGGCGCCGACGGCAAAGTCAAAATCCCCAGCGGCTCCCCTTCCTTTCCTTTCTCTCTCCTTTCCATCCGCATCGCCTCGGCGTGCCAGTTGTTTTTCCACTCCTTTCCACCTGGATCTCTCAGTTGGTTTCAATCTTTGCCTAGACATTTCAGTGACGTAGAAACAATGGCCGCTGGTGGGACCGTCGAGAGCGAAAAGCAAGACTCGCTGGCTTCGGCAACCGCTGCGAACAGCGTGCAAGGCCATGACCCCGAGCAGCAAGGCAAAGACATCCTACAACAAGAAGAGTCTACCTGGATGCAGTATTTAATGACCGATGTGGACCCTAAGGAGTCGACAGGACCTTTGGCGGCGTTTTGTTTTATGACTGGATACATGTTGAGTGGTCGTTATTTAGGTACATCTTCTCCCAACAGCTTACCGACATCGCCAACGCCCGACAGCGACATTATTTCTTTCTCTGCCATCTTCGTTTGGTGCGGTTTCCAGACCGGCAATTTTGCTCAGGTGCGATTTGCCTACCCTTATCTCGCGTGAACCTTCTTCGATTGACTCTTAACCTTCCAACTTGATCTTCGTCTTCCCCGCCGCCGCGATTACCTCTATTATCGACCCCGCACGACTATTAGTTGGGCATAGCGATTGCTCGACTCTGGGAAGGAACACCGGGGAGCACCCACTTCCACCGCGCCGATCAGCAAGCCCTCTGTTCCCTCATCGCCTTCAACGCCGGCTCTTTCCTCGGTCGAATAGGCGACAAAATCGGGCCCCAGAAACGCCTATGGCTTGTCCTCGGAACCTTCATCCAGGCGCTTCTCACCATGGCAGGCGCCATCGCCTTCTGGAAGAGCGGCCAGAACGACCTGGCGGACACACGGGCCATCCCAGCTTGGTCGAACGTGCTCTCCTTTGTTGGTCTGGCGTTTATTAGTGCCAGTTTGGGTTTGCAGGGTGTCCTTGGCAAGAGGCTGAACACTGCATTCGGAACTACCAGTGCGTCTTCCATCTTCCAATCCTCTTCTTCATGCGAAAAAGAAGACAGTGCTGACAACCTGACTCATTACAGTCGTTTTGACAACGGTCTGGGTGGAGCTGATGACCGACCCGAGTTTGTTCAACCTGCGCCAAAAGGTCATCTCTCGAGACTTGCGGCTGATTGCAGCGTCGTCGTTGTTCCTCGGAGCCTTCATTGGGAGGGCTATTCTCGCCCAGATTGGATATGCTGGGACACTGGGAGTCGCGGTTGGATTGAGGGTCCTGATTTCCATCGCGTGGGCGTTTGTGCGCTCGAAACCCAAGAACGCGACTCCGCCTCCTGCCGTCTCGGGAGCGTGAAGGAGCCGAACCGTCCTTCCTTCCCCCCGCGTGGTTTGATTCCATTAGAGCTCCACCCTCCGTTCGTTTTGCGGTACGATAAGATCTCGAGGGTTTATTTCTTGGGTACAGTTATCTCTTAATTATCCGCTTCGATTTTCTTGACGCGCTTCCTTTGTTATATGGTTCGCCGTTCCATCTTGCCTATATTTTTGACCCCTTTACAGATTAGACTAGATACACGCTCGCACTGCCAGCAGCAGCATCACGATACCTACGCACACCCGCCATGATTCCCGCTAGACGATTTGATATCTATCTTCTTCCGTCCGTTTTTACACGCGCCACCCCCAAGTTTTGTTTATAGAGATTGGCTTTGCATTGGATGATCAATTAGATTTTGCATAGATCCAGACTTGTCTGACCGATGACGATAACGAAGTAACAAGTGATAAAGTGATAGTAAGTACTTTGGCATCTATCTAGCAATGCCTCCCATTTACCAACCTGATCCCAGTACGAACGCCGCCGGCCTCGGGGTTGGGAGGTAAGCATAAAGTTTCGTGCTCCCAGCCCCCACTGTCCATTTCGCCGATGCCCGCCATGGCCCGAGTGCCTTGCCGGAGCAGAAGATGAGAGCTGAAGGTGTTCTCGGAGGGTTCCTTCCGGGTGCACTATTCGTTGCCCTGTGCTGGGAGGTGCTGGGGTTGATCCGGTCAAAAGTCAAACGCGCGCTAAGTTCGTTGTGAGCCGCTTTGTTTCCTGTTTGCTTCCATCCAGCTTCAACCTGGCTTAACACTTCCACTGATTTCACTACTTATCACCTTTACCGGAGTTGCGAAGTACCATCTCCGTTATGCCTCTGGAAAGGAGGGTCTTGATTCCTACGTCGAATTGTTGGCTTTGACTGTAGGTTCTTGCACCTGCTCTCGACGATCTTAATGGTCATCAACTGACGTGTTTTTGTAGAGTCTATGATATCCTCGTCAAGGCTTCAATCCCAGCGAGAATGCCCGCCGCTGAGATCGTCCGAGATATGATAAATCCGCGAAAACGCGTGTGTAAGCCGCTCACAGATGCTGTGAAATGATACGCCCGACTTTTCCAGCTTTTCCACGCATCCTTTCTTTCCTCGCTGCCATCGTGTTCGCTGGATTCCGCTCACAGATGATAATTTCGACCCATTCAAATTGACTTAGAAATTGTCCAATGTCGTTCCTCGTTTTCTGAACCACAAGCTGAAGGACTTCGGACTTAGTCACGAGTGCGCAGACACCGCCCAACGCGGCGCGCGGTGACTGTGACTTACTTTCCTCTCGACTACCACCACCACACATACACCACCCCGCCGTCGTCTACATCGAAATCGCGGGAGATGAAAACTGTCTTAGGCGATATCCAGGTAGTTGTGATTCAGCGTACAGAGCACGCAGAGAAGGGGAGAGGAGGTCGTCCCCGTCGTGTCTAGGCGTCTTCTGGATCTCCACCATGTTTGGCGCCTCCCAGGACCTACATCCCCTTCTCTCAAGCTCCCCAATGCAATAGCCCCTTAAAGCAAAGCACGAACGTGGCCCGGCGTGCTCGAATGCATCGACATTTGCAGCCTCCAAACAGCCTCCAACTCGCCCTCCACCCGCCGGACTTTGCTAGAGTGGTGAGTTGGCATTGCCTCAAGTTGCCCATCTATTCTCTCCTGACAAGAAACCTTTTAGCTCAGCGAGAAGTTCACAATACAGTCGTGCATCTGCATCTGGTGAGTGTCTCTTCCTTGCAGCTCAACGGCGAAAGCTTCAATATAGGAAAGTCGCGATCGGCTTCTTACTGAAGGAACAATCCTCGCATCTACGATGTCGGCTCACGGACACAGAACTAGCATCCTATCGTCAGGAACTGCAGCTGTTACGGCCTTGACATGCTTCGATCGCGGGGGAGATGTGCGGTTTTTTCCGTGCCATTAAGATGATCGAGAGGAGGGCACGCGGAAGGCTGTACGTCGCTGAAAATTGGATAGTTGCAATGTCTTACGAGAGTTTGCAGTCAGTGATCACGCTGACTGGTGACAGCTGGATGGCAGCAGAACACATTTTCTGTCCCGAGTTGCGAGTTCTACACGTGCCAAACGTGCAGTGCCATAAGTACCGACCTGCCAGTGGGTTGGCGACTTGGCCATTCGTATTCCCGACACCACCCTCCCCTTAGCATGAGCTTGCAACAGCCCACCTTCTGGGATCCCCCAGTTGCAATACCCAGGCGATACCCACCGGATTTTCAAGCTCCAACCGAGATCGTGCAAGGAGTACAACCGCACGGGGAAGATCGTCATGGCGAGGCGTTTTCTCCACCTCCGATGGGGCCCCTCCCCACAATCGTACAAGGAGGACCGCAAAGCGTACAATTTGAAGATCCCGTATTCCTTCCGTCTCAGGGCCCAGGAGGGCCTTCATTCCACCGTCCGCGCGACGTGCATGAGCCACGGAAACATCCCCTCGAAGACCCACCCTACGCCTTCCGACGCAGCCCTGGCGTTGGGCATATGGGCGGAGGTGGACCAGAAGAAGCGTCCGAGTCGTGGCTTGCGTGCAGCAATGCGGTGCGGGAGTACGACGAGAAACTTGTCACAGCATGGAGATCAGAAATGGACACCACCTTGGTTTTCGTACGTTACACTCTTGTCTGGGCCGTAGCCAACCTATCCAACACTCGACCTCTCAGGCTGGTCTTTTCTCGGCCATAGTGACTGCTTGCGTACTGGAATCCTATCAATGGCTTAGCGAAGATCCTCAAGATCAATCCGCTGTTTTGCTGGCCAAGATCGCGGATACCTTACACAACGGCGCTACACCTTCCTCCACGGAATCCGATTTTTCGCCATCGTCGTTTCACATCACCATTAATGCATTATGGTTCCTGAGTCTCGTCATTACACTCCACGCTGTCCTGATGGCTATCCTCGTCAAGCAATGGCTCACCGAATACACCTGGACGATTGGGTCCAAGGTCTCTACACCTCACCAAACAGCCACCCTTCGCCAACTCCGGTTCGAAGGTCTAACAGAGTGGCGAATTCCGCAGATCATCACCTACCTCCCTACGCAACTCATTCTCGCCGTATTTCTTTTCCTTGTAGGTCTTCTATGTCTTTTGTGGGAGCTACACGTAGCAGTGGCGATACCGACTACGATCATGGTCGGCCTTTCGACGGCCTACCTCCTCGTCACGTCCGTTGTCCCTACGGTCTACCCCGCATGTGGATACAAATCGGCCCAAGCTTGGCTTGTACACCGTATTGCGCGAGCTTTCGGGAGCATATGGCGACTTGGCAGACGGGGTCAAACCGATCGCTCGGACCCAGCGGGCCTTGCGTCGAAGACCAGTTCTCCGCGCGGCTGGACGGATGCGGCCCTGCGGTACCTCGAAGATCAGCGTCGTCGTATGTCCTGCGACGTCAATCTGCTATCGTGGGTTTATTCTTCCTTGACCTCTTGGGATCCGGAGTTGGTTTCCAAGGTCTGGAACTGCGCTTTGGACTTGCCCGTCCAGGGTATTCACCCTCTCATTTGTCGACTTGCCAATCTCCATTCGGGTGTCCCCCAAGTGAATGGCCAGAGTACGGACGCCGATGTCGCTTCTTCCAACGATCCGGAGAAGGGAGGCGCCAAGGTGGATGCGCAATCTCCTCTACAGGATTTTGAGAGGTCTCTACAAATGTTCTTCAGAAAGGTTGGCGAAGATAACAAGCTTGGTAAGGAGGAATTGTTTTACAAGATTTATGCCGCCTACATCGAAGGTCTCTCTTTCCATCATAATTCTGCACCCGACACTCTGTGGGGCGCATCGACCAGCGACAGTGATATCGCAGAATACATAACCGCCTTCAGAGTTTTGCACCTCCACTTTCTTCCAGCACGAGGCAAAGGGAATGGTTTACCTGCCGACTTGGAGCGAGTGTGGCGCGGGAATAAGGCCCTGTACTCGCTTTTGGATGAAGGGACTGTCGCGGGTGCGCGTGTAGCCGCTGGTTCGGAGACGTTGAAGCTGCGAGGGTTGATATGTGACGACATACGAACGTTGTCGAGGAAGAACTGGGGCTGGGTGGATATGGCTGCGAATGTGATGTTTAGACCCCCAATCTCTGGAGGAGGAAACCAGAATCCGTCGACAAACAATGGTGGGCTGGTTTTATAGTCATTGACAGGCTAGCTGAACATTCTACGCGCAGACATCCCCGCTGTTCAGGAGCTAGACTCGCTGATCTCCGCGACTTTATGTCAGTTGTCTAGGTCGGATGCAGGCGTAGACATGGTCGTCTCCTTGGTTGAATCGACACTCTTGATGTCTCGTCGAATCAGGAAAACAGAATTCGAAGAACAGATCGCGGAGCGAGTTGCTCAACTATTGAAGGGCATGCTCGCCGTTGTGGATTCGAAGCCATACGAAGCTTCAGATTCATTTAGGGAGGGCGTTGAGCAGAAGTGGGTGCCTTTACTGCGACAGGGAACGGAGTATTCAGTGGTGGAGGAGTGGGACTTGACGAAGGCTGGACTTGCTGGGTTGGTAGATGACTTTTTGACGAAAGCGCAGGAGTCAGGTTCAAAGAAGGCTTAGCGGATGCTATATGCTGTCACTTTTCACTTCTTTAAAAATATATTTTCGAGAAACTCGAGAGAGGGGGAAATCATCGCGGTGGTCAAGTGGCTGTGACATGGGCGCTTATACTCTAGTAGCTTTCAGACTCTTGTCCGCACGTCGACACCGAGAAGACTCTGAGTAGCAGGATGCACACTAGGTACCGAAAGACTAGTATACTACGTATTACTCATAAGGCTTGAGATTAAAGGGAACTTCCCGTGCAATTTATGTCGATGTACGCGACTATCATTATGAGACGTGTTTGCCCAGAAGCTTTCGAGACACACTACATCCATGCCAGGAGGGATAGCGAAGCTCACGACCAGGAGCACCAAATCACATTTCGCGTCTAATGGTGGCTCGTTTTCCGAAGCTGAGCGAGTAACGGTGAGGACAACCGTCTCTGCTGGGTCCAGCCGGGCCATGTTTGGTCTCACGTAGTAGTATCCCGGCCCGCGTGTCTTCCTTTGATTCGATAGTACTTTGAAAGCGAAGGGCTGTGTGTTGTAGTTTGTTATTGATAATTCGAGGGTTTGTGTGTGTGATAGAGGTCTTTTGAAGTCGAGTGTCTCGCCGGGGCTGAAGGAGAGGCCTAAGGATGGTGAAAGAAGTGATCGTATCGACTCGGATGGTGCAGGTGGAAGGATGGATGGTTCGCTTGATAGACCAAAGGATTCCTCGTCGTGAAGTGTCGAGGGCATATCTGCTGATTCTCTTGGGGGACCACCGGTGATTTCAAGCTCGGTTATGACTGCTGGACTGTTTCCTTTACTGAATATCAGGACCAAAAGTAAGATCATCAAGTTCCAGCCAGGTAGAAGATCGAGCCTACCCTGAGTCTATCGCAGGAGGAACAAGGTACAATAGGTACTTTTGAAGATATTAGGATGCAGAACAAAGGGAACTTGGCCAGGAATCCAGTGGCAGTGGCAGCCTGAGCAGCTCGGATGAGAAGTCGTGACCGCGACTGACGTGGCTGTGCATCACCGTGACCCTGACTCGTCCCTGACAAGAGTGCGGAACACGAGTTTGTGATATACCTTGACGCTCGAAAGAGTCATCTGCCAGGCAGAGAACGTATGTGCGCTTCTGTGTCTATGAGAATGTTGAGTCCCAGCGATTGGAATAAGGAGTGGAAGGTAATGTGATTATGGGTGTGCTGTTGGTGGATGCGGGCGCTTAAATAGCTCTTTAGGATATTACTAGTAGAATCTGACATAGAGGAGGGCAAGAAGGATGACGCTGTACTCGAGTACAAGTGACTGCTTAGTGGTAATGATTCAGACGTTATAGGACGCTGCTAAGCTGCCCTCGCAAGAACCCATGCTCCTTGCAATTTATGTTGCGACACACTACTCCCTTCGGGCACACTCGCCCAGGCTTCCTCAACAGACAACTCTTCCCTCCCCGGAGCAAGAGCGGTGTGAAGTATCAGAAACTTTACTCTACACACCGCATTCCTGGGTGGTTCCTCCTCCATGGGCGCTTGGGAAATTGTGACGTTGACCGTATTCCCTGCGTCCAATCGCCAGGCCCTGCGTGGTCGGATAACGCACATCTGCGGGTGCGTCGTTCTCACTTTGAAGATGTGTGGTTGGGCGGTGTGGTTGGTGATGGTTAGGTGACATCTGCTGATTGTTGTAAAGGGCCTCTTGAACTCGAGGGTCTGGGATGGGTCGAAAGATATGCCCTGTGATGGAGACGGCTGTATCGTTGATTCACGAGGTGGAAGTGGAGGTGAGCGCTCGATTAGGTTCAGTGCGCGGAGGATAGTCCTCATGTCGAAGAAGGAGGTGATGGTGGTAGGAGTACTATGTACGTCTACGCTCACGCGGGGATGAGATGCACCCTCTTCAGACGCCGGGGGGAGAGCATCCTTCTCTGGTGGTCCAGTGATGGGCCTCGGAGTAGCAGCGCTGGAAGGAAAATTAGTCGGGTGGTGCAAGTACACTCGCATAACCATGGGCTCACCCTGGCAATGGGTAGGAGTCGTTAGCGGACATGTTACCTGAGCGATTCAAGTTGTTGGTGACCTTTCTGCAACGACTTGGCCAAGTTATATATGCACTTCGTGACCATGGGCGCTTCTCTGTAGCGATGGATCATGGCTTTCACAGAAATGGGCACTGCTCCGAGGCTCAGGGACAAAATGTCCATAAGAGTCCAAAGTGGCCATATTGGTCTCTCGGAAGATTCACGTCAGTAATAACTAAATGACATGACCCGTTGACGGTAATACAAAAAGCGTGTACGCACATACATACCCATACTTATATCGCTGAGCGTAGATGCACACGACGGTACGGTCGATACGCTTCCTTCGGAGCGAAGGTGTACTGGAGGTGCGTTGAAGGTGGACGCTCAACAAGTCTATTCCGAAGGGGACGCCCAATTGATTCCAACCACTGGCTACCTTTTTTCAGAACGTTTGAGACAGTGTGTATCATAGAATCCGTAATTTAATGTTACATGAGGTCCGCCTTTGGAGAAAGTGTTAGTTGTGTAGTACGCTATGTCCAGACGTTACCAAGCCCCAGGAGTAGGAACGGGCCACATCGCTCGCAACATGTGCTCTGATATGCAAATTCCTTCAGGAGCACTCTTCCAAAACCTGCCAGTGGCCCATAGCTTCTCCATTTCTGGAGTAAGAACAGTGTGAAGTATCAGAAACTTCGCCTTGCACCTTGCATCCTCGGGCGGTTCCTGTTTCAACGACGCTTGGGAGAACGTCAGGCTGATCGTCTTTCCGGGATCTACCCGCCCTGTGCACGGTATGACAAAGTACGTGTCTGGGTGGGTCGTTTTCACTTTAAAGACGAATGGTTGGGCGTTGGGATTAGTGATGGCCAAGTTGCAACGGCTGGTCACGGTAAAGGGCTTCTTGAATCCGAGAAGGTGGACTGGGTCGAAGGAGAGGCCCATCGATGACGATGATACTGCTGGCTCCGAAGTGGGCGGCGGGGACTTTGGCTCTGGAGGGCCAGTAATGAACCGAGGAGATGTAGCGCTGGAAGGAGGGTTCTAGTAGTCAGGTGCTGATAGTGAATCGACGTAACCTTGAAGAACTTACCCTGGCAACGAGGCGTAGGGAGAACACATGGTATAGTTCAGCCAAACTAGGGTAATTGCTCACTAGCACGGGGAGAAGGGGAACGGTCTAGAGATGCATACTTGTGGAAATGGACTATATAATATGAGACACGATGCACGCTTTTCTGCAGCCACGAAGGTAGTTATTCCGAGTCCCAGGAACCAATATCCCGATTGGTAGAGAATCTTATGTCTCGGAAATGTCACGTACATTTCCCTCGGAAACAAGGCGGAAGGTGGGCGCTTAACACAGTCGGGAGTCTGGAGGGGATGCCAGCTGATGCCAGCCATCAATTCTCTAGCCAATTTGGGTAATTCTTTGGCAGAGGTTCCCACGCGCCTGGGGCTTGACTCCGAAGGAGGTCCCGTTTGGCCTGGGCAAAGCTGCGAGTTGGAAGGAATTGGGAAGGAAGAAAGAAAAATACAAAGGAAAAGGAAGGGCGTTTGGATAAGGAGACAAAGTGTGTAACTAGAACTGGATCGATGGTCTAAGTATGTGCTTGACGTTGGCTTGACGTGACAATTTCAATTGATGTTCATCGACATCTTGCCGCGCTCGAGCGCGGAATATGCCCCTTGAATTTCGCAGTCACCTCCAGTCATCCTCATCCTCACAATCGAAACATTCACCTTCAGTTACAGTTCATTCCATTCCATTTGAAAGCCACATCGTCTAAAAGCATACAAGAAAGCATACACAAGCCGTCCATTATTAAATGCTCAAAGCCTACACATAGGAGAAGTCCCATGGGGTCATGAAAAAACAAGAAATTTGCAGTGCATGATGGTCGTACAATGAAGTGAGTGACATGGTCATAAATATGATATTGGCTGAATAAACATAAATCCAGACGTTCCACCTGCCAGAGGCTACGGTGCAAGGACGCTGTCCAGGCTAGATCCACGAAACACTATACAGTTCACCGAGCAGAACGCTCAGACACCGACACGATAAGCGTATCGCCTGACACTGTGGGGCCAGGCAAACGACTGGGTGAGGGCAGCATTGGCTGGCTCTGCTCGTCGAGGATGAGCGTCCCGTCAGGGCCTACCATAGGTTGGCCTTGAACCCGAGGCCCCAGCCCCAGTTCGACACGAGCACGGCGTTGTTGGTGCCCATCAGGGCTGGAAGCAATGAAAACGTCGCCATTTTCGCCTTCAACGCCCTCGAAGAAACGTGGAGTTCGAGTCCTAGCGAGATTGAAGATTCCAGGGGGCCCAATCCTTTCAGTCCTGTGCAATGGGGAAGCCATGAGACGCTGTCGTTTGGGCGGAGGTGGCACTTCGGTTGGGATGAAGGGCTCTGGGGTCACGAAGCGACTGTCTGCAACTGCTGGCGTCTTGACAGCCTTTCGACGCCTGGGGGGAGGGGTTTCTGGGTTGAGTCGTAGCCAACGGGTATGAGTTCCCTTGCCAGTCGCAGAAACCGTGACGTCTTCGATGGTTCCCTCTGCTTGAAGACGTCTCTTTGCAGGAGCTCTCTTCGGTATTTGGGGGATATATGGGACCTTTCGTCCACTGCGGGTAATCATTGTCGTTTCTGGTGGAAGTGACCAGATGTTGCTGGGGATGCTAGGCGGCGATGAGTGTTTGAGTGGCGATGGACACGCGTTTCTATGGTCTTAAATACCCTCAATGGTGCGTGCTTGATCACTCTAGTCTCGAGCCACTCAGTAAAGCCCTTTGTGCTTGGTTGCCACAGGTAAAAATGGAAAAACGAGGGAGGCGCGTGGGACCTGGGTCCGCCCGCCCTTTTGTCGGGGCGCATTGTCCCAATTTAGAAATCGGCGGGCGACACCCGCCTTGACCGCCACCGCGCTTTGTCCGCGAGGCAGCACAAGCGACGATGACACGCCATCCTTGACTCAATAAGCGGAATAGGTATGACAATAACGTCGTCATGCAAGGACCCTGGCTAATATCCAACGTAGACTATGTAGCCCATCTGTTAAGAAATCAACCTGGTTAATTATCAGTTTCCAACAACACAACGAACCTTCAGCGGAGATTGACTTGTCAAAGCGCCTACATCGGAGTGGAACGACCCCCTATTTCTGACGACAGTGCGACATGACTGTACATTGTCCTCTACAGGTAGACATCGCGAAGACAGTGGAATCCCCTTCGTTGAACATAAAGTCCTTGGTCACGAGCATTCGGCTACGGTCAAAAAAATTCACACGCAAAACTCTTGATAAATTCAACCATTTCCAACCAACGCGTCTTAACCTTCAACCACCACCATCCAGGACTCGTCTGCACCATCTACTCCCAACCTCACTCCCCCAGCCTCAATTTTGGCCTCAAGCGACCGGCAAGAGCATTCTGCACGGCAATTGCACGATTGTACGTGTGTTTTACGACTTTTTGTGAAAAACAGGAATTCACGTTTTACTGTCGTCTACGAACAGGTCTAGATCGCCATGTTGTTTTTCAGCTCTCGCAAGCTTGCCCTCAAGCATCGTCGTTTTCCGCTCGTCACAGCGCCGTTGAAATGGATCGGGCTCACCGAAGAGTCATCCAAAGCGCTCCAGCCTCCAAACCCTCCGGAACCTGGCCCATCGGCCCAGGCAGCGCATAACGAGGACCGTGATATGGACGAGGATGCTCAGTCGGACGATGGCAGCACGGAGTACACCAGTTCTGAGGGTAGCCGCTCACCTTCCTACTCCCCACCACCTCCACGGCAACCCACGATCCCCCGTCCTACTCCATGGTTCGAACGACCTTACGAAGACACCCCCGAACCGCCCCTTCCACCTCTCCGATTCGACGTCTCCGCCCACGCCAGAAAGTTCGAACGCGAACTGATGAGATCCCCCGTCAAGAACCCGCAGCAAGAGATTTTCGTCCGAGAGCTCAAGCGGCTCGGTCAACAACAGCAATGGAACCGTACCCTCAACGCCGCACGTGCCTTTGCTGCCACCGGTATCAACCTCGAGGAGCGCGGCCAGGAGCGCCAGAGGAGGGCGCGAGACAAGGCGGCTGCGGCTGCGAGGGCGGCTGCGGAGAGGGAGCTGAAGAGGCAGAAGATGATGGCGAGGAAGCTTCCTCCCCAGCGTCCTCTTGATATCTTGCAAGGCGGAGCGTATGTGTTGCCATCGGTGCGCGCCCATCGAGCCCAGGAGGCCGCCGGAGGTGCCGGAGGTGCCGGCACTAGCGCTGGTGCTGGACCTTCGCGTCCCCGCACGGCGTTTGGACAACCTGAACCACAGCCTAGTCCTCCCAGACGTCCACGCATACCATACGTTGACCCTAAACCGTTGATGCGTGCTCGCCTCAGCGATCTTCATCGCAACGTTGTGGTCGGCTTCCGCCGTAGCCCTCGCAAGGCCAAGAGAACCACCAGGAATTGAAGCAAGAAGACCCAACAAGCCGAGTGCGAAGTGCTCCTTCCTGAATATCCTGATCATGTTCAACATTCAACTCTCGTCGCATTGTTTTCGTCGTTGCTTTGCCTTGTTTTCTGATGCTTTCGTACTGTCTTTCCCCGATATTTCGAGTCAAACTCACAACCCTATAATCGTTTCTCTTTTCCTATCTCCTATATCCTTTTATCCCACCCTAATGCTACATTCTATATGTCTTCCTTCGCGTTCACATGTCTGCATATATCTTCTCTTTCTTGCTTGTTACTATTTTCGGATTACTAGACGGTCTTCATGTAGTTCCTGAGCCACATCCTTACTATGGTATGAATTCACCTGCTATGCATGATCGATACTTCGTCGCCCGATCCCACTCCTCTCAGATACTGCAAGATGGTATATGAGTAAGTACTTAGCCCAACTGAAGAGCACCAACTCCAATTCCCATTGGCCGACTCGGGAGAAGGGCTGCGTGCACGCCAAAATCAACCTCCTATTGCTGAGGTTTCTACGAGTCGTCATTCGCAAAAAAGTGAAATAAAACCACAAAATCCAATATACATGATTCCGTTACATTTACATAAATACATTGGTATGATGAGTTGACGTTGGTGTTGAAGTGTAGGTAAGTAGTAAGTAGTAGTAGGTAATGGTACATGTTCATGAAAGCTGCAATGGACATACGACGAAGAAGAACAAACAACCTCATAATGCTGCATACAATGGGGGGTAGAAAAAATGGGGGAAAACGAAATGGAAGAAAACGAAAACACAAAAAAAAAGCTTTAAGCTACTTAACTAATCCACTCATTCGCGTCGTTCCGTTTGGCCAAAAGGTCATTCAAACTTCTGACTACGCATCCCGCTCCTTCCCTAACCAGCTCCTTCTCATCTTCCGAAACTTTAACCAATAACTTAGTTTCGAACCGATCAGGGTGCCATCGCTTGATATATTCCTTGATACGATCCTTCTCTGACCGAGATTTGTCCGGATAGTGCGGTGAACAGATATATGATTCGATCCCAAAGGTCGTGATGTCCTCCGGCGTGGAAGGCTTCCGCACCACAGGCCAGGGGAAGTCAGCCCACCGCAGAGCAGTCTTCGTCGACAACGCAGCCCACATCCTCTCGTTCCTCTCGAAGGTCGACGTCAGGTAGTCTTTCGATGGTATCGGTCCAGCTTCACGAGCCTGCCGTATAGCCTCCAACCGTTCCTGCTCCTGGCGGAACTTCTCGTGCTGTTGACGGGCATATTCGGCCTGCTTTCGTGCCCAGTCTGCTTCAGAGAAAGGAACTTGACCAGATGTTGACGACTGCGAAGAATTGGGGTTGAAATTGCCAGAGCCCACGGAACCTGCTCTAGGCTTGCTTGGGGATGCTCGTGACGCAGATGAAGCAGAGGTACCGGTGGTCGAGGACCAAGCAGAGGCCCCAGAGGAGGCAGTGGAGCCCCAGGTTGTCCAGGCCGGAGGAACGCCAGACCCGTTGGTAGACGCAAATGACGCGGAGGAAGATCGCGGGGGTGGTGGCTTGGGCGTCGAGCTCGTGGGAGGAGTACCGTAAGGGGAGCTGAAGCTGGCGTTTGGCCAAGCACCGTCGGTACCAACGCTGTCTTGCCTCTTTCTTTCACTGCGCCGTCTGATCTCCTCCTCCCGTTGACGAAACTCTTCCTGTTGTTGCATGCTGCGAATATGAGCTTCCTGATCCCGACGGGCACGTTCCTGCTCTTCTTGCTTGCGGCGCGCTTCATCTTCCCGACGCTTGATACGCACTTTTTCCACTTCTTCAGTAAGTTTGTGAAGCCTCTCCTGATCCATGCGCAACCGCTCGAACTTGGCCCTTTCTCTCTCTTCTTCTTCTCTCTGCAGCTTCTCCGCGATCTCCCTGTCAGCCCTCTCCATTTCTTCACGTTCCTTTTTCTCCTGCTCTTCAGCCTTCTGTCGCTCTTCTTCCTCCTTCCTCCTCTCTTCTTCCTCCAACCTCTCTTTTTCGAGTCGTTCTTGCTCTAGTCTCCTCCTGTGTTCCTCACGCTTCCTCTCCCTGTCCTTTGCCCTCTCCTCGGCAGCAAGAAGTCTCGCCTCCTTTTCTCTTTCCTCTCGCTCTCGTTCCTCCCGCTCCCTTGCATCTCTCTCCTCTCGTTCCCTCTCCTCTCTTTTCCTTTCCTCTCTTTCCCTCTCCTCTCGTTCTCTCTCCTCCCGCTCTTGCTCCTCCCTCTCCAGCCTCTCCCTCTCTAAACGCTTCTTCTCAGCCCTGTCTCGTTCCTCTTCCTGTTGCTGCTGCTTCTTCCCCCTACCCTTCTTGCCTTTCTTCCCCTTCACCTTCTTCGCCGGTTCAGGCTCTGGTTCGGGCTCTGGTTCGGGCTCCGGTTCTGGTTCTGGTTCTGGTTCAGGCTCGGGCTCGGGTTCTGGTTCTGGCTCAGGCTCAAGTTCAGGTTCGACCTCCTGATCCACGGCCTCGCTATCAAGGTCGTCCGTCACTTCAGTAGCACCATCCTCCACCTCCCCTTCCACCTCAGTTTCCGTCCCCACCTCTGTCTCCTCCGCACCCAACGCAACATCCTGCACCGCGCTCTGAAGAATCTTCAACTGGCGATCCCGATCCTCCAAGTCCTTCTTCCTCTGTTCAAGGATCTCCGCAAGCCTCTTGGTCTCCTCCTCCTTCGCCTTCAACTGCTCTTCCAACTTTCTCAACTCCTCCTGCTGCTTCAATCGCTCTTCCATCTTCAGCAACTCCATCTCTTTCTCCTGCACTTGCCTCTCTCGCCTCATGATCTCGATCTCCTTCTTTCGCGTCGCGGCCTCCTTTTCGCGGGCTTGTCGTTGGAGTTCCAACGCTTGGATGTGTTGACGTTCTGCTGCACGGTGCTTGTCACTCGCCTCCTTGGCCAACCGCTGCGCCTCCTCGGTCTTGGCCCTCAGCTCGTCATTCTCCTCCTGCGTCTTAGCCCGGTTCGCCGACGCCTCCTGAGCGAGTTTCAAAGCCCTCTCAGCCTTGTCACGAAGATCGTTCAACATCTCCTCCGTCTCCCGATTCTTCCTCTCCTGCTCTTCCCTGCGACGCGCCTCCTCCCTCTCAGCCTCCTCCCTCTCCCGTGCGAGCTCCATCGCCCTCTCCTGCTGCTTCTTCCTCTCCTCCTCCGCCAACCGCTGCAACAACTGCTTCTCCATTTCGATAGCTTCCTTCTCCCTCTGCATCTCGAGTTCCTTCTCCTTCCTCTCCAACTCCAACCTCTCCCTCTCAGCTTTCTCCTTCTCCGCTCTCTCCCTCTCTATCCTATCCCGTTCAAGCCTTTCCGCTGCCTGCCTCTCCAACTCCCTCCTCTTCGTCTCGAGACTATTCAACATCTGCTCCGTCCTCAACCTGTCCCTCTCCCTCTCCTTCTCCAACTCAATCCTCTTATGCTCCCTCTCCAACTGCTCAATCCTCTCCGTCTCCCTCTCGATCCGCTCCAGCCTCTCCCGCTCCTCCCGCTCCTCTTTCTCCCTCTGCAGCCTCTCCAGCCGCTCACGTTCCTCCCGTTCACGTCGCTCAAGCGCCGCCTTCTCCTGTTCATGCCTCTCCTTCTCCCTCTGCTCCCTCTCCCTCAACTCGCGCTCGCGCTGCTCAAGCTCCTCCCTCTCCCTCTGCTCCTTCGCAGCCTGCTTCCTGCTACTACCAACCCTCCGCATCTCGCCCCTCTCCAACTCATCCACCTCTGGAATGCCCTCATCCCAATGCCGCTCCCTCTCTCGATCCCTCTCCTTGCCTTTCGAGTTATTCTTGCTCCGATCCCACCCCCACTCGGCTTGAACCATCGGAGGAGGCCGCTGCATACCAGGCATGGGCATAGGCATCGTCATCTCCTCCCCAGGCCGCACACCCGTCGTCGACGGCGCACGCGACGAACGGCCATAACTCCCATACGGGAAATGCTCCCGCCAACTACTGGTACCCCCAACCCCGCGACCCGCCCGCGAACGCAAATGCCGTCGTTCCCTGACAGAACACCCACCATTTTCTTTCGTGCTCCCCTTGACCTTGCCATTCCCATTCCCATCGCTCTCATCATCGTCGTCCATATCATCCCCGAAATCCCGCTCGTTCTCCTCGCTGGTACGCTCGACACTATCGTCGTCCTCGTCATCGTCCGCGTCTCCATTACTCACATCCGTGCTCTCTTCAGACGGCTCCTCGCTCGAGTCGGCACCCCCGTTTTGGCCTGGACGGCGCCGGTGGTGGTGGGGTTTGGTGGGACGGAAGTGCGAGGGCGGGACAAACGCGGGTGCGGTGGGTGGTGGTTCCTTCCACTGACTTCTGGACGGTGGCGGGCCTTGACTTTGCATCGAATTGGAGCGGTGGATGCTACCAGCAGAGCGGGGCGGTGGGGGTCTGGGTTCGTCCGGGTAGTGGCCGTAATCGCGCGCATAGGGGTCCTCCTGCGACCATCGTTTCGTTTCTGGGTGGGGCGTCTTGTTGTTGTTCAGTCGAGGAACAAGGACGGGCTGTGTCTGGGACGAGTGAGGGACATACGCATTTCCTGTCACGACAAACCAATAGTTAGACTTTTTGCTTTTTGAATAAGAAAGTAACTTTGAAGACTCACGATAACCACTGGGGTATTGGGGATCAATCAATGTAGGCAAGGTAGGTTTAACGCCATTCTTCTTATACTTCGATCGCGTCCTCTTGGGATGCTCAAACTCGGAGGAATCAGATCGAGGTCGGGGTCCATGGTCGGGCTCGCGACGATAGGGTTGGGTGCCATAGTCCAGCTCGTAGTCGAGATGCTGGTCAAACTCCATTTCCTGGCGAAGGGCCATACGTCCAGCCGACGTTGGTGGGGTAGGAAGAGTAGAAGAATGATGCCGTCGGGAACTATGGTTGGAGGGACCGTACATGTCTTCAGGCTCATCATGGAACACAGCAGAGGCTTTCTCAATCGTTCGACGCTTGCTGCGGACGGAGGATGGCATGGGTGAAGATTGAGCTTCGTGTGGATCGACAAACGACGTCTTGCGAGAAACAGACTTGGAAGCATATCGAGAGGATGGGTATTCGTTCTCCTCGGGGTAGTGGTGGGAAGCAGACTGGTCCATGTTAAGCGCGTTTCGCATGGTCTGCGACTGCCTGAGATGGTCTGGAGATTCCAGCGGCGGCGGCAGCTGTTGAGGATAATCGCTGATGAACGACTTCTTTGAACCTAACCGTTGCTTGGATTCTGGCAAGGGCGTTCGCGGTGGGTACATCATGCTCCCTCCTTCCTCTGGGATGGTCTTGTTACGCGAGTCCCGCCTGCGTTTCGACGAATCACCAGAGGGTAGGGGCCCAAGGGAATGCGACGGTGAGCGCAGATTGTCGTAGTTGGGGGCGTCCTCGGTCATTCCACTGCCCCTCGAATCTCGCCGTTGCCGATCCTGGTCTGACCATTCCTTCTGAAGTGCCTTCTGCCTCGCTCTTTCCTCCTCAATCTGTTTCTGATCCTGCAAGATGCGCATCGCGACGACCTCGGGAGAGTCACCAGCGTCTATTGTCTCGGGAATGGTATCAGCAACGACGGGGACCCGCATACTGTTCCCAGACCCAGTGGAGCGCATGCTAGCGGTACTCCCCCTCCTACCAATTGTGAAATGCTTTGTTGTTTCCATCGCGTCTTCTTCAGGGGTCATTGAAGGCTTCCAGAATAACGGAGAAGTGCTGGTAGGAGGGGAATGCGCGAGATGGCGATCGGACATGGGACTGGTGCCCGGAGGTGGTCGCAATTCGACAGGGCGGGTTACTGAGGCTGCGGATGCCGCCCTCTCGGATGCGGTCCATGACGATCGGGATGATGATAACATTTGTCTCTCGTCCCGCTCTTCAGGTTTGCTATCATGGGAACGTCCTAACCAGTCCGGGGTGGAAGGTGGTGGAGCGTTGACTGTCGTCTTGGGCCGTCGAATACTTCCCCCAAAATCGGTTCGATCATGGTGTGCATCGGACCCTCGTCGATTTGGCGTACCCGGGGGAGGATGTGTGTCAGGAGGTGTTGGGTACGTTGTTGTGCGTGGCGGTGGTGGCGGTGGTGGGTAGAAGAACTGCCTTGGGGGCGCTGGGGGTGGACTGGAGGCTGGTGGTTCGGTCGACTGCGGTTGAGGTGGCGGCTGGGCAGGCGGCGGGGGCTGCTGACTGCGGTCATCGACGGGGCTGTCATCGACTCCGGACCTCTGACCCTGCTTAATCTGAGCATAAATGACCTCCTGTTCCGACCTCAAGGTGCCCATCCAAGTGTCCCCGATGATCATGCCAGCAGCCCAGCGCCTCTCCTGGCGCTCTCGTGCAAGAGCCTGCCTAAAGTTCTCCACTGCGCCCTGCTTCAGCGCCTCCACAAAGTCGCGATTTTCGGCGACGAGCTGGGCTTCTTTCCAGGGGGCCTTTGCGATCTCAGCCTTCATTGTCTGCTCGGCCTCGTCGATCATGGACTGGATGTTCGCCTCAATGGTGCGCCTGAGGTCGGCCTTCCATTCCTCATCTGGCTCGACATCCTTCACGTTGACAGGCGTAGCTGGAGCATTCTGGGCCGCGGTTGACGCTGCTGGCATCTAACAAGACGAAATGTGGTATCGTGTGGAGACCCTTTGCGGATTGCAGCTGATCGTTGAAGGATACGGTGTCGATAAAGGCCGATGTGGTGGTGGTCGCTGTTTGGTTTGGATGACTGGCGACCTCCAGGTAAGTTTGAGAAACGACACTGAGTTGGGAATGCGTGGGCGTAGGATCTCTATGTAATCACGAAATCGTTTCACGGGAAAGCCCTGAAAATGTTGTGCCTCATGTTAGTCCACGCGTTTCCAAAGGAAGGAACTGTTGTCCCAAACTTCTCACCAGAGAATGCTGCCCTCCCTCGTCGTTCTTGAATTGTAGTCAAATTGTTTGGACTGTATTGGTGATGAAGATGTGAACAAGGCGACGTCGCCTTACCAGCGCCTCCGTCGTCGAACGAGGGGGATGCGCCCGGCCAACCCTTTTTCGGATCTTCTATCAGGTTATCTAATCTCCACCACTTCTCCTCTCAACGTAACATCGGTCCGCACAATCCTCGGCTCCTATTGCCTCTTCACCCTATCACTAGTCCCCAGCTGAATCGCCTGAACAGCCCTGAACAGCATCCTGACCGTCCCCAACTCGTCAGGAATTACCGAGAATATTCACCAGGGCTCTACTGACCTTGGCCCGAGCAGAGAAACAATCGAGATATACTAAGAACTATCCTTGAACAGGGGTCCAGCGGCGGCGGCTAGCCCAGAACGGACCCTGCGGGACATGGTGGTGGTAGAGAGACAAGGGAGAAACCCATTGATGATCGGTGCTCTGCTTGTTCGAGTTCAGTACCAGTAAAACGGTCGTTTCAATCCCTCTCCAGTGAAGCATATCCATAAATACCCGAATACGGATAGGTTGCGAGGATCTATGGCGAAGGTCCGTCCCAATTTCCTCCAAAACTATCCCTGGGTCGTATTGAGCTCGAAAGAAGATTAGCATCGCGTCGAGCTGAGACTCTGCCTAAAGGTAAAATCAGCTCACCCACCAGGCGCTCATTTGAAATGCACAATTGATCTGGTCTTGGATGGCGAGGCTGGAGGAAACTTCGCGGGTTATCGTTCAGAAAGAGTTAAGCCTGGGGTTGTATTTCAAAACCGAAACGCGTCCAGTATATCAGGCTAAAAATATAGGGGCTACCCCACGAAGACGCGACTTCGAAACTTCCTTCCTCCGCGTCGTAATGATCATAAACTTAAACACCTGTGTTCTCTCCTGCTGCTATCGGAGAGAGAGGAGTGCATCAACGCAAGCATTTGCTCGCCAACAAATAGGACACTTGACGTCTATCCCTCGGCGAACGAGAATGCAAGTGCTCAAACACCTTTTCGCTATCGTTCGTGAACTTCCACCTCCAATTAAAGGATCCATTCATACACACACACATCCCCCAACACAACAAATGTCCAACACACCCCTCTAATCTCCCAACCCACCAAACTCTCAACCCACCCAACCCACCTACCTTCCCAAACGATCTCTATCACCTAAAACCGACCTCCAAAAATAAGCGCCCAACCCTTTAAAATTAGGCTCCCACTGTAACCTGTTAGTGATCACGAATCGATGACATGACATCTTGTGAGAACCCCGGGCCCATCCTCGTGAACTCTATATCTCTCGTCCTCGTCCTGTTCAATTCACTTCCAGTCAAGTCACCGGGACCATTACAACAAAAATAAGGTTGCTGCTAACGTTCTCAGCGTCCCATTGCTTTAGGTGTTGTCGTCTTTATAGACTTCATGTCAATGTGGCGGCACAAAAGGCAAAGTCTAGATAAGTAAGTATTCAATTCGCAACGCGTTCACCACGTTCCCTTCTCAATTTGAATGTCTGTTTAGACTCTGTCACCTCGTATACCAGCCGGATCGTCACATACTTATTCGAAGAAAGAAGCTAAAACTCGAGGCCTACCTTATGAACCACACGTCGAGTGCATGTTTTGGCGTGCAAGGCACTTTAACCCCACTCGAAAAGCCTACTCAGTGCCTCGTTAAAGCGGTCAGCCCTTTGCAACTCTCGCTCACCCCTCTCCCCGTCCTCCTCTCCACTCGCTCTTTCCTACATCCCCTCCACCCTATTCCCCTCGAAGTTCCTTCCAGAATCACTAACTTGAACGCCACTTCGAATTCCGAGAAAAGAAGTAAATGTATTCGCATAAAAAAACGCATAAAGGTACAGACATAGTACAACAAGAGGGTGGCATAGCACAGAGAGCGATACATACAAGAAGTAAAGCTACATAGACGAGTCGAGGAGAAAGGTGAGTGAGTTCCAACAACATCCCAAAAGGTCTATAGAGGGGGGTATGAAGGACGCAAGCAAGAAGGAAAGAAATAAACAAGGGAAAAAGAGGGAAGAGAGGGAAGAACGAAATCTACAGCAATGTTACAACATAAAGTAAGAAAGAGTCGACATAAGTACCACATTCCAGAAGGAAGGGGAATAAACAAGATAGGGTGGATGGAACCAAGGGAAGAACGAAGGAAATAAGAAAGCGAAACGAAGAATAAGAAAATAAGAAAAAAACAGCAAGAAAATCAACAAGAAAGAGTAGTAGTACTAAGCTACAAAGTAAGGTAAACTAATCAAACAACAGCGTAGGCGGTATACGATCAGGTATAACAAAAGAGCTGACAACAACGCACAGCGGAGGGGATGGTAATACACAAGAGCGAGAGAGAGATGAAGGTAGACGGAGAAAAGAAAGAGAGGATAGAGGATACATCGATAGACATACAACAGGTTGGAGACCTCGGCAATCGCAAAAAAAGCAGAACCAAAAACTCGAAACAAAAACGTTCAAGAATAAAAAGAAAGCAGAAAGCAAGGGTTTCACAACGAATCAAAATAATTTACCACCCCCATTCACATTCGACACCTTGCTCCGCTTCATAGCCTCTAACTGCTGGCTCTTCGCGAATCGCGCAAGGATATCATCAGGCGGCTCAGGTCCACCACCACCACTACCACCATTCCCAGCACCCATCATCCCCGACGAGGATGCTTGACTCAGGGAAGTGGCACTTGCTCCCCAGCCCGACTTGGCGCCAGTTGCAGGAGCTCCTCCTCCTAGACCACCCCGACCCAGTCCTTGCTGCTGCTGTTGTTGTTTCGCTTCCCACATCGACATCGCTCCACCTCCATTGGGACCCGGTCGGGGATTGAAAGACCCAGGAATCCCACCACCCATACCACCCATAACACCCTCATCATCCGTCATCGCACCAGGCATCTTATACCCTCTCCCCGCTCCCCCACCTGCCATAGCCCCAAATCCGCCAGCAGCCGCACCAGATCCCGAAGCAGCACTAGTAGGCACAGCAGACGCCGCGCCCCATCTCGAACCACGCTTAGCCTTGACAGTGCCTTCCCAATCCGTAGCGAAACCTTGGTCTAGGACTCCCCCTCCTCCCCCTCCACCACCACCGACTCCAGAACGCGCAAACGCCGACCCCCTCGCACCACCACCCATTCCCATCCCACCCCCATTCAACTGCTTCTTCGCCTCATTCAACCACTCATCCGTCATATACCCCGGCATCCCATCCGGACTCGTCGCTCCTGAACCCCCAAAGAAGCCATCCGCACCACCACCATGTCCATGTCCATGTCCTCCCTCACCACCATTCTTATAGTCAAAGAGATTCGAGAAGACCGTCGGCGGCTGACTAGGCTTCGGCTGCCTAATCGACGCTTGCGCACTGAAATTGGGGGTGCGACTCGGGACTAACGGCGAGCGCGCGTTAGGGTCTGGAGATCTCGGTTCCATAATCGAGCGATGGTTTAGAGGTAGACTGTTATCCAACACCCCATCCTCCTCATCCGACACCTCTTCAATCGTCACTTTCTTCGCCGGGCCCTTCCTCGTCACACTCGAGCCTGATCCAAACTTGGACGCACCGCCACCATTCGCAGACGGCGGACTCGTCTTCTTCAACGCGCTAGCGGGCGGGGACACCTTCCTCACCGCCTTCTCCTCCTCCTCCTGTCCATCGAAACTGTCAAAGACAGAGGCTCCAAGTCGACTAGGCCCGTTCGTCTTCCAACCAGCCTTGGGCTGTCCAGCGGGCGGAAGAGGAGTCTTCGACCCACCACCATTCGCAACGGGCGTCGACCTCGCCTTGGCCCACAGCGACTCAGTCACAGAGGATGGCAAGGGCGAATCATCCATAACCGACCCCGCCGTAAGACCCTTCCCACTGACCTTGGAAGGGACAGCAGAAGCAGGTGCCTTTGCGCCCCAAGCCCCAGGGATCGAGCTGACTTTGGCAGCGGGAGGTTTGGGAGTAGAGGACACGTCGCTCGTCGAACCCCAGAGGGAGTTGCTAGCGGTCTTGGTGGACGTCGCAGATCTGAACAAGCTGTTATCCTCTTCCTCGTCCTCTTCTTCGTCGTACCTAACCTCCTCCTTGGGTTCCTCCACGACACGGCTATTCGCACCCTTCTTGCCTTTGCCGGTGGGTTGTGGTGGGACAGGCGATGGCGCAGACTTGACTTCGGGTTCAGGCTCAGGAGCCGCAGCGGCCTTCCCGCCCGCTTTCTTCGCAGCCTGCTTCCCTTTCTTGCCCTTCTTGCCAATCTCTTTAGCAGGGGGTGCAGGAGCGGGAGCGGGAGCAGGCGCTGGCTTCTCGACGACCTTGGCAGGTGGAGGTGGGGGAGGGGCCGCCTTAGCTGCTGCAGCAGCGCCTTTAGCACCCTTCTTGCCCTTGGCCGTCGTCTGCACAGGCGCAGGTGCGGGTGGAGGGGGCGCCGGCACAGCATTCTTGCCCTTCCTCCCAGCCTTGGTAACAGGCGGAGGCGGAGGAGGCGGGGCCACCACCTCCTCTTCTTCCTCCTCTTCGTCTTCGTCTTCCTCCGGTTCCTCAGCCAACGGATCCTCCTCCTCCTCACCCCACTTATCCTCCTCGTCAAAGAACCCGCCTCCACCACCACCAGTGCGTCGAGCAGGCTTCTGCGGTGTGCCATCCTCGTCGTCGTCCTCGTCAAAGAACCCCCTACGTTGTTCCGAGGAATTCTCCGAGGCAGAAGGAGTGGAAGCAGAACCACCCCCGAAGAGCGAGAATTTCTTGGCCCATGATCCTACGCCTGCGGTGACGGCAGCGAGAGGCGTTGACGCGGTCAGACCGGCTCCGTTCGTATTGGTATTGGCCGTAGCAGAGCCGCTGGGAAGTGCAGCAGAGGCAGGAGGCGACGATGTCACTGTAGGCTGGGAGTTCTTGCGTCCCCAGGCCGAGATGGACGGAGGCTGCTGTTGTTGTTGCTGTTGCTGCTGGCCACCAAACGGATTCCGGCCCACCAAAGGCGAGCTCTTGGTCGGCGTCTTGCTCATCATCGCCATCGATGGATGCCCTGCACCCCATGAATGACCGTGAGAGCCAACCCTCGGAGTAGACATCTCAACCGGCGACGAGCCGATTCCTCCCATTCCCCCAGGCATACCCGTATTCATCGACATCGAGGACAGACTGGGCTGGGCCATACCGCCTGTGAATCCCATCGCGTCGGAGGTGTAGCCGTCGGAGGTGGTGTACCTCATCGATGCGGTCTCGGTGGACGATCCGTACCCTCGCCCTGCGTGTTCAGCAGACGATCCGTATCCGCCCATCGTATCCGAGCCGTACCCCATAGCATCGGAGCTGTAGCCCCGGTTCTCAGAGGATGAACCGTACCCTCCCATCGTGTCGGACCCGTAGCCGTCCAACGAGTACCCGCTCATCGCGCGTCTAATCTCCTCTGGCATGTCATCCCCAAAACCAGGAGGGAAGGTTTGGTGCGAATCATGCTCGCGCTGGTAGTCGTGGCGAGAGGGTTGGAAGGTTTGGTGGGGATGGTAGTTGCCTTGGTGCTGTTGGGCATAGTCGTGCTGGCGGTGATCAGCTACATAACAAGCATTCGTTAGCGGAGTCGAGAGGTCGAAAACAGACGATAACTTACATTCATACTCATACTCGTTATAACCACCTCTTCCATACTCGTGCTCGTATTCGCCGTGGTCATCGTCCTCGCCGTCCTCTTCTTCCTGCTCTTGGATGAAGGGGATCTGGTTCCAGGCATGGGTGGGTTTGGGCCTGGCGATCTGAGGGGACGGTGGCGCCCTGGATTTCTGTCCAGGTCCTGGTGTTGTGCCCTTCCCAAACACACCATCCAACGACGGCGTCTCCACATCAAACGTCGCCTCAACACCTTCATAGTCATCCAGCCACTTGGAGTCCATCTTCTTAGCCTTGCCATTGGCCTTGGCCTTTCCATTCGTCAACGACTTCGCAGAGGCACCGTTGGCCTGTCTCTGTTGCAACAAAAGTCTCCTCCTCTTCCTCTCCTCCTTCACAATCATCTTCCTCTCCTCCTCTTTCTTAATCTGAAGCTCCTTCATCGCCTTCTCATGCTCCTGAACCAACTTCCTTTCCTCGTCCTTCCCATGATCCTTCCCACCACGACCACTTTTAGCAGCAGCACGATCACCGCTCTCCCATCTCATCCGACAAATTTTGAGACCAAGCTTAACCTCCATCTCAGCAGCGGTCTTATGGAACTCGATGATCTTCGTGATGCGAGTCTCGAGTTTGAACTTTTCAAACGCGATCTCGGCCTCCACTTCCTCGTCCGTGGGGTTCAATACATCATCCTTGAAGGAGGAGGGGAAGAACGAGTCCTCCTTCATTTCAGAAGAAGCGGAAGGGAAACCCGAAAAGAAGAGTTCTTCCTTATCTTCGGGTTTGGACGGGTCATCGAGAAGGATAGGTCCGATGTAGGATGAAGCGGAGGTGGACGCCGAAATGGAAGTCGAGGTGGAAGAGGAGCTGGATGAGGAGGTTGATGCGGATGCAGAGTGGCTGGTGGCGGTAGGTGGGGAGGTCGACTTGGTCTTTACGAGGGCTGAAGCTGAGGAAGCTGCTGCTGCGGCAGAGGATGCCGAAACGCCCGCAGGGATGGTGGCACTGACGCTCGGTGGCGTCCACAAGGATGCCGACGCTGAAGAGATCTTGGGTTTCTGCAAGGAAACCTGGGATGCAGAGTAGGAGCTCCTTGTCGTACTCTGCGCGGGTGGAACATGATCGAACGGGAACGATTTGTATGTCCCTAGCTGGATAGGGGAGCCATTGGCCGAGTTGTGACGAGAGGAGTCGGTGCTCCAGTTGGGATTGCTTGAAGAATAGGAGTGGGAGTGACCATAGGATTGGCGGGCTACGGCGCTTGCGCTGGTGCTGCTGCCGCCGCCTGGAGTGTCGAACGTCTTCCAGCTGGGGTTGAGAATGGACATATCCTCTTCCTCAGACGTCAAATCATGGGAGGCCACCTGCTCGTTGTTAGGAGACGACAATGGCACGTAAAGGGATGGGACGTACGAGGCTGTTGAAAAACCGAGATCCGTCCTCCTCTGCGTCGTCGTCGGAGCCCAGTTCACTTGGGTTCACCAATTCGTAGCTGCTGATACTCGAGGCCAGCGACGAGGTGGAGAGTGATGGGGCATACATCCTGGGTGGCGCCACAGCGGCTGGAACTAGAGCCAAAAGTTCAGGTTCTCTGTCGTCGTCTTTTGGTGGGGTTGCTGTTGAGGTGAGCGTATTTGAGGCAGAATCGTGATCTAAATGAGCACCCAGAGCATTCTCCACAGCCTTGGTTTCGGCATCCGTCATTTCACCCCAATCCTCGTCCTTCAACCCAGCCTGTCTCAGCCTCTTCTGCCACTCCTCCCTCGCAGCTGCGTAGAACTGTTTCTCGATTTCTTCTCTCCGTTGTGTCTTGTATTGCTTCAGGGTCGTCTTGGAACGCTCCGAAGACGATAGTTTTTTGTAGTCCTTGGCGGACGAAGCGTCGGATTGGGAGAGCTGCGGTTGCAGTATCGTTGTTCGTTGTGTTGCAAGCCAGTTCTCGAATGCGCGCCATGTCTGGCGAACGCGGTTGTGTGACGATGAAGCCATTGAGGGAGAGAGTGAGCGGGACAGGGACCTGACTGGGTTGTGGGCTTGATGTCAAGAGTAGTCAATAGACAAAAATTGGATTTGGTTCGGTGGATTGAGATGGGAATAAAAGGGCTGCCTCGTGTTTCCTGTCGGCTGTCCGAAATCTGAAAACTCGGAGATTATCCTCTTCTTCTGGCCAATGCTCCCGGGCCTTTGCCGTAATCAATCCGCCAAATCCTGGTCTCTCTCCTGCTCCCTCGGCGATTTAACACCAAAACGAAGCAACCCTAGCCTTTCATTTAGAGTCTCAATCCAAGCCTCAGCCCGTCAGAGAACCCTCGAACCAACCAGACAAGGAAATGAGTCGGGTCCAACTTGGGACGCCGTGAAATCTGCCCTTTGCCCAGTGCCCCAAACCCTTTTCCTTTTGTAGCCGTGCGGGCCCTGCTGCTTCGACGTCGACGCGTCATATGCATCCATGCTCCGTCTTTTTTCAAATTCGAAGTCTCGAGGAAGAGGGCTGGAAGAGGAAGAAACTCACCAGCGAAGGGCGTCGTGAGTCAGCCCGGCTGTACGGTCGGGCCAGAATTCGGCATCGCCAGCCTCCGCGCTTCCGGCCGTCGGTATCTCCCGAAATGGAAGCACCATCAACTTTCGGCGCAGTCATGGCCGACTGTCCCTTTCTTCCATCCTCATTCAACAGCAATTCAGCGCCTATTCATTAATGTCTATACGCGTTAATGAATTGGCCTCGCGGGGTGGTCTAAAATCTTTTGGGGAACACGCGTTACTCGGAGAACGCATCGTGCACAGCACGCAGTAGCCCTCAGCGCCCACATCTCTGGCCATGGACGAACTGTCGAACGATATGCTTGCAGATGGGAAAACAACGGCGGGCATGCTGCAAAAATCAATCCCCAGACCTGTCGAGATATCTCTTTCCTTGGGGCCTGTGTGAACGGAGTGCACGATGCTTGCGCGTCGGAGGATGTCTCAGCGCGTGCCCCAGACTACTAGCCAACACCCGTCTCCCGGAGTCACTGGGGAGAATTACAAGCTATCCAGAGACATCATCGCCTTCAGATTCCTTGTTCTCTTCCGCGACACTCCTCTGAACCACGAGTACACACGAAAAAGGAAAAACCTTTGCTCTTGATTGGCCGCGCACTCAAAAACCCAACCCTATACAAGTGCTTACTCTCTGATACCCTGATATCTCAACCCTGGTATCTTGCACCGCCCTCTGTTCGATCACGACTACCTTCCCGTCTATTGTCGCCGTAATGAATGCCTCGCGCCACTTTGTCTTTCCCTCTCATCCGAACTCAGACTCAGAGCGATCGTCCTGTGCGTCCGCAGCAGTCTCGTTTCGCAACTCGATCGTCGTTTGGCTATCTATCAGATCCCTTGTACTGGAACAATCTTGTGACGTCCTTGGACCACCTCCTTCTTTACTCTTGCGAGGCGAAACTTAGCTGGGTCCGACCTCCCACACTATCCATTCATTTATATGAAGGGCGTGCGCCGCTCCCTCATGTCCGAACTTCAATTCAATACTAATGGCTATAGGCCATAAAACCCGAAAAGCTTGTTTCTATGCTCTTGTCTTTGCTCGCCATCCATCGCCTCTACTCTACCAACACCTTCCATTGCCCGCTTCGTATAAAGCCACGAGCACACTCCTAACTTAATTATGGGTCCCCTATCCGCGAAAGTGGTGGCCATTCACATTTACTCCTCTTCCGACGATCCTTGTTTGACTATCCAGGCCTATGACAGCTGTGTTTTGTGTATCACTTACGGCTGGATATCACGACGGGAACCAACCCGATCAGCGTCCATGTCACTGTAACACACCACCAGGTCACGCGTTTAAGCTACTGGCGCCAACAGTAAGGATCGGCTCAGCCTCTGCTCACCCAACCGCTACCATTTTCAAGGACCTAAACACCCCTTTCTTCTTGTTAAAAAAACCTTCTGCCACTCACACCTTGCATCTTTCTTGCCCCTTCTAATTCGATCCTCGCACATAACTCATCCGGGTTAATCTGTCCCCAACTCTCTCGTGTGTACGCACGCTGCATGTAATCTGAACGCATGGCCCGTCTAGGCAGTGCTGTCCCATCCAAACGTGTCCATTATCGCACCATCTCTGAGTGTCCTTGTTTTCGTTATCTTTGTATGATGTTAGAGCAATAGGACGAGAGTGCCCTCTATGTGATTGACGTCCTCTGCTCGTCAGTTTCTCTGAGGTGCAGGCTCCACTGGTCGACAGGAGGATGTTCAGAGGAGGCGAATATCCACCGCCAGGAAACTGGGCTAACAGTGAGTTTCAACCTTTTGAGTCAACGTTTTGGTGAAAATCGTATCCAAACTCCGTACATTCATTCCTACTAGTACCCGAGCAAAACGTGAAAACCTGAGCCCCATTCAAAAGCCCAAAATCCCAGACTCGAGGAGGAACCAGCCCCTCGAACAATCCACCACTAGGGGGTAGCTACGGCGGATAATGCTTCCTCATGCTAACATTTGTCCCATCCCTCCCAAAGCAACACATCGCACTCGAACACATCAGATCCCTTCCCCTCGGCTTCTGATTCGCCGGGCTCGGTATCCTCCTCGTCCCCCTCCTCGCAAAACTCTGTATACTCGGGATGCACTCCGCACAAAGAACCATAAGACCCCACAGAAGGAGTTCCCCACAACACGAATGTCGCTTGAGTGTGATATCCTCGAGAGTCCAAGTGATCGTTGAAAAGGCTTCGCGCAGTTGGTCGGAGAAGGGGTGGGGTTGTTCGAGTGGACTTGATTGCCCTACTTCGACTTCGAAAAGATGCGTCGTAGGTTTCTGCGCGGATTCAAAAAATAAAACGTTCGTTATCAATTCATACAACCATCAGCGTGGGTTCACAACCCAAAAACACAGACATACCTCTGAGAAAGGAAAGAACTCTCCTGGGGAAGTGGGATACGCTCCTGGAGCGATCAAATCATGAATTCGAAGGTCCAGAATCAAGAGGTTCGGCAGTTTCATGGATATCATAGCCAGAGTCTCGACTGATAAACTATTAATCGAGAACGAAAGCTCTTGTAAGGGAGGGGAAGTCTGGCCCCCCTGGGTCAACGACGTCAGAAGACCCGTCAACTCATCGGGTACCAGCGGCCCTTTGATGTGCAAACACCGCAAAGTAGGGACGATAGAATCGAGGAAGGGAGAAGGCTGCGTCCACCATGCGTCCGGGTAGGGTATATAGTTCAGCTTCAGCGTCAATTTGGTCAACTTCTGAAGCGTGAGCTCGGAGAGGCCGTTCGCTTGAATGGAAGGGCAAGAGACGTATGTGAGATGCTGCAGAACGTCCGCATGCCGTTTCATGAATTCAAAAACAGGTTCTGTGTTGTTGAAGTTGTATGGGATCATTTCGAAGCTGGCCAGGTGGGGGAAGCGGCCGAGGAGCGAGTAAAGGTGAGCAGCGTCCCATGTGTTGCAGCTCCCGAGGTGTAAGTGCTGGAGGGTGTCCTGGAATTGGTTGATGAAAGAGGTGACGGCTCGGGCTTGGAGGCTGGTGGCCGCCGCTGTGGTCGTTGGTGCTTGAAATGGAAACTGGATGCTCAGTTTCTTAAGGACGGGGAAAGAGATACCAAGTGGCAGCAGGTCCTCCACTCGCCGTGGGTGAATCCATAGACTGAGTTCCTCGAGTCGGGGGGCAATCGTTCGCCAAGCAATGTCAATATAAGGCGCAGACAACTTGACGACCCCCTCTTCCATTAGCGTGAACGACCTGACGTTGGTCATGAAAGGTATAACCTCCATAAGCATCTGGGAGATCTCGACCGCGGCCGGAACGTCGTCCTGCCAGTGGTCCAATAGGTTACCCGTCTTGTCGAAGAACCTGTGGTATAACCGCGTCGCGTACGTTTTGATCCTCGAAGGTGAAGGTGACTCTGAAGATGGCGGTCCCTGAGCAAGGCGGATTTGTTCAACGTTCTCCCGCTCATGCAATAGTAGTGGCTGGAGATGCACAGTTCGGACACGACGAGCATAGTCGGGGCTCCTGGGGCGAGTCCTCGATTAGATCGACAAGTAACAGTCTATCGCGACTCATTCAACTCACTTAAGCGCCCACAGTTTGTTGCAAAAGAGAACATTTAGCTTCTCCATCTTCAGCTCCTTGTACTTCTCGTCGAGAGCAAGGTCCAAGAACGTGCGGTTGAGGAACATCAAGTCGGCAATGTCGTCGGGTGACAGAAACTGTGCGATAACGGTCCATAGCTCTGAAGGAAGATCGCCCATTGTAAACAGTGTCCAGGTGTCGTCTTTGACACTACTCCCGACGACGAAGACGATGCTGTGGACGATGGAGACGGTGTGACGAAACGATCCACGGACCGGATGGATCTGATTGGTTATGGGAACCTCCTGCCATGTTTGGCTCAATTTGATGGCGATCATGGCCTCGTCGTACCTCCCCGAACCCCGTTTGCCCTAAACCCTTTTCTTCTTGACCACCACCATGGAATCCATTTTTCTCTTAAACCGCGCGTTTTCTGTCTGATAGTGTGTTGAGGGACGCTGGAAGGGTCTGAAATCCAGGTTCACAGCGCATAAATGTGCTGTAGCGCGGTGTACTGACTCTTTTCTCTGAACTGCAGAAATCTGCATTCTATAGCGACAAGGAAGGTTAGTCTGCTTTTCGATGCCCATTCTCCATTTATGTCATTTTGGCTACAGGATGTCTCCAGGGAACGACATCAGGACGCCTGCGCCAACGGCGCTGAACCATAGTCAAGTTTTCAAGCTCAAGTCGTCTCGTCCGACGCCTCAAGCAGATGGCCAACCCTTGTCCCCAGTGCCAGATTCTTCCTTCAAGAAAAGTGCCGTGACGCGTAAATATACGCGTCGCAAGAGCTACGGGAGTCGCCGCGGTACCACGTCTAGAAGTTTGAAGGAGAATTCAGTGCACTCTCGAAGATCGTCTGTGGGTCATACCAAGGAAGCTTTGATAGGTTTATACCCCTCTTGCGCCTGGCTATTCTGGAAGCCCTCATAAACTGATTGTATGCGGCTACAGGTAGGCCATCCAGCACGCAACTTAGTCGGTCATGGAAGCAAGGCAAAAAACGGGACTCGGCGCATAGCTTACTCCCAAAATCGAACTCACAAGCATCCCTCGCAAGCCCATTCAACTCTCAGCCTCCTTCGCCTGCACTGTCTCTCGAGTCAACAGCTTCAAATGATCACCCAAAGAGGGCACTCGGCGATTCGAACCTCCCTGCGCCCAAACGTCGAAACTCTGGTCCTGGTGCTAGTTCCCTTTCTCTGCCTGGAATTCCTCGGCTGCTCCCCAGCGCCCTACCTCCGAGCGGACTCGACTCGCCATCCGACACTCCGCCCTCGATGCGGAGGAAAGGCCAGCTCTCTCCCAGCTCTACCCGCTCCCTCTCGCTTAAAGCCAAGAAGAACCTACTTCGGATGCCTTCTCATCCTGTCTTCGATACTGGAGTCCAGCGTCTGTCTCCTCAAATCCCCAAATTCACCCCGACTTCCTCTCTGGGATTTATCAATTTCAACAGACCGCCTTCTCAGCTCTCGATCTACGACACCAAGCTCGACGAAGACTTTCTTGTCCCTGTTAAAGGTCTCGATTCTCTGCCTACTCATGACCTCTTTGCGAGTGGACTGGCTATGGCGTCGACACCATTCAAAACTCAAGGTCTTTTTGAACTCGAACAGTCTAGTCCGGGCGCTGGAGCTAGCATCGTCGAAACGTATTCTATCCAACAGGGCGCCGATAAATTGAAAACTCTAACGGTCTCGTCTCCTGGTAGTCATTCTCACCCTGAGGAACCGGTCGAAGAAACGGCAGCTAAAGAGCCCGAGAACCTCGAGGATCTCACAGAGTCTATGTCCCTGACGTCGGTCGAGGACGGCGAACAGTGTCACCACGATCTGACCGAGCGGTCCTCTTGGATTACCGACAGTCTCATCTCGCCCCCAACGATCTACCTCAAGGGACCTCGTGCTAGGCCTTCATTCAGCTGCGGTAGCATATTTTCTGACTCGAGGAGTGGGACAAATGGAACCGATTCTGTTAATCAGACCAGCAGCAAGGGTGAGTCCGGTCCCTTCGCCTCTGTTGGACAGCCTCCTAACAAAATCCTAGAACTCTCCTCGACTCGGGAGGACAGGGAAGAAGTGTTGCCTGCAACGCCAGAAGCCGAGGGTAGCAAACCATTGGCCGACAATCCTCCCACCCGTGCTCCTGGAAGTATCGCTCGCACCAGAAGAGGCACTGTGACCCAGGTTCCCTCTGCTCCTCCCAGCATTCGCCGGCCTCGAAGTGGCACCATCACTCAAGATGCCCACCCTGTTCCATCTGAAATTCTTGACCCTGAATCTGGAGGAGCTCGAATCACTCGAGCTAGAAGCAACACGATTAGACCAGCCGCGACTACGACCACCGCAACTGGCACACTTATCGGTCTCCAAAAAGCCACTTCGCCTACCCTTGACGATCTCGCTGTCTTCCCGACTTTCGCTCCTGATCCTGAAGAGAACTCTCACGGTGCCGACGAGGCTTTAGGCTGTTCCGTTCACGTCGACGCAGAATTCGACCCCGAGCCTGTCGAGGTCCTCGTCTTTGCTTCCGCGCCCAACCCAGATGTCGAAGACGACATCGACGACGAACCGACTCTCTCTGCTGTCCAGCAAGCGTCTCGATCATCTGATGTGGACCCTCTGAACCTTGGATACGAGCCTCAACCTCCTCTCGACATCGCCCAAGACGATTCTCCAGACGACGAGGCCGTCGGAACCTCAAAACCGACTTCAAAACGTCGCAACCTACGCTGGGCTCCGGGCAGTATGACAACGCGTAAAGGCAAGGGAAAGCAACAACAACAAAAGCAGTCTGGCGCCAAACCGAAGTCTGCACCCAAAGGTCTGAAGAAAGCTCTGGGACTCTTGGCTAAACGAGACAACTCGGATTCGTATGATCGCTCGCGCTCGCCTTCGACTGATCCTATCGACTTTTTGAGCCATCTCGATGACTCGGAGGACCATGGTGATGCTCGAGTTGCTCGTGCGAGGGACGACGATGGGGATGTCACTGGTGAGAAACAGGCAGAGAGGCCGCCGAAAAAGAAATCATTGTCGGTTCGATGGGAGGATGTGGTCGGTGCAATGGGATAGACCCGGAAGGTGAGTTGGTGATGTCTGCTCTTCGAGTCATACGTAGCCTTTTCTCATCCACTTTGGACGTGGCAGGCTGATGGAGATGCACAAAAGCTTTGTTTCGTTTGTTCGCTTTGAGGAATCGTGAAGTATCCGTGGACTTTGAACATCTCGACTGCTCTGAATCGGCACTCTCACTCGTCAGATTCGACTCGGTCTGTACTACTCTAATTTCCCTTCTACTAATTGCATGTCTCAATGACAAAGTCGACTTTTTCGTACTGCTTCTGTATGCACCATGGGCTGCCGGTTTGTCATAATACATTGTACACCGCAATACGTTTCTCGGATTCGCGTCTTGACTCGGAATAATCTCAATCATGTCCTCACAGTTCGACGAAATCCCGACGCCATTTCTCTGAACATGAATTTATTATTGCTACCAAGAGCTAGCTATTACAGCAAGTTCGACCAGCGAACTAAGTGTCATCAACGGGTAGGTGGGGTAGGATGGAGCCAGTGTACCAGAACATCACAGTCGTGAGTGTCATAATAGACGGATGTGTATGCGGCTGGGGGATGGTTAGACTTTGGGTTGATGTTGAAAGCCAAACGTGGACAGAAGAAACAGAACAAGGAACGTGGGCACCTGGAGAAGCACAGGCGTGAAAGGGGGAGATATGAAATAAGAGTCTGGAATCAAAGAGTCAAAGGAGCGTGGCTGTTGGCGTGAGTGAGGAAAAGGGATGGGAATAAAAAGAACTGGTCGTGAGTATCGTCAAAAGGCATAGGTGTTTGGAGAAAGAGGTTTAAAAAGAAAAGAAAAGCTAAAGGGGAGAAGCTCAAAGGCTCGAATGAAGCTCGATAAGATATCGAGAAACAATTCCAGCACCTTCGATAACAGCTTCGATATCATCTTGATGAATCTTGGAACCATAAAGCTGGATGAACTTGTCGGGATGCCAGCGAAGAATTTCAGGCTTAAGCCTTGCCTTCAAGTTCCTGTGCTCAAACTCGAACCTCTCCTCGTTCTTGAAAAACTTGGTAAAGTTCTCATTGGTGAGATTCTCGAGGCCGGTGACACGCTCAAGGACGGGCCAAGGGAAGGAGGCGAATCGGACTGTGTTGTCGGGGACCTCGCGCAGGGCATCCCATTTGAGATCGTAAGTGGAATGGAGAGTTCTGAAGGATGGTTGGTGGGTAAGGGGAGGAGCGCGGAAGTGAGCGATCGGGCCGTAGAAAGAGGCGCCATCGAGGATCATAGCATCGGGGGACGGTTCGCGTGTCGGCGGCTGAGCTGTTTGAGGACGCTGAGGCGGGAACGGCTGTTGCTGTTGCTGAGGGTGCTGGTGATGGTGCTCTCGAGCCCCATGGTGTTGCTGGTGTTCGAAAGCTTCATGTTTCTGGCGATGCAAAGCACTGATTCGCTCCTGCTCGATACGGTGAGCTTGTTTCTCGAGGAAGCTGGCCTCCCTCGCCAAAGCCTCCCGAATGCGGTTCTCTCGTTCGCGCAACAATGCAGCCTCACGCTCCAATTGCCGTGCAGTCTTGACGACTTCATCAGCCCTCTGTCGGATGTAGGCTTCTTCTGCCAGGCGCTTGTTCTCCTCCTCCAGTTGAGCCTTCAAGCGTGCAGCGGCTGCCTCCCTCTCCGCCCTTGCCCGAGCCTCCACCGCTTCTTGGCGCTGGCGGCGCTCTTGTTCGGCCTTCCAGGCAGCTTCCTCCTTCTTGCGTTCCACTTCCCGACGCCGTGTCTCCTCCACAGCTTTGATGAATTCCTCTGCAGGATCGGGGTGCTGGACGATGGCGATGGGATTGTAGCGGGAGTCGTAGCGCTTCTGTCGCTCCCGACGGGTTCCACCAACGCTAGCGGGAAGCCGTGTGTTAGGTTTAGGCGGGAGTGGGTGCGCAAGGGGATTCAAGAATGGATCCCTGGCATCGCCGAGTTGCTGGTTCGAGGACGGTCCATCCTCCACTCTGTCCTCCCTCTCCACTGTCCTCTCCTTCTCTCTCCTCTTCCTCTCCTTGGTCCCCTTCTTGGATCTTCGAGTTTTCTTCTTGCCTCCATCCCTTCCTCGTCGCTGGAGGACCTCTCCATGCCCCATTCCGATCTGATGCCCCTCGGAACGCTCGTCGATGGTATATAGACGGCGCTTTCGAGCAGGCTTCTCCATGTCCTCGTCCTGATCGACCTCTGGAAGCCCCAAGGCTGCTCGTTCCTCTGGAGTCTTCAGCTTGAGTGCCTCTCGTTGACGAGCCTGGCTGAACTCTTCGAGGTTGATAGCCCTATCTGCGACCTTTCGGGCCTCCGTGAGGGCTTGCTGCCACGCTTGTTGCTCAGCGAGTCGCTTGATCTCCCTAAGGAAGATGTCGTCTTCCGGTTTCTTGACGGGGGACGAATTCAAGGCGGCTTCAGAGTTGATGACGGCGATGGAGAGGTCGACAGGTCTGTACCCCGTCTGCGGCTGGGACGGACCCTGCTGCTCGAGAGCTTGCGGTAGCTCGCAGTCTTCATCTTCGGCGAGTTGGTCCTCCTGCATTGCGGACCCCTTCCGTGTCAAGGATGCGGTAGATGCTTGATCGTCGGTATCGATCTTCATGGTGGACTCGCGGCGAAGGAGGGGAGTCGTAGCAGGTGGGGATGCCATCGTCACGGACGAGTCGTCGAGGAAGGAAGACTCTCCAAAAGACAGTGCACCAGGGAATACCTTACGTGTGGACTCAGTCGCGATGATCATAGTGGAATCGCGTTGGAGGGGCTGGCTAGAAGAAGCGACGCGCTCCTCGCCTCCTGCCGCGGGCTCTTGTCCGGGAGACGCTTCTTCCAAGATCGAATCCTCCCCCATGGGCAGTGCGCCGGGGAAGACTTTGCCTTTAGGACGTGTTCGGGAAGCGGCCTTAAAGGTTGAGACGCGTCGATGAGGACCTTGTGACATGGGTGGACGACGAGGTCGAGGAGGTGGCCTAGGCCGTTTGGAGGGATGGGTTGCTTGGGCATGGGTGGCGGAGTCTTCTGAGATGGAAGGATCCGCGGAAAGTCCTAGCCATCTCAAGGGAGATGCTAGGACGGGGTGAGGGCGATACTTGGAAATCACTTTGCGTGAGGAGGAAAACATCAAATTGCCCTTGACAAGTCGCCAATGCTGCCGTTCGGCACCAGGGGGACTGGAGAAAAGCTCAAGGGGACAAGCTAAGCGCAATGGGATGAGGAAACACCTACAAGGAATTGAAATCGCTATATGTGACGTGGGCGACCAGTCGCCAATACAGAGCAGATGTAGGCTTTCACGTTCGCGACGGGCAGGAATTCTCGGAAACAAGACCGCTGTTGAATTTATATATGGCCACTGCTGGCATCAGTCCCCAGTCGCGCATTGTACGTCGCTGAGAGCGACTAAGCCACAGCGATACCCAGCAAACTTAAGTCGTAGTCACCTTGAGAATGATTAGAATGGAGTACCTTCCTGTGGAAACCACCTCCCAGGGTTCACTGGTGAATGAATGACGGTTCAGCTTTGTCTTCCAGCCTCGTGTCATATGAGTCCAGTGGCCCCAGCTCCATACAATGGTAACCGTAGCCATACTGAAGATACTGGCTTTCATCCATGCCAAGAAAGATACGTCAAAGCCACAACCCGTTGAGGCGATAATTGAAACAGACCTAGATTTCGGGCCACCGACAGTGGAGTCAAAGACGCAGGGCCATTTCCGTCCCCGTAGCCATGGGCATATGTGTCAACGCTCGTTCTCTTTGTGGCACGCTGCTATGAGCGATGGTGCCACCTTCATTGTACACTGTAACATTTCCCAAATTGAGGACCTTTCTATGTGATTTGCGAGACAGCCTCATCTAAAGGGCGCACCTTTGACACAAGCTGGTTCGCATTATATTTCCACAGAAGGGAGGACTACGACTCATGCTCTCATAGACAACCTAACCTTCGGAGGTGGAATGTGCACAGTGCAAAGGACGATGACGGTCCGGAATTTGCCAGCGGCTTTAAATTGGCTGATCTCCCAAGTTGGATCTCCGCTGATGTTGTCCTCAAAGCGTATCAATCCTTGCTTGGGGCAAGGAACGATGAGTTCGCGGCTTCGAGGTTTTTGTTATAACTGTACCAGAAAAGATGAGCCCAAATGAATCCTCGGCGTAGAAATACGTTGGGGTCACAAGTACTTATGCATAACCTTCTCAGGCACCCGGAAACCACTGGAAACCATCGACCATCGACGAGTTGTGACACGGGGAATTGATGTCAGTCGATCAATTATTATGTCTGATGGCGTCAATGATCTGTACCTGGGCCTTCAGGCAACGGTGGACCACCCAAAGTCCACATTTCTTGATACTCGACCACCACGAGAGGTCTAGCAGAGAGGAACAACCCCTCACAACGTAAGTGCGTTGTATTCAATCTGTTCTAATCTGACCCAACACCTAGAACGGTTATTTCATCCGATGTCCCGAACTGCAGGAATCTCCAACATCCCTCAAGAGATCTTGGAGGAAATCTTGGATTTACTGGGGCCAGAGTTCTGGAAAGCAGGCTCCCTCATTTCCAATGCGTTTCGCGATGCCTGTCAGAGAAGAATATTTTCCAAAATTTCTTTCGGCCACTTCGACTTCGGCGCCAACCAAGCCGAAGCACGGGAAACGGCCAAACTGCAGTCACTACTCAATGTCCTCGACAATTCCCGTCGACTAGCCCGCTACGTCAGGTTCCTCAACGTTCGACTTCACTCTGGCAAGAGCGAGACTTTACTCGCTCATCTCTTCCATCGCAGCTTTCCGCTCCTCGTTAATTTGGAGCAGTTTGACGGGGAAGCGTTTGGTCCATCCATCGATTTGAGCGCCCTTTCGAAGTTGAACTACGACGCGACCCTCCCGAAAATGCGACAAATTTTTCTCAGGGGGTTCACTACCTTCCCTCCTCGGTTCCTGGCCCAGTTCCCGAATTTACAGTTTCTGGATTTGGTCCAGGTTGGATTCGGGCAAATCGATGAACAGGACGAAATTGTCGGGCAATCCAAAACCAGTTCAGACGCACTCGAGCGGCCAAAGCCCAGGGTTTGGAGGGTTAAACCATGGAAACCAGTAGATTTCCAGAGATTCTTCACAGCAGCGTTCAAAGATGCGCGATTTTCTCACCAGGTTGTCTCCAGTAACCTGACAGCTCTCACGCTGGACTGCTGGGAGTACTGTCGTGATTGTGAAGAGCAAGAATGGGTGCAATCTCACCAAGCCTTTTACGACTTTCTGGTGTCATGTTCTGGGACGCTAGAGAGGCTCCACATCGCCTTCAATTGGTACCATCTCGGTGGGTCCTGACTTGTATCCATCCCATACATGCTTTAATGCTAGGATTACAGGTACCCTTACGCGGTTGACAAATAATTCCCCAATCCCTTTCAAGAACCTTGAAGAAGTTTATTTCAATATCCCAGTAGACTGGGAGACCCTTGCCGTGCGAGACGTCGACGATGGAGCCCCTTCCAACATTTCTGTAGCCACGCCGTGGTTGAAACAGTTGTCTTCCCTCCCGTCTTTGCAAACTCTCTACCTTCACATAAACCTCGTCGGCTCTTTTGACATTGGCAGCGTAGACCTTGCCCGACTTCAACCTATTGTGGGCACCCTCCGCGATCTAAAGTCCCACTGGCTCACCCTTCCCGACCTTCCCTTTATTCACCTCGCATTCTCACTTCGAACAGAACTGATTTCAGATCGAGATCGAGCCTTCGTCCAAGCCGAGTTATCCGAGTTTATAAACACAGGGAAGCTCAAAGTACATTCCTGGGAAGAGCGTATGTTTTACCACGGTTTGCGAATCTCGCCATTGTTACTCACGAGCCTTCCCGTAGCCCACGACGTCGACCAAGCATGGGCATACGGAAACCATGAATTTAGGAAGCCTTACTTTTATCGCCCTCTCCAAAGGGGATCAAGCATTGGGATTCCTTACACTCGGGGAGACTATGGGGAGGACTCGGAAGATGACTCGAAAGACTCAGAGGACGTAAAGGGATCAGGGGACTCGGAGGACGACGAAGTTTGAATGGATACCTTTCGCTAAGGCCGATCGCATCTGGGAGACGCGCGTAACTGCTAAGAATTTCAATCGTCCTCCAGGAGCTGATCCTTCGAAACCAGCGCAAAACGAACACATTGGCCCTCTCTTAGGCTTAGGTTCGCGAAAACCTGCCGATCAACACACACGGTCGAATGCAGGCACCCAGGAGAGAAAGGGATACCGCAGCGTTGTACGTCCAAGAGACATATTATCATAAACGTAACAAGCACATTACACACGTCCATGACCATGTCCATCATACGATTATCGAAACTTACAGGAATTCCTTCCGTTACCTTCAAATCTCCAATCCACAAAACAGTTCATTGGTATCAACAAAGCCCATTGTAGCTTCAACACTGACTGGAGAAACCCATCTGCTCAGGCCCACCGATGGTAGTTCCATCCGCAAAGTTCTCGAGTTCGGGACGAGCCTGATCGTGGTCGGGATGGGCTCGTACTTGCGAGGCGGCGCTGACGGCGATAAACGATTCCTTGGAATCTGCAAAGACAGCGTCAATCAGGGTGCATGACGACTTGAGATTCAACTCACTCATGGTACTCTCAGTAACCTCGAGGATGTCAATGATGAGTCGCTCGATGAGGTCTTCGCTCAGGGTTTCACGGACGACGACACGGAGGATTTCGACTTCCTCGGCGCCCTTGGGAGCCTGCGATATGGTTTATTAGGCACAACACTCGCAAAGCCTTAAGCAAGTTGAACGCACGTTGTAGTTGGGCACAATCCATCCCTTTGCCCTGAGAAGTTGCTGGATCCAGACTTGTTGGACGTGGGGGTATTCTTGTTTAAACTCATCTGACAACCTATCAAACGTCGATGGCAATGAGTCTACGAGATCATAAACTCGGGATACAAGGTAGCCAAGCGGACCTGAAAGCAACGACAGGCAATCCGGGTTCGTATCCCTCTGGGGAATCTTCATGGTTGTTGCGATTTTCATGAGGATCGGCTTCAATCCGACGATGGATGTTGCTCATGACCTGTAATGGCGGTCAAGCTTGGGTTCTATGGGATGTCGAGAAGGAATACACTTACAGTGAAGTATGTGCTTTCCAAGGCCTTCGAAAGCATCCTGGCGTTACGCAAGTCCTTGTATGCAATCTTCCTGTAGCCTTCAAATCCAAGGTTGAGGAAGTTGAACATCTGCGCGATGACTGGAGCAGCAGGTTTGGAGAAGTTGCTACAGAAGACAAGATACTCAGTTAAGCGCCCAGAATAAGAAGGGATGATACACACAGGGTGAAGGTATATTCGGTACTTCCGAGATAGTCTAGAATTCAGAGAATAGGGAGTCAGTAGTCAGTTCAATAAAAAATCTTGAAGCAAACTCACGAAGTTCAAAAACGAGGTCCTTATGGAGGTACTTCTCATCTCTCCACAGGACCCAACCAATGCCAGCGTAAACGAGACCGAACTTGTGTCCGGAGGTGTTGATGGAAACGACTCGGGGGACGTCGAAGCTCCATTTAAGCTTGGGGAAGGCGAAGGGGGCAATGAAAGCACCAGAGGCACCGTCAACATGGATGGGGATGTCCAAGCCGGTTCGCTCTTGCAAGTCATCGACTGGAGGAAGAAGGGATAGGTATCAGTCGGTGATTCCGCGAAGTAAATCGAGGGGCGTACGAAGTTTGCTCATCAGCTCCACATTCTCGAAATGGCCAGTGTAGGTGCTCCCAAGGATGACGATTACGCCAATCGTATTCTCGTCAATATACTTCAGCGCGTCGTGGGGATCCATGATGAAGCCATTCTCCTCTTTAACTGGAACCAAACGCGCTTCGACGTCAAAATACCTGTTTGTATTGTTTCAACGTTAGAGGCTGAGACATGAAGCGTCAGTCTAAATGGAACTGACCTGGCGAACTTCTCCAAGGCGACTTGGGCGTTGGCTCCGAACACGATGTTGGGGTGGTAGTAGTCCTTTCCCTCGGCTTTACGCGCCTCTTGCCAGCGCTTCTTCATGGCGAGACCACCGAGCATGATGGCTTCGGAAGAACCCGCTGTCGCGGTACCGATGACCTTGCCTTCCTTGGGCGCTTTCCATAGATCAGCAACTACAAGGCACAGTCGTCATGTAAGTTGGGGAAGGCAACAAGAGAAGTGGTGTTAAAACGTACGCATGGAGACGCAGCGGTTGTGGATGATAGAAGCCGCGGGATACTCGTCCAGGTCAACGATATTCTTGTTGATGTTCTCCATGATCAACTTGTCGGCTTCCTCTGGCATCCAAGTATGGACGAATCTAAAGCCAGATTATTATTAGTCTCTACCATGACTGCGGGGAAGATTGAGCTTACGAAGCGAGGTTGAGCAGAGGGTTCCCGTCCAGAGCGGTTTCATCGTGCAGCACTTGGTACGCAGACTTGGCTGGGATACCGACCCGAGGCATGACATATTTGGGGATGGTGGAAGCATCCTCGTCGCGTCTCCAGGACTGGTGGTATCCTCGGCGTCCTCCTTCACTACCATGCTTCTTGTGGGGATGTTCCCTGCATTTCTGGATGATCTCCTCTGGGTCAACTAGAAGCAAAAACACAAGGTCAGCGCCTCTTCATGCTTTAAAAATCAGAGAAATATAACGCACTGTGTCTGGACAACATCCTCGGTCACGATTGACTGTACTGTACGGTAACGGTCGTGTAAGGGAGAGAAGAAAGGAAGAAAGTCAAAAGACGACAAGGCGTACGGTTTCAAACGTCCAGCTTATATATATGGTTCCTGCAACAAGGACACTGGGTGTGAAGAAGTGACAATACAGTGAGAATGGTCAGGTGCGCTGAACCGCGGTCAGCGTGGCTCGGTTCTAGAAGCAACCGATGATGCAATGGCGCCTCCACTCCACAAGAGGCCGAGGAGGTAGATGGGATAAAGATACCTTGCGTGCCTAGATTGGACACAGGGTTTTGAATACAAGAGGAGGTTTGAGACTTCGCGAGGTGAGGCGGGGACAAGGATGGCTGACTCGGGAGACGGATGTTGTTTGGGCGCGTCTGTTCCGTGTTTTGATCGGAGCGACGTTTCGAGGCTTGGCACTGTGCGTAGGCCAAAGAGGAGGTGCATTGGAAACCAAAGGACGAGGTTGCACGAATTCTTTTGCAGTATTGGTGCAGGTTTCTGAGCGGTTCGAGTCTCGGAAGCTAGAGTGAGGGACAAGGTTAGTAGACTGGTCCAGACCCGGATTGTGGTAGTTGAACCAGTGCAAGATAAGGTGACAGAGGAGAGGGAGAGAAAGATAACAAGTGAATGAAGGGCGAGAACGGAAGAGAATTCGGGGACGAGACACTTCATCACGAAACACTGAGAACCGGTCGAAACGCGCAGCACCTACTATGTCAACAGACCATGAGAGCCAACACTATAGCTGCGATGTCTCCGCGAGAACAAAAGCAAAAATGGCGCACTGTAGAGGTCTGAGGCAAATATCTGATTATTAGTGTACGTTATCAGGTTTTCTGGGTCTAGTCGAATACTGTCTGGGACTCTACGCAGAGACTTCGGCCGCGGCAGATGATGATGCTTCCGGGATAGAAGCCACGTCAACCTTCGGGGGTTCGGGAGGGTGAACGAGGAGGTTTCCTAGTCTTGGTGGACTTGAGCGACTAATGAATTCCATCTTGACGGGGAGTTTGGCAGCGGCTTGTCGGAGAACTGAGGCAAAAGTCAGACATCGAACGGGTGGGCTAGAGAGGTAACTTACTGTCTCGTGCAAGCTCTTCACGGATGGGTACGCCGCCAATCTCGAAAATAACACGTCCGGTTGGGGCCCTGCGAGGCTGGCGTTAGAAAATACGACGTGTTACTCGGTGAATAAACATACCGGCATGCCCAGTATTCGAAGGTTCCTTTACCCTTACCCATACGGGTTTCGCTACCCTAGGCTACAGTCAGTGGGCCCGACACAGTCTCTAGTTCGTTGGCGCCATACCTTGATGCAAACCGGGATGTCCGGGAAGACCCTCAGGTAGACTTTGGCGCCCTTGAGGACCTTGAGCTTTTTCTGGATGACCTCTCGTGCTGTCGTGAGCTGTTTCGCGCTCAGCCTCGTTCCATTGTCCTTAATTCTAATGCCCCAGTCCCCATAGGCCAATGTCGTTCCCTTGGTCGAGCCGCCAATCGGAATCGGAACCTTGCCCTTGTGACGCTTCAAGTGTTTGACCTTCTTGGGGGCAAGCTGGTGTCGTCCACGGGTAAAGAGGCTCAGAGAAGGCAAGGCCGTCGTTACACGGTGCCCTGTCGCTGGTTGAGGCAGCCTCGAGAGGCTTCTGCCAACGCCAGCGACGCCCGACAGCACTTGCCGCGACAGGGAAGAGAGAGAAAACATTGGTGATTAGGTAAGCAAGTCGCGTTCACTTTCAAGTTCGACGACTTCACAGGCTTCGACTCCGACGACAACCAGCTTCCCCGCATCTTCTTCAGAATTTCTTTCAAGGCCTTTAACTTGGACCTTGGACGTTGCTTATTGCGACTCTAGGCTGTTATAAAGGTCAAAATGAGCGACAGAAAGCGTGCCGCGGAAACAAGTGGCAGCGACGGGTCCAGCACCAAGAAGTTCAAATCGTGAGTTTCCTTTATGACTTTGAGGCATGGAAACTAATTGGTTTTCTATAGTGATGTGAGTGAATTCTTTTGTTACAACACCTATTCTCAAAGGTGAATATTCCTGCTTATGAGCAAACAGCTGACGTGTTGCTACTACCCGTCTTCCTCATAGATTGGTTCAACTAATGGGACACCAGGTCCTTCAGGAGGGGTGGGTTTTACTTGCTCTATAAACAGGACAATTCGACTAAGTTTGTTGAAATACAGCTGTCAGCAAATGACTTGATCGCCCAGAAGCGTGCTGAAATCGCCGCCAAACTCGCTGCCATCCAAAAGTCTCAAGGAATTGCTGCAAAGGCGCCCAATCTAGTCGCCCCAGCGCCCAAAGTTCCTATTGCAGCGCCGACTGCGCCGTCTAAGGTCGTTCTTCCCGGTACCCCATCACCAGCAATCTCGACACCAGCATCCGGGTCTGCGTCAGGGACCCCTGGAATTTCAGATGACCTGGCTCGCAGGGTAGCAGAGGCTAAACGACGTGTCGCGGAGGCTCAGAGCAAATTGGCTATTAAGGATAACCCGTACATGGTACGTTAGCTGGTTTTGCGTCGAGACTTTCGCTAACAATCCTCAACAGTCCATTGCTAGTGTCGCCAAGAAGAAAGGAGGAGCCTCTGTCACCCCAATTGAGCAACCTCAACAAGGCGCTGGACTGAAAATGGCTGCCCATCCATTGCTCCTCGACCAGACACCAGTTCTTTCCCAGTCGAAGAAGGACAGGTACAAGCCAATGCAGCCCAAGTTCGCTTCGATCAAGGTGAGATGCCCTGGCTTCCAGGAAAAGAACCTGCTTTAACTGCAGTCCAGGCCAATGTTCGAAATGCACCTTCACCCTCGCCTGCTCCAGTTCCTGTGTCAACTCCCACCCCGGTTGCCAATCCATACAGCGCTGCTGCTGGGAAGGAAGCAACCTCCACTGGTTTTGAAGGCGCCCCTCGAGAACGCGCTGGACGAAGCTTCCGGTTCAACCCCAAGGGAAAATATGTTGCTATGGCCAACCAAATGAGGCACGAGCAACAGTTGGAAGAGTTGAAGCAGCGTATCGCGGAGAGTGCCAGGAAGGCTGGCTTGGACAGTGAACTAGGGATTGAGAAAAACATCAAGGTTCGTCTTCTGTGTTTCGCACGGTTGTTTGAACTCACGTCCGTCTTCAGAGGGCGCCGCCTCCCGAGAGCGAGTGGTGGGATACCAGTTTACTTCCCAACAAGAAGTATGACGACATTGAGACGCTTGGGATGGAGAAGCTCAACATCCGCACGCAAGACTCTCCGATCACCCTGTACATCCAACATCCTATTCCAATTCCTGCCCCTGGTGATAAGAACACTGTTGCCCTCAAACCACTGATGCTCACCACCAAGGTACGATCGGCATCAGATTCACTGGGATCGTTTCCTAACACCTTCCACAGGAGCAGAAGAAGATGAGGAAACTGCGCCGCAAAGAGGCGTTGCAAGACAAGCGCGATCGTCAAAAAATGGGCTTGCTGCCTCCTGACCCTCCTAAGGGTACGCCATATGTCTTCATTTGGTCCTCTTTGACGCTCATTTCGATCTTCCATATAGTCCGTTTATCCAACCTTATGAAGGTCTTGACCTCGGACGCCGTCCAAGACCCAACCCGTGTCGAAGCACGCGTACGACGTGAGGTCGCAATGAGGAAGCACAATCACGAGAGGATGAACGCCGAGCGCAAACTCACGGACGAGCAACGCAGAGAGAAGAAGGAAAATAAGAAGTTGGAGGAGGAGAAACGCGGTATTTATGGCGCAGTCTACAAGTACGCTGTTTTTTCGACATTTCAAGAACCGGATACTAACGCCCAAGCTAGGGTCAAATACCTCGGGGACCCAGCGCACCAATTCAAAGTCCGTAAGAACGCCGAACAGCTCAACCTTACGGGTATCTGCATCTTCAATCCTCAATTCAATCTCGTTTATGTGGAAGGCGCAGCCAAGTTTATGAAAAACTACAAGCGTCTCATGTTGCACCGTATCGCATGGACGGAGCCTGCCCGGCCTCGCGGAGGAGAGGAGGTGGAACTTGAGGACCCCAACTCTGACGTGGAAAACGACGAGGAGGGTGCAGGGTCCTCATCTAAAGGCAAGGCCCGCGCTATGTCTGCGGGCGCAGATGATGCCGCCAAGTTGCTGGAGGATAACAAGTGCTGGCTCGTGTGGGAGGGCGTGTTGAGAGATCGGGCATTCTCTGGGTTCAAAGCCAGGAGTTGCCCTACTGATCGGGATGCGAAGGAATTGCTTGGGGAGAAGTTGAGGGGATACTGGGATCTGGCGAAGAACTGGAAGCCGGAGGAAGAAGAGCTGTTCTGAGTTTCTATACGTACATGTAAGCAGAAGCTAATGCCTTAAACTCGGATGCTCCTTACCTCAGTTTCCCTTGTACGCAGACATCTAGTTGTCGCTTATGTTAATGTGTCCCATGTCTCGCTCCAGACATGCTCTATGCAGGACATGAAGTTCACATTGCACTCGATTTGATCCATTCCTTCTGCTTTGCTATGGCCTCACGTGAGAACGGCCTATCACCCTAGCTGCATATGAAGTGATATGTGACTTCGAAGGCTATGTTTACTGTCTGCAGGTTCGCCCTCGTTTTGGGATACTTGTACAGGTGACCATCCAGATAAGGCCCAGTACCACCCACAACGCAGAGAAGAAGCCAGCCACGAGGCTGGACTGCACTGCATAATGTAAGGTGGGCGCTAACTCGTCCCAATATACGGCCGACATGTCTTCCGGAAATTATGCGTCATCCCCCTTGCCCTACCTCTCACAACGCCGTCGCCATGAAGCGAGGCGTCGTTTCCCTCACTTCCTCTCTTCTCAACTTACTCAAAGCTATCATCCGCATCGTCTGCAAATGCGCAAAGTACCCGTTACAGGTCGTGATCGCTCTATTCCGACTCCTCCGGCTGCACAGCAGTCGACATTCCCGCCCGCGAAGACCCAGTCATACCGACGACGACACCAGGAAGCTGGAAGAGGGAACGCCAACGATTCGAGTCAGCACGGCTGGCCAAAGCCTGCAGCATCCGCTTATCCTGCCTTCCATGGATCATTCGCATTCGTTACCATCACGACTGCTACCATCTTCGACGACACCCGAGCGACACGAGTATGACTTGCCGCCGCCGGCGGAAGCAAATTTGCAGGACCAGGATCTGCGAGAAGCAGATATCGTCGACCATCGGCTGGACATCTCCCAGGAAGTGGTCGTGCCAATCCCGAGTTTGTACCCGCCACCACCGCCGACGGCGAACTCGCACCGCTCAGGTCACACAGATGAGACCTGCGTTGAGGAAGATGAGGAAGGTCAGGAAGGCGGGAGTGGGGGCGAGGATCGACCCGGACATGTTGCTGTACAGATGTTCGACCAACCAGACGTTGACATTCTTGGAGACCCTGCCGGTCGCAATGTCGCGGAAAGGGAGCCAGAGAGGGACGAAGGTGGTGATGATATCGATCCGTTTATTTATCCCATTCTCCCGTCCGATATAACTCGCTATGACCGACAACGATATATGTGAGTGTCGCGGTTCTATCTATCATGTCGGTTTCACTGATTTTGTCGCGCGGACGTGACTAGCGATCCATCCCGACATGCATCATATACGGTTAGAGCCAGGCAAATGGGCGATGACTTTCTGGAGTGCGTTCATACCTTGAATTTGAGACACTCGCCCTTATTTACCTCCATCGCAGCGAAGTTCTGCCCAATGGTTGGGTGAAGTTGATTCATCCAGAGGGTCTACCTTATTTCTGGCATCCCGAAGAAGTTCGTTCAATTTAGATCTATCACATTTTCTATTCCAAATCTGACTTACTACGATCTAGCGAATCCTGACAGAATCCTGGATATGTGATACCGAAGTCATGAACCATCTCAACGAATTCATCTGCCGTATTCGTGATTATGAACGAGCTGCCAACGTCATACAAACCGAAAATGTCAGTCTAGTGCTGCAGCTGGTGATTGAGGATGATGAAGACTGGTGGTGTGGGTACTACTTCGCCAACCACGCCGATCTTTCTCTGTACTGGCACGAGGACTTCAAAATCGATAATAAACTGGGAGAGGTGAAAGGGGACATAACGAATTCCTTCGCCAGTGCGTAGCATCTCCGCGGTACGACTGGCTCCGGTACTGATGCAAGTTACTAATTCGTCGAATAGAACTCTTCCTGGAGAGGGAATACTGGTGAATCGAATGCCCGTCGGCACATGACACCTCGGTCGCTTATATCCCATTCACAGGAACCACTGGGCACTCTACCCACACGCCTGCGAAGCCACTCTGAAAGTTATCAGGATTGTAGAGACTGCTTTGACGGATGCTGGCACAGGTAATTCAGGCCTCGCTATTCTTCGGCGGTGTCACTTTAATGAGTTTTGACTTTTTTATTCTAGATATAATTACTTCCTTCAACTCCAATGTCAACATGAACTTTGACACCGTCGGTAGCATGCTTTCATTACTTGGAAGAGCCAAAGGTAAGCTGAATTACACATCCGTATGTATTGCTCGGCCTTCATGTGCTCCAGGCGCGCGTCTGGTCGAAAACGAGAATGGTTCATCAACCCCGAAGGACGACCTTCCAGCGCCATCTGCCTGGATGATTGGTAGGTCTCCTTCCTAGATCCTTGGATCAAGAATGCTTGATAGAGTTTGCTAGGTCGATTCATGCTTATGCTAAGTAGGTGTCTTCACCGGCTCTTTCTCAGACGCACTGACGGATGTCTTCCCAGGCAGAGATCGCTTCTTGAACTACTATGGCCAGAAACACGCTCGCCTGGACCGTCGCCAATCCGTCTTCGGTAACCCATCCTTCTGTTCTCTCAAGGATCCGACCATTCTATTCCGGGTGTTATCGCCCCTCCTCTTCTGTGCACCCGATGTGCATCTCAACACGTTGGAAGAAATCTGGGTAGACAAGTTGACACTACTCGACCTTTGGAATGAGTTCTTCGCCCGCCTCTGCGAGGAATGGAAGGCACAGCTCGTTTTTGTGAGTATTCAAGGTGGCCGGTACTTCAAGCGTGGATTTTGATCGCTGTCCTTTCTCTAGGCTTCATTGCTTTTGACGAGCAATATCGGTTTTTTGACGATGCCGATGGTTTCCCCGGAGGGTGCCCCCTCACATGGCACTTTCGTCCAGATCGCTAGTTACGTCTCGACCATAGCCAGTATCTCAAGTATCGTCCTCGGTCTCCTCCTAAGTAGACATTACCAAAATCATCAAAATCGAGACAAGGTAGACGCGAGGGGTCTGGTGAGTTACTCTAGTCACCTCCTCAGCGCACGCGGCAACCCATTTACCCTTCACTTGCACCTCATAGCACAAGCGGATGCTGTCTTTGCATCTCGAGACGTATGGATTCCAACCACTTGCTGTACTCTACAGCCTGCCTTATGCCTTACTCATGTGGGGGTAAGTCAGGGCGTGCAGAATCTCCTGTTATCTGTATCTAACAAACTTGAGCACAGGATGATCACATTCCTCATAGCCTTCACTTCAATGTGTTTCCACAATTCCAGCCGTGGTGCTCGCGTTCTCACATCCTTCGCGTGGTTCTTGATGGCGATACTGGTCGTCTGGTATATCTATATGTCGTGGGACGGGAGTACGAATCGGTGGTTAATCCTCCTGGACGAAATCCTACCAGGCAGCCGGAGTTCGCTCCTTGAATGCTCCGAGAAACTCAGGCAATGTCTGGGGTCCCGGTTCGGAGGACGCAGTTCAGCAGCGAGTTCTGCCAGTGGGACCGCGTCAGGGTCGGAAACCTTGGGATCACAAGGTCATGACTCTTGTTCCCAAAGTACTACGTCGGGTCGTACAAACATTTCCAGAGCAAGACGGAAAGCCCGTTTGGAAAAATACAAGAGACGAGGTTCAAAACTCGTGGATTCGATAGCCGACCGTCTTGGACGGAAACGTGCCTGTGTTACAGCTCCCGACGTCGAGCAGGCGGTGTAGATGCTTCTTCGTATACTACTGTACCAACCAGTCTGATAGATTATGTATATGATTGCGTGCAGACGGCTCATTTTTCTGATATTATAAGTATGTAAGGGACGAAGATACATACTAGTAGTATCTAAGTACACATGGGCTGGTCAGAGCTGGTCAGTGCCTGCGGATTTCGGCGAATTCCGAAAAATTGATCCATTCAACATTGATGGAGCTCGTTGGCACGGAGTCCGTCTCCTCTTGGTTCCACAACCTCACCAGCTTTGCAAAACCTCATCACACAGAACAACAAAACCGTAACACTGTTATATTCCGTCGAATCCTCGAATATTGTCACAAGATACATGAAAATGTCAAATCCACAAGAAACCAATGTTACATCGAAAGGGTGTCATGCGATAGGGGAGATGGGGAGCCTCAAGGATTAACCTCAAGGATTACAAGTGAATGAAAACGAAACGGGAAACATAGAAATGGCTATACATCATAGGATGAAGGAAAGAATCGTCTACATCGTGGAGATCGTCAGGTATGTCTTCTGTTGTCTTGGGTGGCCTTCGCTGTTCAACAATACAACAGCAAGATGGCACAATATGACTCTTCATTGCAGAGACAAAATCCACAGGTCGTTCTCTGTCTCACTCGGTGTCAAGCCCGCCCACATACACCGATTTACAGCACTTGTCGAATGTCTGCCTCCCCGCCCACCGACTTCGCGCACAGCTCTGGGACGATATAACTCACGTGACTGGTCTTGGCGCGCTGAACGCGAGTTGCCCCATTGGGAAGACATTCGCTCGCCGTCGAGATTGGTTCTCTTGCGTTGGGCGCAATGAACGGCATGTAAGACGTCCATTATGGTCACGTAGGCCGCATTCGATTCGGATGGGAAGACCACGAGATCTTTGTCGAACGCCGAACACCGTATATCGACCGAGGGGACGTCCGAGGGCATCATGGCTGGGCTCGACCGCCAATCGTCGTACGGGCCTTCCGGATGGTAGTTGGGACATTCCGCAAACATGGCCGGCTCGTTGATGTTCCATTGGATGGGAGGGACAGGGCCACCCTCCAACAAGCGGTTGATTTTCAACCTTTCGTCGGTCTGTGGCGGCAAGGAAATATTGCGCGACCCTTGGAGGGCTGGTGGATGCGACGTCGAAGGGGCAACTGGGTCGGAGAAGTGATCCATGGTGCAGAAGGAGGATGCCAGGGGATATGGCCAGTTATCTAGGCGGTACTGAGGACCTGGGGCTGCGGTGGTGGACGAGGTCCAATGCATTACCGGTTGTTGTTGCGGGGGTTGCGGCGAGAATTGGGACTCGGAAAACCAAGGAAGTTTCTGGAGCCCCCTCTCATTCGTCGTTGGCTTGGTTCTCATTCTGGCTGTCGTCGCAAATGGCCTGGCGGACGAGGTGAGCGTCCTACTTTCGCATTTCACAGAATCTTTACGCTTACCCTGGGCTCTCTAGCTTGATATAGGACTGGGATTCAATGGCTATAAGGCCTATGGTTGTCCGGGACCAGGAAGCGACGGTCCAGGAGGATGATGGTGGGGATAGGGAAGGAAAGGCGGTGGGGGACACCAAAGAAAGTGTCAATATCATTGGCGCGACCGGTACCGTGACCTTGGATTTGTTGACGTCTGTTAGGTCCCAAAGCTTGTGCCAATCACCTCCTTCGATTGTGCCATGTGCCACTCTATCGCGAGAAAAGACTGATCGCCGTGCTTTGGTCTTGCATAGCCTTTCGCTGAACGAACATTGGGGGGCCGCTCAATCCGAAGTATGCTGTTTTCGAACGAAACCGACCAAGTCCAAGTGCTCGCCTTTCGGGGCAATGGTCACCCCCAACCCTCACCTGATTTCTCAGTCGTCACTGAGCATGGCACAGAGCACCTCAAGGGGTCCTTTTATTTTCAGAAAGACGTGGAATAATGATTTATTTCGGGTTCGTTGCCATGCACACACCTGTCGTCGCGATAGCCCACTATGGTCCACGGGGACTATGCTCGAATCCGATTATACTCGAATCCAGGGCGTCATGGTCATGCGGCGGTTCACAACGTTTCTCGAAGCGATACTACCGAGATCTTGTTCGAAACTATCGCACCGATGTTTGGGATATGTCAGTGCACGTCAACTCCTTCACGATGACTCGGGGAGCAACGTCCTTTCAGCATGTCCAAACCGGTCGCGCCTGCTTGCGATTGAAGCAGAGGTAGAAGGCCACAGAATAAGAGTACGTGTCACGGAGAAGTCCTCCGTAAGTCATCGCAGTTCCCATTGTCATGCTGAAACCAAGAGGGATAGTTGTTCTTGCATTCCAAGGTGCTAACGGCACAAACCAAGGGTCTCCGAGTCCCGGCTCTGGGTGGGGTTCCACTTACGCCCGGGCGCTAGTGTCGTCGCAAATTTTCAACGGCAAGAGGGTAGTGGCGTCGTTAGGGCGCAAAAGGTTCATAACTTCCATCCCCGTTTACGGGGATCGCGGCTCATGAAATCTACTCCAACGGGTTGGGGTGGGCGCTTATCGTTTTAATTAAGATCGGGGCGCGGCTTCAAGAAGAATATTGATTCTGTCCGCAGACAAGTGTGAAATGCTCAATAGAGGATTCTCGAGTTATGTGTCTTTTCCCGTATTGCCTTTTCGCCCGTAAGCACTCGAGTAGAACTGTCAGATAAGAAAAATCGAATTTCCGCGAGGAACCTGGCGTTGGATAGGAGGTTCCATTAAGATCGCCGAACTTTCATTTATCCTCGTTTACACTTGCCCTCATTGTTTTACGATGCGTGGACGATGAGTTTGATTGAAATTTTCTCGTGGCGGTGGTTGCCCAATGAACCCCGCCCGGCGTTTACAGCACCTTGGGCGCTCTCTGTTGGAATTGACACTACGACCTTGGCTTGGCGCCAAGTGAGCACGTGCAGACACACGGAGGCAAATCCCAAAGAGGAAGGTCGGAAGCCTGATGATCCGGATGTCCGGAATTTCGCCACTTGAGAATTGAGGCAATTCAACTGGCCATGCTTCGGTTTTTCCATCTTATTAGGACCAGAACTACGGCCGCTGTCATGCAAAGCCTGACGTTTCTAGGGTAGAAAGGGTCCGTCACAATATAGAGCTGACTCGGCTCCCAACGATGCCACAATGGTCTGAAGGTCAGATCATCCCGTACCCAGCGGACGATAACCATGAAGGGGGAAGGAATCTGACAAGTCTGACGTACTGATAGAATCGGTTTACACTACGTTGGTGCCCATGTCCATGTATCTCCATTGTATTAGATTCTCTCTGAGCTGTGTAGGCCGGGATTCCGTTTAAGCTTGTATGTCCCCATATGGGTAGATTATGCACCGTTTAGGACGACTCTGCTCGAAAGCTTGCCTTGTGTGGGGTTTTGCACGGCAGCAGATGGCGCGCCCGGACTGGGAAGCGCAGGCGGAACTATCTCCGTCCAACCTATGTAGAACCTTACCTGGCAGCGGCATCATACTGTATTTAGCCACTTCGAACCATCGAGTTCTATGAAATTTTCCTATCTCGCTGTTTTTTCGAGTGAGTTCAAGACAGGGGTATCTATGTGAAGCGCACGTGAGGTATGTATGTGGCTTGAATTGGAGGGGAAACAAGCTGTGGTAAGTGCAGTGGTGTATCGAAAAGTTCCCTCCGGCTTCTATAGTTGAACGAGTCCCGTTGCTTCTAATCCATTGACTCATCGGACTTCATGCGCACATAGCTCCGATAACCATGTTAGAGGAGTGAGATGTTTACAGAATTCAATACATGGCGAGTATCGTCGTAGATCTAGTTAAAGCAGATTGTAATTGTGCTGTACTTACAATACAAGAGATAAAGTGTCCGTTAAGCGTCCATTTATAGTATGTACTTGAGTTCATGAGGCCATTAGTATGTCCGGCTATTAATATTACATGTACGCTACTTCCTTCCCGTGTCCCGGAGGCAATCAAGAATTATGCTACGTTTACATTGAGTGTGTTTCGTGATTAGTATCGTCGCATCGTCATCGAATAATGTTAAGAATCCAAACATCGCGCTCGGTAGTGCTGGGTGTGAGGCCCACCCAGTTCCAGCTCTCCGGGCTAACTGCATTTGGATTGGTCGAAGAAGCCAGGTCTGGCACGGCACCACCACTTACGACACCACCCCCATGGTGATAAGCATGTCGCTGTCGTCCGTTCGGGCGATATGTCGAAATCTCGGGCTGGAGAAGAAGGCTTGTTGGAGGATATGGCAGAGGGAGGTTCGGCGTGACTGTATTGGGCGAGCTACTCGTCCCCGGCACTGCATTGGGCGTTCGTCGATTTAAGCTGGACGTCGCGTGATAGACTGCCGTAAAGACATCGTAAATCGAGACGGGTCTACCGGCTCGATGTGGGTGAGTGGGGAATACAACAATTGGCCGTTCCAGAAGGGGCCACCGAATACAGAGGGACCCTGTTGGGGGTTGGGTCGCAGGCCGATGAGACCAGTGCTCAACACCGAAACTCATCACTAGAACACGGGGGTCGCTGAGAATAGATGAAGGGTGCGTTCTGATGTCCCACAGTAGACCAGGTATGCCGTAGGGGTGGAGGAGAGGGTCAATGTCTACGCTCACTGGGGGGAGGGCGACGGGCGCTAAAAAACGCTGCTGAGGTGGTGGGTAGAAGTCCATGTTATCGACGGTGAAGTACTATGTGCGGTTAATGCAGGTTAGAGTCAACGCCATACAAAGAGATGGTGATATGCACCAAGGACCAATAGAGGTAGTCTGTTCGGCGCCAACCTGGTAAATCGAGTCACGCCCGCAGTCACAGAAGAGAGGCGAGGGCGAGGGGAAGATAGGGTATTGAGGGCGTTACAACAGTGAAGTAAAGAGTGCGTTGTGGTTCAGTCGCGGCTGGGAGTCAGTTAGGGCTCCGGATTGAATCCACAGGCTTTATAGGTTTTTAGCCTCTACGGAATCAAAACCGATGGAACTGAGCTTGATCACCCCAATGGGGATCTAGCAATCCCAATCTTAGATCGAGCCAAAAACGAAGGTGCGCGGCGGACTGCGATCGCGCTTTAATGCTAATATTATATGGGGATAGTCGCGTGGCATTTCAAAATTCAGCAATGAGGTTAGATCGGGTCCTGCTTTCCACATTAGGGGTCTGGGGCCTGAGCCTGAGGGTTTGACAGTGCGCTTCTGCGGTTTGCGATCTGTACAGGACACGAGATCCTGACACTAGCCTGTTTCCAGAATTCCTTTGGCATGTCGTCACTCTACTCTATGAGCTCAAGCAGAATAAAGTGTCCGCTTTCGTTGTTGGCCAGAGTGAGCGAAAGTGTCAGTTTGCACCCAGGTTCCCGCCCGAGCCGCCATTTTGTCCGGTTCCCTGGATTCAGGTCCCAGCCTTGTCCCAGCCAGTTCCTAGACGATTAGCTCCTCGGTTAAGGTCTTCTCGAACCCAAAACTGTCTGGTTTGCATCAGGTCACAAAAGAATGTCCGGTTTGGGATCCAGATTCCCCCTAAGTTTCCCGGGATCCATCTATACGAAGGTAAGCTGTACGTACATGTTGAAATCGTTGTATTGGTTATTCCAGGACTCCACGAAGGACAGTGTGATCGACTCAAACTTAAACTTGGAATGACATCCGAGGCTACTCGTGCCATTCTCTTCGGTACCTAGATATCTACCACGGCAATTGAAGCGGAGTTGGCAAGTTCTTGCCAAGTACCCGTTCTGCTTCTCCGATGTCCCTGGATTGTCACAGTCAAGTCAACGACAGGAAAGGGAGAGTCAGCATACTCGCTTTACTAACCTTGGACCTCGCGGCGCCCAAAATGTTCCTGATTTGCTTGCATCAACGGTTGCTACAAAGTCGATGAGAGATTTAGCTGCTTCCGATGGGTAGACCGCTGGGAACGGAGATTTAATGAAGACTGTTCTATTATCCTCGCGCGGAGAGCACCTACCTCCTCCAGAATCCCAGTGCTTGTCATAACCCACGCCTTTTGTCATGTCCGTGCGCATAAAGCCCGGCTGATGAAGGAGAATCCAGTTCATCAACTCTTTCTGGCACCCGAAACTCGGACCCTACTCACGTGTATCATCACCACTGTAACTCCGTCACCTTCAAGGTCGAAGGAAAGCAGTTTTCCAACCATATTAGCAGCGGCCTTCGAACCATGGTGCCCATAGTTTTGACCACCTTCTTCCTTTGTCCTCAAGGTGATAGAACCACCCTCTGTCGTGATTAATACCAGCTTTGATGGGTTTGAGAAAAGGTTCGCCTTGTGGCTATTTGAAGGCAGTGTAGTTAGCCATCGAGAGATGTGGGACGGCGTGGGGAAACATTCCAACTCACAGGTGGTGTGCAAGGAAGACTGGGGCAATCGCTACTACCTTGTACATCTCCAGCTCTGCCTCGTAATCGGGCTCATCGAGCGTCTAGATATGCGTTATCAGCTAATTGTATCGGGCAAGGTCAAAGGTTTACCTCTGCGATGAAAACCCCAGCGTTGATGATTACCAGGTCTAAACTCGCGATTCCTTCCTTCTTCAAAGCTTCTACGATTCGCGTCCCTGCCTTGTTGGGGTCATTAAGGTCGACCTCGGGAATGGTAGTCACAGAAGACGGAAAAGTAGAAGCGTCGAAAGACGCCGACCGTACGGTTGCAAAGACCCTTCCATTGAGCGATGCGTACGCTGGGTCACTGCCCAACTGCTTCGCCAGTTCGAGACCCAGACCTCTGGATGCACCAATAATGAGAGCGGATGGCATGGATGGTGGGCGGGAAGGATGAGTTCAAGTTGCGAAGGCAGGGATGGCGAACCCGAACAACTGGGAATGAGAAACTCTGACGTCAAAAGGGGCCGAAATGAGGACGGGCATCTGACCAAGGACAGGAGCCAGGGGAGGCCATGCTCGGCGCCTACCATGGCTTTTGGATGCAAGCTTGAACCATGAGCGTTCCCGATGACAACGCGTTGTTAGCGGGGCCTTCCCCGCCATCCATTCAAACACACATGGTATGCGCGAAAGATAGGGGCAGGTTCCCCGCGTCCACGGTATGACGTCACGAAGTTAGACTCGCGAGGGGCCGCAGTCAACCTCCAAGGAGCCAACTTTTCGTTCTTTACTTCCACAATCCTCCTTCTGTAAGGAGACACACAGTCAAAGCCATTATGGATGCCTGCATGTCACTCTTTGGGAGAAGGCGAAGACTCCCTCCAGAGGACGAAAACTCGGACGAGGACCCGCTTCTACCCACTCATACGGAGCCCAACCGCCAAGGAGAGGTCCTCGAGCAGAACAAAAAGGTCAAGAAAGGAAAAGGTGGACGACTTATTGACTTCCACGAAGCGGAGGCAGTTAACGGCGACAACTCACAAGGCGATTTTCTCGATGGGTCACGGCGGCGTGCATCGAACACCAAGGATGCACCTCCGACATTGGTCGGGAAGCTCATTGACATCGTGGCCGCATTCCAAGCCGGTAAATTACCAACACAGGACCAGATTTCTCATTTTCTGCGAACGGTTCTCAACTCGCGAGTGTTGGACCACGTAATTGGGGACGAAATCCGCGATTCCAAATTCCTGTGTGGTTCTGGTCCGACAACGAAACGAGGTCAGCAGGTCCTTGCGAGCGTGCAAAATGTTTTACAAGCACTGCTCGAGTTTGGCTTGGAGAAGAACGGTACGTATTTACTCACCGGGTATGAGATAGGATATTGAAGATCAAGGTTGCCAGATGACAACACCATCCAGGATTTCTTCTACCAGTTACGCGAAATCGACACTGGAGATATGAGCAGCGGGTTCAACATCCACTTGTCGAAGGAGAATTTCTCCAAGGCGAAGGACGCTTCGGAATCCATGGCTCATGTCGGGAAGAAGTCTGCATCTGAATTGAAGGACAAAGGTGGGGCGCCCATCCTTGCCATCCCTTTCTATTTGCTGACTTCGATCGCAGTCCCGGGCTCGTCGGAAGTAGCAAACGACACGGCGATCCTTTTGCACGCGTTGCGAACCCTGGTCCAATCCGCGCTGACGTCGACCATCTTCCGGCTACTGCTGGTGGATGTGTTTAGCATTCTGCGAGACCTCGCTGCGCGTGGGGCATCCGATGTTGGGAAAGCTGCTTCCCACGTCCACGCTGCGGCCAGGGACATGGAGAAGAATCTGGCCGATACAGATGTGGGTGAAAAGGTTAATCAGGCCATGGAAGGAATTCAGAAAACGGATAGTGGCCATGACGTTCAGGAAAAAGGAATGGAAGTAGCAGGGAGTGCCGTTGATACTGTCAAAGGGTTGATGCAGAGTGCTTCGGAGAAGGCGGGAGAATGGGGAAGCTTGGGAGCTGCGGCAATGGATGAGGCGAAAGAGGATTTCTTGGCCCGAATCCAGCAGGTGAGCGGCAAGCTTCGGGTCTTTGCGTGGAGAACGACGTTGACAGGGTCGTAATTCAAACACAGGTATTGATTCGCGCCCAAGAAGATCCGGCTTCACGAGATGCCATTCGTGCCATCGTGATTTTGGCCAGAAAGTATGCTGACAAGGTCGCGGATTTGGGTGATGTAGCCGCCGACACCGCTGCAAAAGCGGCCTCAGATCTATCCACAGCAGCACGGGGGATCTCGCCAATGCCATCGAGCACTGCTTGGAAGCCACCAGCAACATATCCACCGCCCAATGACCTCTACCCGCCCGTCCCAGATGAAATACCTGGCGTACATTCCAAAACAGGGGAGCAAGGGAAGCCTCTAAAGGCGGCTTTGGGAGACTTAAAGATCATATTGGAGCGCGTTGCACGAGGGCACCCCATCGACAAATTGATACGGGCGCTAATCGACATCGGCAAGGATCTGAAAGAACTCCCGTTTGACGTGGAAGAGATGGTCGTTAACGAAGCTGACTTTTTCGTGCGGGATGTGAAAGGAAAGGGCAAGGAAGAAGTTCAATCAAATCTAGAGGGACAGCGAGGGAAAGGACGACGGAGGAAAAAGAAGGGAAAGAAAGGAGGTTCGAAGAGCATTCAAACCCCGGACGAACAGGACAGTTCCCAAACGGCCACTCCTTTCACTACGGCGCCCCATACTCCGGTGGCACCTTCCGAACCACCGAAAACGCCAGGCCCTCGTCCGAACGTCTTGCGAGTGTATTTCTCCCGAATTGGGCGGTATCTGGACCGAGCGATGGACGAACCGGGCTGGATCACGTCGAGGAAGGGATCGAAGGAATTGGAAAAACTATTCAATGATGGGAGGATGCTTCTGAACGTCGTCGGAGAAGCAGCGGTTGATGTTGGCGAGGCTATAGTTGAAAGTGGTGAGTCATTGCCCACGCCTCAATCATAGTTAAAACTAACCGTAGTTTAAGGCGCGGAAGAGAATGGCCAGCATGCAACGTCAGAGAACACTGATGAAGCGGCTCTGAAAATTAGGCGCCAATTCAGGGAGCATACGGACAGTCTCTTGAAAGAACTCGAGGCCTACATCTCTGCCGTTGAGAACGACAGGACGGCCATGAAGCTGCTACGTTCATTGGATGAACTCGCCCACGCGGTGTCTGATCTTCTTGCATCCGGGAAACAGATGGCGTCGACGGCCAAAAACCAAGCACAGAAGCACTCCGCTTCCCTGGCCAGTCGACTTCGGTCCAGCGTTCGATGGACTGAATGGGTGGCCTGGTCAATCCCTCGACTCTTGCAGCTGATCCCGCCTAGTGCCATTCCGATTCCCAGTCTCGAGGCTCGCAGTGAAAGCGGCGGTTGGGAAGCTGGCCTGTATGCGTTGTTTATCAAAGGCGATGCGTTGGAAGCAGGTGTGTCCAGCGCGAGCAAGGGCCGAAGGCGGGGAAGGGGCGGCCTTGACCCCGTTACGGGAGGCATCGAGTCGACGTTGATCCCGGACGAAATCGTCTTCAAGGAGTGGACTGAAGTGAGAATCGATATGGCGAATGAAACGCCGTTGAATAGACCGACTATGTCCAGGAGCCACAGCTACACCAGACACTCGATGGGAAGGGATCACCATCTCGTTTCCGAAAGGTCTGTGACGGCACCTCACACGCACGAACATGATCATCTCCACAATGCCCGCGTCGACACGACCTCGAGGATTCATATGCATTTCGACGGTATACGAGCAAAAGTTGATGGATTGGGGTATTACTTCAAGTACGGGCTGGACGGCGCGTGGTTTGGATACGAGGACGAGGGGGTGATGAACGTCGACATTGGGATGAGGAAGCCTCACGCAGGCTTGAGATGCGATATCGAGATCGAATTGACCAGCGAACACACGCCTTACCACCACCATCGGCGGACTGGGAGGGGCGGCCTTCCAGTCGGAGAGCTTGTAGGAGAGGGTATTGAAGGCGAAGGCGATTTCGATATGCTCTCGGTTCCGGAATATGTGATCCAGCCACCCGGGTCTGACGCAAAGTCGCCTCCGGGCACCGCGGTCATCGTTGAAGGAGAGGCAAGGCCCAGCAATGCGGAAGACTCGGAGGAGGGTGTGGCAAACCTCGATGTTCAACGGATTATCGATTCGGGGGCGATTGGTCGGGAGCGTGAACAAGTCGGATCCGCTTCAACTGGCTTTCCGTACTCCGCATTTGGGCATTACAACCGAGAACTGGAACCGATGTTCAAGGTTGTGGATGTGAACATTGAGATGCAGGGTGTGAAGGTGTTGCTCCAGAAGTCGCGCCACTGGATCCTGAACAAGGTCCTGGTGCAACCACTTGCGGGTCCCACTGTGCACTTGATGGTGAAGCAGTTGCTTGAAGCCAAGGTTAAGGAGTCGTTGGAGGAGCTGGCGATGGAATTGGCACGGTTGTCGAGGGATGCTGCTGTCCATGGCGAGATTAGGCGGGAGAAGACCAGGCGTCGAAAGCTTCAAGAGCGACGGGACCGAATCGAACGATTGGTGCGACAAGGATACTTCGACTACCGTGCGAATGAGGAGTTGCTGGACGAGCTGGAAGCTGAGGATGGGTTGGTAGAGTGGATTCAGGACTGGGCCAATGCGATTTCGGAGAGTGGGTCTAGGGTAGCCGGGAGAAGTGGTGAAGAGGAAGAGACCATCCGCACTCGAACCTCCGTGAATGCGACTTCACGAGGCCTCGTCTACCACGCTTCCACCACTCGCGTGGACACACAGCACCCAGTCGTGATCCCGCCTATGGTATTCAACAAGCAGACGGGACAGATGGAGCCTGCGAAAGAGGAGTTGAGAGGAAAACCGGATGTGGTGGACAGGGAAACTGACCAGAGTGACATCACTGTTGCTATTGGCGGGGGAGCGCAGTTGTTTGCTGATAAACAAGTTCCGTATGGGCATCAGAACGACGCGGCCGGTCAGGGTGAGGAAGGGCAAGGGTTGTTGAGCGAGGTGGCTGAGGCGACAAAAAGCACTGCGCGGGAGGCGATCGGGATCAAAGGACAAGTTGAAGCGAGATATCAGGATGACCTTCGAAAGGAACGCTCTTCCGGATGGAAGAGCAGTGCATTTGACTTTCCTTGAATGGGTTCCTTGCGGCGAAGCTTTAGTCAGTAAATAGTCTATATCGGTGTACCGTGTAGCCACGTTCTCCAACCCCATCTCAGATTTTAATTGAATCGATGATTGTATTGGAGATCTGATTGTCTTCGATACAGCAGCAAGGTCAATATTGGGGTAGAGTACTTCTGATTGCGGCTTCGATTTGAGGGGATCGGACTGAAACCTTGCATTTGAAAGGGTGGGGGTGGCTGAAAGGCACGCTGAGCAGCGAACCGGGGAGGAGACACCTGGGGGCTTACCTGATAAAGCCTTCATAGTAGATCAATGGGTCTTCGTCGGGATCCTCTGCGATGTTGAACGTCGCCAGCAATGTAGAGAACGTCAAAAACATGGTGTTCTCAGCTAAGTATAATCCAGGGCAGATTCTGTAGCAGCCCGGGTAAGTTAGATATTTACGAAGAAAGGATGATGATCAACCTTCTCCCAAATCCAAAGGCAGCCCTTGCGGTGAGTGTCGCCTTGGAGTTGGTAGCGAGCTTCCCTTCCTCTGTGATGTACCTCTCGGGTTTGAAAACGCGAGGCTCAGGAAAGAGCTCCGGGTCTTGGAGGATTGACCTAGGATCGTCATGTCTAAGGCAGGGATTTGAGTGTTCAGTACTTACCACATGTTCGCCCAGACGACTGTGCCTTTCTTGATTCGGCGGCCACGGTAGATGTCATCCTCTCTGGCCACATGAGGGAGGCTCAACGGGACACTCGGATTCCATCTTAATATTTCCAGCATAATCGCCTCGACATAAGGAAGGTGTGGACGATCGGAAATGCGAGGCCATATGAGCTCGGATCGACCCCCGAGGTATCTATCTACCTCCGCTTGGGCTTTACGTTGGACTTCGGGGTAAAGCGCCATGACCAAGAAGAACGATTCGAGGGAAGAGACCGTCTGAAAGCCGATATCAGATCAAGCTAAGCCCCAGATGATGATGATGTTACTCACTGTTTCAGCACCCCCCGAATAAAGTGAAGCTGCAGCGGCGTTGATGATATCTTCGTCTTCTTTCGTTTCGGCTTCGTTCTTTTCATCTAGGAAGCTTGATATGAACGAGATCTTGGCTGTGCCGTTCATGCGTTCCCGTTTCACGAAGTTGAAAGGTACTTGGTACAACCTCTCCAAGTCCGCCCGCATTCGCTTTGCAGCGTATTGAAAAGGCAGGAATGGGATGTAGCGGACTGAGATACGTATAGACTGATGAGAGAGGACGACGGGGGGATACGAAGTCATGATACGTACGAAGTGGGACACTGTCTACCCACCATCCAGGTTCGGAAGCTAGTGAGAATCCGTCCATGGCGTCTCCAACGATCTTGACCAGTCCGAGAGCGTCACTTTCTTCGGCAGAGGGGTGGTACCCATAAGCAAGTCGAAGTAGGACAGCCGCATTGATGCTATACCAAGATATTAGTATCAGCAGCGTGTCCACGTTCGAGCAATAATCGGTGCCTACCCTCGAATGTGTGCTAGGAAATCATCGGGCGTTTCTAGTAGTCTGACCAGTAATCTAGTGAGGAGGACATGTTTAATGGGTTTCTTTTGCATATGTCGTTCCACCTCACTTCAGGGTTTCTTCTTCCTGGACAGCTTGTATGTCGACGGATTCGCATGCCCTGGGTCCGATGAAGGCATTGAATAGCCTTCGGAGTTCCCTGAAGCGAGGGTTTGGAGGGCCATTGGTATATCCGAGACCTCTGTTCCAACCAACTCTGTGGCGCTATCAGTCACCATGCCCTGAATCACCATCGGCGCACTTACAGTTCCCCGACCATGACTGCCTTGGGCCTATCCGAGTAGATTAAACCTGTTGATGGTCAGAAACTAGCTCTCGGGTTACTCAAGAGGTTGTACCTCGCGTTTCAAATAACTCTTTTGCAATATCCAGCGATGATATGACCAGATTTTCGGATCCCAACAGGGAAAATGAGAAGATGTTTCCTGCCATCCAATCCGTGAACAATCTGAATGAACATTCTGTCCGTACGAGGCGTACCGTATTCTTTCCTCCATTGCTCGAATGTGAGCCACTGTCTCTCTTTAGGAAGACTCAGTGCACTCCCAATGATAGGCAGTCCCTTGGGTCCTGGAAATCGATCCTTCTCTGGGCTGAAGAACCACCAAGCGAGAAACGCCGTCACGACCAGCAAGAGTGCTGTAATCATAGTTCAGGGGCTCGGAATAGCCTGTCCACTGTAGGGGGTCGTCTTTTTATAGATTTTCGGCATTTTGAGACTTCTCGAAGTTGTATTCTGGTCGAAGTTGTAGAAATATTCCCAGTCCAGGCTTGGCCCATTCACTTCGAAGCAAAAGAGTTCAGAAGAAGAGCAGAGGGAACGGGAAAGCAACGGGAAATGATGACATAATGTTCTCACGACCGCGACGCGCCAGGAGCGCGTTGACGCCGAGGGCGAGGCCGAGGGTTCAAGTTCGCAATTCACTGTTCCAGGAAGTCAACGACTGTAGGTTCGAGAAACTGAAGGACTTATAGTTCCAATTACTGATGAAACATGCTTTAGAAGATGACACGAGGACTCAGACGCATCGAGAGCATTCCTGGCATCGACCATGACGATGTCGAGGAAGACGAGGAATCGTCTGAATCCTCAGACGACGGTTCCTCGGATGAAGAGATGGAAATCACGCAAACCCCCTCTCGCCGCAAAGGAAAAGGAAAAGCCACAACAGATGACGATAACGAACACAACATCATCGTCCAAACCAATTTCGACGCCTATTTCACCTATGCCGCCTCACGTCCGCAAACCTCGACGAACGTCTATTCAGAATTGGTGTTACCAATGACTCCAGAAGAGTACGCAGCTGGAATCAAAGCAGCTGAGAGGAGGGCGAAAACTCTACAGACATCGATCTTCGACCCGAAACGAAAGCGAGAACTCCATTCAAGATTCATGTTCGAGTTGCAGGAAGGATTCAACATTGTTTGCTACGGGATTGGGTCCAAGAGAACTTTTCTCAATGAATTCGCATCCAATGTCTGCTCCAAACGGGGCCATGTTGTGATTGCTAATGCTTTCCAACCTGCATTCACGATCAAAGATCTCCTGGCTCGTATCGAAGAGGTTCCTGGGTTGGAGGATTTCGAAGGATCCGCAGGCACGGTAGACAAGCAAGCCACACGAATACACGAATTCTTCGCCAACCCCGCTCAGAAGCACCACCTCTACCTAATTATCCACAACATTGACGCCGCCCCGTTGCGGACCACCAGGTCAAAGGCTGTCCTTGGTCTACTGGCCATGAATCCCAAGATCCACATCGTCGCGTCTATCGACCATCTCAACGCCACTCTCCTTTGGTCTTCCTCGGAGGTCTTCGCTAGGAAACCAGCGGAAGCATCCTCTACCACCGCAGTCCGCGGTTTCTCCTGGCTTTGGCACGACTTGACCACTCTTGCACCGTACGACGCGGAGCTCGCCTACGCCGATCGGTCTTCGATATCAGGGGCCAACATTGGGGCACGTCGCAAGGCAGATCTCGCGATGGCGCAGAACCCAGCAGCCATGAGCGAGACAGCAGCCTCGCATATTTTGGCCTCTGTGACCCAGAAGGCGAAGAAACTCTTCATCCTCCTGGGTAAAAAGCAGCTAGAGAGTATCGAAGATGCGGGCGATAAAGCCACAAACGACTTGCAACAGCATGGGATGTCTTACGATGCCCTGTTCAATGCTGCTCGAGACGACTTCATTGCTGTCAACGACACGGCACTCAGAGCTCTCTTGGGAGAGTTTAGGGATCATAGCCTTGTTCTGTCTGCTCCAACGGCTTCAGGAGAGGTGTTATGGATACCTTTGCGCAAAGAGCGACTACACGCGGTGTTGAACTCACTCCAGGCAACTTAAGACTCCGCTCTGGATGGTGAGTCTTGGACTTTCTCCTCGTGCATCTGCTCACTCGTGCCAATTCAGAGAACCGTCCTACAACCTAGTAACCCATCCCTACGGCCCGCGAAGGAACTTCGATCGACCGCCAGGTCGCTTCAAAGATTTCGATTGTCCCAACGCGACGACGCTGAAACCTGTTCAGCCACCAGTTTGCTCATCAACATCCTCAAACTACAGATTCGGAAGAGTCCAAAGTCCATACAATCGTCCGATCTAGTCTGTCCATGGTATCATACTACAGGCGTAAAGATGTCCGCTCGTTCAGTCCGTCCTAGCAATTACTCGACAAAGGTGCAACGGCCTAGGTTCAGTCGATGATCCAATTCTGCTTCGGGATCTCGGATAGGCACTCCAAAACCTGGACCCTATTTCCATTGGTCAGGTCGTTATTTAGTAAGTCAATACATTGCCCTGGCAGTTGCTTTAGTATTATTTGCCCAATAACGTGGAGATGCGCTTACCTGAGGAAGGCAAAGAGATCCTGTCGTCGGTGCCGTAGTCCCACTGCTGGGAAGGAGATCCTTCGGAGCATTGCTGGATTGTTACCTGAGCTCCTTCTTCTGGACCTAGAAGGGAAACACGGTGAGCCAAGGGTCGGTAAATCTGATTCTGGACGGGACCTACTTGAGGACCCGGCGTCGAGGCAGAAGTTCGTTCCATAGAGCCTGATCTGCTGGCCTCCTCGTTTGATATCCCATTTCTGGCCTGGACTATCATCGCAGTTGTTACTGTTCGAAGATGTCAAATGAATGAAACGAGGAGGATATGGCTTGGTACCGACATTTGAACGGGTGTACCGTTCTCGAAGAGGTCGGCTCTGACGTCTAGGCATTTTTCCATCGACGACTCTGGATGGATGTTGTTGGGTCCCTGCTGGAGGTGTGGTATCTCTCCGTCGGGACAGAATCTTCACAGACTTTAGCCACTCTGACCCATCGTTTCAGAAGGAAGGTTGGTACATACGTGACTCTGTAGGTCGTTGCTGGGCACCCATAAATTGGGGTTGGTGGCGGTCCGTTGGTGGGGTCATAAGGAAGAGGGAACCTCTGGGGCTCGTATGGTGCGCCTTGGGGACAGGCGTCTACGAGACACTCCAAAGGACGACAAAAGCCGTCGGCCTAGGGAGAGTGTGTGGTCTAGTACACCGCGACGGTCAAATGAATAGACTTCTCACCTGAACCGCGTCGACAGGCTGAATGCTGACTCCGACGTTCCGCCATTTCTGATCATATGAGATCCAATAAAAGTCGAACTAAAGATAGTACGGCAAATTGAGATGAGACAAAGTTGTATTGTCAGGAAACGGTCGTCGCAAGTACGCACTCGGTTAAGGAAGCCCGCACGGATTGTGCCTGCTCGGTCCCTGGCATTCCCTCGGTTGAGGTCTGTGAAGATGTAGCCGTCCCATTCGTCGCTGTACTCGCGAGTCACGGTTCCACCATTTGCTGCCAGAGTCCCTTGAGCATCGTGATTGATGTAAAGGTTCGCGGAGAGCGGGCAGTTGTTGACAATCTCGTAGCGCTTAACGCCATACGCGACATCGGAGGAAAGGATGAGCAAGCTGGAAAGCACTGCGCTGAGTCTTTTGGAGGAGGGAAACATAGTGGGGGGAGTTGGTTAGGGGAATGAGAAGAGGGTGCGCTTTTAACTCGTCTTTTATTACATACCAGTCGCCTGGCGATGACCTCACTAACACATGGTCATTCTCACTGAAGAGCTCCGAATTCTGGACGGCACTTAGGCCCAGGGCCTTCGATTCCCGTGCGCGGGCAGAAGTGGTTTTTAAGGTGGCTATTGGGTAATTTGTGTCGAGAAGCCTGAAGCTAGAGCCTAGTGATGGGACCCTCGACCTTCGGTGGCCTTCTTTCGATGCTCGAAGGGATCAGGAACATACTCTGGAGTGAATCATTTTGGGGCACAATATAAGTTAATTGGTGCAAGAAGCCTGCTGTGACGCATGTGCGCCTTTGTACACAGGGGCTTTCGAGTCGCGACGTTCAGGGTCCAGAAGCGAGGCCCGCTAACCTACGTTTTTGGGGCACTTTTTTTTTTGTTCCCACTTCAAAGATGCGGCGAGGGAAGAGAAGGGTGATTTGAGTGATTTGGGCAATACACGCCGTCCTTCCATTGCGGCGTCTTCGTCGTCGATCCCCTTGAAAATACCGACGCGACGCGTGACTGCCATGCAGTCTTCCTCGACTGAATGAACTGAGGTACCCCTATTTTCAAGTAGCACTTCAAGGCCTTTCAGAATAAGCTGACTTACCACAGCATTGGGTACTTTATGAATTTACCATTCGGGACTTGAGAAGAGTGGAGATGCAGTGAAGGATGGAGCTAACGAAGTTGGGTCTCATCACACGTTTGGCGCTCCGACGCGGCATTCAAGTTGGGCATGCGGATACCATCCTGCCTTTCCTTTCCCGCCTCCACCGTCAGCACGACCAGGAATGTCAGCAGCTGGGCAACAAAAGTCAACAGAATCATGGGTGTGAATCTGCGTCCCATAATCTCGAGGAACGTTTGCAGGGCTAAACAGATATGCAACATTCCAGGAGTCAGCCTACCAGTACTTGCACTCCGATGGCTCGCTTCATTGTCGCTCTTTTGACTGGCCTGGAGTGACAAGTCTTCTTGGTACGCTCACGACAGATGACAAAGTCTGTCAGTGGGCCGTTTATACCAGTCACCAGGGTATTGAACACATCCAGGCTGTTATATAGTGCGGAAGAAACTCGGGGGAATATCGTGAACACCTGAGCGCACAGGTTGCTTGTGCAATGGCGAATTGGTTGCTATTTAATCATCTCCTCGTGTGAGGCGGGGCGAGGTCTCTTCTGGCGCACAACAATGACCGACTTGAAGTTACCAGAGGGCTTTCTGTTTGGCTTTGCGACTGGTAAGCATACAACCAACGCCGACCCCCTTCAATTCGACAAGTCCTAACTTTCCACCTTGTAGCCGCTTACCAGATAGAAGGCGCAATAAACGAAGGTGGACGCACACCATCCATCTGGGACACCTTCACTCGCGCCAAAAGTCCTGAGGGTGTACCCCATATCGCAGATGAGAGCAGCGGGGAGTTTGCCTGTGACCATTATCGCCGATGGAAGGAAGACATTGGGTTGCTCAAGTCCTATGGCGCCAATTCGTATCGGTTCTCTGTTTCCTGGTCTCGAATCATTGACTTCTCTGCTGGGAAGGATGAACGTGGGGTGACTGGTCGACGAGACCCCGCCAACCCAGAAGGGATCAAATTCTATAGGGACATCCTCGAAGAACTGGTCAAGAACAACATAACTCCAGCCATCGTAAGGCCCTCTCTCCCGGGGATGTCACCAAAACTAACTTTTAATTGAAGACCTTATACCATTGGGACATCCCTCAAGCATTGGAAGATCGCTACGGTGGCTGGCGTAACCGAGAAGTCGTCAACGACTTCGTTCACTTCGCCAAGGTAGAGTCATACTCAGCTCTGTGAGTCAAACGCTCGTCCAGCTCACAACTTTCACCTTTCCAGGTCTGTTTCGAGGCATTCGGTGATTTAGTAAAGCACTGGATTACTCTGAACGAGCCCTGGTGCTGTTCGGTTCTTGGCTATGGCTATGGCGTATTCGCTCCCGGACGATCGAGCAACCGCGCCAAATCAGCAGAGGGTGACTCTGCGACGGAACCCTACATGTAGGTTTTGGTACACTTCTTCGACCGGTAAGAATTCTACTGACATCTTTTTCTCTTTTCCAGTGTTGCGCACAATCTCATCCTAGCTCATGCTTACGCGGTCAAGGCTTACAGAGAAGAATTCTCTTCTCAGAAAGGGTCCATCGGCATCACACTGGATACCTTCTGGTACGAGCCATACGACGAAGAGAAAGGTGAGCTAGAGTCGTCCTGCCTTTAGAGCTGTCCCTTCTTCCGCGGTTCTCTCAACTTCGATGCTCCTCGCAGATGCCGCTGCTACTCAGCGAGCATTCGACGCCCGCTTGGGCTGGTTCGCAGACCCCATCTTCAAAGGGCACTATCCACCATCCATGAAAGACATCTCGAACGGTGCCATTCCTCAGTTCTCAGAGGAAGACATCGCCGTTGTCAAGGGATCCGCGGACTTCCTGGGACTCAACACCTATTCATCGAATTTAATCCGTGAGCTTTCCACTTGCCGCTGTTGAGGACCACGGGCTCTAAAATCGATTATAGAGGATGCTGGATCTGACTCGTTCAAGGGTAAGACGACGTCGACTTTCAAGAGGAAGGATGGAACAGAATTGGGGAGACATTGTAAGTTTCGTGTGGAGTCATGGAGATTCGAAGGCTAAACAGCACGCTTGTAGCGCATGTGGCTTGGCTGCAGGACTGTAAGTCCCGCTGGCGTTCGTTGGTGCTTTGTCCCGGCTAATTTGTCACAAATAGACCCTACTGGATTCCGAAAGGCAAGTCTCCAGGCGCCTTGATGTCACGCTATCACTGACGCGTTTGCTACAGCTCCTGGGATATCTATGGAAGGCGAGTTGGTCGAAAAGCTAGCTTGAAAGCGAATTAACCGCATTATCTCTGGGCAGACCTACCAAGTACCGGTGTAGTACGTTTTCACCGGAACTAAGCACAGGGACCCCCTGCTAAACCAACACCTAGCGTCACGGAGAACGGTTTCCCAGCCAAAGGCGAAAACGACCTCCCGGTTGAAGAAGCCATCCACGACAAAGACCGCGTTGAGTACTTCCGCGGATACACACAAGCACTCCTGGAAGCCATCAATATCGACAAAGTACCAGTGAAATCGTACTTCGCCTGGAGTAAGTGTTTCCCGATTTGCAAATCGGTACGACTGCCTGATGACATTTACAGGTTTGCTGGATAACTTTGAATGGGCTGATGGCTACCGAACTCGTTTCGGAGTGACCTATGTCGATTACAAGACGTTCAAACGATACCCCAAAGATTCGGCTCGTTTCCTCGGGAAGGTCTGTCGTTTTAGTACTGCGAAGGGAGTCAAACTGATGGTCTGATTGTAGTGGTACGAGGAGCACAAAGCCTAACAGGTACTTAATTGGGAGAAACAAATCATGTACGTTATACTAGCTTGAATAAATGTTATCAGCACAAAATTGGCACAAAAAAAAAAAAAAGAAGGCAGTGAGTTGGGATACGCAGTTGCAGTGTCGCAGCATCCATCTCATCCGAAGAGCCCAACAAAAAAGGAACCATTGGCCAACGTGGGGATCGAACCCAAGACCTTCGCGTTATTAGCACGACGCTCTAACCAACTGAGCTAGTCGGCCGTTGAACACAGGTGCCAACAACAAATACTCAGCGCTGACTCTGTTTACACTACCATGCACAGGGCCCAAGGGAGCATTGGGAACTGGTTCATTGAGGGTCCTCTAGAGGGGATATCGATACAGGTGGCCAAGACGGTCTGGGCTGACTGGACTCGCGATCTGTTATCCGACTCGGAGCAGGTTACGCAAAGGGCACCGTGGGCAGCCAACTCGCGCATTTGCATCCACCCAGCGGCATATTAAGATCATGCTGTATACACAATTCCCAAAATCCCAGGTATAAGATAACATAACATAAGAAAAGGTTACATTAAGTTGAGTCCGTCACAATTCTTCTCTCCCCATTAAATTTCCAATTCATCCTCCAACCCATCCAAGACACTGATATCATAGCTCTTCGCAACACCATCATCCACCAGCTGGTCCACCTGCTCCTCCTCGTCATCACTCCCCACATCTTCTTTATTGCTAGCACCCATACTCCGCCTCTTGGACCTTTCAATCCTCCTCTCCACCCTCTTAATCCTCATCCTCTGCACCTTCCTCCTCGGTGGCGCCGGTGTATGCTTAAACTTGAGTTTGGCAAAGTGGAGGTTGGAGGTATCAGTGAGTGATTGAGAGGAGGTGAAGGAGAGGGCTGAGGTGGGACGGGAGGTTGAGTAAGCGTGGTCGTCGTCGTCGTCATCGTAGTCTAGGTAGGAGTAGTCGGAGGAGTGGTGGTATTGAGAGGGCGAGGAAGGGGCGGTTGAGCTGTGTCGTGAGTGGCCGTTCGGCGGGGAGGAGGGCGCGGTGATCCGTTTGAACGGTGAAGAGGAGAGGTGGTCCCGGACGGGAGAGGAAGATACAGGCGGAGCTCTGCTGGGTGGAGACGATGATGCGGCGAATGTTAGACCTGGAGTTGCGAGGAAGTCACTTGAAACGTTTCCTGGATCCTCCTCCTCGTCCAATATATCCCCGTCGCCATCTCCATAGTCATCCTCGTCATCTGAGAATAACCTAAACGCCTTCCGTGCCTTCGAGGGGGTGGGATGAGGTCTAAACGCCGGCTTCTTGATTGGCGGAGGACCCATATATTGGTGGAGGTACTTGAGGAAGACATCATCCGGGGTGTTCCAACGCGATGAGAAGAGAAGTGTGTCAAAGTTTTCTTCGTCGTCTGCTCCAATCTCGATTATTTCCTCCTCCTTGGGCTGTTCCTCGGCATCGTCTTCTTCCTCATCAAGGTCGTAGACCTGGGGTTCCTCATTCTCATCTACTTCCTCCTCCTCCTGGTTTTCGTCTGCCTCGACATTCTCTTCCTCCTCGCCCTCTCCATCAGCGTCGGCATCGTTAGCCTCGTCATAGTCCGACTCTCGAATGGGGCTGCTGTCTTCGTACTCCTCCGGGTCGAGCTCGTCAACTTCGTCCTGTTCTTCGTCACCATGATCATCGCCCTCGTCTTCGTTGAGACGTCGGAAGGGGTGGCCTCCATCCAAGTCGTGAAGGTCTCCTTCACCTCCCTCATTCTCTCCTTCACTCCCGCTATCTGACAACTCGACGAGAGAAATAGGGTTCTCCTTGTCACCGCCTCCTGGACCGCTCCCGCTGGTGCTTGGTCGGGCCCCTTTCTTGGGAGACGAATCGCCTTCCCGCCGAGAAGCCTTGACCTCGTCCTCGCTATCTGAAAGCTCGATTGTTGGAGGGCTTGCTTTGATCGTCACGGTGCCGCCAAAGTTTACCGATTTGGAGCGACGTAGCTTCTTGGCCGGGGAGGCTGCAAGCTTCTCCTGGAAAGACGACCCTGGTTTCCGTTTCGTTGACAGCGGTGGACTGGGTTGTGAGTCAACTCCGTTGTTAGAAGGTGTTGGCTCGCCAGGAGAGGGTTTACAGGACGGGCATAGGAAGACACGTCCCTTGGCTCGGAAGACGTATGGTGTGTTTCCTTTACCTGCACGCCTTTCCACCGGGGATTCGTTGATTGTGATGTGGACTTGTGTGGTCCGGTTATGTGTCTGAATGAAATGTTCTTGAGCTTATGGTACAAAGAATTATAGAGGAAGACGCACATATACAATGCCTCGTTTGAGGTTCAGTCCATCATGCCACGCGTTGTGCAGGGTAAAGTCTTCCTCATCCTTCCACTGCCAGTCCTCCTCTTCGTCTGGTGCAACACTCGCCCTAGATCCTTCATCTGCGTCATCGACGTCCTCCTCCTCGTCCACATCCATTTCCTCTGCTTTCCACCTACACGGGTCCCGCGTACTCGACAGCTTCGCCCACGTTCTGCCCGATTTGATGTGGCCTGGTTTATCCTCCGCGTCGGATTGAACAATATCCTTCTTCACCTCGAATAAGTGATCATCCTCCTCTTCCAAGGCTTTGCCCTTTCCCTTGATGTCCACCCTCCTCCTTTCTCCTACTTCCACCCCGAATAAGAACGCAATGAGGCAGCGCAGGTGCACAAAGGTGTAGCTCAAAGGCACCTGGACGATCCGGTATACCCCCTCTTTGCCTTGACCATATGGGATGTCCTTTCGTATAAATTGGAATCGTAGTGGTAAGTGGTGGCGGAAAGACGTGACAGGGGGGAGCGACCGAATGAGGCTTTGGATGCGTTTCCTGCCAAACGGATTCGAAGGCGTGTCTTGTGCACCATTTATCGGATAAGGCGTTAGCTGTTGGAGGACTCTGTTGTGTGTGGGGGTCATAAAGAGGTTCCGGGTCTTTGAAGGGTGCGGTGTTGAAGGAAACGAGGCATGTCGTGCGCGTTTCTTGACGGGCGAGGAATTGGGTAAAGGCGCGTCGTCGTCGTCGTCCGACACGTCCAATGCTGCCTCGTCGACTTCTTCTTCCTCTTCACGGTTTCGTTTGGATCTTGTCGCTACCATTGTTGTGGTCTTTGTGGTTGCTGTTGAGTATAAAGATGAATGAATGAACTATGTTTGGGACCGTGACCTGAGCGCTGGCAGGTGGAAGCGCGTCTATCACCTGACCGTGTTTTGCCGGGCCGGGTCTTGGCGGAGTGCGAAAAAAAAAGATGCCGATTTGTTGCCGGAGGTTTGCGTAGTTGCGTCCCGTCCGGAGGCTGGAGCTTTCCGACTCAAGGTTGTTCCAAGATTTCTCCCTCGCAGCCGCAGGATGCGCAAACGTTGAGTTCAAGAGGCCCAGTAAACAAAGCGAACTCGACGACTAGCGCATCCCCGACTTGGACCAAGTTTTTCAGTTTGACACAAGGACGGATAGAACGACGACGACGACCACACGACACTCATTCAAAGCGTCGAGTCAAGACCCGGTATTCGGATACCCAATCCACATAACCAACTCAATACCACGATCTTTCAAGACGGCGCTAGGGGCTTCAAATGAGCCACAATGGCCCTCAACTCGACAAGGATAGCATCTGCGGTGTAGGCCCGCTTCAAGAGTCATCCAACAATAATACCACACACTCGGATTCTTTTGGAGAGGATGAGGATATTTTCAGGGGAGCGACAAAGGAGATTGTCTTTGGAAGTGTGAGTTGATTCGTATATCTCTGGGTGTGTATCCATAACTTATGCGTTTTCACGCTCAGATTGCAGGAATGGTGGCCGAGGTGTTCGAATACCCTTTCGATTTGGCCAAAGTGAGGCTACAGGCCCAATTGCTTTCGCCTGCCCAGAACGCTTCGGATGCGCTGCGTTTCAAAGGCCCCATGGACTGCTTGATGCAGACCTGGAAAGACGAAGGCGCCAGGGGACTTTATCGGGTATGTTTTTGAGCTCCACTTTGTTTTCCCTGTCCTGATCCTCTGCGCAGGGCATGTCGGCACCCCTGGCAGGTTCAATGGCCGTCACGGCCGCCCTCTTCCTTTCTTATGCCTCCTTCCAGAACATTATCCGCAAGACCCAGCTCGACCCCAAGCAAGCTTTGTCGATGCCCCAGCTTGCCCTCGCAGGAGCCGGCGCAGGCTCCGTAGCGAGCTTCGTTTTGACACCCATCGAACTGGTCAAGTGCAAAATGCAGGTGCAGATGATGAATCTAGCTAGGCCTGGGTCCAGCTCCTCAATTGCAGTACCGGGTCGGATACCCCACCGGTCCCCTCTACCCTCTTCCACCGCCGTCAAGGGCAAGGGGAAGATGGTGGACGGGAAGAGATCCTACCACCAGGCGGCTTGCAAAGTCAAGACTGCGTCCATCCCTCTGCGACCGATTTCGACAGCTCCACCAGGCGCCATCTCCCTCGTCCGATCCATCATCGCTACCCACGGCGTTCGAGGTCTCTGGCTCGGCCACACTGGCACTCTCTTCCGCGAAACAGGCGGCAGCATGGCGTGGTTCATCGTCAAAGAGTATGTTGCCCGCGCGCTGGTCGAGAGACGGCTGGGATCTTCCGGGACGGAGAGGACGAAGAAGGAGATGATGCCGCTGGCTTGGGAGAGCGCGGTGTCGGGTGCGATGGCGGGTGCTGCTGGTGCAGTCGTTCTATATCCTGCCGACACCGTGAAGAGTGCGATCCAGACTGAGGAGGAGATGCGTGGGCTAGGGGGTAAGGGGAAGAGGCTGGGGAGGGCGACGACGAAGCATGGGTTTTGGCGGACGGCGATGAAGATGTATAAGATACATGGGGTTCGGGGGTTGTATGCTGGGTGTGGGATGACTGTTGCGAGAGCTATCCCAAGCAGTGGTATTATCTTTGTCGTATATGATGGCCTTTGTGCTTGGTTTGGAGAGTAGTGAATTAATCGTTTTGTGTTTTGTGATCTGAATGTATGAATAGCCCGTCGTTCTTTCCTAGCCTACCTGTTTTCGAACTTTCTATAATATAGAGCTATGTACTTTTCTTTCTCCTCTCGAATGCTGTACACGGGAGTCTTGCGCGTTCTTCCAATGGTCCCTAGGAAAGCTGCATGGTCGAGTACCTTCGCGATATGCCATCCGCGGTCAGGATGAGATTCGGGATGGCATTTTAACTATAGGCGCCTATGAGGCTTGCCTGCAACCACCACACACGGTTGGCGCCAAATCTAAAGTTTCTTTGGCTGGGAGAGATCCCTTCCCATAGTTTCTCGCAGGCCTGCCCCTGACCGAGTTTAAAAAAAGCTTCTCTAAAATAGAAGTCCTTCTGAAACGCTGTTCAACTTTCGTCGTGACGCAATTATCAGCCTCAACCTCTCGGTCATTGTTGAGGATCCTTCACTTGGCTCAGGCCGCTAGCTATGGCGCTCTATGCTCCCTCAGAGTGGACTTTAACTCCCTCTTTCCTGTCCGCAAACTCGTCAAATGGGCAACCCACCATCGACTCATCACTGCCACAGGCCCGAAGCCCCCGTTGTCAATCACACTCGTCGCGTTTGCAGGCTTGATTCCGTTTCCAGCCTTTTCTTTTCACAACCGCAAACCCAACAACGACCAAAATCGCTTTCGACGCGCAGAAAAGGCTGTTTCGACGAGAGTAAAGTCCGAATCAGCATTGCCGACGATACCGCGGTGTTTTGACGTTGATCCCGTTGTGCCGGGTGAGTACATGGTGGAACTTCGAAAGTGATTTATATGTCAGGAGTTTGTTGTGTTATTCCCAGTCTCTTTTACTCTTCGTCTTCTATCTTCTACCTGCGGTATTTCAGTCACGGAAGCTCATCATGATTACACGCCGGCACCAGGACTCTGCAGAACCTTTTACCACACCGGGTTCAAGTTATATGACCCCGCTACCCCTCACTTCTAAATTTCGGGTTCTCCTAATTACGGTTCTTTACCTCTGTGTGGCGGTCACATCAGTCAACTGCTCCACGAACGACGCCAAAACCAACGTCAACGACAACGACGTCAACGCTAACGCTAACGGACGCGAGGCGGCCCCATACGAGCTTCAAGGACAGTTTCGAGAGCCACTAGGTTTTAAGGAAGGTTCAGAAGAGGAAGGAGAGCCGTTTGATACCATGCCTTTTGGATTCCCTAAAGGAAGCGATGGACCAGGTGCCTCGATCGATCCGAGTGATTGGGCATCTTCGTTGGCGTACCGATACCCGCAAGTGCCTCTGGAGGTGGAGGAATACCCTGTAGCGCCAGCTCCATTGACCTTGGAGCAGGTACATGTCTATGTGCGCCATGGTGTGTTTCTTCCTCAATATTCTTCCCGGGATTGTGGGTCTCAACGGAATGCGATACACCAGGCGAACGGACACCGGTCGGTGTTCGACTTGCAGGCCCACCTGCGAACGTCCCGGAACACTGGAATATGTGCCATACCGCGCAAAGATTCGGTAGTGCTGTTTGCGACATGCTCAGTATGGGCTCGAAGGATTCTGGGCTTGGTGGAGAGGCGCTGTCGAGTGCTGGGGAGTACAAGCTGCTGAGGCTTAGACAGATTGAGAGCTTGCTACAGCCGAGGAAGATTGTGGAGAGGAAGGATGGGAAGGCGTTTGAAGGAGAATGGTGAGTTGTATTTTGCTGGGCTTCAAGACTGGAAATGCTGACACCCTTATTCTCAGTCTGTTGGGAGAATTGACGGATTTGGGACGGCATGTGAGTTTCGCCATTTATAAATAGTAAAGGGCAAAGATAGAGCTCATGGTCATTTCTGTGCTTGAATAGACGACATACAATTTCGGCGCCAACCTCCGACGACTCTACATCGACAGGTTCGCTTTCAGCATCCTTTCCATGTCTTCATACCGTTCTTTGCTCAACCATTTGATTTCCTGGAACCTTCTAAAACCCTCTGCGCGAAACACATCTTTTCGCTCCAAAATGATATTTTGGCCTGTCACTACATCGACTATCCCGTTTGCAGACTAGGCTTCATCCCTTCAACACTCGCCAACCCTTCAACGGTGTATTTCCGCACGACCAATGTGCCCCGCACGACGGAGAGTTTGCAGGAGATCATTAGAGGGCTATATCCCAATGACAAGTGTTTGCCGAATGCTGTTCCTGTGATTCGCGTTCGGTATGTGGTCATGCACATGTTACATGTTTTGGCCTCTGGAGCTGACCTCGTCGTTTGTTTACCACACGCAGGAACGGGCGGGACGAGAACTTGATTGGTAACACGTATTCGTGCAAGAGATTGGAGGCACTGCAGATTGGGTTCGCGAAGGGTATGTGAGGTCTTTAATGTACTAGACTAGCTGGATTGACGAGGAGCGGGTAAACAGCCGCAGCGGACGCGTTCAACCCGACGTTGGAGCGATTGGACTCTAAGCTCTCAAAGTACATCAACGGTAATCCTATTCGAATCGATGGCCGGCCCAGGGCATCTGGTATTTTGGATACCGTAGGTATTTCACATCGCAGTAGGCTTATCGTGTGCTGACATTGCGGCTTTGGCGGTTAGGTGAGGGCTGCTATTGCTCATGGGATCAAGGTCCCGCCCGAGTTTGAGGATAAGAGTATTGTGGATGATATCGTGCGTGTCGCGTCTTGGGCCTTTATACATGGTCACTGATTGAAAGGTATAGGAAAGAGCCGTTGTTAGCGAATGGTTCTCTGGTATGATCCCCTTCATGTTCTCTGCATTCCCTTAATCACTGACCTGTTTTTTTTAGGATGTAAGCTCCCACCGTATCTCATTTTACTCCCCTTTCCCAACCTAACAACCCCCTCAGACAAAACCGAAGAAGTCCGCCGACTAGGAATGGGCAGGCTTTTCGACGACATGCTCACCAAAATGCAAAACCGGATTTCGAACAAAGATACCACTCCCAATACTAACCCAGAGGGCTTGAAGTTCCTTGTACACAGTACTCACGATACGGCTATTGCAGCCATCTGCTCGACGCTTGATGTGTTCGACGACAAGTATGTTGCTGTGCCGTCTTGCGAGTTTGAACGGAGAGCTGATCAGCGTCTGTGTCTAGGTGGCCTGCGTTCACTGCTTCAGTGACGTTTGAATTGTTCAAAGACCCAGGCACAGCTTCGAGCGCTTCCTCTGGAGAAGTGGCGGAAGGCAACAACGGCGCACAGACGCCATTGCTTTCTCGCATGAAGGGTTCCGCCAAGCCCAAGTATTGTGCGTCGAACTCCTCTCCTCAATTTGTTCATGCCGTATTCTAACGATCGTCTCTGTGAGCAGACGTCCGAATGCGCCACCAGAACAAGGATATGTCGTTGCCTATTTGCGCGAAGGAGGGCAAGCATCTGCCGGGACGGCCAGAGTTTTGTACTTTGGAGGCGTTCAAGGAACGGGTGGAACAGTTTGTACCGAAGGATTGGGAGGCGGAGTGTAGTGTGAGTGCGGGTAATGCTACGCGGTGATGTTAAACGTTGCAAGGGACTCTTGGGTGGCTTTTGGATATCTTTATTGGCCTGCTAGATTTGAAGTAGAAGGTGTTGGTTACCGTTCGTAAAAGCTATACTGTGCAGAGAAAATAGCCTTCGGCACTCGGTCCTTTCCCAGTTCATAGCTGACCCTCGAGGTAACAAGAGCTGTGCATTATAGTGTATTATATGAACTATCATGGGAAGTCAGTAAACGCTAGACCACGAAGAGAGGCAACCCACCATAGCAAAGGAAAAAAAAAGAAAGGGTGTCTATGAAACGAGTTGGATCTCTGTTCCCTTGAGGTCGTGGACCATTTTGAGAATCTTCGCTCTCCTAGCGCGCAGTCGTCGCCGGCTCAAATGACTCCAATCCTCGTGTCCTCCGACAGCTTGAGATACAGTCGGCGGCCTCTCGACGACGGGTCGTGGGGTCCTCGTCCGCTTCTCCATGGTCTTCCAGACGAAAACTGGCGTTTGCGTGGAGGAGCCTTCTCGCGTGCGGACTTCACGGGTCATTTGGATATCCTTGAGACCTTGCATATGCGCAAGGACCTCCTTCAAGAATCTAGACACGTATATTCAGCCTTGAGCCGGCGATATTCTGTCGGCCAACTCACTGTTTGGATCGAATGGGGTGGCTTGGGTTCGGAGGCGGTACGGGGATGTTCTCGACGGGCAGTGCGGTATGGAAGCCTTCAGGAGCAGGTTCCTTCAGCGCCAATTCGTAGATCTCGTTCGTCCTCCATCCCTCAGGCTTTGGGTTTTCCTTGAGGACCTTGCGGACGATTGCAATACCGCTGCTCAGCGCGGGACCGTCCGTGATGGCTCTGTCCAGCACAGGCCTCTGGACCGCACGGAAAAGGGTTTGTGTGAGACGCATTCCTCGTTGTCGACTGCGCGCTAGGTTCTCCGAGTGTCGTTGTGTTGGTCGTTCTTCGCGCGTCGAGCTGGACAACAGCGAGCTCTACTGATGACGGACCAAATTCAGGGAAATTCTGGTGATGGGTTACTTAAGCATTGTGGCTGTGACGTCCTTGTTCTGGTGGCGTGAAACACGCTCGACCCTGTAGGCGTCGTCCTCGTTATCGGCAGCCAAAACAGGAGATTTTTTGTAGATAAAGACATTTGGAAGAGGGGAACAATGATTTCTGGCTGTGTTTAACCTGTGCAGTTCTCAGAACCAAGCACTACAGCACGAGCCCCAATCCGGCAATAGCCGGCGGTCTCTGAACTGGAGTTGTGCTCGCGAAGACCAGGTTTACAAGGTTTATTTCTTCCCAATTACCTGCACGCTACATACACACACACACACGACCATGGGGCCTCCTCAACGCAGGAACGCCCACAAATCGCCGAAATCCAAACCACCAACGAATGGAACCATCAAGCACCAAAAGTCTGCGGAAAGACTGGTCCCAGAACCACCACCGAGTTCAGAAAGCGTCCAGGCCCCACCTAGTCTCGGGATGGCACCAGAGGCGAGATACCAGCACAACCTCAAGGTGTTACGACGCCGGGACCCAACAATTATTTCTATCTTTGACCAGTTCAGCCATATCTGCGTCTATCAATGTCTAAACACAAAGTGGGAGAAGATTGGGTGCGAAGGAAGCATGTTCCTGTTCGAATCGTGAGTTTCGTGTTCTGTCTGATGCTCGGTGCGCAAGTGCCACGGGGTCGACGCTGTTCCAACGATGTTCAAGGCGATCCTGGGAAGGCCGACCAACGAGTTCAACCTTTGTGGCCGACGCTGGCAGGTGCGGTTGGAGCTCCCCAACGGTCCTGCCACGAGCGATTTCGGGTGGACAGAGTACTGACTGATTGTCTTGCAGGAGTACATACCCACCATATGGGTTCTATATCTTGAATCGTGCAGGAAGTCAAGACTATATCTCCAGGCTGTACCCTGAAGACTATCTCAGTGCACAGGGCCAAATCCTGGCGATCCGTCACTTCGCCCAGTTCACCAACGACCGATTGGCCAACCTCAAAGCTTCCTTAGGGGGTGAGCCCATGCCGGGCCCGTTCGACGAGCGATACATCGTTCCGGATGTAGAATCGCTAACACACGACATGAAGGGAGAGCATTCTTTGATGGGTTTGTGGTATCATTCGGATGGCAATAGGGAACCCCTTAGCCAGGTCATGCAGCGGTGAGTGAGTTCTTTCCCGAACGTTATCAAGGCTTATGGGGTCCAGACTTCACTCTTACATCAAACGGAATGAGCCTTACCCTGAAGAATTCCGCTACGGTCCCGGTCATCCTCCGCCTCCAAACCGCCTTAGAGCTGTACCTCGTTCAGCATCGTCGCAGAATACCACCAGTGCCGAAGCGTCGCAGGAGTCGTGCTCCGAGAGCGAGTCGTCCAAACCGGCGGAGTCTGACGTCGAGCGGCTATTTGCTAAACTTGTCGCTGCTCCACAACAACATGCCCCTCCACCTGAATCTCAAGTGACCCCCAACACTGTTGAATCGCTATTCGCAAAGCTTATTGTACCGCCCCCTGCTCCTGCGCCATCCTGCCCTGCACCCACCGGTCTCAATCTGCTCGACACCATCTTTGCCTCGGCCCAAACACAATCCACAATCCAGTCGCCGCCGCCCCAGCAGCCCAAGATATACTCGCCCACACCCACAGTGTCAAATGGGACAAAGATTCTTAACCAAGATGTTATCTCCACTCTGCTCGGTCTTCCCCCTTCTCGCTCAGCTTCGGTTGCATCCACCAGTGCTCGTTCGACCACGACATCCAGAGACGGGGATAATGAGGAGGAAAGTGACGGTAATCTCTCACCTGGTCAATTTGGTCACGGCTCGGGAGAATCGCGACCTGCATCTACAATGGGGTATTCAGGCTTATTAGGGGTACCGGACGTGGCAAGGAATAAGCTCGGCCGTATCAAGGGCGACGTCACCCCTCGTGCTTTTGCCCCTTCCGCCATCGAGAGTGTATCATCCATCGCCACTGTCCGAGGACAACCACAGCCTGCAGATTCGACGTTATCCACAACTCCTGTGACTAGCTACGTCAAACCAAGGGCAAATAGGGAGTTGGTGCCTTTCGAGTCGGATTCGGAGCTGTGGCCATATTCAGCTTCGCATGCCGCCGACAGCCAGAGCCAGGGGAGCAATGACGACATCGTCGAACTCGACTTTGAAGATACGAGCATCTTGAGCAATCCAGATGCACTGTCGAAAGTGTTTTCGAAGAACAACGGACAGCTCAACGGCCACCCGAACACTTACTATGACGATGGAAACCACCAGCAGAGGAATGTCAATGGCCGAGAGAAGGGCTCCAAAGGAAGGAGAAAGGCTTCTCGTCGGGAACGAGATGCTAAGGAGAGGGCAGAGATCGAGAAGACGTGGGAGATGCCGGAGTATGTTGTGAACTATACTGCCCAAGCTGCTGCACGACGTCAACAACTTGCGTCACCGCCTGCTTCGCCGTCGCCTCCTGTCTCACCTTCCCAAGTCCACCCTCCCACGTCATCATCGGGTCGCAGCAGCAAAGGACAGGGGCAGGTTGTGGTCGAAGCCGCTACGCCGACTATGTCTGCGAAGCCCAACCCAATGATTGGGATGAATGGAAATCAATCCGGAAAGAAGCAACAGGCTGGCACTAACGGTGCCAGTGCGACGAAGAATCAGTATCCATTAGACAAAGAAGTTACGAAGAACTGTATTATTACCGCCTTGGACGGCGTCGACAACTCTAGAACTGTGGGGAAGATGGAGAAGGAACAGTTTGTCCATCAGGTTATGGCTTTGCTTCATGTATGTTGTCCTTTGTTTTCATTTCATGACCTTGGAGGCTGACAATTTGCCCTTGTAGTCCGATAGGGCATTTGTCGATGATTTGTATCATCGGTATATGACCAGGTCGGCGTGAGCAAGATCGGTGCAACCAGCCAAAGGAAACTGTTCTGCTCCCTGGATTTCTTCCCCGGGACCCACATACTCATCTTCCATCCCTCAAATTTACAACAAGGATGGCTTTGGCTGTGCCTACCTCAGCAACCACGCAAACCTGCAATCTGTATTACCATCCAAATGCATCATCCACACACAACTCACCAACTATCGTCAAGCATGATGAACTTTGTAATTTGCCCGACAACCCCCTTTTTATATTATCGTTTCCTTTTCTTTGCTTGCGGATACTCTCATGTTGTTCATGACGCGACGTTCTCGTTTCTTTTCCTATTCTGTTCTCTTCTTTCAGCCTCTTCTCGTTCTCCGCTCTTCCTCTTCTCGGCGTTTACGAAGACTTGCGAGTTTTCTATTCTATCCTGTTGTGGTTTTATGGTCCAAGGATTCTCATTTCACTTCTTTTCTTGTTTCCTGTTTTAATCCCTTCTTTGCCCGTTTGTTCTCTCGTCACTTCCTTCCGGTACAGTACTCCGACCTTGTTATCGTCTTCTTGGTCTTGTTCTCACTGTCGTTTTCCCCTATCCTTCTGTTGTCTGTTGTGCGATTATATCAGGCACACGCGACTGTTTTTCTGCAACGTCGCCACTTTTTACTACGTATCTAGTTAGTCGGTTGGTAGCAACATCCCATACGCCTCGAAACTCACTCAAATTCTTATAGTACATGTACATTCCCCATCCTTTCTTCGTAGTACAGTATCGAGTTCACAGTCTTGTCAGCGTGGCTTTTTTGTTGATTGACAAAAACATGTATTTGTAGTGTTTCCCGCTGTGTCTTACCTTTTTTTCCTCCTGGTTCACTGTATCTACCTACCCGTACCCCCACTCCAGTCCTCCTTGCCTTTACATCTCTGTCGTACATGTCTGGCCGTCGAGATGAAACGTGATGTGCTTCTCTGGAAGTCATTGCTGTGCTTTCTCGGTAACCAGAGTCGGTCCTGGATCGGTTTTCTCCCTCTGACGCCCTCCCCACCATTGTTTGTTGTAACCCTAGTCAAACATTTCACGTCTGTACACACCCGCTCTAGATAGCACTTTCTATTTGTGCCTTTCCGGATGTGCATACTGTTCTGATTCCCCACTGTGCTGTGTATGTGGACCTGTTGAAGCCGTTCAGCCTCGAAGGGGATGGGGGATGGAGTTGAGAGTGGGACCCCCGAGTCGGAGGTCTGCCAGAACATCTTTCTCGGGAACCTAAAGTGAAGAATTCCATGGCCTTTTACATTCACACTTGTAGTGGAGCCAACATGGCTTGATATCCAGGACTCCTGGTCGATGTCTTTCCCATTCCTCCTCCTTGAAGGCCTGCACTCGTAAAGGCTTGGAAGCGTACGTTGTGACGTTGATGCAAACGATCACTGTCTGATGGCGTCTGGGAATCGGGTCCTATCGACGGTGATCCACCCAAAGCCCACCTTTCTTGAGCACCGTAACCACCAAGGGGCGTCTAGCACAGAGAATTCGCCTCTCACAGCGTATGTGCATTGGACTGAAACTGTTCCAAACTGACCCAATTTCCAGCACGGTCCCATTCAATGTCCCGAGCTGCAGGCATCTCCGACATCCCACAAGAGATTTTGGGGGTAATCCTGGATTCGCTGGGGCCAGACTCCTGGAAGGCATGCTCCCTCATTTCCAACCACTTCCGCAATGCCTGTCAGAAGCGACTCTTTTCAAAAATCTCTTTCGCGGAGTTCGACTTTAACAACTACCACACGGCGGAAGCATTGGAAACGGCCAAATTGCAATCACTGCTGGACGTGCTCGAGAGTTCCCATCGATTAGCCGACTGTGTCAGGCTTCTTGACGTTCGATTTCACCGTTGCCAAGAGAATGACGCTCTGCCCACTCGTCTCTTCCACCGCTGCTTCCCGCTCCTCGTCAATTTGGAGCAGTTTGACGTGGAAGTGTTTGGTCCGCCATTGGATTTGAGCGCTCTGGTCGAGTTGAACTATGATGCGGTCCTCCCCAAGATGCGACAGATTTATCTCAGGGATTTCAGTGTCTTCCCTGCTCGTTTCCTCGCCCAGTTCCCGAATTTACAGTTCCTGGATCTGGTCCAGGTTGGATTTGGGGAAATCGATGAACAGGACGAAATTGTTGGGAAGTCCAACGCCGGTTCAGACAACCTCGAGCGGCCAAAGCCCAGGGTTTGGAGGGTTAAACCAGGGAAACCGGTGGATATCCAGAATTTCTTCATGGCGGCGTTGAAAGACGTGCGGTTTTCTCAACAAGTTGTCTCGAGTAATCTGACAGCGCTCACGCTGGACTGCTGGGAGCACTGTCGTGGTCATGAGGAGCACGAATGGGTACAACCCCACCAGGCTTTTTATGACTTCCTTGTCGCATGTTCTGGGACGTTGGAGAGGCTTCACGTTGCCTTCAATTGGCATCACCTCGGTGGGTTCTGACTTGTATCCATCCCGGGCCCATACATGTTTTAATGCCAGGTTTACAGGTGCACTTACGCGGTTGACGAAAGATGCGCCGGTTCCTTTCAAGAGGCTTGAAGAAATCTATTTCAATATCCCAGTTGCTTGGGAGACCTTTCCTGTGCGGGACGATGACTCGGAAGGCCCTTCGAACGACATTGTGATTGCGCCGTGGTTGAAGCAGTTGGCTTCCCTCACATCTCTGAAAACATTCTACCTTCAAATGAACCTCCTCGGATCTGTCATTGGAAATGTTGAATTCGCCCGCCTTCCTATTATCGACACGCTCCTCGATTTACAGTCCCACTGGCTCACTTTGCCTTCTCTTCCCTTTATTCACCTCGCACTCTCACTTCGAGGAGACCCGATTCAAGACCGGGACCGAACCTATGTCGAAGACAGGTTATCCAGAATGATGGACACGGGGAAGTTCCAAGTTTGTGCTTGGGGGGAGCGTACGTCGTCCTATCAGGTTTTCCGAATGTTGTCATTGTTTCTGATGGCGCTTTTCTGTAGCCCACGACGTAGATGAAGCATGGGCATATGGAAACCATGAATGTAGGAAACCGTACTTTTATCGTCCTCTTCAAAGGGGGTTAAGCATTGGGATTCCGTATACTCGAGAGGAGGTCGCCTAGTCATGCCCTCCCTGTACCGCCGAAGCTTGATTGAATAAAACCGAGGCCGGCGACTAAGAAGCACGTTATAGACCCGCGAAGTCTAGCACCCGTAACTTGCCAAAGGGCGGCAGGTCGCACCCGTAGTAAATCCGATTCTGGACAAGAAGAGAACAAACACAAATGTAGTATTGATGGAGTTTGTGATGCTGATACAGGTTGTGAGGAGTTCCAAGTATAAACCCAGGTTCGTAGCAGTCGTGAATCGTAAGAATCGTTAGTGCGTCGTGTCGTCGTGAGTCAGAACCTTGCTTTCCATCATCTTGAGCCTTTCCATTTGCCGTCCCAGATCTTTTCGGTCTCCTCTTTGCCTCGCACAAGGTGGTCACGAGTACTATAGCTTGGGCCCTTGGAACCGTCTTGGACAACCAGTCAATGAGTCCATAAGGCTAATGGATGATGACTTTGAGCGCTTACACGGACGGAATGACCCTCCACCGATCCATTTCTCCTCTGCCTCGACCTTCTTGTACAGTAACCAAAGCGAATGGATGAGGCCGGGAGTATACCCAAGACTGTTCAAATGTGTGAATTGGTTCAAGGAAGATCGTTTATTGAGAGAACCTACATTGTTAATGCGATGTTAATGACGAAATCTGGGCTCAGCCCCGTCATTATCAAGACGGCCGCTGGGGGGAACAGCAATGAAATCTAAATCATAGAGTTTGAATGGTTTTCGAAAGGTAAAAGAGAGTAGAGTCTTCTACACACCAAGATGAGGACAATGTCCGTGCCACGCATTATCGTTCTCCCAGTGCGATCAAGGTGTTGAAGAAAGCAATTCCTGACGAGTGGAGCTGGAGCACCCTGACAACTGGATTTGGAAGATAGGGGCTGTGGGAACGAAATGGCTTCCGTGCCGTGATTTCCCATCAGATTCTGCATCAAATCATCACCGGCTCGGGTCTAAATTTAGAAGGCAACCGGCCACCCCCTTATTCATAACTCCCATGACGCCCAACGTCCGCAGTGCTTTCTGTTGAATCTAAGGCCTCTGTCACTACTTATCACCGTCCAAGATGGCGAAACAGAAGCAACTGACAGCTCAGGAGCTGTACAGGCAGCGCAGACAGAGGGAAGAGCAGGAAAGGACGGCATACCTACCGCCAGGCCTGATTAACCATGGAAATACCTGCTTCATGAACTCTGTTCTTCAAGGTGTACGTTATCCTACATAATTCTAGGAAATCTCTAGAACTGAAAAAGGGTACTAAACTATAGCTGATTGCCACCCGGTTACTCTCCGATCTTGTCCACTTTGCACCGATTCCACCTAGCGTCCAGCAACGAGCAGCCACCGTAATCGCAGGACAGAGATCGCCCCAGTTGACGAACGGGCACAACCTGGCAGGACCGTATGAGCAGAAATGGGTCAACTGTATGCCAATTGGCGATATGTTTCTCAGCACCATCTACAGAGCCTGGGAACTTCAAGCGAAACGGCAGAAGGAGATTATGAGTCCGCGGTCGGTTCTGAGCGCCCTTGGTCGCAAGTATGACCAATACCTCGACTTTGCGCAGCAGGACGCTCATGAATTCCTGCGGATATTGCTGGATGCGATGCGTATGGAGGAACATGATGTACGTTTCCACTTTATCGTTTCAGCTGCTGATTAACCGTGTAGCCAGATCATCAAGCAACGACAGCCTCCGCCTCCCCCAAAGAAACGACGGAGATCGACCCTTGTACCGGGGCCGCCACCACCACCACCACCTCCTCCACCTATCCCTGAGGAAGAAACTCTGATCTCATTCGTGGATATGATCTTTGGCGGGCGCCTCACCAGCATCCTCGTCTGCCAGAAATGCAAACATATATCCCAGACTTATGAAGACTTCAACGACATCAGCCTCAGCATCAAGCCAGAAGACTACTCGTTCAACCGGAAACGCAATCGACTGAAGAATTTGGCGAAACGACTGACGGGAAACCTTCCGGCCTTTGCGGTGCCAGAGCTTGTACAGAGGTCATCGAGTGTGCCGCCGAGTCCGAAGGAGCGGCCAGAAGGGCAGTTGATCAGACACGACGATTCACCGCCGCCATCAACCGCAGTGAGGAGGAAGAGTATGGAGTTTCATCCGACGCCCGAGGCAACACCCGCGGTGGAGACGAATGGGACGGATGGGGCGAACAGGACGAATGCCACTGAAGAGGACCCGCATCTACTTGTCAATGTCACTGGACCAGAAGGGAAGCACATCGAATTCGTGGAGGTTTCGAGCAGCAAGGGGGATGCTAGCGATAAAGAGAAGGAGAAGAAGGACAAAGACTCTGATTCAGAGAGCAACTGGGCGAAGCTCGGAAGGAGGCTTAGTCTCGGACTCGGAAAACCAAAGGACAAGGAGAAAAAGAGTCGGGCGCACCATCGAGTGTCCGCGCCAATAATCGAAGGCGTACCGCTTGACCTTCTGGACGAGTCAGCAGCTCCGAAGCCGACGCTGTTACACCCACATCGCGCGAGCGTGCCACCGGGAGCGCTTGAATCGCCCGCAGCCACGATCAACTCTCAACTCACGGATTCACCCAGGCCATCCATGGATTCGTCCGCTTCGATAAGCTCCATCCCCTCCAAGGTTCCCCGTTCCAAATCACCTAAACCACCTAAACCAACCGCGGCCGAGACAGAGTACCTTCGAAGGATTTTGGCAGATATAGACACTTCGACATCAACCTCCAAAGGCGCCAACCACCACCCGCTTCCCCATCCATTCTCCCCTCATGCAATGTGGTTAGGAGGGAAGACGCTCTCAGGAATCGAGGAGTGCTTGAGGATGTTTACGGCTGTCGAGGTCCTAGATGGTGAGAACATGGTCGGATGCCGGCGGTGTTGGAAGATCGCGAATGGTATGTCAGTTAAAAGCAAGTCAAAGGGGGGTGTGGTGGACGATGATGAAGATTCGGATAGCGCGGGTGGGGATGAGGTGATTATCAGCGAACCGCCGCCACCAGTTCAGCCCGAAGCGAGCAGCAGTGGCCACCCTCAGCGTCCAGGCCCTTTAGCTCACATCCAACCACCTGGCGTGCACATTCCGACATCGATATCGACACCGACTGTTTCCTTCTACGGGAGTCGACCTGAGGACGAGGAAGAGCCGCTGAAGGACAAGAGTGATACGCGATCCATATCCTCGCTGCCCACGAGGGCAATGAGCAACCAATACCACACTGCGTCGTCTTCGGCGTCTGCCAGTACGTCGGGACGCGATAGCCCGGATGGAACAGGCCCTGGAGGTCTGCCCATCCCTGTGATATCGACGACTGCCCCTCCCGATTCGTTAGCGGACGAGTCGTCAGAGTCCGCTGCACCTTCAATCCGTGAAAGCTCCCCCGAACCAGAGCCTCCACAGTCGTTACCGAACGGAATAGTTGCACCGAGGCCCGTACGGCCTTCCAACTTCAACGACTCGGACTCATTGCTGCCTCCGCCGCGTCATGTGAAGAGGAAAGGAGATGTGACCACTACAGATGAAGAGGAGAGTTCCGGGGATGAGACAGACACGTCCGTCGGGACGTCTGTTTCGGCGGATTCTGTTGCTGGGGCTCATACACCATCAGCATCCGGAACGACGTCTACGCCTCAAACGCAACCTAAACCCCAACCCAAGAAACCGCCAAAGCCTAAACCTGTTATCATGCGTCCGGCCTACAAACGCTATCTCATAGCTACCCCTCCACCGGTCCTCGTCATCCATCTCAAACGCTTTCAACAACTGAATAAGAACAATCCGTTCACGAGCTTCTCATACGGGTTTAAGAAGTTGGATGACTATGTGACGTTCCCGGAGTATCTTGATTTGGCGCCGTTCCTCGCGCCCAAGAAGGAGGATTATGGTTTGGGTAGTAAGAAGAATAGGTTGAAGAATAAACTTAAGGTGGGTATGGGCCAAAAGGCAGAGGAGGAGCGTTGCATGTATCGGCTGTATGCTGTTGTGGTGCATATTGGGAACATGGTAAGTCTTTGTGCTTGCTTTCATAGGTACGGGCTGACTCAGGACTATCGTTGTAGCTTGGTGGGCATTACATTGCCTATACCGCTTTGCCTTCAGTGTCGCCCATTGAGGGAGAGGGGCTCGCTACTAAGGAGTACGAGGAGAAACTGGCGGCAGTTGCTTCCGCTGCTACCACGCCACCCACAACGGCAAACCCGTCGACAGGTCCTGCTGAGGGCTCGGGTTCAAAGTCGTCGACTAATGGATCCAAGCCCGTTGATCTCCAGCCAACAAACAGTAGTCCTTCGATTTCCGTCGAGCCACCGACGCCCATTCCCACTGCCCCGCTTTCCTTGTCCTCCATTGCATCGATACCCGCCCCACAACCACCACCTCAACCTCAGACCCCGCCTCAGTCTCAGTCTCAGCCTCAGCAATCCAACTCCACCTCTTCATTGCCATCAACCTCGACCTCGACGACAAAACCTCCAGCCATTCCAGCGACAATCTCGCAGTCTCACTCCCAAGCGTCTTCTCAGTCAGGGAAGTCCTCGAGTTCCACGACTGGATCGCATTCGAAACAGCATGAGACGGGGAAGGCAAAGGATGCTTCGCAACCCAAGGAACGACAGTGGGCCTATATCAGTGATACGATTGTGCGGTTGACTACGTTAGAGGAGGTTTTGAACGCCAAGGCGTATATCTGTATGTATGAGAGGTGTTGATGACTAGACGCTTTTCGAGGTTCTTCGGGGACTGCTGGACGCGTTGTGCTACTTTGCGTGCGTACTGGGTCGCCCTGGCTTTCTTGTCTTTCGCTCCGATTTGCTTCACTTGTAATGGCTATCAATCTTGCATCTACGTCTCCAAAGACCCTTTTTTTTTTTTTTTGCTTTGCTAGTTTTCGCCCCTTTTTTGCTTAAATCTGTAGCTGGGAACCGTCATTTGTTGTAATGTTGTACATAGTAATATAGAACTGGGAGAACCGGAGATAATGAAGAACAGGACATTAAGCGCCCGAACAAACTCAGCGAACCGCGAACTCACACGTGAAGTTCAACCCAAATGTCTACATCCCTCCTTCAAACACCCGGAGACGTGCTCGAACGCGCGTCCCTGGTGCTTCCACAAGTCATGTCAGGGGCTCGGCAGGTATTTCTATGCGGCCCTGCCGAGGTAGATGTCGGCGACGACCGTGATGGCGATCACGAACGCGTCGTTTTACGCGTTTCGGAATCGCGCCCTCTTGCTCCCCGACGTCGACATCGACCTCCACCAGCTTCACTGAAGGCTCTGAAACGAGGTATGTCGAGAATTCTTGTTGTTACTCTGTTGTTAACGACAATCTAGAGCCCGTCGTCTGTGGCGCGGGCAGAATCTCAGTTGGGCACTGAGCCAAAAGCTGGTCGCGTCTACTCCGAATCGCCTGCTTCGCTTTCGACGCGACGTACTCCTCATGCACATCCCTCATCTTCCCCAAGAGATCCTGGAAGAGATCCTTAAATGTCTAGGGACCGACTTCAAATCGCTCTACGCGTGTTCGACCGTGTCGCGTCGATTCCGAGAACCATCGCAGAGACAACTCTTCTCCCGACTCTACTTCGGTGATCGACTGGGTCTCATCGACGACTACTGCGACGAAAAGATTGCCACCCATCTCGCCCTGCACGCCCTCTCATACTCGCATCGACTGTGCGGCTACGTTAGACACGTCGAGCTAGCGATTAGCTGCGAGGCGATCGCGTACCTGTTCTTCTGCAAGGTCATGCCATTCCTGAGCAGGGTGGAGACCTTGGATTTGCGCGGCTGCAGTATGACGAAAATCCAGACGTATCCCGGCGTTTATCGAACGACGCTGCCGCGAGTGCGAAGGTTATATTTGACGGCATTCCATAACCTCTCCGTGACTTTCCTCCACCAATTCCCGAATCTGGAGTTTCTGGACTTGGACCACGTATCGTTTTGCGGCCCGCTTTCGAGTCCAGAAACGCTCGTCGATGGAGTCGAGAGGCCGCGTCCCGCTCCTGTGGTTGTCAGCCTTAAACCCAACCTGGGTTCCCCACCTTACTTCAATCACTTTATGGAACTGGTTCTGTTCAAGGACCCCTCGTACGGCCTCGACATTAGCAAGATCACCGTTTTGGTCGTAGACATCCTACAGGAAGGCTACCAGGATTATGCGCAACCCGAAGAAAACCTCCAAACGTTCGAGCTTTTCCATCGCTTGCTGGCGGAATGTGCTCCGAACCTGGAGGTACTACAGATTGCTTTAAATCTCCAAATAGGTGCGTGTTGGTGTTTGAATTCAAAGACAATGTTCACTGACAGCTTAATCCGACTAGCGGAGTTTACAAGACTCCTAGACGAGAAACCCATCGACTTTCAGCGTTTAGAAGATTTCCGGCTTGTACTCCCTACACGCAGAAGGCGTTCTGTCCACGAACTGGAGCTTGAAACAGTATTCCATTCCCTGGTTCGCTGGATAAAACGCATATCCGCCACGGCAGCTCTAAAACGCATGCGGATCCACTTTGACCTCGTTGGCCGGCCACGCGAGGGCGAAGTCATCGAACGACTGCCGATCATGGAGGCGTTGGAGGACTTGACTGGCTATTGGTCGAAGCTAGAGACCATGCCTCTGATTTCCTGTGGGATTTCGTATAATAACTATATGGAGGACCACAGGGAAACGCGGCCTGGGTGTCCCAACGGGAATCTCCCGCTGTCGGATGTGAAGGCGTTGCATAAGAGGTTGGATGGGTTGATTAGAACCAAGAGGTTTCAGATACTTGGAGCCAGGCGTAAGTGCTTTCTTCTGCCCAACTTTTGTTGTCGGCTAACTGGGCTTTCGTAGTCCCTCCACTACGGAAGGCGTACCACTATGATGACAACTACTACCCATCTGGCTTCCGGGTCGGGGTGAACGCTTGGCCTGCTACTTTCGCGCCAATTAAACTAGAGTAAACGGACGGAATTCAAGGTAGCTGTCCTATCCAACTCGTGCTTGACAGACCCCCGCTGAACTCAGCTTCTTCCAGGAAAATGTACAATTTAATTCAATTTGTAATATCCAGCTAAGTAATAGAATTTACTGCACTCGCCCAACATCCTTCTGTGCCAATTCCTTGCTCCACTCCCGCAAGACGTGCTTCATGACCTTCCCGCTGGCAGTCTTGGGCAATTCGGCAGGGTTGCCGTCCTCGCCAATGAACCAGACCCATGCCGGGGCGTTCTAAGGAGCGCGTTAGTAAAGCACCCCGGTCGAGGGAATGACAACGCACCTGAGGATTCATCCCTTTCCAAACGACATCCCTCACTTCCTGCATGGTCACCGGTCTCTCACCTGGCTCACGGACAATCCATGCCCCAACGACCTCTCCATACTTGCTGTCCGGTACAGACACGGCTGCTGCTTCTTTGATGGACGGATGAGCTGTTAGTGTGTTCTCGATTTGCACAGGGAAGAGATTCTGCGTGCCGGGTCAGCAGAGTGAATTGTCATCAGTCGGTAGACATGCGCACCTCTCCTCCGCGAATGATGATATCCTTGATCCTCCCTACAATCCTGACGTACCCTTCCTCGTCCATGACAGCCTCGTCCCCGGTATGCATCCACAGAACACCATCTTTGTCTTTCTTCATCACCTTTTCCGTCTGCTCCGCGTCACCCCAGTACCCCTTCTGCAAGAGGTACCCAGAGACCAAGAGCTCGCCCGGAACTCCGATAGGTACAGTCTCTCCATCGGGAGAGACGATACGTGCTTTAACGTGAGGCATGATGCGTCCGACGGTCTCAACACGTTTGAGAAGGGGGTCAGTGGACGTGGTTTGGAAAGAGACGGGGCTCGTTTCGGCTGGGGACAAGTTGAGTACGCGGGCGAGGGAAGGGAGAGAAGGAACGCACTCATTCCGTATGCCACGGTCAGCTCTGTGAGGTTGATTTGGGAGATCAGGCGGCGCATGAGGTCGATGGGTATAGGAGAGCCTGCTGCAATGCCCGTTCTGCAAATGAGATTAGCCTCGACAAAGGAGAGTAGCTCGGGTCTACGACAAACCTTAGATTCGTAAAGTCGAGTTTTTCGCCTTCCTTCTTGCGTTTCTCCACTTCGGCTAGAACGCCGAGGAAGTGTGTGGGGACGCCGTGCAGAGCGGTACAGCGCTCCTTTGAGACTGCGTCCACGATAGCGGCTGGATCGTAGATCTCGGATGGGTAGACGATGCAAGCTGAGTGTGTCCAGCATGCCAAGTTTCCGAGTACGAGGCCGAAGCAGTGGAAGAGGGGTGGGACGTTGCCTGTGGGGATGCTGGTCAGAACTCGGTTGCTCGGCAAGAAACGCGCTAGACTTGCATAGCACATCGTTCTCGGTAAAGTTCATTCGACGTCCGATGGAGATGCCGTTGTTCAGTAGGTTGGAATGTGTTAGCTAGAGAAGGATCAGCGAACGTGCGGATGATTGCCTGACAGGAAGCGCCTACCGAGACAGCTTTAGGGAGGCCAGTGGTGCCACTGTCAGCAGCCAAGACTAGTCAGAAAAAGTTGACTGTGAGCAGGTTTCTACTTACCTGGTAAACTGCAGGTTGATGACCTCGTCTTTATCCAACGAAGCTTCAATCTCCTGCTGCAGCCGTGCCTCACGGCTCGTCGTTGACCACAGTAGTACTTCCCTCCAATCAACTACGCTGCGAATCACCAACTCATTAAGCATGGCCTGGCCCTCGTTTGCGTTGTCAATCATGACAATGTTCTTAAGCTCCGGTAGCTCCTCGAGTTGGAGTTCGCCTGGGTGCATGCTTCGAGCCTGTGGGAAGAGCTCGTAGAGCATGCGGACATAGTGGGAGGATCGGATACTGGGTACGGCGAATAGGTGCTTTGCACCGACGAGTTGGAGAGCGCCTACGAGCTCGTGGAGTCGGTAAGCGGGGTTGATCGTGACCAGAATTGCGCCGATGCTTGCACAAGCCCACTGCAGCATCGCATAGGCACTGGAGCAAATTCCTTTCAGTCTCCGTGCACCTGAAGCATCAAAAGAGATAACACACCTAGTGTTACCCATGATAACAGCAACCCTGTCACCCTTCTGGACACCCATGCATAGGAGGCCCCTAGCCAACGCGTCGATATGTCGGTTGAACTCTTCGTAGTCCCATGCCAATCGATCTGAAACCCCAAGGTTGGGTGACGGTGGCCCTCCGTGGGCTCGAGGACGTTCTTTACACGCAATAAGGGCAGGTCTGGTACTATGTTTCTCCAGGATTTCTGTCCTCCAGAATTGTGGTAGAGTTTTGTTCGACAAGGGTGGTTCCAATGGTCCCTCAGCGCTGGACAATGAACGTTTCGGTGCTGGCTTCGACCCTCTTAGGGCCCTAGGCGCAATGCGGGCATAGCAAGCTCTGGATAGCCTGAGGGGCATCGTGTATCGACGAGAAAGCGAGAAAGGAGACAGGGCTCATGGTCCTTTCCAGTTAAGTAATAAGCACCGGCTACGTTGCTGCTGCCGGGCATTCAACCACGGTCGACAGGGGCTGTTTTCCCACATACGCTGTGATCCGAGCTGATCGGATAAATTCAGGACTTCCCGGAACGTCGGGGGCGACGGCGTCAGTTTCCAGCTCTGCTCTTCACCACTTGGCACTGGCTTTGCGACGGTGCTCGACGTTTGGGATGGTCCTGAGGACCGTTTGTCCTAGGCCATGGCAACTGGGTCTCCTGTCCAGGACGCACCTGCTCTCTCGAGCTCATCAGCAACCGCAACGGTATTCTAGCTCAGACTCCAAGAAGAACGACAGCAAAGCTTTTGCAAAGTCGCTGCTGCTACCGAAGACAACATTCCCGTTGTGGGCTGATGCGAAGGAGGTCGAAGGGAGGTACAGGGACTTGACTTGTGACCAGCTGTACAATTGGCAGGTGCGTACAACTCTGGTGCTGGCGAGAGAACCCAGGGTTACTGAATGGTTTGCAGAAAGAGAATTCCAAGGGACCTCTGTTTGTGTTCCATGATGGTCCCCCATATGCCAATGGCGACTTACATATGGGTAAGGAATACGTATATGATGCTTCCGACGCGTCTAACGCGACCTACTCCACCAGGACATGCTCTGAACAAGGTTCTGAAGGATATAATCAACCGGTTCCAGCTTCTCATGGGTCGACGGGTTCAGTGCGTGTATATCCCTGAATTTTGGAAGATGAAGCTGAAAGCTCTCTAGCTATGTTCCAGGCTGGGATTGTCATGGCTTGCCTATCGAGAATAAAACTTTGAAGGAACTGAATGTAAGCTCCCGGAGCTACATCATTGGGTCCTGATCCTGACAATTCTTGCTAGACCAGCGCATCTCAGCTACCCCCGGAAAAGATCAGAGAAGCTGCGAGAGCAACGGCACTGCGAGAAGTGGATTCTCAAAAGGATCAGTTCAGGCCTCTTGGAGTTATGGCAGACTGGAACTCGGCACAGAATACGTATCGGACACTTGGTAAGTCCTCCATCCTCGGGGCGGTTCGTCCAATGTTCTGACCCTTATACAGACCATGACTATGAAATCCGGCAACTCCGCATATTCCAGCAAATGGTGGCCAAAGGGTTGATCTACCGCCATTACCGACCAGTCCACTATTCCCCGTCCTCAATGTCGGCCTTGGCTGAAGCGGAATTGGTGTACAAGGACGACCACGTCTCTCACTCGGTCTTTGTGACATTCGACCTTGATATGCAGGCTCCTGGTATTAGCGACAACTTGCGCTTGATTGGTTCGAGCCATCCGAAAGTCAAGCTGCTGGTATGGACGACGACGCCTTGGACGTTGACTGCGAACATGGTGCGTACTACAACAATCTCTCGGTACTCTTCACTCACCCACACGTCTCCAGGGAATTGCCATTCATTCCGACCTTACTTATGCGCTTGTTAAGGCTTCGGACGACGCGACTTACATCATCGCCCAGGACCGACTCGACTATGTTTCGGAAATGATTGGCCCCGTCGAAGTTATTTCTACGATCTCCGGAGCTGACCTCATCAATGCATCTTACACGCCTATCTTCTCGTCTCTGCCATCTGCCGCTACGCGCCCGCTCAAGGTCATCCATTCCTCACATGTCACTTCAGACTCGGGTACTTGCCTCGTTCATTGTGCACCGGCTCACGGTCCCGAGGACTACCATGCCTTCAAAGCGCTCAGCTTGATCTCGGACCCCAACAGCATTTTGTGCCATGTTGGACGCGCTGGAGAGTATATCTCCACGGTTGCTGAAGTCGTAGGCGAGCAAGCAGCTGGGACCTTGGTCGGAAAGCCTGTTTTGAAGGACGGAGGAAAGGCCGCTGTGGATCTCCTTAGAGAGGTAGGGCAGCTGGTCAAGGTGAAGAGGATCAAGCATCGATATCCTTATGACTGGAAGACGGACGAACCCGTCATTGTGACGTAGGTGCCTTCACTCGCGTGAAGTTCAGCGCGGTACTGACTGAGATTTCGCGTGTAGGGCTACTTCACAATGGTTCGCCAACCTGGACAGTATCAAAGCAGATGCGCTCAACGCACTGGCTGAGGTCAACTTCTTCCCCGCACTTTGTAAGTTTCCTTCCGTTTTGCAGCTGCACCACCGCTCAACCTTCTTCATGGCAGCCCGCAACCGCCTCGAATCCTTCACCCGCTCCCGGTCTGAATGGTGTATCTCTCGTCAGCGCGTCTGGGGTGTTCCTATTCCCGCCTTGTACGAAGTCTCCACCGACAAGGCCATCCTCGACGCTGCCTCCCTCGACCACATCCTCGGTATCCTTTCTGAGAAGGGTGTCAGTTACTGGTGGTCCGGCCCCGTCGAAGAGTTCCTCCCTCCCTCTGTCCTGGCTAAGGCGAAAGAAGAGCATCCCGGCCGTGACCTCGGAGAGCTATTCCGCAAGGGTACGGATACCATGGATGTCTGGTTCGACAGCGGGACGTCGTGGTCCATGTTGCCCGAAATGGGAGTTGGAAAAAGCACGGAATGGGATGGAATGAAGAGGCCGTTCCATGCGGATATCTGCTTGGAAGGTTCTGACCAGCATCGCGGGTGGTTCCAGAGCCAGCTGTTGACCAGCATTGGGTCGCATTCTGGAGCAGATGGAAGCAAGCCGGCGGCCCCGTATGGAACCCTCATTACACACGGTATGGTCCTTGATGAGAAGGGCAGGAAGATGAGCAAGTCGTTGGGTAATATCATCAGCCCTTTGACTGTGATCAACGGTGGCAAGGTGGGTGTGCCCTCTGATGATACCACTTGGCAGGACATTGACAGGGCATCCTTCCTACAGGATAAAAAGAAGCAACCTGCCTATGGCGCGGATATTCTTCGCCTGTGGGCAGCCAGCGTTGAATACTGGCGCGATATGTCAATTGGCCCTACAATCCTCTCTCAAACTGCGGAATCGTATCGCAAGATTCGAAATTCCGCGCGGTTTGCTTTGGGCAATATTGATGGTGTAGAGGGAAGACCTGTGATTGAGAAGGTTCCGAAGGAAAAGTTGGGCTTGGTAAGTGGGTTATGCTCTGTCAAAGGAAAGGTGGCTGACGAGAGGGATTACAATCTAGATTGAAAGATACATAATGCACGAACTATACCTCCTAGAACAGACTGCATTAGACGGTTACGCTACATATAATTTCCCCAAAGGTGCGTCTCCTTGTTACAGAAAAGCTATTGAGCGGCTGACGAACTTTGTGCGCAGTGGTTAATGCTCTCACTAATTTCTCAAACATCACCCTCTCGTCACTCTACTTTGATATCACCAAGGATTGCTTGTACGCGAACAAGGTTGACAGCGTCGAGAGAAGGGCTGTTGTCACTCTCTTGAACCATGTAGGTTTCCCGTTGTCGCACATCCCCCTGATGTTCTAACGAGATTGCCATGCTCGTAGATCCTCCACTCCCTATCCAAAATCATGGCCCCTGTTCTACCTCACCTTGCTGAGGAGATTCACGCCACCTGGAAGAACGACGGAAAGTCTGTGTTTATGACTCCTTGGACACCTTTGGTATGTCCCCCTTGAATTCAAGACCCAGGGAGACTTCTCACTGTTCGCTTTCTTAGGGTCCTGAATGGCAAGACCCCGAAGCGGCCCAGCGTATGGGGCAGTATCTTCAACTCAGGACGGCTGCGTTATCCCTCTTGGAACAGGCGCGAGGGAAGAAGTGCGTTCAACCTTACACTGCGCTTCGTGGCACTTATTCTGACGCTGTGAACAGGCAAATTCGCAGTTCGCTAGAAGCTGGCGTGGACATTATCATCCCCGATGAGGCGCCTATGGGGGATGAATTTGTCGCGATGCTCCAAAGCGAAGGAGGTTGGTTCTTTCTCCTGATCAAAAGTCAACTTGCCTTCTGACCAGCGGTTTTCCTTCCAGTCGATATTCTCAAGACACTCTTCATCGTTTCGGATGCTACTATCACCTCGCCAGGTGGATTGGGCACCTCGTCGCCAGAATGGGCGTACATGGACACGGTCGATGTTTCAGGTGCGCACCGGTCGTCTCTGTTTTCTACGGTCAGATGCTAAGCAAAATCACTTCAGGTTCTCCCGTCGACATTGCGATCCGGGTTCGCCCTGCCGGGTTGGAGAAATGCCCCCGATGCTGGACATACACTCGTGAAGAGGATCACACGCTCTGTCCTCGGTGTACAGAAGCCGTACCGGAAGTTCTCCAAGCCAACTGAACGTGCAATGAAATTTGAAGTGTCGCTAACTACACTCCCCTACTCTCTTATATGTTACTGATAAATTATCTCTAATCTAAAACAATTGCATACTAGCTCAGCATCCTTTACTAGAATTGAACATTCAGCGTTCACAAAGGCTGAACTGTGAACTACATATAGCCGCTGCCTGGCCTATCCACCGAACGTCAAAATCCCGCTCTCGACCAGCTCTGGTACCTCCCTGCCCACCATAGCCATCATCCACTTGCCCCACCGCGGACTCATCTTAAACTCCATCACCTCCAACTTCCTGAACCTCGGTTGCCTCAGCATTTCCGACACCTTTTTCCAGTCGATGCAACTGAACGAGTCCGGGTCGGTGATGATGAGTTGGAGGGAGATACGAGTGAGGTTTGGTGCGCAGAGTTGGGAGAGGATCGTGCATACTGCGTCTGAGCGCGGTCGTGAGTCGGGGAGAGGAGAGGGAGGTGCGATTTGGAGGTGGCTGATTGTGAGCGATTCGAGGTTTGTGTTGTGCACGAGGTTGACTGGAAAGAAGGCGGGTTAGTCAGTTACGGGTTTCAAGGCGGGATCGGATTGGAGAGATAGAGGGTCTCCGTTACAAAGTGACGGAAAGGAAAAAGGCGATGCCGTCGCAAGGAGCACAGAAAAGAAGGCCATTCTGGACGGCACGCCGGATTCGTGGACGAATAAGGGGACCGTCAACTGCAAAACTCAAAAATTTTCAAAGATGCTCCAACGACGAGCCAGCTACGATCAAAAATGAACGTAAGTCGGTTTGGAAGAAAAAAACTCAATCAACCGCCGGTCATGGCTACCCACAGATCACATAACAGTCAACGTGAAACCACGCAAGATATGATGGGTTCGAAGAGTCGAAAAAGAGAGTCTGTGGAACGCGAACATACCTTGGCTGATGCGGCTCGGGCTGTACAGGCTAAGGTGTTTGAGGTGTGGGCCCAGTTTGCGAAGGAACCGGCTGACGGCGATCGCGTCTTCGAGTTGCATGATGCCTCCGATATCGACGCTGGAGATTTTGGGCGTGTAGGGCTCGGTGGATGGAGCCTTGAACATCCACTCGAACAAATGCGACTGGTGTGCCATAAAGAGCTCGAGGGTTTGTAGGTTTGGTGGTGGACGATGCCCATGGTCACTATCCTCGGAACTGGGAGGTCCCCAGGCTATATCCGTCAGCGCTAACCTCTTCAACCCCTGCTGCGCGCTTATTACAGCCGCTAAATCGCTGAAAGTTCCAAACTCGAAACTCCGCAGTTCCAGTTCTTCGAGGTCGGCGAAGGACGCGATGTAGGACGCGATTTGGGAGGTTTGGTTGTAGGCCTTTTGGAGCGTTAGCTTGATTATCGAAGGTAGGCGGGTGGTGGCGACGGAGAGGATGTCTGTGAGATCGTAACCTGGTTTGCGGAGGGAAGTGGAGGATGATTGGGAGGTGAGAGATGATGAGGACGACGCAGGTGAGGATGTGTCGCGGTAGGGTGAACGAAGACCTGATGCTGAGGAATCCGAAGAAGCGGAAGACGACGCTGAGGAGATCGAGGAAGACCTCGAGCATCCGCCTGGCGAAGTTGGTCCTCGGTTGTTGCTCATCCCCGTCCCATTCGTCCCCACCAAGAAGAAATGATCCACCACGTTCTCCTGCTTCTGTACCACGAGGTGCTTGATGCTCTGCCCGATTGTCAGATGTCCGGATGTCTCTCCGTTGACCAAGTCAAGGAATTGGGAAGCATTGGACGGCGTTACTGTCAGCCGAGGTGTGTAGTGGGTACGGCACAATGGCACCCATGCCCGACAGACGAGACTGCACGCAATGAGAGTCGGATTTGGGGGCCTCATAGGATAGTCGATTGGAGACGAGGGAACGTTGGAACCAAGCGCGACAACCCAATGAAGGACGAGCTTGACGAGCTCGAGAGGGAAGCGGTCGGTTATGCTTTCAGGGAGAGGGCGAAGGCTGTTATTAAGCTGGAGACTTGGTCGTTGCGATTTGAGGATACTCTTTCGCGGGAGACGTCGTGGAAGAGGTCCTGGTCGAGCTTGAGTTTGCGTTTGAGTCGGAGGGACGATATCTCGGCTCCCAACGCCACTAGCGCTGTTGGTTTGGGCGCTTGACTGAACGTGCTGTAACTGCGCCATGGTCGGGATCGACATGTCTATACCCTTCAACGAGATGGAGTCGCTCGTTTCTTCCGTCGGTGACGAGAAATAGCGGGTACAAGAGGGAGAAAGAGGGAGCTCGTTTTCTTCCCACCAACGACGGACCTGTATATTATATTGGTCAGAAGATTCAACGCCAAATACAACCGGAGGTAAAGGGCTACCGCCAACGGCCATTTGACCTAACATCGAACATCACGTACTTGAGATCCATACACGTTACGGCGTCTATTACCTTTTTCTCCCTTTTTGTTTGACACCTCTTGCGATTGCGGGCTTCGCATCGTCCTTTCTGATGGATGAAGTTGTTGATTTGGAGGATTTCCCTTTTCAAGGAAGGTGGTTCTGGCGACTCGACCGCGCGTATCCTTGAAATTAGAACTTGGGATTGGCAGCTTGACAAGGACTCGCTAACTTCTTTGGGCAGTGTTGGAGAGGGTGGAGAGGTTTGGAGAGGAGCTATGCAGGGTCGCTGTGGGTAAAATGTCGACTTCTTCGCAGACTGTCTGTGGGCGCTTTTGGTGTTCCTAACAGTGGACATCCACACCCGGAAGAGGAATCTGAAAGGGGCGCATCGTGTGAGTGCAGAAGAGCGGTGATATACCCTGATTTAGCCATACGGACGACCTGCCGGTGTTTTCAAGAACCAAAGGTCTTCGCAGTGCTTCTCGTCTTCTTTGCAACTAGGTCCTTCTGCGCCGTGCGCTGGGATACTAGAGTTTGTTCGGAAGCTAGGAGAGTAGAAGGTCGCGGTGCACGATTGGGTCTCCGAGGAGGATGCGGGGCCGCAGCGGTAGGTATGGAGACCGTATGTATATTTGTTTCCTCGAGAAGCCCATGCATTCAATGTACATTGTACAGTCAAAGTCGGAAATGCGGAGCGGAGAGCCTGGACTCGGCATGTGAGCAAGCGCCCAGCATTCCTAAAGCCCACCCGCATGTTCCCTTCGATCTTCGGTCCACCCAATGGAAGGTCACCTGCAGCTGTAGAAGGCATTGTAACCCTTGTTGATGTGGCCATCCAACCAGAAGCTCTTCTCCAAGTGAGTACCCACGCAGACCCACGCGCGTCTAAATGGCCACGCGTCCCGGGAGCCGATGTCATTTAGGCATTTCTGAGTCCTGACTGCGGGAAAACGTGGGGGAAAAATCGATGTAAGTGGCTAGGTTGGATGATGCACCTTACCAGCCTGATGCAACGCGTTCGATCAGAGCGTTTCGATGCCTTTTGGGGCTTTTTTGGGAGCATGATGATCGAGGGACAGGGGCAAAAGGGGTTTGACTGAGGTGCGGTTGGAGGGTTGCTCAGCGAGCCAACTGAGGCCGCAAATGATTCCTAATTGGCGACAGTCGGACATAGACTCAGACACTACCGGGTATGGAACTCGTGAGTTGAGGAGTGTCCAAGTAGCGAGTCAATGCTCGAGGTTAAAAGGGATTTGGAGTCCCCTGTAAAACAAGGCTGTCATCTCCCATAGGTCTCTGTTAGTATATAGGTTAGTACACGCGCCTGTCATTAGTACTTGCTGTGACGCGCGAAAGCTGGGTTCGACTCCCAGACAGAGAGATAATGTTCCAAAATTTCTGTTTTCTTTTTCCTTGTTGCTCTCGTGGCGCGACTGTACCGTCTCAAAGCCATGTCAGTTTCATCCAGGACAGCTACATTGCCTGGTTTCTATAGGTCTCCTCTACTCTCAGCCAACAGGAGCCTGGGACCCTTGAAACTGTGAATGCTGCAAGCAAACGTGCACTTTGCCAGTTTAACGCGCTATGTGGGCCTTGGCGTTAGCACAGGCGCTCTATTACCAACCCTCTTCAATTTGATGTAAAACTGTCGCTTCGAGCCTCCCGCCGTACCCTCTCTTGTAGCCCACCTAGGCGAGCTATGGCAAAACTCTAGCGCTCGAGCTCGAGATAATGCCTAAAGCTTAGAGGAGTTTAATTGGCCCAAGGTGCCACCTGGTGCAGACCTTATCACCACAAACCAATCTCTGTTAGTATATCGGTTAGTACACGCGCCTGTCATCCTATCTGTGACGCGCGAAAGCTGGGTTCGACTCCCAGACAGAGAGATGTACGCTTCGTATATTTCGAGTTTCTTTTTTATGCTTTTCTTTTCTATATTCAAGCGGAACAATCTGTTTTTGCGTCCCTTCAACTACCTTGCTTCCACCCTCCATTCCCTTATTCTAATCACGGGGGAGAATATACGCCACCTGATCGAGGCATTCTTCGCGGGAGACGCTTTACAATTCACCATGCGTACCGTCTCATTAACGTTGCATTAGCGTTAATTTTACAGCCGGTCGTAGAGTATCTTAGTAGCAGTACTACACCGGGTAGAACTTAATACAGGTCCATGTCGACATGGAAACCGTATGTCGTTCCAAAAGGCTTATTCGTAACTGAGTACATTGAACAAAGTTTAGCCTCGTGCTTCCGCTTCCTTTGAATTGGGTTCTAAAAATAGATTTGGTGGACACGGTCATTAAGGTTTTCTCCTTAGTACTAGGTAAAGTCAGGGTAAAGTAATACTAGATCGTTGTCAGTGGTCACCCTTCGTATGCTTGCTTCCTTCATTATTGCGGCTAGTTTCATTACTATGCACTCGGGTCCAGGATACGGTTGAAGGACGGGATGAAGTGGAATGTAGTGGTGCCAGTTACTATGGTTCTAGACGGGTGTCATGTCAGGAAGTATGGAATTTTTGGATGCTTTGAGGGTAGTCTGGCTTGGTTCAGGTATGGGGCCGAGTCACAAATATCCTAGGTAATGAACAGTTTGCACGTCCAATTTCCTAGAGCTTCTGAGTCAAAGTAATTGCACGGACGGTTGAATGCCACTGGACTGTACACACAACTTAACTTGACAAGGTGAGCCTACATAATACATTCATACAGCGTTTTATGTAAACTTCTCTCAAACTTCGGCAGAACTTGTATACAAACCGGTTCTTCCACTTTATGTAGTCTCGATTCCTAAGTCTCCTTGCCATGTCCTTAGCCTCTAGGAAGACTCGTGATTCTCCCGGTCGGACGTACTGCCATCCCACAAAGAGTTTTCTGTATGGGCCGCCGGAAGAATCTGAACTGTCACTTCACTGAGCTAATTGGACGTATACATACATGTACGAGTAGGGATCAGCGCACGTCGTCGCTATCGCTGTGGAGATTAAGTGCTGCCCACTTTCACGCCAGTGGTTGCCAAAACCACCAGATCCACGCACACCACTGACAACGGGCGCTTAATTTTAGACTTCTGGTATGGACGACTCGGAAATACGCTCTTGCAGGATACCCATCGTTCGTTCCAGGCTCCAACTTGAGTCCAGTACCAAAGCGTTCAAAATTATGGCTCAATGGATCTAGCGAGTATACAGTCCAATCCCCAATCCAATGCAATCCAGACGTCTCTCACCCGTTTCATAAGATGGTAGATAAGCAGGTAGTCCCACAATCAGTTGATATCACGGTAAGTAGAACGAACCCGAGTTGCAGAGGAGAGGCTTTTCATTTCACTTCCGACTACGTACGTACGTAAAACCCAAATAGTATCTAGTATCGATGTTTTTTTCTACCGAACCAGGAGACCCAAAAGAGGAGACAAGACGAGACGAAAACGTTCATGGTTTACCAAGGGTAGGATAGTAGAGGGGTGTTCCCACCCACCCGACCAGCGCACGCGAGCTTCCAATTCATACCTTCTCTCAACCCTATAGATGCATGACATGCCATACGACGGGAGGCAAGAAAGGTGAAACGCAAGCAAGCGGGGCGCCCATCCAGCTTCCACCTGTCTAGTAACTCCTTCCAAACAACGTCCACCTCTTCGCGTCCTTGCCGCATCCAACGCACTTGGTCTTGCCGGGCTCGATGGCGGGCCAGTGGCTCTGGTCGAAAGGAATGCAGAGCGACTTGGCACCTGCGGATGGCGCGCGCTCGTCTTGCGGTTCAGCACTGAAACAGCGTACTGTTTTTAGCATCGAGGGGAATAAGAAAGAATGGGATACTCACGCTCGCCCACTCTTCTCCTTGATCTCGTCTTCGCAAGCTTCCTCCTCGCACCAGGGGATGACGACGATGTTCTTGCTATCGAGAGCGGGGACGACGTCGTCCCAGTTCGTGACCTACACAACCATCGATAGTAATTTAGCAAAACATTAGGCTGACGAATGGCGACTACGCTGCGTACCTGCTTGACGTGCTCCCAGTACACCTTCTTCGCCTTCTCGAAGAGGTCGGATTGGATGTTCTTGAGGAGGTCTTGGACGGTGGCGGTGATGCCGTCGAGGGGGAGGGGAGCCTTGACACCGGTGTCGCGGCGAACGGAGAGGGTCTGGTTCTTCTTGATGTCCTGAGGACCAATTTCAAGACGGACGGGGACACCCTATACGCATTTACATTAATTACCACCTCGAAGGGAAAAAATGACAGAGAAACCTCACCTTCTGCTCCCACTCATTAAACTTCCAACCAGGGGTATACCCATCCCTCAAATCAGCCTTCGCCCTGATATCCCCCTCCCTCAACTTGGACGCCAACGCCTCACACGCATCATTAATCCTCTTCCTCTCCTCATCGCTCGTCTTGGCCGTAATACCACACGGCACAACCACCACCTGCACACTCGCCACCCTCGGGGGGAGGACGAGTCCCTGGTTATCACCATGAACCATAACACACACACCAATCGCACGGGTACTCAAACCCCACGAGTTCTGCCAGACGTACTTCTTGCCGGGGTTCTCAGGGTCCTCGACGAAGATGTTGAACATCTCCGGGCGCGAAAAGTTTTGGCCCAGGCAGTGGGAGGTGGCGGCTTGGATACCGCGTCCAGAGGTGGGGATGAAACCCTCCAGCGTCGTAGTGTACAATCCACCTGCAAACTTTTCCTTCTCGGATTTGATACCGGGGATGACGGGGACGGCGAGGAGGTCCTCGTAGACCTGGCGGTAGAGGTCGAGGATCTGGCGGACTTCGGTGTCGGCTTCTTCTTTGGTGAGGAAGGCGGTGTGGCCCTCTTGCCAGAGGAACTCGCGGGTGCGGAGGAAGGGCTGGGGGTTTTTGAATTCCCAACGGACGACGCTGTTCCATTGGTTGAGCTTGAGAGGGAGGTCGCGGTGGCTGCGGATCCATTTGGCGTAGTCTGGGGGCGGGTTAGAGGGCGACACTTTGAAGATGAGGGTCGCACATACAAGGATACATGGCGGTCTCGGAGGTTGGACGGATAGCAATGGGCTCTTCCAAATCGGATTGGCCGCTGTGGGTTCATTTTAGCGTCGAACGGTAAGAGACAGGGTGAGAAAACGCACGCCCTGGTGACCCAAGCGACCTCAGGAGAGAAGCCCTCAATGTGGTCCTTCTCCCTCTCCAAAACGCTCTGCGAGACGAACATGGGGAAGTACGAGTTTTGAACGCCGAGCTTCTTGATTTCGGCGTTGAACCAGGTTTGGATCTCTTCCCAGATAGAGTAGGACCAGGGCTTGAGGATGTAGCAACCGGAGACGCTATAGTAGTCAAGCATGTCGGCCTTGATCAGGACCTGGAGAAGAACAGTTTAGCGTGCGCTTTCGAAAAGAAGAGATTGGTCTGACATTAGTGTACCATGAAGCAAAGTCGACCTCCTTCTTGACACCAATAGCGACCTGGACTGCACCCTCAATCTTTGCATCCTCCTTCTCCTTGGGCGGGGCTTTCTTCGGAGCAACTGCGACTGGGGCAGCTTCTCCGGGAGCCGCCAATTCCACGAGCTTCTGTGTGTCTGTCTCGAGCGACTTGAGGTGCTTGACGATGTCGGCACCGGACAAGAAAGTTGTGGTGGACGAGGACGAGGCATGGACAGCGAATTGGGTTGAGGAAGCGTCAGCGAGAGCTGGGTCGATCACGAGTTGGATCTTGGAAAATACGGAAGAGTCGATTGCAAGTGGGGACACTGCAATTTTTGTTAACTTTTGATAAGATGAAAATTAATGAGGAGACTCACGGGAGTCCTTATCCAATGCAAAGAATTCCTTAAGCAGTTCCTCGTTCGCCAATCGCAGTTCCTTCAATCCGAGCTGCTTGCCGATGGCTCCAGAGTTGGTCTCGGTCTCTTCTCGAGCAACGACGACCACAGGGACGGGGGTGGCGGTTTTGGCAGTCTTGGGCTTGTACACCAGGGTCTTGATCAACTCGAAAGGCTTGGGGGCATCTTTATGTGCCTGCAAGAGTTCCTTCCATTGAGCAGGGGATGTAGCCGGTTCGTGGGTGACTGTGAGGGGATTGGCAAGGGAAAGAGCAGCAAAGGCCGCAGCGAGCCTCGCGTCGGTGGTCATGTTCCTTGGTAGGTGTATGGAGGATAAAGGACGATGATGATGGGAGATGGGAGAAGAAGATAACAAGGACTTGGATGTCAATTGCCGGAAAATTAGGCCTTGTGACTCGACGGCGCGTAAATTCCAATTTGGTCGTCGTCTTATCGATATCGGATGGTGCTGCCACTGCTGCTCGACCCAAACACGGCCCTTGTTGATAACGTGCAACCGACGCGTCCACTGGAAACGCCCGACCATCATCTACACCGCATGCGCCCTAATCGTGCGAGCGAGGGTTAAATAATGAAGTGAGTCGAAGGAAAGTTTGAGCACATTGGTGCGCTGGCAGCGCGCTCGCTTGTCATCGCGATTCCCGCCGCCGATGAGATTAGATATGATCCTGTCCACTATGGCCTCGATAATCATTCTATGGGCTGCGATGAGGTCTTTTGGTCGCTGGCGATGTTCCCTCCCTTGCGATGAAAGAGACTGTACAGAATCTTCGAAAAGATGCTTTACTGGAGATGGAACGGATTGCAATTATGCTGGATGTCTATCAGCTCTCCGTTAGTATATCGGTTAGTACACGCGCCTGTCATTGATTGCTTATCAATACGCGCGAAAGCTGGGTTCGACTCCCAGACGGAGAGATAATTCGGACATCGTAGAGTCTTTTGCTTTTTATCGATATCTTCCTGCTTTTGCGCCTGTCGTTCGTGACTTGAAGACTTGAAGACTTGTACATGACTTCCACTTCACATCCTCAGATCCACGTTCCTGTACATGGGAACTATCACAGGTGCGCACTCATTTTCTCTCCCTTATACCACACCTTTCCCTCATTCATTCGGAACATGCACTGGGTCTTTCGCCCGTTGTTTCTCCTCTGACATGCGCATTGCCATTTTCCCGAACTCTATGACCGCCGTCCCCCACCATGATTGACGCCACGTAAAATGAACGATCTAGTTATTATACCAAACGTCCAACCCCCCTCGCTGAACCGCGTCTCAAACGACTTCCACCGGGTTTGTTCAAAGATGCGGTAGTTTTGGATGTTGGGTGTAACGAGGGATGGGTGACTTGTGAGATTGGTGGGTTTCTTTCTTCCTTGAAATGTTTATTGGGCTGTATGAAGGGAACCTGGAGTGGGGCGACCGGAACGCGTTCCATTGTGCTGTTTTATACCTTGTAGTACCTCTCTGGGTCCCTCAGGCTGACGGTTCTACGAGGCTAGGAGACTAGGAACTGACAACCTCCTTTGCTTATGCGCTAGTACAGCTCAGTCGTACGGACCGCGTAAAGTTGTAGGCGTGGATATTGATGACAGCTTGGTGCAGGGTGCGTGGAGGAGACGGAGGACGCTGTGGTCTTTGCAGGAGCCGTCTGGGTTTGGTGTAGAGGCTGGTAGTGGGAGGGTAGAATTGGGTGGGGAGAGAGGTGAAGGGGAAACCGAGGCGAACGGCGGTGTGGAGGGGCAGAACGGAGGAAAGGTGAAGAAGAGGAAGCGAACCGACGACGACGACGACCCCGAAGATGAGGCAAGGGGCGAGTCTAGACGTCCCCTACCGAACTACTTCCCTCTCTCGTGCGAACACGAGTTTGGGAGTTTGCCTGTTCCTCCTAGGGAGGTTTACCTGCAGCGCGGGCTCGCGCCAGACTCAAAGGGAGGGAGTTCAGAACGTGCAGGTGCAGATGGGGAGAGCGACGATTCGAACGAGAAGCATAGCCTCCCGTTCCCTTATAACATAACCTTTCGAACGGCGAATTGGGTGGAGGAGGAGATTGGGGAGGATAAAGAGGGGTATGACGTTGTTCTTGCGTGCGTAACTTTCCCTTCCTCCCGTTTCACCGACTCCTCTTACAACTGCTAATCTTGCCTAATGCTAACTTCACTTTCCAACCGTAACGACAACGACACCTCTGTCCCTCACCCTACCTCCCCAATAGATTATCGCTAACAAAATGGATCCACCTCAACGGCGGCGACGAGGGGCTCCTCTCTTTCTTCCGCAAGGTGTTTAGAGTGTTGAGAGGGGACGGGAAAGGAGTGTTTGTGGTTGAACCACAGGGATGGGAGAGTTATGCCAAGGGGAGGCGGATGAGTGAGGTGGGTAACGGGTGCCTTTTGGTACTCTTACTTGTCCTGGGTTTGGGCTGTTTTGTCCTGCGCCAGAACAACCTTCATCTTTAAGATACGATACTGACCCGCTCACTTGAATTTATTATGAGCAGAAACTGAAGGAGAATTATCAGAGCCTCAAACTAAGACCGGAGGATTTTGGGAGGGTGTTGAGGGAGGTTGGGTTTGAAGGGCCTATTCGTGTATCGGGGTCTGGCTCTGATTCGTTGATTGGATCTGGAGCTGGAGGGGGGAGAGGGGGTACGTCGACTTTACCTTTTGGTTCTCAGGACCACTTGCTAACACCCAGCTCTCTTACTTGTGTAGGTTTCGATCGGCCAATTGACATATACCGCAAGCCGTAGTAGGAATAGCATTGGAACTGGTGCAGTCGTACAGTGGCAGACAAGGGACGACGTGGATTCGGTAGATCAGAAGACTTGCTGCGAAAGAAGACGAACTGTCCGAGACCCCTTGTCTGACCTTGCCATTGAATGATAAACTTGCTGTTGTCGAGGAAGGGTAGGACTATGAGAATGTGGCCCAGTTTGACCTGGTAGGCGCTTGGAGGGGTTCCCGGTAGTTGGGAGTGGGTGCGCCGATATAATAGCTGGTGGGGGAAGAAGAAAACGATGTCGCGGGACGTTGGAGTCTATGCTATAAATGAGCGGGGATAGTTCATTGACAGTAATTGACAGTACCCTGCTGATACATCAGGCGTTGCATACGTTGTCCGACGAGAAAAGTATCCAAAGGTAGATGCATCGTCTGAGCGCTGCCATGAATCTTGACTTTCGCAAATCAAAAAGACCGATGAGCAGCCCCTGCTGTCTAGCTCATCTCACAGGCCATAGAGCCCGACGGCCCCGGGTCTGTAACGAAGCCGCTCTAAAAGCTCTAACTTAAAACGAGATATCAAACGAACCCTGCGGAACACGCGTGCACGAGCGCTTGAGGGCTCAATTGACGGGTACCATCAATGATGTGTGGCGATACGGCTTATGTCATGAATGATATGAGCCACGTCGTGACTTGTTGACACGTTAGCTGGGAGCCGTTACTGTTCGTGCTTTAACCCAGCCCCCTCGTCCACATTCCCCTCCGACTGACCGACTGAGCAAATGGCCTCAAGGATCAGCATCGCACGTCCGCAAGCCAACCACTACAACCCGGACCCCCACGGCCTCTCAAACTCCAGGCCCTCCTCAGGCTACAGAGCCGCCAACCCTGACGACCCGCTCGAGAAGCTGCAGGCATTCAGCAGAGCGGTCGAGGACAATGTCGAGATTTACTCTCAGCCTTTGAAGCCCCATCTTCCCACTATCGGCCGCTTCTTGATTGTGGTCACCTTTTTGGAGGATGCATTGCGAATTCTGACCCAGTGGGGAGACCAGATCTGGTATCTGCAGCAGTGAGTAACGACCAAGGTTATACTCGAAGGATATGTTTCTGATATGTTTCTAGACACCGACATTTCCCTTGGGGCATCTCCCATATGTTCTTATTGATTAACGTTATTGTGAGTTGGCCAGCCTTGCATTTTTGCGTTGTCTCGGGCTGAACAATAAGCAATAGACCATGTTGGTTGGCTCTGGCGCTGTCATCACCAAACGATACACGGAATACGCAGTGGGCGGTCTCCTCGGTGTCGTCATCATTCAAGGATTCGGCTACGGCCTCATCTTTGACCTCAACTTCTTCCTCCGCAACCTCAGCGTTATTGGCGGTCTCTTCATGGTCTTCAGTGACTCCATGGTGTCCCGCAAATCCACCTTTGCTGGCTTGCCCTCTATCACTGAAACCGACCGCAAGAAATAGTGAGCGCGCGCTTATTTTGCGTCTTCCTGGCTGGTTGGACTAATGTGTGTTTCAGTTTCCTTCTCGCCGGACGCGTCCTCCTCATCTTCCTCTTCCTTGGATTCATCCTCCAAGGTCAATGGAGTGTCATGCGTGTCATCGTCTCCGTTATCGGCTTGGCGGCGTGCGTGATGGTTGCTGTTGGTTTCAAGGCCAGGTGGTCGGCGGTCTTCCTCGTTCTGGTCCTCAGTATCTTCAACGTCTTCGCCAACAACTGGTGGAGTGTCCACTCTGCACACCCCCAGCGCGATTTCTTGAAGTACGATTTCTTCCAAACGCTGTCCATCGTGGGTGGACTTATCCTCCTTGTGAACATGGGTCCAGGTCTGTTCTTTTTCTCTCACCGTTTCTGTGTGGCGCGCGTGTGTGTGCTAATGCGTGGTTTGTTTTTGGCTCTTCGAAGGTGGTCTCTCTGTCGACGAGAAGAAGAAGACCTTCTAAAATTGTTTTTATTCACCTCCTATGCGAGCGATGTTTTTGTTGTAGGGCCCTCCACTTGCATTTTTATTTATCGATTTGGGCAATTACGGTCGACTCTTCATTGGAATGCAAGGGTGCGCGTGCGATTGATCCGTCGTTGAGTGACGATGCGTGAGACGCGTCTTGGAAACTTTGCCAGCTTCATCCAACTCAGCACGATGCATGCAGGATGGTATTGCTGATTACCTCCACCCTCCCAGCACTGCATCCCCGGATCTAGCGTTTCCAAACCGTTCCAATCGCCGGTACTATATCACGCCACTTATTTCCTGTCTGCGGGATTGTGACGCCCGAGCTGCGAGCGCCAGTGAAACACAATCATGATGGCGGCAGTGCAAGGCGGTCACAAGTCACAAAGTTCTAAATTCGTATACCATCTAACCCCCACAGGTAATAGCCATCACCACGTCGTGACGAGCGGTCTACTTGACACGTTAGACTTGTACCGCCACTTTCTAGTCCCCGTCCTTTGTGCGTCTGGTGCTTATTTCCTCCTCTTCCCGGCATGTCTTCGCGTTACAGTGGTTATCAACAAAACAATGCCTATGGTGGCTTCAACCCGAACGCTTCTGGACCTGGGTACCGCGCTGTAAATGACTACAGCAGCAGTGGTGCACAGCGCCCGCTTGAAAAGCTGCAAGCCTTCAGCAAATCGGTGGAGGATAGCGTTGACCGCTATTCGACGCCGCTTCGACCTTATTTGCCCGTCATTGGGCGCTTCTTGATTGTTTCGACGTTCTTGGAGGATGCGCTGAGGATGATGGTGCAGCGGGCTGGTCAGAATTTGTACTTGCAAACGTGCGTTTTTTTTTTTTTTCTCTCCATCACTGGAGGCTTTGGGAGTGGTGGTGCTGATGGAATTTGGGGACTGATCTAGTCATCGACACTTTCCATGGGGGGTATCGCATCTGTTTTTGCTGGTTAACATCCTTGTGAGCTCCCCCTCTTATCCATTCTACTGCTAGGCTTAATAGCCCACCTAGACTATGACCGCCGGCTCAGCCATCATCATCACCAAGCGCCCTGGCCTCACCGAGTACTCCGTCTTTGGTCTCCTCGCCGTTGTGGTCATCCAAGGCCTGGGCTATGGCCTGATCTTCGATTTCGATTTTTTCTTGCGGAGTCTCAGTGTGATTGGAGGCTTGTTTATGGTCTTTAGCGACTCGATGGTTAACCCGAGTGGGAGGGGAGGGTTTGCGGGGTTACCGAGCATTACTGAGACGGATAGGCGGAAGTAGTGAGTTTCCCCTCTCCAAGTTCGCTTTCCGTGCGTTGTCTCAAGGAAATGCTGATCGGGTGTGGTGTGGTGTAGTTTCCTCCTGGCTGGCCGTGTCCTCCTCATTTTCCTCTTCTTGGGATTTATCATCCGAGGACAGTGGACCTTTGGCCGCATCCTTCTGTCGATCATCGGTTTAGCGGCTTGCGCGATGGTTGCGGTGGGTTTCAAAGCCAAGTGGTCTGCGGCGTTTTTGGTTCTCGTTTTGAGCTCTTTTAATGTCTTTGCGAATAATTGGTGGGCTGTCGATGAGGAGGATGTGCAGAGGGATTTCTTAAAGTGAGCCATTTTTGTTTTGCTTTTAAGGGCCTTCTGGATTAATTGGTTGTTGTGTAGATATGATTTCTTCCAGACTTTGTCGATTGTGGGAGGGTTGATTTTGCTTGTTAATATCGGACCAGGTGAGTGTAATTCTAATAGGTAGTGATTTTCCCTGTAAATTTACCACTCCTTTCAGGTGGAATCTCTGTCGACGAGAACAAGAAGAACTTCTAAGGACACTCCTGTCGCTCTTGATGCACCTTCGCGATGGACTCGTCTTATTTATCATTGTATTGGTTATCGGTATATTATAAAGCGGTGCTTTCAATTAGTCCCCATATTTCTCCCTCGTAATCTCTCGTCGAATGGTTCCTAGGAACAGGCGATTCCACTCAAACACCGAGGTCTCGAGCGCTAAGAATAAGCCCCTATCCACCGTGTAAAACATCCGCAAACACGGTTTGCGCGCCAGCTATTCCGCGACGAGTGACTTTTACAGTATCCCCGACGACGACCACGATATTAAGGCCATCCACTACGGAACATTTGGAACTTATCGAGATCAACAACTAAAAGTGCATTGATCAACAGAGCTCTGCACGATATTCAGCGGAAATATGCCACCTAAACGTCGACTAAAGGCCCAGGCGGATTTGGATGACGACGACTACCAATCTGGCGGCCACGAGTCCTCGGAGGACTGCTACGACCCTTCAGACGCGTCCTCTAGCAGGAAGGCGCGAAATAAACGCGTTGCATCGCGTAAGAGCGCTCCGAAACGACGGAAAGTGGCCGACTCTGCGATCGAGGCAGCAGGGGGTGAATTGGGAGAATTAACCGCCTGGAAGCATTCACGGGCCATGCATCGCATTTCCAAGCCAGAAGAGCTGAGGAAGGCCTTACTGGAGTGGTTTGATACCGTTCGGGATAAGCGAGGGATGCCTTGGAGAAAACCGTTTGATAGGACGTTTACACGGGAGCAGCTGGCGCAACGTGCTTACGAGGTGGGTGCGTGTATCTCTGACCACGGAGAGGATGTGTCTGAATGCTGTCTTGCAGGTCTGGATATCCGAAATTATGCTTCAGCAAACCCAAGTCATTACCGTGATTCCGTACTATGAACGTTGGATGGCCAAGTAGGAGTTTGTTTTTGTCCAGGGGTCCACCGAGTTGACGTGGTCTGTTAGGTTTCCGACTATCAAAGACCTTGTGCGCATCTTCCTCTGTCTCCAGCTTTGGGATGCGATTCTGACATGGGAAAGTAGGCGAAAGGCGCCATCGACGAAGTGAATGCTCTGTGGAAAGGCCTGGGGTACTACAGTCGAGCAAGTCGTCTACTGGCAGGTGCACAGAAGGTCGTCAACGAACTGGGCGGTCTGCTTCCTGACAATGCCAAAGACATGGAAGCGAAGATACCCGGAATAGGTCGCTATAGCGCAGGTGCTATCTGCTCCATTGCGTACGGAGAGAAGGCTCCTGTGGTACGTATAGCGAGATTGGGTTCGTGGACCAGAGAGATTGAGTTTATCCATTCTAGTTGGATGGGAACGTCACTCGGCTGCTGAGTCGATTCCTCATGCTTTACGCGAACCCGAAGGCGAAGGGTACACTGGACGTCCTGTGGGCCGCGGCTGATGCTATGGTCCAGGTGCCAGGTATGACATTTCGCTGAGTCGAGAAGGGTGTGCGGCCTCACATAGCTGTTTCCAGGTACTCCAAAGGATCCCACGTACCAGAATCCCGGGGACATTAACCAAGCTCTCATCGAGCTCGGCAGTACTGTCTGTCGAGTGCGGGATCCCGATTGCAGTGCCTGTCCACTGAAACCCTGGTGTAACGCTCATCAGCAGAGTGGTGCAACAGAAAAGGCACGTAGAAATCGGACAACTGACTCCGGGTCGACGACAACTGACGTTGCTATGCACATCGTGCGCATCTTGGCCACACAGGGTGAACCGGACGTGGTCGACATTGAAGACTTGTGCACGCTGTGCGAGTCGATTCCCAGACCTGTATCGGTTGTGGACTTTCCGATGAAGATCGAGAAGAAGAAGGCGAGGGAAGAAGTTGACATTGTGAATGTTGTTGAGTGGAGATCTAAATCGATGTCGGCCGAGCGATGGTTTCTCCTCGTTAAACGACCTGAGAAAGGTGTGTTGCTACCTGAAGAAATGACCATTGTATTCTGTATCATTGACCGCATGTACTTTCTTTTGGAAACAGGGTTGTTAGCAGGCCTTCATGAGTTCCCTACTCTGAGTAATGCAGGGTCGCCTTCTCGTAAGGAAATGGACGAGATTGTACCCGCGATACTTTCTCAGCTCCTCGTTCGACCGCCCGTTAGGCTCAGGAAGGCTCACACGTCTGTTAAGAAGATCAAGTCGGAAGAAGAGATCCTGGGTTCTGATTCCTCTAGCCAAACGGACGGCTTGGCGAGGATCGTCGAGATTGTCCCTCTGGGAGATGTGGTGCATATCTTTTCGCACGTTAGGAAGACGTATCGGACGCAGTGGGTTATCTTGGAGGGAGGCGAACAGCTACCTGCCTTGAAGGTTTGCGAGTCAAAGGTAAAGGAGTCTAAAAGTAAAGTGAAGGAGGAGTGTGAATCCCCGGTGTCGTCCACGTCGTCTTCCGGGAAGGAGAAGATCTCTTCGAAGCAGAAGAAGCGGAGGAAAGTACAAGATCTAGGAGACGGCCAGCAAGGAAAGTCCGAGCTTGCCCCGTTGACGGAGGCGAAGTGGGTATTGGAGGATGACGTCGGAAATGAAAAGTGAGTGCTTCAATTTCTGTTGGCTTTTGGGTCTTCCTGCGGGACATCGATATCCTTGCTGACAGATGCACGTTTTCAATAGTACGAGTACAGGAGTGGTCAAGATCTGGAAATTGGCTCAATCTCATTGGAGTAAATCGTAACAAATCTAGCTGGCCTAATCGATAAAGGCTGGTCTGCGTTTACGAGTTGCTTGCTTTGCTATCTTGATTTGCCATCTTTGCTATTCATAACAGGATTTAATTTACGATTTTGATAATGGACTTACCCTAATCTTACGACCTTTGTGGCTTTGTTCGTGAGATCTTCTTGTCATGCTGTGAAGTTGGGCAGTTACCAAAATCCTCTCGAAAACCCGTTTCGAGATTTTTAGCGCCCAAACTCCCGTCCGGCAATCAAAGAGCTCGGAGCCAATCCAGGCCCTCCAAATTCGGCTCCACGTGGCTATTTCGTAATGCAGACCGTTGAGTTTCGGTGACGCTCGCGACCCTTCTTGACACGACGACGACGAGGGCACGACGATTGTCTCAGTCACTTTGAACGTTTTGTAACGCTGGTACATCCTCGGAAGCCATGTCTTCCCAGGACGACACGTCTCGACAGGATGCCGGTCGTCCAATGGGGCCTGGGGCTGACCTTTAGTGAGGCAAATATGTCATTCCTTATACACCCGGTCACTGAGCACAAATTCCTTTCTCTCCAGTGCTGTCTTGAATTTGAACAGAGGCGCAAGTCAAACCGAAATTAACGAGCGCCATCGAGCGTTGTCGCTTCTCTTTCACCCTGATAAACAGAGAGACCCCGAAAAGGCTGATGTCGCGACGGAAGAGTTCTTGAAAGTTCAAAAGGCATATCAAGGTATGTCTATGGGCCTGAACTTCGTGCTTCTTCTGGTCCTTTCTGTTTGGAATGAAGACGGGCTGATTCGTGATTGCCAGTGCTTTCTGATCCTTTCTTGAGGTGGGTGAGCCGTTGATTGCGCTCCTTTGCCACAATGTACTCAGGTGGATTTATTTATTTAAAGAGAGGTTTATGATGTTCTCGGTGAGTTCTTGGCTTTCTTGAAACGGGACTATGTACTGACAATCCCATTCCACAGGCGAGCAAGGCCTTCGGATACAATGGCCACCGCACATGCACTCAAGGACGAAAGAACAAGTCAGTAGAGCCACATGTAAAATATCAGTGGATTTCTGACAGCCTTCAACAGCTTCGTGAGGAACTCAAACGAATACGAAGTGAAGCACCTCTGGATGAAGACTTCTTCGACCATGAGACACCTCCCAAGAACACGTTGTCTGTCACTCTCGATGGCACGGGGGCGTCTGTGAACAATGAAAGGTTCACAACTGCGTCTGTATGGGATAGAGTCAGAGGTGTTCGAATTGTAGCTGAAGAGCTTAGTCATTCATTCTCAGTAGGCGACTTTCGTCAGTTACTTTGTTTCTTCGACCTGAACGATGTCTCCAGAAACGGATCAACCAGAAGACGGCTGTCTCCTTCAAGACGCAAGGAATGCTTCAAGGGAGGAGGCTGGGCGTGGTTCAATACATCGGAACCGTCCGCCACCAGTTCTCCCCAAGGTTTACAGGAAAGGTATGGAATTACGCTGTCCCTGTTGCATGAAAGAGCTCACAAAGAGAATGCTAGGCAGTCGCTGTCTACGGACAAAACCTTCTCACAAACCTTAACGGGCTGTATCGCGACGAATACAACACAGTCAATTTCAACTGTGCTGTCTCTCCGTTGTCTCAAAGACTTATCCCAACGTCCGACCTAACCTATGCACGACGACTCTACAGTGGGTCTCCTCAAGTTGCGGAGATATCCCTGAAGCTTCGCCAACGCCCCTCCTTGTCCTTCAACTACGTCTCACCGCCTACCGTAAGCCAAGAACTCATCGAAGCGAGCAGAAACGGACTACCTTCAACTTCTGGCCTGAGGTTTATCCATTTCGACAGGGCTGTTGGTCTGACATTCAACGATATCATCCCCAAAATTTCGGTCGATTTCGGTGCAACAATCGCGGAACTTGCGACCCGACTCCATGCGACGTTTGAACTGGGCTTCGACGGTCTTCAGAGCCAGCTTGGGGCACTATGGATGCCCAAGGATGGTCGGGAAGCCCACGTATTCACGGTGATTAGTGGGAGAGGGATCATGTTGCAGGTCGAGTGCGTCTCCTGTCGTCTTGACCCATGCATTGTCTAACCGCTCCGTAGCTTCACACTATGGAGACAACAGTTCTCCGTGCCTGTCGTCATTGCAGGAGACTATGATCCTGTAGTTGCCCTCTGGACGGCCGTGATACCATCGACAGCAGCAGCATTGGGGTATCATTTCATTATCCGCCCGCGTCGGCGCGCACAACGCATTGCGTGAGTCTCTATCTTAAACAATGGCGAAAACAAAAGCTTAAATTATCACCCATCTTCCCAGGCAAATCCGTGCGGCTCGGCTGGCTCTTGAAGAAGATTCTGATGCAAGAAAGAAGCGTAACGCCGTTGTTGAATTGCTCAAAGACTCTGCCCGCAAGGTTATGTCCTCAGAGACAGCGAGAGGAGGTAGGGCGCGCATCGAAGTTCATCTCTATGTGGTTGTCGCCTTCTGAAACGATGGTATCCAGGGCTGGTCATCCAGAATGCCGTTTATGGTGTCATTGATACTGAAGACGGAGCTCATGAATTGGCCATTGATGTCACGGTACCACTTCAGGCGTTAGTTCGCAACTCTCAGCTTTATATTGCTGGAGAAGGTTCCAAGGTGGGACGTCCGAAGCTCCGAATTTTTAAACATCAGCTGACCTGTTGTCTATCAACTTGACAAAAGTCAAATCTCCAGGGCTTCTCTGACCCAGCACCTTTCACACCGAAGTCATTGCGCATCCATTACCTGTTCAATGGTCGGCCCCATTTCGCGGAGATTCCTGATTATCTTCCCGTAGTGCTCCCCTTATCCGGTATGGCACCAAGTCTATTAACTCCACTTGTATCTCCCTCTGACCAATTTGACGCTCACAGAACATACTACTGGAGCATCCTAGCCTTTCAATCGCCTAACCTTTCAGCCTTTGACGACATGGGTTTGGGCTAATCGGTGAATTGGGAGATATGTTTTTCCAGTGAGCGATCACATTCGGCCCAGTGACTCGCGGTTATTAACATTGATACGCTCGAGCCGGCCGCGGATACATTTCGTGGCAGCATCTCCGACATAACTCAATTCGCTTTGTACATATCTAACGGTTTTCCCTTGCTTTAGAACATCATTGCTATCTTCATCTTAATCAACGGACTCTTACTCAGGAAGCAAGCATGAGGTCGGAATGCGGACTGTGGCGAGGTTGGCTATTTAACTCAAGCTAAGGAAGCGTATTGATAGCGACGCTGTAAAAGCCAGGTTTGGCGTGGTCGGCAACATGAACACATAGTATGTTGTCCTGTCGATCATCGAACTATGCCTCGCGACTTCTTACGTCAAAAACACGTTTCCGTTTACTAACATATGCAGTGCGATGTTGGCGGGATCAACTTGGAAGTTTGCCCTGGTTCCTCCTTGACAAAAGTAAGTAACTTTACCTAAATCACTTAGTGTTGGCTATTAATTAATTCAAGCCAAAGGCCATGAGTTTAAATTTAATGGACTTTCCCTGTCGCAAACCCGAGCTTTAACCCTTCATCTCCGCCGATGTCAACAGATCCATCTCGTTCGGAGCGTCTGCCCAAGTTCTTTCGCCACCTTTCGTCCTGTCTTATTCAATGGACAAGTTCTACACGTGAGGAAACCACACGAAACTTAATAGGCCTTGAAGTCCGAGTTGGGAACAGATTTGCCATGGATGGATCGCTGCCAATCCGCACTCCCATGAGACATGGATTTCGGAACGAAAGCCTAGGTTGAGCCGAAGTATCACACTTCCAAGTCGTACTGACATGCCAATTCCTATTCAGGGAGATTTACGTGCTGGCTACTTACGTGCGAACCATGGCACTGGCAGACATACCGTCGGCTGGTTACGCACAATAGCTATTGTAACCGACTTGCTTGACGAACGCGCCACCCGTGTTTACCTTCAGAATGAAAACCTCCAGGCTACCATGCACCACTTCACGTCGACTTTCAGGGCACTTGGATGTCGCATTGTCTATCGACCCTTCGCTCGAGGTCTAGGTGCTCGACGTCAGTTGTTTGTTACCAGGTGAGCGGTGACCCTGCGAAATAGCATATTAACTGCAGACTTCTCTTGATTCCACGAGTAGCCCGACTTCTGTTCTTGGATCTGTCCGTTGCAAAACAGCGCGCGATCTGAGATCGCTGTGATTGAATAGAATTAGAGACAGTACTCCCTGATGCACCTCAGGTACGGGTACAGGCTCTTTCCCAATCGAACCTGGCCGCTCCGTTCTGCAAGCGACGATATCCTGAAGGCCCAGGTTTCCTGATTGAACCGCCATAATTCTGGCGATCCGTGTGAACAACAGGATTCCATGTTTACGTCAAAAAATCCTAGGTTTTCGAAATGGAGTTATACCCATACAGGCTCTCCCTCGCAATCGCGAATGCAAAGTCAAAAATATTTTTCCCTCACTGCCGGGATTTGCAAATTGACCTTCAATTAGAGTTGGCTCTGCCATACTTGGTTTGCTTGCAGATATATAATCCATCGAGCCTTCCCTCCGGACCATGACTACCCATCCCTCCTCGTTCACTTTGGGTGTCGGAACCCTCCTTTCTTTTCATATCTTCAAGTCCCACTAAATGCAGCGTCCCACCCTTCAAGGCGTTCGTATTCGTTCAACGCGGGATGCATTGCAAGTTTTCAATGCTGTCGCTTGCAACCGACTTCCATTGATCACGCGGCGACTGGATGCTGAGGAGCGGAGGGTTATCATGCCCGGGAACGTCTACGTCTGGTAGGCCGTGAACGGTAACGCCGTGAACGCTCCCGCAGTGCTGACCCAAGGGCCAATTTCATTTAGGGAGGAGCGAGGTGCCAACACCGAGCCGACTGGACTGGGCATGGAGCGATGGTATGCACCACTTGCGGCCATGTGTCCACATACTGACTGATATTTGTTGTAATGATCAGGACGGATGGAATGGGTTGGGGTCCCAGTCGTACGTTGCTATCCACACACCCTCAGGCTGTCCACGAAGTTGACGAACCCGGTTGCATATCAAGGTGTCAGAGATGTGAGTGATACATCTTCATGCGCGCTCAGCGCTCACAAGACGACTTGGTTGGATACTGACACCCATCCATTGGATTTCAAGGAATTCTTGTTCTACCATCAGAAAGAATCCGACATGGCAGACGATTTTCTCAACCCTGTAACTCCATGGGCGCACATGATGCGGTAAGTGCAACCTGTATGCGACTCTTGGAAGCTTCAAGTGTCAGCTATAGCTCCCTGTTCTTTCCCGCAACCTTCGGCGGCCATACTTTCATTTTCTCCGTTCTCGAATGTGAAGGTGTTAACGGATCCTGTCCAGCCCATATGCTTCTGAAGCTAGGCAGATACCTGAGTCAGAACGCTTGATCAAGCAAACGTATAGCGTGCACGTCTCACTTCCTGCGGATCGGCAGAGAGGTATTGTGCGAAAATGGCACTTGAGTAGGTCGCTTTCCGCTGGATCCCAGTCCTTTACGCTCATGCCGCATTCCAGCTGCATACTTCAGTCAAGCTAGGCTCGACCAACTCGCAACGGTCGACAACATCCGCGGTATTGGGGACGTCCCAGTACCAGAAGGCTGGTTCAGGAGTGCACGTACAGCCAAGACTCGCCGAAACACCCACACCCAGTCATCAGAGTCGGACACCCCGAAACAGCCTTCCCCGACAAGCTACAGCGACCCTCACTCTCCTCTCGTATCTTCGAGTCGCCATCATCCCTCGTCGGGCTACGCCCATAGCCCTGCGTCCTCTTCAGGACACTCGAGCAAGACCTCCTCGATCTCAAGTCTAAGCAGCGCTTACAACCCTCGAAGCCCCAGTCTCGTACCCCTAGACGTTCTTCAAAATTCCCATTCAGTGCCCAGAGATCCTACGGATGTTCAAACTTTGCGCCGCTTTGCATCAGGTCACGGCCATTCCTAAGTTCCCCATTTCCTCCATTTTCTTCCATTTCTTTTCAAACTTTAACACCTCGTAGCTTGACCATTATGGGATAGCCTGGATGGCGTTCCATGGACTCTCACGGACTCTCCCTTTAACTTTCTCTGGAATCAGGATTCCGAGTAGAAAGGAAGGATGCTCTCAAACATAGACAAAATCTCGTTAACAAGCCATGGATCCGGATATCTCGCAACAACGTCTCGTCCAGCTCGCATACCATACATGGACCCCGCTTTATCTTTATTACTCATCGCTCTCGTGCTACCGCAATCCATGCTCAAGTCAAGTACCCATGCTGTATTGTATCTACCTATGTGTCTGCTGAACCCGGACTGTACCTTTCATGCTTTCGGTCATCGAATATCATTATTCTCGTGTATCCTTGAGTTTGAGCGCAACGTCGTCGGACTGCAATGTATTATTCGACATGCGGCTTTGAATTCCCTTCCAAGGAATTGGGTGATCCACTTCGTCAGAGATAACGTTTGAACCTCGGAAGCTTGAGGTTGGAAGACGCTAGGCCGTAATACATTAATGAAGCCTAAGTAACTCTGGCTTAGGGATCGACGTGAAGGGGGAAGGAGGTCCAGCTCCCGATTTATAATTTAGCATCCATGCTTCAAGCTTCAAGCCAGAACAAACTCAGAAGCAACGTGTGGAGGAGAAGCAGGGTACCTAGGAAGCAAGAACTTTAGCGGTGGCTCTCTTGCCCCTTGAACTGGACCGACCTTGAGGAGAAGGCCGAGGATTCGAGGGATGTGGATGTCGTGTTCCAGAGTAAGATGGCTGGCTCTGGCCCGCAGACAGCAGTGACGAAGTGCCAATCGGTGGCGAAACTTTACAAGGCATCTCGGTATATTGATTAACGCAAATGAAAGGGTTGAGGAAACTTCGAACTTTCGCTGCTTGCGCTGCTCCGAATGAAAGGGACACAAGCTGCGCTTCGATCCGGCTCTCTGCTAAACACTTAAATCCTAATGCTTTGCCATCACCTAGGACTTTCTAGGTATAGACATAGACTCGGCCCCATGATCACAAGCGGTACGTCCAATGAAGAGTCCCTTTGTTTGCGACGCGTCCACTCCGCGGTGGTATACTCGAGTATCACCCTGTATTCAGGAGCCCCTATCTACGAGATAAAGTGAAGCGATGACTTCATATCGCAATGATATTGCAACTGCGGCGGTTAGCTTATTGGCGCGATGCACCTCTGCAAGGGAAGCCAATAATACGTACTGCCTTCATGGGCGCTTTGGAGATCGTTGGGACATACATACCCCATCACTGTCACTCTCGATTTGATGCAGAAGCTCTGGTAAACGGCAAGATGCTTGTCAATGTATTGTAGGAAGCGCCCGTGTATAGGAGGTCTTGAATATTAAGCTATATACGAATTCTATCGGAGTTCGGTAGAGTCTTACATCCCACTTCGTGGTCTCACGGACGTCGTTGACGAGGTTCTAGGCGTCGGTTTGCGGTCAGAGCTGCAATCACCACGTTATGTGCCCGTTGCCTTCTGGGTGCTAGAACAACCATCACTCTTGTCGTGAAGTATCATGCCTTTCAGAAGGATGATTTCTCCACATTGAAAGGTGCGCTGATAACAGTGGAGTTTTTGCCTTTCAGAATCTCATGTCCATGGAAAGCTCGTATGTATCGGCGTTTTCTCCGGGCCCACAAGGACTGTTCCATGACGAATGCCGCCGTACTGGATGCTTAGACTTAGAATCTGCGTGTTTACAACGTAGTTTAAGCGCTTGGGATTCGAAATCCTAGCAGTGATTGGGGCCGAGCGACCAAGTATCGCCGGGGCGGAATTTCTTTTCCAGAAGTTTAACTGCATCCAGCGCGGAGCCGAGTGCGAAATTGAACAGATGTGGCTATAGCGCTGCACCACGATGGTTAACTGATTGTTGAGGGAGTATTATCACAACAGCCGTCAGCCAATTAGAGTATCTCTGAGACAATTCGCTACCATTAGGCCAAGCGTTTTCATAGAACCCCGATAGACGCCAGAATGAGAGAGCCTGGTCTGAGTTGAGAATGATCGGGATTAGCACAAGTTCTAAGGTGTCACTACGGGGAACATCGAAGGTGCACACGAAGTGAGCATGGGAGACAGTCCACGAGACACGACGGTGATGCACGCCTTGGCTATTCAATTCTCCTTGGGAAGCTCGGATGCCATGCTGTTCAAGCGACCCATTGGTATGGTATGTAGAACACGAAGCCGTTCGCTTCGTAACGGTAAACCACGAGCCTTCGCGGAAGAACTCTGGGTTCTATAAATTACAGACATATCCTGCCAATGCGAACCTCACCGGCGAAATATCTATCAGAGCGCACTGTTGCCGCGTCCCAAAGAACTTGAAAATGGAAGCATTTTTGCCATCTACAATCACACAATTATTCTATTCCAGACGAGTGAGTGACAAGATGACCACGGAATCTGGAGTGTCCTTGGTTAGTCGACGCATGCGTGGAGCGACCCTCTCGCGGTGAACACGTAGGAATTTAGCGCCCCTTTTTGGGCGCCAAATGATCTTCGGAAAGAAAAGAATTGCGGAGAGTAGAATCCGGGCAGACTCCCCGGGCCGGAGCTTGGTAGTAGATCGGGAAAAACTCACTCAGATGTTGGGATTGGACTCTTGGTCTGCTAAGTAAACTTGGAGTACTATCCTCTATCTTTCATCTTGTGCCCTTTAAATGTAGTTCGTACGATGGTTCTCTCGAGTTTTCATTGGAATTCTTGTCTTCCTCTGGAATGCGTGAAATTACTGCATTTGGTAGAGATGATTACCTAATAGCTCAATATGAGGTCATGTCCGGACAGTTCTCGGCGACGACGACCTTGGACTCGGTTGACAACTCTGGTGGACGATAAACCTCTGTTAGTGACTTCTAGGATGCCTACAGTGTCGTTCATGAGGGAAGGAACAGCGAAGTCGATGGATGACAAGCCGCGAGGCGCGAACAGGTCTACAAAGCTTGCTGGAAAGCTCAAAGTCTTGCCAGAGCAACCTGACCCTCTACCAGTTCTCGACGACGACGAACCGCATGCGGTCACAGCGAAGAAAGCCTACGCAGAAAGCACGGGAACGAGCGGAGATAGCGATGAAGGAGAAGCAGAGGAGAATGAGGAATCCCAAGAGGACGAGGTCGAGGTACGTCGTCGTTGCGTTCAACTGGAATTCCTAGTCGTTGACCGCTGCTGGTACCTCAGGTGTACAACCAGATATCCCTGATTCCTGCAGGGACAGCCAGGAGAGATGCGCTAAAACTGACCAAGAAGAAAGCCAAATCTCTACCTCGAGTGACAGCATACGCGACTGCCAGGTATGAGCTGTAGTCTGCAATCCCACAGATATTGTTGTCTAATGGTCCAAAGCTCTTACCGCATGAACGACCTTATGAAGTTCTTCGTTGCTAGGAAGAATGCGTACCATACAAACCCCAAGTTGATTGACGAGGTCATTTATACCCCATACGTCTACGACCCTCCTCTCTCCGCCCAAGATCACTCGAAACCTGGAATAAATTCTCATGCTCCAACCGGGGACCTTCTCGGAATTCCAGAACTACGAGAAGAGTATGATACCGAAGACCCGCCTAGGAAAAAGTCTAAGAGTAAGTTCGACACAACGGCTACAGAGGCTGAAATATTCTTGTTCCCCTATGGAACTGTCGTTATTTGGGGGATGACGGAGACGCAAGAAAAGCGTTTCTTATCGTCTATGTGAGTGTATCGATGCGTGCCCGTCGTGTTTCCTAATCTGTTCCATTCTTAGTCGCCGGTTTGAAATCGGGAAATTGGGTAAATACCACCTCGCCGAGACTCTCTGCCATGCGCTAATGTCGTACCGTAGCTCCGGACGAGATCGAGATGGAAGATCTCAACTACTACTATGCAAACTACAGCCGGTGTGTGGATCAACGCCTACAGGTGTCGCCATTGTAGCGCTCACTGTTCCCAAGAATCTACAACGACGTCATTACCCTACGGAAAGGATCAAGTTACATGTAAGAGTCTAACCCTTCAAACCATTACTGAAGTCACTAACATCTTTGAAGGACTAAGCTGTCATTGTCCCATGCCTTGTCACAATCAGTGAAGATTTCGCTGGTATGTCTTGAGGCGCATCGCCAATTCCACGGGTTTCTCACATGTTGATAGTTCGAAGAACTCATTTCTTCGACTATAGAAGAAACTAAAGACATTCCAGAAATCATTAGCGAGACAGGGAAGATAGGGATGCCTCACAAAGGTGGGTCTTCGGCTACTAGTAAATGGACTTGGGGTACGATCTGGGTGACACCTCCGCTAGAGATCATGCAACAAATTGGACAGTTGTTCCTTCTTCGAACCAACATCAACTCCGTGGGTTCTGTTCTTGATTCTCCTGTGAGTTTTCCTATCAAATCGTTGTATGCTCTCGGGAATCTCACGTTCTATGGCTCCAGGAAGTGTTCTGGGTACGCAACTCCTCGCTTTGACGAACCTGCGCGCCTCATCCACTGTCTTGCCACTTCTTCCAGAGTTTCCCCGATCTCCAACCCTTGTATGATGCAGCCCGAAGTTACCTCGAAATCCCCCAGCGAATCAATCTGCTCAACACTCGCGTGGAGGTAAGATTTTCTCATGTCAGCTAAGCTATCATGTAATGACCCTTCCCCCTCTCGTTACGCGCCAGGTTTTGCAAGACATGCTGCAACTGCTGAAGGAATCAGTATCTAGTAGACATGCCGAGTGGTTAGAAACGATTATCATCGTGTTGATTGCGATTGAGATCGGTATGTTGAATTGAATACTTTCCTGAAGGCTAAATATGCTCAACACCACGTTTACAGTACTTGGAATGATTACAATTCTTGTCGATCTAATGGCATAGATCGAAAGTCTATCCCTATCATTGACGGACGACACGGACTTTGAACCCTCTTAATATCCTTCTTCTGTATCAGTGTGGTATCTATGTATCTTATATTGTCGTACGTGTACACATGTTATTCGAGTTAGAATCCCGGATTTCAGAATACCAAGATTCTTGAATAGTTGAAGGGAGTGGGGAATACTATATAACATGAATGGACCACGGAGATTCAACGTGATTGAAGGCTCCAGTCAGATGGCATCGGCAACCCGATTGAAAAGCATGATGATAGCTTTCGCAAGTGCGTTACGACAACATGCCGGAAGGCCATGCCAGTGGGCAGAGTGATGTCCTTTGGGCGAATACGTTCAGCTGGGAGAAACACGACAGTCAAAGCATCCTATTCGCCACCACAACCCCGTGAGGAATCGAATTCAGGAGCCTCCCGAGAACGGGGATTAACTACTTGGTTTTAGCTCCACTTCGACTCTTCGAGCTACCGGTCTTAGTTTGGCGGAAGCACAGGAACTCGACTCCAGTCGCTCGCCTTGTCTCCGCCAATATCTTCTTCACCCCGTCCAAGCTTGCCTGCAGATTTTCATCTCCAGGACGGCGGGCATATGCCTGGGAGATCTTGTTGTAAAGCTCGGAAAGGGTCTCGGCGGCATGTGGTGTGACATATCTCCCCAACGTCTGGTGCATGAACTCAATTTCGAGCGTCGCCTAATTTTAAAACATTGCAAATTGAGTTCACCCAAAAGGGTTCCTGGAGATTACGGGGTGAAAGAACTTAGAAACTCACTCGCAACATTCCGCCCATGCCAAAACGTTTAACCTGACGGAAACAATGGAGCGCTTCCGATGCTAGCTCCTCCACGAGGAGGTTCAAGGTACGAGGCAGTAGCGGTTCTGCCGCCTCGCAGACTTGCGCATGCACATCCACCAGGTACATCAATGTTTCAAACACATATGGCCGAATTTCTGCAAGATATGTGCCGTTCAGGTCAGCGGGGCGATACGTAAACAACCAGCAAGTTGACTCCCTACCTTTCGGCTGCGGCGTGTCATACCAATCCATTTGAGGATCTAGAATCCCACTTCGCAAGGCGTTCTTGACGGCCTTCGCCTTGGGGTTGACATAACTCTCGAACAAGGTCTTATCCAGCTCCTTGATGACGGTGTTCAGGGTCTACAATCGAAGGAACAGGGAATGATTAGATGCCAATCAAGGAGATATCCCATGGTCTCAACTCCTTACTTGTCGATCTTCCAAAAGGGATACATTGAACGCGCCTTCCAGTTGGTTGAGCATACTGGGAATGAAGCTGTTCGCCATGTGACCAAAGTTTGAGACCACAATCAGCATACGCGTGTTCTATTAACAGACCCTCTAATGAGCGAGGAGAAAGGGGGAATAGAAAGGACGGGGGACCCACACTATCCGTGACGTCAAGTACGTCCAGAGACGTGGGGCGCTGGATGGTACTCTTGTCCAGTGGAGGCAGTTTGCCAGTCACGACAGGTGACTCGTCTGAAGCGAGGAGAACGAGGCCGTCCAGGAGAGCATAAAGACTGTCAATGAAGGCCTTCGTGATCTTCGTTGTGAAAGTTTGGTGGATTTGATTCTGCTTTACCGCGCTGCGGCCTGCTGAACCGGACGTCGGCTCCACACCGCCGGCAAGTTTGAAGGCAGCTGTCGTCAACTGCCGTTGGAAAAGCTCTATCTGGCTTAGGTAGTGGGTGGAATGAGGTATGGAGCTGCTCGCCGCCCATGACTCGACGTGGTAAAAGATAGCGGCATCTGTAATCATGGTCTTAGCGCGACTGGGACCAGGGCTTAGTGAAAGGTTGGTTACCTCGCAGCCACGCATTGATGAGAATATCCTCAGCCCGCCATCTGGCGGATTCGAGAAGGCTCTTCAACAGCGAGGTCACCTCATTTGAAATTTCCATGCCGTTGATTTCATTGACCGTGTCTTGTATCTCAGCCAACACCTTGAGGAGATAATGAGCTGTGGACAGCGAATGTGAATTGCTGGGCAACAGTGATGGTGCCGAATTGCTGGAACCACTCGACGAGGACATGACCGCCATATCAGATAAGTTGAAGAATTGCGAAATCAATGAAATGTAGAGTTTCACGATATCCAATGCCATAGTACGGCATTGAGCTGGGCTCCGCCGAGATTGAGATGAAGATGCGGACTAAAATGTGATGATCGTGAGTTCATTTGCGTACTGTGACAATCCCCTAAGGAGCGATCCGGCAGCACACACCTTTTTGAAGCGACCGTCAATAAAGCTTCGAGAGATTTTCCAGAAGCTCGGGAGAGAAGCAAGCAAAACCTCGGATATGTTCTTGACTAGCTCCAATACGGCTTGCCACACGGGTTCTCCTGGGGATTTAGCTTGCGAAGATGCCATAAAGTCAGACCTTGCAATGGATGATCGGGGTGGAATAGTCCGACATACCGACGATAACCTCGGACTGCTTGGCTTCTAGCTGCAGGATGGCAGTCTGCAGTTGTTCTGCGAGCGAGGCATTTAGGGAAGTAGGGTCCGTATACTCGGTATTGGCCTTCTTTAGCGCCCCTGAATTCAGCTGTCAGTGCACACGCATTAAGAGAAAACTGTGATGTGGATTCTAACCCACCTTCAATAGCGTTGACGGAAGAACGATAAGCCTTGTTCATTTCATCGATTATATGTTTATGATGGCTATCGAAATACGTCCAGACAGGCTCATCAGTCGATTGTAGTTCTAAAAGAATTCTGTCGAGGCCGTCAGTATCCAGTCAAGGAAGGCATGGATTGCGAATTTACTCCAAGGTCTTCTCCTGTTCATCAACGGTTCTACGCGAATCTTGGAGCTGAGAGACAAGGACCCGACGCATCTCGCCCATGGCCTTCTCCACACTGTTCCAGATTTTATCGAGCACTCTCTTCTGCTGCTGCTCGGCATCCTTGGTCGCCGCGCCATCTTTCAATGTCCCAATAGGCAGCAGTTGACCCGGCCTGTTTTCAAGCAGATACTTGCCCTTCTTGTAGTCACGCATTGCCACTTCATAACGTCCCTTGAGAACAAATGTCAACGAAGAGCGAATATAGAGAGGGAGAATAAGTACCGCTTCGATGGATTCGATAATGAAACTGGGTAGATTGAAGAAAAACTTAGATCTTTCGAATACCCCGAGAGTGGTGCGCAATTTCTGCGCCTTTGATGCGTTCTCTAGAACCGGCAGGAACACTTGATTCGCCTTTTGCGCGGCCTCTGCATGAGTTCATTAGCATCGTCATCGTCAAACATGGGGGAGCATGTGTACGCTTGAGCTGGTCCTTCAGAGGTTTCGACGCGTATTCTGTAGAGGGCGCAAGGATGCCATCCTTCATCTCGGCATGTAAGGCTACGCAAGTTAGTTAAATTGCAGGCAACAAGACATCTCGCCTGGAAGTGTCGTACCATCAGTGGATGCTTTCACAGCAACGAAACGATCGAAATTGTCTTCCACCAGAACCCTGAGGGCTTCAGAACGGGCTTCAATGGAGTTTTGGAGATGAGCGATCCCTCTGGCAAGATCTTGGTATGTCGCATTGGGGTGTACTGCGGAAAGGAAGGCCTTCGGATCGAAAGACTTCGATGTAATAAGAACAGCTGCCTCTATATAACCACAATCGAAACGCAAATGTTGATCAGGGTTGTCTAAAGCTGGAGCTTGGGAACAGATACGTACTGGTATCCATGTCTAGGTCTCGCAGGCTGAGAAATCGGCAACCCCGAGCACGCTTCGTTAGGTGTGAACTGTATCCAAGCCGGTAACCAATATGGCTGAGTACCTGACATTACTCCCAAGATTGAGAGGGTCCCCTTCGCCTTCGTTCCCCGCAGTGGGGCTGAGAAGCGCCCCTGCAACAGAATCTTCGAGTTCATGGTCGACTTCTTCCCATCGCCTGCAAGCGCTTTGTATTGAGCCCTGCTGCGCCCTTTATTCGCAGTTCAACTCACGGCGGGTTCAAGCTGCTGATCTTGTACGCCTTTAGCAAGGTTGCTTCGTCAATATCGAAGTTTAGCTTTGGCATGATTCCTTGAATGTTGGTGCGAGTGTTCCGATTGTGCTGGGCCCCTCAAGCCCTGAGAGGGCCTTTATTCACAGATTTCTTGTTGTTCAATATCCTCTTGAAGTCCTATTCGCGCTTCGAGAAGAAAACGAAGTGAGCAAGGATCGACGAGGATGACCGTTGTAGTCGAACCTCGACTGGCTGGGCGGTCGCGGTCATTTCGGAGCCCATCAGCTTTTGGATCAAACCTTCGCAAATACTGCTCGTTAAGCGCCCGACCGTGACTACGAACTACCCTTTGCGTAAAGAACCGGATTAAGAGCTCTTCAGAATGACATGTTAACCTTGATTGAAAGCTTTGATTCCACTGAAAAGTGAATGGAAGGCCTAATCCCTAAATACACAATGGTACCGCATGGTAGAGGGAAGGTTATTGCCGGAGTCATCTCAAGATACTAGAACTCTTTTGAGTGACAAGGATCCTCTGAGCCCTTCTATGACCAAAAGAGCTTGATTCTCGTTGATTCTCCGCAGCTATAGTTTCGATGCCGTCGGTACTAAGCACCGAGTGCTAAACGGGAGACAGATATAGACCCGACAACTGCGCAGACATCAGTCCGGGGCACCTCTACCCTGTAGCTTAGCCAATACAACTCCCAGCCAGCACTAAAGGTGTCTTGATCCAGCTCTAACAAACTTCGCGTTCTTATGTTTACACCCGACAACCTTGCATCACCGACGAAACGACTGGCGAAGTAATCTATCTACATTGTCCAGACGGAGCACCCAGACCAAGACCTTCACCAAAATTACTCGAGTCAGCGACAATGAAGTCATTGCATCTTGGCGATGGCGGGACACCCGCTTGGACGTCCTTACTCTTGGAAAGGCCTCCCAGCAGCCTTCAAGTGAGTGGCTGAAGAAGGACAAGATTCCGCTATCACGAGCTCCTCCCTCACCTTGGTCGTTCTGTGATAGCGCCGCTTTGATGGCGAACAGAATCGAGAATACAAATGGAAGGGAACTTGACCCGGAATGCAACTCGAGGTAATCTGGAACGCTAACCAATGTCAACACCAGCTCTACACCAAAGAGAAGCAGAACGCTATCGCCCGATTTACGAAACGATACCGTTACTTGGACCGAAATGAAAGCCCTCCCAGGGAAGTCAAGACCCCCCGCCACACTCACGCTGGATCCACGCGCAGTTGAAATCCAGGATCTCGTTCTCGTCTCCTTCCTTTTTCTTGAGAAGGAGCGAAGGATTGCAGAGAATGACACCATCCTCGGGGCTGACGCCTTGGCTGTACTTTATCGGAGACGGTAGTGGTCGCGAGTCGCGTAAACAATTCTCGTCGCTTTGGCTATGAACACGTCGTATAAGTACATAATGTCAGGTTCAGTAACCAGACGATAGCATGTCAGCGATTCAGAATGTCCAGACCGTCATGATGAGGCGAGCGAAACCGGTGAATTTGCACATGTTGAGGCAGAACCAGGACGGTACATGATTCTCCAGGTGATCTTCCAGGAGCAATGGTCTTCTGGAAGAACCAGGTGGGACCTGGACCTGGTCCTACCAATTTGGGATGAATTCTCATCGAACTACCTCGAGGCTGTACAGTCAAGCACCCCTCCGATACACATCCGACTCGGGAAGGAGGTCACTTGAGCGCCCATCCACGCCAAAGAGTCCGACTGTGCATAGGTTTAATCTTCCGCGGGACTTTCAAACGACACGGGGGTCATCCGCAGCTCGGAAAGCTGTAAAGCATGGGAGTCAGCGTCCCTCGCGTTTCGCATCGCCGGCTGTAAAACACCGGGCTTAGCGGGCACGAATAGATACATTAGGAGTCCAGAGATCGCGACCAGAAAGTTGTCCTCAGAAGCCTTACAACCATGAAGAACGTACCAGAATACGAAGCACGCACTCTCATCTTCGACCCTGACGATGTCAACAACACCAACATCGTTGACGCCAAGGATGGGCAACTGGTCTATTCCATCCGCACGAAACGCGAACGACCCCAAGACGAGCCTTTCACCAGATACATCGATGCTAGTGGCCGGGTTGTTGGAACTTGTCAATGGGAGCTTGTCAAATCCGATAAAATCACGATCGGAGACAGTGGCCCAATGTCCTACAACTCGTTCATGCATAGAGGCCTCATTCCATTTGTCGAGTGAGTATGGAGGTATCTTAAGCTGCGATGAGCGAGAAGCTCACCTCTTTTCTCGACAGTCGAGCATATTTCAAAGACAAACTGAAACGAAAGTACAAATGGGCAGGTCACGGTGCAGGTCTTGAATTCCATGTACGTTAGCTTCCTGCCCGGGCTGATTGCACTCCAATACTTACGCACCCTTCGTTTCCAGCTATACAGAGAAGACGACAAAGTCAACCCCGTCGCCCTATGGAAGAAAATCGCGCGCGATTCCGAAGACGGGACACCCCGAGCCTCTCTGACGCTCGACAATCGGGGGATGGAAATCCAAGACCTCGTCCTCATCTCCTTCTGCTTGATGGAGAAGGAACGGAGACCCGCTGCTGCATCCCATTGGAGTGTGGCGGAACAGTACGACACATTGTCTCCTGGCCCCATTACAGGATACCACCCGGGGGAGACGGCGTATCGCAAGATAACGCCCGCACCCCCTCAATAATAACTTGGCGCGCAGTGGCGTATGTGTCGATCTGTTTCTCTTGAATCTTGTACAACCACCTTCCATGCCCCAGCTGTGCCTGATCTACTTACCGCTTATGCCCATGGTCCTCTGGCCAGAATGTTTCATTGCCATAGTATGGTGTATCATAACATCTAATATTATTCTGTGTGTGAAAGATTTAGTCGGATGTGAACAGGTATATGAATACCTTACTTACGTGAGGGCTCACATATCCCGTTCGATCTCCAACAGCAGAAGGATACATCCCACAGGGACTAACATATGTCCAAACTCGGTCCTACGTTCACCGGCTTTAACTTGTGTCACTTGAACCCCGAGTATCAGACCTAAACTCACCCCTTCAAGAACCGCCTGACATGTCCTACAGGGTGCGCCCACCAGTCGTTGTTCCTTGCATTGACGGCAAGGAGGAGGATCACTAGGAATGGGGTGGACGAGCGGAGGTCAATTATGCCCAGAGAAGCCAGGGCATACGTCCCAAGGCAAACAGCGGAGAGTGTAACCCTCATCTGAACCCATTTACCGTACTGGTAGCCGAACGCAATGAAGAAGAGAACGAACAGGACACGCCCGGCCCACAAATATCTGATCAGAAGCAGTCAGATGCGCGCAATAACCATAGGATGATGCGGAGCCGGAGACAACTTACTGCTTATGACGTTCAGCGGGCTCTCCCTTTGCAATGCCGGAAGTCACGCCGCCACTGCAAAGGGCCATGAGGATCGGAGGTACTGACAAGGCAAAGAGCCTATGCAGAAGCCGGTGGTCCAGGGAGAACCCAAACCCGATCCATTCGAGGGCTTTATGCGCAAGTATACCAAGCACCCCGTATGGCGTGAACACATTGAGAGCGACGGCCGCGCAACTGGCTGTCGTGAGCTATGTACATCCACTGTTAGTTACAAACCACTGAATCGGTACCTTCAAGTTGGGCGCCAAGCGACTTACGGCGAGATCGAGGGCCAGGAAAGCATGAGTCAGGCTCGAAGGTACGAATCCTAGACTGTCAAGAATGGTTTTCAGTTGTGCACACTATAGGAAGTTCAAATACCGCTCACCGCTCCACCGTCTCTATGCCTACATCCCAATGCTTCACCCAGTAATACCACGTCTCTTGGACAATGGGAGCCAGCACTGCACAGCGCCCAAGGGCACGAGCCAAAGCTGAGTCGGTAGGCATCATTGAGAGTCGGGGCCTCCAGACAAGCATGTGCTGCGGATGTTTTCGAGAGCCCGTTTCAAGTTGAACTTGTGCGACGTGGCCGCGGTGGGATTTGTTTACAGGCGCGAAACAAGGTGGCTAACAACCGGCGCCTCGCGTCATATTGACATGGTCTTCTACCACCACGAATGCGAGAGGGATGGTACTCGTTAAACTACATTCGTTTGGAAAATCCAGGAATAGTATAGAGGGTTATTTAGGTATAAGTAAGTCGACTATGTCACATTAGGTTCTCCCAATCGGAGTAATACACGCCCTAAACCCAAAGAGGCGTTAGAGTTCGTAAGTCATCTAGGTAGTGAGATATGTGTTGAACACGATATCCCAGATTTTGCCTAGTTTAAGTGAGTAAGGTTGGAAAGAGGGAATGGGATAAATGTGCTTACTTGTAACACCAAAACCAAGCTCGAAGTTCTTATAGTGATGAGCAAGGTGGTACTTCTTCATCTCCCGCATGTATTCGGGGAGCTTTGTATGGTGCAACCTGGTTGAATAATCAGTATGACATCGGGCACAGAAAGCCAAGCATCCTTACGCGTAGTGCATGCAATCATAGAGAACATAGAATGTGAATGCGCCGGCAATGATTCCATTGGCGACGGCGGCGGGGAACAGGACGTGTGCCAGCTTCGTGAAAGGCGTCTGGAGAGTATAGAACAACAGAGGGGGCATGACGAGTCGTAGACGATCCATGGGTAGATAGTGGTGCACACCGTGCATAAGGAAATGCAACGTGAGGAAGGCAGGGTTGTCAGGGAGCCAGTCGTCGATGTGGAAGAGGAACCTATGAAGGGTATATTCCAACAACGTCCAGATGATGTTTCCAGTCAGGAAACATGCTCCAGCCTTGAGGTATGAAGACAATGGTATCTGTGGTAGGTAGGCGAGGGGAAGAAGCGGCTCGGTCCAAAAGTCTGGCAGGGGGCCGGTGAATTGGAAGAGGGAGCGGAGGAAAAGGTAGGTGGCGATTGGACCCCAGAACAGCGGCACGACATACCAGACTGTTCTGGTGAACATTTCGAGAATGTCAGGCCCGAAGAGACGAGCGGATGTGGCGAGGTGCCGAGGCTGGTGGACTTGTTGCAGGTAGTAGGCTTTGCTGTGTACCCAAGTTCGCTTTCAGAGTTCTACTACTGATATTCAGGGACTATACCTAAAGTTAGCCTCCCACATTTGCGCTAGCAGTGGTTTCCGCAGGTCCAAGAATTGGTTCTTCTCGAAATCGCGTGCAGTGTCCGTATCATCAGGATGGAAGTCGTCTGTTGCTTCCCAATCTATATGGGCGCCAATTCAGCTAGGTTCAGAAGAATTGGCGATCTTAATGACGCACCATCGCTAACCGTAGCCTCTCCAGTTCCCAGCCTCCCGATGACATATTCCTCCAACATATCATATGCCGCGTCCGAATGTTCGTGCTCGTTGACATCTTTCATAACTTCATCCACATCCTTTCCCGCGTACTGAAGAATGAGCTCATCACCGCCAGGATGATCCTGCAAGAACCCCGTAACGTCGTAGACCTTGCCAGCGCGCGTTATCCAGCAACTTTGGGCAGATGCATGCGTGGCAACGTCTTCTGAAGCGTAGATCTTAATACGTTTCGACATGGCCTTAATGACCCTTGCAGCTGGATTTCGTGCTGTGGAGCTTGGTGTCTGTGGCGACTAACCAATGTCGAGGGCAGGTCGGGGACGTCGTGGGTAACGGTGAGCAAGTCGGTCTCGCCATTTTCGCAAATTGGCTTGTGGAAATCCGTCTCCCGATCACCTTGGCATTTGATGTGTGATGGCTCTGCCGAACTCAACCGGCTGCGCAAACGGTGCTCCAGAAGAGAAAACCAATGGGATCGAGGTGTAAACACACAAAGATTCAAGGCTTTTAAGCTATGAAGGCGAAATTTACTTCCATACTACTTCAGAGCTGCTGGTCCGAGAAGGAAATCTGGCTGTAGTGCTCTGTGGAGGGTACCAGAGCGCTTCTCGTAAGCTTGATCATGCCCATACTCTCCGGAAGGAATGACTGGAGACATTCCGAGTCTAGGCAAAGTAAAATGAGACTAGAAAGCAGGAGGCATTGGTTAGAATGTCCTAGACCTATACAGTTGCACGATTCATGTAAGCGCAGTATTTCACGGTCTGAAGTGAGGACACTCAACGAGGGATACTCCATCCCGCAGGTCACCACAGTCTTGCGAACTTGGCGCACGTTCTACACAGATTATTCATTCATCCGACGACTGAGAGCCTGATTTGGTCCAGTTAACTACAGAAAGGGATCAACAGATGCACGGGTATGTTACATTGCGGACGAAAGGGAGGTATCAACAGGGACTACATAACATGGTATCAACAGAGCCACTGGCGTCGATGCATGTTTACGACCTATTTGCGTGGCTGGCGGCCGCTACCATAATCACCATTGAAATCGGGTACAGCAAGCGAGTCGGCCATAAGCGACGCAGATGCATCTCTGATTCTCCTTTCCTTCTCAAGGAGGAGGAAAGAGATTACCACGAGGTCCTGAATCTCGAATGCACGAGGATCCAGGGTCAATTTGGCGGGGATGTTCACCTCCTGAGGAGGCGTTTGCTTCCGGTCCGTGTATCGAAATTGCTTCTTGAATTGCGCGATGGGGTTTTTCTTTCCCTTGGTATAGAGCTGGAGGTTGATAATCTAGTTAGCATTCCGATCGATGACTGCAATGATGCTTTGTCTAGTGTACCTCGAGTGTCTCGCCAGGAGCATTCCCCTTCCATGTGTACTCCCTCTTCTGGTCATCGTCGAAGTAGACAGAGCTACGAGAATGATCGGTTGGTGACATCGGAATGCAGGGACAGGAATGTACATACTGTACGAATGGAATCTTGCTCTTTCTTAGCCATCCGCTGGACGAAACAGGGGGTGCCTTTCCAAGCGTAAGGAGGTCCGATCGGATTTCCCGCCATTGCCAAGATGCAATGAGTTCACCATCGCTGACTCGGGTGACTTTGGTGTAGCTGTGGTCGGGGTGTTCAGTCTTGACGGTGTAGACTTTCTCGCCCGTCTCTTGGTCGGTAATCGTGGTGTTGCAAGGGTTGTCCGGGGTGAGGATCAGATAGCGAAGGTTGGAGTTTGACGAGTCGGCCATGATGCAATAGGGGTACGAGGAAGCAGGAACGGAGCCGAGAGTGTGGTTCGTTGTGGTAGACGCAGTTGTACGGGCTTATATGCGAAGTGATACCCTGGCTGAGAATTATTAATGGACTGCCTCGTCCAGCGTCTTTTCTACAGCTTTTTAGCTGCGGAATAGCAACCGAGAATAGTGTCGCACTTTTTTCCGGCTAACGAGCGGTCAATATGGGATCATTGTCATCCCAAAAAGGAATCAACTCGCAGTCTTTCACAGCCTTTCTCGTTGGACCCGTTTGGAATCTTTCCTTTCACGCTCGAGTTCGCTCCCAAGCCTATCCAAGTGGATTATCGGGGTGGTCTCGACAGCGTTAGCGCTCATCCCTTACACAGCCCATTCGGTTCCTTTAACACTTTGGAAACAACCTTGAATGTCGGGAAGTCCCACCAGTTGTCACATGGTATATACGTCGAGGCAGTGTACTGTTGCGCTTCGGGTTCACAAAGGATTTCTGCTGTCCGATGTCTGCCTCTCAGGTTGATTAAAGGTTCGACATGCCTGTGCAATGGCACTCGTCAAGAAACTTGACGGGCAGTTATATATCGTCATTTCGTCGGTATTTCTGATTTGCTCGTGCTTCTGGAGGTCGAGGTTATCCTCTGTGGCAGTAAGCTCAACTCATGTGCGGGGCACATCTTTTCATGTCCATTTGTCACATATATCCCCACTATTTCCCAGAGCTGGCACGCGGAAACCCGAGGACCTTGAAATGGTTTCTCCCTTATGGGCGAAGGCAGCCGCAACCGTGCGCCTTTTCATTCGAAGATGACTTCCATCTGGGTCGAAAATTATCATCGAATCGACTGCAGGCCAGCGCCTTTATGCCACTAGCACTAGCATTTGGCGCGGGCTGAAGCCTGAAGCTCGAGCCAAAATCTAAGCGCCCAGTCACATGACTCCATCAATGCCAAGAGAAACCCGAAATTTGAGGACAGGGTTTTTGATTGGACTTGAAGGCTTCTCATCTAACCCCATGGACCCCTCAGACGTTCGAGTTTACACCGTCAACGGCGCGACGGCTGGCTCGTCGTCGTCACTCCCAGATTGGCTCACACGAAAACGCGCAGCAAAAGGCAAACGAGCCCAGAAGGAACACTACGAAGGCTCAATCGAATTGATTCAAGGATTCGAATTCCCTGAAGCCAGCAACCGTATAAAAGTTACACGAGATGGGCGGAATGTTATCGCCACGGGGACTTACAAGCCTCAAATGAGAGTCTGGGACCTCGACCAGCTATCTCTCAAGTTCGAGCGGCATTCAGACGCTGAGAACGTTGACTTTGTTGTACGTGAGTCGTTTGGTTTGTGCTCTACGAGGATTGGCAACTCTAACCTTTGCTTTGCAGATCCTATCTGATGACTGGACGAAAATCATGCAACTTCAAAACGACAGAACTGTCGAACTACATACGCAAGGCGGTTTGCACTACAAAACGCGGATACCGAAGATGGGGCGTTCACTCGCATACCACTATCCATCATGCGACGCCATCGTAGCAGCTACAGGAAACGAAGTCTACCGCCTTAACCTGGATCAAGGACGTTTTATGACTCCTCTGGTTCTGACCGACGACGACAACGGGGAGATTCTCGGAGTGAATGTGGTCGACATCAACCCAGCACACCAATTACTCGCCTTTGGCGTCGATGGAAATGGAACAGTGCAGTTCTGGGACCATCGGTCAAGAACGAGTGTTGGAACGCTTCGGTTGCCCGCGGGTCGCCTCCTCCCTCTATCGGCCATCAACTCTGGACAAGCGCTGAGCATCACCGCCATTTCCTCGAGACACGACGGTTTGTCCTACGCCATTGGAACATCTTCCGGCCACACTCTCCTGTACGATATCCGTGCTGCCAATCCGTTCGCCATGAAAGATCAAGGTTACGGGTTGCCCATCAAGGATGTGTTCTGGCTGGAGGGTGGAAGCCGCATGGCAGGGGACGGCCTGGTTCTCAGTGCAGACAAGAAGGTTATCAAAATTTGGGATCGAAATTCTGTGGGTAACAGCGTCTTTTCTCCTGCTACCAAAGCTAATACTTAGACAGCCCGCTCAAAACTTTGCTTCGATTACGCCTGCGAACGATCTCAACAACATTCACCACATTCGAGACAGCGGACTCCTCCTCACGGCCAACGAAGGCATTCAGATGTGCACCTACTTCATACCTCAGCTCGGTCCAGCGCCCCGATGGGCAAGTTTCCTCGAAAATATCACCGAAGAAATGGAGGACCAAACGACTCGCTCGGTGTACGAGGACTACAAATTCATCACCAGGGACGAACTCAATGCGTATGTCATGTTGCTGCTCATTGTTTATGTGCTGGCTTACAACTTTACTCAAGACTCGGTTTGGACAACCTTATCGGTACGCCTACTCTCAAACCCTACATGCACGGTTACTTCGTCTCCCTCAAACTCTACGAAACCGCCCGCCTCATCGCCAATCCCTTCGCTTACGCCGAGCACCGTGAACGCACGATCAAGGAGAAGATGGAGAAAATGGCCGAGACTCGTATCCGGAGCAAGAAGGATCCTGGAGTCAAGGTCAACAAGATGCTCGCGGAGAAGATTCTCAGGGACGAAGAACGCGCCAAGAAACGCGAAGAGAAGAAGAAGAAGAAAGCTGCTGCTGCGGAGGCAGATGCGATGGCTGTCGACGAGGCGGAGGGGCCGGCACAGGAGAGCTTGCTCAACGATCCTCGATTCGCCAAGGTCTTCGAGGATCCAGACTTTGCTATCGACGTCAACTCGAGAGAATATGCTTTACTCAATCCTTCGAGTGTGGCTCAAGCGAAGAATCGCGGGAAGACTGCTGTGGAGGATGAGGAAGAAGAGAGTGAAAAGTCCTCTTCAGACGGTCTTGGTTCGAGCGAGAGTGAGAGTGAGGACGAGAGTGACAGTGGAGATAGCAGTGACGAAGGAGGTTGGTGCAAGACTTCCAATTGCTTCTCGCGACCTTGGCTGACAATGATATCCAGATCTCAGCAACTTTGATCCCCGTAAACGTCCTGGACAAAAGAATGCGCGACTCGCCGAAAACATCCAAAATAGGCGGCAGCAACGTGTTCCCAAAGTCAGCCTCGTACCCATGCAGGCACAATCCAGTGGCTACAAGTGGGAAGACAAGAACGCTACATTCGGTCAACGCCTTGCTCCTCGTTCTTCGTCGTCCGGTGCCAAGTCTAAATCCAAGTCCCGCGAAGCAGACCATGAGGATGATGCGATGGAGATCTCGTGGGTCCCGTCGGCATCCTCCAAGGACGACGATGACGGGGGACAGAGGAAGAAGGCGAAGGAGAAGAAGAGTGCGCCGGGCGTTGAGCAGTTTGGTCTTGGAATGGAGAAGGGATATGTGCCAGACTCTAGTCAAGAAATGTCTGAGGCGGAGAAACATGGCAGGACGAAGAGGAGACACGGTGTCCGTAGCGGGAGCAAGAATACGTTTAGGCGGATGTAATCGTAGGGACGGTAGTGATTGGGCTGGGTGGGGTGATAGGGTACGGTTTGGATTACCGGGTCAATATATTCATTTCCCTGGACATGGCAAATGGGACCTCAATTCTTGCGATGGGCAAAGGGGCCAAGGACGCAAGCTGACTGGAAAGCTTGCACTGCTGGCGCTGAGCTTCGGAATGGATTAACATGCCAACACTGAATAGCATGTCCTTCTTAGCTCAGTTGGTAGAGCGCGTCACTAGTAATGACGAGGTCAGTCGTTCGAGTCGGCTAGAAGGAATATTTTTGCTTTTTTCCCAGAATTCAAAGAGAATCTCAATTTGTATTACTTCGCGGAAATACCGGATCAAATGGCCCCTAATCGGCTAATCCTGCACCTTCAGCACATCTGTGGAGCATGAGGATTCGGGTATCAGGCAGGGATTGATGGATTCAAGGTAGTTGACAGCAATACCTTGGTTTGCTTTTGACCACCATGGAGGCCGTCTGTTATCAAGCTGTAAGCTTTCTCTTGCGCTCGTCCCCGGGCAGAGTTGTTCTGATTTTTTCCCCTGCTCATTAGCCTCGCAAAGTCGAGCGTATTACCGCTCCGATCCCTACTATCCAGGATGATCAAGTCCTAATCAAGGGTAAGCGATGTCGACTGTTATTTTTGGATGATCGTAGCTGAGCAGAGGACCTCTCCAGTTACCTGCTGTGGTATCTGTGGAACGGATTACCATCTTGCAGAGGTTCGTCCGGCTCTCCGTCCAGGAAGGATGTGCTGCTGATCGAGAGGTACCCTCCCATTCCAGGGAGAATTCATGGCCAAGTTCCCTGTAAGTAACCGGTTGATCATCTAGTGCCCTTCGGGATCTGAGATGCACCCTATCCATCCAGTTGATCCCAGGCCATGAAATCGTAGGTTTCGTCCTGGAAATCGGGAAAGACGTGAAGGGCTTGGAGACTGGCGATCGTTGCGTTGTGGACAACACCATCTTCGTAAGAGCGATCACTTGCGCCTGTGTTACTCCATGCAGTCAGCTAAGGCTCCCTCCTAGTGCGATGACTGCCACTACTGCAGACGCGCCGAATACCTCTACTGCGAGAACTGGGAAAGTCTTGGCGTCACGATGGGTGGCGGATTCGCTGAATATGTCGCTGTGTGAGTTGACTTTGCCAGCGATCCCTGGCCTTGCCCATCGAGCATGCAGTGTTTCTAATACTCCTTCGTTGGTGACGCAGACAAGCCAAGAAGGTCTATAAGATCAATAACCTCACCGACCAGGAAGCGACGCTCGTGGAACCCACCGCGTGTGCTATCCATGGAATGGACAAGCTCTCTCCTCCCGTCGGAGTCGAGGTTCTGATTCTGGGTGCCGGACCTACTGGTATGTATACACCCATCCTCCGGAACCGACTAAACGAACGGGTCGCCAGGTCTCATCCTGGCTCAGCTCCTCCAAGACCCAGATCGCGAAGGATATGAACCTAGCCGACGAATACTTCGAGCTGGACAGAGTTGATGCGTCGGCTCAGTTCCAAGAACTGAAGAGAAGGCACCCCAGAGGCTTCGATGTCGTGGTGAGTACTTGAAAGCGCTACCGTCCGTAATCCAAAGGCTGAAGGAACGGCCGTGGATTTGCAGATCGAGGCCACTGGATCCGAGAGGGTAGCGAACAATGCCATCGACTACGTTCGCCGAGGAGGGACCTTGATGATTTACGGCGTGTATTCGAACGATGCGCGCGTCCATTGGTCTCCTGCGAAGATTTTCGGTGACGAGATCAGGGTCAGTTCTGGCGGCACCTTCCCATCGATGGTAGCCATCTGACGAAAATATGTTCCCAGATCATCGGCTCATTCGCGCAGACCCACTGCTTCCCCAGAGCTGTCGACTACCTCGAGAGAGGTAAAATCAATGTTAAGCCTTTGGTGAGTTTCCCGTTCGCTGAGGCAGATGAGAAAGGACCCTGAAGTTGGAACGAAACAGGTCACGGACTCGTTCACCATCCGAGAGTACCCTCAAGCGTTGGAGAAATTGAATAGCAAGACAGCGTGTAAGATCGTGGTGACGCCATAAATGATGAAATACAGTGAAGGGGGACGCGATGGGATAGGATACATAAATCGAGCAAGTACCCCGCAAGTAGGGCCCGGCAAGTGAAAGGTTGCGATAGATAATACAAAAGGATGGGTCGTGAAGTCGTAAGGGAGGAGGTAGCACTGGGGATTATGGGGATGGTAGAAATTGGTAGAAAGATGTAACGTCATGAAGTAAAGGCTGAAAGAACAGAAGTCTAAGTGGGTCGTGAAAGTAGGTGGTATCCTTGAGGCCAACGGCGAATGTCTATGGATGAGAGGAGGGAAGTTATAAACCTCCATTGACCTCCAGCTTGCCCAGCGCCTTCTGCAGTCCAACAAGGGCCGCCTCGAGTTTCTCCGAGTCTTCCTCGTCCTCCATACCCATTTCAAAACTGGAATCCGACTCTGAACCAGGTTCCAAAGCCAACGGGGTGACCTTGCCAAACCGAAGGAGAACCTTGCCATCCTTTTGGTACGCGGTGATCGAGCGCGTGAGACGCGACGGGCTGGTCAGAACCCTGCGAGACAGGGGCCGCGAGAGGGCGGCATCAGAGTCGTCGTCGGTATCGGAGTGATTGACGGTGGTAGTTCTGGGAAAGTAGGGTGCTACGTGGCTGAGGCGGGAGGTGGAAAGTGAAGGGAGTGTCGAGGCTCTCTTGAGCGAGGCCATAGCCAAACTGTTGGCGTTTCGTTTTGGACGGGGTGGGCTGAGGCTGGAAAGGGAGGCGAGCCGGAAAGGAGGGATATTTTCCTTGTTGCCTTCGCCGTCAAATTGGATGGTGGTTCGCGTCGTTTTTGGGGTATCCTTGAGACCAAAAGCCGGGGGTGTAGATAGGACTCGTGGGGCGTTCAGGGTAATAGAACCCAGAGAGGTACGAGGGGATTGAGTACCCAAAGGCCGTGCAGCAGGTCTTCGAACAGTCGAATTCAGAGTCGGTTTCTTCCTCGAATTCGCAGATTGCGTAGCAATTGAAGGTGTCGAATTCTCGTCACAGGTCGAAGACGTGACCCTAGATCGCGAGGACGTCACGGTCGCTGTCGACCGCCGGGCTACAGTTTTGGCGTTCATCGATCCACGAGGATAAGTTAAAAAAACGAAGTGGTAGTAATGTGATACGGGTTTAACTCTTCCAGAGAACCCGGTTAATAGGCTGGTGGAAAAGGACGACGAAGATTGATTGGCAAGAGAGAAAGTAGCCGCATGTTTTTAAGTCCTTGGGGGGTATGCCACCGGGAATTCGCGAAGGTGGGCCACGTTTCGATATTTCCTTTGTTCGACCCTACCCCCCTGATCAATCCCTGAGAATTCGGATTCGAATAGCTAAGGGTCCCTCTGAGTCCGCGACGTTTCTATGGGGCTCTTTGGTCACAATCATCGCCTAACGATCAGCGGATTCTGAGATCGAGCGAATCAAAGAAGGCAGAAAGGTTGGTGAGGTATAGTGGTCTTCAGGCCTTTAATTAAAAGAGCCCCTATTCATATGGACGTCACAGAAACGAGGAAGGCGATGCAACTTTAGGTAAAAAGGCCATTCATCCTTACCAAAGGGCGTCGTCAAGAACCACATCCTTCGGAAAACCAGTCAGTGTCATCACATGTGTTCTACTTCTCGAGATCCCAAAGTAGATGAAGCAGCTAATGGTCACAGACACATGAATCGTCGAATAAAAGCCTAACCGAAAAAGAAACAAGCCAGTCCATTTGAAAGCGAATTTGATGTACTCCGAAACATAAGTGGATATGCTACATTTTAAATGCGAAGCGGGTCGAGAGACATTAAGGAGTAACAAAGGGGAGCAGAAACGAAACGAAATAAATGGTGTTTTATATAAGGTATTGTCGTTGGATGATTGTAAGATGCGAGTTATTGCTTGCTTGGTACGATTCAGACGTGGATTGCGATAGTTGATAGCGAGAGCGTGTAAGGACGGGTTGGTAGTATAGTGGTGGACACGAACGGAAGTCTAGAAGGGCAACGAGAGCGGCGATCATCGAGTGTACGGTGGCAGCGAACCCATGGATGATGAAGGTGTCAAAGGACCTGGCGCTGGACCTTTCGAAGCAGGTTCAGATTTAGAATCCTTCTCAGCGGGCAGAGGAGGTGCGATCGCGGCCGCCCCACCCAATGGTCCGCCGGGAGTGCCAGGGACAGAGGCAGCGGGGGTGTTGGCCGTGCTTCGGTTATGTGCCATGTGTGCCCGAATCAAGTGCCCGGCAGCGAGAGCGCTGAGCAAGCTGAGTTCACCGGCCATGACAGCGGAAGCGATGATTCTTGCCAATCGCTGCGCGTTTTCGCCGGGGCTGGTGGGGTGTGCGCCACGAATACCGAGCATCTCGAGGATTGCCTGTTGAGGAGCAAGGACAGTGCCACCACCGACGGTACCAACTTCAATCGAAGGCATAGTCACGGTCATAAGCAAATCTTCACCGTCATTAATCCTATAGCAGTTCATATCAGTAAAAGGATCCACTTTGAAGTTGAAATGAAACTCACGCTTCCATCAACGTCATGCAGTTCGAACTCTCGACGTTCTGGGCGGGATCCTGACCAGTAGCCAAGAACATCGCAGTAAGGATGTTAGCCGCATGGGCATTGAATCCACCAACGCTGCCAGCCATCGCGCTACCAATCAAGTTCTTCTTGATGTTCAAGTTGACCAAAGCCTCGACGGTGGTCTTCAACACAGTCTTAACAACCTTGCCAGGAATGACAGCCTCGGCGACGACACTCTTTCCTCGTCCATCGATCCAGTTGATGGCTGCAGGCTTCTTGTCGGTGCAGTAGTTGCCGGACAGGGCGAGGACGACCATCTCGGGGAAGAAAGTTTGCATGACTTCCAAAGCCTTCTCGGTTCCCTTGCTGATCATGTTCATACCCATAGCGTCACCGGTGGCGGTCTTGAAACGGACGAAGAGGGTGCGGCCGGCGAGGTTGGTCTTCAAGCTCAAAAGACGGGCGAAGCGGGAGGTGCTTTCGAAGGCCTCCTTGATGATGCCGTATCCTTCCTCACTTGCGATCCATGCCTTGGCTTCAGCCGCCATAATGATGGTGGGGAAGTCGATGGCGGGTCCACGAGTCATACCGTCTTGCAAGAGAACAGTGGTGACACCTCCACCAGCATTGAGGGCCTTGCAACCACGGGAGGTGGAGGCGACGAGGGTACCTTCAGCGGTGGCCATGGGGATGTGATAAGACACACCGTCGACGTTCAAGGGGCCGGCGATACCAAGGGGAATGGGGATATAGCCAACAACGTTCTCGCAGCAGGCGCCCAAGACACGGCCATAGTCGTAGTTCTTCAGTGGCACGAGGGAGCTCTCGAGAGTCTTGGTGGAGGAAGCGCGGGAGATCAAAGCCCTACGGACGCGGACAGCACGCTCGAGTTCCACAGGTCCGTTACCGAGAACCTTCTCCAAAGCGTACGCAGCGATCTTTCCGTTCTGTGCCAGCATGATGATCTCTTCGTCGTTGAGGAGGGCGAGGGACTTGCTAAGAGGGCGAGGTCCGTTCTCGAAAATCTCGAGGCACTCTTCCAAAGTTCGGACACCTTCAGGGTAGACGGGCTCTTCTTCGTCGGAACCGTCAGAGGACGAGGGGGCAGAAGAGTTGGAGTTGGGAGAGGGCAAAACCATATTCTTGCTCGTGATAGTGAGACGGCGTTGGGCCTTGAGCTTCCTGTCGACATCTTCCAAGTTGAAGGTGCTGACGTTGGCGGCCGAGAACGACGGCTTGCGCTGAACGGTGTGCTCGGAAACGGAGGCATGGCTCTCAACACGGGTAACAGAAGCAGTAGCAGTCGAGGAAGTGTTCTGTGACACAGAAGTCTCCTCCTTGGCATCCTCTCCGTCCTCGAATCGAACACCGCCAGCGCGACGACCGACCAACAACAATCCCAAACTACCAACACCGGCACCGAGGGCGATACCACGGAGGAGGTACCCGTTGAGGGCGATGCTGATCGCGAGAACAGCAACGATCCACTTGCTCAGGACGGGATCACCAACAAGGCGGGTCCACGACGACATGAAAGAGTCCACCATTTCCGAAGTCGAGCGCTTGCCTGGTTGGCCAGCGGCGCTGGGTGCACCTTGCGAGGCGAAAGTAGCCGGAGGGGAGACGCGGATGTGAACGGGCGGTGCGATCTTGACCAACAGTTGCTTCTCTTGCTGAGGCGCCTGGTCCAGCCCCAATGAATATTCTTCGTCCTCGCTGATGTTGGTCGCCTGGTCAACGAGACTCTGCGTCTTCTTCACTCCCTCGGCTTCTTCGATGGCGTGCAGGACGGAGCGGATTGCAGGGGTCGTGACATCAACCTTCCGGACGCTGAGATTGTGGTTGGCAGCGTGGCCGACGTTGCTGTTGCTGGTTCGTGAAGGGGCCAGGGGAGCGATGAAGTTGAGGATGTGGAGAGTCATAAAGGAGGCGATCAAGAGCAACTTGAGGCGTGCAACAGGATTCTCTTCCTTGACCAACTCCTCGCCTTTAGCCAACTCTTTCACCTTGTCAACACCGCCCTTCACACGGATACCGACACCACGAGCATAGTCGGGCAAACTCGATCCCTTCTCTCCTCCGAGCAGAGCACTGGAGATGCGCTTTCGCAGGGTGGGAGGTGTGGCCGGAGCTGCTGGTCGGACCATTGCGCTTGGCTTGTTGGCAAGAGCAGAAAGACTGGAGGACGAGCCGGATGGAGTCAAGGACGAAATCGAATCAGCCCGGGCCTTGGTGAGAGCTCGGAAAGTCTTGATACGGCGGACCTGGTAGAAGGATAGTGTCAGTTAGATACCTAAGAAATCGAAGAGCGAAGGCGATTGAAGAGATCGAGCAGTTAACAGCCCGTTAATGTCAGCAGCTCCCATGTGCCCCAAAAGGCATTTTAGGATCCGGAACAAATTAATGCTAACAATTGAAGGCGGTGAAGACAAAAGACCGCGTGAATGTTCCTTAAAACATCGCTTCGGGTGAAGACAGACGTCATAGGTAGCGACGCCAGGTAAATGAATGTGAAGAAAAGGGCAGGGAAAGAAGGGTGAGGAACACGAAGCGATGTTAGATAACCGGTCAACGTCATCACCACCGGACCGGGCTAGCCTCGAGGAGGCAAAGTTCCACGAGAGCTCGAAACTCACCTCAATCATAACTCCCAAAATCGCAGAGAGGTACGTGCAAAGCAAGAGGCAATCAATACCCAAAATGAGAGCAGCCAGAGCGCAAACCTCTCGCAGTCCTCCGACCTTGCTATAAGCACCAACGACGAGCACAGCAATCTCCAAAAAGTAGTCCCTGATGATCGGGGGGTACACGAGCGTCAAGCTCTCAGTGACAATCTTCGGGGCCGGCTTCAATTGGGAGAGAGAAGGCGGGCCTTGAGATGAGGCGCCCAGAGGAGCGTTCGAGTCGCCGGGGGGCAAGACGAGGTGAGGGTGGGTGAAGACAGCGCGGGCAAGTCGGAGTGGTTTGTCAAAGCCGACCGTGCAGACAAGGAAAGGAAGGGCCTCCGTGAGAGCGACGGGATCGATAGGAATCTTGAGAGCCATGGCGATCGGGACAGCGAGTAGGAGGGCGAGGATCGCCGAGGTGAAAATGGCGAGGGGAAGCCAGAATGATGAACCTAGACGCCTGGAACGAGTGAAGAGAAGGTAGAAAGTGATATGCATCAGGATGTATCCTGCGAGGATAAGCATGATATCCAATGAATCAGCTTTCTGTAAACCATGTTAACGATGAGTTTTGGCCTGAGTGTAAAAGTACAACGAACCTTGGCCAGATGCCAGAAGCGAAGAGCAAGGGTTCGGATGGCATAGGCAACCCACTTGCTGCTTTCCATGTTGCCAATGTCAACTTCATCAACAACAGAGCTAGTGCTTTGTTCGACCTCGAATTTGATTCCAGCATCATCAAAGAATTGTCCAGCCTCTTTAAGAGCTGAAACGAATTCTTCTCTGGCACCGGGTTCGAAAGCGAGGGCTTGTGTCTGAGACTGCGAGAACGTTGGCGAGTTTCCGTAGTAGTATGCAGGTGGCTTCGCAGTCTTGAATGTATGGACGAAGCACGAAGATTTCTGGCCTAAAGGATCATAAGTACCATGGGCGGAATAACTGGCTTATGGACTCACCCTTGGCGGACGGCCTGTGGCAGAGCTCGGAGTACGTCACCTCCGGTTCAATAGGGAAGTCGGTGGTCAGGTACTGAGTGAGGTTAGACGCCGACGCCGAAAAGGCTGCATAAACCGGTAGCACGTCTTCAGGAACGACCTAAACAGGATCCGCTGTCAGAACTCGTTCTGGACAAACGATGTTATACCACATACATTTCGTTTCCAAGACTCATCCATATTGAAAACCAACTGCTGCACTTCGAATGCAACAGTCTGGGCACGGTCGGTCTTCTCGACTTCTCGCGACCATCGGGTTTCGCGGACGCCCACCCACTCGCCCATCCTATGGAGTACATAGGACGGTCTCAGGGTCAAATGCCCCTGGGAGTGGGCGGTGTAGGAGGGGGAGAGGAACGCGGAATGCTTGATTGCGTTGAGGATGTGGAAGTAGGCGAGAGTGCCGATGATGCTGAAGAAGACGATTGTCTCGATCGGCGTATACGCTGCGTGCAGCGCGAAGGGCCGTAGTAGTGCCCTCATGGTGAAGACTCGAAGATTAGTCGAGTTGTTCGGTAGGTTTTACGGTCGTGTGGGCTGAGTCGGCCGACGAGGTTTAGAGTAGAATTTTGTTCAAGACGTAAGAAGGGGCGTTGACGAAGTCGTCTATAGTCGAGACTGTTCCAAGTTTACCGTTGATACGAGTACACGGTTGGTGCTATACCAATTCCAGATGATCAAGAAGTAGATGCACTGTATGGGGGCGGTGGTGAGTAATGATTCCCCTCGCGGTGACAAGGAAGGGTAGGCGACGACGGTGATGAAAGGAGACCAAGCAAAGGGCTACAAGACTCACCAAACAGCAGAGGACAGTCTAACAGTGGGCAGAAGTTAGGTGTTGGACCGTCAGGCTTTAACAATTACAGGTGTGGGGCGTTATATCCGTTGGATGCTTGGATGTTATTATTGTCGTGTTGTTGAGTATATTGAATTGGAATCAATGAACGGCCAATTGGGAGAACCCCGGTGGTTCTAATCTGACCAGCGTAAACCCAAACGAGATTCTTGTAAGCAGGAGCAGAGTATCGACCGGCTTTGTATCGTGTCCCGCTGGCACCGGAGGTTGTAGACCGGATGTGAACCGTCGGGCAGAAGATTGGAAACTTCAGGCGAGGGTCGGCAGAGAAAGGCGAGGGTGGTTGAAGACGACCGGGCGAGAAGAGCAGCGAAGAGGTTGAGCTCTTGCGTGGTCCGTTACGATTGGCTGGTATTCGGTGCCGTCGAGCGCGTCTTGCTTGGTTGGTGGCTAATCCCTGACCCTAGTCCTGGTTAGCGCGTCTCAGTAGCCAAAACTGAGAAAATCGTCGAGGACGAGTAGCAGACGACGCCGTTGGACTGGTGACGGTTACAGGGAGAAAGGGAATGAAGACCAGGAACCACGAAACCTCATCAGACCACTTGTCGAAATATTTTTCCATTTTCTTGATGTCGGCGGGGGTCCGCCATTCAAACTCCGCCATATGATGCTAGCCCGCGGTCGCTTTAGCGCGGAAGCTCCTCTCACACCACAGGGCTAGCGCTGTGCTTGTTTCAGCTGCGACGCTTAGACTTGGGAAAGCTCGCACCGAGTTGAGGTGAAATGGATTCGTAGTGCCAAACATTTGACCCGGTTGTTCAGGAAGATTACTGACACTACAGTCTACGCAGCTATTTCCAAGACATGAATGGAGCCGCTTGTTTGTCCCCTCGCCTCTCGCCAACGATTTGCAAAATGAAGATTAAATGATGGGGCGCCTGTTCAATAGCGTCCAGATTGCCGGTCCTCCTCGCTTGAAGGAACCGATTTCAACTTGGGCCGTGGTTCTCTTCGCTGGAGGCTCAGGAAGTTGTGAGAGACCGACCCTTCAAGCTTTCAAATACAATGGAAATCCATCGTATATATAGCTCCTTCGACATTCGTCATTGAGGAGTTTCGCTCCCGACAGCATAGTCGTCGGGAGGAGCCATGGAAGAGCTGTTTTCCGGTCAAATGCACTGGGCCAACCGAATTATGGCACACCTTCGCCCACATGCAAACACCATCGCCTCATGATCACTCAATGTTCCATATTTTCATTCTAGTTTGCCCCTTGGAAGCCCACTGTGCTCGTTCACTGGGGTGATTTGGGAGCCTCGTTGGCCGACTCGGAGTCTTGGTCTTCATTTGGTGTCAAGAACTCGCAATCCACAGACCGGCGCCTAACTGGATCAGTACTAGCGCCATGGTCGTACACTCTTCACTTTATTTTGGGAACGCGATGGGTTCCCAAGGTAGTAGGATCGTCTAAATTGAAAGGAGCCCCCCATGTCACCGTAGTTCCTAAGAAGTAGGATCATGGGTGTCGACAAGCTCGGTACTATGGCGAACTATTCCGTTCCAAGGCAAGCCTACATTATTGCGAGTCGCCAGTGCCTGACCGACGGAACAGGACTGCACTCTATTCTTGGAATACATCAGGAAGATAGTAAACAATTATCAGGTTGACCAGCCCCCTGCTCCATATCATCCAGGCAACTTCTCGAAGCTGTGGGCATGATTCCCATCTAATCTTGGGCGCGTAGAAGATATACGTGAGACTCATTGCTTGGTTTCCCTTGAAAGGTTTTCTATCACACCATTCGAGACAAGTTACATCGTCATGGTACGATATTCCGGGTTTCAAGAGAGCGCCCACAGATAGAACACTCTAACCGATGCGATGCTGTAATATTCCAAGGTCTCGCACCATCCTAGCAGCCAGGGTCGCTATTCCTTCAGACATGGTTCGATTCAATCTATTCACAGCGAGAACCTATTCCAATCTCCGTTCCAAAAATACTGGATTGCATTTCCATCCATCACTTCCGGCCATCTTTTGTCCCAATCTTAGTATTGCGGCATACCCACAACTTGTGACGAATTCGAACTCACCCCTTCAGGTGCCATACATCCATGGTATCGGGCATGCGATAAGAATATCACCGTACCCTCCATTGGAGAGTGCTTATGACGATCTCCAAAACTCACTCTGTCCCTTGAATCGTCGTAAACAGGATTATCCTCTCGATTGGTGATCTCGGTCTTCTTCTACTCTGCGCCAGAAATACCACCGACTTCACGCCTATCAGCTTCTCCAGCGGATATACCTAAAGACTTCTTCCATCGCCGAGCGGTGTGCGGCTCCAATGGTGCGGGAAACCGAGCTGCAGGGAGGCCGAATGGGGCGGTAGAATCCTTGAAGAAGGGGTCATGAGATTCTTACCAGTTTCGCGGGTTGTTCGGTGAAGACGAAGCTCGCCCAGTGACAATGGAAGCAAGTCTTCACCGGTACCGTCAGAGGTAGATGGAAGTGGGTCTTTGGATGGAAATACTTACGAGAAACTGCTCAGGCTGTATGCGTTTGGCAATCACGAACTTGAAAGATTAGGAAAGGTTGGATCCTATTAGAAATAGGGGGCAAGCAAAAAGATATTCCTTCTAGCCGACTCGAACGACTGACCTCGTCATTACTAGTGACGCGCTCTACCAACTGAGCTAAGAAGGACTTGTTGTTCTTTGTTGCCCCACACACCATCTGCGGGGCTGTGCTCCCGGCAGCAACACGCCCGAATCCCGAATGATGCCGCTTTGCGGATCAATCTTCCATCAAACTCAAACTTCAAAACTGTACAGCAAATTTCCGTCCGGCGATCGCCGAGTAAGCTGCAGGAATCAACACAAGGTAAGGGCCCAATACTCGTCGTCATCGTCGCCGCCAGTCAAGATGGTCAACATTCCCAAGTGAGTCCATATGACGAACCTACGCTGTAGCTCCCGATTGACCCGTTGATTAGAACCCGAAGGACCTGTGAGTTACACCCCTACCTGGCCGGCTAACGACAAAGTCAGTTAATCAAGAAATTGGAAATTAGACTGCAAGGGCAAAACCTGCAAGAAGCACACGTATGTCGACGGAGATGGGTTAGGGAAGGGTCGCGTTGTGCTGACGGATGGGTTATGTGTTATTTAGGCCTCACAAGGTGACGCAATACAAGAAGGGCAAGGACTCGATCTTCGCGCAGGGAAAGCGACGTTACGACCGAAAGCAGTCCGGTTATGGTGGTCAGACCAAGCCCGTCTTCCACAAGAAGGTGCGTTTTCAGGGCGTTGGTTTGGAGGAATAAGGGCGGGCGTTGATGGAAATCGGATCCCATTAGGCCAAGACAACGAAGAAGGTCGTCCTCCGGCTAGAGTGCACTGTGTGCAAGTACAAAATGCAGGTTTCATTGAAGCGATGCAAACAGTGCGTTCATTCGATTCTGCTGCGGGATGGCTTTCTGACTCGGATTTAGCTTTGAGCTCGGTGGTGAGAAGAAGACCAAGGGTGCCGCCCTCACTTTCGTACGTGTTTTGACTTGGATTTGGAACGTTAGCTACGGTGACTCACTGGTTTCGTACAGTAAGCTTTGTTTTTCCATTTCTGTACTTCATATGGCCACCACACATGAATATGACTACATGCGAGCACCAAACTATGCCTTCGTCTTCTTATCTGAACTCCTTGCCTCCTTGCCCTCCTTGAATCCGATTGCCTTTGCGCAGCTGCTGGGCTTCCACCACTTCGGCCACGAGCACTCCACGCCCTGGAAAGTGAGCATGATCAGACGTACCAAGAATCTATTTATGACTCGAGTTTTGCTTCGATAGAAGGTTACTGAGAGTGTTTCTGTGCAAAGAGCAGAGGTCATTTGTGGCTGTTTGCCCATACGTCCAATGTAATCGGACAGGTGGTGCGCGCGGTTCGATCAAAGAACATACCAAGTACAGGAATCCTCTGTGAAGTCACATTCTGGTTCACGACACGTTCCCTTACATGTGATGGCTAAGAGTCATGGGATAGGTTTAGGCTCCGCAGGTGCTATAAAGCTCGAAAGCATATTTAGCGCCCATTGAGGCTTTACTTCCTTCTTCTCCCACCCCCTCATTTTGTTCTCTCCCGCAGCTCTGCGCCATGGCAAGCAAAATCGGAGCAATGCTTCCCCGTCCCACCATTGCCATTTCGCAGGGTCTCGAGGGGCGCGATGAAGACCTTGACACTTTGACCAGCCTCTTCGAAGAATTACAGATGTGCTCTGCAGATGTTGCGAACCCCGAGCTAGACCTTTTGACCTTTGCCACCATGGCCCAGTATTTTGGAGTCATCACAGAAGTCCCCCCGCCCCCGCCGCCCACTGAAGATGAAACGAAGCCTCAGAGTGTCCCAGATTCGCCTCCGAGAAACCCTTTCCAATCCTCATGGGTGCCTCGCGCCCAGTGGTCCGCGGACGCCGATTCCCCGATGGTGAGTTCACATCTCTCGATTCATCCTTACATTTTGCAGACTTCGTTGCAGAAGACAGAGGAAATAAACCCTGAACCCTATGCGCTCGACGACGTAGACACTGGCGCTTATTTTGGACCTGCTGCGCACAGAGAAGGTGGCTGTGATCCTGGGCCACCAGAGAATGCTATCGGGGACTCCCTCGACGACATGGTTGATTTCGATGAGTACTGTAAGAAGCCCAAGACTGCCAATGGGACCCCTGTAGGCACCATGCAGGTAAGTGAAGGTTGGCTGAATCTCTTCCGAGTACTGGGCGCTGACGTCCAGTTGTTGCAGGCATCCACTAGCACTACACCCTCGAGAGCATCATCGTTGCCCGTCCACATCCGTTCCCCAAGCGGCAACCCAATCATCGGCATCATTTACCTGATCAACACCCAGGATAGCACCGACTACCTCCGTACCGGAGAGCTGAACATTGGTGTTATCATCGACAAGAAATACCGCAGGAACGGATACGCCCTCGATGCTGTCAGGAAGGTGCTAGACTCTGCCTTCAAAGAGCAGGAGTGCCTCCGTGTCCAAGCTGTCCTCATCGATGGCCCGCTCAAGCATGCTGCTATGACTGTGTTTATGAAAGCGTACGTCTACCTTCTTACTTGGAGCCATACCCCCGACGCTAATCAATCATGTAGTGGATTTGGACACGAGGGAACCCGCCGTCGCGCGTTCCGCAGCCCGTACGACGCTGAACTCAAGGACGTCACGTACCTTGGCCTCTTGGCCACCGACTGGGTGATACGCTCAGGCGTTGGAGTGCAGAACGCCAGGTTCAACGTTGCCCCTCCGACCTTGTGGGACGAGATGTTTGCGAGGCACCAGCGCGAACGGGAGGAATTGTTGCGATGGGAGGAAAAGTCGTCACTGAAGCGGACGTGCTCGACCGAAACGATTCGGGAGCTCGCGAGCCCAAGTACGCTGGAGCAGGTGGAGAGGGCCAAGCAGGAGGAGGCCACACCAGACTTGGGCTCGGGATCGAAGGGCAAGACACCCGCTTCTCCCCCGTATTCCTCTTCCGATGAGTGGAAATCACCGTTTGTCGTCCATTCCCCTGCGACAGAGCCCAGTGATGTTGTATACACCGCCAAGGGTAAAGGCATTGGCGGGAGGAGGACCAAACGAACCCGTTCTGTGCTCGATAGTTCTGACGACTGGTCCAGGAAGAAGCCTGCTGTTTCATTCAACGTCGACTTTGGCGCTGTCCTATCGGATCCGGATCCAGTGCCTTCTTCCATCACTCCCAGTGCCATGCGCACGCCATCCCACCCTTCGACTTCAGCGAGCGAGAATTCGAATACGGCTCAGACCGTCCAACCTCACATGGCGATGAGAGGCGGCAGCCCGACCCTCAGCGAGCTCTCCACCGCTGAATCTGACCTCAGCTCGGAGTGGTCGTGGTCCTCTGCGTCTGGATCCCAATGGGATATGGTCTCCGATATCCAAGGCGACGATTTCGACCTCAACTATCAGCAGCTGAATATCAGGGGCGAGTCGGAGGCTAGAGAGATCCGTTGATCGTCGTCGTTGTCGAAGGTTGCTGGCCTCCGTGTTCTTGGCCCACTTCAATTGAGAGTATATGTCCTTCTTTCTTGTACTCTAATGATAGCGGCTAGAAAAAGATGCCCCAGTTCGATGCCTCACTGTACACTACTTACCCATGCATGCTTTCTTGGAACATTCGTAGCTCAACGATACAATGATGTGTTTCCGATATTGTGCAAAGTTACGTAGTCCCGATATCCTTGTCCTCAATGCCATGCTGTCCGACTCCAACTCGGAAGCCTCCAACTGAAAGGAAATCCGCAAATATGAAATTGAGAGTAATATCGTACCCCTAGATATCGCACATATAAAACTAAAACTTAAATTCTCTACACTTGGTTTGTACTTCTTCTTCCTTCCCGCCCTACATTCCGATCCCATCTATGTTTTTACCTAAAAGGTATAAGAAGCATCCGGAGCCAGCCTAAGCGCCACTCCTCCCAGAAGCCTTAACAACGACACTGTCAGCAAGCTCGGGCAAAGCCTTGACAACCCCACCCTCCGTGCCCTCGATAGCAGTCGCGGGCGCAACGGTAGGCCCAGGCAAGAATCCAGCCTTGACAAGCCAGGCAAGGTACAAGCCAAGCAACTCCTCATCCACAGTTGAATCCGTGCTTCCAGCCACGCCCGACGCATCGAGGTACTGCTGCACAAGCGCAACCTTATTCCTATCGTCCAACTCGGGTGCCTTGGTGCTCGTAGGGAGGTCGTCCAAGACAAAGTGAAGAAGGGGGAACAAAGCGTTCGTCTCTTCCTCCTGTGCTGGATCTCCACTTGTGCGAGCCTCCATAACATGCAACTCGAGCTTGCGGCGCCAGGTGACGTAGTCGCAGGTTTCGACTTTGAAGCCGTACTTGGGCAGCGAGGAGAGCATCGCGTTGAAGGTGGGGAGGGGTTTGGCGGTGATGTGCAAGACGGAGAGGTTGGAGGTTGGTGCGGACACCGTCGAGGATGCTTCGGTGGAGACACCTGAAGCGTTTTCAAGAGGGTAGACACCGGCTAGGGCGGTGCACAAGGCGACGTGGTCGACGGGGACCATGTTGACGGTGTTGTTCATATCGGGTACCAAGCCCAACTGCACACATCCCTTAACCATGCGCCATAGGAAGTCGTCGGTGTTGGTCACGGCAGTCGTGGAGTCACCAACGACATAGCCAGGTCGAACGATGTGTCCGCGCAATCCGCGTCGACCAGCTTCGAACAAGAGCTTCTCGGACACCCACTTGGATTGGCCGTATCCAGTCTTGAGGTCATGTCGCGAACCCTCGAGGTCGTCCGCTTCAGGAACTCCTCTGGAGATGTCAGCGCCCGAACCGGATTCAGGAGCCGCATCAGCAGCAGCCAGTCGGGACGCGAGAAGCTCGTCGGAAAGATGGACATAATGCTCGGTATCGACTGCTGATGTCGACGAAACAAAGACATATTGCTTGGGCTTGTTGGGAGTCGAGGCCAACTTGACGAGGGCCAGCGTCGAAATAACGTTGGCAGCACGCAGCTTCTCGTATGGATACACCCAGTGAACCTGCACACGAAGGAATTAGTTGGGCGGATCTCGAATACGAAGACAGATTGATACAGACCAAAGCACCATTATGCAGAATAACATCAACCTCCTGCTCCATTCTCTTCCACTCTTCTTCGGTGGCACCCAACCTGTCACCGCCAGCCAAATCACCAAGGATCACTTCAACTCGCTTCTCAGCCAGCCAGTTCTCATCCCACAGACCTTTATCGCTCAATCCATCCCTCAGCCTCTGAATACCCTTCTCGAGGTTGGAAGCCCTGACGAGACAAATTACCTTCTTGACCTTGAAGGAGTCTGCATGCGAGGTATCCTTGAGAGAAAGCAGCTTGTGCAAGACGAAAGCACCAAGGAAACCAGTAGCGCCAGTCAAGAACACGGTGAGCTTTCCTTCGGGCTTGGCTGAAGGATAAGTCTCGTCGAGCTGCTTAAGAAGCACCTCGTAGTCCTCAGCATAGTCGATCTCCTTCTTGGCAGCACCAGTGACCGGGCAGGTCTTGTCAGCACCTTCGGTCTTCGTGGGTGTGGCAGATCCGCTCTTGTCGCCGTCGATGACCAAGCCCAAGTCGTCCTCTGCCTTGCGGAGCTTGTCGAGGGCCTTGGCGAGTCCCCGGATGGTGGGCTCGTCGAAAATCAATCCGAGTGGGACGTTCACGACAAACATCTTGCGGAGCTCGAAGATAAGGCGAGTGGCGAGGATGGAGTGGCCACCGAGGTCGAAGAAGCTTTCGTCGAGAGGGATGGAGGCGGGTGCAGGCGAGCCTGGGAGGAGGGTAGACCAGACCTGGAGGAGCTGGGTCTCGGTAGGGGTGATCCCGGGGTGAATAGAAGAGAGCGGGAGAGGTGTAGTTGGGCTCATGGGGTTTGCAGCGGCGGAAATGGGGAGGTTGGGATTGTTGATCATGGAAAGCTGGGCGGTATCGGGGAAAGGAAGAGCTGGCTTGTCGATCTTGCCGTTGGGGTTCAGAGGCATGCGCTTGAGCGGGACAAACACTATATGCTCCGTTAGTACAACCACAGTCTGAAGGGCTGAATTACTCACATGTCGGGACGCTGTAGCTAGGAAGCTTGCCCTTGAGATACTCCCGAATGTGCCTGATCAACTTCCTGTACCGTCTGATACCCTTGACAACTTCCCTCTTGCTCTTATCACCATCCTCCGCCTCGCTAGGTGCCGAGGCAATGTCACTCCAATAGGCCTTGACGTCGTCGGTATCGTGAGGAACGAAGTAGCTGACCAAAATCTTCTCCTCGTCCTTGTCACGTCGCACGAGGGTGACGTTCTCCCGAACATACGGGTGTTGGCTCAAGTGAGTGTCAATCTCACCCAACTCGATTCGGAATCCACGAATCTTGATCTGGTCGTCAGCTCGTCCAGTGCACTCGACGGTTCCGTCAGGGCGGTATCGTCCAAGGTCACCGGAGCGGTACATGCGATCGCGGATGCCCTTCCAGTGGCGGGCTTCGGGACCAGGCAGGCTGCAGTGTGTTGGGTGGAGGATGGTATCGCGGCGTTCGATGGGGGTCTTGGCTGCGAACCAGTTCTCGACGAACTTCTCCTTGGAGGCTTCCTCGTCGAGGTAACCCTCGGCCAGACCACCGGATCTGACGTAGATTTCACCAACTTCACCAATGGCACAGGGGACATTTCTGTCGTTCCTGTTCACAACAAGGAGTTGGACGTCGATCATACCCTGACCCGCGGGCATGATGTCCTTTTGGGTCTTGAGGAAGGTGGAGTCCGAGTTGACGCTGGGGATGGCGAAGTAGGAGACGGCACGTTGGGTTTCGGTAGTGCCGTACATGTTAATGATCTGGACATTGGCGGCCAGTGATTGTAGACGGAGGCAGTCTCGCTTGGTGAGGACGTCACCGACAAAGAAGGCGGAAAGGAGCGAGGGAATGGGGGTCGTAGCTTGAGCACTGAGGAGCTGACCCATGGCAGGGGTGAGATGAGTGACGGTAATGCTAGAGTTGGCCATCCAGGTGGCGAGACGACCAGGAGTACCGATATCTTCAGCGGTAGGAACATGCAGCTCAGCTCCGAAGAAGAGGGGCGTGAACACTACAGTTTTGTGAGCTAGACCCTCGGGAGTCAGATAAATAGTAAATACGCACTGTCACGTTGAATAGGGTCGTGCGCAATTCCGCTCAACATTGTAAACTTGGAAGACGAGTTCAACCCGAAGCGTTCTCCCATCCAAGGGAAGAAATGAGTCAAACTGTAGTGACGACCTCGTACTCCCTTGGGAATACCTGTGCTTCCACTGGTGAAAGAGAGGGTACCAACGCTGTCAGGACCCAAAACGACATTGGGATCGGTGTCACCAAGGTTGGCTTGGGACGCCAACTCATCGTTGTGTCCTCCCGCCAGGGATCCATCAGGGGAGACTTCGAGACCTGGAACCTCTACACGGATGCTCAACTCCTCGTTGAGGAATTGGCGTACGCTGGGGTTGATAGTTCCAGCTCCCTTGAGGACAATCAAACCTCGGGGTTGGGCGACGCGGAGGTAGATGATTTGACGCGATGGAGGGTAGGCGGGGTCGATGACGGAGAAGGTGGCACCGGCCTTGAGCACAGCCATCACTGCTACAACCAAATCGACAGAGCGATGAGCGTAGACCATGACGACTTCTTCGCGTTGGACTCCATGACGCAAAAGGTGATGTGCGAGCACGTTGGATGCCTTGAGGATGGCGCCGTAGGTGTAGACGACCTTTGAACCGTCGTCAAGGGACTGGAAGACGCAGGGTCGTTCAGGGAATTGGCGAGCGTTGTGAGAAAAGATATCGGTGATGGCGCCCTTCCATCCGCACCAATCCAAATCAGCCGTGGGGTCAGGAAGAGCAGCCTTTTGCTTGGGCGTCAAAAGGGGTACCGAACCAATCTGGGCAAGCGGGTTGGAGGCAACCTTGCGAAGCAAGACTGACAATTGGTCCACAATAAATCCAATTCTGGCAGAAGTGAACAACAGCGAGTTGTACAAGATCTTGAGCGAAATGTTGGGGGCGATGGATTCTCGGGTCGTAGCCGGGGGTCGAGTAACGAAGATGGTCAGATCCGAACTGAGTGAAGTCGAACGGATGAAGTCGTCTTTGCCTTCACTTGAAGTTTCGTCGAAGAACCTGACCCTGAAGATGGGTGACTCGAGGGGCTGGCCCTTGTTGAGTTCGCGCTTGATTTCCTCGAACGGAACGGCGTTGTCTTCAGCTTCCTTCTCGACCTGCTGCACCCGTCGAACAACGGCCCAGAACGGGTCTGACGGGTCGATGCTCAGTCGCAAGACGAGGGGTTCCCTGCCCATGCTTGCAGATGAGGATCCAATGACGATGTCGTTGTCGCCGGTATATCGATGCAGGAGAACGGTGAACGCCGACAGAAGCAGGTGGAAGGCTGATGGCCTTCGCTCTTCATGCTCCTCTTCATCGTCAAGGTCGTCTTCATCGCTTTCGTTGAACAAAGCAAGCTTCAAGAGACTGAGCGAAGTCTGTTCGGAGAGTTGAGCTGAATGAGCGGCCTCGACGAGCTTGCTGGTTCCCGATGGTCGCGGATAGTCGGTGGGCAGCGAGAGCGCTGGCAAGTTTTGGAGACGGCTGACGACGCGCTCCAGGCGTGCGTTGTCGGCCATGGTTGTACGGTCCAAAGTTTAATGACTCCCCCCATTTTTCGTTCGACCGATAATCCCAACGGAAAAACGGAGATCCTGCAAATTGGCCGGATGACTAAGCAATCGATCACGAGCCTTGGCGTTTAGCGCCCAACGATCTGAGCGCTTAACCGTGAAGGTGGCCTGCGAGCAGTTCCCGAAGCCGAATTAAAGGTTGAGAGAAAATGTTAACGAGAAAATTATTAAAATAACATGTTGGTCTATTCAAGGTCGCGAGCCAGATCTAAGGAGTAGCTTCAACCTTCTCCGCCGCCTCAGGCTTAGCCAGCACGCTCTTCTTCAACTCTTGCTTCTCGTTCGATGGCTTGAAAACCGTCGAAAGCTCAAACTTGGTATCCAGTGCGGTACGGAATTCGCCCTCTTTAGATGATTTGATGTCAGCGAGGAGTTTGAGCGCAGACTTAGCAGTCTAAGGCAGACATCAGTAAATGCACCCGGCGACGGTCCACGACAAGATCATACCTGGATACCCAAAATCACAGGCTCCTTCACCAAGCCAAACACGGCATTTTCAATCTCGTCGAGGGGCGCATCGAGTACCTTCAATGCCTTCGCAGCGGCCAACACACACTCGCCGTCTGACGAGTGCTTTTGGAGGAACTGTGAGTTGAAGGTGGCGGCATCGATATTGCCTGGCTCTAATTTCCCCAGAGCCTCGGTGAATGCGGGTCCAACCGGTGGCGGAGGCGCTTGCGGGAATTTAGAGGCTAGCAGAATCGACCATATCGTTACTACCTGCGTTTGGTATTTGAGGGAATCACCAAGGCACATACCTCGCGCCTTCAAATCGACAATCCTCAAATGCAGTTCGGGATGGCCGGGATGCAATTTTTGAGCACGCAGCAAAGCAGAAACGGCTTGCAACAGTTTCTCTGCGACCACAAATCAGTTACTGAACCTCTGATCCGCCTGAGGCACTCACTTCTGCGAATCTCGACGTCATAAACTGCCAGCCACACATCGACTCGTTCGGTACCAAGTGAGACGAGAGGGTGAAGCAGCTTATGTGCCTGTTCCAAGGGATCCGACGCCCCCAGTAGCTTCAAGCCATCGGGATCGTCGTCCTTAGCTGCCGGAGGTTCCAAACCCTTATCCTCGTTGCTTGATTGCGGAGCTAAAGTCACAGTTAAATGGACGTCTTGCGCGCATGGGCAAGGGTGACAAACCTTTCTTGTCGTCTGCAGGCTTGGTGGCCGCAGCTGCCTTTTTGGCCTTCTTCTTGGCCTTTTTCTCCGCATCGGTCAAAGGAGCGACTTTCGAGAGGGATTGGACAATGGAAGGGTCGTCGTGCACGGAAACGTAGATCTGAGGCAACCGCAGAGTCAACACAAGTCAGGCATGGGCAGAAGGCGACACTTACGCGAGAAGCAGAGACAGCAGCCTTGATGTACGCAGGATGAGAGCGCAGCTGATCCTCCCACTCCAACATCCTGGATAGGGACCGTAAGCTTGTCGACCCCAATCAGACACAACGAAACGCACTTGGTGTAAATGTTGATCGTGAACTTGCGAAGATTGTACCCGTGGAAGTCGTATTGGTCGTCCTCAATCTCGTCAAAGACCTGATGCCAACCTGTCAGGTCGGCTCTACACGAGACATCAAACTACGAACCTTCTTAATCGCAGTCCACTTCTTCAATGCCAAGTTCGGCTTGCCGTTCTGTTCGTGTGCCAATGCTTCTTCGGTGAGATATAACAGACTCTGCATGTCTTCCAGATCGGCACCCGGGCTTGCAGCATCTTTCTATAAAACAAGAAATGATAAGTAGGAATTCTCGCTTGCCCGGCCGTTACCCAGGAGAAAAGAAATGTATACACCTTGGTAAACAAGCCGAAGATCGAGCTTGCCTCTTCGACCATACCGGCGCGGAGGAGGTACTTTCCGGTCTTGGTGTTCAAGAAACGATCTTGTCCGTCGAGCAATCGCGCCTCATTGACCGCTGAAGCAGCACCATAATCGTCACCAGCGCGTTTCAAAACGCGACCCTTGAAGAGGTAGAGATCGGGTAGGGTGGGTGTATGGTCAATTGCCTGGTTGATCAACTCCATTGCCTGTTGATGTCGTCCGAGATAGGAATGGTGCTGTGCAAGGAAGTACAACGTCCAGAGGTACGTGGTAGGGTCGTCTGAGTATTTCTCCTTAAGGTCATTGACAATTTTCTCAATCGCATCCTTCTTGCTTGCGTCCTTGTAGAGCGACTTGAGGTCGGCGAAGAGAGAGGGAATACCACGTTCCAAGCCGCGCACGAGGTAGGGTTCGACGAGTTCAGCAAACTTATCGCCGGTAGACACGGACAGAGCGAGTCGTTTGGGAGCTGTAGCGCGGGGAAATTGCTCGATGAATTGCTCAAGCCTGTCGAGGGTTTCCTGGCTGTTTCCGTCGAGGCTGAGTCCAAGGTAGTTCAGGTATCCGCGGTAGTAGTCGTAGCACTCGGGATTGCGCTCCAGAAGGTGGGTCCATGCGTCCTTTGCCTCGTCGGATTTGAGCTCGGTGAGCAATCGTGCTGTGCAACCGTCAGCGTCTATTTGTGGTGAACGATCGAGGGCACTCACCCCGTGCCTCGAAAACCGCAGTCTTGTCGACAATTGCTCGTGCCTTCGAGTTAGTGTCGAGCACACGAAGAGCCTCCTCTAGATCTCCCGACTCCTCCAAAAGCCGCACGTAGTAAAGTAAGGTTTCGGAGTGTTCGACATCTTTATCGGGAACGTTCTTGAGCGTCTTTTCGTAATGCTCCAGGACCTTCCTTGCCTCAGCGTGATTTCCGTTGAGGTAATGGGCAACGGAGAGAGCGACCCAATTCTGGCGGAGGTTGGGGCGCAATCGCAACAGGGTCCATCGAGTCTCTACGAGGTTTTCGTATAGTCTGAGCTGGGTTTGGAGATGGGCTGCGTCGCGGAGAATGTTGAGGTTATCCTGGACGTCTCATTAAGCTTCGAAATCACTGAACGCGACGTCGATCACGCACCTTGTCAAACCTCAGAGCCTGAGTGTACGACTTGAGAGCCTCCTCATAGTTCTTCTCGCCCTTCTGGATGAGCCCAAAGACGTGCCAACAGATATGGGAGGTGAGGTCGAGCCGGACGCCCTTTTTGACGAGATCGATGCCCTCTTCACGTCGGCCCATGTGCGTCAGGATCAGACCCTTCATACACATGGTTTCTAGTACACCGTCAGTACAGAACGTAGCTCATCGAGGACCAACACGCTACCTCCATGTTCGGGAAATTTCTTGAGGATCTGATCAGCGGTCTTGAGGCCCTTGGTGAGCTGCCTGGTCTCGTAGAGGGTGAGGACCTCCTTGAAGAGACGCCCTTCCTTGGACGGCAGCGCCCTCTTTGGAGGAATTCCTGGCACCCTGGACATTTAGATGTTGGTGGTTATCGGAGGAAACGGTGACTTTTGGCTGAGATCATCACCCATCACGGCGAGTAGACAAAGGCAAACAACGCGCGACGACAGTTGCCGCGACCCGCGCAGGAACCTTCTTCACCAACCACCAACCCCACCACCTCTCCCAAATGGTGGCACAGACCAGACACGGCGGTGGCCAGCCATCGCCAAGGAAGAAGCTCGAATTCCGCGAAAAGCTCACTGGGAAGGGCCTCTCGACCGACGCTCTGCTCAAGAAGCTCAAGACCTTGCATGATCAGCTCGCCGCTCTCGAACAAGAACACGTTGAAGTCAAGTCGTTGGACACAGCGAAGAAGGAGTTAATTAGCGCCAGTCTGCTTCTGCATAAGGAACGAGGCGTCAAAGCATACACCGCATGTTGTCTCGCCGACATTCTGCGTCTATACGCGCCGGACGCCCCATATACCCCAGCGGAACTCACGGATATCTTCGAATTTTTCTTCAAGCAACTCTCGGCAGGCCTCAAGGGAACGGACTCGACATATTACAATGAATACTTTCACCTTTTGGAGTCGTTGTCGACGGTTAAGAGCGTTGTCCTGGTGTGCGACTTGCCCAAGGCGGACAAACTCATGACACTAATCTTTCGCGAATGCTTCTCGCTCGTGAGGCGAGACCTGCCAAAGAAAGTGGAGATATTTCTAGTCGATACCTTGGAGGCCCTCATCGACGAGTCGCAATCCATAAACGCGGACGCTCTGGACCTGATTCTCGCTCAGTTTAAAGACAAGAATTTGGTGTGTAATCCTTCGAATTTGCTTATATGGGAGGTGCCTTGACGCGTCTTTAGGGTTTGGATAACGCGGCATACCGATTGGCAACCGAAGTATGCAATAGGGCTTCGGACAAACTCCAACGGAACATCTGCCAATACTTCAACGACATCATTACCGACCAGTCCGCTGAGGACGACTACGACGACATTCGCAAAGCTCACGACCTCATCAAGGCTCTACACCGTTCATGTCCTGGCGTTCTCGATAGTGTCATTCCCCAATTGGAAGAAGAACTCCGTGCAGAAGACCTCACCATCCGGTTGCTGGCAACACAAGTTTTGGGAGAAATGTTTGCAGACATCAAAAACGGCTCTGACCTCTTCCGAAAGTACCCCAACACATGGAACGTTTGGTTATCCAGAAAGAACGACAAAGCAGTCCCTATACGACTGAAAGTGGTCGAATCATGTCGCGCCTTGATCCAGAATTTACCGGAGTCGAGAGAAGCGCTCGAAGGTACGTGTGTCTCTTTGAACACATGTATTCCTCCTCACGAAGGTTAAACAGGCCTTTTGAATGATAAAATTATGGACCCCGACGAGAAAGTACGAGCGGCTGTGTGCAAGCTCTATTCGCAGCTGGATTATGAAGCTGCTCTCCACCACGTTTCCGAGGCTCAGCTTCGCAACGTTGCTGGTAGAGGGCTTGATAAGAGAGTATGATCAAGCTTTGCAATGGTCGTATCACGTCATTCTCATCTTATTGATAGCATTCTGTTCGCATCGAAGCTCTCAACAGTGTTGGTAAAATCTACAATATCGCCTATCCCCAAATGTCAGTCCCTTTGAACAACCTCGAACCATGGCCTCATTGACCAGTTGACCATGTAGCGACAATAATGATCCTACGGCTATCAAGCAATTTGCCTGGATACCAGACGAAGTGCTTAAGATCACCAACACGCTGCCAGAAGTTCGGTAAGTCGGTTGGGGGTTAGCGGTTGAGCAATGGAATTGACGATCCCCCAGGTCGGTGGTTGAACAGGTGGTAGCTGACCATCTATTACCATTGCCGTCCCCTGGCTCGAAAGGGGAGGTGGACGAGGAAGCCTGGACAGATCGACTGTTGGGTATGATGCGATATCTAACAGACAAGTCTATCAACGCGCTGCTGGGCCTTAGTGGTGTCAAATCCATGTATGTAGGTCAACCCTCTTCGAAAGGCCGATGTACTCAACTCCCGGTAGACGGCCTAACATCTACGAAATTTTCATCGACACGTGTGTACAATACAATGTATGTTGCTCTACCCATACGTGTGTCGGTTTGCTAAGATGATTTTAGGGTGGGATTATTGACGAGAATGAAGACCTGATCACTCGACGGCTGGCTGCCACCAGCCAACACCTCGCAGGTGCACCGCCTTGATGACTTTACGTGTTCAAAGGCCTGACATCGAATTAGCCTCATTTCCCGATCCCCTCAAAGCAAAGGAGGATCTCAACACCTTTGCCAAACTCAACGAAAATAGACTGTTCAAACTGGCCAAAACATGTATGGACCCTCAAACCGATGTAAAAGGTCTCGCTAAAGCCACTGTACGTTCCGTTATCGCAGTCCTTCAGCGACGCTCGCTTAGACCTTTATCTTCAGTCCGAATTCCTCAAACGGCTCGACCAAACCTCAGCTAGCCTTGTTCCTACTCTCTCCACTTTTCTTCGACGCGCAAGCTTCCGGATTATCAACCAGTCAAGCGTTCCCTCCCTCCTCAAACGCGTAGCCAGAAGCCATGGCAGTACTGCTGGTCACCTCATTCAGGCCTCGAATCATGCAAGAACACTGTTGTCATTCGTGGCAAGGCACTGCCCAGCGGTGTTCAAGCCGCATACTGCAGAATTGGCGAAGGCATTGGTTGACGAGAAGAACATTCAGTTGGTGGAGGTAGCCTTGCAGGCATTGGCGGGCCTAGTGAAATGGGACGAGAGTTTGGCCACAGCTGACAGGTGAGCCAAATCATTTCTAGCGTATTCCCAGCTGGTTCTCATAGTCACTGTTACCCAGGCGAACAGTAGAACGGATAGAAAAATTCTCTCTCCATACTAGTTGGCGTCTGGCCAAATTTGCTGCCCGCTACCTCTGTCATTCTAGGACAAAGGAGGAAGCGGCCAAGAAGCTTATCGAGGTATGTTGGTTTATCTTGAAATGAAATAGTTGCACTGACGCTCCGTGGAACAGGCAATCACAGACCAGTTCTCGTCCGCAGATTCTGCTGACTTTGAAGGTATCGGAGCCCGGGTCGCAGCTTTGTCTCAGGTCGCGCGATACTGTCCCGCAGCATTTGAACGCCGAAGTGAGGCTCTGACTGCCTTCTTGCTCAAGAAGCTTCTTATGGTTCCCAGCTCTGCCGATCCGGTACGTCCCTCCCTTTCACTTTCTTTTGACGCCCTGATAGACGTCCCTACCAGGAGGAAATGGACGATGGCGAAGAATGGATGGAGAATGATGAAGTCCCAGACGTGCTACGCGCCAAACTCCAAGCCCTCAAGTTGTTCAGGAACAGGTCTTTAGCACATGGGGCAGCAGAGAACGCACTTGAGATCGCCACGCCGGCACTGAAGATGTTTGCTACGCTCCTGGAACATAATGGCTCTCTAAATCCCGAGGCCGAGGAGAAGTACGCGTTCTCGTCTCAGCTTTGATGAGGTAGCTGACCGTCCCATTCGCAGCCCAAAGTTCCTCTCACGCATGCGGCTGCAAGCTGCTTTCGCCCTGCTCCATCTTTCAACTATCGAAGTCTTTGCAAATGCGATAACGCCCAAATTTTTGAGGTTGGCCGTCACTGTGCAGGTTAATCATGTCGTCTTTCGCATTCAAAGAGTACTGAGGTTAACTTTATCTGCTCAGGATTCATGTTACAACGTCCGAATGGAATTCGTTACCAAACTCGTAACGCTGCTACAACCCCGGAAACTACCACCGCGGTACAATGTCATCCCCTTCCTCACAGTCCATGATCCTGAAGACGACGTGAAGAGTCTGGTATGTTGCTTGGTCTGTCTAGCTCAAATGTCGATCTGATGTTGTTGTCAAGGCTGCATCGTATGTCAACGGTGCCAAACGCAAAATGCCCCCCAACATCAAACTTGAAAATCTGGAACTCATTTTCATCCGCTTGCTTCATCTCCTCGCTCATCATCCGGATTTCAGCACCTCTCACGAGGACTTGTTTGACATTGCCAAGTGCGCTTTCTTCTTTCGCTGGTCGTAGTGGGAATCTAACGTTGTGCACAGATATGTGCAGTTCTATCTGGATTTGATCGCCACGCAGGATAATGTATCGTTACTGCACCATTTAGCAATGAAGTTGAAGACGGTCCGGGATGCAGAGTCGCATTCACACACGGAGGTAAGGCTTCACCAGCTTCGCGGTCACCATCATAACTGACGGCGCTACTAGCAACTATATATTATGGCTGAACTTGCTCAAGAGTTGATCAAGATGCGCGCGTCGACTCATTCGTGGACGATCCAGACATATCCTGGAAAGGTCCGACTTCCCTCCGATATCTTGCGACCATTGCCTTCGGCAGATGCTGTGAAGCAGGTGAGTTCTCCGGACAGGCGTTGCAATGCTGTGTCCTTAACATTGATCCATGGTTAGATCGTCAGAACGGTGTATCTGCCTGAAGACACTCGTTCATGGTTGAGCGAACTCGCCAAGACGGCAGCGCTTCCAAAGGTATGACTGCTCAAGCTGAACATCTGCTGACTAGGGCTCAATATGGTCGACTTTGCTAGGAAAAGAAAGAACGAAAGCCTGCAAAGCGGAAGGCAACATCCTCCAAAGCCAACGGCCACAAGTACGTTCCTGCTTTCCATGCTTTGTAATAATTCCTTACGCTAAGACCCTGATAGGCGTCCTCGAAAACGTGCTAAATCGGTCAATGACGATGACGACGAGGACGATGACGATGACGAGACGGGAGGGGATACCTCCGAAGCGGAAGCTGCCACGGACGATATGGACGTGGACGGAGGACGATCATCCAGTCCACCTGCGCGCGAAAAGTCAGAGGAGCCTCCACGGCCGAAGGGTACCCGTGTCAGTGCGCGGAACCTTGCCAAGGTACGTGCCGTCTTGTCTGTCATTACATGCGGTGGGATCTGACCTGCTATGGCTGGACAGACTAAAGGTGGTAAATCTACAAAAGCCAAAGTCAGCTCGCCGCCACCCGACTCGGACGAAGAGTGATGGATTTCCGTCGCCACTTTTCCCCTCTCCCTCGCTACCAGCTCTGTAATATCTAGGCTCTCATGTTCATTTCGTGCTCCCGTTCATGACGTTTTCTCTGTCGCTGTCGTAATTGATCTATTCTGTGTATTGCGGTGTTTATTTTATGGTTCCTTCTTTTTTGACCTGTTCATCGCCTGCTTTCCTGTATCGAGACGTGCTAGTTAATGCCATGTATTACAACATCTTAACTGGCCGTTAAAACTGGTTGGGTGCTCGCTCAGACTCTTGAATTTTCGTGGATCGCCGCAAGCGCCTGGCGCGCGCAAGTCACGCGATCAATGAAGCAAGACACCAGATTCCCTTTTCACACGTATCTCTAATATTCATTGGCATGTATATTCATAAACCAGGTCAAAAATCGCGTAGGAATGCAAAAATCTGAGTGCGTACAGTATGTGGAAGAGGTTCAAAACGACCCATTCAGGCGACTCTCTGTGCACATTAGTCATCGAATCAAGTTGGAGGCGGCTTGATCATGACATTGACCATGTTCAACCACGACGTTCGCGTCCCACACTGACTTGGTCCCTTCAATTCGTCCTTTGGCCATGCCCTTATCGTTTTCGACTCTTCTCATCAATAATTGCGGCTACTTCAATGGGAATCCAACGACAGTAATCCTCAAAATCTCTCCCTCGTTCCCCGGCGGAGTATGGAATCAAGAAGAATTCGGACAGCCGGTGCCTGCCACCTGGGACTCAAAGGACATCTCGAAGGCGGATGGTGTCCTCGAAGTTGAGCTTCTGAAGCGCATTTCTGAAGGCCGGACCGGCGCGACATTTACCGCAAATGTCGTCTCAGCGACCCATGGCGGTGTTGACGTCCGACCAAACCTCCCCCCAACTCTATGCCTGAAATTCGCCAAGCCTGAATTCAGTCGCAGCCTGGCTCGAGATGCATGGTTTTCTACGAGCAGTTGGAGTCCCTTCAAGACATATCCATCCCAGATTGCTTTGGTTTTTACTCTTCAACCCTTGCAGAACAACCCCATTTCCCCGACCTCGAATATATGCCATGGACCGACCGGTGGCATTCCTTTGAAGACACAGATTCTGATGCACCCATGTATCTTGACAAGTACCCCTCGCTTGACTATTTGCCGGACGATATCCCATATTGGGTAGAAGAAAAGAAAGTGCACCATCCTTCTTTCATGCTCGACTCGCCCTGGTACAAATGGGATCGCGGTGACGCCGCTCGGACAATTTCTGTCCTCGTTTTGGAACTACTTGGCGATGATTGCACAGATCGAAGTGGTCCTGCGACTGAGTCGTTATTTTTCTTGACGATTTATGCACGTTTGCTGATGCAGGTCCAGGAAGGAGGTCAGGGCGCTGTTGGAAGACATCGGTGCTGCCGGTATTTCACACGGAAACATAAGTCCATCTAATGTTCTCGCATTTCCCAGTGATTCCCTTGGACGAGCCCCACAGTGCCCTCGACACAATGTTGTCCATCGATGGAGAATCATTGATTTTGACCGAAGCCGGAGATGCGATATCAGAAACCTGAGCGCCGAGGGTAGAGGTATCACAACGGGTGATCCATCGAAACAGCTGGCCCTGGGCGGGTTTGGATTTCCTCTACGCCGTAAGAAATAGATCGCAATTCATATTCTTCGGATTGTACTATTCGCATAACGATCTTGTATTCTGTGCAACTAATGCTAGTTATGCCTGGGGAACTTGGACGTTCTGCGGCCCAGGGCAACATTCACCATCTGGGGCAAGTGTCTGCTTGATATACATGCAATCCCACAGAACGGTTTCGCTTCGGCCAAACATAAGTTCATTCTACGAGCTCGTTCAACTACGGATCCAAACGCCTGCACATGAAGTGCCCAGCTGCAACGGCACGACTCCAACAGTAACGATTTTCTGTATAATGCCACTCCAGCTTCTGCTTTCCGTAGTTCTGGTTCTGCCTCCAATCGTCCTTTACAGGTTTCGTCAAATTATCGCGTATTTTGAGGAGGTACTATGTTACACTACAAGGACGAGCTCGGGTTCAAGGGGACGATCGTAGACCGTCCCCCAAAGGTGCTGCATATACCGTAACCGAGAGAAAGCGATATGGTGTCGGGCCGGATAGTAAGTACTAGCATGAAAACATTACAACATGGAAAGGATATGATAAAACAAGTCGAATGCCTGAAAGGTGTGCATTGAATGCGAAACCGAATGCTCCAAAAGTGCGAATATAACAGTGATCCCAAAATGCCCAAAGAATAATATGATAATGAAGTGTGCATGCGAAGGTCGAATAGATAGCCAGTGCTGAGAATACATATCAGACGAAGGATGGGATTGGGGGGCTTTTAGGAGAGGTAGTCGAAGAAAGTGGAGGTGATGCTGAGAGAGCGCGCCTTTTGGGGATCCCCCAATGTCGTGGAAGCGGGGGTATACTGGGTGTGTTTTGAGCTTTAAAATTGGAATGTGATGCGGGTAGACAGAATCCCAGGTTCACTGAGAGCCGCACGGTCCTCGGCTGAGTTCGACTCCGATTTTTTGCACGAGCGCGTGTCCAAGAGGCTCCAAGGCCTCTTTCCACACATGCTTTCTCCTGCGTCCCTCAAAGATCGACGCCGAGCGCTCGCCCGTCTCGCCTTCAGGTCCAAAAACAAAGACCCTGTCTTCCCGCCAGGGAGCTTCCCCATGCGCAAAGGCAATCCACCTCTCCTGCATGGCGTCCCTCACGCGGGTGTACGAAAACTCGTCGACGGGCGTGGTCTCCCAGTCTGCGTCGTTGAAATCGATGGGTGAATGCAGGTCGTCTTCGTCATCGCTGACGTCGAACGGCCCGTCGAAGAAGGTATCTTCCTGGGCGGAAGCGAGGACGGATTCGGGAAGTGGAACGGTGTCGAAGAGGTACATGATGTCCGCTGCATGGTGGGGGATGCCTCTCGCAGGACCTTCCTGGTCAAACACGTATCTCCAAACACCGCGCCCACCGCGTTCGCGTTTCGCGTTCTGGAAGATGCACTCCGTCGGCCAAGCCACTCGAGCATCGTTGACAAGGTCGAGTACTCGTTCTGCAATCTCTTCTTCAGGGGTATAGGAAGAGATATCGTACGCGCGTGCGATGGTGTTCGCCTTTGCGAGGGAAAGGCAGATGGCCTTGAGACGTCTGACGACGGCAGCAGAAGTCCAGAGGGATATTGGCAGCGACCACAGCAAAGAATCCGTGGAGCAGTCACCGATGATGAGCGGCTGTACCAGTTCGCGAACCGGCGTCCTCGACCTACTCCGATCCCGTCGAGTGAGACTTCGGGTTCGACTTCGACTTCTGCTTCTGCTAGGTACGGTGAGGAGGTTCGGGGAGAGGCGGGTCGGGGAGACAGCTCGGAGGAAGCTTTCTTTGGGTATATGTGGGGTTTGTTTCTTGTTCGTGCTTCGATGGCTCCTCCTCTCGCCGTCATCATGAGAATGTGAATGCGAGAAATAGCTCTTCCATCCATCTCGGAAGAAGACACCATCATCGACAGCGCGAAGGCACTGTCCGAGTCCGCACAGCTTCTCTACCTTCAGTGCTCTCAAAGATTCCATATCGGTGACTTGAAGAGATGACATGAGGCGTGATAGTTGCCATCCTGCAGAGTTCACGTCGGGAACAGTCGGCTCGAAGACTGCACTTTGAACTATAGCACGGGCAAAACTCGGCTTGGTCTCGTTGGCCTTTGAGAGAAGGTGGCAGATGATGTCAGCAGCGCCCGAGGATGCACCGAAGAGGGTAATATTGGTTGGATCGCCGCCGAACTCGCCAATATGGCGATGAAGCCACTCGAGGCATCTCTGTTGGTCGCGCAGGCCTGGAGTGGAAACACCGCACCCATAATCAACATCGGAGTAAGGCGGGTCAGTCCACGATGAAGAACGTACCGTAGTTCCCGGTTCCTTCGTCACCGGAGAGCTTGTTGTCTTCCTGAAGCATGGGACTTGCAGCGAAACCCAAAAGTCCTATCCGGTAACTGTACAATGGAGTAGCCAACTAAGGTCAGGTAAAGAAAACGTCATGGATGATATCAACGTACTTGAAAGTGACCACAATGACGAGTTTGCCAACCTCCATGCCTTTCTGAACGAGGTGGATGCCATCGTAAACCCAGCTAGAACCAGCGCCTCTGTTTCCGCCGCTTTACAGCATCGGTCAGTTGGAGTAAAAATAGTAAGTAGTGAACAATAGCGGTGGCTTACCCATGAATCCAGAGCATGACGGGTACTCTCGAGTTTGCAGTCAGCCCGGCGGGGCATGTGATATTGAGATTGAGGCATTCGAATTCGTCGTGCTTCAGCGTCTGCGAAGGGAGCTCGCTGTCAGCGACGCCGAAGAGTAATTCCTCTGCTGGTTTGCAGTTGGCTGCTTGCGGACATATTGGACTTGTGCGCAGCGTTAGAACTCGCGAGAATATCCATGAGGGAATTTCGCCTACCCGTGTTTTGAGGCGTCAGTGAGTGGTGGATACGTGGTGTGAAGTATCGACTGGCGGAAACGTGCAGGGATAGAAGCGTATTTGATTCCGAGGAACTGGTGTACGGGAGCTTCAGGCGTTGAGAGCGGATGCTCAATGCCGACGAAAGTGGTGTTCAAGGCCTTATGACGACGCTTGACCGATCGGAGCTCGAGGGATGAATGTTGTAAGTCAGACATTGTGTATGTGTTGCGCCTCTATAGTGGAACGGAGGGGAGGGGAGGGTTAAAAGGGAAATGTAGTGAGGTAAGGGGGAGGCTATCGCTTAAGAAAGACCAAGGAGCGTTTTGATGTCTTCATTCGCTGGTACTGCTTTCGCATGGTGGTGTTTATACTGTGCGATCGATCGATTCAGGCGCTTTAGGAGGAGCAGGCCCAAAAACCCTGCTACTCCGCTCAGAATGGAAGGTGTCCAGCCCATCACGTGCGGCGCGAATTGATTCCCTCTTCTCCGGCATGGCCATTGAAAGGCCGTTGTATAGCCTTTTGAGAGCATTAGGTTATGACATGGAAGACACCTGGACGGGTGATGCTGACCATAAACAAACCCCTAGCGAAGGAACTTGGAGGGCTAGGTCATCTATTAGCGCACCGAAAACTACAGTGGAGAGAACGGACTCACTTGTGTTCCACTTGGTCAACGGGATGTGCATGATCGTTATCCCGCCCAGTGAAGTGAATACACTCTTCAAACCTCAAGCGGATGCATATTTCCACACGAGGGCCACTAGAACCCCGAAAGACCATTCCACAGCGTCCCTCGACCCCACATCCAAAATTTCTTTAGAATGTGGAGTTGGACGTAATAGATGATAGACGTCAAGAAAGCGGACGGACCTTAGACTCTTGTTTACATGGTGTACGCGAACCGTAGAACCCTGGAAGCACATACATACTGCGACCGGCAAAGCAAGACAATCAAGATGTCAGAACTTTCAATGAAATCAGCCCGACCGCGGTGTATCAAACACCACAGGAATCCATGGGTCGGAGGCGCAAGGATCTGAAAAATGTACACCACTACTCGAGTCACCGGACGTCAGAAAGAGGTGTCGAGAGTGGAATACAAGGTCGTAACGTACGTACCGACGTCGAAATGCTTCCCCGCATCACCGTGACAATCTCAAGGGATGCAAGGAAAGCCAATCAGAGAGCGGCCTTAGGCTGCGGCGCTAATCGAGAGAATCAGAAATCTTTCATTCATTCTGCACACACCAACAGATTCCCGAAGGACAGAAGAAAGAGCCCAAGCCTCAGGGCTCCGTCTCGCGTTGACCAGGGAGAAAAAAACAGTGTAATAGTGGCGAACATCGCGCCGACACCCTCTGTTCACAATGATATCGACACAGCGCAATATCAAGATAAAAGATAGGGCCTGAAGGCAGGAAACGTGAACAGTTCCAAGTCCTTTGTACGTTATTACGTCCCAATCAGACTGAATTCCTGAGAAACGCTGTTCATTGAGCTTCCTACAGTATGATCGCAAAGAACAAGATCAAATACCCAGACACATAGAAGAAGGCCGACACTGATATGTCGAAGATGGACCTGCGCTTCGTGAATCAGGGAAAAGACAGGAGAACCGTTGCCTTTTTTTGAGACTTCCAATCGATGAAGCTGCCTTGATGGACGGCGGAGATGTCCGAGCTGCCTAATCCAGCCGTGGGAGTGAGAGAGATCTACCCGATATACCCATCGGAAAATGCCGTTACCATCATGCCGTCAAGTGCCGCGGGCGAGGCTGGAATCCTTCTCGACATTGTCGAGGTCAGGACTTCGACCATCCTCCGAACCAGTTCCCAAGGCTGAGTGGTTGTCGCAGATTGATAATGTGTATGGAGGATTGTCATCACCCTTCCGTACTTGCCGTTTTTCGGACGTCCTATCTCGAGGCGAATTGAACAGGGCCTGGGCGCTTATTGCTTCCTCCCAGTCGAATTACGGATCCTGGATTTACAAAGCTTGAATTATACCTCAAGATATCCACTATTCATCTTACCGACTCCATCACACCCCTGACCACCCTCGAGGCGGACCATTAAAAATCATTGGCCTCGAGGTCGGGCGAACGAGCCGCTGAATGTTAAGCAAGAATTGTGATTGTCAATGGTAGTGATACAGATGTTGCAAGTTAGACCCAAATTTGATCATCACCCACGAACCCGAACGACTTTACGTTTACCCTTCGCCATTCCGCCACCAGGACCACCCATACCAGGGAGACCAGGTGTCTCCGTGGCGTTCATTCCGGCCTTGATTGTCTCTAACAACACGCCTGTCGACAGCGCAGGTGAGTAGGGAGACAATCGGCTGGTCAGAGGAGGTAAGGGCTCTGGTGGGACAGGTAAGGAACGGTGAGCCTTCTTCACAGTCGGTTCCTTTGCTTTCTCCCCCTTCTGACCCCGGGTATTCGTTGCAGGTGCAGGCGGCGCCTGCTTGACGTTGGAAGATGCAGTCGTCGGGTTCGCCTTGGTAGTCAGCGGTTGCTTCCCCTTGCTACTGGCAGATGTTGCTGTAGGATTGGCGGGAGCCGTCACCGTCGGGTCGGACGACGACGCGAGCGTATACGGAGGTCGAGGAATGCATTCAGGCTTCAGATGCTGAATCTGGAAGCTGATCATTTCCAAGAGTTGCTTTTCTATAGAAAAGAACCGTAAGATTAAAATGGCCCGAACTGTTCAGGAAGTAATGAAACATACTGGTCTTGACCGCCGGATTCACCAGTTTCCCGTTCTTCTTCCACTGCACCCGCACTCGCCCAGGGTTCTCCCAATCCCTTGGGTGGGCCTTGTTCACCTCGTGAAGCGTGCCCAAACCAAGTCTGTTTGCGGCTTCTGCGATGTCTTTACTCAAAGGCCACCACAAAGCCTTGGCCCGTGCTACGCGCCGCTGGCCCGTCCCATATGGGCGTTTCGCATCAAGGTAGATGGGATAGATGCACGTCCATCTAAAAGACACAAGAGGCAACGATGTCAAAACCGGTATATCGCATAGCAAACAGAACGAGTTGGGGAAGTCAGAGTTATTAAACCGTTCTAGTTCCGTCCTCAGTGCTGGTTGAGCCTTGGTGCTCTTCACACAGCACCGGAACCCGGGCGCAAGCTACTGCACAATGTGCCAGCAGAATTGAGAACCGCAACACAGACACGACCAAACTATCCTGCTCTGACTTCCCCCAGTCGAAGAAGAAGAAAAGGTACTGTAAGAGAGTCCAAGGAAGCGCTGAACGAAACGAACGTTTTGTACGGAGTGATGTCTGTCACCTTTCCAGTTCGATCCTGGGTCGAACTACCGGGGAATTGAGGGCGATTATGTGGGGATGCTGGACCTGCACGCTGATCGTCTGAATCCGACTCTTCATCGTCGCTGCCCAATTGCTGCAAGAGAGGACCTCTCGAGCCTGTATTTGGGAGTCCAGGAAGAGGAAGATCGGTGTCGTCGTCGAATTCTTCTTCGATTATGGCTGCTCTGCGAGACATGGTTCCAGCTGTGCAAGTCTAAAGTCCACTAATTCCGTCGAGAATGCCGTCTACGTCGTGGTCAAGATCAGAGTTCGTCCACGACGCTTGTAAGCATCAATACTCGACGTCTTCCCACGACTAGTCCTCTACCCGTCAGCCCAGCGCGGGCGACCCTTGCTATTGTTCATTTCACGCTCACGAATGCGGCTCAGATGCTGCTGCTGCGATTATCGCCAGCATGGGCGACGTTATCGTCGAGGATACTTTTGTGAGTTGTCCTCTCTTTCTGGTGGAGATGTGATTCTGAACAAGGACCGTCCGAAATAGCCTGACGCTCGTCGTCCTGATTTCATTGAACGCGTGCAGCGCAAAGGCGACACAACAAGATTATCACGAACTCGATAGAGAGTTGAATGACAGCATAGAAGATGGTCAAATAGTTCGACCACGGGCACCACCACCTATACGACCACCGTCAGACGGTCAAGGAAATGACACCGTTCCCAATGGATCTCATTTACTCTGCAAACCTTTTGGCGCATGCGAGCCATGCCCACCAGACGCTGTGTGTACTAGTCTACTTTTGGTATCCATAGTCTTTCGCTAACGGATCTACCGTCCTCAAGTTACACCAACCCTTCTGCCAGCCATTCGGAAACCGCAGACTCATGCACTGTCTAAACGCAACGGAATCAAACCCTGAGTCACCTCGCTTCGCCCAAGACTCTGGTGGGAATGGAGGAAGTAGCAAGAACTCCGGCTCGTCTGGTGATATGCCCGGCGAAGCACCCAAGGGGGAGACCCTCGCTTGGGAATCTTGTGGGCGTATTCCGTCTCAAGAACGTGCGGACTTTTTGGAATTCGTGGCTTGCAACGTTATCTTTGCGATTGTTGCTATTGGACTTGTAATGTGGAGATCGAAGGTGGTGCAGGCACGGCAAGCGAGGGTGTTAGCGGCGAGGATTGGGTTGGTGGGAGGAAGAGGAAGGAGATGACCGAGGTTGTGATTCTATTTATCTTAACTGTAAGTTTGTATCGTTCATGTCTCGTGTGACCTCAGCTGATTCCCTACAGTATTACTCTCATGCTGTCGTTAATGTCTTATTGCATCATAATTCAGATTCTACCCGTGTCACCGGAGCGAACTCTGAGACGAGTGCTTGGGAATGGTTTCTGAGAGCTGAGAGGTCACTCCCGGTTATCTGGCGGGCGCCTTTCTGCGCTTCAGTACACGACTCTCCGAAACATATGGCTCGGGAGAATGTTGATATGGGCGCGGGCCACACGAGGCTCCCAACAGTAGTATGTCCTTCATTTCATGAAAGCAAATAACAAGTAATAATCCATCTCGTTTGTGCATTGGTTGCGCTCCCAAGCCACGTACTATGGCAGAATCTGCCATAAACAATAGTCGTTATATCAAGCAATATGCTTTCCCGAGTCAGACCATCCCTCCTCGAGACCCAAAACCATACAGGAAGAACACACTCCGTCACCACGTGTATCCACTAATCTCGACTATCAGGACTCGGCGAGGCCTCCATCCTGATCATCTCTCGCTGCTGCCAGGCCGTAACATACACAGTCTATTGTTTTGGATCGGCGTGCCTCGGACAACGTTTCCAGTGCCTGGGCCATCACCTGAAACGCCATTGTTATCTCCCAATTTGTGGCTATCCATGGGTTTTCCACCCCCCGCCACTCGTTCACGACCTCCATTGTCTCTGGCATCTCGGCGAACATAAACAATCCTTTTGGCGGTCTCCGTTACAAATCCTTGCCTTTGGCAACATGCATCATCGACGATTATCCATCCTTTCACTGGGGCTGGAAAAGGCTTGGACCTCTGACTCGAAATGCATCACTATAGCAATCGCACGCCCCTTCAAAGGCGTTTTGTTACACAATGGCGACAATTAAAAAACGATACTTATATCGCGGCGATCGCCTCTTACACTCGCCCTCCACGCCCTTTCCTCCTTCCCTCCAGACGTCTTTCTTCCTTTCACAGTTTCTACGACTGATTACTATTGACTAGTAATCCCTTTTCCATCCTCGACTACACTCTTCTTCTAGACGAACAAGTGCACGAATCCAATGCGAGCGCAATCCATCCTCTTGTCGCTGCTGGCAGCATCCACTTCAGTCTGGGCTGCCCCTGCGGTATTCGGACGCCATGAAGGACACGACCACGGGTCGACGGACGTTGCGCCTCAAGATGCCGATGGTACTGTCGTCATCCCGGTCACCGCATCTGGCTGGTACCCGAGCTGGTACAAGAATGTCATGCCTCCCTCGGAGATCCCTTGGGAGAAGTACACCGAGCTCACCTTTGCTTTTGCGTGCGTGTTTCCCGTGCCTTTCCTTTGAACCTTTGATCTTGACATGCTTTCATTGCAGCCTCACCACTCCCGATACCTCGGCTTTGACCTTGGAAGGCGAAGAAGAGACTTTGAGGGCCTTTGTCCAGGAGGCCAAGGCTAATGTACGTACCCTTACCTACTATCAAGCGCCGGTCGATCCTGACCTTTCGCACAACAGAACGTCAAGGCTCTCCTCTCCATCGGAGGGTGGACCGGTTCCCAATACTTCTCTCCGGCCGTTGCCTCTGCTGAGAATCGAACCACCTTTGTCAAGACCATTACTGACATGGCTACTGAGTTTGGGCTCGATGGTATCGACTTTGAGTGCGTCTCTTCTTTGTTGCACTTGTGAATCTTCCAGTACTGATATGACCTTTGTGTAGCTGGGAATATCCCAATGCTGAAGGCATCGGCTGCAACCTCCGCACCCCAGAAGACACTGAGAACTTCCTCACCTTCCTTCGAGAGCTCAGGGAGCACCCTGTTGGCGTCAATTTGAAGCTCACGGCCGCCGCTCACATCACTCCTCTTATGGATGCCACTGGCACCCCAGGTTCCGACATGTCTGGATTCGCCGAGGTCTTGGACCATCTTGGTAAGTAGACCAAAGCACATTCTTATCCTAGTATGGACCTTCTAACGAGATGGTATTATGAACAGCTATTATGGCATACGATATCCACGGCAACTGGCTGGACCAAGTCGGCGCCAACGCTCCCCTTCGTGGCTCTTGCCCCGCCAGCCCCCTGGGTTCCGTCGAGGGCTCTGTTGAGGCCTGGACTGCCGCTGGATTCCCCGCTGAGAAGCTCCTCCTCGGTCTCCCTGCCTACGCTCGCAGCTTCACTGTTGCCAAGGACGATGTCCTCGACGCTGATGGCAATATCGTCACTTTCAACCCCGCTTTCGACAAGGAGTCCTACCCTCTTGGGGAGGGTGAGGTGGAGGGACAGGTCCTCACTGACAAGTGTGGCCGACCCGAGTTCCCTGCTGGTCTCTTTACTTTTAATGGGCTGATTGCTGGTGGCTTGCTTGGTACTGACGGCGAGGCTGCTCCTGGTGTTGTCTATGGTTTCGATAACTGCACTGAGACTGTGAGTTCCTTTCTCCTTGTTCTCGTCATTTGCTCGATTTCTCAATTTGTGTGTCTAGCCGTTCTTGTACCGCGAGAGTGACAGCCGCATGGTCTCCTTTGACGATGCTCGTAGCTTTGGTAAGTTCCTCCGCCTTCACCTTTGTTTTCGTGGTTCAAAATGCTGATGGGTTGTGATAGCCGCCAAGGGTCGCTTCATCAACGAGAAGGGTCTCGCTGGGTTCGCTGTGTGGCACATCTCTGGTGACACTCGCAACAACATCCTTCTCGACTCTATCTATGAGGCTATGGGCATTGAGGTTCAAGATGACTGCGGCTCTGAGGAGGTGGGTGATGACGCGGGTGCTGAGGAGGGTGAAGAGGAAGGCGAGTGCCCTGAGGTTCCTCCCGTTCCTGAGAACGCTCCACTTCCCTCCGTTTCCTCTTCTGCTTAAGTGGAAAGTCCTTTTTAGAGAGGATGGTGATTCCTTACGATTTATGAGTACTGAGTACTGCGCTTCACCATGCCGTCCATTCCTTTGTACCATTAGAAGTTATGAGCGTCACGAGCCTTCACGCCATATTTAACTTTAAATTTAATCCATGTACGTCTTAGGTGTATTCAGTTGTTCAATATCAAAGGATTGGAATACTTATCGCTGGAAGCCAACAGGCACTCAGTACGCGCGCCATCCCGCTTTTTCGTGCGCTGTAGCTTACGTACAAATTGATCCGCCAAATTCAACGAGGCTGAGGGCAGGCAGCCCCAATTTGTGCCTTGCCTTCTTGCCGTCACGCCCTGATAACTGCTCCGCTCATTTCTATTCACAAAACCCTTGGAAATGAGTGATACAGTGTCTAACCTCTGGGCAGGCCTTGATCCCGAAATTGATAGGGTGGGTGTCTCCAATTAAGCGCCCGCAAGAACAACCAGGAACTCACGCCCAGCGTGTAGCGCCTCAGAGAAAAGATTAAGCCGAATCCAGCAACTGGTGAATTAGACGACGGGGATATTCTTATGTATGGCCTCTTTACTCCTCATCTTTGGATTTACTTTCTGATGCCGCATTGCAATTATTGTCTGGCAGGTACCTCAGAGAACTTGAGGACGACCCCGATCTTCAAGCCATGCTCGAGCACGGAAATGCTGAACGAAAGAGACGCGAAGAGTCTATCGACTTTGATACTTTCGATTTTGGTTCCCTGCCATCCACGCCGTCGACATGGCGCGTCACATTGGAGCCTGGGGGACTCGTAGATCCAGAAACGAAGTCTATCGTCCGGCCGCACGAGGTTGACGCTTTTCCCGATGCTCGACAGACGTTCCGGGTAACAGGGTGGGTGCCGTCACAGAAGATGAGATATGTGGAGGACTTTGAGGAGCTTCCAAAGTCTGGTGAGCTGACTCTGTAAGTTTTAATTGTACTGGTCTGTCTCGCCGTGTTCCCTGACTGTCGTCCCTGTCTGCGTACTAGGTTCTTGAAAAATCTTTTTGTCATTCCGTTTGGCAATTACCAACCCCAGACACCTGCCAACCTCATCATGTCCCACAAATTCGCGCTGCACGAACATGCTATTGCGCCTTTCCTCGATTCTATCCCCTCCATGTCGTGGCGCATCGAATCCCAGGACCAGGGCGCATTCGTGAACGATATGGTCTACCAAATAGCTTCACGGGACTACAAACGACACCTCGCAGCCGGCCTCAAAGCGAAAGAACGCGGGAACGAATTCTTCAAGAACAACGACCGTCGGAGGGCTATCGACGCGTATACGGAGTCACTGAGGCGGTACGAGGATGCGATTGCGCAGAAGGTGATGGAGCATGAGAAGGCGGCGGTGTTTAAGCATATTGCGGTTGTGTGTGCGAATAGGAGCTTTGCGTATGTGAAGGAGGGGATGGGGCCTGGGAGGGATGTGGAGACTGGGATTATCGACGCGGAGAATGCGATTTATGCGGATAAGACGTATTCTAAAGCGTGAGTTCCCTCCGTGAATGTTTTCTGGTGGAAGCTGATCCATATGTTGGACAGTTACGCTCGCCTGGCTCGAGCGTACCAGGCGAAAGGCAACCTCAAAAAGGCGCAGGAGGCTATTGTCAGGGGGCTCAATGTGCCTCTTATAGAAAACGAAGCCGTTTTAGTAGAAATCTTGATTGAACTTCAGACTGAAGGGAAAGGGCTTCCGGAGGACAAAGAGGAGTATAGAGCATGGGCTGAGAAGGTGTTGGCAGATGAAAATATGCGAGGCGTGAAGGGCGAGTGGAGGAGGAGAATAGAAGAGAGGCTCAATTCTGACGCCTAAGAATAGGCGATCTTATCCGCTGATACTGACGTTTCTAAGTCATCCAACATCTGTAACGAAATCTACTCTCCAAGTACCCAATTGTTACGGAATAGTCGGTGTGGACAAATTGTATACACAGGGGCTCGGCATGAGAATCACACACACGGTGAACCACCATACTGTCTCTCCCTTCTTCCATTACGTCCATGGTATCTGACACTGAGGTTGGAAAGCCGGGCGCTAATTACTTGATTATGAGGATTGCGGTTCCCCGTGGCTGTGCCCTTGAGGCTGTGCGATCAGTTTGCGCTTATTGATGTCAAAAGGCCAAATCGCGAAGATAACCTTTTGATCTTGTCAACGAGCTATTTTCTGTTTCGTTCTCCATACAACAACTGCGCGAATCCCACAGACCGAACGACCAGAATATCTCACAGACAAAACGACATGGCCTATTCACCTCCAGAGGACGTTCTCACGACGGCATTGGTCGAATTGAAGACCCAAAACCCTACGCTGGGAATCTCCAAGATACATGCTCTCTTATTGAAAGAGAAACCGGACTGGATCGTCAGCGAGAAGCGGACCAAGAAGATTTTGCAGGCGGAGGGATTGACTCTGCCTCCGAGTACTGCCAACGGTGCCGGAAGCGGGTCGAGCGGGGCCCCATCCGTCTACCCGACCTCTCGCACTATCCCGAATCTCGACCTCTCCAAATGGACGAGTAAAGTCCAGGTGAAGGTGTTCGACAAGGTCAAAGGGAAGGGTCTTGTCTCGAACGCAGAGATCCAAGAGGGAGAACTGATCTGGAAAGAGGATCCATTTATTGTTTCCCCAGAGTGGTGAGTTTGTTGCCTTTTTGACTTGACCTGTAATTTGTTTTGCGGGGTTCGGGCTCTTCGGACGAGAGGTGTTGGTGGTCCATGGACACCCCTACCTACTGAACAACGTTTTCTTTTTAACACAGGGAAATATACGACCTGGTAGCTCAAGGCCACGCCTGCGCCTTCTGCACGACGCCGTTCACCGACTCGCCGCTCATCCTCCCATGCCCCGCATCGACCTCGGCGTCCAGCTCCTACTGCTCCGCGCGGTTCTGCAACCGACTGTGCGTGGCGCGTTCGGCCAAGGTGCATCCCCTGCTGTGTGCTTCGCAGAATCCGGCCTCGATCCCGTTGATGAAGTTTGCGAGGGAGAAGGAGTGGATGGCGTTGGGTGCGCTGACGCATTGTATAAGCCGGGTGTTGTTGGCGAATCAGTATGATGAAGCTACGCTCCGTTCGGATTGGAATGTGATGAAGAGCTTTGCGACGCTTGGTATGGAGGAGAGGGCCAAGCATAGTTATAATCTGTACGTTCCGTCAAGAACAACCTACACGAGAACTCTGGGAAGTGCTGACTGGGTTTTTGCGATGGATTTCCAGGCGAGAACCGGATAGGGCGACTTGGAAGAAGGCGCACCAGCTGGTTGTGCAGGCGTTCAAGGAACCCAAGAATGCGATGGACCAGCGCAAGTTGGCTCGGATCCTCAAGAAGCCGCTGCCCGAGGAAATCGACAACGAGTTCTTCACTTATGATCCCGGGTTCCTCAAGAACCTCGGGAAAATGTCTCTCAGTGCGTATCCATTCCCCCTTCTCCCAACCCCATTGCCTCCCACTTAACTAATAATATTTACCATTCGGCTAGACCTCGAAGCCCACGGCGGCCTCTACACCCTCCACTCGCACCTCAACCACTCCTGCCGCCCCAACATCTCCGTACGGCACAACGACAAACGCACCGCGCTCTCCCGCATATCCGTGATCGCCAGGCGCGCCATCTCCCCCGGCGACGAGCTTACAGTGACCTACGTCAACCCCGAGCTGCCGTACAAGACCCGCCAGGAGCAGCTGCAGGCGTGGGGCTTTGGGTCGTGCAGGTGTGAGCGGTGTGTGAGCGAGGAGAGGTTGTTCAAGTTGAAGAATGTGGTTCAGGACGAGGCGAGTCCGAAGGAGGATATGGATGATTTGGCGAGGGAGTTGAAGGCTGGGTTGGGGTTGATGTAGTTGTTATTTTTTTCAAGTAAAAAGGAAAGGTATGGTACTATATGTGCTAGGAAGTGTAAGTTGGAAGGAAGTAGGATACCTACGGATAAAATGATTGGCGATTCAAAATCTATCGCTTGCTTTGCTTTTTATAAATCTTTATACTCGTCTCAAGTGTACTTTTTTTTTGATTAGTACGAGTGGAATGTACTTATTGCGTTTGTATCTAGTCCACGAACATGTTAGGATACTTGGTTACTCCACAATTGTTTCCGCAAGATAAAAGCAGTATTGAATATTCAAAAGTCGGTATCTAAGGATCGTCATCTTCCCAGTTCTCCGCTACAGGCTCTGCAGGAGGAGGCACTGCTTGAGACGACTCGACGGCGCCCCTCAGCGCAGGCGTCACGTATCTCGATGGCGGAGCAGAAGGAGTAACAGAAGCACTACCACTTCCTGCCGCTGAAGCCAAGCGAGAGCCTGAACTCGACAATCCACTTCCACTGGTACTACTACTGCCTCCAGCCACAGCAGCAAGAGGAACCGAGCTCCCACCAGCCGTAGGCCGCACAACCGACGTCCACTCCCTCCCCATCGACGGCTGTGGTTTCGGGGCATTGACGTTCAGATAAGTCGGGTTCTTGAGGACGGCAGCTGCTACTGCGTTGAACCCCGACGAGGGCGTGGAGGTTCGCCATGCCGAGCCCATAGTGCTTGACGAGGAGGACGAAGCTGAGGCGGGGGTGAAGCCCAGAGTCCCTAGAGGGCCGGGAGAGGGAGGAGTCCCGTGTCGCAGTGTACGTAGGTCGGTGAGTTTGCCGAGGTTTGGAGCGGTGGATGCGAGGTAGGCCGAGAGTGTTGGTGTTGGGATTCGGGTGTCGATTCGACGGATGAGTTGGACACTGTTCATAGATGTTAGTATCATTGGAAGAAAAGAGACATAAGACATAGCGAGACGAACCTCCTGTTTGGTTCCTGGTCTATCATCTGCGTATCCATTCGGTACACCGCCGCGAGGTCGTTTACGAATTTGCGTTTCTCGGGTGTCATATGTGGTAGCACCTGGTGTCTCTTCTCCGAGTTTACAAAGCTGTTCAGCAGATTTCTGGTTAGCCTGGAGCACAAGAAAACGAAAAAGCAAAAACAACACATACTCTGCAAACGCTTTCTCAACAACCGGCACAAACTTCATATTCGCCCTCGCAAACGCAACAACCTCATCCGAATAACTAACCCTCGCGGCCTCCTTATCTTTATCAGGGTTAATCCCCAACGCCTCGGCCAACCGCGCATTCCTGGCCGCCTTGCTGCACTCGGTGGTGCATTTCACCGTAGGCGGCTGGTGGCCAGCGGGATTGGAGAGGGATTTGCCGCATTTGGTGGCTTGTTTGAGGCGGCCGCAGGGGCAGGTGATGGAGAGGATGGCCTCGCAGGGGTCGGTTTCGGGGCAGGCTGAGGGAGCGTGGCAGGAGTGCGTGCAAGGGTGGTGTTCAGGAAGGCTGTATAAGAGAATGGGTTGGTGAGCGAATAAATGTAGGTGGGAGAGAGGGTGTACGTACCATAGTTTACGGTTCTTGCCACAGGGAGCGGTGCATGACCCACAGTTGCCGCTATGGCATAGGCTTTGGCAGTGGTGGAATCCACAGGGCATCAATCTACAGCTCAATCGTTAGAAAACTATAGGCCAGGAACGCCAAGACAAGCACTTACTTTCCGCAAATAGTCCCACAAGACACTTTCTCATTCGCCAGAGAGCACTTCACGTTGGGTACGCTCTTCTTGCCGCATGCGCACTGTTTGTTTGTGAGGTGCGGGCAGGGCGGGCAAGGCTGGTCGTCGTCGTGGCAGGCGTGGATGGTTCGGGGATGGCCGCAGGGCGGTGGAGGGCGTGTGCAAGGATAGCTGCATTGAATCTTGGTACCACAGGGGACGGGTGGTTCGAGAACTGTACGGCCGCAGGCGCAGAAGAGCTGATGGAGGAAACATCGTGAGCATTTCAACGTCATCGAAGCAGAAATATTCGCTTACCTCCTCGAAAGAACTTCGCAGACAACGCGGGCAAGGTCCTCTATGGTCCCTCTCCTCGCATCTATGATTCCCACATGACAAGGGTTTACCACAAACCAAATCGCACTCGTGCAACCCACCGCGTTCAGTCCCAGGTGCGGTCGAAGGATCCATCGCAGCCGCCTTCTTCTTTCCCTTCTTGTTCGTCACTGCAGCGAGCGATGCCAAGGGGCAACATATCCTGTTACACTGATGCTGCCCACATGCACGAAGAACTGGACAGGGGCGTTCGCAGAGGAACTCGACTTCGTGGACGAGGGTCTGCGTTTTCCCCTCGATGATGTCCGCATTGGAAGCGGTTGCGGTGAGCGAGGTGGTGTATGCTTCGTGGCAGGGGATTTTGCGGGTGGTGGAGCCGCAGCGGCAGGGGCGGGTGATGGGGACTGTGCAGGGTGGACAGGGCCCGTCGTGGCAGGGTTTCTCACAGGGGTGGTTGCAGCTTGGGTGGGGTTTGGAGCAGGGGGAAGTGCAAGTGGGGATGGGTGCTTGGCACGAGGGGCGGGAGGAGAAGTCGTACGCGGAGGATGAGTCTCCTGGAGGCGCGATGGTCTTTCTTCCGCAGGGGCAGTGCGTGACTTTGGTTGGCGAGCGGGGACAGGGCGCTGGGGATGCAGAGGGTGGATGGCACGGCTTTTGACAGGTGTGGACACCGCAGTCGAAAGGCCTCTCGCACGTCTCTTCGCATGCGTATCGTCCAATCCAGGGTGTCTGCCCTTCTACAAAACAGTCGACTGCACGACCTTCTCCACAAAGCATCTCCTTCTCGTGCTTGCCACAATAACACTTGACGGTCTCAACGATTGCACACGCCGCACAGTCTCCGTCGTGACATTTGGATGTACAGGCGTGCTTCCCGCAGTTGAGTGGTCGGTCGCAGATTTGGCCGCATGAAAGGTCGCGTTTACCCTTGCCGACGCCGCAACGGAAGGAGAGGACTGTTTTCCTTGGGCAGTAACATTTAAAGTGGGAGGTGACTTGGCAAGGCGGGCAGGGACCTGGATGGCAGAGGAGGGGGCAGGGATGACCGCATCCACTTTCGCGTACACGGGCGCAGGGTTGACCGCATGAGTGGGGTGTCGAGAGGCGCGCGAGTTTGGGTTCTGGGACTGTTCCGCAGAAGCATCTGGAGTAGAGTTAGCGTATAAAGTAAATGTAGAAAAGACGGAGACATACCGGTAGCCAGATGGGATGATCTCGCGCTTTGCCTGGCATCCGGGACACCTCCAATCCCCATGTTTATCGAGCTCGCCTCGGGCTCTCCACGCTTCAGCGACATCCTTGACGCTCTTGGCTGCCCACGACTTGATGCATCCGACGTGGAATGGCGTCCAGCAGTACTGTGCTTCTGCGCCTTCTTGGACGGGGATGACGGGGATAAGAGGGGAGCAGGACCAGATCGCTTGGGAAGGGTGGATGCTTGAGAAACAGATGGGGCAATCGGGGTACGGAGGCGTGCTCAGAGAGCGGATCAACGTCGAGGCCAGGTCATCCCCAAGCGGATTAGACGTTTTGTATCGCTCTGCAGGCTTTTTAGCGCTCGATTTGCCCTTTCCATCCGCACTCTCCTTCTCCCCTCCTTCTTGAGTAAGCTTCCCACCAAATTTGGCGCGTCGATTAGCAGGTGGTTTCGATGAGGATCGTTCGCTGCCGTGTTGGCTTCCGGTTTCAGAGGCGTTGGTGGATTGAGGTTTCCGTGGTGGTCGCCGGCGTCGGTTAGGGTTCGGTTTAGACCCTGAGGTCGTGGTGGTGGGTGCGCCGTCTGCTGTAACCCCATCGGTTGCGCCAGGCTGCTTTTGTTGAGGAGGCCGGTTGGGGTTTCGTCGTCTAGGTGGTCCTCGGCGACTCTGGCCGCCCTCGGTGTTGCTTCGATTGGACGCTTGGTTGCTTCCCTCAGCTGCGTCGGTCGACGGTCCTGCTGCTTGTCCGTCGTTGCGCTGGACGCCACCGCTTGGTTTTCCGCCACGGTTTCGTCTGTTATTGGGTCGTCTAGACCCTCCAGGGGCTGCTGGTGTCGTCGTGGTAGGCGCTGTCGTAGGTGCCTCCATCCCCGATAAAGATTTCGATGCTGTGGACTGGTGGAGGTGGTCTGTGTCCAGCACTATCGTCGTTAGTCGGTGAGTAGGGGGAAAGTTGAGGTAGCCTTCTATAGAGGAAATTGATGTAAGAGAGGTTGATTAGAAAAGGGTGGAAGCAAAAAGCTACGGCGTACTTGAAGAGCTTGAGCGGTCAGCGATGGCGATCCGCTCCGCTCGGTTTGATCTTCGCTCCCGGTTGTGGCTGTGACTCGGACTAAGGATGACTTGGAGCGCGACGTTGGGTGACTGAGCCAGACGGCTCCCCGCGAAACTCGAAGCTTGGAGTTAGTCAGATTGTGGAAGAAGTTGTAACTCGGTGGGTGTAATCAACTGGGCTGTTCTAGCGATCACTACCGGCCGACGAACATACCGCTTATGGTCCTATGGCACCTGGGCCTCTCGATGCGGAACATCGGTTGTTTTGGTTTCTGACATATATCATCTCGTTCAAACAGTGTTTGGGATCGACATGCTACTTCGACTGCATATGTATCACGACGTTCAAACAGCCACGTTTCTAGGTCAAACGGTCTGGCTTCTGGGTGGCTAGTGAGACGAAACATTATTGGGTTTCCAACGGGTTATAAAGTCGCCATGTCGCCTCCATGGGGACGCCCAGCGCACCACTAGCATCTGCCTCCACAACTACTTCATTATCCTCGGAAACGCTCTCAGCACCGGCCATGACTCGACTCGCAGCACTCGTCGCTCTCGCCCTCATCACCACTCCCTTCACCTTGGGAGGGTACATCCCACCCGAGCACGCCGGAATCCATAAAGACGTACATAAGCCGGTTGACCACTTTGCTCACGATGGTCATGGCGCCCACCACGATCGTGGTTTCCACCCCACAGAGCATGGTGGGCATGGCAAAGAAGGACATCATCACGTTGGGCGGCAGGGTACGCTTTAGTGTGGTTTCTTGTCTGTTGGTCGATGGCTGATTTGGGTTTTCCGATTGTATAGAGCCGCCGCCTCCACCTCCACCTCCGCCTGCAGAACCTGCCCCACCTCCGGCTCCTCCACCGCCTCCTGCGAACCCAGTTCCTCCTCCACCTCCACCTCCACCACCAGAAGAACCCGCTCCACCTCCCCCGCCCCCTCCACCCATTGCAGCGCGTCAAGTCACGACCAACGGGAGCGTCCCCGGAACAACCGGCGTCCCACCTGCAGTCCCAACTACCAACATCTCGTCTCCAGCCCCAGTAACCAACATCTCCATCCCTCTAACGAACGTCTCGATCCCGACTACTAATGGCTCTGTACCATTTATCATCCCCGGTAACGTTTCGTTTCCTCTGCCTCCTGTAGCGGGTGCGGGGAATGGGAGTGTAGGCGGTGGTGGCGGAGTGCCATCTGGCAATGCGAGTGCTGGTGGGGGACCTGTTCCGTTGACGAATGTTAGTGTTCCCTTGACTGGGACTGTTCCTTTTAATGGGAGCGAAGTGCCATTTGTTGGGGTTGTTAATTTGGTGTTTTAATTGGTTGTCTGAGTTGGGGACTTCTTTGGATTTGCTTCGTTCGAATAGGTAGTTTTCAAAATGGCCACCTTCTCTCTCCGTTTTCTGCGGCTCCTGGAATGTAAATCTAGTATTCGTTCAACCCTTTTCCATCACGCATGTGCTCGTAAGTGAGCGGCTATTTTAATTTTTTCTGGGAGCAAGAAGGGCTCCTCAATTCTAAAAGTTCAGTTCGAGTTCAGTTCGCAACGAGTTCAATTGATGTGACGTCGGGATCAATGAGATCCTCATCAAGTAGTACCTCCAGCCAAGAGCCCGAAGATCGTTCTGAGTTCTTGCGTTGGACAGACAAATCGGTGGTCTTTGCTCAATATTTCTCGTCTTCCTGGAAGTGAATATACTGTACACAAGTCTAATCTACTTTTTAAAGCCGCATCTCAATGCTTTCGATGAGATACGATTGCTTTCTGGTTACGCTGGTGTTTGCAGGAATGACCTTAGTCCATTGACAAGCGTGGAAAGGCCATCAATTGAACTCGTTGCGAACTGAACTCGAACTGAACTTTTAGAATTGAGGAGCCCTAGAGGCGCTTGATGCAGCGGTAATTCAAGTTGAATTTGGGATCAAATTGAAACTGATGGAACTCCTTTCTTCGGACCAAGTTCCAACTTCTACCCCTCTTCCAACATGGAGACACAATCTTTCGCTGTACTGTTTCTTGCTCATGGAACTCTGGTATGCAGGTGGTGCATTGACCCCTTATCCCAAAGAGGAGGTCGCTTTTTGCGCTGAACGATCGGGTGCGTGACTAGAGCACAGCAGTCGATCGCCAATGGAGAAAACTGCGCGACGCACTTACCTTCATCCATACAAATGAGGACGATCATGACTCCCTCCAGTCCAGCTATAAATTCCTGGAAAAGCATGGAATCGCTCTTCCTCTTTCCCCCGACCACACACTCCCTGTGCACTCGACTCGACTGTCTTTTTCTTCAAGTTTGAATTCTTTTTTCTTCGAGTCGTTGCTGGTATTCGACCTCGAACCCCGTTTTCGCGGTTGCAGATTCTGCGTTCGTTTGAGGCCTTAAGCGTTTAACAACCACTTTACTTCTCGTTGATCTGCTTTTTTCGACGCATCCAACACGAAATCGACGATGCAGTTCAAGACTTCCTTTTTCGCCCTTCTTGCCGGCTTTTTGGCCAGCTCCACCCTCGCAGCCTACGTCCCTGTCGCCGACTCTGTCCCTGACAACGACTCTTTGACTGCTCCGGATTGCACACATGATGGGTCGACAACTACAACTGCCCCGGCTGGCGACGCGGTGGTGCCAGTACCAGCGGAACCTGACTCGGAGGTGCGCTTGAACGCCACGCAAGTCCTGGCATCGTTGGATGCTGGGGGAAAGGTTGCCACTGCTTGGTACCCCAGTTGGCAGGCCGCTGCCCACCCTCCCGAGAGTTTGTCCTGGGACAAGTATAATGCCATGACGTTTGCTTTTGCGTGCGTTTTTTTCTTCGTTTTTCCGTTGGTCTGATGGGATTTGCTAACGCGGTCTGTTTGGGAAATTGTAGGACGACGACTTCGGATCCGGCTAATCCGTTGGCTCTTGACGCTGAGAGTCAGGCTTTGTTGCCCAAGTTTGTGGAACAGGCTAAGCAGCATGTGAGTAGAGACTTGGCCTTTTCTCCCTCCGATTCTGACATGTTTGTCGTCAACTTTGTAGAATGTGAAAGCCCTACTTTCGCTTGGTGGATGGACTGGATCTATCTACTTCTCCGACCACGTTTCGACTCCTGAGCGACGAACAGCGTTCGTCAAGGCCGTCGTGGATTTGGCTACGCAGTACAACCTTGATGGTATCGACTTTGAGTGCGTTTTCTCTCCTTTCCGCCTTCATCAACTCCCAAGTACTTACTGCGACTTGCTACTATTCAGCTGGGAATTTCCCAATAAACAAGGCATTGGGTGTAACCACATCTCCAACGCCGATTCCGCCAACTTCCTTGCGTTTTTGCAAGAGCTGAGGCAAGATCCTACGGGAGGGAAGCTCATGCTTACTGCTGCTGTGGGGCTCTTGCCGTTTGTTGGATCTGATGGGCAGCCTATGAGTGATGTTTCTGGGTTTGCGGAGGTGTTTGATTTCATTGGTGCGTATATGCTAGCCATAGATTATGTTTTCTTTTATTTCTAACTTTGTTCTTGTAGCTATCATGGCGTATGATGTGTGGGGAGCGTGGTCGCCTACTGTTGGACCCAATGCGCCTCTGCAGGATTCGTGTGCTGCGAATGGTGTTGGGTCTGTTGCCTCGTCTGTTGCGGCGTGGACTGGAGCTGGGTTCCCTGCCAACAAGGTATTTTCTTCTTCGCATTTTAAGGGTTTCGGAGACTGATTTATCGTCTATTTGTAGCTCGTACTGGGAGTACCGGCGTATGGTCGAAGCTATTACGTCGATCCAGCCAACGCTCTCTCCGCTGCAGGGGAGCTCACCCCTTACGCGCAATTTGACAAGTCGAAGCAACCGCTTGGTGAAGGTGAAACTGGCGAACAGAGTAAGTCAAATCTCTATCTATCCCAGTACATAGATGGAATGCTGAACCCTCCCCTGTAGCTGTGGACCAGTGCGGCGTCGCTTCTGGACCTAGCGGACTCTTCAACTTTGCTGGACTGGTCGATGCCGGGTATTTGAACCCTGATGGAACCGCTGCGGAGGGTATGGTGTATCTCTGCGACCAGTGCAGTGAGACTGTGAGTTCTTTATTCCTTTATTTCGTCAACCGAGGTTGGTACTGACAACATTCGGACTACTAGCCATTTGTGTACCAGAAGGATACGGGCACGATGATCACCTACGATGATGCTGAGAGTACGGCTGCTAAGGGCAACTTTATCGCTGAGCAGGGGCTGAAGGGCTTCGCTATCTGGCATGGCATTGGTGATTATAATGATATTTTGCTTGACGCTGTCTCGAGGGGTATGGGGCAGTAACTGGTTAGTGGCTGGTGTTTTACTCGGGCCTTTGAAGTGTGGATCGCTTTGTTGCAATTTTTCTGTGCTCTGCTGTTTTAGATGATTAGAATACCGACTGAATTTGATAGGCTATAGACAAGCATCTGCGATGTTTTATCTTACTTACCACCTCCTTTTTTGTATGCTAGACTTGTATATTGCTAAGGTTCCTTGGTCCCCAAATGCGATATTCAATCTCTTTCTAAAACACACTGTGATGCTATCCCGACTGCGAACCTCGCCCTCCCGCACAGGAGTTCGAATATTCGTACTCCTTTTCTCGTTCCTCGTCCTCCTCGTCCTCGCGTACATAGCAGCAGCCGTGTTCCTCCACAGCCTCCCGGGAAGCCACTTCAACCACAGATCGAATATGGACGCGTACGCAGGGAATCTACAGCTCAGGACACGGTTTTGGTATAGGAAGAGTCGATTCAGAATGTCTGAACCTTGGAGGATGTTGAGGAGAAGGATTCGAGGGGAGTATTTTGATGTTGAGATGTATTCTTTGAGGTTCGTCGTCTACTTAACGTTCATCCTTATTGGATGCCCTTGGTGCCAAGTTCCAGGAGACTGACTTGTGGGATTTTGGGTTAAGATAGGAGTAGGTACCATAAGGAGGACGTTTTCTATCAGAGGTATATGGAAGGAGGGGTGGTTGTTGGCATGGGGGAGGTATCGGTTTTAGTTGGAGAGGAGGGTTGGGGAGAGGAGAAGGATACCAGTGTCAAACTGTCGAGGAGGAGAGGGAGCATTGGAAAATGAGTTTCTGAAGCCTTAATGTATCCCACACATCCATTCATTAATTAATTCAACACTTTTTCCTCCCCCTGGCCTCCCGCCGGCTGGGCGCATTTCAAACCCCGATGTGATTAGCGCCTGTCTGTTGACGCTTCCATTCCGTGATGTGCTCGCTCGCGACTTGTACCTTTACCACCATCGCGACTACTACCTTGACCAGTGCACCTATTCCACTATGAAACCGCTAGCCAAATTTATGGAGCACGAATCAGACTCGGAGGACGACGAGGACTACGTTCCTCCTGCTGACGACGGTGCGCAACATGTCGACTGTCGACCCTCCCTGTGCAGTAATGGATGTACTCAAATACGCGTATTACATCAGGCAGCAACTCATCTGAAGACGAATCAGACAAAGGCAGTGATGCAAAGAAGGATACACAGGAAGACGACACGGAAAAGAAGTGCGTCTTTTTGCTATGGCCTGAGGCGACATCGAACGTTGACGATTGAAAAGAGACTTGAAAAAGGTCTGGGAAAGTTTCCAGGCCTCAATAGCTCAGGAAGACGCCAGTCAGAAGCCTCCAGCTGAACCCAATTTGGTTAAAGTCGTGAAACGGTACAGGTTTGCGGGTGAGGAACACGAGTGCGATTCAATTTCGATGTGCAATTGTTGCGCTGTGAGCTTACGTGCTGGGTTACTATTAGGGAGGTTATCGAGGTCCCGGAAGGATCAGACGATGCAAAGCGGTGGCCGCTGTACCATCCAACCGACCTGCAAACGGCAAATTCTCAGTCAGAGCCACGACTGGCGCTCCAACCGTCATCATCCACCAAGGACGAGTCCGTCCATGCAAGTCCTGCGCCTGCACATGTTCCACCTCCCGATACTACCATCGACACCACCACTTCTATTGCGACGCAAACGGTGAAATCCGAGCCACCACCGCCCAAGCGCAAACCAGGTCCTCGCAAACCCAAAACGACACTGGCGCCTCTCCCCGGTTCGTCAGGCCCCAAAGCGAAGAAGATCACCACGCTCGAAAAGTCAGCTATAGATTGGAAGTCCCATTTGGAGTCGCAAAAGGGGACGGGGGTGCAGGAAGAGTTGGAGGCGAACAGGAGGGGAGGAGGGTACCTTGAGAAAGTGGAGTTCTTACAGCGGGTGGAGGAGAGGAAGGATGAGCATTGGAAGGCGGCTAGGAGTGCTAAGAGGAGGAAGATTTGAGGAGACGTTGTGTGTTGCGTGGTGAGTAACGAATTCCAGTGTTAATCGAGGAACGATGAATGGCGTGGGCTAATGGTACAGCGTAGATAAAGTCCTGAAGAATTACGGCATAGAGCACTCGACGATTTACACATCACTGGCTTGTCCGACCTTGACAGCATCCCCCAGGGCGTCACTGTCGCCTCCAGCGATAGCCTGTACAACGGCACCGACCCCACCCTGGCCCTCCACCTCCTCCAACGAATCAGCTCGAGGATCGCTAGTGGCTTTGACAGGAAGTGTTGCTGCGTCCACTGCGGGGGCTGACTCTGCCTGCGGAAGAACCCATTCCATATCGACATCCACGTCAATGATGTCTGAACCAAGTCCCAAGGCGAAATCAAGATCCTTCTTGGTCAAACGGAACGTGGCCCTGGTGGTGGATGGGTCACCGGTTGCTCCGGACGGAGGTTGGGGCATGTGGAAAGAGGGAATGAACCAGAACCAGCCGATGAAAACCTGTCATATGGACCTGTATCAGCATACACAACTGGGCGGAAGAGAGCATGGAATAATCACCTTTCCGATATACAACTTCACGCGGAGCTCTCTCGAAGCATCGACTACCAGTCCTTCCAGCTCTTCGGACATCTCTCCTTCGTCTACTTCCTTTCGGATTTCGGATTCGTCGTACATCGAGTTTGCTTCAGAACTGGGGATGTCCAACTTTTGGAGGTCGTTCTCGAGTTCTTTGACATTTTCCGTCGTCACTCCTGCGGCTTCAGCCGGTGTAGCAGTGGTGGATCTTGTGACGGACTCGGCGGCATCGGGAGGAGCGAATGCAACGCGATTTTTCAATTCATTCCATCGTTCGTCGGTCAAGAGTCGGAGCGTATGGGTATGCACCTTGGTCTTTCTCCCCTCTTCTTGTGTCACTGTCACGGTTTCGTCCTGCATCGTACGAGGATCATTAGCTTCTCATTCCCAGTATCTCCCGAATCAAGAAAGTTGTCGACACACCTTGGCACCGCGCAGACCGAACCGAGCAAAGCTGCAAACCATCTTGCCCGAATCCCATTTCCCTGACGAGTCGAACAATTGTTCGAGGTCGTGCTCGATATCATCGATGTGCATGGTCTTCGAGTTTCCCCGACGCTTCGCCAACCCGCCGCTGCCTTCTTGCCTTGTCCATGCCTCCCATTTCTCGAGCAAGTCAACCAAATCGTCATCGTACCGGGCAACCGAAGCCCATAGTTGGTTCGGGTCGTCCTTGGTACTCTCAGACTTGGAAGTTGGGGATGGAGTGTCCCGAGTGGGACTCGTGGAGTCGGCACGATCTTTGGAGGTTTTCGAGGAAGGTTTCCGAACGGAACTGGCCTTGTGCAATACTACATTCGTCGCATGCACGATCCTCCTCGTCACATTAGATCCTTCACGCATACGAACTTGAATTCTGGTCACCCGAACACCGGGCTTCGCCGACTTCGTTACGCTCTTCCCATCGGGCGTCTTGGTGTGGTTGAGGACATCCTTTGGAGCATCTCCTGCCAGTAGCAAAGCCCAATAATACAGCCATCGTCGTTGTGAGGGTATGCTCACGCCCTGCCGTTGTTTCTTTTGTTTTACGTCCGGTGATTTAGGGTCACTGGCGGGTTTCATTCGTCGAGCCGTGTGTAAGTCCAGGACTCCCTTAAGAGAGTCTATGAATGACCTTTCTGGGTTGGGAGGTGACCCAAGGCGTGGACTCGATGCCGGAGAAGTGCCTTTATCGACGTCCAGGATCCCGTCTGCGTCAGAAGGCGGTAGTTGGGCTGCCTTGAGATCGGTTGTGTCGGGGGTCGGTTTCCTGTGATGAGAAGCAGGTTTTTCAGGGGACGTTAGGTCCACCGTGTCGTCGTCCTCAGGGAGTTCGTTGATTCTTTCTTCGGTGTGGAGTTGGGCCCGTTCGGTGGCGGAGAGGTTCCGGTTCAGGGATGGCGCTGTTGGTGGCGAGTCTAGGGTCAAGAGATAGGTGCAGGCCATTGTTCCCGAGCGTCCTTTCCCGGCTATGTTTCAAGGGTCAGACCGAGCTGGCCACTACCCTCCGTGAGGATTCCATACCTTTGCAATGAAGCACTGCAACTCGCTCTGGGGAACCGTCCAGCCATGCGTGCATCTCACGAGCCAGGAGGGGCAACAGTGCCAATGGAGGAGCACTATAGTCCCAGGCATCAATACATTTGTGCACACAGGGTGAAGCTAGATACTTACTGATGGTCGGGAAACGGGAACCTGGTGACTCTTCCATCAAATACACTCGGATCATACGAATTCTCCCTTATAGGGCAAAAGTTGAACACCCAATAGTTCTTTCCATGCCTATGATCCAAGAAGCGTTTCGCATCCTCCCTTTTATTCCGGTACAATCCTTCGAGGCCAGCAGCTGGGTACCCCATGACGATGATTTGGTCCGTGACATAGACGAGGTCGAGGTCGAGTCCTAGTTCTGTATCTTGAAAACGAGCTTTCGGGCCAGAGACGAGGCGTCGTATAAAGTCTGCCATGATGGTGTGTGGTGGTAAATGGAGGCCCGTTCAAAGGCACCGCCTGCATTTGTGCCCTGTCACGAACGCCTTGACCCCAGGCGCTAGGGACTATGATGTCATTCCCTGGGGATAAAGTGACATCAAAGTTTTTCAAGGTCCGCTGCCGAGCAAAGCCGATCTTCTGCCAAGGATTCTTCTGTGGAGGGTACGAGGAAGAGAAGGTCTGTACAAAATGTTCGCTGACGGTCTAGAAGATAAGTTTCAATAGCCTGGCTATTAGGTCATGGTCTAAGTAGATCTAGCAAGTGGAGGTATTGGATTAGTTGTGTGCCAGGGTGAGGCGGTGAATGATGAGGGGTGAAAAGCGATAGCAGGGGGCCGTAACTGGTCCATTCTATGAAGGAGAACCAGACTTTGAATCTTTGTCCGACTTGGAGGGCTCTGTAGGCGCGGTGACGTCTATCTGGGTCTCTTGCGGTGGTAAGTCAGATATCGAGTGCATTTCTTCTGGTTCGCCAGCTAGCTGAGTCCGGTGCGAGTGAGGTGCCAAGTTGACTCTGGGTATCTGTACTGGCGAGTCTTGGAACTCTGCCCAGCCACCTCGAAGACCGATTTCCACCACTCGCTCGAGTATCCGTGCAAGTTCGTCGTTCCTATAGACGCATACTTCACTGTGTCTGCTGGAAGCAAAAGCACCATGACGTACCGTATCCGTTCGTCTCTCAAGTCGTCGTCCCACTTCTCAGACAGACTCTCCACTTTAGCTTGTAGTTCCGATATCTGGGTTCCGAGTGCATCGAGCTGGTCGTCTACAGAATCACGTCGTTTCGATTGGTTCCGCGACGAACGGAAGGCTTCGCCTATAATCAGTGCTGCTGCCACAGAGAACATGAAGCCTTCTGCTAAGAAGTTGGCGCCTTGGTCTATCGCTCTGTGTAAAGTCAACGAGGAACCTAATGAGATAATCATACCAACCAGAAACAATCGGCGAAACGCACCTTGTCTCTGAGAGGGGACGAATGTGGAGGTGCTTCATTTGTTCTCCGAGGATGTTCGTGCGTAGTTTCACTTCAGTTCTGTACATCCCTTGGGCGAGGTTGATGCACCATTGGCGGAACCTAGGATGTCTGGAGGCTTGGGTTGTTACCACCGAGAGGTGCCCCAGAACGGGAGAATAGGCTCACTGTCGCGCCTGTTCCTTGATTTTGGTTGCGATAGGTTTGGAAAGTGTCTGTCATACAGCGTTAGCCAACTTGTTGTTGGACATGTATCCAATCTATGCAAGGTCTTCGGGGAAAGTTCCATGCTCGACTGTCAATAAAGACACGAGCAGAGCACGAGCTCAATGGCGAAATCCCGATGCATCGAACTCACCCGAATGATGAGAGTCCCAATCTTCACCGACGCCATTTGATCGCGTTTGTTTCGTCAGTCACAATGTTGATGGGCTTTGACGTGGTCGTTGTCCTGTTCGTCGTAGTCGCTGGTCGTGGTGGGCAGAAGGAAAGACACGGTACGCAGTTTTGGCGATGCCGTACGTTTGACGTTGACCTTCTGCCGAACCCGCGTCGCGGATTGATTTCCCCGCAAGGCAAAGGGACCCCTTTCTCACTCGACAAGAATTCGCGTTGTAGAGCCAAGGGGACGCCGGAACTTGGCGTACAGATTGTTAAATATTGCTGGAGACAGTGCTAGTGCCTCTTGGTTGACTGAATTCAAGATATCTACAAATTTACAACTGGTATGCGGTACACAGAAGACTAACACAACACCTCACTCAGTATGCCTCGAAGATCAAAATACAAACGCTAACACCAGGAGCCGTGAAATCAAACCTCTTTCCAGTGGGGATGGTCACGGTCCTCGGGACAATGGCATTCGGGTTGGAAGGAGTATTGCTAGACGTTCCCCCTCCACTCAAAATATAAGCCGTCCCCGTGCTGGCGACGTTGTTGAACGGGAGAACAAAAGTGAATTGGCCAGCCGAGGGTGCGACATTCACAGTCTGGGATAAAGGTTAGAATCAAGTTTTCAGGATAGGAGTTGAAGAAGAAAAAAACTGTGGCTGCCCACCTTGATGATGATCTCCCTGGTGGACTTTTTCCTGACTACACTCCAAAATTGCGTTCCAGTGCGGCTGGGAAGGGTGCTAGGGAGATACTCGTCTCCTCGATAGACGCTGAAGAACTGGATGGGTGTGTGAGGGGTCAATTACAACGCGGGGTACTCAGTTCGTACCTTTTGGACGTAGTAGCTGGTAGATCTGTAGACTGAGCCGGCGCTGCAGAATAACAAGTGAGATGTATTCCTTGCGATACTTCACATAAATACTTACTCGAAAGCAATGAGGTTGGGGGTCTTCACATCCACCGAAACCGTTAGAAAAACATCAATGGATATAACGCGCCACGTACCCATTGATTCCTCGTAGCGTGCTACGAAATCCCGTCAGATACCGCAGAAACAAAGTGAACTGAAGTCAAAACCTACTCCAATCAAAGGTGCATACGCCGCAGCGAAAACAATATCACTGTTTCTCTCCAAACCAGTCATAAACGCCGCTTCCCCAGCAGCGCTTTGCATGGTCGGATAGACGAGTCGTCCGTTTGCTGGCGAACCGAAGAGATCGTTCGGGTTGGTGGAAATCGCCGCGTATTCTCCCTCGAAGTACTTCGTTCCGTTCCTCTGAGTAAAAGGAAAAGGTCGGTAAGGGGGCTGGAAAATGGCTGGAAAATGGATGGGATTTTGAAAAACCGCTTACCTGGAAACTGTCATAGTAGAAGGAGTTCTGCGCAAACCATGCTGAAAGGCTCGTTAGTCGCATGGGGGATGGACGTTTCTTTGGAGAAACATACTAGGCGTCTGGTAGACATGAACGTCATAATGGGTCGGCCTGGGAGTGAGAACAGGGTCATATGGACGGGTGGTTGCAATGAAGCCTGTCGCGGCGTGTCAGTCATGGTTTTAAAAGGGGGAGTTGGAACTGCATACTGAGTTGTGGGAATTCAGCCTGGAGAGCATTGGCGAAATGTTTCCATCGATAGATGTACGACTCGGAAGCGAACCAGTCCTAAATTCATCCGGTTGGTGAATGGAAGCCATGCAGTACATAAAGGAGATTCCTTACCTCGTTGCCAATCTCGACGAACCTCATAGCAAAGGGTTCGGTACGACCCAGTGAGCGTCGAAGGGCGGCTGCATATGAAAGGTCAGATGTGGGCCTCGCATTACAAATATCCAGGAGTTATGCACCTGGCGCACTCTTGTCGGGATCGCCGATGGCGAAGTTGATCTAATGAAACTCTCGTATTAGTCCTGACTCCTCGGAGAGCCTCAGAGCCACACAGGCCTGACCTGGTCAATGGCTTGCTGGATATAGGGTCCCAGCTGGTTCTCCGGGACACTCGTTCCACCGAGTGCATAACCTATGAAATTACGTTAAAGGCACTCTTGAATTGAGGAAATAGCAACCTACCGGCCCAAACACCCATGATTGGCTCTGCATTAATGTCTTCGCACCAGTACAGGTATTCGAGGAGACCCAAGCCGCTGGGGAGCTACAATGTCAGAGGTGGTTGTGAGAGTTGTGGATATCGGGATTCCCGTACTCGGTGTTGACATAGGTCCAGTCTCCCATTCGACCTGGCCTCTCGATCAATGGACCAACCTAGGCACCGTTAACGCTGTAAGATTATATCTGAGAAAGACAATGCGGGGAGACGTGCCGTAGCATTCCATTGCCAGCGTCGCTCAACTGTCTGCCCCTCCAGATTGTTTCCACCCGGGAAACGGAAGAACGAAGGTGCCAACTCCACAAGTGCTTCTGCAAGGTCTACTCTCATTCCATTAGCCCGATTTTTGAAAGTAGGCGGGAAGAGCGAAAGCATCGTGAAATGGATGGTTTGGCCTGCAGCCTGTGCGCCATCTGCGGTTATAGAGAACAAGTTAGATGTGGATGAGGGTGTGGCAGTTGCGACTAGATCGAAGGTAACTTGGTTCCATGTCGTTTGAGAACCGGACACAGGAACATTGGCTGTTGCCAGGACCTGCCCGTTGGCGGTTTGAAGCCGGACCGTCAGGTTTCCATTGAAGTTGGAGCGGTTGGGGAAGCGGTAGTAAAAGGATGCTTTGTAGGTTGTTCCGGAAGTAATTTTAATGCCTAGGGCAACGAGGTGAGACGTGCACTTGGTCGGCGATACAGAAGTGGAGATCCATACCTGCATATCCCGTATTCGCGAAGCCGGCGGCGCCAGGCCTCCCGCGAGGGAAAACGACTTGTAGCGCATTGGGAAGGCGCGACGACACAGGGGTGCTCTCCCGTATAACACGTATGGTTGCACCATTCAATGCCTGCCAACCAGTAAGGGAGGCAGCGGTACCTGTTTTGAAGTGAGAAACAGAGGTATCCATGAGTAACAACGATTACCAGGAGTTGTCAGCTGGAATGCCCGGTTTTGCAGTACTAAAGAGGCGATGTTCAGAGATATGGGGTAGCACGAAGTGTTCATCATACACACATTCTCCGTATAGTCCACCGTCACCGCTCTGTTTATGACGGGTTCATGCGATCTGTGAGATATCACACCTGGGCACTCACATACTGTCCAGAGCTTCAGAACATTGTCATCGGATTGTCAGAACAGGGAACTTACGCTGATATCCTAAAGCCGATGGTAAGAAGTGGAAACAAATCTGTGAAAGGCTGGCTCACCTCGTACATCAGTCCCCCTGAGATTCAGTGCTCAACAGTGAGGATTATGTAGGAAGACGAACAACCACATACACAATGTAGAAGGAATCTCATGACTGGCAGCCGCATTCACGGTTACTGTAACCGCCATTGCTGCGGGTAACAATGGAAGTAAAAACGTCAAGAGGGGGAAAATATACATCATGTTCGTCGTTACTGTCCTTTGTTATTAGCTGAAAGTACAAGTTTTTATACTGCGCAATGTGGAGAAGATGGGGTCGATGGCGGCGGACGCAAGAAGAACATAGAAGAGGAGCGTACGACATCATTTGTACATTTGGAGAATTAAGATGCACCGAATCGCGTCCATGGGACGGGACGACGTTGAACGAGCGGGCATCGGCACGATTTCGTGAATAGGAAGGCATGCGAGTTTTGTCATACGGTTGTCCCATGATTGTAGAGAGAAGGGAACCGGCCCAACAATAGAATCATTCGAGGTTCTGGGAGCAGTTGGAAGCCAGGAAGGAAGACTATAAGAACACCCCATCTCGCCGTTTGAAATATTTTGGCTAGGTATTACGCCAGAGAAGACATTCTTCAAGGATTTGGGGCGATAAAAGCTGTCCGTTGCGGGCAGCTGAGCCGAGTGAAGGAGACGAGATGTTCGCAGAAGTCGACCTGACCGCTGCAGTCTTCTCTAGCGGCGACCGCCTGGTGTTCCACACATGCACAGCATCTCTTTCGTCTCTTTCCGGACAATAAAGACGATGTAGACCCAGGGCTAGATGCAAAAATATTGACTGGAGACGATTCGCGGTGGTGGTCGGAAGTCAAGAGGCGTTGTTTGTACATGTTGACGCGCTGGCAAAATGTTGTCAGAGGCGCTTGGTTCTTTCGCAACACCGTGTCCAGCACCAGCACTCCAATTCCCCCCGTCGTCGTCGCTGGCAACGTTCTTGAGTAGCGGACCACACCTGACACGATGCTTCCTCACTACCTCTGCTCGCACATCCAAAATGCCTTCCGGGCACGACACCAGAAGGTCCTCGTCGAACACAGCACTCAAAACCTCGGAATCCTCTCAATTCTCCTCCGAGCAGGCTTCATCTCGTCATTGACGCGGGGAACAATCAACAGACCATCCCCAGATGACTTTAACAAGGCGGGAGAGGCCGAAAAGAGGATATGGGCAGACCTCAAGTACCGCAATGACATGCCTGTTCTCAGCCACATGGAACTCGTCAGCAAACCAAGCAAGCGAATCTTCATGGACGTCGCGGAAATCCGGAGGATATGCACGGGGAGACGGGCGCAGACTATCAAACCTTTGGGAATGGGAGAGGTCGCGGTTGTGAGGACGAATCACCCTGAACACGAATGGTTGGAGGCGAGGGAGGCGCTGGCGTTGAAGCTGCCGGGAGAGGTTATTTGCAGGGCTCGGTGAACTCTACAGCGTTTGGTGCGTCTCCCTTTTTACTTTGGTATACCGCCCGGCTCACCTGTGCGCTTCAGCAAAACTATTATCACCTTTTTATTTAGACCACCCCATAATACCTCCGCTCTGGGATTATACACCAACAAAATCCTATAATGCTCTATCGCGCCTGGTACAAAATGGAGGAAAGTGAAAGTGTACACGGATAGTACGGTAAGGGATCGAGACCGACGCACGCTCCGCCAGCAAGGCATTTGCTATTTCCCCTACCACACCTCAATATGCACCGTCTCAAAAGTAGGTTGTATTCCATTGGACTCGATACCATTCTCACTAACTATTACATTTGTAGACATTATGATTTAGGTGCATTGTCCGATATTCATTGATTCTCGACTGGAACAAGAAAACCGCCATTAGCTCAAGCCGGCCTGCAACTAACCCAACACTTACTTTGCTCGATGAACCAGCATTGGTTGCGCCCGTCCCAGGCACCATACGTCTTGATGGGGTTTCCGTTGGACGAGTTACCATGATTGCTCAAGTCCAGGTGGAAGGGGGTGCGAGGAGCCCCGATTCTACTCGCCCAACTTGTTAGCCACGCTTCTTCGAAGATGAAGAGACCTGGACATACCTCCAAACTGTCCGATCCTTCTCGTCGCGCCAGATCGCCCACATAAACGCGTCTTTCCAGACAACGACGTTGGAGCCTTCACCGGCGGTGCCCCTCTCGACAGCCAGGTAGCCTCCGGTCTGCACGTTGCGAATGCTATAGGTGTTGCCGCCTTGGTAGTTGATTTCCCACTAGAGGGAAGCGATGGATCAGTACAATGGCGAGGATGGGGATCGAGGTCGGGGTTTTGTGACGGATGAGGAACTTACGTGTTGGTTGTTGTTACCGTGGTACTGCCATGCATGGACTGGAAGGTGTATGACCGTCAGCTCGAGGCCCCATGGAGGCGAGGGGAATACCCAACTCACCTTTGCTCTGATTGACATCGAGGTCAACGACAGTGCCACCTTTGACGTTGGCGATCTTGTATTTCCCGTTTCCGACGGCTTGTCCTTGAACTTGGAGTGGGGGTGGCATGTTGTCGTTAGTCTTGCGTACGAATTGAGGGGAAGGATGAGGTTTGAAGATGAGCCTTTGCGGCCCCCCGGGACCTTCTTATATGGTTACGCCCCATCATCGATCAGCTATAGGGAGATACCCGAATCTCCACACATTGAATGAATTGTTACCTCGAGGCTTGTGCGATGGCCTGAACAACGCCGTTGCCTATCGTAGTTGGGCATATCGATATCTGTGACGAACCATTCGTGATCGATAGTGATCCTTCATCGAGCTGAGCCACTTCTCTGGTCGTTTGAATCCCTGATTGGTTTTGAACAAATGGGCATGTTCTCGAGCATTCGAGTGCGGCGCGTGGGGCCAAGCCTTCGCCCCATGCCCGTGACGCCGCTACGCAAACACTGGGGACAGGGATCATATTGAGCGAATAAGAAAGGGGGCTGCAGACGTTCAATCGAGCCAAAAGGTATCCGTGGTTCCTTGAGATGCTCACGGAATACCTGCATTAAGCATCCTTCAAGCCTTATTAGACAATCTGCCAGGGACTGATCATGAGCGCTTAAAATGTATAGCCACATACTGGGGTTCCTTGTGAATCCCAGTGTTTGGTGAGTTAGTGGTGCACAAGAGTCAACATGGCCTGTCGCAGCTAAGTTCAAAGGAGTTATGTCCATAATCAAGCTGGGGAACCTCCTCACAACCAAACTCAGGAAGTCGATCTCAGTGCAGACGGTGCTATCAGACACTTTTAATATTGCTTGAACTCAAACATATACAGTTCCAATCTTTCATGACCCCGATATGCTGCCCGTACTCCGATTAGACTGAGATATATCACGATTGTGGTTAGTTCTTGGTATCTTTGGGAAGATGGCGTTACATACCAGCCTCAAAGATCCAGCACTGATTTCGTCCTTCCCAAGCACCCCACACTTGGATGGGAGTCCCATCAGCGGAGTCACCATGGTTGGTCAAATCAAGGTGGAATGGTGAGTCGGGGACGCCGATCCTGTTCAATGTAACGTCCGTCAGTTACTGTGCCAGCGGATTGCCTCAAACCCACCTCCAGACGCTATCATCGTTCTCGTCGGGCCAGATAGCCCATGCGAAAGGATCTTCCCAGTGGACGGCATCGACACCGTCACCAGGGGCACCGTCGACGATGGCCAAGTATCCGCCAGACTCTGCGTTCTTGATGTGGAAGTGGCCGTCATCGGTCTGCTCGATATCCCACTGTGGCATCGGGGAGCGCGCTCAATGCTACAAAGTACCCGGAATAGGTAAGGAGGAGACCTACGTGTTGGTTATCACCGCCGTGGGCTGCGCATGCGTGGACTGTCAGGGGAGGGGATGGGAGTCAGTCGTGGGGGAGCCCGCCCAAACAAGGATGGGACCCACTGTTCCAGTTGTTGGAGGTGTTGAGGTCAACAACGGTGCCTCCCTGAGCATTCACAATCTTGTATCGTCCGGGTTCAACCATGGTTCCAGCTCTTTAGTGATGGTAGATGAGGGAAGAAGGGTCGTAGCCTGGGACTGCCTTTATACCCTCAACGGGCACTCAGGTGACAACCCGACAGCTTGCTGACAGCGTGCGTACAAAGAACAAGGTTTCAGCTATCCTTAGTGCTCCTGTGAGCTGATTCTTTATCGATGGGCTTGTCCATCCCAGAAGAGGTCAGAACCCCGGTGATGAGTGCTAATTGGACGTAGAGGCCGTTATGCCTCCGCTTCCAAGCGGTAGCCAAGGCCACTTGGTGCAATAAAGCCGACCAGAAACCTCCAGAAACTGATGAAAGGAACGCAAGGCGTAATTCTACGGCGCAACAAGGGTGATCAGGAGCGGCGTGACGGTCAGAACGGGCGTGGCAGCATGTCGAGATGGAGATGCCCAGAAGTTCTTCTACTCTTGATAGTACAAGGAAGTGGGGCAGCTCGGCAGCTCAAGTGCACTTGGCAGAGCAACGAGGGGCTTATGATGAGGGGGTAAGGCAAAGCTGGATGACGTGAAGGTTGCGATAGCTGTCGGGCCGTGAGCTCGGGGAAAGGCTCGAAATGGCGCAAGAGACCTGTTGGGCTGGCACGCATCCACGTGTACGGGACCTCAAAGACCACATGAAAGGGTAGAGGGACCACAGGCTAAGAGATGCAGTACCCCAGAGGCGGTACACGCCCTCCTTGGCCTTGCGAGTGGAGGATCGCCACAAAGAAGCATGAGCGCTTAAAGAGGTACAGCCACGCCCAGCCACGGCAGAAAGTGGCTATGCTCGTGACCCTTGGCAATCATGAAGCGATGCGGGCCTCAAGATGCAGTGGGACCCAGTTAACTTGTAGCATTCGAGATCAAAAGATAGTTCAGCACTGACTGTACTCCGACCACGGACGAAACTCTGTAGGGCAGGCACTTCCGCCCGACCACTAGTAGTGGAGGGGCGGAAGGCCCTGCTGATGCCAAGCCTTCGGAGGATTCAGAACGCGGACAAAGTTACATGCACTACGAGATATATTGCGCTTTCAATGTCACGCATTCCATGTTAATATATTCAGGGTGAAAATTGTAGATCGGTACATCAAGCTGCGGGATGAATAAAGTGTAAGCTTCTGGACAGAGACCTCGCTGGTTCAGAAAACTAGTAGCTATCGCGACTTACCCTCTTCAACAACCCAGCATTGGTTTCGTCCGTCAGAAGCGTTCCACACTTGGACGGCGGTACCATCGGCAGAGTTGCCGTGGTCGCTCAAGTCGAGGTGGAAAGCCGTATCGGGGACACCGATCCTATGTAATTTCGAAGTCGGAAAGGTCAGCTAGCGCTCAAGTAGAATAGACGATACCATCTAGTAGAGACGGTCTACTTGCCTCCAGACGGATCCATCGTTCTCGTCGGGCCAGACGGCCCACTCAAACGGGTCAGCCCATGAAACAGCCTTGACACCGTCGCCAGCGATGCCGTTGACGATGGCTAAGTAGCCACCGGTGTTGGCGTTGCATATAGTCCAGATGTTGTCTCCTATGTGCTCAAAGTCCCACTTCACAGTGAGAAGGCGGTCAGTAGGCTACATCCTACCAGAACCTTCTAAAAGACCTACAAGCTGGTTGTCGCCGCCATGAAAGGCCCATCCATGAACTACATGCATGTCAAATCAACTAACAGGCAAAAGGTGGTGCACCACGGTAGTTAGTAGTACTGACCAGTTGAGTTGTTGTTAATATCGAGGTCAAGGGCTGTGCCACCCTTGACATTAATGACCCTGTATCGTCCAGGCTCCATGTTTGCGCAGGGAGTGAAGGGAAGATTGAATAAGAGGGGAAAGACCGCAATCCTGCCGAGAGCTGGTCTCTTCTGCATCCTCTTTATACCATTCGTCGATCACCTATGGGCGCACCTCCAAGTTGGCAACGACTCTCCCACCTGACCAATGCCTACTTGCATCTAGAAAGCGCTGAAACTTCCAAATCAGCGTCGTAAATAAGTGATTACACCAACGAGGGGTCCTCTCTCTACTGCGAGACCTGTTTAGAACCCCCTTGTGTGCGTCAAGAAGGGCAAGGCATACGTGGTTCTCCAGCGCCCAAAGTCGAAGAAGATAAGATGCACACAGAAAATTACTCCACTGAACTCAATGAAACTACCTTTTTAAGTCAGCCGTGTGATTATCCGAACCTCGAAGGACAGTTCTGACGATTAGTTAGCACAGAATGTACGTTAAATGGTTCTGTTTGAGGGCGTCTTCAGCGGTCGCCTGTCCCATCTCTCAAAGAAGAGAACTTAAACATCTGAGAAGCAACGGGTTTCCATTTGAATCAAGCCCACAGGTAGTACACAGAGAGGCAACGAGGCAGATGGCCAGGCAAAAAGACTGGCCACCAAATGCAAATAAAGTTATGGGTTGACTTGTTTCCTTTCCCTGGGCCAGGCTGTAGGTCCACATTGGCTCATCATGGTAGTGCATTGGGCCTAGGCGTATGAGAGGTTTCAGCGGATTGGAATGCATTGCATTCTAGCCAGGGGAAAGGGATAAGCGCCTAGAAAAGCAAGAATTAAGCGCTCGCCCACGACTCCAGCGAGGAGTGACTGGTCGTCGTCGTCCCAATTTGCCGCGTCTATCTCCATACGCAGAAGGATGGGTTATCTCTGCGGAAAAACTGTCACATTACAAACAAACAACAAGTCATGAAATGTCATGATAGATCGTGAAATACATGCAGTAAACGTGTTTCGTATAATGCAAACTTAACCTATACTAGTGACGCCCAAGAACCCCTAATCCAGATTTCACACCGCATACCCCGCGACTAGGACCCCTGGTCTACGATATACGAAGCCTTAGTCACTGTTGCCCCTTCCAGCCCTATGGTGCAGCAACGCCTCAGTCTCTCCACCTTCCACAACGGTCGTCAACCCCCTTTCGCCACCCTCATTCGAGACGTCATTCTTGCGCGCTTCAGCCTCTCGCATTCTCTCCTCCGCCTCCAGGCGCTTTTCAACCTTCTCCACTTGACGATCCCAATTCGTGCGAAGACAAATGAAAGTGCCAAAGAACGAGCAATAGACGAGTGAGACAGTCAAGCCAATCCAGAGGCCCGTTAGGCCCATGTCTCGGCGGAAGGCAAGCCATACACCGAATGGAATACCGATGACGTAGTATGCACTAGAGGCAAGGTGGTGTGTGAGTTGGTGTTCGGTGGACATGGTGAATGGACGAAGATGTATACCTGAGGTTCAGCAAGGCGCCGAGGAACTGTTTTCCAATTGCACGCAGGATACCGGACGTCACGGCGGCGTTTCCATCCACGACTTGGAAGAGCGCAACCAAGGGGAGAATGTGGGCAGTGAGACTCACGACCTCTGTGTTCATAGATGAGAAGAGTTCGTTCTCGAGAAAGTCGGGGGAACGGTCACTAACCGTCGTCATCGTTAAACAGACGTCCCCAAGAGTTACGGAACGTCACAAACAACGTGCTACTCTCGTCAGCCACAAGCATTATGTTCTGCGTCATAGAGGCTCACCTGGTGAAGACGGAGATCAAGAGAGCAATGACAATCGCAGTTCTAGCAGCCACACCTGCTCGCTTCGCGTTTCGCTCACCGAGCAAGTTACCGATACTTTGGTTGCGGATGTCCGTTTGAGCAACGCGAAAATGGAGACTAGCGTGACCACTCTTACCGAACAGAAGTTGCTACACCGAGTGCGAAAGGTGCCTGGAAGGTCATAGACGAGGAAGTCAATAGAACGGACTGGGTGGCAAGGACCACGGGACCCATTCTAAAAATTGTTTAGCGCGGCTACGGCGGATCGGTTATGAATAAGGGACTTACAGGGACGCGGCCAGAGACATAAGCTCCCATGCCCACCACTCAGAAGCGGTCTGGCCTGCATTGGTTGTTAAACCCAAATCAAGAGTGCAGGGACATGATGGACGCACCGACACCACTCAAGCCCAGATGGACCAAGATACCCAAGCTCGTGAACATACGCCGAGAAAGTGGATGCCAGGCGGTCTTCGGGACGAAGTATATGCCATAGGCGAGCGAGAAGAAGGAAATCAAGTTGAATGAGATGGCCGATGCGATAGGGGCACCAATGAATCCCAATCGTATGGGTTCAGGACCCCAGACTAAACATAGGTCAGCAACGAACCAACCGAGGTCCACGGATGCGCGCGACTCAGAACATACCGAGGAGGTAGTTAATTATGGCATTAATCGGCGCCACTCCAAGGATGATGCGCGTTGGTACGGTGAAAAGACCTGGACGATCGTTTTAATGGAGTGGCGTAGGGTTCGGAGTCAGGAAATAGCTACCTTGGGACTGGAAGTACCGCCTATGGCAAAAAATAGGTCAATCGCTGATCGAGCATGTCATCCGGTTCGCCTACCGACTGATACAGTTAAAGGTATAGGCTGGTGAAGGCTAACAGTCAGCGAAAATCAGAAGAGAATTCCAGTGAGTAGACGAACCGGGTAATCCCAGAATTGCCCAACGAAGGTACAAACTCGCTAAGCGAGCGACCTCCGGATCTTGTTTTAAGAAGAGCAAAATGGATTCGGCATTGAGCCATGTGAGTATGATTGGCTGTAGTAAGAAACATTGAGGGGCATCACCACCTGAGTCAGGAATTAAAAAACGTACAACAAGGGTTCCTGCCATAACCACGCCTGTCAACAGAGTTTTGCGTTAGGGGCTTGGGGGATGGATGAATGGCGGATGGAGCATACCCATTCGTTGAGCCCAGAGCCCGACAAATTCGGGGTGTGAAGACGTCCAGGCAGACGGAAGCATAGTGTCAAGCGCACTACAGAATCCCTGGATAATACTGTAACCAGTTACACTGGCAGTCATGGAGCCCAAGCTTATGGCCGCCAGTGCAATAGTGGAGATGTGTCCAATGGAGATGACTGGGACAATAATCAAGGTATACTCCAACAAATGGGTCCTGGAGCGTTTCCAGTGAGAAACCAATGTCCATGAGCAGGGACATTTCCGACACGCACCCAAATACAGGTAGAGCATAATTGCTGATGATGCGGAACTCCTCGAAGAACATGTTCAGCTTGCTCTCATTGTCCGACGATGGGTCCGAATCTATCTCCTCCTCGATTCGAGGAACTGGAGGTCCTGCGAGCAGCGGGGTATACTCGGTGGGCACATCTGGACGAGAACCAATGGTTGGTTTTGGTGGTCGATAGTACTCGCTCGCTGGGAAGCTCTCTCGTCGTTGTGCAGGATTCTTGGGGGTCACCGTCTCGTCGGTGCCGTCTGACTCGGACATTGTGCCGTCGTTTTCATCCTGCCTGCGTTGTCCCATGTATTGCGAGAGCACAGCGTAGTCTGAGGGGAGCGACGCGGGCCCTTGGTAGCTATGGGGGAACGACGAGGACATTTGGGTACCAGAGAAAAAGCTGGCACGCAGACGGGAGAACGTAAGGGTCCAACGTACCCTTTATAGGGGTCTAAATTTATTTGACAGCGCGTTTGCGGCTTGAGCGGCGCTCTCGAGAACGGCAGCTTGATAGATCCGAATGATGCGATCATCTCGAATTGACAGATAAGATTAGATTAACGCGTGTGATCACCGGCCACGTGATGATGTCCCGACGTTGACCGACGCGGCGAACTCGTCGTCGGAACGACTCTCATCGCTGGCAGGTATGTCGAGCTCGGATTTTTAGTGAATATAACTAATAAAGTGTAGATGTCTGAAGAACTGTCCCACCCGCCACTAAAACCGCCTCTCCAGAACTCGTCGGCCCCGCGAGACAAGGAGCCAAAGGAGATTGAAAAGTTGCTGAAATGGCAACAACAACGAATAGAGAGGAGGCTGAGGGGGGAATATGAGTCGGCGGTGATGCACCTACAGGAAACGGTACGATATTGCTAAAGGTTGGAGGACAAACCTCTTACAGTGCACAGGTCAATAACAACCTCAAAACACCGGTCAACATTGCCTCTGTCCGTGTTGAAGGCGCACACGGGACGAGGACATCGTTCCTTGGTTCTATCATCGACCCCATCCTCGCTGCAAGCAACAAGGACTCTCCAGAAGGCCAAAGCGACTTGGAATCTGTCTTGCACACCACACGGAAAATTGGCGCAGTCCTGACCAAGTCAGACCTCTTCTCCACTGTTGAAGCCAAGATTGAACGGGCCAAGAATTCTTCTGCAGCTAATACCGACGTGGATATCATATTCAAAACGAAGGAACGGGGTCGCTGGTATCTGAGTAGCGCCACTGAACTCGGGAACAACGAGGGCAGCGCGGTACGTCCTTGAACTTGCTTTAAGCCCGTCATGTGTTTGACAACTTGAGTTAGAGCGCGTCAGCTCGCGTTCGCAATGTATTCGGTGGTGCAGAAACCTTCACTGCCAACCTTTCGCTCGGTACCAAGACCCGGCGCTCGTTTACGGCCTCTCTGAGCGCACCTCTGACCCCGGACCTCAACACCTTCGGAGAGTTCAGCGTCTATGGCTTGGAGCGCGACCAGACGTCGTATGCAAGTTGTTTCGAAGGCTTGCGTGGTCTCAAAGCTGTCGTCAAAGTGAGCTAGGTTAGCGGTCCGTCCGGTATCGAGTTTGACATATATCTTATCTTCTCCAGGGAGGTACTTTGGAGAAGGGCTTGCATGAAATGGGATATGAAGCTGTCCACAGACATGTCCGGGACCTGTTGCCAACAGCCTCTATTAGGTTGGTCTTTATCCCGTTCGAGATTGGTTCATGATCCTACTAAGTGTCCTAGCATGCGTCAGGCTGCCGGGGAGTCAATCAAATCCTCCATCTTCCATTCGTATACTTTGGACACCCGCAACGATCGCATTGCCGCTACACGGGGCGGTTATGTCAAATTCTATCACGAATTTTCAGGGTTGGGCGGGGACGCATCCTTCTACAAGACAGAGGCAGAGGGTCAAGTCTCAAGACCACTTATCCCTGGATTGGTAAGTTTACATGCACGTTATACCTTCCGTATGCTCAATGTTCTTCAGTCTTTCTCTCTGGCTGGTCGGACGGGGCTACTTTGGGGCTTGAACAAGCCTCTACTTTTCTCTGACCGATTCCAGCTTGGAGGGCCAACTTCCGTGCGCTCTTTCAAAGCTAACGGGCTAGGTCCTCACGATGGACGTAAGTGTCTCTGCTAGTGGACAGTGATGCGTGAGCTCATGCTGCTTCTAGAGGACTCAATTGGCGGAGACATCTACTATTCGGTTGGCGCGAGCCTGATTGGGGACATTCCGAATAAAGCCCATTGGCCGCTAAAGGGACATCTGTGGGTGAATGCTGGGAGGCTGGAGCAAGTGGACCGAGGTACGCTGATTCTGAACCGTTGCCCCGACACTATGAATGACTTTGCCTTTCAGCACGGCCACTCACAGACAACGTCAAAGACATGCTCGCCCGTCCATCGATATCGGCTGGTCTGGGCCTCATCTACCGGTTCGACCCAGTGCGGGTGGAGGTCAACTTGGGTGTCCCATTGGTTGCGAGTAAAAGCGATGGAACGAGGAAGGGTATCCAGGTTGGCGTGGGGCTAGAATTTTTGTAGTCGTGGTACAACTTTTGTGCGCGATTTTTGGCTTGTTTTAGATTATACATATACCATTCGCTTTTATACACAATTGTTGCTAAAGAAGGGTCGGATGGGCGAGTATCCAGGGCAACATGTGTGCAATGAAGTTACTGGAAGGTTCACCCACAGTCCAAGCTTTCACAGCTACCAACTCGCTGGTTTGCGGCACGTCCGGGGCTGGCTCAATGCTCTATCGTTATTGTGCCCACCGATTCGCGATCCACGGTGGTACATTCACCATTTCACTGGTCCCCTGGGCTTGGCTAAATATCCCACCGATTTCTCGACATTGCACTGCAGCTATGCAGCGCAAGCGACGGGCAAGGCTCTGAGCCTGACCAAAACCGGGCTCTGCCACACATTTCAGTTCGACACACGCTCCGCCAAATCCTTTATCACGCTCTCGAAAGAAGTTTCGATCGTGCTAAGGTACTCTTCCGTGTTCTGATCCTGCATGGTCCCAGCAGGTATGTCCAACTGGTAACGTCAATGTTAGAACAGTGAACATCTTGTCATAAGAGTTCCAGAGATACATACTGTGAAGGAAGGCCCATATAAAGGGAACCCAGAATGTTCTGGGATTGGGGAATCGAGGTCTAACGGAGACTCCAGCTGGTTTGGGTCAGGCCTAGCTTTGAAAGACCCGTGATTACACTCACCGCCAACGAGGTCAGATATGCCCATGCCCGAGCGACATTGGGTGAGTTGTAACCACCGCCACCGAGCAACAGATGCTTTCCTGGCCAGGATGTGAGGATGCGATTGATGCACCAGCCCAAAGAACCTTCTCCCGATCCCAACGACCAATTAAAGGTGGCGTAAGGATCGCCGGCCAGGGCGTCCGCTCCGCATTGCACGATGGTGTAATCTGGAGAGAATGTCCGCGCCACACGTTCAACGATTGGCCAAATGCGGCCGTAGGTGCCATCCGATGCACCGACATTCAAGGGAATGGAAAGGGTGAACGGGTCGTACTCCGCATCGGAAATGGATGATAGTCCGCTCAGCTTTGACGCCGGAAAGAATCCACGGGAGGCGTGGTGAATGCTGAGTATCAGGGTTTGTGAGGAAGAACCGGCAGGTCTGGAGGGGGTGTGGAATGCCTCGGACACTGCGTCTGAGAAGTGGAGATCTAGGTCCAGGTACATGACGCGCGGCTTGCGTGGCTCAGGCCCTGGAACGAGTTTCTTCAGGGAAAGGATAGCTAAAACACAGTCGGCGACGTAACAGAAGCCTGATGCCTTGGACTTGTGTGTATGGTGTCGACCGCCATCCCAGCAGATTGCTACGTCGCTGTAGTTCTGTTTAAGAGTTTCACAGGCAGTCAGGGTAGCACCTGCTACTAGTGGGACATAGTCGGAAAGGCCTATGAATGATGCTGCGTCCTGGAAGTCTTGAGCCAGGTTCACGTTGGAAGGTGTTCAGTCATACGTACATCTTGAAGGCCAAATTCAGGGTTGGTCACCCCGTCATTATCCTTGTCCAGGATGTAATCGAGATACTCTTTGCTATGAAATGTCGACAAGTCCTTGTAGGACGCTCGTCGAGGGGTTATCACTTGAATGCGCGCACGCCCTGGACTTGGATTAAACAGCCCCAGCGCATGAATTAGAGAGTGAACGATGAGAGACCGTTTCTGGTTGGATGGAAGCAGTGAGGAAATCTGCACCGTTCTGTTAAAAGTGCATTGTTGAACATGAGGTTACTGTACTTGCCCGGGCTAAATCCTGAGAAACGATGAACGCGACTTTCTTCTCCATCGCCATTCCCTGCGTTATCTTCAAGTTGGCGAAGGGATTATGGGTACGTTATTCACAACATAATCACCTCGATTGAAAAGCGTCGGTCATTCTTGTCGACGTTGGGAAACGCCTAGGTTCGAGCGACACAAGGTTCAGGGGCCGCGATGTTTGTTGTTGACGGTTTTGTCAAACAATTGGGCCTGATGCCGGCCGTGGCGAAACCGCTTACGGCTCTTCTACCCAAACCATTGGGGTCGACGCCAGGCATTGCTGAAAGGTTGGTTCAAATACGAGTCGAAAAAGTACAGTGCACTGACAAGTATCGAGCAGTGCTTGGCTCCGGAATGAGTGCTTAAGGACGATAGGATTGCCAGACCATGTCACTAATTAGTGATACGGAGTAAGTGCGTTTTGGCGTTGTTTTTCAAATAATCATTGACATAGTTCAGTTATTTGATCCATCAGATACGTCTGTCGTATCTGCGCGACTCAGAGGATCTATATGGACCACGAATAATCAGTCTCGACCCCTCGTACCAAGGAAATCCCTACATCGTAGCTTCAGGACTTGCCGACTTGGAACGATGGCGAGAACTGGCGACCCCTCACAGCCCTGATCTCAGCGAGGAGGAGAACGAGAACGCTTCTGGATTCCCTGGAGCCCGTCTGAAGTATACTCAAACGATCATGGGTGGAAAGTCAGGAGGGTTGGGGATGCGCGTGCATGGAAAGAGAATGTCAACGTCGAAACGGCTTTCCCAAATCCAACCCGCTCCCAAGGACGCACAACCTGAAGTCAAGAACTTTGTTACAAGTGGCGCGCTAGTCCAGACGCAAGACACGCTGAGCACTTCGGCGCCGCCAGCTTCGACGAGCACGAAATCTGCAATTGCGAATGTGACTGCCGAACCCTGGGCCATGGTGGATGCGCCTCCCGACGGCGACAAGACCGAAGGATCACCCGGGCCTAATGTTCATATTCAAGTACCAACAGCACCAGAAGAAGCGCCAGTGCAGAAAGTTGTACAGTTCGTACCGCGTTTCTCAGCAGAAACAGAGGCTAGGCGCCGAATGCGTATTGCCGCGCGCAGAGGACCGAACGCGATTCCCCAAGCTCCTCCACCCCCACTTAGTTTTGACACTACGTCTGAAGAGGAGGTGGACAACAACGATGACTCTGATGTGTCTTCTGAGGGCTTTGGAGTGGACCATAGTGACGACGAGAGTATGGATGATGGTGACGAGTTTGACCCGTGAGTGACACCTCAAGTTTTGCCCTCGATGGCTCTGACCTTGAACCACTCCAGCGACTTTGCGGCCACCAACATCACCTCAGATAGCGCATCAGAGGTCATCTCCATCATGTCTGGTATGAGCTCAATGCCCAACTCGTCAGCACCCGACTCCACACACGCCCCCTATCGATCCCGCACGGCCAGGCTCAGTCCTGTGACAGAAACCCGTCGTGGCCATTCTCGTCCTCGACCAGCCAACCTTACATTGGAAGGAACGACGCTGGTGAACGGTCCCAAATCTGAAGGCGACGCATCCATGCACAAGAAGTCTAATTCCAACATCTCCAGAAGCAAGAGCGATAACTCTCAGACTATCCTGCATGGACCTTCGTCGTCAATCTCGTCTTCAATGGAGTTGATGTTCACGAGGAAGAAGGTTGTCCCTGCCAAACCTGGCAAATCAGCTCTTTCGGCGATGCTCGCTGATTCGAGCGGTTCTTCGAACCCCTTCGCGGAGCTTTACGCTGCCATGTCTGGACGGGCTGAAGGCGCTTCTGTGAATGTGCAAGTTTATTTCCCCCACGCAACCAATCCGGCAGGGAAGCCGATGGATCTCAATGTTCGCAAGGACGCCACTGTCGAAGAAGTCATTGGATACGCCCTCTGGAACTATTGGGAAGAAGGCTGGCTACCTAAACTTGACGAAGGTCTCGATCCAGAGGATCCCAAGAGAGAGCAGGTTCTCTCTGCTGTCGGATGGATTCTCAGGATCGCCGAGGACGATGGAGAAGTTGACGACGATTTCCCTCGTACGACATTTTCATCTGGAATTATGGGTTTGTTAACTGATCACCAATCCAGCGCCGGATCGGATGGGCAAGATTGTCAAGTTTAACTCGGATGCATATGCTATTTTGGCGGCAACGCCTGCTCAGAGTACGTAGTCCCTTGTAGATTCAAGGAGCGCGGCTGACCGGACATGAACAGTACAACAAAATGAGATTTTGGAGAGCAAGATTCAGCGTCGGCCATCGAGAACACTGAACACTAAGAAATCTGACAAGTTAACCGTCCCTCAACTTTCTGCGGTTCCGTCTGGCTCAGGAAGTCCGTTCATGGGCTCAGACCTTGGTTCCGTGCCGCTCTCGACGTCGTTAGGACCTTCCTTCACCCATGGCCCCCAAATCTTCTTGCGCATTCGGGTTACGGATACACCGGATACTGTCCATATATCCACGACAATTCCTGTGTATGATTTTGTCTTCTTGCGTTCCACTGACTGCTGTTCTGACACTACTTTGCTTTATAGCTCTGCTGGGATGTACATGCAAGAGGCGCTGGAGATGGTGTGTCGACGACGAAAGCTGCAGAACCCTAAAGACTATGCACTGTTGCTCGAGCTCCCTGATGGCAAAACCACAATCATGGTCCCGCTTGATCGTACAGTGGCAAGTTTGCAAGGCAATCGAGAGCTGCGTCTTGTCAAGAGGAACATGCTGCATACCCTTGGGCTCAACATCTCAAAGGAGATCAAGACAACGGATCCTAATGGTGCGTCCTCTTTAAACCCTTCAACGTACACATCACTTTGCTTCCGAATGGTACCTGACTCGCGGTCTTATGTTCTCTGCACTGTTTCCGTGCATCCATGCAGCTTCGATCTTCAAGGGTGTGACCGATACACCCGAACAACAACATTCCTCCGCACTCGATTGGACGGCAGCCTACAAGAAATATACCATTTATCGCAAGATGCCGATGTTGGTTACTCGGCAGGAACGAACGCTTGCTATAGATGGGGTTTACATTCATGTACGTTTTCCCCCTCCTGTTTTTCGTTTTGTTCAGTCGGGCTTGGGGTTGTACGATCCGCTTGTGTCTGTCGCGCGGCGCAGGCGGGGCGCGTAGTGTTTTCCCTATGAGCCCGACATTGCTTTGCCAATTCTGTCCGGCGCCTCCTCATGTGATGATTGACTTGTCCTCGTTTCTTGTAGATCATGCCTTCCACGAATAAAGCGAAGAATGTATTTGATCATGGCAAGACCTCATCCTATCACATCAAGAGCATCGCGGACTGTCAGCAGTCGGCCAAGTCATCTGCTTTCAAGTTGGTGTTGAACCGTGGATCGAGGAACAAGAGATACGACTTTGAAGCCGAGAATTCCAGAGTCGCTGGTAAGCTCCCTTTTCCGTCGTCTCCTGGCCCCAGTGCCATTGCTAACGGATCGTACGCCCCTTTAGCGGAGATCGTGCATAACATTCGTAGCCTCAAAAACGCACTGGAGCGCTCTGGCACTGTGCAAAGGTCGAGGAGAAGTCGGCAGGTCGTTTGAATTATTCCTTATCCTTCTGTGGCGGCACAGTTTACCCTTTCTTTCACTTCCTTTCGTTCGGGTTCGACTTGGACTTTCTTCGGTCCCCCTTGACCGACCGTTCTTTCGTCTCTTTCTCTACCCCCTTTTGCTTTTCCCGGCCTTGGACGCTCCATCCATCCAACCTTTTGTCTCTGTAATTTATTTGGGTATCGAGAACGTATACCGTTGTAGCAACAATGTGTACTATTGATTCATCAGATTCTCTGTATTTCTAGAATGCAAAGTTGAGCTCATCGCGGTTGACGTTCGTTTTGGGTGAAGCTCAGACGCGATATGCCAGTGTACCCATGGTGGACAATTCTTAGAATAGGCGCAGCGCGTCGAAGACAAAGTTGGGAGACCTACGTGCGGGTAAACGGTTCCGAGAAGTTAGTAGGAGGATCTTCGGACGGAAAGAAGATGGAAGTTGAAGAACGAGGGAAACTGGTACTCACAAGAATCCGTCTCCAGAAGATCCAGAGATGACGTTAATCACGATCGTGTTAGTACCAGCGACGAGTGTTCCAGCGGCTACAGATCGGTGTTGTTAGTAGTTTGTCGTGCCGGGGAGCATGCAGGGACATACGGATGTTGACGACGTAGCGGGTGTTCTGTAAGAGATTCAAAGCGTTAGACCTCCAAATAAAGATAAAAGGAGGAGAGAGTTTGGGACTTACGTTGCCTCTCCAGGTACCACGGGTTACACCTAAGGTTTCAAGTTAGTAAAGTGGGAATAGTTGAGTGGAAAATTCAATGAGAAGTTACCTCGGGAGTTGGGCTGGGAAGGAGCGGGTGGGTTCGGTCCATTCCAGTTGTTAACTCTCACTTGTGGTCTGCCGCCTAGAAAACAAGTATATCAGTCCGGCCTCCATCTAGGCTCCCACTATAGCCGAGACATACCAGCAAAAGCGAGAGTAGTCCCGATCTCCAAAGTACGCGCGCCGACTAAAAAGGAAGCGAAATGAGTAAATCGGGAAATGCATTGTCATTTTGATGGAGCGGGGTTTGATGCGTACGCTGGTTCGAGTTGAGGTTGAAGCGGATAGTGACTGGGCCGATTGCCTTGAAGAGCGCCATGGGGAAGTTGCCGATGGAGTCCCCGACGTTGAAGGTGACTGGAGGCATTGTAATGGGTTTGATTGGTTCAATTGCAGGCGGTGAGCGGTAGAGTGAACGTACCAGGGCCCCAAGAACGCATGCGAGGGTCGCTTGGGCTGAAAGGTGCGTCGATATAAGTAGACCGAGCGATACAAGCATGGCTAGGGACACATACTGCATAGTCTCGATTTTACTACGGAAAAAGAAAGGTCAGACCAATTGTCTTGGTCATGCGACGGACGAGAAATGGACATACTCGGCGTTCAAGAATCCGCGAGGGGTGCCGTCGAAGTCACCAAGTTGCCAGATGACGGAAGGGTTCTGTTACATAATTGTTAATGTTAACTCGATGGAAGGGAATGATTCCAAATACGCACGGACTCCGTGGAAGCAATGTTGGAAGTGATGGTAGAACCAGCACCGATTGTGACAGTCTGGCTTGCCACAGCCAATTCGACCTTATACACTAAACACCGTCAGTTAGAGAGTCCGTTCGCATGTGCCAAGGAGCTAGAAGAAGACGCACATGTCATGACATATGTTCCAGGCTTCATGTAAGGCGAGGTGAATTGTCCGTTTGACGAGGCACGGGTCCAGTACTGAGCAACACCATTGCTGAAGCCGACGACCTGGAGGCCGGCGAAGTTGGATGGGACGCCGGAGGCTCGACCTGTTACACGACCGCGACCAGAAGTGGGAACGACATGTGGGATATCGACTTGTTGCCAGAAGAGGGTGTCTAAACAGGAGAAAGGACGTTCAGATACACGTAATATCGAAGGGTGAAGCCTCGGACGCACTGATGCTCTCTGAAGGTTGGGCGCCGGTTGTGAACCAGAGTGCGCTGTTGGGTGGTGAGGACTTTTGGAAACAAGGAGTGAAGGGAGCACTGACTAAGGTCCATGGAAGCCGGTGCGGAAATCTAAGCAAGGATGTCAGCGGATTAGCCCAAGGTGTTCAAATGATTCCTTACTCTCAGTTTGGGTGTGGCCAGAGTTCTAGCCGGATTGTTGAATGTTGGAACAAGTCAAGGGATGAGCCGTGTATAAAGACGCACCATGTCTGTGAATATGTGAGAAATGGGGAACAAGAGTAATGCTTCAGTACTCACAGTAATAAAGTTCCTGTTGATCCCCTATGATAGCACTGGCGTCAGATTTATGTTCGCTCTTCCGACTGGGATGGCGATGACGCACCTCCTTGGTTATTGATATCACGCATGAAGGGTCCCCCAGAGCTGCTTTCATATCCAGTCTCGGTAATAATCATCCAGACCCCAATTCCAGGACCAGTCACACCATGGATTTTGTCGTCGATAAATTGGCGGGAGGAATAATATTTTGACCTGGTCTCAGAGCCAACTCGGAAGACATCACTGCCCTCGATAGCCGTGCCGCCAACGATCTCTGCGGCGCGGTAGCCATTGGGGACAGCTGCTCTGCGGAGACGGGCGATAAAGCGTAACTCGCCGACGGAGGGTTGGGCAGTGGTACTACATGGCAGAAGCCAGTTAGTAGTGAGAAGGGGGTGGCAGGATAATACTGACTAAGTAGCCATGTGAATGGCGGGGTCATTGTAACGGGCGATGTAGTACCTGAGACAGCTAAGCCACAATTACAATGAGAGCACGGTATGGCACTCACTGAGTTACGCTGCCAGCGGTGCAAGTGATCTTAATGTAGTTGTTGCTATTTCCGCCCCGCCAATGAGTACAGCTAGCGCCAAGGCCAGAGTTAATGTGACTCTTCTTGCTGCCCTGGTCTTGCACCTCGATACCGTTGAATCGCAAAGATGTAATATCGCCGGTGTTTCTTTGCACGGTGAAGATGAGGCCGGCGTTCGTGTCGACGATGAAGTTGTTACCAGACTCGGTCAAGCTGAATGCTGCATAGGCAGTCTTTGCAATTAATGCAAGTTGTAAGGAGCGAAGAAGCCAGCGGAAGCCCATTGTGAACCAGCAGAATGACTCGGCCGGTAGTTGAAAGTGAGAATGAGAGAAAGTGAGGGAACGGGTTGTTTATATACCAGATGGTGACCACTGGTGACCATACGAACTCATCATGTTGTTTTTCTGTTGCATGGGATCAAGAGGGGAAGAAGCAACGGAGCCTCCTTGGCTGGGTTAAAATGCTTCCACGATCGTTCGCCGGACCTGCTTCGGGTGGTTACAGTTGCCAGTCGCACTCGTCCGGAGGTCCATGATGTGCGGCCATTAGGTTGGGACTCCAGATTCCGAATTTCATCCAACACTGGCCAAAGGTCGGCTTGAAGAAGTCAAGCTGGAGGCGTTGGAAGAATCTATACATAGCAGCCAGAGAGAACCAAGTTGCACCGCCGGGTGCGATGACGGGGTGTGAACTGTGGCCATATTGGTCCCAGTGCTTCGAGCGCTTCTGAATGGATAAAAGACCGACTTCTTTGCGCTTCCGCGAACGTTGCGAGACGTCCGCTGTGGTCATAAGGCGGTGTCTCTACTGTTAGATAGTCGTTCATCGTCTGTACCCGCCCTTAGGGGGCCGAGAGATCGGACAAACCTCGTCGTCAGCGACCGTCAGGTGGCCTCATCAAACCAGAATCAACGAGGCTCTGTTTCCCCCAAGATTTCCAGATGAACAAGAAGCAAGGTGACAAGGAGTTTTCCAGTAACTATTGTCGAAGAGCGCAAAGAGGATGAAATTCTGGTAATTAGTACGCGACGACGGCCACGTGAGAAAAACGTGAAGTTCACAGGCGCGGTGAGGCGCGACACGCACGCGAGCTTACGCGAGGGATTGTTTGTTTGTGCGTGGCGGCAAGGAGAGAGAGTCTTGGCATCGGGTGTGCCTCTTCGCTTGACTGGCGTTCTTGTCTTCCAATTCGGTGCACCTCCTCCATCCTCTTTTCCTTGTTCATGATACTTTGAATCCTTTTCTTATTCTTTTATATATTCTCAAAACCAAAACAGCTTCAAGATGTCGTCGTCGAACCTCCCCGTGCGCTCACCCGTTTTCCCCATTTTTTTCCACACCACTTATCTTCCACTCAGGTTCGACGGACCACCCTCAGGACAACGAGAACCATGAAGGACACAGAGAATGCGACTGCTAGGGCAACCCGTGCAACAGTCCGAGGCAAGGTTGCAGGTGCCACAACCGCAGTGACGTCCCGTGTTACAGCACCAACAGTCGCATCCAAGGCAAAGGCAGTGTCCACCGACGCTGAAGGCAATGTCGGCAAGCGAAAACGAGGAGCATTGGTGGAGGTTACCGGCGTCAACAAGAACAGTACGCATACGACAGCTGCAAAGGGTAAAGAGGCGGCGCCTACCAAGCCCACGACAGGAGCTACTCAGCGAGTCCTCCGTCGCGCACCAGCCTCTTCAACGGCTGCACGTACAGCCAAGGTTGCAGAGAGTGCTGCAATCAAGAAGAAAGAGAGCTCAAAACCCCCGTCGCGTACACTTGCGCCAAAGGTCTACCGAGATGACGCCCCTGTGGAGGAGCAGGCACCGGCCGACGATGATGAAGCTGATGTCGAGCGCGTTTCCAAGCGTCGTCATATGGAAGCTGTCCCCGAAGACACCTCTCAGCGCGATGCTGAACGTGTTGCAAGGGACCTTGTTGCCGCTGCAAAAGAGGAAGAGATTGCCGTTGATCAGCAGGAAACCTTCGAGCCTGAGCCTCAGCTCTGGGAAGATCTCGATGCTGACGACTGGGACGACCCACTCATGGTCAGCGAATACGTTCATGACGTTTGCGCTTACTGGAAGAAAACCGAGGTGAGCCACTTTTCTTGCCTATATGATCGGCTGCCAACTCACATTGATACCATAGCTTGCAACCCTTCCCAAGGCGAACTATATGGAAGGCCAACAAGAGCTTACCTGGGACCATCGCGGTATTCTCATCGACTGGATCCTACAGGTCCATGCGCGATTCAACCTTCTTCCTGAATCCCTCTTCCTCACCGTGAACCTGTTGGATCGCTTCCTCAGTGCCCGTCCAATTTCGCTCAACAAACTGCAACTAGTCGGTCTTGCATGTTTCTTCATCGCATCAAAGTTTGAAGAGACTTGCGCTCCCTCTGTCAACGAGATTGTCTTCCTCGCAGATAACCAATATACTGTGGCGGAGGTTCTCAAAGCCGAGATGTACATTCTTCGGGTTCTTGATTGGGATCTCAGCTGCCCTGGTCCAATGAGCTGGCTTCGTCGAGGCAGCAAGGCTGATGAGTGCGAAAGCACGGCTAGAACCGTGGCCAAGTATCTGTTGGAGATCGGGTGTCTCGAACACCGTTTAGTGGGCATTGTGCCGTCCCATATGGCTGCTGCTGCTCTCTGGCTTGGTCGACTTGCTGTTGGAAGGGAAGAGTGGACACCGACCCTGGAGCACTACACCACTTTCACCGAGAAGGAAATCTTACCGGTCGCCACCATCATGCTGGAGTACATCATCACCAATCCGATCCAGCATGAATCGTTATACAAGAAATACGCCCACAAGAGATATCTCAAGGTCCGCGTCACTTGAATCAACTCTTCGTATCGCTGACATCCCATCTCGTTAACAGTGTAGCGCCTACATGCGCCAGTGGGCACTTGAACGGTGGCCTGAAAACTCTGACGTCCACCTCAAACGTGACTTGAAGCGCATCAAGGCCGAGATTCGCCAACACAACGAGGAGCTCGCTGCGGAAGCTGCCGCAGAGGCTGTTCGACCTGCCCACTAACCCGCGGCGGAGACCAAGCGCCGACCGACATCTTGAAGCTTACGGTTCATGCTACACGTTGCTATTCGACGATCCTTACGGCTATTGGCTACCTACTTCCTTTCAACCGCACCACCTACACCGCCCCTCCCTCAGCGCCACTCTACCTCACCCTCCCTGCCCCGTCTCGCGTTTCTCTCCTCGGATATGCATCTAATTCATCCAACCGCTTGGATTTTTCTTGCATCAATTTCCATCTTCTTTCCGTTCAATCACAGTCGCCATTGTTCCATGCACGCACTCACCTGCATATGCATCTTCCTCGCTCGCGTTTGCCTCTTTTTTATTCCCTATATCTTGACCTCTCATCTGTTCTTCGGATACCTCCACTTGCATTTTTTAGCCGACAGTCACCTTCATATATCATAAGGTTGCTCGTGATTACATCAATTCATTGTGTCATTAGTACCGCCATTCCTCCGCCTTCCTTCCTCACCTCTTCCTAACTTTACCATCATTAGCTTCCTTCTACTTCCCCCCTTGCGCCTTTCTCTAATCATGGTACGACTTTTTCTTTCAACCGGGTCGTATTCTTTTTCATCCATTTTTACCCTCGGACTGTCTACACTTTCTCCCATACAACCAAGGTCTCGTGTAAAATCATATATGTAGCCTCAGTCTCCATTTCTCTCTCGTATCTCTTTGCAATGCTGACTGGTATTGTAGCCTGTCCATTGCAAGTTGTGCTTTTTGTATGATTTTGTTCAACCTCCTCCCCCTCCCCGCGGCGACCTCACCCCTTCATCCATTCTTCCGACTCCCCCGGTGACCTTCCACTTTAAACCCTTGTTAACGTTTCCCTTCACATTAGGCGGACCGTATCCCTAAGAACCAACTTTTCCTCGCTCTTTTCCCCTTTAAACCCTTTACCTTATTGCGTTCTCATTTATTCCGTGTTCTCTTCGGTAGCATATCTCTCTGCTTGTTAGTTGTGAATGTGCCATACCTTACTCTTTTACCTTTTATGGTCTGGGTGTAGATGGTTGGGTGCTTCATCGGAGGGAGCTGGAGAAGCCAAGTGCAACGTACAGGAAGGGTGCACTGGCAACGACATGCATATGCCAATGGCGCGGCACAGTGCGGCTCTGCTCACGTGATCGCGTACGGAGTGTTCGATCTGGCGCAGGAAAAGCTGTCGAAACTCTTTCAGAAAGCTCATAACTGGACTTGTTTGTTGCAATTCGGAAACGTGGGTCGACTTGAAGTTGTCCCAAGCCGCTGAATTCATCCACGATGTCATCACTCCTTAAAAGGAAGCGGAGTGGCCAAACTGGGAACCATGGCACCGCCACCGGATTGATGAACGTGTTCAATGCCGTTTGACTCCGGGCTCCGCCATTGGAATAGCGATCTGCTCAATAGTCATGTATATTATCAGTTTACACGGGAAGGAAAACAGAAGTAGGTGCGGAGTAGGGATTAATATGGATTAGAAGGGGAACAGGCATGAGAGAGCGAGACCCAGATGAAAGATTCTATGCCATGGCTCTACATCGGGAGACAATAAGGGGTAGCTGGGGGACTGTATCCTCTCCGGGAAGATACGGCTTCGCGATGGTGGCCATCTTCCAGTAGATACTACTATCTTTCGGGAGAGAGAACTGGAATTGCTGCAGCAACGTGCAAAGGACGACCTCTATGATCGTATGTAGGCCTTTAGTATGCCACTCGCACGTGTTGTGACTGAATGTGACTCACTGAGTTCCAGCTGCGCAAACTTGATTCCGATGCAGGCTCGTCCCCCACCCAAAAATGTCATTCTAGAATGGGAAGGAGTTTAGTTCAGCGCGGAGCGTTGTACGGGCGACTATTCTCACAGGTTTGCGTAGATTCCGGGTATCTTTGCCTCGGTTACCGCCTCTGGAAGGGTTGACAGCCATCTCTCTGGCTTCCATTCGTAACTGTCGGGTCCCCAAAGATCTGGGTTCTGGTTCGCAGATACAATAGAGATGAAGAGCATCGTGCCCTTGGGGACGTGAACTTCTGTTATTTTTTCTCCATCAAGTCCACGGGTTGGCTTTGAAAATGGAAGAATAGCGTCTTGCTTTGCTCTTTGAATGGGTGTTAGTCTGACGTGATGAGCGCTGTGAAGGGAAGAAACACTTACTTGCGAAGCAGGAAGGTTACCGGGGAGTACCTATTGGTCTGGGATGAGGATTTGATTCTGGTTGGATCAGAATACGGTGTAGACTCACAGACGAAGAGTTTCCCGGCACACGGCTTCGAGATAGGGCAATGCTCCCAGTCTATCGTAGTCCAAATTGCCAAACTCTGATTGAGCAGCTTGGATTTCTGCTCGAAGTTTCTCCTGCGCCTCGGGATGCTGGCATAGCAGCCACAGAACTCTGGATAGAGCGTTGGTTGTAGTATCGCCCGCAGCAAAAGCAAGTGTCCTGGAGAGAATCAGTCAGATCTTTTAAGCCTCTCTTCCACATACATACGCCTCACGAGATTTGACCCAGGACTTCTTCGTCCGGTAATCTGTCCTCTTCTGATGCCTTCATGTTCTCCGCCACTATTGGTTGAAAGAGTTATGAACGACCTTTCCAATGGTAGCGGATGGCTCGTTACGGAACACTTACTGAGAACGCTGATGATGTCCTTTCCCCTTCCAACCTCTCCCGCCATCGCCTCCTCACCTTGCTCGATGGCTCGCTTCTTCCGCTCAAATATCTCGCAGGAAGTCGCATAGAAAGTATCGATCAGGTCTCGTATGAGATGGAGGTCTTTCCACGGCACAATGTTCACCAGGAACCGTTGGAATTTCGGAGTGCCTATTTTCTGAGCCCATGGGAAGACAAAGTGGAGGAACCACAGAATGCGCCGGGCTGGTGCTCTGGGATAAGTGGTGAGATACGCGTGTCAGCCCACTGGCATGGCACGAGAAGCAGTCGAGTTGCTTGGGAGACGTACTCCAGGGCGTGCATTGCTTTGGTGAATGGGTGTGCACCGTCCTCGTCGTCGAGGAGAGAGTCGAACGAATATCCGAGGCCACTCTGGCCGATCAACTCTGTCGCGGTTCGTCCCAGCCAAGAGTACATATTGATCTACGGGATGACTTAAGGAGATTTTCATTGCAAACTATGGGATCAGACGTACCTCCTGCTCTCCATTGTTGGAGATCTTCCTCTCTAGGGCTGCGGCCAGCTGGAAAACAGCATAAGAGTGCAGCAAAATTCGAGTATCCTGCTTCGTTGCCGTACCTTTGAAGAAACCTCCCAGAAGATGGGAACTGCAGTGTAAAATGTGTCAGCGCCCGCGTCCTCGATACGAGAGAGGACACGACTAACCCATTCCACGAAGATGAGCAGGGGAGAAAACAGGGTTCAGCATTTTTCGTTGCTTTCTATGGACTTCACCTGCTCGCCAGGGCTGTAGTCAGTGTCAAGACAAAGTGAACGACCTCGATTGGACATTTACCGTGTGTTGACCCAAGGCCGGGTCCAAAGAGGACAAGGTTTCCGCTGTGCACGGTAAGAATAGTCATAGCCAAAGCAGACGCTGAAGACTCACGCAGTGAATTCCGCAGTCTCTTCGTATATATGTTGGTCCTATCAATCCACCGTAGCTAAGGTTAGAGCTGCGCAGGCGAAGGAAGCGAAGGGGTTCACTTTGATAATAATGTGTTGTAATGCCTTTGGGTCGGACACATACAGTTGCTTCGCCTACTCGTAGTTTTGAGTTGCCGGCACGTCGGACGACAGTGGAAGAAGCACTCACGCCAAAGAGTCCGCTTATCTTGACCACCCCTCCATCTTACAACACACATCGCTTTAACATTCGAGGTTGCAAGTCATAAAATAAACAGCTTACATGTCTCGGAGATGGACCTGTGAAAGCTCCAGGCGTTGGGACTGAACAACTGCTTGAAGTTACCTGGCATCGAGAAGTAAGAGAATGGATCCAGTTGCGCAGGCGAAAGAAGCCCTTACCTATGAAGTAATTCTCCGGTGGAGGACCAGGTAGGTTGCGAATGGACCGATATTTGAGCCGCGTCTGCACCCATTTGAGGGCGATATGAGTGAGGAAGACTGCGGCAAGCGCTCGCAGGACTAGAGACCACATCGTGATTGAGCTGAGGAATTCGAGGGGAGTGACCGACCTTTTATAGAGTGACGTCCGAGAATACTGCGCAAGAAACGATCATTGGTGCACATTCACATCGACATTTCCACAGTACCCTTGCGCCGTGTATATGACGAATATGGTCGCCGAGAAGGGCAGCACCCATTTACTCCATTTCGCAGCATCGAGAAACGTTATCTGATAACATTTCTGGTCGCTGTTGTTATTGAGCTACGCTGCCGTGGCCACGAATCCTTCCAGCGGGCTGCTCGGAAAGGAAGGTCGGAATCTGTGTTTCGAGTTGAGAGTGCTGTCCCTCGTCTAGTTGCGTAAACCATGGGAGCGTCCAGTATTGTGAGAAGTTCCCGGGGGACAGATTCTTCCAGGGCCAGTCAATGGCGGACCCCTTTCGTCACAAAGGGAGCTAATGGGAATTGACGATGGTCGAAGACAGCCCTTCGCAGTCGTTGCTTCAATGCTTGTGGGATTTATACTGCTGCGAGCTTGACCGGGCTCTTTGACGAGCTCTCCCTCCGTGTCACCGAAATCATTTATATCCAGTCAATTCAAAGGCCGTCCATATCAGACGGTGGTATTTCGTGCGCGGCAGGGCAGAACACGAAGGGAGCAGAGAGCGGGCGAGTCATTCACTGGAGCACTCTCACGACTGGGGAAATTCCAAGGAGCATTGCATCAATACTGGAGACCTGGTCATGGGTTCGAACCACGGCAAAGGCACATTTGGTACGACCACTGACCAGACGCCGGTGGCGGGACTCGTGGCATGGCTGCCATTCTCCAACACCGCATGGCGGAAGTGCGTACGAGGAAGTTCAGTGCTCGTGAAGCATGCCGTGATGATGCGAAATGGAAACGAATATTGTGAGAGGCACCTCGTGATAGATCTGGAATTTATGGAGGCACGTAGGAACATCAACCACAATCTGCAGGTAGAGAGCACATTAAGTATGATACAACGCCAAAGGGTAATTGTTTACTCGTTCTTCATGAGGTATCCATCTCGTCGCCAGCGCCAAGTGCCGTCACCTGCTCGTCGATCACCAGCTTTCTGATATCTTCCTTCTTCCATGCCGTCGTTCCCCTCCTGAACTTGTAGTCGCGCTCCTTCTGCACACGGACGTTAGGCATCTCCACATTCCTCAGCATCTCCGTTGAAGTGGAAGTGATGATGCAAGCGTCGATGTTGGAACCGGATCCAAGATCGTTGAAGATACCAGCGGCGATGGCAGCCTTGACAAGGTTCAAGGCTTCCTCTCGCTAATCCCGAAAGGAGATTAGTTATGTTCCCAAGTAAAGCGACTATTGACACACCTCCATGTTGGCCCTCCACCCACTCTCGAATACAGCCATCGCAGCCAGACTACCTGAACCCATGGTAACATAGGGCAGCTTATCCGTAGAACCGTGGGGGTGGATGGTGAATAGATGGGGTCCTGTTGCGTCGACGCCACCGAGAACGAGTGCAGCTCCGATGTGACCTTGGTATCTACGTTTCAAAGGTCAATGAGGTATAATCAGAACCCAGAAGACTCGGTACCTGAAGAGCATCTGTTTCAACATTGTCATTGCAGTAACCACGCGTGGCTTCCGCCCTGTCTGCAAAGCGTGCAATTCCATATTCGAAGAGATGAGGTTGGTCGTGAATTCGGTGTCTGCGGCTGTTCCTGCACCGCAACACCGGATGGATTCTGTGATATAATGGATCTAAAGCGAACGGACTCGTCAGCCTTGGGGGCCGCTGGGAAGCGAAACATACAAACCTTCTCGCAATTCTTGTCGGCAACAATGTCGCCTTCAGTCGCTCGTGTATCGGCTCCAAGGACGATTCCATCTTTGAACAAACATCCTACGATTGTCGTTCCTGTGCTCGTCGCTTTGGGTAATGGGAGACCTTTTCCTAGTAGAAATTCATTTCTATTGAACGTCTAAGCTTCAGATCGTTTCTTTGGGATGCCATGTCGTACCTGATCTCGTTTGAAAAGTCAAATCCTGGAGGAGAATATACAGATGGCTGCGACATTGGGGTAGAGAACGGAAAGCTGATCTCATTCGCCTCATTACGCGTCGTATTCGTACCGCGTCGCACGTGATGTGCCATCAATTTAGGGCAGGCGGACAGTTCGAGCTTGATGTGGGTCACCGTTCGACCATGACCATCTTCAATTCTCTAGCTTTGCGCCCCGATTTAAATCACCAGCCCGGCACAAATTTGAGGACAGTCTGTCGTCTGAATGCGAGTCTTCGGAGGATCTAGGTGTTGCTGTGAGGTAGAACACTTCACCCTCGTCACTGTCAGTTTCTATCTAATTTAACTTCCTCCTATACGCAGTCAACACCGAGCTGCGCGACGAGCGCTCCATGACAACGTCTGAAAAGTTCAAGCCGGTCGAAAACTCCCTGGCCCTTGAGCCCGCGTGGCGAACGGCCGTGCGTCCTGCTGTCAATGGCACGGTACCCTTGACCGCAGACGATTGGCGTCACGCTCAGAGCCCTAGCTGGATGCAAACCCTTCAAATTGACGGTTTTTGGCGAACATTGCACCACGGGACGATGGGCGCTGACATCTTGCCTTTTCTGATGCAATTCAAAACAACGATCATGTCAAACGTTCCCCAGATAGTTACAACGGTTCTCGATCGAAGGCCGCAGACATCTGGAAACGGACTCGCGCATTCATCCCCTGGGCTAAGTTCCGGCCAACGACAGCCTCAAAACCACCGATTAGATAGCACAACGCATCTGACTCCAGCCTCGACATCCCCCTCACGGAAGCTGTCATTCGCCGCCAACATTCAGGCTTTCAATATGTCCAGTCATTCATCGGGCTCGACGATTCCATCAGGAGCACCGCCCATAGGTCCCACCGGTGCCTGGATCGATTGCATCTCAATGCGATAAAAGGCAGGGAAATTCGAGAGACCATCCTAATCCTCAGTTGCTCTCAGTAATGCCTTCCGACTCAGAGAACACCGCTCCATCCAGCTCCACTGACGTCGAGGACTTCGAGTTTGGGGGTGATGAGGAGGAGACTGTACCTCCGCCTGACCCCTCCGAATTCCCTTCTTTGCTCGAAGGGCTCGAATCGAAGGATAACGAAGTTTTCAGCAAGGTGAGTTCTCGGTTTACTCTTTAACCCCACTACTGCTGATGCGTTTTGAAGAGCATTGACAAATTTGACGTGTTGTACTCCTCTCAAGAGGATGTTTTCACCGAAGCAATCTTACCACATGTCGCTCGCTTCTTGAAGTTCGCCTCCAACACCGACGAGAGGAAGCGCCAGGTAGCCTTGGTTGATTTGGCGACCAAGGCTCTGTTATCTTCCGACGAGAAGGGGAGGGAACTTGCCAGAGCGAACCTCCAGTACCTGGCCCAAATTCTGATCAAGGGCGATGATTTGGCCCGTCATGACCTTTTGAGGCTTTTCGAAACGTTGCTGGAGCACGAGGAAGCCTTTGAGGAGCAGTATGTCGGCATCTTCAAGGAGCACGTATTCGCCACTCCGGTCGACAACTGCCCAAGTTCCACGGCGATGGAGACGTTTCAGACAGCGCTCACCTTCTACACCCAAACCAGCGGAAAAGTGGCCGTCAAGGCAGGCGGGGTCGAGTTTGCGATTGGCGCCTTAGACAGTCCCGACCCGCAGATCAGGGTCGCGGCCATCAATTGCCTCGCCAACATATTGTCAAATAAAGATGAACTGTACCAATATGTTTCCGAGGCCGAACACGAAAACCCAGTTCTGTACTTCCACGGCATCCTGCTTCTCCCAATCCTCGCTCTCCTCCGTGACAAGGTCGAGGCTGTCGTTGCAGCCGTGCTAGACTTCTTGCAGGGAGAAGATAGTGACTATACAACAGCGTTCATCTTGGCCGACGACAACGCCCCTCATGATCTTGTTCTCCTTCTTGCCAAGAAAGACGTGCAGCAGCTGGGAGCTCCTATTGATTGGCTTCTCGCTCGCCTCACCCAGGACGAACGTGCCGCCGAGGTTGTGGAAGGATTCAGGAAGGTGTGGCAAGACGAGGAAGTTGACATGGAGACTAAGGTTCAGGTTTTGAGGGCGTCGCTTAACAATTTCGATACCGTTACGCGATCTTCTCTGAAGGGAGGGCTGGGTGAATTCTTTGTGGGGATACTTGGAAAAGAAGAGCATCGTACATCTGCACTGGTGCGTTCCATCTGTCCAACCCCTAGAACTCGGCGACAACTAACAACTGTTTAGACTGTCATTTCTGCGTCGATGGAGAACCACCAACGCCTCGGGTACTACCTCGTCAAGGCAGGAGCCATCTCAGCACTCGTGGACATCTTCGAGAACGGGACCAACCTCAAAGAACGCTGTTTAGCGGCAACCATCCTCAGTAAACTCCCTGATACCTACGAACCCAAAGGCGACGACGAAAGCGAGCAGTCTTCGTACCGCAGTGCCGCTACTGCTGCCCTTTCCACAGACGAAATCCTACCTCGCATCCTCACGACACTCGAGTCCGACGACGTCGGGATTGCTTCGGCGGCGTTCACACTCTTGGCTGCAATAATGACCAACGAAGTCATGTGGTCCGACGACGATGGCGACGACGATATTCCTTCGCCTGTCAAAGATAAAGTTGTCACGCCACAGCTTATCGAGTTAGCACTCGGGAAGCTGTCCGTTCCCGCTGTTGCACCAGCTGCTTTACAGGTTTTGGTGGAGTCTGCTTGGCAATACAACCGAGGCTTTGCGCTGGTTCGGGACGCTTTCAAGCCGCACGTACCCAAGGCCGACGCGACTTTCTTCGAACTCCTGGACGGCCCCGCCGATAATGATTCGCGGTATCGGGCAAGGAAGCGGAGACATCTGGCAGGGGCAGTCGTGAACGTTGGTGGGCTGCTCCGGATCCAAGATTTGTTGGAGGAACCGGTTGTCTCGATTGACGCCCGCCGTTCACTTGTTGTGGGTTTCCGCGCTCTCCTCTGCACAGATGTAGCCGACCTCGATGTTGGCCGTCAAAGCAAGAGGCTCCCCGTTCTCCTCGCAGAACTCCTCGCAGATGGCACGTACGATTCTCTCAGGCGTGTGATGTGGATGGTGCGGTTGCTCTCTGTTGAAGGCAATGCACGAGCCCTTGCCTCTTGGACTGCGTTGGGAACGGAAGAGACGATCAACCACTTGGTCAAGTTCTTGCAGACAGGACGCGTGGAGATTCCCGAGCCGTCGCTGGAAGGGTTGGGCGAAGAAGAGTATGAAAAGACATTAGAAGAACACCGCAAGAAAGTTAAAGAGAATGCAGAACATTGGAGCAGGTGCATCTCGTTCCTTGCTGCTTTTGTATCGCCCGAACTGACGGAATTGGTAGGACGCTGGCTATGACGTGTGAAATTATAGACGGTCTCCTGGAATCTCAGTTTTCACCATTCCTGCATCTCTTCGCCGGCGCTCTTCTGAAGACGTCCAATTCCTGCGACGAGACCTGTGTGCTTGAGCTTCTCGACAAGGTAGCCAAGTCTTGCGATGGACATGGCGACGACGCACTCGAGCCCTTCATTGTTGCCATCAAGGACCTCCTTGGGGACCCTTGCCCTCCCACCATCGACCAGATTCGCACGTGGGCCGCATACGGCTCAGGAATGTCCACAGTGCTCTATCTCGGAGGTGTCGTGCCCTTCCTAGTGAAGCAGGCAGACCCTCCCGTCCCGCAACCATCCGAGGAGGAGGATGACGACCGGTCTATCCAGGACGACGGCTCAATTGCCGTGGAAGTGATTGACGCCTTCGTGGCTATAGCCACCAAGGTCTCAGGCGATAGGTCTCGCAAGCGAGATGTACAAGCAGCGTTTTTCTCGACCGAGAAGCTACTCTCCATCGCCACCGACACGATCAAGAATTTGGGGGAATACGAGAAGTACTCGGCTTCAGACATGGCCTGCAAGGTCTTTCGATTGAGCCAGGGCTACACCGAAGCTCTTCCAGCGCTCAGGGGGAGGGACATCTTCCCCTCGCTGCTCACAATGTTCGACGACGACGAAATTATCGTGGACGACTGTGCCCGGCTACTTGGCTGGCTCGCTGATGTCGATCGGGCGGCGTTGGTTGATGTTTTGAAGAAGCAGATCGCGCAGTTGCAGCCACCGGCGAACACCCAAAACCAAGGAGGAAAGAAGAAGAAAAAGAAGGGGAGGTATACGCCCCGTCTCAGCAAAAAGGCGGTGCTGGAGAGACTGAAGGCCCTTGCCGAAACTTCCAATACCGCTCAGGAAGCTGTGGTCGAGGCTGGTGGGGTCGAACTAGCAATGGCTGCGGCGAGCGGAGAGGACGAGGAGGTTTTGACCCTTGCACTGGGGGTCTTGCGATGTGTATGCAACCCAGAGGCGCAGGTCGATGTTTTATCCCGACTCGTGGAACTTTGGACTGATCCGGATAGCTCTGGTTCCATATTGTATGCAATCCTCGAACTCCTTCAGGACCTCATCAGAAAGTACGACGTCCAACCTCTCCTCGACGCTGAATGGGATCGCCTTCTAGTGACGAAACTGAGCGAGGAGCCCGCGGGAGTGCAGGACATGAGCACGCTCGTGGCCACTGTTGCGGAGTTGGCTTTGAAAGGGGACTCGGGAAAGAGAGCAATTGTGGAAAGGTTCCGAGAGAGATTCGACGATGGAGCAGCCCTGGAACGCGAGAGTGACTGGGGTACTAGCCATGCTTTGCGGTGCTTGGCGATGAGGGGAGATGAATGTGCCAGCCTTGTGGTGGAGATGGGGTCTATCGACTACGCAATCCAGCTGCTCCTGTCGGACGATCCCCAGGTATGACTGCTTCGGATTCCAATATCACATTAGGACCTGACGCTGACCTCGGTTTCCTTCAGTATATAACAAAGGGCGCGGCACTCTGCACAACCATTGTTCGTCAAATCACTAACGAAGCCCTTCCGCTCCTTCAAGCCAAAGGCGTGTTGAAACTAGTCGCGGAGGGGAGGAGGAAGTTCGATGCTGCTCTCGACAGGCCGTTTGATGCGCCGGAAGGTCTGGAGGGATCGGAGCTGGAGACCGAGAAAGAGGAATATCTGGAGAAACAAGGACGCTTGAAGGACTACATAGATCATTGGGACATGTTCGACCGGATCTTAGGTGGGGAGTTTATCAGCGAAGCAGATTACGAAGAGTATCAATGGTTCTAGTCATCGCGGTTCTCTGGGTTCTTGGGTTATTTGGGCTTATCGGTGTTGTTGGGGAAATGACTGTGACCGTCTGACTATCTCGTGAGCTACCGCGACTTGCCAATCTCACTCTTGTCATGGGACTATAAGTGGGAGACTTCTAATCCTAACCAATTCGGACCCGAGTTGTATACACATCTTTTAGTCAGGCGGCTACAGCCCATCCGTCTGTGGAGATACAGCTGTTATCCGAAGCAAGCCTGTCCACGGTTGAGGTGCTGCGCGGATTCCAGTCAAGACTGCGTCTTCGCGCAGGTCTTCGCATGCTCGGATTCAATAGTGAAATATGTATGTGGTGTTAGCTGGAAGATTATTGGGCCAATTACTTGTAATTTCTATCCTGCTCGAGATAAGGAGATTGCTCTCGACGAAGTCCAGAAAACGACACGATACTACACATGTATAGGAAATGGGCCCAGCACTGTCCGGTAAATGTCCATCATGTGTTTCGAGTAGAAGGGATTATACTTTCCTCCACGAAGCCAACTCAGGCAATTACGGAAGTAGCTCTATCCACTGAACTTTGATATGGCTGCAGCTGGTCTTCCCACAGCACTATTCTTAACTTCCGATACGGCGCAAACTCAGCGCTCAGGGTCCACCAGAACGTTATATGGCCTGTCACCATCAGCTATCAAGCCGGCGCCAACGTACAGGCTCACTTGTCATCCAGTCAATAATGCGAAGTTCATCGCGGGAGAGTTGGGTCTTCTTATTCTTTCCAAGTGCCTAAAAGGCACATGGTGGAGCAGTACGAATTAGAGACCCTCGTACCATTGCTTCGCCCCTAACTTCCCTGTCTTCGATGGCTCTTCTTCTCATCATCGAAGCTGTCGCGGCTCTCGCTGTCGCTCGTGTCCTCACTCGATGGTTCCAACGAAAGTTGGCCTACTACCGATGCCCTGGAACGAGCATTGAGAATATCCCCGGACCTCCAAGCAAATCCTTCTGGATAGGTGAGCTAATAAGAGTGTCAAGCGCCCTCAACTCATGTGCATTAATTGCAGGTAATTTCAAGGATTTGTTTCGACCAGACGCCTGGGACTTCCATAGAGACATTGCCCAGACCTGTATGTTGAATCACCACACACCTTTCCGAGTCGGCTTGCTCAAACCCGCTCATTTCCAGATGGAGGTGTTGTGCGACTGACGGGTCCGTTGGGTGTTAGTGTGCTCCTTTACCATGCTCAATCTCTTCGATGCTGAACGAACTATAGACTCAGAGGTCGCAACTATATGTCTATGACCCGAAAGCACTGCATCACATCGTTGTGAAGGTTCGCCCATCCTCGAATCGAGATTTTTTGGCGGAGCGACCCATTCTATATTAGGAGCAACACGTTTATGAAGAGGCCCTAAATTTTATACAGTAAGTATGGGTGCGTGACATTATCTCTATATGATCGCTAACACAACCTCTTTCTCTTCTCGGCGGGCAGAGGCAATCTCACCGTCTTCGGTCCCGGTCTCCTGTCAACTTTGGGTCAGTAGCATCGAGGCGGTGTACTTCAGTTAATGATCGTCCGGTACTGAGATTTTCTCTCAGGTGATCACCACCGAAGACAAAGGAAAATGCTTAACCCTGTGTTCTCGATTGCTCATATGCGGGGAATGGGTGAGCATTTACCACTGGCGTATAATAAAAGCACAGACTGATGGGCTGTTGGTAGTCCCTATCTTCTGGGAAGTGGCTTCAAAGGTACGCGCAAGGGTCGGTGGGGAAGTCTGATAATGTTAACGATACGTCAGGTTCGAGCGACATTCCAGCGCAAGGTGGCCAATGGGCCAGTTGAGGTGAGTTAGGCCAGCATGGTTCGAAAATAAGGGAGAGTCATTGACGTCGAGTTCACCGCTGCCAGATTGAAATGCACCATTGGATTACCCGAACGGCGCTCGAGCTGATCGGACAAAGTGGCCTCGGATGGACGTTCGATACGCTGACCGAAGATGAGCACACGACACACCCCTTCCATGTGGCCCTGAAATCCTTCGGGTGAGTGACCGGAGATTATCTGCTGTGTCGTCTTAGCCCTAATTCCTCTGGGTTTAGTGCTACCATACAGAGACTGCTATTTTGGAGGATTTACATCTATCCATTGGTGTATTGGATTGGTACCCCGAAGTTCCAGAGGCGCCTCGTCGATTGGTTGCCGTGGAAGGACCTCCATGATTTGCGAAATATGACCGATGTACTTCACAACACATCCGTGGAGATATTCGAAACTAAGAAGAAGGCACTGTTACAAGGCGAAGAAGCGATGGCCAAAGAGGTTGGGAGAGGGAAAGATATCATCAGCGTACTTAGTGAGTGCCACATGTCTTGCACGATCACCCGACTTACGAAAGGGATACACAGTGGCAGCCAATATGAATGCGTCAGAGGAAGACAGGCTTCCTGACGAAGAGGTTCTTGGTCAGATTTCGTGAGTTGTGTGTAAATAAGGTCTGTCTTACACTGTTCGCTGACGAGTATCAGGACATTTACGTTTGCTGCTGCCGATACCACATCTGGGGCCCTTCTGCGGATTCTCTGGCTACTCTGCAAGCACAGGGACGTCCAGAGCAAATTGAGAGAGGAGATACGGGAAGCTCGCAAGAACAACCGTTACCTTGACTATGATGAGCTAGCAAGCCTGCCCTATCTCGATGCCGTATGTCGGGAGACACTCCGCCTGTATGTCGATGATGACCCGTCCCACGTCCCGGATGATGGCAAGAAACTAATGTGCTACATTCACAGCTATCCTCCCGTCTCCACGCTGATGCGGGAGTGTAGAGCGGATAGCGTCCTTCCCCTTTCCAAGCCTGTTCGAGGACTCGACGGTTCTGAGATGACCGAAGTGCTCGTTCCGAAAGACACTCGCATTTACCTGTCAATCTTTTCGTGCAACAGGAGTCCAGAGCTGTGGGGTCCCGATGTTTTCGAGTGGAAGCCGGATAGGTGGCTCTCGCCTCTGCCCGAGTCCCTCACACAGGCAAAAATCCCAGGCATTTATTCACATCTGTGAGCAGCTTCGCATTTCAAATTTCAACGAGTCTGGTTTGAATACCTGCTTACCTGCTATCGTAGGATGACGTTCCTCGGCGGCGGTCGGGCCTGTATAGGCTTCAAGTTTTCTCAACTCGAGATGAGTACGTTTCTACCTGTCTCCGTTTATATTTCCTCTTGATATGTTAACCACGTTCTTTGTTCGTCAGAGGTTGTGCTCTGTGAATTGCTCGAGCACTTTGAGTTCTCCTTGCCGAAAGACAAGGAGATTACCTGGAGGATGCCTGGTATTGCTAAGCCCTACGTCACTACCGACGGCAAGAGCCCTCAGCTCCCCCTGATCGTTAGTCCAGTCGAATAATTCTGCACGAGCTGGTTTTCCATCCCAATACCAGTAATATAGGTACTAGCCCCAGAATATGTATATGAGCTGTGACTGTGTATAGTATTCAGAATACCATCAAGAGTTTCCGTTCCCCTTATTTGAAGCGACCCTTCTTCGAGGACTTAGCGCCGTAGATAAGAATTGAGCGCCCAACGGGGTGGGAACGGTCATGTGATCTGTCCGGATTTGGTGGTTCGCCAAGGAAAGGAATTCTGCCACCCACCACGACGACTCAGACATTTCGAGGACCAAAATGCAGAGCGACGACGTTATTTGGTCGGTAATTAACCACCAATTCTGCTCGTATAAAGTCAAGTAAGCCCTCCGGAGCATTAGATCCACTCTGATACTGATTGGGAGGTCAGAACGACAACCCAAAATTTCTGCCGGAACGAATACAATGTTACGGGCCTGTGCAATCGACAGTCGTGCCCTTTGGCAAACTCAAGATACGCAACTGTACGGGAACATGAAGGCGTGCTATATCTCTACGTCAAAACCATTGAACGAGCACACTCGCCGGCACACATGTGGGAGAAGATAAAGTTGTCGAACAACTATGCAAAAGCCTTGGAACAGGTGTGTGGTTAGCCGTCTGATGGGATTATTGGACTAATCTGAGTCCCATTAGGTCGATAACGAACTCATACACTGGCCCAATTTCACGATACACAAGTGTAAGCAGCGTATCACGAAGATTACCCAGTATCTCATCAAAATGCGTCGGTTAAAACTACGGCAACAGTAGGTTTTTACCCTTTTCTGGGTGGTCACAATTTCTGATGATTTTTCTGCTTTTGCCTAGACCTAAACTTATTGGCATTAAAAAGAAACTGGACCGACGTGAAGCCACTCGGGAACGAAAAGCACTATCCGCCGCACAACTAGAGCGTTCCATTGAAAAGGAACTCATTGAACGGCTGAAATCGAAGTCTTACGGCGACGCCCCGCTGAACGTCAATGAATCTGTATGGCAAGCTATCCTCGACCGGGAGAAGAATGCAGAGCCCGGGCAAGAGAATGAGGATGACCTGGAGCTGGAGGCCGATGAGACGGACGAAGAGGACGAGGATGAGCTCGAGGAAGAGGGTGATTGGGGAGACCGGGAGTTCGTCAGCGACTTTAGTGAGAGCGACGAAGAGGACATCGAAGACGGTGATGACGACGATGAGGACGACGAGGAAGATGAGGTGAGTTGCGTCTCGTTTTCAGTTTCTGATGGCACGGTCTTGACGGCGTTTGTCTAGTCGGAATCAGAGGAGGACTCAGAGAGTGATGATGAGGAAGTGTCCAAAAAGAAGCTCGGAAAGCGGAAGGCCCGGCCTGCTGCTCCCAAAAAGAGGCCAGACAAGAAAGCAAGGAGTAAGTTGCATGCGTTTTTCTTTTCAATCCGCCTCTCATTGCCGTTCACAGAGGGGCCGCGGGTCGAGGTCGAATACGAAGAAGAGAGGGTCGCCAACCGGTCTGCTGTTCATGCCTGGTAGTTTCTTATTGGGCCTACGCTGTACTGCGAGGAATACTCATCTGCTTTGTGCATTACTTATTTTTGATGCCAAATCGCCGTGTCGCACCGTCCAAGGGTTTGATTCCTACCACCACCTCGACTAACGTTAAGTTAAGATATGGACCTCCCTGAAGCTATGTCTCGCAAAATACCAATTGCTGGTTCTTGTCCTTCTGGCACCCTCAACCAGCACAGTGTGGCCCGGGAAGCTGCAGGTACGTGATTCGTTCGTGTTGCACTGAATTTCCGTTCCTCAACTTGACGGCATGACACGATATAGTGGGGACAGTAGCCCAAATGTGTCTTCACTCATGTTCTACGAGTTATTAGTGGTGTACTGGATATTCAAGTCCTTGCCTAAGCAACATCCAAGATTTGAGAACGCGATGTACAATCTATCATCCCAATTCAGTTAACAGGTCTCCTATGCGCTGAAATTGAATTTCAAAGGTATTGGCTTGAAGTACTTCTACAGTGCTAGAGATACACACGTCTATCAAACCGTCGAGTTCAAGCATAACATCGAAAGCAGCCGACCGACCACAGCCGAACACTGGTCGGCTGCTTTCTGGTCGGTCGGCTGCTTTCGATGTTATGCTTGAACTTGACGGTGTGATAGAAGTAGATCAACGCCGAGCCGGACACGGCGAGCGGTCGCACCCTTTCAGGTTGACCACTGCAACCACCCAGCGAGGCCCGCGCAGAGTTGAAGGGTACTCTGTGCACATCAAGATGGTACAACGAAGCGGGGAATTTACTTGGACGACCCTTTGTTTGGCGGCTCGGTTCTCGAACATCTGGTCTGACACCCTTGAGGGGCAGAATGATCAGAAAGGGCATCTCATCGCCCATGCCAGCCCAGAAGCTCAATTGCGCGCTACCAGGGTCTCCAAATAAACAAGAAATAACAATAAGGGCGCCAGCGCCAGTGCCAGCGAAGAAAAACTAGGTTCACTTCGTGTCAACTTCATGGATGGTGATGGAGGGAGCACAAAACGTACGCGAAGATCTCTGCTACTCAAGCCAGCCCGTGGCATTTTTGATTGAGGTTGGAGGTCCGGGAGTTTGGTAGGCGCTTGCCCAGGGGTAAAGTAATTATAATAATGATAATGGTTCGTGATATAATTCGTGACGTTGTGGCTGCCGGTCGTGACTGTAGTACTTGAGTTGTGGCTGTTGGTCGTCGTGGACGAGTGATCATAGTTAACGTCCGACCTTCCAGCTTCAGACCCCCCGGAACTGTTGATTTGGTGCGGGCGGGGGCCGAACTCGAGGGAAGCAGAAGGGTGAGGTATAGTGCGGTAGAATGGGTTGTTGGACCTGAAGGATTCTAGAAGAGTGTCCTGGTCAGTTCTAGGCTTTTGCTGCGAGTGTAAAACGTACTACGACGAGTCGAATTCGACATGGGTATAAACGGATTGCGGGGTATGTCATTATGTGTATGGTCCGGTTCGGTATCGGTCGAGTAAACGATGTCGAAAAGGCTCAGCGCAGGTTCTACATGAGCGATATCTACAGAAAAGGAGCCCACAGCAGCGCTTCAGAATCAACGGATCCGCACCATTGGCAGGCCCGTGGACGTACTGTTATCCTGTTCATGGATAGGCGGGTCAGGGGGCTTATCTGGTTTCTTCTTCTTTGGCCTCATTGTGTGGAGGGCCTTCCCAAGGTGGGATGGGGACAGGCATCAGTTCGTCAGGCTGTAAAGCCATCAAGAAGGCACCGCTTGCGCACCGAGCAACTTCCGTTGTCAACGATTGATTGGTGGTCCCAGGACAGAGAGGTCGCAGCATTATACTTAGTAGGAGAAGTAGCACCATCAATAGAACATTACTTTAAGTTCACCGCCTATATATGATCTGTTATCCATCTTGGGAGGTAAGCCACATAAACTACCTCTGAATTCATTATGTATCTTACCTGACCATTTGGTCGACTTTGCCATCCCACAACGGCTAGATCCCAAGTTGCTCCCTTAAATATAGGCGTTCCTTCAATTCGACCTCCGTCTTGAACGCGAATCCCCTTTCCCGTTCATGGAAGACACGAGAACGAAGAAGGGGAAAGAGTACCGCTGGTAAGTGGGACTCGACTTCGACACCAGCATCCTGTCGGCCGAGAGTGGCGGCCTCTTCCCCAGAATGGCGATCCCAATATGAATCCAATGTCTTTACCTTCATTTTCTTTCTCTTCTTTCTTTTTTCGGCGAGAGCCGTGGAGGCCCCGCACTCACAGCCATCAGAGCTCTTGTCTTTCAAGTGGTCCTCTAGCAACGTCCTGAAGGCTCTAGTTTGGTCGATGATCTCGTCTGCCTCCAGCGTCGAGTCCACTGCGAAATCTTCGAGTCGAAGAGGCCGGAGGATGACGTGGAGCGAGACGGAGAGGAGGTGGGGGAAGGTGTAGGTGTGCGAACAGAGACAAGGGGGATGTTTGTGACTGGAAACGGGGGAGGTCGAGGGCTCGGATAAGCTGCATTCGAAGCCACCCAGGAGCTTGTCTAGTATGCTCCAATTGGAAGATAGTCGCAGTTCGTGGAGAGAACCGTGCAGGTTCATCGTGAGGTCGAGGGTCGTAAGGGAAGTGAACAAGAGTAGAAGTGGCGGATCGTGTGCTAGGCTTAAAACATGGTCCCAGTCATTCTGCGATGCCGAAATCGCTTGGACAGCGTCCTGCGGGCCACTTGGCCCAGAATCCGGAATGGTACCCTGTGGTAGCAAAGCCTCCCAGCCGACCTGAGCAGGCCTTGGCCAACCATATAGAAGTGTGGACTTGCTGTCGCATAGCCCAACATACTGTCGGACGAATGTGGCAGGGTCGGAGATGTCGACGTAGTGGTACGTTATTAAAGAGAGATGCTTGATGTGAGGGTACGAGGACTGGTTGATGTAGGCCAGAGGAAGGGGCAGAAACTCGAAATTATCGTCTTCGGCAACGCAATCCACTACCAGCCCAAGTTGAGTCAGAGCTTGGTCATCGTTTCAAGTAAGGAGACGGAGATACCATCAATCGTCAATGTTTCTAGCCTTTGAGAAGCGGCGAGAAGGCGTGCACAAATAATGTATTGATCTTCAGTATGAATTTGGATGTCTAGATCGGAGAGATGGGCAAAGCTGATGGCAAAAGGCGAGGCGAAGAACATATCGAGTGCCGGTTGATAGTATCTTCTAAGGCGGAGGATATGTAGATGATGTGGCTCTTCGAAATCACTTCGAATGAAATCGCTGTTAGTCGGGTACCGGAGGTCAGTACCAAGGTTGGGTCCAACTGACTGGAACTCACTCGAATTGTCTATATGTCTCAGGATCGTAAGTGATTCCCACATCTAGTGACAGTTCCCTCCAGTCCTTCAGTCGGGCCAGGGATGCAAAAGGGAAGCCGAGTACACTGAGGTGAACCCGTCGCGACTGGAGGATCTGGCTCCAGAGGGTTCGTCGAAGGAACCCAGGAATCTCCTTCCAGACACCAACATCCTTCGCGACCAGGCTAACATCCTGCACAGAATCGAAAAACAATATGACGCCAGCGAGGGGGTACACTATGGTGCTTTCGTAGCTATCCAGAGTCGTACTCCAATTGACCACGAGTTTACGTGTATAGGATGCCAGAGCAGGCGTCCGCTCGAAGATTTCACGAAGCTTGTGATATGCTTGTTTTCGGTGACGAGACCGAATGCTGGGAAGAAAGGGGAGGGGAATGTCGATTGTGTGGAAGATGTAAGGGCGGGTGTGTGGTAGAAAATGCCTCCAGGCCAGCGAGCATGCTTTCAGGTCCCGGAGCGGGTTCCTTTCCCAAGGTCCTTTGCCAAACTTTGAGACATAGAATATGACGAGCGAGATTAGTTCTGCGGGCAGTGATGACAGCGAAGGCATAAGAAGCAGAAAACAAAACGGACGCGCTTTCTCCCTGATTTGGGGGTGTTTGCACTAACGACGGGAGCTATAGTATTGAAGTCAACTTCATGAAAACTATGTTCAAGATACTGTATTTCAAAGGACGATTAGGATAATGGGTTGTTCTCTAGGTATCTACATACTAGTACAAGGTGTCAGCAGTCTGATCACCGATAAAAGAACCCACGAATTATACTGTTACAATAGTTCAGTTTAAACCGTAGGTAATGGTATCTCGCTTATGAAGGTCGTTTACTCCTCCCAGTCCGCGAAAAGCCAGTTAAGGATACCGGCGAGGCGCAACCCACCTTGGGCCATCAGCTTCTCTACGATCATCTCTCGTTCGAGGGGGCCCATATAACTTGGGACATCCAAGTCAGGAAGTGAAGGTCGAGGAGATGGATTGCCGCGGTGGGGTGGTCGAGAGTACTCGGTGAATTCTTCAGACAGGAGAAGATCGTCGTGGTCGTGATCATGCTCATCGTCTATGGAAGGTACGTGATGTGAGTGTGGTCCATGAGGCTGTGGAGGATTGAACGTACCAGAATCGAATGATTCAGTCAATTCAATATCTGCAGGCCAGATGTAGTCACAGTTGAGTGTGTGGATAGGAGCGGTCCATGCATAGGGGCAGATGAGAGGACCATCTGGGTCAATAGGGGTAGGCTCCTTGAGGCCGAACGCAGCTTGACTGTCATCCAAGGCAATTATGGAGCTCTGGAAGGCAGGGACAGTATTGTTGAGCGGACAAAGTCCCCAAGTGTCGATTTCGGAATATCGCTCCTCGCCATCTTCTCCTTGGTGGGTAGAAGGCACACCCCACTTTCCTCGGACACCCTCCCACATGATGCGACGAATGAGCGCGTCGTAAATTGTGCCCCTCAAAGCCGATTCGATCTGAGCGGAGGATGGTGGGATGTACCCCGGGTAATCATCCTCCTCCAAGATAAGCTGGGCGAGGTCGACTGGCCCTCGAAGGGAGAAGTAGGGTGAGGAAAGCGATGGCTCGGAAAGTAACGAAAGGTCGGGAAGAGGGCGAGTATAGTTTCGGGGGACAGTGCGAATGAGCTTCGTGGGGATCATTGTGTCCCAGGCCGAGTGGAGGTCTAAGGTAGAGGGTTAAGAGAGATATCGTTGGGATATACGACCGAGACTCACTGGTTGTTCGGGTGCCGAAGTGAATCTTGATTCCATTTCCTCCGCGAGCCCGACCAGTCAAATGGAGAGGCTGGTGCATGTCGCCAACGAAGTGAACAAGGAACTTGAACGCTTCCTCCTGCAAGGGACCGGGGACAGGCAGCTGCTTCACCCGCTTTCCAGGCACTTGGCTACGCGAGCCATAAGGAGGGACATAAGAGGTCACTGGTGAGACTAAACTGAACTCGTTCTCGTCGACACCACCCCACTCGGCGAGGATACGCGTTACGTTCTTGGTCGCGTCGAGAACATTGATTGAGCGAGTTCCGGCCCATCCCTTTGGTCCTAAGTCAGGCTGTCAGAAAAGGAATGCACTTGAGACGTGGCAGGGTGAATGTACCTGGAAACTCGCAGCGCTCTCGCGGAAAGTCGTCGACAGCACCAACGTAGTGCATTGCAGCGCTCCAACGGATCTTCATCTTCTCCTTGTCTGCCCAGGTTGCGATACTGGATAGGTGACATTTGGCGCGGAGAGACGAGGTATCGTCCGAGGCGTCTAGATTAGTCCGGTGAGTCCAAGAGCCACCCGAACATTACGAGTGGCGTACCGACGTCGATATCGAGCAACGCGCAGATCGTAGGCAACACTGAAGGGTGCAAGTGAATTTGCGCTATCGTGGCGACGATTTCATGACCTGGTGCGTAGTTAGAGGCATTGTCTATGAGATTCGGAGCAGTTGTTCACGTACCTGCAGCCCCCCAGGCTTGCGCCGTTGGCAACCATCCGGACAGCGCGACAAGCCCGCTCAGTGTAGCGAGTTGCAGGGACTGAGAGCGCATGGTGGTGGTAGAAAGAAGAGAAGACGCTCTAAGCTGCGTCGTTAAAGGTCTATATAGGCCGACTTGGGTCTTCTAGTTGTCCTGGTAGCGAGGGATATAGTAGAATAAGGCGGTGGTCGAAAGACAATGAAAGGAGGCTTTAAATGGATAGCGGACCTCGGAGCTTTTCCCCTTCGGGAGACGCGTTTCCGCATTTGGACTCCTTGCCCCTGTGGCCGGAGCCGCGCTGGAGAGGCATACTGTAATGAACGCAGATGAGGGGGTTATATATCTATACTCCACAACACTCGTTGTGGATCCACATGTAACGCCTATGTCAGAAACTTAGGTTCGAGGCTCTGATTTTATGATGCAAAAGACATCCAATCATGTTCAAGCCTGGATTACGAATCAGACTCAGGACATGGGCGGAGGAGTCCATATATACGATACAGAAAGGGTAATAGCCGTGAGGGATATACAAGGAGGCTGACTTTGCTAGCGTTGAGAGGGGCACCAGGCGCTATCTATATATAATACATGAAGCTCGACAGCGCGAGTAAGGTGAAAGGAGTAGACGAGCTAGCTTACTTTTAACGGAATGACGGTGAGCCTCCTTGTAAGTGCTGTAGGGCTACTAGTGAGGGTCGGGGTGGAGTCTGGTTACCGTAAGGGAAACGAATTGAGGTATACTGGAATTTCAAGGCCGGCCTAAATCAACTGTAAGCGCATTGGCGGGACATCGGATATTGGGATTTACTAAGATTTACCTTGCACATGCTCCAGACAATATTGGGGAAATTCGAAGGTCAAGGCGAGATGGCCGAGCGGTCTAAGGCGCCAGAATCAGGATCTGGTCCGAAAGGGCGTGGGTTCGAATCCCACTCTCGTCAAACTTTTTGCTCGATTTAATTCTCCCTCATGATCAGTCGTTGCATTTCAAGTCTTTTGGCATCTGTCGCAGACTATTGCTCAACAGTGCTTAACCACCTTCGCCTGGGCGAAGGTGGGAGGGTACGCGAGTGGTCGATAGAACACAACACCGTTAAACGAGATAATTAGAGTAGTACTACAAGTAAAGTCCGCCTAGGGCACACCGCCCGATAGGACTATAATATGACTTTCATTCATTCATTCATTCATTGCTCAACAGTCGACCCTGTTCATTGCATTTCCGGGAGGCAGAGAGATGCAAGCCTGCAGCAGTTTGTACCTTTCCGTGCGGAGGTCACGGTGGCGCACGCCTATGGGTCCAATTCAGAGCGAGATGGTGATTGAGAAGCTGCTCAGTCAGGGAAGGTTGCTCTGGCGGGCACCTTCAACTGCTAGTTCGCCGAGTCGGAGGAATGAAGAAAGAATAGTAAGTACTAAAATACCAGCCGTCAGTTTGACTAATTGCTTTCGTATTATGTTGGTTTCGCCTAGTCTCGTGTACAAGACTCGATTCCTTGGAGAAGATAATCGTTCTAGGTTTCGCCACATATCATATAAATACCTATATTCTCATAAGACAGCGTGCATCCAATATATCCTCCACTACAGCCTTTGCAGAGCCTCTTCCAATCTCCTCAACACTTCCCTATTCTCTTCCTCAGTTCCGACAGTGATCCTCAGACCACCATCACAACCCAGCTCGTTCCCTCTATACCTCACCACGACTCCCATCTCCTCCGCCAACGCCTTGTAAACCTTATTCGCCCTCTCGCTCGAAGGCTTCAAGGGTGCCCCAGACGTAGTCGGCCTCTCCAAAATCCTGACCAAGATGAAATTGGCGTCGTTTGAACCGATGATCTCGCCAACGCCCAATGGTCCCTCGCCATTCTTGAGCGTGGCTGATTTTGCGAGGTCTTCGAGACCTTTGATGAGTGTTGTCCTGTTTCGTTTGAGTATCTGGACGTTCTTGCGCCAGAGATCGAGCGAAGCGGGTGAGAGGGCCTGTTCGGCGAGGTGAGCTGTTGGGAGGGAGACGTTGTAAGGTGCCTTGGTGTTGGATAGGACCTGGACGATGGGAGGTTGGGCGAGTGCGATTCCGAGTCTGCGAGGAACTTGAAATCAGCCACAGGGAGCTCTGGATACGCGAATAACTCACCGGATGCCGGCCAACCCGAAGCTCTTGCTCAAAGTCTGAGTGACTACCACGTTCGAATATTTCTCCACAAGGCTTGCTCCACTCTTCTTCCATTGTTCCTTCTCATCCTCGTTCTCGTCGCCGACGAAATCGATATAAGCTTCGTCGATGATGGCGACACCCTTGAACTCTTCCCATTCCAATAACTCTTTGATCGAGTCTAAATCCAGCAAGGTTCCTGTCGGGTTTCCGGGAGAGCACAGGAAAAGCAGTTTGATGGTGTTTCCGAGGACGCTTTGTTCGTGGAGGATAGCGGCTTTAATTGCAGGGACGTCGAGGCTGAATCGTCCAGTCTTTCCACCTTCTCCGAATGCCTCTCCAGAAGCTGGCGGTGTAACGCGGAGAGGTACCTTGACAGAAGCAACGTCGTTTACTTGCGCACATACGCCGTACATGCCATAGGTAGGCGGGGTAGTCAAGATCTTGTCCAATTTCTCGCCTACAGATCGTCAGCCAACGTGTCACCCACTTAATAGGGTGGGCAGCGTACCTTCAACACCCGGCTTAACGAACACTCGAATCAAAAGGTCCAGGACCTCGTCCGATCCAACACCCAAGAAGACATAATCAGTCGAGGGCAAGAATCTCAGTTCCGCGATTCTTTGCTTGATAGGGACGTGAGTCGGGGAGGGGTATCGGTGCAAGGGTAGGGTCAGGGTCTTATTCAATGCTTCTGCCAACTCCCCATTCGTGTTCTTTCCCGAATCTAAACTCGTTTCTGAAGGGATGATAGCATGGCCGAGAGCGTTCTCGTTTGCATCAAGGAGGATACCCTCGGAGTAGTCGTCTCTTGCACATCTATAGGGGTGCAAGGCAAGGATGTTGGGTCGGATAGCGGATTCTAGGGAGAAGTGATTGGGGTATGCGCGTGGTTGGTTTGGTGGGAGACCGTGGATCGGCATTGTGACTTAGACTGGCGATCGGGTTTGGGGAGAATTGACTAAACTCAGTTCATCAGAATGGACTTTAAGAATTAGATAGTGTAGTGAAAATACCTAGTCAGATAAGGTTCCTTTGAAGGGAGACTCAAGTGATGAGAGGATGGGGAAGGAACGCAGGAGGCAATGGCTTTTAACGCCGCAAAATTGGAACGAGTCACGATCAGATTGGCGCCGAGTGCATCAGGTTTGCGGCCGATAAGATTAGACAAGGCTACATACAGCTCGTGCCAGTGCGCATCACGGCCGAAGCTCCTTGAGGGTAGCACCGGGCTAGGCAATGAGCATGAGCGATCTATGTTCTATGAGATAGAATAGCAGGCTAGGATCAAGTTCACGCTCTGGTTTCCTCTCCATGGGTGACGGGCAATCCAATTCCAAGGGTGTTACCACAGTCAAGCCAGGAAGAACAGCCAACTCAGAGGCGAGATGGCCGAGCGGTCTAAGGCGCCAGACTAAGGATCAGCCTGCATTGGCAGGCAAGGTATCTGGTCCGAAAGGGCGTGGGTTCGAATCCCACTCTCGTCAATACTTTTTGCAACCTCACATTTTGCCAGACCAAAGATTGTAGGGTCCCAGCTAACGGAAGGGAACTTACAGTACGAAGTTTAATTTTTTTGAGGAAATTCGTTCAGTCATCTTATTTAGCAACTCTCAAGTATTGGTGAACCATTCATCCCTTTACTTATTAAACTTATTACTTATTAAACTTATTACTTATTAAACTTATTACTTATTAAACTTACCCTCCAATTTCGTTTGTACGTGTTTGTTCGTCTATCTCATGGCGAGGGTACCACCCTGGCAAGGTTCCCTTGCCATTCCTGTCTCTTATATATACAGATTTTTCTTATTGTTATCACGAACAATACACTCCATTTTCTCACCATGATTTTGCTGGTCTTCCTTCGACGAGTTGGTCTTATCAAGGCGTAACGATGGACTGCCTTTAATCGACGGTCCTATCGAACATCACCAGGATACCGCATTTCAAACAATAGGCTGGTTTCCTATAAATACAGTAGACCTGGCTCCTCGAAGGAGCATCTGCAGATACCCGCCTACTTCCTTCTACCGAAGGACTTATTCTGGACAATGAAAACCCAGTTCCTTTTGCTATTCCTGTCTGATAATTAAATTACCTTTCTCATGTAGACCTTGATGCTTGCACCATTCGGCCTTTCATACTACATGCTCAACTCGTCGACTCACGCCATTTTCAGATCCACATTTTCAAATCTCCTTTCAAACCTCACAAAGCAGTCCGTTGGAGCGAGCCTCTTGCAATCGTATTCCCGATTTAACCACACCTGATACTGTTGCGAAGATCTGTACATTGCCGTACTCCCGAGCCAATCCTCACACGCATACAAACTTCATGCTTGCGACCTGGAGCCGGAGCGAAGCGAGGCATGTCTTGTTCCATTGCAAGATTTGCTATCGGTCTAGAATACGGCTACTCACGAGCCCAGCACGACGTCCCAGACGCGAATACACTGGTCATCTCCAGCTGTCGCGAGTAGCGTCTCATACCCTTTGCGCGGACACCACGATATGGCGTTAATATCATGAACTCCATGTGCATCCGCATAGGAAGCAACTAGTTTGTGTTCCACGCCAACAGCGACCTTGGCAGGTTCCTACATCGAAATCCGTGAGTCAGGGAGAAAGCAGAGATCGAAGTAACGACCAACCGTTATGCCCCAAACGCGTATAACTCCGTCACTTCCTGCAGCAGCAAGAAGACCGAGATTGACATTGCCGTCTGCGTCCTTCTGAGATCCAGGTTTCGACGTCCAGGTAACGGAATAAACACTCCTCTCTCCGGCTTCTATTTCTGCGACTTGAATCCATCGTCCCTGGCCTGAGCTGCTGGCTTGAACGGAGGGCGGTTTGACTTTGAGGACTCGTTTGGCGTCTGCGCCGTCCCCCGTGGAGTTGGTATCGACGTACGCCCAGATCCGAACCGTCTGGTCATCGGAAGCTGAGGCCAGGTATCGGCCGTCTGGGCTCCACGCGAGCGACCAGACGGTGGAGGTGTGGCCTTGGAGGGTGGTAAAGCAGTACCAATCATCGGATGGGTCGTCTATGTACAGCTTGATCGTATCGTCATATGAGGCCGAGGCTAGGATCTAACCCATGATTAGATAGGGAGCTTGCGAGAAACAGATGTACTCACCTCTTCCTGGGGGTGCCATGCAACGCATTTCACGTCCTGACTGTGTTCCAGGAGCACGCCCATACATTCAAATTCTGCATCTGGCTGGACTGAAAGCGCATGTCAATCACGGATCTATTCCCAAGGAGGTGTATTCACCTTCCCAGACCCACACGGATTTATCTCTACTGCAGCTGGCGAGAAGGGTACCAGTGCACGAGTAGGCAACCGATTTGCACTCGGTCTCGTGTCCCTCGAGCGTCCCAACACATTCCCAATCCGCAGTCGGGTTCAATCTTCCTTCACCTTCGTCATCATCCTCGTCATCGTCTCTCTCCTGTTCCCAGATCCCTACATTGGAATCGAACGAGGCAGTAGCGAGCGTTTGGCCAGACGGGGACCAGGCAACCGCTCGGACGGTCTTCATGTGTTCAGTATGAATTGTAGTGGCTGGTTTGAACGTCGTAGAGGACACATCTCCAGAGGTGGATGCACTGTAGGAGTACATCCTGACCGTCTTATCTGCCGAGCATGATGCTAACAGCGAATGCTTTGGATTCCATGCAAGGTTCCATGCACGATCGGTGTGTCCTGGTGAAGATAAGGGTCGGTTAATGCCTGGTTATCGGAAATAAACGCGAAAGACCTTCTAACACTGCGACAGGGACGATTTTGCAGCTTGTTTCGACGTCCATGGTGGTGGTATCGGAAAGAGATGTGGTCATCCTAGGCCGCGATCACGAATTGTAATCTTATCGCACTCAGTGCGAACATTCCGATCGCTAAGCGTGAGGGGTACAAAAAGCTAATTAACCAATGAATGCTGTAGGACGGGAACCACTAGTTATCTATCCGCCTGCAAGAAAAAGCAATGTAATTTCCAAGCGAGAAAAAAAGTATTGACGAGAGTGGGATTCGAACCCACGCCCTTTCGGACCAGATACCTTGCCTGCCAATGCAGGCTGGTCCTTAGTCTGGCGCCTTAGACCGCTCGGCCATCTCGCCAGATATTCACCCCTCCAGAGTTTGCCCCACGTTTCCCACCCCGTCGCAGCCCTACTTGATCAGCGTCGCGGTCATCGCGCCTCTTGGACATTGACCACCACAACGTTTGCGAAATGACGAACCCAAACGACAGGCGACTTGCCTTCAAGTTACCGCCAACAAAGCTTTCACAAGAGGCACGGAGAGCCAAGGTAAGCGGCTAGAATTTACCGAAATTCACTGGTACTGATCAGTCCAAGGCTCTGGAGGAACAGAAACGCGTAGGGATCTTGCGTTCTTCTACTCGGACAAGGATGTTGACTCCTTGAGTAGAGGAGAGCTCAGAGATTTGACTCTTCACGACAATTGGATCTCTTCGCAAACCTTAATATCAACGACGATTCCGATTCCGATGATGAGATTCTAGGGGAGGGAGAAACTAAAACCGTTGCTGCACCCTCAGCAGTAGGACCCTATGTCGCGATGCTCAAAGCCGGAGACCCCGCAGACAACCCTTTAAACTTTTCGGAATCGCCTGTCCCGCCTGTCGAAGCAGCACCTGATGTTGGGCCACCCACAGAAAAGAAGAAGCGCCGCAGGAGGAACAAGAAGAGGAACAACAATTACAACAAACCCTCGAAATGGGCCGACCAATGCATGTACGCGGAGCTTCTCGAGATGACGGCCGACGAGCATTTGTGGGCATCGGGTCAAGATGGTCTTCCCCAAGATCTGGAGACGGGATGGGTAGCAGTGGCGCCTGTCCCGGTTGGCAAGAGATGTCTGGTCGTAACACATCAATCACCAGGACTTGGAGGTGTGGGTGAGTTCAATTTATTGTATATGTAATTGGTGGCTAATATCGAACGACAGTCCCGAATACAACCCTTCGGTCCCGGCTTCTTGGGAAGTCGCTCATTCCGCGCTTTCCATCTCCTCTCCCTGCCCTTACCGTTCTGGATTGCATCTTAGACGCTAACTGGAGAGATAACGGTATCATTCATGTTCTGGACGTGATTCGATGGAAAGGACAAGATGTAGGAGATTGCGAAGCGCCGTTTAGGTTAGTTTCTGTTTCGTCCTGTCCAACATAACTCTAAACTGTTCTTATGATCATGTCAGGTTCTGGTGGAGAGACACAAGGCTGGCTGAAATCTCACGGACATTGCCTCCAACCGTGAAGTTCCTTTCCAAAAAGCCGAAACACGGAACCGCAACGGACTCAAGCCAGTCGAATCGTTACCAATTTCCTCATCCCACCTATTTTTTGCCCATACCATATCACACGGACACATCGCTGTTGTCGCTCCAAAACCAGGTCATCCCGGCTGCCCTCTCCACAAGAACTGTAACTGTCGATGCTCCGTTATCTATCCAGCCCCTGCATGAACACGCAGGCCGTGATCATGAATTCAACTTCAGCATGGATGTGGAGGGACCCCCAAACAGCTCACCGGCTTCAAGTTTCACCTTTGCCCCATCGTCGGCCTCGTCCGTCACACTGTCCCCGGCACCTGCGTTAATTCAATCTGACGGAATGCTTCTCTATGTCGCCGAAGCCAGCTACGAGCCAGGGACAAGCCCATTGAGTAGCTGGGTGCCCATATCAAGTGTTCAGGGAGACATGGACACGGACAGTTCATCTACAACTGATAGTCCCCTGGAACTATTCCAAAAGTGCGTACATCATGATTGTCGACTTCCCCATGACCATCCCTGACAAATCTACAGGCTGGTCAAGAGGAGATTAGATCGCGGGTCATGTCCACCCAATCTGAACGTTGAAGCGCAAGATCCAGGGGCTGATATTTCGATGGACCTGTGACCGGTTATGGGAATTCCACATTGTTCATTTATCTCAGTCGTTCCTTATGGCGGCACCAAGGCCTATTTTCATCCTTTCGAGTGCGTCTCAGATGTCTTAGAACCCCGTTTCGGAGTCGGAGTCGCCGTCTATGATGTTGGGGTTCTCACCATCCCGGTCTGCCCCCTGGCGCCCTTGCTGTTATCTGATTCTTGCAGCGGTACATTCGAAGTTGCTTCGGTTATATCAATATCGGTGACCAAACATGTATCCAGATATTTCACGAGGCCCGATTCGGCGCCTCATGTCCCTCAGGCGCTCAAAATACGACCACCCTTCTGGTGATCGGTAATGCTTTGCACCGTTGCATATGGAACCATCTTTGAAATACGGTAGTGCTGACAACCACATCGGACTGCTTGATGATAACTTGCATCATTGAAAGATGGTCAGGACTTTAAAAGACTCCTTGAAACACCCACTTCGACACGGGATCCTGGTTCTAACCTTGGACTCACGGCGATCTAAGGAAAAAGTGACAAACACAAGTCCTTGAAAATCGCATAAAGCATCCCTGGCCCAGCCCCCCTTGCCCATTCCGACTCGGAACCCTAGAGTGAACGCCAAGTTTGCGAACTCGGGGCGAGGAGGAATGCGCATATAATTAGTGGGCCACCGCTGCATAACGCAGGTATCTGTCAGCGGGGTCCCCCTCTGTTTTTCCGCCCTCGAACGCCCTCCTTGACCAATCCTTTTACTCACGACCAAAATTCTCGGTGTGTCTGCGGGGTAACTCGAAGCTCGCCCATACTCCCCCTATATTTCCGCCTGCTTCCCATCGGCACTCCGGGCAATCGAAGAAACCCAAATTTTCGATTCTCCGAATTTCAAGGAGATGAACCACCGTGACAGTTTCAGTCAACACCCCGAGCCCAGCTCATGTTCACGCACAGTGGGCCCTTCCTCGCCTCGTTCGACGACAGAAAATGACCTCGCAAGGTCTGTCGCCGGGATCTCACGGCAGCTCTTGGAGACCTTTGCCTTTTCTCGGGTGGACCAACCCGTGGGCGACGTCGCTCACATGCGTGAATATCTACTGGCGAAATTTCCAGATCCTATTGAACGGCCTTTGGTAAATGTTTACGACAACGCCACAAACAACCATGTGTGTTGACGCTCAGCTTTTGTACACAGCAATCTAACGAACGGTCGGGACTTGTGAACGGGAAGGGAAGGGAGCGTAGGGATGAGAAGGAATGGGTCTTGGCGGAGTACAAGGGGGCAATCTATGGGAAGCAGTGTCTAGAGTCGCAGGAAGTTATCCTGGAGTATTTGCTGGGCAAATGTTTGGAGCAGTGCCGCATGTGCCTGGAGGAATTGAGGGAGACGAGGAATGCCTCCCGGACGGCGGACGAGTCGATGGCGTATGTGTTACGGTATGGCAAGTCGAGAGGTGTGGATGTGGACGCGCCGGCCGTGAACGCGGAGAGTGCGATGATGTTCAAGAGGGTGCGGCAGGATCTTCACGAACTCGCGGAAGAGTTGAAGGAACTCGACGATTCAAGAAAAATTGCCGCCCAGTTCTTAAGGAATCCAGGGTCGGTCTTGCCGCTAACATAGCATCAGTGGGACGTATAACAGGGGAAGAACGTCGAATGGAATTAGACTAGCATACTGTATTATGCGTATTACTTACATTACTCTAAACATCATAAACGATCACGATGACTCTTTTTCATACTCGGATCGTGCACACCAAATACGCAGAACTCAGAACTTGCAAGGTTCTCTACTGCTAAACTCTTAACACGAATGGTTCTCTGGTCGGGCGCCTATTCAATGTATTCATCACGCAGACCCTCATGCCAAACCACCTAGTACTCCATAACACCCAGGCAAGATGGCCGATGGAACCACATGGATTATTACAAGGGAGTCCCAAACTGAAGTGAAAATTACAGCGTAATACTAATGGCATGTAGTACATAAATCGTAAATCGGAGGTATACACTACTGAACTGACGACTGCGTAGACTCGTCTATCCACCGTCTCCTCTGTTCATTCCTCGCCTTCAGTTGGTCAAAACAACTCTCCATCTCCTCCTTGCTCCGGTACTTCCACAAAAAGTCCTCCGACTTTGAAACGTAAAAGAGACGATACGTTCGTACGCAGACCTTGATCTCGAGGTTGTCCGTAGAGGCAACATTTGGCTGGGTCTCCTTGACGGCTGCAGGGATGTTTCTGATTCGGAGGTTCATGAGTATACTGCTATTCAGACCGAGAAACTGGACCCACCTCCGCAAAAACGGAGATTTCATCTTGGACTGAGAAACTCCCGACGTCGCATCGGCCTAAAGGAAAGAGACAATGAGAGATCTGATCAGGGTTTCACGAGGATGAGGCACTCACGGAGACGTAGGAATCAATATACGATTGCCACCGTCCAGTCAACACCTCAGAATCATCAAAGCTCGAGTCGTCCTTGCCGATCAGCTGGATGGTGATGGTTTTGGAGTCTGCGAGCTGTGGTAGAGAAAAAGGTCCATGTCAGTGTTTACCCGAATTGAAGATTTGGCGTGATCGAGACGTAAGGACGGGTAGCAGTGTGGGGATGTGAAGAAACACAAGGGAAACCGCTACACACCCAGTCGAGTCTGAACAAATTTTCATCAGGTCCGAGAACCTTCTCCGCACTTCGGCGAGTGTTGATTTGCTCCTGCGTTGTAGGCGCAACCAGAGATCGCTCTCGCTTGAGGATCTCCAGAAGATCTTGACTCTTGGGATCGGAGAAGATAACTTGCACCTGTTTGATTAGGGCGCTGATCACTTTGTCGATGGTAAAGATCTTGTATCCGTTCTATAACACCAATCGTGAATGGCGTTTCGGGACCAAGTGACAAGGGTCCGCTCGTACCTGAATCCCGAACACTGCGCGCATTTGATCTTCGAATGCGTGCGACTCGATTTCGTTGTCGAACAGCCGTTCGCATGTTTCCAGAAGGAACACGTAGTGGTATTCTTTCGAGTTGTACTCCGTGTTGGTCGCTTGGGCTGATAGGCCAGGTGCAACGGGTGCGGAGGGTTTTGACTTGGACTTGTCCTCGGCAATCTGGGCGCTCAGTTCTTTGAACAGGGTCAAACGAGCCACCAGGAGCTGAGATGTCATGTCAGCGCGTCGGTATCGGGGAACATACATGTAGGGTGAACTCACTTGGATAAGACGGATCAAGACATAAAACGTGGTGTTGGTGAAGAAGATATATCGTCGACTCGGTCTCCGACTTTGGCTTGTACTGGCCTGTATCCTGTAATCTTCATCCAACAACGCCGGTGAGGCCGGTCTCGAATTCGCAGGCGAGGCATCCTGCGCTCTCGTCTTCCGGCTGGACTTCGCTTGCTCGCTCTTCAAGAGCTTCTTGCGAAGATCGTTGCCACCGGTCACCATCCCTCCACCTTTGCGATGATTTCCGCCTCGACCACCCCGCGAACTGCTGGTACCATTGCTGGATACCTCAGCATCATCGATGTTGCTCGCGGCGTCACCCTCGCTCCCTTCGCTGTCGGCACCCTCTGCAATGACGAAGGCGGAGTTGAAGGCCACTGGGTCGAGGACGAAGAACAAAGGAATGAACGAGCGCAAAAAGCTCTCGATCCGTCGTCGCTCGTTGAAGTTGATCTGAGCCTGCGTCCGGTCGAGGAAGGAGAACGTCAGTTTCAGCGCATCTTGGAGAACTGGAATGTCGTCCAGCACAAAGTCAAGTTGGTGTCGTGGCCTCGTTCGAGCAAACAGAGGGTCGATCAAAGACGCCCGAGAAGCCATCTGCTCCTCGCGCGCAGCTTCGATTTGAGAAACGAACGCCTTGGTCGTAATGGCCTTCTTGTCGGCGGCTTTGAAGGTGATAGCTTGATGGTCGAGACTCTTGGCGTAATTCCGAGCATCGACCTCTCGCCAGACCTTGTTCCACTCCCTCTGAGCTCTCTTCCATTCCTCCTCCTTTTGCTTTAGCCGTTGAAGGACGACGGGGATGGCGAGTGCGGGCGAATCTTGCATAGATTGGATGACTTCGAGCCCCGCATCGCCACCGTAGATCTTCTTGATCACTCTCTGGTGGATAGCTTTCCACGTCCCGCCGAGGTTGGGTTTGAGTTTGAAGGAACCCCGATCTTCTGGGTTCATCTGAGCGATCTTGTTGTTGATGGGCTCCAGCATGGCAATAGTACGGGTAATGGCTTCGATGTGGAAGTCGTACTCGTGTCGTTCTTCCTCGCTTCTGTGAAGAGCCTCTTCGTAGACGTTCTTCTTGTGTGGGATGAATCCGGTGTCTTCGCTCGACCAGGCTGGATGGGACACCCATTCATCATTGAGGACCATTCTGCACATCTCGTCCCGACCAGAGCATGGTACGTTGGCCTCCTGTGCAATTTGTGAGACGAGTCGAATGATCGAATAATGCAACACTTACAGCTGGGGAAACACGACGGTAACTAGACTGTCGTTCAGCCTGGTGAATACGAGTGGGCTTCTCCTCCACGCTCATAACAGTAGGCTTATGCCAATCAGCTGACGCAGATACATGCTCAGCCATGACATATTCCCTCTGTTTGCGATCATCCCAGCCCAGAATTTCCTTGAATTGGCGATGCAACTCTGTATCGCCAAGGAAATTTCGACTCTCTTTGACAAGTCTTGCCATATCGATGTAGTCTTGGGTGAAGAGGTTGACGAGCTTGAGAAATTCGTTATATAGATCGCGGTTGTTATCGAGCGCTCGTTTGACTCGGTCGAAAAAGTTGCTGTCGTCGGGCATAGCTGTTCTGGTGTGTGACATAGCCGGTTGGGGAAGTAGCTGGGAAGGACCTGGGTGCGGCGAAGAAGTTTGAGCAATGATGTGTTTAGGGTTATAAGAAACGGTGTTAGCGTCCTGCGAGTGCTTGAGTTTCTGCAGTGTTGCGTGAGAACTATTATTGAGTCAAGGGCAAGGGCGATAGGTACCTTGCTAGCAGGTGGTATGACAGCACTCGACCTCAACGGAACCGCCTCCTTTTCCCGCTCGCGCTCTTTGTCACCGACCTTTCTCTTGCGTTTCTGAGGAAGTCCAGCACCATTGGCACTAAGCGAGTCAGCCACGGCGTCTAATTTACGGCGTCCCTTGGAGTCCAAATGTGATACTTGGTGTGAGGCTGGCCCGTCCAGTATTTGCTGACTCCGATCTGGCATGAACACTCTAAAGTCGTTTGCAAGCTCTGGAGCATCTTTAAACAGTCGGGAAATCTGCCTGGAAACCTCCGCCTGAAAAATGATGATGTCAACCTATGTTGGCGAAAACAAAGGGTGGAATGCACCTCGTCAATGGCTTCGGGAGCATGGTGATATCGTGAAAGGATGTCTAAAAACTGACGGTATGTCTCGGCGTCACAGCTCTGCTTGATCTTTTGAACGTATTGTACGGCGGGTTCGATTGCCTGGCCATCGAGAGGTACACCGTCTGGTGTTGTCCACACCATTCGGCTGTTCTGGGTAGTTTGTATGGTGGTACCGGTAGGTGTCGTGACAGTAATAACTCCAGTCTCCAAAGCATCCCCCATGCACTCAATCCGGTAGCCAGCCGGCAAGAACGTGTTAAATCCTTGAATAAGTGAAGGGTGTCCGTGGAAGAGTTGTGAAACGCGCTTAATTACGCCGGGCGTGTCGATTCTAATGACATTCGTTAATGGAAGGAGAGAAGTATAACGTAAAAGCCTCACTGTTCGTTTTTAAATTCCTTCATTATATCGAGAAATTGGTTGTATACGTCAGGTTGATCCGCAAATTGGACTTTGACTTGGTCGAGATAGGTTAGGGCGTCGGTTACGTTCAGAGGGCGATCTGAGGACCCGGGATATCCATGAGCGTCTGCGGGCGAGCCTTTTCGCGGCGGGGGTGGCTCATCGACAGCCATTGCTGACGGTGAAGGGGCGTTCCGTGGAGGAACATTCTCTTCCTTGGGAGCCTCGGATGTAGGTGAGGGCTTCCTAGACGAGCTTCTGGTAACCCGCTCTTCGCGAACTGGAGGAGGGGGGTTGGTGTCACCAGCGTCTGCTACGGCGCCTGCTGCAGCAGGTCCTGTTACTGCAGATTCGGTACTCCGTGGCGTCGGTGACGAGGTTGTTGGGTTTCCTGGGGCGGGCGTGGGTGGCTTGCTGGGATTTGAAGGGGCGTTCGATGGCTGGTCGACGTCCATCACGGCGAGGAAAAGGGTGTGCTCGACGGGGACGACGATGAAGGAAGCGTTGGAAGTGAGGGTCAGTGCACCACCGATCAATCTGTGCCGCAACACGTGATGAATTTGATGTTTGCCTTTAATTGGGCCGATGGGCGTCTGTGGTATTTTGATCGCTGAACGTTTGATGCCAAGCGAGTTCGGGGTTGTCCTGACTGATTTTCTGCCCTTTCAGTTTGTGTTATTTGAAGGAATATGAGGCTGCACAATGGCAAGAGTTATCGAGGCAGTGTCTAAAGCCTTAGAGGACGGTCAAATTTTAATCTTTTTCAGTAGCTCCACGGAGGAAGGTGGGTCTGAGGCTGCACTTGCTTCCATACGGAGGAGATTTGCGAGATCACTTCTGTCGATGCACCTTGGCGGCGCATGAGTGCCCACCAAGTTCGTGGAGGTAGTTGGCGCCTATTGGGCCCACTATTGCATAGCTATCTTACCGACGAACGCCAGTGACGTGCCGCTTTACAATTCTCAAGGACGTTCGATGGGGTGCGGTTCGAAGGCAGTTCTGTCCTAGTCGTATATAATATTCGGCAGAAGTACAGGCCAAGACAGGTCCTGTCCCATGACTACGTTTTGACATTGTTTATTTACTTCAATGCAAGAGCACACGGCAAAGGCTTCCCAAGAACGGCTGCCAATGCGTTCTCAGCAGCCAACTTTGCCATGTCGTTTCGAGTCTCGAATGTCGCGCTGCCAATATGGGGCAAGATCACACAACTTGAGAGGTTGTCAGATTACAAACCAAATGCGATAAAGAAAGTAGACTATCTCACCGTGGTTCCTTGACCAGAGGATGATCGAGGGTGATATTCGGTTCGCCTTCTACGACGTCTAATCCCGCCCCATAGATCCCTCCTTCTTTCAATACTTTGGCCAAAGCGTCAGAGTCAACTAGCGTTCCGCGGCTTGCATTGACCAAGACGCTGGTTTTCTTCATTCGTCGAAGGAATGCATCGTCGATGATGTGGTAGGTAGATTCTCCGCCTGGTGCGAGCACGAAGACAATATCACTTTCTGAGGCGACAGTCTCAAGATCAACACGTTTAATCGACCGAAGACCTAGCTTGGAAGCCAGTTCTGCATCCTCGGTAGAGGTAGATTTACCAGTGCCTGGCCGGCCTGTGTAAAGACAGGTCGTAAATCCGAAGGGCACTAGACGCGCCAGGGTAGCTTTGGCGATACGACCGAAGCCGATAAAACCTGCTGTGCGCTGGATGGAAGGGTTGGCAGCGCTGAGTTGACGGCCGCAGAAGAGGAAGGGAGACCAGCTGTATCCTGGCCACTGGAGATCATCTCTTGGTAAGAACATTGATAGGTAAACACTCCTGTTGGACGTACCTCTCCGTTGTTGACTAGTGTCATGGTATGGCGAGCGTTTCGGCCCGCCATGAGTGCCAGCATGATACAGACATCGGCGACTGAAAGTGAAATCAGGATTAGCCACGAAACCCCATAGCAGAAGGAGACCGTACCTGCTTCAGTGAGGACGTCAGGCGTATAACCGAGTGCAATATCGCGTTTGACAAGTTCCCCAATATCAACGTGTTCTATCGTGGGTTGAGTCTAGGGTCAGGTCTCGGAAGGCGGGTGGAAGGAGGGTCTACCATAGCCAACGGACATTGTGGAAACAACTTTGAGCGAGGGTCCAGCTGGAGCCGATCTTATTCAGTTATCGGATCGTTGACGGACTAAACGGTGTGCTCTACCTGCTTCAATGACCGCGGCGTCAATCTAAATGGCGCCGGATAAAGGATAAGAGATTGATTAGATCTTGTCAAGGTCAATACCGACGAACCTTGTCGGTGACCATCACGACGAGTGCACTTGCACCCTTCACATTGGACAAAAGCCAATCGCGGTCGCAGGCGCGGTCTTCTGGCCATAAAACAAGCTATAGAGCCGTGAGTCCCCAGTTGATAGCCGTCGGTTGCCTGCATACCTCCATGTCTTCTCGTTGCAGCAGGGGCATAACATCAGGCCCCAGGCTCCGGGTAACGACGATCTTGTGTCCTGATCTTGGTTATGGATAAGGGACTCGCCCTCGTGTGGTTAGCAATGACATACCCTACAGCCATTATGGGCGATTCAAAGTAAGCGATCCCTTGAACTTGGTGCAGGGTGTTGACGGCGATATGGCTTCGGCGGACCGTCATTAGCCGCCTTTCGGACCTTGGTTTGCCTCGCGTTCGCCTGCCGCCAACCCCATAACATTGTCGCTCAGGGTTTATTTGGGCTCACTCAAAGGGAATTCGGCCATTTCCTACCCTGTAGACAGAGAAAGGTACGCCGAAGAGCAGTCCACGTCCCCCCTTCGGGCCTCGAGCCCACGCCTCCCCGCCCTGCGTGGGAACCAAGCCACGCCGTCACATGACTTGGCGACGCGTTTGGATGTGCGTGTTTTGGCTTCACGTGCTGTTGAGGTGCTCGCCTTCCATTCCTGTGTTCGACCTGAGCCACACCATAGATTCTCGCCTTTCTCATCTCTTCCACCGCAACCAGCTACAACGAGCTCCCTACAAGGCCGCCACTCACCGCACCTACTACTGAGACACCTTTCCTTTTTTTCGTATTTATATGGCCACCAATATACCGGTACGTCGTCAACCTAACGATGAATGTAAAGGCCGTTGGAATCCTTACTTCTTATGCATGTAGACTCGCCGTGTGGCGACACGGACGACGACACGCTCGACATCTGCTGCGGTGAAGGAAAACGAAAATGCGTTGGCCCGCCCTTCGCGAATTACCCGCTCAAAGCTGACGGCCACCAGTGGCGCTTTGGCTCCCGCTGGCGGTATGACGAGGACCACCATCGCTTCCAGGGCCAAAGCCCTCGCAAACCAAGCTGAGAACAGCGGCAAGCCCACCGACAATGCCCCCGTCAAGCGCAAGCGCGAGGCGCTTGGTGAAGTGGCTGTGGCTGGGAACCGACCAACACGATCGACCACCCTCAAGGGCAAGGAGAAGGAGAATGGCGTCACGGGCAAAGCTGGGGCGAGCGAGAGTGCAGGCAAAGATAAGTTTGATGGAGTTGTGATCAAGACGAAGCCTTTGGCGGTGAGGCAGCCGTTGAGGACGGTTGCCACTCGCCAAGTCGCATCGACGAGGACCACTAGGGCGGCAGCAGAGAAGGAAAAAGAGAAGGAAAGGGAGAGGGTCCCTGTGAAAGAAAAGGTCAAGGAACCGGCAACGAGCGACCACGCGATGGCCGTTGATGCCCCCCAAATCCCCAGCATCGCTGTCAGACGTTCCGAAGTCGTCAAAGACCAGAAGGTCATGGGTCCCAAACGTCATGGATCCCAGCGCGCCCTTCGACCAACCCAACCAAAGATTGAAGAGGAAGATGAAGAAGAGCAAGAGCGCGTTTTCAAGAAGAGGAGGACCAGCTCAGACGCACCCGAACCAGAGCCCAAGATTGAAGAGCCTCGAGTGGAGGAACAAGACCCTGAGGCGTTGTTGATGGCCAGGCTCGAGGCTGAGATGGAGGCGTTCGCCAACGAGCCCGAACACGACCCCGAAACATCTGCTTGGGATGACTTGGATGCGGACGACGGCGATGACCCTCTCATGGTCAGCGAATACGTCGGGGAGATCTTCAATTACATGAAGAAGTTGGAGGTAAGCTTTCTCGCCATCATTTACATTGCGTCATAGTAACATTGTCCGTTCAGTTGACGACCATGGCGAACCCCAATTACATGGAAAGTCAGAAAGAGCTTGCCTGGAAGATGCGTGGCATTCTCACCGACTGGCTTGTTCAAGTCCACGTCCGTTTCCGCCTCCTCCCCGAAACCCTTTTCCTCTGCGTGAACATCATTGACCGCTTCCTCTCCGCGCGCGTCGTCTCGCTTGCCAAGCTCCAACTTGTGGGCATCACATGCCTCTTCATCGCCTCTAAGTTTGAGGAAATCGTCTCTCCTGGTGTTTCTCACTTCCTCAGCGTCGCCGACTCGACATATACCGAGGCTGAGATCCTCCAAGCCGAGCGATACGTCTTGAAGACCCTCGACTGGAATCTCAGCTACCCCAATCCTGTCCACTTCTTGAGACGGGTCAGCAAAGCGGACGACTACGATGTTGCAGTCCGCACGGTGGGCAAGTACCTCTTGGAGATCGGGTGTTTGGAGTGGAGGTTGATCGCTGCCCCACCCTCGTTGATGGCTGCTGCTGCCATTTGGTTGGCAAGGTTGGCCATGGGCCATGAAGAATGGGTATGTTTTATCCATGTTTCGTCGAGGAGAAGATCGCTGACTGATGCTCTTTCGTTCAGACCCCCAACCTTGCTCACTATTCGAGCTACAGGGAGAGTGCTCTCGTCCCCACCGCCAACTTGATGTTGAATTATATTCTCAAGCCGATCAAGCATGAGGCGTTCTTTAAGAAGTACGCTGGAAAGCGTTTCTCCAAGGTCAGTTCCTGTTGTTTCTCCCCGTTGAAGGAATGGGCATTGACGAGCTATGCTGTCTATAGGCCAGCGTCTACATGCGCGAATGGGCGTTGAGCCAGTGGCCCGAGAACAGCCAGGTCGATTTGGGGAAGGAGCTTCCCAGAATCAAGGCGTCGATCAAGCTGCAGCGGGAGGCAGAGGAGTTGGCCCTGGCTCGTGCTGGGAATAGCGAGGCAGAGTTTTTTGAAGGCGAGACGTTCGCCAAGCCCCGCGCTCGTTGAACGATGAACCCTACTCGCCACTGGTTCCTTCATGTCCAGTAATACGACTCCAGCATTCGCTTCACCGTTATCTCGGCGCTTTCCGACCTGCATGCCTTCCCATTTTTCTGTTCGATTATCATCTTTCCATCTTTGTGATATTAGCTCTCTCATCGACAACTTACAACCAATTCAAGTTTTTCAAGTCTCGAATCCATCTGCTATTCCCTGTCATTCCGACGTCCAGCTGTGCACCTTGCATCGTTCGGACTCGGGGCCTTTCCTTCGTTGTCCACCTTCAAGCTATCTATTGCGCTCGGTATCGCTGTTCGTCGGTGGGAATGTCCAAAGCTGCCAGCATCTTCGTTTCCCACTCCCTGAAGGGTCTTTTGCGACGCGCCTTCCCGGTGGACCAATGGACAGACTACTAATTAAGCCGCCAGTGCGTGTTTTGTGGAGAAGTTCAGTAGTAGTAAAGTTCTTTTTTGCCTGGTTACTTATCTACTCTACCGTACTGTATACTGAATTCCAAAGCAGAAGTGCATTTGTATAGGAAAGCATCCATCGTCGTCGTGGTATTGGCATAGTCATGTTCATTTGTACAATTAGATACATTGCATTTTTGTGTTCTTTACCGCGTTCAGTCATGGATCTGGTTTTCCAAGGCAGGGTACCTGTGGTTGCGTTCTTGGTTCGAGGGTCAGGTCGGGCCATAATTATGCGGAAGTGCATGTTAAGAAGATTGATCGAAAGCATTAGAATTAGGTTCGGGGAATATCTAAGTGTAGTATATCCAACCATGGTGGTAGGGCACTGGAAGAAACTGACGAAAACAAATGGTTTTACACGACCAATTCGCCCTCGACAGCCTCAGGTTCCAAAGCCAACTGTTCCAGCAAAGTCTCATAACGATCCCGGTTCTTGTTACGAAGGTAACGCAAGATTTTGGCGCGTTCATGGACGAGTTTGCGCAAACCGAGTCGGTTGCCTACGTCTCGGCGGAAAGTCGTGAGGTGTTTCCAGAGTTTGCGGATTTGATAGGTTTTGAGTGCGGCTATAGCAAGAGAATCATGTTAGTGAATTAACAAGCTATAAGTTTAGGAAAGACATATACCTTGAACCTCGGCTCGACCAGGGTCAAATGGGTTTTCCGGGGTAGAGAACGCGAGGATGATACGCCTTCGGTTCTCGAATGCCAAACCCGCCGCGTTCGTATTCCGGAGGTCCACGACTCTAGACAGGTGCTGGACCTTCAGCAATTCCCTCTTCCTCGCTTCCTCGCGTCTCTGTTCGCTCACAAGGTGAGTACCCGTCCCGAGCCGTCCAGTCCCCGGTGCCAGCGTCGCATCCACGCTCAACGACGGAAGCGTATTGAACAGGATTTCCTTCTCCTCTTCACCGACACCAAACGCGAGGTTTTTTGGTATCTCAGGTGCCTCGTTGAGGTTGAGCGTCGAAGGGTTTACTGGTGGGGGAGGAGGGATATCACCGCGGAACAAGGCTTCTTCGTCGACTATGACTTTTGCGAGGAGGCAGTTTGGCCATTTGGTAGCCTCTTCGGAGGGTCTGGTGCCGAGGACTACACTGGGTCGGTCGGAGAGCTCTTCCTTTGCGCGTTTGGCTTGTTTGAGGATGTTCTCTTTGCGGATGACGGTGGCGGCTCGTTTTGCGTGCAGCACGCTCGAGGTGTGCAGTGGTCGTGAAGAGGTTGAGGCTGAGGCTACTGCCTGGACGGCTATAATAGTTTGGTCAGTATAATGGTTGATTTGAGAAATAAAGAACTCACCCTGGCGGAAACGAGCCCCGAGCATCCTGTGTCGACGAGCGTTTACCGGTGCAGAACTCTGAACAGAAATTGATCGCGACGAGCACCGTGCTGGCGGGGCAGGGCGACAACCTCTGATCCTAACAGGTACAAGCATACCTCTGCCTCGCCATCAAACGCGACACGACGCGGTATTTCTTCTGCTTCTAACCATCATGGACTCGATACCCACTGAACCACGCCCAATTAAAAAGTTAGACAAAACCCTTATAAACAGAATAGCAGCTGGAGAGGTCAGTACAGCTAGCGACAGCGGTGGACACAGCAGTGAGGATTGAATTCGCTGTCAACAGATTATCCATAGACCTGCGTCAGCGCTCAAGGAACTCATCGAGAATAGCTTGGACGCTGGGTCCACGAGTATCAAAGTCACCGTCAAAGATGGCGGACTAAAGCTTTTGCAGATTCAGGATAATGGATGTGGTATTCGGGTACGCAGTGCCAACTTACCCTCCGTGTTTTCTTCGCTTTGAAACTGAGGACTCTGTGACTTGCTGGGTCGTATCGACCTTAGAAATCAGATCTGCCTATATTGGCAGAGCGATTTACCACGTCGAAGCTCTCTTCCTTCTCCGACTTGCAGAAGATTGCGACTTACGGGTTTCGTGGAGAGGCTTTAGCCTCTATCTCGCATGTTGCACGACTGTCAGTTGTGACCAAGACGAAGAAGGAGAGCTGTGCATGGAAGTAGGTGTCGTACTCTGCCAATGTTCTGATTTTATCTCAGCTTTAATGGTGTAGGGCACATTACCTCGACGGCGCCCTTGTGAGCAGCAAACCTGGTCGACCAGCTGAACCAGAACCCTGTGCAGGGAATGATGGTACAACTATCATCGTTGAGAACTTGTTCTACAACACCCCTACCCGACTATCCGCTCTTCGAAACAATTCCGAAGAGTACGCCCGAATATTGGACGTCATGACAAAGTATGCAATACACAATCCCAAGGTGTCCTTTATGTGCAAAAAGGTGAGCGACCCCGTGTGTTCGCTGGAATATCCAGAAATGCTCAAGTGTTGTCCAACCCTCGGACTTGGATGTAGAGTGGATCTGGTTCCCCAGAATTGTCAACGCCACCAAACTCAGATACACCCCAATCTATTAGGCTTCTGTACGGGCATAGTATTGCAAAGGAGCTCCTGCACACTGAAGTCGGTTCTTCTGGAGGTGACGACGACATGGATGTCGACGAAGCCGACGTCAGAAAGCCAAAGGATGAGATAGAGGGCGATTGGAGTGCCGAAGTATACTTCACCAATCCGAATTACCAAGCAAAGAAATTCAATTTCTTGCTGTTTATTAACCGTGAGGAGCTTCTGTTTCTATCCCGAGTCCACAGAGAAGCTAACATGCGGAGTAGATCGCATGGTCGAGTCACCTAGGATGAAACGGGCACTTGAAGCTGCCTACCATTCTATCCTCCCAAAGGGTGCTTCGCCGTTTGTTTATCTCAGGTAACTTTGTGGCATATGACATTGTCTCTCATCTAACTCATGACGCAGCTTGGAAATAGACCCGAAGAATGTCGATGTCAACGTGCACCCTACTAAACGAGAAGTTCATTTCCTCTACGAAGAAGAGATCACGGACAGAATTTGCTCGGCGGTACAGAAGACGCTATCCGCAAAGGCTTCGTCAAGGAGCTTTGAATACCAGGTCCGTTATGTTTCTCGTTCATTTTCTTCTCTTCCCAGCCACCTCAGCTTTTATCCTGCTCCCTCAAGATGTCTTCACGCATTGATTTGAGACTGACGCCTGACCTGCCTTCGATGTAGACACTCTTGACCTCGCACATAACTTCGACGACTAGCTCGAGTAAAGCCAAGGGGAAGTGGAAAGCTGTCGATGACGACGAGGACGAGGAGATGCAGGATGTCCTTGAAGACGATGGCGAGGAAGAAGTCTCGGCTGGGAAGAAGAGGCCACTGGAAGTTATTGGTGCGTGTACTCTCCTTTCATCTTGCAGCTTTTAAGCCGACTGGAGTGTTTGAGTAGGCAAAACTCGAACATATTCACACCATAAAGTCCGAACGTCGCTCACAGACCGGACACTGGACTCCATGTTCCCTGTTGTCAATCCTAATCAGAAAAGTAAGACCCAGGCTTTCTCGGTGCCCAGTTCAGGCTCCGCGGTACTGTCGAAATCGAGATCACAGAGCTCTGTGATGCCAGCTTCGCAATCCAAGGGTACCCTTACAGGATCGACTTCAGAGGCGCCAATAGAATTGGAGAGTGAAGACGAGGGAGCGGAAAGGGGAGGGATGAGTGATGCGGGTGTGCAGTCGACAGCGACAGCGTCCACAAAGACGAGAGATGTCCCTGAATCGGTGTGCATCCTCAGTTCTGTACATGAGCTTAGGAGAGAAGTGGTGGAGGGAAAGCATGAGCGTGAGTTTGCTTCCGGGATGTCGGGTGGCAGGATGCTGAATTTCGTCTGCAGGTCTCACAGAGATAGTCCAGAAGAGCGTCTTCGTGGGCATTGTCGACCTCGAAAGATGTCTAGCCTTGATCCAACACTCGACAAGTTTGTATCTCGTCAATTATGCTTCACTGGCGTACGTGTCTCTTCCTGCTCAATGATGTATTGGTTGACGAATTTCACTGCTGTAGGGAAGAAGCGTTTTACCAGCTCGCTCTGCGGCAGTTTGGTGATTTCCCAAGACTGAGGTTGGATCCCGCACCTTCGCTGAGGAGGTTGATCGAGATCGCGATCGAGGTCGAAGATACGAGTGAGAGTAGGCTATCGAAGCCCAAGCTCGTGGAGGTATGTGCTCACCCAACTGGCTGAGCCAGTAAAAGCTAATCGGGTATCCACTTCGCAGAAAATCACAAACCTCTTGATGTCCAAACGCGAAATGTTAACGGAATACTTTGCGATGGATATTACAGAAGAGGGTGACATACAGAGTATACCCCTGCTTTTGAGAGACTATATTCCGAACTTGGATGGCCTGCCGGGGTTCTTGATGAGGTTGGGACCACAGGTGAGTTACAACTTCTCAACTTCAAGTAGCAGTTAGTAACGTGTTCAGGTCGAGTGGAATAAGGAGAAGGAATGCTTCGAATCGTTTTTGAGGGAGTTGGCGTATTTCTATACCCCGCTTACCTTTCCTGAGGACATTCGGCTCGGGAGAGCGAAGGGTGACTCAGAGATGGATGGAACTCGAGCAGAGGAGGAAGACAAGGAACGCGAGAAGGCGGAGAGGTGGCAGATAGAACATGTGCTGTTCCCTGCCATGAGGAAGTATATGATTGCGCCCAAGTCATTGTTGGACGGTGATATCGTTCAGGTTGCCAGTTTGCCTGATTTGTACAAAGTGTTCGAGAGGTGTTAGAAGGTGGAGAGTAGCAACACTAGCTTTTACTGTCTGACTGACGCCGCATTGCTAGAACTATGGATCAAGGTCATTCTATATGCATATGCAGAATACAGGCTATTGTACTACGCATCGGCGAATCCTATGTAGTGTACACAAAAAACAAACATGGTAAAAAGGGAGAAAGGGAAGAGCACTAGCGGACGCCCCGGGGCGCCTGTCAAGTATTACATGTCCTGCGTACATACTGCGTGGTGAGTAAAACAAAACTGGAGGTATTGTATCTATATAAGTGCGATTTGGACGAGGCATTATAAGTTCCAAATGAAGATATGAGGGGAATATGATGAAATGCAAGTGAACGAAACGAAAAGCGAAACCAAGAGAGGGTAAACAAACAAATATGCAGTACAAATCAAAGTCAATGGTGCCTTCCATGGCCATTCACCATCGCAACCCCATTACTTCCTCCTCCGACTCTTGGGGATGCAATGGAATCGAAAATAAACGAATCTGCGTCACTGTCACTGTCGCTGCTATCATCGTCGTCATCGTCGTCATCCTCAGAGTCCTGCTCTTGAATGCTGTCGTCCGGGCCCCCTCCAATCCTGAACACGTCGATAAACGGTGTTTGTGGAACTCCATGATCTGAGATGTTACTCTCTGGTGCGGTAGACTTGGCCAAGATGGCCGCGACACGAGCCTCGAGTCTTCGGGTCGGTATTGGGACCGGGGACTGGGCCGCAGCGACCAGTTCAGGGTTCTGGAAGAATTCGTTGAGCTCGTGGAAGTTCTTCAGCTGCAGCCCTCCAGATCGATTTGACAATGTGTTGATTCCGTTGGTCGCAGGCGGGTTCGGGTCGGTCATTGCTGGATGTGCAATCGGAGTCGCAATATTAGCCAGGGCCTCCACCTCTGGTTCGAATTCGATCCTCGACGGCCGTGTAGGGATTGAACACGTGTCAAATACGCCCAACACGTTTGTCTGACACATTTCCCTCATCTCCTTCTCCTGCGCAATACTCCATCCACTCTCCTCAGGAACGCCAAACACAACCGTCTTCACCTCTTCGTTCCCGTCCTTCATACCCGACCCGCCAAGCTGCATACTCCCCATATGCATACTCATCCTCAGCACGTGCTTCGCTGCTGGTCCTCCAAACATCGATATCGGTTCCTCTAGTACCTCCAATGCTTGAGGAGCCAAGTCGGTTTCCAACAGTCGAAGTAAAGGCATCAACAACTCTGATCCCAACAACTCCACCGGATTCCTCGTCTCCCTGTGCTGGAACAGAACCTTCAACACCTGCATCGAATGGATCCTCAACCATCGCTGCGAATTCAGCACCAAACCAAGCAACAGCGTTACCACCTCCGTCCAATACCGCGCCCCATAGTGCTCCCTCAAGCTTGACACAGACTGCCTTAAGAAATCATCTCTCGTCCGGAAATGACTCTTGGAGAAGCTGGTCATGATCCTCGCAATACTGTTTTTGCCTTCTACTTGTGCGAGTGCTGCAATGCGTTCCGCAAACACCGAAAGTGACGTATCTTGGTTGTCCATCGCATGTAAACACCAAGGAAGAGAGGCCGTGTAAAGATCTCTCAACCTTCCGTCCGTGGGATCGATGACCCTAGCCTCCCTGAACTGGGCGAGACTCTGGAGTACCTCGATCGTCTTTGTCGAGGTTGCCGATGACCTGAGTCCCTTCAGCAAGTTCGGCTGGAGGTATTCGGAGCCCTGCCATTTCTGCGGCATTTGGCTTAAAAGCAGCTCGGTCACTTCAGGGTTGTCAAAATCGACCTTGGAGACTACCGCTTCGAGAAGATCCAAACACTGCCCAAACTCGCTCTCGACAGTGGTCGAAAGACACGCTGAGATGCACCAGAAGATTTGGGGAAGGAGGGTTTTGTCCGTTCCTTGCGAGTCGATGACTGCTCTGAGCGTGAGGAAGATCTCCGAGGTGAAAGTTTGGATGTTCTTGTCGTTCAACGAAATGGTGTTGGACAGTCGTCCGAGCAGGTGTGCGAGGTCGGTCTTCTTGACGCGAGGCATGAGCGCTCGGAAGAGCTGCAAAGAGCGGAATGCAACTGCACGGACAGAACATGCCGTGCCCCATTCCAATGCGACCGTACCCCACGCGCTTGCAAGGTTGGGCGAAAGCGGTTCAAGGAATTCGAGAATCTGTTGGCAAACCCAAGACATCTTTGGTTCTACATCGGCGCTGCTCTCGTCGTCTGACCAGTAGTATCGCTCGATTTCCTGCTGGAAAGTCAACATTCGCTCTTTCACGATGGAATGCGACCGCTGATGGGACCTATCGGCAAGTTCGTCGTACCCGGGAACCCATGAGCGCAAAAGCTGGAAGAGCATTGAACGCGCCCTGAGTCGGACGAACGGCACGCGATGGTCGAGGTGGGTGAAGGTGGCGTGGAGGAGGATCGGCAGTTGGGACGTGAGTTCCCAATACCGCTGAAGCGACACATCCGAAAGGAATAGCCATGCTGACTGCGCAGCCCCAATTGTCAACCTTGGATGATCAGCGAACAATGCGTCCAGGTCCTCCCACAGGGTCATGGACTCCGCGTCTGGGAAGGAGAGTTTATGGTCGATTGTCGGCAACATCCGCACAGGAACAATAATGGAGCACAACTCCTCAAACACCCTCCCTCCTATCGGCGTCTGGCAGAGACATGCAACGATATTCGCTGCACACTCCACGTAGATGGTGTTGCCCACCTTCTGTGACTGCTCCACCAAGAACTGGATCGTTGCGTCGCCATTGGCCTGGTTCGGTGCCTCCACCAGCTTCGACCAGAGGATCAAGATCTGCTCCGAATAACTGTCTTGGTAATGAAGACTGAGCTTCATCAAATGGAACAGCGCCTGGATCGTATCCTTTGAGAGCTTGAGCTCGTCGCCAGGTTCTGAGGACAGCGTGATATTCGGAATCCAAAACTCGAAACTTTGCAGTAGGAGGAGGATGACGTTGGTTTCAAAGGCGTGAGGATGGAGCGACGGCAGCCAGTACGAGAGCTGGACCAGCATTTTGTTGGCCTGATGTGGATGTTCCCCCGCAAGGAAATCGGCGACTTGACGATGTGCGTAGATGTATGTACCAGGTGCCAAGCTCGAAACGGCAGGTGCGAAGGTCGACATGGCGAGTAAACCAGAATGTTGTTGGTGGATGGCTTCAAGCATGTCGAAAGCCATGGTGCGAATTCGGACCGAAGGATGTCGAAGATTCGTCAAGCCGAGACAGACCACTTGCTCAAAGCTGAAATGGTGGGTATCCTTGCAGACAATCTCGGAAATGACCTCAAAGATGGGTTCGCTGCTGGCTTCGCGTTTGTTGGTAACGATTGCTGCTCGTCGGAGAACCTCGACTCGAAGCTCGCCATCGGAATGGGTGAAGGTTAAAAGAGACTTGAGTCCTTTCCTGGAAATAACCGATTAGCACAGAGCTGGAGAGATATGAATCACATCAACGACTTACTTTCCCTTCGTCTGGGTTGCTTTATGAGATGAACCCAGAATAGCATCCAGCCTCTCTAACACTTGCAACGCAGTCAAGGGCCTGGTATACTCCGGCATCTGTCTGTCCGTAGGCGATGGAGCCGCCCCGTCAGATGGGAAGAATGCCTTTTGCTACATCATCCATGACAATTATAAGCATGAAACGGGGTTTGCGGAGGGAAAAGTGCACGCACGCATAAAGAAGTCAAGGCTCCAATGGCAGCATACGAGAGCATGGCCGTCTCCTCTTTAAACCTATCCAACTCATCCGTTGCATCATCTTGATTGTCTGCTCCAGCCGTAATCGTCCTCATCATCATCTCCATCCGCTTCCTCGCTGTCTCACTCTGGGGTCCAACCTGACACCAATCTTCACATAGCCTGTACAATGACAGGTGCATATGCTTGGGAATAAACCGATCGGAATCCTTGAGAGAAGCCAGACCGTCGAACAGGCGTTCAACAGTCCCACAGAAGTATCGCCTGAGACGTTGGAGGGCAGGGTTGTCTCGTGCCTCGGGACTGCTGAGGAAGGTTTGAGTGTTGCGCACAAATTTGAGGACGTTGGCGAGGGCTGCTTGGCGACCTGCTAATCGTTGATGTTGAAGGCAATGGGCGGTCAAGCAGTAGATTCGAGCCACGGCTGAATGAAGGCGTTCTTGCCGACGATTCCTTTCCTGCTGCATGGTATCACGGGCGTATCGGAACCGGGGATCTTCTGGGATCATCGGAGTGCCAGCCTTAGACCTCGGGTCGTCGTAGAACTGTCGACCAGCGAGGAGACTGAGGTCTTCCAAGAGTTGTGGGTATGTGTTGGGCGGGAAAGAACTGATGCACTGTGTGGCTGCATCCCTGAACGAAGTGTGCTCTGAATCCAAAAACGGGGTCAAATGTCGGAAAAGGCCGCGACTTGTCGAAAGTCGTTCCCGTTCGAAGCTGATATCCGAGGGCGCCCGGCTATGGTCTCGTCCAAGAGGCGTGAATGGTGGTCTTGAGCTTTCAGGGAGTACTGCAGTGGAGCACAGAATCTTGACCCACATATGCCACTGATCGACCAAAGGCTTGTGCTCCCTCAACAATCGACTTGAATTTCTCTCGCCCGGTCGAATGTTGAACCCAGCTGGAACCCGACTACTCAACCCCGCAAGGTGAGAAATAATGGGATGATACCTCTGTACTGCAACCACCACCATTTCCCTGAAGGCCTGAAGCGTGCTTCCTGGATGGTCGAGATACGTCTTGAGGAACGATGGGAAGATGTACCTCCAAAGACCCGGATCCTTCCCTCCATTGCTATCCGCAATCCTCAGCAACAGTCCTTCCTTCTTCACCTGCCTCCACTGCTCCAACCTCGTCAACTGCGGCCTTTCCAAAAGGTTGTCAAAGCCCGTCAAATACGGCGCGTCCTCCCTCCCGGGCTCATGCAGCAGCTCCACAAAGTGCAAGTGCTCCTCACCGGGCGCACATTCTATGCTCTTGAGGTGATTCAACACAAGTCCCAACATCCTGATCACCTTCACTCCTGCCGAATGTGTCAACGGCATCTCCCTGCTCAACAAGAACAGCCCTGCAGCCTCAATGTCGTCACACTTGGCGAGGATGATGTCGCTTTCCTCCGAGAATTCTTCCTTCTTCAGCTGTTTGACACTCGCTAACCATGCCTCCACGATGTCCACCCACAAGGCGACGAGCATGGGAGACTCGACGTAGAGCTTGATGCTCGAAGCTTCTGAGCTAGGTCGGCCATTGGAGAAAACAAAGCTCGTAAACCTTGCAACGACGGTCAGGGCGTTTGTTCGATCTTCCATCAGTCGCTTGAGAGCGGCGATCGCTGCATCTGATAGGGCGGGCTCGACATGGACGACTCCACGTAGAAGCAGGTCCACAGCGTCTGCCATCAAAATCGAAGAATGCATACATCGAGGCCAAGAGTTGAACGCAGTTTGCAGGATGCTGATGTAGGCGGAGGTACCACTGGGGTATGCGACGATAGTACCATCTGCATGGTGCCGGATGACAAAGTTGTTGGCTTCCTCGTAGGACGCGTTCATTCGCGTATATGACCACTGTTCGTCAAAGACGCACATGTGAGCGACGGCGTTGGAGGCAAAGTTGACAAGTGTTGAAAGGCAGGCTCCAGCCCTCTCGAGGAGGTCTTTGATCCCCGGTTTGGAGCCCAAAGTGGTAGGAAGGTAGGTCGACGAGGATGGGTAATCGTCCCTTGACGGAGGTGTGGAGAAGTCGCTGGATGAAGGCCAACTAGGAGTTGGGACTTCCTTTTCCAGCTGGTAAAGTGTCATGAGGATGGCGTTTATAGCGATCAGGGTTCGTTCTGGCGCCATCGTGTTGCTGATGTTGCCAGATTTGGAGAGCGAGTTGATAGCGGACTCTTGGACAAGTTCCAAGCATAGGTCCTTGCCGTATTCGAAGTGTCGTGAGAGAATGAAATGAACGATATAGGTAAGGAAGTCGATGCTGTCTTCGGGGGAGGTAACGGTGAGACGATTGCTTGGGAAGAAGTGTTTGAGTAGGGACTCCAGTTTGGACATCGTCGTGGACGGCGTCTCTTGACATCTGTACAGGTACGTCCAAGCTACCCGCATGATGCCGTTTAGAACAGGTATTCGAGACGGCTTGTCCTAAGGAAGAGATGAGGAGCCGAGCAGCACTGCGAAGAGGTAGGCGCACCTTGAGCTTTGAAAGACTTCCTTCGATGCAGGCTTGCCAGTGCTTCAGGAAGAATGTTTGAGGTCCCACGCACAGCGCCGTTATCGCCAGTGGGAAAGCGGTAGCCCAATACCGCGGTTTTGACACCATCTCTCTGCTCTTTGGATAGATGATCTCGATGGCCTTCCCCCATGATGGAATGTTGGTCTCAGCTTGCGCCGTCTAGAGAACACCGATCAACTTCCAGATCTGACAGAGCAAGAGTGTGGCGTATTACCTTCCCAATCGGATGCAACAATAATACCAGGATCTCAGCGAAAGCCGTCTTCAGCCGGGCGCCGTGAGCGTTCACGTAGGTCTTCGACAATACTTCCATGAACTCGGCGCCTTCTTCGAAGGCTTCTGGTGGCCAAACCTAGCAAAAATAGACCTCAGAAAGGGATTCGTCTACGCAGCAAACACATACCTTGATTTGGATGTACCGCATCCCTCTGACCAGGTTTTCGTACTTGTTGTCGAAATCCTTCGGTATCTGACCCAACGTCACCGGCTCCAGCTCCTTCATGAATCTATCTGTCACAGGGACGAACCTAGGGAGCAACTGGGGTCAGCCTAAACGTACGTTATGGTGTCAAATGAGTAAACTCACCGAACTTTCGCCAAGTGACCCAGAAGCGCAGCGTACAGCTCTGTGTTACTCCGATGATTCACAGAATGTTGGTGTTTTGATTCAGGTCTCCGGAACTGTTCAAAGAACGTCTCCTCGATCGTGTATCCGAACGCGTCGCCCAATGAGTCCTTGGAGATGTTCTGCAGAACAGCAACCAGCGCTCTACACATGATGTAAATGGACGCCATCGACTTCTTCTCCAAGATGATGTGTCCCTTCGAATGCCCGTGGAGATCGAGGATTCCAGACCCGATTTCGTTCTGTGAGCGGCGCCATCGCATGACCGAGTCGATTACAGGTTTAGCATTCTTCTGGGCGATGATGGCGAGTGACTGGAGGACGTCGTCAAATTTAGGGTCTTCGCCTGGTCCCATGGTTTTCGCGAATGGCAGTTCAGGTTCCAGAGGCTGGCGGAGATAGTCGTTGATCTTGTCCTCTGCTAGAGATGCGAATCGCATGAAGACGGCGTGGAGTGCATAGTCCGACGGCGTCTTGGGATTCATGTCAACTTTATCGTCTTCAAAGTCGGAGGTAGGTGGAGTGTCGCTTCTGTAAGCTCCAGGGACGCGGGGAACGGGAGGAGGGGAGAAGAACCCATGGCCATAGTCGCTACCGCCGTCTGAAGCGAGGGAATGTTGGGATTTTGCGTATGTGTGGCCTCTAGAGGTGGACTTTCCCCGTGTTGACCCTGTTGTTGTGCTCGGTCTCTGAATGGTACGAGGCGAGTTGAGGGATGAAGTGGAACGGTTGAACGGGTTCTTGAGAACTGGATACGGGGTCGACGTTTCCAACTGAGGAACCGGGGGCGCATCGTTGTTCTTGTTTCCCTTGAAGGCGTTTCGTATCGAAGCAAACGAGGGCTTCTTGCTGATGAAGCCGGTGTTGCTGGTGGTCGTGATAGAGGACTGTGACGAGTGCCCGAATGGTGTACTTGGCTTGCTTGTAAACCTGGTCGTCCCCGAGTTTGCAGAGTCTACAGAGGCAATGGAGTCCCCTCGTGCGTGGTGGAAGAAGCTTCGTTCGCCGAAGCCTGCCAATGGCGTTGCAGCTGACGCTCCGGGCGAGTCCAGAGCAGAGCTGGGTGACCCAAACGCTCCAAATCCAAATCCTGACCGTCCAAATGGTACTGGCGCTGATGGGTAGTCATCGTCGCCAAAATCTATCGAATTTCCGTGGTCAAACTCTCGCAAAAGGGTGTGGAAACAAGGCTACTTGCCTGGGATGGTGATTTGGATCCCCTCCGACATATTTCGAGAGAAAGAAAAGCCAGCACTTGTCCAGCAGTGACCGAGCCCAGAGTCTGGGATAAATGAAGGAAATTAATCAAAAAGAATGGGGGAAAAGAGGCAGGGGATATAGAACGACCAGGACGTTCTGGGTAGGCCGCACCACTGAACAACTTGATCGTCTTCTTGTTCGCCCCGTGGGAAATATTCCCGGCGCTTTCTTAGGTTGCCGGTTGCACTGCCGTTCCCGTCCTGGCAGCTCCTGGTTCGGACGCCATTGAGGCCGATAAAAACAAGGAAAGTGTCATCGGGCTAAGGTGACGGTCAGCGTGTAAGTATGACTAGAAGGGCTATGACATCTGTTATTCAAAGAACCATCGACCTCGTGAAGGATCCGACTTGACACTGGGCAGGGTAACAATCTTTTCCGCGGCCGCTCTGCATCTACTAGTAGTCGAGTACTCAGGCCACACTAAACGATAGCAAACCAGTGTGCTTGTATCAGCATCAGATAGTAGGCCAACCACAGAGACGATGTCCATGCTTCAGTTTGAAGGAAGTAGCGGCAAGCAAAAGATAGGCACTATCTAAGAAAATCGTTATGTACTGAGAAACTGCCCATTGGAGGGCACAGAGCGAGCGCATTTCGCCGTAAGGTTTACTCCTAGACTACTTCTCAATCGTTGGCCATTGATTTTGTTGGTGAAGAGTATCGCCAACCTTGCCAGAGCCGCCGACTCGGATGCAAGGCCGCGTGGGAACTTTGCCTTTGGCCGGCGCTTCTTGAGTTGCCGAATGCCCTCGTCGTACCCTGCTGACGTCGTTCGCGCCCATAAAACAAAGAATGAGCACTCATCGACGAAAATGGAGGCCCTATTTAATAACTGCATGGATCCTGGTAATTGTGTGTAGAAGCTAGTTGTCCTTGTCGGGGCCGAGGGGTGGCGTACAGGTTTTCATTGTTATTGAAACGGGGAACTTACTTGTCCCACATCATGGAAATGAGCGCTTTAGATGGGTAATCTGCCCTAGAAAATCGGGGGGACCAGATTGGGTACGAGGAGGACGCGGTGCACGGGAAAGAGGACCGTGAGAAAGTCAGGACGCGCGTCGCGTTCAGTGATCACCCACTGTAATTACCTTTTACTTTACCTATCTTTCTTCACCACAATGTCGAAAAAGCCCCAGGAATTCACTATCAAGGTCCAAGCCCAGGACCCTGAAAAGAAGGAGAAGCCCGACGACAAGCCCAACTATGAAGGATCGTCGAGGTTGCTGCAGGACTCGAAGGAGGGCGAGGAGAACGAGCTGGTATGTCGTTGTTGTTGGCGATATTCTAGGTTGAATGGTATTGACTTTTTTGCCGTAGTCTGAGGAGGATCAGCAACTCAAGGACCAGCTCGAAATGCTGGTAGAACGTTTGAAAGTGAGAATATCGCCATGACGTTTACTTTCCAAAACTCCAAAACTCAACGAACTGCAGGAATCCAACAAAGACCTCTACCGATCTGCTCTCGAATCGCTGCGAACCCTGATTCGAACATCGACCTCTTCAATGACCTCCGTTCCCAAACCTCTCAAATTCTTGCGACCTCACTTTCCCAAACTGCAAGAGTTGTACGAGACTTGGGAGCCTTCCCCGAACAAGGTGCGGTTGTGCATTGTCTACAACCGAATCTAATGTGCTAAACGATGCCTAGTCTTTATTCGCGGATATCCTTTCAGTACTCGCCATGACCTACTCTGATACCGAACCAAGAGGTACCCTCCGATACCGTCTCTTGTCCGACGAACTGCGTGCCGCGGATACGAGCATTGTCGACCCGTCCTCCTGGGGTCACGAATACATTCGACATCTCTCCGCAGAGCTTGGGGAAGAGTACAACTACCGTGAAGAGGCCAGCGGGAAAGACTACGAGAAGGGCGCGGACCAGCCGAAGGAGGATCTCCCTGGAACGATTGAAGACCTTCGCAAGCTCGGAAAGACCTGTGCTACTTTCCTCCTCCGCCACAACGCGGAACCAGACGCCGTCGACTTGATGCAAGAACTTGAAATTATCAAAGATATCATCGAGCTTGTTGATGAGAATACCTACAGTCGCGTGTGCCAGTACATGATTCGGTGGGTGTATTCTAGGTGAATTAAATTCGTCAGCTAATGAAAATCTATCGCAGAATGGTGCACTTCCTCGTTCCTCCAGACGACAAGTTGTTCCTGAGGGTAGCCCACGACATCTACGTTCAACACCACAAATTCCCCGAAGCTCTCGCTCTTTCCCTCCGCCTCAACGACCCAGAACTCATCCGAGAGGACTTCAATGCTCCTGGAAATCCGTAAGCTCTTTGATCACGCACAGCGCGACATCGCTGACCTCCCGTACAGATTAATGAAACGTCAACTCGCCTTCCTTATGGCTCGATCACAAGTCCCACTCGAATGGCTACAACCACCATCATCGGAGGATGGCGAAGGCGAGGATGTGGACTTCCAGGAAGAGCTCCCAGAAGATCTCCTCGAGTGCCTCAGCAACGCCCGACTCAGCCATCACTTCCGTGAATTCGGAAAGGAAGTTGGTGTCGCTGAAGCAAAGAGCCTGGAGGACGTGTACAAGTCGCATCTGGAGAACACGAGTAAGCTTTCGATGCTGTCTGCTCTTCCCAACCCATCTTTAATCTTCCATCCGTTAGGACCTGGTACCACTGCCAACATCGACTCTGCACGAGGAAACTTGGCTGGCACTTTTGTCAACGCATTCGTCAACGCAGGCTTTGGTAATGACAAGCTCATGGTTGAAGCTGAGGAGGGAAGCAGTTGGATCTACAAGAACAAGGATCACGGTATGCTCAGCGCTGCAGCATCGCTGGGTCTCAGCTTGCTCTGGGATACCGACATCGGTTTGAGTCATGTCGATAAATACACCTACTCTTCAGAAGAGAACATCAAGGTATGTCGTTTTCACACTTGGAAGTGATTCGAAGGCTGAGCGTTATTTGTTAGGCTGGTGCTCTCCTCGCAACGGGTATCCTCAACACTGGTGTTAGAACCGAAGCCGATGCTGCTCTTGCTCTTCTTGGTGAATATGTCGAGAACAACTCCATCCCTCTCAAAACCAGCGCCATCATCGGTCTTGGTCTTGCCTACGCCGGGTCTCACAGAGAAGACCTCCTCGCCCTCCTACTCCCCCTGGTCGAAGGTTCCAACAGCATGGAAATCCTCTCCCTCGCCGCTCTTGCCCTTGGCTTCATCTTTGTTGGAAGTGGGAATGGTGAAATCACGGGTTCGATTTTGCAGACTTTGATGGAGAAAGCCGAGGGAGAGGATAAGAGTTTGGATGAGAAGTGGACAAAGTTTTTGGCGTTGGGTTTGGGTCTTTTGTACCTTGGATTGCAGGATGCTTCGGATGCGACGGTTGAGACTCTCAAGGCGATCGAGCACCCTGCTTCACAAACTGCTCGCGTTCTCGTCGAGGCGTGTTCGTGGGCTGGTAGCACCAACGTTCTGAAAGTCCAGTCGATGTTGGGATACTGCTATGAGCATATCGATACCTCAGGGAAGGATGAGAAGAAGGACGAGAAGGAGGGAGACAAGAAGGATGGCGAGAAGAAGGATGAAGAGGAGAAGGACAAGAAGAAGAAGGATGACAGTTTCCAAGCGTTCGCTGTCATTGGTATTTCCCTTATTGCTATGGGCGAGGAAATTGGATCTGAAATGATCCTGCGACAATTTAACCACCTCGTACGTCGATACCCTATCTGACCTTGTGTGTCGACTGAGTTTCCTTGCCTCTTCAGATGCACTATGGCGAACCTGTCATCCGACGATCCGTGCCTCTTGCTATTGGTCTCGTCAGCGCTTCCAACCCCCAACTCCCCATCCTCGATACCCTCTCCAAATACAGCCACGACAACGACCTCGGTGTCGCCCTCAACGCCATCTTCGCCATGGGCCTCGTCGGCTCGGGAACCAACAACGCACGTCTCGCGCAGATGCTCCGTCAACTGGCTGGGTACTACCAGAAGGAGCCTGATTGTCTCTTCATGGTCCGTATCGCACAAGGTTTGGTGCATATGGGCAAGGGCACGATTGGGTTGAATCCTTTCTACTCCGACCGGAGTATCATGAGTCGCCCCGCTGTGGCTGGCTTGTTGGCTACGCTAACTGCGTTTACGGATGCTAAAGGATGTGTGTAACCTTTTCTTTTGGCTAGGATTTGGTTCCAGTGTTCTGACATTCCTTTACAGTCGTCCTCGACAAGTATCACTGGATGCTCTACTTCCTCACACCGGCAATGTACCCTCGCTTCCTCATCACGCTCGACGAAGAGCTCAACGCGCTCCCGACGACCGTCCGAGTGGGTCAAGCTGTGGATGTTGTCGGCCAAGCTGGCAAGCCTCGCACGATATCTGGGTTCCAGACGCATACTACACCTGTGCGGATGGGTATTACGGAGAGAGCAGAGTTGGCTACTGAGGAGTATATTCCGTTTGCGCATGTTTTGGAGGGCTTTGTGATTTTGCAGAAGAATCCTGGGTATGATAAGGATGATAGGATGGATATTTGAGGTCAGGGTGGTGGCGGCTAGTGTGGTGGAGTGGGAGTGTAGATTGTAGTAGTGACGAATAGATTTGCGAATTTTCTTTTTCTCTTCACCAGAGGGGTTAGCAGCATTGATGTTGCCTAGTCAGCAGATCACTCAGCGTTAGAAGCTGGGCCGAGTGTTTCAAGGAGACGTTCGGCCTCCGGTAAGTGGCGATTGAGTTCGGCGCTAATGGGTAGTGCCAGGAACGCGCCTGTTTAGCGTGCGGTGGCGCGACTAACCCTAACCTCACGAGGAGCAGATTAGATTACTTACCTCAGCTGATCAAACTTGTATGGTCCTCAGCTTTCGATTTCTCTCTTGTTCTGTTTCTCCACTTCCTCTTTCTGAAACGATATTTTACAGGATTTACGAGCCACTGAATCGCTAACCAAAGTCGACACTTGGATTTAGCTCACTCGACTTGGAAGAAGAGCTTTACCGGAGAAGACCTTGTAATCGACAATTGAAATGGCGACGACTGTTCAGCTACCACCTTCTGCGCTTTCCTCTGACTCGACATGTGCAAACCCGAATTGTAATGCTGATAAGTACCGGGGTGCGGTCGTTGAGGTGCGTCGTATCCTGCTCACTCGAGGGAATGGTGAAGCTAATGGGCATGCTGTGATCGTTTGGGTGGATTGGAATTATGGGTGTGTTGTACTCGGGGTTGGCTGGCGCTGAATCGTGAATTGGCGGTGGACTCGCACTCGTGCATATGGCGCCTTCAACCGAATGTTACATTGTCCACTATAGGACCTCCAACTCCCACCCGCCTTTTGTCTCCCTGCCTCTGAATCCATTTCGAGAGCGATCGAGCAGGCGTATGAGAGGGATTTCTCGCATATACCGTGAGTCTTTGCTGTGGTTCCTTTGGTTTCTGGAGGGATGGCTGTTCTGACTAGAATGCGATTGGTGAAATGGGTACTTTGGCGGTTGTTCATTCGTTGAATGTGACGGATGACTTCTTTGTGGAATGGCGGTATCTGTCTCGGACGGTGACATCTCGAATGGAATGGACGAACGGATGGGCGGACGGACAACCGAAATATACAACGTGTGTTCCTGCCATACAGAGTCCTGGATCGCTCGAGGAGGCCGCTTGGATACATCGATGTGCCGAGGTTGAAGAAGAAATGGGAGGCTGGTGGGGCTAGTCCTGTGCGTCTCGTCTCTCTTGTGTCGGTTGATTGGAAGTCTAACGGCAGTGTCCCTCCGGCTATGTGTCCCAATTGATTCCCCTTCCTGGCTGTTGCTCGCTCTCGTCGTGTTCGATGCTTTCAAAATCGCTTGGTCTTCATCGATCCTGGGTCTACTTTCAAACGGAACTACCTTCCAACACCATCTCCAAACGGATATCCCGTATCCAACCATCCAATCCACCGACTCCACCGTTGATACAGACCGACAAAGTGAGCAACTATATGACCAAATTCAACCGGACGTCCACTGGCAAACCTTACGCGCTTATCACGCCCATGTCGCCCCTCTCGGATTTGGAAGAGTTTTTGAAGGACAATTTGTTTGCGTTGGGTGAGTACATCCTTTATCGTTGGTGCGCTGGTGTGGTTTGCGTTGGCCCCGAGCCTCTCCTCCTCCTTTGCCTGGGAGTGGTAGAGCCGGTTGTTTCTACAATTCGGACTCTGCTCGATTCTTACCTCTTATTGTAATCTTCTTTCCCATCCACGGATTTTTGACCCGCTTTCTCTTGTTTGACAGTTACGGATGCGAACAGGAAATTCGTGCTTGCTGTGGCGACGTCCCAGGACTTGGAAAACTTTGTTAGTCGACGGGGGTGGTAAATCTGGTGTTGGGGTTGGGTGCCGGCGTGCCAGTTTTGAACCGGGTATAGGATTGCTGGCGTGGCTATGGGCATGGGCCTTGCATGGGGCGTTCTAGTGGGTTTTGACTATGTACCATTGATACTTTAAAGATCGTGGATCATTTTATGATTATTTGAATGTCCTTTTTTATGCGCTCGCTATGGTTGTGGAATTTAAAGAGCCTCCTGATCTTGGGTATTCAAATTGCTTCACCTGCCTCACCTCATGATGGTCTTGGAAACTCATTCCACCTCCCCATGAGCGCCTTACCTACCCACCACCTCCGTCTCATTTACTCAGCCCACGAATTCAAGTTGGAGATCCAGAATTTCCAAAATATTCTTCCTTCTTCATTTCTTCGTGTCCGTAATGTCCATTGTACTATGTATGTATGTACCTACTTTAGATAACAGTTAAAAAAAACAACAGCGATGGAGACTTTGCATGACCTGATGCGCTACTCCGTCGTGTTATGGGAATATATTACTAGTGTAAAGGGGGGGTGGGGGGGGGGGGGAGGGTTGAATTGGTTTGCAATTGGTTTGAATGTGCAGTGAGAGAGAGAGGGCAAGTGGGCGGATGTTCGGTTGCGGGGGCATTATGAAAGGTGCGGTGGTGACGGTGGGGATGGATGGCATGAGGTGAACGAGCCTGGGGTGGAATGCGAGGATTTGTTTTACGGTGCAGGAATTCAATGTGCGATGGGGAGAGATGGATGTATGTATGTATGTACGCATGTTGCAAGATTTGAGACCGAGTACCGAGGCTCGTGGTTGAAAATATATATATATACCGTGTTGCAAGAAAGCTGAAGATTGGATTGGAGGAGACTGAGATTGAGATGAGTTGCCCTTGGAGAGTTTGGAGATGGAAAGAAGTGAGATGGAGATGCCCGTGAAGAAAGTGGAGGAAATGAAGTGCCCGTGAAGAAATGAAATGGAAGAAATAAAACAAAATAAAGATACGACGAGGAAGAAGGAAGAGTGTGGAGTGTATCGAAGTTCGAACCTATGCAGTTACGAGCCCTATGCCTCGAAATTCAAAGAAGACGAAGAAGAAGCGGCGGGAATTTCGAACGTGAACGGTTCACTAGACGACGACGTCTTCTTGAACAAAGTGAGCGGGATCCGGCTCGGTCTTCTTGTTCTGCGTGGTCGATGTGAAGTGCGGTGGGGTGAGGAGTCGGAGGATCGGGTCGATCGGCGGGTTGGCAGGATGCGGGAAAGAGCGGGGGAGAGTTTGAGGAATCGGAGGCGGGGCGGGATGAGGTGTTGTTTCGTCTGTGGGAGGGAGGCTATAGGACGAGAGCGATGGTGGTGGTTAAGAGTTAGCAAGGAATGGAAGGACGGCAGCTTACCGAAAGCAAAGATCGGACCCCACACCACGAAGAGGAGGGCAAAGTGGTGTGTCCCGAGTGGGGTGGGTTGGGCGCGGTTGGAGGCGACGTCGATGAGGGTGGAGAGGGTACCGAGGGATTGGATTACTGTGAATGCGCTGTTGGTTGTGAAGCATGGAAAAAGAGGGAAGGTGGCCAGGAAGGGAGAGGAGAGAGTAAAGGCGTTGGTCAAACGCATTGCAGGAACTACCGAACGAAGAACGTACATCTGGAACACGATTGTCCGCCATATGGGAGGCGAGAGGTAAGCGGGTGGTGGGCGCGATTTGCGGATTGATGTTCTCGTTCTCGGATCGCCTGGAGGAGTTATATTAGTGTGGCTTTGCTTGTAGGACCAAAGAACGCACCACCGTCAAAGTAATTAAACGCCTTGGCGTGCGTCCGTATAGGCGGGACGCGTGTCGTGGGTAGTCGACTTAGGTATTCGGATATGGAGCCATCGTCTTCCTCGTCGTCTTCGCCGTATTCGAGGTCCTTCTTGTCTTCGTCGTCGTTCAAGTCGTCTCCTGCAGCCTTCTTATCACCTGTCTTCATATCTCCAGGTTTGGCGTCGTGTCCTCCCTTCACGCCTTCCGCTCCGACCTTCCACTTGACCTCCATTTCCTCAATCTCGATAGCTGTGGACGGTGTGAGGAGGGTGTCTGGTGTGGGCGTTGTGAGCGTCTCGACGAGCAGACTGGTACGCCTTGGTGTACTAGAAGCGGTTTCCAGCTCGACTAGACTTGCCCGCTTGGGTGCCCCGTCCAATTCCACCAAGCTGGTACGCTTCCCTCCTGATTCGAGGACGAGGTTCGTTCGCTGGACCGAGGTGATTTCGTCCCCTGTTTCGTGTGAAGGGAAGTGTGAGTGGGAAGAGTCGGAGGACGGTGCGCCTTCGATGGAGAACGAAGCTTTGTGCTGGCTTGTGGTGCACAGGTCTAGGGAAGGCTTGGTCGGTGGCTTCGAGTCTAGGGAAGGTTTCCTTAGGTCTGTGAGATCCATCGATGGTTTAGGGGTGGTATTGCCGTCCACGTCCGCATCTACGCCGAGTGACATAGAGAGGGGAGGCGGTGGGAGTGATGACCTCCTAACTCCGTCCTCTTCCTCTTCTTCCGACGAGCAACTGGTGTTGCTACCGCTACGACCTCGGTTGTTGAGCTTGTCGAGGCGGATATGCTCCTCCTGTGAGATTGCTCCTTCAGCATCTTCATGCTTCGTCGCAGGCGCGGGTGAGGCAGCGGATGGTTTGAGCGGGATGTGGAATTGGACTTTTGGTATGCGTTTAGGGGCGGAGGAGGGTGCGGGCGTGGGCGTGGGTGCACCTGAAGAAGAAGATTTCCGCAGGGCGAGTCCTAGAGATTCTGAACTATGTGAATCAGAACTTTGCTCCCGTTTGCGAGGGTGGAAGGTGTTTGTGATTATCCCCAGCCCGAAATCATCGCTGTCGGAACCTGCATGGCCAAAGGCAAAATCGAGTTCGCCGGTACGAGCGCGCTTGATGTGCTTGGTGGTTTGGCGGACGCGGAGGAGGGAGTGTGTGGAGAGGGCTAGGGCGGGGAGGGAGAGGAGGAGGGGGGTACCGGCGTAGCTCAAGAAGCGGATCCACTGGGGCGTCGAGGAGTCGCAGAAAAAGTCCCTGACGGGTGTGACCGAGTTGTACTTGAGGACGCAGGCGATGTAGATGGACGTTGCGACTGCGGGGAAGATGGCGGTTGGGAGCAGATAGGCGTGTTTCCAGCTGAAGGCACTGGAAGGGGTTTAATGGGGGTTTAAGGGGTATATAGAGAGAGAGAGACGCACGGGTGGTTAGGAGACGCCCAAGACTTGGGTTTAGCTGCGATTGAGCTCGTTATGTACGAGAATGTCGCTACGACGCCCGTCGCGATAAACGTTCCTAGTGCAATAAACACTGCTTGGACTTGACGGGTGTCAGTGACGGTAGGCCATAGAGGGGGTAATAAACTCACGAGTGCAAAAGCCGGCAGGCATGGAAAAGGGGTCCATCCTCCAGGCAATTCCTAGGCAGAAAATGCCTTGGAGGAGAGTGGACCCGACGCAGTACAGAGTCCAACCCCATGACGAGCCTGTGCTGCGTCCTACGGCCATGCATACTGCCCAACATCCCAATAGTCCAGTCAAGGACAGGATGAACCAGAGGATTTTGACGCCGTATGGCGGGAACATCCCGAGGATAGCGCAACCCTCAAAGGGAGGGAGGGAGAAGGGGGAAGGAGGAAAGGGAAGGGGCGGTGATGGTGGTCAGTAAGGGAATAGGATTTTTGAGTGACAGACAATTGATTTCTTTATTGAATTACGACCTCGTCCCCGCATCAAAACGCGTGCAGTTCTATTCCCGGCGGATGAATCCTCCACGTTCCTCCTTGACAACCACACCCTCTTCTGACCTCTTCATTTCACTCGTTCTATAATCTCTCTTCCTACTCTTCTTGAAGTCTTCTCTACCTGCTCGACCTCCCCCTTTTCTTCTGATGCGACCCGGCAATCCAACAATTCACCATAGATCGATCTCGGCGTTAAGCCCCATTATGGGCGCTTAACCTCCATTTAGCCACGTCTTTAAGGGCGCCAGAGCTCCATTTGGTATGTCGCCCGCTGACTCAATGACGCGACCCTTAATGAGGCGCGGGACGTGCCGTGCTTATTCTGCACCCGCTTGTTGGCGGTGTCCGATGAAGAGCGCCGTCGGGGCGGGGTGTAGCGAACAAGACGTGTCACGCTTGACCGACACGCCCGGTTTGCGGATTGAGACGACTGGGTCTCAGCAGAGTCGGAGGGGCGGGGTAGGGAAGAAAGGTGAGTCATGGCCGTGGCTAACGTGCTACCCACGCGTCCTTGCACGTTAGAAACTCCATTTGCCCTTCCATCCATGGAATATCGCGTTGGATGAATGATTACACCTTCCATGTATCTTCCAACGTTATTTAACGTTGCCGGTGGGTACCTTGACCTTGCACGTTGTCCATGACTCACTCATTGTTGACTAGGTGGACCGAATTCCGGGGAGGCTGTTGGCAGGCGGTTACTTATTAGAGGTGGATCTCAAAATAATCCCTTGACTACGTTAAGGTAAAGGGGTTGGAGCCAATTCTAGTCTAGAACCCTTCTACTTTGAATTTAGTTAGTTCCTTAGGGATGAAATGAAGTGGTAAACATAACCCCCGGCAGAACGCGAAGATAAGCAGAATTCACTTTGAACAGTTATGGTCTAGCGCTCGGGGAATCCCAGAGGTACCAGACATACATCTCGTGCTCACTTGAATGGTGTCTTCCTTAACTTTGCTAGGTATTTGCTAGGTAAGTGGGTCACTAGGCCCAGGAACGCCCAAGGTATGTGGGGTGTCGTCGGGTGTCCGGCCCACCGACTCCTGGCTCAATGGAAGCCCTCAACAATCCTGCGACGAATGGAATTCACCCCTGGAAGCCTTCGACCCTGACAACGGATGGATGCAAGAAGTCTGAGTAAAGATGTACCTGCGGTGTACAAATGTGTGAGAGATGCACGTAAGTCCGGATGTCAGAGTAGCTCGTCGAAGATATGACCATGTCAAGAAGTTGCAGACCCAAAAGGTCCAGAATCCACAGGGCAAGGGTCTTGTGCGAGAGATGTAAGTATTACGCAGGGTTGGAAAATCGAAGCGAATCGAAGGAGTCATACACTTGATCATAAACCCACGAGTACGAGTCACGTACGCAGTCTCGAGATGAAACGGGTCCCAAAGAAGAAGCGATGACTAGGTCTTCCCACCGGGAGTGTGAAATGTGAGCTTGTTCGACGTGAGCTAGCAAGTCTTGGGTTTGGGCGCATTGCTCGACGTTGCCATCGGCGGGCCTTGAGGCTGTTGGACAGACGTACGGATGTATGTATGTACTGTATGTACACAGAAGCAGGAGCTTGTTTGACGTCCATCTCCGCCCGTGCCTATGTTGGGCGCCCAGTTTACTCCAACGATACCTGGTACCCACAGTCATGCACCCACTGTTCGACTGTTACAGTCTTCATACAGTATCTGACATGGCGTGACAGGCCATCCAGACAGCATGTAGATACCCCCAGAAGATCAAGACGTACAGTGTACACACCCAACCCCCACCACGAATCGACCATTGCGCACTCAAAGATCAAGATGCCAATACTGCAATGCCAAAACATCAGGCAAGATACAAGATACCAATCCGCACCATCAATGTGGCAGGTTAGGTCGAGGAAGCGCTAGTAGCAGCGCGGGCCTGAGCTACGGCCGCCTTGCACGGCTTTTTGTGGTCTGGCCAGTGGGATTTCTGGCATGTCGAGTCGCAGTACCTGTATCGCAGTTTGTTAGTATAGATGATCGAAGTAGGAGGGAGGAAAGAAGAGGCGTACCGAGCTTTCTGGCATCCGGAGCCTAGGGAACGCGGGTAGATTTCGTTAGTACACGGGAATTTCATGATACGGGTAGATGGTACCGCAACTCACATTTCTGCAACGCAGCACTCGGATTACCGCACCACGAGCATCGGTACAGCGAGACGCGGTCCATACGAACTTTGGCATTCGTCGTTTCGTGCGGGATCGAGTATTCAGAAGTCGAAGGATCCTCAGAGTCTTCCATGTCGAGGCGGTCGAGCCAGGCTGATAGGTCATCTTGGTAGTCCTTCTCTTGTGTTACGGGACTTTGGGTATCGTCTGCCACGCCAGAGTCTGCGTGGTCTTGTTGCGATGATGGTAGAGCGAGTGTGTCGGAGGGTGGGGGAGAGGAAGGCCGTCGGTCGAATACCTCTTTGAATTCGACCATTGCGTTGGGGAGGAGTTTGATTGCGGTTTCTTGGGTGAGACGGAGCATTGTCTTTGGGGGTGTGATGCCCATGAACTTGGAGCATTCGTCTGCAAAGGCGAGTTTGTTGATTCCTTCCTGTGTAGGTGAAGGATACGTCAGTCAACACATACCAATGCGAAGGAAGGACGGAAGAGCACCTTGAGTTCACGCAGGTCCGGGCTAATCTTATCAGCAATGAGGATAGTGAGGAGGATGTACCAATACGACACGTTCTTCATGTATCGGTTATCCGGCGGCGCGCCATTCAAAAACGATTTAGCATCCTCATACGCACTCATCAAGAACGCGATGCCTTCTTCCCATTTACACTCCCTACTTCCCACATTCCCGCCGCTCGCACCGGCGATAACAGCCGCAGGCGGGACCTGCCCACCATCCCCGCCCGCGGTAGGGATACCCTGGATAACGTGCAGCCCAAAATCCCCCGCATGCTCCACCGCGCGTTGGGTTAGCTGCCATTTGATGAAGGGCGTGATGGTTTTGCACTTGATGCCCTTCTTGGAGGCGCGGAGGCCTTGGGTGTGGTCTGCGCTCAGCGAGATGGCGTAGTAAAAGTACGCGTTATCGGGGTTGCGTTTGAGTGCGGTTTGGGCTACGGAGCAGGCTTTGGGGATGTTGGCTTTCATGATGTGGTATTTGATTTCGAGGATGTCGGCGCAGTCTAGTTCGTGCTGGGTTGGTGTGCGGGGGAGACCTTTGTGCGTCTTTGAGGAGCGGAGGGCGGAGGCGCAGTGGGGTAGTGCTTCGGAGTAGCGGGAGAAGGGTAGACCGACGTCTATAGCCTCGCGGGCACCGGTTTTGGGGTTTATACTCTCGAAATACCCGTCTGCGATGCTGAACTCGGTTGTGAGGATTAGACGCGCGAGTGTCATGCCCAGCGCGTGCAGATCGTGAGTTTGGGCCACGTCCATCAAGGCCTTTTGGAAATCCCGTGTGCAGGAGAGGGAGAGGTAGAGTTCGGAGCGAGTAGGTCCGTAGTCCATGAGTACGTCGCTGATATGGTCGGGTGTGCCCCGGGAGATGGCGGCGATGAGTCGGTTGGGGTCTAGGAACCTCTGGTCGTCCTCGGATTTGGCTTTGTGCAGGCGGATGAGGCCGGTGAGGCAGAGGCAGCGGGTTACCCAGTCTCGGCAGCGTACACCAGCGACCAGGAAGCGGATGGCCTCGGGCGCTTTGTAGAAGGCGCTCGAAGCGTGCAGGGTGGAGCAGGCGATTAGTTCTACTGCGTGTTCGAAGAGGACGCGATGGGTGTGGTGTGTCTTTGTGGCTTTGACGACTTGTTTGAGGATGGTGGGCATGTCGATTTTGGCGAGGATCTTTGGGGAGGCGCAGGCGTTTTCGGGGCCTTCGGTCACTGCTCCGATGGAGTGGGCGAGGACTGAGACAGCCATTTCGCAGAGCAAGGCGTCCGAGGGGTAGTTGATGAGGATAGAGGTGAGGACGGAGGCATGGGTCGCGATTTTGGCGCGAATTTCGGAGCCGCCGTGGTGGGTGAAAGTGACGAGGGCGCGCAGGGCCATGCGACGGGTCGAGTCGAGTGAGACAAGAGGAATTAGTTTGTCGAGGAGGCCTGCAGGGATGGTTGGGTCAAGGAACTGTGGTGGGGAAGAAGAAACGGACCTCGTTGATAAAGTTTGTTGCGCAAGATAGAGTCTGTACACATTTTAGTGTAGATACCGACTATTCCGCCTTTGATCTTTTCGTGGTGCAGGTTGGCCTGGTAGGCACTCTCAAGCTTGTTGTAGATTTCATCAAAGTTTTGGTGGACCTTCTTAAGTCCTCGGCGAGTGGTCAGGTCTGTAGGGTTCAGATAAGAACGTGTTCATTCTGAGGGTCGAGGTTGGAAGGAATGTCGAATACGCACCTGGTAGCTGAAACACCCCGCAGAGGATGTTGACGATAGGTGTCCAGCCATCTGCATCGTCAACGTCGTGCACGTAGGCATACTGGGCTGCTGCAGCTGCTGCCCTTTGTGAGGCTGTGGACTTTGGTTTCTTGGATTTGGATTTGCGTGAGCCGGGGCCTGGCATGATGTGATGTTTACTATGTGTAGCTTGTAGTGGTGTATTAGTGAGCTGGTTGTAGAGTGCAAAGTCAGGATGGTGGTTGAAAGGAAGAGAGGTCTGTCAGGTTCAACAAAGAAGCATGGGTCAGTTGGCCAAGTTTAAAAAGTGATTCGATCCCAGGGACCAAGTTGATCATCATCAATCTCACCCCTCAGGGGCTACATACCCAACTTTGGACAGGAGCCCCTGAGTCGACAGATGGCGACCCAGACGGAGGGGTAAACGTTAGTTCATCGCATCTCACAGGTTATGGAAGCGCTAGATGCTCCTTAGGATGGTCAGGTAGAAATAAGAAGTCGAGGGTCACGATCTGAATATCGCAAGGGCCGAACCACATGTCCAGGGCACCGGCCGCGGGCTCAAGAAGGCCAATGCGGATAAACGGACGAAACATGCCCTTGGTCAAAACGTATTAAGGTATTCCAATAGACATTATACAGTGTTTTTAGTGTTATCCTGTGAGTGGAGATTACTTGACGATTTCCTAAATCTTGGCAACAGGCAGGAGAAACAACGATGTGCCATTGAGAACCGTCGCGCTCGAGCCTATGTTTCAGGTTGCAGTGACTACGACTGGGGCTGAGCCAGAGAAGCCTTTACGGGCAGCATAATCTTCGGCGATGTCCCTGGGGGTGCGGTGGGGTCGTGCACGACAGGTTGAGTCACCCCGTTGAATTGCCATCCGACTGTTTGGCTAGTTGGCGAAAATTCGAAGGCTTCAAGGAGGGTTGTTAGGATGACCTCTGCATTTTCAACATGGCGGACGCAAGACAGGGAAGAGAAGGTAGAAAAGTGTGTGAGTATCGGTGATGTAAGACTGGAGAAACATTCTAGACGCACTCAATTCGAGAATGGCGAATTTGAATCCGATACACGCTCGTCCTCCTCCGATAAACGTCATCCTATGAGGACCCAGCGGGCTCAGCGTCTTGGCCCGAGCAGGCAATAATCCGATCCTACTCACAAATGTGAATAAATCCCAGGGACTTTCGCGTCCATCACTTCCTGAGGCAGGCCCTTGAGCCATCGCTCGGGCTTCCATTCATTCGCGTCGGGGCCCCATAGGTCAGGGTTACGGTTACACGCAAGGATCCCGACGAGGATGTCGGTTTTGGCCGGGATTGTGATGGTGGTTGTGGTGGTGCCGTCACGGAGGGTTAGGGGCGTGGAGAGAGGGAGGACGGCGGGTTTGTTGGTGCTGGTGGACGAGGTTAGGTCTGTAAGTCTACATAGGTGAGAAGTCGAAGGCGTACTAGCGGACCATGTAGGGTGCGACTGGGTATCTTCATCGGATGGTTCGTCAAGATGGGGGTGCGTCGACGACAGGACGAGGCACGTACAGACGGAGGGTTTCACGGCACACAGCATCAAGTAGTGGGAGTTGATCGAGTTCTTCGTATGTCAGATCCCGACCGTCCACATTCGCTTTGGCGTTGAGGAGCTCGGAGCGAAGTTGGGATTGGATCGTAGGGTTGGATGCGAGCGTGTGGATTAAGCGCGCGGTTGTGTTGGATGTTGTGTCCATTGCTGCGAATGTCAGGGTCCTGCGGGTTGTCTCAGGTGAGAGGAGCATGAGACTCGATGGGTAAGGAATGGGAACGTACGAAAGCTGAGCGAGGAGCTCAGAGTCGGGGAGGCGGTCTGTTTCGGAAGCAGACATGTTGGCTCTCACTATGGGTAAATGCAAAGTCGTCAGTAGAGTGCACTTCACGAGAGTAGCAATCAAGCCATGTACTCAGGATACTAATGATGTCCTTCCCGTCTTTCGCGTCTTGGCTGCCCTCCAAAATTCCCCGCTTTTTGTCCTCAAAAATTTGAACACAGGTGTTATGCATTGTGTCGATCATATCTCGAAGACGGTGAAGGCGGGGCCAAGGGAGGATGTCCACGACAAATCGCCTAATCGACGGTGTGAACAGGTCGTGCACGAGTGGGAGGACGACGAAGCGAGAGATGGTGAATGTGTTTAGGAGTTGGCTGGGAAAGAGCGTGGTGGTTGACTCGGGAATTAAGGCGAGGAAAGCGAGAATACGCACGCAAAGCCACGGATCGCGGTTGAGAAGGGGTGTTCGGGTGTGTCTGACTCTAGAGTGTCGAACGAGTATCCTAACCCGCTTTGCCCGATTAATTCGAGTGCTGTGCGGGTTGACCAAGAGAGGATGTCGATCTGAGTATGGTCATCGCTGGTCAAGCGGTAATGGCAACGGTCAGGGTCAATAGTACGGACCTCGTCTTTCCCTTCGGCTAGCTGTTGCTTTATGCCTTCGCGGAGCTGGGGGCATCAGTCAATGGTGCGACAGGGATAAAATCCTACTAGCCTACCTTCTGAGAAACATGATGAAAAACAGGAACTATTAAATTGGTTAGGGGGCTTCTGTCTTAGATGGTGAAATGGCGGAAGACGGACCGAGTTCTTTAAGGTGCGCAATGGAGAACGCGGGGTTGAGCATTTTGCGTTGCTTGCGGTGCTGGTCGCCGAAAGTTGAGAGGAGGCCTTTTCCGAATACTTGTTCGAAGGTACTGTTTTAGAGGTATGGTGCTCGCAGGTCAGTCATTTTAATTCGAGAATGGATGGGTGTGGAAGAATGATGCGCGCGTACATCCGGAAGATCGGATTCTCTTCGAAGGTATCTTGGTCCTGTGGGACATAATGGTAAGCACTAAAGCTAAAGGGTAGCGGGGTCTGGCCCAGGGCAGGAATGACCTTGACGAGGACGTGGTAGAGTGCCTTGGGGTCATAGATGTGTACAAAGTTAGACTGCGTAAAGGTTAGCGAATGTCGTGAGTTGGCCCAGAGGGACTCGAGTCCTCACTCCAAGGAAGCTCTTGATATTGGATATCGGACCGTCTAGCAAATATACTCAGTTATCCAGGCGAGCAATGTTCATTAGAAAAGGCAAACGTACATTCCCGTTCCAGACGGGCGTGGAACTCCCATCCGTTTGGGTTGATTAGGTCGTTTATATCGCCTAGCAATCCAAACCCATTAGTAGGTGGGATGCATATTGGCTGTTAGATGGTGCAGACCAGTGAGCCAAGACTTGGGTCTGGGACCCGGGAGGAGGTCGATTGGGTCAGGCACAAGGTACCACCTGAGCCCGCGATAGGTTAGCCAAGCTGCGAAGAGCGAGCCTGTGAGTTGGATGAGCATCGATGTAGGGGAACTTTTGGTTATTCTCCAGTACACCGCGTGGGTATAAAGCGTGTGGGGTATTTATACAACTTTGAAATTCCTTGATTGCTTTACGTACACATGTGAGCCAATAGATTTATGTCGCTGAGGTGAGGAAGGGTCCCCTCCGACATGAGCCGACCAGTACTATGCGGTCAAGAGGAAGAGATGAATTGACGCCCTTTTGAGAATAGCCTTTGTGTGAATAGGTCGGGTCAAGTCGCTTGTCAGAGTTCGAAGCAGTGTCAAGTCAAGAGACGGCTCGGCGCATCATTGTCCAATACGTAGCGCCCAGGTGCCGAAGCTCTGGTACCAATTAGCCCGGTTGCGTTGTGGGACCGATAATCCTCAGCGGTGGCCAGCCTTTCCGCAGCCAAGTTGTTTTCCGTTGGTTTTGGCGGTTCCGGTGGTTGCGGATGCGTAAAAAGTTCCTTTGTGCATACCCCATTTCGACTCGAGGCCCCTTGCGGGGGTCGTGTGATCGTGTTGGGCACAGCCACTGGCGTGGGAATGCTCTCGTCATAGTCGGCAGCGAGATTAGATCGGTGACTCGAATGATGCCGATTTGTAGTCTTGCACTCTCATTTCTTAGTAGTCCTTTTTTCTAAAGTAAATGGGAAAAGGCGCTAAAGGAAAGTCATCGGCAACGGCAGCGACACGAAAGAAACATGCAAAGAAGCATGCTCAACCTGACGATGCCCCCAATAACCAGCCTCAGGTGAAGAGGATCAAGAAGGATAGAGGCAAGAAGAAAGACAAGGAGCCGAGGAAGAAGGTCTATATTCCGCCTGTGAAGCCTGCGCCTGTTCAACCGGACCCATTGGAAACGACTGGTTTGGCCCATACCTTGCCACCGGAGCTGTTGGTTGTCCTCCGGAGTTTCAACAAGAAGGCCCAGGTCACCAAGATTCGTGCGTTGGAGGAACTGAACACGGGATGGGTCGAGAAGGCGTTGGCGGAGGGAGAAGAAGGGATGATTTCGTATACATTGGTGGACATGCTTCCAGTTTGGGTGAGTCCAAGTCCTAATCCCTCTGGAAGTCCCTAACATTAGGGTAGATGCACCATGTTCCAGCGCTATTGATTCACCCTTCGCGACGGGTCCGTTTCCTGGCCGCCTCAATCCACCTCTCGTTCCTGCGAATTCCACCCGTTCGCGACCAAGTCTTCTTTTTCTTACGCGAAAGTGCATCGGAATCGCACCTGGAACAAATAGTCGGTACATGGTCCATGTCCGCACACGACGTCGATAAGACCGTAGCGACCACCTCGACCAAGTCCTGGAAGGACGCTTACGGCCAACTCAAATGCGATGACGCACTCTTTGAGTTCATTCAACAAACGGTCTTGGATCCTGAAGGAATCTACACTTCGCTGCATCCAGTCCAGCCCACAGTGCCGCAACAGCAATCGCAACCTCAATCCCGGAAGGGTTCCGGCAAGAATACGCCTGTACGACGAGAGAGGAAGGATGATCCTGAATCCACGAGGAGCAAGGTCGACGAAGCGGAGGAAAGCGATCAGGATAAGAAGGCGCGGTTGAGGATCGGTGCGCTTGGTGCTCTGGGATGGCTCATTCGTAAGTCCTGTGTCCTTTCGTATGGGCGTCTATCTGATGGCATTTTGCACAGAAAACTCGGCGCGACTTCCCGAAACCGCGATTGTTCTCTTCGCCAACCACGCGTTCCTGACGTGCTTGCACCCATCCCCGACTCCGCCATGGATCGAGATGGAGGCATTTGGCTACGCCCAACCTCCTGTTCGCAAGGCGATGTGGAGTTTGGTCCATGTGTTGCTTCAGAAGCAGAAAGGTGTGTTGCTGATTCTCCGTGCCATGCGTCACTTTGGGCGCTTAATGGGTGATTAGATCATTTGAAGGAGTGTATTCCTGGACTTTCGCGTGCGATGTTGAGGAGCGCGTGGGTGGAGTCGGATTTGAGTGTCCAATCGGTGCTTTGGCATCCGCTGTTGACGTTCCTCAAGGGTAAGTCGTTGTCTTATTCCGGCTTGATGCTCCCTGATTTTCTTCTAGATTTCCCGTCTGCTTGGGAATCTGCTTCGATTCAAGACGCGGAAGATCGAGAGGATGAAGAGCCTGAGGATGAGGAAGAAGACAGTGAAGATGAAGACGAAGATCAGCCATCGCGGCCGAAGGAGACGCCGCCGACAGGACCAAGCTTTGCTGCATACGAAGAATTCTTGGAGTTTTTGAGAAAGGGTTGCGGTGGTTCGCCTATCCAGGGATATCCGGTGGTTGTCTTGATTATGAGCACTATTCCTGCTTCCGTGCGTCTCAATCCATTTCAATCTATGAACCAACTGACCTTTCCGGTAGATGTTATTCGCCAATTCATACGCTGGCCTCGACAAATTCTTCGCCGCTTTCTGGGAAGCTCTAGATTCCCGTGCTCTCAGTTCGCTCAATCGCGTAAATGCGTCCGCGGCATTCCTCTCCTCAGTACTCGAATCGACGGGCTTCCTCATTCGTCGACTATTCGCGGCTCAAGAAAGTCTTGGATTAAGCGAGGGAGAGGCTCATAACAAGGCGAACGGACTCGTAGAAGAGCAGGTGAAGAAGGTGTGGAGTGACCTCGAAGAGGGAAGGTTGAAAGTGGATGAAACTGTCCTTGCGAAGGAGTTTAGCAAGACCCTTGGGTACTTGAGGAAGGTCAAGCCTGGTGCGTGGGCCCTCACGCTCGTGTTACATCGTTTCTGACGATACGGCCGAGTAGAATTGCATTCGACTGCATGGAACACCATTAAGAACGCGACAGCAGCCGTCAGTAAGACCCACCCAGGGTTGGTTGCGACTTTTTTGAAGGGCTTGTCGGAGGATGGTCAGGGACAAGGCCAGTCTCCCACTGCGCCTCTAGTGGGCGGCGCCAAGGAAGAGCTCTTGACTGAGTTGGCGGGTGACGCGTTAGCTGCGTACGAAGATCCGTCCGAGGGCAACGAAGGCGCGGAGAAGGCCAAGCAGCTTCTTCCTGACCTGTTGAATAGGTTCCAAGGAGACCTTTTCAAGGATGCTCCGTTTGTCCAGGTGCGTGGCGCGGTTTTTGCTTTGTCCGACGCCTGCTATATACCTTTAACAGCGACTGGAGACCCTGCTTGAGCATAAGACGGGAACGCTCCTCGATAGATCGCCTTCGTTGATCGTTTCGATTCTGTCGTATTGGAAGGATGAGCAGAAGGCGAATGCGGTCTGGCAGAGGGTTTTGAGGCATCTAGCTTCGCCCGATCCTTCAATCAAGGCATCGGAAGACGAGAAGAAACGCATGGGCGTACTGACGATGTTGTTGGACGTCATTCGCAAGAGTCGACTGCCTGCACATTTGAAACCCGTCGATGAGGTGTTCGACGGAGTTGTGAGTGCGATGTTTGCACGGGTGGTGGAGAAGCCGGGTGAACAGGGTGTGCTTGGCTGCTTGAGGGGTGTTTTGCAGTTCCATAGTAGGTTTGCTCGATGGGTTTGGGAAGTGGGTTGAACTGATTGATTGCCATAGGCTACTTCATGACTAGCAAAGGATTTCTCGAGTTGTTCTCGAGCATTTCCTCCTCGCTCAAGTATCAGATTGCACAGATCTTCGATGGGACGGACTCTATCCCGTTCACGGGTATGAACGCCCTCCTCGATCTCGTGTTCTCGAGTTACACTTCCTCGCCGAAGACGGTCTCCGCTTTCGATGGTGTCGATGAACTGATCACGCAAGTGATCCTGTACGGGAGGCTCCTGCCGCTATGTGAAGGCGTGGACGAGAAGGACAGCGAGGATACTTTCACTCTCGCATTGGATCTTTGGCATGTCTGGAGCAGGTCGGTCGGTGGGGAGCAAAAGGACAAGGTTTCAGTGGCCGTGAAGAAGAAGGTCAGGGAATTCGTGGTGGGCACCAATAATCCGAGGGTTTCGTGCGTGCATTTCTCCTTGTTTTGTATCTTGAACCGCAGGCTGATGGTGGATTGGTGCTAGGCCTTTGGCTGTCCTTTCGATGATCTCCCAGCGAATCCCAGATTTGACGACAAACGGAAGCCTGATGGACTTTTTACCCACTGAGAAGGAGCTCGAAGAGATGTTGGAAGGCCTTTCTTCAACACCTATAGATCCTAGCATGGCCGTCGTCGACCCACTCCTTCCTCCCCACACCGCCGGGCGCCGATCTTCGTCTCAAGTCATCTCCAAAGACCAGAACGGATTCTCGAGCTACGCCAGGGGCGTCTTTGCAGTCCTGCAAGTCCTCTCAGTCAACCGTGTTCTGGCGAAGAAGAACCTCTGGGCCTTGAAGCACTTTGTTGTTTTGGGACTTTGTGTGCATGATTTGCAGAGCGTGCCTGCGCGGTTCGGTGAAGGTGGAGGGCATGGGCCGTTTGATGAGAGGGCTTTGGGTGTTTCGGGGCCTATGGCTGTTTCGGAGATTACGAAGAAGGTGGACCAGATGACGACGTACCTTTTGCTTTCTGGAGGTGCTGTTGCAGATGGGGGTAGGGATTGGAGGAGTGAAGCCGTGGATCGGCTTACCAGTGGCAAGGGTGAAGAGGGAGCCATCGATGATGTGACTTTGAGTGGGTTCTTGGTGAGGTGTGTCAATGAAGCGGTTGAAAAGGAGAAAGTGGGAGAAGGGATTCTTGAGGCGAGGGTTTTGAGAGTCGTCCTTGATCATGTCCTCGAAGAGTTGGAGAGTGCAGACGCGGGGAAGTGGGTTGTCTATGCTCGGAAGATTGAGAGATCTGGTGCGTGTTCTTGATCATCCACGCGCCCTCAACCTTGCTGATGATCCATTGACCAGCTCCGGAGACTTCACTGTCCATTATCTACTCCGTCGCTCAAGCAAGACTCGAAACGCAGAAGTTGGATCGTTACAGGAACGAAGTCGCTGCCTCGCTGTTGGGTATCCCGCCAGCCAAGGTCAACACGGAAGGCCTGCTCGCGCTCAGGAAACTCGCTGCGTCTGCCCCTGACCCCGACTCGGATGTGGTGTTTTTGCCGCAGCTGAGGGCTGTTAATGTGGTCAAGGCCTGCCAGAAGTGGGTCGAGGAGGGAGGAGACGACGAAGACGACGATGATGACGAGGGCGGCGTGGACGAGGAGGTCGAAAATGCGATGCTTCCCGTGTTTTGTGCTCTTGCGCCTATCCTGCAGAACGATCATGGCAAGCATTGGGAGTTTGTGTTTGATTTGGTTGAGACTGTTCTCGAGGTTTGTATATACCTATGCCTGATGGAAAGGATAAGACTGATAATGTTGTACAGAATTCGTCGGTGGAGGACGATGATACGCTCGTTGGACTTTCGAGAGCCCTGAAGATGCTCCTCGTTATCGAGGATTTGTGCATGACGAACAAGGGGCTGAGAGCTGAGTGGGAGCCTAGGAGAACGAATGTGTTGACCCTCGTCAGGGATCTGGCTGGCGTTCGACTTGGTGGGTGCAGTGTCTTTGACGGCACGAAGTGTATCTGACATCTGATATCTTAGAAAACACGGCGGTCTCTCTTCCTCGTTCAATTTGCAGAGAACTGTTGCTCTCGATCGTGCAAACCTTACCCGCTTCGTTGATTGACCGTGACACGCTTGCCAAGGTGAGTTATATTGGGCGGTCTCGCTGCGCTATCTTAGCTAACGAAATGCGCAGATGTGTCATCTTATTACCGACCCGTCTACGGATGTACAGAAGATGGCGTATGCAATGCTCAAGACTGCTGCGGAAAAGAGAACGGAATATCTTGTGATTGAAGTCGGAGTGGGCAACCTCTCGTTGGAGGAGGGTGAAGCAGGCAAGGTTGAGGAAGAGGAAGCAACGACCAAGGCCGAAGTCGAGGAGAGTATTGCGGAGCAGGCGCCAGTACCACAGCCACAGCCGCAACGGGAACAGAAGAAGGCGAAAGGAGGGAAGGGAGGTAAAGGACGCAAGAAGAAGCAGAAGGAGAAGATTAGTGAGAAGGATAGTGCACCGGGTCTTTTGCCCAGTGAGCTTGTGCGCATTCTGCAACAGGATGTGGCGTTACTTGTTGAGGAAGACGATTTCCTCGCTGAGCAGGTGAGTAGGTACATTTGATGTGGGGGACGACGCTAACGATAGTCCCTTATAGCGCGCATTTGGATGGATGTTGGCCTGGATGCTCGTATTTGATTCGTTCAAGGATGCGGTACGTGTGCTCAAGACAGGTGGCGGACGTTTATTGACGATTGCTTTACAGTCATTCAAAGTCAAATCGATGTACATTGAACAGCTGCGAAACTTTGATTTAGTGGGGTCGAAGCTGCTGCCCAATATCATTGCGGCACTGCGGCTTGATGGAGGACTGAGCAAGGCGTTCAAGATTGGACTGTGGGGCGTCGACGAGTTTTACGTTCAATGTGAGTTGTCCATACCCCAGAGGTCGATGGCGATGACGTCGTGATGCTAATTGGAAATAGACTTTGAACCGTCGAACGTGATCAGCATTCCGGTTCTCGCTGCGCACTTGTATTACCGGTCGCTCCTCTGCGTTCCGTCCCTGGTGCATACTTGGGTGCTGGATTGCAAAGACCGTCAGCTGAGCAATGCGATCACGACGATAACTGCGCAGTACTTCTCGCCCCTAATCATCCAAGCGGAGCTCGCGCATGTTCGGTCGCCTGAAGGAATTGCCGAACTGACTGGGGATGGGCTGACGGTGAAGGTCGTTGGAGGCAGCGGTGGAGCGGGAGGTGCAGTGGGCAGTGGAGGTGCAAGCGGGAATGAAGTTGTGGCAGCCTACTCGGTGGACGAGCATCAGCTTGAGCTTAGGCTGAAGATTCCGAGTGATTGGCCGTTGCACAAGATTGAAGTCAAGGATGAGAAACGGGTTGGGGTTGATGAGAACCGGTGGAGAGCCTGGGTCCTTGCTGTGCAGCAGACGATTTGGATGCATGTGCGTTGTTTCGACCCCATGCCCCAGGATCTGGTTAAGCTGATGTTTACTCGAACACTCTAGAACGGACGTATTGTGGATGGGTTGAGTCTGTTCAAGAAAAACGTGACACTGCATTTCGAAGGCCAAGTGGAATGCGCTATCTGCTATTCGTGAGTAACCAGTGGTTTGGGGTAGATTTCGGGTGAACGGAAGAAGCTAACTTGGGGTAATGCGCGCGTCTACAGGATCATTAGCGTTATGGATGGCAGTCTGCCCAAGAAGCCGTGCAAGACTTGCAAGAACCGATTCCACGCAGGGTGCTTGTACAAGTGGTTTAACACGAGCCATTCGTCGAGCTGCCCGCTATGCAGGACGAATATCATCTAGTGGAGTTTGTAGATAGATATGTACATAGATAAGCGCGCTGTCATTGCGGAATCCCGTGGATTTGAGAGGACGTTGCGGAGAAATACTTGGCAAGTCCATGTGAAAAGTGGCCGAATCCCCAAAGAGAGTTGGTGGTGGGACGTCGATCCTTGGCGGGGATTCGACGCGACCTGAACGCGGTGTGAAGGAGATATGTTTCGCGAAATATCATAGAACTTGGGCGAGGCAGGAGTAGAACGTGAGTGACGAGATGCATTTGCGGCTAGAATAATAATATTTAGTTGTGTGGGAAGGTGGGGGAGTTGATGGAGCCGACGTGCCATCAAATCCCCAAAGAATTGGCGAGTGTATAAATAAACTAGACGCGGGTCACCAGCTTTTTCCAGCTCACCCCCTCTCTTCCTTCTCATCGTCTTCGTCGTCGCCGTCGTCGCCGACCGCGAGACGCCTTTCGTCGTTGTCAACATGGGTGCCGCCACGACTACCAAGAACGTCGAGGACATTGTTCCCTCCGACCTCAACATTCCCGACAACTATGTCCAGCACACGCTCAAAACGACAAAGGAGCTCCCCCCTTTCCGCTGGAGCAACATCCTCAACGAGCTCAACTACCTTAACTGTGTCATTCTGCTCGTCACTCCCGTCATTGGTATCATCGGCGCCTTCACCACCAACTCCAGATGAAGACCATGCTCTTCGCCATCTTCTACTACTACCTCACCGGCTTGGGTATCACCGCGGGCTACCACAGACTATGGGCCCACCGCTCCTACAATGCGTCAAAGCCCCTCCAATACTTCCTCGCTCTGCTCGGTGCCGGCGCCGTCGAAGGTTCCATCAGGTGGTGGGCCAGAGGCCACCGCGCGCACCACCGCTACACCGATACCGACTTGGACCCCTACAACGCCCACAAGGGTTTCTGGTATTCCCATATGGGATGGATGTTGCTCAAGCCAAGGCGCAAGCCCGGCGTTGCCGACGTCAGCGACCTCTCCAAGAACCCCGTGGTGCGCTGGCAACACAGATGGTACCTCGAACTCATCATCTTGATGGCCTTCGTCCTCCCCACTTTGATTCCGTGGTACCTGTGGAACGATGCTCGCGGTGGCTTTGTCTATGCCGGAGTGTTGAGATTGTGCTTTGTTCACCATGTGAGTCGCGTTGTAATGGGGTTATCGAGGACGTGTTTTGCTGACCTGGCGTGATCGGTACCTTTTTAGTCCACCTTCTGCGTCAACTCGCTCGCTCACTGGCTCGGAGACACTCCCTTCGATGACAAGCACACTCCCCGCGACCATGTCATTACCGCTTTCGCCACCATCGGTGAAGGCTACCACAATTTCCACCACCAGTTCCCCATGGACTACCGAAATGCTATCAAGTGGTACCAGTACGACCCCACCAAGTGGTTCATCTGGACTTGCCAGAAACTCGGTCTCGCCTCGCATCTCAAGGTGTGTTTCAACAACACGTCCTTATTACTACTCGGTCGCTGACGTATCATCGCTAGGTCTTCCCTGACAACGAAGTGCGCAAGGGTCAATTGACGATGGAGTTGAAGAAACTTCGCCAGACGCAGGAGAAGCTCGCCTGGCCCAGCGACTCGAACGACCTCCCCGTCATCAACTGGGAGAGCTTCCAGGAGCAAGCCAAGAAGCGGCCACTCATGTTGATCTCCGGCTTCATTCATGACGTTAGCAACTTCATCGACGAGCACCCCGGTGGACCCCATCTTATTGTCAAGTTCATTGGCAAGGATGCTACCACTGCTTTCTTTGGAGGTGTTTATGATCACTCGAACGCTGCTCACAACGTACGTTCCATCTTCGTTGCTTATTGATTACTTGGGATTGACATAGTTCTTTAGTTGCTCGCCATGAAGCGTGTTGGTGTTCTGCACGGTGGTATGCCCACTGGCTTCGACGAGAAAGCCATCCCACCTTCTCAACGACTCCGAATCGCTCGATACACCGAGCTGACATCGCCGTACGCCTCCAGCGCCGCACAGTCCGACGGAGAGGGTATCCTCGGCTAAGTCAAAAACCTCTATCCGGAGGATAGGCTCAAGGACTCTTTCTGACGTGTCGTCGTCGTTTGCTATCGTTATGAACCCCACCTCTTTCTCGCGAGAGAAGTGTATAGTTATCGTTTTTTTACCCATCATACATTACATATCACCCACACGAATCACCACGCACGCAATTGCTCTTTTTCATGACCACCCCTTAGTTTTGTTTTGATGATGATGTTGGATTGGTGTTGGATGGATAAGAAGAAAGGATAGTACAGCTTTAGAGTACTTTTGGCAATGCAATTGCGATGAATTGAACATCACTTGGGGATTTATGTACATGATTCGATAAGTGAAGACCTTACATAGGGAGGCGACAGTCCCTTTGCTGTTCAGTCTTCAGGGTTTCGTCCGTCTATCCGTTAGCCGGACATTTTTGAAGTCCTGCTTATCACAAAGCTAATCACTTCCAAGTTTTGCAATTTCAGCATGGCTGAAATGGCGAGAGAGATTGGAGAGTAAGTAACCCTCGTCGTTTGCGTGTCAAATATTTAGCAGTTCTACTCAAACCGACTGAGACGTCGAAAGAACAATGCTCCGTCGCTTTAGGGTTGTGAGGAGGCTATCTACGTATATACCACCCGGGTAGCTCCCTACCCTCCCACTCTCGATACAAATTGCAGAGACAGATCATCATTGAATATCCTCCCACCCTTTGGTCATCAACACCATCCTATTCTTCCCCACCTCGCTCACGATGGGTATCTCACCCCGCACTTTGAACCCCAGCTTTTGGTAGATGATGACGTCTACGTCTGTTGATGTTTCGAGTGCGATGTTTGATTTTGTGAGTTTGGCCTTTTGGTTGTGGTGGTTAGTTCGGTTCGAGCCGAGGTGAAGAAGGGAAGGGAAGGGAAATGAGAACAAGATAGGAAGGAAGGGATACAAATGGAGTGAAACACCAGTGGAAGGACGCACCTGCTCCTCCGCAAAACGGTACAACATCTTCCCCAATCCCTTCCCTTGGTACTCGGGCAAAACCCCGAATAGGTGGAGGTGCCATGCGTTTTTGGTGTAGTTCTCGCCGAGGGTTGTGGATGTGAATTTTGTCATTGAGGGGATGAACTGTGTGGGGATTGATGTTATTATTGGGGTGGTTGTGGAGTTTCGGAGTATTGGCAGATGTGGTATTTATTGGTGTCCGAGTACAGGTTGGTTGGATCCAAGGTGAAAGGAGGGCGCATGTGTGGGGGCGAATTGAATGGAGTATACAAAAGAGGTTTGGGTATGATAGATGTTCGATGTTAGTGTAACAGTGGAAGGTGGATGGCAGAGACGTACGTAGTTCAACCACCATTCACGCAAGGTCGGCGTCGCGTTGTTGATGAATTCGTCCCATCCCGCTGCGCGTTGCTCGGGACTGCATCGTTATCAGCCCGGTGAAGCGAAAACAACTAAGACGCGGTACGCACGTAGAATTGATACTGGTACCTGGGGGGAACCAGGCTGCTACACCGATAATATCGTCTGGGTTTGGACCGAGTGCGAGGACGTGAAGATCGCCTCCGACTGCGGCAGAGGCGATCCCGGCGCGTAGTTGGGCGTAGGAGAGGGAGGTGTCGCCGCCTGTTACGATTTGAGTGAACGGATCAGCTGGGGTGGGGGGAGGTTGTTGTTTTTAGCTTTGGTGGTAGGTGAATGGTGAAGAGAGAGGGCGTACGAGCAAAGGCTTTGGCGAGGACGTCGGCAGCTCTGTCGATTTCTTCTTTAGAAGGGTTGATGAGGTGTTTGGGTGTTGGCTGAAGAGACATGATTCCGATTTCCGAGCTAGATGTTTCAGGTTGTCGTAGAGTGAAGTCACTGAAGGGTACGGTAAGAGAATAGATGTGGTCTCGATATCTATGTGATGTGTTTGTGTGTCAAAAAGGCGAGACCCCTCCGACGACGGAATACGTATACACCCATGTGGAATTTTGGGGAAAAAAAGTCAGGAGAAATGAGTCATCTGGTGACTTGGTCTGGGAGATGGATGATGAAGGCCAAGCGAGTTCCACGGGGGTCTCGGGGATTGGGCATGTACGCTGGTTTACGAGAAACCCCAAGTCAGATGAGCTTCGCGGTGACAAGCATCCGTGTAAAGTCGTCGAATGACATGCTTTTGTCTGGCGAAGAGGAGAACATTTCGAGCATGTTGATGATCTGTTGTAAGTGTGTAAGTGGGTTAGAGAAGGAGAGGTATTGAAATGGATTGAAGTACCTCTTCGGCTTTTAGTTTCTCCTTGAGCAGGGTTGCGACGCGTTGGATGTCTGCGATTAGGAGTTTTTGGTCTTTGAGTGATGATAAGGGTACTGTGGGGAAGAACAGGCCGTAGGTATCGAGTGCGGATTGTTCTTGGGCTTTCGTGAGTTTATTTGGTGTTGAGGAGAAGGACGGAGAGGAAGAGCGGGAAGAGCGGCGGGTTGTACGGCGAGTACGGCGAACGCGGGGACCCAGTTCAAAGTCTTCGTCGTCGTCGTCGTTGTCGCCGCCGTCCTCTGAGGGCGAGGAAGGTTCTTTGTAAACGTCAGAATCGTCGCCTTCGTCATCTTCATCCATCATTTCCTCGTCTTCGTCGTTCTCGAGCAAGATGGCGCAGACAGATCGCCAGTCTTCGAGGCTCACACCGAGCTTGGGTGTGTTGGCGGATATGTCGTTGGGTCCTTTCCATCCTTCAGCGGCGTTCTTGAAGACGTAGAGAACTTCTGGGTCGTTTGGTGGCAAGTTGAGATATTCGAGTGTCTCTGGGACGAGGTCGAGTGGGATTTGTGATTGGGCGTCAACGTTTGGGGTAGCATCTTCAACGATGAAGCCTGCGCCTGAATCGGCGCTCGTGGACGGCGTTAGGGATTTGAATGTTTTTGTGAACGCTGCGTCTATTCTGCGCTGGACTGGGCGACGAAGGGAGTAGTAGACGTTTTCTGTGGAGGCCATTGTGGACGTTGAGCGCAGAAAGCCAGAGACGCGTTGTTTACGGCAGAGCGATGCGCGATTGGGCGCCACTGATATCACGCGAGCGCCGGGTGCGGTCCGGACGCGAGATTATCGAGAGCTTGTTATCGTGACTAGGCCTTGGACGCTACCACCACCATGTCTGTTCAGACGACCATTACACCGCATAACCAGCAGCCTTATGTCTCTAGGACTTATCCTTCGCAACAGGAGATCGATGAGGTGATCCAGAAGGCTGCGGTTGCGCAGAAGGCGTGGGCCAAAGTGCCGTTGAAGGAGAGAGTGGAGATTGGGAACAAGTTTGTAGTATGTGGTCAGGATCAAGTGCTAATGGCTATGGCTCATCGCTGTGTAGACAGAGTTTGAGAAGATGAAGGAGGAGATTCCGTTGGAGTTGTCGCTTCAGATGGGTCGGTATGTCCTACTCTCTCTGCGAGGGCTTGTAGAATTTGCGTTGACCCCTATCGACATGCAGACCGGTTTCGCAGGGAGCAGGCGAAGTGCGGGGTTTCCTTGAACGCTCGAATTATATGCTGTCCATTGCGGAGAGTGCGCTGGCGGATGTTCCCTTGACGGATACGGACAAGCCTGGGTTTAGGCGGTACATCAAGAGGGTTCCCCTCGGTGTCGTCTTTGTTATCGCACCTTGGAAGTGCGTATATTCTCGCTTCGATTGTAACGGAACGCCCTGACCCCGCTGCTAGCTTCCCCTACCTTGTCTCAATCAACTCGGTCCTCCCAGCTATCATTGCAGGCAACGCAGTCCTCTTCAAACCATCCCCCCAGACGCCCATCACGGCTGAACGATTCGCGACTGCTCTCACTCGTGCTGGTGTACCACAGGACGTCATCCAGGTGGTGCATTTGACACCCGAGTTGACCAACTATGTGGTGAAGGATAAGAGGGTTGATTTTGTGTCGTTTACTGGGAGTGTGAGTGGAGGAAGGAGTGTCGCCGAGGCTGCTGCCGGTGCGAGTGGGTTCAAGGGGGTTGGACTTGAGGTGAGTGTGATTAGCTTTGGCTGTGTGGATTGAAACCTGATCGTTGGTGGTCTAGCTTGGAGGGAAGGATCCTGCGTATGTTGCTCCCGATGCCAAGTTGGAATATACCGTGGCGGAGTTGGTAGATGGCGCGTTCTTCAACTCGGGACAGAGTTGCTGTGCGATTGAGGTATGTCTGTTTCAGTTCGGAACCGTGTTTGCCTGCTGATCTGGGGTTGGTAGAGAATCTATGTTCATGAGAAGGTGTACGACCAATTTGTGGAGAAGTTTGTAGCTTTGACGAAAGTGTGTGTCCCAGCAGAATCCATCAAATCCTTCGTGAATTGACATCACGATACAGACGTACAAACTCGGTGACCCAACTCTGGCTGAAACCAACCTTGGCCCAGTTGTCAGCCTGGCAAGTGCAGAGAGGATCAGGAAGCAAGTCGAAGACGCAGGTACGTCCTTTATCGCTCCCCTCGAAAGATGTGTCCTAACAAGCTTAATTCGCTTACAGTCAAGCAAGGAGCGAAAGCGCTGATTCCGGAGGATCTGTTCCCTATTGCCAAACCGTGAGTTTGCGCGTCGAGAGAGGAGGCTTGTGCTGAATGTGAGCATAGAGGAACGACCTACGTTGCCCCGCAGGTTCTGGTCCATGTGAATCATAGCATGGGCGTTATGAAGGTACGCTGCACCCTTTATCAGCATTGAAACGCTTTTTAATGTATGTGTTGGGTGTAGGAAGAAACGTTCGGTCCTGTCGTTGGAATTCAGAAGGTTCGTATCCCCCTTCCCATACCTCGGTAATTCAAGTTTGACTTGGTTGATCTACGTATAGGTCTCCTCGGAAGACGAAGCCATCAAACTCATGAACGACTCGCCCTATGGTCTTACTGCTTCGGTGTGGACCAACGCTGAAGAGAACCCTGAATCAGAGCGGTTGTTTGAGAAGTTTGTGGATGAGCTGGAGACGGGGACTGTGTTCCTGAACCGGTGGGTTTTCACCTCTCTTTGGGATGAGACGATCAATTGACTATACGGAACTGTGTGATTTGTAGATGTGATTACCTTGATCCAGCGCTTGCGTGGACTGGAGTGAAGGATAGTGGAAGGGGTGTTAGTCTTAGCAAGTTTGGTGCGTCGTTTGCGTTTATGTTGGTTGGATATTGTATTGATTGGGGTCGAAACAGGTTATGACCAGCTTACGAGGGCGAAGAGTGTGCATATGAAGATCAAGACCGGTTGAATTACTGAGTAATGTGTAGTGTATAGTTGTGGCGAGGAACGTCAGATGTATGATACTAATTCGAAACATGGTTTGAAAAGGTCTAATCTTTGTCCATTACTCATATTGACGTGACCGGATGGGTTGCTGAGTGAAGAAAGGACCAGGCATGCTGCATGGCCAACGGGCGCTTATTTGTCAAGGAGGGGAACTACCACGCTGGAAGGGGATTGCTCAACTTGCCACTTGCAAGTGCCTGGTTATATGATGACGTCCTATTTACCTTCATTCTTTGTCGACAAAGGTCTTCCACAACTGCGAGGGAGAGAGGGTAGGAGGAGTTCGATCACCCATTTCGGTCATATCGGCCGCAATTAGATGGCAAGGCATGTGTGAGCACGCGATCGGAGGCTAATTATTATCTCCACTTTGGACCAAAGCCGATAAAGATTTCAGCTTCATCTCAACGAGTCATCTTTCTCTCTTAAACGCCGTGAGTTTGGTATCGTCTTTTTATTCGATATGTGGTGCCCTGAGTGACCGATGATTTTGGTAGAGGAACTTATACCATTACTAGGGGATATCTGGTGTAGACGTTGTTGACCCCAGAACCCTGGTCATCCGAGAAACCCTAGTGGAAAGCGGCAACGACGGCGACCCGGTCTATATCATACTAGACCTTGTGAGTGGCGATATTTCCCGTGCGGAACGCTAGCTCAACTACGGTTACAGCACTTGCCGCATAGACTTAGAGGCCCTCCGTGCTCCAACCAAAATCCGATATAAGGTTTTTATCCAGTGAGCTGTGATTGTCGTTTCGTGGTTCCTTCCCTGCTCTGACCGAGGGTTTCGTACAGGAATACTGACTGACTGACGATCATCATGGCCTCTCCGACATCCTCGACCCCATCAACCCCTGTCTCCTCCTCACCTGACTCGTTCTCTCCACCCCGCACCCCGCCAAACTTGCACCAAAATTCTATTGACCCGTCTACTAAATGGCTGGTCCAAAAGTTTGGAGGAACGAGTGTTGGCAAGTTCCCAGTCAAGATTGCAACGGACGTTGTCGCGTATGTGTTTCTCTTGCTGGTCTTCGATTGAGACTTATTTTCTCTCCCTGTAGGAGCTACTTGGATAACCATAAACTCGCTATTGTGTGTTCGGCACGTTCTGGATCGACGAAAGCCCTTGGAACGACGTCGCTTCTCCTCAAAGCGGCCACGGAGGCCCTCAAACGACAGCCCAGGAAAGCCTCTACGTCCTCCTCAAAATCCAACGGTACCACCAGCCCAACCAGCCCTGGAACCGGCGCAAATACTCCGATCCATTCAGGCTACCGAGGTTTATTCGGCCGAACATATTACTATACCTCTGACGGCGACGGCTCCCAGTCCCCTCCTACCTCTCCGAAACCAAGAAGCAAGTCCTCTCGCTCGTCCTCGCCGCAGAGGAAGAATGGGTTGTTTGGGTTTACGCCTATTAATGGTGATGAGGCGAAGAAGACGAATTTGCCCGAGTTCCATGCGACGGTTGATTTGATTCGGGAGGAGCATTTTAAGGCTGCTAGGACGTCCATTGAGGATCCTGAGATTTTGGCCGAGTTGGAGGAGGAGATTGAGAAGGATTGTGAGTGGTTGAGGAGTTTTTTGTATGCTGCCAAGGTGCGTGTTTGTTAACGAGGAACTGGGGAGTGGGTTGGCTTATTGTCTTGCGTTAGATCATCGACGAAATTTCGCCCCGTTCGAAGGACAATATCATTGGGCTAGGCGAGAAGCTTGCGTGCAAGCTTATGGCTGCTATCCTCCGCGACCAGGGTATCGATGCTGAATACGTGTCGTTGGAAGATATCGTCCCCGAGTCTTATGTCACCGACGATTCGGATTCTTCGTCGGAGGGCAAGATTCTTGGACAGGACTTTTACGATGACCTCGCCAAGGCTATCGCGGAGCGCATTGAGCAGTGTGGAAGACGTGTTCCTGTTGTCACTGGTATGTGGTCTCAGTTGCATGTCGGGCCCTGTCGGCTTAACGTACGGTTGCCTGGTCTCTAGGCTTCTTTGGCCCTGTACCTGGTTCTCTTCTGGCACAGATTGGAAGAGGGTATACGGATCTTTGCTCTGCGCTTCTCGCTGCTGGGCTTGGTGCTTCTGAGTTGCAGATCTGGAAGGAGGTCGATGGTATTTTCACTGCTGATCCCAGAAAGGTGCCAACTGCGCGCCTCATCCCTATCATCAGCCCGGACGAAGCTGCCGAGTTGACATACTATGGCAGTGAAGTTGTCCATCCTTTCGTTATGGAACAGGTATGTTTTCTGTTTGCTTTCTGCGACCAATGCTGACGCCTCCACTTTCTAGGCTATTCGTAAAAAGATCCCAATCCGTATCAAGAACGTGGAGAACCCTTCGGGAGGAGGAACCGTCATTCATCCCGATCCAGACGCTGATTCTGTGCACCCCACCGACCCTCTTCAGCGGGGAAGCAGCCCCGTCCCTGAACCCGCCTCTCCCTCCACACTCACCACCTACACCACCACGCACATGACCTCCTCCCAACGCTCCTCCTCCCGCGCCTCCTCCGTCTCCTCCCTATCCTCCTTTACCACCTTTGCCGCCTCGTCTCTTACCGGTGGCTACGGCTTCGACGACCCTCAAAACCGCCGTCTCCCCACCGCCGTGACTATCAAGGAGAATATCATGGTGGTGAACGTGCATTCCAACCGGAAGAGTGTCAGTCATGGTTTCTTGGCTGGCATTTTTGGGACGTTGGATCGGTTTGGGGTTGTGGTTGATTTGATTAGTACTTCGGAGGTGCATGTTAGTATGGCTATTGCGGATGGGATGGGGAAGCGGGTGGTGGATAAGTTTGTGAATGAGCTGAAGAGGTTCGGGACGGTATGTTGTTTTTACTGTTTTTGCAATCCTGATTGCAGTGCTTTACACCTATGGAACAGGTCTCGGTGGGCAGGGATATGGCCATTCTCTCCCTCGTTGGCAAGCAGATGCGGAACATGGTCGGTATTGCCGGCAAGATGTTCACGACGCTTGCGGATGGCAATGTCAACATTGAGATGATCTCCCAAGGCGCGAGTGAGATCAATATCTCGTGTGTCATTGAAGCGAGGGATGCTATTAAAGCGCTTAATATCATCCACCAAGGGTGTTTGATGATTAAACCTGAAGGACCGAGAGGAAGAGGTGGGTTTTGGTTTTAAGTTGTGCTCAGTGGTGAGCTGACGGTTTTTTGTGGTACCCTTTTATTTTGTGGACTTGTTTTGTATGGGGCGTGTTTCTGACAGTTGGTCCTTGGTTGTTTTAGTTTCTAGGCTTCGGTGAGGTGGTGGAGGATGGCGCTGGCGCTGGGTTTGGTAGATCTAGGCTGTGTTGCTTGTATGGAGCGATCTACCATCAACTTTTTTTTTTTCCAGTGAGAGACATGGCGAATCGCACAACTTGGGGAGAGAATGAACTATGTAAATTGCCCCTAAAGTATTCCTGCATGATTCAGGGGCTTTGATGTCAGGCTCAAGTCAGGCTTCATGTTTTTGTCAAATTCTAGCTCCCACCTTGCCTATGCGTAAGATCGTTGATGTCCACCCTAGCTTTTCCTTCAATCCAACGTATGAATATATGAATACTTACCTTCAAAGTATACTTTACATAAGAGCCCGGGCCTGAATCTGTCTGTTCTCACGAACTACAAGGGCAAGCGAACGCTACTCTGGGCGGTGGCACTGTTGCAATACGACTTCACCGCTGCCTGGACTACAAAACGACCAAACTTCAAGGACGGAACGCTCACCCCAGCTGGTGAATACAGGACGACCTTGAATGGGGAAAAGATCATCTCCAGTGAAAACCCAACCTGCACCGAAACGACAGCGGGGCCAGAATTCTCAATATGTTTCGACAACGTTTGACGCAGTATGTGCCTCCGTTCCATTCGTTCGAGCCCACACTTATAGAATGGATATGATATCAGCTGTCCTTGGACATCCCTTACACTCGCAATAGCCAAAGTAAAATATCGAAGACGGAGGACAGGGAGCCTGTAGAGCGCCCATACTCAGTCGTTTCCACTGCCCTTCGAATGGAGGCTCACTCTCGGATAAATCACCAGGTATCGGGTCGGACGTGGCAGAGCCTTGACCTGGTGGAGCACGTCTTTGGCAGAATGCTTCCTATCCCACTTGTCGCAACCGTCCTTCTTGACCTGTTGCGATTGCAATTGCTGTCGGTATCCCGAAACGAGGGACAGTCGTCACAAGGCCAGTCTACTGGGGACCTGTGGATAGACGCGTGTCTTGACGCTGCAACCCTTGCCCACCACCGGGAGATACCCAAGACGCGAATATTCGACTGGAAATGGTGCCCCTCGCTTTCGCAGCACGGTGAGGGAGGGGGCGCCATGTTCTTCAACGCCATCGCCCTGACTGCCCACCAACTGGCGTCCAAGAGAGCACAATTAGGGAAGAGGAATCCCATCCGACACTGGTGGTCACTTCCCATGTATCAATCCGATCGTCCCTTTGTTGGGCCTGACGGTGAGCAATGTCGACCCAGCATCGTTAGCGTTCCTATCCATGCTTTTGGCCGCCGTCGTATCGACGAACTTCCACCCCACTTCCATCCACTACCTTCCTCTGTCGCTAGCACAATCTCTACCTGTCTTGAAACCCAGCAATGCCGAAATGGCACCTATGGAGCAAGTCTAGAGGATGCTGCGTCCACCAATCTTTCCCATTCCGGATTAAAACGCCAACTCCAGACACAACTTCAGTTCCCAGTCCCAGTCATCCACACAAATGGGTTCGACTTCAATTGTCTCGACACGGACTACATCTGCTGGGAAAGCTTTGCAACGACTGCCGAAATATGCGAATCCGAAGACCTCCATTCCGCCATTTCCCAGTCCATGATCTACATGCGTCAACAATTTCTTGCTCAGCCACACTTGCGCATGGCCCTCGGGCTAACAAAGACAGCGGGCCACATCACATTGACCCGTGCGGATGCCATGGGCGTTGAACATGCCACGTTCGATTCACAATCGGGATGGGGGGTGTTGGAGACGGTCAGGCTGGCATTGGGTTTTGCGATTGCAGATGACGAAACCCTTGGCCACCATCCTGGCTTTGTGCTAGAGGAGCAGCATTGCTTGCGCTATGTGGATCCCCCTACCAAGTCGAGGTTTATGAAGGACAGAGGCCCCGTATTCGTACCATCGACCATTGGCGTTATGACGAAGGCCTCTTGGTTAGCCCCGGAGAACGTTCAAGACGCGGACAACGTGGGTGATAGTAATGGTCAGGAGAAGGAACTCGGCGACGGAGACACAAAGGGGACTGCTCAGGATATGAAACGCTGTCGAGTTCCCTTCTTTTTCACTGTTACAGAAAATGGGGATCGATACTACCTGGACTACCCCGTTCGGACCTGCGACGAGCTGTCTGGTCGCATGACGAGGGTTTGGTGCGCGTATCGGCAGCTCAGGCGCTTAGATGAAATACCAGATTCGGTCGACGAGCGGGATAGAGCCACAGCTGTTGAACAGCTGCAAGCGGGAAAAGAGGTCTTTGTTGGGCCTTATGCGCTCAAGATACAGAACGATGCGGTCGACTCGGTTGCCTCGCGCGAGAACCTTGTGATGAAGATCAAAGAAGCGGTCGAGAGAGAAGGTGGAAGCAGGACGGGTGCGTCCTATATCCTTCCCCCGGAGAGGTAGGTTAGACACACTCCCATCGAAATTGTGCATGTTCTGACGAACCTTGTCGCGTCCAGGATTCATACCAACGGCAATGTTATCAAGCTTGTACGTGGCTTCGAAACATCAGATGACATCCCCTCAGCCGTTTGCGAGTCGCAGCAGAGGGTTGAGGTGGTCACTATCTCCCTATACAAGCGCAGATTATCCCAGTATCATTGCTTTGGCGAGGTTGCACGAGCTATCGCCGATGCCCTTCGCGGTGGGTATCCAGCATGGCCCGCACATCTGCCTTGCTTCTGACTTTGTACGCTTCCCAGCTATTCAGTGGCTAGAGTCGAAGGGGTGGCTACACAGAGACATAAGCGACGGAAACCTGTTGTTGGCATGGGAAAGCCTCTCGTCCTTCTCGGAGCCCTTTTCTCCGCATCCCAAAGTTGTGCTATGTCGTCGTCCACCGTCGAATCCTGAAGGCGTCTGCGGTCTTTTGCATGACTTCGATATGTCAGGTGTAGTAAACGACACAACTGGGTTCGACAGGGAAAACCCCATTGTCAGCTTCTCCGTCGCTCCGCCCTTCTGTTTCTGACCCCATTTCTCTCTTTTAGGGAACCCTACCCTACATTGCAATTAGTGTCCTAGCCGGAGCAGCCAGGCAACGCATGACTGTAGACGACGTTAGTGGTATGGCCTTTCTCATCCTGCAGACCTGTTTCTGATGCACCTTGTGCAGTTACAGAGCGTCTTCTATGTGGCCTATCTATTTGCCTTTGACCACGGACCTCCACACGACGAAATCTTCTACCCCAAGGCCTTGCCGCCTCGCATGCGGGGCGTTCCTGTCTATCCCGAACTTATTCGCGAATGGACCCAACGAAACGCTCCATTCAGCCTTGGAGCTATGAAGAATATGTTCTTCCAGTATTCTAGAGAATGGTACCCAGAACGCATCCCCTTCACCCCGGATGAAGCTTCCACATTCTTGGGAAACTGGCCAGACCGGACGCCTAGGCGTGAGTCGTGGCGGACACTAGTCGAAGTGCTTTTCGATTGTCTCTGGCTGACAGTCGAAGAAAGTGAGCATTGCACACCCAACCGAAACGTGGATATACAAAAGGTCATCGATACAGTCGACCATACGCTAAGTGGGGATGTATTCGTCCAATTCATACTGCAATCCTAACACTCTTTATAGAGATTGGCACCCTGTCGAAGTGTGATGCTAATGACAATGGATGTCCTGACTGTCCTCTACCCCGCAATCGCCCCTCGGGCCTCAACGCTCAATGAAGGTTGGATCATTTCTGTTATGTACCTAGAGATACGCGCTCTGACATCATTATCATACAAGTCACAACAGAATCGAAAGTTACTCCTGGACGTGCCTCCGGCACGCCTGAACAGCCCCACAGATTGCAATTGGTCTCATTCAACCAGGGCGTCGGGTATGATCAAACCCATGCAGTAGCGGATTTCCACCAAAATCTATTCGCGGTGTTACAGAAATAGAAGTACAACATCGATACAGGTTGGCGCTACAGTACAACAGGTGAATATTACTTGTACAATCATCTTGAAGGAGACAGGCATAGCCAACACAAAAACCAGGTAAGACTGGAACGACGTAAAATAGGAAACAAGAAGCTTGACCTTGAGCTCCAATAGTGCATAACGATACAATAAGGTACGCGGACATAGAAAGCATTAAACGAAGCTGCCATGCATTGCCAACATGTGGCTATAGACTCCAGCACCATTGGGGAATGGTGTCAAACAAATCCAGCACAGGTGGGTCTCGCACACTGTGCACGTAACATGATGGCACCCCATCATTTTTTCGATCGGCATTTTACACCCAGGACATTGTTTCACGTCGTTGTTCTTCATCCACTCGTCGAACTGCTCCTTTCCTTCGTCTGGGCGTACACAAGTAAGGCCGTCGTGGGCTTCAGTTTGACAGGAAGCACAGATTCGTACGAGGCAGGAGGGACACTGCAGGATCGTCCCCACAGAAACGGACGGCGTCGCTGAATTGCTATCTGCCCGAGTTTTGGACTTGGACGACGGCGGAACCTGGACACGATCGGTAGGGCGGTAGACCTGCTGGCAATCCGGGGTCGGGCAATAGGCGAATTCGTTGGGATGCCGTTGCACATACGCGGAGAAGGCCGTTTCGATCAGCGTTTCGAAATCTGCCTTGCAGAGGAGTTGGGATGCACAGCTGAGGGGAATCTTCTCTTCGCACTTGGCGTCGTTCCCGAGACATGTAATGGGGAAAAACTTCTGGTCTATGGCGGTTAGCATGTATCGCACCATGCACGTTTTGCACCAGGAATGCCCGCAGGAGAGCGTTATGGGAACGGAAACGGCGTCGAAACAGACGGGACATTCCACCAAGGGGCGTCGGCGATCCATGCCGAGCCTGCGGCGGGCGCGCGTCCGAGCGTCGCACGCTTCGTCTTTGGCGGCGGTGTTACCTCGAATGCGAAGTTGACGGTTCCAAAGGTCGAGGAAAACGTTTTCTTCGCCGAGACTCCTCCTCAACCCAGGGAGTTCATGGTGTAGGAATAGGCCAATGACGTGCCCGTCTAAGGCCAATGTGTATACGAGTTGGCTTTGGAGTTCTTTGAGCTTTGACAGCAGTTTGGTTCGAAGGGATTGGCGGTCGGCAGCGCACCCAGAAATTCGAATTTGGCGTCTGATCTTGTCGATAGAGACCCTGGCTAGCGGGTGGGCTCGCTGCAAAGCTTGGACGAACCGGATACCCTCGCCATGGAAGAAAAATGGGTCCCAAGCTATCTTCCCGTTGTCTCGGACGACCTCCCCTGAAAGGACGATGTCTAGCTCCGCCTTGAGTTGACCGAGTTCCTTGACGTCCTCTCCCGATAGACGAACAGTCACACAGGTCGGGCGAGGCCGGATGCTGACCACGAGATGTTTCCGTGCAGCGCTGGTCTTGAGTTCTTCGAGTTCCCGTTGCACCCTGCTGTACATCTCATTGTTGAGCGAGTATTCCAATGTTTGCATATGGCGGGCATTAATCCGAGTGCGACCAATACATGTGGGCTTCCGTCCGTGCAGTCGTTCGCAAAGAGCCGTGGCCTCAGCCGAGGTGGGAAGCTGAGCCCAGGCTGTGATGATACCGCCCTTATACGGAGGGGGCAAAACGTCAAACTGCAGGATGTCGGAGTGGTTGTACTTGAGGAGCCTTTGGATACCGCTGATACCGTTGTCGGGTGAAGTGTAGTTTACTTGGCCCCACATGACGTCGTCTGCAGAAAGGAATTGCTTCATCTCCTGCGGCTTGGTGTCGGCGGGCACGCCCTCGAAGCGCACGGTGAATCTTCCAACGGCGGGCAGCCCGGTGTGGATGGTGGCTCGCAACAGTCGGTCGGCGAACGGTACCCTTCGACACTTGTCAATCGCTTGGTCCGCCTGTTGCCGACTTGAGAAGCCACCATAAGCCATTTTCGACGCCGCCTCCCAAGAGATCCGTACCGAGGTGTCGTTTAATAGTGTGGGCGTCTTGTCGTGGCCAACGGTGTCGAGCGACAGCCGCGCTGAGATGGTCGATCCGAAGACTTCCAAACCGTTGAGAGTGGTGCAAGCTTTGGAAGCTTCAAGAGGTGAGGAGAATCGTACCCTGACCGTTATCAAGGCCGTAGTTATCTGCTCTGGTAGTCGGATATCGGTGAACTCGCCATGTCGTCGTAAAAGCCGCGCCATGGCTTCTGGCGTCACTTTCCTAGGGACGTTTCCAATGTACACCCAAGAGGTTTCGAAACCTGTGGTTATTGAGACGACTTCGAAACCGTCGGAAATCTTGACGCGGATGTGTTTGTGTATCAGCCGCATCATGGTTTCCGGTTGTTTCTTGATGGGCACAGGTAATAAAGGGCGTCGAGGAAGCTACAACACGGGTCAGCGAGGTTCGTCGGGATACGTACGAGACCTTACCGTGTAGTCATAATCCACGTCTTCGTGAACATAAGTGCAATCTGCGCCGCGGTCACATAAGTTTTGTAACCACTTGACGCAGACACTGGAATTTGGAGGAGGGGGAGGGCCTCGGGTAGGAGCTGGCCGAAGGGCGGCATCGAAGGACTCAGTGCCGCTCTGTTAAATGCCAGATTAGCACCAGTTCGGTGACCTGATAGAAAATACGAACCGGAAGAGGAAGCTGGGGATGCGAATAAGGGCAAGATCTACCACGCCAGCATTTGCCTTCGAGCCACTTGTGGCAGACACCGTGTTGGCCAGGACGCTGGACTGGGCCAACTTGGGACGAAGCTTGGTTCTGTGCCGTCGACGATGGGGCCAATGAAGGTTCATAATTGATAGACCTTTCGCTGAACGGCGCCCTCGGTTTCCTTGGGCCTTCGTCAGAAGAAAACTAGAGGATATCCGTCAGATTGGGGACTTAAGTGAAGGACACGGAACACACTGACATAGTCTGAGACATTGGTATGAGCGAAGCGGCAATTGAGGCGGAAGCAGCGTTTGCGCAGGTAATCCCAACAAACGTCTCGACCTGGTCCAAGGCGACGAGAGGTGGTGATACTGGTCGTCTCTACCTCTTCCTCCGTGTGCGATGATCCAGGGGAAACTGGACGAGGAGGATCGATTTCTGCCTGGCATTCCTCAACCGCGGAAGAGCCTGAATCACTGTCAACCCAAGCATCGGCACTCAAGGCTACATCCCATTGCTCTGGTTCACGAGATCCACGAGGTTGGATAGTTGAGGGCTTCTCTTCAAGAGGTGAGTTGTCTGGAGTGATAGGGGGGGAACTGGGGGGAGGGGGCGAACTGGGCGGCTCTGTGCCATGATCTTCTGTGGCGTCGGCTCCGTCGGTCTGCGATTCCTCGTCCGAGCTCGATTCGCCCTCGTCTGCCTCTGGTCCCGGGGTCTCATTGTAGAAGATCGGGGTCGCCGCCTTGTCTTGCAAGAGTTCCTTATAATACCTGACATTGGTCGGATGTATCCTGTTGCAATTTTGGCCTCGAGGACAAGCTTTCACGAGGTAGAGTATGCATATTTCGTTTAAGCGTGCCCTGGTGCGGAACGCCTGGAAACGGGATGAGCTTACAAATTGTTGGGGAGGATGTAGAGACGACATACAGTTACCCCAAATGCAGTAAATGGCCTGTATGGAGCAGGCCCATTGGGTTCATGGACAACTAGGAGAGGCTTGTCCATGTTCTAAAGTCGTCTGTCAGTGCCTTCTATCGAGAGAGTATGTTAAGGACGCACAGTCGTTGATATAGATGACGTTTCTTCCTCGTTGCTTTCACCTGCGGGTGAAGAAGATGTCTCGCACGCCGAAACCCTGTTATCCTTGAAACTTGAAGAAGGTCCACTGGTTATGTGGGGTGTATGTGCTTCAGAAACTACCGCGACGCCCTTCTCAGATATCGGAGGTCCAGCCTGCGCATTCTCTTTGCTCTGCACCTTGGGGACAATCGAGTGGCCCGTGCTCCCATTTGAGCGCTTCTTCACGTGCGATATTCGATTCTGGCCTGTATTTCCGTTTGTCGCTTGCTTGACCCCTAACGCTGTTCTTGGATCGCCTACAACCATCTTGTTTTACAACTTTCGACCCTAAGCAAAGACGGGGGAACCAGGGGGAAGGTGCGTTCAGTCGTTGGGAGAAGGAAGTGGCTTGTGGGGAAGTTGTGACATTCTGGATATGTTCGCGGTCGCAGTCTCGGAGACGCCGTCACCGTTTGACTCAGGGTCCGGAGTCAAGGCACAGCCACAGATTCACTTCGTCGAGACCACGTTTACCCTTGTTTGGTCCATATATGACTTGCCGCCAATCTCAGTTGAGGTCGAAAAAACGCGCTCGAATATGGCGAAAATGAGGATGAAAATAATTAGAGAGGGTTGATAATGTACACAGCGTCTTTTCATACCGCTACTAACAGCTTAAATGCAGTAATCTTCTGGGAATCCGCGATGTTTTCGAGGCTAATCCACCTCGGTCCGAACCCGATGGGTGCTGGCGGCCAGCCAAAGGACGCAGAGTGTAAGTGCGAGGGGGACCTGTGAGTTGCAGCATCGGAGGGGGTAGAGCACTTCAGTCCTGAAATTAGCCCCTTTGTACCATTCCCCAAGGGAGATGCCACTTACCGCTCATTCCCGTCCTTCGCTACAGTGCCCCGACGAAGTACCCATCGCGCTCCTCGAACCATAAGACGGCAAAGAAATACAACGGCCTGATTGACCAACCGATAAAAGCCTGGAGGAAGGTTGAAGGTTGAGATAAAATGAGACTGACCGTGAGGGCTGAGAAAATTGTCTGGCAGGTGACAACCCCGAATTTCGCAAGCCCGACCCAAAATCCAGTCCTGAGGAAAGAGATATCTCCTAGAACTATATCGCCGTAAGTCGAAGGCGCGTGGATAGCTGTAGATGACTTTCCATTCCAGAGTATAGCCGTCGTTCTCTGCAGAATCACTGGAAGCGATGAAGTCCCGTGTTGAGAGAAGAAGTAGGGTGTGGTATGAAGATCCGACAAAGAGGCGTTAACCCTTTGCACACCCGCTTCAAGTGTCTCTGCCAGCTGTTCAGCGAGAGAGTTAAGGCTCTGAACCGAGTTTGACAGGTCGACGTGACTATGCTCCAGAGTGTGGATCGTGTCGGAAGTTTTATCTAACGCAGAGAGGATGAGGGCCGTTTTTCTGGAAAGAGCTTCGGTCGACTTAGTGGCACTTGTGAGCACAGGTCATTCGAACGCTTCAGTACACCCACACTACCCTTGTCATCTGTTCTATAGAACCACCCAGAGAACTCGAGGGCGAAAGCGATGCTTCCTACATGACGGTGTTGGATTGATGTCCTTTTTGAGGTGAAATCTGATTACACACCATCTTGGTTACAATGGAGTTCCAAGTGTCGAGGAACTTCCCCATGGACATCTCCACTTGAGGACCGATTGCATTGTCGATGGAATTCAGAATACGGTCGATTCCTTTCTCATGCTTCTTTGGATGAGAACGCCATTTCCTAGAATGTCGCTGAGGGAGGAACTGACCTGGACAATGGATCGAAGAAGATGCGATTGTAGCTGGCAGCGTGCAAATGTTCAGACACATCAGACACAGGAATAACATAGGCTCGTGGGCGGAAATTTTCGCACTTCGATATTGTGCTCCAATTGGCGTTCTTGCACTTTCTCAATGGCCTCGAAAAGGGCGTCCTTGTGGTCGACGGCCAACTAAACACATGGTCATCAGACGTCGCACAACAAGATGCAAAATGCAGTCTCACAGTGTTCATATGATTTGACATGAACTGTATTAACTCTTGCGGCAGGGATTGCAACGCTTCGCTCGACCTGTGAAAGGAAAGAACAATATCTTCGAGTACCTATTCATCATCATAGCCTTAGCCTCCTGGATACAGCTGACAGAACGTAAACTCAACTTGATGTTTCTTCGACCACTCCACATTCGCATTTTCGGCCCTCTGCTCATGCGAAAGTAGGAGCCTCAAGAGGGCTACCTTTTCGCGTGTAACGTTCCTGTAAATTTCTCGGGCTATGTCTACACGAGTGTTAACGACTCCTCGGTAGCCCTGGGCCGTCAGACCGAGATGAGATGATGCCTCACCTATTTCCCGTAGACGGTGATAAGCCGCGCAGACTTGCGCTTCGAGGAATCCACTAAATTCAGGTAAATTGGACAGATAACAACCTCAGCTTACGGATCTCTCGCATATATCCAGAATAGCTCGACCAGAGCTGTGTGCTTCTCGACAGCGCACTAACAACACGGAGCAATATTTCGTCAACACAGTGGTCATGCACACAGTCCCTTGAGAAAGGCACTCACTCGACACAAGCTCCCTGAATGGTTGCATCAGGTCTCTGGACTTTCAACATGTCAGGCGTAAAAGGACCGCATTCCATCGGGATTGAATAGTGTCTGGCCGTCCCAATTTCGCACAGAGTCATGGCTATGGCCGCTGCAACGTGTCATGTATGCTCAATTTCCTCGCACGAAAGAAGAGATCTGGTTCAAAAAGGCAAGCACCAGCTACGCGTTGCGGTTCATCCAGTCTTCCGCATTGAAACCGAATCGCTGTTCCGGCTCGCTCGAAGCAGTCTGGGCTTTTAGAGAACTGGGCTGAAAACGTATGAGTTGTGAGAATTAAAGCGCATATATAGAGACTTTTCAGCACACCTGCATCCTTATTGATAGTGTCGAGAACATCGGACGTGAATTCTTGGATAGTCAAGGGATCCCAGAGCTCTCCGTCCGAATTGCTGTTAAACTCGGACCAACCGAACGCAGCGACGCTAAGTGCGAGGTAAAACAGAATTCCCATAGACTTCGACAGCCTCATTTTTCTCCGTATCGAAGTTTAGAACGCGTAAATTTCCAAAAAATGAAGATTGAAAGGGACTTGAGTGGTGGTTGCGATTGTTCGAGGAAAGCGCTCAAGAGAGAGGACCTTGTCCGCATCACCCGTGCATTGACTCCGATGATGGCACCATCAATCCTATAACTCAGTGCCAAATATCGGCTATCTCGGTTGATACGGACACCGCGGGCGCTTACTACTTGTGACCCTGCCAGCTACCATCCAACAGCGATCAACGTGGGTCGCAGAAGTCATGGCCGCTATGGCACAGTTATGTTATGAACTGGCTATGAGGGGCAAAGCTTAGCAGATCCTGTTTAATCTGATACCCCGAGTGTTCTGTGGATCTTAGTACGTGCTTTTTTCGTCACGCCGGAGGATCCGGTCGGTGCATCAGGCAGAAGCGTCAAAGCAACGGCGAACAGTGAGCGTTGTTTGGAAGGTTACGTATCGCCTTCTCATCGCTCTCAACTAGCAACCTCTACCACCACCACCACCACAGATGCTAACTGTCCACCACTTGAACAACTCACGCTCCCAACGAGTGTTATGGTTACTCGTAAGTTACAAGAAGCGGTTTACTGTACAACTAACAAAGTGGCAATGTTCACTTATGATTGTGTTTCAACCTATCGGCACCGGACACCTTTTAAATGTGCAGGAGGAACTCAAGGTTGAATACGAAATCAAGAAATACCAGCGAACGGCAGAAAGTCGGGCGCCGCTGGAGTTGCTCAAGGTCCATCCATTGGGTAAATCGCCGGTCATCACAGATGGGGATGATGTCGTATTGGCGGAGAGTGGGGCAATTGTCGGTGAGTTGTGTTTGGGTGCCTGAGGCCGCCGCCTTGTGGTACAGCTCGGGGGCGACGGCTTCAGCGCGCGCCTTAGGCCTGGTTCCTTGGGGTAATCAACCATGGGCGCATCGAATTAATCTCCAAAATTTGAATAGAATACATCATTCAGAAGTATGGGAATGGGAAATGTACTCCAACTGAACCCGGATATCTCGACAACCTGTACTGTGAGTCAGCTTGGTTCGAATTTCATTCCAACTTTACACGCACTCACTCTTAACGACATTTGTGATTAATCGATCGTAGTCACTCACTATGCGGAAAGCTCCCTCATGCCGATAGGCATGTTAAAGATAGTCTTCGATTATATCCCGAAGAGCTCTCCATTCTTCTTGCGCCCGTTGTTGAATGCAATCTTCAATCAAATCGATAAACGTTTCGTCACACCGGAACTGACGAAACACATGGACTTGGTCAGTGGGTCACAAACAAACACCTCTTCTCTCGTTTCTCGGTCATGGTATTTGTATTGATCATCACGAACTTCTGTCACGCACGCCAAAACGACACAATCCCTCGTTTCACACTTGACGTATATTCTGACTTACTCCACACAGGTCGAAAAGCACCTTGAGAAAACGAATTCGTCATGGTTCGCTGGAGGGGCAGAACCAACTGTATGTGGCGCTTGTTGTATCTCCATATCTATCATTCCTTGAAGAGTTCGCTTCTTTGCGAACGCGCGCTCATGGATCGTGTCTAGTCAGCCGATTTCCAGATGTTTTATGTCCTGGACACTTTGATTGGGTTTAGCGGATATCCAGCAGGTCCCAAGACCAAGGCTTATGTAGGGATGGTTCGTTCCAGGTAAAGTTGCCAAGTCAGCTTTCCTGCGAATGCGATGACCAGCTGACCTTTCAACCTCAGGCCGGCGTATGTACGGGTGAGCCGCCATTTAATTCATATTCTTTTCGATCCCTTATCTCACGTTGGCCGTCTTCTTCGAATGCAGGGTTTAGAGAAGTCTGGAGAAGCTCAGACTTGAGGGAGAGTACAAAGCCAAAGAGCCTCCGAGGCCCAAGAACTCTCACAAGATGCCATGGCGCAGGGCCTCGAGTATGGACGTCATAATACTTTATCTAATTGAAATGGACGTGCATTAATTACATGAAGTGCGGATACATAAAGCGAACTGCTTCTATTTGAAGCTGTCCACGGGGTCCACACGCGAAAACGAGGACAAAGCGAGAGAATTGAGAGGAGAAAAGACTATGCTACAGCGATGGTGAGAGACAACGAAACCGAGACTGAAATACAGTGATGATATGCTACAGTATGGATGCGAAAGGAATGCTGAAAGGAAGGACTGTGGGTGCAAAGGAGAGATGCATCGTAAATAAGTCGTGTGTAAAATAATTTTCGAAAACAGAAAACTCGAAGACGAAGGAATTAAGGGGTGAATGAGTATATTACAAAAAGGGACTTGTGATTGCAGAGAGTTCAATTGTGTAATGCGATGTAATGCAAGAGGAAAACGACCGACCGACAAACTCTAGCACATGACGGACCCTGCCATCATGAGTGGACAAGGACACTGTCCCTTCATCGCCTATCATGGCTATGGTTGTCAGGTCGCCTGCGAACAGCCTGTCCAGACAAGACCTTCTGTTCCCAGACGGCTGGAGACTCGCCTTCATGCCACTCCTCGGTCAGAGGGTCATGTTCAAAGTCTCCATCCTTGTAACCATACCTCTGCTCGAGGAGCTTGAGCAAAGGGTTGCGAAGGGCGGGGTCCATGCGCACAGTCTCTCCAGGATGGTAGCTACCGACTCCGTGACGGGCCAAGCTCTCTTCAAAGAGAGCCTGCTCGTAAGTGCACCCACAGTTGAGATACCCAGGTGGTGCATTACGGGGAGGGTATGCCCTCCTCTCACGTCTCGAGTCGTGCCATGCACAGAGCGCATTGCCAGCTCGGTTGAGCGAGCAGAACAACTTCTTCCGGGCCTCTGTGCGGGCTTTCCATCCTGCCTGGAAAGAGCTGGAGTGCGGTGGTGTGGGGAGGCCTGCGGGGTTGGGAGCATTGCTTCGGAGCGATTCGAGAGCGTTGCGAGCGCGGCTGTTCTCCATCTCGAGCTCTCGGACGCGTCGACGAAGCCGGCGGATCTCGGATTCAGCTGAACTGCTGTTGACGGGCATAGACAATTCTGCAGGTTGGGGGAAGGGCGCGAGAGGGTTACTTGTGTACCCATTCGAGCGGTGTGACGACATCCCCATGTGGCTGTTGCGAGAGAGACCGTATTGATCATATGCTCCTGGGTAGGCCTGGGGGTTTTGTGAAGAGATAGATTCTGTGGGAGAGCCGTTCCGTGTTGTATGATAGTCATAAAGGTTGCTGACAGAGGGCGAGAAACCACCAGTGACACCGGGGTAGGTGGTGCCGTTCATGGGAACCATCCCGACACCCGATGACATTTGCTGGTTATTCCAAGTCAAATCCTGGGGCATAGACCCGTGCCCACCATACACTGAGGTGGATGGTGGGGACCTTGAGCTTCGCGAACCGTCACCTCCCATTGCACCAGAAAGACTGGAGGATGAAGAGGGAGGGGTAAGCTCTGAGGTCGGTGCTGAGCTGTCTGCCATGGTCAGGTAATCCTGAAAGTCAAATTAGATGCGTTAAGCTAGGCAAAGTAGGCTGGCAACTAACATTCATATACGGCGGCATGTTATAAGGTGCCTGTTCTCCTTCGTCCGAAGACCGACGTCCGCGACCACTTGCACTTCTCATTGTGGACCATGTACCGAATGAGTCGTTTGTAGACATTCCGATATCGCTCTTTGTTCTGCGAGGGGAATTTACTTGGTTGGGTGCAACTGGTGGATAGGGTCGTGTACGTTTGGGGCCGGCCAAGGAAGAAGTCGAATCTCGACGACGCGAAGAAGAACTTGTCACCGACAAGGAGGAGCTGAGGTGAGGTGAGGAGGGTGGGGAGATGAGGATTGGATTGGGTTCGGGTTCAACTTTTATCTCGGGCGAGGATATCACATACGACATCCAGTTTAGCTGAGGATTCTCCATGATGAGGATGATGAGGGCGACGATGCAGTGCTAAGGGGGCAACAGAGATGGGTGGTTTGCTAGGAGCACGGCTTTTGTGTTGCGGGAAGATAAAGCGAAGCCGGTAGTTACCATCGTAAATCCTAAAACTTGACAGCAAGGTCGATTTTCGAAGAGGCGGAGGCTGTGATAGGGACAACCCATATCTGGCGCCCATAGATCTGTTCCCCGAACGGAAAGGAAGGGGAAGCAGAGGCCAATTTAGTGAAGCGAGATTGATGGAGGGAACTCACGGCCAACAGATTTGATCAAACCCGGATGCCAGGACTGAATTGATGTGATGGCCAGGATATTGCCAAGAAGAGGCCTCCATCGAATCCGGACTGGAATAACTTGTCTTGATTTCTCATACCTGGAATACATCACGAAACATAAGTACTGCGCAACGGAACACGCTATCCACTTCGCAAGGCGCTAACCGAATGTCCGAGGTTTGGCCAGTATGGAAGTATGAGAAAATGCTAGGCCGACTGTGCCGTCGAGCGCTGAATGACCGGGACTTGGGAGCCGACGTGTGTTGAGAGGCGCACACAACAGGCCGTCAATTGTCGACACCAAGACTACATTGCATGCTAGACGCACTCGGTGGTATCAGGAATCGACATCTCCACATCGCTGATCTACCTAGTCCACCTATTCCTGGAATCAAGCTACGGGACAAGCGAAGGCTCCGCGGTGAGTGTCTGAACGGCCCTTCTGATCGTATGCAGAACAGAAACAGATATGTAATTCTATCCCGTTCACTCATCAAAGTCGCCAGGTGCAGTGAACTTTACAACGTCGTTCCAATGTTTCCCGCGGATCGACTCGGGAGGACGCTCCAGTTCTACCTCGCCAGTCCTTGGATGGATGTCGGTAAACCTCGTTACCTCGACGGCGGGCTTGTTGGGACATCTGGAAGAGGAATTCTTTAGACCAAGCTTATGGGTCTGAAAGGGGAACCTACATTCGGAAGATACGGGGTATCTGGTAGCACTGTAGCCTGGGCTTGCCACGTTTTGTTTCCTCCATATTGCACATATACTGGATTATCTCCGCAAGACGGCACCCGTCTTGCTTGTCATTCTGCGAGGACCTCATTGGTCTTGCATCTGGCGCCCGGTTGTGGAACGAGAATGAGAGGCGCGCAAACGGTATCGTACCATACAGCGGTGATGCCGCCATGCCGGACTGATCGACATCACGTGGAGATCTATTGGCCTTGAAAAATGAAATTAGTGAGCCTACACATCTTCATCTCTCGATACCAGGATCTCCCCAAAAACAACACAAAATGGTCTACAAAGTTGCTGGTATGCCACAGTTTCAAGAGCGTTGTCGTCGTCGTCTGACCCATCGAACACAGACATCTCCTTGGCCGCCTTCGGTCGCAAGGAAATCGAGATCGCTGAGGTGACCTTTTATCTCAATTGGTTGTTGATCAGGCAATCTCATCGCTTTGGTCCTTTAGAATGAGATGCCCGGTCTCATGTACCTCAGGCAAAAGGTCTGTTTTTAAACAGAATCGAAACATCCGATGAAGCCCTGATCCGTGCTCGATAACAGTACAAGGAGGCCCAACCCTTGAAGGGTGCTCGCATTGCTGGATGTCTCCACATGTCCGTCCTTTCCTTTTCGAATCCAACACCCATTTCTGAAAGATCTTATCATCAGGACCATCCAAACAGCCGTCCTCATCGAAACCCTCACCGCTCTCGGTGCTGAGGTTACCTGGTCTTCCTGCGTAAGCAATCATCGCGCGTTCTCCCAGCTCCCGCAAACCTGACCCTTTCGCGTGTAGAACATTTTCTCCACCCAAGATCACGCTGCTGCCGCGTACGTTCATCATCGATAACCTCTCAGTTGAGATTTTTAACTCAACGGATCATCAGTATCGCTGCTACCGGCGTCCCCGTCTTCGCATGGAAGGGCGAGACTGAGGAGGAATACACCTGGTGCATTGAGCAGACCATCGAAGGATTTGCTGATGGCAAGCCTTTGAACATGATCTTGGATGATGGAGGTGACTTGACCAACCTCGTCCACGAGAAGTACCCCCACTTGCTCCAGGGTTCGTGAAAGCATATTCTATCTTTCGGACTTCCTAACTCGCGTATGTAGGCATCCGCGGTATCTCTGAGGAGACCACCACTGGTGTCCACCACCTCTACAAGGCCTTCCGTGAGGGCCGCCTCAAGGTCCCCGCCATCAACGTCAACGACTCTGTCACCAAGTCCAAGTTCGACAACTACTACGGCTGCCGTGAATCTCTCGTCGACGGTATCAAGCGTGCTACCGACGTCATGCTTGCTGGCAAGGTCGCCGTCGTTGCTGGCTATGGTGATGTCGGCAAGGGAGTAAGTAGAGGCTCGTACTATCCGCCGCGGAACATGGACTGACTGCTTCGCCAGTGCGCCGAGTCCCTCAGGTCATACGGTGCTCGTGTTCTCATCACTGAGATCGACCCCATCAACGCCCTCCAGGCCGCCATGGCTGGCTACGAAGTCACCACCATGGAGGATGCTGCTCCCCGTGCCAACGTCTTCGTGACCACCACTGGCAACAGGGATATCATCACTGGCGAGCACTTCTCCGTCATGCCCGAGGATGCTATCGTTTGCAAGTAGGTGACCATCTCTCATAGATTGCCTACCCTTACTGACTACGTTCTCCAGCATTGGTCACTTCGATGTTGAAATCGACGTCGCCTGGTTGAAGGCCAACGCCAAGGCTGTCGTTAACGTTAAGCCTCAGGTTGACCGCTTCACCATGCCCAACGGCCGACACATCATCTTGTTGGCTGAGGGTCGTCTCGTCAACCTCGGCTGTGCCACTGGTCACCCCTCTTTCGTCATGTCCTGCTCCTTCGCTAACCAGGTCTTGGCTCAAATCGCCCTCTGGACCACCCCTGAGAAGTTCCCTCTCGGTGTACACATGCTCCCCAAGGAGCTCGACGAGGAAGTCGCTCGTGCCCACTTGGCTCAGCTCAACGTCAAGTTGACTACGCTCTCGAAAGCTCAATCCGAGTACCTCGATATCCCCGTCGAAGGCCCCTACAAGCCTGTATGTGTCCCTGTACCTTTGCCCAGCTGTATCGTCTACTGACATTCCATTTCAGTCCCACTACCGCTACTAAGCGTCGATAGAGGATAGTCGACTTTTAGATGGCCTCAACGTGCCCTAGCCGACCTCTAACAGAAGAATGGGATCTTCAACGTCCTTTATGTGTGGATGTTTGCGCGATTCATTCAACAGAGTCAATTATTTAACAGAGTACTCTTTGGTTCACGGCAGGGACGTGCAAAAATCTCGGTCATTCATGTCCGAGTGCGAGTCCGGTCATCTTGTGCCTCTGAGCACGGGATTACGGGCTTGCAGCATGCTGTCGCAAGGCCTCAACGCCTGGTTTAGTGGAGTAGGGAAGTTGTGTATATTTGTTCGATCTAGTGCTATACCTCCAATACCATCATCGGATTCGCCGTACCGCTGAGTATTTTGAGTGAACCGTCGGTTGAAGGCTGTTCCTCCGAAGGTGTACAGTTTCAATTGTGTGTACATACCTCCCAAGGTACTGCTACCCTGCCCTGGCAAAGTTGAAACAAAAGTCCATCAGAGTCTAGACATTCCCCGAAAACATACGAGATCACTTCCATGTCGTGGGCTTTCGCGTCGCGTTCAGCGCTCAACCATCACACCAAGTGCGGTCTGATCTCAGTTCATCCCTCTCCTTCCCAGGCCCTAGGGATCTTTGATATATAGCGAGAACATTCGCTGGCACCCTAATCCGCAGTAGATCGGGAGCTCAAGGATCGCCGAACTGGAAAGAAACGGCAAGATTTACCTCATCTCTGTCCCTTGTTCGCACTCCAATGATTGACCGACCAGTGACCAAGGAGGGTTCAACGTTCAACGATGGCACAAGAAATTTCTGCTCTGGGTCCTATAGATCCAGCATCGATCGCGCGACCGAACGACGCGGCTGAAGATGAGAAAGAGGCCCCGTGGATAGTTCGGAAATTGATTGGGGTGAGTCTTTGAATCTGCCTCATGCAACGGTGTACCTTCGTTCTTTGGGTGCAACCTGGGTGCGACTACTAAGCAGATAAACCTCGGTTCTTAAACAACCGAAGTTGCCTTTCAATGATCGCCATCCAGTCTTTCGCTCTCAGAGTATGAAAGAAACGTTATCTTTTCGCAGAGGCCGTACGGTAGTCCGTATGGACAGGAACTCTTTCGTTCACTAACGATCCTTCTGTCAACAATTCGTGATTAACATACGTGATCTGAATTCCTGAAACACGTATCTCTAGTCCGTAACTGGAAGAATCGTCATGTCTTCCTATGAATCGCTTCGAGCCATGGGGACCAGTGTGGTTTGTCTGTCACCTGTGAGTGCACCATTTCCTAATACATGATGTTTCTTCTATGTCCTCACATATCTATCCATCACAACCCTCCCTCCAACTTACATACACCCCTGTCCATATGCCATCGGATATCGGACTTGCAACATCCTCTGCACTCGAACTTGGAATTCCCAAACGCCAATTGCTGGAACTCTGGGCAATCTTTGCCTTTCACGTTTCATACGACCTAATGGTTTTATGATCTTTGAACCTTGCCCACAACAACGGCGAGTTTGATGAATTTGTTGGTGGTGTCCTTCTACACCATGACCGCACAACCCGGACGCCCTTTTTTGATGCGACAATCCTCACCTTTTTGGCTTCGAATGATGGGTGTCCTTCTGCTTCTGCTTCCGAACCCCTCGGGAATGTACCTACGGCCTTCGACTTTCTGTACGCATAGTGGGGAGACTCATCGCCCCTCCTGCTGCCATGTATCCGGTTCCGCGATCTTGCTGTACACACAGTTATAGTGGCAACGGTGAGTAAACATTTTTAAACTATCATTTCCATGCATTTATTTACTTACTTACGTGGTCTCCTTCCTTTCTCATCTCATCATGGGTTCGCGACTCCTCACATCTGATGTTGTTTGAAACGGCTCCGTATCAAATGAATGAATAGGGCGGCATGGCAGCAGTGGCGGCCCCTGTGTAAGTTGTCACCCTCGTACCCGTATTACCGAACTGATCCTGGACGTTGGTTTCCTCCCATCCGCCCTCAACCTTGCCACTGGATCCCTGAACCATGCGCTCACCCGTGCCTAAACAGGATGGCTCCGATTTCCGAAGTAGCTGTGGCCACCTTTGGAAGTACCATCCTCGTTCAACTGGGTCTCAGAGGCGGGTTCAGCCTTGCTACCAAGGGAGCCAATGACCTTCTTATCAGCAAACCTATCAACAAACTCATTCCCATTCATTCCGATGTTTTGGAGACGACTGGAGTCAAGATCTTGACCATTACTCTGAAGTTCAAGTTGGCGATGGAGGATGCGGCGTTGGGGTTCTATCGAGGGTCTGCGCATGAGTGAGTAGGGTTCCATTAGATCGGCTAGGTCCGAATTTCCTCTCTGGATTTCCAGGGCCAGGAACCAGCTTTGTGGAATGTACACTGACCGGCATCTTATCGCACTCTAGGGACACGTCCTTATTCTCCTCCGTCATGGACTACATCTCTGTCGAAAAAGGGTGGTTCTCGCCCTACCTCTTCGCGAGTGCACGTAGACCTGTCATTCCTCGATCTATGAAACCCGATGTGATATTCTGTCATGGACCTTTCCTCTCCGGTGAGTGCTTTTTTAACCCAGCTTTCCAAGCTTTCAGTTACGTAAACTGAATGATTTTACCTTTATCTTAGGCGATTATTCGATCGGAGAAACTCTTCTCAAAGAATCAGCCTCCGTCATTCATTTGTGTGACCCACCTAAACCGGCGGTTGAAGAGAAAGAAAAGGAGGATGAAAGCTTTTTGGACAAGCTCAAGATCCCTGCCTTGTCTAACCTCTTCGATCGCTCCCGCACGCCTTCCCCCGAACCTGCTCTCGCACCCGTCCCTCCTCCACCTGTCCCCCGCCGGATGGTCATTGTAGTCGTCGGGCTCAAACCTTTCCGCTCGATGTGGTCTTCCTCCAAGCGCCCTGAGGAGAGCGTGATCAAGTATATCTTGGTAAATGGTTGCCCATCGATTGTTGTTCCAGTCAAAGTGGGTGCGCCGCTCCTTGCGTGGGATACGATGACGCTCGAGAAGCTTTGGGATATCTCGTTGCCTGTTGAGGGGGAGGAAAAGAGTGCGGATGGGAAGTTTGAGGGTGTGGTTGATACCCTGTGCGAGTATTTGGATCTATGTGTTGATTGGGATAGGGTTAGGGTGCCTGAGAGTACTGAAGGAACGGAGTCGGACGGAGAGATTGAGGTCGTTGTGTCGGCTGAGGGGGGCGAAGACGCAAAGGGGACTAAGGGAGATGGCAAGAGTGGGCTAGAGCCGCAAGTACAACTTAAAGATGCGACGTTGGAGGAAGCGAAGGAGGCGTTGAAGGATGCTATCACCCTTCTTGTCGCGGGCGCTGTTCGCACGAAAGATAGTGCCGAGGTGAAGGAAGAGATCGACGAGGATCGAAGTGGGATTGCGATGTGGAGGATTCCTTAGATTATTCGTCTACCTGACCAGCTCAGGGATGGCCGCTTACCGCGTACCTGGGCCGTGGACAGGCAAAATGGGACTCGAGGAAGTATTCACTTACCTTTCACTACAAGTACAGTTAGATTTAAAACGTTAACCTCACCTACATGATCCGTTGACCAAAGATGCCACATTCTCGGCCACTTCTTTTCGCCTCGGTAATGTTTTACCGAAACCTACAGTTCCAACTTCCAAGCGCACATAGCCGGTAGCGAAGCTTTTTGGATTTTGATGCGCCACAGGGAGAGCTTGATGGGCGCCTAATTCTAACCAAAAATAGAACCAATTTTGATCCACTGATCAGTGTGCCTCACACCGTCTTCATTTGTATCTCCGTATGGACCGCCCCCGATGCGCCCATTGGAGAGGCTTGGGCATCTTCATCTCCGGTTAGCTCAAGCTGGCCAGAGACAGCCAGAGACTAGAGTACACCCAAATATGCTTCCATCGTTTATTGATTAGGCCTGTGTCCGGAGGAAAGTTTCCCGGTGGTCTGAGTCCTTGCATAGTAGGCTACAGCGCGAGGCTAAAGTTCATCACGCACCCAAAGGGCACGGTTTGTGACGTGCCAGGCGGTACAGGTTATGTTGCTCTGAGTGCTCTGTGCCTGGATTCCAGGCGGGCGACACATCCAGTCGAAATGACAAGACTAGGTGCTCCGGAAAATCCCTCCTGAATGACAGCGCGGGGAGCGGGGGATCAAACCAACCATCCATGAGTCACTCAGGAATATGTCAATCCACTACATCCCCATGGCTCAATGAGTGAGGGTGAAGGATGGTGTGTCCCAGAGATTGTGTCGTGTAGACATCGGTACCGGACGTGTCATTGATTGTCGTCAGCCTACCCCGAGGCATCGCCTCAGATCCCAGGCAATCCTATGTTCAACTCAGAACTGCAATCAGAAATTAGGTCCCTGCTGATGGGCACTGCTAGTGGATTGCGTCTCCAACGGAGAGGTTGGAAAGGAGAAGTCATCAGTGAGCATTGTGACAGAAAGGGTCAAGTTGTCGACGGAGTGAATCACCAATGGAAGGAGCCGACGGTTAGTAGTCAGCTTGAGTCCCCTGCGTAGCCGTTCAGGAAGACGCAGGAAGCTATAAAGGGTTGATAAGGTGTCCTTGTGTTGTCTTAACGGATTCGATATCACTCTGAATCTTCCCATCTTCTTCCTTGCTCTGGTCCAGTAAACGGTGACTACCTACTATGCCTTTGAATCGCGACGACTTTGTGTTCTTCTGGAAGACCAATGAGATCCAGTAAGCACTTCTTCCACCGTTTCCTCCCGGGCCCACGCAGGACAGGCGAAGCCCTATCCTTCTGCTATCATTTGGATCTTACTCACATCTGAAATCATCTACAACAGCGGTTGGGGATCGCAATGGTATCCTAGTGCATTCAGCGCAACAATCCCTCTCTCCCCGGAAGGAGAGCAAGAGACGGTCACCTTTCCCTCGGCCGAGCACTGGATGATGGTCCAAAAAGCTATACTCTTTTCTGATTTCGAAATCGCTCATACAATCCTCGAAGTTACCAGCGTCAGCTCGAGTGATCTGGCCAACGTAAAGGCGCTCGGACGACAAGTGTCCAACTTTGATGAGAAGAAGTGGGTGGAGAACCGGGAGAGGATTGTGTTGGAAGGAAATTTGCACAAGTTTAGGCAGAACGAGGAATTGAAAGCGCTGTTGCTGGCGACGGGGGAGAAGAAGATTGTGGAGGCCAGTCCGAGGGATAGAATCTGGGGGATTGGGTTTGGAGAAAAGAACGCGCTGAATGTAGTTGATAGGTGGGGGTTGAATTTGTTGGGAAAAGCGTTGGAGGAGACTAGGAGAATTCTGAGAGAAGAAGAGGCTGGGTCGTGAGCAGTCGTCGCCAAATGTCAGGACTGTGGGGAAAGGTTCATTTCGGAACCGATATAGAAACTAAAGTACCTCGGTAATTACAGAATGGGGCAATGCCAAAGCTCGTTCCGGACCTTGGTCGACGTGTCAGTGGCTGTCGACTTGTAGCTGTTGAGAATTATTAGAACATTTAAGATTGGAGACTGTGGTAAGAGACGATTTAAAGGGAGGATTTTTATTGGCGTGGGAACTAGGACGCGACAGACATTTGCCAGTGTTCGCTGTCGTCAACGGTTCTCTTCTCCCCAAACCATCATCTTCCCCCGTTTGCCCCTCTTTTTCTCCCAAGTTCCTGCCGTTCTTCGTTGACAAAAGGTCGTCTGCTCATTGTTCACGACGCCCACAGCTTTTTCTCGCAGCGCATCGTCCCCTGTGATCAGCACGGAATCAGACCAAATCTGGTCCACCGTTGCCCCAGTTTCCCAAATGTTGTCCGCAACATCGTCTGCGTCTTCGAAGACGCCGCCTCTGTCGTATGCCGAACGTGCGAAAAAGGCCCAGAACATAAAGACTTCGATCTCTGCTCCTAGTCCCAGTCGCATCGCCAATACATCAAACCCGCCTTCAACATCCACCTCATCGTCTCCCGCAGTCAGCCCAGCCTCTGCAGCTCGATCTCCTTCATCGTCCACCGTCGCTACATCCTCAACAGTCGCAAAACATGCTACTGCTCCTTCATCACCCCTTCCATCCACTACGCCCTCATCGGCTGCCGCCGGTGGCCAGCCCAATGGCGTACCTCGACCCTCGATAGACTCTCCGTCAAAGCAGCCATCTGCGCAGACCACTCAATCGGCCACACCTAAACCACCCGTTACTAATTTCTGGAATGCACGCAAGGAACAGATGGCTGCAGCATCTCGCTCAGCTGCTGTTCAGTCATCATTCGCTTCCGCATCATCGAACACCCCTGGCCCAGCTAAATCGTCCCCTGTGATCAATCCTGACGCTCCCGTTTCGACCCAAACTTCAAGAGGTTCTCCATCCGTCGAGGTCACGCCCTCAACGCGCTCAGAACAACCAGCTGCATCAGGGGCAGAAGATCCATCCCACAGGCCTCCCGTGCCGCCTTCTATAGACTCGGAAGCTTGGCCGGAAGTTGGAAAATCAACACCATCGGATCAGCAGGAGAATTCGTCCAAAGAGGCCATCGCGAAGGAGACCAAGGAGGAGATCAGTGCAGCGGGCAGAAGGGGTAAGTGACCTTGTAGGGCGAACATCTTCATACATTTATCTCGATCTTGCAGGGGAGAAGACCAAGTGGATACCTATCCCCGCTGAAGAACTACAAGCAGCAGCGGACGAAATGCTAAAGAACTCACGGCCTCAGTCGAGAAAAAGCTCTCGTGGTCCCAATCGCGTCAGCGGGGATCAAGCGCGCTCGGGGCAACCTCATACACGCAACAACTCTGGTCGAAACTCGGTTTCACATTCAGCAGCACAGTCCCGTGTTCAGAGTCGAGCAGGCAGTCTTCAATCCAGTCCTCGTTTACCCAGAGGGAGACGGCTCCCTCCAGAGGATACTCTCAGCGTCAGGCCTAACGGAACACGTCCATCGCGATCGCCTCGCACAGGTTCCCCGTCCGCCAACCCGACAGGCCCGGTACCACCGACGGACGTTTATAATACCTATCCTATTTCCCCCAACTCCTCATTACCGCCACACCCTTATCCGATGTACCCACCCCACCCTCACGTTCTTCCTCCCGGCCCCACGCACCTTCCTCCAGGTGTTCCATACCCGCCCGGTTCTTCTCAAGACGGTTCTCCCTCGATGCCACCCCACGCCATTCCTCAACCATATCCTCCTGGTTATGCGCCTTACCCCATGTACCCCATGTATGGGCCGTATGACAATCCTCCACTGTATTGGAATGGCGTTCCTCCTCCGCGTTCAGGCCAACACAGTCCTCTCCCCGACCCAAATTCCATGCCATTCTACCCGGCTGCAGCCCGGGTCAATGGTCAAAGACCGGCAGAAGCTAAATCACCGTCCATGCCGACAAACACCGATGCTCCAGTTCCTGTCGAGCCATCTGCACAGCCGTCAACTGACTCGACTGCGACTGGAGAGAAGCCTGTCGTCTTCGGGACAATCGATATGACGGTAACAGAGATTGAAGTGGGTTCTGAAGAGACGCCTGGAACAGCTGAACCTCGCGTGGAAGCACTCGAAACGTCATTCACTAGAATCGCTATTGGCGTTTCACCAGACGAAGCTGATCGGCGGTCGCGGACGCGTTCGAACAAAGGTCGAAGCCGTTCCGAGAAGGACGGCACGGAGGATTCCGCGGGCACGACTGTTTCAGGCAGTGAACTACCATCCAGCAAGTGGGAGTTTGGCACGACAAGTAGTCTGACTCCCGCGACAAATGGCGAAGATGCCAATATCGCTGGTGCTCGATTATCACCCATGTCAGGGTCTGTCTCACCAGCCCAGCTACCGCTCGACCCCGCTCTCCCTCCTACAGCGCCAGTTGTGACACAATCTCTTGATAGGCCGGCGGATATCGAAGCCGATTTCAAAGTGAAGAACTTTGGGTATGGTTTTGGACAACCTAGCGCTGTCGTCGCCCCGGGACCCACCCCTACCGAACCAATGAGACTGGAACAGTTAGCACGAATGTACGAAGGATCCCGGTTACGCGGGTTCCCAGACGAACATGCGCTTATGCACCCCGAACAACAGCTCCCACATCCGGCTCCAGCGTCACAAAACAAACGTCGCTCGTTTAACAGCGGTGAGCGAGGCGGACGACGCGGCGGAGGTGGAGGGCGTGGGTCAGGTGGATTTGGACGAGGAGGTCGGTCGAATAGAAGGGACAGCTTCCCGTCAGGCCAACAACCCCCTCGTCAGCAGGGGCAAGGGCAGCCCCTCATCAGTATTACACCGCCGCCATTCCAGCCGCCACATATGATGCACGTTGGTGCTGGTGAAGGCCCTATTCCTGCTGGGTACTATCCCCTGCCGCCGCGACCGCCGCACATCCCCCCGTATCTTCCCCTTCCCGGGTATGAAGGGTTCGGGCTGCCGCCTCCTGGAGTTGGAGTGCCTCCTCCCCTTGGCGTAGCTCCTCATCCACCCCCTGGTGCTCCTGCAGCTCCTGGTGCCCCCTCGGTTACTGCACCGGTACCCGTCCCTATGACGACCCTCTCCTTCCCACTCGACCCGACGCGGTACTACCTCTTGGGACAGTTGGAGTATTACCTCAGCCCGCAGAACATGGCTCAAGATTTCTTCTTACGACAACGAGTGAGTTTTACATTCTACCCTTTAGAAACCAATTTTACTGAGCCTCTTTTTTCCTTACCAGATGGACTCGAGGGGTTGGATCCACATCCCTCTGATCGCCTCCTTCAACCGCATCCGAAGTCTCACAATGGATCTCAACCTCGTCCGTGAAGTGCTCCACTTGTCCCAGATGGTCCAAGTCCGAGGCGACTGGGTACGAATGGGAAGGTGGGAGAGGTTCGTCCTCCCTGATGCTACGCCCAGTACCCTTGAGGATTCGGACGGACTTCCTATAGTTGGTGCAGAGACGGAGCAGATTGAGAGGTCTATTTCGCAGCATCTGGCACAACAAAAGGAAAGGCAGGAGAGGGAGAATGCAGCAGCGGCTGCTGGTGGTGCTGGCGCAACGGGGGTTGCGAAACACGGGCACCAGGAAGGAGAGGAAGACGATGAAGAGGACGATGTTGTATTTGTAATGGGTAAGGATTCGTGATGGGGAAGTGTCCTATTCCTTGGCGAACGACTTCGCTGCATCCCGACTCGTCCCATTAATATCCCTCCCCATCCGTGCATCTATCCATTTACGACCCGCCCTTTTCTACTTCATCACACACCCTCCATTCACTCGCACGCCGTAACGTGTATCTCAAACATCCCGATTTCGAAATGACAAGACACGCCCTTTCATAGAACGACCACGAATGCCCGCTTCCAATAAGCAAATAACCGACTTTTTATCTTTGCTTCCGTCATGATGTAACGATTTCTTCTACGCCATGTCCTCACGTCCCGCTTATTCCCTTTTACATAACCGTTCAACGGTTATCTCCTTTTCCCTTCTCGTTTCTCCTCGCTCCTGTCTGCTCGGCGGGCACGTTTTTGTCCTAGGTTCTGCGTCTACCTTTTCTCCTTTCCGCTGTCTATTCTACTCCAATATCGTGCCTTCCCTCTATTCTACGCTTCACAGGTCTCCTCGTTTCTATTTCGTTTGTTATCCCACCATGGTCCATCGACGTCCCTCTTCAAATCACGCACCTGGACATATCCATATTCATCGAACTGTACATGCACACACCTCCTTTCCCCTTTCTCTTCCCTTCTTTCGTCTCTGGTTCTAATCAGGTCTCCGGTTTCTTTCACTTTCCGTCATAATAATCCTCTTCTCCCCCTCAGGTTTTGCTTGTGTTTTGTAGTCTCCTGGTTTGGTACAGAGTCGGTACGCTGAATTGGTTGGTATCGATGGTGTTGGTACTGTGTAGTTTGCTGACACTGTTCTACATATATTCTATTTGCAGCTTCCTTCTTTTTCTCATTTTGTTCTCTAGTCTGTGGTTTCCTATTCTATCTGACCTACTACACGTGTCGTGTCTACCCTTGATGATACTTAACGTTATTGTGACCCTTCTCTAGGGTTGACGATACGCCCTGCATATACGATGTTTTGAACACTCGACGCGTGGTCCTTCGCTATAAAATCCGCTGTTCTTGTTTATTTGCCTTGTGTCATCGTTCTGATGCAGCTGTAAGCGTTTCTGAGCACTTGGGTCATCTGAGCATGATCTAACCACGATGGGAAGACTGCGAAGCTTAATAACCAGCTTAAGCGCCCAAGGATTGCACCGCCATTTATCCTGTGGGCCCCAGATTTTCCCATCCGCGAGCCACCAAATATATCATCCTGTCATCCTCGCTTTGATCCCCAGGGTTCGATCCCTCTCAGCATTCCAGCAACCTTGAAGTCTTGTGCCGTCCGCCCTCCCACCTTCCTCATCTTGTCCTCGCCGACCCGGAGTCTTTGGCCGGGAGAGTATCATCTACCCGTCGACTTGCCTGGCCCCCACCTTGGCAAGGCCCTATCCCCAATGAAGCGGAGAAAGAGATTGGATGAGCCCCCTGGCCCGCCTAGCTATGAACAAGGCAGCAGTAAGTCCCCGATCTGGGTGCTTTTTTTTCATTCTGCAGCTCAGATCCTTTTTGTAGGTGACCTTCGTGCAGCACCTGCCTCGAGCCGTTTCGATACCGTTTACTCTACCGATGCCAATCTCAACCATCTAGGAGAGAATTTTAAGCCCAACAACAATCCGTTTATAACCATGTTGAAGCCCCGTCGTAGTACGCTCGCGTTTCTCGCTTCGGAGGAGGAGACTTGAACTGACCGGAATGCCCTCAGAATCCCTTGGATCCAACAACCCATTCGACCGCATGATGACAGCCAGTCCGCCATTAGAGTCGACGTCAATCTTGGGGCATCCTCCCGCAGGCCACCTCTTACTCGACCCCCACCTCTACAACGTTGGTTCGAGGAGTACTAGTATTCCCGAAACCGCAAGGGACGTTTATGACCACTCATCCACGACGACCAACAGCCATAATTCAAGATCTACGGTCACGAAGGGCAGCTATAACGTCACGAACATCTATCATTGCCACCATTACCATGGCCCCGCGTCTAGTCAGCGCACGGCCCTGAAACCTGATGCAGCAAGGTCACCACTGGCAGAGGATAACAGCCGCTTATACGAAGGCGCAGGTACAATTGTGTGGGACCACCGTCAGCCAACCGGGTGCGATACTGTCCACAGCAGCCATGGACCACAATACCTGACTTGCAGGAGCAAGGTACTTGCTACACTTGCATCTGGGTAGATTGTGTTCTGACGATGTAATATACTCACAGTGCGACTCTGTCCAAGTTACTAAGAACTTGAAAGTGAGACTTTCGAGGTATATTGATCATACAGTACGCTGATCCGGTCTTTGAACCATTGACAGAGCGAGTGGAGGGCCGGATTTACGACGGGAGTGGCGTCTACGATCTTCGTGTTCGCCTTATTTTGAGCGCCGGGTCACAGTTGTCCTAGGTCTTACTGAAGGACGAATCAAACACGAGTGAAACGGGCAACTCTGCAACCCCTCCCAGCAGGTGATCCCGTTCGTTGTGGTTGAAGAGACCTGAAGGGGGATTGAATAACTGTTTACCTGTGGGCGTTGTCAAAAAGGCATAAGGGTCAGGGGAGGACCAGTTGGCGGGGTTGAGTCTGGAGCTGGAGAGTGTGTGCGATGGCTATTTCTTACGCTGGTTCATTGGCCCAAACAGGCCATTAGCTGGCAGCTCGTGCTTGAAGTGATATACATATCAGGCATGGGCGTCTTGATCGAGCATCACCGATGTCATATCGAGACACGCGCAATCTTTGAGGAGCTAGGGGAGGGGGCTTTCGACCGACCATGTATGGGCCTCATTGGCGAATCTCCCTTGACGTCTGACGTTCGACGGAGGATATAAATAGCTTCCGTGTGTACTTTATATGCACAGTTCAACCTAATAATCAGCAGTGGATATATATCTGAGGTATGGTGAGCTTTTCTGATCCTGTGGAACAGCGTAAATTACCGAATCCGGAAATGCTCCTGCCGAATCTGGAGCTTGGAAAGAAAGTGAGGTCGCCTTTGGCCCAACGTCAACTCGTGTGAATAGGGAGCGTTAGAAGTTTGGAAGGGCTCACAGGCTCGGCGTTGCTGTTTGGGCGCTGGCACAGCACTCCAATGCGCTCCATACAAGAGGAGCGCCTGTGGGCTAGACGTCGATCCATCGACTATGTGCTTCAACTAACACATGAGCCGGAAAACATGTGAACAGTGTAGAGAAAGGCTCTAAAGGGAAAAGAATACGATGTGAAGTCTTTTATCTTTTCCTCTGTGCGTGCCCTGTTGGTCATTGTTCAATGACAGATAATCCAGAGTTGAACGTTGAACAGTAGTGCAATGGCCCAATGTACAGTCCCTGCGTAGGAGAAACATTGGTTCCACAAAAAAGAAGGGTAGCAAGTAACCGGCAGATTGCCTTGGATTTGCCTGTACGAAAGGCGAGTTAACAGTCGAACTAGAGTAATATGATGCTGTCTATGCGTAAGTATACATACTTTTGGGGTGCGTGAGGATGCGTGAAATGCGTGCGGGTGCGTGTAACTACGGTCGTAACAGGGTCGTGAAAGGTCGTAAAAGGTCGTAACGGATGCGAGGGGATTCAACAAGACGCATGATGAGGTGAATAAATAAAGGGTGACAGGGATTAAACCAACAAAGCGTGAGCCAAAGCGAAACCGAAAGTGGGAAGCGAAGAAGAACAAAAAGCCAAAAGTATGTACATCGTGCAAGTCGTGAAGGGCGTGCAAAGCGCGAAAATTAAAGGGACGATGGCCATGAATGCATCATGACCGGTCATGATTGCTGTGGGTTGAAGAAGTCGGCCGAGGAGGGTGGGCGTGATGATACTAGTCCACCGCTTTCGCTCATCCCGCGTTGGCGGCCCTCGACAAGGGCTTCCGCACGTTTGGACGGGATGAAAAGGTCGTCCTTTCCGCGGACAAAGAAATCATCATCGCCTTCATAAGGACTTGAAGACGAGTTGATCTACATAACAGCCCAAAGTCAGTTTCATGAGTCGCCTTGGGGAAAGAGGGAAGACGCACCCATTGCCCGAGAACATCGCCCACCCTGTTCGCCTCCTCCTGGGTAAATTCGCATCTTGTTCCCTTCTCCGCGTGTAGTTTGAGCAACTCGCTCAACGTCCTCTCGCTCCTCCCGCCGGAAGGTCCCCCTTGTGCCGCAGGTGGATCTAGGCTGGTGCTCCGACCCGGTGTATCTCCTTCTGCAGGGAATATGACTGAGTTTCTGGGTGTCGTGGCAGAGGGTATCCGCGAGTCGTCTGAGGTTTCTGAAGTCATAGAACGGTCCCAGTCGAGGTCTTGCTCTGAGCTGGATGATTGGATCGACAATGCGGACACGGTGCGTTCGAGGGTGCGGGTTGGAGAGGACATTATTGGCGAGTTAAATTAGGGTATCTTGGTGGATAAGGGTGACGCGAAAGAGAAAAAGAAAAGACGAAGAGGAAGAACAGACAACCGACGAAACAAGGTTCGACTCCCGCTCTGCCAGCGCCAAGTTAACGGAACCAAAATTAAACAAAACACTTCAAAACAAACGCGACGCGTTAATTGTCTCACCTTCCCACGCTCTGTTCATTGTTCCTCGGTTTCTTTTGTCCGATCCTTTTCCCGAACGCTCCGTTCTGCGTTGGTGGATACAGTTATACCGAGTCACTCCCGATGCCAGAAAAACGAGCAACCTGTTACCTGGACGCGACGATCAACACTGGAATTATCACCGATGCTGTTAACACCCTTTCGACCACTTTGAGGACTGCCGCCAGGGCCCGCTGCGGTCCCGCCATACTGCTTGGATACATCCAGGCGATGTCATGACAATATCAATGCGCAGGGACACTTCCCTTGGTCCATACAGCTGTCCAAGCGTCTACCTATGGCGCCTATATATAAGCCCACTCCAACTGTCCATAGATCTTCAGCAAGTCGTTGAAACTGCAAATGTACGGCGCACCTCAGAAGAACTACAACCATTACATGGTTCAGAATCCTGCTTATGGGCAGGGGCCGTATGGGTATCAGCCTGCACCTGTGATACCGCATCAACAGCCCCAAGTACCCATGCCTCAGCCCTACGGGCCCGGGTTTGGACGTGCATTGCCTTACCCTCCTCTGCAACCGGTGCATCAGCCTCAAGCTCCAATTGCGCCTGAAGTTCTGTCACATGCTCAGCGCTACGTTCAACCTCAGGCTCCGTCTCAATACCAACATTCCCAGCAGGTCGGCCCTCAGATGGCGCACGGCGTTACTGTGTATCCTGTAGGCCCACAGGTCTCCGGTGGGCACGCGTTTGGGCCCAGTCAAGTGTCAATGCAGGGAGCGGGCCAGTTAGAACAGCGAATGCAGGGTCTGAGTTTGGGCGGGCCCCTGGGACACCAGTCGGCTGAGTCGGAACAAAAGTTCAAAGGGAAGTATAAGGCGGAGCTTTGGTCTCAGCATGGATCCAGTAGCGATGAGGAGAGCGATGCGGATGAAACTGACGAGTCGGATGCCTCCGTTACCTATCCTCATGGCCGCGGTGGCCAAAGCGAAGCCCAGACGCGTTTCCAATGGCCAGCGAAGCTTAGTCCGGAAGAAGTGCGCAGGGCGGAGAAGTTCGCTCGTTCTGCGGAAAAAGGGCATAAGCGTGAATACAAGCGGGTCAAGAGGGATGCGCGCGGTGATTCTAGCGAGGAGAAGAGTAAGGAAGAGGCCAGGCCTCGAGATACACGTAGGGATGCAGTGTATTTCGACGAGAGTGTATCTCCTATTCCACTACAGGTCCAACCTGTGGGGGAATATAAGGAGACATCCGGGCCTCGGGCGGGAAAGGAAAAGAAGGAGAGTAGGAAAGGGAAAGAGAGGGAAAGGAGCAGGAGTCGGAGCAGGAGCAGGGAGCGTCGTCGAGAGCGTGAGTATCGCGAGCGGGACCGTGAAAGGGATCGCGATCGAGAGCGAAACCACGAGAAGGAGAGGAGTAGGGAACGTCGACGAGAACGCGACCGAGAGCGAGACCACGAGAAGGAGAGGAGTGGGGAGCGTCGACGAGAACGCGAGTATCGCGAGAAAGACCGAGAAAGGGAGCGCGAGAGAGACAGAGATAGGGGTGGGGAGCGCACTCCCCGACAGGGTGACGAGAATGGTCGTGATCGGGAGCCTAGCGGACGAAGAAAACGTCTGGAGGATGATCAGGTGACCTTTATCGAGTACCCCGAGGAGAGACGGAGCAAGAACAGAGAGAAGAGTCGAAGGTGATGAATGTGCTTTAGGTGTTTGGTGTTCCAAACTACCTGCTGTGAATGGGCGTCTCGTTTCTATGCCTTGTCTTTGCTATGCTTCCGCTATTTTTCAACCCTATGCCTGTCGTTATATATGTGCCTTATGCCCACCATGCCTGTTATGCCTACATTTCTTGCTATGCAATCGATTTCTTTCCATTATCAACCTAACCGGAGAATCGAGCGAAGCGTTCTGAGCCTTTGGAACGGTCAAGAAAAGAGGAAAGCTGTGAAACGGAATGGCGCCAAGCGTGTGCAAATACATAGATGATATGTTTGGGCATGGTTGGGCGCTAACCAAAACGGATCTTGTTGTTCTCGTCTTCATCACTGCGCTCTCTGTTGCTTGTGGTGCATGGATTTGTCGAAAACGGAGTGCGTCACACTGTGGTCATACGAGTAACTTTTTGCCGAAAGGACACAGTGGCACGTTCCGAGGGTGGTTGACTCTTAAGTTAACTCCCATGGGGGGCGTTACTACACAGCTCTTCGAGAATCTAGGAGCTGAAATGGATATTACGACTTGACTCAACTGCTTCTAATGTCTCGACGCCTTCTCTGTATCGTTCTGCTGTGGATTCATCGAAGAGCTGGGAGGCTCGCGCTTGCCAATATTAACTCGGGCGAATCTCTTTCCTCCTCTCAAGCATTTTGTCTCCGTTCTGATTTAATCGCTTTGAATTTACGATCTCGCCAACATGGAACACCCAACGCCGATTGACCTGACCAATCTGTTGAATGTACACAAGGAATTTGAAGAAATTACGAGGGGTTTGAGGGCACAGGGTTGCTTCGGAGGCGAGTCCTTGTGTTCTTACTGGAACTGTTATATTGATGCCAGGATAGGGTCATTTGAGAATGAATGTTGGACCGGGGTGAACACGACCAGGTGCGAGTGGAACCATGGATTCCAGGACTCTGGTGACGGATTCAGCCGCAGCCCGAATCGTCAACTCACCAGAGAGTGCGCCTCACAGATCTTGAACGACTCGCCTGGGGATGGCGCTGGTTTTACTCCCACCGAGTTACCCGTCTCATTTTTGCCCCCGAGGTTACCATTTCCAATAGTCTCCAGGGGTGGGACCACTGCGCTTGCACTGGCCGCGGCATCTTATTACGAACAATTGGCCGCCGAGATTCGTATCAACCTTGTAGCAGGACCAGTGAAACCGATAGAACACTCATCTCTAAATAGCCTCCCTTCCACGCGGATCACTGGTAGTACAAAGGGTTCGTCGAAACGCCGGCGTTCTGATTGTCAATTATGGCCTCCTGCAGAAGTTAACACCCGACCTTGTAAACGGGCCAACATCCTGTACAATTAGTGGTCACTGAATAGATGAAGCTGGTTAGAAACGGGACCTACAGTGTAATCCAATTGTCCTGTTGGAGGATTATCGAGCGGAAGCAATTTGGAAGGAAAGTGGCTGTGCGGGGCGATATATATTCGATCTTGAATTGGAAGGAGAAGGGTCTGACAACGCCGCATGCAATGAATTCGTCGAGTGGTCGACCTCCTCCGCCGTACAATGGCCTGCCCCCGCCAATTCCTTCTCATCTCAACCAGGTCAATGCTGCGAAATGGCAGGCTGGGTACTGGCAACCCAATCCACATTACAATCCCATGCTTCACAGCGCGCAGGCAGCGCAGATGATGGCAGCAGCTGCCGCTCACAGTCGCATGCAAGGTGAAGTCCTCACCTACTGATAACCACATTATACTTAACTATAGCTAGTGCCTTGGATGGCGGCACAGGCGTGGCATCATCCTCAACTTGCCCAGCAACAGCAGCAAGCGGCGGCGGCGGCTCAGGCTCAAGCTGCTCGTCGCCAACCCGTGAACCCATACAAACGAGTGCCGAAACCACCTAGTGCCGAATACCTCGCCACGAAACTGAGCGACAACCCCCTTGGCCTTGAGAATATGGACCCTTCCAAGTCGTTGTACAAGGACATTCCCGAGAGCACGCCGTGGATCTGGCAGACGAAGCCGCTTGAAGAGGAGTCGGATGAGGATGATGCAGGGGATGCCACCGATGAGGAGCCTGACTTTGTAGACAGGAGCTCCCACCAAGCAAGGGGTCAGGTCGCTCCTTCAGAATCGTTCACGTCAAAGGTCGAGCTCAAACCAACCTTTTCGATGAGCATCGTGCGCACACCCGACTTCTATAATCGGCGGGCTTCATCTGCCAACATCGAAGACCAGATGAATACTCGACTTCATATATCCAACACTAGCAGGCAATCGTCGGGGTCGTCGCCTACATCAGAGGTTTCATCGTCGTCCAACGCGTCCATCACAGGCGTATCGACCTTATCTGACGAACCCGTTTCGATCCTCAGCCCCCTTATGATACCTACAACCCCAAAACCCTCATCGAGTGCCCGAGCCCTTGCGGAAAAGAGTTCGTCTCTCAATCGCCACGCCACTCTGAGCACAATACCCGAATCATCGTCAAACACTTCATCGATGACGAGGACTGCCACCTACCCGAGTGTCTCGTCCGCGTCCGCCTATGCCGCATCCCTCAACACATCCTCGGGTACACCATCTCGACAGGGTGGAAGGCACTCATATGATACCCCGTCGTCGCGCCCGACCTCACAGCATCCTTCACCCACCCTCGATCCTTCTTCACAGCCGCACACACCTCCAAATGCACCTCCGAGCGCCCAAAGGCCTTATCCTCCACCTGGCTATACTCGCTCACCACCTCCACATCATCCAACATACCCTATCCCTACTACTTCACCATACAATACGCGATCGCCACCACCTGCGTCCACCTCCGGACCGTACCCATCTCAGTCCCTACCACCGCCGCCTTCTAGTGCCCCAGCCGCCTACTCGTCTTCCAAGTCTCCGCCCCCACCTCCCAATACAAGCGGTCCCTATCCAATCAGTATGTCTCCCCCTCCGGCAAGTACGTCATCACGAGCGGGGTTGTCCCAGTCACAGTCGTGGACGCAATCGTTCGCGTCGAATTACTACCAGACACCACCCCACAGCGCGTCTTACGGGCCTGGTTCGTTTAACCGAGAACGAGATAGGGAAACGGGCAGTTCGACGCCATCGAGGGCTTCGTCGCGGAGGAACTCCTCTGCAGCATTGAATGTTGGTGGAGGTAGTGGTGGAGGAGGAATGGCTGGAGAGGGTCAGAGCTCTGCACAGCACCAACAATCCACTTATCCACAACAGGCGTCTTCAAGTGGTGTACCACCGCCACCCAGTTATCCTCAACAGTACCCGACGAATCTGGGCAGCAGTCATACAACAATTGTTCCTTATCCTACTCCGCCTTCTGGTCCTTCGTCATCGCCGACCAAAGAGCCTTCCGCCGCTTCCACACAGGGGTACCCGTATAGCATCAACAATGCATCACCATCGAAGCAGGGAAGGGAGGGCACTTCTTCCCAGGGTCAGCAGCAACAGTACGGGTATCAATATGGTCATTATGCATATGGCCAACAACAGCACCAGCAGCAGCAACAACCGGCATCCCATGGCTATGGATCGCAGCATACCCAAGTGATTTATCAGAATCAGCATCAGCAGTCCTACCCCCCTTCGCATTCTTCGACTCCACAACACCGGCCTAAAGAAAAGCGCGCCTCCCACTCCCACTCCCGCTCCCCGCATCGGCATCAAAATCCCATCCAACCACCACCGTACAAGGTTCGGAAAGGGTTCTGGAATAGACGAGGAGATCATTTGACTCCGATGGGCTTTATCGTGTATGCTCCGCCTGGGATGACGTACCCACCGGATTTGGCGAGTTATCCGCCTGCTGTGGATGCGAGCTCTGAGCCTCCGTCATCTGCCTCTGAAGGGGGGTCGGAAAACGAGGAGCGTGACTCGGATGGCGAAGGCGGTAGGGGTAACCGGAACGGCTCGAGGTCGGCGCTGTCAGGTGAACCAGGGAAGAGGAAGGTGGAGGTACCGGGATATATGGATGAGTATGGGACATTTACCAGGTGGGTTGAGAGACCAGAGCTGTTGGAGAGCTTGCCAAGGCATGGGAAGCCTGCCGAGCAACCGTACGAGAGTTTTATTGAGTGGGTTGCGCCGCTCGATAGAACCACTGTCGACGGGCTTGGTAGGAAGACAAGTGGCTGACTGGTAGTGGCGCGGAAGATTTGCTTTTGGGGGGGGGGATCTAGGGGGAGGGAATTCGAATATCGAAGAGACGTGTGGTGTATATTGGACAGATGAGAATTCGTTGATCGGCCCTTGCTGTCTCGTCCGTCGAATTCTTACAAGTATGTTCTCTGTCATTTATGTGTTTGCCTTCCTACTTCATTGTCCCTCGCTTAAATTCGCTCATTCTATACCTTGATTGGTACTTGATTATTAGTCGGTAACTCGAATGATTTATGGACTTCGTCAAATTCCATTTGTTCCAGGGCCTTATAGGCTCCGGGTTCTTTTGTGGGTTTTCCCGTTGTACTACTGGGTGTTGAAGGAAGAAAAGAAATCGAAAAAGAAATAAAAGGAAAGAACTTGGTGTAAGATTCTCTTATCTCTTTCTACTTATATTCTCTCTCTACCTGCCGCCGGCTGCTCCTATGGTACTGTACATCTACTATATAGTTCCTACTTATCTGATACTCGTAGTCCCTATATAATAGCATCCTCCTGTAGGTAGATATTAAACACGTGAGACAATCTACCACCTACCACTGCAATTGGTGAAAAGTGGGGAAGAGTTCGATAGCATTAGTACAGACGTAGATAAATACAATGAGGACATACCTGCAAAGGGGGAGGGTAACTCCCACTTGCAGTCACTACCTATATATGTCTGGAGACAAAGGGATGTTGTCAGGGCTCGTGCACATTAGCCAAACTCTGATATACACTCACACTGTCGCGAAGAGTGAACACTAAACCAAACCAAAGACTAGTGATGCTGAGCAGATAAGAGTAGTGAAAGTCAAGGGTCGGCTGACCCCTGCGGGTTTCTGGGTCAACCCCGTCACGGGTCGGGTACGGGTCGCCATTTCCAGACCCGGACACTTCAAAACGAGCCATAGATCATCCAAAACAGATGAGAAATGGTAGAGATACGGTCAAATAAGTGTTTTAACTGTATCTCGACCATTTCTTATCCGTTTTGGACGATCTAAAGCTCAACCCGTGCGGAAAACCCGTCGAGTTACGGGTAGGGTTAAGCCACAGGTCGGGTCCGGGTTGGCCTTCCGAAACCGGGGGTTGACCCCTGGTGATCACTGGATAAGAGCGGGCGCCGGGGCGCGAGATCTCAGACAAGAGCATTGAGCTCAGAGCAACTGATGCAGATGAAAGCTGAAGCGGTGTATTGACAAAGAGGTCAAGCTGAGGAAATACAGAGGAGTCTACCTAGCTTATATACCTATTCTACAGCCTACTGCTGCCTACATAGCCGCGACTAGTATACGGGCCAATGCATATGCATGGCAGTGACTCAGTTTAAATAAGGCCAGGGCCGCCAGGCTCTGCAGACTGCCAGAAATACTATATCTTGAGCCTTTTAGAAAATGTCAGACTTCCTATACATGAAAGCACAAAGGAAATGCCGACAAAGTAATGTTATGTAACATTTATGTCAGGAATAAACCTCCCTTTTCGGAATCCTCACGCGCGGAAAAGTCCCCACAGGCCCGTGTATGAGTGAAAGCCCGCCACAGGCGGGTGCTAGTGAGTACACAGAATCTATAGATACACTATTAATGTCCAAGATATAAATTATGCTCTCTCCTCTCCCAGCCCAGGCACCTGGTCGTGTACTTCTTCAGAAAAGCAGCAGTTTGAGGCGCAAAGTTTGGCTGTGTTATAGCACCAATTATTAGCTTGAATACACGCTCAAGACCAAGGGAAACACACAATTAATATATGAGATATAGTCGATAGATGGTCCTCCTCATTCCAGAATCCCGAGGCTCATGTACCTGACCACAATCTCCTCCACAACGCGGTGTTGTGCGGGATAAAATTTTAGTCTCCCATAACACCAACTATTACCTTCAAAACGAGCCCAAAATCAAAGAAAACACACCAAAGATGAAGGAGATATCAGCAGTGGTCTTCTTTCTGTCATGAATTAGACCTTTCTTTTCCTTTTCCCGCCAAGACTTGTAGTTAGTAACATAGGATGTCACGTGACTCAGACACGTGATGAGTCACAAGAACGTACCCCGCCAGCTGAACAAAACACTACGCGCGCACAGACCATGGACCAAACAAGTACATACAACTCAAGTAGTATATATAGAGTAGACTTGTAAGCGTAGTTACCTCAGTCTTTAGCTGGTCTATTCCTAGCTACAACACTCTAGTCTCCACCAAATCACATTGCTTTTTGTCAAGTCTTTTCTAGTGCAGCTATTGATTGCTTGAACGATGAATCAAGTAGTTAGTTGCTGACACTTTCCCCCTCAACTCCAGGTACCGGTCGAGCATTATCTTGGCATTGGCTTGGCTGATGCAATAAGCGGAACTGATTGAGTCCCAGTTCCGCTTATTGCGTCATTGCGGTGTTTCAAACTCCGACGCAACCGCGGCAATGTGTTTTGCAGCTACAAGCTTTCATAAACCTTTTTTTTTTTGCTTACTAATACACAAAAGAAGTTGACCAAATGAGAGCTAGAATACTAAGATACTTAGTACGAGGAATTTACCCTCCCAGGGCGGTGGGAACAATCCTAGACCTTTTCGTTTTACCGATCGCCCCAAGTCGCCCCACTGCCCGATTGCCGACATCGCGCCCTTGATGCCGCCAGTTAGCCGAGAGACATAGATGCCGAACACCAATCTAATCTAATCTACTCGATCACGTGATCTAATGGTTGCTTTCCCAATTATCGTGTTGACCGAGCGCCTACTCTTTGCCGCTTCGTCGACTTTCTCTCCAGCTTATGTGGAGTCGCAGGCCCCCTTGGACCTTGGGAGGCGCATTCTGAAGCAACTGGTTAACTGGTGCTCTGGTCTCTCTGCCGCAACTCCTTTCTTGGGTGCCATATCTGGAGACTGATTCTGACATACGAAATCTGGCCCCTGGATTGTAGTCTCCTCCTCGTTCCTATGGTCTATCAACAAACAACAGCTGGGGCCTCTGTCATTGAATGGATATTGAAACCTTCTTGTGGTATCAAACACCATTTCAAATGTCTTTTGTTTCTTTATGTTGGAGCCCAACCTCAACTGCAGTTCATCTATGCCAGAAATCAGCCCAGATTGTTCCTTTCGTCCTGACCTCAAATCGTCCCTCTCGCGTGAAGTTTGGGACCGCGGATCTAGGGTGAGGGTAGAGTGCATATCAAAAATCCGTTTGGAAAACGATTGAATGGTTCAGCCAGGGCGCACATATCTATAATTTGTGACATTTTGAATAACTGGGCTGATTGTTCCTTTCGTCCTGACCTCAAATCGTCTCTCGTTCGCGTGAAGTTTGGGACAGCGGATCTAGGGTGAGGGTAGAGTGCATATCAAAAATTCGTTTGGAAAACGACTGAACGGTTCAGCCAGGGCACGCACATCTATAATTCGTGACATGTTGAAAAACAGATGTAAGCACCATTCAGTCAGCTCTCAGTCGTTCAGCGTCCAATCTTCTACGTTGACTGCTATAGCAACTCTAGACCGAGCGCAAAAGTCCGTTTGCCAAACGACCCAGGTGTTCCCTGGTAATATCACGTTTTGTTTTGGAAGGGGAAAAAGCAGAATTGCATACAGCTGCATGGTATGATTTTAAATCGTCATTTTTACCTCATATTCCGCATCTTTGAGCAGTCTTTATCCGATATGTGGGGGCTCTCTCCTAGTAAACCCTCCTATATTGTTAATAAAACGCTTTCTGTCTTTTCAGGGGGTAAACAGTGAAGTCTGTCTTTTGTCCTCAATTCGGCCTCGCCTTCTATTATAATTGGGATTTGTAACAACACCATACGTGCAAACCCGAACGTGAAAACCGCTTGAGAATTGACTGATTCGTTCTTTGGAAATTAAGGATTCTGTGTGGGAGGCTGGCAGCCTCAGGTAGGGTATGTCCATCCGAGGCCACTCACAAGCTCCTCTTTCACCCGTTCGCCATCATAAGCTAAAGACAGGCGTACTATACCTGTAGGATACTACGTCTCTGGCCTGATCATGAGTCGTTAAGAATGTTGTGCTGTTATGTGTGAATCCGTTCTGCCAGGTGGACCTGAATTTGAGTTGAGCATCGGAGGACGGGAAAGCTGCCAGGGAGAGTTCAAACTCGGAATTACAACACCTTACCATCTTCAATTACATGAAAGAATACGGAGCTTGACCGACCTCAATTCTCAAAGCTCGAATATGTTACATATTCTGCGCACTCATAGTAACTCGCAGTGCCTAAAGTCCTTAAACAGTAGTACCACTCAGCTTCACACCATTTACGATACACTATCAATTGAATGAATGACGACTTTTCTATTGATTATTGTAAACTAGAGACTACGTATTTCGTTGACCAGGAAGACCATTCTTGCTTGCTCGACGCAAGCAAAGATCAGGGTTTCTCGCCCGTATCTGCTCAAGCAAATGTGTCACGCCTTTGGAAGCAGCTGGATATGTTCTCATGAATTCGTCATCGTCAGATCCACATCTAAAATAGCATAGAAATTAGCTGAGCGGCACGTATAGTCATGACCAATGACTTACCTGGCATATGCTTCCGCAATAAGACGGCGTTGGGAACGTTTAGAACCAAAGAGATTCTTCATACCACCCGTGTACCACACTTTTGGCCAATCCTTTAACGGCCTTGCAAGGCCCTTCCCACCCTGCTCCCACTGCTCAACAGCGTCTTTCCACGCAAGTGCACCCCTCCGAAGGTCTGGGATAACAAGCCCAGCTACAGGGACCTCCTGGGACGAATTCCCGGGCTGGTGAGTAGTGAAGGATAAATCGGAATTACGAGAGGGGCTCGGCCCGGGTGTCTGAGGAGGTGAGGATAATGCCAATACCTGCGCAGTGGATGGTGCGTAGGATCGGAAGGTTGGTGGCTGGGAGGGGGGAGAAGTGAAACCGGAAGTATGACCTGATGTTGAAAACGATGAATGAGGAAGTTGTACGGCATCGACCAACTGGAGGAGGAATGACGACAGCAATGACCCGACCATGGTGTTGTTGCATTCCCTCAAGGCACCCTTGAATTCGTCAAATTGCTGTGCAATTGACCTTTTTAGCTCTTCTTTCATCGCTTGAAATGTGCTAGATGTGTCCTCCGGCGCGGGTAATGCCTTGCAACGATTTCGGTTGAGTAATGATGGTCGTCGCATGGCATCGGGGTTGAGGGCATCTGGATATGTGGTCTCTTGACGATGCAGGGCATTGACCAGATATTTTACCAAGGTATCTGGCTGGAACAATTTCAAATGAGCATCTCTGAGTCTGTAAGCACATGACAGTTCACAAACTCACCGCCTCGACGGCACTTGCAATCCATCCACCCCACCACTGAACTAGATAGAGGGGCCACAGCTCATTGGCATGCATGAAACGATATTGCGCTCCACCCCGGCGGCAGTGCGTTGTGAATACCCTGGATAAGCCCACGCTTGCCACAAAAGAATTGAGAAGGTCTTGAACTGTGTCGTGTGTCATTGGCCGGGTAGGGTGTATAACACCGTTGGATGAGAAATACGGAAAAAATATAGTCCATCGGCTCTAGCGGACGTCCAAGGTGTGATTCCAAAAACGGAATCCACTGTAAGATGTGGGAGTACATGTCGATGGCAGGAGTATCCGCTTGCTCGTAGATTTGATAGGTTTGACCTTGCCACCAAAGGAGAAAGATTAGAACGATGTCAGCTCAAAGTGGTGGGATTCAGTGGGAACGTACTGGTGTCCTTATCTACTGCTGCTTTCTTTTGCCATCCTTTCCTCTCTGAGAGCCGAATTGTGAAGTAGGGGCGAGGCGCGGGCCCATTGGTGCGGAAACCGAAAGCAATATCACCCCTTCCGAGGTTACACATCTCTGAATTCCTAGAACATGGATCAGTTTTACTAGGAGTTCTTCGCAGTAATCCATCTAAACGTACCGTGCAAACATTGTAAATGCTGTTGAAGCAAATGTTCGCATCCAGCCATGCTTAATGGTTTCCACTAATTCCGCAGCTGGGTGCGTTGAAAACGTACCCAGCTGTACATCAGGGACTTCGCAAATTGACCATTCGTAGATTTGCTCCATATCTTCCAGCATAATTGCTTCGGCATGGTTGCGGGTTGCTGCAGCGCCCTTTTTCCGGCCACGATGTCGTGAACAGTGGGTACGGACCCCTATTTTTCCATTATCTTATCTTATCACTGTTGAGATCAGTAATCCGATTGCTATCTCTACCAGGTATACGGCTCACATGCTATCTCTAGCATACGCCGAGCTCACATGCAATCTCTTGCATATGCTCAATACCTGTATCACACTACGTTGAACTAGACCGGATAGCTCAGTGGTTAGAGCATCCACCTAGTGTTGGGACGGTCCTCGGTTCAATCCCGGGTCTGGTCGTTTTCTTTCCAAAGATCACTACGTGATTTTTCACAATCACTTTCATCTTCCTTATTGTTTTCTCTTTCACTCCCGTTTCTACCCTTATTCTCGATACGGACTCTTTCTCTCATGGAACACTGCCTCGATGTACCCTTTGCCCTACTCCTTATTGTTCTTCCTTCTCGCACTGCCTCGTGACTCCCTTCTATTGTCTTCTCCTTGTTCTTTGCGCAGCCTTGTGACCTTCTTTATTGTTCTTTTGTGTTTCACCATCCCTTCGTTATTCTGACTCATCGCGGCTATGTAGACTGTAGAATAGGTATATAAGCTAGGTAGACTCCTCTGTATTTCCTCAGCTTGACCTCTTCGTCAATACATCGGCATAGCTTTCTGGCTTAACTCGTCGCTCATCGCTCCTCACCGCCCTCATCACTCTCAGCTCTCCGGCACTTCTGTTCTGGTTTCTGGTTTGGTTTGGTTTAGTGTTCGCTCTTCGCGACACACAAGTCTTCACAGCTTTCACGACATCCTTGATGATTAGGTCGCGCCCTGGGTTTCCGGTCACCTTTCCAGTTTCAGAATCAAGATGGTAGTCTCCCCAATACAGTGTCCCATCCCTAGTCAATGTCAGTAATTATGGTGGCGGAAACTTTGATGAGGGAACCGAGGGAACCCAATACGTACATTTCATCCCAAAACCGTTTGAACGTGGCATCTATTCCGGTAGCTGTTGATGCTGAACATCCCTCTCGAAAGCATTTATGGTCAATGAAAAGTTTCACGGCAAGAGACGAGTGCTTGTTTGGCGGGTTCTCAAAAGCCGCCGCAAGGAGATTCGTGTCCATGTCATCGGTGATGCGCGGTCAGGGGTGGGAGGCTCTAAAACCACACACACACCAACCGAACCGGCAGGTGAAGGTAAAGTAGTAAAAAGAAATGAAAAGGCTAATCCTCTACACCCAACCAAAGACTATGTCTAAGGTCAAATGAAGCTAGACTTCACCTGAAGGTACAACGGTATGTAGAAAGGCACTAGAACCAAACAAACCCTTAACAATGCAAAGGTTCGAAGGGGGTGCACGGGAGTGGGCGGACAGTAGGTAAGAAGGTCAAAGGTAAAACAAGAGCTTGTAGGCTCAAGGCGCGAAGTGATAAGTCGTGCAAAGGCAGACCACTAGGCACTAGCTAGACTAGGGTACCACCACCTCCTCGCTACTGAGTAGTCGAGAAAATACACAAAGAAGTCAAGGAGACACACGCCGGTGCTCACAGAAAACCAAAGTTGAACACACCGGGACGACTGTTACCAAATCGATCTACACCGAGTCGAAGTGGCCAAAACCCAAGGCAGACTGACACGCCGGACAGCTGCTAGACTCTACGCCGAGACGTCTGTTACCAAATCAATCTACGCCAAGTCGAAGTGGCCAAAGAATAACCCAAAAGTCGATCTACGCCGAGTCGACAAACCTTTAACGTGCTGAGTCGCGCCGGACTTCACGGAGTCTTATCCTGGAGAAAAGTTGCCAGCGATAATCTGTAGAATTCGAGCGAGAACTAGCTAGCTTTTATACATGAGGAGAGTGTTTGGCGTACTAAGGCTGTAGACAAACAGAGACGGAAAAACCAGGAAGACTATGTAAGACAGGCAGACTAAGAGAGACAGAAATAGAACAGAAGAAACACGAGCTTCGATAGATAGGATAGAAATAGAACGGTTCGAGTATTAGGCGCTCGTAGACGCGCGGTTACTTTTGCTTAGGCTTGCCTTATTGGGCCGCCGAGGACAGCTTGTTGGCCGGGCGCCTTGCCGTGATCGACGCGGCCATGACCCAGTTCCGGTCCCATAAGGGGAACTCCACTTCGCCATCTGGTGGGTCAGGCTTTGATCGACATTGCTCCACCGGAGCTTAGTTAATGACTCCTATGACGGGGAGCCGTCCGAGTCTAGACAGTCCCCGAGGTCCGTGATCGACCGGACAAGGTCTCATCGTAGACGCGGTGCGCTCCTCCTTAGACTTGGCTTTCTCTCTCTTTGGTCGTCCCGCTCCAATGCCGTGTGCAGGCATTGGGGGTCCTTCCCGGTTGGTCCATCAGCTCCAATGACATTTGCTTCCGCTAGTTCGTCCGAATCGGAGGAACCAGTTAGACTTTTTAGACTTGGCGGTCCGTTAGACTTGGTGCCTCGACTAGGTTCGTCGAGTCGTCACGTCTAGGTTTATAGTTGGTTAGGCTTTCACCTTATGAGCTCGGCCGGTACAGCTAAGTCCTCATATTAAGGTCACAGGTGGGTAGAGTTCGCCTTGGTTCAAGATCTAGGTTCAGACCCGAGAGGTAACAAACCGTAAGACTTAGACGTCACACACGAGTCTTAGACTTAGGGCTAGGCTACCTGCGGCACCTTCGACTAGAGTCTCTACTAGCGTTTTGGTAGGGGCCTGTGCCTTAGGCTACTCACAAAGGTTCGCTGCGCTTTAGTCTGGGGTTCATCAATGAAGACTCCTTAGTTGTAGGCTAGACGTAGACACTTGTGACAAGTCTAATAGAGCCGTTTGAGCCCAGTTTGAAGTCTAGCCGCAAAATCGGCGTATCATTGGTAACACCAGTTTCTTTACGCCACTTGACCACCGCTGCAATGAATGCTTTACCTCGCTTGATGTGACCTGAGTAGGTGACCTCAGTCGCTGGCGTTTTCCCAAATTCCTTGAGGTTATTTGCGCAGCTGTCGAGGAGTCAACGAGTGATCCCGCCGGGACGAGTTAGCCATGTTTTTCGAGTGAATTCGAGTTTCGAGTCTAAGTCGCGTTAAAACGAGTTCAAGTGCTAAGTTGTGTGTTTGCCATACGCAACTGGGTTTCCCTTGTGTGTAGAGCACAGCAACATTATAAAAAGTTTAGTTTCATAAAGTCAAGAGCGTTTACAAAGCTCTAAAAACCCAAGAACCCGTTCTATACGAGTCTGAGAGTCTTCTCCTCGTTAACCAAAGTCTACTAGAACAACAACCCCGTTGAACTTGCATGCCAACATACAGTTAGTACATAAAAAGTCTTATAGATTCGGCCATCAGTCTTCATCTTCGTGTCACTTGCCTCACAACAAGTTCCACTCGATTCGGGACCGCTTGTTGTTTTCTTACTCGTCTTTGTGCTTTCTGAGACTGTGCTAGCCAGCACATCAATGGTCCGGTTCGGTTCGGGTTCGGGGTATTTTGGGCCAAACCTGAACCCGAAACACAGGTCCGGTTCACCAGCCGGGAGTCCTCCTGGACCTGAACCCCCATTCTGTGCAGGTTCGAACCTTCCGAACCCAAACCTTTTCCTTTTTTAGCATCTGGGCAGCTCTAAAGGGGCATCTCTTGATTGTTTTTTGGCCCAAACTACCATTTCTTGCTTTTATTTACTAATCTGAAGTGGTTTTATGTTGAAATATGCACAAAGAAGTAGTGTTAGAAACCCCGCCAGCAACTCACGATAAACCAACTGAGCCAAAAAGGCCGCTATCACTGGTTAAGGTGATAGGTTGCTGGCACTATATATAGAGCTGACTATACCAGGATGTCACCTACCGAAGACTCCGAAATTTGGTTCCTGACAAGTAGCTAAAAATAATTTTGTGAGTTCTTTTTAGGTCAAAAGGTTCAGGTTCGGAAAATTCCCAAACCTAGACCTGAACCTCAGGTTCGGTTCAGGGTTCAGTTCGGGTTCTCACAGTTTGCGAACCGGACCATGGACAGTCTAATCAATAGGGCATCTTCCCACGTCCTCTCCTCCTTGGGGTATCCCTTCCAGTTCACCAGGTATTGCAGTTTTCCCCTGTAGAGCCTAGAGTCATCGATGGATTCAACTTCATACTCTACTTCTCCGTCTACCAGCTCGGGAGGAGGGGGTGGAGGTTTCTTCTGAGAGGGAAAATGGGGTTCGTGGTATAGAGTGAGGAGTGACTCATTGAACACCGGGTCCGGGGTGTATGGCCTTCCAAGTCTTGGGGATGGCGAGTTCGTAGGCAGAAGCTCCGAGCTTCTTGATGATCTTAAATGGTCCATATCTCCGATCATTGAGCTTCTTGGCTGGTCGTTGCGTATTGATATTGGTTGCCTCTGTCAGGGCTCGTGCAACCGCCGGGTCTTGATACGCACAACCACACCCTTCCTATACCCTCAATACCACTCGATATTATTATTCATACTTTCCTTTATACATTTTATTTGTTATACCCACTTCATTTCAGCCCGCCGGGTCCTCTCTGACTTTGACGCGCAACATCCTCAGAGTGTGGGAAAAGTCACGAGAATTCGAGGCCAGAAATCATCCGGTTTCTCGTGACCTCGTGATCACGTGATCTGGCGCGCGTGCGCGGCCTCGCTGCGCCGGAACCCCTCGGATCTGCCGGATAATCCTGTGGACTTTAGACGCGCACTTGGCAAGCTGTCAAATGGGTTTTATTATTGTGTATTCGAAGTACATCTTTATTCTGTCATTCTTCTATTCCTTATTCCGCCGTGTCGTTATTCTGTCATTCTTCTATTCCTTATTCCGCCATGTCGTTATTCTTCTTGCTTCTATTTCTCTACACTTGATTTCTAGTTTGCTCAGATGACCTTTTCGTGCGAACATTCTTGCTTGGATTTTATCTGCCGGGTTACAATTGGACGTTGTAGTTGTTCTTGAGTACTCTAGATGTTCTTGTGTATGATCTCGTCTCTCTTGTTTTGGTTTTTGACTTATTCTTTTACTCTTGTACTTCATCATTGTGTTTCGATTCTTCTGTAGTTTTCCCCGCCGGTATCTTTCTATAAGTACTGTCTCAATTTGTAGTAGATACCTCATCCGGAATCTCAACTAGATTCATACACCTTGAAATCTCCCAGTCTAAGTTCCCCAGTAAACTCTCTTATCGTCTCCGACCGTTGAGCCCTAGCTCCAGTCGCCTCACACTCTCGCCCCTCCGCCGTAAGGCGCCTCCGTCTGGTCCTTCGGCCTAGCCAGCCTTTGGAGCCGTGACAAAGGGTACATGTTCTTATAACGTGAGACCAAGGCTACCTTCCGCCCTTGTCAGGGCCCTGTCATTCCGTCCATCCCATATCCGTTTATCTGTCTATCCGTCTTCCGTTCGACAGTAGGCGACCAATACCTGAGATGATCAGCTCTATATATAGTGCCAGCAACCTATCACCTTAATCGGTGATAGCGGCCTTTTTGGCTCAGTTGGTTTATCGCGAGTTGCTGGCGCGGTTTCTAACAGTATCACCGGTTGCATTAGGTCGCAGGTTCAAACCCTGGCAGGTGCAATACTTCCCGGCTTGGGAAACTGGTTTGTTTGTGCTTGTTAGGGCCCGGGGGCCTCGGCTGACAGGACGTGTTCGAGTTCTGGGGGCTATTATGTATATCTAATCGTGGGTTCTGGGGGCAAGACGTGGCTAGGCCTGGAAAACCTAGTAAGAAGTTGTCATCACGTCACCTCGAGGGTCAGTGCTTAACAGGGGGGTACTGTCAGGGGCCTGTCGGCAGTTCGATGGGGTTTAGTCCGTTGACACATATCACATCCATCGATATAGGTTCGGATGTCTGCTTGGATTCGGGGCCACCAGTAGTTCCGAGTGATCAGTTCCTGGGTGTGGTATCGACTAGGATGTCCCAATACTGGGGAGTCGTGGTGGAATCTAATGATGTCCTCTGGGAGTCCCTTATCCTTTGGCACATACACCCTTCCCTTGAATGTCACGAGGTGTTTGTCAGATTCGATCCGGTCTGGGTCCTTCTGCAGTAGAGCCTTGGCCACTGCCTTGTCCCTTCTTCTCCAAGAGTGCTTGACCCGTTCCAAGAAGTTGGCATCTGGTCCTGAGATGCCCACTTCGACCCTTCTGAAAGAGTTCTTCCTTCAAGAGAATCACATTTTCATTTGTCGTTGGCTCCTCGATCATGATCCGCCCATCATGAGAGGAGATCAGCCTTGGTCATCTGTTTCCCAGGCTTGTGATGAAGGGTGAAATGGTACTGTTGCATCTCAGTGAGCCAGCGAGCTTGGTGGCGATTCAACTTCTGGGGTTTTCGGAAATATCCGAGATTCTTGTGATTGGTGTGGATCTCGAAGATGTGTTTAGCTCCAAGAAGGTACTGTCTCCAATCTGAGAGTGCACGCATGATGGCGAGCATCTCCTTGTCGTAAATCTTGTAATTCCGCTCCGTCAGGTTCAGGACGTGGGAGATGAAGGCTACTGGTTTCCATTTCCCATCGGGCTGTTGTTGGGAGAGGACTGCTCCAGTTGCGAATTCAGATGTGTCGGCCTCAACACGGAACTTCCCAGTGTCATTGGGGATAGCAAGGACGGGTTCAGAGCAGATTCGATCCTTTACTGCTTGGAAGGCTACTTCTTGTGCTTGTCCCCAAGTCCATTCCTTGTTTCCAGTCAGTTCCATGAGTGGCCTAGCAATCCCTCTGTATCCTTTAATGAACCGTTGATAGAAGTTGGCAAACCCAAGCAACTGTTGAACTTTGCGTTTTGATCGTGGAGTAGGCCAGTCTCTAACAGCATCGACCTTAGCTGGATCCATGTGTACTTGGTTGTGGGAGACAATGACACTGAGATATGCCACTTCTTTGGCTTCGAAAACACATTTCTCCGTTTTGAGGTAAAGTTTGTGCTTGGCAAACTTACTCAAGACTCTTTGGACCATCTCCCGATGTTCTTCCAGGGTTTCCGTGAAGATAAGAACATCATCCATATAGATGATGACCTTTCCAGAGTTGATTTCTTCTCGGAATATGGCGTTCATCATGGTTTGGAACGTTGTGGGAGAATTTGTAAGTCCAAAAAAACATCACCAGAGGTTCATACAGTCCCCTGTTGGTTCGAAACACCACTTTCCACTCATCTCCCTCTTTGATGCAGACATTGTTGAAGCCCCAGCGGACATCTAGTTTGGTGAAGTACCATGCCTTTCTGAGTTTGTCTACTAACTCTTGGATCAACGGCAATGTGCAGGGTGAGATCGATGACGTGGGAGCCGAGGAATGCAGTGGAAGCAATGTAAGAAGGTCCATCAGAATCAGAATCAGAGTCAGCAACGGCAGTGTGAACATGCTCGTGTTGCTTGTTCTTGCCAGAAGGCTTGCTGTGCTTGGTCTCCTTCTTATCCTTGTTGGATTTGGACTGTCCTTGCTGCTCGGTCTGAGGCGCATCGGACTGCTTCTTTTGGTCCTTGTACTTGGGGTTACTCTTCTTCTGCTTGACGCGAGTTGCCTTGTTGACAGACAGTTTGGTGGACTTCCTCTCATGCTCAGTGATGATAAGAGGAGTGATGGCATCGACTTTGATGTCCTTCATGTCCTTCAAAGTCTGCAACGCGAGGCTGACTACGTTATCGTACTTCTGAGGAAGTGACGACAAAAGGAGCATTCCCTTGACAAATTCGGGAAGCTCAACTTTGTTGGCGGTCAAGTGAGAAAGAATGACCTGGAAGCACGTGATCTCGGAACGAGGATCGAGATTCCCATCCCATGAGAAGTTGATCACTTGCTTAAAGTCAGAGTAGATGATGGATACCCCAGGTTTCCCATACGTTTCAGCAAGTTGCTTCCACAGAGTGTAGGGACTGGACACTTCCTTCATGACAGGGCTGTTCCGGATGTCTGGGTGCAGACAAAGTCTGATGGCACTGAAGCATCGGACACTCCCATCGTTGTATGCTTTGAGTTCATTCCAATATGCATGTTTCTCCTTTTCGGAGGCGTCATCGGGAGGGCTGACAGGGGATCGGGTGGTGACCCTGGTGTAGCTCCACAGCCCTGTGAACTCAAGGTACATTTGCATCTGATCGGCCCAGATGTTGTAGTCTATGCCCTTGAAGAGCATGACGTGGTTGTCGATGTTGGCAGAGATGGACATTGTTGATAAGATCTGTCAAAAGACGATCATCAGCATAATGTTCCCATGGTAACATAAGTGTGCTGCCATAAATGGTGCTCCTTAGTCCCATTGATCGCAGCCAGTAACAGCGCAGATCATAACAACTTCAAGGCAGTAAGCCCTAGAGCAATCTGTGATGCAGCCATTGTGGTGAACAGCTGGTATAGCCCCTATTTCTATTTTCATCTTATCTTATCTGTGTCCGCATCTTACCTTTCCTGTTACCCCTATTTCTTATCTTTATTGTCGTCTATGGACTCTTTCTCTCATGGAACACTGCCCCGTTTTGCCCTTTACCCTGCCTCTATTGTTCTTATTGTTACGCACTGCCCCGTATTCGCCTTTCGACTCATTCTGACATCTTTCTACTTCATTATTGTCTCATCCTTGTTCTTCGCGCAGCCTCGCGCAGCCTTGTGACTATCTTTTACTGTTCTTCTGTCTTTCACCATTCACTCGTCATCTCGACTCATCGTGGCTATGTAACTGGTAGAATAGGTATATAAGCTAGGTAGTTCGCTCTGTATTTCCTTAGCTTGACCTCTTCGTCAATCCATCGCTCTAGTCTTCACTCCAAACAGTCGCTCATCGCTCTAAGCTCTCTCATCGCTCTCACCGCTTCCCGTCTCTGGTCTTAGTTTTGGTTTAGTGTTTGCTCTTCGCGACATTAGGTCAAGCTATCCCTGCGCACCAGCAACACTGATTGTTGTCCCTGCAACCCCGCCGCACTCCTGGTCTTCTGGTTGACCTGCCGATCAGGTCCCACTCTAGCAACCCTGGTTCACCGCTACAGCCAAGATTCCGCCGTGCGAGTTTAAACCGCACTTTGTCCTAGTCTGGTCCGGCAAGCACGCTGACGGGTACATCACCTGCTACGCCCCCACCGTCCGAAGCTCCAGATACCAAAGAATCCCCAGCCACTTTCCACTTTCTGCGGTGCTCCTTCCGGTGATGCCATATTGGAGCAAATCAGCACTATATCTGAACCACCCGCTCCTGACCCCCTCCCAAAACCGGTCCCTTCCCCAGCCCCCGCCCCCAAAGATGAAGACGACAAACCAGCCCTCTGCCGCATCCGAGCCAATTGGACCACTCGTCGGAAATGGCTTCGTGCAGGATTGATCGAGGAGACAGGAGATGAACTTTGGTGCGCCGCCGGCTTCACTTACTCCCAGCAGATAGCCGAAGAAACCCAGAAGGCCAAACCACAGAAGTCATTCGAAGAGATGGTCCCTGCTCACTATCGTCAACACGCCTCCGTCTTGGAAATTCCGAGTCCGAATCCCATCGCCTCCCCGAGCACAAACCCTGGGATCATGCCATTGACCTCACCCCTGGAGCACCGGCCACCATGCAAACCAAGGTCTACCCCATGTCCAAAAACGGACAAGAGGAACTCAACCGATTTCTCGACGAAAATCTCAAGAAGGGGTACATCCGGCCATCAAAGTCGCCCCTCTCGTCCCCCGTCTTCTTCGTCAAGAAGAAGGACGGCAAACTCTGTTTTGTGACGAGCAAACACTATATACTACAGGTGTGTACTCTAGAACTTACCAGGAGATAGAGTGTAGTGAGGCTAACTTAGTGGCTAGTAAAACTGGTGGTAAGACAGTTATCGATTAGAGACTACAGAGGTCAGTGCCTGGACACTTCATGTGTTCAGGTTTTATGTGTCCCCTCGCGACCGACCGGTTACCAAAATAAGAAAGTCTATTCAATCGGGACATTTGTAATTTAAGGCTTTTTGAAGATCTTCCAATTGGCTGAAGATGATATTTCTATTTCTCCACCTTTCGCTTTCCGTACTCTCCATATGTCGGTTCCCACGTGTATTGTGAGTAAGGTTGGCCGTGTGTTTCCGATCTTCTGCAAATGCTGGATCACATCTTTCTTCATTTGTTCAGCGGTTTCCTTTGTGCAAGAGAGATACTGGAACTGTCCTGGATTTAGATTAAGTTGTTCTAGACGTGGAAACATGGTTGAATCTGATGCCATTTTGGAGATGAAGTCCTGCAGTTGCAATTCAGTGGTTGTACGATACACCGATTGCAAAACTTACGGGAATGGGGCACCACTTCTGGAAGATAGTTAATTGAGTGATGTTCACCAAATTGTTTCCCAGTTTCCCTAGCCATTTGGGTGCATTCCATACAAACCAATTGATGGTTATAGTGAGATCAGTGACCGCCAGCCATGGATTGACGCCTATCCCCGTCCAAATCCCATCGAGATAGTTCAGCAGATGGTCCCATTGGAGAGCTGTCAGAGGTCGTTCTATGACCAATTTCTTCGTGGAACGACCAAGGCCGAGGTGTATCCAGCGATAATCCGATTTCAAGATCAACACTTTAAGCGCTGGCATCGCCAAAGTTTGGTCGGGGCGAGGGATGCCGAAGATTTTGGCGTTTCCTTCGCGGGCGATCATGATTTCTATTACGGCTTTGTGTGGGGCTATGGGCGGACTGCGAATTTCGAGTTCTTTGACGTTTGTGAGGCGAGGAAAGAGATCAAGCATGACCTCTGCGATGTCATTGGGGGGAACAAACTGTGGAATTACGATAGAGAGTTGATGAACGCGGCTGGCGTAAAGTGACTTGCTCCTAGTCGGGTTTCGTAATGTCTTCATACGGGTCCACATTTGGTGGGCTGTCAGTTTGAAATGGTAATCTGAACGATATAATCCAATCGAAGCTGTCTGGAATAGAGTGGAACACGTTTGTATGAATGTAGCCAACACCTTTGGATCTGCGTGTGACATGATCTCTGCGATGATCTCCAATGGGATACGAGGGGCCGACATGTTATGGTCGGTTGGGACTGCGTGTCGGAGTTGATGCAGAGGTCCTTTATAGACCAGTTGGTTTGACCCTTCCCTTGTGTCGGTAGGACCTATTATGAGACCGGCGCCTTATATCGTACAAACGTCGCTGACAGCCTACAAAGGTAATTAGGCAGGCGGTTACCTTTCTAGTGATGTCTCTTCAAGAAGCTTTGATTCCCGGGAAAGCATCTGAATATTCCCCGTTGTGGTGTACATTTGCGTCCGCCTCTCCCGGGTGTTTCAAGTCGAGTCAATTTATACTTTGACGTGATACCGCGTGTTAGCAGGGTAAGTGCTTACCGCTTACCAGCGGCCCAACTTAAATTGCCATGTTGACTATGTTCATCACTAAATACATATGCTTTGCTTGAATTACCTCGCCGTAACTTTGTAACTAAGCCAGCTGAAGCTTTATCCAATGCATCCTGAACAACAATACCCTCGGATTGAGTATCGAGCGCGCTAGTGGCCTCGTCCAACAGAAGGATACGATAGCAACGTGACGTTGCTTCTGACCACCAGACAGCAAGAAACCGCGTTCGCCAATCATCGTGTCGTGTCCGTTGGGCGACTTGAAGCCGCCTGCGTTGGCCTTGACGCAGGCATCCTTGATGAGCTTGAACTGTTCCTCTTCAGAAGTTTTTTCCCACTTGGTGCCAATGAGACCGTGGGCGACGTTGCCTCGGATGGTGGTGGCGAATAGGGTGGGCTCTTGCGACACCAATCCAATTTGCGAACGGAGACATCTAAGGTTGAGATCCTTGAGGTCGCTGCCGGCAAGCTTGACAGCACCCTCGTTGGGGTCGTAGAAGCGTTCAATGAGGGAGATGGAAGTTGATTTGCCAGAGCCAGAGGCACTAACGAGGGTAGCGGTCTGGCCCGCGCGGAATGTGAGAGGTTCTTGATGACTTGGACGGTGGGCCTGGATGGATAAGCGAAGAAGACGTTCTCGATGGTGATCTCGTCAATGACAGTTTCGGGCTTGAGACCTCCCTCATCGTACGAGTCGATATCTGGAACACGGTCGATCGTCTCATATAGCTTGGCAGCAGCTCCGCAACCGTGAGTGAGGGCTTAAAATTATCGGTCAGAGAGAGGGACAAAGCTAGGCAGTGGCCTACATACCTTGAATTTCAGGAGCGAGCAAAGTGAGAGAGATGGAACCAATCAAGATGGCGAGGGAAGACGTTGACGAAGGATCTAGCGGTGGCCTGTCCCTGATTGATGAGCTTGGTACAAAGTTCAAAATCGGGACGACAGGATGTAGACTCACCTAGGAAGAGTAGATCACGAAGAAAGGCAAGACCACTTCCATGCCAACTGGCAGACTTGAGATCGACGGTAAGAGCCTTGTTGACGTGGTTATCGTACTGGCCGGAAAGAATCCTCTGAGTACCGAATGCCTGGGCGGCGGTTCGAACGGTGCCAATGACTTCTTCGGTTCTTCGGTCAGACTTCCTCCATCAGCGATATATTCCAAGGAGAGTCTTCATGCCAAGTCAATCGAGTAGGAAAACAAGACAAACGAGCCGAGATGAACTTGTTCATGACGTCTCCAGCGATGGTCATGCAGGGGAGGATCGAGGACATCGCAGGTGCAATTCGCCATGATTGAGCGTAGGCGAGGATGAAACCGGTGACGAAGGCGGCGACGAAACTGACGGTCAAAGCCACCTTTTCTGAAGTCGCTTGTTGAACCAAGTCTGCATGTCAGGTACTGCGGTAAAACTGAAGAGCACGGGACTTACGAGTGTCGGTCTGAATACGGGTAGCAACTTATCCAGATCCAATGTTGTCGAAGTACGTGATATCTTGACGGAGAACGGCTTCGAGGTACTTCTCACGAAGACGCTTGGTGCCAACCTGCAGACAAACATGGCCAAGATCTGAAAGAGGCCCAGGGTCTCGCTTATGAATCATCTATATGAGCCTTGCGTCGACGCGACGAATTTGATAAACATATTGGAACGACTGCTCATAAGACTGTCGCCCCGTAAACCGATTCGCGTCTTGGTGGTACTTACTTAGCTTGGTACTTACACCAAAATCCCTTCACTCTGAGCCAAAAGGCCTGGAACCCGTGTTTGTTTCGCAACGCTCATGCTACGCTAGGTCAATGTCCAGCGCAGAAAGACGAACGATATGTGCTACATGATGATACAACGAGGGGTAGCCTGAGGGATAAAGGGGACACAACTCTCCTCGAATGTCTTCTGGGGTTTGTCCTTCTGGGATTTCTCGGCAATCTGCTGGGAGTATGTGAAGCCTGCGGCACACCAAAGTTCGTCGCCTGTGTCCTCGATCAATCCTTTGCGAACCCACTTCCGCCGGGTCACTCGGTTAGCGCGGATGCGGCAGAGGGGAGGTTCGCTTGGTTGGAAGTCAGGGTTGGGTGCCGGGGAATCGTCGAAAGCGGTAGGAACGGGCGGATCGGGGTCGTTGTAGATCTGTTCAATAATAGCATTGCCGGAGGGGGGTTCCTTTCGAGGGGGCTGTGCGTCTTCATCGGGGACTTCTTCGATGGTGACACTGGAAATACGAGGAGGGGAAATCTCTAGTGTGCCTTTCCGCCAGTCGATCTGGGGGTTGATCTTGCGAAGCCAAGGGAGACCTAAGATGACATCTTCCCCCCCGAGATCGGTGATGAGGAAATCCGTCCACTCGGAGTAGCCGTCCACCGTGAGCTCCAGACGAGCGAAGTGGGTGATGCATCCTGCCTGATTTGGGGTTCCATCAATGTTGATGAAGTCGGATTGGGTGTCGAAGGGGATAAGCGGTGATCCGGTGTTTCTCCACAAAAGGTTTGTCCAGGAATTTGCCAGTGGCGCCACAATCAATCATTGCTGCGGGGTTTGCCGTACGATTTCTGCCTCTGAGTCTGATGCGAATGCGAAAATGCGAGGAACCGGGGTGTATTTCGCGTATAGAGCTAATGGTACATGAATAAATTGAATCATACTCAGAGACGGCGTACAGCGGAGAAAAGGGTGCGTGCCTTGCAGCACGAGCAGGCACCCTCTTCAAAAACCCTGTTGTTGGATCTTCTTGAGGCGCTCCAGGATGTCCTGTTGGTTCTTCTGAGCAACCAAGAGATCGGCGAGTGAAACGTTAGACGAGGTGGCAGCAGGTGGGGCAGGCGAAGTGGCAGCAATGGTGGCGGCGGGTGTGGAAGAGTCATCGAAGAGCGAGAAGGGAGCCTCCTGGGTGGCAGCAACGCGACGATGTTGGGTGAGTCCTCGACCGGGCGGATAGCCCATGAACTTGTCTTGGCAGACGTTAGCAGAGTGGCCGAGACGCTGGCAGTGGTTGCAACGAAGTGAGCCGTGGTTGCCGTCCTTCTTGATGTGGGCGGAGGATCCGCAACCAAAGCATCGACCACGCATTGCTTGGAGGAAGTCCTCACGGGGAACGGCCACTAGGTCCAACACGGGTCGCGTCGATGTCCATCGCATAGGGGTCACGGGCAGGGGCAGAGCGAGACGAGGCAGTCGGGGTCAAGAAGGAGGCGCTGCTTCCGTGAAACGTAAAATCATTCTGGTTGACGATGTCGCAGTAGTCTTGAAGGGTCTTGGGCTTGGCATCGTCCGGTTTGGTGATGGCGATAAGATCCAGCATGAGGCCATCGTTGGAACTGAGTTTGCGACGAAAACGTGCCATACCATCCTTCTGGGATAGACCGGTGCGGGGAAATATCTCCATGAACTTGGCTGCGAACTGGGAAGCAGATTGTTTACCCTGGGTAAGGGCCTCGAGCTGGGCTTCAGCTGCTTTCTCCCTGGTCGGCGGGTTGGAAGCGTTTCTTGAAGGCAGCCACAAAAGTGGACCAATCGCCACTGAAGGGCCAGGGGTGGGCGGCAATCTGATCCAGGTATTGGACAGCCCAGGAGGCAGCAGCACCCTGAAGGTACGAGAGGGCAGCTGAGATCCACTTCTTGTCATCTCCTTTGAGTTCGGACTCGGCGGAGGCCCAGTTGGTGAAATAGCGGAGGAATCGCTGGGTATCACCAGAGTCACCCTTGAAGGGCTCAGGCGCTTTGACGGGGCTTCTAGTGGAAGCGGTCTTAGCAGCCGTGAGCTTATCCAGGGATTGCTGGATACGCCTGGTAGTCTCTTGTTGCTCGGCAAGCAACTTGAGAAGAGTGGTGTCGGACATACTGAGATCGGGGATAGGCTTTGCGGTTTTGGTAACGGGGTCTTGTTGGACGAGCGGCAGAGAAGTGGGTGGGGATAATAAAGATGGTGATAAGGTGGAAGTGGGAGGTTCGTTATCTGAGCGTTGGGCAACAGACGTGTCCTCCGACTCCCTGGGGATGGGAAGTGGTGTGAGGGCGCGGCGAGGAGTGAGGGTAAGGGCTGTGGTGGGGGTGGAGTGTCCGGAGCGGCGGAGACTTGTTACTGCGGGAAGGGCTTCTGCTAACGCGGCGTAGGTAACGTGAAAGGGGACGGGTGTTTCGGAGTCTTCTTCTTCGGATTCGTCTTCCTTGTCGTTGTCGTCCTCTTCCTCACTGTCTTCTTCAGATGATGTTGACGGAGGGCGAAAGGACTTTGGTGCGGTGCTGGTGGTTGCTGTTACTGGGGCAGGGGTAGAGTCGGCAGGATGGAAAGACTGGGGAGCTGCCCCACGGGCTGTGGATTTGCGTAAGTGTATGGTTTTGTTGTACAACTTGACACTTGTCTCATTGGTTCACTTCAGGGCATGAAGCCAGCAGCAAGTGGTTGAAGGCGATTGTTGTTAAAACAGCGAATGGAAGTCCAACAGTGAGGGGAAAGCACTGGGGGACTCCAGAGTGGTGCTGTGACTATATAAGACATTTTGGGTCGGTAAAACGTCGGGCGACGGGGCCTCCGTACATCCGTAAACACATGCAAGGTGAAGCCAAGCGATACGAAGCTTGGCTTCGGGGTTATTAGCTACTAGCAAAACGAAGTAAAAGGGTAATATCTCGGTAACCGTTGGACGGATTTCTGTCCCTCAGTTACCGTTCAAAAGAGTGTGAAAAGACGGTAATCATACCAAACACGAGTGGAATCGACCAAGTGGAAGTGCCAAAGTCACGAATTCTAACACTCCCCAATGACTGAGGCAGTTCAGGAATCCACCAGACCAAGTAGGGCACAGCAGTCCTTGGGCACAGGCAGAGCTTTGGTCAGGATGTCCGCAGCCTGTTCTTGTTAGATTGTGAATATGTCACTCTGTTGACTGCACTATCTAATCATGGTCAGGGTCCCTGAACATGTGGCATAAGCCCAACCTGTGGCATAGCCCCCTTGTGGCACAGCCCACCATGGCATAAGCCCCTTCAAACCCATCCTAGGAGGTTATACTTCCTCCTACTCCTGCTTTGAACAAGACCGTATAGCTCAGTGGTTAGAGCGTCCCTCATGTGTAGAGGAGGTCTCTGGTTCAATTCCGGATGTGGTCACTTTTCCCTTTTAACAGTTCTGTGCCAGGAATGCGAACTGGGGCAATGGTACCAGACTTGGTGCTTCATGTGTCCGTGGTGCTCCGGGTTCTTTCTTGCTGACGGTCACAGCGCTGGCATTGTCGATGAGAAGGCTGGGGGTGGTGGCCAAGCTCCCCCAGAAGGTGACGAAGCCAGAGGATCTCCTTACCAGCTTCAACAGCCTGTATATACTCCGCTTCACATGTGGAGTGCATCTCCTCGACTTCAGCAGGAGCCTGGGGACCCATGGCCTTTGTCAGATGTCCAATGGGCAGAGGAGTGTCTACCTTGTTGCAGGCGTCCATGTTGAAGCGCTTGAGCATGTCGACAATGTACTGACGCTGTGAGAGGCTGATCGAGCGAGTGGCACAGTTTCTAGAGATCTCAATACCAAGCAGGAAGCGAGTCTCACCAAGATCCCACAGCTTGAAGTGCTTCAGTGTACACTGGAACGATGATCTTGACGTCGTCTCGGGCGTAGAGGTAGAGGGAGCGGTCGGATTCGAGGCGCTTGAAGCCCATGGAGCCCAGGACGGTGTGGAGCTTCTTGTTCCATTGCTTGGCAGCTTGCTTGAGGCCATAGTCAGATCTTGTGTTGAATGTCTACCACGAGAATGTGTTCCCCACCCTCGAGGTCCTCGTATTTGATTTCCTCTGATTCAGGGTCTGGTCCAACAAGTGGGGTGCATTCTATAGGACATCGGTTGAACTCTACCGTACCAGTCCTCCAGTCAATAGAGGGGTTGTGCTGTTTCGGCCATTCAAACCCATGAAGACATCTGTTTTCCCTAGTTCGGTTACTCCAAATTCCAGTCTCTCAATGTGGTCTCTGATTTTGACGTGGAGTTCAACACATTCAGAGATAGCTCCTCCTGTATTTTCTGTACCATCGGCATTATAGACAGGGATGGGGATGGGGAGCTTTCTTGTTCGGATATTGTTCCGTCAGACAAAGTCCCTGTCTATTCAGCTTCCAGTGCAACCACTATCTAAGAGTCCAGCAGTTCGGAAGGTCCGCTATGGCCATGAATAAATTGTTTGGGTTGAGCCATTTCCTTTAGGGCCTCCACAACTGGTCCGTCCAATAGCTGTTTGAGCTGGGATATCTTCTCGCGTCCGTGACCTCTTGCCTTCTCTTGGGATGTACCCAAGACATCAGAATTCCTCTTGCCATCAAGGGTTCTGAGTCATTGAGCCGTTGGGCTACCCATTCTGCAGAGCCCAGTTCCACTTTCTTTCTGTAAAATTGTGCATTATCCCTTTTCAATCATGCATAAACATCATGTCATTCGAGTTCTGGCATATGCCGTTGGTTCCTCCCTTGATCTTGGAGTGTTAGACTCTACGGAACTGCAGAGTCTGCGGAGTCGAAGGGACCTTGGCCTCAACGTATTGTGTTGTGCCCACGCTAGTGGTATATGGTCCAACCCGAAAGGAGAGGGGAGGGAGAGACGCGCCTTGCAGCGGAAGACGAGGAGAGAGAGAAGAAAGCCTTGCGGAGCGGAATAAGGAGCACTATGCAGATATACGGAGTATGCGGAAAGCTCTAACAAGCCTAAAGGCTCAAGACTGGACAGAGGAGGAGTTCTGTATGAGTCTGATTTGAGATTCCGGATTAAGGCAGAGCACAAGTACAGGTAAACCTGTCGCACTCACAGGTAAACCCGTGGGAAAACCCGCAGGTTTGACTACCCGCAGATCCCAGAGATCCGTGGGAACAAACCCGTACGGATACAGGTTTGGATTATTGGGTGGCAGGGTCAAGGTTAGTGTTTTTAAAGATGCCGAGATTGCGAGCGCTTACCTGTCAATAATTTTGCCCACATGTTGATCTTGTGCGCTTTGCACTGGTCTCTTGCAGGTTTACCGGACGAAAACACGCGGCAACTATGTTTTCGACGATTATTAGCAGAGAGAATAGGGGGAGGAAGTAACTTGTAAGTGGCTTACCGATCATCTGTGGTTGCTGGCAGACAGTTGTCGACGATGACGGCATCAATCCCCGTTGTCGATGCGGCCGGGTCGTTAGCCGGGGCGCACATTCTGGTGACTTGAGGTCAACTAGGGGCCTGAAAATGGGGAGGTAAGTCGCCCTATATGTGAAGGGATTCAACCCATGACCCTTTCGCATGAAACTTGTCCCGGTTTACAAGGTGCTCGAAGAAATAGGAGGCAAGGGATGAAGATGCTGGCATTGACGGATAAGGAAGGTGTTAAGTTCATTTCGGTTCGCCAGGGTGACCTTCATCTCACCTGTCAGCGCCCAATGCCTGGAACTGTAAGTATCTCACCGTGGACCCCCACAAACATTTTCTTTAAAACGGCGGTCAGAAAACCGTGGTCTCCCCAGCAAACCCTTGACTGCCTCACCATGTCCCCTATCGTGATCAACCTCCCCTTCCTCACCTCCATATTTGCTGACGCCATTCCGCCTTGGCACCTTGCGCGTTGTTGATCGTTTGAGCTCTCGTGCTCGACGATTGGTCGACCACGTTGTTGCCACCGTGGACGGTGACTCCTTGGGCCCGGGTGTGCTCAACAGGTGCCATTACCTGCTGGTCAGTGAGTTGACCGGTCCCCTATGTGCCCACTCTTAAAAGGCTGGCCTCATATTTCGCTGACAGTTAGCCTTCCTCTGCCATGTCTGAATGCCAATGCCGAGCTACGGATAAGGGGCAGCAGTACACTGCCGAGCGGATTGCCCAGTCGCAGTGTGCCGCGAAACGCAAGCGCACCACTCAGCAGGATACTTCGGACCCCTCCACTACGCCTGTCACCTCCCAGGCCGCACCCTCATCATCTCAACCCACTTCCGTCGCCACGTCAGAACCATCAGCTACGCCCGTCGCCACTTCGAACCTGTCGGGTTTGGCGGGCGCTGCTTTGAAGAAAGCAAAGTTCGATGAGCGGTACAAGGTGTCCTCAAACACACCGGAGCA